GCATGGCAGATTGGCAGAGCGTCCTTGGGCAAGGAGCAAACCGTTCAGCAACGGGTCCATTTATTAACAAAGGGATACAGAGCATATAAATACATGTATATATTTATATCCGAATCTAAATTGCTTCGTCTATTTGAAGTGTGTCCGTATTTGAAGGATTCTCCGCCCCTGGAATGCCACCTCCCACGTTGGATTGTTGCTCGCCCCGGCTGGTCGGCTCTTAGGTAGGCTAGCAGCGACTCACTCACATCGGGGGCTTAGTCGAGCATGCTTCGTGCTTTACTAACACTTCATCACCGATCGGGCGCTATAATGCCACTGGGCCCTAGCGCTGCAACGGGTAAACCAAAGCGGGCGGCCTTTATTGAGTCGCGCTGTCATTAAATAATTCAACGTTATAGTCAAAATGCCAGCGAGCCACTCCGTCTCAACTACTTAATTCGAGGTTTCAGGCCACTTTAAGTTTTGCCTAGCCTTGGCTCCTGGCCTGTGCCTCCGTGACAGGACTCACCCCTGCCTGGTTACTTCGTTCCTGGCTTAGTCCGACGCCGTGTTGTCCTATTCAGGAGGTATGAGGAGCCAAACTCCCCAGAGGACAGGTTCCAAGTTCGGAGACCGCATTGAAGTTGAAGACTTGACAAGCCGACCTTGATGCATCCCTGCTTCTGATCGCGAGCGTGGAACCTAGATAGATCAGCAGTTCGCCGGCCTCGTCCAGACCTCAGCACCCCAGAGTCGATCAGACGGCCTTCCTTGGGGGTCTATCCTTGAATTACCATAGACATTCACCCAAATCGTAAGTTAATGACCTCACAATTGGAGGGATAGAATTGGCGCGCGAATCCCGAAACGAAGGACCCATTGATTCCGTGTGCTTGTTCTGTCAAGCGCCTATGTATATGCCGTGCCTTATGAGTAACCCGTACGTATTCCCACAGATATGCAAATACCTAATCACGTTACACCGCCGCAGTGTGTTTGCACCAAGCCCTGAAGCCGTCAAACTGAAAGCTAGGCCGAAACCAGCGCCTCAGGGGGAAGAAGTTGATACCGGAGGACTGGTACATATGGAAGAGCCTTGAGCATTGAAGCTGCAAGTGTCGCTGACAAGAAACCCCCCTGGCTGACTAGTTACCTAAGCTGCCTGGGCACCCAATTGCGATCGACCCGGCAGAGGGGTTTGCGGTTTTCGATTATGTTGGGTGCGACCGTGCTCACTTCACCCGTCGTCGGAGGCGCAGCACTTGGGAGAGGTGACAGAAGGTAGTTGGGTGACAGATCTTGGAGAGCCAATCGCAAGCTCAGGACAGCCACTTAGTGTGTGCCAGATCAGCCTTGCGGCTGGTCCTGCGCAGAGCTGCTTGCAGATCTTGAATTCCGAGATCGTGTCCGTTCGCCCTGCCCCTGAGTCAACTCCAGAGCGTCTCGCTCACACTCACTCAAAGCAACACATGATCTGGTTCGCGACAATGCCACATCTTGCAGGAAGATCTAAACGTAACATGTTTCCAACACTGCTTCGACCAGATTGCTGTTGCCCACTGCATGAACCTCTCAATTCGGCTACATCACACTGCCACTTTGTGATTCTGGCAATCCCAGGAGCATTTTCCCAATCCATACAGTTTGGCAACATGGCCGCGAGCTAGACTCTAGTCCGAGGCGGGTCGTCGTCCACTGGGCTCCAAAACCCATCTCGGCGGAGTCGCCACAAGCGGTTGGCTCCCGAATCGTCAGCAGTGGGCAGCGAGCCTAAGGACATGGCGAACCTTGCAGTACCTGGCCGTTGTCTAACACGACCCGAGCATAAGGTCCTGGCTAGTTTCTCCGGGGGTCGCAGCGCCGGTACCTCCACTGAACTAAGCGAAGCCCTCTCCATGACTCGAGCGGGTCCGTCGGCCGAGTGAACGGGTCAGAACTCTTCCAGCAGTCGCGCAGAGGCCCGACAGGTCCTTTTGACAATTGTTATTGAACACTATTGATACGTTGCTCACCCGGCAGGAGAACTTAGCGGGCGAGCGCTGTGCTTGTGTCTTATTCGAGAAGGTAAAGAAGGCACTATAGCCCAACAATTGCCATCTGCGCAGTGGCCGATGTATGATTGGATGACGGGACCGCCGTATCGCAACTCTAACTCAAAAATCGGTCTGATATCGGCACCGCCGCCAGGGCCCCTGAGCTTGCGATCTTAGGTGATCATCACTTACAAAGGTTCAAGACCTGTATGCTGTTTCAAATCCTCAAGCAAAGGACCGTGACGACTCCTGGTTGATCGCGGTGGTGATGATAGCAGCCGTTTGGCGGCCATGAAACATGACAGGCCCGCGCCAAACAAGGCGGGCCGGAGAGCCAGTAATGTGTCGCCGCTGAACAGATTCCCAAGCTCAGATCTGTCACCCGTCACTGCAAGATCTGGATACCAACCTCATCCGCGTTCCGACCCTGGCTGTCTTCTACACGGCGATTGGTGCCAGAGATCAAGGCAGAAGGGGTCACACGCATGCGGCTGTCTCCGTCCTCTTGGGGACTGGCCCATCGTCGCTGGATCGGAAGAAGTTTGAATCAATATGATCAATAATTCCATCATTATACACAGATTTTCTACGGCGAGAATTAGAGTTGCGTCGGCTCGTTGCTTGGGCTTGTCAGTGGCGGGTGCCATAACCGCTCTAGCGTACGCCGCTAGGTGCTAGCCATCCTGAGAAAATGTGCACACATCCCACTTGAATTTCATCGGGCACACACTTCGCGACGAATGTACTGGCAAACTCCATCCGCCATAGCTGCCGCACACCACCACGAACTGGCACTGCCCATGCAAGGTAGGGAGAGCATGGATGTCTAGATCTGCCATCCCACAGTGATTCATCACGCCAGGACGATCATCTGCAGCGAGCCCGTGAGTGCCAGCCCTCTCGGCCTCGTCTTTGCCGTCCCCCGAGACAAGCTGGCCTTCCACCCATTCGTTCTCCATGAGACAGGCACGGCCAAAAAGGCTTGGGGAGGGGGCCCAGATGGGGAACGAGACAATATATCTCACTAAACCCCGTGGTCTAGTGTAGTGGCACCAGACGATGAGAACCTTAGGTTTTCCACCACGTACCCGCACTGGCTGTTGGCCGCCAATATACTGGTAACGCCTTTGCGCGAACCTCTGCTGCCAGTGGCTGCAAATCACATTACGGCCTTGTCCCACAGTAACCCAACTCATGGACGGATCCAAGGTCTCGGGGCACCTCTGCATCCTACTATTATCCGGCCTCCAATTGAGACCATTTACCGAGAATCTTGGGCGGAAACCTTCACTTGGGTCGGAAGCTTGCACTGGCGGTTGACACTGGACCCAGTGACCCTAGCATCTGCAACCCGTCGGCCACGATCTCCGTAGTCACTGGACAATGTACATGGTAGCTATGAGTTCAACCGCCGTACGCCTCTATTTCGGGGGTTTCTTCTCGTGCCAGGTTCTGACCTTGAAGATCTCAGAGATGCATGTACGGCACCGCAGTAGAGTCTCGTCGTCATAACGACAGGACTCAGCAAACTGACTGTTGATGACCAAAAGTCTGCCCTTCACGGAACCCTGCAAAAGGCCCTTGTCGGCACACATGCAATGGTACGTAGGCGTGGAAGGTGAACCCTGGTAACTTTCGCCGTTCCATCGGGCAATTTCATCTAGACGTGCTGGGTCTGAGCGAGAACCGTCCTGGCCCGGGGTCCGCACCCCTGCTGGAGTTCCCTAGTGGCAGAGTGGATGTACCTACACTTTCCCTAGTGACCCTCCGTGTCACTTCGTCTCCTCCCCCTTCGCGTCTGGTCACCTTTGCAGGTACGTAGTTACTTACATACTCGTTGTCAGACCCATAACCATGCCCATGCTTGAACATCCCAGTGCCACCACGAGCCTGGCAGTCTCATGAAGTCCGTCCCCAGTGCCCACTAAAGGAAACGCCACAAGCAGCCAGTTAAACCTGCCTGTGGAGATGTGGGAACTGTACGTCGTTCAAGGTATTCTTTTCCCTCCCTTCCAATCCAAACACCTGCATTCGGTTGATGTACCGTCTCTACCTGCCCGTGCCTCGCTCTTGAGGCTGCTTGTGGGTTAGTCCTTTTCCGTCCTAAACCGTCACTCCACCATTGAAGGGGTGGACTTCAACAGTCAAAAGCACTTAGACTCCCTGCTTCATGTGCTCTCCTTCCATCTCTAATCACCTCAACTGCTCCTTGCCCATAGACCTACGGTCACTTGTATGACACCCCTCCGTCCGAGGCTTTGTTTGTAACATTTGTTCATGAGACCAATTATCTCAAATTCGTCCTCGAGCGCTATATGTTTCCATCGTTTCCGGGCTCTCTGCCATTGCCTCTTTGGGTACGCCATCCGTGCGTTTCGTCTTATTGATCCACCATCGTCGAGGTTATGAAAGAGGTCACAGCACTGGTCTTACAAAAGGAAACTGGCCACCACACTTCCATCTGACCTTTAGCTTCCACCAAGCCTTTTGTCACATACATACCCACCTGGAAAGTTCAGTGCGAAGAGGAGGAGAGGTCTCACAAACACCGCACGAACACTGCCCACTTGGCTGTCGACCCCGTGTATAGAAGACGACACTTCCTGCCCCAAAGCCTTTCTCCATTCAGATTGCAGGGAACCAGCATCGAACCACACTTCCAAGAGCATATTTTTTCATTCAAAGAACCATTTCAAGAATAGCAACGGTTCTATTTCTATCTCTTCCACCGGAAACAGTCCATGTCGGCACCAGTCCGCGTCAACTGAACAAATTCAGCTTGTATCAACCCCAGTTGCCCTCTGCTTCAAGGCGAGGTATGTTGTTCTTTGTCCACGCAGGACGTATTAGTTCATGCATCTTGTTTGTGGAAGACTGACTTGCATTCTACAGGATTCACTAGTTATTTTCATACTTGGTATGGAATATAGTCTACTATCATCTGCAAGAATAGATCGATCACACAGAGCACAAGAACCTCACAAGATGTCTACCCTCACTATGCCTTTCCCCAACCCTCACACTGGATTCCACCGCGAGTTTGCCTGGCAGGAGCCTCGCCCTTCCGAGCCCATGCACCGACCCCGCCATGAACCAGAGAAGGTTGCGTTGCCATCAATTCGCCAGGTACAAGAAACACAAATGACTTCTGTAGAATGCCCCACTGACAAATCCTAGGCTATTCCAGAGCTCCATTTACGCATTCAACAAGATGGTGCTACCCGGACACCATCCGTCACTTCGCCGATCTCTGGGCCGAGTCAGGTCATGACTCCTCCAGAGTACGTTCACTCACCGAATCAAAACAAGAGGCGCCGCCTGTCATTCGACGATGAAAGAGACAGCGAGAGACCAAGCCAAATTCCTCGTCTCTATGCTAGTCCATCACGGGCCTATTCTCGACACCAATCTCCTCCTCTGACACACCGACCAGCCCCGGAGCCTTGGAATTCGTCAGGGAGGACAAGCCCATATATGAAACACGGTACTCTGCCGTCAATGGTATCTCCGGGAGCTGCTGAAGTTAGAGAACGCATGGAACCACGGCTCAGCCTACCAAGTCTTCCCCAGCTAGACTTTGAGCGCAATGCCGATCAAATGCCTCGTATGAGGAGCCTTTCTCGCGATGACTACGTGCAAGAGCACACGAGGCCTCCATTGGGTCACCCGACCGGGCCGCCAATGGAAACTGCCACACCTATTTATCGTCAAGCCGGTTATGACTACGCCTATCACCACCCCACCCGAGTACAGTCGTTATCATTGGGTTCGTTACATCCATTCGATCGGACGCCATTTGCACCAGTAGGGTACGGTCACCATTTCCAGGACACGTACATGCGTATTGGAGAGTTGGGAATGGGAATCGGCGGTGACAACAAGCAAAGAAAGAGAAGAGGAAACCTCCCCAAAGAAACGACCGATAAATTGCGCGCATGGTTCGTGGCTCACTTGAACCACCCATATCCCACAGAGGACGAGAAACAGGAACTCATGCGGCAAACCGGGCTGCAGATGAGTAAGTCTTGTCTTGTTTTGTGCTGCGGGTCAACTCGTGGCCAAGGCAGCATGGCGCCGTTCCAGACTAACCTGTCTTTCTCATCAGATCAAATCTCCAACTGGTTCATCAACGCTCGCCGCCGGCAATTGCCCACGTTGATCAACAACGCTACTGCTGAGTCTAATGCTATGGCTGGTCGCAGCAGCAACGGCAAAGTTCTTCCATCAACTGAGAGAGTGGATTTCGAACACGACAGCAAGCGCAGCAGCGTACCTCTGAGCGACGGAGACGGCAGCAACTTCGACGATGTTGACATGGACACGCTTTCTCGGCGCAGATCCGCCAATATGAAGCGTGGCAGCGTTTGAGCTCTCACCCCTTGTACTTCTCGACTGTGTGTTATCTTTCTTCAACTTTACATTGGACATGACTTTTGGGTTTCAAAAGAGAGCATGCTACAGGCGTCTGGTTTGGCACCGGTCGTGCCACTGTTTAGCATTATTATGGGGCCAAAATGGGAATTTCTGCGGCATCACAGAGGGCTATCCTGAGATAGCCATGTATCACTAAAAGTGCTTGGGACTTTAGAGTGGGTGGGCACCGCATAACAAATATTATTAGACTTGGGCAACCTATATTGTTAGGATCTATATAGTCCGGAGACGGGTCATTTGCATCATGGCTCAAATCAAAATCAAAACAGATACAACAATCTTGATATTCTTGTGCATCTCCCCCATTCTCGTCCAGAATGAGTTATTTGTGGTTTTTAGAGTCATGGAGCAGTGGGGGAACGACTTTCGTGGCGGTGGACGACCGTTGCCTATCTGCACCGTTGATGGTTCACATGCGCTTCTATCTGCCACATGTGGATGTACGAGGGCCTTTGCTTTTGCCGGTGGTGCAGCGGTCTTACAGGGTCTCTTCCGACCAATATACTACTATGCAGATCTCCTTGAGGGCATGCTTCAAGTCCACTTCTTCCGGCATTTTGGTTACACGGTGGATTCTTCCAGCAAACCACGCCATCCGAGCTGCAGGCAAGCTGTGCGTGCCCACCATTGGGTACCCAATTGTTGATCAGAACCCGCCAGCCGGCTCTCCGGTGAGTAGGAAAAGCCAGATGCCCATCTGCTTAGCGAGATCTGTGCATCTAAAACTCTGCAGATCTGGGATCCGGCGTGGCCTCCTAAGGAAGAGTTCAGAACTAACGCGGGTGTCGTTGCGTTACGCAGATTAAGTTGCTGCAATAGGGTTCAGCCAGCCTGGTTTGGGATGATGGAAGCCTGCTGGAGGGGGACGCCCCTCCTGCGAGAGACAGGATACGTCTATTCGGGGCAGGATAGTTTCACGTCGGCATCATAGAAAGCGTTGGGTTCTCCCATTGTTTGCCCACAGTCACATCTCTACATTATATGCTGCTTGCCACTGCTGGACCTTATTTTGTCGGTTACTATTGAGCTTCAGGACTTGGACACCTGACAACGACAGCCGTCGTTGCTTGAACTGCGACCCTGTCTCTTTTTGCCTGAGGAATTTAACTACGGGCTGAAGGTTGTAACTAATATTGGAGTGGAATCGACGGGAATAGTTCAATCTGATCTCCGTGCAGATAATTCGTACCATGTGGCATGTCGTAAGGCCTATTTCTTTCATGATACCTGAAACATGTAGCACGCTGGTTCAAGCGGCACGCCCGAGATGAACGTTTCTCCAGTTGAGGATGACCCAAGATGATCCTTGAAGAAGAACTATTGATAGGGTTGGCCTAGACGGTACCCACTGTCCCCTACATTAGGTGGATGGTTATACAGACCAGGACAAGTCTGCACGAACTGCATACCTGATTAGAGTCGAACTTGACGCATCTGCGGATCCCAAGAGTTCGATGGGGTTGGCTACGGTCATTTCGGCCTTTTCAAGAGGAGCGAAACTGAGGGTCTGGGTTTGCCTCGCTGCACATAACAGGCCCTCGGGTCACAAAACATGCAGTATCACAGTAGATCCTACATACCCGCCTGTCTTGTATCCATAGTCTTGAATCCTTGGCGCCCCTTCCCAAAGGCTTGGTCGGCCAGTCGGATTGAATATCTGACTCCATGGCGGCTGATAGATTAATTACTCAAGGCCTTGCACAGGTGAGGCTTTGAAGCAAAACGGGCAAGCTCTGGCTTGGGACCGAGCACACGCCCTGAGCTTAAGCGTTGCACGCCCAAGTACCACACGCTATGTATCAATCATGGGCACACTTCGGCCTTGCCAGGGCCATTGAACGGTTGACAGCCCGAGGTTATTTGAATATCCTACAGTTGCAACGTAATCGAAATTTCCTGGCCACCAAGAGGGACTAGACTAGACCCTTTAGTCACGTACTGACAGGGTCCAGATGAAGCTTCGTCCCTCCCTTCAAGCAGCTTTTGCCGGATGAACCAGGACGAACACATGACAGATCAGAACATCTGCATGTGAACCCATGTTGACTCATCTTCCTCGGAACGTGATTTTACTCTGCACACATGTGTGTTGGCATTAGCATTGACAGGTGGTGCTCACACCCTCACGGTAATAGTCGACGTTTGCTGTATTAGCCCATCGGCTATGTGTCTCGTGCGCAGCGGTTATCTGCCATTTACGACTAATTGTACTCGACTTGTTGACTTGACAGTGCCGGCCGGCGGATCGTCAAGCCGCAGGTTTGAGTTTGACGTGGCGTACCTGTCAGTCAACGCGTCAAACCCGCTTTGTTGGACCAGTCGCAGGGCATACCGAGCGAGACTTGTCGCCGATCACTATCGGGTGGGCAGCCCAGAGGCGTCTAGGTTGTAAGGTCAGCGATCCGGAGCTTGGGGAATTAGCGTCAGCCAGTTTGGGTCGCTTGCGCCATGGTAACGTCCCATTTTAACCCTTTTGGCGCATGTGTCTAAGGGGACTGCGAGAGTTAAATCGCGTCTATTGGCTGATCTACAAGAACTATGTATACAGCCACCGCTAGGTGACGGGTCGTCGTTTCGATGCTCAAGGTTCTCTTCGGGCCAAGGCAGGATCGACGGCCGTTCCGCCAGACTTGTCCATCCAATCTCTTGATAGGAATAATGGAGCGCAAAATCTTCATTGGTTTAGTCCGGCCTTTTAATGCCTGTCACGTCGGTCACCTAGAGCAGACTTTCGGTGGAACCGCGATGATAGTACCCAGGTACTCATGAAAGTGCCACCGTATTCGGTTGACATAGACGGCAACTGTAGTTGTGAGGAGAGACGTAATACTTAGTTACTACTACTTGGGAGGTCTCCACGCAGAAACAGGTGCACTGGGCCCGAAGCCGCGGAACGAGTGATTGATTCAGCTTTGACTCTACACTTTCGATCGCTGCGGAATGTCCAATTTTGAACCAGCGTACCAGGTTATTGGACGTGGCTAAATTCTAAAGCCGGCCAGACTCAAATGTATGCCACGCAAGTTCAGCGCCTTTTCAACGTTCCAAGCTCCACACTTCGCTAGTTTCCTCGCAACCTTACGGCGCACTGATAATTGCATGTCTATTACTACACTTCCGGAGGCCACCACCAGCTGCGAGGTGAAGACATCTGATACGTGGTCTTTCACGTTGGTGTTGCGATATGCCTGAGGCTCTTTGATATCCTTTGGCAAACAAATAGATAGGGCCGATAGGGCCGCAACAGGGGAGTTCGTGGCCGACCACAAGCACCATGTTCATCCAGCAATTGATCGATGGAGAGGCTGAGTCTTGATGGCGGGGCTGCTGTTGGCCTTCATGTCCATGAACTGAGGAACTTCCTGGCTGAGACCCGCAAAATCATAACTCCACCGGAGACGTGATACTTGCTGAAATTCCTCGGTAACTTGTGGATTGGTCTCTCAAACGAGGTCGTACTGCGCACTGCCTGGCGGTCGCAGTCCGACATTCTAGCGCCAGTAATACTCGTCGTATATGAAGCGAATTACCTCGCAAGCATTATTATAGTCCCGCATGGAAATGCAGAACCGACTCCACTTAGCATGGCGATCAGATACTTCGCGGAATTTATGTGGCTTGTCAGGTTAGGGACGGTGGAGCCTGGAAAGTGCAGCCGAAACCCAAGGATTTGAAGATGCAGGTGCTGTCATCAGATTAGAGTTTCGGACTTCGGAGTAACATCACACCGGCCGACCTCGAGCCCGGGCCTCGGAGGGAGCCGAGGGGTGCGCGGCACGGGACCGAGAAGACGTCAGGGGAAACTGTTGTCGAGAGCCGCAAGGCCGGGTGACGCTGATGACAGCCGCATACGTGGTCTGAAGACGGCACTCAGGTAGCGAAACCAAACCAATACATGCTGTAGTAATCTCCTTCGGTCGGACCCAGGTGTACCGAGGATGCCGGACGATACCTCTGCTGAACCTGCATCAGCCAGCGAGCTGTGAGTTTGTGCGCGCTGTTACGTAGTCGCGCCAGAGCGCCCTGCTGATCAACCATAAGGGCCTGTACCGCATGCCGGAACCGTAAGCTCAAATGTGATCGTGCAAAACCTGCCTGTACTCGGTGCACGAGGATCAAGGGCGATTGTACCTATCCCGAGTCCCGAAGAAAGCCTGCTTTCAAGCGTAGGAACGTGCGAGAACTTGAAGCTCGCCTGGGTAATTACGTCCCCTACACCCGAATCTGCATTGCCTGTGTGCTGAGTTTCGTAGCGCAAGTGGAAGATCTCCTGAAGAAGGCTGATGGCAAAGAGCCCGCCGAGGAGGTAGTTGAAGAAGTGGCTGATTTCGACTTTGCCGACTTTGCCCCTCTTACCGAAGATGTATTATTTCAGGGGATGGACTATACCGTGCCCACGGGCTCGGGTGGTGACCCAATGTTGTCAATGCCCCAAGGCGACTCTTTCAATGCTGCATTCAACTTGGGGCCAACCCCGGGAGAGGCTTTTGGTGGCGAGTTGGTGGGATTAGGCATGTCCGAACCATTGCCCCCCTTTGAGCTCATGGAGGAACTGTGAGTAGTCAGGAGCCTTTCTACCATATTGCAGGACTGAATTCATGGAATACAGCAACAGGATATTTTTCGAGCGGCAACAAATGTTTATGCCCGTCCTGCATCCTGCGCGATATTTGCAGTCTTTCTACTCTGCACCACACATGAAACCTCCCATGTGCCTTCAGTACGGGATATGGGCGATTGCATCCAATGGCAATGAAAAGTACCATCATTTGCATGATGTATTCTATCAGCGTGCAAGACAATACGCCGAAGCTGATGAGATGAAGGTAGTACAAGTATTATTGGTTGGTTAATGCCAGACTAACATTTCTGCAGGGGTACGGGGAACACTTCATTACACTTCAACATGCACAAGCATGGTGTCTTATTACTGTGGACGAGGCCAAGTCAATGTTGTTCACTAGAGCTGCGATGAGTTCTGCAAAAGCCGTGCGGCTTTGCGAGATGTTGGGGCTTCATCGACTAGATATACCACCCGAAGAAATATCACCTACTTTGTTACCGCCTAAAGATTGGTTAGAACTAGAAGAGCGCCGCCGGACCTTCTGGGGTACCTTCTGCATTGACAGCCACTGTGCTATATCTACCGGTTGGCCGCATCTCATCGATAGCTCCGAGGTACAAATTCTTCATTCTTCCTGACCGATGTCCAATAACCAATTACTCCAGGTAACCACTCATCTTCCTGCCCCCGAATCTGCATTTATATCTGGGCAAGCCATCGAAACATGTAGGTTAGATCAAGCGTTCAAAGGGCCTAGGTACTCCTCCTTCGCTGGAGCGATCCTTGTTTGCCATCTTTTCAACCAGATCCTCAAGCATGTCCACCGACCAAAGCCGGATGACAACCCCCAGAACTACGAGTACGGAGACTTTTGGAAGCGCCATCGAGAATTAGACAATACACTGTCTAGTGCTTTTATGTTCCTCCCAGAAGACTATCGGCTACCTGAGAACTACCAGGATCCTACCGCCATAAATCTGAATCTCAATTACCATGCTTCTATCATCTGCCTCCATCTTGCGGCGTTTGAAAAGATGGACCAATACAAGCTTCCCCTCTTCGCCAAAAAGGCAAGCGAGAGTCGACTGATGACAGCAGCACAAGAGATCGTGAATATTGTCAAAATGGCAAGCCATTTAAAATCAAGCTTTGTGAGTCTGGCAATGCTCCACCAAGTGTACAAAAACTAAACAACACAAGCGGAGTCCCATGACCGCCATATCGTTGTATTGTGCAGCGTCGGTATATATATTCCAGAGCCTAGAGACGCAATCGCCCAAGGGGATCGATAACCTTGACTTCGTCATTGCTGCTATGGATGCCATTGGACGTGAGCACATGGTAACCAGAGCTTTCTTGAAGCAAGTCATGTTGGACATCGAACGGAATGACCTTACCCATATTGTTCGATTGCCCAGGCTCGACGACATGCCGCATGTCGTCGCGGTAGCGAACCACAATATTCCTCTACTGGTTCGATCCAAAGTCTCACGGCACTCGAGAATGCAACCACCTCTCCCGGGCCGTCTGCCGCTCGGGAACCCCTCCGGCAATATAAGCCACAACAGGATGCGCAATTGTGGGATCGGATTTGGTCACGGAATCAAAGACAATGAGCTTACATCTAGCGGGGATGACGGAAGCGCGACGAAACGAATGCGGCCCTCGTCTGTAGAGTCGGGACCTGCATCCAATGCCCCAGTCGAGACCGGAGACAGTCCCAGCTGGACACAGAATGAGACGGGTTCTTCGATGTCGACATCGTCAGCTGCCAATGCAGAGTCTCAGCAGCATTCGATTCAGAACCAGGACCAATCCCAGGTACCGGGTCTGCTATGGTCTGGCCGCACCCAAAACTTGCCCCATCGGACAGATTCCCCAGCGGTTTTCTCGGGTACAGCGCCGGCACGGACACCAAGCTCGCATGCAAGTATTGCCACCGGGCCGGGCATGTCGAATGGCACAGCCATCTCCCCCGATGCTCCTGGCGGTGAAGCCGCGTTCGAAGGAAGTCACACTTGGGGCTTGGCCAACGAGTGCTCGTACCGGCAGTCTCTTGATGCTGGCGGAACCGGATCTACGCTCGGGTCAGGACCCTGGAGTACTGGGGGACAGGACGAGAATGTGGACTGGGCGGCAATTGCAGCCGCCTCTGGAGTCAACCTGGCCACTCTGGCTGCTATCGGCAATGCCGGACACGGTAGAGGCAACGCCAGGTAAAGGTTGTATGTAAGATAAGACCAGCATTTCTAATTTTGAGTGTGGAAATGCGAGACATGACAAAATAACATCCAGGGATATCCATATTGACCTTCCGGCTGCGTAGCCCCAGTCTCGGGCGAAGAGAGGCCAAGGAGATACCGCATGTGGCAGGGTGACTGGAAAGATAAAAGAGAGATACAATATTGGGCTTTAAAGATACCACTCTTCTCGTATGAGCTATTCCAAAGAGTTTAGATAAATCAAAGGGAGACAATACTACCCAAGGAGTGCGGCTTTTTGCCAACCTAATCGTAGATTCCAGTACCGAGCAAGATTTGGCCTCACTCTTACTACACTATCAACCCTCAAGCTGCACATTGCGTCTGGGAACCGTCCAATATTTGGTGGAATAGAACTATACCATTTGTTTTACAAAACTACGGGGCGGGACGATTGCCCAGGATTCATATGTGGGTTTCCTAGTAGAAACCATGCTATGCCCATTGCGTAGAGGCTGGCTTGACGCTCACATCCCCAAGTAATATGGAGCTCTCAAGATATTAAAAGCACCATTAACCTCTGAGTCTACGCAGATGATCACATGCAGTCGGCATCGCTGTTTGTTTGACTGGCTTGAGCTCGCTCCTTACAAGGAAATTGTTAATACGCGTCCTCCTATGTTCTGGAACGTGCAGGCTTTGTATATCATTATAGCCTTTTCCATAACTCGCATGCAAAGGTTCAGAAAACATGCTGCATTCTACTCTGCTCAAGTCCACTCGTGATATGATACTAATAGGTGGAATGGGCGAGGGACAGTCGCAAGTGCGCGCGTCGCGTGCCACTTGCACCCACAGACATCGTGGTTGAGCAATATCACTGACTTCTTCTGACTTGGTCGCGGTAACGAGGTGGCTGAGACTGCCAGGGTCTTGCGTTGGCCTGCTCAAACGAGGGAGGTGGAGGAGGTCGAGATCGATCAGGAGCCATGTTTTCCTGGCCCCATCCTGAAGAGCCTCGGGTCTGATGAGCGCTCGGTGCCTGCGCGGCAGCTGAGGTGATGCTATCGATCTTGGCTTGGACATCATCATACTCGAGCCAGGGTGTGCCTTGGGGATTTGTTGATGTAGTTCCTGTTGTAGGAACCGTTGAGAGCGGAGCACCCCAACCGGGAGTGAGAGGAGTGGCTGCTGAGCCAAAAGCGTGGGCTCCAGGACGGGACAAAGCTGAATAAAGTCAGCTCTGTAATATTTTAGTGAATCGGTCGCGGATCGCTCACCTTGGCCAAATGAGCCGTTGCGACTCGCAGTACTCATGGAGACAGCATGTGAAGCTTGGCTGTTTGTGCGGTTCGAGAAGGGCTGATCAGCAATCCCAGTGCCAGTTATATCCATTCTTCCATGATATCGAAGGTCAGGAACGCCGTTGGGACCAACAGGGGCCCATCTCTCGATCTGAACACCCTGATTGTTGGTGAAGATAGTCTGCTGCCCATCGCTCGGGGCTTGTCTCGCTTCTTTCTTGGCCATGACCTGCTCCTTACGGCCCGTCTCCCACTCTTCCTTGCTGCCGTCGAATGCCATGCTGCGCTCAAATGCCCTTTTCTTGGCTCGAGTTACTGAAAGTCAGTTGTCAGTGCTGTTCTCACCGTGCCTGGTATCTTGAAGGGGCATGCCTTGCAAGGTCAAATTTCTTGCAAGTGGATGGGAAGATGTCGATGAATATTCCCCGCGTGGTACTTACGAACATGAGGTGCAGGCTGTCTCTCAATGAAGGCCAAGGCACCCTTCTTTTCCGTCTTGATGTGATGAAGCAGCGCCTTAACGTCTGCAACGGGGATATCGCGGTCATAGGCACTACGGCTTAAGCCTCCGCCTTCGCCGTTGAGCGTTTCGTTAAGCTTGGTCGTGAAATCGAGAGGACTGAGGCGAAGGTGATCGCGTTTGCAGATCAGGGCCAGCACGGCGTTCAGCTCAAAGTGTGTCCATTGATGTCCTCTGCGGTAGTCGCCGCCATAATCCTGGGGTGCGGGCATTGTTGCTGTTGTGGGAAGGAAATATTGCTTGCGGTGACTTATTCTTCCGCGGAAAGCCTGTGGGCAAAAGTTGACCAACGATGATGTGTCTTGGGTTCTGCAGGACGTAGTCGATGGTGGGGTGTTGGATAGAAGGCGTTGATCTATGTTGGCATTGCATCAGAGCGGGTCGTTGTACTTGGATGTGCCATCAGGTCATCTAGAAGGAGTCGAGATTGTAGAGACATCTATTTCTCGAATTCACTCGTCGTGCCTAGCGTAACAAAAATTACAGGCCGCGGTGAATGTTGGTGACATGCAATGAGAGGTGGGAACTGCGTCAATATTACAGCTGGGAAACATTATTGGATTCACGCTCACCCAGTCCTACCAGGTAGCGGGGACAACGAAGGGCAACTATGGTCTCTAGATGGAGGACGTGACCAAACGGCCGAGACCAACAAATCATCGCTCCAAGATTCCCGTCGGGGAGAAGGAAGGAGCTGATCATGGACGTGGCTCCCTCTTTTGGTTCTGACCAAGCACCAGCGAAGCAGCGACGGATTTGAGAGCGCCGGGACTACAATGTAATTTACAGGAAATAGAAACCGAATAGTACTCATTGTATTCATTCAATTAGTCGAGGAGTGTCGTGGCTTCGCTAAGAGTCGGGTTGAGTTTCTTGAGACTGAGTTTTGAAGACTCATCCGGAATTCTCTCAGCGTCATGGAGTTTAACAAGCTTGATTATGTGACCTCTCTTGGCCATTGCCTCCGGACATTCCTCGCAAAGGATTCCTTCTCTGTTTTCGGTATGGTCAGGACCCATTGCCTTGGCCAAACAGTCGTGACAGCGGCCACACTCATGACAATAGAAGTCGGTCCTTGTGCGATAGGCGAGATTCTGGACTCGTTTCCCGCAGTTAGCACAATCGCAAATGCAGCGACTGCAAAACAACGGCCCGTCGTCTAGCATGAGAAAACGTTCATCATTTTGATGTATGTGGTTCTGACATCGGCTGCAGTTGAAACATTTATCATGCCATTGAGCATCATCTGCACCCATTAGAATAGAGACAGTCTTCTGGGTGGCAGGGTTGCTTACATGCGAGAAGCATAGTCACCATACGCCCGCTCGAGATCGGCTAGATGATCAACGTCAGCAGCTGTAGACTGGACCAATTCGATGCGCATTGCTTCCCTTATGACACTCTCTGCAGACCTTGGTCTCTGCTTCTGCTGGGGTGGAATCCCGCGAATCGCGAGTAGCACTCGATAAAAACTCTGTGGAGGACTGGACGGTTGAAGTATCTCCTGGATCTTCGTAGAACTTGCGATGTACGAGGTTATTGGTAGAGATTGGCATCGCTATCACGGATAAGATCGAAATATTGGCGAGAGAATATCCAGAGAATATTGACCAGGCATGCGATCGTTGCGCTGTACTGATGAACGAAGCGTCGCATTCATTGAGTTCGTTCCTGCGATACACCCAGGTGCTCTCCAGAGTGGGTTCAAAGGTGAATCGAAATGTGCTCTGCCCAGATAGCAGTATCACCCGCTCAGGAGCGATGCTGGGTGTTCTGATGCTCGTATACTTGGAACTGGGTTCTTCACCATTTGGCCATCTGAAAGTGCTCTGCGCATCAAAAGAATCTTGTAGTTGGCTCATCTTCGACCTCAGCGATCTATTCTCGTAGAGAATGCTCTGGACCATTGCTTGAAGTTCCCCTTGAGATCGGGATGCTTCCCGGTCGGATTCACTGTTCAGACGTCAGCGCCAAGTTGATTCGGAATCTGATTGCCTAGATAAGTACCATTGGAGGATGTTTAGCATTAAGCTCAAGGACGATTTGTGTCGCTGTATCTTGCTGATGCGTTCTTCGATCTGCTTAGAATATCGAAACCAGATTATTCGAACCATAACAGTCGCGGAGCGAGCAAGCTGCTGCAGCAGGCCATAAAACTCATCAAACACGATCATCGCATCTGAAAGAGTGGCAATCAAGTCGTCGAGCCGAATGAAACCAGCTCGTCGCTGGTATACCGGATCCATTGACGTCAAATACTCTTGAATTCCCCGAAGTGCGATCTCGATGTGCTTCACCTCAGTCTCAGCCTCTTGAACAGCCGTTGGTGCGTTTTTAACTGAGGATATATAGCCAAGGAGCTTGATGACTTGCGCTGCCGCGCCAAGCAAGCCGGCAATCGACGCCGACAGACTCAGAGGGTCCATTCCTGGCAAACGTGAGTGGAAGAGATGGGTTGCGATCTCAAGTCATTCAGGCTGCCTGCCATTGCTTGATATGTGTGCTGATGATCTGCTGCATCAGGAGGGGCTCAGCCGTCCGGTGGTGGCTGTTCTGGCCCAATCGACAACTTTGCTGTAGGAAGGCGGCAAGGCAGAATGCGCATCGGGTTGTCTGACACGCGCCACCTTTACCAACTCGGAATGGCTCTGTGGCTTCAGGTGCAATCCATCAATTTCGACCCCAACTTTGGTGTAGACCTACAAGCAGAAAGGGGCCCGCCTTCAACCTTTGCAGCCCAATTTCCTGCATGATACAGATAGGTTCATATCATCCGTGTGGTCCTATTTGACAGATGTTGTATCAGCTGACTCGTTTCGAGGTAACCGGCCTGAGTATATTGTAGAAATAGAAGTCGGAAATAAAGCACGCTCGGACACCCGTAGGATAATGGTATTACTGCGTTATTCGCTTGATTTAGGTTGCGATGGCCTCACAAGATTCTTGATATGCCTCGGTATCTGTGAGGAACTAGTGAACCGGACATAGCGCTGACTTACTGACAAGGTATTAGTTCTTGATATTCCGTAGAGAGGTATATTGAAATTGGAACGGGCTGTGCAAGTCTATGTGCTATTGCGTTCCGTACGTCCGGCCGTGCGTGGGTCACACCACGGTGGACGACGAGACGGAAAGGTGGGTACAAGTAGCCGACACACGGAAGCTGAAGCCGGGGAAACCCTCACACAAGGACCGACAAGCCTCACAGCATTGCCGGAGCTGTCAAACGCAACTTTTCCAAGGTTGAACCATCCATTACCTGCTCAACTCCACTTCCGCCCATCTCCAAGTCAATCTCTGGATGGGTTAGCTGGAGGGATCAAGCAGATTCGCTGTAGTATTGCTCCAGAATAACGTCGCTCGAGCGCCTGGGTAAGGCGCTGGTGGTAGTCGCGGCCCAGAGTACATTAGTCTTAGGACCTGTATATCAGAGAACCATTTTGCTAACTGAAATATAGATGACCCGGGTGTACTCTCTTTCTGAAGAGCGTAATGAGTGGCCAATGAATAGAAACAGTTCAGCCTGTGAGGGGCTCAGCTCATAGCGGGGGTTGTGATCAGACACGGGCACTGTCGGCCCAGCCTCCCGCCTGATCTGGGGTTTGCCTTGTCACGTTCTGTGCAGCAGCTCCCTTTTCATCTGGGATAGAACCCTCATTCACAGTACGTTCGTCAGTAGTCTCGATGTCCACGGAATGGGCTCAATGTCTCCAGTGGAACTGGCGCCGCTCCAATTTGGAGGTGTGTCGCTGAGGCCGATTCAAGGAGATCCAGGGGCGAAAGGTTGCCTCCTCCACCCACTCTGTCTCCACGTCCAAAACAGCAGCCAATGTCGAAGAGCCGGGGGCACTTTAATAGACCAATGTACACAAGTCTAGTTGTGCACGACTATTTACATCCCATGCGCTGGATGCGGTCACTGTACGGAGTTTGGCCAGTTACTAGCTTATTCTCGAGAGCGGACGGCGTGTTGACGTCTTTGGTGCCTCTGGGCGTTTGTGTGGAAGGTATGCTATGAAATACTATAATTGTAGGGGGAAATCTTGGAGCGGCTTCGCACACAGTATCGTAGTCTAATGAAGCATAGAATGCCAAGAATTATGCTGGCAAGTAACAGTAGATGAAGAGATGAGAATAGGTCACCCGAACTTCGAAGCATCTACAAGTGATCATCCAGCATACCGAAGGGTGTATTCTTGTCACTTCGTGGTAGATACAGGAGGAACAGGTCCTCCCCAGTACTTCATTTTTTTGTAATATTCGGACTTGTATTCACACGGGGTTGTATCCGCTCCGAGTACGCTCTCTCAACTCCATCTAAGTGCACACTGCTAATGCTGCATCAGTGCTGCCTGACTAGTTTCCCAGGTAGCACTCGAGGAAACTGGCCATCCCAACATCAGTTGTCCTTCATCTGTCCTAGGCGGAGATTATCCTGGTATAATGTGTCGTCGTGAGTCTATGTGTTTGGTGCCGTCAACGCCGCCCGATGCCATTCAATGCACGTTTGTTTTCCTCCACCCCCGCGAAAAGTCTAGTCTGCCAGTGTCTATCAAGCCGCCGGTTTAGTATATACCTTGGGTTCGGTATTGGAAGGTATCGTAACTAGGCTGGGGTTAGCGACCGCATAAAGCGAGTTGTCGGACACGATAGGGGACCTGGGGGACTCACAGTCGTGTGTAATAGCTGCCCAACGACTTGGCAATCAAGTCTGTTTCCACAAAGCTCTCGGCCTCGTCAGCGCTCAGATGCAGCTGGAATCTTTGCCTTAAGGTATTTGTGGCTTGCAAAACGCCGACTGCAAAGCAAGGCATGTTGGAATCTCGACCCATCATACTGACAAGGTCAATGATGTTATCGGCTGAACGGCGCAGGGCTATGACCAAATTGTGAGCAAAGTGAATTCGTGTTTTGCGGGGCGCTTATCTGCCGCTCACCTTGGAATGCCTGCTTGCACAGCTTTTTGAAGTCATCATAGTCTGGCGACCCAACTCCACCAAGAACCTCGAGATACTCGTACGTGAATTTGAACGGGGCGGCCTCGAAACCAACCGAGCCAGGCGAGTTTGACAGCATAAAGCCAAAATCGATGTGAATAATGTGTCCTTCATTGTCGATGAGAACATTCCCGTTGTGGCGATCCTTCAACTGGAGAACGTAAGAAATCATGCTGTAGGCCGCAAGCGAGCGCTTGAATGCGTCCACGGCAGCCTTGTATGGTTCGCTGTCTGTTGCACCAAAGGTCTTGACGAAGTGGTCTTTCAGGGTTGCGATTCGCCGTCTCGGATTTTGTCCCGATTCGATCAAGGCAAGCGTCAGACTCCTCTTCAGAGAGTGAAGCGACACGCCATTGGTAATGGTCTCGATGAGACCGGAAGACTCTCCAGTGACCAGGATGCGCATAAGCTTGACCCAGACGGGCACACCAGCGTCGGTCCAAATCTTGTCGCAGACTTGGATTAGTTGACATGCAAACGCTTCTTGCCGCAGGTCTGCTCCCGTCTTGATGATGACACTGACGAGATCCCAGTTCTTCATCCATCCATAAGGCGACGATTTCCGGATGCGTTCCTTCTTCTGTTGCCATGCCTCACCAAAGACCGCCGCGCTTGGATCATCACGATCTCCTTTTCGCTGAACACCTCCTGTCATGGCATCATTCTCCATTCTAGCCTGACCAGCGCTTTCATTCATCGCAGGCTCCAACTCATGATCAACATCAGGGTTCGCGGCAGCTTCCGAGGCAGCGTTCGCAGCGCTTGCTTTCGCTATGATCATGTCGAATGTCGGCCCTTGACTATCATTGACCTCAAAGTTCTGCTCCTCAAGATTTTGCATGCTCGCGATGATCTTGGCTCTAATGGCGGCAACCTCCTGGCGTGGTCGCTTCCCACTAGTCGCCTCGAGTTGCGCGAGCATCTGCGAAGCCGTTCTCATGTGCGTAGCCAAAGCTGAAAAGTCAGGTTGCTCAACAGAATTGTTGCGCGGATTTGTAATGGTCATCTTCCGGAGACCGCCAGGACTACTTGATCTCGACGTCGACGTTGCTGAGGTCCGGGGCGTCGTCAAGTCGGACAGACTGGAAAGGGTGGTTGTATCGCTAGGCAAACGCGTCGGCCGCGATGGCACCTTTCCACTCTTCTTATTAGCAGCCTCATCGTCCACGGGTTTCAACATTGGCGAGCTTCCCAAGTCACCTGAAGAAGGCTCGAAAACACTATCGACCTTCTCGTCCAGTGAGACGGGCTCCACTATGCGCTCACTGGTAGATATCCGGGGGGCGTCTGTAAGATCGAACAATCGTTTGCGGCTTCCCTGCTCAGCGAGTAACGTTGCAAGCAACCTCTGATTATCTGCGGAGTTAGGATCGAAAGTGAAATCATCACGGAGGATCTCAACCATGAGGAGATATGGCACCTTTTCGGCACTGTTAAGAACCGTAGACTCGGCCGGGTTCACTCTCACTATCCTGTGATGCCGGCTCTTGGAGGGGGAGCCGTCTACCAAAGTTGGCGGACAGATGATGGGGATATCTACTTCGGCCGGCAGATCCCTGGTGATAAGTGCCAGCTCCGCACGTAGAGCACTAAGACGGGCTTGCTTTGGCACGATTACCAATCGATTCGAGATGTCTTCCAGTGCCGTCAAAAAAGCCGTCTGACAGCGGAAGTAGTTCTGTCGCAACAACTTGGCCTTCTGAGCCGTGGTCATCTCAGCCTGGCTTAGTAGCGTTTTGACATGGTGAGAATGTCTTCGCGACAGACTATCGTTTGGGCGAGGTAGGCCAGCAGAAACAGGGGTTGCCGGGCGGGTGACAGTCTTGGGGGATCGAACATCCGGCAAGGGCAGGGATGAAGAGCTTAGGCGGGCATCGAGCATCTTGCTGTCGATATATGCTGGTTTACGCGGCTTCTCAGGGGTATCCTTCGATTTCGAACTCGAAGACTGGGGGCGAGAGACTGCGACGTGCGGCGGTTTTGGTGATTGCGGCAGTTCCTTGATGGATTGGTTTTCTTGCGAGCCCGTCGTCGGCGCGCTGATGACTCGGTTCGGATCGCGACGTCTCGATCTCGTCGTCTGCGCGGTCATGGTCTGGCTCCTGGTGATCTTGGCGGCCTGGGAGGTTTCGGAAATGACATCGCCGTCCGAGTTCTCTCGTCTCGCTTGCGCGACAGCAAGAGGGCCAGCCCATTGCGGCAGGAGCGGGACACCAATGCCCGCGAGCACGAAGCTCGCCAGGACCGTGACAGGGAGCACATTGTCCTTGATCTTTTCGTGCCTCGCCGAGTCCGAGAGGCCAAAGACGATGTGCTGCACCTTGTTGTAGACTCTCCTACATGTCTTGAACGCTTGTGCCTGCGGCGTCGCAGCGAGATCGTGCAAGTAGGTCTGGAACAGCCAGAAGGTCTGTGTATTATTCAGCACATGAGGCCATAATGCTCACGACCAACGGGGGGGCCACGAACCAGTAGGGCCGCCGTGACGGATTCCTCGCACAGGTCCAGAAGGAACTCCTCCAGAGCCATGGACTCATTGTCGATGCTGATTATAAGGTGGCATAGCTGCGGCAGGAAGAACTCGATGTCCTCGTAGGGGAACTGGCGGAGCTTGGAGCAGAGCACATAGTGGATGCCGACGTGGTCCGCATATCGCCTGGGAGGGAGGGAGGCATCTGGGTTAGAACGGCGCAGGCATGATCAGACAAGGCGGTGGGAGCAGCTCACGAGAGATACGAGACCGAGAGGAAGGGGTTCTGGTTGAAGACGTCACTCTCGAGGAAGCGCTGCAGCAGGTCCCACGACATAGCGAATTGTCGTCACAGGTCGGAGGGGAGGGGAAAGCGTGTCATGTCACGAGGCGGAGGGCCTCATCGGATCTCGACGTGCAGAGTTGGCTCAGGCAACGGCTGGACCATGGCTGTCGGGCACAGCTCAGCTCTGGTGTCGTTCGAATCCGGCGGCTGGATTAAGGAGAATCGGGGCCCCTCCGGCGAAATTGTCGTGTTGTCTGTTTGCGATGGCCCCCCGGGACGAATTGACCACTCACTCGAGCAAATGTGCCTTTGGTCCCCTTCTGGCAGCCCGGGACTCGGCGTAGCGGGAGTGGGGCTCTCCTGGTCTCTCCATTTACGCACTAGGTACGCCTGCCACGGGGTGCCTGGGTTACCTGTAGCCACTTCTGCCACCGTAGCTTCAGCGAGTAACCAACGGCCAAAGGGCGGCGCCCCCTGGCAGTCCTGGTTGCGTCCTTTTATTAGCGAGCGCAATCAGCCCTGGAGCCCAGGAGGGACTAATTGCGACCGGCCATGGAATCGAGTTCCATCCTGTTGCAGGCAGGCACCTTGACATTGCGAGATAAGATACCTCCATTGGTCTGTCCTGCTACAGGACCTCTTCGACTACCGTCGGTGTTCTTTGCGCGCGCCCACTGCTGGTTGATGGCGGATGACAGCTAGGGGACCCCCTGAACCTGTCTCTAGCTAGGGTTGCAGCGGGGTTAAGCTCCCCAGATACTTTTTAACCAGCTGGACTCAAGTCAGCTCTTACCGAACCGACCGAGACATCTCTAGCAAATGCTGGACGAGCTCGAATTAGGGCGACCCGCTTCGCACTCGTCCTTCCGTCACAGGTATAGTGCTGGTAAGTAGCCGGCGTGCTCTCACCTGTTGTCGATATCTAGGTACGCAAATCCCAGGGGCGCCTCTCGATACGGGCTCCGTTCTTTTTGATAGATCTTCAGTAGCCCTTCCGTTCAGAGTTCCTGGTCACCCAATTTTTATCCTGTCGACGAGTCTGCCTGACCTGAAACAAATCCACATGGAAGAACTGCCATGGCCAACGTCGGGTGTATCATCATAGTGTAGACCCAGAATTGGTAAATATAATCGACAGTACTATACCGCTGCCAAACTGCAGACACGTATGCATGCGGTACGCAACGGCTCCCACAACGTAATCCGTCGAAAATTGTCAACTCGGCTTAGCCGGTCGTATTCGTTCATGTTCCATAGACACTGATCAGGTGCTCTCGTCTCACTGGAATCTCTAACATGGAAATCCCGTAAATTATCTGCTGAATATGGCATGTCCCGCAAGCGATAGAACGTTGCCACAAAAAAAAAAAAAAAAAAAACACAAAACACATTTGCGCTGAGACTGAGCCCGAACCCCTGGATCAATGCCTCCAAAAAAACAAAACCAAGCAAAAACAAAGCGCGGGCGAATATGGCCCGGCATACAGCACATGATAACTTTGACCAACCAACCCTTCTACCTCGGACTGCCTGCCCGAAAGTCCTCAATCAGCACGCGCAGCCCTCCTTGGCAGCCTCCCTCGGCCCGTTGAGATTCACCCGCTGCTCATCGCCACCCCGGCTTACAGCGTTCGCGGCGCCCGGGCCTCTCGTGCTCTTCAACGACGTCTCTGGGATTGCGTTTGCGATGGCCGTGAAGACCTCGGAGACGTTGTGGCCCGTCTTTGCACTTGTCTCGAAGAACAGCAGGCTCTCCTCCTCGGCGTATGCCTGGGCCTCCTCGGTCGATATCTTCCTAGCATCGCCGGACTCGTCGCCGTCTGCCGCCTCGCTGTCTGCGTCGCCGGACTCGTTGGTCAGATCCAACTTGTTGCCCACGAGGGCGATGACGATGCCGGGCGAGGCTTGGCGCTGCAGCTCGGCAACCCAGTGCTTTGCCTTGACGAGGGACGTGGGCTTGGTCAGGTCGTAGACGACGAGGGCGGCTTGGGCGTTGCGGTAGTACATGGGAGCTAACGAGGCGAAGCGCTCCTGGCCGGCGGTATCCCAGATCTCGAACTTGATGGTCCGCGTGGGCAGGTTGCACTTCTGGGTCAGGAAGGCGGCTGCGGTGGCATGCCAGGTTAGCGTCCTGTGAGGTTGATGTCGGGGATGGGGATGGGGATGGCAAGGGCATGTGTGTATCTGGTTTCGGGGAATGACTCGCCTCCGATCGTGGGCTCCTTGTTCTCCTGGAAGTCATTGTTGACGAACCGCAGTACGAGGGAGGACTGCGACGGAGTGTTAGCGGTGCGTGTCCGTCAGTATGTGTCGGTGGCCATGCATGAGCCAACGGACCTTTCCAACCGCTGCCTCTCCCAGCAGCACTAGCTTGACGCTGCTGCTCGGTTTCGGAGCTTCGGCCATGGTGTGGTCGTTGTGTGCCTGCAGCTGTGGGTGTGAAGATGTCGGTGCTGCTGGTTTCTCGTTGTCGGGGGATTGCTGTCGCGGATCAAGGATGGAGGTTGGATGAGGTTCTGCTCCGGCGTGATAGGTGGGACAGGCAGAGAGATTCGCTTCCATGTATGTAGCATGACGACGTCCCGGGTCGACCTGTCTGCTGGGTGCTTAGGCCCTGCCGGCGGCTGCTGGGGGGGGGGGCAAGCGCCATCCTTGGGCCATGGGCCATGGGGACGCCCGCGACAGCCCGCATTAAGCCCGTAACGGACTAGTGCGGGCCCCCGTGGACGCTCTGGGAATTTGGAACTGGCCGTCCAGCATCACGGAACATCTTGTCACCGACGCTGCCACCGACGCTGTCACCGCCTAAATTCTCGCTACCCTTTTTCACGCGTTAGTGAGCTAAAGCGCCCCGCCAGCCCGTGGCAGAAAAAAAAGTTCCAGAGCTTGGGAAATCCGCTGCCAGCCAAATTTGCGGTCGTCGAACGGCCAGTCAGTGTCTGCAGCTCTGCGAACAAGATCCCACGTTTGGAACCCCGACACGGACAGACAGCGGGCCGATACGTCCTTCGCAGTGTTGGATTTTTGCTGCCGCTGACTTGTAGACATTTCAAGTTAAGCTCGAACTACACCCGACCCGAGTACGGGCACCCGGAGAATCCCTCTACATTTTCTTACACCTCTTCCACCATGGCGCCCAACGCCAAGAGCCAAAAGGCCTTGTTCGACGACAGCGAAGACGAGTCCGATGGCGGCGCACAGCTCAAGGTCAACGACGAGTACGCCCAGCGATTTGAGTACAACAAGAAGCGCGAAGAGCGCCACAGACTAGAAGAAAAGTACAAGGGCCAGGCCAACGGCAGGGCCGGGGAGGAGGACGACGATGACGATTCCTCGGATGACGAGACCGAGGACGAGGATGGCTATCTCGCCACCGAAGAGCTCGATGCTGAGCTGAACGCCACCCTCGAGGCCATCCGTAACAAGGACCCCCGCATATACGACGGCAAGACCAGCTTCTACACTCCTGCTGAGGCCGCAGCCGCCGCAGCCGCCGCCGCCGCCGCCCAGCCCCAACCCAAGAAGGAGAAGCCTGTGTACCTGCAAGACTATCACCGCGAGAGGATTCTGGCCGGTGACATCGGCTCAGATGACGACGAGGATAAGCCCCGGACCTATGCGCAAGAACAAGGCGACCTCCAGAAGTCTATCGTCGATGAGATCCAGGCACAGATCAAGAATGAGGGAGCAGCCGGAGAAAAGGACGACGATGGCGACGACAACTTCATCAAACCCAAGAAGGGAGAGGCAGCACGCGTCAAGGCCGAGCTCCACGACGGCATGCATCCCTCCCGGGCCGCCAACGTGAAGAAGTCCAAGTCCAGGCCCGCGGTGAAGCTCGACGTCGCGAACGCCGACAAGGATCCTCAGCTTTACTTGTCCAATTTCTTGGCTGCTCGTGCCTGGGTCGAGCCCACGCAAAACAAGTGGCAAGCATTCGAGTCGGATGACGAGGAAGAACCCGACAAGGCCGACGAATGGGAGGTTGCATATAACCTGCGCTTCGAGGATCCCAGCAAGAGCAACGAGGTTCTGAAGTCTTATGCAAGAGACGTGGCCGCTGCCAAGTCAGTCCGTCGCGACGAGAAGACGGCCCGACAGAAGAAGCGAGACGCCGAGCGTGAGAGCAAGGAGGCTGAGAAGCAGGAACGTCGGGAGGAGCGCGCCCGCCTGCGCAAGCTCAAGATCGAGGAGGCTGAGACCAGGCTCAAGCAGATCAAGAAGGCCGCTGGCCTTTCCGGCAAGGACCTGAAGGACGAGGACTGGGTGCGCTTCCTTGATGATGCATGGGATGATAACAAATGGGAGGAGGAGATGAACAAGAGATTCGGCGAGCAATACTATGCAGAAGGAGAAGGTCCTTCTGACGACGACGATGATGAAGCTGGCGGCAAAAAGCGCAAGATCAAGAAGCCGAAGTGGGATGATGATATCGATATCAAGGATCTAATCCCTGATTTCGAGGACGAAGAACAACCGAAGGTCACCCTTTCAGACGTGGAAGAGGGCACTGAAGAAGGGGGAGAGGAGGAGGACGACGACGACGAAGACGGCCCATCCCGCAAACGCCAGAAGACCTCCAAGGATCGCAAGAAGGAGCGTTTGGCAAGCCAAAAGGAGGCTCGACAGGAGCGTTCCAAGATCGAAGCGCTCGTCGACGCCAAGATGGACCTGGATGACCCGGACGTTCTCGCCGGCTCTTCCAAGGCCAAGGACCAGTCCAAGTTCGCATACCGCGAGACGTGGCCGGCATCGTATGGTCTAACGGCCACGGATATTCTGATGGCCCCATCTGATGCCGCCCTCAACGAGTTCGTCGGCCTAAAGAAACTGGCCCATTTCCGACCTGATGACAAGAGAGCCAAGGACAAGAAGAGGCTAGGCAAGAAGGCCCGTTTACGGCAGTGGCGTAAGGACAACTTCGGTGCCGAGGCCGAGAGGGAGGGCCCGGCGTTCGCGTTTGGAGGCGATGCGCCTACGGGGGGCAAAGATCAGGCTGAGGCTGAGAACGATGTCATCGAGGGCAAGTCGAAGAAGCGCAAGAAGCGGTCTGGGCGAGGCAAGAACAAGGAGGATGCTTGAGTCTAGATACCTTGATAGAGATCATTTCAGGCGTTGAGGGGTCAATACCAAACAAGGGTTAACTTGCGTTCTGACCTTTCTCTTACTCGCATTAGTTATGGCTGAACTGAACCAGAGTGTGCAAGTGTCCTGGCATCTGATAGGAAGTCAAAACGGAGAAACATCTCGACGAATCTATACTTGAATGTGGTCTACGTCTTCCCGCGTCCAGCCTTTGCTCCTTCTATTTAAGACTTTGGTCCATTCGTCGTGTAAAAACAAAGGCATACATTCTGTACTGGCTGACTAACAGCATCTTCTGCTATATACAAGACCAATGGAAGACATACCGCAAGCTTCAGGCCCGTTTACGGCGGGCTTTACCTGCCGGAGTACTCTTCGTCTAGTGCTGGAGTCTACGATATCTGTTGGCTGATCGTCACCTTTCATTTATCAGAGAAGCGTTAGGCTTCGATAGTGGTATCCGTTACCATCAAGCTGCGCGAAGCCAGTGTCGTGTCGGTTGTCACGGCCGGAACCCTCATGGATGAACCAACAGACCGTGGCTGCACATCTCGCAATAGTCAGTCGTTCGAGCACTGGCGAAATACGAATGGCCGTGTGGCAGAAGACAAAAGGTGTGTACGAACATCAACTTAGTCCTCGTAATTTTATTAGGGGGGAGAAAAGTGCGGTGCCACGTGGGATTGTCTATTCGTGGTGGCAAAGCTTATTTCTTACAGGTAGTGCCGGGTGTAGTCACGATCGGCAATGGGCTTGCTAGAATCCCAACCAAAGAAACTAGACGAGGACAGGGCTAGGCTGCTATATTACACAGCTTCTAGACTTGCTCGATCTGTCGTAGGTTGGCCCGGGTGCTGGAGCCATGAAGCTTCTCATCGTGGACGCACAATGGCGGCATGCTGTGACCGAAAGGTACCAGATGCCTACCCCGCAAGTTTGTCAGATATTCCATGGCTAACTACTATATCACTAACAGCAGTGTCAGTCGAGCTGGCTCATTGAGCTAAAACTGATCTGCAGAACTGGTAGTCATCCGTAGCTAGGGCTTCACCCTTTTGGGCAGAGCGATTAACTGCAGTAGCCTGCCAAAGGGAACGTGCAGAGAGGTCTCATCTTACGCGCGAGCCCGTGAGATCTACATCCGATATTTTCTCCAGGAAAGTGTCCAGAAGGACTTTCTCGACGTGATTTCATGATAGCGCGCCATCTAACTTATTAATGATGGACGATTCGTGCAAGGATATTCCCCGCATGCGGGTCGAAATCGAATCTCCACCTCGTGAGATCTCATTGTAACCCACTATCGCGATCTCTGCGGCTCTGCTCGACAACGAAGGCTCTGTTGTTACACATTACCAAAAAGGCGTGCTGGACAGACTGGCACTTGAAGAAACTGCAGATCCAACTTTTCAGGTGGTACTGGGTGTCCAAGCACCAAGAGGGCCATTAGTTCAGAATTTGCTAGATCCGGCAGTTCTCAAGCTGCAGCTAATGTCAACGCCAAGCTTTACTAAGTTGGCTTTTCCAAGTGCGGAATAATTCTTACCGTAGAGACGTTACTTGAACAAGCCATCATCTGCCCTATCTCGAGTTGCAGTCGCAGATCATCAGCAAAACACTTATTTCCCCAGGGTGGAATCATTTTGCCGATCTACCTGATCAGACCACAGGGATCTCTCGGCGAAATCGAGCTAGACGTGGGCAGGTATTCGTCGTCGTGACTCCGCGTCAGCAGCATTAGTTACCGCACAGGCATGATTGCATCCGAATCTAGTACCACCATCCGGGCGGCCCTTGCAGGCGAGGCTGATGTGATCCCGGCACCGTACCCTGTTCTAGATATACTGCGCGGATAGTTCGTCCCGTTTAGTGTCGCCCTGCATGCGAGCCTAGGTGTACTGTAGGTGGGGTATAGGATGCATGTTCACTCATCACAGTTTGACAGTGACAGGGTTCGCCTGGATGCTACGATTGGTTAGGTACAGTGCTCGTGTATCTTGTCGGCCGTATCTCTCGGTGCCATTCCCTACGAGTTCAACCTCTCTTCCAAGAGCATTCGCGTGAAGCAGTCGAATTGGATGAATGTGAATTCCATACCGCCGGGCTGGCGAATATCATGGGAGATATACAGGCCCAGTTTTTACACCTTTGAATAACGACCATAGCGTCTCCTATCCGCCTTGATCGCCTCTGAATACTCTTGCATCCGTGGCCCAGTCCGGATCCTGGGAATCCCGTACCACGTTCAGCGATTCAGCAGATTGGGAATCAAAGATGATTCTCTTTGGGGCAAGGGCATGACAATCTGGCGTCTAACCTGGTTAGCAGGCATGAAGGGTAGCCAGGGTAGTATCCATCACACGCAGATTCGCACGTACGATGTAGTAGACGACTATCCGATGGGTTCCCCACAAGCCGACCTTGCCTCGAACACGACCCAGAGGCTACTTCGACTTAAAGCCACCCCACTCCCAAATGCAAGGGGGTGCTACTCTGATGGAAACAAACCCGTCTATTCGGGTTCTCTTATAAGCGTCAACCGGGCCCCCTGTCACTGCCGGAGGAACTGCTGTCCCGTGCTTTCGCTCTCCAAACACTTCTGTGGTGTGTATGAACTTTTGATGCTGGTACAAGTTATGACAGTGCATACGGGCTCCGTCACGAATTGGAGATGAGATGAAGGTTCTCACGTTGGTATCATTGTTATTGCTTCGTGCTGTGGTTGCATCAGCTACCACGACCTTAGGTAACCTGACGGTGCCCGCCTGTGGAGTAAGTTGATCAAACTTTTGCGATACATGTTCGTATGGTACAGATGTAAACGAAGCGGGATAGCTGCTGACACAACTGATAAACAGTCAACCTGTATATACGGCGAAGCCGCTCAATCAGCTTGCTCGATCAGCAATATAACATGTATCTGCACCAACAGTACGCTCAAAGCCAAGATCCAGACTTGCATCTTGTCAAACTGCTCGATCCGGGAAGCCCTACGTAAGAAACACCGTCGAATCGATTGTCTACACGCATAAGTCTGGGGTTACTGACTTTGGTTCTTCTTCGCAAAAGAGGCCGAGAAGTATTCCTATAATACATGCGGTATCACAGGCGAGGACAGAACGGGACTGGTATGGCATCTCGGTCTAGCATTTATGATCATAGGCCTAGTGGCATTCTTCATAAGATGTCTGGAAAGACTACGCGCGCGCACATGGGGCATGGACGATTCTGTTATCTCGGTAGTGGCGGCCATTCTGATACCTATGGGTGCCTTAACGATACCTCTTTCCAACTACGGCCTCGGGTTGGATATGTGGAACGTGTCGTCGGATGACATCAATTCCATCCTCTACGTATGTATTCCCGTCACCAATGTACGATGAGCTTGCCTGCTGACGATGTCGGAAAGCACTTCTATTGGGAGGAGATACTCTACGCCGTGGCGCTTGGGCTCAACAAGATCTCTATATTATTCTTCTACCTACGTGTGTTCCCGCAGACGAGCTTCCGTGTCGCCGTCTACATTCTTCTAGGACTGAACGCAGGCTACGCAATTGCCTACAGTCTGGCTGTGGTTTTCCAGTGTTCACCCATTGAAGGGGCCTGGCGTGCGTGGGATGGCGAGTACACGGCCGAGTGCGTCAACATCAACTACCTTGGATGGTCTGGTGCTGCGGTGAATATCGCATTGGACATTGCAACTTTGATACTTCCCATGTATCTCCTGGTCGGTCTGACCATGTCCATAAAGAAGAAGATTCAGATCATTGCCATGTTCATGGTCGGGTTCTTGTAGGTTGTACCTTGCAAAGGGCTTCAACTTCGCTTCTAACAGATTTCTCAGTGTTACTTTGGTCAGCATACTTCGCCTCAGATCCTTGATCGAGTTTGGTTCAACCAAGAACGTAACCCGTAAGTTTTATTACCATAAGCCGAAACAACAGAGGACAGCTTCACGGGGCGCCGGACAAGAAGGAACAAATTTGACTTCACTCGGAGTGATACTGATGCCGTTCCTAGAGGATTACGTTGAGGTGGGCTATTGGTCGACGATCGAAATCTCTATCGGCATCGTATGTGCATGTATGCCTGCAATAAGAGCCCTTCTATCCAAGGTCTTTCCACTTGTCTTCGGTTCACAAAACCGGACAACTCGCGGTCCACAAACGTATCCATACACAAGCGCTAAATCCGGTATAAGTCACCGTCTATTCAACTCTAAATCGTCTGCAGCTATTGGGCCAAATGAAAAGGGAGAAGCGGGAGGTATGGAGTTCTTTGGGGTGAAACGAAAACCAAAGTTCAGCAAGTACGGCACAAGCAACGAGATAACGGTCCAAAACGAGTGGACTGTCGCAGGGCACACTGCCAATCGCAGCGACGTCGAGCTTGTCGCCTTGGAGAAGAAGCTCCCATTTCGTGGCGGCGACACCGGATATGTCGGCGACCGTCTCCCAGACCAATGGAGTGGAGAGAATGACCGAGCGATGGTGTTGCCAATTCAGGGGCATCTAGGCGGATCATTGTGACAGAACTACTCAGAAAAAGAAACAGCAAATTATATACGACACTTAGCTAGATGCTCAATGATGCTCGTCAAGTTGAAGAAATAATAGACCCATGGTCAAATGGAGCTGAAAATAAAGACTCGATGCTAGTATGCTTTCGAGGGTGATGTAATCAACGGTTCAGACCACTTGTTTGATAGATACCCAGGCGGCATAGAGGATATCTGTTTCAGTCAGGTACCTTCCTAAGAAGCAGGACATCACTCAGATCACAATCATACCTTCTGCTGCGAACTTCTTATGGCCGAATCGTGATCCGAATCCCTCGAGTACCCCGAGGCGTAAGGTCCTTCACCAGAACGGAGCGGCGACATTGAAGCGGGATCGATAATTGGTCGGTTTACGTAGACAAGTTAAACCTTGTCGGCAGAGCAGTCACTTTGCCTGTAATGAAGAGAGGCTGCATACAGAAGGATAGTTTTGAATGCACTGAGGTGAACCATGCAGATGTGATGCAAGCCACGGACGTATCTCGTGGGTTCCGGTACAACATCATCATAAGAGCCGGGCGGTCAGCTTATGTAAATGTAGACTCTGGGCATTCATTGGCGTACCCTAATCGGTCAGATCAGTTTGGAATCATTTTGGTGTTGTATCGAATCTAGGATCAGCCAGTAAAACATAGAGATCAATTTACTTTAGTGGTGCATGAGTGAAACTGTGTCATTCAAGGTTGGCCTGGCTCCTCTGGCCAGGAGGAGACAATCATTGCTACTCCTGCAGCTTATAATTCCACGTCGGATTTCGACTCAGACGAAGTCCCATACAATACAGCGGTCAATAATATGAGTGATCAAGTCACCATGTAGAAACAGCACTCATGGGGGAGAGAATTCTAACCGATGCCGGCCCACAAGGAAGGAACTACTGGGGTGCACTGGCCTGGAGGCTGCCGCAACCGCAGCCGGTGAGATTATTGGTCGCTTCACCGAGTCTTCACCGCCCCTGACAATGCAACACGTTGGTTTTCAACCCGAGTCGATACCGCCGCTACTGGGCCGGGTCAATTTGTCGCATGCTCAGAAGCTTTACAAGGCTCTGCAATATTGGACAGGGGGAGGACTGACTAGCTTTACCGACCAGTTGATAATGATATTAATGGAACAATACCAAAACTTCCAAGAAAATGAACACTAAATCTAAATATATCAAAGCGCAACTAGTGGCCCTAGATTTTCTGATTATAATGCCCCAACGAACAGGGCCATTACAAGGCCGACTTTGAATGCTTTAGGACATATGGCCAAAGTTCTGTTCACAGTCGAGCCGGACGGAGGGGAAGATGAAGAAACAGGGAATATTGACCCAACGATAGGGAACAACTCACCCCAAGCAAAAGCTGTCCCTGGTCCTCCTCATGACGTGCAGACATTTCTGCCAAGCTAAACCCCACGAAAGGATTGGTCCAGGAACATAGCCCGGGACACGGCAGATAAATGCAGAACCCGAGTTTGCACCACTCTGAATGATTCAGAATCGGTTGATGAACCATAGGAACCAACACGGTGGAGCATGCAACAGCTTATGCTGCAGATTACACGTCAGAGAACCGGCACGATCACGGAATGAGTGCAGGGGCATATGGCCGAAAGAACGGAGTGTGAACGAATGGCGTGGAGTTTACAAGTTACACAATAGACCAATCCACCCCCAAATATGCAACCAAATATTGAATAGAGACGCACACTAGCACTCCGAGTCTACCACAGAAACCGGATCTGCTTGCTCCATTACTTCTTGTCCTACCTAGCTCGGCATGCAAGTAGTTCGGAGTCACTGACAGGCCAGGGGCTCGAGAGAAACGTTTCGGCCAATACAATCCCACAGCCATTGAAGTTGGCCTTGATATTCTCAACCGCTTATCACCGCCTTTTGAGTCCGAGCCCGCTTGTCCGTTATAGTAGACCCCGAAGCAACCAGAAGTCCAGTCCCCGCTCGCAGCTGCAGCTGCAGCCGCCTCATTTAGAGAGTCGCTGGGTTCGATGATTGGTCAATCAATCGTCGAAAACACCGGATGGGGTGACGATAACAGGTGGCGTAGGCCTGACATAGTCCACTTCAACTTCGAATCGGGGAATGTCATTCTTCCCAACAACGTTGAACAGCTTTGTGAGATCGTCACCTCGGTAGCCACTCATGTCGTACTTCTCGGGGCCGAAAAATGCCTGCCTGACGTTGGCACGCAAGGCCCAAACCTTGTTGGGCGAGTGATCCAGTGGTGTGACATTGTTAAACGCATCCATATGGCTTCGGATGTAAGTCAGTGAGGCGTCCTGTAGAGCTCGGATGGAGGCACGGCAAGACTCAAAAACCCGTTGCTCACTATGATGGAGCCATCTGATGGTTAGTCGAACGTCGTACACGCGTACTGGCCCCCCAGGTCGTATTCCCGGTGGTGGCGGCGGCGGCGAAAGATTGGGGAACCCGGCGCCGAATGGGCGACCTCCCATGCCTGGAGGAGGCGGAGGAGGCGGATTCTGCATAGGCATCATTCCAACGCCACGATATGTAGGTGGAGGCGGAGGAGGGTGACAGTCAGGGGAAGGAGCGGCAGGGTATCGAGAGCCTCCAGGTGGACGCACAGTGCTCACGATGCACCGGGGAGCGTCTAGATTGTCGTCCGAGTCTTCACCCTTGCAATCTCGGGGTTGCCGCGTCTTGGCACTCTTGTGGCCTTTGCGAATGACCTTGGTAGCTGGGCGGCCGCCTTTCGGTGATGAAGAGGCTGGTGTTATGAGCTCCTCATCAGAGCTTGACCATACAGAGAGGGCGGCAGTGGATGACGCAGAGCGCTCGGATACCACGGATGCAGTCTCGTCATCGTCCGTGTCGGTATCGCCCTTCTTCAGATCCCGCAACAGGGCGAAACCATTGGTCTTGATGTAGACAGCGGTAGCCTCGGCGGATTTGATGTAAAGAGACTCTTTTGCTTTTTCTTCAGAGTCGCAAGGCTCGGAAGACAACAGTGCCTCGCGGTTGTCGTCACTCGATCGTAATGCCACGGCCTTCCACTCGCCAGTAGCCTCTTTGGCTGTGATTACAGTAATATAGTCATTTTTGCTGGAGATGAACTCGCAATTCTCTACAATAGACAAATATAATTAGGGCCGGCGGCTCGGCTATCGGGAACAAGATATAAGACTTACCAATGATCTGCCCTCTGTAATCGACGGCGCTTGGTAATTGCTGTATTATGGAAGGCATAGTCTTCGTTGCAAGAGGGAATGGAGTAATTGCCGTGGTCAAAGGGTAAAACAGAGGGACTAACATGGGATATCGCTACTTGTCATTGGCATAAAGTGACAAGACGACAGTCATCTTTTTGTATGTCTTTAGGGTTTCTTATTCTGCCAGAGGAGGCGAACCCCCGACTCCGGGTAGAAAGTGAGGCGTGCTGCATTGGCCGAGGGCGCCAAAGTATCACAGTGCAGACTTCTGCAGTGTATATCATGCACGCGGTAAGCCGAGCAGCATCTGTCTTGAAAACGTCTGAATACCGGCTGCAGTGTCAATTGGCGCCCGCTTTTACGAGAGACCTGGGGCCTCTTCGGCAGGTACTTCCTGTCGCATTGCACCTCGATTGGAGAGTTGAAACTGAACCCGTGCCCCGTCTGTTTGCAACGCTGTTGTCGTGCTTCTGGGCTTTGGGGTTGGCTCGTATGACATCGGGCCTGTTTCTCGTGATAAGCTGCTGTGGAGGTGCCAAGTCAGAAACAAGGTGTGACAACATGCTCGAGTGCCGTGGCCAAGGTAGGATCCCGACTAGAAGGTGTGACGGGTAGACTTTGGGGCTCTCCATTGCCTGCTGGGCCTCAAACCCTGTCCCCCAAGCACGAAGTCGTCCAATCCATGTATTAGAAGGATTGTGGAACTATATGTGAACCTTCATGCCGCATTGAATGGTTAATTGGTTCATAAGTCCCTGATAAAGACCCCGAATCCTTGAAGGGGAATAATTCCAGCTTTGTTTAAGGTGCAGTGAGGCTTTGCCCCTCAGCCAATTGGGTGAGGACGCGGAACGCCAAGGGGTTCATCGAGTTTGCCTGCCGCTGCCGATCATTGAACGAAACAATGTGATCACTTGGACATCGTATCTGTCGAAAGCCACCGTGCCTACGGATCTCCAAAGGAGATAAATGGTCTTTATATATTCTGTGCTATGACTCTGACTCATTCGGAGACTTCGGGCTATTGGCACACTTGATGTATCACATTGATTCATCACATGCATCGAGTGCAAATGGTACGTAGCTGCGATCCCCGATTGCCAGCTTTTGAAGCGGCCTTTTACTTGTGAAGTTTCCTGTCAAATCGGGGATTTTTCAATCGCTTAGTTTTAGAGAATATCGGATTTTCACTCATGGTTCAATTGTATAATCATACTGGCATATAGCTTGGTCTCCGAGATGCAAGGCTGCCAATAAGCTGTCCCAGACTCCCGCTGTCACTCCATCTAGCCTCGAGGCCCAGAAGACTACGGAGTCCTATCAACTGTACAGGCTGCAAGTCCCCGTTCAATGAACTCGTACAGAGGAGTGATCGTCGGAATCACGAAGATCTGCACACGGTACCGAACAAGGCCTAGGTGTTCTGCAACGATAACCTTGCGGTGTAAGGCCCATCCACACGGACAACAAGCGCTAAAACTGGGCGTACCATGTGCGCGTAGCACGACCTTGGCAAGACCGGAACCCGGAACCCAGCCGGCAAATGCTGTAGTGCATCCGAAGGTCAATGTTCACAACTCCTTGTAAGAGAAACAATCTGCCTTTGCAGTAGAATTGCAGAGTAACATTAAGCTTCGCATCTCAACCGTCCACAAATATATAGAATCCACCTCATCATACAGATTTAAGGACCAAGGCGATGAGGTACGCCTTGGTCCATGTATCCATGTTAGGATTGCCATCTAAAGATCTGTGACATTAAAAATTGCGACGAACGTCAAAGTTCAACCTGAGCTGATGTCAACAATCAAGAGTCAGCCTTCGAACGTGAATCGACATATGTTTGATAGCATTCATCCACCGAGGGTTACGATGGCATTTGCCACAACTTCTCTTGCGGTCTAGCATACTTCGATGAAGCCAGGGAGAAGGCAGTGTTGCTATTTGCCTTCATAATGAGGCTAAGCAGGATTTGCGTGGAATACTTCGTACAGTGTTATAGTGCAGGTATAGATTCCAGGTAGTGCAAGCCCGTAACTAAGAGCAGGGCAAGCGTTCAGCCTTCCACGAGTCCCTCTATGCCAGCACACTGGCATCAAACTCTATGCTTTCGGGCGAAAAGAAGAAAATAATAGAACAAATACACAAGGAAGAAGAAAATATATGTTGTGTCGTGCTGGCATCAGACTGGATTGCCACTATTTAGTCATTAGATAGCCTTGCAAGGTGGTATTCGACGAGTTCTATGAGTTGTTCTCCGTCCCTCTAGAGCCACCCTCCTATTTGATAGACTACATACGCTTAATTAGTTACGTGGCGACCTAACTTAAAGTGAGGCCTACGCTCTGGATGACTTGGATAGGTGGGCTAGTCAGGCTAACAAGGCATCCAATGGTCAATAGTCTTTTCTGCAAGATGACTAGATGCTTCGCGGCAGAGACCCAAGGTATGTACTCTACCTCCAAGCCCGATTGAAGATCATGTGTGACTTGCATTCTCAGGGAGTTGAAAATCCATAAACAGTGGTTCGGTAGAGTTACATCACACATTATCTCGCCCTAAAATTGCCCGGAGTTGTTTCCAGTCTATGGCCAGGCTCGGCAACATATTCGTCGCAGCTCGTGCGCGACACTTCTGAACACCCCGATTCAGGTGGGGCTTTGGTCTCCGGGAGCCTGTTAGGACAACATGCAAATATCCAAGGCATAATGGCGAGCGTGGCCCGGCTTTATCGAACAGTGAGAACTAAACACGGCCATAGTCTTCGAGGGTAGCAATATGTGCATGATCATTTAAACAGTATTATGAATTAGAATTAAGAGCACCGTGTATACTATGAGGTTGTGCAGTTGGGCATCCCTGATTGGAAGAGATCGGACTGCTCGACGAATAGAGGTAAGTAATCCCGGGTTGTGAATGTGGAGTTAATATAGTAGCCCACGTCGCTGGCGCTATAACCTGACCCTAGGATGGCGAGAACATCGCTTTGAATACTGTCGACCTGTTAGCAACTAGGCTTGGTACATAACCAAGACAGACCAGAACTTACAAGTCAAGGAAGATCAAATCAGCCGTGCCCGAGCACCCGCCCTCATCGAAGCCGCCTTCGCCCTGGAAGAAATCGGGAACACTATAGTGAGGGATCTCGCTGTGTGCAGTGTCGTCACCATCTGTTCCAAAATCATCTTTGGTGGTGTAGCCTGCAACCAAATCGACGACCTGTCGTCGTGTCACAGCCGCATCACTATGGACGTGGTCGAAGACGTCTCTGGCACCCAGGGGGGCGGTGATTGGATCAACGCAGATGTCCCGCTCGATCGGCATGTAGCCCAAGTTGCGTTTCTCGTTGGCACCAGCCTTGTTTAGCCTACCCAGTACGGAGCTGGCCAAGCTACACGGAACGTCGGGAACGTACATGAACACGTCAGTGAAAGGCGATACGATAAAGAAGTCGTCGTAGGTGAATGGGCCTTTGTACAGATCAAATCGAATACTCCCAGTGTTGGCAATGATGTACCTGGGAATCTCTTTTCGGGTCTCGTTGACAACAACTGTGGCCAGTGCGTTCGCAAGCAGTGGATAGATGTTTCCGGTACTGTTGAAATCCGTACAAGTCATACAGTAGCTCTGAGGGGCACACCCGTAGATTTTGTTCAAGTTGAGCTGCTCACGGTACGTGGTGATCGCCGAAGTCGTCTCTTCACCAAGAGGCGTGTCGAATGATGCCTCGTGCTTTCCGCTCACGGCGTGGAAATCAAAGGTCGCACGGTTCCAGTCCAAATATCTTCGCGCATACTTGTATGGAGAAGTAGAGTTGACTGTTGCTTTGCGGGAAGGATTGGGCACGCCCTTGGGATTTGATGTGCTTCTCCACCCGCTGCTGCACTTCGTAAAGCCGCTCATGCTCAGCCATCCCAAAGTTTCGCAGTAACGACCAGATTCGAGCGAAGTGGTGCTATCATCCAGGACGGCGAAGTCTCGAATGTGGCTGTGGCCTCCGAAGAATTGGACTGGGGTCCTTGGGTGAGCCTTTCGGATGGCATCATGGATTATACCGAACGTGCTCCCGGAGCTCTGGCCAACCCGTGCTGGGTTGTGACCAAGAACCAGGAACAAGTCTACAGGTTCTGTGTAGTTGACAGCATCCTGGAACCAGTCTTGAGCCACCAAAGTATCGGCATGGATGACTTTTGATATGTTGGCATTGCCCTTAAAGTCAAATAGAACTCCAAAGGCCATGATGCGGAGGCCATGCTCTGTAGTGAAGTATTTATACTTCTGCCCAATGAATTCCCATTCATTAGTCTCGTTGTTCAAGATCTGAACATTGGATGTCAGATACTTGTCGCCCCAGAACTTTGAGAACTGGGAGAATGTCTGATAAGCAACTTCAGCTACGTAAAGCTCATGGTTGCCTGTACCACGTTAGTCGGCAGGCCTCAGAAAGCCGATCACCGTATGACCTACCTATAGTGAGAAGATCGTAGTCAACTTTCTCAAAAACATTGTTTGAGACTGCGCCATCAGGAGTTGTAGCGTCACTCAAGCCAGCACCGTCGTGGAGGTCACCTTGAACCCTGTCAGAATTATGAACCCGAGGTCTCTTTTTCCAATCACCTCACCAGTGTCAACTAGGAGAAGATCCACGCCGATCTCTCTGGCCTTTTGTTTCATGTACTTGGAGAAAGAAACAAAATCCTTGAACATAAAGTAAGCAAAACGATAGCAAGACAGTCTTGCCACCTGAGACTTACCCCCCAATCCGCCCCATAATTGCCCTCCTTCAGGTGTCCTTCTAGCCACCCATGGGTATCGGTCTGCCTGTTGGTTAACCCACCAAGCTGACTTGATAACAATCGTAGATTACTTAGCATACGGTGTGTAAGAAGTTCAATTGACCCCATTCGAGCTCACGCGTCGGTCCGTATGACGCATTTGAAGCACTGGGCTGCATACGCTTGACATGTCGAACATGCTCGACATGAGTTGTGGGTCCGTAGCAACCACCGCATGCCAGACTGCTTGTTGCAAAGGCGATCAAGGTAGCGATGGAGTTGATGGTCTTCATCTTGGCGGATTAGTTCCTACCAATCGGGTTGTCCCAGATTCAAGGTAGTGTCAATGGTGCCTTGATCCAAGAACACCCAAGAGAAGCCAAGAGCATACCCGAAAGCTTGGTATGCGGGCCATCTTTGGGATTTAAAGGTTATGGGCCACAGTTACACTGCGTTAACTATCGCCTATCTGTGCCCAATCTCCTGGGACTCTCGGCCGCAAGCCTAGGCGAGGACGCCATAAAGAAGCGATGAGCTGCCGTTGGCTGTTTAGGGCCATAAACGCGTCAATATCCGGGGCTGCCAGGGGGATGACCCCGGTGAATAGTCAAGTCAGACCTGGAGATTCACCTTCGCGAACCGTCGGCCTCTCAGAATCGGCACCAATCATGCTGTATTGGCTTCGCACGCGGCCTTGCAGACAGCGCATCCGACAAAGAATCTAATTTCCGCAATACTGTACACTCCATGTCCCAACAACTTTGAGAACTAAAGGCAGCAGGCCACGGAAATCGCTGATAACCACACGTGCAGCGAGATTCAACCGGCTCGCCTTCCTTAAGCAGCAGGTGCCTTGTCAGCGCTGAGCCTAGCTCCGCATAAGCTCAATGCACTAAAATAGGCGATAAGCAGCCCTGCCGAATGCCGGGTTATCTGCCAAAAACCAGACCTGCGTTGGTTCATTACTGCAAAATCGTGCTATTTTGAACGTCACAGCACCCATGCGCTTTTCTTCTTTTTTCTCCCTGATATTGTCCGTGTCGCCCTGCCACTGGACGGAAATTCTTTACAATGTGTTTAAGGGAAGAAAACCCACAGTCACAAAAAGTTTGAGACAACTTTCGGATGACAAATTTGTGGGGAAACTCACCACTAGACCGGCGCCCTTTCGATGCGACGTAAGAGCAATGATCGCAAGAATAACCACTATCCATAGGTCAAGTTTCACCAAAGTACCCGAGGTAGAACGCTGAGAAGTGGTCAGTGATACAGCCGCCTAAAGACCAAGTATTGCATCGATACGTACCACCAGGGATGAGAGCTGCAGCGTACATGACGAGAGTGATTGCGAAGAGGTCTTCTGGTGTCGTTTCATACATGACCTCCTCCCACGAGCCGAGGAGCGCATGTGTACCTTGGATGAGTTGTTTGTCCTCATAGCATTTTACCCCTAGACAAGCGCCAAACTCTCGGAACGCCAGGCGGTAGCTCATGCGCCTGCCCAAGGCCCCAGGCTTTCCTCGCAGAAAGATGTGTTGAGCAATACTGAGGCCATCCTGGGAGAGTTCGCGGGACCATTGCGCGTCACGGTCGAAATGGGAGATCCAGAGACTCATGCCGAGATCTAACATATCAGAGGAAGAATGCAATTCGCCTTCACTAGCTATCATTCCTCGGTATTGGTCCATCTCCTTCTGCAATGTGATATTCTGCTGGCCAAACTTTTTGGCAGTGTTTTCAAGGAGCTGAAATATGGCCAATCCAGTCACGTCATCCAAATGGCCTTTCGAGTTGACCAAGGGCTGGGTCATATCCGTTGAGATCTTCCAAGACATGGTCTCTTGCCCGTTGCGGACCATGATGAACCTTGGGTGTATAGCTCGGGCCAGCTGAACCGCTAGATCGTTGAAGGTGCTGTCTTTGGCGGCAACGGAGAGGCGATTGAGCGCAAACATCCACAACGTCAGGTAATGGTGATACTGGCCGTCGGCATTTGGCCCATATTCATCTGTTTTCCCGATGCGCAGACCTCCTTTCAAGGGTTCCTCGTCGGTCGCTCCAGGAAGACGTGATGTCTCGTCTCTTGTCCTGCCAAGCACGTCGTGCACTGATTGCACGAGTCGCTTCGCGAGACCCAGGTACCGCGGTTCTGCCGTTTCATGGAAGAGCGTCAGAAAGTTAACAACCCCAAATGCGTCAGTCCACAAGTAACGACCTCGATGACCAGCATTCCCAGGCTGGGGAGGGGGCTTCCAAGTTGCCAGATCCTGTTGCGGAATTCTATCAAATTCGCCGTAGACTGCTACCATGGCCTGTCGAAAAGCTTGTAGCTGGTTAGATCCTGAAGCCATGCTGGATGTAAATGTCCTCCGAACGTTGAAACCCTTGGTAGAAAGAATTAGGTCACGAACGCAGGTGCGCCTAAGGATATGCGGGCAACATGGTGTTTCATTCACTGTACTCAGTAGTCTCCTTGTGAGGGGTTGCATGGCGTTGATGCGAACGAAACTATGACATCAGAAATTGAACAGCAGAAGTCACAATCTTTCGAGGTACCGCTAGCATCACATCAGTTCCAGTTGATGCCAGCAATTATCGACGCTAATCGGAATAGGATTGGAAGAAACTTTGGCCAGAAAACAACCCAAGGTTAGCAACGTGACGTGTAGTCACGGGTAGCCTGTGAGTGTCAGTGGCAGGTCTTTTTCAGTCGCAAGAATTGGCAGCAAAATCTTTTGATACACTCCAATGTGATGATTGTGTCTCGCTTGAAGTGATATCACCCAAGGACCAATGGATGGCCACTATTGTTGAGAGCTCTTCCCCCAGTTAGTAAAATACGTCGCCTTTCATCAATAGCCTGGCTGTGCGGTGCAATTCCGCTGAAATGACCTGCCCATTCTCCATTGTCGTCCCAACCTCGACTTTGCCGCTAGGGTGCCCAATCACAACTGATGTTTTTCCTTCCTCCCGATGCCGGATCTGTTCAGCAGCTATAGTTCCAGAGATGTTGGCTGCTGCGCCTAGACACAAAGCAAGTGTCAAAGGTACGGCTTTATGCGCCTGGCCCATGGACAAGGCTAGGCAGCGGATATCGACTGCCGAGCTCCCGGGATCAGGGAAAAGGATTACAATCTTTGGCACGCTCTCGATGCTGGGATCTAAGCCCATCTTCATTGCTCCCGCCCGTCGTATTTCTTCAAGCCGAGCTTTGAGCCTGGCGTCTGCTTCCACAACTTGAGGCGTGAAAGTTCTTGCAAGAGTCTCTGGCTGCGAGATATCAACACCCACATCCTGAAGTCTGACGAAGACGCCAGGGTTTGATACGTCGATTAGGGAAGCAGCGATCTTGCTTCCATCTGATAGTGCCAATTCATCCACGGCTTTACCCGTTGGCAGAGCCTTTCCAGTCTTTGCACCAGCTGGCCTCAGAAAGCTCAGCGTGATTCGCGACTGGGTTCCAGGAACACCTTCCATCTCGAAGTCGCCTCGAGGGCAATATTCAGGTGGCGTGCCTGCAACTCGAAAGCGAGAATGTACCACCTTAGAAGTATTTGTGTTGAAGAATCTCACGGTAGCTTCCTGATATCCAGTTTGGCCGTCTAGTTGGGATATTTTGCCTTCCTTGTCCATAACGAGGCCACTGTCCCAGGCCATGGGCCCAACTGCTGAGGACATGTTCCCACAGTTGCCCGCCATATCCAATGAGCCATCTTTGATCCCAACTTGGACAAAGGTGAAGTCAATATCTGCATCTGGTCGTGATGATGTGGATAAGACGCATATCTTGGATGTAGAAGAGATTCCTCCTCCTAGAAGTTTGTTAGTGATTCTGCCCGAAAGATGTGGTAATTATGTGAGTGCACAGAGATGCCACTGGTGATGAAATCAGGATGCATACCCATGCCGTTGAGCTGTCGACCATAATGATCAGGAGAACCCATAGCCGTAGGTAGAATATTGTGCCACTCGCCTTCCGGAGGCAGGTCTTTACGTTGTATTACCAGCCCATTGGAAGTACCACCTCGGACGAACAAAGCCGGGAAGCTCCTATCCATTCCGTGATGTGGGATATAAGTTCTAGCAGCAGCCCACACGCGATTTGACCGAATCGATCTAATCGCAGGAGGTGGGCATGGAAATCCTACTGGAAAGCCGCGCTTGAGAGGCCGCGATGCCTGCACACGCATCTCTTGACTCCTTGGCTCTTGTCAAGTTCTGACACAAATCTTGAAAAGAAGAACTCGATATGACAATCGGGACGTCGACATCGTATCCTCGAAGCATTTCAGTTGCGTATAGCATATTGCCGAGACTCGGTGACTGGCCGAGCTGTGGAGACCTCACGGCTACACCGCACAGGGTCTAGCGGGTCGCGTCTGGCGTTCAAATCACCTAACCACATGGGTAAAGTTACTTACCCGGAGGTGGTTAGCCCCCCTGCTGGAACCCACCGTAGCTTCTTACGCGTATCACATGTAACCTACTCCGTACCTCAGGTAGGTAGGGGAGCCAAGGGTGAAGTGCTATCAGACCGACGCATACTCCCCGAGGCTGAGGCCACAGCTCACACCTGTCTGCTCTGCATTCCGTTGTCTTCTACATTGAGTCGAGTTGCAATTGTAAGCAATAGTGTGCATCAATAATGGCTCCCGCGCAACGCTTCGTAGGGTACCCGAAAGCCAGAGAAGGACCGGCGACTCCTTACTTAGGAACAGAGGAGAACGTTCCTGTCCTGAGAGGCTGGCTACTGGTCGCTTTTGCCAACCTGTGAAGACCCTGATCCCGTTCTGGACACTCACTAGGCCGTCGCTGACAATTCCGAAGCATCACCCGGTCTTCTTGGCTTGCGAGGACAACATGGAGGGATGCAAACTTTGGAGCTGCGAAAGACATCCCGAGCCTCGATGAGTACGATTATAGGTTCCAGGTAGGGCTACACTTAGAATCCTCACACCTACACTACTAGGCACTGATAGCGAACAGCCTCTCGTGACGCCACTTTCTACAGAAGATCCACCCAGAACACCAGAGATCACAACTGATTTGATGCTGCCGCAACCCAACGACCGTGCTGGCCGTTTTTACTCGGCCGCAGACTATCATGAGCTGTACAAGTCGGGCAAGCTCACGCCGCTGCAAGTAGCGGAGGCTTTGTTCCCTCTGATATCTAGAGGGCAGAATCCACCCGCAAAGTACGAGTCTGCCTGGGCGGTTACGCAACAGGATATTGCCCTTAGGGCTGCGAAGGCATCAACTGAGCGATACGCCAAAGGCCAACCACTCAGTGTCTTGGACGGCGTACCATTCGGAGTCAAGGATGATTTGGACGTTGAAGGCTATGTTTCGCATAAAGGTCTCGCCTATACGGAAAGCCATCCGTTCTTCAGACCTGCAAATAAGACCATTTGGCCTGTGGCACAACTTGAAGCTGCCGGTGCTGTCATGATTAGCACGCTCGCCATGCATGAACTTGGTTCCGATGTCAGCGGTTGCAGTCCTCGATGGGGCACGCCAGTCAACTGGAACAACCCATCTTATTATCCCGGCGCTTCTTCGTCTGGCGCTGGATCAGCCTTGAGCGCTGGATTGGTCCCCATAGCAATCGGGACTGATGCAGGAGGCAGCATTCGTATACCATCCGCGTTCTGTGGACAGTATGGTCTCAAGCCTACCCTTCATCGAACGCACACTATGAAATCCTCGATTTGCGTCATCGGTCCTATGGCTTCAACGGTTGCCGATCTCACCATTGCCTACAGACTGATGTCAGCGTCGAATCCCGACGATGCGACTCAATCCGCATTTGCGCCGTCCATTCCGCCTACTCCAACTGCGAAGAAGTACATTGGCATCTATGACGCCTGGTTTAACCAGGCATCACCCGTGGTTCTGAAAAAGACCAAAGAGGCCGTTGCATATCTCACAGAGAAGCTCGGGTATGAACTCATAGATATTACGATCCCCTATTTGCAGGAAGGCCAGGCAGCGCACAGCGCCTGGGCCCTCGTTGAATCTGTAGATCACCAGCGCACCCGCGCTCCGCCAGGAAGCGGGCTCGATCATATGGCCATGGTCAATCACTGCAATAAGTGCCTTCAGACCATGGGTGCCTTGACCTCCGGCGTGGATATGGTCAAGTGTGGCCAGCTCCGCGAGCTACTGATGGGGCACCTCGCATTCATTTTCAAGAAGTATCCTGGGCTTCTAATCCTTACACCGACGGTCCCAGATGCTGGATGGAAAATCCATCCAGGCGACCAAGCTTATGGGTTCATTGATGGACCCATGACGTTCCGCACCATGATGTATATCTGGCTTGCAAATTCGACTGGCTGCCCTGCTGTGACAGCGCCTATCGGGTATGCTGACCCAGAGGTAGGGGAAGGAAAGCTACCGGTAGGGCTGATGGCCACCGGCGAATGGGGTGCTGAAGAGCAATTGCTGGCCTTTGCCAAGGATGCAGAATCCTACCTTAACGAGGCATTGGACGGCGGCCGGAGTAGATCCAAGGACTGGGCCGATATCATCGGGTTAGCGAGCGGTAGTGTCACCGCCCAAGCCGAATAAGACGGCTGAGTCTGCTCCTTTGTATCATACACCCGGTCATGAGATAATATCGGCAAAAACTTATTTCTCGTTTGCATTCAAGCTCTTAGCCTATAAGCCTACACAAGTCACGGTACATTGCTGGATGAACGCCATCGTCTCGTTTTTATTGCAGCCCGCTTTGGCAAGTGTTACGTATCTACAGGGCTGCAGCGTTCTTAAAGAAGTAGAATTACGTCAACAGACCGAAGAACCTCAGCATGTTCTGCTCGTTGACTGGCGCGGTATGTCCTACTCCTTGGCCAAAGTATCCGACCACTTGACTTCCATCGCCGTATAGAATCTGCGTGTACGCTGAGCTCGGTACGCCGGTGTTGTTCTTCGTGTTCTGCAAACCCCAAACGGTACCCCACTGCTTCAGTGCCTCATAGCCGGCCTGTGGGTAGACCAGGTTGTCTGCAAGCCCGTGCCAGATCTGCATACGCGGGTATTTGCCGGTGTAGCCCGGATAAGAGTTGTGAACGAAGTTTGCCCACTCGGCACCGGTGTGCGTCAAACCTCGCGCACAGGTCTGATTTGAGCCGAACGGGGTGCTGGTTGCGCTGCCGTAGAAACAGGCGTGTGCGACGCCGCTATACGCCGACCCGGCCGCGAATACATCTGGGTATGAACCGGCCATAACGTTGGTCATCATCGCGCCTGATGAACTGCCCATGACAAAGACCTTGGATGCATCCCCGGAGTATTTGTTGAGGGTGTAGTTTACCATGCTAACAATACCAGCCGCATCACCACCGCCGTTGTGCCTCAACGATGCAGAGTTGTTCACATCCCAGCAGTTTGAATTATGAGGCGTGCCGGGGTAAATCAAAATGAAACCTCCTGAATCAGCATATGATGGTAGCTTGGTACCAGAATACCATTGTGGTCCTGTCCCGCCACAGGGGTGAAGCTTGAGGTTTAAAGAAATCAGTCTAATCAAGTTGGAAATCTCTCCAAGTCATATTCAACTTACAGCGACGATAATTGCTGGCTTAGTAGCAACCTTGTCAGGTACGTATATGTACATATTAATACTTGTCGGATTGCTACCAAAACTTGTTACTTGCTGCAGCGAAGCGGCTGACGTCAAAGACGCCGCCGCGAGGAGGAGGAAACTTGGAATCTTCATCTTGCGGTCTCGATGCTTGAAAGGACTAAGCCATGATGTTTGATACTAGGACTGTCTCTTGCCCCCTTTTATATCCTCAACATTACGGTTTCTCGACTCAAACAGCTTCCGCCAATGAACCTCTTGCATTTCTATCCATATACTCACGGGATGTCCAGGTTTGTGCTTTTCCTAGAAGAGGCTTTACCATTACGTTGGATTGCATAGTAATCTCCGAGTTTTGATTGACCAGATTGGGTAAGCACTTCTTAGCCGACGGGGTAAAGACGACGCCCAGCCGACGGCAGCGTAACACGGCACCCAAAAAGTCACGTGAAAGAGGTGCCGGGAAACAATAAATGAACACAGCTGCGTTGCCTGCATCAAGGAACATCTTAAGTGCGCTTGATATTCTATATTAAATGTGTAATCCTGTGTTCCGGCCCGTTCTGGATATGTGGCCCCGATAGCCTCCAGGACTGCACAAGCCCGTTTGGGGGCCTTAATGGCCAAGACTGGGCCAAGACTGCAGGCAGGCTCGATTTCGCGCTAAAAGCTCCAAATTCCAGCAAACTCGCAAGAAAAGCATGAAAAGGTATTCGGAAGGTTACTGTTGAACACCTCCGGCGATCAAATTTGATCGCCGAACGAATGCGCGGGGCGGGAAATCGCAACGAGACTGGGGATTGTACTATAGGCGGAAAATAACACGGAGACTAGAACAAACACTATGCGGAAGGTGGCAGTTCTCCGCATACCCCGACCGCTGCTCAATTGACTTAACCGCTTTATAGTGAACTCCGGCGTCACCGCAGCGTCCAATAAGATAATTACGACTTGGCAAGCGAGCCGTCTTGATCAATATAGCACTGCCGACCTTCATTGCCGGCTGCAGAATATACATAGGCCGTTTGGACATCAGGGGATCGGCCTCACAAGCTGTCGCTTATAGTCAGAAGACATCGATTATTACTTAATGGGGGACCCACGTTCGGGAATAACATCAATCCAGGAGAGCAAAGGGAAGAAACCGCCACGATGAAGAGAATTTCCAGTGCAGCCGTCGCCGTGCTCCTGGGAGCACATCAAGTGTTCGCCGGGCCAGTCGCCGCAGGCCCGCTGGCGCTGCGACAATCAGGAACTTTCGTTCCTAAGCCTGGTTACTTTCCCGAGAAGGGTGATGACACTATTGCTGGGGGGATCTTCTGCATCTCCCTCAGCGACCTGGCGACGTACCTCCAGCGAACAGGTAACAACCCAGGAGCAACAGGTTCGGAGTCTCCAAAGGGAGCTGGTGCAGTTACTTCTGGTTCTGGGCCTTATCCGGCGGCGATGGTGAGCGATTCCAGCCTTCCGAATCACACGATTTACGCACCCAAGTCACCACCGGCCAACATCACCTTGCCCTTCATTTCGTGGGGCAACGGCGGTTGCGCGCCGAGCAGCTCATCGTACCGCAACATGCTTACCGAGATTGCGTCGTATGGATACGTGATTGCTGCAGACGGCCCGGCAACTGGCTCGGGATCTGGACAGACTAAGGTGCAAGATCAGCGTGACAGTCTCGACTGGGCCATGAAAGGTGGAGCAAGCAAGTATGGTAATATCAACCTTGAAAATATCACCACGGCCGGACATAGTTGCGGTGGTCTTGAGGCTATGAGTACCGCCTATCATGACACACGCGTGAAGAGGATCATGATGTTTGATATCGCAATTTTCCAAGACGACAGACGATATCTCCTGCAAGAAATTAAAGTGCCTGTCGCTTGGTTTGTAGGTGGGCCGAAAGACATGGGCTACCCTAATGTGAGTCTATTAATCGCAATGGGGATGGAACAAATAGCTGACAATATTTGAAGGCAGAGAAAGATTATGCCCTCCTGAATGCAGGCCTCCCTGCGTACAAGGCGTCTCTGGATACAGGTATGATGTTGAAATCGGGTTTTCAATGTGAGGGTGGCATGTGCTAACGAATGGCTGTGTAGGCCATGGCGGTACCTATGGCGCAACCAACGGCGGAAAGTTTGGGAAAGCAGCGGTAGCGTATCTTCAATGGCAGTATCGCAATGATGCCAAGTCAAAAGCCGTACTGCTGGATCCGGCGTCGCAAGGCAGTCTGGTCTCAGACCATTGGAACGTGAGTTTACAGCTAGTATCTACATTACCTCGTAACAAGTCCGCTGACATTACTCAAGGTTACTTATAAGAATTGGACGTGAGCCATGAGCAGGAGGCGAGTTTAAGAACGGGAACATAAGGTCATTCATGAACTTACCATTCAATGTGTAACATATTGCTACCTCACTGAGTAACTGGCAGTCAAGTAGCTGTCCACTACGAGAGTGTTAAAACTATTCCCCGATTTCACTAATCGGCCGAGGGCATCTTGGACTCAGCTGGCTTCGAAGTCTTTTGACCATCTTGGCGCTGTTGACATGGATATTGAGAATCCTGGATCAAGGAATCCAGTAATGCACGTTGCCTCCACACGCTGCGTATTATTTTGATGTTTGCTGGGCGCGTATCATACAGTACCTGGCATACCACTCCTAACAGAACGCTCAAATCAGGTTCAGCTTTTGCAATAGGGAAAAAGCGAACTTCCGTGCCGGCTTCCATAGATGGTTCTTTCCATCAAAATGTACGTAAGCCGCACCAACCGCCAGGCCCGCCAGATGAGCTGTATGGGCCCACCGCAGGAATGGGATTCCAAAAACCATCCCGTAGGCCTCAAAAGCTGCGATCCATCCCAATGCCTCTTGCGCTGGGAGCGAACCAGGCAGCAGTATAATGCCAATGCGAGAATCCGGATTCGACATTCCGAACACCCCTATAAACGCCATGATGGCTCCGCTAGCCCCGAGACTGGCCCCAAACCGACGCCTTGGAAAGACAGTCTCTAGATGCTGCGCCAAGCTAGTGACCACACCAGATGAAAGATAGAAGGCGGCCAAATGGCTGCCGCTGCCCTCAAACGTGCGACTGTAGGCCACATCCCCTCCGAAATTGTACAGACATGCCATGTTGAAAAAGAGGTGCAGGCCTGACGCGTGTCCAAATACGGACGTGAGCATGGTATAATTACGTCCTACGACAGGTACGTGATGGAAGAATGAGAAATGTGTCGACGTCAGCCGCTGAGAGAGCCATATGGATGAGTTCAAGGCAATGTTGCCCACGATCATTTTCTCTGCTTCAGGGAGGCCCTTCCATAGGCTCAACACATCAGCAGGTGAACCATAAGAGACCTGCGAAAGCGTTCGGCCCCTGTGGCCCCTGTGGTCCGCTTTTGGAAGCTGGTCGTAGGAATCTAACGTGCGTCGAGTGCCCCAGCCATGTTGGGTCGAGAAAGATTTGGCATCCCCCTTGACCTCATAGGCTGCACAGGCGATGTATATGGTGCTCACGGCGGCGAGAGACCACAAAACCGGGCGCACGATCCGGACAGGAGGCAGCTCGTGTTCATACCCATGCTGTGTTGAAAACCTGCATCTTGGATTGCGGGCTGCTCGGGATGCGATGCGGGGTAGAGCACGACGCCCAAGCTGAGGACGGAGCATCGCGTAAATCACGGCCAGGTCAATGCCGTTTGGGCATCGTTCATATGACAGAGAGATGGATCAGTCTGTCGAGGCTGGAGGCAATGTTACAAACCAAGTAAGCGAGTGCCGGCAAGGCGCGGCTGGCCTCCCACAAACCGCCCCTGCAGTGTGGCTCTGTGGCGGTGTCACCAAAGTCTGTGCCGATTTAACGCCCCTAGAGCCAGCACACCAGTCGTCTTGAATGCATCTCTCAATGACACCAATGTAACTCCTCTTGACTTCGACCGAATTATTCTTAATGATCGGAAATATACGAGCAAGGGGCCGCCATGTTGTCCCCCAGACTCCTTGTCCGATCTCAAGTCCCGAAGTTTACATTCGTCCTGCTTGCTGTTGACTGGCCAGGCAAAGGTCGAGGTCTTAAGTTAGCTAGCTACTCCACCCAGCTAAGCGTCATCACAACTACTTGAAGCACCTCCATAGCGACAAAGCTAATCAACACGGAACGAAGACAAACTAACTACTATCGTGTTCAAAGCTAATGCAGCTATACGCGCAATCTGTCGATTCCCTCACGTCGATCCCGCCCTCTGACAGCTGCGGGCCAAGACTATGCGAACCGGTCGATGCTCCATTCGGCAGTTATGAATAAAGCTGTCGGGTCTCAACCGGGTTAGCTTGGCTTTATGCCGCTCCTCTTTGGTCCAACAACCTGGGTCACTGATCCAACTTGAGACTCTACACGTTTGATCCCCTAGCCGCAACATCAGCACAGCTGGCGTGAGTGTGGGAGCACCGCATATGGGGGTCAACGAATGGGCACTGTCCTTGAACAGAGTCCTTGGTGCTCAGCACCACGCAGCCAGTTTTATGGATGGATCATCGTGGGACGCTTGAGTTAAGCTACCTTTTCCCTTCTTCCACCTGTTGCTCGTGTCCATCTCCAGCACAGCTGTTGGCAATGTTCTAAGCAGAATAGCCTCTCGTTAGCACACCACATTCGTTTCTTCTTCACTCATTTTATTCATTTCTCAATGCCGGTCATTTCACTTGTTGTTTTGCTGCTGGGACTGGCCTCCTTCGCACTGGCGAAAGTCCAATACCTAGGCGTCGCCATCGCCGGAGAAGACTTCGGGTGTCAGATCGACGGCTCATGTCCAACCTTATCAGTCCAGTTTGCTGGAGATGCTACTGATCAGATGAAACATTTCGTTGGTGAGGGCCTCAATATGATAAGGATCCGTACGTGTTATTGCTCGCAACCCGCGTATGCCTCAAGCTAATGTGCGTAGCAACATCATGGCAGTTCTTAGTCAACAACCAATTAGGTTCAACGCTCAACGCCAACAACCTGGCGAAATACGATCAGTTGATGCAGGCATGCTTAGACACCGGCGCTCACTGCATGATTGACATACACAACTTTGCTCGCTGGAACGGAGGAATTATTGGACAGGGCGGTCCAACGGACGACCAGTTTACCAGCCTTTGGACCCAGCTCGCAACAAAGTACGCAGCGAACGACAACGTTGTATTTGAGCTCATGAACGAGCCACATGATCTCGACATCGGCATCTGGACACAGACGTGCCAGAAAGTGGTCACTGCGATCAGAAATGCCGGCGCTGTTAACCAGATGATTCTTCTCCCGGGAACCAACTTCGATAGTGCGGCAACCCTAGTTTCGAGCGGCTCGGCGGCTGCTCTTCTAGGCATTACGAATCCTGACGGAACCACCAACGGCCTTGTCCTGGACATACACAAGTACCTTGACGAGGATAATTCAGGAACCCATGCAGAATGTGTTACCGACAACGTGGCAGCGTTCACGGAAGTGGCCCAGTTCTTGAGAGACAGCGGCAGACAAGGTCTGATCAGCGAAAGCGGTGCCTCAAGCGCGAGTTCCTGCTTCACGAACTTTTGCTCACAGAATGCATTCATCAATAAGAATTCAGATGTCTTTCTTGGCTTCGTTGCTTGGGCCGCCGGAAGTTTCTCGACGTCGTACGTCTTGAGCTTGACACCTTCAAAGAACAATGGGCAGTACGTGGACAATAATCTCATGACCCAGTGTGTTATTGCCCCTTGGGTCAACTCGAATGGAACCGCTTTCACATCGCCAACTTCCCGCGCCCCGTCATCGACCGCTTTCTCATCACCAACGTCCCAAGCCCCACCGTCAACGCCTTCCACCGAGTCTAGTATTATTGCATCCATGGTCGTCTCAGGGACGAGCATTGTCGAACCCTCCACGTGGAGTTTGATGACATTGACGACACTGATGATGGCTACGGGGACCCCGACAGCCGCTGCAACGAAGGCTCTCACTGCTGCAGATTCTCCCCTCTCTACTACGACAAGCGGGCAGGTTGCAACCAGCTCCAGCACAGCGAGCTCAGACTCGGGCTTTGCGCCGGCAACGTCTACCGCTGCTGCTATCTCTACAGTCCCTTCTGAGAAACTGTTGCTATACGGGATTTTAGCCTTGGTACTTCTGTGGTAAATGAACATGAAAACAGCAGTTTGGACTAAGCAACAAGAGGTTGTACCTGATGACAAAATCGAGCTCGGCACGGAGACTGAGGTAGTCAGCTTTCCTGCTCTCCGCAGGAACACGATCAGGTTTTCATGAGGTCTCCTAACGCATTTGTATTGATGATGTGATACCCAAATAGATGTATATTGGCTTTGTGCAAACTTGGTGTACGGGCCTTTTTGATCTCGATTTGCAGTGATTCAGTATTTCAAATTGGTGATCGCGAGCCATATACTCCCACGAATCAAAAGGGACGTGATCATGAAAAAGAAAAAAGAAGTCAGCAGTACATGTCCAAGCCACAAGAAAGTAGGTATCAAGCTACCCTTCCGAGCCTCGCCGTGCTGCAGTAGTGGTTACGTCCTGCTATGCCCTGCAGGGAGACCTGCTGGTTGTTTAAACATCTGAGGTTACCAATCATACCCTAATCGCAGCTTGTACTCTCACCTATCGCCATGGCTTGCTGAGATATTATTGTCATGTGTGTGTTGACATTAGTTTTACCTTCAAACCTCAACGACTGCGAATGCTCTTTCTTAGTTGAATTAACTTGCCATGCGATTTATTTTCAGAGCCTGCATGGGAAGGAGCGGAAGTGAGGAGGAGGGGGAGGGAGACGAAGAAGAAAAGAAACCCAAGCAAGAAGAGGATACTGGAGGCATCACCTTCAATACATACTTGCCTCGAGACTGTCTGATGATAGATGTGTAGTCTTGAGCTTCCAGTGACTTCGTGCTAGGAGGCGTGCAGCATGCACGCTAGCTGTGGCCTGGATACCTCCTAGTGGTCAGGATCATAAGGCAGGGTACTTATTACTTTATCTAGATACCTATATAGGTGTTTATGTAGTAATGTGCGCCACAGCCATAACAATAGGTAGACGGATGTGTCAATTGCTACTGTGTTTCTATAATTGACAACAACAATTAGCCGTTCAGCTGATCAACGGTTGTCGTCAGACAATACCACTTGGAGCTGTCGCCGCAACCGGATATCTGTACGCAACACACCGCCCACTATACAGCTCCACGTCCCCCCTGAAATAATGGCCGCGGAGCTATAATTTATCAACGATACTGTTCTAGAAAGCGAGGTGGATGAAGCGAGTGACTAATAGTCTACGTACATTGCCCACTCTGCTCGTGCCCGACCACACTGTATATCGAACTCTCGTGTAATCGCGAGCAGTAAAACATGACATTGTCTGCCGAACAGATATACTACCAGCGGGGATAGCTCAGTTGGGAGAGCGCCAGACTGAAGTCACACTTCCGTCTCGATATCTGGAGGTCAGGTGTTCGATCCACCTTCACCGCAAGCATTGTGTCATCTGTAAAAGATGAATGAAGACGCCCTCCGACAATCTTTTTGCTGGCCATCCATGTCTCCCATTTGGGCTTCATATGTTACGACTGCGATCAAACGGACGTATACAAAGGTACTCCCTTGTCGCGCGTCTAAACTCAGACGTGGTGGGAACAGCCGTGGCCATAACACTGCCCCAGGTGCCACGACGATATCCACATGCAAGAGAGTACCATCGTGACTTGTTCTGTGTCTGAACCACCTAAGATGGGATTCGTCAGAGTTTCAACTCAAAGCCTCAACTGAAATCCAAAGGCTGAATTGTCGGAGTCTCCAAGGGTGACTGACCTCAGTGACTCTCGGTATGTGCCACAGTATCATCCGCTGAGTCTTGTCTCTTGCAGCTGAGGCCACATCAAAGGAACACTGTTCCGGGAAGCGGTGGTGTCCAATCATATCTAGGCGAGTAACGAATCATGATGAATCGTCGCTGTCGCAATATGTTTCGGGACGATAGTCGAGAGCTGCGAATGCAGACGTCGTGTATTCATCTCCGGGTCATGTAACTTGCGACGTAGATTATGTCAACCCAGGTTTATATCTGCCTAGAACCTATCGATTGAAGATATGGGGCTACAACCGAGTTCCGCTGCGCAACCTCCTCTGTCTTCCATTATTAGTGGCAGCTGTCTTGGGAATGTTGGTCGTACTCCGTGTGTTAAGTGCTGGCCATCGGATGCTTCAGCCGCCGCACCTCAGCAACGTATGCCTTCTCGGGCCCAATATGTGCCTTCCACGGGAAAACAGAAGGCGACGGCCAATGGACGGCGCTTTCAGGTGCACATAGAGAGGTCGAGAAAAGAATGCCTTGGCTGGAGAAGCAGAAAGCCGTGGGCTCGACTCGATGGCGCTAGCCCGGACAGGGATTAGACCGTGTGGCGCGCAGTGGCAGAGAGTGCCTCCCAGCCCACGTTGACTTTAGTTCGAGCTCGTTGACAGGGGCCTGTGGATTTTTGAGATGCTGAGATGCCAGGCCTTCAGCCTCATCCAAGCTCCCCATCGTGTACAAAGGCATCTCAAGCCTCGCGTCTCATCATCGTGCACCACGGCGCATCGCATCACAATTGCTCAGGGTGTCGCTTCCATCACCCCGCGGTGGTCGAGCACTTGGAAATGACTGCTGGGTTTTGACCAAGACCACCGACCTTTGCTTCCTCACTTCCTACTTCCTAACTCCTACCTACCTACCTCGGCTGCCTGCCACCTCGAGCCACTCCGCGCGTCGCAACCGACGTGCCCGCCCAACCATTGTCACTACCGGTCGACAACCCCCAACATGGCGGCTGTTCACAACGGTCACATCAATGGCGGTGGTGCCAACGGCGCCTACGTCAGCAAGCGCTTCTCCGACATCCCTCAGAACCTCGATGTGCCCTTCTCCGGCGACCAGGAGGATGAGGTCGTGGAACTCAACCTCGAGGAACTGGGCGACGACCCGACCGAGCTGTGTACCCTATTCGAGAACGAGCACGTTGCCCGCACCTACTGGATGACGGTGGCCATCGCCTATGCCAAACAGAACAACATCGACCATGCCATTGAGATGCTCATCCGCGGCGGCAGCGCCATGGCCACCAACAACCCCAAGGAGAAGCTGAGCATGGTTTGCGGTCTTTGCTGGATGTACCTCTGGAAGAGTCGCGAGGCACCGCGTGTTCCCTCTGATGGCGCCCTGGCCTCCGAGACCAAGACCAAGGAGTACTATCTGAACCAGGCGACCCAGTCCCTCAATGAAGCTCTCCGCATCAACCCGGCCTTCCCTCCGCTGTTCCTCGCGCGCGGCGTCATCTACCTTCTCCGGGCTTCCCTCGTGTCGCCATCCAAGGCCGCGGGCCCCAGCAGCATCGATCCCGAGAAGGCAGATCTTCTACGTAATGCGCTGAAGTGCTTCGAGGATGCGATTCGCGTGTCCCATGGCAAGAACGTGCTGGCCCTGATGGGCAAGGCAAGAGCGTTATTCTCTCTAGGGAAATATCCCGAAGCCTGCTCGCTATACCAGGACGTCCTGCGCAAGATGCCAGATATGGTCGATCCAGATCCCCGCATTGGTATCGGAGCTTGTTTCTGGCAGCTCGGCTTCAAAGATGACGCCAAGCAGGCCTGGGAGCGAAGTTTGGAGCTCAATCCCGAGTCCAAAATTGCCAACATCCTGCTCGGCCTCTACTACCTCGACTCCAGCGCAAAGGTGCCAACAAATAGCCCCGACTTCATCCGTCTTTACAAGAAGGCCATGACCGAGTTTACACAAAAGTCTTTCAAGATGGACAAGAACCAGCCGCTGACTTGCGCTACTTTTGCCGGTTATTTCTTATCCCGAAAGCAGTTGTCAAATGTTGAGTCACTTGCCAACAAGGCCCTTCAATATACCGATGTCAACAACGTCGCCAGTGACAGTTGGTACCTACTTGCGCGGAAGGAGCATGTCGAGGGCAACGTCGAGAAAGCCACCGACTACTACCGCCGTGCCGACGAGGCTAGAGGAGGCATCGACAGAGGATATCTTCCCGCTAAATTTGGTGTTGCACAGCTGTCCGTGTTGAACAATGATCTTGGCGAGGCCAAGCTACGCCTAGAGAAGATGATCCAACAGTCCAAGAACTATGAAGCAATGGTTCTTCTCGGTACCCTGTATGCCGAGGAAGTTTTCATGAACCAGTATGCCGCCGTCAAGGAGGACAAGACCACGGAAATGGCCAAGGCTATTCAGTACCTCGAAAACGTTCGTGCAATCTGGAAGGACCCGAAGAAGAGCCAGCTGCCGGATGCCTCGGTGCTACTGAACCTTGCTCGATTGTACGAGAATGACCAGCCCGCAAAGGCTCTTGAGTGCCTACAGCAGGTGGAGCAGCTTGAACTAGACCGAATACCACCCTCTGGCCGCCCATCAGATGCCGAGGATGAATCGGCTATGCGCAGTGCCCTACGCAAGAATCTTCCGCCCCAACTTCTTAACAATATCGGGTGTTTTTACTCGCAAGCTGAAAAGCATAGCACTGCGAGCGAGATGTTCGAGGCCGCATTGGGAGCCTGCATGCAAATCGGGGAGAAGGACCAAGACATGGACACCGATGCATTGGTTACCACCATCAGTTTCAACCTTGGCCGGAGCTACGAGGCTCAAGGCCTCACGGACGGGGCAGTCGAGGTGTATGAACGATTGACCGCGCGACACAGCGATTACACTGATGCCCAGGCTCGACTTGCTTACATCAAGCTGCGCCGAAACCCTAACAAGGAGGGCCCCGACGCTGTTGCCAAGCTCTACCAGGAGAGCCCATCCGACCTAGATGTTAGAGCCCTCTATGGTTGGTATTTGGGCAAGGTTCAGTCTAGGAAACGACCTGCCAATGTGAACGAGGACCCAGAGCTGCGACACTACAAGCACACCCTCCAACAGTATGACAAGCACGATCGATACGCGTTGGTAGGCATGGGCAATCTTTACATGATGGCGGCCCGCGAGATGCGCCGAGAGACGGACCACGAGAAGCAGAAACGATCTGCCATGTACAGCCGCGCTGTGGAGTTCTTCGAGAAAGCCCTGCAGCTAGACCCTAAGAACGCTTACGCTGCGCAAGGTATTGCAATCTCTCTTATCGAGGACAAGAAGGACTTGAAGTCTGCATTGCCGATCTTCCTCAAGATCCGCGACACAGTGAAAGATTCCCTCGTCTTCGTCAACCTGGGCCATATCTACGCCGAACTCCGTCAATTCTCGAAAGCCATTGAGAGCTACGAGATTGCATTGTCAAAGGAAAGCAAGACTAATGATACGGGCATCTTGGCATGCCTCGGGCGAACTTGGTTAAACAAGGCGAGACATGAAAAGGACATGGACGCCTACAGGACTGCCCTCGATTATGCCAAAAAGGTAAAGAATTTGTCCTATCCACGAAATGACGTCGCTGACCAGTATGATTAGGCCTTGGAAATTGCTCCAGATCAGGTCCATTTCAAGTTCAACGTTGCATTTGTGCAAATTCAGCAGGTGCAAGCAATCTCCAATGTCCCTGAAGCACAACGGACATCTTTCCAGTTGCAGGATGCTCTGGAGGAGTTGGAGGCAGCCATCAAATCTCTTGAGGAGATTGCTGCTCACCCTCAGCCTCCTTATCCCAAGTCAGACCTGGAACAGCGAGCGAGCTTTGCAAAGACGCAGCGCAACCAGCTCTCCAGGAAGATTGAGGAGCAGAAAGAGTACGAGGAGAAAAACAAAGAGAAGCTACAGGCAGCAATGGAGATGCGCCAAGCAGAGATGAAGCGTCGCGAAGAGCAGCGTGAAAAGGCTTTAGCCATCGAACGTGAACGTCAAGAAAAGATTCGCAAGCAGCGTGAAGAGATTGCTGCCAAGGATGCCGAACTGACGAAGCAGCGTATCGAGGAGGAGAAGGCTCGCCAGGAAGCCGAGATGACCACTGACAGTGAGACTGGCGAAAAGGTGAAGCGGAAGAAGAAGAGCAGACCGAGGGTTGAAGGCAAGCCCAAGAGTCGCCCCAGAAAGAAGAAGGGTGAGGACGACGATGAGTCTGGCTCAGAAGAGGAGCAGCCCAAGAAGAAGCGCCGTCTCACCAAGAAAGAGACCAAACCAAGCGGCAAGTACAAGTCAGCCGAAATCATTGTCGACAGCGACGAATCGGACAACGATGATGCCTTGGAGCGAGCTGAGCGCGCCATCGGCAGCGATTCGGGTCGCTCTGATGCTGGCGACCGATCAAAGGCTGGCAGTGACGACGAGGATCGCATGGAGGTCGATAACGGTGCTGGTGGAGTGGACGAGGACGAGGAGGCAGCAGGCACTTCCAGACGCCGTGCCCGGCAACGTGGGAGAGTCCTCGATGACAGTGACGAGGACGAGGATGACGGAGGCGCAGAGCCTGGCGCCGATAAGTCTGGAGCAGAAGATGAAGAGGCACCGGCCGTAGACACTAGCATGGCCGATGCTGCCGACGATGACGACGAGGAGTAGAGTCGTCAGTTGTACCATCTCCATCCAAGCTTTGCATGATTACGGGCGTTGTGGTCAAGGAATGGATATCAAGAAGACCTCGGTCGGCAGGGTTCAGTTAGTATTCCACAAATGCTATCAAAGTTGACTGTATACACTATAGACCGTGATAACGGTAGAGTTGAAAATACCTTGATAAGAGAAAGATATCATATCAAGAAATCGTATGCCATTATATATCGAGTGACAGAACCCCATACCGTGTGATTTGGACATTATTGCAATCAAGCACACCATCCCACTCGCCACCCTCAACCATTAAACCTTCGAAAGAGTCCAGCAATACCTCCCTTGTGTACCACGTCTAGCAGTGCTAAGCCTACACGTTCCACACGTCACCATAACCCATGACTCCCAGTGTTCGTGGAGATTGCGCTAATCATTGTTTGTTCACGCATTGGGTTCCTCCGCCGCTCGAGTCGCTGCACGTCTGGTTCTTCTTGTAGTCGCACTCGCCGCTGCGCACGAGCTTGTTGTCGTGGCATTGTCCATATATGAGGTGGTTCCTGTGTGTTTCGATAGTCAGCCACCTCCTGAACCCATCACGGAGGGGAGGACCCGGGCACATAACGCTCAGAGCCATTAGAGGAGACGAAGTCTTGAAGGAAAGGCAGAGATGCCGGGTGCCCGATAGCTAGCGAAACGAACTCACCAGCACCAGTCCAAGTCTTTGGCTTTGCCGTCGCAGTAAACGCCCTCGATCGGCCCCGCGAGGCTGAGCAGCACGAGAAGGGGGACGAGGGGCTTCATCGCAGGTTCGCAAGTACCAATTTTGATCCTTTGAACCGCGCTCTTCCAACTTCGTAGTATGTCAATATCGCCAGGTCACCAGATCACTGCTTGTTCCGAAGGCACGGCGAAAATGACGAAGCGTGAGACTGGTTTGAAGACTTCTCACGGAGCGTCGTTGCGAGGCTTTGCCCACACCTCGCAGAGATGTCAGCTTCGCCACCCTGTGCTACGGGCCGGATTTGGTGGGTGGGTGGGTGAGTTGTCGATATGCACCACACGCGGGTGGGTGCATATGCAGGACTTGGTCAGCGCGAGCGTAGATTCGCTGGGGTAATTACGGATGGTTTATATGTCAGCCACCAGTGTAACCCCATGCTGAGAGCACCGAGAATGAGGTGGAGAGTCGAGGCTGGGCCCGTTGCTGCAGGTGGATCTCGACTCCAAAGTCAAAAGACCGTTATGAATATTTGACTTATATACATGTATAGAGCTGGTTTCAATGGCGACTGTACTGACATCTCGGCTGCCAGTGGGGCTAAAGCCATCAGTTGCTACATTTCGCACCTACCAGTATTGCATGCCTGAAAAGAAGGGAGAAACGCATGGATAGAGAAAATTGTGCTGTTCTTCAAAGGTCTATTACTATTGCTTGAAAAACACTCAATCGGTTTATTCGCCTACGATAGACTGGCTTAAGACACTTCGCTGGTGTCGACTTACGTTACAATATATCACGATGTCGCTATCCAAACCCTCGGACTTCTAGAAATCCTAAATAATCGTGTTTCTACCGTACTCCAATAACGCCCTAATATCAAACAAAGTGAGCTCATTCGTCTACCTTGGCGCCCCAGTTCATACGCTTTTTAGTCCTCAGCATCCAAGACCAGTGTTCCCAAGGGTCCTTCGCCAGGCTCGTCATCTCAATGACATCAGAATCCTTCGGTCCACCAACGGCCAGTCCGTGGTGAATTGCGAGCCTTGCATACTTGGTCGCCATCCACGGGTCGCCCGCCCCGTTGTACTCAATGGCTGCGTACGTATAGGCCTCGTAGAGATTGGACCATAACCTCTCCTCTTCGTACAGTGATACCAGAAGCTCGGCCATGGAGGGAGTCGCCTGAGAGTAAGGATCCCAATTGCGCAACTGCTTGCGAAGCTCTAGGATTTGCTGGATGCGAGCATCAGAGGCTGCCGTGAAGTGCTTGTTCTGTGTGCATGCGCTACAAGAGCAAGGAAAATGCCACGAGTTGTTCAGCCGGTTCAGACGGTCCTTTTGTGTTTGTATCGGGCTACGAAACGATGAGACACCTAGCAAGCAATGAGAGGGAACTGAGCCGGACTTACTCGATGTATGATATGGTGATCTCTTCGCCTGCCGCTATTCGGCGAACTGCATGCACATGCTGTGTATACGTCTCTGGGTCAAATTGATAGTCGGCGTTAGGCCGGCAGTCATGGTTCATTCGAGAGACTGTATAACGTTAGCTATCTACACTCGACTTGCAAAACGCTTTGTGAGGAACTCACTCTCTGGGAAAACTGTGTAGAAATTCTCCTCTTCATCGTCATTCTTCTTGGTGACGAGGCCGGTATCTTGAATGTCGAACGCGTTCGTGAGAATGACCTTTGAGACTTGTGTCTGGTAGTTCTCAGCATGGTCGTGAGTGGAAAGGTTGAGGAAGGCCGTTCTGTGCCTCTTAGGCAGATTTTCCACTGCCGCGGCCTGCATTTCAAGAAGCTGGGCTTCTGTGACCTCATAAAAGACGCTGTAATCGATCATGACCGACGCCGATGTGCTCATGATATGGTCTCCCATCTCCAGGTTTTGCGTCGCTATTAAGCCCATGCCCTTTCCTGGCACCTCTGCAACCATCCACCGTGGACTCTCCTCGGCATTCAATTCATCAATCGCTTCCGATACTTCCGGATCGTTGAAGACCTTTGATTTGGCAATCTCAATTGCTCGCTCTGGACTGGTAAGAATCCCAATACCCCTTCCCGCAAATTCTGGGTCAGAATACACGCAGAACTCCTTGGTACCATTCCGAGCACAAGGCGTCGCATGAGGCCATAACGCCGCTGCTTGAGCGCGATCCTCAGCAATAGGATCTTCTAGTATGGCAACTGGATGCTCGTTGGAGCATAGCGGACTTTCGCAGACGCCTAGTAGGTCTTGCGATTTGGCTGCGCCGTAATCGACAAGGTGAGCCACCGGATCTTTAGCGAGCACTGCTGCCACATACGGATAACACAGGATGAACCGTGATGACCTCATTTTGGAGATGGTGGATTCTAGGGGGATGCTATTAAGTCAAGTAAAGAATGCGCAGCAAATGGCTTGCAGCGCAAACCAGGTTATAAGTCATTTCATTGAAGGTGTTCCGCACCATTTCGGGCACGGAAGCTAAGGCGCAGCTCAAGGAATTGTCGCGTTTCAACATGATCGCCCTCTCTTGTTTGAAGTGAACTTGCTTTGACCAGGGGGTGGGCAATATGGAAACAAACGATCCAATGCCCCAGGGTTCTCCAACCCAAACCGTCCCACTGTCTGACCGGATAGCACGCTCAGCACTTGCAGGTCCCTAATTCTGGGGATTGCTCAGCGTCGCGGGGAACACGGAGTATGTAGCATCATATACAGGCCGATCCAATGTGGGGCACTGAATCCCAACATGGTGTCGTATCAGATCTGTCGCAGCTTCTGGGCTGCGAGAAATTGGCAAGGTAATTTGGCTCTGTGCACCCTTCGTGGCTGTCGCGCTGGCCTACGCATCATGGTAACCCTACATCTAGTAAAGCATATTTGAAAATGTAGTGATTGGCATTGACTGGTACGATCGCAGGGCTGGCACCCAGGGCGGAACATATGAATAGTAAGAGAACCTGCGACTTGGCCTTCCGAAATACCAGGGTAGTGGAGGACGAGCACCTGAGCAGTTTGGGATGATGCAGGGGCCGCCAGTAAGCGAATAGGCTAAATATCTCAGCCTGCAGTTCTCCACACCAGGGACCTTAAACTTAACCTTCTAACACAGCAGATGCTACCGGATGAGAAGTTGGTATCGACTTATGTAATATGCATACTGTCATTGAGACGTGGCCTTGCAGTATAGGTGGTTTAGAGCCTCATCCTGCATTCTCGTATCTACGATGAGACAATCTGCCCTGTCTACAATTGTAGGTGAGGTAGGAGCAGTTCAATCTTGAAACCAATCTCAGGGTAGCTCTAGCTGTGAAGAACAGACAAATTCGTCGAGCAGAGAGTATCGACCAGCGCTTCTTCCAATGTCTCAAACCGAGATGCTTCTTGTGCTCAATCAACTGAAAAGTCACGTCAGGCGCAGCTTCATCACTAGGGATAGGAGACCATATGTAAGCACCACGACTTTGTAAGAGAGTATTGTCACTTCGACAGTGGCCACGTGAACCGACGTATTGCTGATCTAGAGGGAAGATCTTAACGGTGGTGGAATACGTCAGTTTCTGCTACGACGACCTCGCCTTGGGCTCTCCCGATCTTCGCGAAGGCGTAGATCCTAGTGGATGAAAACAAGCGTGGATTGGACAGACTAGATGCAAAGTCGGATTACATGCATCGTGCCCTGCAAAATATACCTGTCTAAGAAGTTGACCTACTTGATGATTGACTGTGGCGGCTTGTTGGCAAGTTCAGATCTGATAAGTGACTAAGTCGGTTGAGTGCTCGGAGGTGGACACAAGAGCTATCAAGGCGAACATGTTCTGCAGAAAGATTCAATCCCTCTCATTAGCTAAGCCATTTGAATGGCGAGTACTATTTTTACAAGCGCACTAGGCGGCTTATTGATCCTGAAGAAGTCGCTCCATGTAAATGCAAAGGGTATATATAAAGTGATCCCAACCGAGCCCGACAAGTGTCCATGTCGCGCGAGACCGTCTATAACCCCAGAACGCCACTAATGCAAATGCAGATTCCAAGTCCTATTTCCCCAATATCCTGTTCCTCCGGGGGCTAAGCCGGGTATAGCTCCCGCCTCCTGTTCCTTTTCCATGTTGTAACCGGTCCGTCATTTCAGTACGCCCGCGCGCATCTTTCAGATAGCGTTGGCAATCCAGCTGATCTCATCAGTCAGCTCATTGAGACCTGCGTCCAGGCCATTCAGACTCAGAAGCGAAGTGTTTCCAATCGGGACGTCACTTTCATTCCGAGTAACGACGTCTGGGTAACCAAACGCACACGTTGATCTGTTTGTCGCAGGGTACTTCTGACCACTGGTTGCTGGCTGTGGCAGGCTATAGCCTGCAAAGGGCTGGTGACGATGCTGGCCGTTCATAGCATCATTTGGACCGGAATGAGGCAGATCATCCTCGTTCGACTCATCAAAGAATGAGAAGTTGACGTTTGCGGGTGAGCTGACGAATTGAGGGGAGATAGGAGATGCAACGCTTGATGAAGTTGCGGAAAAAGACAAGTATGATCGAGAAGTATCTAGCATGACAACTGGCTTTGGGCCTGTCATACCAGTGTCGGATGAGCTCACTTCTCCTGCGTGCCGCTCTGGCACGAGCGTGGTCATCGACTCGTTGTTGCCATTGACCGACGACGAGGATAAGCTCCGCTGAAACGGGGGAGGCGAAAGCGTCGTGAAAGGCGCGGTCTCCGAGACCGTAGAGGTAGCAAAGTTGTCGTCGTCCTCGATATCCTCTACTATCTCGTCTGGTATAGTGAGTTTATGGGCTTGGCCCGGAAGGAATTGTGGCATTGGCGTGTCTTCAGAGAGGAACCTTCGAAGAGACTCCGGAGAGAGGTCGCGTGAACGGCAACTATCGGAAGGCGTGGTGCTGCGGCTCTCACCGAGCCTGGCACCTAGGCCGGCACCGAAAGGCACATCCTCAGAGTCTCGGCTATTGAGAGATCTACTGCCATCACTCGAACGGCTGGACGGTCTCAACCCCAAAAAGCGCCGGGCCACACCGGCCCAGCTTGGTGAAGGCGATAACGAACGGGCCGATGCCTTGTGTCTCAATTGGATCGGATGCGATGTTGGTATCCTTGGTCCGAATGAGTCGGGAACAGGTGGAGCTGGTCTCGGAGTAGTGAACTTGTCTCGAGGATCCATTGTCTTGAAGTCGGTAGCATGTAGTGAGTTCATTGAGGCGCTCCTAGACCTCGACGAGAATTCGACCGGCACCTCAAGCGTGTTGACTGTCTGACCTGGAAGATAAGGACAAACATTTGTACTCGGCCTGCTCGGATCGTGTGTCTCAGTGGAGCCATCCACCTCATACTAGCATCATCAGTACAACTCGTCCCCATCCCAGGGTGAAAAATACTCACATAGTAGTAATATGTCTCTCCCATTTTGAGACCTCCACTACGCTTCTGGATCCCGCCTCCACTACCGATCTCTTGAAAAGTGTGACACCCGCGCCATTGGCCCGGGTCGCGTCTACCGTCACGTTCCATTCTGTAGCAGTTGGAAAAGTTGTCCCAAGAACCCAAGAGTTGTACCGAGCTCACTGATGGGTGGGTGCGCCTACATATGGAAAAGGTGAGCCTTATGTCCGACGGAGTGATCAAGAACTGCGCAGAAGAAGAAAGGAGCTGAGCAACACGTTGTCCCAGTAATCACCGGAAAGCAACATGAGCAGCGAGCGATACGAAGTAATCCCATTCATCTGACAGCTGTCATCATGGTCTATGCGCAAGCTGGATTAGGAAGAAAAAAGCAAGGAGTTGACGGGGCACTTGCTCCCAATGCTCTGGGTAACAGGGATGTTAGGGCATTCCATGCAGCATTGTCAGGTACCATGACTGCCGATGCCGATAATCTGACCATTCCCCCTTGCGCTGTTCCTGGCCAGCGTGGCAGGGCTGACGGGGAAAGATGTGTCGGAGCATGGGTTTTTTTTCTGGGTGAGATCTGACCTGCGCGTGGCCCCCCTGTGGACCGTGGAAGGGAATTTCACTGCAATTGGCAACCCAGCCTGCAAGAATCGTTGGCTGCCAACCCAGGTGACTGGGACAGGCCCTATGCGTTACGTGCGCAATGGCTGAACCAAGTGTGAAATCCGAAATGAGGATGTTGCATGAAAAAAGAAAGAATAAACTCTGTCTTAAGACCCAAGGATTGGAGATGAACCACCAAGGACCTCTGAACAAATGAAAAGCGCCAGGCCCAAACAAGACGCAACCAGTGCAAAACGAGTGAGACTCACAGCAAAAAAGTAAAGAGTGTCATCGTGGGATCCACCACAAGATCTCGAGACGGAGTCGACTCCATGATTGCAGGTGGATGAGGATAGGTATATATTTTGAACCCGCCAGTGCAGACGCCAGGGCCCGATAGTTAGCCGCGCCTGCTGCGTCTCAGTCCCCCTAGAATAGCAATGCGAGATTCCTATCCTGGTTCGGCGACATGTTACAGATGCCACAGGAAGTTTCTTTGATTGCTCAGTCCCGTGTGATGGAAGAGGACCGGAATGGCCAATGGTGTTTGTGGTGGTCAGGTCGGAAGCGCCGAGATGACCAGATCCGGTCGTCGTCGAAGTGGGCGGCGCTTACAGGACCGGGCACGTTCAGGGGTCCCGGCCAAGAAGGTCTTCTGGTGCGTCTGAGCAGTGCACGAGAAAGGACACCCAAAGTGTGGCGGCCAGAATGAGAGACAAGGCCACGCCAGATTTCTTCTTCAAGAACGATAAGATGTAGTGCTTTTGTAGGAGAGATTGTCAGTCTGAAAGCCTTCGATCGTGGGATGCGGCTGACACCAGCGTGGGTACGGCGATATTAAGCTCCCCCAGAGCGAACGCTAAAGCCCCAATAGCTTGGACCGCAACCAACGGGTCCTAAGCCACTATGGCCTGTAATCTTGCGAACGGGGCTTGGTCTGATCTGAGATTGGCTATTTCAGGCCTCCGCTAACTTATTGCAAGGTTTAGGTCGTGCACGGAGTTAATTGGCGCCCCAGCCCTCCCACGGCATTCCGAAATAGATGGGCAAGATGGGATGAAAGGCTGAAGAAACCTAGTTACGGCAAAGTTGGTTCGTGAATGAGGAAGTCGAGATAACATCAGCACTTCTCAATAAAGAGGAAAAAGTAATGATGACGGACGAACTGCAGGAGATGGGCTGAGGGCTCTGGGTGAAGAGGGAGATCTTCCCTCCTTCGGTGCTTGGTGAGCTGCGGATTCGTACCTAGTTTGGGCTATCACGTCGAGCACGATGATGGGCAGCGGGCATGCATGATGCATCACGACGAACGTACATATCATTAGACCGTGCATGATGCAGGTTCATCCGTGACATACCAGACGAACCATGCTACAGTCTCATCCACGCAAATGCGGGCATCTTCCCGAGAGCGTTATCTCAATGGAGTTTGCGTGCAACACGCCAACACCTATTCAACGCAGCACGCAATGCTGCACTGTATGCCCATGAGAGAGTGGTGACATGCATCCGCTATTAGTCGGCCTATTGGCAGGCTGTGTGACGAAAACGGCCAAGGCCAGTGCGCTGTGGCCGCATGTTACAAGTCTATGAGAGGCTGACGACGCACGTGTTGGCGCTTCCTCTGGCAACAAATCGTCCAATGGGAGCCCCAAGCGCGAAGGGAGCTGCAAGTTTCTCCGGAAGCCTTGACTCGGGAGCTTCGACCCTGCATGCGGCGTCGTCCTATTACGGATTATTGAGACCACAAAGCCTAGCTCTTCGGCAGACTCAGGAGCGGTATTCCCTGGTCTTCGGCGCCGCAGAACGTGGGCGGAGACGACATGTTGTCATTGAATTGTCATCGTCGTGTGGTTCCAGTGCATCAAAACCAGGTTTTCATGGTCCACGAAAAATTTCGCTCAAGTTCATGGGATGGACCCTGAAAGCGAAGTGGACGTCGGGCACCGACAATTGATCTATTACAGACAGAGCTGCAGGTGCCGAATGAGGCTCACCACATTATCAGCAAGGAGTCACAAATGTGCTCCCTGCTGAACCTCAAGAAAGGGAGCAGTCCGACGATGGATCTTTGCGGGCGGAACCACAATTTGCATTCTATTACACAGACAATGGTTTCGGCTCGGTATTTGGGATCGGACGGCAGATGGTGATCTAGATTTAATCCGTGCAAGTTTAACCTTGCCGCTCCCCATGGCCCCATTCGCGTCGCGCTACCTTGCATCATCCTACGATCCAGTTCTCATAGACACGAGAAAGATACTCCATCCTACTCATTCATTGCCGGGGAAACCTTTCAAAGATAACTGCTTAGTCAAGCGACCAAACTTCACGGCTCAAGCATGACCATTATCCACTCGGCCTCATTGATTGCAGGTGCTCAATCGGCCGTAGGCACCGTACTCCGACCAATGTTGGTGCGTTGCCGTGAGTCCCTGGTAGGAATTCAGCTCAGCGCCAGCACAGGCCTGAGCGCCCCACGATTCAGCTGGGCTTAGGGGAGTGGACCATGGCACCTCAGCAGAATTGAGAACGGGTGATTTCCGAAGTAGAATACCAGCTGGTTCTCGTCAAAGGCGTGCATAATCAATCGATTCGATCGAGCACGGCATGGAGCAATGACCCAACCCTTCGTGTACATGGCAGTTGGTAAGCAGGCTCTCATCTCATCTCTCCAGGAAGAAGATGGTGTGGTATGCCATCAGACTGCCACGTTGGGCCCAGTAGCACGGAACAGTGTGGGTCAAGTCCATCTTGGGGCGCGTCTGGCCAGGGACTTGAACGCCTCGGCTACTATATTTAGGCATACTTGATGACGGCAACATAGACAGAGAGAGAGATGTATCTTACCAGTGGCTTGGGTATTTGATGACATATTTTACAACATACAACTGTTGGTGGAACGGGTCTTCTTCAACCCTGTAGTAGCCCCACAGGCTACACGCCAAATTGTTTACCTTGTTGATGTTTGTCTAATGCCCTTACGGTGTGCCACGACAGCAATCGAGTAGCACAGCTGTCCGAAAACAGGTTCCATGAATCCAGCTGAGTGGCACATGCATGCTTACGCCTGGGGCTTTATTGATTGCCGATGTCCCAGGTGGCACATATTTTCACCGTATTGGTAAAGCTTTGTTGTAGATGTGGCACGTAGCCAGGCTTGTTCAGCCAAGCAATCCTACCGTATTGCGGTCGGAAATGTGATAGTTCTGAACTGTATCCATTGACTAGGTAAGAGGCAGCGAGGTGTATTCGATTGCAGGAAGCGCATAAAGATGGAGAAATTTGTTGCCATTCTCGAGGAGCATGCATGATATGATGTAGGACAAACTGGGTTGTTGTGAGTGCGCATCCGCCTCTAAGGTTTTATGGTCGGGGCTCGAAGAAAACTTCCACCAGATGGTTCGCAACATCTCCGTACATGTGACTTATCTGCAGATGACTTTGACTTGAAGATGCTACTAGGTATGCCGACGTTGTCTTCCTCAGTATTTTGAGACTAGGGGCTCTGCTAGTATGCATCACAATGTTGACCACTATCTTTCGATAATACACATACACTCTGATTGAGTCTGGCATAGGCTTCACATATACTAACCAACTATCTCTTAGAACTGAGCATTCTGACCACGCGTCAGCTGGGATGCAGGAGTCGAGAACTGGCGCTAGCCCCAAGGTTGGGGATCGATGATAGTCAATCGACAGGCGTTGCTCTCTGATGATATGCCGCCGGAACTATTGGGTTCGCCATGCTAGTCACAATGTCAACAATTGACTTATTGTCTCGAAATTGAATCTGAACATTCAATTTCGCCCCTTCCAGACCACATAACGCGTTTGTGATATTCCTGTCATCATGTCACATTATAAGCTGTGAATTGCTCCAATCTATAGCAAAACTCGTCGCATCCCTCTGTGCACCAGTCCAAAATAGCTCAAGATACCTTTGAACGAAATGACATCTCCATCTTCGCAAGAGTAGTTTGTTAGCTCATTGGAAGCTGCCTTGGAAGCTTAGAGCAACATGTACCAGAGCCAACGTTCTCTTTCCGTCTTCCGAAGGAATTGGAAGCACCTCGGTAGCCTTGAAGAAACTGGCAGTAGGAGGCCACTGGTAGTGATCACAGGATTGATTGTTCTGGTGGTATAGAAACCTATATCAAGGCTCCCTTGTCTATCGCATGCATCACTTCATGCACCCAAATGTTACTTCATTGATAAGATGCACGTTCCTACTTTGACATCGAACCTACTGGCTGATGTGGAATATAGCTATATTCAGGGCTATATGGCAGATTACGTGCTAGACCCTAGCGTCAGACTATGTTATGGACTGAAATGACATATTCTACTTGCATCATGTCATTCACGAAGGACATGGACTGCGTTCGTCCAGTCTTTAAGCATTCAGATTGGTTTGGGGCCAGAGGTCCTGACCAATGCAGCATAGCCGCAAATGCCTCCATCGGCAGGGGTATCTGCATAGGAACCCCAATTTTCGGAAATTCAGAATGTTGTCAGCCTCACCTAATTCGTACGCGTATCAATCTGTTTGGCATGCGTGCGTACTATGCGACTGATCAATATCGACTCATTTGAGCTTCACGAGTTCGTTGAAAATGAGCTCCCACTGTACGCGATACTGTCACATACTTGGGGTGACGAGGAGGTGTCGCTGAGCGACTTAGCCGATCTGAGCAAGGCACGGACAAAACAGGGGTTTCAGAAGATACAGTTATGCTGCAGGGAAACCAGAGACTACGGGCTTAGCTGGGCCTGGGTAGATACTTGCTGTATCGACAAGACGTCCAGCGCAGAGCTTGCAGAGGCCATCAACTCCATGTACAGATGGTACAGTGAAGCCGTGGTCTGCTTCGCCTGGCTTTGTGACGTCTCAGACCTGACGGATTTCGAACAGCCGATCCGCGAGGCGCCACGGTGGTTCTCTAGGGGTTGGACGCTCCAGGAGCTAATCGCTCCCTCGACAGTAATCTTCTTCTCGAGAAGCCGGGAGCGATTAGGCACGAAAGATGACCTGCGGGTGCCAATATCCGCCCTCACAGGCATAGAAGGTCCCGTTCTGTTGAACTTAGTCTCTATGGATAGGATTCCCGTGGCGAAGAAAATGTTTTGGGCAGCCCGTCGTACCACCACAAGGGCAGAAGACCTCGCGTATTGTTTGCTGGGGATATTCGACATAACCATGCCGTTGCTGTATGGTGAAGGCAAGAGAGCGTTCACGCGCTTACAAGAAGAGATCCTGAAACGCACAGACGATCATACAATATTCCTTGGAGGGCTCTTGACCAAACGAAAGCTAGGGGAATATGGCGTTGGAATGTTCTCAGAGAGCCCTTCGGATTTCGACCTCCAGTGGGAATGCCAGAAAACTGAAGTTCCGTCCTCGGATATCCCGCCAAGACTAGTGGGAAATCAGTTGCATATTACCTTGCCCATCACCTTGATACATTCGCCCAGGCTCGCGAAAGCAGAGATCATAGGCGCAGGCTGGGTCTTGGACCGAGACTATAGTGACGGTTTCCTCGTACAGGGGGCACTCGACTGCCATCTTGGCGATAGCCAACTAACGAGATACTTTCTCCTGGCAACTGCAGATGACCTACACAGCCCATGTCTGCGATTGTTGCCAGTTCCGAACAGTATGCAGTGGGTTCCTTTGCAAGACGTTCAAAGTTGGACCAAGAGGAAATGTATCGTTGCATCGTGCGAACCTCGAGAGAAACTGCAGCCTGACTTGAAGTTTCATGACGACTTTGACAGATGGAGGTCCCTAAGGCTGGCAGAAGAGCACTCCGGGATAGCGTCCACTCGAATTCTCGTGGATCTGATCTTTCACAACGAGAGGTTTCGCACAGAGTCGGTGATAGTCGCGTGGGGACTCAAGGGGCATTCTGCTATCTGTAGAGTGACCGATAGTATGCCTGGTGGCGAAAACATGCACCATCTAGACTTGGATTCGCTTTACGAACGCGGCCAGGATATTATCGATGAGATTCTCACTTATGATCTGGACACTGACAAAATATCACGGAGGCGAAATGTTAACATTCGATTTTCTCGAAATTATGAGTCTGGGAGCAAGTTAATGGTTGTGGTGCGTCGTACAGATGTCCTGCAGGTGCACATTCATGCATGAACCGCGTCGTAGGGGGAAGGGTTTGCACAAGAAGCCAAGGCGGACTATAATGCATCATATTTCCAGTCAAGATGAAATATATTCAATAAGCCATTGAAAACTATCCCTATGTTGCTGAAGGGGGTATCTCTAAGTTGCAAAATACCAAACTCCGATGCTTTACCAAACCATGTTGTTTCTACTCAATTCTATACCAATGCCCCACTTTCTATCCCATCATGTTCATCGTAAAACTGCCTGTTCTGGCACCACCGAGGATTTGCTGACCTTCCATTGGGTTTGTCCTTGGTAGTATAGCCCTACGACCCTCTTCGACCGGTGTTGCGTCGCTATCGGGACTCTCGATGGCGGGAGAAGGGGTAGAGTCCGATGTGGAAGACTCCTCCTCAATTGTGTAAGTCTTCATATTGGACTCTGCATAGCTGAAATGGCGGCCAGGAACCCCTGGCTGGGTAGGAGATTCAGCGGTGTCAGTATCGAAGAGACCGGATTGTAGTGCCGCAGATGATCTTGTTGTTTCCGTCCCCTTCCCTCGTTGACGAACACTGAGGCTGGATCTCAATGAGGCTGGTAGACTATCATCTTCCCACGCCTTCCAACATTCGGCGTCCAAATCTAGCATCTGATTTGTGAGGTAGTCTCTGTTCCGTTTCAAAGTCTCGGTCGCCTTTTTCACCTCTGTATCCCAATGGTCCCTTAGCCATTTGAGTAAGCCATCCAGACGGGCTTCCTCTGACTTCGAAAGAGCTTTGTGCGGTGCCTTCTTCAACTGCTTCCTAAATAGCTGTCTCTCTTTCTCTAAAGCGTAATCGCGATCAGTTTGCGAGATGGGAAAGGACACGATGTGGCCATTGTGGCTCAAGGCATGGACAAGCTTCGAAAACTGATGATGATCGAAATTGTTGCTCTGAATGTCGAGCATTGCAAGGCTGCTGTTTGCCGCAATCACGCGACAAAGCTCAGTAATGTCCTCAGCGGCGCCGATGTCGTGGTTGCGGATACGCAGCTGGCGCAGCGTGCTATTCTGTTTGAGCCCGCCTAGTGCGCCAGACAAGCCCCAGCCGAGATGAGCATCCTCAAGCTTACCACTGTAACCAGATAAATCCAGGAATTGCAAAGTTGTGTTACTCTCAAGGAACTTGGATAAGAGCTCCGAGGTGGCTGGTGTGGCACGATCGGGTGGACCTGTACCCACTAGACTCAGATACTCAATCGTTGAATTGTGTGAGAGTGCTGTCAAAAGTTTGTTGAAGTTAGACTCGTGTCTAAATTGGATCATATCGAGATGTAGCCTTTTAGGAGCCTCATTACCATGGATAAGGTCAATCCAGTCGGTGGACCCATCCTCAAGTGGGTTGCTGTTTAAATGCAGATGTATATCGCGGCCTTTGCCTATTCGGCAAAAGATCGCCGTTGCAACTTCCCCGGATATCCCACAGTGGTTAAGAGCAAGTTGTCTGAGTGAATTGGACTCTTCTGACTCCATGTACCGTAGGAACGCAGTGATGGTATCGAAATTGATCTTAAGAGACAGATTAGCACGGGGTCTTCGTACGGATCCGTTCAATAACACGGTTTTGCTCACCTTCCAGCCCGAGAGATTGACCTCCTCGAGCCTCCATGCGTCACTGTATGGGGATGTATTCCAAGGACGGAAGAGTGGGCCATCCATGTGTCCCTTTAGACAGTATGCCATATCTAGCCGGCGTAGCTTACTCGATTCCCTGAGAGTCTGAGACACTCGACCTGCCTCGAGACAGCTGAGATTGTTTGAGAGTTCGAGTGTTTCTAGGCTATGTCGCTGCTCATGAATACCTTCCCAAAGAGTTATGTTCGCCATTTCGTCAAGCTGGCAACGAGAAAAACTCAGACCCTTCATACAGTCCGGGTGGCTCTGGAATGTTTGATCTGTTCGCATGTCAGATCCATGATATCTCAAGTAATACAACTCTTTACGGTTCACTTACACAACTCTGAGATATCAGTGGCATCCAGTGCATTCCCGTTGAGGACTACCGATTTGCACCGTGTCTGTAGCGATCTCACAAGTAAAATGATTGGTGGTACGATATCGCAGCCTTGAAAGATAAGGGAAGGGGTTGAGACTTCTGTTGTTGGTCGTCTGGATGCTTTTGGCAGAACGTCACTAAAGTCCACATGCCTTATCGATTCAGACCCCAACAACATGGCCACAACCTCCTGGAACAGGATGGAGGACTTCTCTGCGACTTCGAACTCATCACGCGTCAAGCTTCGTTTCCCTAGACTTCTGTTAGCGTTCCATCGTAGCTATCCATGTTCGATCCGACCTCACCTGTCCGCGAGAGCCATACTGTCGGCTCAAAGCGGTATGTATTATCAAAAACGTGTGAGAGTGCTTCAAAACTGACGCCGCGGAAGGACAGAGACTTGAAGAAATCATTGAACCGTAAAGCTCGGAAAACAGCCAGTAGCTGATAAGCGGTGTACTCTTTACCGCTTGGCGGAGGTAGCAGCTGGAACTCAGGTGCATGCTTCACATCTCTCCAGTTAACCTTCCACTCTACTGATGCAGAGTGATATGCCTCGAGGAATGCCTCAAGGGTTCTCTTGAACCCGCCGTAATCATCACCTTCCGGGAGCGGTATCTTCTGTGATTCGCCCTCGATGACGAATATCTCGCGGCGTGTCCACAGCGGCCAGGCAGGTTTCAAGAAGGTATCTGCCCTAAAGAAACGGGATAAAACGTTCCTCTGGTGCCGACTAGAGAGTTCAAGCTTGCTAGGTCTGTCAAGGGGTAGGCTAGAACAATTCAGCTTAGTGCTCCTCCAGAAGAGAAGACAGGAATTTCACTTACCGAAAGATGAGATCAAACCGCTCGTCGTTACGACTGGCGCTGACTTTTGAGAGTGCAGCGAGTCCAAACTGAACAATGCTGGGATTGATCCTTTGGCCGGATGGGGAGCGTGTGAATTGGGCCAAGAGACACGTGTTTTTGCTAAAGGCCAAGTAGAATGACGAACCTTCCCTCCAGCCTCTCTTGACCTCTCCCGAATTCACCATTAGGCGTGTGTATGGCCTGCGTGGTACGACGGGGAAAATGTCCAGATGAGCACCCTGTTGCGGGTATTTGGCTTCAAGAATCTGAACCAAATCGATCTCCACATCCGACGGCGTCCTTTCTTCCAAGGTTACTCTCATTCTCTGTTTCACAGCATGCTGAATTTCCTTCAACCAGTCGTCTCGGTCACCCGGAAGAGCAAAATTAAGCTCTATGCTCGTGAAAGCTGATGCTGGGCTGGAGTCCTTCCACCATACTTCAATGCCGAAGCACGGCTTGGTCCCCTCATCTCTGAAAACTGAAACCACTTTCTCTAGTGGTATGTGGACTTCAGCCCCGGCACCGAGGTCCTTGAAAGAAGCCACAGAATTCACCGGCGACAGAGCCTCGATAGCACTGGTTGGCACTGAGACCTGGGGGAACTGTTCCGTAGCAGCAGATCGATTCTTGAACTTGTAAAGCCCGACCGGTGTCAGGACGACGTATTCGCGCTTGTTCTTGAGGAGGGATGTTTCTTCCTGCAGAGGGCCAGACTTGAGAATAGTGCTAGCGTCACCAGAGATGCTTGTTCCTTGGCTGCCGCTTCCCGATGGAGTCGTAGGTCTCGTAGAATTAGATGTACACTCATTGTAATCCTCAGAAGATGCCTTGGAAGGTCGCCGGACAAGATCCTCCTTTCCTTTTCCGTATGGGTTGAGTTTGCGAAGAGTTGACCTGCGCCTTTCCGACAAAGGTGAGGCGAGATCGGTGTCTGAGGCATTGGACAACTGTGACGTCTGAGAACTGATGCTCAGGCTCCTAAGAGCCCTCATAGGTGCCCTAATTGGCGAGAAGGATGAACGTCTTTGCGCCTTGGACGTTCCCTTTCCTTCGAAGATTTGTTGAGCCGCATTTTTGGGTTCCATTTGACAGTGTGGGTTGGTAAAGCAGATGATCGGTCTCAAAGAGACAGTCTCACCTCTTGGTCCACATCGAACGATACGAAGCTAAATGGTATCATGCATACGAAAAGTGAAGAATCGACCCTGGGCCTCTATCGCAACGCTTGTACTCAGCTCTTCCACTGGGTATCAAGTAAATGGAATGTCCCTGTGGGATGCGTTCACTAGTGTCTCAACACGTTACCCGCCCGCGCTGGTCGGAAATGCGTCGACGGCGATGCTGGGAGGTTCTGGGCGACGAAAATTCCCACGCTGCCGAATGGCTGATGTTGAGATAAGCTACCACCAAGGTAAACGAGACTACATGCGTTGCTCTGTGTGATCGGCCAGGATGAGTGCTGAGAACCGGTTTTCCTTGGTGAACCATCCAATGAGAGCGTGGAGGGGCTGCTTGGACTTGGACGACGAGCGAACAGCAATGACCAATAAGAAGCGATTGTCTCGACTGTGGGATCTTGATTCTTACGCAGTGAATCTAACATGCAGCAGTAGTCCCCGTAACCTAAATCGCAGTGCCTTATTCTATCTGCAGAGCAGATGGCGTGAGGATTGAGGTTCGTGAGAGCTTCATGTCGAAGTTCCAAAGTGGAGTTGCTGGGCTAACGACGTCATAGAGTTGGTTATCTGGGACTAAAGAGTGCACGACCCTCACGCTGGATCAATCAACGTTAGTGCAGCGAATGCAACGTCAAGATTAACAAACAGTAGTAGTATATGGACAGGCTTGCTTCACCTCAGGCCTCGCGAGTTGGTACGACCATAGACTTTGTGGGCTCTTACACGAACCCCTATACTCCTATATCATCTGGCCCACTTCCTGGATAAGGTTCAACAGGTCGGCATGTTTCCCTCAAGACAATGACGAAAGGTTGATTACGATCATCGACCGAGACAGCAGGGTGAAACTCGGATGGGTAATAATGTTTGGACCCAATCAAGCCATTCCAGTCAACGATAGGAGATCTACAAACATACCGAAGCACACATCTCTAGCCCCAGAGTGCTAATCCTTCTGCTGGAGGATGTGGAGGTCCTGAAGGAGCTCGTGGCAATTGCCCACAGGGCCACAGGCCTGGCAAGCCTGACAAAGGGGAATGGAGCCGCTCATTGAACCCTGCAAGCGTCCGCAATACCCAGTCCAGTGGAGGGAGATGCTAGTCTAAAGGTTCTGCTCTGAGAGGATCCAAGTTGCTGGAGCGAGATGCTGCAGATGCCAAGGTGTGGACCGAGATCAGTGGATTGATGATCGAAAACCTTGCAAAATGCCGTGACAAGCAGCAAACTCCATGTCCCTGACTGTCCATGTCTTACACCATGTAGGCAACTCCCTCGGGCCAAAGCTACAGAAACTAGCAGTGACTTCACGCTGTACCCAACCGTCTGCACGTTTCCATGTCTCATTTGTGAATCATATACCCACAGCATCTGAAGTCTGCCGTTGCAGATCGCATGGCTCACCTGACCCGAGTCTCAAAGTAGGCCACTGTATGTGGACGCAGTGTACCATAGGATTTTGCCCGTATATGCACTTGGGGGATTGCCTTGTCATACGCTAGCTTGTGCTTTCCCCAGTCCCATTCATGCTGTCGGCGGGAAAAAGCAAGTTCACTCTTCTGGGAGACGGAAGGCGAGCTAGTGCCATCCTTCGATCCCGCGATAGCTTCCTAGCGGCGCATGACAGCTCAAGAATTTGATTCGTGTAGGTCGTCCCGGGCCATTAGGAGCAGATTGGTAAATTGTCGAGGCACGCATTCCCACCGGTGAGTGGAGTGGTTTGATACGCCGCTGCCCTGGCTTGCTGGCCGGAGACGCCCGCCTGCCCAACAGCTGAAAATCAGTTCGGAGCCCTGTTATTGGTGATAATAATTGATCGGATAACGAAATGCGTCTCTCTGATTCCTTCCCGGGTCAAAGTGCACCCCACGTCCTTGATTAACGAGACATGCTCAACATTGCCAAATACCGATCTGATGTTTGCCCTCGAAACATTGCGACGGGGATTGCGTCGTCGTCCGCACATCCTGCCGAAGTAGCTGACCGCTCAGTCCGCCCCCCGGCCCCCATCGTGAAGTTGGGAACTTTAGATCCAAAATGGGTTGAAACGCGGCGGGTTTCAAGTTGGAGATCGTTTGGCCACCCCCTGTCTCTGGTTGCAGGGGCGGCCCCTCGCCTGGCTGATCTGGGCCCACCTTTTACATCTGCAGATGGCGCCCGTGTTGACTTCAGGGACCGCTGGTTCCGAGATCACGACTCCATTGGCTTATCAGCAATCCAAGCTATGCAGCACCCAATCAACTTGATGTTTTGCCGGACCTTGCCCGTTGGTTTTGAGCGCTGACCGTGCCGTTGCAATGGGCAATGTTGGTTTGTTTCCTCGATTCCCGTGAAGATCTGCTTCCTGAAAAATGAGTTTCTTGTCTCTGCCAGTGAGAGAGTGCCCAGAGGATGGCACTGTACTCGGAGGAGCTGAGACCTGGCCCTGCTGGCTTCTGGGCTGGGAGTGCTCACACTCGCGCTCACGAAAGCTGAAAGTAGCACTCAATCTGACCGGTGGCGGTTGTTGTCATAATTACACAATAATAGTATGGCCTATTATCGGCGGTGAAGGAATGGTGAGATGAACCGGAGGACGACCCATTATGCAGAAACCAGTGCCATATCAAACATGGACCACTTGGTTACCGAGCCAGAGGAACCAAAAGCCTAGTTCGTCCTTAGCAACCACACGCGGCAGACGGGCGCTAGAACAACGCGCAAGTGAGGATGCACATCGCAATTCATTGCTGCATTAGGAGGGGGATGATGCCATAGTCTGTCGGCTTCAGGCCAGCCGTTATGCCGGCTAGAACACACGGAACACTGTTCTGCTTTGCATGCTTTTGCTAAGCTGCTGTGTCCCGTCATTTCCAGGTCGATCTGAGTCGATCTGACAGTGTCTTTGGGGACGATAGCCACAAGATCAACGTCTCAGACGCCTCAGCCAGCGCCCTCCCATTGGGGATCCTGGGCCTCGATTACGGGGACTTGGTACATGGGCAAATGGGCACCGCGACGGCAAGGCAGACAACGCGCTCTGGCCCACTTTTACCGAGTTTCACACCAGCTGCCGCCGTGATGCTCGGCTACAGGGGGTGAAGCCAATCAGCATCTGCCATCGTTGCAACGATGCGAGGAACAACTGATCATCGTCCCAGGCATCGCAAGCCGTGAGCGTGAAGCTGGGGAGGCCCCTTGGTTCTGCCCCCAGCAATTGCGAGTTAGCATGGCTTGGGGGGAATTGTCGACACCAACTCTGCCATCCTCTGGCCCCATCCAGCGCGTCTGGGGAGACGAGAGGGGGCAAGCCCAAGGGGGATGGCAAGATGGAATCGACAAAGACCGCTGGAAGGTGACTGATGGTCCAACCCAACCCGGTCGACAAACTATTGTGGTAGAGCACATCCATGATTGAATCTCCATTTGAATGAGCGCCCGTCCGCCTGAACGACCGAGGAGTGGTGTAGCTTGTGGCACACTGGCAGGCCCCTAACCCACTGAAACCCGAACCTCTCGTCCACCAACCAGAAGCGGCAGCTCGATCCCCTCTTTTGTCTATTTCTCACCATAGCACCGCACCGCGCCGCTCTGGCTTACACTTGGCCCGCGCAGCACTCAATTCTCCTGTCATCCCGAGTTCTCGTTTTTTAATTTTGAGTTCTCCCAATCTACCTCCTGCCAGGTCAGGGGTCTTGGCTCTCGTTCGAAACCCGAACTCAGTCAGCGAGCGAAGGGTGCAAACTCTATTCCTGCGACAGACGCTGCTGTGACTTGCGCGTGGGAAATGATAGGGTGAAGGGCCGGCCTGTGTGTAAGTGAGTGCACCCGGGATCCCGACACTGTCCTGTGCAGTCCCAAGAGCCAAGAGGACGGTGGGTCAACGCTTCACCTGCCCTGGGTTCCCACTTGTTTGGGTGGCTCGTCTTCCTCTGCTCGTTCATCGCCTAGCCCGAATAGTGCGTCCACTGCATCTCTGGTCGACGCGGCCAACGCTATTTGAAACCGCCAGCGGACCCAGCACTTGCGCTGCTTGCAAGCAGAGCCGCTTCGTGTTCGTCGTCGTCGCAGGCGGTCAAATTACCACTCGGCACCGCCCAAAACGACGCTATTCCCACCTGCTCGAGCCGCCGCGAGACCTCGACACCTCGAGCCACCCCATAAGTGGACGCATTCTTGCGCCTTGTCCACCGCTCTACGCCCAGCTAACGGCATCCTTCATTCTCATTCACCTCGAGTAGCCTCGGAACGACTCAGGCCAGCTCAATCCCGCCGCAGGTCCCGACTCGAGACCGCGACGCTGTCAGCTGCCCTCACTAAGCGCTAGAGCAAGCTTGCGGACCTGATCTATCAGCAAGTGCTTGGGGGCGCTTCCATAATTCGCTTCGCCAACAATCGTCTCATGTGGGCCTGGCAAGACAAAGAACCCTTCTTTTCACGGCGTCGGGAACACAATGGCCATGCTTGCCTCCAAGTCACCCTATCCAGCATCGCTGGGATCATCGGGCTCTACGCTCGTCAACACACCGTCGAACATGCCTCCGAGACGAGTACCAGCCATGCCGCCGTCGGGCCAGGGCTTTGGCAGCCCAACCGAGTCCGAATTCTCAGACGTTGATGGCCCCGATGCAGTCAAGAACTGGAATGAGGACCAGGTCTGTGAATATCTTAGGAGCGTCAAGTGCGGGGAATACGAGAAGCTGTTCAGGAAGAACCACATCAACGGCGAGAACCTGCTCGAGATGGACAAGGAGGTTCTGAAGGAGATGGGCATTGACAAGGTCGGCGATCGAGTACGCCTGTTCCTAGGCATTAAGAAGCTACGTACGAAGGCATACGCGAACATTAAGAAACGGAATAGGGTGAGTTGCTATGTTGTCGAATCCCCCGCGCGTCGATTCGACGGTGGGGAACCTATCTGGATGTCATGATCTGATGCAATACCGCAGGACTCGTTTGGTGTACTCGACTCCCAGTATACGCCGTCGACTGGGTCACCAAGACCACCTCACTCCGGCAGCAGCAGAGCCATGCCAACTCCGCCTTCCACCAAGCGGTACTCGCGACAGATCGACCTCTCCAGCTTCGGAGGTCTCAGTGCCCCCATGGACGCTGCAAGGTCTACCTCGCGGCCCAGCTCTCCTCTTCCGAGTGCAGATATTCGAGCTGTGCGGACGCAGCGGTATCCCAACCAGCAACATCCGCACATGAGCAATGCCACCCCTAGCTCTGCCGGCAGGCTACCCAGTTCACCCCCCGACCAGCCCCAGTCCGGACGCCTGGTAAATACCCATACGAGAAATCAATCTAGTATGGATGGCTCGCTGATGGCTGCGCTCCCACAGGGTCAAGGTGTAATTCGAGTCATCTCGACAGGCGGCGTCACCAAAGTCGTAAAGATCTCTGGATGCAACACTTGCGAAGAGGTCATGAGGGTAACGTTACGGAAATTCGCCCTACGAGAAGATCACGACCGGAATTACTGCTTCTGGGTTCTGGCCGGTGTCGACCCCGACCCTAAGCAATGTCGGCGGCTTGGCGACACTGAGCTCTGGCGCATCATTAAGGACCAGAAGCGGCCAGAGAGAAACCGCCTTATTCTCAGACGTGTACCTTCAGGCGAGCCTGGCGATTCCGAGCTTCAGAGAGCCGCAGCTATCGCCATGGAGGAGGCTCAACAGAACCACGCCCGTGCTCTGGAGACGGTACCAGGCAGAAGCCAGCTCAAGGTTCAGAAACTCCTTGGTGAAACCTGGGACGAGGGCCTCCAACAACCGCTTTCCCCGTTATCATTTCAGGATCGCGAGAGGAATTTCCAGAACGCAGCGCGGGACTTGGAGCGGCCAGCGTCTAGTGATACCAGACCAACCCCACGGAAGAAGGGGATCTTGAGGCAGTTTGGCGGCCTCAGACCCCCGAGCGAGCTTATCACTTCTGATTTGACATCGTACTTCCCTGATCACCCGAGAGAGGATATTGACCGCACAGCACGTTTATCCATGCGCCGCTCAACACGTCTCAGCCGGGTCAACAGCCGGTTGAGTGTGGCGAGCAACCTCAGCTTCGCGTCTAGCATCCAAGATGCACCCCCAATCCCCACCATTGCCGACAACTGGCTCAGCGCTACTAGCCAGGTGGCAAAGGTTCGGCCTAGAGATCCTAGCCGTCTACAACACCAATACCGAGACTCGGTTGCCTCGTCTGTGCTCGGCACCTTACAAGAGGAGTCGCCCATCGAGCCCAATCGGAAATCGTATGTTTCCTTCGCTGATAGTGGATCTGACAGCGCTGGCATCAGCGTTACCGATCCTGATGGCCACAGCCACGTCATGCGACAGAGCTACTTCGACGAAACAAGCACGCAAGGCTCTGGATCGCTCAAAGAGATATCACAGGCCCTTGAACAGGACGGCGAGGATGCTGACGAGGAACTGCAGAGTTTCCTTGCAGGCGAGTCTTGGGATGACAATAAATGGATGAAGGGTGCTCTCATTGGCCAAGGTTCCTTCGGCTGTGTCTATCTTGCACTTCACGCGGTGACTGGTGAGCTTCTTGCCGTGAAGCAGGTTGAGGCTCCTTCGCCAGGCGCCAACAGTGCAACCGATGCTCGCAAGAAGAGCATGATTGAGGCCCTCAAGCGAGAGATTGGCCTTCTGCGCGACCTACAACATCCGAACATTGTGCAGTACCTGGGATGCAGTTCATCCACAGAATACTTGAACATTTTCCTCGAGTATGTCCCGGGTGGCTCGGTCCAGACCATGCTCAATTCCTACGGTGCACTGCCCGAACCTCTGGTGCGGAGTTTCGTTCGACAAATTCTCAACGGTCTGTCTTACTTGCACAACCGAGACATCATCCACCGTGATATCAAAGGCGCCAATATTCTTGTTGATAACAAAGGAACCATCAAGATCTCTGATTTCGGAATCAGCAAGAAACTCGAGGCTACTAACATCCTTAATGGCGCCAACAACAACAAGCATCGCCCTTCGCTACAGGGTTCCGTGTTTTGGATGGCACCCGAGGTAGTCAAGCAGACGTCGTACACACGTAAAGCCGACATCTGGTCGCTTGGCTGCTTGGTCGTTGAGATGATGACGGGCAATCATCCATTCCCAGACTGCTCCCAACTGCAGGCCATCTTCAAGATCGGAGGAGGCAAGGCGGCGCCGACCATTCCCGAAGGCGCCAGCCCTGAAGCCGTTCAGTTCCTGACTGGAACTTTCGAAATCGACCACAACCTCCGACCCAGCGCAGACGACTTGATGCTTAGCCCGTTCCTAACTCCTATCACGTAGGACGTGAAGGAGGTCAACGATTACAAAACGAGGTATTCCGCCCTGACCCGCTAAGGGTCGACCGTACCATATTGGCCGCTCTCGAGCGCGCACGATCGATGATGAGCATTATGCGCATGCGCCCTCATCTACTTCAGACTTGTTGTTCCATATCATGACCGGGATCTCCGTCATCTCGAGAATATGCGATCCGAAGGACAAATCCCAGAAATAAACGAATTAATACAGGAGGCATGGCAGGGAAGGGACTTTTTGGTGGACCGGACCGAGGATATAATAGGCATGGATGAAGACAAATGGATATGGAGCTGCCTTCCCCCTTGTTTTCTCTTCCCTACCCCTCGTTGCTGCTTTTCTCCTTCAGGGGAGCTCGCAATGGAGGTGGGTGGGCCAATTCTGTAACATAGATCGAGAAAGACAGCGACGAAACGGAACGAGACTCATGAACACATACATACCATATAGCGAGCTTGCAGAAAGGGAGCTGGCTGGCTTGGCTTCTGGCGGATGGGTACTAGCGCGCCGTGTGAAGGGTTGTAAAGGCAAATAGAGCATCTGACATACCCCATTCTCACTTTTCAATCTTCCATACCTGGTTACTTGCGAAGAATGTGACTATTGGACCAGTGCTTGCTGCTGTAGACAAATTTAAAGCAACTCCACTAGGGGTATCACGAACCATACTTGCACGTTGAAACCAACCTGGCGTGCCCGGCCTTCTCCACGTTATTGCTCATGCAGGCCCAACAACCACAGTTCCCTTGACGCTCAAATCCCCATCCTTGTTCTCAACCCAGACGTTCCACTTCTTCCCGTCTGTCCCTGCCGCAGTACCGGATGCAGGCTTGACGCACACCGTCAATGGCTCGCCCACATACAGCGGTGCCACATTCCGGTAGTCGATGCTCTTTATCCTCTCGCCGGTGATGGTCAGCTGTGAGCGCACCACGGCGAGCATTAGCGTCAAAGACAGGGGTCCGTGGACCAACAAGTCCCGGTGACCCTCAACCTCACGGCAATACTGGGGGTTGAGGTGGATTTGGTGCGCGTTGTAGCTCAGTGCGCTGTAGTTAAAGAGTAGTGATGGCGTTGGCGTCAGGGTGTGGGAGAAACTTGGGTCTTTTGGAGCTGCATGATTTGGATTACTTGTTAGTCTTGCTCCAACGCGTTTCAAGATGTCAATCACCCATGATGACAGCATTGTTTCTTACCTCTGATCGGCCTCCGATCCGTGACCGCTGCCCCGGCCTTGGCCTCCTCGGCGCTCTGATTCTTCAGGAACACCAGTGTCCGGATCTCCGTGATGGCCTCCTGGCCGTCGACAAAGCCATCGTCGCCATACCGCCGCTCTACGTCGACGAAGATCTTCTCGTCGCCCTTGTAGTGCCGGATGCTGACGTCCTCGATGCGCTCCCGGCAAACCGCCCGCTGGCCCCGCGTGTGCAGTGGCGTGTGCCAGACGATCCGGCCGCCAGCCCACATGCGCCGTTCGAACGGCGCCCCGGGCAGGCAGTAAGGGTCCGTCCCGTCTGGGACCAGCAGCGAGGGCGGGAGCTGCAGCGGGAAGTGGACAAGGTGGTATGCCTCGGGGAGGGCGTGGCCGCCACCATCGGACTGGATGGAGGAGGGGGGCAGGGCCGCCGGCGGCAAATAGTCAGATAGGGCGATATTGAGCAGATGACTTGGCATGGGCGAGAGGATGTCGTAGGTTAGGTTTTCCGGGCGCGACACCATGGCGGCCCGGAGATTATCTACGTGAGACGGGACGGGCGGGATTGACGACAGCGTCACGGCGGGCGAAACATATACATTATGCCCGGTTGCCGTGGTCGCAGCTGAACTGGACGGCCGGGCCAGATGCGATGAGAGTTGGCCGAGGCGCCGGAGGGAGGTGCGTGAGTATGTCATGGCTTGTTCATATCACCAGAGGGCCAGGCTGAGACGGGCGCTCTTGTACATCCAACGGCGGCGCCGAATTTGACGTACACTAGTCGATTGAACAAGCAAAAGCAACCCGAGAAGAAAAACGAAGGCTGCGATCTCGCTTCCCCGACGCGGCGGGTAACTGGCGGTCCGGGATCGTGCTCTAGGTGACCTAGGACCGACCCACTGCGAGCGAGCCTCGGGATATTATCAGTCGGGATCTATACAGTTAACTGATCGTCACGCACTGTGATCCCAACACTGTACGTATCGTCCTCGCGTCACGACTTGGGCCAATTTACACGGTCCGCCAGGGTAAGCGCGTCCCTAGCTCGAGCTGGTCGCGACTTCTGCCTACGAAGAGTTGCCGGCATTGGAAAACGACAAACCGAGAATCAGGCAACACAGGCCAGAAAGATCACAGGCCTGCATTTATTGTCGTCGGCTTTCTCTTTTACGCTTTCTCTCCAGCCGGTCAACCATTGCAGCAGAAGTAGTTGCCATTCTGGCTTCTCGTCGCCTCCTCCTCCTCCGCATTGCGACGGGTACGCCTCGCAGACTGCTCAGCACCACCGCCGTCGCCGCCATGCCGCCCAAGCAGGCCACTTTGGGGTACGTCAAGTCCTCGCAGACCACCTTGGGGTGGGTCGCCTCCTGAGAACCCAGATTACCTGAAAGTTACGACAGTTTACTGACCCCCGGCGCAGCAAGTTCTTCGGAAACCCGAACGGCTCCAAGCCCGCCCCCCAGCAGACCAAGCTATCATTCGCCACGAAGTCGGCAAAGAAGCCCAAGGAAGAAGCTGAAGAAGATGCTACGCCCAGCAGCAGCGCAGAGGTGCCAGATACCAGCTCCAAAGTGAAGGATGAACCAGACGCGAAAGAGAATGCGGACCCAGCGGACTCGAAAAAGCGCGATCGCTCTGGCCTGTCGCCGAAAGATAAAGTGAAGAAGAAGGCATCCGCCAAAGTCAAGACCGAAGAAGTCGAGGACGAGGAAGAATATGCGCCGGTGTCCAAGCGACCGCGCAGGAATCGCAAGACAATTGAGGAGGACGATGAAGATGAAGTCATGGCCGATGCTGCACCTGCAAACCCAATAAAATCTACAACCACCAAAAGGGGCTCTCCGAAGAAGGCTTCTCCCCCTGCTATCAAGAAGAAGCAACAACCTGAAGCCACAAAAGCCGAAGATGACGTCAAGGAAGAGGCTACCGCATCAGAGTCTGCCTCTGAAGTTGAAGAGGACGCGGACGAGGAAGAAGAGAAGCCTGAAGTCGCAGCAAAGGCACGTGAAAAGGTACAAACGAAGCTGAAGGCAAAGGCGAAGGATCCGTTTCCGGATTGGAAAGAAGGCACTCCAGTACCGTACTTGGCACTATGCACGACCTTCTCTCTCATTGAGCTCACCACGAAGCGGTTGGAGATCATTGAGCACTGCTCCCTGTTCTTGCGCCAGGTACTCCGCCTGACTCCAGACGATTTTCTCCCAACCGTTCTCTTGATGATCAACAAACTTGCCCCTGATTATGCAGGCATTGAACTAGGTATCGGCGAATCCCTTATCATGAAGGCCATCGGCGAGACGACTGGGCGCAGTCTTCAGGTTATCAAGAACGATCAAAAGGAGATTGGCGATCTTGGACTTGTCGCCGTCAAGAGTCGCTCGACACAGCCTACCATGTTCAAGCCTAAGCCTCTGACGGTGAAAGGTGTACACAAGGGTCTTATGGATATCGCAACAGTGTCCGGCAATGGAGCGCAAGGTCGCAAGGTCGATGGAATCAAGAAGCTGCTTTCCGCGGCTGACTCTCATTCTACTGGCAAAGTTGACATTTACAAAGATAAGGGTGGCCCGAGCGAGGCCAAGTACCTTGTCCGCTTCTTGGAAGGCAAACTTCGCCTGGGCCTCGCGGAAAAGTCAGTGCTGGTCTCTGTTGGGCAAGCTATGATTATCCACGAGAAGGATAAGAGCGGCAAGGTCCCGAGTACGGATGAGATGGAGCAGGCCGAGTCCGTCCTCAAGACAGTCTACAGGTCAGTGGACATTGCATCACCGGAACACGAACTGCTAGCTAACAAGAACCAGCGAATTGCCCAGCTGGGATGTCATCATACCAGCAATGCTCAACAACGGCATCATGAAGTTGCGGGAAAGCTGCAAACTTCGACCGGGTGTTCCACTTAAGCCTATGCTTGCGAAGCCAACCAAGGCTATTACGGAAGTGCTTGACCGATTCGAGAACCAAAAGTTTACTTGCGAGTACAAGTACGACGGGGAGCGAGCTCAGATACACTACGTTGCCAAGGAACACCAGGATGAGTACATTGACGGTGTTCCTGGAGCCACCAAAGAGGCGGCAGCCGGAATTGCATCCATTTTTTCGAGAAACTCGGAAGACTTGTCGAAGAAATATCCCGACATCCTTGACAAGCTCCATACCTGGGTCAAGGAAGGAACAAAGAGTTTTGTGCTCGACTGTGAGACAGTTGCCTGGGATGTGACAGATAAGAAGGTCCTCCCGTTCCAACAGCTGATGACAAGGAAGAAGAAGGATGTCAAGATCGAAGACGTCAAGGTCAAGGTCTGTGTGTTTGCTTTCGACCTGCTGTTTCTCAATGGCGATGCCGTGGTCGAGAAGTCACTGCGTGAACGTCGCGAGCTTCTGCATTCGGCTTTCAGTCCAGTTGAAGGAGAGTTCGCTTTCGCTACGCACATGGACGGTCAGGAGCTCGAGGAAATTCAGACATTCCTCGATGAGAGTGTCAAGGCATCGTGTGAAGGTCTCATGGTGAAGATGCTTGATGGTACCGAGAGCGGATATGAGCCTAGCAAACGCAGTCGCAACTGGCTCAAGGCAAGTTCCTTGGCGACCTCGAACTTGAAGCGCGTTACTAACTTGACTGTAGATCAAAAAGGACTATCTTGCAGGAGTTGGCGACTCTCTGGATTTAGTTGTCTTGGGGGCTTATTATGGAAAGGGGAAGCGTACATCAGTCTACGGTGCCTTCTTGCTAGCCTGCTACAACTCGGCATCTGACACTTACGAAACCGTGTGCAACATCGGAACCGGCTTCTCTGAGCAAGTCCTTGAGGAACTCCACTCGTCATTGTCTGAGATCGTCATAGACCGCCCCAAACCTTTCTATAAGCACTCAACCGATAAGCCACATCAGCCAGATGTTTGGTTCGAACCGCGGTATGTCTGGGAGGTGAAGACAGCCGACCTAACCCTGAGCCCGAGATACAAAGCAGCGTGCAAGGAGGGACTAGATCCAAGCGGTGAGAAGGGTATTAGTCTTCGATTCCCCCGATTCATCAAGATCCGTGACGACAAGAAGCCTGATGAGGCTACCGGGAGCAGACAGGTGGCCGAGATGTACAGGAAGCAAGAGAGTGTGACAAAGAACAAGGGGCCTAGTGTGGATGATGATTTCGAGTATTAAAGATTCATGCAACCTGGACACACTATTTTTCATGGGATGCGGCATGATACCTGGTTCCAAATAGGGTTGTTTGCATGAAAGAAGAGCCGGCTTTGTCCCACTCTCTATGTTAACTGGGTGGCATATTGTGTTTCATAGGCGTGCATAGGTCTACCAATTCAACGCTTTCTGAGTCTCTACATCTGTCAGGTGCCTGGGCCAGGGCATTTGCTTCTATAATATGTGGCCGTGTTAGCGTGTACGTTGCTCAAGCCGTCATACCTCGGAAGGGGTTATGTTAAGTCGCCCTCATCAGCCACTCAGGTCTCGCAGGGGGTCGCTCGACTTTGACTTACCCGATATCCAGTTACTTACCGAGCTTTTCAACCTCTAATATGATTGCCACAGCTATATTGTAACCGTTCCGGTGCTGACCAATCTACACGGCAATAGGTCAGGACAACAATTTTTGTTTAGGCTTCAAATTCAAATACATACACCCCACGGTTACAATACCAGTGGTCCCTCTTTGCCTAATAAATCGTGCGCTGAATAGCTCACCTGCCTGAGGACTTTCGGTGCTTCACGTGTCTGAGGCATCACTTAGCAGGTGCTAGTATTCAAGCTTCTCTGCCAATATTCTACAATTCCAATAGCACAACATTACCTTAAGAACATTCATACATGTCAAGTTGCGTGACGGATGGGTCACTTCGGTATTCACTGACTCTATATTAAAGGCATATCCGATCAAGACCGTTTCGGAGCCACCAATCCATGCTATGGCACCCACTCGAACGCAACCGCAGCCAGCTCGCGAGCTCCACAACTTTCCCAGGCTCCCCAAGGAGATCCAACTGCTGATTTGGGATTTCTGGCGTCAGCACGCCCCTATCATCCGACATTACTTCGTCCTCCATTTAAGCGGCCGCGCATATGCCGCGTTCAACTGTCAAACCAAGAACTGGGTGCAGACCGCCACCAGAACTGCAGAGCCCAGTCATGACGATCCTTTGGATCCTATGGAGCACAAGATTCTCTTCACCAATGCAATAAACGTTGCACTACCTGGTACATTGTCTCCAGCCCCTGTTTCTTGGGCCCATGAGTCCGCTCATGGGAGCGTCTATTCGCATATTCATCAGATCCTCAGCGGCAATTACTTCTTCGATCGAGGTAACACACTTCGTCCCGCGCACGCCTCAGTCAACTTTCGAAAGGACGTCTTCTTCATTGATAACATTGGGTACAGACTCCCCGGAAGAATGCGCTTTCTATTCCACAGAATTGGCGCTAGGCGGCCACGGTGGGTGGAAAATCATTGGGCTACCAAGATTGAAAAGCTTGCCTTTTACGTCAATGGATCACAACAATCAGAACTGAATGGGTTTTGGGGCGAAATCGACATTGAAGCTTTGGCAAATATGAGATTGCTCAAGAAAGTATATCTTGTTTTTCGGTGCAGCGGTTGCTCGGTCGAACATCAGCATCGCGCCGACTCGCATGGATTCGTCCACGATCTTCCTAACAATGGGATGCACTCACCCGATGTTGGTATTCTTGATGAATTTGGAAACATTTCAACTCTGTGTCGGATGTCATCAGCCAAAGCACAACAACAGAAGGCGGAAATGGCGAGCCGCTTTACTAAAGCGGGTAGACATGCTGTTGAGGTCGAGGTTGTGGCTGATGTCGGCTTTGTATGAAAAATGCATGAGGCTCATCTTATGGGCTATGTCTAGTCGCCGAGCCCTAACATTGATTTTGATTTTGGCTTTCACCCTGGACACTTTTCGCTACTCAGATAGTGCTCTGCACCAATAGACCTTATCAATGCACGCGACTCCGAGCTGGCTTGCTATGGGTAGGTGCATTCTTGTCGATGACCCAAGTTCAAGCATTAACTTGCCTGCTTCAACTTCGGTAACCAAGCAATGTTATTGTTATGTCCCCTTCGTGATCTTCGCTACATTTTGTGATCACCCCCAGCTCTTTCATGAATGGATCGCCGATGTCATAGACCCCGTATATCTGCTGCTGAACTTTCGGGACTTTGAGCAGAATCAACGTATGGGCTCCTGCTTGTGACTTTCCGCCAACGTTCTCGTCACTCTTGTTGCTCAGCCGGCATAAATCGGCATAATATATACGATATCATGAAATACAGACACGCAAGACACGCAACCTCTGATAGGCAAAATATCTGTTGTATGAAGGAATTTCAGTTAATGGTTGACGTTAGCTAATAGAAATTACAAAAAAAAAAAAACTAATAAGGAAAGTGAACCCCCAAAATTATCCTCTCTACATATCAAGTCCCGCCCTAGCCTTTCGCATCCATACCCGAGCTGCCAGATGTTCAATACGTTCCCAACTCTTGCGCAATGTGGGCATTACCGGCTTAGCAGTCAAACTGGCAATACCATTCGTGCTCATCTCTCAAACCGTTGCTAATACCGGCTGCCTTGAAGGTGTATTTGAAACAGTCCCTAGAGTTCCACCTCTGCGTGTTGTAACCAAGAGTAAGCGCATCATGGCTATTACCAAATCTCTCCCGACCACCGATCCACAACTCTAACTCAGTTTTAAGTGGTATCTTGATGGTTCCTGCCGGGTTCGTGGCGGCCCAGTGGCCGATCTGGGCTCCCTGATGGTTAATTATGTCAACCGCCCATTGGTGCATGGATGTCGCAGCCGATGCTGCGCTGTTGGACGCTGGCGGTAGTTATCAGCCATGTGTCTGCTATGATAGGAGCTAATGCCTTACCATCGATGTGTATGTGAGCTTGGCACTTGCCGTCCTGCCATTCTGCGCGGGATTTGAGATCAGTTCTCTCGGATATTGCTGGTGCAGAAAAAGCGCCTCCAATGAAAGCCAAAGAGAGGAGGGTGGTCTTGGCGAGCATTTTAAAGGAATAGAATTAATGGATGAATTATAAGTTAACCCTAAATGCGAGGGTAGTCTAGATGCGTTATGGGTGAAGTAAGAAGACAAGACAAAGAAGAATATTCAGCCGGTGTGAAGTTGCACGTTGACAATTCCAATCAGAATTGGCTGAATCATGGCTGGCCATTTGTTTATATACCAGTCAGTAGAACGGGGAAAAGCCAGATCTGCTGCACAGCAGCGGCCATTCCGGCGGCCTGCTTCACAGTATACGAAGTGCCAAGGCCGGATGGCTTAACATTTGTTCTATATATTGTCGTTTGCAGACGCCATTGGCTCGGTGCCAGACATAGCCCTGGTTTTGTTTGAAACTAAATTCTGTCTGACTTTAAATCATGGCTTATGAAGCCGGAGATGCTCATTATCCAGAATGTGGGCGCCTGAGCGGACCGGCATGGTACAGACGAAGGTAAGCTGAGTAGGCTATTTGCAAGCCTCGTCCACTTGAGTGCGGCGGCCCTACGATCAAGCGGCCGCCGGAACCTGATTTTACCTCTTAAAAGCGCATTTTCGTGAACGCTTTCTGCTTCAAACGCTCACACGTCACCAACGTGAAGGCTGACAACACACCACCCAGGTCCGAAGAGTGCAATCATACGGTGCCAAGAATTAAAATGAGTCTTGTATCAAAACTTACCTCATGTGGAAGTGAATGACACGATCGTAAGCGCATGGCTTGCCACGAATAGATATCCCTAGCTGAAATCAGACTTTCTTCGGATATCTCTAGAGACTCACGGAAAGTGTATATCCGGGATTCCTTATCGATCCTTGTTTGTCCGGCTGAGGTGATGAATCAAGTTGAATGAGAATCAATGGGTACTATCATAGGAACGCACTTATCATTGTTTTGCAGGTGCCAGCTCGCTTCTGATGATATCTCCGTATGAGATCCTCGAAGGCTCCGTACCTAGTCTATTTCATCCAGACTGGTCTAAACGTACGTATTAAGAAAAATGCCCTGTTTAAACAATGACCTACCTATAGATATCTCTGGAAGGTAGAGTCACCATTTGTTGGGTCGTGGTTATATAAATAACAACTTTCAGCGTTCTTTAGTCAAGCTGTGTATATCTTGCAAAACATCAATGCGTCGAAGTCCTTCGAAAGCGTCTTACACTGAGCGTAACAGCGTCAGACTTATGATAGCTGGTTTCCAGTCTCCCAGGCCACTCATTCACTTCTAGAGTTGCCCCATCGCGAAACCATCCGCGACTTCTCGTCTCTTTACCTATCTCCATCTCACCAAGATAGTTGGCCAACGTAGAGCTTCCAAAGGTGCAAATTATCCGATGGAGCAGATGGACTAGGCTGCCTTCCACTCTCATAAAGATGTTATTCCCTTCCCTGCTCGTAGGGGAACGTTTGTCGCGTACCCCGTAGCTCCCAAGCCATTCGAGATACGACTTACCTCGAGCACAGTTTTCAGTCGCCATTGCGGATCTGTTCCATTTGCCTTGTCCTTGGAGCCCCTTTCTAAGGGATACGCATTGTGCCAACCATCATGCCTGATATTTTGTTGATAACTAGTTGTTGGATGGTGTTTCCATATCTTACGCTCTAGCTCAAAACCTCCCGCCTGTTCTTAAGGGCTGCAATTGGTTTTCACATGAACGACTTCGTGCTTGGCTGTTCTTCGTTTCTAATATTGTTTATCTTTATTATCTCAGAGATGGTTTCATAGAGGCTGCCAAGCTGGTTGATTGTAGATCTGTTGATGTCTCCTTCGCAACTTCTATTTTGCGTCGCCCCTTGCCTAGCTTGCCTATGAGTAGGCCGACCTGTTACTGCCCAAGTTGTAGGCGAAGATCCGGCAAGTGGTGAACCATGTGGCTCACATTCCTATATGGCATCCCACTAATACACTCAGGGGTTAGTCCAATATGCTTGAGCTAATGGCATCTGTAGTTACTGACTCCTTAGATGAAGCTACATGAAGTTCTTAGAATGCTGACGGTAGTTATATGGAAACCACCACCAGATGATATCTAGCGCACCGACTTGTTGTTTTCTTGTCACCAATCCCCTGGAGAGTGGGCATTTGATTCATCTTTAGGTGTCCCTCTGTTCAGTATGTGTTCAGGATAGCTGGTAGAAATGGGGCAAAAAGAGATGTAAGTGTATGGGGGTTTGAATTGATGGCAGATGTGGTGCATAAGGTTCTGCTCGTTTTTCGACGTGCAGCACGGCCAAGTTGACTTTTGCTACCTAGAGCTCGTCGGAGAATGCTTGTAGCTCTTTTGCTATAGGCCAAAGTTGAAGCCAAGGTTAGTGTTCTAAGGAGCGATGAAACTCGGATTCGTGAATTTGGGCAGGCACAATCCGAAACCCTACATATCACAAAATGCACTTCATTCGTCACAGACTTGATTGAAACCAACCGCTATATGTTACGATAGGGTTTGATTACATTAAATATCGACCTGGCTAACAGTCTCGATTGGCCTAAGCAGTGGTCAGAGTGAGGGACGCGAGGTTCGAGACGCTGACACCGTCGAGCTCTTGCAGTTGTGGTCTGTGCGGAACCAGACGCTACAAGCTATGCAACTACTAGAAGTCAATAATGTATACTTCCATAAGCATATGTATTGAGCACGCCGCGCACCATTTGGTATAAATAATTACTCAATTGGTTCAATGACGAGGGCCCGAACGCTGTCTGGTAGGTTTAGTGGTCTGCCTCATGTGGAGATGCCGGTATATGACTGGCGAATGAGCTTGCTCGACATCTGCCGGAACGAGATTGCCCAAGACCCCGCAGATATGGCGAGAGCCTTTCTCCCCAACCTGAGCTCTGAAGAAGGCGATCGACGCAATTTGACACAATGGCGACGTCGCCTTGCTGCAGCTGGTCGTCTTATAAATCATGCGCTATTATGGCGCGATTGGTTCCCCTCCTCCACATCCCGCAATGATATTTAAAGGTAGACCCCGCCGCATTCCGATAACACCGAACGAACACGATGAACTTCAAAGTTGTCTTGAGTGTACTGCTTTTGTTCACTGGTTTTGCACAATCTCTACTTGATTTCTCTCCCAACCCAAGACTCGTTTTCGACAACTATTGGACTAAGCTGAGTTGCGCTACCATGACTACTATCAAGAATGTTGCTGTCGTTGGAGTAAGTGGGGCCGAAATCCTTATACGTAAGATCAAGGGAGCATGGTAGGCTGATAATGTCTAATAGGGCTCTGGGAATGTCGGGAAGCCTATCGTGGCAGGCTTATTAGCCGCCGGGTTCAATGTTACGGCTTTGACCCGCGAGTCCTCTTCTTCCACGTTCCCTGACGGCGTGAAAGTCAAGAAAGTGGATTACGAGTCGGTAGACTCCATTAAGGAGGCACTGCAAGGCCAAGATGCCGTTGTTTCGGCAGCAGCCACCATTGCTGTGGGGAAACAGTATCCTATTGTTGATGCTGCCGTCGCTGCTGGCGTTAAGCGCTTCATTCCCTCTGAGTTTGGCATCAATACCCGAACAGTTAGCAGTCAGGGCCTGAAGACGATCTTGCAGGGCAAGATCAAGGCCCTGGATTATATCATTGAGAAGTCAAAAGCAAACCCCGACTTTACCTGGTCAGGCGTCACCACAGGGCTCTTCTTCGACTGGGTATGTGTCAGTAACAAATTACCACGGTAAACACTAATCGTGTAAAATCGCAGGGCTTCAGGACAAGCGGACTTGGATTTAACAAGGATACTAAGAGCGTGGGGATCGTCGATTCGGGCAACACCCCCTATTTTGCCTCCAACCTGCCCTTCATCGGGAAGGCTGTCGCAGCCATCTTGGCCAATCCAGACAAGACTGCGAACCAGTATTTGTCCGTTGCCTCCTTTACCGTATCTCAAAACAAGCTTTTGAAGATCGTCGAGGAAGAATCAGGCGCAAAATGGACTACCAAGCCCGTCAAGTCTCCCGATCTCGTTAAGGCTGGCGACGAGAAGCTGAGCAAGGGAGACTTCAGTGCATTCAGAGATTTTCTGCAGGCCTACCTCTTTGCAGATGGGGGCGACAGTACGAAGGGTGTAGAGCTTGCAAATGGGTTGCTAGGGCTCCAGGAAGAGGATCCTCGGCCTACTATCAAGGCTTTCCTTGAGGGCAAGTTGTAGATAGCATGCTTAGTACAAAAATGTCCCGCAAATAAAACGACGAGGGAGAGAATACAATACATCTGTTATGAAATGATGTATCGCAGACAGGAAATGTGGGATGAGGCTCGCAGTAGATATCAACCTTCCGTTCGGAACACAGTATATTTCAGCCCAAGACAAACTTGGCTTTCTCAAATCTTGCATCTGGTCTCGTGCCTACTGCCGATTTATTTGTACGGAAACAGTTTCAATCTTGGTGCCATTAGCTAGCCTTGGCTTGCTGAGACTATCTTGTTTAGGCATGCTTCCCTCGTCCTTGAATATGACAGCTATGATACACAGGCCTTGACGCCGAACATATAACTCACCTATAATTCCTTTTCGGGTATACTATAGTTGTGTCTGACGCAAGAAGTAAGCGGGAACATAATTGCTCCAATACTCATGGTGCTTGCTTTATCTATAGTCCCAGCAGAGACTTTTGTAGTGAAAAAAATATCTTTAGGATAAACTTAAAGACTCCTTTAGCCAGAACGAAGTGCATCAAGGTAAAAGTATTGAATACAACGCAGTCGTTGAACACGTAAACTCATGAATCGCGGCCTTAGTGAGTGCTATCCTGAGCAGAGAGACATATATGGCCAACCATGTATAGAGTCACATGCCAGTATTCCCCGTAGAGAACTTTAGCACCAAGATCTACTCATTGCAGTCGGAAACTGAACTGTGGCTACGAAGTCGTGCAATTCCGGCAGCGGTCTTTTCACTTGCTCAATTGAATTAATATTTTGCTAAGGCGCCTTAGGGTTTTGCTCATGACGACACGGACCGCTCGGGTTTGTTGACCGAGCAATGAACTCTAAAATACGAGGGGATGTAGTTTCTCCAATACAGAATGCACTACCTGTCGTCTTCTCAACGGATACCTGGCTGAAAAGGGAAGGCAGGTGAAGCTTGGCCTAACCTCAAGAAAGTACGGATGGTACTGGACGCTAATTGAGGTTAGAGGAAGCTGAAGATTCGCACTATTTCATGCAGCGCTAGTGACTAGTATATGTATTGCTCGACCTGTGTGCTGCTCCAAGATGCTTGTTTGAACAACAGCCGAGGGAAAGCATAGTTGCACGCACATTGCGTTGCGCGTCTGGGTGGAAAAGGGCCCACTTATCGTTGCCTCATAGTATGCATGTCAAATTAGTCTTCAAGTTCATGCAGGGACAGATAAGCGATGGGATGCTCACGGCCTCAATGTCGCCGGAAGACCTACCGAACAAGATGCAAATGCATTTGGCACACCGGAGCTTTAACTGTTTGTTGAGAAATATTGAGGCGGCGCAGAAACTATCGAATATACCAAGTAGTGGCGAATGCTGAGCCTCGTGCCAGTGCATATGCATCTGTTACATCGGAGATATGCCACAACATCAGGGAATGTAATATTATGCAGACAAGAAAACGTGGCCACCATCCGTCAGTGGCCGGATTTATAGCCATTTTGAGGGTGGTAGCTGGGCTTCGGCCGATCCATCACCATGTTTCTCGAGCTTTGGCATGTCTGCAACGAAGCACGGTGGCATCACTACATGTCCCCGCTCATTCCACGCCCTATATCAGACACTCTTCCGCCAATCGACGCTACCGTAGAACCTGCAGGCGCGCGAAGGAGACTAACGCACGGAAAAGTTCCGAGTTTCGCGAGTCCAGACCCGAAGATAATACACACCGAGATCCTTCCATCGAAGGATCAGCCCACGTGTGAACATACCCTGCGCGGCTCGCTCTTATACCCTAAAATGGTTCCGCCCACCACTCCGCTGTTGTACCCTGCAAGCCCTGCAGATTATCATACCCTTCTGGGTCCAAGCCTGCCAAGAGCCGGGCGCCCCGCATATCAACGTTGCACCTAGGCCTGTTTTCGCGTAAGCGCACGGAAAACTTGCCGCATTCGACAAGCAGGTCGGCCCTGAGATGGGATGAACGGTATCGCGAACCCGCCGCATCGCGTCAAGGATCTGTAGATCTTCCCAGCTTATGCGTGCTTTACCGGCCACGCTGGCGCTAGCCTTCGGCAAGATGGCCAGGCTCGACGAGGAAAACCCGCAATGATATAAAGATAGACAAGTCCGAAGATGGACTGGTTATCATCGGTCCAAGAGCTCCTCAAGCTCTCCTGTCCCTGGCGCGTTAACTTGCTCTCTGCAACAGTTCGCTGCCAGCGAGATTGACAAGATGCGGACGTCTCTATCAGTATGTTTCGCTTCGATCGCCAGCTCGGTTTTGGCCGCGCCGAGCAGCCTCCGAGCAAGACAAGATACGCCCACCGTTGATCTTGGCTACGAGCTCCATTCGTCGACATACAACGTGAGTGATCACTATCCTTCGTTTTTGCACACAGATTTCCGTCCCCGGGTCACTAATGAGATTATATCTTTTAGAGCACTGGGGACTATTACATTTTTAAGAATGTCCCTTATGCTGAACAACCGATCGGAGACTTTCGCTTTCAAAAGTCCGTACTCCCGACAGGCGCGAGCTCGTCGGTCAATGATGGCGGCTCAGCCGATCTCGAGTGTATGCAAGCGTATCCGGGCTGGGTTGTAGAGCTTCAGGCTGCGGCATATGGCGTCGATGTTGCAACCATGGCTTACATCCTATACAACGCCGGCAACCAGACTGAGTCGTGCTTGCTCCTGGATATCTATGTACCAGCCTCCATATACGATCTTGGCATTGCTGCAGAAGCACCAGTTCTCGTCTGGACACACGGCGGAGGATTCACGTACGGCTCTAAGACCTCAGACTTTGCTGGGCTGCTCTCACGATCCAACAACACTTCAATTATCGTATCGCTCAACTACCGCTTGGGCGTGTTCGGCTGGCTAGACGGTTCCGACGTTACGCCTAACTTGGGCTTGTACGATCAGCGCCTGGCATTTGACTGGATCAAGGAATACATCGGTCGCTTCGGTGGCAGCGCTAGCAGGATTACTGCCATGGGTGAAAGTGCTGGTGCTTCTAGTATGTTGCATCACATTACTGCCTCCGGGGGCGCGGAGAAAGCACCCTTCGAACAGGCCGTGATCCTGAGCCCTGCATATCAGTTCAATCTTGATGGCGCCAATGGATACAAGTTGACCATGGAAGAGGCAACAAGCCAGACTGGGGGAACGGTCGACAGCGTCGAAGAACTGAAAAATCTCACCTCGGAACAGCTCAAGTCTATCAATCAGGCTGTGGTCTACGCATCCGCCATTGGTGGTTTCAATTACGGACCAGTGGTGGATGACACATACGTACCAAATCACCCTCAGGTACTTTTATTAGAAGGGAAATTTGACCACTCTGTCAACGTAAGCCATATCTACCAGCTATCGTCGTGTTCTACGGAAGCTAACATGCATACAGTTGCTGGTCAGTCATACGTCCAATGAATCGGTGCCCTTCACTCCCAGCAACATATCTACGGCCGAGGACGTTCACGCACATATCAGCCAGCTCTTCCCAGAGGCGTCGCCAGAGACTATTGAATACATGCTCACCGAGATCTGGCCTGACGTTCTCGATGGGACATATCCCTGGACCACCGAGTTCGCTCGGGCTGTCAAGATCGGCACCGAGGTCCACTTTTCCTGCTCATCCCGCTACCTTTCTGTGGCCTTTGACAACCATACGTACGATAGCATTTTCAGCTACATGCCTGGCTACCATGCTCAGGATGTCCCATTCTACTTCTTCAATGGAGACACGAGTACACCCAACAATGGCCAGCTCACCAACCCAACCATTGCATACGCGATGCAAGATCATGTCATGACTTTCACGCTCACTGGAAATCCAAACTACTTGGGCGCATCCGTTGAATGGCCAATCTACGGTTCTGATGCTCAGGTCCTGGACTACACCTTCACCGGCCCTGATGTGGGAACAGACGACTTGAAGAATCCCCGCTGTGACTGGATACAGCAAGCAATGGCTGACGGAATACTGTAAATGAATGGTGCAGAAGAATGTACATTAGTATCACCTACATGTTGACGAATTGATTGATGGTGCTTGAGATGGAGAATTCTCAATGTGCTGACAGCCGGGCAAGGCAATCATTAAGGGGACCTGGGAACTGAGACAATAAGGTCGAAAGCTCGGATGCAGGCTATTGCTGATAGCACTTTAAGGCTGTATATATATCTGAATACATAATCGATGTAAACGTATTTTGAGCTGCCTGTTCCAGGGGTGTTACCACTCATGAGGCCCGTCGCGGCCACCTCTAGCTTCCATGGGTAATGGGCCCGTGTCTGGAAATGCAAGGGTCGCCATAGCTCTGATGCCCACCCGATTGTCGAGAGCAAGATCTAAATCAAATTGTTCCAAGTAGATCTCTTTTCCTCGCTTGACGGTGTCCTCGTGCCATATAGTCCGCCACTCGTAGATGGGATTGAACAGTGGCCAAGCGACCCACCTGATAATAAATCTGAGAGAACGTCGGAGCACCAAGTGAGTACTTAGGGTAAGGAAGCCAACTAACATGGAACATTTGAGGCATTCCATGAGCATAGTACCTTGAGAGTGCAAATCCACTCCGTTCGCTCTGTAGCTGCGAATCAAATCCCACCACGGTATGGCCTGCTGTATGTCGCTCATATCCAATGTCGCCATCATGAACCGCGTGAGCTGGTAAGCAGTGTACGACAAAAGATGGAAAGCAGTCGATCGCAGCGCCAGGGCACGAGGCCTGATCTCGTCTGCCAGGTCAGAGTCCTTGTGCACTTCACACGCTTCCTGCACGCGGTATCGATAGAGGAACATGAAAAGCAATAGCAGCACAGTTACCGAGAGCTGAAGAGCTATCTGACCCAGGAATTTCTTGTGTGGAAGCCACGGATCTGTTGGATCAGGCCTGTAATCAACCCACATCTTACCCCCCTGGACGAACGAGATGATTTCCTCGTATCCCCATACCTGGAAGAATCGAATGGCATAAAGAAATCCTTCACGCAGACACCAGCGGAGGAGCTCATAGATAAGGACCAACAGTACGCACGAGAATGTGTCTGATATCGCGGCAAACATCTCAAAGAGTGCCACCGGGACCTGCCACGAACCGTTCGGCAGCACGAGTCTCGTCTTCTTCCATTCAAGGATGAATTCCTCGTCGAGTTCCTGCTGAGGGACATTCTCATGCGGCACAGTAGTGTCCAGATCCCAGCTCCTGGCGATGCGCTCCAGGACTCGCAGTTGCAAGTTCATGACGCCGACCTCACGAACCTCCTCGGCATCGTGCAGCGCGTACTCGAATATGAGAGTACTAGCTATAGACATGCCTGTAGTAAGGGCAGCGCGGAAGGTAACATAGCCCAGGTGGTGCCAAATATGGCGCTCTTGGGCCCACTGGTACTGAACCTCGAGGTTGCCAATTATGATCAGCAGAACTGCCACGGCATACGCCCATTCCAGGCCGAGGGTGAAGAGCAGAGGAGGAGCTTTCTGTTCAAATGTCCAGTCTTGTACATAGACTATTTCTGGCCCTGCTGCTGGTTCTGCGGCCTTTACAGGGTTAATTGAAGTGTTGTTGCGCAACTTGAGAGTCATCTCACATCTTGGTCTTCAAACGGGCCATTCGGCAGGTTTCCCTCGAACCCGATATCTGGGTGATCTCTTTCGCCCTGGCGTTGGTCCATCGGATTGGATACGATGCTATGTATGTAATTGGAATGAAAAGTCCCACAAGATCTGGCCAGGGTGAGATTGTTTTGAAACAAGACAGTGTTCTTGTTAGTTTTCATTGCGCCAGCGTCGCCCGGATGCGGAAGGCACAAAGCGACATAGTATAGTCCGGCATTAAATGGGAAGAGAGACTGCGCCGCCCCGCTTGATAACTGTCGCGAGGTAAAAAATTACGCTACAAGTGCAATGGCCATTGTAAGAGATACAATCGACGCTTGGAATTGGTGGTTCAAGACTAGACCGATCCGTGTGGAAGACTTTTTGGTCTTTTATTGACTTATGTTTACGTGTAACCGTGGAAACCGACAATCAGATCCCCAAAGCTATTTAGTAAACCACTTTCTGTATGCGTACTGGAAGTCTACAAAGTTTTGAGTGCTGGGTTGGCAACAACAAGGCTGAGTATTGTACCCAAGAGCTCCTCAATCATCATCATCATCATCATCATCATCATCAGGGAAAAAGGAAGTCAATGAGAAAAAAAAAGAAGAATAAAGAAAAGTGGAAGTAAACTGTGGAGTTTCGGGCCATACCTAGCAGTTAGGACTTGGAATTCAGGTCCATGGGTGTGCATAAGTCTGTGCTTGACCACAGGAATGCTCAGGCGGCGCTTGTATACTAGTTAAATTTACTTTCGGAAATCGCCTCATCTTGGGCGGGGGCGCCTACCGTCGGCTTTGGTGGGGCCAAAATCACAAGCGACCTTGCAAGACCGCAAAAGGCCGAAGAAAACTTGCGACATTCCTCTTCTGACTCGCGGCATCACAGGACACATTACGGTCAGCAACGTCTGACTTTGGGCCATACTCATTAACTCGACGTCCTGGTTGCTTCCAACACCTCAAACCCCCTTCCAAGTCTACTTGCGCCACGATGACAGCTACGAATGGCACCAACGGTGCCTCGTCCCTCCCCCACCGCCCGCCTCCGCCAGCGACTGCTCTGTCCGCCACCGAGTTGATCGGCAACACGCCTCTGGTACGGCTGAACAAGATCCCGCAGTCCCTTGGTATCGAGTGCGATGTCTACGCCAAGGTGGAGCTGTTCAATGCTGGCGGTTCGGTCAAGGACCGCATTGCCCTGCGCATGATCGAGGAAGCCGAACGCTCCGGTCGAATCAAGCCAGGCGACACCCTGATCGAGCCCACGAGCGGCAACACAGGTATCGGTCTGGCACTTGTAGGCGCCATCAAGGGATACAAGACTATCATCACGCTGCCCGAGAAGATGTCAGCCGAGAAGGTCAGCGTCCTTCGAGCCCTGGGCGCCACCATCATCCGAACACCCACCCAAGCTGCATGGGACGCGCCGGAGTCCCACATTGGGGTTGCCAGACGCCTGGTCAAAGAGATCCCGAATGCGCACATCCTGGACCAGTACTCGAACCAGGACAACCCGCTCGCCCACGAGTTTGGCACCGCCGAGGAGATCTGGACACAAACTGGTGGCAAGTTGAGCTGTGTGGTAGCTGGTGCTGGAACAGGTGGCACCATCTCTGGATTGGCCAAGGGTATCAGGAAGCACAGCAAGGATGTCAAGATCGTCGCAGCAGACCCACAGGGAAGCATCTTGGCACTACCGGAAGCACTCAACGAAGAACACCGGGATCAGCCCTACAAGGTTGAAGGCATCGGCTACGACTTCATCCCCGATGTCTTGACTAGAGAATTGGTTGACAAGTGGTACAAGACTGAAGATCGCGAGAGCTTCAAGTTTGCCCGCCGCCTTATTGCTGAGGAAGGTCTCCTTGTCGGTGGCAGCTCCGGAAGCGCCATGGCTGCGATGGTGCAGGCTGTGAAGGATCTCGGCCTCGGCAAAGGCGATGTTGTCGTTGTCATCCTGCCGGACAGCATTAGAAGTTACCTGAGCAAGTTCGCTGACGATGACTGGCTCGCCGCGAACGATCTTCTACCAGAGGCCGACAAGGCTGCCAAGGACGCCGCTATTATTGGGGACGCTAAGAAGGTTGCGGATCCCTATGCCGGTGCCACTGTCGGCGCGTTGAGATTGAAGCCGGTTACCTCGGTAATCTCCACTCAGCTTTGTGCTGAGGCTATCGAGACTATGCGGGAGAAGGGCTTCGACCAACTGCCTGTCTTGGCTGGACCGGGCGGAAAACTCGTAGGATTGGTCACACTCGGTAACCTGCTCAGTTACATCTCTCGCGGCCGTGCCACCGGCCAGAGCCCGGTGAAGGACGTCATGTTCGACTTTGGCCGCCTTGATGAAGTTGTGACCGACCCCAGAGAAGGTCGCGGCAAGCAGCGCCGCAAGTTTGTGGAGATCACCGTCGACACACCGTTGACCGAGCTGAGCCACTTCTTCGAGTGGAACAGTGCGGCGGTTGTCACGGAGCCGGGCGTAGGCAAGGACAAGGCATTGAGCAAACCGGTGGCTATTGCCACGAAGGTCGACCTGTTGACCTGGATGGTAAAGCAGGTAAAGCACTAAGAAGACTCATCGCATCAGCATCGTGGAGTACTTGCATTTATCGGGTTGGGCGTTTGGGGAAGTCTGGATAGATTTCGTAGGATGTTATCACTCGGATACATTGGCATGGGCTTGGAGGAAAGACTAGGTAGGCTCAACGTCTATAGAGGTCAGAAGGGATCAACTCCCGAGTTTTGGGGGAACTTGAACAGGCACAGATTCGTGTTCCTCAGTCCAAGGATACCAAGGGTAACTTCGTTTGCCGGTGATGCCCTGTCCATATGTATTTGGGGCGGAGTGCCAGCTCCAGCTGATGGCCCTCCCAGAGAATGCAAACGCCGTGGCCGCCTGGACAATCCGAGTAGCTGCTCAACTTGAGTAGGGCACAGAATTCAATGCACAAAGGGAGAGGGCAATCGCCCTGCGCGTCCCTGCCTACCTTGAGCGCCGCAGTAGGCCCTGAGGTCCCTCTTCGGACAATCCATTTGGCAACAATCCCACAACACGTCGATTGTTGCTTTGAGCAATCGGATGACCTGGTTGCTCCTAGGCTCCCCTGTTGCCAGAGCCCACTCTCTTCATACCATCTCATCTCCATCCCTCCTATCCCATGTCTTCGTCCTGCCGTGCTGCATAATGGACGACATCACGAACTTGGATCGTGCGATCCAGACAGACATCAACGATCCCCGCAAGGAGGACTCGACCCTCGCTACCGATGGTGGTGCTTCTAGTCCTCTCTCTGAGGCTGTTACCAACACTTGCGACGTCCCCGATGTTGACAAGTTGAGCGTCACTGACTCGAAGCGATCAGACGATGAACTGCCAAACATCGTGACAACCCACCCCATCGTCCACCAGTACCTCCTCGACAACGCCCCCGAGTACAGGGATGTAGACATTCTGCGAAGAAAGGTAGGCAACTGAATTAATTACGGCTACCGTACTCTATTGTGGTCGTTTGCTCATTCACATCAGGGCTGGGGAAGTGAGTTGGGCGATAAGCATTTCCAGACCCAGCGAGAGCGAGCCGACAATGCAGACAAGCATACCCGTAACATCTTCTATCACATGATGTGTGAGATCGCGGAAGAGCTCGACAAAGTTTCCGGCATTCTCGCAGACCTCAAACAGGTCGGTGGGCCCAAGGCTCTTGACCTCTGCATGGCTCCAGGTGGCTTCGCCGGTTCAGTGTTGAGACTCATCCGCGGTTCCAGCGTCTGTGGAATCACCCTGCCCGTTGAGGAAGGAGGACATCCGATGACGATGCCGTTCTGGGAGCTGAAGGCTAATCTCAAAACGCTTTGGCTGGACATCACAATGCTTGCAACCGAGATGGGACTTACTGACATCCCGTCCGAACATCCTGAAGCAGCCAAATTCTCCACAGTCCGGCCTTTCGAGGGCGAGGCCTTCGATCTCGTCTTCTGTGATGGACAAGTTCTTCGCACCCAGCCACGACCATCCTACCGCGAGATCAAGGAACGTGTACGACTCCTGAACAGCCAGCTCGTTTTGGCACTCCAGCGTATAAAGCCTGGTGGCAATCTTGTCATCCGACTACACAAGATTGAGGCTGTCGACACAGCTACTCTGCTCCAGAAATTTAGCAGCTTCTCGACAATCATGCTTCATAAGCCCGCAAAGTGGCACGGAATCCGCTCTTCCTTCTACATGATTGCCAAGAATGTGCAGCCGCAGAGCGCTAAAGCACTCGAGGCTGTCAACGAGTGGAAGAAACAGTGGGTTCAAGCAGCCCTTGACACAGACGAGGCGACGATTCAGAGTGACGCGCTCATCGATGCTCAAGCCGACAGGGCCACCGAGCTGATCCAGACTTTTGGATCGGAGTTGGTTGCACTGGCAAGACCTATCTGGAAAATCCAGGCCAATGCCTTGGACAAATCACCTTTTCTCCGCGACAATAGCGAAAAGCAGATGGCGCCCACCGTTTATCGTCCACCCAAACCCCGTTCGACTGCAGACAACGGAGCAAGCCGCTACCCAGGCCTAAAACCCACAAGCGATCCTTGGAAGTACATGACACCTAGGTCCTTGCTCACCAACGATATCCTTGGAACTACTCCGCAGGAACCCGCTATCCAAGAGAACCAGCCTTTCTCGTCTTCCATCAAGACATCGCCTTCCGCGAAGAGGCCTGCGGTTACAATCAAGGACGCAAACGGAAGCGAGGTAGATTTGAAGACCTTCAAGCCGCTCGAGCGCGCAACCCCTCCTTCTTCGCCCTTCCAGGCTCGCCGACGAGGGAGCAGCTCTGCTGTCAGAATCAAGGATGCATATGGCAACGAGGTCACCTTCACGGACTTGAAAGCACACTCGCCCGAGAGTCGAGCTCTTAGCTCCACCAACTGGAGATACATGACAGGTCAGAGGCCTGTAGTCACTATTAGAGATCAAAGTGGCAATCAGGTCGACATGGCTGATCTCAGGGCGCTACGCGCAGGTGCGGCAAGCAAGCGCGCCGCCGACTCGGCCAGCTGGAGAGCTGATAAGCTAGAACATCCTATGCTTGAGAGCAAGGCTGGTGATAGCAGTGATGTTGGAGACAAAGCTCCGACCCCACCGGCTTCACCCAATGTCACCAGGTTCAACTGGTAGTTTCCTGTATTGCCATTCATATGTAAAGAGATTATGTCGGGTTCACCTGACCCATGACCATTGAAGGAAGTAAATTCTTGTGTCGTGGATACGAGGTAGAAGAAACAAAGGCGTCTGTTGACAGGCAGAGCAAGGAACGCTGCCACTAAATGCTTTCTGTTACTAGGCGCCATAGGGCGTGTGTAGAGGGGAAATCTGCGCCTCGGCCTTGTCACATGCTAGCATTAGACTAGCAAGCTCAGTTGATCTGTGAAATAAGCCGCCGAAGGACTAGGTCTTCAAGACCTGTCAACACTGTTTATGGCCTGGCTTACGCTATGTTCATCACCTTTTGTTCGAGACTTGACACGATACTATTAATACCGGAAGTGCTTTATGGTGAATTTGACATGTGTTTCAATATGCTTGTTATTGTCTTTCTAAGTCAATTTTCTATACACGTAAGGTCATCATTACTCGTAATTATATCGTAATGGAGAACGACATGTAGGCCTCTAGATCCGAACCAGATTTTATATTATTACTGAATATGTTAGTATTTCCTGCTGTTCATCTTCAAGGGCATGAGCTGACTTACAACATCGATCCATCTCGCCATCCACTTCTGATTGGCAGCCTTTGCCTCATCCACTAAGCCGAGTTCTACACCAAGAATTAGCCAAGAGAAGTCGAACCATGTTGGGGAGCTTTTCACTTACCTAGCATCAGCTGGATGGCACCGCGGACGCCAGACTCAAGCGCCGACGCAATCCATGCGTGGGTGTAGGAAGTCTGCTCGCCAACAAAGATCATCTGCGCCACGGTTAGAACGTGTCCAAAGCAACGCTTTCACCATCAGGATGCGTATGCAAGGGCCAAACTCACGTTGTTGTAGGTCTTGAAGTACTCCGGAATGTAGAGCTCATGCTGGCCAATCTTGGGACTGGCCCAAGAACCCTTGGTGTACGGGTCCTGGGCCCAACATCGCCGGTTGTAGTTCCCGGTGTACTGCTCCGCGGCAACCTCGCCGTGGATCTCAATCATGGTGTCTAGGACATACTGCACATGCTCCTCCTCGGTGGCAGACACCCAGTACTGGCCCCAGTCATTTCCAGAGATGTACGAGCCGATGATGGATGCGGGGCCTGTGCCGTTGATGTTGTACGACGGGTAGCAGATACTGCCGATGCCGGGAATGTCGGTGCTAGTCGAGCAGCCACCATAGATCGGGTTCTCGTAGTGCTCCCAGAAACGTGTGCCGAACTCCAGCGCCACCTTGCATGCCGCTGTGAACGGTAGCTCGTCGATAGCGTTGGAGATGGTGGCGGGGAGCGAAGGTAGGCGCCAGCCCTTGATGACGGAGAACGGAAGCGCCAACACAGTATAGTCAAAGGTCTCGTTCTTCCACACGTAGTTGCCGTTCTTCCTCTTGTCCTTCCACTCGAGCTGGACCTTCTGGGTGTCCTCCAACCAGTTGACGCGCTCGATGGCACGGTTCATGGTGGTGACGTTGTCGACCAGGGGGTGGAACGAAGCAGGCAGTCTGCTCAGGCCACCATCGATGGTCTTCCATGTCGATGCCTCGAAGTACATGCCCTCGTAGAACGAATCCCAGAACGAGGTCTGGAAGGAGCCTCCGGCAACAATGTCGGTATCGTTCAGGTTGGCTTTCATATAGTTCACCAAGTACGCAAACTCCGACCATTCGTCGCCTGCCAAGCCGTTGGTCGGGCCACCCTCGAGAAAGTCCTTGTGTGCCTTGTGCATATTGAGAGCCATCTCGATCAGGAAAGTGTCGTTGTTGATCATGGTGTCAATCGAGTCCGAGAGCGCCTGGGTGGAAGGGTTCATTTCAGCTGATGCAGACAGCGACGAGTTCTCAGATACTTGGCTGACGGTGGGAGGGAGCCCCGAGTCAAGCTTGATGCCATTGTGGTAGTAAAGTCCGTTCTTGCTGGACTGGTACCACGGAATGAAATCTACACTCCAGTTCTTGCTGTAGACGTTGAGCATGTTCATCTCGTCGGCCAGTTGATAGACCATTTGGTGGTCAGTGATGTTGTATGTCTCATTAGCGACCGTCAGAGTGTTGGGGAATCTCATGGGACCCATCTCCTGGTAAGAGTAGTCGAACGGCCCGCCCGAGAGGTACTCAGTATGGACTCGGCCGCCGAGTCGCTGGGCAGCCTCGATGATTTTGACATTCTCAAAGCCGGATTGGTGGAGGACCAAGTAAGTCATCAGGCCAGCCATACCAGCACCCACAATGGCAATCTCCTTGCCCTTCGCCGCATCCACATCCACCGTGCTCAGGTTCTTACTCTCAAGCAGTGCGACACCGTCGAACCATGGACCCCAGGTGTCGATACCCGTCGCATTGGTCATCTCGATGCTGTCCTCGCCACGCTTCTTCAGGCTCCTATTCGTGGGCTCAAAGTTCTGAGCATCGCTGCGGCCAACGAGAGAACCGTTGGCATCCCAGGCTGAGACACAGCCACCGGTCGAGACTTCTCTGGGCATCACCCAGACGAGTCTCGAATCCGCCGAGCTGGTACTGCGACCAACCTCATGGTGCGCATCTCTTAGCTCCACGCTCGAACACGGGCCATAAGTGTAAGTGACGGTTCCCTCCACATCCTCAGCGAAGCGGAGATGGATGTTGGCAAGATTCGTGTCCAGCTTGGATCGAGTCTCGATCTTGACCGGTAGGGACGACAGAGGGCCGGCAAGCGCTCGGCTCGCGAGGAGACCAAGAGCGAGTTGAAGCTTGTGCATGGCGGAGGCCCTTGTCGATCAACGTCGAATTGTCTAGTTACCGGGAGTTGCCTAGGTACACCAGGACCTGAAACCAAGCGTTCCATCTTGGCGGTTATATTCTTCACTGCATCTACACGCATCGCTACGACCTTCCTATCGATCTGATCGGAGAGCTGCCGGTAGACCACCTATCGGGACCATGTCTAGTGGACATGCGAATGCGGAGGGCGCGCCATTGTTGCGAAGCGGCTAGCTCCTCGCTGTCTTCGATTGCTAGGTCCAATGGGATCGCGAGGAGGTGACTGTAAACGGATGCTGCATACATCATCGTTCTTGGATCGTGGTTGCAGGTTGGCAGGTATCTCTGCAAAAGAGGCCAGTAGATAAGCTAATTGGGATCGACGGGTGTTCGAGATACCAGGTCTCTATCTTATGGTGGGCCCCCATGTACCCCATGCCGGAGAGATATCAGTCGGATCGCATGCGACTGAGCCAATCACAACGAATCCCCACACGGAGCTCACCCTAAATCGGCCGGAGCCGGTATGCGGGCCGACGCCTTGGCACGATAGCGATATACCGAGCGAGCAGTTGCGGATGTCGGTGTCATAAAAATTCTGTCATCGTCATGACAAGCTTTGCCGTGGTGTGAGGGCGCTTTTGCGGGGATTGCGGTCGGAAGCTTCGGGGGTCCCACTTGAGTCCTGAACCGCAGCCTAGCAACCAGGTATACGTAGTACACCCGAGCGCCGGTGATAAAGGGCAATGTGTCAAGGGTTGAAGAAGGGTATGGCAAGACCGTTTGTCATCCTTCTTTGTAAATAGAATCTATGCATGTAGAATAAGTACGCTGCCCGATACGGCACCCTGCAGGTTTAGATTTGACTAGATATGGATAGTACGCCCTATAGTCACGCCCAAACCCAGCCACGGCTGATACACGAATGAAGCCGGTATATCAAGGCAGATCAGATCAGATAGAAGTTGAATCACACATATACCAGGTTAAATTTGTGGTTCAATGTCTTTGTTCCGTTCATTTCGAAAACTTCGCGGACTTGATTTGGCCCCGATGGTCGTCCGGAAGGAACCAAAACTCTTTGTTTATAGATAGACGATTGATCTGCTAAAGCTAAAACTAGCTTCGGTATGTCTTGATGCATACTCTTTGTAGATGTTGAGAAATAGGCACTGTCTTCTTAGATAGTGACTTCCTCCAGACCAAGCGATCGACTCGCGTCACCATAAGCTCGTACGAAGAGAACCTGTCGGAAATGAGGCAGGCTATCCAAGACGTCCTGCTTCCAGGCAGCAAAGTTCTTCTTTGGCGACTTTTGGCGCCTTTGCCAGACGTAAGCTAGAAACTCGTTCTTGAATGACTCGATGTCTCCTTTCCATTCTTCAACACTGCGACAGTGTTCGTGATACTGCACACTGAGAAGATCCCAATCGGCCCAAGATGTTGAGTCGCCACGGGGATCAGCGACGCCATGTATGATGCGGGAGTGTCGCTGGAGGCGTTTCCAAGTGAGTCGATCACTTTCGGGAAACCTATTCATAAACCTGCTGACCCTCCGTTTCTGCGCCTTGTTCTTGAGGTCCAGTAGAGCGCACAATGGCCTTTGAATCTCTTGTGTTTTTGTCTCATATATGGATATCCCACCCACAAGGACGCTGATGAGCTCTATATTGGGGAAGAGCTTCAGAATCTCAACGAGGTCCCAGAAACCGTGAGAAAATCGATCTGCGCGAACCATCACGTGTTTGACTGAACGCTTGTCAAAGCCCTCCAGGCTCCGTGTCGGGACTTCGCTAGACTTGGTGGTCTTTTCCAGCGCCCCCTTGTCGGCCCCTTCCACGACTTGGCTTGACCCTTCCCAATCCGCTGTGTCGATATGCTCCCATAATGTCTCGGAACAGCACATTCCGTTCCAGAAGATGATATCTCTTTGCGGTTCAAACCATGCGACCCTATCTTGCAGCTTCCGTGGTAGCCTTATGCAGTCTTTAAGGTCTGCTGAGATGCATAATTCTGAGGACACTTCGGGCGGGAAGCACAGCTCGATTCCTCTGGGTATCACGCTGAATGTCCGATAGGTCTCTTGCCGAGCCTCGTAGCAGACCTTGGGCACGGTGGCGGGCACAAGGCAAGGCCTCTCAAGCACCGCCTCATCGTTGTTTTCGTCAATGGTAATTTGTAAGATGCGTTGGGGCTGGGCCAGCTGCCAGATTGTGTGTCGAATCTCGGGGGGCAGGTTGGGGAAGTTTGCGAACTCTGGCGCCGCCTCCGGGGCGGTTGACTTTGGTGGCGCTTCCGACTCGGCTGACTGATGACATCCGGATGAAAAAAGCAGTAGACTGCCGAGCGCCTTGCTTGTCAGCGCGGACAGCGCCGCCATCTTGCTGAGGAGGGCCGATTCTCACGACGATAGATGAGGCATCGGAGGTCAGCAGGCAGCAGGGCGAACTCGTCCGGAGACGCTTTCTCAAAGTTATCGGCCAGGGTGGGCGCGAATTTGTTGGTGATGTGTCCAGACCCGAGCGTCAATTCCTCAGGTACAAACTCAATTCGGTGGTCTGGGCCCTAGGTCACCCGTTCGAGACGGAGAGTTTATTCAAGGTCTGTCTCCAATTCGAATTATCGGATAAACGATTAAATTCTTCGTAAGAAAGAAGTTTTCACGCGCCTGCTTCCAATTCGAAAGATCCTCCAAACTCTTGAGATACAATGTATTAGCGCATACTGTCACATGAGGGAAAAAAAAAAGCGAACTTTGCTTTCAGTCTGTGCCTAATGTCAGAGGCAGAGGTTCGGGATGAAATATGTACTCTGGCACCTTCGTAAACTGCTCAGGTGATGTCACCCCGTCTTGTCGATGAAGTATTGCGCGAAGCCAGGACGGCTTCACAAGTACACTCATAAAGCACTACGTGAAATATCACCATGGACATAATTTGCTCAAAAAGGGAGGGCGCTGCCCTGCAGGCCCAACCGGGCCTAGAAACCGTTGAGCCCCTTTCTTTGATTGCACGACTACGAATAAATGAGTTGCATGGTGGTTGCTTTCGTGTACTTGCTGTGTAGGTACTTGGGCATCACATAGGAGTTTACTGCTTGTTAACTAAGACCGCGACGATAAAGGACTGGAGTCAGGAGACAAGGGATTGTTCAACGGAATGTCCATTGTGGTCCTCTGTTCGTGCTTAGATAATATTATGAGAGTTGTAGCAGTCTTGAATAGTGATTCGTGGAAGCTGTGGGGTTGCAACAGAGGATGGCGTAAGCGAGCCAAGGATTCTGACGACGACTAGTTGAGGGTCTGACAACATCCCCGCCTGTCAGAAACAATCGTTCTCTACAGCCTTCGGAACAGTCCGCCACAGTCCAATCATCGCAATACCATTTATAACCCTATCTTTATTGCAACTCTGTTTAAAGAACACGAATGGAGGGCCTAGAGAGCTCCCCCGATATATCGTCAACTCCGCGTTGGTGCTCAGACTGCAGAACTTGCAAGAGTATTTGGAAGCTATTCTCCGATCCCAGCTCGACCCATAAAGTTGATCTCGGGTCTTTCGAAGAGGCCCTTTCCACTCCCTGTGTTGCGCACAAGTTCTTAGTACAATCCTTTGTGGCACACTGCCGAGACATTGAGTATGCAAATGTACATACACGGGACATGGGACTTCTTTCTCGGGGCGTGGCTAATAGCGTCGTCATGGCCGACTCTATCTCCCATGGGCTCTGCGCGTGGAGTTTAGTTCTAGTCAAAGATATTGCGAAACAGAATCACCCAGGTATAGGTCGCATTCTTGATCCCGACTGGGTGGATGTAGATATGGCAAAAGAATGGAAACACGATTGCTTGAAACTCCATGGCAAGTCGTGTGATAACCCCATGAAGATTTGGCATACACGTCCAGCATGGCTCATCGACGTCAGACAGAGGTGTCTTGTCCCAGGACAGGTACCTCAAAATTATGTAGCACTAAGCTACACTTACGGCAACCATAGGGCGAAGCATATTGACGCCGACATGCTGGCAAGTCTTCAAAAGCCACTAGCTCTCGACGCGCCGGAGTTCGCTCAAATAGTACCACCCATTATCCAGCAAGCGGTCTATCTGACATCTATCATTGGCGAGCAGTATCTATGGGTAGATGCACTTTGTATCCCCCACTACAACTCTGAGGTCACCACAGAGCAACTAGAGATGATGGGAGCTATCTATGCTACTGCCATCGTGACTATTATTGCTGCTGATGGTGATGCCAACAGTGGTCTGGAGGGTTTTCGAGGCGTCTCTACGACTCGAAGCTTAGACCAAGAAGTTATTCCGTTCGGTGACGAGCAACTCATTGTTAGGAACACCGGAAGGGTTGACATGGACCAGGGCCTTCCATACTACGATCGCGGCTGGACCTATCAGGAGTATAAGATGTCCCCACGTCGAATTCTCTTCAACAACCAAGAGGTGCATTGGGAGTGCTCCTGTAGTGTCTGGCATGAGGAGCTCGTGCACCTCGCTGAGGTCGACAAGTATGTTGACCCACGCTTGAATATTATACTGGCCGGGTTTCCTGATCTGGGTTCTCTTGGCCATATTATCGGGAGCTACAACAACCGCACACTACGACATGAGGAAGATGCGCTTCCAGGCATCTCTGGTTTGCTTTCGGTGCTCAGTCGCTCTTTCCTTGGAGGCTTTCTATATGGAATTCCTACCATGTTCTTCGACAGATTACTGGGTTGGCACCCGCAATGGTCACACACTAACCTCCACCGCCGAGTTGCATCAAAGAGACCCGCAAAAGATCGTCTATCACCATCTGGTCTCCCCTCGTGGTCTTGGATCGGCTGGCAAGGACTGGTAGCCTGTGGTCAATTCGAGGCGGTGCACATCAACCCGATAAGCTCTCGGACTGAAGAAACCATCCCCATTACCGACTGGTATGCGGGCCATTCACCCCAGACTCCACCGCCAGAGAGACGAAGAATAAAACCGATTTGGTTTGAGAACCGTGAGATATACAAAGATGTCACCAAACCCTTACCCCGGGGCTGGACGCGGCACGACGCGCCCACGACAGTAATCCACGACATGCCTTTTCTCTACCCCGATGGTTGTGAGCACTATATTTTCAGTCACGGGGCGATTCCATCAAAGCCCAATAGAAATTACACTTGGTATTATCCCTTTCCCATCAAAGAAATACAGGAGTCGACACTTCCTTCCATGCCTGAACAAATGGAATATCTCTTCTGTGAGACCACGAGAACTTGGCTCTGGGGACACCAATCTGGCGATTACAATATCGTAAATTTGCTCAACAGTCAAAAGATTGTGATTGGCTCGCTACACCTACATAACGAAGAATCATTAGTCCGCTTTCCGAGGGATACTAACAAAGGGGAGGCGGGTTTGCTGGTTGAGCTGGTCGCCATTTATGAGTCAAGGATATATTCTAGGACATGGAACGAACAGAAAAAGCGGTACACGCTCCCACTAAGTCGACACAACGAGTACGTTGTTCTTTGGATAGAATGGATAGATGGAGTCGCGTATCGGAAGGCAAGTGGTAAAGTGGCAGCAGATGAATGGGCCAGCCTGGAACAAGAAAAGGTGTCTTTGATTCTTGGTTAGGAAGTTAGAATTAAGAATTGTTGATTTAAAGTAGTATGGATGTTAAGATGGTCACAGTCACGCGAAATGGAATCAGGAACATTGTCTCTTTTTTGTGAGGTGTGACCGCACCTCTCGACGACGGACCAAGGTCAGTTCAGATAAACAGTTCATTTTTCATATCTTGAGCTATTGAAATAATATCCTTAGGGGGTTGGGGGGAATAAACATAAACCCTTAATCCCTCGTTGTTGACTTCACATGCTTCTGATATCCCACAGATCCCCGGGACCTAGCGGCAGCTAAGAAGTTTCCCATCCTGACATAGGTGGGATGAGAGCTTTCACCCCATGCCATGTTGCGGCAAACGGCATATGCAGACCATGCAGATCAACTTCCTCGACCGGGACCCATACAAGATCAACAGATTTGTCGGAAGCCAATGGCTCGAATGTTTCGTCGATGAGCTCTCCATAGACGGTGGTATACTCCAAGCCGTCGGCGGTCGATGCAAACTCATCATCAAGCAACTCGAATTGAGTCAGCCCGAGGCCGGTCTTCTCTACGGCCGCGCGCATCGCGCAAAGTCTGGAGTCTTCTCCATCCTTGAGGCGAGATGAAGGTATTCCCCAAGAATTGTCCAAGCGCTGCTGCATCAGCACCGACACAGGGCCATCAAAGTACGAGATTAGCAGCATCCCAGCAGCGCGGTCCCTGACAGCTCGCTTTGGTGCAGGTTTCTGAACACCATGTCTTGGGCCTCGTGGGCGCCGAGGATTTCTTCCGCGAGTGCCGCCTCGGCCAGCACCTGGAGCGTGTCTACCCGGTGCGTTGACTGGCGCTGGTGGCTGGTCATGCTCGTCATGCTCATCGTGCTCGTCATGCTCGTCATCGGCGTCCGAAGCGTGAGAATCATCTTCATTGCGCACATTCTGTCTGGCCAGCTGCACCAGTGCCCAGAGATCGCACTTGCCCATCGCTTGTCTTGGTATTATCCCAAAGGCGCGCAGCTCTCGCTTGAGCTGTCGTATAGTGGCAGTTCGGAACTCATGAAGTTGAATGATCGGCATTTTGCTCTCACAGCGACTCGGGGGCCCAGCTCTAGGGCGCTTGCGCATGTAATCGTATGCGAGTCTCGGTGGCAATGGATACTCATCAACATTCAACAAGCCCCGAAGTCTTCTCCAATATGCAAGCTTGGTGTATCCGGTCCTCACTGGCAATCCTGCGGCAAGGAGCTTGGCTTTGATTTCGTCGACCGTGGTCGTCTGGAACTCGTAAAGTTGGTCTGCGGGAACTTGCTCTTCACCAATAGCCCTAGGGCCGGCGATGGGCCGCCTGCGGGGCGCAGAGCCTCCCCTCTTATTGTGATTCTTGATAGCCATAATGTCTTGATGTAGAAGATAGAAGTACTCGGTAGAAATTGCTGAACGACACAGGAGCTATCGACAACTTTCTATGTTGGTGAGAAAGGACCTTCTAGAGGGTGGGCCTGGTGTTATATATATGCAAGAAGGAATCACCTGGGCTTCATGGTGTATCACTGTGACAAAGCAATGTGTCGTACCTTCCTGGGGTTTCATCTATCTAGCTGTGCAACACCATGTACTTGTTATTCTTCTCCTTTCTGACCTGGGTGATATCCTCATTGTCTTGAGAAGGTCACAATTACCTCAGTATACAATATCGTCCATGTAAAAGGCCATGTATTGTAGTATAACAATTCACTGTCCTCTATCCTAAGATGTACAAACCTCCAACCACTTAGTTCATCATGGCTTTGTCCCAAGATGGCGATAAGAAGACTCTCTATTCTCTTTGCTTCTGGCTGGCACATCCCTTATTAACGACTTTTTTAACCCCTTTGAACCACACATTTGCCATCTTCCTGTACCCGCCGTCATTCGGGTGTATGTCGTTAGGACCAAAGTCGTCCGTCTTCAATGCAGAGTGCATGTCCACCAGTGTGATCTTCTTTCCCTGCGCCGACCTGTCCTCAATTACCTTTTTGACACCTTTGTTGTACTCTATAGCCTTTTTGTCTTTGGCAGAGTCGTGAACAAAGGGGGTAATTTGTGCAACAATCACCGAAGTGTCTGTAACATTTCCGAAGATCCAGTCGACGAGCTCTCCAAGACGTTTTGGGGCCAGCGCCAACTCATCCGGCGTGTTCTTGCCAATGTCGTTGGTGCCAGCCATAAGGAGTACAATATCGGGCTTTTGCTCAGCAATCTTGGCGGGGTAAGGTGATAGCTGCTGGATAGTATAACCAGGATGACCGTCATTGTCACCATCGTCCATGGAGTCACTCTTCTGCGAGCCAACAAAATCCACTTGAAGCGAGGCCTTAGTTAATAGATCTCGCAGGTCTTTGCGGTATCCATTGCCATCTGTAGATGAAGTTCCGAAGGTGATGGAATCTCCGAGCGGCCATATTCTGAGGGTCTGAGACGCGTGGGTTGTACGTGGCGGGATGGTCGCTGGTGATCATGTTAGCCGTGTGGTGTCAACGGACAACTTTTGCTTTACCAGATGTGGTCAATCCTAGCAACGTGAAGGTAGTTGCAAGTAGCGAATGAGTATGCATTTTCTAACTATATAAGGGCCTGGACTCGCTTGACAGAAAGGAAGGGAGAGAAAACGTGCTTGATAGGAATGAGTCTGCAGCGACGTACCAGTGAAACTCAATAATTGTTATAGACTGAGACAGCACCAGTGTTGAACCGGCCTAGTTTATACCTTCAACGGCTTTGGCACTTCGTACACGATGCAGCGCTACATCCATGCCAAGATTGCCTAATTAGGCATCGCAGATAAAAATAGTCAGGATCAACATGGGGCGCAGCGCTCCTGATGTCAGCCCTACATAACACGGCCACTCTTAGCATGCCTGTAAATGCGGGACCTTGGGGCTTTTTAACAGCCTCGTGTAATTTATTACCAAGGCGAAGTATTATACGGAGATTGCCCGCCGCAGCTGAGTCTTACCGTACCCGGTTCTTCGGTCAGCAAATGCCCACTGCGAGCCGCAATCGATACGCGCTGCGAGTAGGGGTTTCAAAGAAAACATGTCACTATTTCTTTATCTCATTACCTCGCTCAGATTCATTGGGGGCTAAATTCTTTTCCTCTTTTTCCTCTTCCCTTTTCGCTGCAACAAAGACTTTGGTCTTAAACGAGCTTCTTCATTCACATCAGATAAAGATACAGTGCATTGAACTAAGAATATGTACTCTATTCAAGTCAGTTTCCTTCAAGAGCCCCAATGGCCTACCAGCAGGAAGACAAGCTTCGGGTGCATCTTATTTATCGACCACGGACAGATACCCTTGTCCAAACATTTGCAAGATAGACTCTTTGTGGTACAGTGAGGGCCCTTGGTGATTCCTCCGAAGACTGTGAAGAGTCGTCTGACATATTCTGAAGCTCAAAAGACTCAAGCTTCTTCATGTTGCCCTTCTGTTTGTATAAAACGCCAGTAAACTTTGTCAAGCCTTGGTTCCAGATGGATTTCGCCTCTGTCTCGATTTCACTCGAAGCGTAGTCCGTAGTGGAGATGCCGTCGTGGTGTTCGTCTGCTGCGTCCTTGGCAGTAGTATATCGCAGCCATTCTAGGCCTCTCACAGTGTCTGATATGTCTAGTCTTGGTAGGTCGGCGGTTAAGGCTGTTTGAAGGCCATAGCAGTTGCCCGTCTTGATGCAGTGATTGCAAAGGGCGCCGCGCTCGGTAACGTACTCTTTTTCGCAACCTTCTTTTCTGTTGCAGCTGTTTTCGTGGGCCTTGCGGGTGGCACAGAAGACGACAACTTTATCTTTGCTGTTACCGCCGTACCAGTTGTCTTTACCGCAGCTGCGGCAGACTTCGGTGATGTACTTGACACGGCACATCTTGGTGATGTATTATGGAGACTTTGTTGAACGCGCAAGTTGGTCGGTATATAACCTAATGCAAGCGTGTCAGGTTATCGCGTTGAGTAGTGGCAGATGAGTTGGAACGGTCTTTGGTAACTATTTGCTCTTCAAAGTATTGCCCATCATGGAACGCATCCGACGCTCCTTAAGTATTCCCCTACAGTTGTTCCGGAGATTGCAATGCTTGATATGCTTTGGTGACAAGTGTCTAAGTTTTGAAGCTGAAGGCAGAGACCCGTTCGTTTTTAACTTTTCAAGTATATCCAGTTTTTTATGAAGGCTAATTATTGACTCAACTCAGGACAGTTCCAGCATATCGAATGATGTGAGCAAGCCTACAAATACGCTGTATGAGGACGTTATCAATCATGGGAAGACTGGTATCGGTCACCTGGGCTTATTTAAGTAACTCAGGTATGGAATGCATGCATGTGATCCCCATAGTCTACCGATTAAGCGAGGACTGTAATTATTCCCTGCATATGAGAAGTCTACCTGGATACATAGATGCCGATACAAATCCATTCGCGCAGGCTTGGCCAATTGGATCTAATGGTCCGCATCAGTCGACCAGACCGAGCATATAGTACATAATATTACATCGTGAGTCCCAGAATGTGCCCTACCCGCGAACCCAGGCGAGATCACCACTTGGAGTCTTGACACTCCTATTTCCTAACTCCTGGCCTCGCTGGCGGCCGAATTCGAGTCAACTCCATCTTCCACTTCCCTTTCTCGCGCTGCGGATATCTCTTCGCCCTTCTTCGCGTCTCTCTTTTCCCTAAACGGCCAGACGCGACATATCAATTCGCCTGTCGCCCCCTTCTCTAGTGCCTCCCGACTCTCCATCACCTCCGCTGTGCCCGTCCGCAAGAACAATGCCTGCCCATTGTTCAGCTCACTAAACTCCCGGCCTTCCAGCGTCACCTTCTCCCCTCCAAGCAGGCGCTCCAGTTCTGACGGTCCGATGCGCGGCGCCTTGTTGACGCCCAGGATCTTGCCGATGGCCGGCACGCGGGGGTGAAGCGCATCATGATCCGCATAGCGCAGGCCCATCCACAGCTGCTTCTTCAGCGGGTTCCCCCTGAACGACAGGTTCATGTCCAACAGCTCCTCAGGCGTGAACGACTTCACGATGGACGGGTCCGGCGCGCGGGGCCCGGACGACGTGGCCCAGGCGATGAAATTGGCACGGTACAGGGCGTGCGCCAACGCCTTGTTCAGCGCCGAGAACTTGCAGGTTGCCGCGCGGGCGCGCGACCACACGGCATGCTGGAGCGGAATGCAGGGGCTGCGGCTCAGAGGTGGCATTTGTTGCTCCGTCACCAGGGCCACTGGGCTTCTTTTGGGGTTGAAGGCGAAGCAATTTGCGTGAATGCACGACAGAATATGCGAGCGTTGTATGCTCAATGGACTTTCTGGTCGTTCCAGGCAAACCTGTTCGGGTCTGCTTGTGTTGATATGCTGGGTGTAATCCGTTATGTGATGAGAAGTGTAGCATCGATTATGTGCCTAAGACGGTAGCCAGCAGGTGCAGTTTGAACTTTTTAGCGGCGCTTATGATTGGTGCAGAGATCAACTAGTGGGGCAACCCCCTTGCGTATACAACTCAGCATCGGCACGTAATTATGAATGGCTCCCTGCTGATCGGTACACGTACTTAGAATATACATATATTTTCATAATGCTTGGGATATGATAGTTGAGAATAGGATGAAAATACCAACATTCTACAGACGCATACGATATATTTCAAAGCGAAATGATCTTTAGTTATCGACAACCTTGCCTCCACGATAGAATGCTTGTCGCCAATGACGATGTGCCAATTCCGCGAGAGGAGGGATTACACAGCCGAGAGATACTTCCATTAGGACCTTTGAAATCAAGTATCAGATGATGGAATGTCGCGGGGGTGCCCCAAGCGTGATTGCCCACCCCTGAGGCCAGTCAACGCTATGTTGGTCATCTACTTTTGGCCATGTTTCTGTTCCTTGCAACTCATTCAGGTGCGAAGACAGAGATGTATGCAACCCATGAGTTGAGCCCTGGAAGATGTCAGACGTACACGTCGCACTTGCGAGTCGAAAACGTCGTTTTGTATGCTTCACAACCCGTGGAATTAATTTATGTATTATTATTGTCAAGCTGGGACGGTTACACTCGTTCTGAGATCCAATCCCACCACTTGTCGACCTTGCCCTCGAGCACACTACCGCCGACAACGTCAACCTCGACATCAAACTCGCGCATCTGGCTGAAGGCAAACTTCTCGGCGCCGTACTCTCCCAGCCAATCTTCGTTGTCTTCGTCATCCATCTCGCCAACAGCCACACCAGAGGCTTTGAGGCCCTTGCTCCTGCTCTGCCGTATCCTGCCGAGCTCGGCTTCCAGGTTGCTCTTCACCAAAGATGCAGGCAGGGCAGTGAACAGGTCGGCCTTGTTGGCGGCTAGGAGGAGGTGGACGGCATGGGGGGCCTTGGACGTCTTCCCTACGCCCATGCGCTTCTGGAGCGCCAGCAGCACGTCGAAGAGGTAGTTGGCCATGGCCTGGAGGTTCTCGTCCAGCGCGGAGGCATCGAGCACAAACACGACGCCCTTCAGGGGGTCGTTCGCATTGATCTTGGCCATGGCGGATTCGCGCAGCTTTCCGTGGCCTGGGGTGTCGACCAACATGAACTTCTTGTGGCTGCCGGGTGCGTCATCTCTGGCGGCGTCACGGAAGGACTGGATGCCGCCGTCGGTCGAGACGGTCAGTTCCACGGACTGGGTGATCTGAGATGTGTGGGTGGGGACTGCATTGTCGCCGCGCTCGAGCAGCGTCAACAGCGAAGTCTTGCCTGCGCCGGGAGGGCCGATGAGTAGGATCGAGGGCAAGTTGGTGTAGGGCGTCGCGCTGGATATGTAGAAGTGGACGAGGATGGGGACCAGCAGCACAATCAGCGCGCCCACGACGAAGACGGGCGTCGACGGGGTGAGGATGTACTCGAGGTAGTGCTTGAGGTCGTCCATGGTGGCCGGATGGTCGACTGAATCAGTGCTGAGGCCTCACGTTGGACTTTATGCGCGGCCGTTGGGTGAGCTGGAGCTCCGAGGCAATTTCGCAGTCGAAAGATGATGGCCTGTCGACAGTGGTGCTACCGGAGCAGACAGCTGCCGTCATTTTTGGCTCTGGTGCCGCCCCATGTGCCCCTAGAAAGCCAAGCCTTGGGGTCTCTGTTGGGGGGCCCTGGGGGGGCATTCGTGCACCTTCTAGCGCAGGAGAACGGAAACCCGGGACAGACCTTGTCGATCGGAGATTTATGTCCAATCAGACGGCGCGTTGGCCCCTAGTGCCGCCAGTGTGGCTCAGCGTCCTGGACTCGATGTTTGACAGCCGTGATGAAGGGCCCCCAGGCCAAGGGCTGACGAGGGAGGCATTGCGCTCTGCTTTCCCATCGTCCTCGAGCAGGGTCCACCCGAACCATTCGCGACGTGCCGTCTTTGCCGCTCTTCTTCTCGTCGTGTCTTCCTATTGTTGGCTTTGACTTTTCAGCATCGCTGTGTACTGCCTGTAATAATCACCCATCCTGATCTCGGCGGCGTCGGTTCATAATCGAGAGAATCCTGGACACGTCCCCTAGCCACGGCGCACCACACTAGACTACGACGCAAACCGACGACGAGGACAGATACCCGACGGGCACACCAGCACACGAACACGAGAGCTGTAGCCGCTGATGTCGACGGACACGCAAAATAATGGCACCACCGGCGCGCCCATCCAGCCCTCCAGTAAAGCGACTGCCGCCGCCCCGAAGCTGAACTCGGCCGACATGGAGATGGGCAGCATGCCCGGGGCCGATACTCCCGCCGAGGAAGATATCATGCAGCTGGCAAGAGTGGGCAACGTACCCTCCATGGAAAAGCTCTTTGAGAAGGGCGAATATGATGCGACGTACACAGACGATGAGGGCATCACCCCCTTACATGTATGCGCGCGTGAGCTCGTTGAAAGGAGGTCCCGAAAAGCTGACAGTGTGACAGTGGGCCGCAATTAACAACCAGTATGCCATGGCCAAGTTCTTGATCGAGAAGGGCGCGGATCTGAACAAGAAAGGAGGCGAGTCCGTCGCAACGCCGCTACAATGGGCTGCCCAGAGGTCCAATTACTACACCGTCAACCTGCTGCTTCAGCACGGCGCCGACCCACTGATTTCCGATGCCCAGGGATACAACACCCTGCATATCTCGACTTTCAACGGAAACGTTCTGCTCATTACACTTCTGCTGCACCAGGGCATTCCAGTAGACGTGGCGGATAGCTACGGCCACACTGCACTCATGTGGGCGGCGTACAAGGGGTTTCCCTTGTGTGTGGATCTGTTTCTGCGATGGGGCGCCAGCGTCCACGCCACGGACGAGCAAGGCTTCACTGCCCTGCACTGGGCTCTCGTCAAGGGATCGGCCCCGTGCATCCTGAAGCTTATCGAGTACGGCGCGGACCGATTTGCCAAGACGCACACAGGCAAGACACCTGCCATCACCGCCCAAGATCTGAACACGGTGGGTGCCTGGCATAGGGCGCTGAAAGAGTGCGGATACGATGAGGACGCTCATCCCGTCACTCCCTGGTGGCCCGGTGCATCTTATTTCCTCCAAGACAAACGGACGTTCATGAACAGGTTCCTGTTCCTTCTACCGTTCTCCCTCTTATGGATCGAGTTGTTACTTCTGTCGAATCTGCCTGTGTTCCTATCCCTGCCATTCGGGCTTCTGGTGGTTTTTGGGTACCAATGGATTACCACTCAAGTTATTGAGTATGGTCCGCCTGATATGAGACATCTTCACAAAACGGTATGTGCATAGCAACAAACATATGTCACCGGCCGTCACTAACCCTCAATCAGCCCTGGCTGGCTGGCATTTGTGCGGGATCAGTGTTTCTGGTGGGTGTAAGCTGGCTCTTGACCGTACTGCCAGGTAAGCCCTCCAAGTATTTGCTGTGGAGTGTATTTTGATATTGACGATTGCAGCAACATTTTCGGCGCATCCGCTCCTGAATTTCATCTGCATTGGTTTAATCGGCTTGACATCCTACTTCTATGCCACATCCATGGTTTTCGACCCCGGTTTCGTACCAAAGCTGAATGGCATTGCCGAACAGAAGGCCGTCATCGATGAACTTCTCAGCATGTGGAAGTTTGATGAGTCCAACTTTTGCGTTTCTTGTATGATTCGCACTCCTCTCCGAAGCAAACATTGCAAGCGTTGCCAGAGATGCGTTGCAAAACATGACCAGTAAGATTCCCACAACAACTGCTCTGTAGTATTGACTAACGCCCTATAGCCACTGTCCTTGGATCAACAACTGTGTTGGCATCAACAACCACCGTCATTTCTTCTTCTTTCTCATTGGCCTGACTCTCGGTATACTCAGCTTTGATTGGCTGTTGTACTACTACTTCTCGGATATATCGTCCGGTGCTGCCAAAGAATGCACCGTTCTATCCGAGAACCTGTGCCAGGTCCTCAACGCCGACCCCTACGTCATCCTTCTAGGCATCTGGGCTTCACTGCAACTTACCTGGGTCAGCATGCTTCTGTTCGTCCAGTTCGTTCAGGTAGCACGTGCCATGACGACCTACGAGAACATGTATGGCATCAACGACGGCTCGGCCGCAAACCTCATGCACAACTTCACTAGCACTGGAGCGCCTCTCGACCCAAGCCATCCTGATGCTCTTGCCGCACCACCGAGCGCGGCGCATGATCCCTTGGGCAACCGTTCGCATCATGGCCACAAGCACGGTCGAGGCTTCCTGCAACAGTGGAGCCGCATACTCGGAGTTGATACCTTCATCGAGACAGCAACCGGCAGAGGTGCAGCGACAGCCAAGAAGCAGCGCAAGAAGAAGAACCCCTACTCCAGGGGGTACGTTCAAAACTGCAAGGACTTTTGGTGCGACCCGGCCCCCATGTTTGGACGGCGCGAGACTGGTGATGCCGTAGTAGGTGGCCAGCGTGTGAACTGGGCGGAGACGTACGAGAGTCCTGCGGCCATGGAGCTGGGCGGCAGGAGAGGCAGGGGTGGGTATGAGACCGTTGCGGGCGATGAGGTCTAAGGACCATATACGCACCTACCACGGTTTGACGGTTTAGCCATGTCTTTCAACAGCGATGAGCATCGTATGAAGGTGTTCAGGAGCTTGACTTATGTAAAGTAGCGAGGATCCAGTCCTCACTCTATATGATTGTAATGAAGATCACGCAGCTGCGAATATTTTTTTCAAAGCCATAGCAAGGAGACTTCGGGCTGAACGGTTGAGACACGTTCATTTATTAGGGACAACAATATAACACTGCGACAGTAGCCGACAGTCGTTGGATGTCCAGCCCATCTTAATAAATATCTATTTCACCCTGTACTGCTCCAGCAACTCACGGGCTCTCTCGACATTCAAGCCCCTGTGAACGGTGCCATCACACGCCTTGAGATCCTCAGCCTGGCACAAGGAGTTCAGGATCGCCTCCTCCGTCGCCTCAGCCGTCGCAACGAACAGGGCATCGATGGAGCTGTGCACGACTGTCTGCACGGTCTGTGTTTCTACATCCCGCCGGAACCCACCACCGCTGACTTGCCCGTCGGGGGCCGAAGGCCGGCCACCCGCTGTGCTCTTGGTTTCGGGGCTTGGTCGCTGCCACGGCTGCTTCATCAGCACCTGCGGCTCGCAGTCTTTCGAGGTCGACAGGGCGATGATGATGTCGCCGGACGTGTTGTAGCCCGTGCCCAACCCGCCGACGGCCGAAATGCCGAAAGAGGCGCGAGCGGCAACCCGCTTCAGCTGGTGCGGGAGTAGAGGCGCGTTGGTCACGACGCAGACAACGATGCCTGGGTTTCGGTAAGCAGTGTTCGATCGGTGCAGTTTCTACGAAGGTCCATGGACAGCCAAGGTGAAAACAAAAGGACCGTGACTTACTGCCCTCCGATCCCGTTCTCTCCTCCCGGTCTGGATCGCTCCCAGCGTTTCCCTTTTGCACTTCATCGCGGAATAGCAGCTTCCCAATCGGCACTCCGCCAATATTGAACATTGACTTCTCGCCAAAGTTCGTCTGCACCAACACGCCAACGACGAAGTCCTCCTCGCCGTCTCCTGCCCGGGGGACGAGGCGGCTACTGGTGCCAGTGCCGCCCTTGTGGCCCAGGCACAGCATCCCGGTACCACCACCATAGCCGCCTTCGAGGACCCGCTCGCGCGTGGCCGCGTCCTCAATGGCCTCGACAACCTGCTCGTACTTCAGCGTCGACTTGAAGTCGTGGATGTCGGTGTTGCCGCCGCCCCACGTCTCGGCCACGACGGGCCAGCCATGGTGGGAGTACATTGCCTCCGCGGACTCCTTGAGACGCCGCGAGAGCTCGAAGCTGTAGTTGGTCAGAGCCTGGTACACGGCTCCGCAGGACATGGAGTCTGTAAAGGCGATGGGCTGATCGTGGCAACGGTCGTCAGTGCTTTGTATTACATGTGTGGGCTTTCTTGTAGAGAACTCACTGAGCTTGTGAAGCCCCAGTCCTGGATGAAATGGGTCCCCGTCATCTCACCACCGCCATTCAAGGTATGTATGGCGGCGTATGACGGCTGCAGGCGCGTGCTCTTGGTGCCACGAGGGTAGATGAGCGTGACCCCGACATGTACGCCATTGTCATCATCGTGGATTGTTTTCTGGCCGACTTGGACTCCCGGTACATCAAGGATTGAGTTCTTTGCTCCTGGCGTGTAGTAGCCCGGTCCGTATCCGAGGTCGCGGATGTGGGGGCGAACCATAGTGAAGGTGTGTCTTCTCGAAGTTAAGAGAGTGAGTGTACTATAAGGGCAGGTAAGAAAACTGCTGCAGAAATATCTGATTGGCCAGCGTGTCAGCCATGATTATCTTGGCTTTGAGTAGCTTCGAGGTGCCAACTTTATACAACTGCTCTAACTACCCATTCCCCGCATTGGAAAGTTCCCCACTTCCTAAATGGTTCGGACCCGCGAAACCTGCATGCCCGGTGTGACTCAGTGGTCCACTGGTCCTTGATAATCCATAGGATACTGTCGTAAGCCAAGTTCGGAAGGACTCAAGACTAGGCCGGAATCTCTATTTAATGCCTGCAAATCTTGTGAGGAAACAGCTTGCGAGATGAGGTCGACCGGCGCGCGGCAATATTCTCAACCCCCGGGGAGTGGGTATCGGTGGGCCCGTAGACAATCACCGGATGACAGAACAGTCTTGAATCATCAAATATCGGGTAATCATGGTAGGTTCGGATGCTATGGGTCTTTTGGATAGGAGGATCTACAGCCTGACGTTCTATGCGAATGAAGTATATCCGCAGGCCCAAGAGTCCCGGGGCTCAGGACAATGCGATCTCTGCAAGAGTCACGACAACCCAAAACATCGAGAGTAGACGAAAGACAGGTAATTAAAAGAGGTCTTTGTCTCCTTGAATGTTAAAGACGATCTCATGGCTTTATATCTCACTTAACTGCACAGGTCAACAGTGTGTAAAAGCCCTTTGTATACTAGAGGCATCTTGGGACAAGCCCCTGAAAATCCAGTCACAATGCTTTATTTACAGCATTGTCGGCTCAACGTCTATATAGCATGCGCTCGTCACCTGCAACGAGCTCCAGAAGCAGCTTTATATCATCAAACTTAAGTAATAGTATTTCCACATCAGATCAATTAACCACCTCATCAAATGGACTCCACAAACTCAATCAAAGAAATGATCGAAGAGGGCCTGAATCTCACGCCAGAAGAGGCTCTCTCACGGTCGCGAGACATGTTAGAAAAGTCCCTGGAAGCCGTCGAACGGCGTCGTAATCTGATACTCGAAGACATTGCAAACATGAGCCAGCGGACAGGGGATTTGACGTGGCTCCATCGGCATCAGCAGTGGGTAAGTTTCGACAACAGCAAAATGCTGAGGTTTATCGAAAGTTGCGACAAGATCCAAAGGTTTGCAAGCGTCCCTGTGTTTGCCTCAACGGCAACCCAGGATCTGGTGGAGATAGTGCTCGACGTGAAGAAAGCTCTATTTGTGAGCGAGGGCTTCTTGCATAGCCTTGAGTCACTCCTAAAAGGTGGTCTCGCGTCCCGGAAGGCTGAGATGACTGCTGTGCAGATGCAGATCGACGAGCTATTGTTACTGCTCGAGTACGACGCTCTGCTCCGTGAACACAGAATATACCGCCCACCAATGAGTGCGCTGTCCAAAGTTCAGAAAGCAGAGATTTTCTGCGAGGAGCGTGAAGAACTGCTGAGACGGTATGGCATGCCGCCAATCAGTGGATATTTTGGCTACCTGCTGGAGGCTAAAGAAACGCTTAACCAGGTCTATGGCATGTGGAACGATGTTGAGCGCGAGCGCGCACGTCTCAAGTTTCTCAGGGAGTCGTCGGATGTGTGCCTCGAGCCTGAGAACCATAGAGATCTCAATGCGCAGATCGATGAATTCGAGGCTCAGGATCGGACGTCCTTGGCAGAACTGTACAGCTTGCTCTTAACACCATTGAGGCAAGCCCAAACTGAGTTCATGAATAAGCCGTTCGTTCGCGCCGAGGAGGAGACGGTGTTGAAGATCGTGGGGCTGATTCACGATGCTGAGGCACATATTTATCAGGATCGAGGCGCGCTTGATTTCTACAAGCGCCTTATCGAAAGTGGTTCTCTTCAATGAGGGAGTTACCTGAGGGGTTAGTAAGATAGGCTCTGGTAAATCGCACTCCAACTGTTGAACTTTGTCCTACTGTGGTCTTTCTCCCTTGGTGCTCCTTTTGTGTGGACGAGAGAGTGTGCCTTTGCCAGCCGTTAATAAAACTATTTATGAATTGTGTTAGATTGATTTGCTGGGGCTACTATAGGGCTTGGCCGCTCACGAATCTATTTGCTTTGGATGATCCCCTAATATCCACCTTCAGGGGTGAATTCTTGACCTGAGATCAAGTTCTAAATGCGCCCTTCGCGCTCCATACATACGATCGTATTCCCAAGTCCCTTGTCTTATAAGTTGTCATGAATATTTCGAGTATATTAAACTATACCGTATATCAAGCGCTACATAGAACAGAGACCGAAAGCACCAATTGCCAAAGGTTATCGCCTGGGCTGCCAGTGCGGAGTTGGCAGCTACCTATGATACTTACGTAGAACCCGCGACCTCCTGAACGGTAGCTCCTTGAGCTATGTCCTGTTAATAGAGCCTACCGGTACTTACGAGGAAGCTCTACTAGAACTGTTGTCATAAACCGATAAGGAATACCGATACCGCCTGTCCGCCTGTCCGCCTGCCTGTGGCAGGGCTTTGAATTCTCAGGAGATAAGTGTGTTGGCGTGCTGCTACGCCTCGACTCGGTCACAAACTTGAGGGACTCGAAGTTAAGTTAAGGGATTCAAACATATATATCAAAAAGGTTATATTATTGCATCACTGTTCATATAAAACTCCTAGGTGGGTTTGGCCGATGGAGCCTGAGCCGTCACTTCATTCTCTGTTTTGGCTTTTGCTGCGATTGCAAGTCTCCGTTTTCGTGCCTCAAAAAGAGGATAGACACAAAGGCAAGAAGCAAAGAGGATTGTCACGCCATTCCACAATTGAGCACCTAGAAATGCACGATTATGCTGGCCACCATAGGCGGCATCTGCGGCCAGGCCCACTGGAGCACCAATGAGAGCACCAAAGCCCGCTGCACCATATACAATTCCCATCCGAGTGCCAATGACTGCCAGAGACGGGGAAAGATAAGGTATAATGAATGCCGGAAGCGTAGTCACAGCACCGGAAAAGAATCCGTAAAGGACGAGAAAGGCTGCGAAACCGCCCAGGTTGTGAACAGCAATCCAGCATAGTGCCAAGATTCCAGTCACTGCGGCGTTAAACATAAGAATAGTTTCCGCCCCCAGAAATTTGTGATCCACAAGCGCTGCCGGTATGATCCTCCCAAGCATTTGTGCAGCGTTCGGAACAGCTAGCATATAGTATGCGATATCCTCAGAGACAGGATGATCGAGACCCACGAGACAGAACGACGGCGTCAGGATGTAAGGGACCAGAAAGCCAAGCCACATGAAGAATGATGCTACGGTAAAAGTAGCAAAAGCTCGGTCTTTGATGATAGACTTGTCAAAAAGCTGCCTCGTCGGTTTCCTCGCGGCTTGAGCACTTGGCTTGAGGAGGACCGTGGCGACGCTGAGGGTAAAGAGTGCGATGAATGCAATAGCACGACAAGCCCATCCAAAGCCGGCGACGTCCAATAAGCGGCGGACAACTATGGGATAGATCACGCCGCCGAAAGATCCTCCCGCAGTTGCACAACCAAGAGCAAGGCCACGACGAGATGTGAAGTACAAAGGGATCATGGCAACGCTAGGGATGTATAAGAAGCCCGTGCATATACCGCCCAACACACCCCAAGTCAGCATGACTTGGTAGTATTGTGTTGCTAAACTCAGCATCATGAGTGAAAAAGTGAGCGTGAGAGTAGAGGCGACCAAGATAGGATAGAAGTAGCCCAGGTCGAATAAGGGGCCCGAGATGACGCCTATGATGAGGATCAATGATACCTGGAGTGTCCCGATCCATGAAATCGAAGATGAACTATATTGTCGCAGAAGATTGCTCTCATAATATGTCTGGAATACCCCGAAGCTGTTGGCGAGGCCAAAGTTGTTGAGATTGATAAGAAAGGACGCAAGAACTTGAAGCCAAGCAGTAAGTCCACCGTCTGGCGGTGGTTGACTTGGCACAGATCGGGTCCAGTATTGGAACAATCCTGAATTTGTTTTCGATTCTTTCGATTTAGTGGAGTTCGATACTTCGTCTCGAAATGCCATGATGAACGGACTATAGCGGTGCTCGCCTTTGTAGTAGAGAAACGTCAGTAAGTTCGAAAATACGTTGCAGAAGCACCGTATGGCTTTAGGCTCATACTGCCAGGACAAAACCTATATATGTATATACAGGCACGACTTACGTCTGAATCCACAAAGTTGCAACTTTGACTTCAGGCAAGTGGTCGGCACAAGACTTCGCACACGCCCCACTGAGATCTGCCTCCAGGTGCGCGAACTGTTGTGTCAGCCACTTGTCATGTGGCCAGGGGTCGACTCAGCAATGTTGGTCTTAACCGAAGTGACAATATTTGGAAGCCCCATAACACTTAATGTTGACTATCGGTTCAGCTCCGGCACGAAGGATGCCTCTAGCATTAGTAGTTGTCTAAAAAACAGCACTAAAATTGCAGATCTCCCCAGACCCACCTGACTATGAGGTCATTTTCATTATACTGCACAACGAATGGAAATGTCGAATTCAGGCCAACCAGCGTCATTTATTTTTAGCCTTCCAAATCTGGATGTCAAATACGTGCGCTACAGCAAATCTGTAAGGTGACTAGTGGTACATCATGATGTGTCAGTGTCAGCACGAGGGTCGAAGCCCAGTAGCTCATGTATCGTGTGCTTCGGACCAAGGCGGTGACTGTTCCGCGATATAAAAATCCACAGATCTAAACTGGTCAGGGGTACCCCCCACCCTGGTTCTATTTTAGTCATTACAGCCGGCTCATTGATGCCAACTATCTTGTCTGGATAACTCTAAACCTCGCCTCGTACTAGCTCCGGGATTAGAACCAGCTAGGTTGGCCTCTGGATGCACAGGCTATGCGGCACAGTGGCTGTTACTGTGTATTTACCAAGTTGAGGTTCGCTCGTTTGATAGGGTAAAGACCGGACTTACAAAGATGCCCGCTCCAGCTAACGTGCTCTTTATTCAATGTTCCAATGATCATACACCCCGAATATCTGCGAAGGAAAAAGACAATATGAGCTTTGAACTTGTGACGTCGTATAAACGGTCGTTGCTACGTCCGCTCGTTGTGCCTGCCGGCGATCTTCTACAAGATTCAACAAATCTGTATCTAGACCCACAATCTTTTCAGTCCCAGTCATGGCGCGCCTCGACACACATTTTCTCCGGAACTGATGACCGCGACGAGTCTACCGCATGGCCGCCGACTAATTTCAGAGATGATCCAGCAAGGATTCCCAACGATGAAGCACACGACATACCATACGATGCGTCGAGCCTCAAAGCCAGAAACGAGGGAAATTTCAAGTTGTACGCCGACCAAGCAAAGAATTCGGAGGCTTCAAAGGTGCCGCCACCTAGACTGGTCGCCAAGCGATACCTTCCAACAGACCAAGCAAATGATTCGGAACAAGGCATCACGCTGCTTATCTTGACGGGGATGGGAGCGCCCAAGGAGGCAAGGACCACGACTCTAAAGTTGCTCGAGCGTGCGGTAACTGACTTTCAAGTAGATGTTTGAACCCATGCTCGGAGACCTACTTCCTCGGCTACGAAAAGCCGGAGTCAAGGTAGAAGAGGCTTGGGCCGTGGATATGCCTCTCAGCGGAGAGACAGCCAAAGTCAACCCCATCGGCTACCTCTACGGTCTGCTAGCCCTCATCCTTTCCACTCTGTTCGTATTGAGCTAACATTGCGTAGCCAACGAGAAAGATGTTGCTCGAGACCTTCTGCTCTTCATCACGGCCTACCTCCCGGTATGCCCTGGACAAACCCTTCCGCAGCATCTCGAAGCTCGCAGACCAACATCCCAACCCCGTCAGACCACGCGACAAAACCTCCACGTCGTTGCACACAGCCTCGGCGCTCAATCTGCCATCCTTGCATCCGTTCATGCCCCAAAAATATTCAGCAGTCTGACCGTGATCGACCCAGCCATGATTCCTGCTGGCAAGATTAACGATGCCATGGCCAAGCTTCCCAAAGAGACTCTTTGCCTCGGCCTTTCAGAGCGATATCCCGATCGTGCGTCGGTCGAAAAGGAGCTACGCGCAAACAAGCGCACTCGGTGTTGGGACGAGCGGGTGGTGCGGATTTTCGCGCAGCATGGCGTGATGCCGGACAGGAGCGGCAGAGGGTTCCAGCTGGTTGCTCGCCCACGCCTTGAGTGGGCGCTGTACTACGACAAACAGACGCCTGCCGAATGCTACGATCGTTTGACGGACATCAGCGTTCCTTTACATGCGATCATGCCCGCGAGACCTTTTGCCGTGCCGCCGAAGATGTTTGAGGCCGATGTGCGGAAGATGAAACAGCAAACCGAGGTGCGGTGGTTACAAGGGACAACGCATCAAATCGTGTACGAGAAGATAGATGCGTGCACAATGTTTGTGGCAGACTGGTTGATTAAGCTGACTGGCGAGAAAAGGGCTCGCTTGTGAGTACAGCAATGGGGTCTGCAGCTTTCAATCTCTTGGTATAACGGTAGACATATCGTGAATAATATTCCGTGAGATCTACTCTATTTCTATAATTCTATATCACCTCCCGCTCTATCCGTCAAATCTGTCTGAATTCTATAAACGTAATGTGATGGTCAATGAGAGCACCGTCTGGATATTTTCGTAGTCTTGATGTGTAGACCATCCGCCGGTCGAGCTGTTAGTCCACCTTTGATATCTAGGTTACCTTCGTCCATCAATGCACTTTCCTGGAGCCCGAACTCGAAACTCCCAACCCACACCGCCAGTAAGCATGCTAATTCCGCCCTGGCAAAGCCCTGGCCTATACACGCGCGGGTCCCGTGCAGGAACGACAAAAATCCGTATTTGCTGTATGCACCGCCGCTGGATCGTGTGCCATAGTCCTTGTTGCTGTCGCCACTATGTTCGTCATCATCTTGCTGCTCACACAACCAACGATCTGGATTGAAGATGTGCGCATCTGGTCCCCAAATACGCGGGTCACGGTTTGTAGCCCACGGCGCGACGATAATTCGGGCTCCTTTCGGAATGAATTGACCGACGATGGTAGTATCGTGGGCTGCTTCGCGGAGAGTTTGTGGTACTGGAGCGTAGAAGCGAAGTACTTCGCTGCATACGGCTTGTAGATATGGCATCGAGTCGATGTCGACGCTACAAATCAGTGATTCATTTGCCGCATCCAATGGTGGTAACCGTTGTTGAATTTCCTGCCTTAGCTTATCTTGCACATCACAATGTCGAGCAAGCAAATAGACGCCCCATGTGAATGCCGAACCCGTCGTATCGTGACCTACAAACCATGTTAGCTCTCATCGTTTCGTGAGATGCGGTGGAAAACTAAAGTGATCATTACTAACCAGCCGCAAGCAAAGTCATAGCCTGGTCAATAAGCTCGTGTTCGGTAAATGTTTCCGTCCGGATGGCTGAAGATAAAATATCCAGGTCGTTCAATTCCTTCTTTGCTAGCTTCCTCTGCTTGGCCGCAATCGTCTCCCTGCACAACTCGCGTATCGATCCAGCTGCCTGGCCAATATCGGAATTCAGCTTGATGGGCAGGGCATTGAGTACCCACGCTGGTACAAAACTCTCGATGAGATGCAGCATGCGAGCCTGATGGGACGGCTGAAAGATGATATTGTATGTCTGCACCAGCTCGTTCTTCTCGTCTCGTATCGCGCCAAAGTCCCTTCCAAGACCTGCTAGCCCGATGAGATCGAGAGTGATTCTCGACGCCCACTTCACCACCTCTATCGTGCCATTGTTGCTCTTAGCCTCATCCGCTGTGATCGCTTCAACCATCTCCCGCGCCTTGTCCCAGAAGAGCGGATACAGTGCCTTGATTTGCCGTGGGGCAAATGCAGGGTTCATATTTCGCCTTTGCGTCTTGTGCGCGTTGCCTTCAGAAAGGATCAACCCAAGGCCCAGGAAGCGCCCTGCCGTTTCTCGAAGGCTCGCTGGCTTGGGAAAAGAGTAATTTTTCGTGACGAGAACCTCGTGCAGCGCCTCCGGAGACGTAAGAACAATGCGTTCCGCGTTGAAGAAGCCCAGGTACCGAAGTAAACCATTATTGGGGGTTGTCTTGGTCCTAGTAGAATATACTGTGAGATGGATGCAACTAGGAGCGAGTGTTTATGTTTGAGCTGGCATACCATTCCCTTGCCGGCGAACAGTACGGTTCCTGGTACAGCCGCATGCCATGGCCCCAAAGCCAATGATTGCCTTTGGGCGTTGGTATATGGCGGAGGGGCGACAAGAACCGAGGACGAAGGATAATTACGTAGAGACACCAAGATGCAATTTCTAGAAATACAGTTCCTAAGAACGCTATCCAAAAAACGAACCATTGGTTCTCTCGATGTAAGGCCAGCAAATATGCGGCAAGGGCAGCACCGGCCAGAAGGAATTGCCATGCGCCAGCCATAACATTTGCGTACTAACGCTTTTGAGTGGACTGCTAATTGCTAATGCCCGAGAGGAAAGTAATTGCGTTTATCACAGTGCACTATATCAACTCCGAATTCCGTGGACAAGTTGTGTCTAGATCTGCAGATCTGATGGTATATATACAGGTCCAATATCCCTTCCTTCCTGAAGACGATCGCCACACCTGAATCAGGCCGCATTTTCAGGGAGTGTGTGATGCTCTCGTGGAGACCGACGCCTCAGTTGGCAGCAGATCGGTACAGTAGCAAGGTCGAGCGCCTGATAGCGCCAAGTGTCTGTAGCCGAAATTAACCTAGTATCATCTAAGAGCCCTCCGCTCAAGGGCTTCAATTGCATCATAGCTTTTCGACATAGCCCACATCGAGTAGTCGCTGTCGCCACATCCCATTGGATTGGCTTACACTAATGTCCGGTCTTACTGTCTTGAGTACTAGGGCAAATTAATACGATCTTTGATTATGAGTTTTGCAGCACTTAGCGCCGCTTCATGGGCTACCTGGTGCAGGGGGTCACTGTGGTGGGCCATGACCCACGCGTAAAAATAGCAAACGCGACGATCATGGGGAGAACTTCCTGCTGAACAAGGAGGCAGATCTGGGGGACATGAATGGTCGTAGGCACGAAGGCACACTATGCTACATTAGACTGCTTTTACACTGTGCTCTCACCACGGGATCACGTAGATCCGAAAAAGGACAACAAAGCGGTTCCACTCTCCTCCGTACTCTGATGCTATGGTTGCAAAGAAAAGAAAGGAAAAATCAAAGAGACCAATTCAGTTACAGCCGAGTTGTCAAGCAACTCCTAGGACCAACAGGCAGCTTTTTAAGAATATTTTTATTAAAATTTTATGGTTTGCTACGCGGCGTCCAAGCTGAAGCACCAACTTAAGCTGAAAGAAATGCTTCCAGATGTCCAATATACTTGGTTCTTTGATCCACATGCGCGAAGTGTGCAGCGTTATCTAATGTGATCCACCTAACCTTCTCGATGTGGTCGAAGAACGGTTGCATCGCGGGGTCCTGTGCCTCGTCCTCTGTGCCGTTGATCAAGAGTGTTGGGACTTGAATGCTGTTTAACCGAGGAACACATGTCCAATCCCGGAGGGAGCCCGAAATGTAAAGCTCACTCGGGCCGTACCTAAACATCTGTAAGTTCTGTAACATACACCCGGGTACATTATTTCCGTACATAGTGCTGTATGTGGTGGAATCCTTAGCAAACCAATCTAGGGCGGATTGAACCTCCTTTGCCGGCCAGGGCCTTGCGAGGCTCAGATGCCTTTTATAGAAGACCTCTACTGCGGCCTCGTACTCTGGACTTTCGAAGTCCTTGGTTTCATCAGCACGGTCGAGTACCTTCTGTACATCATCGGGCAACTTCTTCCTTAGGGCTGAAATACCCACACGCCAAGCATCCATGCTTGCCAGACTGTTGGACAGGACTAGGCGGCGAAGGTTTACCGAGCTGGACGGCGTTGCCGCCCACTCAGCTGCAAGCATGCCGCCCCAGGAGTGTCCGTAAACGTCAATAGGACGCTCTTGTAGGCCCAGATGGGATATAAGGTTATCCAGCTCACGTTGGAACAGGGACACAGTCCAGAATTCCTCGTCACCAGCCTTTTCTGCCAAGTGGGTTGACCTGCCATTGCCGATCTGGTCGTAGAATATCAGGGGTCTGTGGACCGCCAAGTCTGCCAACGGCAGCAAATACTCGTGACATGCCCCTGGGCCTCCATGGAGGACGATCAAAGGCACATTGGTCTTATCAAGGCTTCCAATGACCTTATACCACGTCTTGCAAGGTTGTTCGAGGCCCGGCACAACAAATTCGGCTATTCCCTGCTCAGACACCGGTATTAGCATTTCATGTAGTACCTTTCGAGTGCAGCGGGTGCCAGGTTAATCCCTTCATCCACTACTAATTGAGCTCGGAGCTGGGAAAATATCGTTTTTCATCCACACAAGGGTTTTCGAAGAAATTATATATTAGGACGCTGAGTTGCGAATCTCACCTCTGTTGTCATGATTACCGTCATTGGCTACTGCTCAAAAGACTGCCGTTGAAATTTTACGCTTTGGCTAGCGCGTGCGGTATGGTGTTGAAAATGGAGCTTGCTTACTTTGTGGTCATGAACACAGAGAATGCGCTACTTTAATACCCCGCCTTTCTAATCTGTCAGACGGATGCGAGCTTGGCGTGGTGCAACTGCATTACGTTGCTCAACCAGGTTCGAATGATACCATGGTGCGTAAGCAGGGATAGGAGGGGGCGGAAGGGAATTATGAGGCGGGCAGCTCTATGATGCATCCGTAGAGATTATACTCCATTGTTTTCCAGATGTCGCTCTAGCCCATTTAATTCCAACGATCCCACTCCGTAGTTCGGACGTAATGTCTAGTCTCTTAGTACTGCCAACGTTTCCGAATTGGCTGTGGCCTTGATCTATACTTGACCACAAGAATCGACATCTAAGGGACCAGCCAATCATAGAAAGCTGTTCTGTACGAAATAGGAATAAGGTGGGGCTACTTCCATAAGTGGGTAGAGTCACGGTGTCTGGCGAAAGATTCGGTTTTTGGTTCCGAAATCAGATTATGTTCCGACATGTATCGGGCCGTCCGGAACCGTCTACTTACTTTTCCTTGGCACCCGAATCATACGATTGATCCCGCGGCTCTCGAGCTGGGTAAATGCTATCAGCATGAAAATAGGTTGTTGGCCACGGGACCTAGCTGAAATTTTCGAGCCATTCACCCTTCAACCTCATGGTTCCGAACGATGCTATTGCGGTCGGCTTTTATGAAAGCTCTTTACATTACAAGGGCGAAGGAAAACGTTTCATAATGGAGCAGCTTAGCACGCGCAGGACTCTAGTGTCTTGTGGAAGCTTACTGATGACTACGTTATTTTAAAGTTACTAACGTCCCTGGATGAAGCCCTCTAGGATGTTATGGAGTCATGCGTAACCGAGTCGAAGAAAGGAATATACTCTTGTATCGTACAAGTTCGAACTGCATACCGGCAATGACTTTTCTTGATGCACTATACTCACCATCACGAGGTTTCACCACATACTTAGGCTGGTCTTGATCACAATTGTAATTATATTGCGTTCGACATAAGCTCTCTACTGACAAAGTGTCGATTAGGTTGCGACTGTTGAGTCCCATCTTCTGACCGCAGTGATATGGTGGTGCTGATTCAGGCGAACAGCTTCCACCCTCCAGGAACACCTTTCTGAAAGATTCCTTCGGGATCGAATTTCCTACTAACTCCCTGCAGATGTTTCTTGTTCTCTGCTCCATAAGAGGCGATTGGATCCTGGAAGTTGAACGAGTAGTTCATGTAGACAAAATCGATAAGCTGACCCTTCGATGAAGCCTCCGCCCTCATCTTTTCCAAGGCGCTTTTAAAGGTTCCCAAGATTTTCTCATCGTCACTCTTCGAGTTCCAATACATTAAGAACGCCACGGAGACGATAGGACTGCTAGGATCAAGACCCAACGAGTTTCCGCCCTTTTTGGCCGAGGCTTGAAGCTGAGAGCGTGCGTATGGCTGAAGGGTGTAAGAGCATATCAGACCCTCGCAGTCTTTGACAGGCTCAAGTGCGGCTTTCCAGATCTCGCCACCAGCCACGAGGGTGGCTACGTCGGCCTTGACATGAAGATTCATGTAGGCAGACCTAATAGATGTTAGCTTGTTCGAAAGGTTGTTACAAGCGTATGTACCGTTGGTTTGGCGGAATGTCTCCGGCTTGTTCTCGTGAAGCCTCCGCAAGGTTCATCATACGCATGGTATTCAGTCCACCAATCTGTGGCTCCACAGAAGTAAAAACGTCCAGAACAGGGGGCTTTTCAACCTCTTGGGTGTAATACATCTGATTCATTCCAACTGCCTCAGGGCCGAACATGGCAGTATAACCCAGGCTCATCATCAAATGGGTATCTGCCGTCGCGTCGGGCTTTTGGAGTTCGTGAACCAGTGCTTCGACTTGACCAGGGAAGCTAGGGCTGAAGTAGTACAAGGCACCTCCCCAAAATGGCCCTTGCTTGAAAGTCCTCATGTCGTAGCGTGTCACGACACCGAAGTTGTTACCTCCACCTCGCAAGGCCTTCCAGAGATCGGCGTTCTCGTTGGAATTTGCATTGACAATCTCACCTGAGCCAAGAACTATCTCGTAGTTCAAGACCTAAATGACACGGGTAAGTACAACTTCGGAGTCTCCACCTACCTTCCAGCAAAATTCGGATCCATGGAACTTACATCATCACATATGAATCCTTCTCGCGACGAGAAGATTGATAGGCCACCTGATAATGCTAATCCTCCAATTCCACCCTTGGACGACCGCGAGCCGGAACAGCCAAGTCCTATCTCAACCAGTTTATCGAAGACGGGACCCCAGGTCTCCCCGGCAGCGATAGAGACAACACCATTCTCAATGTCAATTTGAATGCCTCTCAAGAGGCCTAGATTCAGAGTAATACCATCTTGAATATTAGAACAGCCTGGCGCAGGCTGGCGACCACCGCCGACAATAGCAAAGGCTGCTTCGTCAGCGACAACGAATGGTCTAATCGTCTTAACAAACGTCGAGATATCCGACTTGGACCTGGGCCGGACAATGCAAGCAGGAACTATATCCGATTGCAGAGCTGATTGGAAGAAGCCCCGATTGAGTGTTTGGTGCTCCTGGGTACCCTCCATGGCGAACTCAACCTCGGGCAGGGCCAGTTTCAAGGCCTTGATAGCTTTAGACATGTCCATCTTCGCTGATGAAGTCGTCTGGCAAAATATCCAGAGCGGTGCGGTCGTCAGGATGAAGCGCCTAGAAGGGCACAATTCACTTAGGTATGGAACGAATTCGGCCAAGCGCAACCGGTCGCCCAGATGATCAGACCGAAGGAGAAATTCGGGAGTCTCGATCTTGCGGGTCTTCTTAGGTTCTGGGAATCTTTGTGAGCTGCGGCGCAGTCGACGCTGCGCCGGCGTTTGGGAGCCAACTGCATTCATGTGTAGATGCGAGCCTGTAGCTCGAAGAGGAGGGGTAAAGCCGTGCATATCGAACGCCGCCCACGAATTCTGCCTGGCTCCCCGGAGGTACAAACTAGTAGATACTTCCAGGAAATACATGTTTGCCGCAAGAATGCGCGAGCTGTTCATACTGTGTTGAGCAAGAGCAGCAGCCAACAATATCTCGCGCGTCTGCGGCACGGTACGCGATTCAGCAAGACAGATGCGGCGCTGCAAGGAAGGTGGTATTTGCTGGACCGCGCAGATCATGTACTTCTCTCGGGTTCTATAGAAGGGTGAAGTCCTACATGGTAGCACAAGGCAATACCCAATCTGGGAACCAATGCTTGTCGGGAAATGAACAATGACCGAGATGTATTCTACTCACAGCCTACTCCTCATAACAGCCGCTGGTCTGAAGTCTTTGCCCCCGCTTGGGTCGTAGTCTAGCCTTGAAGCTCCCAAGGCTGCAGCCCGTATTTGGTCAGGATGCAATCCCCTGCGTGTTAGTCAGACTACGCCTCTAACATTGCGAAAGGAACACTTGCGTTGGGGTCTACGAACGATTAGATCCATGCATTTTACCTGGCGCCATCTCGAGCCTTGACGACTTGATCGTTCTAGCCGGCGCACCGGATGAATGAAAAGAAAGTTTGAAATTAAGTAAGAAGCATGGGATTGTATAACTTTCATGATGTAATTTGTTCGAATGTCTCAAAATGGATGTTTCGTTGAGTATGGTGATTACGAATCTACTTCTACGGGATAGATTTACATACAAACTACATACGTTAGGCACTAACCTTGACATCGCGAAATGGCACTTGAGCAGAGAAGGTTTGGTCGCTTGCGTTCCTGGTGGGGATCGAAGTCATGCCTTTGGTCACGTTGTTGTTGTTGCTTTCTTCTCATTCTCTCTAAGTCCATATTCTGTCTCCAGTTCGCTCCTGAGCTCATGCGCTCTCTCGCCGAAGGCAAGAAGGAGTCCGACGAGGCTGAAACCCAACCCTACCCACCAGATTGTCCGCAGACTCCGCGTATATACTTGGGCAATCTCTTTCCAGATTTCGGGAGAGTACGCGCTTGCCTCCCGCAGCCCGTGCACCTCACTTGCAAATGCATACGCCTGGCTGTCTCTCAGCCGATCACGTACAGCAGGGTCAGAGACGAGGTCAAGGTTTGCGTTGATTGCAGCATTAAAGATGATTGAGGCAATTGTAACGCCCCATACATATCCGAACGTCTTGATGAAAGAGTATGCCGCAGTGCTGAATGCAACGTCCGCTTCAGCAAGAGCTGACATGATAGCAGGTAACATGGTGGAAACCGTGATGCCCAAGCCTGCGCTTGAGACCAGCTCGATAAAAACCCAGGCCACTTTGGATGTTTCGCTGTCGAGGAGCGGGTACGAACCAATACCGAGCGAAGACAAGGCAAAGGCGACGAAATGTAAAATTTTGTAATTACCGAGCTTAGCCAGGAGTACACCCCCCAGTACAGCGAAGAACAGACTCCCGATGGCATATTGTAAATAAAACGTTCCAGATTTCAAGACTGTGGTTCCTTTGGCGGCTTGAAAGTAGACTGGAAAGAAATAGCCAATCGCCTGGATCAATACCGACTAAATAAAGGTGAGAATATAGCCTATCGCTGAGGTACGGTGACTAAACAGGCGATTCGGCAGGCTAGGGTGTGTTGCACACCTCTGTTGGACATGGAATATGATCCAGCCTACACTACCCATCGCGAGGGGTAGGATCACCCTCCAAGAGGACCATGGGTGTTCGATACCGCCCATTACAAGTCCGAGCAGGACGGCGAATGTGCTGGGTACGAAGAGCATATTGCCAACGAAGTTGATACGACGCAACTTGGACTTGCCCGTGTGGTGACCCGGCGATCCCATTTTCATTCGCATGAACAGAAAGATCCCGCACAGCGCAAGGCCGCAAGTAGGGATGTTGAGGTAGAAGATCCAGCGCCATCTAAAAGCAAGGAAGGTCAGTTGGGGGAATACTTTGCTAGTCCTCGATCAAAGACGGCTACTTACTCAACCTGCGCGATGGCACCGCCCACGGGAGGCCCCAGCGCGGCAGCAACGCCAGCAAACGAGTTCATGAGGTCGACATACTTGCCGCGCTCGCGGAGAGGAACCAAATCGCAGCACACGATGTCGAGGAGCACGTAGAGGCCACCTGCGCCGACTCCTTGTACCGTCCGGCCACCGATCAGCATGGCGGGGGACGTGGCGCCACCGGCTATGCCGCTACCGAGGACAAACAGCGCCGTGGACGTAACCAAGGGATTCTGGCGCCCGAAGATGTCGGCGAGCTGGCCAACTAGTGGCTGCACGACGGCCGAGGCGACGATGAACGTGTTGGCGAACCATATGTAGTGAGAGGCGCCTCCGATGGCTGCTGTGATGGTAGGTAGCGCCGTGCTGATGATGATGGCGTCTAGGGCACATATGAAGGCTAGAATGCACAGCGATGTGAATAAACCCCAGAAGCGCGGGGAATGGCCACCACTGGTAGGCAGCCGGGGTTGGTCAAGATCTGGAGCTAGACCGTCGTCGTCTGGGCTTGAGACGATATGGACGTTGCCAGAGTCGGCACTTGTACTGTGAGCCATGTTTGAGGGCGAATGAGGGCTGGAAACCTGAACAGACTGCATCTGCAGTTCATTGTTTTACATGACAAGGGCTTCAGCAGAATCGATCGGAGCAGGGAGCAGCATCCAGAGACCCCAGAGGTAGCTTCACCCAGCGGCGCAAGGGACGGGTTTGGATTCAACAGCGACCAACAAGGTGGGCCGCAGTTTGTCGCGTCTCGTATTGATCCGGACTTTGATGCATTGGACTTTGATCCCTTGCTTTCCGACAGGTTGTGCTGTGCCATATGCATGATATTTCCCCCCAACCCGCTCAATTTCTAACAAACTGCACAGTGCAGTTGAGTGGACGGTGTGACAGCTGTATATATGTAAACATACTATGTACTGTGATTTTGCCCGTACACCTCTTGTCAGCCATCCAACGGGCAGACGGGTTGCATGCATCTACGTAGGACTTTGGGTTCCTTGCAGTTCGCATATGCTTGTGCCGTCTCGGTGGGTACCTCGGTGGAAGGGGAACGGCTCGATCACACCTTCAAACTCTGGGCGCCCTTCTGGAAAGGGTTGCTTGTTGAGAGATTTAGTAACACTACTGATTTGGATCGACCAACAGAAGCATCGGGTTGTCAAGGGCTCATGGAAAATTAGATGGCTGGCTTCAGTTACGCATCTTGAGATAGCCTTACCTGTATCGCAATATCCGGTGGAGTACAGACATTTCTTCAGAAGTGGGAAATTTCTTTCAGGAAAAGGTATTAAAGAGAACGCGTAGCATCTACATTTATCAACATAGCTAACTCATCTGAGCCCTTCTGAACAAAATGTATATGCCGAAGTAGAAATAGCAAAAAATATGCATTCAAGACATGATAGTATGGGTATCGTAGAAAAGAAATAAAATAAATGGCCCGGCCCCCATCTTATGACCTCCACATATTTCAGCCATGGACATGCCTCCTATGCCCGCCATGGACGTGAGCGTGTGCATGCTCAGGTGTCCGCCTGAACCACCTTCGATACGGCATTGCCATGGACATCGATGCAGATGTTGAAAACGTGTCGGTCGTCTCTGGCATCGGCGCCGAGTCCGTGCTCGTTGTTGGCATATCCATGCTCAGCTGGCCGGTACCGCCAATAAAGCCAGTCCCGTAGCTCGAGCCAGTCCCGTATGATGGGAAAGGTGGCTCAACCGTCACGGTGACTGGGTCTGGAGTCACCGTGATATAGCTGGTTATTGGCTCGCAGAACGGCAGGTTAGCTGCCGAGGCCTGGGCGCCGGTCATGTAGACGGTTTGCATATTCGTAATTGTGCTGGTCATATGGGTCGCCGCACCAGCTTCTGCTGTAGGCGGTGGCGCAGCTGGGATCACCGGGCTTGGTATAATAGTTAGCAACGAGACTACCGTAAGGCTTGGGGGAGGTTCGAATATATAAACTTGAGGAGATAAGGGATGAGAGGCTCTAACCTTGGTGACGAGCTCGCTTGGACGAGTGAGGTGGGCTGAGCAGCCATGGGCGCTGTGCTTGACGCTGCTGAATCAAAACTATAGCTAGGCACATCAGATTGAGGTGGAGCAACTGGCGCCGACGCAGGCGAACTCGCGGGTCCAGGCTCAACAGTGGCCGCCGTTGGAGCATCAAGTGTTGGGACTGCATCTGTAGGGCTTGCCTGAGTGTCCAAGTTACCTGATCCGGCTGCAATGACAGCTGCAGGAGATGACTCGGGCGACGATGCTGCAATGCCACTACCCGCTGGGGTTTCAGTCACAGGGCACACCGTAGTCGAAACCGCAACAATTTCTGTCGTCACTACAGGGCTTTCTCGGGCTGGACAGTCGGTAACTTCGGGCGCACAAGAGGTGACAGTATAGACGTTTGTCGAGTAGACCGTCGATGTCGTGTATGAAAGGGGCTGACTTGGCGCATCACTGGACATCAGCTCGGCGCTGTTACTGACAGATGACAAAAGCAAGCTGGACGGCAGCGGCTGGCTCGGTGCGTCGCTGGGCATCGCCTCAACGCTATTAGATGACACAGGCATGGTGGATGAAGGTGCACCTTCAGCGGCCAGAGGCACACTCGTTTCAGCTGCGAAAGGGGTACTTGGGATGAGCGAACCAGAAGACTCTGGCATGGCGCTAGTTTTCTCTACCTCAGCCACCGCTGTGACAGGGCAGATGGTGGTATACAGTGGCACCATCTCCGTAGTCACACTTCCAAGCTGAGACGAGCAGTCAGGGGCGTCAGCGGCGCACGAGCTAATCGTGTAAACATTGCTTGTGAATACGGTCGACGTAGTAAACTCCTGGCTCGATGAAGTTGCATTGCTTGGAAGCGCGCTTGCGGTAATCGGTGTGGAGTCTGAGCTGACGGGTGATACTGAAGGAGTGCCAGCGACCTCTGTCGTGGCTGTCGCCTTATCTGACACAGGACAGACAGTAGTTGACACAGCAACGATCTCAGTGGTCACTTGTCCTTTGCCAGGGCAGTCTTTGACGTCCGGTGGGCAAGAAGTGACTGTATAAGTGTTTGTCGAGTAGATTGTGGAAGTTGTCATCTCTATTGGCGTCGTTGGAGCAGCAAGTGGAGACGATGAATTTGTCGAAGAAACAATAGATACAGTCTGGTTGGATAACGTCAATGAGAATGAGCTTGGAGTGTCAGACGACAGAATACTCTCTGGCGCACTGCTTGAGGCATTTGCCGCCGCAGTGCTGCCAGGAGAAGTAGTCTCAGCAGCAGGCAGAGACTGGGCCGCGATAACTTGGGTCGGACTGTACGTAATTCCATCCAAAACTGTGGCGGTGATGGGGCATATAGTTGTGTACAACGAAACAAGCTCAGTTGTGACACTGCCCTTCTTCCCAGGACAATCTTTAACCGTGGGCGCACAAGATGTGATCGTATAAATGCTGGTGGAAAAGACGGTTGAGATCGTTGACGTCGTGATTTCGCTACTAATGCTATATGTCGTTGGCATTGTCAAAGAATCTACACTTGGCGGAGCGCTCGACGGCGTATCCGCAGTGAGACTTGCATTTGTTAGGGATGACAGACTTGGTACAGCAGACGAAACAGAGGACGTGAATGAAGACACGGCACTGCTGATACCAGAGTTGGCCGATTCGATGGCAGATGAGAATTCCGAAGCAAAGCTGGAAAGAGTACTTGAATCTTCCGGGGACAAAGATGTTAGTAAAGTTGCGGATGCCGACTGGACGGCTGTCACAGGACAGACTGTGGTTCCTATAGAAACTAACTCCGTAGTGACGCTGCCTTTCTTTGCGGGACAATCCTTGACCTCGGGAGGGCATGACGTAATGGTATAGATATTAGTCGAAAAGATCGTGGATGTTGTCAGTTCGGTAAGTGATCCGATACTTGGCCCAGTGTTTTCGGGGGCGCTACTGGATACGGCACTCGAGATGTTGCTCGAAATAATGCCCGAAGTGCCACTGGTAGGTTCTGGTGAAGAGCTGGCGGCGGTGGCCGAACCTTCAGATACTGCAGATGTAGACGCAGCAGCACTTTCTGATCCTACAGCCGTGACAGGGCACACCGTTGTACCAATGGATATCAACTCCGTTGTCACGCTTCCTTTCTTTTCAGGGCAGTCCTTAACCTCAGGAGGGCACGAAGTGATGGTATATATGTTTGTTGAATAGATCGTAGAGGTTGTCAGCTCGGTGATGCTAGCACTGGCCATTATAGATCCATCAGTGCCGCTGGAAACGATTGTGGAGTTGGGTGCGGATGAGGTTTCATTCGAGTTCGGAGCCGGTGATGAATACTCTAGTGTATTAGATACACTTGTTGCGGATCCAGTAGATGTTTCCATAGATGATGAGGAGCTCGTTCCAAGTATCATGGAACTGAGGCTACTCAGAATACCCCCGGTTGACGCCAGAAGGGTAGCGGACGAGTCAACCAAGGTTGGCGATGACACTAGGGAGGACGGCAGGACTGACGTCGTCCCAGATCCTGAGTCTGTAGTAGAACCGACGCTTATAGTCCCTTCGGTGAGGGAAGTCGTAAGCGACGGTAATTCCAAAGACGTAGACGACATGAATGTGTCCGGGGATGTGTCAGGTGCTGTAGGTGATGACATTGGGCTTGCCACATAGGTAGGCATGTCCATAGAACTGGGAGATGACGAAATTATCGACGTTTCTAGCGTACTGGCAACGCTCAAGGGTGGTGCCGTAGGGGTGTCTGATGAGGCAGATTGGGCGCTGGCCATCCGGGCCGAGAGACCCAGGAAAACAACCAAGCCATATGATTTTCTTCTTAGCATTATAAAGCTGTTAGATGACCACGGAGATGTATACGAAGGAGATACTAGCTAGGATGCCCCCGGTACACTTGTTCACGGAGTCATGCCGCCGCACATATCATCTGCTTGGTGGATAAAGAGTCATTGTGTCCTTTCTTACCAGACAGTGCCATGACAGTATGAAAGAGGATGTCAAAGCACGTTCAATTTGGCTGCCACATCCGGGGCAGTCAATACTTGATTGTGAGCATAGCCAAGGGCCGTCATTATGGGTATCAAATTGCTCTTGACACCGCAGTCAATGAGAAGACATAGAACTGAGATGAGCATATGTGCTAACAATGCTATGCTTTTTTGATCGATATCTAGGCGCAATGTCACTGACTGCTGAGCCACAACAGTTGTGGTAGCGTCTATCAACTGACAGCGGAGGAGGCGGGACTTTTCAATGACCTTGACGCGGTGCGCGAAGAGGCATTGTGTTGACCTGCCAATCGTTTGGGCGAATTGGAATGTTAGGGTCACGATTGATACTGATCGCCGGATGATGCATGAGAAATGTGTAGACAAGTACAGGACAAAGGAAGTCAGCTTGCGGACTCGGCTCTCAATTCACCTTCTTGTCGAGAGAGCTAATGATTGGGATAGTCTTTTCCATTTGGCGGCCAGAAACCTGAAATCCGTTGATTCATGCATAGAGCCAGACTGGTGGAGTTGCAACAGATGTTGTGAGTATGACTTCACGCTTCGGACTTCCGGGAGAGGGCGGCCAACTACTGTAATCTCGTCTAGATAGGAAAGATTTGCGTACATGGAGGACATGGTTTCTGTCAGGCTGCATATGCACCTAAGCAACCTAGCTTCAGGGTCCAAAGTAACGCATCGTTGGGCCTTAGCAAGGGGCGATCTGCAGGGACCTGAACCACGCCAATCTACAACCTCAGCTTGGCTAAGTTGTACCCCGCTGCCCCCCACTGCGAAACTATTAACAACCATGCACCCCATTCAGTCGGCTCTGTCGTAATGGAGGCTTTCTTCAGCGAGTCTCTGTTCGCATTTCATAGCTTGAGAGTAAGCAAGGAAGTTTGACCCTGAAATCCATGGTTTCTATGCAGTTTTCTGTCCACGCACTTATTTCCCCGAATAAGTCTTGATTGATATTCTTCTCACCCCCTCACGTGGTGCGTGACTACATTACGGCCGCGACCTAGAGGATAGTTAATGAACTGTACGTCACTCAGTTTTCAGAAGCTCCGGGCTTGGTTTCAACATCCTCCAGATCCTGTCTTGTGGTGACTGACAGCGTCCAAGATTGGTGGTATTCGAGCATAGTGATCTGCCAATTAGCTTCGCCGCGTGCGGGCTTCTGGTGCGGTCCAGCTTCATACCAGTGACGCAAGCTGTGCGGTGTAGTCCATGCTCTTTTACGAGCGGTCGCTTGCACAGGTTTCGGCGGTCTTTCACATGCATCAGCCCGCTCGATGGTGATCTAAGCAGCAGTCGAAGCATCTGGCGGTCACCAGGACGAAGTTTGACTCCTCATTTACGAATGGGGCATAAAAAGCATTGCACGTGGGTGAAAACGTAACAGCCGCTTCGAGGTTGCAGCAAGCTGGTCTACAACCATTGAAGAGCACATCAACTGGCGCACTCGAAAATGGCCTTGAGGAGAGTGTAGTAATGCAGCCAAATCAAGCGAGAGGATGCTTGACTGAAGTAGGTCATTGCAACGGCACATCCACGCGTATAAGAAACGAGTATGATTGAACCTTGTCCCGGAGACACAGAAGGTGACCGGCCCTCCTCTTGGGTCCCCTGCAGAGTGATACCACGACGCTATCTTGCCCCAGCTCGAGAGCACCGAAGCACTTGCCACGGAATGGATTGAGCTCGTTACATAAGTCGTAACGCACTTGCAATCTTTCTCGGAGTCTTGGGCCTTGGGGCTTCCGGCCACGCTGTATACAAGCTGCGCGCAAAGAATGTGAGCGGCCTTGGCTGCATATCCCACCATCTTGCAGTACGTTACTCAAGGCACCCGTACCGCATCGTGCCACTGGGCTGTCCTCGGCCCACATCCGATGGCTTCCAGGCTCCAGGCCCGAGCCCCGTCCTATCAATTGCAGCCGGGCGGCCCCACTAGCCCACCAGCCCACGACTTGGACGCCCCGCCAATGGATCCCAAGGAAAAGTGCCGTCCCCCTTCTAGAAGACCGGGGGGGCTTCATCACTCAGGCTGAGAGAGTCCAAAGTCCTATCCAATCCTGCCGACTCCAGCCCACGACTCGTCTCTCTTCCTCTGCCAGCATTCTTTTTTTTGGCGCAACCCTCCAAGCCCCCAAGTCTAGTCTTTCTGCACCGTTTTTTTGCAGCCTCTCGCCATAGGTTTCGGGCCCGCCATTCTCTTGTCATCTTTTCTTGCGCGGCATCATTCTCTTGGCGCGCTTTTCCGAGCTCCATTAAAATATACTCGAGCCGTACCATACTGTCCCTCCCTCTCATCCGATCCCTCCGTGGCCCGTGAGCTGAGTTTCGATACCCGTGTTCCCGCCACGGCCGAGCCGACTATCGCCTGCTCTGCGCAGCCTCGCGCCCGCCCCGAGCCCGAGACAGGAGTATGCCTCTCCTCAAAGCCAAATCGGCGACGCAGTCTGTGCGCGTCGAGAAGGTAGTCGTGAAGAAGGCCGTCAAGAAGGTTACCGCCCCGACGCCGCGGTCCAGCCTCGCCCCCAACGGCAGTCTGCGCGCGACCTCGGACGCCTCGTCTTCGTCGCCGCGCCTGCTGTCGCCGAACTCCAGGGCCGTCGCCCGCACAAAGAGCGCCTCGCCCTACCCCTCGTCGTCGGACGAGCGCGCCGGCCGCAAGCGCACCCTCACCCAGCGCCGCCAGAACACGCCGCGCGACTCCCCCCACTTCGGCCCCGACGACAGCGACGACGACGACGACGAGGACCCCTTCGCCAAGAAGCGCAAGGTCATCAGCACCTGGAGGGACCCGCACCGCAGGCTGCGGCACAAGAAGGCCTTTGGCGATGACATCAGGTCGCCGAACATCATACACGGCGCCGATCTTGCCTCGGTCAAGACCGGCTGCCCGCCCGCCTTCGGCGCGCCCGAGGACGAGGTAGCCGTCCAGCTGCAATATCCCTCGCGGTGCCGGGCTGAGAGGTAGGACTTCTCTCCTCCCTTCCAATAGGATTTGACGGCAGGCTAACAATCTGGCAGGTACGAACTCGTGTTCAAGAAGGACAGGATAGACGCCGTCAAGGACATCAAACAAGTCGTCAAGCACGTCGCCGAAACATATCTTACGGAGGAGCAAGCGCAACCCTTCATTGATCACAACTCCAGCTTCTACAGAGATTTGGAGAAGGCCGCCAACGAGAAGCGATGCGACGTCCCTGCGTTCAAGGCGGCCCTCAACAGCTACAATACAAGCCTGCTCTCGCTGGTCGAGGATGGCTCGGTAGCCAAGAATCTCGATAATATGCACGGCATCCCTCCCTCCCTGGTCGATTTTATCCTCACCCAAGTGTACGAGCGCACTGTATCTCCGAACGTCGACTCGCTCAATAAATACCAGCCCGGAGGCGACAACGTCTATGGAGAGCTCAATGCTCCCTTTGTCCGCGAGATCCTGCAGGTACACGGCGGACTGACGTCGGAGAAGGTCTTCATCGACCTGGGGTCGGGTGTCGGCAATGTCGTATTGCAGGCCGCTCTCGAGATCGGATGCCGAAGCTATGGCTGTGAGATGGTCGAGAACTCGTGCAATTTCGCCGAGGCGCAAGAAAAGGAGTTCAACGCGCGGTGCCTCCTCTGGGGCATCGGGCCAGGTCGGGTGCGTCTCGAGAGAGGCGACTTCCGGACGAACAAGAAGATCCTCGAGGTCTTGAAGGAAGCCGATTGCATCCTGGTCAACAACAAGGCCTTCACCCCAGCCCTCAACGCGGCCCTGGTGAGCATGTTCCTGGATCTGAAGCCGGGCTGCAAGGTCGTGTCTCTCGTGTCCTTCATTCTCGGCAACGAGAAGAACGCGATCAACGATATTGCAAACAACATCTTTGAGGTCGTCGAAGACACGTACAAGGAAGACTGGGTTAGCTGGTCGCGGGCCCCCGGGCGGTATTTCGTGTCTACTAGGAAGTAAACTGGTCTTTCCGTCAGCCAGTCATCGGGCCGATGTTTTATAGTAAGGATGAGGAAGGCTGGCAAGGCCGGAGTATGTGAGCATTTCCGCGATGTGTTGGCATAGCCTTGCGGGCATTGGAATGCATTCAAGCGAGCGCATTTGCATTGCGGTTAATTGACGAAGAAAGAAAGAGACGTTTTCCACTTACTGTATAAAACATAAGAGCAGTGTTTGTTGTATAGGATACCACAGTCAGGCGTTATTTTTCCCCGTAGCAAAGTCCCAGAATTGGCACATTGTACTACTGCACTGCTCGTTCTGCCGCGTCACCGCTTCTTCCCATTCGTGCGCGTCGCCGGCTCGTTGGCGAGGTTCATGGCGTCGGCCTCCTCGCCCATGCGCTGCATCCAGCGGTCGACCAGCATCTTGTTCTCGTCCTTGACCTTCTGCATGTTGCGCTCGGCCGCGTCCAGGTGGATGTTGAGCGTCAGGTTCTCGTCCTGCACGTCCTTGAGCAGCCGGTTCTTCTCCACCAGCTCCTCGCTACGGTCCCGCAGCCGCGTCGCCAGCGCGCTGCGCTCCGCCGCCAGCTCCCGCACCCGCTTGTCGTCCGTCTGGCCCTTGGCCCGCAGCTTCTGCAGCTCCGCCTCGGCCGTCTTGAACTTGGCCTGCAGCTGGCCCCGCGACCGCAGCGCCTCGGCCAGGTCCAGCCGCAGCTGCGCGACCGCGTCCGTGTCGGTGGCTGTGGCTGGGTCTGAGTTCGCCGACGCGTCCCGGCCGCCGGAGGCCGGGGCCGTCTTGGACGGCGCGGACGAGCTCGCTGATCGTAGCAGGACGGCCTTCTCGGCCTCGAGAGCCGCCACGCGGTCGGCGAGTTGGGAGCCTGGTGGGGGGTGGGCGTCAGAAGTGTTGCACGAAGACAGGCAGGGGGCCAAGCCTAGCGTTTGGGGTAAGAGAAGGGCAACTAACAGGCAGAGACGAGGTCCTTGTTCACGGGGTTGTTGCGCTCTGCCTCGTGCAGGTTCGCGAGGTACTGATTGCGCCAGTCAGGCATGGCCGACGCTGGGGACCGGAGGCACCTTTCCAGTAGTTCTCTGTTCCTCTACTCCCGGCGGGGCATCTGGTAGGTGAGTATAGAGAGCTGTCCCAGGCTGTCGGTCGTCGTGATTGAACTGAGAGTTGGGTTGGGGGAAAGGCATGCGCTGTTTTTCCGCGTTGTTTTCTGCTTCTTTGGGGCGTGTAGCAAGATATTCAGGTGTCTTGCGTGGTGATTCAGTTGCCTGCAAAAGCGAGTGACGGTCAGGTCGGTCGCATCCTGTTTGCTTGAGACATTCCGCTGTGGCTTGCAACCCAGCGGGGTAGCAGACCGGGCTTGTTAATGGGCAGGGGTCCATCTGACGTATCCATCACGCTGCCCGTTTGGTTTCTTGTCTAGAATCAGCTAACTTTAGTTAGAATTGTACTAAGACATGCAGTTCGTTGGGCGTCTTTGTTTCAGCCCTGAAGAAACAATCCGCTAGTTAACAGGCACCAAGGGTACTGCTTCAGAACAGGAATAGTCTTCAGCACTCCAGTGCGTTCGAAAAAAAATGACCCTTTAGGACAGCTTATCGCTATCGAACAAGTGAAGGCCCTCGTTTTCCTGCCATCGTAACGTATCGTTGCAACAGCAAGAGCTCGCTTATAGTGAACCGGATAGTAGGGCATTATTGTTTGGGGGCTCGGTGGCTTTGTGGCTTGCGGTGCATTATAGGCGCTTGTATAAGTCTACAACAGACATCTTGTGTTTGCCTATTACAAAGACGCCCCATTGACCGACGCACTCTTCTAAGACGTGTAAAATGGCAGAACTAAATACTGCACTGCACGTTTAAGGTGTTGAGACTGACGAGAAGGGTTGCATTAGCTGGGAAGTAGTCTCGGGGCAGTATGGCCCCAGTCCATAACTCCGGCTTAACAGGGAGCAGGAAACCATGGGCTTAGTTGAGCACTCATGTAGCATGCAATTTATATGATTCAGGGTTCAGCTCTAGATGTGAATCTGTCAGCAGCAACCGTAGTGAGGATGCCATATATCACCTTCGCTCCTTATTACGACAAGCCATGTTGAACATAACCTATCACACTCGCCTGTTCCAAGTATTATGAATCCACTATTCTATTAAGCGCCATCCCTCAATAAGTTCCTATCTCTTAATTCAAACTCTAAGATGAGTTGCTATTGTCTTTGCAGGAAAATGCCTGGTCAATCTCGCCCCTCGCGTATGCATCAATGATATTTTGAACTACACCATACGTTCCACCGATTGTCAGAAATACAGCCAGCAGAATCATCAGCCAGTTGAGGTAATAGACAATAGTCTGCCACCAGTTGCCTTTGCGGTAGTGTTGGTGATCATAAACCCAGAGATACCCAGGTAACCCAAGTGCCAAAGGCGCAAAAGTCAATGAGCCGGCCAAGGCCAAAAGATAATTGAAGATCGGTATGCCGCTCGAAATTATTAGCGCTATGGCAGACATGCCAAAGGTGCAGGCGAGCCAAATTGACCAGTGGACGACCGAGTTCTTCTGCAGGTGTTCCGAGTTTCGCAGTATGCGGACAAAGATGTACTTGGCCGCAACGTGGATATAAAGACAGGCACTGACCAAGAGACCTATCAATCCAATGCCGTAAGCGACCTTCTTGATGACGTCGCCGGCGCTTCCCAGAGATGGTGAGGCAACCCACTGTCCACACCAGCGGTAGACGACCAGGCTGAATGACAGGTAGGACGCCGTAACGATGCCCATGCAAAGGTAAACAGCCTTGTTGTAATCCCTGGGTCTTTTCATCTCGGAAATCACAGGCAGGAAGGCAGACGTGCCCGCTCCGGAGCAGAAGATCGTGGCTACTGATGTGATACCCGCAACGAATGTAGGGTTGCCGATGACGTGGTATCCCAGATCAAAGTCACCCGTCTGGGGAGCAGCCGCTGGTCTTTCACGAGTAGTAACTCCAACACTGTTGCTGAGTGTAAGTTAACGGTAAAAAAGGGGTTAAGCGTAAAAGTGACTTACACGACAATGAAGACCGCAATGAACACGGACAAGAACCCGGCCCAAGTCAGCCACGCAATCTTCTCAAACTTTCGGGCACTAGCCAGGATAAAAACGGCAACCGTGGCGACCAGCATGAAATAATTGGTGCAGACAGCGTGGTTCGAGAGAGCGTTCAGAGCGACCGACGAGCCGAAGATACCAGAGGCACCGACGATGGCGTAGGTGACCAGGAAGAAAACTCCTACCACCTCCTTCAACCATGTTCCTCCGACGACATACGCCATGTCGGCGATAGAGTGGCAGCCCGCGTGGGCATTGCGGAAGTTGCCTTGGATGATGGCGCAGTACGTGTTCAGGAACTGCCAGCCGAGGACGTTGATTGCGCCCGGAAGAGCTCCCAGAACGTACATGGCCGATGGGATCGTCAACACTCCGGTAGCGAAAATGACTGCAGATGGGCCGTGAGTAACAGCCTCTCGAGCTTCCGAGGAGCCTCAGAGGAGGGTGAGTCAGTACGCACCCTTGAGGAAAATCACTGAAGCGTGGATCCATGAGACAGTGCGGAAGTCCACCTGTCCCTCCTGCTTCTTGAAGACTTCAAAGGCGTCATCATTGGGCTCCAACTTGATGGCTTCGATGCTGCCGCTGCTCCGCGCGGGCATGGGAGCGATGGCATCTCCCTTCTCTGAGGTCTTAGACGACATGTTTGATGACCTGGGATCCAGAAGACCCTTGTGAACGAATGCTGTACCCCGATTGGTAGTGGGAAGAGTCAGTGATGTAGGGTGACGAGAAATGCCGACCGCGCTTCACTTATATGCATCGTCGTATGTTGCTGGAATCCCGGATCATGAGATTGCAACCTTATCATCGGTTAGACACCGTCCTCGAAGATAACGATGGATCATGATGGTCCAAGAGAAGTGGGTTCATGAGCCCATGGCAAGCAGAATCTGGGGATTGTGGATCTTGTCGCTAACTAGGGTGTCAGACGGCAGTGTCTTGGAGGATGTCACTATTATGGAGCCGATATTGGAGTAATAGAGAGTCATGTATAGTCTCTGTACCCAAAAACATGAACTGTCTTGCCTATCACCTGCTCCAACTGGCTCTTTTGGGGTCACAGACAGGGGCTTAACTCCAACAACCAACGCTATCATTGGAGATTCTACGGATTACCCCAAGGGGAGTTTGGAGTCGTTCATTGACGAATGGAGAGTATCGCACAACGGTCTTTTGTCAAGATGGCTATCGCGTCGCTGATTCGCCTTTGTTACCTTTTGCTCTGCGTGTGAGAGGATACCGAAAGGCCGAATTCCAAGGAAATCACAATCGAGGCATGGCCGTGCGTGCTAACCACACACCCGTTCACTCCCCAAGCGACGCAAGGCCGTAGGCCGTCCAGAGCTGCCCTACATCCCATGAAATTGTAGCATTTCGCGTCTACGGATCAGGCAGAACGATATTGAAGATAAGAACAAATTAGGCCTTGATATATTCTTATGTAAATTATTTCATTCGCTGTCTAGTTCTTGAGAATGGATCCTGGCTCAGCGGGTAGTTTTGCCCCAGCTGCAGGCTGGTTCTTGCTCTTGAAATCGTCACATATCTCCTCCATTGTCACGAACTCGACGCCTTCGTGCTTCTTAAAGTGTTCAATAAGCCTAAACACGGTATTAGTAACGCGTTTGCTCAGACTTCTTGCAAACAGTTGAGCTTACCTCTCGTGCATCAGCAGCACTTGCGGGTGTCCCGAGACGTCCGGGTGAATCGTGATGGGGAAGATGAACTCGTCATGCTCTCGGTAAAGGTAGTCGAATTGATCACGCCAGATATCCTCGACGTCGCGTGGGTTGACAAACCCATGGCTGTTCGCTGCGTTTTTGATAAACATCATTGGTGGCAGATCGTCCAGGTACCAGGACGCTGGTATCTCGACGAGACCAGTCTCATCGCCCTTCTCCAGAGGCCGCATCCAGTCCTCGGCCTTCTTCTGGTAATCTATGGGTGTCCATGTATCGCCTGTTCGTAGGTAATAGGCCTGCGAGTCGTGATGCGAGAAAGAGTGGTCGTATAATATTCCATAGTCTAAGAGAAGCTGGCCACCCTCCTTGCTACATTCCCACCTGTGCACCATTTGCGCGCGTCAGTGAGTGCACTTCATGTATCCTGATGTCGTTTGAGATAAGGCTTACCACGGGGCAACGCTGCCTTTCGGCGGCTTGCCGACAAACTCCGTCAGCATGCGGTAAGTCTTGTCCAATACGTCCCTCTGCTGTTCAATCGTCATATCCTTCGGGTTTTCGTGTGAATATCCATGAAGTCCAATCTCGTGGCCGGCATCGCGCACTGCAGCCATGTCCTCAGGGAACGTCTCTAAGGAATGGCCCGGAATGAACCATGTTGTCTTCATGTCATACTTTTTGAAAAGCTTCAAGAGGCGCTGGACTCCAATCGTACCGGCAAAAATTCCTTTCTGGAAGTTAGTATAACTGGCGTCGCAATGTCACGCGTTTCCTCACCTCTACTGATATCGCTCGTCGAGTCCTCGCCGCCATATGATCCGAGCCAACCAGCGACAGCATCGACGTCTACACCGTAGCTGATGAGAACTCTCTTCTTGCCCATTGCGATTGATTTGGTAGAGGCAACTATGTAGAAACAGTGTCACGAAAGACGAGCGGTTTTGGCAGTCAGTCTCGGGGAAAAGGCAGTCTAGTTGCTTGTCGTCTCGAAGGAAAATCAATGCGACTTCGCGAAAACCACACTTGGAGTTCTGTAGCGCTGCGAAGCTATTTACCACGGATCTATTTCGATGCATGCCACTCCGATCAGCAACGAACTACCTTGATCAGGCCCCATTGTGACATGATTCAATCACACATCAACTGCGGGGAAGCCGCATGTGTCAATACCTGCATTAGTTGGTTGCCGAGTACTTTAACCGTTTCAACGAACGTCGGGTGTGATAAGGAGATAGTGGCGGGGTAGTTATTTGGAGTTGCAGATTCCAGGGGTCCAGGTAGTTGGAGTAGATTTATAACGCCCTCCAAGCGGAGAGTCGGCAATTGGAGGTCTAGCACCAACTATCGGCGTCAATTGGAACCTGGAACCGTATGCAAATCCTCCGCGAAGCTCGAAATCAAGTCTAGATCACATCACGTGCCAATAAAGAACGACTGGATTAGGCATCTCTGTCAACAGACTGATTTGGGCTATAGCCTCAAGTCACTGTGTCTCCGCAACCTTATCGGCATTCTCCAACCACAATCGTGTTCCAGCCGCCATCATGTCAAATACTGAGCCTCTACAAGAGATGCGAGCTGCACTATTACGTGAAGTATGCTACTTAGGCAGAGACCGTAACTTAATCCCGAGCTGACAAGACTTGTTGTAGTATAACAAGCCTTACGAACTTGGCAGAAAGGAGACGCCGAAAATAGCTGACCATGAACTGCTCGTCAAGGTCTACGCCGCTGGGTTCTGTCATTCAGACTTGCAAGTCGCACAAGGACAGTTTCATTCAAAAACCCCCATGATTCCATCCCATGAGCCCGCTGGCAAGATTGTACAGGTTGGATCCAATTGCCGGGGCGACTGGAAGGTAGGCGACAGAGTTGGCGTCCTCAACTTCAAAAATGCGTGCACTTCATGCACGGGTTGCAGCCTGTCTAAGCGTGAGTACGGCACGTATGATCCTAGGTTCTGCGAACGAAGGGAGACCGCCGGCTTCCAGCATGACGGTGCATTTGCCGAGTACATGGTGGCAGATCCGGAAACGACAGTCAAGCTGCCTGACTCTTTGTCATTTGAGCAGGCAGCGCCGCTGATGTGTGCGGGCGTAAGTGGCTGCTGTTACGAACTTTTTTATCTTAACGATAGGTCTGACGTTTTGATGTAGGCTACTGTATGGGGAGCTCTTGAGAAGGCGACGTCGGGGCTCAGTGCCGGCAGCACAGTTGCTATCATCGGGATAGGTGGTTTAGGTCACTTGGGTGTGCAGTTTGCGAAGGCCCTCGGCTACCGCACGATAGCAGTTGACAGCCGCCCTGAAGGTAGGCAACTCTCGACGGAGGTGCCAGGCCTGGACTTGGCTCCTGACCTCGTAGTGGACTCAACCGCTCCAGATGCCAAAGAAGGAATCTATGGTTTTACCCAAGGCGAAGGTATTGCGGCGGCTGTTGTGTGCACAGATTCGCTGGCAGCGAACGAGTGGGCCTTGACTCTCTTGAGAATTGGGGGCACCCTGGTGCTTCTCGGCTTGCCTCCCGATAAATGGAGGTTCGATTCGGATATTATTGTATTCAAGGAGTTGATATTGCGTGGGAGTTACGTCGCTAGCAGAGAGTCTACGGAGAGGATGATGGCCATTGTAAAGAAGAGTAATATTCAGTCCCACCTTACCGTGGTCTCCTTTGACGGAATACCAGGCATCATGGACAGATATGTGGAAAAGGGGTTTAGAGGGAGACTAGTCGTTCAACTGGCTGAGGAATAGCTAACTACAAGCTCCATTTCTAGACTTACTGTGATTCTATATTCACGCATGCGCAACATATCTGCTGCCCCATGTACCTCAAGGCTCATTGGTTGCCGATCATTATTCAAGTTACCGGTGCGTGTGTCAAAAGCCTTTCATCCTGAAAAGTCTTCTGCCTTCTATTCTTACAATTTTGGTTTCATTTTGACACTAGGTTTCTGCCTTTGAGTAAACCTCATGTAGTCAAGGACTGTAGGTCTTATACGCATATTAGTCCAGTGACAAAAATCTGAAATGCCCAATTCCTGATGTTAATATATATGAACATACATACATTCGTTACGCGGAAGTCCATATAGAAACTCACGCAGCATGTATTGCCATATGTCGCAGGCACAGCTAAGGCCTGTTGGCTCAGGCCGACATGGGTGGGAAATATCCTCCTCGCTAATGCATAACAGCAGGGACACTGCAATCTTCACTCCACTTACTAAACAGGCACAGCTCTTTGTCCTCTTCAAGAAACGAACAGCCCTACAATGGGCCAATCAAAACCCCTCGGGCCACTTTATTTGAATGCAAGAGTGTCGCCAATGGCCCCCAACCACTCATAGTTGCGTGATCTCACTCCGAAATCAGCAGCATGGCCAGACTATCTGCCTCAGATGACCAGCCCTGAATTATGTGATACTATCAACCATAGATTTTCTATTATTCACCAAAATGTGGTAAGGCTGCGTCAGACGCAACTTGGCGTATATTCGTTCCTCGAAGCCAGCCATTCTACTTGGCCCAGGGAGTATGTCATACAGCAGCCTGCTTCGACGACATTAAGTCACGCTCGAGGCCTTATCATACGACATTTTCTGTCGAGACTTACACTCTGTAGGCGATCCGGCGAAATCACATACTCATAATCGAGAGACACTCCCATATCTGATCAAGCCACAACTCGATCAAGGAAGAGAGATCGTCGTACTGGCCCACTCGTATGGATCTCTTCCTGGTGTCGCTCTTTGTGAGGACCATACAGTACCAGAACGTGACGCTGTTGGTAAGAAGAATAGAATCCGGTTTGTGATCATGGTCAGTTGCGGAGGTGCCATCAGGAAAGGCCAGACACTGCTCGGTGAGGCCGGCGGAGCGTACCCGCCGTACCTGATACCAAAATACGACAAGACAGTACGTAGCATCACATTCAACTACCCGACTCAATCGTTAGATCGCATCGAGCCTTGCTCCATCAAAGCTTGTCCTAGGATGGCCTTGCTTATCCTACCATGGTCGCCAAAGCCCACTTCTATAGTGATCTTACGGACAACCAGGCGGCACCTCTCGTTGCTATGCTGAAGCCGCAATCCATAGCATCTTGTGAAGAGCCAATTGTATTCGGTGCTTCTGACCTCACTATTTCGGTATACTATGTACTCTGCGCGAACGATCAAGCTCTGCCCGTCTTCGTTCAAGAGCGGGCTTGTCAAGGGATTCCCGCTCTGAGACGCAAGCTGACTTGGGCAAGTGGCCACTTCCCGTTTCTGACGGAGCCTGAGACATTCGCGACGGATATGGTAGAAACTATTGGATCAGAGATTGCTCGATCCTGTTTTCTCGGACTTTTCTGTTTGCGGGAGGGGGGCAACACAATGTGAGCCCTTCATGCAAGGTTAAGCTATGGCAAACCCGGCAAGATGCAGGGGTAGTCCATCCCCTTTTGATTGAACAGGAACATTTCTTCCGGGACCGTCAGTTACATCAGCTGTCACAAGATTGGAAGCTGAATCGATTAGTCTTTTTATTTCAGTACAGTGACCTGCATTCTACCAAAACATATACACGTCGTATACACATGTGGAGAGCCGCGTACCGGTCAACAGTCTGTTGCCGCCCGATCCGGACCAAGCCACTATAAACTATTAGCAGTTAACCCAGAATGCATGACTAATAGATACCTTGAATAGCTTTCAGTTATTGAACGCTTCCCCAGCTTGTCGGTTTTCTAGTCTTCTGGGGATCCCACTAACCACTGTCTGGTGGAGCTCTACAAAGAAGCTCCAAGACCCACTCAGTGCGTTGGAGATCACGAGTCCAACTCCAACTCGACCTCAGAGTCCAGTTTGGGGTTTACTCCATTGCAAACCGTGGGTACCTAGGTAGGTTACTTGATAGAATCATCTCATAATTTGTCAACTCATCAACTCCTTGGATGAGTACCAGCTGGCAGCGAACGGCCTGCTTCAATATGGGTCATATTTCGTTCTTCTTTCGCGAGCCCCGGCTTTGTCCTGCTCAGTAAAACTCGTGGACTTAAGTGGTTGTGCTCCAGCTGGATTGACTGCCGCCATAACACCGACTCACGACCTCGCCGCGAAATCGTTGGGAGCCTTGAGGCTTTGAAATAATGTCGGTCTTCTTCAAGGACGTAGGAGAGTATGTTCACTCAATATTCCGGGTAGCCAAACCGCTACTGACCCAATTTCCGTAGAGACAATCCTGTCAAGAAAGGGGACGCCGAAGAGATACTCAAAGGTATTGGTGTCAACATAGATCAGAGCGATTCGGACGATTATCATGTTCTACTAGCGGCGGTGCACGATGTTGCAGAGCATCTCATTAGCCTACCGGATTATCAGCCCATACCCGACAGGAAGAGGTACCCTCGCGAAAATATACATCTCCCCACGTCTTCCGAACAGGCCTTCGGACACGCTTGGGCGCATAAGTTTCTCATAAGGGGCAACAAGGAAGGAATGTACCTCAAGCACAAGACTGTCTGTATAAAAGACTGTATAGCAGTGGCAGATGTGCCGCAGTTCTTCGGCAGTGATGCGTTTCCAGCGTGGACTCCGTCGACAGATGCAACAGTTGTGACCCGGGTTTTGGACGCGGGGGCAGATATCCATGGTACAGCCGTCTGCGAAAGTTTCTGCAACTCTACCTCGTCATTCACAAGTGCCCAGGGGACGATCGAGAATCCCCATAGAGAAGGGTATTCAGCCGGTGGGAGCACTTCGGGAGGCGCTGCTTTGGTCGCTGGTGGAATAATGGATATCGCACTTGGAACAGACCAAGGAGGATCTATCAGGGTCCCCGCCTCCTTGTGTGGTTGTGAGTTTCCACGTCTTGTTCGCTGCTTGGTTTATACTGATATTAGTCTCAGGCGTCGGCTTGAAACCAACACATGGGCTGGTTCCTTATACGGGTGTGACTTCAGGCGATGCCATAGATGATCATGCTGGTCCCATTGCTCGGTCTGTCTCCGAAATTGCTGCCTGTCTTGATGCTATAGCTGGAAATGACGGTATCGATGACCGATCACTCGGCTCGCTACCTCATGGATCCTTCCAGTTCACAGAAAGCCTGACTCTTGAGAGCTCTGAGAGCTTGGCAGGCCTAAGGATAGGCATTCTCAGAGAAGGGATGGAACAGGCTATCGTTCAGCCGGCAGTCAGAGAGCTGGTCCTCAAGGCAGCGAAGAAGCTGGAGCATCTAGGTGCCACCGTGGAGGAAGTGTCGATTCCCATGCATCTAGAAGGTCCTGCGGTATGGACGATCCAACAAAGAATATCGGGCGCTGCCGGTGTGCTTGGCCAATCTCATGGAAGAAGAGGTCTGTGTCTCACGGAATTCGAGCAAGCTCGGCTGCCGTGGACAGCAGAGAATTTCGCCAAGCTCTTCCCATCCACGAAGAACACTGTCATCAACGGCATCTACCTAGCCAAAAACTTTCCTGGGCTCTATGGCAAGGCGGTCAACATTGGCAGACAGATTCGTGACGCCTACGAAGAGAAGTTGGGGCAGTACGACGTCCTCATTATGCCAACGACTCCCTACGTGGCACCCAAACATGGAGTCAGGGACACGCCTCGAACCTGTTTTGAACCCAGCATCGGATTGACGACGAACACAGCTATCTTCAACGTAACGGGGCACCCAGCCATGACCATACCCGTTGGCTTCGCACCAGCCAAAGAAGATCCCGCTGTGATGTTGCCTGTCGGAATGCAGATTGTGGGGGGTCTATGGCAAGAAAGGACAATTCTTCGCATCGGGAATGCTTGGGAAAGTAGCTTTAATTGGAAGGAGACTCGGTTCAGCGATATGGCTGTCTCTCAACAGGACTTGCACGCAAGCTGTGATGGCATCAACGTTAACGGAAAACGGCCGTTAGAAATGGAAGTGGGATCTGCAGCTGTCACAAGTGTTGCTGCATAATATATACATATATTCTAAAATTAAGAAACAAGTCATCAGTTGCGGCTCTTGAGCGTGACATGCCTTTTGGTGATAGTCCGATAGAATGTGTAGGCCTTTTTAAGGGCGGCTGCTGTTGCCCTGCCCCGCGGTGGAGTAGCCTCGCCGCTTCACGACGTACCTCCTGCATTACTCGGCTATCACTTCTTCCACTGTTTGGCCGGCCATGCCAGAATTCCAAGTAACCTCGTTATCATAGATCGCCGCAGGAAAAATGAGTCCGATTCTGTACGCATGCAATTTGTGCGCATGGGTAGTCGCCGATTCGGAAGGGATTGTCTCTTGGTTAAATCAGTTTCGGGGCCGTAAGTGAGAGAGCAATTTCTCTAATGATAGCATGGCAACCGCGCTAACATCGTCCTTTGGGTATTCAAAGTGGTGTCCAATCTTGCAGGAGACACCTATCTGACCGGGGTCGGTCTTTATGATGATGTCGAAAGAGGTTCCTACATCGCCCCGCTCAAAGCTGGCGCGCGTTGGGACGATCCTGGTTATGAACGGCCAGAAAGTGATGAGTTCGGAACTGGCCGCAGGGCTGAGAACGGTCGATACGGTTTCATATTTCATGAATCTTGTTGGTCCATCCTGGAGCTTGCGGCCAATCCCACCGGGATCCCCTACGCCAGGCTTTATGAGATTTGCTTGTCACTACCTCGCCCACTCGAGAGCAGTTGCGTCAGCTGGGGTCATAATTATGGAGGTTTGGTCGTCATAGACGATCAGCACTACTTTCCATGGGAGGAAAGAGAAGCTCAATTTGATTTCAACGGCTCAAGTGTCAGCGATAGCGAAGAGGACGACGACGATGATGATGGTGGTGGCTTTGGTGGTCTTGGGGTTCCCGCAGCTGACAGGCTACCTCTTCCAGATGACGAGGACGAAGACTCCGAAATGACTAAACCCACCATTATGATTGCAGTTCCGAAGGGCGACCCTTTCAGGATCCCTGAGATCCAGTTTCTTCTATCAGAAAAGCCAGAACCGCCACCAGATATTCAACTTCAGGCAACCGCTCTGTCAGCAGGAGACTGTTTTCACAGACTTCCTAAAGAAATCCGCACTCGGATTGCATTACTCCTATCAACTGCGGATGCTTTAAGCACTCGCCTGGCATCTAAAAGCTTTTGGTACATCTTCGATAGTCACCAATTCTGGCTCTCTAGATTCAAGGGCAATTCCGAGCGTTCGTGGCTATTTGAGGCCAAGCAAATCGACGACTTTCGATATTGGAGGTGGCTTTATCGCCGAACTAACAGCGCGAATCTTGCTCCATCACCCATGATTCAGAACAGGAGGCGGGTCTGGGACCTTGCGCAGAATGTCACGGACATTTGGCTGCAACTGAAAGTAAACGCAGCGCTTCTGCAGTCGTCTCCAATTTTCGACTCAGACTTGAGTCCTTGGACTGAGGCATCTGGGGATATCAAATCCGTTCGGCCAGACGCCCCCTACGTTGAATTCTTTGAGGGCTGCCGTATTCTCTACAGACAAAAACAGAACTTGTCACGTCTGGGCTCTCTGTCTCGGATCGCCTTCTCTTTCATTCAAGTTGGCAATACACGATTCCTTACAGGCATACGATTCGTCCCACGAGTTGGAGATTCGGTGCAAGTAGGTTATCAGGCAGAGTCTGAACAGATTTTGGACATTTCAACTCTCCATGGATTCGTACTAGCTTTGGGTTCAAGAGGCATCCATGCCGTTCAGTGCATTACGAACCACCGTGAGCTGCCCTGGTGCGGAAATCCGAGCAACTCGCTAAGAACGAGGCGGTTGGCAATTGGGGACCCGATTGCAGCCCTGGACGCTGGGCTTGATGTGAGTCAATTTGGCTTACTGTACCCTACCACGGAATGGAAGACAAGCCGACTAATATGCTGGCATTTATCTATCAGGGCTTCAAGATTGTTAGTTTGTCGATCGCATCAGACATTTCACATTCCCATGGAGTGGCGCTGAAGGCACCAAAAACTCTTCGAGACTCGGGGATATGGTACCCCGACCTGCCATCATCCCAACTATGCCTTAACGAGGATTTCTACGTACAGCGTGAGTATCATGTCTCGGGATTTCGTCCTCTTATCTGGACGTTATTTGGTGGACCTGGAGGTATATATCTTCCGAATTTGACCGGCATCGCTGTTCATATGGGCGGTTCAATCCCTGGCATCGATTTCAGGTACAATAGTCCTGATATACCAGATGAACATCGCGCCCTGGGTCGACACAAATGTGATAGATATGCACCCGGGTGTAGAATTCCGTGGGAATTCTCCATAGACGGCCCAGGCGGTGAACGAATCAATGGAGTTGAGGTTTATTTGACGTTCATCGATCGAGAAAACTCGTACGAAATATACGATCAAGGGGCTTTAGAGTCATTCAAGGTACGTATTCAGCCTGTGGCCCAAATTTGATATCACGAGGCTAACCTATGGAATCATCAAATACTTGAAGATTTTCACGAATCATGGAAGATCATTTCACTTCAGAGACGAAGCAATGGATGGTTACAAGGACTATAGAATGGTAGTCAAAAAGTTCGATGTTGCTCCTGGGACTACTATTACGGGGTTCTACGCTAGACAAGTACACAACCAACCTCAACCTCATGTCCGACTTCATACTCTAACGTAACGATTAGTTCGGCAACGGCATGAACTATGGCATGGCAAGTCTGGGGGTCATTTCTGAGGCAAGTTCATAACAGTGAATCAGCAAAGAATGGCGCAAGTTGTCCTGAGCTCGTGCTGCTCCGGGTTGGAGTTTTGTATCCGAACGATGAATTTTCTTGGACTACTCCAATATTTTTGCTACACGTTGGGACCTTGATGGGATATGCACCGAGCGCTGTATGCACCACCGTGCTTTGGACGCTGCAGTAGTCACTGTCCTTCTAATTGATCGTATATCCTCCGTCAACCACCAACGCATGACCTTGAATGAATGACGCCTCAGCCGTACATAAGAATAACACCGCATGTGCAACCTCGTCGGGAGTACCCATCCGCCGCATAGGAGCGATATCTATCGCAGGCTTTAAAGTCGCCTTCATCTCTTCGGAGCTGGTGGTCATGGGTGTCTCAATGACTCCGGGGCATACGCAATTGACCCGAATTCCGTCCTGTGAATAATCGATCGCGTCCGAACGGGTCATATTGATGATAGCGGCTTTGGAAGCACAATACGCGGCAGCGCCTGGTCGAGCCACTATTCCTAACTGACTTGCGATGTTCACCACTGCACCCCGTAGCGCCGGGTGTTCAGGTAACGGCTTCTGGTTCAGCATCTGCGCAAGGGCGGCTCGCGAAGAGAGCCAACTCCCCCTATAGTTGATGTTCGTGACTGCATCAAAGACAGACACTGGCGTCTCCGTCGAGCGGAGCGACTCCGTCAAGATACCGGCGCAGTTGATTGCATAGTCGAGTCGAGAGTACGTCTTTGAGATGTCTTTGACGAACGAGTTCACGAAACTCTCGTCGGCTATGTCACCTTCACGGGCAGTCACTTGTGCTTTGGGATTTATAGCCAGGATTGCCTCCTTGGTGCTTTCCAGGGTTCTTCTGTTGATATCCGTAATGGCTATCCGAGAGCATCCAGACTTTGCGAACCCCTTTGCAACAGCGGCACCAATCCCTGAATTCCTTTTAGTCGACAGTGTCGTTCCTGGGAGCTGTACGCGGAACCAACTGACCTGTCCCTCCTGCCCCGGTGATGAAAGCGACACCAGGGAATTTGAAGACTGAAGCCATCGAAAATAATAAATGGAACTTGTCCAATCCTTTGGTACAAGTCTCGTAGCAGTGAATGGAATGAGATAGGTGGAGAAATCGAGGGGAGTTGTTCCAACTTGCACCATCGCTCAATATAGTCCTCCAGCTCTGATAAGGTCCTTTACTCAACCTACAGTACTATCTGTAGGAGGTCCGCGGGTATGACCCAAAAGAGATAACGGCCATCCATGGATTACTGTCGGTAGCCAGAGGTGGCTGGGCTTATTGAGATAAGCGATGCCGGGACCAGGCATTCAAGAGCTCCAGTGCTAAGACCAGCCAGACGCAGCTAGATGCCGCCTGACCAAATAGCAGCTGCAGTACCCCGCACCGGCTTGGAGAGACCCCAATTGGGATTCGCCCCCCGACGACATCATGAGAACCAACTCCCCAACTCCATCAAACAATGCTCCAACATGGAGACACGCGAGGCTGCTGGAATCGCGCGGCCTGGGGCGGTGCGCAAGAGGCGTGGAGCCTCGGACGGGCCTCTGAAGTTGACGTGCGAGTACTGTGGTCGAACCTTCAAGCGCTCCGAGCACAAGGAAAGGCATGTTCGAACGCGTGAGTGCTCCAATATCTCCTCCAACCTGCCAACCCAACCTCGGGATCCCTCCCCACATCTTCTCGGCCCTGGGAATCCACTGCCATGCGCGCAGGACGGACCCAGGCGGATCGGGGCTACGCACTCTACCACCGAATATGCTTGGCACCTTTTGGGTATCAACGTACAGACAACCTAATGACTCGATAGATACCAAGGAGAAGCCATTCGTGTGCCACTGCAGTGCCGCTTTCACTAGGCGAGACCTTCTAACACGTCACCAACGTATTACATCCCACTCGTCCCAAGACAACCGGTCGCAAGACTCGCGGGATCAGGATGCAGGGTCAGAACAGAGCGATCAGCCCGTGGTCGAGGCCGACATGGCTGCCGCCGTCTCTCTTTCAGACATGAGCATGAACCCTTGGAATCACCAGCTCGCCAATGGCCATGCGCCAGACCTGCCCCAGCAGGTGCTAAGTCAGCCTTTCCAACAGCCTCTCCTCCCCCAGGAGTACTTTGATCCAGGTGAGCACGGTCGGTTCCCTGCCGCAGCATAGCATTGACGCGTATATCAGGTCAAGCGATCGCTGGGTATGATCATTTCAGGGATTTTGCCAATTTTCTAGATGGAGTTGGCCTTCCTCCGGAATGGAGCCCTTACTTCTCAGCGCCCGAGCCCGAGGAAGATCTTGTCGATCCGCAGTTGCGAGAACCTGGAACGGACGCGGCCACTCCTATCCCTCGTACTGGCCGCTCTGGCTCGCCGTTCAGCACCTGGCTACCGTCGGCACCCCATGGAAGCAGGATAGCTGAGGTCAATTCGGACAACAGTAAGCATGACCTCTCGGCGCATTGACCTTGTTTTTATTCGCCGCAACTGGATACCCCCATTCGGATTCCCTGGTTCCTGGAGCTCAGAGGGTACGGGACCTGGTGGTCGCCACCATAGGCCGGGTTCAGCGGGTCTCTGTTAGTGTTTTTGACAAAGGCGTGTTCTTGTTTTGGTTGATGCGTATTGCTCAAGAACTCGCAAGCTGTACCATAGTGAAATAGTGTGGCTAACTCATTGCCTGTGTACTTCAAGGACCTCGAGGTGTAGACACGGATTCGCAACCTTTCAGAGTTACCGAAGACCAGCACGCTCGTTTAGCCGTCTACTTGGACTCCTTTCGTGGTGTCGTGAACGATGAATTTGTCCTGCCATCGCGCCATGCCCTGACACGATACATTACCTCCTACTTTCAGGGCTTCCACTTGCACATGCCCTTTATTCATCAACAGACCTGGCGCGTACTCGACTCACCCCTCGAGCTTGTGCTGGCTATTGCAACAATGGGAGCGCAGTATAGCTTCGAACACCGCAATTCCGAGAGGCTCTTCCAAGCTGGCAAGGCTGTTCTGCTAGAGAGACTGCTGCACGAGAGCGAGAAGTTCGGGCCCAAGACCAGCTCGTTCCTAAGTATGCACAACTACTACCCACTCGGAGCCAGGGCGCTGTCATCCTCCAGGCCGAAGAGAGATTCAGGGCCATGGGAACCAGTAGACACGGTCCGCGCGCTCATCATCTTGATGGGCTACGCTACTTGGGAGCGCAAGGAAAAGTTTGTGGCAGAAGCCTTCTCACTTCAAAGTCTTCTGGTACAAGTCTTGCGTGATGTCGGCCTTCTCGAAGGGTCAGATCCAGATAGCCCTATGGAATCCGCTTCGCCACAGACAGCCTGGTTAGCCTGGGTTCGCCAAGAGTCGGTTCGTCGAACCAAGCTGATTGCATTCACATTTCTGCACACTCATAGCGTGGCATACAATGTCTACCCCGTCCTCAGAAGCAATGAGATTCATTTGAGATTGCCTTGCTCAACTGGAGAGTGGAGAGCCTTGAATGCCGTACAGTGGAAGGCGGCCAGGCGCGACCTGCGTAAGGAGCAGCTGAATTTCCAGGACGCATTATCATTACTTTTGAGACACGATGGAAGTGCGCCACTAGATCCTATTCCAACCCCGCTGGGCAATTACTGCCTGCTTCATGGATTGTTGCAGCGCATCCATATCGTGAGAGATTTATCTCTCCCCATCATGGATCACTCCGCATCCTTGCCAGGTGAGGAGGTCAACAAACTGGAGTAAGTCCTACACCCTTTCTGTGTTGCTGTCACCATCCCTGACCGTCGATCTAGGCGTGGGCTTCGTTCCTGGACATCGGGATGGCAGCAGCAGACCGAATCCAGCTTAGATCCGAACAATGAAAATGGCCCTATCCCTTTCACATCTAGCTCTTTGCTCGCACTTGCATACGTTCGCATCTACTTGAATCTCGGCCCCTACCGTCAGCTTGAAACGCGGGACCCAAGTCGTGTCGCGCGGGCACTGTACCGATCACCTAGGGTCGACAGGAGTAACGGCGTCATTTCCGCTCTTCTATACGCTACCCATGCTTTGAGCATCCCAGTCAGACTTGGGGTGGACAGGGTAGCCCGCAGTCAAGCCTTCTTTTGGAGCGTCCGTCATTCACTCTCCGGGCTGGAATGTGCTGTTTTGTTGAGCAAGTGGCTCCATTCTGTCTCGGAATTTGTGGATGAAGTCCCCCTAACTGGTAAGACAGTCCATAATTGCGAATTCGCTACTTGAGGCTAACGTGATATTAGACAGCGAGGACCGTATACTGCACTGGGTGCGATGCGTGGTCGAAGAAGCCTTCGCCGTGGTAGATTTTGAAGAAGACGAGCCCATCCCACAGAGTGATCCCGCCAGCTTGAGCTTGGCAGTACTCAAGATCTGGGCGCATTTCTTCAAGAGCAATACGCAGTGGCCGTTCATCAACATGATAGGCCGGAGTCTGGAGGCATATCGCGAGATGCTTGTTCGAGGCAATACGCAACAGCAGGCTACTTGATAACTCGCTTCGGAGACGAGACTTTGAATTGCTACACTGCGCACACTTCAATGGTACTTACGATGAGAGAGGCAAATACGGTTTGTCGATCAGTATGTGGTCTCGCTGGACCATCTGACAGCCTTGCCCACTCTGAGAGGCCTTCAGAGACTAGCATCGGCCGCCGTTGGGACACACTTTCAAGTTCGTTGGCATGGTTGCCGTTGGTCTTGAGGCGTAATCACTGAAGAGCTATAGTGCTGTGCCCTACAGAACACCTACGACGAATTGTGTAGACTTATCAACTCAAAAAGCGGTTCATTGGAAAACACGGGTGGCACGGAGATGCCTCTGCACATGCTACACATGTTAGCGACTACAACCAGCTTCGCGCTAACCCAGCGGACACCAAACTCAACTAAATCTTCACCAAGTGCGATACTAAGATCTCGCTGTGGGCAATCCTAGAAGAAACCTTGGTTTCCTGCTGAATTCCTGATGTAGAGTTTGGGAAATGAGTCAGCTACGTGATGGAGTCAGCAGCACGTGGTAGGAGAGGGTGTGACGTTCATAGAGCCTAGACACGTTGATTCAATCACGTTTGTTGTAAACCAGTGTACTACCATTTCTTCAAGCTACTCTGGGGCTCTTTAACTCAAGATAGCCCCACAATGGTTCTAAAAGAAAGGTCCTGCGCATGACGTTTTCACCTCGCCAATTCTATCCATAATTGCGAACGGCTCACAGTCCCAAGAAACACTTCCAGATGTGCACTTTCATAGCTGAGCGGACAGATTGTCCCTGGTGCAGAAGGAAACTGGCTGGGAGAATTCGCAAGAAGGAGCAATGCCATCGGTATCCCTATTGCTACGGATACTCCCCCCGAGCCTCATATATACGCTATGAGACGTGTGATGGCTGCGTACAAAATGGGCGACGGTATGGGGTGGACGAATCGCTTGCTCCGTGGAACAGATCTGTCGCAGGGCCGATGCCAGATATCTGTATTATGATGTAGTAAAACCAGAAACTTGAAACGCATACGAAGAACTTGCCCTAATAATTGCTCCACGTGAATGTAGAATTGTGGTAGGGGATGTGTCGAATGCCCAGAGTGGAGCGCCGTTGTCGTTTGGACACTCGGTTAGGGCAATCCCGATATGAGCGGCACTGTGGCTTATATGTCAAGTTTTTGTACAACAGTGTATATCTGAGGTACGTAACGAGGACGGTGCCGCTTTGAAGTCTGCAGATCTGACAAATCCTTAGACCGGCCTTACGTCCCGGGTCAATCGGACTTTACGGTATGGAGCCCCACCTGCCTCCGGCGCCGTCAACTGGTGTCACGAGCTGCCGGCCGACGCCGGGATTACCATCCATCGCCGGTCTTGGCTTACACCTCCGCCTGGCACGTCGACGGCGGGAATACTTTGTGCATTTGTCATCTGCACCTCGCGGGAGAGGGCATTTAAGCCGGCGCGAGGTCCAGAATCTCCTGCATGCAATTGTCGCCTCGCAAAAGGCAACCAGTTTGCCCCTACATTTATTTAACTTACCATGGCATCTCCGTCACCCTCCACGCTCGTTCTCGGCGCGGGCGAGCTCGGCCTGGCCACCCTCAAGGCTCTGGCTGCACACCCAAAGCGCCAAGGGGGGAGCATCACCGTGCTGCTGCGGCCGTCCTCGACCAAAACAGACGACGCCGACAAGCAGAAACAGAACGCCTACCTCGCCTCCCTCGGCGTGGCGTTCGAGGCGGGCGATATCCAAGACAACTCCATCTCGGAGCTGGCCGCCATCTTCAAGCGCTACCACACCATCGTCTCGTGCACGGGCATGTACCAGCCCCGGGGCACGCAGCTCAAGATCAGCCAGGCCGTGCTGGAGGCGGGCGTGCCGCGGTACTTCCCCTGGCAGTACGGCATCGACTACGACACCATCGGCGCGGGCAGCTCGCAGGATCTGTTCGACGAACAGCTGGAGGTGCGGGCGCTGCTATGGGCCCAGACCGCCGTAAACTGGATCATCGTCTCGACAGGTTTGTTCATGAGCTTCCTCTTCGTCCCAGCCTTCGGGCCCGTGGACCTGCAGGGCCGGGTGCTCCGCGGCCTGGGCGGCTGGGACACGCCGGTCTCGGTCACGTCGCCGGCGGACATTGGCAAGATGGTCGCGGAGATCGTCTACGACCCGCGCGACATCGGGCGCCAGGTTGTGTTCGTGGCTGGGGACACGGTGACTTACGGGCGGGTGGCGGAGCTGGTGGAACAGCGGTTCGGCGGCGAGTGGAGGAAGGAGGTCTGGCGGCCCGAATTCCTGCAGAGGAGGCTCGCCGAGGAGCCAGACAACACCATGTTCAAGTACCAGAATGTGTTTGCCGCTGGCAAGGGCGTGGCTTGGGTTATGGCCAAGACGGTGAATGGACAGCGGGGTATTGAGCTGGAAAATCTCCAGGCTTTCCTAAGGAACATGGAGGCGTGATGCACGATTTACGAGAGAAGTCATCTCTCTCAAAACCCCCAAGATGGGGTAGTGATAGTGCCTCTCGATAAGAACTGCCACCTGGTTATGTTTTATCTGTCCTAGTAGGAGTTGCAGTTAATACAATTATGCCGTAGTAATTGACTCGGATGCCTCCACACGGCCACAACTGGAAGCAAATCGCACAGCCCGTCCTGCGTTTTGGTATGCGCAGGAGTTTGTTCAGGGACAGTAGGTGAGGTTCCCCTGGTAGTGGTTGGCCAGGTCCATCACTCTTCATACAGGCCTAGAACGTTGGTAGGAGTATCAAACATGGGTAGCAGAGATTACTTAAGCTTGGCAGACATCACTGCCAGCAAAGAGTTCCATCGGGCACAAGTCGAGGATCCGTGAATCACCAGGTCCCGGCAGATCGACGCTTACCGCGCCTCAACATTCGAAATATACTTTGTTGTTCCCACAGTCCCCATCACTGCTCAAACAAGGACCCGCAATTCTGAGGGCAATAGCTTATCAGTTATCGGAAGCAGACTACGGCTAGTTACAATGGTACGCAATGTTGATTACTCTTTAGTTAGGAACAGAGTTCGCGGTCAAAGCTTGAGGCATCACACAGCCACTATCATGTCTAGTAGAGACTATGCCGACTGGCGACTTATGTGGGTTGACTATGCAAGGCGCCAGAGTTGCGCCGATCGTACATAGACCTGGCGTTCGTGTCTCACGACTGCAGCGTCGAAGTGGTTGCACAGCTGGCGGGAGAGAAGAGCAATTATTCCGCGTTTGATAGAGACGACGAACAAGTAGCGTCAAGGATGCGGGCAACTTTCCCCTTTCGGCATTAAAAGCATGCATTTAGAACAAGGATACGCGATGATTGGCCCGCGGTCGCTTCTCCCGTTTCGAGGAGCGGATGAGCAGTGGTCCGATAGCAGTTGCAAAAACCTGGCAACCTAGCAAGCCTGCAAACCTGCAAGCCTGCGAGCACTTGGACGGCAGTACTGTAGGAAAGATTCGGCAAGTGGGCCGATGTTGCACTAGAAAACCCCGGTGGAAGCAAAAGAGAAGGAGAAAAGCTCGTATGCAGCCTGCGGAACTGGAGAAGGGCAGATCTGGGAAGCCCACCAGGTGCAATGCCTGCCGTCGACCCAATATCGCGACGCTAGCCGACCAACGGCCCAGGGTGGTCAAGGTAAAGTTTGGTTGAACTGGAGTCACGATGAGTTGTCCGCCCTAGCGCATTGAAAGGGAAAAAGAAATCAGATGAGTAGTCGTCCTCTTCCGTCCGACGTGGCCAGGAAGCCCTTGCTAGTCCTGCCCGGGTCGTGACAGCTTCAAGGCACATGTGAAAAAGTTTTGCCCAACGGTGCCGGAGTCTTGGGAAAGTCGGGCGGGTGTCGCAACGCACAGATCTTAGCCTGAGACTGCCGGGGAATGGGGACTGCTAGAGCAGTGCTACACTATGCTAGAGCAGAGCTGGGGTGGGCTTGGTTAAAATTGGACAGCAAACGGTATCGTCGATTCCCCCAGGACTAAGCACTCGCTATGATGTCACGTTCGGGGTCAGCGACGAGGCACTATACTAGTCCAATAAGTTCGGCCGGTAGATAGCAGCGCTTTACACACGCGAGATGCTACTGTCAGTTAGCACGGCAATGCGAGCCTGCAACGAGAGGTCTCGGGCCTGGCAAACGCTCTCCGCCCGCCGCCCTGCCCGACCTTCTCACGAGAACCAGCAGATGAAGCAATTTGCAAGTCATGTTGCGGTATGGCGTGTCTCGGCGCACCAAGTCGGTTGGTCAAGAACGGCCTGGCGCGGCGTCTCGGCTGTGGAGGCGGAATCGAGATCTGATGGACATGGTCTCAGGCTGCTGGCCCATCAAACTTCAAATGGTGTGTTGGATGGTTTACTTCATGCGTTCTTTTTTAACGTTCACGAGCACTCTGGGGGAGGAAGAAGCAGTGGTGGTGGTGGACTGGAAAGCATAGCTTGCATTGGATAGTGCTGGTGCTGGCGGCCAGCCTACATACAGTACTTTGGTAGCTTGTGCGCAACTGTGCCAAGAGGTGAGGTCGAATGGCGGGCACCTGATTGGCCAGACGCGCTCGAGAGGATAAACATGCGACGCGTCCCGGCGCGATGTCTGCGTCGACGCGGTCGGCTGCCAGCCAATCGCTTGGCCGCATCTCATTAATCCTAAACACCACGGATTCCATCGCTGGGCTGCGCGACTGCACACAGGCTGCGCTTCTCCTGTAGAGGGCTTGAATCCTCAGACCTGTATGTAGCAGCGAGCGGGGGCCGTGTAGGCTCACCGATCACATCATTTTGTAACTCACTCGTATGCTGGCAGCGCTTCACGTAAGTTCCAGTCACCCCGTGGGCCAGCAAACGGCCGGCTGCCTCCCTCCCTTTCGTTTCCTCGTCGTAAGACCGACCCAGCTCCGCCAGAGAGAAAGAAAAAAAAGCCACTTTCAGCTGGAGAGAAACCAACTTATGAACTCAATCGAGGTGCCACCAAGAGCGAGAGTGAGAATTGAGTGAGTGCAGCCGGTGGCCGCGCCGCACGGTCAGACCATTCTTCCCTCTTTTTACCCACACCCACACCCACCAGGACCTGGACACAGGTTCACAACCCACACCCACACCCACATTCACACCTCGCAGCCAGACCTTGCAGCGCACCCGTGCAAGCCCGTGTCAGCCGTCGTAGTCGCCGTCCAATCCTCTGCACAGATCGCTGCCTGCAGGGATCCGTTCTTCCGCCATGGTGGATCGCCGCTGAGTTGGCTAGCTGCATTCTCTGGCGTGAAGTCTGTCTTGGACCAGGGTCGGGACCTGGACTGGCGGCAGTGTGGCCCAATCTTGCACCCCATCCCATCCTGCCCACCAATCTGCCTTTCACGCCCGCGCACATCTCGAACACCATCCGCACGACGCAGCACAGCCGGCCAAGGAAGCGGACGTCCTTTCCCCACGTCTGCTGTTACATGTCCCGGCCGTCTCTCCCCCTCCTCATCCGTCTCATTCTCACCCTCATCATCATCATCACCACCACCTTCCATCTCACCCACACGAGCCATCTCGTGTTCTGGAATCGCTACACAATTTCCTGTACTGCGCACACTTGCATTCCTGCCCTTCTCGCCCATTGCCCCATCGCCCAGAGACGGGCCTGTCACCGACAATCGACTAGCCATTGGCACATCCCGAGACGGTCTGGACGAGGCTCGACGATATTCAGGCGCGCCACACCCACCCTTGCTTCCAGGCTCCACTGCTCATTAAAATTGGGAACCCGACCAAGGTGAGTAGATGCACTAGATGGCTTACACGCCCACGAAATCTCCCTCCATCATGCAGCCCACGCCCGCCGAACAAGTCTCTCCACCGCCTATCTTCCACCCAAGAGTACATTACCAGACCAGGGCCTCTGCCATATGACACCCCGAGCCGTTACTGACCACTATCGCGAAGACGTTGGACTCGGACAAGCAACTGTACACCATTCACCAACAACCCCAGCTTCAGCTCCAGCTTCCGCTTTTCTGCGCAGTAGTCATCGGCCGCCATGGCCAAACCGACGCGTTTCGCGTCCAATGCGGAGCCGCCGCTTCTTATCTACCAGGACGACTTCTTCGAGCAGACAGCAAACACGATCAGCCGCGCCCCAATGCCCTCCGTCAGCAGGCAGTTGTCGCCGCGTAGGGCTCTTCAGAGCTCCAGCGGGAACGTGAACGGCGCGTTCAACCCATCCCACGGGCTTGGAAAACAGATGTCGCCCTTCAAGGCTAGCGGGCGCGCGACCACTTCACCCCTCACACCGCTCAAGGGACACGCCACCAACAGCAGGATGAACGCTGTCGCGCTGCAGCCCCCAGCTGGAAACGGACTCTCGACAGACTCGATGCAGAAGAAACAACCGATGATGTCGCGATTCAAGACCGTATTCCAGAAGCCGGTGATGGACGAGAGCATGGGTTATGGGAAAGAGAACGCGCACCCTACACTGTACCCGGCGCCGCCCGCAACTTTCAGTCTGAACTTGGAGAGCTATTACCAGAAACCACCCACAAAGCGCGCATTGCTAGAGGCCGCACCTATTAAAGACTCGCGACCAACGAAGATGGCGCGATTAGACGCCGAGCCGGATGAGACAGAGATCGTGCTTCCGCCGCACGACTCCTTCCCGGCCATAGTGGATGACGGCCAGAAGCCTGCCCACAGCTACGCGGTGCTCATTGCCATGGCCATACTGAGATCCCCTCAACGTCGATTAACCCTGTCACAAATCTACAAGTGGATATCAGACTCATATTCATTCTACGCTGTCAGCGAGGCCTCTGGCTGGCAGAATAGTATTCGACACAACCTCAGTCTCAACAAGGCTTTTATCAAGCAGGAGCGGCCAAAGGGGGACACCGGAAAGGGCCACTACTGGGCCATTGAGCCTGGCATGGAGGGCCAGTTCATCAAGGAAAAGCCGACTCGCAAATCCCAGAACGGCGCCGAGAACATCTCGATCATGTCCATGTCTACGCGCGTTGAGGTTGCCGTCCCGGACGCAACCATCTTTCAAGATGGCCTCCCTTCCTTACCAACGCCAATACTGCCTGCCCAACCCATGATGTACCCCCAATCCGCAGCTCCTATCATGGCCCCCGCCCCGGCCCCGGCTGCCCAAGAGGTTTCATCCGACGCCACCATTCCTCTGTCTGATAGCATTACACCTGAAGACCAGGGCGGCAGAGTTGAGCCCGACAGTGCTGCTGATGGCCACCCTTACTCTCCTGCGATGCACTCATCGCCTCCGATTCCCCGCCACGTGAATCGAAGCAACACGCCACCTCCTGTGTCGCGGGCTCCAGCTTCGTCAGGTGCTCGCACGCACAAGCGTAAGTTCGCTTCCATGGATGACAGCGGGTATATCTCCTCTCTGGAGTCATCCGCAATGCGTCCTCAGGGCTCTCGCAACCTCACATCTGAGACCGACCGCCCCCGCATCAAGCGTGGGCGAGCCGAAGAGGAGATTGCTCGCCTAAGGGCCTCCTCGTACGACAGCCCTACCAAAGTCCGCTCGTATGGCCTCGTTCCACCTTCCTCCTCTCCATTCCGCCATGCGCATGATTCTAACCAGATGCCTCCGCCCTTGACCCCGGCTCTGAGAAAGCGTGCACCAATACTGAAGCCACCTCCGTCGGTTTCGCCAAACACAAACTTGCGGTTGCACCGAGATGAGATGAAGCGCATGTTGGATTCCCCTCTCCGCCGGGCTAGTAATCTCGGAGACGACATGCCTTTCAGCCCCAACTTCAACCTCGACCACACGTTGTATTTCAACGAGTTCGTTCAGGACGGTACCGATTTTGATATTTTCCAGGATGGCGTATTGGATACCTCGTTCTTCAACTTGGCCGATAATGGCTCGCCCATGAAGCGCTCCGCCAAGAGAGTGCGCCTGGACCGTACCCATTCTGCCAGTGCTCTAGCCGACCTCACGAACTCTGTTTCTAGCAAGTCGATCACGTCAGCACCGTTCCTAAAGGTTCCGGATACCTTCCCAATGCCCTACGAGACCCCGAGCAAGGTCTTTGAGGGCATGTCGTCCCCCAGCAAATTCTTCCAGCAGTCGCCGATTGCAGCAAAATCGGCCTCTCCCTTGAAAGACAGTTCTTGGACCGGCTCGCTCCTGGATTTCGGCATCGCCGGCTTCTTCGAGGAGGAAAATGACGAAAACGCCGGTCTGGACATACTCAAAGGCTTTGAGAAGATTGGCAGCACCAAGGCAGCTAACGGGCCCGCGAAGGCCTCGAAACCTGCTCTGGGCAGAAGTCACACCTCAATCTTTTAGGACTGATAGCGAAGCCGCTATAATTTTGCGCAATGCGACGATGATGATTTAACGACTGAACGATTACTGCATACAACACACCTGTCCTCTTCAGCCCTGACTGCCCAAGGGGGTCATGGGTGTTGGGAATCCCCACAGGACTACTATAGATCTCACCACACACCACAACGCCTCGCGGCCTTCTTGTCTATTGTTTGGAATCATAATGACGATACGTGTCTGCGTACATATCACGAAGCGTGCATGGCTTCTTTGGATTGGTTTTGGAGCCAGGGTATGCTTTTGTCCTCTAATCTTTGGGAATGTCCACTGTTTCAGGAGAAAAGGCGTGCAGCGTTCTACGCGTCTGTTTTTAAGGAGGGCACGGGAAATTGAGACCACGAACAAAAGACCCGTCTTGGCACTGGAGTTGACAACCGGTGTTTATTGAGAAAGGAAAGACGGACGAGTAGCTGCATTTCATGGACAACGGTTTAGGTGTCTGATTGGGTTTACTTTTGATTATTGTTTTGGTTTGGCAGCTTCGGTAGCACAATGCAGACTTTGAGTCTTGTTCCGTACACTTGACATCTTTCCTGAACTACGTCTGCTGGATAATGCTATGTTGTCACTTACGATGCCAGAGGCCCATCACAGTGTGTCACTAGAAATGCCGGAGGCCCACCACAGTTGTCGTCAGGCTGGGTCGGGCTGTCGTGGCATGAGAGCCTGAGGGGATCAGAGGCATCTGACTGCTTGCCGCATATGCAGGTCAGGCTAGGCATAATTGTTGGCCATTTAGGAGACCGTGAGATGCGTCTCGCAGCCTCACCTCAGTCCTCGTTGACCGCAATTTAAGTCCCAGTCTAGGCACACTTCCTCTCCTTACCACTCACATCTCAAACCCTGTCAGCGGACTTAGTCAAGACACACTGAAACCAACTTCCCTCTGCTCCATCACCGCAATGTCCTCCCTCGTCCGGAACGCCAACGCCGTCGGCGAGGTCACCCCGTCGTTGTTCTCCAGCGTCCACAGCGGCGCCGCATCCACATGGGGCTTCACCAAGGCGGCCTTCGAGTCCGCCAACGTGCCAGGCCGTCTGTCCCACGCCGCGAACCATACCAAGGAATTCGCAACCGAGCGTGTCGCCCCTGCGGCGGAGCAGGCCGGCCACTGGTGCGCCGAGAACCCCTGGAGGGCCGCCGCCTGCGGTGCTGCGGCCGTCGGTCTCGGGGCCATGGCAGCCCCAGGTGTCGTCGCGGCCCCCCTTTTGGGTGCGGCTGGGTTCGGGGGCCAGGGGATCGTTGGCGGTACGTCTTCCTCGTTGTTTCTTGCCTATACTGGTCTGTTCGGCGGCCGGTCCGGTCTCCGCCCCCTTTTCCCTTTCATGGTGGGAATCTTGATAATTCGAGTCGCATGCTTGCTTTGCGGCCCCTACGTGCTACATAGCCCTGTCTGTGCTGCCACGTAGAAGATCAAGACGGTAAACAACACCGCAGAAAAACATCAGCTAATTGAAGCTCTCTAAACAGGTTCGGTGGCGGCGGGTGCCCAGAGCGTCATAGGCAACGTCGCCGCCTCAAGCCTGTTTGCCACGCTGCAGAGCGCGGGCATGGCCGGCTACGGGGTGGCGGTGGTCAACACGGTGGTTCAGGTTGGTGGCGCGTGCCTGGCGACCGCTTCGGGCGGGTTGCTCTATGCCAAGTCGAAGACCGAAGAAGGCGTGAAGGAGGAAGAAACAGTGGAGGAGGAGAAACAAGAAGAAGAAACTGTGAAGGGTGAATCTTGAGATCCCGCCTTGGGAGGCTTTTGTCCACTGGCCTGTATGCTCTCAAAGCATGTGGATTTAGGCGTTGGCTACGATCGCTCGCCTGAAAGCTGCTTATATCTGGCTCACGCTCAACGAGACCTTTCTAGCTGAGGAGACTGAATACGTTTCTCTTCCCTTCTTATATACTTCTGATATTCTTACAGCAAATTATTGATAAACACGACTTCAAATATGCCTCGTGTCAGCTATTGAACCCGCTAAACTGCAGAATATCATTCATCGCCTTTGACAATGAGTATGGTCACTATGAGTGGCCACAAGACCATGAGAGCGAACTATCGTGTCCAAGCTGACATCCAAGACGAGTGCTAATTTCCCCTGGGTACGTATTGAAGCACTTCAATATGGGGACGACCTGCAGGCCTGCCTTGACCGAAACACTATATTCATATGGGAACTCTACTGATACTGTCTTTCAGACGCAAGGCCCACGCTTAGTCTTACGAAAAGAAGACCCGCCTCGAGCCCTTCGTTCCGTGGGCAATCCATCGGTGATCTGATTCCAGCTCCCCCGGCACTCCAAGCATCATTGGTGTCTCACTTGAAAGGTATCGATTGATCGGTGTGGAGTGATAGCAAATCCTCTAATAACGAGAACGACAGGTTTCTGTTGTTAGAGTTGCAGAATGAAAAAGCCACAGAACCTTGCAATCTCTTGGATCTGAGAGTCTTCGTTGCGAGGATGTACTGCCGGACTGATGTGATGTAAGCTACCAGTACTGAGAGGTCCTGGCTGAGGGTGTGAGTTATTAGAAGACACAGCACAGCGAGCCGTCAAGTCTGGGCTTGTCTATAGCTCTGCATATGTCTGGCTCGTCTACGCAATTGTGTGCTGACGCAATCGTAACGGCCCTACAAGTGCTCGACGATGTGCGCAAATGCTCTTTAGCTGGTTTGATCCTATGTGTCTTGAAGAGCGCTCGGAGCGAGGTACCTTGCTGGTACCAGCGAATTAATTTGCAGTGCTGTATATGTATAATGTGCTGTATTTCCTGCTGTGTGTTGTGTTGTGCTCCGCTGTGTTCAAGCGGTTCCCAGTCGCAACATGGCGAGGATGAAGTGTGACGACCTATATCGATATAGTAAGCTGAACCGAGCTGTTTGAGGTGCCGATCTCAGTTGACGATTTGCTAGTAGTAGCAGGTTGCTCGGAGAGAAAGGGTTTGGGTTCTTGTGCCAAGCATTTATACTCACTCGCTTGCAGTCTGCAAGCGCAAGGGCCACATATATTTGTGACAGAAGCGAGAGCAACCGATAAAAGTAGAGGGCAAAACAGGTGTTTAGACAGTTCTGTATTTTGCTTCTAGATCTAGAGAAATGATCTATTTACCGCCTCATCGACTTTCCCTGATGCACTCTGGTGAGGCCATGCAGAAAACGGATCATCTTGCAAGCCCAGTTTTCCTGTTCTGTTATGCCACTGGGAAAAAGACCCTGACCGGTCGACACCGCTGCCCAGGCGAAATCCCATTGCATTTGGCAGCCTTTCCATTTGTCTTCAGGTTTGCAGCCTTCAGGGAAGCCATGAACGCGAACTGCCTCATACGTCCGAACGAGTGAAAAGGCCCAGTGCCTTTCCGTGAGTTATTCCCAGGGGATGCGAGTATTATCTTTATGCATTCGTAGAGCCGTGGTCGTGAGCTCTCCCTCGCAGTGCGCATGGCGCATCTACTAATCCTATCCTGTGGATGCGCTGCGCGGTAGTGTCCTGGATTTTGTCGCCGAAACCTCCATCAATGTAGAAGACATGTCGTGGGGAAAAAAAAAGGGTAGGTCGAGAAGAGAAAAGGAAATCAAAAGAGTTAACACCTCAACTCCTTTGCTAAAGCATCGAGAAAGCCATTCAGTCATTGAAGCAGGATGCTTGCTCTCATGAACTAGAGCCCCATAGCTCGATACGCTGCGAAAAGCGGACCATTGGCCGCTGTCGGTGAATCATCTTCTGGACGGAGACACCGAAAACACAGGCATCTGAGATACCAGAACGCAGATCTGAACCGGGCTATGAAGGTCGAAAGTTTGGCGGTAATGACGGGACGCCCACCACAGGGCAGATTCATTGTCACAGGCCCTCTTCGCCGGCCTTGCAGAGCTTTATCTCGCGGCCCCATTCCGACTTCAATACCTGCGAGGCGGTGATTCGCCGTGTAGGATTCGGGTCCAGAATAGAGTATATGACGTTCCTACACCGCGCCTATAAATCGACTGTGTTAGTAAACCGTCCCAAAGAGTCATGTGCTCTGTTCAGACTTACCCGGTGCAACGACTCTATCGGACCATAACCCTCCTCATCACGGCGACCCTCGAGGTAGCGTTCGTAGAACTCGTCGTCATCCCGCTTCGCAACACGCCACAGATGCCTGCCGGTTCGCATTGCCATGTAAATAACACCACAAGCCCAGACGTCGACTGCGCGCGCATCGAACTCGCGATCTATGTATTCCTCGGGGGCAATATATGGAGCGGACCCACAGAGACCCGAAACCATGTGCGCATCGTTCTCCCAAGCCATCCGGAAACATTCGCCGTTGCCGAAGTCCGTGATCTTGAGAGCACCGTGGGAGGTCAGGAGCAGGTTCTCAGGCTTCAAATCCCTGTGGGCAACGCCCATTTCGTGCATATACTCCACGCCACGCATCATCTGCTTGAAATAGCAGTCTGCTTCTTGCACCTCCAGCTTGCCGGCGGCCAGGACGAGGGTGTATAGATCGCCACCGGAACAGAATTCCATAACCTCACAGTAGTCGCCCTTGGAATCCTTGAGCAGGTCTAGAGTGTGAATGACGTTGGGGTGGCGCAGGGAGGAAGAGATGCAGAACTCAGCGGTCAGTCGCTTGCTGTATTTCTTCTCCGTCTCCTCGGGCCGGCGACGGAATTCCTTGACGGCAAAGAGTTTCTCCCCATTATCAACCTTCTTGTGCGAAATCCTTACGATGCCGAAAGCACCGCGGCCGACAACCTCCTGACACTTGCCGTACTTCTCGATGAGGGTCGAGGTGGCACTTGGCCCACCTCTCCTGTCGCCAGCGAGCGAATCCTTTTCCTGCTTCAGAGTATCTACCCAGCTGGACACCAGCGACAGGTCAGCCTCGGGGGCCTGCTCGTGTTTCCTGCCGAGCAGCGTCTTCCACATGTCCGACAGCTTCTCTTGGCGCTTGCTGCCCTTGAGGTGGTGCTCGTGGCCGCCTTGCAGGCTGGCGTTGACGACATATCTCTGCGAGGCCGCCGCGGCCTTGGGTGCGCCGGCGGATGCGGTGCTCTGAGGCGCCTTGTCAGTGGTTGACGGCTTGCGGACCGGCAGCGTAGGCGCTCGCGGTGTCGGCGCGCCGTTGGCTACCCTCGCCTGAGCGGCCGCCGATGGCGCTGACGACGAGTCGCCGGCGGCAGTCGTTTTGGGAATCTCGCCCTTGTTGGAAAACATCCTTGTCAGTCTGTCCTTGACTGACGTCTTCTCGGGTGCCTTCAGCTGCCCCTCGGCATTGGCGACAGGCTGGCCATTCTGCGGCTTCAACTTCGGCGACCGAGTCGGCAACTCGACGGACTTGATAGACGAGGGCTGGGAGGCAGGAGGAGTCGTCTTCTCCGAGCCGCTCGTCGTGATGGATGAGTTGGACATGGTAGGCATGGCGGGGTGCACCTGCTCAAGGTGCGTGGTGAACTCAAGCTGAAGCCAAGGCCAAGGACCAAATGGGCGCCCGGGATGCTTGGCCGTGGGGTAGGGCGACTGGGGGGTTGAGAGAGAATGCGACAGGGCCCTCGGGGAGGGGAGTTGGCGATGATGCTTTCAAAGGCCTGTGCGACGGATGATGGCAGTGGTGGCGGCGAGATCGCCAGGTGGGCTGAGCCCGGTATTGGCGACACAAATGAGAGAGCAAAACGGCTGCAGCGGTTCGACGTGGGATTCCCTCGCTGATGAAATCGAGAGGAGGAGGGTGGAAAAGCGGGCTATGATGAATTTGTAGGGCCCGACCTGGGTCAGTAGGGCAGCCCCTCTGTGGGGTGTAACTACTACTGGACGGTAGGCTGGTACCTAGGTAGGCCTGGGTAGGGGGGGCCGGTGGTGGTAACTGGTGGTGGTGGTGCTGGCCGACTGCTGCGTGTTGATTTATTAACTTTTAGTGTCTGCGCAGGCGTGGGTGCAGGGTGCCGCCAAGGAATCGGCAGTAACTATGGCACCGTAGTTGCTATTGTAAGCAGCCCCTTGTGGAATGCGTGTGTGGTGTGTCGTGTATGGTGGTGTATGCTGGGAAGAGGAGGAATTCTAGAAGGCCGGCCGCGGTTCTGGTCTTGTTCTTCTTCGTCCTGCTGCTGTTGCCGCCGCCTTGTCTCGTGACTCTCAGGTTGGTGGTGAATGCTTGCGTGTGCGGGCGCGATCGCCGACCCCTCCAGAACTCTCGAGTCAGATGGAACAAAAAGAGTCTTCTGGACCTGGGACTGGGACTGGGACGAGACAAGAAGTAACAAGGGTCACAAGAAGACTGGTCGCCGTCAGGTCGCTGGTGTTTAGTTTCCGGTACGGATAGGAACCTCGGATTGGTTCCAGTGAATGTTAGAGGACGAGTAACGGGAACTCAGATTGACTCCGTGTGGAGGCGTGGACGGTCATGGTTAGTTGGATGGCGAGTAGGGATAGGTTATACAAGGGAATCAAGAGCGACGGCGGGCGGCGGCGGCTGCTACTGCTTTCTACTACTCTTACGACACGTAGTCTCTTGTCGAGAGAAAAACGGGATTCTGATGCTAGGCCAGGTTTGACTTGATTGACGGCAGCGGTGGAGATGGGGCAAGGTTGGTTGGACGAGCAGCAGAAATAACAACTCCCAAAGGAGGCGGATTCTGGCACTGAATTCGGCTCGACAGGGCGCAGGTCTAGGTATTGCTTGTGCACTGGAAAAGTGGGAATCGATACCTGGCTCTGGCTTGGGGCTCTCGGCGGTGGGATTCGGAAGTGGGAGAGAAGGCCACGGGCGAGAGGCCTCCCTCGGCGCGCGCCCGTCGAGTCCTTTTAGTATCTAGGGGACCACGTACAAAGCGGCCATCTGGTTGGGGCAGAGCTGCCTTGCGTCTTTCTCACTCATCAGTCCATCGCTGGAAGTACTATGGTATGCAACTCCAAAGAGGGGGGCAAGGGCACATGCGGCCAGGGCCTTGTGTCCACAGCTTGGCGTGGGAGACTCTATTCAGATACATGCACACAAGACCTCGGAGTACTTTGCGCGGCTCCCCCCCTCTGCAGATTATGGCCAAGGTAAAACTACTGTACTGTACTGTACTAAAGTTAACTTACCAACAAGGGGGGTCGCAGCGGCCACTTGCGCCTTTGTGCGCCAGCCCAGCAAGTCAGACGGTGAGGCGGTTTGCTCCTCATCACTCAGAATTACTAATACGCTTTGTCTCTTGGTGGCCACTGACCCCCGGCGAGACGTTTAACGTTGCTCGGCTTCCACAAAGAAAATTTCTGGCCTGGTCTCAGCTAATCCTCTTTGTCAGCCTGTTGTTACCCACTGGTGGCTGTTGACTTTTAAATTTTTTTTTTCTAATGGTTCTCTTTTTGCCAATTGTCGCAGTGGATAAGGCTTGACTCTCCAGAATTTCGCCGCGTCTGGTCTCTTAGTCGCGCATCGGTAATATCGTGATTCAGGCGAGGCCTGCAGCCCTGACCGGTGTGTCATGTCCAAAGCAATGGCATGACGGTCTTGCACCAGTCAACTGATCTGGTTTGGGCCACCAAGAAAAGTGTTACGTTGATGAAAGCCCATCATTGCATGCCCATGGCCCAGAGCTTAGCTCACGGCTGTTCCCATGTCTCACAGTAGGTCTATGCATTGGTCTATAGAACATGTGTCCTCGCATGTGGCTTTGTGACTGTCTACCGTACTTTGCAGTCGGAATGCTGCCGAAGTGGACAAGGGCAGGTTGGCAGGGCCCATCCATGAAGCGACATCCGGGATGTTCGAAAAGAGCCCAGGTTACCAGTTCAAGGGACACTATCCTGTACAGACGCCGCTGAGCAACATGCTGTAATATGCCCTAATCTCAATCTTGAAGATCCACTTGATAGCCGCTCTTCGAACGGCTACGGGGCACCCGCGCGGGCGGAGAGAAGGCGGCTGCCCATTTCCCCCCGCCCATCGGATCGTGTCCAGCGAATGCAGAACTCTCCGAGACGAGCCGAATTCGAATTAATTTTGTCGACTATTAGGTACATCTGACGCCGACGGCTCTGAAACGTATGAGGCATTTCTGGCAGTCGGCTGGACTCCCAAGCCAGGGCGCACGCATCCGCAGAAACATTGGCTCTTGGGAGGGGCTGATCTCGCGGCGCATACGAGTTGCTGTACCCAACTGGCAACTTACCGCCAGTGGCAGTCCTTCCCGGGTCTGCTGCAGTAGAATAGGAAGACACCACATGCGGCGCTCACCGCTCGCTCTGGCCACGTTCTGATGTCAGATGCAGACTGGCAACCGCGAAACACAGTCCTGTGCTGGTGATTTGGCAATGCATCCCAACATGCAGCAATACCCTGTTGATTGCGGTCGTCTTTTCCAAGTCGCATATGCCGATAGGGCACCGTAGAGAGCTTTATGCAGTTGAAGCTTCAGAAGCTATCATAACTGATAGCTTCAGTTTCATGTGCGACAAAGACTATCTACTATATTGCTACCTGCAGATACCTACCCTTGCTTGCAGCTTACATGCCTCGAGCTCCCGCTTCAGTATCTGAGCTTCCGGTTGGCCCAATGCCCGCCATGTATGCATGTCCGCACGGTCACGACTATTTGCATGCGGCCAGGCTCGTACAAGAGATCCGTTCTCTTTGGGCCGATTCGCACGCATCCGCGGTACCACGTCGTCTAGAGGAGGGGTCATGTCGTGCGACGCAGCTCACGGCTCTTTTGGCGGCGCGTAGACCTTGCGGCCAGCCCATACACAGCCTTTCATGAGCTAAGGAGCCTTACTCAGACTGGACCCGGTGATTTGGGAGCATACTGAAAAGTACTGCCCTGGGGAATATGTTGTTTGAGGACCCCTCATGACCTCATGATGAGGATCACCTGCGGCGTGTTCCTCCGGCCGCTCCTAAGCAAGGCTGATGAACTTTAGGACACCTCTTCGGTGATGTGATCCGTTGCTCATGAGCCCCCCTTACGGGTACCTTTGGCGTTGGGTAACATCAGGAAGGACGTTGGGCTAGAGAGATTGCCGGGCATCTCGTGGCTCTGATAACCCCGAAGCCAGGCGTTCCTGGGAACTGCGCTCGCTTGTTTGACGTCACTCGCCAGCCCAAGCCAACCAACACCCCTGGTGTTTCAAGTCTTACCGTGCATCGTTTCTAAACTTATACCTCATGCCTGGGACTGCGCATCATCAGCAAAAGCTAATCTTCACCAATGAACCAGCTCGTGCCCGGGCTCGCTGTAGTCAGTGGTTCGACCCCGTTTACAAAGCGGTGTCGCGGGGCCGTCCTCGGGCCCCTGCCAAGTTCCCGCGGGTTGCCGTCTAACTATGCAACTCTCCATTTTGCTCCCGTTACCCCAGCGCTGCAACATGTCGGTCTTGCGTCAATGGCGCCTGGCGGCCAAGGATGAGTCGCTAGGACGCCCGCCAAGCTTGTGGCATCTTACTTGCCAGGCTTACATCCCCTCCTTGGCAAGATGATCCCCTTATTAGCCTGCACTAACGGACGTCCTGTCGACGCAGAGCAGTGAGGGGGGAAATGCATGTGTTCGTGTGTCTCAGACGTAGGGACATTTAGATCTCCCCGGTCCATCCCGAGGACGCCCAGGATTGGCTGCAGACGTGCCCTATAGCCAGAATAGTCGCCTGGTCCCCCAGACTAAGGCATGCAGTCGACCCCGTGACAGCATGGCATAGTGGGACTATGCTGCGTGCTCCTCACTCCTATAACTGGAGTGCTCTGCCAGAGGCCTCCAAAAATTCAATCAGCCAAGAAGTCAGGCACCGTGATATCCGGGGTGGTTTTTGTCGCGCGGTCGTGAAAGATCACGAAGTCGAGAGGCGGGACTATAGTGTCTAAGTCTATGGAACACGTGCCGTTGTATAAGCCGACCGGGTTGTCCATGCAAAAATTGCTTCTCCCGACTTGGCAGAGCCTCTTAACACCAACCACTATCGTCTGCGACACGGCACTTTCCATCGCTTCTATTGGGATGTGCTGCGAAACGCTCCCATGGATCCTATAGGCGGCGCACTAGTTGACATGGAGCAACCAAGGCGTTTGGCTTGTCGCGCCCGCTTCCTCGGCCCAACGGGAATAATCCAGACAAGTTTCTGGAAATATGACGTCTTTCTCCCTGTGGTTTCGGCGCCGTAGGGTCTTCTGGGCAGTGATAGGCTCGAAACCCATAAGCCGGTCATTCTCCGTGCTTTGGAAGACGGCGTGGCCTGCTTGAATTAGTCCAACCACAGACGAGACAAACTTAACTTGGATGATACCGTGAGCCTCAGCTGCGACGGAGACCATGCGACTTCACACGGCAGACCGGGCGCCTCCGCCCAGGAGGATCTGACCGGGTGAGAGCATCCATCTGAAACCTGTGTAGGCTCAGTCGGCGAGTCGGACACCTTCCATGTCCTATCCCCTTTCCCATGTCCATTAACTCACAATTTCTATATCAGAAACATCTGAAGTAAATTCTTGTGGTCTAAGCCCAGCTGATTGATTATTCAGTCTTCATGCTGTATAAATAGACACAGGCAACTTTCCGCCCGCGCCTTGCATTCGTCTTCCAGAATGTTACATCAGCCCCATTCCTCCATACGCACGCCACTTTGACTCCATGTCTTTATTCTCAACCCCAGGAGTCGCACGTCCTCGGTATTCGCACCCTAACCGACCAACCAGCCATCTTTTCTATTGATAGAAGTCCGGGCTGGTCCGTCTCTAAAAGAGTTTCTCTGCCTTTTATGCACATAAACGTCCTCCTCTAGCTGGAATGTCGCAGCGTCCAAAACTGCGGATTTACCCTGGGGATGGCACTGTTCACGGCACAATCCCCGTCCTGAAACAAGAACATGCCAACAAAAATACAGAACAGAGTTTCCCTCTTTGGAGGAGACGAAACTGGCAAAAGTGAAGCATAGTTGCTCAGCCACAGGATTGAACTGAGGACCTTCGCATAAACTTGATATTTCTCCCGCAAGCGGGAAAGATATTAGTACGACGCTCTAACCAACTGAGCTAGCCGAGCAGGCTTTGCATTTGGTGATGGGTATGTGTCACTATCGTGTGATAATAATTACATGGTCGGCGTCGAGGTTCAAAGGCAGGCAGTCGCCTCAGCAAGGCAAGCTAAAAGTCTATAGGTAGTTAGGTGGGACACGACTATAGCCCGACGGTCTAGTTGTTGAATAATATACTTTTCTTGGCAGGTGTCACGATATGGCAAGAGAATGCGCCCCGTGTCTATTTTTCTCTTGTTGCTACTACTACCCCCTAGGCCCTTTCAATATTACCGGATCACTAGCCAAGAAGAAGGATATCGAACCGCGAACCGCTGTCGTATGTTGTGTAGTCTAAGTGCTGCGCCCAAAAACCAAAACGCCGGCTGCCGTGCAACTGTGGTATATTGTCGCCCTCTCATCGTCTCAGATATTTATGGTTATCCCTGGATTGAAGACTATAAAGCCGGGTCGCAAGTTCCCAACTCTAGTAAAGTCATTTGGAAACGGCTTGCTTCGCTTGGCTTTCCCCTCACTCCGATTCTTTTGACGCCCCAGTGGCCTTGGTTTTGGCACTTTGCATGGTGCCCATAACCAATTCCGCGAATTTTTGCCCCTTCTCCTTGATGGTCTCGATAGATTCGTAACTTTGGGTTCTCTTGGCGTCGACCGCCTCTCTCATTTGCTGCATCCGCGAACTCTCGTTCTCCTCACCGTCGACAGGGTCTCGGTGCGGGAAGCCCACGTGCTCCAGAGTCTTTGCCGCTGCGGAGCCAGCCTTGTTCACACTAGAGGAGGCCAGAGATGGCAGGCTACGCCCTGCCTCCAGTATCATGCACTCATCGCCAAAGTACTTCTCCTTCTCGTTTACAAACTTGGTAAGATAGGTCGTCTTTCGGTGGCTGTGCTTCTCGGAACGGATGCGCGACATCTCAGCCTCAAAGGCACGGTCATATATGTTGAAGTCGATGCCGGTTGGGGAATCAGAGACTACGGCTGTAGGAACCTTCGGTGTGCCGAAGTCATCGCGACCGCCGACTCCGATGCCCAAGAAATGTGAACTGGCATCCGATGACTCTTCGGCGTCATTTTCCCCATCCGCTGTCGTCTGGCGGCCAAGCTTGTCGGAAGACGCGAGGTAGGCCTTCCTGGCTTCAACCAGCTCAGCAGCCTCTTCGGCGATCGACTTGTGGCGTGGCCGACCATCGAATGCGGGTGGTTCAGTAGTGACAGCTGGTGAGGTGTCTCTGGAGGTCTCAGAAACATGGTCTGGGATCTCCAAGGTCTTGGGGGTTCGTGGCGATGTCAACCTGGGGGTGCTGGAACGGCTCTTGAAGACCAACCCCTTGAACTTGTTGATTGCTTTCATCTAGGCATTGTGTTAGCCCCGATTTGACCTGCTCGCTGCACATGGCACGTACCACTGTCATGATGTGATCCATCTTTCGCGTAAAAGCATGGTTCACCTCAAGCTCATTCGGTGGTTCAACGAGCTGAGAGCAGTTACTCTCCTCAGACAGCAGAGGGTCGTCACCTCCTTTAGTCACCCACGGATGGTTCTGTTCTTGATTAGTTTCGCCGCAAGCTACCCTAGGCGCTGGCTTGGACAAACTCACCCTGAGATCATGCATGCTTATCCGAGTATTCGGGTCCTTGTCAAGCACGCGTGTGATGAGATCGACGAAATTAGGGTCCTCCTCTGGGAGTATGGGGAGTTCGTCGGTGCGAATCGACTCGTACATCTCGAGGACGTTGTTCCGGTGAAATGGTAGCTTTCCGTATTTGAGACAGTACAGAGAAACCCCCATGGACCATATGTCTGCCGACTTTCCGTTTATGTCGCCGTGCCTGGCCATGCACAATTCTGGGGGTAAAAATGCCGGCGAGCCTGCAGACTTGGCCGTCATCATCTGATCTGGCTTCTCAAACATCTCGGAAACGCCAAAATCCACGATCTTCAAGCAGTCATCTTCAGTGAGCAGCAGGTTATCCGGCTTGATATCCCGATGTATGATGCCCTGCGCGTGCACTTGAAGAAACACAGAGTTAGTACTGGCCCTGTGAGATACAATTGGTTCCCCGGGACAAGAGCTCACAGTATTCAATTCCCAGAATCAAGTCACGAAACCAATATCGACACTGCTCGTCAGGATAGGGGTTGGCGTGGTCCTCGAGCCCCACGTTCATGACAACCCCCTTTTTGCACATCTCCAACACCATCCAGAGGGAGTCCTCCTCGGGGTCGTCCAGAACCTCGATCAGCGACACCAGATTCGGGTGGTTCAGCTTCTTCATGATGGCGATCTCCTCACGGATGAGGAAAAGGGAGTCCTTGGCCTCGGCGGCATCCTGGTTACTGAGCTGGCGCTGGTGCTGCGCCCAAGGAGAACGCAGGCCGCGCCCAGGGGGAAAACGACCTGGTCTTTCGCCTTGAGGACGCCTCAAGATGTTGGATTGCGCCCGTTTGCGCAGACGAGTCTTGGAAAACTCTTTGATCGCCTGCAAGGCAGATTGTCAGTCTTAGTAATGTTGGGTTATACAGTGGAAGCGGAAGCCCGCGTACATATTCATTGCCAAACTGGTCAGTCGCAATGTGCACGGCACCATACGATCCTCTGCCAATCTCTTCTCTGATGACATATTGATTTATCCTGAGTTTCGTGCCGTCGGCGTCGTCGCTGGTGTACTCGGATCTGGCGTTGAGGGTTTCCTGCCGCGAGAGTCTTTAGTCTCCAAATGTGCTTGGCAACGGTCCCAGCAGACGGCTAGGGTGTCTGGCAGCTACCCACCTTGACTTCACGATGCTGAGACGGCGTCCTCTTGTGCTGTCGCATGGGGCTGTGGAACTGCTGAGCAGCCGGGGCCGATCTGGAACTATTAGCCAAATGCTCGCCAGCGCCACGCATTCTCTTGCGGCCTGCTTCCTGTTTTCTCGTTGTCCCCCCTCCATGTTGCGGGTGTGTTTGTGTGTGTGCGGAGATTGGCGGGGTTCTGATATGAGCCTTCTTACATGTGAGAGAGCATGGACGGGCGCTGCTGATTGCTTTCGGCGGCGTCCTCGTGTATAGCAATCTGCGGCGAGGGCAAGCTCCGGGTGCTTGCCAGTCCCGGACCAGCAGGCCGCAGATTCGCATCGTCCGGTTGATCACTGGGCGGCACCGTGGGGGAGGCGGTCGCGGTCACGGCTGGGGCCTGGATATCGGCCATGGTTGCGTGGTTGCAGCGCAATATGCGCCCTGGCCGGTCGGTCGAGGATGCGGGACAGAAACAGAGCGGTGCTGCAGCGCTGGGATCGGAGGAGACAGGAGGAAGTGAGAATGCAAGAGAAGAAGCCCTGGCCTGACCCGGGCAGGAGAAAGAGAGAAAAGTCTGATAGATAGCCTCAAGTTTTTACAGAAAAGCGCATCCACCCAAGCTACCGCACTGCCGTCTTGCCGTCCACGGCGAGCTCGAACCAGTTATTACACACAGAGGGCACCGCAGCACACAACACGTTTGGATGGGCAGATTGTCACTGCACCACTTCAGGCCCAGAGCCCCAGAAGAAGCCCTCACCTCAGCCCAACCAACAATAAGTTTAAATAGACTCATTCCGCAAAGCAGCGAATCACCATGCCCACTCTACGTGCTCCATCCCTGCCACAGCTCTCCTACCCCGGCAGCCCGGCTCCCCCCCAAGATTCTGCCCGTCGATAACGAGTGGACAGCTGAACGAGGGAGCGGCAGGCCGTGGGAAAAAGCTTAGCATAGCATTGGACCTATCCATGGATGTACACTGCCCTACCGAGCCATGGGAATCTCGAAGAACCCCGCCATGCCATCAAAACCCACTGCATCGGGTGCAGATTGTAAGACACCAATGGGTGGCCTGGTGCCGGTGGGTGGGTGTGGTTCCATAGTGGGCGGTGGCCCCGTTGGATCCCCCCCGGTTCCCCCTTTCTTAGTGGATAAGCGGCTCAAAACGAGAGCGCCCTGGCAGCCCGAAGTGCAGGGACACGACACAGATCGAGCTGTCTGTCTAGTTATCCATTTATTGACTTTCTAGATCTACCTGCCCAACGGTCACAATTCCCGGGGCCGGCTTACACGAGCTCTACCTTTGCACAGACAACGACGACGACGACCGACAGACCGACACCCCGATACGAATTGCATACCTTGCGGCCTGGCCTCCCTCTCTCCACCAACACCACGCCCCCCGGCCTCCATCCTCCGTGGACTCAACCGACCGCTTCGGTGCCGGCATGTGAATGCCAGCATCGCCCGACCTGAGCCATGCCGGTCCAGGTGTTTTCCTTCTACATCTTCGATAGACATAGTGAGTCGCCTGCTTCGCTCCGCCAGCTGACGCCTCCTCCCTCCCTCAGCCCCCTCCTCCTCCTCATAGTAATAATCGCACCATGCCTCTCTTGGTCCCCATGCTGACCTCTGCCACGCAGCCGAGTGCGTCTACACCAAGCTCTGGATCGCGCCGCCACCGGCGCTGCCCCCGTCGTCGTCCTCGCCCGCGTCCGACCTCGCCGCGCCGGCGTCCGCATCGCACGCGACGGGCGGCGGCAGCGGCGCCAACGGGCTGCTCTCGGCGGCGGCGGCGGCCTCGGCGGCCAGCCGGCGGGCCTCGGACGACGCCAAGCTGATCTTCGGCACCGTCTTCAGCCTGCGCAACATGGCGCGCAAGCTGGGCGGCGACGACGACGCCTTCATCAGCTACCGCACCGCCCAGTACAAGCTGCACTACTACGAGACGCCCAGCAACCTGCGCTTCGCCATGCTGACCGAGCCGGGCGCCCCCGGCATGCGCAACGTGCTGCACCAGATCTACATCAACCTGTGGGTTGAATATGGTGAGTCTTTCTGGTTCTCCTCATATCTGGAAGGGTTGTCTGCGGAGCCGGGGACACCGTTATCCAAGGGAGAATATCACCTTCCGGTTATGAACAGAACAATGGCTGACATGTGTGGGTTTTACAGTCGTCAAGAACCCCCTGTCGCCAGTCGAGCACAAGGGCGGCGAGGGCGTCAGGAACGAGATGTTCGAGATGGGCTTGGACAAGTTCGTCAGGGGCTTGATGTGAGGAGTCTCACGATATCCAATATATTGCACTTCAGCACTTCTGGCAACCGAGGGGCCTCGCAACCGGCAGTCATAAAAGGGTGCTATGATGCCGCGCCGCCAAATCAAATGCCATGTAGCCCGATGGGTATAGGCCTCCTGAAATAGGCCACGAATAAGGCCGGGAATGCAGGCCGCGGGGGGTTCAGCAAAATCTCAACACAGGAATCTAGGGTGGAGCAACTGAGAAGTGCAAATTGTAGATGCACAAAGGCTCGTCTCTATACTGCCAAGATCTATCCCGGCCTTGATATGTAGTACACGCCGACTGGCACGTGCCGTCCAGTCAGCACAAGTTAGACTCCTGATATAGGCTCCCCCGATCCCTTGGTACGAGATAGCATGCCAAAACAAACATTAAATGAACCCGCAATCAGAAACCACATGACGCCCTCCTATGATGTGCCCGTTGAACCCAGCCACTGTACCCCAGAATCAATGCACATATGTTTACCGAAACCCCAGAGCGACCAAGGGGGTTTCTACTTCTGCTCCACGGCCTTCTCCCACGCGCTCTCGAACGAGAACTGCGTCGACGGGTCTCGGTCGACCAAGACCACGCTCTCGTCCGCGAGCCCCGTGGACGAGACCTGGCTCGGCTTCACGCTCTCGGGCGACAGGAGGCTCTCGACCGCGGGGCTCGCGCCCTCGGGCCGGGCGACGTTGACGAAGCCGTCGTCCTGGATCTCGTTCTCCCAGTTGCTCGAGTAGACGAGGGCGGCGAAGGCCTCGAGGTCGCGCACCTGCTCCATCTCCTGCAGGTACTCGTTGGGCATGCCGTTGCCGATCGAGTGCGCCTGGCGCGTCAGCACCGACAGGATCTTGGGGAGCAGCACGGCCTTGGTGGTGGGCTGGTCCTCGTCGCCGCGGACCTCCTCGAGCTCGGGGATGGCGGTCGGCAGGTCGAAGGCCCCCTGCAGCAGCTTCTTGGACAGCAGCACAGAGAAGCCGGCGTCGAGCAGGCGGGTCAGCACGTGCGCGAAGGCCGGAGACTCGATAAGGTCCGACGTCTCGTCCAGCATGCGTCGGAGCGCCGAGGGGGTGGGCGAGGCCGGCGGCGTCGAGGTGCCGGTTGCCGTCTCGGCGGTGGCGCTGTCGCCGAGGACCCCGGATTCCCTCAGCACAAAGTCCTCCTGGTCGGCCGGGGGCAGGATCAGGGGCAGCCACTTCGACCCCTTTGCCTCGCCGTCGGCCTGTGCCTCTACTTTCCGCCGGACTTCGATGACGAGCTGGGAGAAGGTATCGAAGCTCAGGACGTCGCGCGGGCTGAGATGTCCGAACACCTCGCGGACGGCCTCCTCGACGCGCTTCATAATCTCGACCCATCCCCTGTTCAGTAGCCACCAGCTGAAGGTAAGGTACTTTCGGTTGATATCAAAGTCGTTTCCGTAGTCCTGCTCTGCATTATCATCATCATTATTTTCCAGGCTTATGCCGGACTGGCCGGTCCCCGTGGCCAGCGAGATGACGCTCGATAGATAGCTTCGGCGGCCGAGGAGGTTGAGCTGGACTCTCGTCAACATGGTAAGGAGGGTCAGTGTGTAGATCAGGGTTATGGCCCGTGTTATTGCTGGCAAAGTCAGTGAGCGGGGGAGGCCTGGTAGATGCCCGGCTGTTAGGCAACTCACAGCTTATCGTCAAGTCGTCCCAGAGCTGTCTCTTTGTCCTCCTCGGTTTCTGGGGCGCCTGGGCCGTCTGGGCAGCCTGGCCGCCGTCTTGGTTACCTTCGCCGGCTCCGGCTGCGGCTGCGGCTGCGGCCGGGGGTGGCAAGGCAACCTGGCTCGCGTGGACGCCGCTGTCACTCTGCAAGCTCATGGTGCTCCTGCCCTCGTCCTCGGTCATGGTGGTGTCGGCAATGCTCGGCGGGGTGGCGGATGGCTCGCCGGTCCGCGTGGCCTTGACAGACTTCATCTGCTGGATCTCCAGCGTGATCTTCTCGGTGTTCATGGCCTCGAGGATGTTGGTGGTGACGGTGGGCAGCAGGGCCAGGACGGTGAAGGTGCAGTCCTCCTGGTTCTGCTCGAAACGGCGGCGCAGACTTGCAGGGCATGTAAGTAAGTGAGGGCAGGAGGCAGGAGACCGGGAGGCAGGACGTAACGTACTTCTCCTTGGCGATGCGGTCGCTGCTCATGCGCTCGCGGGCATCATTGATCTTGGCCAGCACATACTGGGTGGCCAGATAGCCAGCACCTATGACGCCGGCGCCAATGGCAATGGGGGTCCGGTTGCGCTGGAACCATCTTCGCGTGGCCGAGAACATGGTTGGCGGCTACGGGGGGAGCATGAGCTGCGCAGGTGAGCTGTGCCCGGGGCGAGAGTGCAAGTATTGTGTGCAGCGCCAAGAGAAGACGAAGAAGAAGTCTTGGGTCGCCTGGTGCAGTGTGAAATGTGAATTATTGAACAAGAGGCAGGCCAGGTATGTACCGTGACAAGGGACCTAGGTAAGTCGAGGGAACCTTGAACTTAGCTTTCCCCAGCCCGTCTCTCGCGTCTTTGCCTCGGTACAGCTGATTCGCGCACCCCTACCACTGGACACCCCCTTCTAAGAGTTGCCGACGTGGGGACCGCTTAATAAGTATAAGCCAACTAAGGTAATAAATGCCGTTCAAGCCACAGTTTGGCAGTGAATCGACAGTGCCCCCCAGGCTCCCGCCACGAATCGTCCCGCCGGGGGTTACCTTGGGTGCCGCTTTCCCAGGCTGGGCTTAGCCATGGCTTGAGCTGGACCCGAAGGATTCCCACGCTGACGCAACGTCTCTCTCTGTGTGGCCCCTCCAGCCCCTCAGGCCCCTCAGGCCCCTCAAGCCCCTGCCCCTCCCCCCCGGCGCAACTGACCCGAAATGTGCTGCTGCTGCTGCTGCTGCTGCTGCTGCTGCCCCTCCAAGGCGGGAGAGAGGGTGGGAGGGTGCATGGAAAGCTTCTCCAGAGGCTTTGCTCTAAACTCTAGCGGCTTTGAAACCCAGATGCTCATGTGGCTCAGGTGGCCCCATCACGACTCTCTCTCTCTTTTCCAATACGTAACAAACCCGCTCCCGCTGCCAGACATGGTGTCGCAAACCAACTTGGCCATCATGGAACAGCAGAACCCCCAAGAGTTCATTCTCGACGTCTTCACCGACCCGGCCTCCGTTCGCGATGTCGTCAGAGGTGCGTGACATTTCCCCCCTCCAGTGCGAATTTGGAACCTCCCTGCTCCCGGTCCCGCTCCCCGCATCGCTTTGTCGACAAAGGGAAATCGAGTCTCGCGAGGACACGGCAATCGCTGCGCAACCATGTGGCATGCATGACGAGAAGACATGGGCCGAGTACTGACCTGAGCTGCAGCCATCCTCCATACCATCTTCTTCCATCGCTTCTTCCCCTCCATCACCCCGCAGTCGCGCGAGGTCCTCGACATCACCCTACCCTATGTCTCCAACCAGGAGCTCGACACCATGATCGAGAACCGCACCGCCGAGCTGGACCGTGAGCTGAGCGCCGAGCGGACACACGCCCCCAACCCTGCCGGCGGCGTGGGTGCTGGCGGAGGGCCAGGAGGCGGCGGAGGGGGAGGTGGCGGCGGCGGGAGGGGAAACATCTCGGTGCAGTTTTTCGAGAAGAAGCGCAGGAAGACGTGGTACATGCGCGCTGCATACGGAGGCGGCGACGAGGAGATCTGTTGGGAGAGCTGGACCGTCAAGGTCACCGTCGCCGAGCCGAGGACCGAGAGTGGTGAGTCTATTGCGCATCCCTTTGCTGGCAGCGGCAGGCAGTATACTGAAGCGCCACACAGAGAGGGCCAAGGTGCGGAAAGCCATGGAGCAGACCCTGCTCACGACCGTCATGAAGATCATCACCTGCGTCAACCAGAACAAGGACCATATTCTGCCCATCACCACGAGCGAGACAAACCCTTTCCCGTACCAGATCCACGTCAACCAGAAGGACGACGGCTGGGCCAAGCGGATCGGCATCTACTGAGTTTTAGCGTTCTGGGACTATCAGGGAGCATTGCACTTCCTTCACCCCTGGTTGAGGTAATATGGCGTCACGGTTTGCGGCGTTTGGTTTGGCTGGCTCTTGGGATAGAGATGGCACTTCACGGATTTCCAACTTCCTTCATAGAAACGGCTCCAGGCGATAATCGATACCCCCGTTAAATGATTTTCCCCATCTTGTTTAGTATGTCCGCATACCTCTTGAATCACTGCCAAATATTGGACGGGTGTAACATGTGCGCTGTCTGTGGGAGTTTACAACCAAGCGCTGAATGGATACCGAAGATGAATGCCAAAACAAGTCATCCTGTGTACCATTTGCCCACGAAGGCTTGTACTAGTCCGGCCGGGGCTTACATTATATATGCGAGATGCAAGAAAGGGAAAGCGGTTCTCAAGACGACAGCGTCGTGTTCCTCCCAATTTACCTAGCCCCATACCAACGTAGAAAGCTTGCTAGTAAGGACTTGACAAGTCCTTAATTCAAATATATAGGAGGCGCCAGACCTACGCAGAGGATGAACCGATATAGCAACTCTTGCTGTCAGTCAGAATCCTCGTCCGTGGACATACTTCAGATAGCTCGAGGGCTTGTATCGCTGACCAGCTCTCCTTCCGCGGGTTGGAAAACGTGGACTGAGACATCCTACTTGAATGTGCAGAGCTTCTAGCTGTGTCTAAATCGTGATTCCCATCCTTCTTCGTCTGTCTGTGCTGTTGCACATTAGCCGCGTAATTCACTACCGTTACATTAGTATGTATGCGCTCAACATCCTCTTTTACGAACAGCACCCATACTCGGTACTGAAGACCCATACATTTTCAAGAGTCTAGATAACACTCTATCATGTAAGTCAGGTGGGTGTGCCAAGCCAGCCCATGTCCAATCACGAACGCTGTTGCAACATACCTAGACTCGGAAACCATGGTGGCTGTTTTCCTTCAGCATCATGTAACTCTCATCACTCTTTGACTTGAGTCATTCATAGCCCAAGTCAATCACAACCTAACTTCTGTCGACATACTGAGGTCGCGATTATCTCGAACCTAACTATCACACCCTTATATCAAACCTGTTTAGTTTTATTTCCTAGTGAAGAAGCAATCCGGAACACCCCCATGCAGCCCCAACCATATCTACTAACAAAAAATAAAATACCTTGGCCTTGCCCCTGCCCCTGCCCACATTACTAGCAAAATGACGGCAACGTAAATACAGTTCTTCTGTCAAGCGGTCTCGATCGGGAGCTTGCGCCCCAAGTTTCGCAAGCATGGGGCTAGCGTGCAATTCCCGTGAAGCTGCCTGCCCGTTACTAGTTGTTGTGACCTCTCAATTCCTCTCTGCAGCCACAACGGAGATATTGAACTTTCCTTCAGGCACTAGGGCGGCATGTCGCAAGATAGCTTTGTTGGCTGAACACCTATACGGTCGGGATATCAACACACCGAGATAACAACACATACTCGCGTAGATCTGGTCCTTCTATACTTGTTCATCAAAGGGACCTCCCGTAGCATCATCAATTAGGAAGAGAAATGGTAAGACATGGCTGGCAATAGAAAGTGTTCAGGGGATGGTCCTCATAGGCGGTGGTATTGCTGCTAACGAGTCCTACATAATCGATACAAGAGCAAGCTATTCTTAGGAAATACAGTCAGTCACTCCAGCATATTCATTCTTTACACTTCTTCGTGTGTCGCTGGCCAAGTTGGCCAAAATGCACCCTCTCACGCTCCTTCTCTTTACCTCTCCTTTCGTCACCGGCCTCGCCATCCGCGATATCCAATGCGGAGCCCCTGGCATCGACAAGGGGTATCCCACCCCGTTTCTAAGGCGCGATTTCAACTGCGAGACGGTCTTGTCCGACTGCTCCAAGCTGTGCCATGACACGCCAAGTTGTGAAAGCATCGCCGCGGGCAAGAATGCGTGCTTTCTATACTCCTCGGCCGTGGCGGCGAACTTCAAGCCAGACGCAAGCTCCCCGCTGAAGTATTATGATGCAGGTTGCTTCCCGCCTAGTTACCCAGTGGCATCGACTTCCAAGGTGCTCCCAGGTAGCACGTCCACTCCCTACCCGACAAAAGTCGTCAGCTCGACTTCGGAGGCCGAGCCCACGACAACGTCCACTCCAACGTTGCCTGTATACCCAACCACAACATCGCAAGTCACACCACCAACATTCACTTCGACTGTGCCAGTGACCACCGAGCCGAGCACTTCCACGCCGGAAACCAGTATTTCCACTGTAGCTCCAGCTACCACTGAAACCAGTACATCTACGACTGAGGCAGGCACTTCTACGACCGAAGTTAGCACCTCAACTGTAGCTCCAATTACTTCTGAAACCAGCACTTCGAGTATAGCACCGGCTACTACTGAAACCAGTACATCCACAACAGAGGCCAGCACCTCGACTGTAGCACCCGTTACTACAGAAACGACTACTTCATTCTCGACTTCGGTCTTCACCTCTCTGTCTACTAGCGGAACGAGCACGTCTACAACCTTTTCGACAACCACGTTTTCCTTTACTGAGACCAGCTCCCCTACTACCGAGACAAGCGCCTCCACGTCCGAGACCAGCACTTCATTCTCAACTTCGGTGATCACCTCCGTATCTACTAGTGGAACGAGCACGTCTACTTCCTTATCAACGACCACGTTCTCCACCGAAGCCAGTACTTCTACATCTGAGCTAACTACCTCATCTGAGACAAGTACTTCATCCATGGAGCCGGTTTCGACGTCGGTAACCACCTCCCTATCCACCAGCGGCACGAGTACTTCGACCACATTGTCGACAATCACATTCTCTTCCGCTGTGACAAGCACCACATTCTCGACGACAGTCATTACCTCCTTATCCACGAGTGACACAAGCACATTTACAAGCCTGTCCACGTCGACCTTCTCTCCTAGTGAGACAAGCACTGAGTTCTCAACGACAGTGATTACCTCATTCTCCACCAGCGACACAAGCACATCCACTAGCTTGTCCACATCAACGTTCTCTACCTCTACAACACCCACCGCAACACCTACTCCGGCTCTCATTTCAGTCACAGATCAAAATGGCACCTTTGTCGGCTATGTAGGCCAGGGTGACGATGGCTTCCTCACCACTGACGCTCTGTTTGACACTGCATTGAGGTTTCAATTTGATCTCCAGGGCCCTCTTCTGCAATTGCAGTCGAACCTGTATACTCTCGCGGGCGACGTTATCGGTGGCCTTTTTGAAACCCCCTTCCCTTCTGATCAAGTAAATCTTGAAACTTTGTCGGGCATGTGAGTTCTCCTCGATCAACGCGGGACCATAATCCCGACCTAACTTGGCTCTACCCAGATTCGTATACTTCACCGACGTACAGCCTAGTAAGTCCCCCTCAGACCAATCGCAGACGGCTTCATAACCAGAGCTATAGCCCCCCCCGGAAGTTTGCCTGTCTATGAGCTCCTACCGCTTTTCAATGGATTTGCCGAGAGCGCGATCGTAAGCACCGGTCCTCAAGATGTGAATGATTTTTCATGTTTCTTACACGCAGTTCAGTTCACGATCGACTTGGTGGCCAATTCAATCACAGCGCAGTGGATCAATTCAGACGGCAGTAAGTCGATCGTGTTAAACATCCAATGAACCACCCAATGGCTTGCGACTAAAGTACTGATCGAGTCTCCAGGCACAGCACCAAATCTGTTTTTCAAGGGCGGCATAGGGAATGTATTAGGCTTGTCGGGCAACCCTCTCAACCCACTAGTGACCTTGTCAATTCAGGTAATTTGACAGCAGAGAGCTATCGGTTTCACTTAATGTGTATCAAGAATTTGGCCAGGTCCTCCAGGGCGGTGATTCTGTCTGGCCAGTGTGTAGCACTAGGCTCGTAATCATTAATAGAACTGTAAGAACATCCAAGTCGTTATACCAGAATGGAGTGATATCACAATAGGTGATTTATCACACTAGGAGGGAATAAAAGGTTTATTGAGAGAGCGAAGACATACGACGCAGGCGTTGTAATGACGGTTAGCCAAGCAACCACCAATCTAGCACTTTTAACAAGTTTTCTCTATAATAATGACCATCTAAGTCAGAAGGGTTTGAAAAATAACACTGGGATACCTTGATAGGGTATCTTTCTCATGTATAGCTTATGTGAATGAGGCTGAAGCTCTGTAAATCTTGGTTCTCTGATGTTGAGTGCATTACGTTTATCAAGATATTATTACTATACATGGGACTAAGACAAAAATGTATCATGCTTCCAACTCTAGAACGAACAAATTGAGTGCAAATACCCCCCAATAGGACTCCAACATGAATAATACAGCTACCGATGCAGGCAACATTCAGCTCAGCATAGACTCCGAAACTCACGGCAGGCGTAAGCCCGCCGATGGACACTACAGTTTCCACATACAATGAACCCCCGGTCGAGACGTCACGGGGAGGCCTGCTGGTCGGCTTGGCGAGGTCGATGTCCAAAGTTGACCCTAAAATACTTAACAGGTATACTGCCTCGATATCTACTTTTTTTTTTTTTTTTTTTTTTTTTTTTTTTTTTTTTTTTCAAATGCATGTCATGAAAACGTCCTCCTCCGATTCACCCATGCCGCCCTGCGCAGCGAATCCCCTATAGCTTCTATCGTCTTGGTTGGTGGTAGCATTCATCAAAACTGAGTCGGTATATATGACTATGCGCGAACACCTCAATTGATTGATTTGGCCACATGAGGAGACGTTAGGAGACCTGTAATATATTGAGTGGGCCAGTCCATAGTAAACATAGTACAATGTCTGATGGGTCACTGCGTGGCCGTTCTCCACAGCAAGAGATCTGTTGATTAGCTCATATTTGAACCATGGCTTTGGATCAGCCCTACCGAGCCCCAGTGGCCCAGACGATCACTCGATGCACGGCTCACTTGGTACACCCTAGTTCATACGTGGGAGAGCGCGGGCAGTCCCGGCTGAGTATCGAGATCACGTCACAAGTTGGAATTTTGGAGACGGAGTTATTTCTGATAGTATGAAGCTCTTCGCATTATGTATGCCACCACCCGGAGTCCTGTCACCTGAGCCTACCGCCCTTTCCCATTTCCCGATACCCTTACCCATGCTCTGCCATACACCCTCGTTCCCTCTCGCGGCTTGCCCCTGAAACCTCGGCCATCTGCAGAGCCAAGTCACCGTAGGGACGGCTCTGAACTCATAACTTCATTTTCCCACCCCTCCTTCCAAGTCAGAGCCCCCCGATCATGAAAAAAAAAAAGAAGATCCCAAGAGGGTGAAGAAGAAAACGCTGCCCTCCGAAGAAAGAAACTCGGGGGTTGCGCCTGCCACAGATCTGCATCGAGATCGCGGGAAATGTCTCGGCCAGACGGTTTAGAGACGCGGCCCGACAGCTCATTATGAACCGAAGTAGCTGACGCCTAGAACCGCTTTCCAATGTTGAAGCCATCCCAAAGATGGCTGCCATTTAGCCGGCGACATAGTAAATACATTATATCCTCGGGTACCGTATCGATGCCCCCTTGAAGGATGAACTGCCGGGCAAATGTAGCGTGTGCTTTGCACGAAACCAGATAGAAAAACGATATGGTCGTCATATCCGTAGGAGAGTGGCGCAAGAGACGCATCCAATGTCCGTAAACTGCCCACCCAATGCATCCGCCGATGTTCTTAAGAAAAAAGATTCATGTCGTTGCATCATTGTCATAGGATGGTACATGTACATGGGCCGAAGCCATCACAGCCTTTGTTTGATGCTGCTACCTCACGAATGGAATAGATCCCAAGCTCTTTCACAGAGCTTAAGGAACTCGTCTCTCTTGGCGCGTTGCGTCTCGGGGCTGTCTCTTCCAGCACCGAAAGGTCCAGATCTTCTCGTTGCAGCAGGTCCATGGCCTAACGGCGGGCTGGCACCCTCTTCATACTCCGCTCGTGTTCTTCGCTTGCTGGCGCTTCGGTTGTAGTCCTGCATCGGGACTCCAGTGCGCGGGGACGGAGGTGTAGGTGGCTGGTGACCGGTATAATGAACAATCTTGGGCAAGAGCTCGGGCCGCCCACCAGTCAATTCTTGCTGGACATCTTCGGCCGATTTGTATTCCCTAGGTCTGCTAGACAAGGGCGGCTGCGAGTGCTGCGGAGCCTGACCTGGAGAGGCGGGCGGGCCGTGGCTTGAACCTGGATACAAGGGGCGAGCGCCGTTGGAGTCCTGGTGAGAGATACCTGAGCCAAACACGTCGGCAATGGGGGGCAGACGGTTTGCCGTCTGTTGCGCGGGCACATGGTGAATGTGAGATGTGCTCGACAAGTTAGATGGCTGGTTGGCAATGTGCCTGGTCAAGGGGTGGGGGTTGTGTCTGCCAGTGAAAGTCTGACCCAGAGGGGCAGACTGGATGACACGCTCGTGGGCAAACTGCTCGTGAGATGGTGCAACAATGCTCAAACCAGGGGGCGCCTTGTTACGCCTCGACATGCCTGGGGTCTTGGCTGCGAACTGGCCGAGACCGTCCTTGTCCTTTCCAGTCTCTGGTCCCTCTCCCTTGGCTGACTGCTGCAACCGCGCTTCAATGATCTGTCGCTGCTGCTCCCGCACGTTCATGCTGCGTTGCAATTGCTCCTTCATCACAGGGTCTTGTGTCATGAAACCGGGAGACAGACAGGCGATGCCGACCTCCATAATGCCGAGCCCGTCTCGCTCACCGGGGAGGCGCGCCGTTTGGGCGCCCGACCCGGCCAGACCGCCTTTGGACAGGTCCAGCTTTCGAGGTCTGTGGCGGGTAGGCGGAAGTACTGGAGATCCTGGCTCCTTCTTCACAACAATCTTGGGCGCAGAAGACGAACCAGGCGCATTTCGACTCCTGAAGGTATGCATTTGTCAGCATCGCTACCGAGGCAGTGTGGGAGATAGTTTGTCTCTGGAGGGTTCTACTTACGCGCTAGGAGAAGACTTCGCAACCTGGCCGGGCCTTGTAGGGCTGCCACTGCCGTTGCGTCGTGCAGCCGTGGTATTTGGTGTGGCAGAGGCGGCCGGGGCTCGAGGCACTGAGGGCGAGGATGCAGACTGGGGAGGAGCAGGCGCCACTGCTACGGCTGGCGGTGCACTTGCTGTAGTGGCGGGCGCAAGCTCAGTATAGGCCGGCCTGTCGTGAGGGGCCGGGGAGGGAGCCATGGCAATTGCTGCGCTCATCGTGAGAAGGAAACTGCAGGGGAAAGAGGAGATTGGTGGTGTTGACTGTTGACCCTGGCTTTTTCGCCGGCTGAATTAATGATGTGTCCCGGGGTCAGGGATTGATTGAATTGAATTGATTGATTGATTGAGTGCTGGACGCGGAGCGGCACAGCGTGCGGTGCGAATATGCAGGTCGGCGAACAGATACTGTCCGACCTTGGCGAGTTCGTATCTCCTGCCTCTGGCCCGTCTTTCTGGAGAGCTGGGATTATCCTGCTATTGCCAGGCCACACCCGCTTGTCAGCGACTAATGGGCTGCAATTAGTCTGCGGTACGGCGGAGTAAGTTGTCCGCACAGCAAAACGCTGTACTTTGCTGGTGTCCTGGGAAGCGCAACTATAATGCAGCAGCTCAAAGGGTATGCGCTGCGAACACTCAAGTCTGGCCGGTATTAAAGCGATGCACGGCTCTGCGCGTCGCGATGGAGGGAGGCCTGGGAGGGTGTAGTGGACCCAGGAATTGGAGATCAACCTCCAGATGGCCCAAATCGGAAACCGAAGGTGAGTTGATGTCGATAACTGAGCTGGATATACCTTTGAGGTCCCAGCGATGTCTTCGAGCCGCCCCGAATATCGGCTGTCAGGTCTGGTCGCAACCTTCCCCCTCAATCAAAGTAGCGAAGTGCCGGGTATGCTGAACGGGTTTGGGTTCCCTTGCGTCGACTCCAAGGACCGACTCTTTCCTTTCCGCAGGTGTTACAAGCCCGTCTGATGGGTTTCTTGCTCCTCTTTGGTCCTGTGCACCCTGTGGGATGGCGGTTGCACGGCTGGGCGAACTGCTGAGACGAGATGTCTCTGGTTCGTCGCTATATAGCTGGGGTAAGGGTCGAAGGTGGCTGATTAAAGCGGGCTTTCGCGATTCGCTGGAAGTTCCACGGGGGTTAAGAGAGGCAGTGGACTCGAGAGATGCCGAGGGGAGGGGAATGCGACGGCGGGCGATGTTGTCGTCGACTTTGGCCACCCTTCGAAGAAAGGAAATAGACAGTACAGAAACAGAAGCGAAAGACTCGAGCACGCGAGCGGTGGGTAGAGAGAGGGAAGGGGAAGGGAAGTTTCAAGTGCTGCGCGAGGGTGTCTGGGCTGCGCGAGGTAGAAAAGGAAAAGTTCCAGGCTGGGAGGTCGGCCGCAGGTGTGTGAGCGCAGCCAGTGGTTAGTGAAGACGAGCGCGAGCGTGCAGTTGTATGTGAAGGTACATCGATCCCATACGAGTTACGAGGCCCAGGAGACAGGGACCCAGGTACCTCGCTCCACTACGGATCCCAAGAAACAGCAGGCCACGTCCAGGATCCCAGGATCCCCTCGACCATGATGAAAGGGGAAGCGGAATCCCTAGGGAGTGACACAGCTCTGTGTGTGAGAAGTGTGGGCTCGACCTGGGACTCGACCCCTGTCGCCCGCCCACCGCACAGCGGGGACGGTGCTGTATCGAGAGGGGTGGCGCCGTCACAGCGTCCCCTGGTCTGCCTGCTTTGGAAAGACACCAAGGCGCCTGTCTGCTCTGTTGAAGAAGTGCTCGGTAAGGAGCCGATAGTATCAGAACGCTCCTAGCGTCCAGCCCGTTGATTCCCATGTCGTGTAGCCACAGATGCGGCGCGAATCAAGCAAACGTTATCGTCGATGCCAACCCCGAGGGCAGAAGGGCCCGAGAGTCCTGCGCTCCAGCTGTCTCGAGGTACAGCGCACCACCACCCACGTAGACTAGCGATACCATGTATATACTCTCTATACGGTAACCTCTACTGCTCTGGTATCAAAAACTATACCGGCAAGATTGCCAGAAGGGCTGGTTTTCGCCCCTCCGACAGGGCCAGCGTGGCTATGGGTCGCGACAGGATCATCGCCAACAACAGCCAGGATCGTGAGAAAAACCCATCAGCACGCGATCTGACTCTGAAGGAGTAGCCCACCAGCCCACCAGCCCACGCAGTACCAACGGGACACAGATTCGGGCTCGCAGGCCAGAGCTGGTAACGACGGTGGATCGGTGAGGTGGCCCTAGGGCCTCCAAGAGCCCATCAGACTGGAGAAGGGGGCTCGTCGCTCAGTCTCCGTGCTCCGTAGGCTGTTTTACATTGATGCTAAAAGGTCGCCTAGAGGAGTGGTGCTGCGGTGCACCTGCCAGCCGCGCATCCGCTCCAGCCAGGTATCCCGCCCTGATTGGACACCGCACCACCAGCCCGACACCGATCCAACTCTGGAGCCGTCAGATGCGACGAGCACGACAGGCCCAGAGCTGCTCGCAAGACAGTCCAGCTCGTCCGGCATCGCGCACTATCGATTCCCACCGACGAGGCCGCAGCCTACCAGACGTGCCAGCGTATGTCTCTGTGTTACGAGCGTGGGTGCTGTTGTCAGCGACCCGGTGCCCAGTGGTGGACGAATACGTCTTCACTTTTCGAGTATTCCGCATCCGCAGCCCTGTCACAAGGTCGCGCGACCGCCAAGAGGCTTGTAACCTCAAACCGCCCCAGAGTACTTGCAGGTCAATTAGAGTTTTCAGGTGGTGGTACTTGGAAAGTTAGGGATTATGGTCCAGGGGGGGAGACATTTGACAGGGAGGGGTGACCCGCACCAAAGGGGGCCAGAGAGCGGCCCATGACTCCAGATATCTCCCAGACGGCGCTGACGAAGTGGGCGTCTGGAGAAAGCAGATGTGCAAGTTCGTTGATAATCGCAATGAATCTTTAGAGCTGCTGTCGTCACGCTGAATGGCATTCCTACTTCCCTCACCTTCAGATCGCCCATGCGCTCGGTCTAGCCAGTCCACACGCCCACTTGGAGTTCGGATGAAAAACCTCCCCTGGCCTTTACTCGACTGGGAGTTCCGTCGAGGAATTGGTGTGTTTCCCTCCTGCCTTAGCGCTGTCCGATCCCTTTAGGGCCAACCTTCCCCGCCAAAGGTTCGAGGCGGTTGCTTTGGAAAAAGCCTGGTCGCGAGCCAGCGATCCAGAGTAGTATCCGCCGTAGCTAAGAAGGCTAAGTATCAGATATGTAGGGACGTCAATATTTCAGGTATATTATTAACTATGTCCCGCTCGTTTGGAATTCTTGTTTACCCGTTTGGTCCAAAACGACACAGCCGCGAGCCTTGCTATGCGAGCTTTTTATTATTAATTGAGCTTCGTTCGCCCCTGCAGCTTCCAAGCGGCACAGGGAGATAAGCACCGTTACGGCTCAGCATGTGTGCACGCCGTATCCGCGGTACGCAGTAAAATACCTGGGTGACTTGGCAGCACTTTGTCTTGCAGGTCAGCCGCCAGAGGCGTCGGTAGACAAGCACCTTGCATGTTTCAATGCATGGGTCTCGCGAGTAACGTGTGTATTTGGTAGTATTGTGTAGCCTGTCAAGCCTGTCTTCTGTTATGGAGAACGTTGCGAATGCACGGGAGGTAGCTTTGGGGAAGCTCTTCATAGTCCCCGGCCGAGGGCAACTCGACCCTGATGATCTCCCACTTGTACTGCGGTAAATAGTTATGTACCTTCTGCGTTACCCGAATCGACTTTGGCTACACGGCGAGGCAGGTCGACATCCTTGTCGAGAACGGACTTAAATGGCATCATATGGGGGTTTTGAGGCAGCATGAATATTGAAGGGTACAAGCTGCGTGATGGGAATCGGGCGCAGGCTTCAAGATTGTAATGACCTCAATGCTGTGATTATATGCGATAGCCAGCAGTATTGGTTCAGCATGCGTCTCTGTTCGATCAATTTGGGTTGAAGCGCTGATGGTCTTGGGGCATGATCCTATGGGCACGCTGGTGGCCACGGGACTCCGTCTTGGCTTATTTCTCTCTTTCGTCTGAAGATCCGAGGCTTAGGATGTTTCTGCCGACCGGGTTCATTATCATGTGAATCTACGCCTGCCCGCCCTGTCTTTTTTCGAGGACATGTACATATCTGGCTGCTCGAAATATATCCGAGATGCTCTTGCTCGGCCCAGGCGGCGATGGATGGAGTAGCTCACGGGTAGCAGTAAGGTTGCATAGGCACAGACCTCTTCCATACCCTTATGAGGGCTTTACTGTTCAGGGTTAGATTGTAGATGTTGTCGCTGTTCGTGGGAGAATACAATGACTATACCTAGCTGCCTAGCTGCCCAGGATAGCGACCCGTTCTGTTGAAGTTTCCGAGTAAAGGATTTGGGGGCATGCCGGGCTACCGGGCACTACTGCTCCACCCAAGGGCCAAGCGGGAGCCCACCCATCTTGACTCTTTCGGCTGACATAGTCAGTGTTTGAGACGCCTGCGTTGCCAATCAGAGGCGCAGCGATGTTTCGAAAGCGCTCAGGATCTGCTTCGTTGCAGCCAATGATGTATTCCCCCGTCAGTGACAAAGCCACGTCGGGGATTTGACTAAACGATTTTCGTCCAATCTCGTGTACCTGGCTGATCAGTGTATTCAGGCTCTGTCCATCCTGCTACAGCACAGTAATACAGTCACCACACGAATACCTGGAGGCCGTTGTCGCTGTCGAAGGCTTTAAGCTTTGTCTCACGTCGTGGAGGCCGGTGACAATCATGTCGTCACCGAAGCCCTCTGGCATCCTGCAATGAAAATCGCATCCCGCGATGGGCAGTGCATCTGCGCATCATTCCTGACAAAGTTCAATGCCGAAACGGCTGTCAAGTCGATCACTGTCAAGACGCCCCTCAATCTCTGTTGCGCCATGGAGCGTGAAGTGTGTGTGTATACCTATCACTTGTTCAATTTTCAGGTGACAGGCGTGACGTGATTGCGAGTCTGCTATTCGCCAGCCCGAATTGTTGGTGTCGACGGAAATCAATAAGGGTTGTTATAGCGATATACCTAAGCATATGGGCTGAGGGAGTCATGCTGCACGTAGCCGCGCGGCAGCAGTTCAAAGCATTGGCCACGGATGCTTGGCAATGCCAACTTCACATTAAAGACCCTGCGTACCTACCTTTGACATCATAATCTCAGGTGAAGCTCGATATGCACGTTGGTACCGTCATGCGTCGAAGGCGTCTAAGTCATGAGAATTACGCTCGGTAGATGATACCTTGACAAGCGACTCAAGTATGCCTCTTATCACCCGCAAAATCGCACCAGTGCAGCAAGTCGTCAAACCAAGATGCCGAAGCTGAATGAGAGATTAAATACCAAAAGGCGATATAAGAGTCCAGAAGGAGAAGGAAGGAGGTCGCGGTATGCATTTATCTAGAGGAACTAAACTGCCGATAGCTTCACGGTGACAGCCCGTCGGTAGTTATACTGCAGTGGACGCTTTGGTGAACATTAAGGATATGGCATATCACCGGCAGTTGGCGGTACAGGGCGACCAGCTGGCGAAACCCGCCCGAGTGTCCAAGCCTATCATGAATTTTTATCGCAGCTCATCTGCAGCTGCGCGCCCCGCCAAAACTTTTTGGACCAGCGCTCGATAGACCGTCACGCCGTTGAGCAAAGCCGACTCTGCCTCACTTATCTGCGCAAGACCTCCAATCCTCGTCAAAAAGGTTCGCAAGTTTCCGGCGTTACCGCCATACAGATCTACAATGCCCAGCCGAACGAAGAAAACCGAGCAGCCGGAAGACGCCAGCATGGAGGACGTCCCTACGTCTGCGCAACCAGACCAAGAGACTGGAGACGCCATGCAAGAGGATGAATTTGCCGAGAATGGTGGTAGCGGCAATGGAGAAGAGGAGGAAGATACGGTGCAACGGGTCAGAATTGTGAGTGTCCTTGAGGCCTTAGGCTTTTCGTACTGCGATGCGACTGGCTAATATGCTATGGCTGCGCAGCTTCCCGGCTCGTCACCCACAGCAGCGTCGTTTGAATTCCTCGAGGAGGGCCACACGCTTGGGAACGCACTGCGATACATCATCATGAAGAAGTAGGTTGTGTTGTACGGGGAGGGTGGTTGTGGCCGGGTGTGCTAACGAGGTGGTAGTCCTGATGTGGAATTTTGCGCCTACTCCATCCCGCATCCCTCGGAAGCGAAGATGAACATTCGTATCCAGACATATGGTAATACTTGCCCATAGAGCACTACGGCAGGATGACTGACTGTCGCAGATACCACCACCGCTACTGCGGCATTGGCGAAGGGCCTGAAGGATTTGGAGGATCTATGTGACGTAGTTGCGGACAAGTTCTGGACTGAGAGAAACAGGTTCACCGAGGCTGGACGTATGGAGAGCGACTGATATGGAATCGGTCATCAGAGAAAAGAGGAGATGCCAAAGGCATGGCTATGGCATTTTCACGGCGTTCGGTGCATTATAGATGGGTCTAAAAAGGATCTCTTTTCCGGTTCTGCAGTTCTGATATGTACACAAGGAATGATACCCCTTTCCTTTCTAATTGCGGCCCTGTTGCGATTTTGTCAGCACATGCCCTGCCCAGGACGGAATAACGTGAATCTTACCTCCAAGAATCCTTGCATGAAGTTCTTCGGTAATCTTTCGTGTCCACGGAAGTTCTCCTCGGGGAAGTACGACATGACGTGAGTCGATTGCTTCCAGAAGTTCATCATCTCCTGCTCGGTGCACCAAATGTCAGCACGCCGGTAATGCTGCATGGCAAGTACTGCCTTGAAGCCCCCGCGATAACCACTGAATCCTTCCCCTCATCCCAACGTCCAAGCTAGGCTTCGTAAAGCTGTGACTGACCTGATATTCGGCATTGTTCTGCATGAGAAGGACATCGATGACTGGAAGCTTGTTCACGAATCGGTGTCGTTCAAACTCTGCCCGCATCCGTGTCCGGATGACCGAGACCGGGAAAGGAACGGAGTACATGGTCTGGATCTCGGGCGCCTGTTTTTCACGACTGATCAGCAAGGGATCACTGGATGTCTTTCGTTGACCTCAAATCTGCCGAGGGTCTGGAGAGCAGCAGATCAGCCGTCGGCGTAGGTCGGCATCGTGGGCACGTACAGCTCGAATCCATTCTCTGTACGCCGCGAGTACTCGTCGCTTCGCATCGTTCCAATTGGCCGCTGGAGTCCCCGATTAGCTCTGGTCTGCGCTTGTCATGAGAAGGCCACATACACTGCGCAGTCGTCTTGGCAAATTGGGTCGGTGTCACCGCCATGGCGAGTGTCTCTGCTGGGTCTTGTTGTGCTTGGTACGGCTGCAATGGACGTTGGAGCTTCGGGATCTCCAAGTGGGAAATGGGTGCACGGCCACAGGCACAATGCGCGGTGTGCCACACGTGTTAGTAATCGGCGCCGATCTTAAGTGGCGTTCGTGTTTTCCCAAGGCGCAAGCTCCAACTTCTGGGTGGCAGAATCTCAGCCTTGCCCCACTACGATTTCGCAGTCAAACAGGTCCCCGAGCCAACCTCGCCCCCCCGAATCCAAGAGACTGCAACGTCTCCTCGAGCGGTCGGACCTCGCATCATACTGTACGGGCGATCAAAGAACTTGCAGGACCTCGAACATGCCTGCGATACGCGGCCACGCAGCACGGGGCGCTAAGAAGCCGCCGGCGGGCTTCGACGACATCCGGGACGACTTGGAGGTCTTCAGCATCAAGATGAAGGATGCGCAGAACACGCCGACAGCCAACATCCCCAAGCACCAGGCGCAGTGGCCCATCTTCCAGATCGCCCACCAGCGCTCGCGCTACGTCTACGAGTTGTACTACGAGAAGGAGGCCATCAGCAAGCAGCTGTACGAGTGGCTACTCAAGAACGGCTATGCCGACGCCATGCTCATCGCCAAGTGGAAGAAACAGGGTTACGAGAAGGTTTGTTGTACAAGTCTTTACATCCGAGACGTATAAGGCTTATGCTAACTTTTATTCATCAGTTGTGTTGCTTGAGATGCGTACAGACGAAGGAGACCAACTTCAACTCGACATGTGTTTGCCGAGTGCCGAAAGCGCAGTTGAAAGATGATTCGCAAGATGTGCAGTGCGTCAGCTGTGGGTGTAGAGGCTGTGCTTCAAGCGACTGAGCGCTTGCCTGTTGTTTTTGGGTACATAAATCATGAGAGTCATGCATGGTATAGGCGTTTGCGGTTACACGGCGTTTGTATGACAGCAGTCGTTTTTAAGGTGTCGATGAGGATCATTGGTCCCTTCGTAGAACGTTGGAAAATGATACCAGGAGCCAGAAGAAGCTCTCCAGCAAGTGCAATTGCACGACAGACATGTCCCATATTTCCCACTGTTTCCCACAAGATTTGGTATATTTGTGCTACTGGAGTTTGGCGCCGCAGATCGAATGCTACGACGACCTTACTCGACACTTCATGTTCTCTCCTTGCAGGCCGTATTCTTGTCGTCATCCCATCATTTCTCATCATCCCATCCTGTGGGTCACGAACATGAGCTCTTCTTGTTGGCCCTATCCCAGGAACCCCAGGCTCAAGACTCGTAGGTCACGTTCTGGAGAACCCAGCTCTACCCCTGCCTCGGCCGAAACGGACACTTGTGGGCACAAATTGAAGAGAGGACATAGCACTCGCCAAATCAGCCATCTCGGTGTCAACGCTCTCCTTGTTGCCTGGCGTATCGTGAGGTGCTTCTTCCTCAGGGCTCTGCTTTGATGGGTGTCCTCGCTCCTCTAGACTGGCCTGCGCTGTGTCTGGCTGACGAAGACTATGTCTGCGCGCTCCTGCATATGACCCACCAGCCTGGCTTGCGGAAGACCGTCGGCGATGGTGACCGCCTTCCAGGAGAAGTGAACTTCTGCCATCGATCCCCTCCTTCGAAACCGCAAAGAAGTAGTGCTTTGGGTACATGTGCTTGTCTATGAGGTGCATACGCCGCTTCTGCGGTGTGCCGCATTTGCGGTCACATCCCTCAACAAAGCAGGAGTACTGGCACACTGTCAGCGATGCCTTGCATAGTAAAGTAACAAAGCATGAAGGGTGCAGAGAACCCGAAACTCACTGTGTGTTCGCCCTTCTCCCTCAGCACAGCCGCAAAAGCATCATGGCATTCCTCAATGTGAACATTTAGAATATGCTCCGATGGGAAGTTCTTCCTGCATTCGTTGCAACGGTTTGTATGGGCCTTGTTGTAGTGTGCCTCATACTCGGCGTACGACCTGAAAGACAGTGGCTCCTTGTGGCCCGGCAGCGAGCATCTCATTGCAATGGGTGAAGGCGTATCATCTATGGCGGACTCATCCAGCCCGGTGATCTTTGGAGCGGGAAGATCTACTGCTGGCGGTGGCGCAGAGGCTGTACTGCCCGTCTCATCACCGTATGTGGCTGCTGAGTCGGTTGTGGGTGCTTCTTGCTCAGGCTCGCGTGAGCGCTTCATCTCAAGGACTTAAGTTCTAAAAGGGGGGCAATTACATTGAGACCAAAATTGCCCAACAGTCCTTGTTCTGAAGCTGATGATCAGGCGACGCGGGGTGAGGTACAGTCGTGACTATGAATAAGATTAGAGACTGGAGGGGATTTCCAATGTCAGTGACGAGGCCTTGGACTTCAAATCGAACGAGAAGTTGAACTGAAGAGGCGTTGCAGATGCTATTGAACCGTTTGTTTAAAAGATAACCTGAGAAGGCTGACCGTTGGTGCTATAGAGCCATCACAGAGTTAAACCCGTTCTACAAGGCGGTCAAGGGAATCAAACACCCCTCCATGGGCGTGGGCGTGGGCTCAAGTCGCCAAAGTCTCCGAGATCTGAGCATGGACAGGGGCCGGTTTAGTGGGCGTTGGCTGGTTGGACCCCTAAAGTTCAGCACGGACGAGGCTCGAATAGTGGCTAGACCCAAGCGGAAAGGCTCCTGCTAGCGGGGAGAGCGCGTCGGTGGTGCGGCGCAGGGGCCTCCCGGGTGCCCGCGCCCCACAGCCCACGCAGCCTTTCGTCCCCCAACGTCAGTCGGGTTGGAATGGGCATGGCTCCAGGGCTCTTTATCATGGAGAAAGACCCTTGCCGCGTGCAGTCATTCGACTCCCCTCCCGCAGACCATCGCCGACCTCGTTGTCCACCCGCTTAACGACGTCGCCTCGCACCGCCTTCCCACAGCGCATAATCCTCTTCTCTCCCTCTCTCGCCGCCTCCCCTTTGTCCCCCCCGCCGTCGCCAATGTTTTCGCCGTCTTGCGCCGACTCAGCTCTTGTTGCTCCAACTTGCGCAAAGGCCCGCCTGCCCCGACCACAGAACAAGGCCTGCTTCCCGAGCTATGGAATTCGGTTCAACCCTCACACCTACGACGGTTTTATGTGAGGGTCGGCGACGGCTGTGAGCTTTCTCGGAAAGCCAGCAGTCTAGCTGCCATCCCGCCCAGACGCTAGAAAGAACAAACAACCGAATTGGCTCTATATACTAAGCAACCGAGCTCGTCTCACCGGCCAGCTCTTCCGCGCATAGTGCGGCGCACCGCCCGCTGCTCCTCATCATGGAGCAACCGAATGCTCGAGAGGTAGCCAGGGCAAGCTTGGAGTAAGTGAGGTGAACTGCAGTCGCGCTTGGATCGGCATTGTGAATAAATCAGAGACGCCTCGGATGTGGCCATTGTGACCTATGGTACACCAAGTGCCGTGCAGGGCCTTTACTGACTTATATTTTTGTGCAGCAAGGCTCGCAAAATACACAAGGCTATCTTGCAGAGGGTCAAAGATTTGAAAGCAAGTCTGGGCGATGCTCAACGCAGCAAGAATGTCAATCTTACGGCGAGCCTCGAGCAGATCGAGAACCTCATGAAAGAGTAAGCCTCACTGCATACACGCGGTCACACTGCGTATCTGTATTAACACCCCGTAGACTTCGCCTGGCTAGCATGGCAGTCACTTTTTGTGACTTCGAGTATGCTCACGAGAAGGATGTTGAAGGTACCCTCTGGCAGGCACACGTCTCCTTTAATGGGGAGTATCGGCAGATTGTATCACGCGTCAACTCCCAGAACCAGGTAGTTCTGAAGCGCAAAGTCGACAAGTTGTACCGCGACTTTCTCAAGACCGCCCAGGACTTCTATCGTGGATACATACAGCGACTCTCGGCTCAGTTTTGGATCCCAGAGCTACAACAGGCTGCTCGCGGGCTAGACATTCAATCACCGCAGATCCCTCAACAAGAACAAGCTCCACCAGCCGCGCTGCGGACAAAGCTGCTGGGTTCTTGCTACTTGACCCTTGTTCGCCTTGGAGACCTGGCTCGATACCGCTGTCAAGCGTCGGACAAGCCCCCAAAGGCCAGCTTTGAGATCGCATTGACCTACTATGGCCTAGCCCACGAACTAGATCCTGATGATGGTGCATCCCACCATCAGACTGCCGTCCTGTATCAGCCTTCGGCAAATCATCTAGAAATCATTTACTATTTCCTGCGATCTATCTCTGTCGCGAAGCCCCATAAACTCGGGGCCGGGAATCTCGAGAGGGCATACAAGAGTCTTCTTGATAACCAGCCGGGCTCTCGATCAAACGCAAAGAACGCAGCCGCCAGAGATGCCTTTGAGCCCCTGACCACATGGCTCCTGAAGCTGCATGCTCATTATTACCAAGGCGCACAATTCTCGGCTCGCGAAGAGCTCGAGAAGGAGGTGTTGCACCGTTGGCAAGTGTGCCTCAAGACGGAAGGGAGCGAAGAATTTGCTCTCAAGATGCTGCTTCTGAATATTGCGGCATGTGATGTTGCATTCGATAAAGTCAAAGGTAGGTGTCGGAGGCTTGTCCTTGTTATTCTTCGTGCAGAACGCGCACACTGACTGGATCACACAGATATCTCGACCTGGACGATAGAGGGATCTCGGTCGTGCAATCATTTATTGGTTTTCAAAGTACGTGTTGCTGTGGTGTTGTTCCGGACTGTCAAGTCGGTCCTCGAAGACGAAGCCGCCAAATTTGCCGGCGACGAACAGCAAAGTGACATGAGCACAAACGAACTGTCTCCAACCCTGGCACGACTGCTTCCTCTCACTCGCATCTACTTTGCCTGGATCTATGCCTCCAGAGCATATCTGGTTCGGTTTCAAGAGTGGCTTGAGCCTTACGTTTGGGAGCTTCACGGCCTTCTCGCGGATGTATTGACTTTACTGTTGCCCCTCGCGATCTCGAACGAGGACCTTGTTGAATCAAAATATCTTCTACCTGAAGATAGAAAGGCGCTTGGTCTCAGGCCCCTCTTGGATCGCAAATTGCCACTTTTCTTTGATGTCCAGATTGTTCCAGGCTTGAACCCGCCCAAGTGCCGCAAATCTGTAAAGTTGCGGAAAGAGGCCCTGGGACTTGACTGCGGTTCTCACACTGAGAACATCTGGCGCATTCGGGACATCCTCTGCTGCGGTATCTACCTAGCCGGCAGCGGCAAATCCCCTCTGACCATCACGACAAAGGGCGACGGAGCTGTTGCTTGGGTGTATCCCCAGGACGGAGCCGGCGAAAATCGGTTTGATGATATCAGCGTCACGCGGATGCTTGGAAGACTGAAAATCAGCGCGCTCAAAGCTCCCGCAATGGTCGAGGACTCAGTCGAAGGAAGTGCTTTTGCACCCAACCAGGCCGCTTCGTCTGCACACCGCGGACAAAATGTCAGCGTGTCATCGTTTCAGCTGGGACCAGAGGGGCGACGACCAGACGTCGAGCCAACTGCCACAAGTGCCGCATGGCAACCGAAGGATAATGGCGGTGGCGCTTTGGATGAGGAGTTTGGTGCCGATAGTGCCATGGCCGACATGGTGAACAAGCTCATCGATGATGACGATGAAGACGAGAATACCCGACCCCGATCGAGCAAGGCGCATATCGACACAACCTACGGCCTGGATTCATCTGCAGCAAACGACATTTTTGCCAACTTGGTCCCCACCCCGGGCGCTCAGAAGTTGGCAGCGAGCGCTTCGTGGGCCCAATCTAATGCAAAGGCCCTCCCAAGTCTCCCCTGGAACTACTTCTACAGCCCTGCGCCCAACGATCCCGGAACTGATCACACTAGTGGACACGGTCACGATGTACCGCGAACCGTTCAAGGACAGCTTGGAGGATCTGTATATGGCCGTTCACCAGGCCAGGATACACACCCCACTGGTCCCTACACTCCAAATGTCGGTAATTTTCCAATGTACGGCAATCAGCAGGAAGCTCGCACCGCCCAGGGACCGGTCGTTAACCCAGGCGCGCAGCGCCCTAACCCGAGCAGCCCAAGCTACTCATCCGACCAGCGTAATTCCGCGCTTGATAATCTCAAGTCCGCATTGTACGCGCAGTACGGTCCAGGTGCAAGTGGCAACGTAGTGTCGCCCAGCTTTGGGTACCGGCAGCCAGTGTCGCCGGATCAGGGCAACTCAAGACGCTCTGTTCACGGTCATCCATCCAGAGCATCCATCTCCTCCTCATCCGCCGACCTCAGAGGTTCCCGCGATTTTGGAGCTCAGAACAAGGACGCCATTACTCAAGGCTTAACGAGTCTCCAGCTCGATCGAGGCTTTGGCAGTGGCGTCAACCAATCACCCCTTCTTGGCGGGACCAACGGTGCCAGAGGAGGTGCTCAAGCCCAAGCAAGTACAATCAGCCCTCTCAGCACCGGGCACGGCTTCAACCGTCCCGGTAGTCAAGGCCTCGGACAAGATAGGTGGAACAGCTCGCCAGAGGGCAGCACGGGTTTGTTCGCCCAGCAGGTCGCAGCCTTCCCTGGCAATGACACGTCTCTGGCCTTCTCCAACCCCGGCAGCCTCTGGAGCAGCACGCCGGCGATAACTGACGGCCCACGAGGTACGGTTGCCTGCAACGGGAACTTCTTCAATGCAACCACGCCGTTTGGTCGAAGCGGCGACGTGAACAACAGAGATGACCCGACGCACTTCCGCAACAAGCTGAAGGAGCTCGGCGCGGGACAGTCGCTCGCCACCAACTACGACCGAGCCATCCTCGAGTCGGCGTACGCAGAGAATCCCAGTACCCGGTCTCGTCAGCAGTGAGCCGGCGATTCGCCTGTGCACTTTTCTGGGCACATGCGCTTTTGTGTTGTCTTATATCCAAAGCTCAGAGCCCCTTACCCCTCGCCTTGTCGACAGAGATGCACACAGGCGATGGATTTCCCCTTGCCCCGTAGCAGACAGATGTCAGTACTCAGCCTTGAACTCTAGTCTGTAGCACATTCTGCCCCTTTGGATCAAAGGAGGCCATCCACCCACCTGGCGAAGCTGTCGCTGCAACACATGGCACCTCAATATTGCCCTTAAAGTGGAACCCTGTCCGGAATGCTCAAGCAAGTCATATTACTGCATGGTATGTGTCTACCCTCCTGCAACCACCATGGAAACCTTGGAAACCTTGTCTAACGAGCACGGGTCACAGTTTTTTTCGTTCTCTCCGTCGGGCTGCCCCGTTCTGCGCGCTCGCCTCACACACCCTTGCTTCCTTTCACAGTGGACTCTTGCGTACAAGTCAGGGTCATCCAAGGGGAATGCGATGACCACCCCCTTTTTGTTTTTCACGTTGCGACGTCTCGTCGATACACACAGCCTGTGTACGAGCCGTCTAGAACACAAGTTTCATTTCCCCCGAGGACCGAATCTGCCACTGGCGTTTCTGATCCCGCTGGCTACTTGCAGTCGTGTTTCGTCCTCGTTTGAGGAGCTGGCGCATGTGCCTTAGGAAATCGTCGGTGGTCTGCCAGGCTCCGGGGCATGGCATGGCATGGCATGGACTGGCCCAGGCAGATTGGGTGACCTACCAGCTGGTCTCCTAGACGTCTACCGGAGCAAATAGTGCCAGCGAGGCACTGCCGTGAGCGGATGGCTGCGGCATTGTGACGTACGATTGCACAAGACAGTCATTACTTCTCAGGCAATAAAAGCTTCGCTGCAGCTCTGAAACAGGAATTCTCGTGTGTACATGCTCCTATTCGACTTTGAAAGCCAGTAATATATGTGTGACACACATGTCGTTCGTGATTCTCGATTCTCAATTCTCAATTCTCAATTCTACATGAGTTTGCTCATCCGTTGAAGTAAACCAATAAACAGACCGGACCGGACCGGACAGGAAGGGTCCCGGTATATGAATGCCCTTGTTGTTGAAACCCGTTTTCCCCTTCTGTTGAACGCCATGCCTGGGGGGAAAACCAGTAACTAGAAATGCACCCTTTGCGCTATGTTGAGAAACGACAAAGTTGGATCTTTTGTTTGCACCTGCACCTGCATAATGCCATGACCGGCCCTCATTATCTCTATCGAGGATCCAGTAGTACGTCCTCCGCCTCATCCCTGGGCAGGCCGCACTCGACCGATGGCTGTTCGTCCAGCATACGGCTCATGTGGCTTTGGGCCATTTTGGCCCTCTATGCCTTGGCGTAGGTCTGCTTGGGGAAGGGGTATCTGGTCGAGTTTGTTAGTATGCTGTATGCTTCCTCGACGGTTCGATCCGGTGGTACAGGGGAGACGAGAAAGCACAATTCCCGTAAGTGGCAGGGAAATGGGAGGGAAAACTTACGAAGGGCCCAACTCCTGGATGCTCAGACGTGCCAGCCACTGGCCCATATCCACGGACTCCTCCAGAGACTTGCCCTGGACCAGGCCGGCGACGAAGCCACCGGCGAAAGCGTCACCGGCGCCGTTGGTGTCGTTGATCTGCTCCTTGGCAATGGCGTGGACGGGGAACTGCTTGACGTCGTCGCTGCCCTGCTGGGCGACGATTGTGGGCTCGGTGCCCTGGGTGATGACGGCGACACGGGCGCGCTTGGAGTTCTCCTTGGGCAGGTTGGCCAGGTGCTTGGCGATGGCGGCGACGTCAGTCTCGGCGTAGGGCAGGGCGTGCGACTTGGCGTAGGAGGCGGCCTCGGTCTCGTTGCAGATGACGTAGTCCCAGTACTTGGAGGAGGCGTCGAGCGGGTCCTTGAAGAACTCGGCGATGAAGGGCGCCGACACGTTGACAATGAAGGCCTTGTTGGCGGCGGCGGCCTCCTCGCCGAGGGTCTGGATAGCCTGGGGGCATACTGCAGGCAGGCTAGGGGTTAGCACGGTGAAAGTCTGGGTACCGTGAAGGAGAACAGCGGAAACGTACCGGTGAAGTGGTATCCTCCGACGTAGAAGTACTCGGCGCCCTGGACCAGCTTCCAGATGTCGTCCCTCTTCAAGTGCTCGAGGTCGTAGTGGTTGGCGGCGCCCAGATCGGTGACCAGGCTTCGGTTGTGCCCGGTGATGACGACACCGCAGCGTCCGGTGGGGATCTTGGGGTCGACACGGTACTCGACGCGGAGGCCGACCTGCTTGACGGCGTCGCGCAGGGTGGCGGCGTACTTGTCGTCGCCGACACCGCCGAAGTAGACGACGCTGTTGGGGGGCAGGATGTACTGGGCACCACGGGCCGTGTTCTGGGCGGCGCCTCCGGCGATGAGCTTGGCGTCGTAGTTGCTCAGCAGGTCCTCGTAGATGGGGATGTGCTTCTCCTCGGCCAGGATGGCGTCGTTGTCCTTGAGGCCATACTTGTCGAGCAGGGCCTTGTCGCCGACTGCCTGGATGTCTGGTCGGGAGGGTTAGCAGCTGAACTGGGATACGAGTGAACACGAGCAAGGGTCTCAGGAAAGAGGCTGCAAAAGATGTAGGCCATATCTCCTACGCAAAGGCCTGTGTTGTCAACAGGGTTTGGCGTTTGGTCTTATAGGGGGGAGGACCCTTAGACCGCAGTATGCCCCTCATCCTCATCAGGAGGGGCAATACCGGGCGAGATGCCGTGGCAATTGACGGGCGCTGGCGATTCAGGCGGACAATACGTACCAAGCAGAGGGTTCTCGAGGCAGACGAGAGCGTATTCCTTGGTGGCGGCCATGGTGGACTGTGATCTGGAGAAGGGAGGGCTGAGGAGGGATGCGGTCTTGGTTGTGTATAACAAGCTGGGATGGCGGGGTGAGACGGGGGATAATTTCTGAGGGAAGAGGATGGTGGGGTAGGACCTGGATTTGCTGCTGTTGGTGCTGTTGGCGCTGGTGGTGCTGGTGGTGGGGCCGCCCCCGAAACAGCGCGCATAGGAAGAAAACGAATGGCGGCACTTGAGCTGGCGTGGGATGGCCGCCACGGCCCCCAGGGCCTCCAGGGTCCTCCGAGCCGTGGCATTCGGCATTGCGACGACGATGGATGCTGTGGCCATCATGGAGTCATTCTTCCTGCTTTCTTAGGTCTCGGGTTGTCGCTGTCCGGTGTCTTGTTCAGAGAGCTTGCTCTGTCTGAGGATTGCTCTCGCCTTTTTGTCTCGGGATCTCAGTCCAATCAGTCATTCATTGGCTTGGAATTACGTCAAAAAGTCAAAACATACATCCAGCCCATCGGATCACACCATTTCTCCCAAGTCTGGTGATTGTCACACGAACCTCTGAAAAGCCCATCCCACGGCATGACGGACCCGTAACAGCCTGGCAATCGCCAATCCGGGTCCAGTACCTACCAACTACGTCTGTCAGCCTAGTTGTCCAAGGCAAGCCGAGCACAGTGGCTGCGCAAAAGATGTATACTCAGGCCATGAGTGGCCTTGGTGGACTCTTTCTCCTTCCTTCTCTTTCTCCCTAGTAGACTCACTTTCGCGCAGCTTGTATCAGGTTGCACAAGATGATTGAAAGACGCTTATGTGGAACTTGATGCCCTCCAGTATTCCGGGCTGTGACCGAGCGTACTTGATTCGTCTCTGGCTCATCGAAGGACGTTTGCAGGCAAGGGGTAAGCACCCACTTTGACCCGATGCTTTCACAGTTCCCACACCATTCAACGCAGCCGGGTCGGTCAGTCCAGTTAGTATGCAAAGGTGATGGGCGAGGATTGAGTTTTGTATAGCTGGAGGATCGTAGGCTTGAATCATGAGTCTTGAACAACGGACCACGTCGTCCAGCAGGAAAGACCATGCACATCGAACCGTATACTGTTCCACTCCGGTGTTTGTCGGCTCGCGGATCGTACCTCTGACCACGTGCAGTTATCACTACCTCGGTGACGACGATGGCCGCCGTATCAACATTGTCCAACCGCCTAGTCGAACTCATGAACTGGAACTGGGACTGGGACTGGGACCGGGACTAGACGCAGTTCCTTCATCCCACTATACCCTCTCCTCCTTGTCAAGCTGTTCGTTGCCGAAAAATCATGCATCACTCATGCCACACACAGATATACACACACACACGTGGAGCCCGCATATCATCATAACGTCAGAAGAAATGTGTGTCTTGACCGGGTACTTCCATTGAGCCTTTTTCTCATGACTAGCTCAAACCTGTACCTACAGATGCAAAGAAGTAACGAAGCAACTCCGAACCCACTGTGATATGGAACCACCAAATGTGCATGCCCTGGAGAATTACCCTTACTCCTTCGTCTTCTGAGTACCACGCAGCAGACCAGTTCTTCTCGCAGCAATGAGACCCGCCTTTTGACCCTGTGCAGCGTACCTCGAGATGGTCGAGGCCTTACCGATATGTTGGTGGTTACCCTGTGCGCGCCTGTCAGCATCCGGTGTCTGGGGTGGGGGGCAAGAGCAAAACGTACACCACCGTGAGGGTGATCGACGGGGTTCATGGCAACACCACGAGTCTTGGGCCAGCTGTTGCGCTTGACGGCGAACTTGTGCTTGGCACGCGAGGCCTTGAGGAGGGGCTTGTCGGTTCTGCCACCACCGGCGACGATTCCGATCATGCCACGGGCGCTGCTGGAGACGACCTTCTTGGCACCGGAGGGGAGCTTGATGCGGGTCTTGCCCTCGTCGGGGTTGTGGCCGACGATGGTGATGTAGTTGCCGGAGGTGCGGCCCAGGGTGCCACGGTCACCGACCTTGCCCTCGACGTTGGAGACGACGGTACCCTCGGGCATGGAGCCCAGGGGCAGGACGTTACCGACGGTCAGAGCGGCGTTCTTGCCGGCGTAGACGAACTGGCCGGTGTACATGCCCTCGTTGGCGATGAAGGTCTCGACGACCTGCTTGAACTTGTACTGGGATCGGAAGGCGACCTTGGCGAGGGGAGCGCCACGACCGGGGTCGTGGACGATGTCCTTCACGATACCGCGGACGTAACCATGACGCTCGGCGTAGTCGAGGGATCGGAACTTGGCCGGGGCCTTTCGCAAGTGGGAGTTGGAGGCTGGGGAGGACGATTAGTATCTCTGTGCCATCATCTGCCGCGATGTCCCTCTCTCTCTCCTTCTCTCGTCCCCCAAGATTCAATGATGGTCGATGATGGATAAAGCCCCAGCCCAATCCCCCTTCCCGGTCGCTCTCCCACAGATCGACAGATAGACAGACAGGCACGCCTTCAGGTCTCACCAAGTCGAGGCCGGGGGACCGAGCCGGGAATCCAGGATCGGGTGTTGTTTCTGCTGGTGCTGGTGCTGGTGCTGGGCTGGAACTGGGACATGCTGGATGGAGGGTGCGTTTGTGGTCGACTTACTGAAGATACCACCCTGACCCTTTCTCTGGTTACGAATCTGGAGGGAGGAGCGTCAGCATCGCGTCGGGCAGGACTCGAGAGGGTGTCGGTGACCGGGTACTTACCACGCGACCCATCTTGACGGTCTACTGGGCGTAACTCGTGATGGTGGTTGCTGTGTTGGTTAGTTGGGTGGTGAGAATGGAAATTCTGAGGCGTCGAAAAATAGCCCACCCGAAAACGCAATTTTCCCTGGTGAATGTTCGGGTTTGTGTGGGCTGCGGCCTTCCCTGCTAATTCGAGGCCCTAACGGCGATTGGCCCAATGGAGGACAGAGAAGTGGAGACTTTTTCCGGGTGACCCTAGCGGCCTGAGGCCACAAGGTCTTCATTTTTTGGGCTCCAGCTCAGCCCAGCCTGCCCAGCCTGCCCAGCCTGCCCAGCCACAGCTTAAGACCGAGTTATCAACTACTCAGAATATCAGCCACACCTGGGGTGGGGAGAACGGAAAAGACGCGCCTTTTCCACGCTCCACGCTACTGCATCCCTACTGCATCCCCTTGGCTCCCCCCTGCGTCGCGCGCGCCGCCGACTTTAACAGATTCCTCCGACTTCAGATTCGCCTAAAGGTCCGACCCCCAGTCTGCCAGTCTGCCAGTCTGCCAGTCCGCATTCTCTCAGCCTCGTCTCGCACCCACGTTACTTGCGCACTTACGCACCTCTCGCGCTCGACTACCGACCCTGACCGCCCTAACTAGGCCTTTGGTTTTGTTCGTCCTGTCCTCGAGTGAGCCCAACTCAAACCGCTCTCGCCGACATCTCCGACCTCTGGACTTGTTGCTTTTGCCCCGGCGACCGAGCTGCCATCTCACTCTCCTCCGAAAGCCCAACCAAGCTCCGCCGAGGCAGACGACAGGTAGACAGCTAGACACCATGGCCAAGATCGCCACCGACTTCGAGAAGATCATCAATGCCGGTACGTCTCTCACTCATTGGCATCCCGTCCCCTGTATCCAGGTTTCCCTTATCGAGCCACATCCTAACCCACACCTCAGGCCGAGAGCGCAAGCACAACGAGGCACTGGCGGCCAAGATCTTCGGCACCAAGGACAACCGCCGCTCCAGCGCCCCCGGCAAGCCCTCCCTCGGCAGCTCCCTAGCCAGCAGAGTCGGAGTCACCAAGGTATATATATCTGATGCGCTGCCCGCCGCACGCGTGCACTATCCACGGCCTGCGCCCAGGACGAAAGACTGAACAGATCGCTCTAACTCTCCTTCCTCCCCCAGCAGCGAGGATCCTCCGCCGCCCGCATACCACCCGGCGACATCAACCGCGAGTGGACCCACGACCTGCACAACTCGAGGTCGACACCGAACCTGCGCGCCCAAAGCCAGAGGCAGCAGCAGCAGCCCAAGCCCAACTCGCTGGCGGCGCGCATCCATGCGCCCGGTCAGAAGCCCGCCGTCAAGCAGGCCCCCGCCGGCGCCGGCAATGGCCGCGGCAACAATCGCGCCGCCAAGCTGGCCAGCGCCGTGTCGCGCGCCTCGACCGCCCAGATGAACATCGCGCAGGCTCCGCCCGCGCGAGGCCTCACCATCCGCGGCCTGGCCGGACCCTTCGCCGTCATAGCCCAGAACTTTGCCCCGGGCACCACGGCGGCCGATATCGAGAGCGCCGTGACGCCCATCGGCGGCATCGTCAGCAGCTGCCGCCTGATCAAGACGCACCCCCTCGTTATTGCCGAGGTCGTGTTTGAGAGCAAGGAGGGCGCCGACAGGGTCATTGAGACATTCAACAACCAGACCGTAAGCGCACGCCCTGCCATCCCCAGATCCTGTGGTACTGTCGATCTTTTGTACTGACCAAAATGCTCCCTCGCAGGCCGACGGGCGCCTCCTCCACGTATACCACAAACCCGGCGGCTACAGCCCGCCCACGGGACCTCGGGCCCAGCGCCTCCAGGAGACGCGGCCAGGCGGCAACACGGTCATCGTCGACGGCTCCAACGGTTTCGGCGAGCCCATGGAGACGGCCGACGCGGGCTTCGGCGGCGGCGGCAGCGGCCTGTACAGCGACTCCCTGGTTGCCGGCGGCAACAACCGCAGGGGCCGGGGCTTCCAGAGCCGCGGTGGCGGCGGTCGCAACGCCGCCCGGTAGGAGCGCGCAGCGTACGGCTACAGCTCGGCGGGCGACAGCTACTAGAGTCTCGGGGTTTTCGTGTGTGTTCGGCGGGGTTGCAAAGCAAGGAGCATGGCGTTTACTCGGTATTGATTTTTTGCAGAAAGGGGGGAAATGGAGACATGAAAGAAGCATCGATCTCCCCCGTACGGCGCAGTATATACGCCGGGCTTTGTATGATCATGGTTGGATGGCCGCGCCTTTGAGGCGGCCGGCCAAAGCCATTTGCAAAAGGAATAAATTTGCATACAGCTGCTATTTCGCCATATGCGCATTAAGCCACATCTCCGTGAGCACCTTATGTATTGCAAATTCGTGATCTGGCTGCTTGAGTATCCCGTAAATATATATATATATATATTCACGGTGCATTTTTCACATTGTATTGTTCCATGTCAACGTGGCAGTGCATGCATAGCATCAGATTCGCCACGGTTCACGTTGATAGTCGAAACCTTCCGGTCAAGGGAGTTTATCGCCAGTGTATTATTCCTGGTCTAGGGCGTAGGTGTCGCTTTCCTATTTCCCCCCAATCTGACACCACCGCCCATGCTCAAGCAGCTCCTATCCCACACAGGTCTATTACGCATGGGCAGTTATAGTAACAAGTCGACCCGGCCGCCTCCTCCTCCTACTCCTCCTCCTTGTAGCCTAGTCCTTCATAGCCCTTGAAAACGGTACAGAAAACCTCCACCGCGTTCGCCCTGAGATGCACCCTCCGATGACCTGCCCTTTGCCTACCACCGCCGTCCTCATGCCCCGGTATGTCCGTCGTCACTTTGGAGGGGAATCAAAAGTACCCAGCAAATGACAAGTAGGAGCTAAACCTCGCCGCCATACTGCCAGCCGACCTGCCAGCCAAGCCTTGTTGAAAAAAGTCAAAATATCGAAAAAAGCGCGTCAGCCCTGTGCAAAAACCATAATCGACCGTACTTATGCAGTCATAACCAGGTCTTCGCGGGGCTAGGTGAAACGAGGTTCAATCTTCGCGATGTCAGAAGCGGGAAGCTGCCATCATGTATTTGCACATCCGGCTGTGCATTTCGAGGTGGTACTGCTGTAAACAGGTCCGATCCTCCTTGCCGTTTGTCATTTTTGTCGTGGAACATATGGGGCTGGATCGCTCTGTGCGCTTAGCCTACAGGAGGGGAAGGAAATCCTCATGGGCGCTTTCGCGTCGTACCAGCCAAACGCCCATAAGCCCATCCTGCCGCAGTGTTCCATTAGGCCAAGCTGGAGTGGGCTCCAAATTTCGTCGCTAGTCCGTCAAAGGTAAAACGGGGTGCATATTGTAGACAAGAATATGGGTCCCAACTCGTATTTGCAGGTTTGCCCAGTCTGGTTGGTGCCGAAGTCTGTCCAAAATCATACCAAGATTAGGACCATGAATGAGTCTTTCTCTCCTCGTGCCGAAACAGGGAAGCACTGGAGTCGGTAGGGGTTGGGCGGTGGTGCATGTAGACATCTCTTCAATGCCAAGGACTCTGACCGCTTCCCATGAATCCCTCCTCGAGTGTTCGCTCCTCCAGGTTGCGGATAAAGTCGCGGTTGCCTCTGGCGCCACCGCGCTGTGCCCTGCTGTCTCTCCTCCCGGCTACTCTACCCGCACCGGGGTCGGGTATGCCCATGCCATCGGCAGGCGGTGGGTAGTATGCCGGGCTGGGCTGAAGCCGGATGGGTTGGTTCGGGTCAAGGTGGCTGGCAACCCTCTGGATGGTAGCCGGAATTCCATTCTGCTGCTGATCCATGGTCGAGGCACGCTGCCGGCCAGCTCGGACGGTAGCCTGCTGGTACAGGTTGGGTTGCGCCGGCACACCTGCGTAGTTGGCGGCGGGCATTTGGGCGGGTTGTTGGCCCATGACCATCTGGCCGTAACCCCCTTGTTGGGGTGTGCCGTAGGCAGGTGGTGCACCAACGTGAGAGCCCCCAGGCGAATACATGTTGTTAGGATACATGGAGGGCTGTCCGTGGGGTGACTGGGGATATCCTGGACTTTGTTGCATGGAGTAAGCTCCCTGCGCCGCGGCCTGAGCCTGGGCTTGTGCTGCTTGCGCCCTTTGCTTGCTAAGTTCAGCCGCTTGCTGCTGCTGCTGGGTCCCGGGAGCTGGCGTCCGGTTCAGAGAGCTGGCCTTCAAGTTCATCGGCGGTACAAATGGACCAGTGAACTTCTGCTGGGTGATAAAGGGGTGGAGTTTGGCCTGCTGAGGCGACCATCTCTCCAGAGGGCTGATCGTCAGCAAGCCCCTGACAAAATCGATGAAAGCGATTCGATTATTCATCTCTGTAGAACTGCGATTAGCTATTGGACATTAACGCACAGTGCTTCGGACATACCTCTGTCGATTTCACTCTGCTTCATGTTCTTCCGCGGCATTGGGTAAGACTTGATGATCTCCGGGAGCGTGTTGGCTTGGAAGTACTTCTTGCTTGGTTGTTCCTTGGTACCGCGCTCTCTAGAGTACTGCTCCATACTCTTGAGATGATACGTTTTGCGACCAAACTCATCCTGGCGCTTCTCGAAAAAGTCACCGGCCTGCTTACCGACCTCAATCATCCAGTTCGGAGGGTTGCCGAGCATCTCGACGATTCGCGAGACCTGGTTGTACTCCGAAGATCCAGGGAACAAGGGCAATCCGAGGAACAGCTCGACTACGATACAGCCGAGCGACCACATGTCGATTGCGGATGAGTAGGGGAGACCGAGCAGGACCTCGGGAGATCTGTAAAACCTGGACTGAATATAGGTGTAAACGGTCTGTCTCTCATCACATGCCGAGCCAAAATCAATAATTTTGATGATCGGGCTCTCCAGGTTCTTCAGCAGGATGTTTTCTGGCTTCAGATCGCAATGAATGAGGCGGGCTTTGTTCAACAAGGCAAGCCCATTAAGCAGCTGCTGGGCGAAGACCCTAACCAAAGTTGTGCTAAGCCCGCGGAACTGGTTCTGCTTGATAAGCTCGTAAAGGTTGACGCTTAATAGTTCAAAGACCAAGCAGAGATGCTGTCGGTGAATGAAGGTGTCCTTGAGCCGCAGCAAGTGATGATCGTCGTTCTTGTCCAGCTTGGTGTTGAGCAGGTCAAGAACCGAGACCTCCATCATGCTCTGGTTGAAGTACGCCGTCCTGTTCTTGATGACCTTGACGGCCACAACCTCCTGGGTCTTCAAGTTCTGACACTTGACGACCTGTCCAAAAGTACCCTGGCCTAGCACGTCGAGGATCAGGTAACGGTTCCTACGCGCAGATGAGTTAGCGGGATTGTCCAGTTCAGCTTGATGGGCGGGCCTCGCTCATACTTGTGTCCTGCCTCTTCCGAGCCCAAGATATCGTTTACGTATAAAATGTAGTCGCTGTCTTCATTATCGTATCCATCGTTCTTGACTCCCTTGCTCGGCTTGGTGAGCACGCGGCGTGGGTTGCGAGACGATTCGTATTTGAAACTGGGGTTGCAGATGCGATATGTTGCTGGTAGTTGCGTGGTAAGAGCTTTGAGGGGCTACGAGATACAGTCAGCTACTGGCGGGGTTTCTTCCGCAGATTAGGAGCGGACCTACGCTGATGAAGCCTCCCTCCGGGTCAGCCCTGCGAAAAGCCGGTTGGTTGTTGACCTTGGGCCTCAGGTCATTGACGCCTCTGACCTTCTTGAACTCCGGCACAGGTCGCAGCTCCGGCGGTCCGGCCGGCTGGTACCCGCGTCTGGGCGACTTGGGGTCGTTAACGGCGCCGTCGAGTGCGGACACAGTCGACGATTGATGACCGTCCTGATAAGAGGCGAGAGGCGGCAGTTGCGAGCCTTGCCTGCTGTTGTAGTAGGGGCTCGAGGCGTAATCGCTACCGGCTCGGGTGGGCGACTGTCGATGAGGCGAGAACTGGCCGCCGGCCGACTTGGGCGGGTAGGGCGAGGTTGGGGAGAGGACCTCCATGGGCGAGTAGCGCTGGGCGGCGGCCGAGGGCTCTGACGAGTGCAGGTTCATAGCGGCAGGACGGCCGCCAGAGAGCTGAGTCTGGTGATGGGGGCGCATGGGGTACTTCATGGCGCCGTAGGCATCGTGGGCGTCGGCCATGGGGACGTCGCCGTTGCCGTCGCGCAACTGCGGGGTGGACATGGGCGACGATGCGCTACTTTGGGTCAGGTTCCCGTACTGGTCGTATCTCAAACCCCCGGGGGACTGTTGGACCTGGCTGGGGTGCTGGCCATAGTCTCGCTGTCCGTTGCCGTTGTACCTCCGCTGCGAAGCGCCGGCCGCTTCTGGGTAGCCCTGCCATTGATCCATGGTCGCGAGGGACGATGATCGAATGGGCGAGGGGCGGGTTGCGGAAGGTTGATGCTGGAGGGAGGTTGTGTGGTCGAGGTGCTGTAGTAATCTGCAAAACTAAAAACGGGCAGAGTTCAGGTTTCTAGGAAGAGGGTTGACCGGAATGGTCGAGGGGGGTGGTGGTTGTTGGCGCCTCTTGTGTCCGTCAGACTCAGAGACACGCGTTAGAAGTCAGGCCCAAGGCCCAAGGCCAAGCTGGGCAAAGCGGACAGCGGTGGTGCGGTGCGGTAGAGGCTCGGCTTCGGGGCTGGGTTTGGCCCAGCACCTGGCGCAGCGGTCCGACTCGCAACGCAACAACGAACGACCAGAGGCAGAGGCAGAGGCAGAGGCAGAGGCAGAGGCAGAGGGCAGATGAGCGACGATTGCAGGGCCAAACGAGGCCCAGAAAATGGATGGGGGTTGGCAGAATAGTGGTAGACTGCCTCAGGAACTCATGATCGGAAGAAGATGCATGTACAACGGACTGGCGACCCGTAGCTAGCTCTGCGAGGTAAATGCGGCGTCCGTTTCGAAGGTTGTGTGAAGGAGGTATGATGATAGCTGGGGCTGGTTCCTCTTTGTGTCCATCTACGTCAGGCCGGCCGGGCTGGCGTGCTGGGCTTACTTCCAATGGATGCTTGGATGCTTGCTGCTTGCTTGCTTGCTGCTAACCGTGAACCCGAGCGCACTGGACTGCACTCACTGCCCAGTGCCCAGAGCAGTGGATCAGATGTCGACGAAGCGGGATTGGATTGGATTGGATCGAGGACTGGGGGGAGAGCAGGATGGAGGGGAATCTGGTGCCGTCGCCGCCGCCGACGATCCAGTACCTGCCCAACTACAACTAGAGCGGCCTCTAGGTAATCACTTGCGGGTGGATACCACAGGACGACCAAGACCACCAAAGGTAAACGTCCCGTGTCGGGTCGAAAGAGTGATTGATCACAGTCGGGTAGACATGTATGTTATGTATGTATGTATGTATGTATGTGCGTACGTCTGCCTGGCTGTCCATCCACCCATCCATCTTTCTGTCTGTATCCTATCAGGATTCCAACCTGTCCGCCCAGACTTCCCGCGACGAGATGATGACTGCCAAACAACCTTTGGGTTCTGCTTGTGCCTCTGTCCTTTGGGCGCCAGTGGTCGGCGCCGCCGCCGTGTCTTGTGGAAGAATGGTTCGTACTAGAAAAGGTGAGCTCCTCGCCCAGTAGGTTGCGCCTGTTGCTACAGAACGAACTGCATTTCACGCTACCTCACGTCTGGCATGTGGCTTACTCCCTCAAAATCCCTACCCCAGCATCTATGTACCCAAGTGACAGGCCATTCCAGTGTACGTACTAGTAGTACCCTCACGACACTGCTCCTTGTAGGTGCGCTCACACGCCAGCGCTCTCTCATTTCATCACTCTCCATGGATGGCGATCCAAAGGGGCCGGGGAGGACCCATCAAGTTTGGATCGGCTAAGCTTTTCAGTCGTGTTGGGTTGGGACGCGACAAGTCAGAGCCTGATCTTCACGGCCCAATCTAATGCTTGTACCCCCGACCTGCCGACCTGCCGGCCTCTGGTGAGGAATGAGGAACATGTTGAGGCTCCGAGGTGCAGGCCGCCGCAGATGCAGTCACAGAAAGAAACTACTGCAGTCTGCAATAGGATGCAGGTATGTAGAGAGACAAGACAGACAGCAGCATTTTAGTCAGGGAGCTGCCGCATTCATGCTCCTGGAATGACTCGAGTAGGCCGCTTTGGTTTCCTGGGGTATTTAGATCCGGTTAGCATGGCAGCCTCCGAGACAGCCCATGGTGGGAGAGCTTTCGCAGATCCGCTCCATTTGTTTTAGCAATTCCTGAATCAAGCTGCCGCGCCCAAGCGTCCTCATTCCGCTTTCATGGCCACCCGGTCATGATCCAGCCCGTCCCTTTGTGCCACACTCACACTTCATGAGACATGGACAGCCTGAGTGGAGAGACAGAAGAGCAGAAGTATGGGTTCGATGTTTGTCCCTCATCGTGATGTTTCAACGGCAGCTGCGAGCCAGCCGGCTGGTCAGTCTGGTAGCTCCTTCTCTGCCTTCTTATCCTGCAAACCATACTCATTCGGTCAATCGCCTCTGCAGCGTCTCTGGCATGGCGACATTCGTGGCCAATGGGCGCTACTGAAGTCGAGCTGTCCTGACGAGATTGGAGATCTTACTATAGCAACTCAAAAGTCGAAGCCGGCCATTGAGAGGCTGTCGACATCTGCGCACTATCTCCGTACAGTGGGGGAGCCTGGCCCCCGGTCAGCACAGACGCAGCTTAGTAAACTCAGAGCTGTAGGACTATACTTGAGCCGATCTCTGTGGGGGGGGGAATTGCTATTCCCATGTCTACTATCAGAATGCCTGAACAACCATAACCTTTTAGTGCATGGCCACGCACTGCTTATCCGTAGTGCGCTGGCCAGTGGCCAGTATAGACGCCCTGCACAAGAGCTTGGATCGTGGTTGTTGCTTTACTTCGCGAGTCGCCACTCACATTTGTATGCCACCACTGGAGATGTATATCGAGGCCAGAGTGGATCTGACGTCACCGTGATATAGTATTAATAACAGAACCACTGAATTCCTCATTCGTCCGTCCTGTTTTTGATCCATTATTGTATCCTTCATACTTAATCACGCTCGTTTCGGCCGCCTGTTCCCGGCCAGTCCGAACCCCTTGGCTTGGTTCTCAATCCCTCCGATCAGGATGCTGGAGAGAATCCAAGTCTACCAGATCTGCCCAATTCCCGAGGAGAAAGTTAAGAATATTCTGTATATCTGCAACAACCCCGAGGATAGTCCTCAGCCTGATCACTTCCAGCTGTCGCCACTCGACGAAGCCAACTGGCTCGCCACAATCGAAGTGTGGCAGCCGCATTGGTACTCACTCCATCGCCGAAGAGTCAAGGTCGCTGGAAACCCCATCCTCCTACTCGACGCACAGACCTTAGTAGATGACCCTGTACTCGTTCTAACCTGCCGTCCGGAGGGCGATGATGGAATAGGAGCAGAGAGCGACGCACCCCTGTGGCTCAGGTTCATACCCGAGAAGATCCCAGCTGCAGCTGTTACTCTCCAGATCGGAAGCTAGACTTTGGATTCGGTAAGTCTTGTGGAACCTATTTACTGGTAAGTACCTAGTACTAATAAATTGCTAGTATCTGAGGACTTAAGATGAAGACGGCATGTGGAGAAGGTTTCACCGAGGAAGATATCGCAGCCGGTCGTTGGCAGAAACATATTCGCTGATATGACAACACTTCCAGGTCGGTGTATATGTGATATATCCGACGAGTACCTGTAGTCCGCGCGAGTTAACCTGCAATAATTATATGCAGGATTTAAAATATAGGGGCCATGGCGTCACGCTTCCGGGTTTGTACTGTGGTTGGTTATATCTGCACCTAAGGCGCATGTATAAGACGCCAAAACGCGAAGAGAAAGTCGCCAGAATGAGCTGCCTGGGAATGGAGAGATATCACATTTCCACACCTTGAAAATTCCACCGTGAACAGTCAAAGCTACAACTGCTATAAACGATAGACTTTGTTGTCACTACTCCCAGAGGTGCTCACGCATATATATAACAAAGGGGCCCTTCTCCAAGCGTGTTGAACACTTCTTTCAAAGCCACCAGTGGAGACAAGCCCTTGGTGTCCAGAGCATCGTCAATCGTAGCAAGACGGCTTGGAGGGTTGTTGTTCATAGTGATGGTCCCGTCAATATCGCCAGCCTCGGCCGGATGCAGCGCCTGCCATATCCACCAGAGCCGATCAAGCTGCGCATGATGAAGCCAGAAGGCCGGGTCGTTCGGAGAAGAGAACAGATCCGTCCCGTCGCCTCCGAGCGTGAAGTGCCCCGCGGCATGGAGACCAAGGTGGCCGGGATAGCGCCCGCCCTGAAGCTCTTCCTGGAACAGTTTGATGCTCTTCGAAGCCTCTCCCACCGTGAGATTGAGCAAATGGTATGTTTGCACTTCGGCCATCGTTAGTCGCCAGCCTTTCGGGAATAATTTGCTAGGTAAATCTGTGAAGACAGAAGTGGAGGCAGTGCTTGAACGGCAGTTTGCTTACTGTAGTTTGTGGATGCATAGCTGTTCAGATCTCGACGAATGCAATGCGTATTCTCGATGAATATACCGCTGACCGTCGGGAACCCTGGAAATACGCTTGCCATCGGCCCCATGTGGACGTCCTGGCCCTTGAATGGGCCACTCTTCATGCAGCCACCCCCTTTACCGCTAGGCAGTGGGATTTTTAGGATACCTGCGAGGGTGCCGTTGTGCCAGAAGAACTCCCCGTCGCCCCCCAAGCTCGTCTCGCTGCCGTCAAAGACTGGCGACTTTGTGACGTCGTCCCTATATTTGAACCAATTCCAGTACTAAATGCTTATTAGTCAAGAGAAAGCGGTCTGATAGACGTGGTTCACTCTTTACCGGTGTGTAACCTTTATAGCCACACTCGTCGCGGAGGGCTGTTTCATATGTGTGTAGGAGGTACCTGTGATAGCCCAAGAAGTTGCCAGTGTTGTGGATGGTAGTCGTCATATTGATGTGGACACCGACAAAATCATCATAACGATTCTTCGTCGGCCAGCCGAATTCGGTGAGTTTGGATCGCGAAGAAAACATACATCGGACTGCCTGAACATAGTTCTTCCTTTCGTCTTTGCTCATGAACTCCCTATTCGGCGTAAGAACGCTGCTAATCAGAACGCTATACAGAAAAAAAGTGTACTCACCAATCTCTGCGTACTTGAGCCTTTTCGATAGAGCACGTTGGATCAGTCCTGAACGTGCTCTGTAACAAGGCCTGGATTGCTTCACTCTGGAGATTGCCCATGACCTCGTTGGCATCTCGGTGGAGCATATCAGGCGTAACGTTAGCACCAGCGATGATTGAGCCACTCAAGAAGCTCAGCGAGCCGAGTACTCCTGACACTTGCATCTTAAGAATGTGGCACCCTCAGACCAATGCAGCAGCACGACGAAAGAAGGTGACCAAGTCAACATAAACCATAGACACACTTCACAGGGAATTTCTCCCCAGCACGGCTTTTTTTAAAGAGAGCAAGCCCGCGGAACCTGCACCCGCCACCCGTTCCACGACAGGCCATCTCTTCTTGCATCTATAGTTCTCCATATGTTGTGGAGACTCCGCTAGGGGCCTTGTCCGCCAAGAAGCATTATTGCAGCAGACGCTGATTGGCACAAACTTGATATACTTCGGACCTCTGCGCCAATCCTGACTTCAATGAGAACACTGGGCCCATATCTATTGCAGTGTGATGTCGCGGGAGATAGAACCCACAGGCTACTTTTGACCTTTTCTCTTCCACTTTCTCTTTTCAACGAAGGCCACCTGGGCAACATTACTGGCCCTGCGGATTTTCATGTGGATGCGGCACGGTATAGATAACCACAAACAGCGCTCCAAATGAACCCGACAGGCTGGAACCGACCCAGTCTTTGCGGCCATCATTCCGGGAATATTCCGATAATGGTCACCTGAGCGAGCAACCCTAGAAACTACCGCCAGGTTCGGCGTGATGGTAATTTGGAACCAAGGACTCGAATCTAGTACGATATTCAATAAATGCGAGTGGAACAAGCTAGGCCGTTGGGCTGCTTGTGGTTATCTTAGTTATTTCTAGGAAATATGCTAGAAAACGATGGCTTTCGTGATCCACAGCCTACAAGGAAGGTCATCATCGCCTTGATTCTTGCCATATTCCCACTCTTCGCCCGAAACTTTTGACAGAACCCTGCAATGGAATGGGTCAGATCCTGGGCCGAGGTCCACAATGCCAGGTACTACGGTCTGGAGACTTCTGTCAGAAAGCTGATCTGTACGCAGCTTATAGAGACTGTACGGATTGCAGACCGCTTGGCCCGTTCGCCGAATGGTTGATTCTTCAGGGTCAACAAACCGCTCGATGTATACCCCCTCTTATTATTTTGTGGCCACAGTGACTTTTACAACAGCATAATGGGATGTTGCGGCTATAGTCCTTGGCGTAAAGAAAGGCAAAGCTCTTCACCGTGTTGCACAAGCGAAGGTCATGTGGGATTTTTTGGTCTTACCTGGGAGAGCTGTCTGTGGTAAACTGACCATGTTTGATGGTGTAGAGTCCCAAGGCCCCAGCCGTACGCTCACCTACATGGAATAGGCCATGTGCGAACCAGGGGTAACGCCGACCCAGTTTCCCGGATGCGATGCTTTGAGCTCATGCAGCTACTCAGGACGAGACTTCGACTAAATTGCGATGCGAATGGCAATATAACTAACAGCAGCGTCCCATCTCGTTGCCGTTATGACCGTTGTCAAATCCCGTACAGTATCTTACCAACATCATGTCCACTGCTGGCCAAGTCAATGGCGCTCTTTTCCCGGATCAGATTGACCCGGAGCGGGCAGTCGAGAGCCGTCTTCTGTGGATGATGAGCATCTATGCTGTGTTGCATCTTCTGGCCATCGTCTTTGTTGCGTTGCGTGTCTATACGCGACTCTTCAAAATCAGGGAATTTGGGATAGACGATGCGTTCATGGTCTGCGCCGGAGTGAGTATCTTGACTCTTTCAAACATTGTACGAGACGTTTTTGGAAAGGAACCCATCTAACTCAGACAGGCTCTAGGGTTCGGCGGCGGGCTAGTGGTTCTCATAGTCATGGGGACTCGAGGTGGGCTGGGCAGGCATATCGATACACTATCGCAAGATGAGATCACGATATTCTTCAAGATGAATTTCTTACAGTTGGTGACATCAACTCTTGTCGGCATAGCCTGCGTCAAGATCTCCATCGGAGTCTCGCTTCTCAGACTGATTCCCATCGGCTGGCACCCAAGAGTGATCTTGGTAACTATAGGTGCCGTCGACGCCTTTTTATGTCAGGCTGATGGCCTCACTCACGCATTTTATAGGATTCGTCGTGGCGTACACAATCATGGCTCTTCTAAGCGCTTTCTTATACTGCACTCCGCTTGCAGGTTTTTGGGATAGGAGAATCCCGAGTACCTGCTTCGACAGAAACCTCTGGGTTTTCTTTGCCTACTTCAACTCATGTCGGTCAGCCTTTATATATCTGCTTCTCTAAGATCTCACCAACAGCTTGGGACACAGGCTCCAACGTCCTGACGGACTTCATCTTTGCCACCCTTCCGATCTCCGTCATCTCAACACTTCAGCTGCGGCGAAAACTACGATACTACTTGATTTATATAATGGGCTTGGGATACATGTGAGTCTGTTCTGTACGATGGTCTTTCATTGCTCGAGGTCGGCTAACTTTTCAATGCAGTGCGGGCTGCTGCGGAATTGCGAAAGCAGCGTGCCAGACTATTTTCAGATCGAATCCTGATCAGACATAGTAAGAGAAGAGACTACGTAACCGACTTTCTCTGGGGGGCAAGGCTAATAGTAGACAAGCAACAACTTCATTTCTTTCTTTGCATTGTGCGTGCACTTTTCACTTGAGCTCCCTCTAGCAATTCGAGTCGAGGCTGACATCATTATAGTGTCGAACTCAATATTGGCATCATTGCCGGCTGCGCCCCTACACTTGGACCTCTTCTTCGCGGTCGGCTAGGACTCAGTAATAGGGATAACGAAGAAAACATCTACACTCAGCGGTCGGGAGTGCCAAGAAGTACGCACGGTTTACCGGCTAGCAAGTTCGGCTATGTCAAGGCAGCAAGCCTCTACGAACAACACGAACTAGACAGTGGTGCCAGCCATTTCAGTAGCCAAAAAGGACCATGCGTAGCCAGCACAAGTCTCCCAGGACACGACAGCTGAACGGAATTCCGACACAACAATGACAACTACACACGCCGTTGCGAGCAGGTCGATGATAGACAGGAGAAGTGAAGAATGCTCAACTGCAAAAGGCGAGCAGAATAGGATCGAACGCTCAAGCGTCTACCAGTCTAGAGAAAATTAGGAGCACCGCAGAACAACCTGAGAAGGAGATAAGCGTACAGATGACATAGAGTTCTTCTGACAGCTTTGGACGAGCGTCTTTCCATGAGGCTGCTTTATGAAGACAACGCAAATATCACGGATAAGGTAGATCTATAATTCAAAGATCCAACACATGCTATTCGATCGTTCAAGTAGTTCATGCCCCACACCCGCACTGTCGAAGTATTCGACTTCGTGGGTTTATCACAAGCTTGCAGAGTTTGTCATAGAGTGGCGTTTTACACGGTGTACTAGACAGGTTTCAACCCTGCCTAGGCATGCTTCCTTGATCTCTATGAGAATGGCTTCAGCTACTGCCTGCCACATTCCACCGCGCCTGAGACCCTGCCGTGTACGACGAATCCGCCTCTTCAGGAAAAAAACAACCGGCGGACCCTGTCCTGCCTTGTAGTGAATAATAATCCCCCCGGAGAAGGAAACATGTCCTCTTGAACAAGGTTGTACAGAAAGGGCAAATGCAGAGCAAGGAGAACATAGGATTCTGACGTAACTTCGTATCGGCTGTACCCGCACATGCAGGGAGGTATCAAATAAGGAACAACTTGACTAGCCCAAACTTTTGAAGAACGAGGCTCGAAAATGAGACAATCACGCAAATACAAAGAGCCTTGTATGCCATCACAACCACATCGATCAGAAAACACAAAAGGAAGACGAAAAAATGAGACGTCAGATACGAAGCTAGAGAAATGGATCCCTCAGCACAATTGAGCCCAACATGGTGGCCTTGATCTCTCACGATCAGCAAGGCTGTCGTGGCATTCGTCAAGGTATAAGACACGATCTCTCAGACTTTTCCTTCCTCCTTCATGTCAAAATCTCCCAAGTCGGCATGCATGATAAATCGAAGCGGGAAAATGTATCAAATTGCTCCAACGCCGAGAAGTCCAATTATCCTTGGTAGCCGGTGAAACCGTTGTTAAAGTTCTGTCCCTGAGGAGGAGGCGAAGTCCATTGCGGGTTAGGAGGCTGCTGGCCACGACCGTAACCTCCGGCGCTGGGTGGGCCGGTAGGATAGCCCATGGGTTGATGGTTGTAGCCGGCAGGGGACTGCGCAGGAGGGCCAGCATAGCCCTGCTGCGGCTGACCACCGTATTGACCTATTCTACTATTAGCAACTATATAACTAAGGCGCGCAGGGTACGACTTACCGCCATACTGAGGGAAGTAGGTCGAAGGAGTGCCGGGGTAGCCACCAGGAGCGTGAGCGCTCTGAGGGCTGTAAGCCTGCTGAGAAGGGTCGAAACCGCTAGTAGCGGAATTGGGAGTCTTGTCCTTGCCCCACTGTCGGTTGGCGTGAGTAAGAGTACAAAAGTCAAGGTTTGGGTAGGGGTTTTAACTCACGCTGCACTTGAGAGGTCTGCCATTCACCTGATACCCGTTAAGTTGACAGATGGCCATTGCAGCATTCTCGTGCGAGTCCATCTTGATGAAGGCGAATCCTCGGTCTGCCTGCATTCTCGACTCTGCGACGTAGCCGAAGTTGGAGAAGAGGGGAACCAGGTCGTTCTGGGTGGTGTAAGGAGTCAAGTTTCCGACGTAGCAAGTGGTCTGCCACGCAGGGGTCTGGGCTACAATCATGTCATAGCTCTGGATACCGTGCGTGGGGAAGTGATGGTGGCCATAGGGAGTGGTCGGGGTCATTCCCATGGCGGCCATGGCCTGCTGCTGAGCAATCGAGGGCTGTCCCTTCTGGTTGGCCCAGTTGCATCGAATGGCTCGAGAACCCAACCACTCGCCGTCCATGGAGCTAAGCGCCTTCTCGGCGTCGGCGCGGTCGCGGAAGGCAACAAAGCCGTAGCCTCGGGAACGGCCGGTCTTCATATCCCACATGACACGGGCCTCAGAGATGGTGCCGAAGGCAGAGAAAGCCTGCAGAAGGACTTCATCGTTGACCTCGTTGGACAGGTCGCCGACAAAGATGTGAAAGTGGCCAGAGGTGTCCTCCTTATTCGTCGTGTTGGACTGGTAGGCCCAGTTCACTCGGATCTCCTGCGGGCAAAAGAAAGGTGAGCAAGTCTTCGGCTGCTTCGGTCTGCGGCTGTGAGCGGAGTGAGGTACATACGGCTTGGTGGACACGGCGGCCGTTCAGCGTCTGCAACGCACGCTCAGCAGCACCGGGATCGTCATACTCAATGAATCCATAGTTATACCCCTTTTGCTTTGGAACATCAATCAGTAAGTGGGCAGGTGACAGGCCACGCGTTTTTGGGACTCACGTTCTTGTCGGGGATGATCTTGACGTTCTGGACGTGGCCAGTGGTCTCGAAGATCTGGCGCAAGACCTCCTCGGTCACGCGAGGGTCGAGCCCGCCGACGTAGAGCGCCCGCTTGTTAGGCTCGGGCGCCATGCGACGGGGAAAGGGGCCGCCACTGGTAGGGGACATCATGCCGCCCTGGTCGCCGGAGAGGGGGGAGGTGATGGCGGTAGGGATCGGGTTGTTGTTCTGCGGAATGTGCAAGGGCGGCGGCGGCATGTGCGAGGGGTTCGCCTGGCCGTTCTGGCTGTTGTCGAAGCCCGGAGCGCCAGCGTTCGGCTGCGGCGGCGGGGGCAGCTGGCCGGTGGCCGAGGGAGGGCCGTTGTCAGCCATGTCGATGGTGTGCGGTGATGAGGATGGGAGACGACGGGTCGAGGGTGCGGTTGCGGTGAGTGGGGAGCGGCGTGGATGGGTTGAGCTGGGAGGAGAGGTGCGTCGCTCGGAGCCAGGCGCAAAGCGACAGTCTGGCAGACAGAACACAGGAGTCGGGGGACCAATCAAACTTGGTCGCAAACAGTAACAGAAACGTCGAACTGGGCCTCCAGGTGGCCGCGGTTGGTGAATCCAAGTGCAAGTCTGGGGAGGAAAACAGAGGCAATCGCAGCTTCTGCGACCTTGGTCCGACCCAACGTTGCGGTGGGGCGGGAGGATGGATTAAATGAGCTGGATAAGATTGGGTATCTTATCGCCGTCTAGACCGTTCAAGAGATGGGCAGGTGAATGGAGATTCAGCTGCCGGAAAGCTCAGGAAATCGTAACGTCGTGGCCGCAATTCACCGTCGTGTACTTGGTAGCGCAGAGCAGAGAAGATGGACGAATAGACGGGGTTGCGCGCGCGCGAGACGAGACGAGACGAGACGAGACGAGATGAGGCAGACGAGGAGAGATGGATGCGCGAGCCAACTGAGTCTCTAAGCGCCACGACACCACAAATGATGGAAGATGACGCCGACGCCGAGAGTATGCGATCTGACTGGACTCGACCGAACTGAGCGCTCTAGGAGAGAGAAGACGGGGCAGGAGAGTTGCTGGAGCCGGGCCACGCAGACGAGAGAGATAGCGATCAGACGGCCGTGAGAAGCAGCAGTAGCAGCAGCAGCAGCAGCAGCAACGAAGCAGACAGGAAACGACGACGACAAGGACGACAACAATGTGTGGGTTTGACTGGAGAAGACGACCAAAGGACACAATAGGGAAGAAAAAAAGGAAACTGCCTCTGGAGGAGTCCCCCGATTTTTCGACGCACAAAGTCACCGGCGATGCGTGATTCAGTCTACCGATGCGGAAGATGGGGAGGAGAGGAAGGGCAAACGGGGCTCTGCTGTCGCGCAATGGAAGATGGCGGCTTGGGGTTTTTTTTCCTTTGATCAACGGGCGCCAAGCGAGCTTCCTCTCCGCGCGCCGTGTCTTGCTTGGGATCCATGGGGGGATTGGGGGATGGTGCCCCCCGTCTGCCCGTCTCCCCTCAGGCCCCTCAGGCCCCTCAGAATCACCACAGGCGCTGCTCCAGCCTCCAGCCAACCAGCACACTCCGGCCTGGGAAGCGGGAAGGGGTCCAATAAGGGGTCTGGTGCCTTTTTAGCGTTGGCCGCAGCTGTGGGAGCGGACCTTGGAACTGTGGGGAATGCAAGTGTTCGGGTGCCTATGAGATGGGATGAGACCTCAACGCCCAGAATGGCTTGAGTGACCATGGTAACGATCATTAGGTAACGCCCGACACAATGCATTCCTTCTTTCGGTTCTGCTCGAGAGAGTTGAGGTTGGCATTCCATCCTGGCACTTGTTGTGCATTTTGCAGTTGCCTGCGCAGTGTGGACAAGCCTCTCTAACTTAGACGACAGCCACCCGGTAGAGGGCGTCTCTGGCTGGATGTCATCAGCCCCCACGTGTCTAGTGCCCCGACTTTTAAACTCTTCACGTAACATTCAAGACGCAACTCGGTCCGGCTGCACGGAGTATGTTACCATCTGTACGATGAGCGATGCATAATCGACAGCACCTCGACCGCTTACATGTGGCTTCTCTGATGGTCCATGAGATGGGTGATGCGTCCAAGAACATGGGATCCTGTCTTGGCACGTGTTTGGAAGACCCAATGCCTATCGTGTGGTCCATGGTCAAGCGGCAGCATGGATAGATGCAAGCTCGTTATAAGTAAAGCCTGTGAAGTTCGTGTGTCAGGTTCACGTCGTACTCGGGTAGCGGCAACTAGATCTGTCCTTGGCGTGAGGGAAGCTTCATGGGATATCTTCAGGCAATCTCAGTTACCACAAGTGTGGGCTCGCAAACAAGCCAAGTCTAATACTAACAGAGAATCAATTTCTGAATGTCTTCACCGGCCGCTTTGCTTTCGGCCAATTTAGTTCCGTCTCCGCAATCCACACCGCTCAAGTTCGATTGGACATTTATAATGCTATAATTCCTGCATCGCCCGCCGTCGAGCCATACACAGGTGCAATCTCGCATCAGTTCGAAGCCCCAGGGAAGACATGGTGCATGTATCCGTAGAGCGCGATAGGTTCGCCCGCTTGGCAAGTCCCCTGGACAGCGGAGAGGGGTTTGCCGAGTCGCAAGCGACAACCCTTCAATCACCGAGTATGCAGTCTCGTGTGGTTCATGGGTCAGATTGAGTGATCGCGAAGCAGGCTAACGTAGTTGAGCACATTCGTTGTCAACAAATTTCAAAAAACATGGCCACCTCGCATTGAGAAGATAGGGCTACTGGCTGCGCAAGTATGCTGAAGCAGCGAGGTCTCGTTGAACGCATAGCGAAGGCACTGGCTGCGGATGAACTGGCTTCAGGACTATATTCGTCAACTTGGGGTTAAGCTGCTTGTAGATCTTTCCCTACGAAAATCTGTGCTCGTGGCGGTTCATTCCAGAACAGTGTTGCTGTAGATCCTGTGTCTCATCTAGCGCATACCCGAATGCTTGGTTGACGTGTCTTTTTCGGCCCTGCAAGATCTAACTCCAATCTTCAGATGACAGACGGACGGATAGGCAGGCCCCACGATGCTTATCCTGGTAGGGCCCAAGGGTCCAGTGCATTACTGTAGGAAAGTAACTTCAAAGGCTAGGTCTAGGAATGTAGCGTAAGGGGCGCTGGCGCCGTAGATTCGGGAGACTGCGACGTGGGGCCAGTCCCGCCGATCCTGGTAGCGCACATGGGGCCCAGTGGGCTCGCAGCTAGGGCCACTCCCGCCCGTGCGGCCTAACTAAACTTATTCTGACTTCACCCCAATCGATGGCAAGCTTGCCTTCAGCCTCAGCCGGCCGCCTCTGTCAGCCTGGGCATCACCATCGTGTTCGACTCCATATTGGTAGCCAGTAGCCCATTTGACGTAGTTCGTACCCGTCGAAAACCCGTCTCGCGCCTTCTTTGACCTCCCCTGCAACCTGTCTGCGGCTTCCGCAAGACACCCACGATGGCTACCGGAGCGCTGAAAGACCCGTTAGATGTGCTTCAGGCCATGTTCAACGAAGTCGTACGTCCATTGGAGCCCAAGCACCATGCTGAGTACTGATATTCCAAGCTTGTGCAAACAGGGAAGGCTCTCAAGCAGTCGCAGAAAGATGGCATCCAGAATGCTAATGGCCCAATGCCCCTGGGTCGCTCAAAGATGCCTGAGATATTGAAGTCGTATCACTACGCTCTAGACGATCTGGAGAGCGAGATAGTAAAGCCAACAAATTCTCTTGTAATCCCCAAGTGAAAATGCTAACGACCACTAGACCAGAGCCAAGGCAGTGCTGTCGCGGGACCTAGAGAAGCTGCAAGCAGCTCGCGCACCTTCCCCTGTCCCGTCACCCGTGGCTCCACCTGCTCCGATGATGGACGAGCCCCGACGGCCGGCAGCCGTGATGATGGACATGCCGTCGGCTGCTGCTCACACGGTAAACTCGAACGCCATTTTTACAGAACCCCAGGATGAAATCAAGAGGCAGCCCTTCCCTGACATGGGCATGGGTCTATCCGGCGATGTCGTCGACTTGACGTCAAACGAGAAGCCCCCAACAGCCTCACCACAAGTGACAGCTGATGCTGCGAAACCTGGAACTGAGGCCGGAGCCGGAACTGGGCCGCATGCTAGTCCTTCTATCAAGCAGTCCCCGCAGCCTGCGTCGGCCACCACCAGAATCACCCCCGTGCCAGCACCACAAGTCCCTCCGCAACCTACAGCTCTCGGTTCTTCAGCCCAGAAAGCACCAACCCCGAATCAGCAACCTCCTGCTGCACAGGCTGCTCAGGATAGCACCCTCGATGCCACGCTGACTCTGCCGCCGACGAGCGGAGCCGCAACGGCCGACATGACCGGCGGCGAGCTTAACTTCACAAACATGGAGTTCACATTGGCACCTGCTTCTGATGCCCCTTCGCAGGTTGCGCCTCCAGCACCTATGCAGGACTTCGATTTGAGTGCCTTCACAACCGGCGACGGGACTTCCGACCTGTTATCGATGGACAACCTGAACGAAGGAACCGCATCTACCAGCGCACCCGCAGATGCTCCAGTGCCAGCTCAGGAGAAAGAGCCCGAGACGACAGCTACAGACACCAACATGGATTCAATGTACGATCTAGGCGCTGTTGGTGGCGGAAATATGGACAGCATGAATCTGGACTTGAGTCTCGGCGATACTGGCGGCGTCAGCGACAATACTTTCGACGACCTGTTCTTTGATACCACCACAGACGCCGATATGGGGCAATTTAATGATGCATACTTTGGGCTAGAGTAGGGTCACCATGATCTAGGCCGGCGGAAGCATGTAAAGCCATAGACTTCACATAGTATGTCGAGCAGATTTTATCATGCGCCAGAACGAACCATCTTCCAATGAGACTGACTCCTAAGCCAAGGCTTAAGGGGGTAGGTGGATAATACATCTATCTACATGTTCTTCTCATGGGAACATGCCGATAGAAAAATTTTCAAAGCATCATAACCTTCACGTTCGCCTGGAACGAACAGTCTTGTAAGAGTCGGTAAAGTAAATCTGTAGGAAGTTGGCGGGGATCGGGAGGGCACCCGGGCTGCAGCAATGTCCGCTTCTGCGCAAGTAGGTCACAACCCGCGCAGCCGAGGCGAGGCATTTCGAGGAATGGGTAGGGTTCACAGGTTGATAACCGACCCTCTCGATCAACTGATGCAGCCCATCCATCACGTAATATCATGATAAAGACCCAGATTGGCGAAGGCAGTCGTCAGGGATGCGCGTGCAGAATCGAATCTGAGATGGGCTATGCAATGCTGACAGGTCCACCAGTATCTGCCGCGGTCTCGGTAGGCTGCCAACGGCCGAAGCGACGGGATTTACGAGTCGCCGCTTTTAGGTGAGTGGGCTAAGCTCATTTACGAATTTCCATTTTGGGCAATGCACCTACGACAGTGGGCAAATGGAACAAAATGCTCACGTAGGGCTGGCCGCTCGCAGAGGGCTGGGCTGGCTGCTCTCTACATGTCCGTAAGAGGCAAAAGGCCCTAAACCAGCCCCACGGCGCGAGCCTGTTGGGCAAAATACAATAAGCCTGGTGTGTATATGGGCTAAAAGAGCGTGGCTCTCAATCACCGACCTAACTCCTAGTGTACTAAACTGCATGCGTGCCCCGAAGCCCGACTTTGGGGCCCACGTCCCTGCCTGCAATGTGCAGAAACACCACACATCGCATTGGCGGTAGACGGCGTCGCTGGAGGGCAAATATCATGCCTTGGAAGTGTCTCATTCCTTTCTTCGCATGCAACCTTGGCTTCTGCTCCTCGGAGTTTATTGTATCAAAGTAGACTTCGGTGCAGTCGAAGCTCGCTTGAGTTTCTATATCCAGCAGATATCTGCTGGATGCGTGTGGCGTCCAAGAAAAAGCCTTGGATGCACCCCCTCTAAGCCTGATGCAAGCGATCCTACCTGCGCGAGGAAACTTTTTAGTTTAGTAGAGTCGACTTATCAAGAGAAATGCGCGCTTACACGACCAAACACTCCTTGACTCTTGCCACTGAAGGCTGCGTACTGCTTCTTCCGCCGAGAGACGGGACGAATAAGGACATTAATCCCATTTTCCCTACCTCTGCGCAGGTTGGGAGGAATGGCCTGCATTGGTAGGTTGGATCGTATCAGACGCAGTAGCTGTCAGCATCGTAAATCAAAACAGGGATCTTGTGCATGTAGGAGGCAAAATACTTGCTGTAGACTTCGAGCATTCCCGACCACTCACGTGCGAACGTCCAGTTTTGAGTAGTGAGCTAAGCTGAGACCTGTTCCATATAGGGCTGTGACGAGTATCGCGTCTAAGCAAGCTGTTTCTTTCCCTAGTGCCTAGCACCCGACAATACCGAGACTCTTGGCGCCGACTAAATCTATTACCTGCCCTTGCACCAGAGCCCATGCCTTCAAACTACAAAGCACTTATATGCCCCGAGCTTTTCTGATAAAATCGCATTCGTTGACTCAGTTCTTGATTTTTCGTCCGAAGTCAATCAAAAATCTAGATCTTCAGCGAACCACCTATAAGCAGTAGGTGGTAAAGCACAAAGTCCACCCCCTCTGGACCTAGTAAGGTCGAACCGAAGGTACTATCCATGTCCTTTCAAACTCATTCTCAGGCAGTTCTACCTGTAATTATTTACTTACGGGTACAGGTATCGTGTATGCTGATTCGATTCGATCAAAGCTTGCATCGCTATACGTCGGCCTAGTTGTTATTCTCGAGATGGATCAGCAACAAGACATTCCCCAGCCAGACCAGGTCGCAGTACGGCCTGTACTACAAATAACCCTCTTTCGCGCAGGCATTGAACTACATCCGTTTCCCGTTACTCTTCAGATGTGTTCAAGTCTCATGGTTAGTCTCTGGCATCGCATAAGTCTTCTTGGGGGAGTATGCCGGAAGAACGTCGTCGCCATCCTTCTTGGCCTCCTCTGCACTGGACAAGTTGTAGTATCGTGTTTGGTAGAGCAGAATTCTATCACCCTTATTTTGTGGCTGTAGGTCTCTTTATCAATTCTCTTTGTCCACTGGTCAATAGACTGATCGTATCAGGGGAATGTGCTTCACGATATCCTGGGCAGTTATACTGATATACCCATTGCGTCGACTATTCAGAGAGTTCAGGAGAAACAACACCTCCGAGTCGTAAGTGACACTTCTAGTTGTTTGAGGCCTATGTGACTCAAGAGGGACTTAGGTTTACTGTGCGTGCAGTGCTACTGTCCTTCGTGTTCATCAAAGCATTCGCATTGCTAGACTCTTATGGCCTCGCCGTTCTCTTGCGGGTGCCTCCTTGCGTTACCTTGGGTATATGGATAGCAACCCAATGGACAAAATCCGAGACCAAGGCAGGAGCTGAGATTAATATTGCGATCAGCCCTTGAGGATCAGTGCAAGGATCTTGTGAGGCTTAATCAATCTTACTCGGCCGAGGAAACGACACCGATTCCTATGGATAGTCGGGATTTGATTGATTACACATTGGTATCTAAGACACTATCTGGATTCCACAAAGTAAAACAACTTGAGTGTAGTCCTGCGCTGAAGAGGCTATAATATGAATATAACCCTTACACGTACATTTGCCTAGGATACGAAGGGACTATGCATTATGCTTTTCGTACAGTGAATTCCAGAACCATGACCTACCACTTACTCACAAACTGTAGATATGAGTTCGAACAGCTTCCAAAGGCAACATAAAGCGTATCTACCATGTGACTCTGGAGCCTTTGCACGGAGATAATCAATTCGGAATTTGTTCTTCACCCAAACTTCATTTGTTTCTTTACAACTCTTGTACGTCAGAGTTTGGGGTCAAATATCGGGCAGCTACCTGCCAAACATAGGATTCATGCCCCATACTGTATTATCTGTAGCTACTTCTAGAATGTTGGTTTTGCCCCCATCGCATCTTGCTAACACGCTTCAGGTCCGGGGGTTCTACATATTTTGGTCAAAACGCAAAACCCCTGCACGTATATCCCGGCTAGTCTCCGTAATGCTAAGTCTACGGATTGATCTTTGTTTGACTAAACAAAAGTCAGCTGCGCTTCATTATAATTGGAGTCCCATTCGCTTGAGGCTTTCACATTCAGAATGACTTTTCTACCGGACCACTCCACTGTGCCTGGTGCCTTCTTCATTTCCATGGCCATGCAGTCGCCAGAGGCTTCGAAATCCACGACCAGGAATGCGTGTGGATGTCGGTACGCCTGGGAGGTGCTACCGGATTGCACTGCAGTGCGGTAGATCATAGTTCATCCAATGACTATGGCGTATGCCGATCGTGTTCCGACAAGGCTTTCCGCGAAGCAGATGGTCGGGTTTTCGTGAGGCGACTTGCCCCATTAAGGTGGCCAGCCCTCAGCATATGTGCCCATTTTGACTATCCTCACAAGCCAGCTAGGCTATTGGAATGCAAGTAGAGAGAAAACAGAGAACTCGAGCGAAGTCCGCCATCTGTCCATGACTTGGTCTGAATCAGGAGATCGTCCATGAAAACACGCATCCACAAATGCAACCAGATTTCGGAGTAGTAACATTCTGGTGCAGCTCCTTTGCTTTGGCCACTGAGTCTTGTATCCTAGGATTTGGACTTAGACAGTTCTAGTCTCATTATCACGGCTCGTAATCGAATTTGCACTCCGACAGGTGCTGCTTTGTAGAGGTATAGGCATGGACCAGGGCATCGCATGCTGGGTAGATCACTTCTATGCTGTGCAGATCACTGTGGTGGTGAGTAGATCACATCCTAGTTCAGAGCTGACAAGATGGATTGGCTCCCCCACTACACCCTCCAACAAAGTTTCGCAACCAATCATGGAGTTCTAGACAATGGGAAAGATGGGTTATGGATCACAGGGATTTTATCACTGGAGGGAGGACTCATCAACCTTTGACGCTGAACTGCGGATTTGTGGAACCATGCGGTACACAGTAGAAATACCTTGTTGATGTCCCGTCTCCCCATGGGAAAGTGCTTATAATCGCGGAGTATGGCACGTTTTCAGTTTTCCGGGACCTTTGCTGAATTCCTTACCAAGAAACAGATCATACCGTCTCCTAAATATGTCTCATTTGATGACCATACTACTTCTTTGGAAAGCATGGTTACCTCAGGTGACCGTAGCACTCGAGCCATGCCAACAGACAGGGGGTCAGCCACAGCTTTCACTTCAACTGTCTTCCGCCAGCACCATTGAAAACCAGCCCTCGTTCCCGGAAGCCGTACGCCCCATGATCGCCCAATCCTTACCCACGGTTGTCATCGAAAGCCTGCGGCTCGGCTTGATCACCATCGCCTTGGCTTGCCGGAGAAATCCGCTGACGATAGTAACCGCGCTGATTTGCAGTGCTCTCGTCACCGCCTCCTGCGTTGTGGAACAAAAATCAAGGCCAGTGCGGCTATGGGTGTAGGTTCATGTCTCTAATAATATGTAAGAAGTTCCTTTGACGCTTTGAAAGTGCTCTCTGCCTGGTAATGACTTGGGTGCTGCCGACTATCTTTCACCTCAACATGCTCGTCAAGAGATATACGAGGGCAGGACGCATTGATTCGTAAGTAGAGTCCTTCCGCCATGACACAAAACTCGGCTTAGGAAAACCTAGCTTTATCGTGACTACGGCATTGCTGTCATTTGTCTTCGTCAAAGCCTTTGCCTTATTGGACAAGTACGACCTCGTCGTCCTCCTCAGGGTACCACCCTGCATCACGCTCGCGGTTTGGATTTCCAGCCGTTGGGTCAATTTCAAAGGGGTGCCAGAGGTCCAGCTCGCTGTTTGAAATTCGGAGCCACAAAGGTGGCCAGGTATGAGGTTGGGGCGGACTCTTGAACCGAGTATAGGCAGGACTAGGACAGGGATACTAGGCGTTGGGCTAAGGTTTGGAAAACTGGGGCTAAACCTTGACTGTTATATAAGTACATAGGGTTAGAAGGCGAGGAGCATCAGGGGCTCTTAGAACGCACCAACTACATCCCCTCGTTATCGCAATGTAGACCTTCAATCAGATGTTGATTCATGGTTCTGTGTAGTGGAAGTCCCACGTCTCTAATGTCCAACGCAACTTCCATTCACCACCATTTAACGATGGGAACAGCGACTCAGCGTCAAACTCTCGCCAAACGACTAGGATTGACGCAGGCCAAATAGAAAACTATATAGATGTTTCAATGTAGCCAGATAGTATCTGACTACTATGTGGGTATCATTAGCATTGAGAGTTGATATAACGCACCAGAAGACCGTTCCACAAATCTCCGTTCGATAATACACCAACATCAAGCTACCCCTCCCCCTTTCCGCCTTCACACAGCATTCAAGGACCCTGCGTCACCTTGAACAGATCCGCCATCATGGGCAAGAAGGCCTCATTCCGCAAGCCGTCCCAGTTCGCATTGAGCAGGCCCCAGGTCTCCTCGACGTCGGCGGCGCCCTCGCGGATGTAGTAGGAGCCCTGGACGGCCCACAGGGCCCAGTCGGCGTCGTTGCCGCCGAGCCACTCCTTGATGCAGTCAAAGTACTTCTTGTCGGCGTCGCCGAGGCCGTCGTTGGGCCCGCCCGTCAGGCCGACGCCGAACTCGGAGACGAAGAGCGGCGCGGTCCAGGGCTGGCCCTGCTCGAGCAGGAAGCCGTCGAGGGCGCCGTACTCGGCCTGCACGACGTCGCAGCTGTCGAACAGGCGCGGGAACGTCACGGTGAAGCTGTACGCGTGCATCTCCCACACGTGCTTGCCGGCCCACGCGCCGTAGTCGAGGTTCTCGACCCGGATGAAGGACAGGTCCGTCGCCGACTGCGAGCCGCCGGCGATGATCAGCACGTCCGGGTTGGCCTCGTGCACCCGCTCGCCGCCCTGCCGCACGTAGTTGTACCAGTCTGCGTGGCCGTTGAAGTCCTGCAGGACGGGAAACGGGCGCAGCTCGTTGCGCAGCGACATGGCCACCACGCCTGGCTGGCTCGTCGCCCAGGTCGCCATGGCGGAGAGGCCATTGAGCCAGTTGTCTGTGTTGAAAAAGCGGCTGTTAGACTCAACATAGGCTAGGGCTTTATCCCACCAGCCGTTGCCATCATCCAGGTTGCCTATGTCATGTTAGGCACTATGCATGTGAAGGTGGGCGAGACAAGATTGACTTACAGCACCAACTCGCTTTGCTGACATGGTTGTCAAGAACAGTCATGATTTTTCTGTCCCAAAGTGCCTTGATAACGGCACTAAAGACATCCTGGGTGGTCCCTGTCTCAGTGAACGGATTCTTCTCGACGACCTGAGAATACATGTCGTTCAACGTCTCGACTGCAATGCCCGAAGCGCCCGCAGCGGCCGTGAAGGAATCCTTGACTGTGACTCCCGGGTTCAAGGCATGATCGATAGAATACGTGAGTCGAACACAATTAAACCCCTGTGCCTGAATTAAGTCGGCGATGGTGTCGATAGACTGCTTGTGCAGGCCCTCCGGGATATTGGTCTCCATATGGCCGGCCCAGTTGATGCAGCGAAACTTGACCCGATTTCCAGCATCGTCCAGAATCCATCTGCTGTCTGTCTTGAGAGGGAGTTGCTGGGCGAGAGCTCCAAGCGCGAGGCTCGAAGCTCCCATGAAGGAGGCGAGCTTCATGGTGAATTACACTAGTAAAGCGAAGGGCGAATTAGGACAATTATTAACGAGCAGCTCGGGGATATGTAGGTCGTGAAAGCGAATGCGGCCGTGGCGCCGGCGACGGGACGCCGTATACGAGTTCACTTTGGTATTAAAGATAATAAATCAAAGAAAGTAAATGCGGCACCCTGGGGAAGCACAAGCAGCCTCCCAGCACCCTTTTATTGATTCGAATGAATACTCGGCACGAACCCTGGGCAGGCTCAGGGTCTGCTGCAGATGTGTGGCAACGGACTAGGTCAAGCGGGCAGCTCGAACAGATCGGATGACAAGAGCGACAGCCAGAAAACACAGGGTATTGGGCTGGTTCGACTCTGGGCGGACATCGCATACATGTTGATGTCATGGCGTGTGCCGGCACATATAGCCAATTACAATTGTTTCTTGACCATCCGCCCATAGGGGCCCCAGGTATTGCAGCAGGTCAAGACTGCTTGGTCTCCTGTGGTGTACCATGATAAGGCACTTGGCGGGCAAAGGAGCATTCTTTCCCGCCCACTCGAACTCCGCATCTCATTTCAGCATTATCGAAGGTCCAGGTCCCCATCTGATATGATGCCCCGTCAGGGTGTTTCATGGGGCCCGCGAATCAGCATGATACAACAGGAGGAAGTGGCTGTGGGGTTACTGGAGCGAAATCAAGATGCAGCAGCAGCTCTCCGCCGAAGAGTAGGGGTACCAGAAGGCGAACGCATGACTGGGACATGTGATTGGGCGAGTTGCACGGGACCTGGTCGAGTGAAGTCGGATTGGTGTGTGGTCTAGGTGCCTCCCCTGGCTCTCATCAGGCCCGAAGAGGAAAATCAAGGGAGTTGCAAAAGCTTGGCAGAGTACGATCTGCCGCCGTTGTGGGGTAGACGCCACAGCGCATCCCCGAGGTGCAGCCACAGAAAACAGCTGTTCAGAGCTCCCATTGGCAGTCAGATGAGATACCCCTGACAATAGTGCCTCAAGTCGTTGATAACTGATCAGAGTCCGGCCGAGCTGGGCGTGTTACCGTCGACATATCTTCACGCGACGCCCTTATTCTCATCTCCGGCATACTTATCCTTCTAGACTAATGGAACGACTCAGAATACTCTAACCTCAACAAAGCCGCCGTGGAGGCATGGGATCGATCCATTTCGGGACTAGCAGCGTGACTAGACAATACCCCAGATGCACACTGCGAGTAGGCGCATGAGTTGCCGTTGAACCGAACACAGCAGGTCATTCAGCAACAAGCAGCGCGACAGCCTCGGAGCAACCCGGTAATTCACACTCTGCAAAGCCCCGGTTATGGCAGTCTTTCTTTCTGGACAAATGTGTGAGAGACAGGGCACTGATATATAGTATCAAATATTGACCGATGTGGTAATCGAACACCAAGGCACGTTGTATGCTTCTATGCTTTCGAGTCGTCGAGATCGTGATGCATGAGCTGTGTACCGCTATCCCTAGCCTTCAAGCTACTCGATCCTCCCAAAATTCAACAAGCCTTCCAATACAGGTGGGCGTCGTAAAATTGACGCTCCAACCTGACCAAACTCCGGGGTATCAATTCTTGTAATCTGCCTTGCGGCTTAGCATGTTGCTCATGATGGAGAAGATGCAGCATTTCCACCAGCAGCGGCAGCAGTAGTGGCGGCGGCGGCAGTATGCCGAGCTTCGAGATCTTTCCGCCTGGAGAGCAAGCTCTTAAAGGCACCTAAGCACTGCACCAGAGCCTCCTCGTCGTGGGCACAAAAGCGGTAGCTCTTCTCGTCCGTAATAATCTGCATGCAGTGCAGCTTATTCTTGTTGACGGGATCGATGTCCACCACGTTCACGACAGTCGAGAGTGCCATGATGAATGCAGCTGTATACTCCGACTCGTCTTTGTATAGGATCAGGTTGCGTGGTCGTAGCACAGCCCAGCAGTTCTTCCACTGTCTAACGCCGCGCTTCGTCTTTAGCAACTGCAGCCACCCTTGCCAGACAACTCGGTCAGGGTCGTTTTCCATGTTCAGTCCGCTGAGTTGGCTCAAGTTCCGGCCCCCGAGCACTGGCCGAAGCTGTCCAGAAGTGGACGGAGACCGAACGGCAAGATTCTCGAAGGAAGCACCAACCCGTGGAGCTTCGGAATCGGAGAAGTCAGAGTGCGAGACAAAGTCATTGCTGGAGAAGCCCGACGAGTCCAGTTGTGAGGGCCGTCTTGCCGATGAGGAGGACATCGGTTTCGGCGGCAGGGATTCGACAGGCTCTGGTGAACTCGACGCGAGCCTCTCATGGTCCAAGGATGTGTCCTTGAGGACTCCAGACGTATTGTTCCCCAGCACACCAACGGCAGCATACGATTGCCGGCGTACGATGGGGCTTGCCAGGAACATGTCTTCCTCCTCTTCTTCTATCCTCGCGTCCTGCCTGATGAGCTCAATCCATTCCTGCGCATCCTTGGCGCTCGGTGCTTGAAAGTGGAAGTTCCTCGCCGGGGAGAACAGGCCAAACAGATTATGGCGCTTTTGTTTCGGGTCCTTGAGGAGAGTCACGGCCGACAGGTCGGAGAGGTAGATCTTGTGCCGCAGTTTGCTTTCCTTGTCCGACTTGTAGATAGATAACGCGTTCGGCCGTAGTACGAGGTATACCGTCTTCCAGGCCTGGATCAGGAACGTGATCAGCTTCTGGCTCAGTCTCAACTTCGATTCTCGGAACCACTCACTTTTGTCTTCTGGGTGCGCTTCTGCACATACCCGGACTTGATCACCCGGTCAAATTCGAAGCTGCCATTCTGATTGACGGGGCTCGGGGTCGTCAGTCCCAGCTGGTGTCGCAAGCGACTTGTTACGCTGGAGGACAAGGCGGCGGCGTTCGTAGGGATCGTGATTCTCGCACCTCGCCCCGGGATCTTGGTGGCTGACGAGGGACGCAACTCGGTGGCAGGTGGACTCGCTGTTTCGGCCATGTCGGACGGAAGAGAAGCGCCGTGGGCGTGGTCAGGACCGGACGGAAAGGGGTGGCCAGCGTCGAGGGTGGTTGTGTATTAATTATTAGCGACGCGGATCGTGTCGGACCAGGCTCGAACTGCCGGAGTCTGAGTGGTCGCCGTGAGAGTCGGTGTCTTGGCAATTAAAAAAGTATGGTATGTCTCTAAGAAATGAGGACGCTGATCATCCACGGGTGTGTCGAGTAGGTGTCGGTGGTTGTACAGTAGTGGTAGAGTCGTCGACGGACCAAGGCCAGCGGGGTCTGTCTGGGTCACGGCCCGATTTGCAGCGGTGTCGAAGCTGGCGGCAGAGCTCCCACATAAGATGGATGGGATCGACGTGTCTGCGATTGATTGCCGCTGTCCTGGGCGGTGCGGGCGTGCGTTTGGGGAACTCCCAAGTAAGCCACACGGCTAGTATCGTGAGGCTTGGATTTAGACTTTGGAGGAAGAAGGACGTATTGGGAAACTGGGCCAAGGAGTGATGAGAAGGAAACCCTAAAATGCAACGCTGTGTTTGCAAAGGGGGGAAGAGGCGGAGGAGATATTAAGCCCGGTCAGAGAAGCGCGGAGGATGTACGTGTGGGAACGAGATGGGAGAGAGAGAGGGAGAGGGAGGGCGAGCGAGCGAGTGATGTGCAGAAGATTAATAACTGGAGAGAAGGAGAGAAGAAGATCAGATCAGATCCGATCAACAACAAATGCCGGGCACAGCGACGGGAAGGAGCTAAGAGGCAAGGAAATAAGGCCCGAGGGGGTGGAGTGTGGAGGCCGGAGAAGACGATGCGACGCGCGACGTCGGTATGTGATGCGGGCGCAGCGGTGCAGGCACTCAGGGTATTGTATGGTGCTCCATTAATCAGGAGAAGAAGACGACGTCGAAGAGGAGCCCTTTTGGGTCAAGCTTTGTCCTGTCCAGACTCCAGCGTCGCGCCGTGGGGGAAGATCGCCAGACGGGGCGTCGCAGGTCGTGAACCACCACCACCACCACCTCCTGAGTCAAAAGTCGGTGCTCGCAGCACAGGCGTCAGGCGTGACGGGCAAGACAGCCCTGGAGGCTGACCACCTCCCTAAATTAGGCTGTCCGTCGTTCATGTCACGTTTTGCATTCCCATTATGCATGCAATTCCACCCCTCTCGTCTGGCCTGTCTGGCCTGTCTGCATCTGGACCAGCCGCAACGAGTCTGACGATTTGCATTGTGTAATTAGTGTGCCAAGCCCCGACAACTTTCTTGCATTCCCGACTTCTTCGCAAGGTCCCGCGGCCCCCCCTACCTACGTGAGTTACTATGTACACAGTAACTACCAATGTGTACACGCCGCCCAATGGGGTTTCATCGTCCCATGCCGTTCCACACCAGATGCGATGACAGATGCCGAATGAGAATGGGACCCCAGCCAGGTAAACAATAAATACTGCAGTTGGCGCCCGCCGCTATTATGCCGAATCGTGCCAGCGTCATTCCATGTCCGCCGTGCTGCGAATCGAACAGCTGGAACGGACGAACTAGTAGATCAAGGCTAATATTTCCCATGGTTGAACTCCAACTCCAACCCCACTCCCCAACTTCGGACCGTTCCCGTCTCTAGATGCCCCTTTTCTCAAGTCACGGTACGACTTTCCGGGAGCTCTTGAAGGGCGCACACATCAGGATTTCTTGTTACAGAATGATTTGCTACTTCTTTGTGCTATCCCCTCCTGACATCGGACCCATTCCCATATCCAGGGCGGCCTTAGTGGCATGAATCAAAACGTGCCGCCGGCCCTCATACGGTCCCAGCGCCTCTCATTAGTTGTGTCTTGAAACGCTACGACGTTGGCTTGTTTTGATTGTTTTGACAACATGCAGAGCGACCGAAAGTCGGCGAGGGAGAAATGGGAGGGACGACTTGACGATTAGGAAACCAGTACGAATTTCGACTACCTAGGTATCTATGTGCTCTCCTTGAAAGCTATAAAACACATGCCACGAGCTCCTTGCTCGATTCACACCGGGGGCCCCAGTCAATATCAAGCACCCCCAACGCGCCTCGCTTGAAATCCCAAAAGATGACCAAAAAACTGGGGAAAATAAGAAGGATTATTCTGATTGTCTACCACGAGCCCGGTCCATGCCGAGCACCTTGTCTCTGCGCTTCGCTTTGGCCGGAGACATAGGTTGAGGTTGCGCTGTTGTACGTCGGTTCTGCACTGCTGAGTGTGCCGTGACTGTAGTGTTCGTGTCCCTGCTGGGAATTATAGGCGGTATGTGGCACCTGCTGCGCATTGTTGTACTGATCCGGGGTGTGATGTTGGTAGTACTGTTGCGGATCGCTTGGTAACTCCGCCGTGGGATATCCGCTGAGCTCCGCGGCGTTGACCTCTGTCGGCAGCTCCATAGGCGCTTGCTGCTGGTACTTGGGGTCGTAGTAGCTCATAGGTTGTGCGGCGGGTGGCGGCGCCGGCGACGACAGCGGTTGTTCGTGATAATACTGCTGTTGCTCGACTGGTTTCTCAGCTTCTTGGCGCTTCCTTCTCCTCAAGAAGAACAGAGCGGCGAAGGCAATCAAGACAACCCCGCCACCCAGACCGGCCGCCAGACCAGCAATGAGCGGCGTCTTGGAAGAAGATTCTGTTGTGCCGGAACCACTGTCTTCGGTGCCCGAAGAACTCGTGCCATTCAGAGACGTGGCGTTGGTTTCGCCATGAAGAGCCCAGAAGCCATCCCAGCTCTTGACCAGATCGTTATGGCTGGCTGCGACGGTGTCATTTCCATGGATCGAAACAATGTTCTCGGTCTTGGCATTTGGCCCGGGGCCCTGGGCCAGGTACATTACTGCATTTTCGAAGTTTGTACCGAAAAATGCATCCTGGAGAAACGCCCTTCCGAGAGAGTAGCTGCCTGTCGATGCCCCGTTGCACGGGAAGTAGGGAGTAGGGGTGGACACAAGAGGTTCCTCGAGGGTGAGGTTCAGATGGCGGAAAGGAACCGAAATATTGACGGTCCTGGCGTTGTTATCGGGGTCAGGGAAGCTAAAGGTGAGCGCCGCCGCCGATGTGACGATACGCTTATAGTCGCTTGAGCCGGTGTTCCACATATACAGTCCAAGCCCTGCATCGTATGTAACCGGCAGATTGCTTGCGACGGCATCGCAGGTGCTCTTCGGAAGGTTGAGGTACGGAACGCAAGCTTCGATTCCTACCTCCAGTGAACTTCCTATCGTCGTGTTGCCCGAGGACAAGAGCCCTGTCTTCGAGGTGAACGAGAACGGCGAATCGCCGGCAAGTGTAGTTATCGAGATGTCGGACAGTTCCGCACTGTATTTGAGATAGTCAGGCTGGATGGGCACCGCCAGTACCTCCCCCAGGACTCTGTTCTGGTCGTATCCACCGTACCAGAGGGATCCGGGGACAGCTGGCGTCGCACCCGTGCCCATGTGCATGCCGAAGGAGTTCGAGTCGATCTTGCTGTGACTGGCCAGTTGACCAGCGACCAGACTGACATTCTTGGCGCCGGCCAAGGTCCCTGCGCTCACCTGAAAGGTCTGGTTGATTCCTCTAGGCCCAGCGCCGAACGACATACAGCCCGCGAATAGAGGATAGGACTTGCCATTGGGGTAGACCAGTTGTGTGTCGCTCAGCACCGCCATTGACACGTTCGAGATGACTCCCACCCCCCACCGCGATGTGTCGTCGGAGATATATAAATCGTCGGCCCAGCGCATAGCTTCGCTGCCATTGGTGGTGACACTCGAAGACCAGAAGTCGGGCGGCGAGAATGAGATCCCCATGCTGCTGCCGGTTCCCTGTCTTTCGTTGTATATCGCCCCCTTCTCCGCCGCGTAGCATCGTTGACTGCCGGTCGTCGTCGCCTTGCAGTAGTTGTTGCCCAGGAAGTACGACTCCCACATCTTGCCTCCGTACACTGTCACGGACTGGTCGGTTCCCAACGTAACCTCGAGCGCGTTCCACGGCCCATCGGGGCCGAGGGTTCTGCCGGACCATTGCCCACGCACGGCTCCGTGGACACCAGTCGCGTATAATGCTGAGAACATCCAGCCCAGCCAGGCCGGATGCCTTCGGTGGCTCTCCATGATGTGAGGCCTTGTAGTTCGAGCCTTGAGCCCTTGATTATGTAGTATGACAAGCGTGAATTTGGTATGAAGCGAAGCGTACTCAAATGGTCATATCCGCATGTCTGCCGATCATCGGGGCGTGCAGTGCCTGTCGTAAGATGACATAACGCAGGGACCCGTGGACTTTGGTGATTTTCTCTACTACGAGGGAGCAAGAGTTGAGCGAAGGAAGAGACGGGGATATTGACCTGGCAATGTCATAATTTCTTTCCTCCTCCTTCCCACGGATCCTACCGAGTCCGCCCAACGAACCCCGTCCAAGCCCCCCCGGGCGCTTGACAGACAGCCATGGGTTCATTTCGTCTCCATCGTAAGCCAGTACCGTGGTCTACTGCGGGTGCCGGGGGGGATCTGTATGGGCGGCGAGGGCAGGATGCCGCCTGTGCCACGGCGAGCTGAAGAAATGCTCGTCTGCTAGCCTGCGGCACAGTTGATCCTTCAACCGCGAAACCGCTTCGCCCGCCAATGGCCTTCGTCCCTGGATTACTGGCGCGCTGCAGATCTCCACAATCTGGAATTAGAGGCTTGGTTTTGCCAGGGGCAGTGATAGACTGAACAAGGAACGCATGAGTATGTGGATTTCGTATACGTTCCGGCTCCGGCAGTGTTTGTGACTTCAGCCCTGAGCACACTGGCGCGATAGCAACATGGTACAAACGCTTCTAAAACGAAAGACTGTCCATCGTGTTTTCCCCGAGAACGTAGTCACTCAATCGGTCGTTCAATCAACCAGAGGAAAATACGTCATCCTCTGCGAATTCTTGCCATATTTTTCGTGAGGAGGATCCGGATGGGTGAGCATCCCAAGCATCCGGATCCTGCATGGACATTGCAGGAGCATGGTTGAATTTTCCCTCTTTTCCCTCTCTTTTCCCTTGGCAAGCATTGGGCTCGAGCACCACACTTGGGGCCAATAATAGAACCAGGTTTCCGGGAGGCTGCTCGCCTCATCGTCACAGCCCCCATGCAACTCCAGGGTCCTTTTACATCGCGCTAACCCCCCTTCGCAAAATAGGCAGCGCGCTTACAGTGGGTGGGAGCAATAGTGTTGGTGATCAGCGGTCGCCATGTGTTTCCCAAAGTGCCATGCAAATCCTTAGCGTCATCGCACACCGTGCGGTGCTCTGGTTCTAGTGTAGCAAAGCCAATCAAAGAGGCTCATGAGTGTGGACGGCCATGGTCACTAGAGATACGTCTAGCCTGACTGCCGTGCCTTTGCCGACGATGTAACTGCATTGCGCGCATGTCTTGTCGAGCGATTCCCTTTATCGACTAGTATGCCGGCAATTATATTGATAGTCGTAACTATAGTATTCGCCCGCTCTAGCAAGAATTGCATTTTAGCTCGCAGTGGGTATAGGAAATCACATGGAGATAGTGTCGTTCATATCAGTGTGGATACAACACAAATAAAGTGAGAAGCTTGATAGTCCCCATACAATATGAAGCTCTTGTTTGCTTTTTTGTATCCTTATGGTATCTTGACGCATCCAATATCTACACCTCCTCCCTTCCCATACCTGCCGGACGCCAAACCTAGTCATCTTCCTCCTCAGCCTCAAAGCCCTCCTTGACCTCCTGGGCAACTTCTTCGGCGTCCTCCTCGGTGCCCTTGACGCCTTCGACATACTCGCTCTCGTCCTCTTCGTTGACCGGTTCCATGACCTCGACGATCTGCGCTTGAGGCAACCCGTTTTCCTCCTGAAGTTGCTTGATCCGCGAGTTTGTCATCTCGAAGACGAATTGACCAAGGTGCTCAACGCCTTCCATGACAGCCTCGCCCGGAACCGTAGCACCGTCCTCGCTAGCTAGCAGACGCTCCGAGGGCCAGAGCTCGCCAGTGGCGAGAGCAAGTTTGTCGGGCCGCTGGAGGAGCAGTTCGAAGGCCGGCTTCAGCTCATAACAAGACTCGAAAACTTCACGTCTGCCAAGGATATAGAGACCAAGCCGGGCACGGGACAGTGCTACAGTAAGACGGCGAATATCTCGTAAATAGCCAACGCGCGACGTGCGAGTCAGTGAGAGAATGATGTCTATAAACTTATTAGCAATCTGAGACGGCTCGGCTGCAATGGATGTGACCTACAGTCGTTCTGTTCGCCCTGATACTTGTCGACCGTTGTCACGATCTTGGGCAAACCAAAGATGGAGTTCTTTGCACACCGATGGGAGAGGACGTCTTTCACAAGGGCACGCTGGCCGGCATAAGTGGTGAGGATGCTGATCTTATCTGCAGGGTATCCGAGCAGACGCATGTACTGGTAGATCGCGACCGCATACTCAGCCTCGCCTAGGTTCTGAATGAAGTGGGGCGTCGGTTCCATCTCACCGCGGCCCTTATAATCGGGCACATTGATGAATTGGAAATCGTACTTGAAGCCAGCATTCGCGGTTTGAAACTCTGGGAGACTTTCCACGTGGGGCAAGTTGCCGAGACTCGGGTATCGCCATTGATATAGTGCTGCAATGGAGGGACGAGCGCGACCTTGTTGATCCAGCGTGATCACAGGAATTCCAAGGCGAACCAGACGAGAGAATAGAGACTGCTCGAGATTCGCAAAGTGTCTGAAAGCAAAGTTCTGGATGACTGGCGAGTTCTGGTAATGATCACCGCAAAGAACCACCCTCTGTAAAGGTGTTTGACCATCCTTGGGCTTCTGCATGGCGAGCGGGATGAAGTTCTCGACTTCGGTAATCTGGGCGGCTTCTTCCATGACCACATTGTCGTATTGGAAGCCAAGGTTGGCTATTTCGCTTCGCCTCATAGCAGCGTGGGTTGAGGTCATGGCGATTATGCGCGCCTCGTTCGTCAGAAGGTAGTTGGCCTTGTCCTTTTCCCTTTTGAGGATTTCGAATGGCTGAACATCCTTCAGCTCAGAAAAGATCTTGGATATGTGGTGGTAGCAGCCATTGGCAATATCCAGGACTGTAGGACTGTCTGCATCCGCAGGAAACAGTGGCTGGGGCGCGTTGGAAAAGTATTGGTGAAAAGGAAATGCATGGACAATATCCGAAGGTGAGGCATCCGCTGCCTTCGTGGCCTCTGTAAACTTGGTCCACGCAGGTTCAATGTAGACAGAGTTGAAGTACCCAGCGGTCTCGGCGGAGTTACCGTGGGCTCCTGGAGCGCCAATGCTCGCTGCTAGGCGATTGACTTCCTGAAGATATTGATCGCGGTTCTCCATGAATGACTCTACCCGGCCATGTTTGCTGAAACTACCTTGCAGCTCCAGCTCCTCTTCGCCGTGACCAAGACGAAGCAGGTGGCGTTGGTCAATGTCTAAAGCTGCTATCTTGGCGAAGAGTTGGTTTAACGCCTGGTTGGAATGTGCAATGAGAAGTGTCCGCTGCTCCGGGAAGTTGTGGTATATGTTGTTAATGATTTGGGTGGCTACATCTGTTTTTCCAGTTCCAGGTGGACCGACAATGACTGTGAGACCTGGCTGTGTACCGGAGATGATGGCATCGATTTGAGTAGCTGTGAAACGAACGGAGTTCCATTTGGGCGCATCAATGGGATACGGCCCCGTGTTCGGAGGCTTGTATGTGGAAACATGATACGTCTCCACCTCGGCCAGGAGAGCAGGTTCAGCGTCCCTTCTTCTCTTCTTGGACGGCTTGGTTTGAGGCACTTCTGTCGCTTTGTCGACCGACTCGAGCACGTATGGAGGTCCAAAGCTGCCCGAGACATTGAAACCAGGCTCGACAGCCTTCCCGGGCATGCTCTCCACGAGATGTTGCCAGTTCAGGAACGTGTCTCGGTAATCTATCTTCTTCACTCGGTTTGGTAGGTTCTTGTAGGTTGCGGCCGCTGGATCACCGTAACCAAGGAATACTTCATGCAGCCAAGGTGCCAGAGGCACCTCAGACTGGACGAGATTGCAGATCGACTCCAAGACCGGCTTGAAGTTGTTCTCGCGCCCGCTTCTTCGGATGATGAGGTTGATTCTGTCGTATACTTCTAACTTGCCCGATGAATGACGTTGTGTATCTTGCTGATAAGTCTCCGCGTCAAGTTTCAACTGAACCCTACGCGAAGATGAACGAATCCCCCCATTCAGATGAGCATTAGGGTCTTTGATTGAACGGCCTTTGTCGTCGGTGATTTGGACGACCTCGGCCGTTCGCACAGCTACTATTCCAAGCCTCTCGGCCTCCGACGTGGGTTTACTGTCCCCATTCGATGTGCTCTTCATAAGGGAAGCATCTACCGAGACCAGGAACACAATATCGTTTGGCCGCAGAGAGTCCCACTCGTAACGCACACGGTCGGAGAGACGACGAAGATCCAGAGATATCTCGGCGCGGACAGCTGAGGGCTTTCGCTCCCCAACCAAGGGCGGCACAACCTCAAGGATAGAGACCTTGGAAGTGGGTAACGCCATCTTGGAGGAACCAGCAAACCTCGTTTCACCAGATCTCCCAACCTCGGGGCGTAGCCGCCTGAGAGCAGTTTCAATGTCATTCCGGATTCCATGGAAGGACTCAGCTCGATAAAGTACCATGGCTCGCCATAGGAAATCCACAACAGACAGGTACTGCAGGTTCAGCTTGGGCAGGGCAAGAGGCTTTGAACCGTCGTAGTCATCGGTCGTGGACATGAGCACATTCCACAATTCGACTTCCGTTGGCAAGTTCGCGGCTGCGAACTGTTGGAATGTTTTCCTGCGCTCAAAAGTGGTGACGATTGCCTCAATCAGGAAAGCTCGGTCTACTGTGACATTGGACGACGGAGGGTATTCCGTCCTCAAATCCAGGAACACGGCCAAATTCAAGACTTCATTGTCTTGTAGCGGCTCCAACAGACTCTTGAGCTCGGCGCCCTTCTCAATAGAGCCATAGTTGGAGAGCGCCAGCACGGCCAGCTTGTCCTTGAAATGGCGAAATGCTACCTGCTGCAGCTTCTTCAGAGCGTTACAGTGGCGCTCATACGTTTCTGATTGACTGAGCTGAATACCCGTTTGATCGTCAATGTTGAAGTAGGTGTAGTCGCGCAACAAGAACCATTGCCTACGCAGGAGGGTGCTTTCTTCAGCATTGTACATGGGTGACAAGCTGATGGCTACCAGCAGATGCAGGTCCTGGAGCAAGGTGTTGACGTATCTCCTGGTCGGCAATGAGCTCTGGAGGTCAATGAGAAGCTCCATGAAGCGTGAGGCGTAGAGAAGATGCTCGGCGGAGAATTTGGGCTGGTGGAGCATGCTCATGAAATGCAGAGTCAGGGCGAGAAGCCATTGCCTTTCAAAGCGCAGGCGGGTCTGTGTCTCCTCGTCGGCGGACTCGTATCTCCTGGCTGCAGCCTTCCATGCCTTCTTGAGGTGCGCATTATCTGCGAGCCTGGCGTCGCGCTTCGTCTCAGATGATAAGCCGTGCCAGATGGAGATGGACACCAAGGGCGCGCATTCCTTTCTCACAATGGCGCAGTCCAGGCTCTGGAAGGCGTTGATGATGAAGCATAGAAGATGGGTCCGGATGGTGAGGGAGAGGGTCTGGTCCAGGGCCATGGACAAGATGCGGCGGAACAACAGGGAGAAATCGTCGGGACGGTCCTCGAAGATGGGCCAAGTCTCGAGGCGCTCGCGGGCCTTGACATTGGTGATGAGGGCGATCAGCAAGACATGGAAGTTGGAGGCGTCGTCCGAGTAGCCGGGCCACAGGTAGCTTTCCAGGACCTGGAGGCCCTCGAGCACCAGTAGGGCCTTGTACTGGAAGCCGTCCTTCTCCAAGGCGTCCCACAGGTCCTGCTTGACGACATTCTGCTTGACCTTGACCTTGGCCTTGGACTTGGCGCCGCGCTTGGTGGTCTTCAGCCAGTGCTGGCGGGCGAGCTGGGCGAACTCGGACTCGCCCTCGATGTCGGCGGCCGTCGGGCGGGCGGTGTCTGGCTTCGGGGCTTGCGACTTAGGCTCACGGTTGCTCTTGAGGCGCTTGGCCGTCGACATGGTTCCTCGCTAGGGGCCGAGCAGGCGGGACATGTGCGTGGGATCCCGACGACTGCGCGCGCGTGCAGCTGGACGTGTGCGATGGGCGGGCGCGTGACCGTGGAGGAGGGTCCTGTGTGACGGACGGCGTTGCTTGGAGGAGCTTCTGCGGCTGGGTGAAGCTGTCTCTTGGAATTTTTGGTTGATCGAGGTTAAGAGGTTAGTTGGAGCTGCGGGTCGATCTGTGGCGTCGAGTGGATGGCGCAGGCCCGGCGGACCAATGGCGCGTGCTGTCAGGGCGCGCCGATTCTCTGTAGCCGATGGTCCCATCCCATCCCATCCCATCCCATGCCCCATGTCGCGTGTCCCCCAGGCCGGGCCGCCCTCTGTTCTTTAGCGCGTCCCTCCTTCTGATTCACAGGCCTCACAGGGCCAACGGGCCAACACGGCGGACAGGGGTGCCTGTTTTAGCGCATGAAGTCACCCAAGGCGCGCCCAAGGTCAGCTCCAGGGCAGCCATTTTCTGGCGGTGACCGGCGGCAGAATGCGCGCCAGCTCCAGCCCGTTCATTGTGCTGGCTGGTCTTACTGTCGTTAGCCTTCATTGCGGAAGTGACTGTGCGATGCGAGGTCTTGAATTGAGCGCCGAAAGCACGCCAGCCCCGACAACAAAGACCCTTATGCGCTTCAGCTCCGTGTAGACAACACCGCCCGGACCTTCGAATGCCCCATTGATGACGCTATAGCATGACTTAGCACCTTCACCTGCATCCTTGGTGCGCCGTGACCTGTTGCGACACCGAGGCCATCCTGCCTCAAGTGCGACCTGACCCTTGCTTGGCTCCCAACTCGCAAGCCACGCCGCAGGCCACGATGCCTTCCTTCGAAGACTACGTCGCAGACGTACCGCAAGTCGTCCGCTTTGATGAGGCCCTCGCCGAGGCCCTCGGCCATGCCCAGGTCGTCAAGCCCGCTTCCTCGGTCGAGCCCGCCCTGACCAAGCCCGACTTCGCCCTCCTCTTCTCCCAACTGCCCACCATCTTCCCCGACAGCTCGGCGCAGGACCCTGGCGCCGATGGAGCGCAGAAGGCGCGTCAGTTCCTGGCCGTTGAAACCGTGATGCGCCGCCGCTTCGACACCCTGCTCGCATCCACCCCCATCCAAGCTCCCGAATTCGTCGAGGTCTGGAACATTCTTGACGTCGTGACCGCCCTGGCCGAGAGCGAGCAATGCGACTCCTCCCTCCCCTTCCAGCTCATTGAGGTGCTCATAGACAGCCAGACGATACAAGGATGTCACATTGTCTTCGACTACCTCGAGTCACGCCGCGAGCGCCTCGTCAAGGACTGGACCAAGAACAAGAGCATGGTCATTCTGCGGACTTGCAACGAGCTCCTGCGCCGTCTTTCGCGCGCCGAGGATATCTCTTTCAGCGGCCGTGTCTTCATCTTCATGTTTCAGAGTTTTCCCATGGGCGACAAAGGAACCGTGAACCTGAGGGGAATATATCACACTGAGAATGTCACTACGTGGGAGGAGATCCCCCCAAAATCCGAGCTGGAGGCGGCGGATAGCATGGAGGTAGATACGAAGGAGGAGGCGACCCCTAAACCAGTCTCAACTGGCACCAAGGCTGTGTCCTTCGACGCCAAGGACAAGGCTGCACCGGAAAAGGCCCTCGGCCCCGACGCGCTGTATCCCATATTTTGGTCGATGCAGCAGTACTATAGCCAGCCGACAAAGTTGTTTGACTCTGAGAACATGGCCAAGTTCAAGTCTGGCTTGGAAGCCACGGTGGCCGCATTCGACTCGGTTGCCCAGGGGCAGCGCACGTCGAAAGCCCCAGATGAGACCAAAGATCCATCCAAGAAGCGGAAGAGACTCGATGTCGAGACGTCCGACAGCAGCAACTTCAACCCCAAGTATTTGACTAGTAGGGACCTCTTCGAGTTGGAGATGAGCGACTTGTTCTTCAGGCGACACATTCTCATACAGGCCATCATAGTTCTCGACTTTCTGAGGTCACTGACGGCGGCAGCCAAGGCCAAGTCTGCCACCATCCAACATCCCAACAAATCCGTCATGTATCACGACAAGACGACCTCGGAAGAAGATGACAAATGGGCCGAGGCTATGAGAAACAGGATCTACGAGTATATCTGGGCTGGGCCGGACGGCCAATATGTTCACCGCATAATACAGGCAGTCACTCAACGGGACAAAGGCTGGTCACGGTGGAAGCAGGAAACGTGCCCCAATATCGAACGGCCAGCGGTCACGCCCGATGCATTCAACGAGGCGAAAGCATCAGCGAAGAGGATGGCTACAAACAAGAGGCTGAGACCACACCCCATGGCATCCCTGAGTCTCGACTTTCTGAAAGTGGAAGACGAAGAAACAGCCATGGGGAAGTTCAAGGACGCGGCTAGGTGGAAATTGCCAGAGCTTGCTTCGTTCAAGGACAAGATTTCTGAGGACGACTTGGAACTTGATTTCGCGAAGAGCGAGAAGGAGAAGACCCATATCATTGAGGCGAAAGCCAGCAAAACCTGGAGAGCATTGAGGATAGCGAGCAGATCGAGGCTTGCTGCGTTTGACAAAATCGATGACTGGCAAGATATCAGCGCCGTCTTCGCAGACCCAAACGCACCTGGTGTGAAGGAAGAGGATGAAGAAGAAGGGGAGGTAGGCCGCAAGCCGGAAGATACACTCCCGATCATTATATCCGGGCCAACGGGCGTTGGAAAGTCAGCCTTGATCGCCATGCTCCAGGAAAAGCAGCCCCGCGTATTTCAGAAGCTGCTGCAGCATACTACACGACAGCCGAACGAGGGCGAGATTGATGGCCAAGACTACCATTTCGTAGACTCGGCTACATTCAACCGGATGTCGGACAACGACCAGATTGCTTTCATGAGCTCAAAAGAAGACGTCGACTTTGGCATCAGCAATAAACTCGCAGGCTCGATCCAGGAAGCTGGGAAGGTTCCGATCTTGGAGCTGGATCACGAGGTAAGTTTGATGCAAATCCACATGTCTCGGTCGTGTGCTAAGTATTCTGTAGTCTGTTCTGAGCGCCAAAGAATGGGATTATAAGGCCCGCGTGGTCCTCATCTCCCCTCCCACCATCGAAGAGCTTGAGACGCGATTGAAAAGCTCGGGAAAGCACGCCGGGGACACCATTCCGGATCTCCTCAAAGCCGCACAGGAAGAGGGGGAGAAGTGGAAAGCTAACCACTCTCTCTACAGTATTGAGATCACCAACGGTGACCAAGACAGAGCTTACAAGGCCCTGGAGGAGTTTATCTATGGCTCTGCCACAGAGACGAACGGTATCAATGGCGAAAGCACGGCCAAGGAGGACGACGTCACCATGGACGATGCTGGTGTTGAAATGAACGGAGAGGCAAAGCCGGAGACGAACGGCAGCTAGACGTTGCAAGGCATGTTTCATCCATCCACCTTCTAGGTGCAAGCCGAGCATAACGACACCGACCTTCGAGTGAGACACAGTTGGTTTTCGTAACGAGTATACTGGCATCTGTAGATATCATGGGGCAGTCGTCGACAGAATCTTCGCCTTCGGAGCTCTCTGGGCTGACAGCCCCTCAGCGGGCAGGGCTGAGCAGTTCATCCTCACGAGCACAGAGGATAGATTAGACGAGTTTCGACATTGTACAAGATACCCATTATATTGGATCAAACCATGTCCCAGATGTCTTTGGCCTGGTGTGATATGACTGTGAACAAGCGTTGTATGAGAAAACGTGCTTCTATTGACGTAACGTCTATATCTACGTGCTGATTATACACAGCAGTATGTGCGTGACACACCTATTATACAACTTACTATACTGATGAGGTACCGCATGTCCCGTTCATCAAGTGATGAACCCTATACGCAAGACAGCGCCACACAGAACCATTGGCTATTCTCCGCAGGTGGAAAGGGACCGGCACTGCACGCGAAGAAAAAAAAATATCTCAAAGAAACGAACACATTGGCTCTTCGGTGGTTGCCCACCCGAGCGCTGAGGTCATTCTGCATACACCACATAGTCTGCTGCATCCATGGTGGGGGGGTTTTGGAAGACCGAGAGAAAAAAAATCTGGAAGACAGGCAAGATCGGCGGCCAATGGGCGCAGGCGGCTCTGCGGCATCGAACAGGGTTCGCGAGGGCGGGCGTGCGGGCGCTGTTCTAAAATAGGGATGCCGGTACGTGCCAGGCTTTGTGGAATTAGGGGGGGAATGAGACATTTGGGCAGCCATGTGTGACTACGTCAAACTCCTTTTGGGGGGCGCTTCATTCCTAGCAAGATGATTCGAGCGCAGTGTCATACTTGCCGCGGCGGCGCATGAAGGGCTATGCTGCTGCGATTGTGCTTCCGCAACTGATGGGGTGAGCCCAGCGACCCAGATTGCCAGAGACCCGTGCAGGGCGAGGTGAAAGGAAAACCACCGTCGTTGGTCAAGTCAGGGTCTATCGAATGTGGCGAGGACGACTGGGTTAGGAACCTCCTTTCGCGGGCATAAGCCGTAAACCCCGTCGCCTCTGGGCGAGTAGCTTCCCCTCGAGGCATGATGAAGCGATAGCCTGGCAGCCTGGATAGGGAACTGCCCCAATCCGAAAGAGATGCGTCATCTATGTATGCTGACCTTGAGATGAGTCAATCGGCTTGGCTTGGCTTGTCTTGGATAGGCGAGTCTGCACATGTATGCTTATTGCTGTCGCTGGGTGGCAAAGGAGTCACGTTGACTGGGTCCTCGTACGTCCGTCGACACGGCCCTCCGTTGCATCCGGATACCCTCTTTCCTTTCGGCCGTTCATCTAAGAGATCGTGGTTGAAGGATTCGTTCGTGTGACTCTATAGGTGACAAATGTGTCATCAAAAGACCAGCACTACGAGAAGTGCTACATCGCCATCCACTCGATACCTTCTTGAGAAGACTTAGGGAAAAGTCGACCAGGCCGGGTTGACCAGTAGTTTAGGCTCGATTTAACAACAACTAGTTTAGCGGGATTTTGGGCTATAGCCACAGGACGACACCAAGTGCCAACCGAGCTCTGTGATTGACTTTTATCCAATTATCCGCACTCGCCCATGCTGGCTATTGGGCTGTTCGAAGTTCATCCCAAGATATTATTTAATGATTGTATACTTTGCAGAAATGTCGCTCGCGAGGATCTTGCGGCAGGAGAGTATTTAGGTCTTGAACTATGCAAATCGTACTAGGCAAGAGGACAATGTCCCCATTCCGTTTCTAGGACAGTGATTGACCTGCCAAGTAGAACACCACTAAGAAAGAACCTAACTGAAGGCGTTGCGTCTTCTTCCTTTCGGGTTTAGCGCCGTCGCTCTCAGACGCTTTCGGGGCGCATCTGTGACGCCTGTGAACCTTGGAAAATCGCCGCGACTGCAGCGAAGAGGCAGATGCCCTGAACTGTAGAGTAGAGTAGAGAGGTGCAGGTCGCATATCACCTTACGCTCCACCTGGCAAGCAGTAAGCATGATGGCAAGCGCTGAAGTACTAATGTGTATAATCGCCGTTGCATATCAGCCTTCTCATGATTGGTAGAAGCGGTCCAAAAGCTGCTGTTGGGAGGATGAGTTCGGATGAGACGATTTTGGTATCCGGGTACGGTGTCTGAACCTGTACAAGGGTCTTTGCAACCCAAGGCAAGCAATCTGGCAATCTCGCGTGGGCGACATGGGGTGACACGCTCTGAGGGACCGGGAGCGTGTTTCGAAACACAACTCTATCGCCGAGATGGCCGCGGGAAGTACGAACCAGCAGGGTGAACTGCAGCAAGGCGGGAGAATGCAACAGAATTCGCCGAAGCTGCAAAGCATTCGTCGACGCTTCCATGTCGATCGCTGCACACAGCCTTGGACCATTGCCCTGAAAGAGGCGCTGAAAAGGACGGCCGGTCTCCTACGTACTGTGGGAGGCGTACGCCTCGCATGTATGTATCTGTGACACGGCCGATATACCAGGGCTGTTAATTGCATGCAGCCACTGCGGTTGCATTAATTAAACGCGCCTGGCCTGAACATGGCACATGGGAATCTCGAAAATTGCCATACTGATAACAACGGGGCGGCGTTCGCGACACCCGGGCCAACAAAAGGCTAGCGATCGATAGAGCGAGCATATGAACCCAGCTCGCCCAGGTATGGGAGAAACAAATGTGCAAAACCGTTTCTGGTCTAGTCAGCCATGTCTGAGTCGCTGGGAGAGAAAAGGGATGACGTTGCACGCCCCCAAGGAGAAAAAAAAAAGGTTGATCCGTAGAAGGGCAGCTTTCACGCGGAGAGCATTCATACGCTCGCACGGAATAGAAGATGGCTGTTCGTGCGTACCTAGTAGGGCGCATCTTGTCAGGTTGCTAGAAATTTAGTAGACATGCCGCCTGCGTATTCTGACAAGTTGCCGTCCAAAACGGCCGACGCTGACGCGAGCAAGCAGCGACTTTGGGTGACAAGTTACGATGCGGCTGCGGTCATATCGATGTTTGCTGTCCAAGCCATGCTGGCCCTTGGTGTACAGGATCCATCATTTTCTTGCGGATCCATCTGTGACTATTCTTATTTGTACAGTATATGCGACGCAAGATAATGAATATTGTCCCGGGATTTGAGATCCACAGCAGAAGCCGTCCGACATGCATTCCTGTGGGCGACGCCAGGTTGCCAGGCCGATAATGCTAATCGGAAGGCGTCGCCAACCGTCGAAGCTCTAGGGCAATTAGTTAAAGTAGAACTGTTGCTAGTCTGATGGTTAATAGAGTAGTTGCGCTTCTCTCGTATCAGCTTTGCTTCCCCGGCCCTGGTTACTGCAGTGTAGCTCTGCCGTCATCGTGAGGGAGCTGCGTACAGTGCCTATACCATATTTTTTTTGTGTCCAGGTGAAAGGCACATGCAGAGAAGATTCACTAGCTCGCCTTGACTCTCTGCTCCGTTGCTGCAAGTTACCTGACTCCGGAGCCGGTCAGCTCCTGTGACAGAAATTGTGCGGTCGCAGCCATCTTACGGGACCGAGGGGTTCTAGAGGAATAGGCAGCAGCACTGCCGCAGATGGCGGGCTCAAACGGCGCAAGTCCAAGCACCATCGTGTCGACCTCAGAGAATGTGTGGTGAAGAGGAGACGGGGACAGACAGAGAGCATGGGGTTGCTGGGCAGTGGGCACTGGGCACTGGGTCCTAAGTTGGAGGGAAGGGCACAAGGTAGAAGAAGTACCTGGGCCATAGAGTTTGGGCTGCACAGGTACAGAGGTTTAGCGGCCCAAAAATACATCAGACCGGACCAATTTACTCGCACACGGGCTGGAGAGAGCGAGAGAGGGCGAGAGAGGGAGAGAGGAACCTTGGAAGGGGAGGGAGTGTGAGGAGCGGGCCGGCTCTACAGAGTGATGGAGGTAACTAGTCACACAGTAACACACTGGGTGCTGGCTCTGGCTCCGGGGCTCTGACGCTCTGGCGGCCAAGCAGCAACGCAGCGCAGCAACGCAACACAACGCTACCCACCCCCCCGGGCACACCAGCGGCCCAGCCCAGCAGCCCAGCCGGCCAGCCAGCCCTTTTCCCCCTTGGGCTGCTCTCAAATTTTTTTGAAAAAGTTCTCCTCCTTCCACCACCCACGATCACGATAAGTGACTGACCAGAAGAACTCCATCCTTCTAGGTCATCCCCCCCTCTACCCGTTGGATTTCATCGAGGTAGAATCCCCCCTAGAGTCTCTCTGATCCCACGCAGAGCAGACATCTCTCCACTCTTGTACTTCTAGTCCCTTTCTCCTCATCCCCGAGAAGAGAAGGCGAAGTCAAGTCGAGCGACCTGTCCGGATCCAGATCTCACGATTTCGATCTCCCGGCAGACGAGGACAACCTCCCACCACCCACGGCCAACCCAGGACACAGACAGACGGCACTTCTCCGGACGGCCCTGCATCTGTTCCGCCTGCGCCTTCATTGTTGCGACAGCTTAATCGTTTCCGCCGTGCCTGCGATACCCCCATCTGGTTCATTGCTTTTCTCGCATCTGCAGGACCACCCGAGCATCGACAGACAGCCCAGCCGCCGTCCGCCCTACGCCCTACCTTGTTCGCGAGACCCGCATCTTGTGTGTTTGTGTTCTCGAAGAAAAAAGACTTTGGGACGCGTGCAAAGGAAGAAAAGTCAGAAGGACTGAGCAACTTAATCTAATTGAATTGTCGAAAGCACAAGCCACCTACGACTTAATTTTCGTGTCTGGCATCCATTCACTTCTGATTCTTCACCACCCCGGCAACAATCGAGTTTGACATTCGATTGTCTTTTCCCACCCATCCTCGCATTGGTCTCCGGTCAAGACACGGCTCTTTTCTTTTTCCTTCGAGCGCGCACTTTTCCTGCAAGCACGAAGGCAAAATAAAAAAGAGGTTTCATCTTCGACAGCCCCATCGCACAACTACACAACCAACCTCACGAACTCACGCGCGACGACCGTCCATACACACATATGACTTCCACCGCAAACCAGCAAACGCCCAGTCCCGCACCAAACGCCTCGACCACTTCGTACGCATCCGCCGCCGGCGCGCAAAAGAAGCAGTCGACGCCGCTGGTCGCGACAGGCACGAACGCGCCTCTGGTAGCTACCGGCTCGTCGCAACATGCCAAGTCGAACTCAGTTTCGCCCGTAAACGGCCGCAACCCCATCATGCCGGCTGTCCCTGCCGTCGCCCACGGCACTTCCAACGGAGAGAACCACGCCCGAAAGCCCTCTGTCACTATGAGCGCAACCGGCCCCAACAGCTATTCCGCCAACAACGGCGGCGCCGCTGGACCCAAGATCCAGTTTGGCTTCAACCCGTCGCCTGCCGTCTCGCACAGCACTCCTCAGGGCGCCAGCGCCCCGATCCCCATCCCCAACAGCAACAACCAGCGCGTGCCTTCGCCCCAGAACTCGCCCTCTCCCATCCCCCAGCCTTCGGCTAGTGGTGGCCGCCCCCCGTCCAGCGCCCAACCCGGCGGTGCCGTCACATTCGGCAGCTTCGGTGCCAACAGCGGCGAGGTTGGTCAAGCCTCCAGGGTCCTGTCGGCTCCTCATGCTAACGTAGATTTGCAGACACACATGCGCCGCACTTCGGCAGCCTCGCAGAACGCCTCGCACATCCGGAACGAGTCCAACCAGTCTTTGGCCAGCGACCCCAACAACCAGGGCGGCCCACCCGGCCGTGGAGGTTTCTCGCAGGGAGGACGTGGCCGTGGTGGATACAACCCGAACTACAACGGTTCTCACCAGGCCATGGGCTACCCCCCGAACGGGACGCCGCCCTTCCGTCCAGGCCACCCGGCCGGCCAAGGCCGCGGTGGTATGCCACCGAACTTCACTCCCCGACAGTCGTACGGACCCGGCACTCCTCCGATGGGACGTGCTAGCCCAGCAATGGCACCCGCCATGCCTCAGCCGACCGCCCAACCTTTCTTCTACCAGCCGCCGAACATGAACGGCCCCATGCAGCCGGCTATGCAACCTGTAAATACCCCTCCCCTCTATGATACGTACGACTGCACGTCAAACAAGCAAGGCAAGAGAAGGAGTCAACGTGGTCGTGATGTGGATAAGTTTTCCACCGGACGACACCGCTCTCAGTCGAACGATTTTTCCCGAGAAGGCGGCAGAACTCGGCGCTACAGCAAGCGCATGGATTCACGCTTCCCTCAGGGTCTATCATGGCAAGAACCTCGCCGTGGCCAGTTGCCAGCGGAGAGAGGAGAGCGGATTGACATGCACCCCCCTGAGCAACCTCCTCCTGTCCCCTTTCCCCCACCCCATTTCTCTTCTGTCCAAAAGATGCGTCCCTCGAAAGGAGGCCTCGACATCTCTCTGTCTCCTGAGAGTGGTAATTTTGAGCGTTTGCTAATAGGACTTCAACAACAGCAGTACTATCCTCAACAGTATGACCCACGCATGGCCCCGCCTTACATGTACCCCATGGGCCAGGCACATTCCCCTGCCCCTGGATATCCGGCTCCCTTCAACGGCCCTCCTCAGCCTTTTGCTCCCAGCATGTCGCGTAACCCGTCGCAGGCTTCGGAGCCCAGACCTGCCTCGAGCACTGGGCCTACTCAGGCTTCTCAGGGTACTCCCCAACAGATTCCAGCCCAGATGAAGGGCGCGCCCGTCGTCGCGTCGGGATCCTCCGCACAGTTCACCCGCCCAAAGAAGAGCGCCGCTGTGACGATCCGAAACGCAGCCGGTGAGGTTGTCGACTTGGCTAACCTGAAGGCACCGGCATCGCCGGCTCCGAGTGCGCAATCCAAGACACCACCCGTCATTGCGTCTACTCCTCCCCCTCCGCCCAAGTCAGCTACACCCAAGACCACGGCTCCCGCTCACGTCCGAACCGACAGCACCGCCACCAAGACACAGGAAGAAGTGCAGAACGAGTTCAAGGCCAAGATCGCCAAGCAGCTCGCTGATGGTGAGAAGGCCAAGACCGTTGATGCCCCTGCAGCCAAGGAGGCACCTGCTGCCGACGTCAAGGCAGACGAAGAGGCCAAGCCTGCCGAGGAGCCCAAGGCCGAGGAGAAGAAGGAGGTCGCCGAGGAGGTCAAGCCAAAGGAGGAGCCCAAGGCTGAGCCCAAGGCCGAGCCTGAGCCGGCTGCTGCCCCTGCTGCCGCCGTCGATGAGGAAGACGAGATGGAGCGCATGATCCGCGAGATGGAAGAGGAAGACGCCAGGCGCGAGGCTGAGCAGGCAAAGATCACTCAGCGCAAGGCCGAAGAGAAGGCGGCCAAGAAGGCGGCGGAAGATGCGGCTGCTAAGGAGGCCAACTCGGATGCCAAGCTGCGCGAGGCTGAAAAGGAGGCCGAACGCCTCGAAGAGGAGAAGGAGCGTCGCCGAAAGGAAGCCGAAGGCAAGGCCGCCGGCGCCACCCCTGACGCCTTGGCCGGCAAGCTGGGCAGCATGAGCATTTCAGACAAGGACAGCTCTGCAGGCGAGGGTGCAGGCAAACCTGCCAACCTCACTATCAACGACAAGCCTGTGGCCGGTGCCAAGGTCAGCCCAGGTGATAAGCGCGGTACCAAGCCTGCTCCTCTCAACCTGAACACCAGTGTTGGAGTTGAGCCCCCTCAGCCTTCTGCCGCGCTGCAGTCGCTTCAGACCGCCAGGCTTATGGACCATGCTGATCTCAAGCGCCTGTCATACCCCGCAAGCGTCGCCTCCCCTAACCCGGCCCTCAACGCCGCTGTTTCCAAGAAGGGTACGTCGTTCAAGTACGACACAAGCTTCCTTCTTCAATTCAAGGGCGTGTACACCGACTCGCCGTCACTGGAGTTTGGCCAGCAAGTCAAGACCCTGATTGGCGATGGCGACGGTGGCCGTTCCGCATCAGCCAGAACACCCGCAGGATCTGGCCGGACCAACTCTAGAACCGGCGCCGGTGGTTTCCAGATGGGCCAGTTCGGTGCAGCAAAGACGCTGCCCCCTGGTACGACCTCGGAGCAACGCTTTGCCATGTCTACTGGACAGGCGGCGCGCCCTCAGCTGGGCGGTGCCATGAGCAGCTTCCAGCGACCTGGTGGCGCTTTCCCGGGAGGCAACATCATGTCGCGCACTCCCTCGAGCTCCAACTTGGGCCCCAACTCGCCCAGGACTGCCAGCTCGCGTCGGAATGCTAGCAAGCGTGATTACAACCCCAAGGCTGAGGCTCAGGCTGCTAAGACCATGCCCTTGACTGCCAACATGAAGATCGAAGCTTTGCAGGTATCGCAGACCGGCTGGAAGCCAACCAGCATTGGTGCGAAGCCAGCAGCACAAGTTACGGTCGCTGGTAACATGGATCCTCAGATGGTCCAACGTAAGGTCAAGGCAAACTTGAACAAGATGACACCCGAGAACTTTGACAGAGTATCTCAGGCCATCTTGGACATCGCCGCGCAGTCCAAGGAGGAGTCTGACGGCCGTACTCTGCGACAAGTCATTCAGCTCACGTTCGAAAAGGCCTGTGACGAAGCCCACTGGGCCTCCATGTACGCCCGTTTCGCTCAGCGCATGCTGCAGACCATGAGCCCCGAGATCCGTGATGAGAACATCAAGGATAAGAGCGGCAATGTCGTCGGTGGTGGAGCACTTTTCCGCAAGTACCTCCTGAACCGCTGTCAAGAGGAGTTTGAGCGCGGCTGGAAGACCAACCTGCCGGAACCAAAGGAGGGCGAGTCCAAGGAGGCCGCTCTCCTGTCCGACGAGTACTACGCTGCCGCTGCTGCCAAGCGTAAGGGTCTCGGTCTGGTTCAGTTCATTGGTGAGCTGTACAAGCTTGGTATGCTGACTGAGCGTATCATGCACGAGTGTGTGCTGAAGCTGGTGGATTTCAGCGGTACACCCGATGAGGCCGAGGTTGAATCGCTGTCTAAGCTCCTGCGCACCATTGGTGGCAACCTCGACTCTACCGAGAAGGGCAAGCTTATGATGGACGCCTACTTCCAGCGTATCCAGACCATGATCGATCTTCCCGAGCTGCCGAGCAGACTGCAGTTCATGCTCATGGACGTCTTCGACCTGCGCAAGGCTCGTTGGCAGTCCAAGGAGGCCAACAAGGGCCCCAAGACACTCGACGAGATCCGCGCCGAAGCCGAAGCTGCGGCTGCACAGAAGGCCGCCGAGGCAGCCAGGGGCAGCCAGCGAGGTGGTGGCCGCGCTCCCATGGGTCGTGGTGACGCTCGCCAGTTCTCGTCGGGCGGCTTCCCTCAGCAGGCTCCCAACCAAGTTGGAATGGATGATTTGAGACGCCTCAAGGGATCGGCCAACCGTACATCCAGCCAGAACATCTCATTGGGCCCTACTTCGATGTTCTCTTCGCGAAGCAACAGTGGCCGGCGACTAGGTCCGGGTGGTGCTTTGAGCCGCGGCAACGAGGACTCTGCCGCTTCTTCTCGCACCGGAACCCCTCCTACCAGGGAGGCACAAAGCAGCACCAATGCTTTCAGGTTAGTTCCACACCCCTTGCTCTTGATTGCTCATCGAACGGAATTTGATTGCTAACTCCCAACAGCCTCTTAGCCAACATGGAAGACAACCCGGCTTCACCTCCCTCGACGGCGGTTTCTCCCGCCTTGGCCAAGGTGACTCCTGACACCGCCGCAGCGGGCAAGGAGTAGTCGGTGAATTTTCCTTAACGTTTGTCACATTTGCTGCCTGCAAATCTGCATAGACTGGGAGGGGGCTGCTTTGCATTTACAAGGTTACTAAAATGTTTCCAAAAGTTACATCATCTCATGATACCTGGCTCCCATAGAGTCTTTCTCACCCTACTTGTCTCAATGGCATTTGTGTATTGGACTGCCTTTTTCACTTCTTCGCCTGTGTTCTCAGTACATTTTCCCAGCAAAACTCGGCGATGCATTGGTTCAGGGTCGTTAGTGAGGGGTTCTTTCCTATCCTGCACTGAGTCACGTTTTCCCGGTTTCAGGCGCACTTTTTTCCCACAATGAGAGGATGCAGATACGTGATGAAAGAAGACACGAAAGGGGCCGAGTGTATGACAGGGATCAGCCTGTCGTGGAGGGCGTTAAGTGTGCTCTCCCCTCCTGCCAACGTGTTAGAGGCGGGTGATAGGAGTGCATGTAAATACGAGGCAGAGACCGAGGGAAGGCGGAATGAGGCTGCGGAAGCTTGCTGTGTCCGATACTTGCATCCAGGACGCTGTGAGTCTCGCTCGTTGCTGAAGAGGTCCCATATGTTGCTTGCGCTGCGCACAAGAGGCTGCGGACCGCAGAGGGGGAGAAAGCAATTATGGGCCAAACTGTACATCATTTAATCTTTAGACGCCCTTGGGCCCGCAGCCAAGGGCAGAAGCAATTGATATTTCATGAAAGCAAAACACGGTCTCAGGTGATATATGTGTCCCAGTCGATGTGCCACTTCAACAGACAATGTGACTTGTTTCCCCTCCACTGATCAAGCAAGCAATGTGGTATAAGCTGCCTTGGCAAGCAAGGAAAGACTGTCCCTCCCAGGAGTGCTTGACATCCTCTGCAGCACATGGCCGCGGCCCAGACGGCCCCGTGCTACGTGACTCCGGCAGTCTGCGTATCTGTAAAATACGGCGATCTAACGACTCACTCTGTAGCGGCTCCAGGCAATCAGCAAACGGCAGGGCAAACCACCGACCAGGTCCCCCTGTCGTAGGGCCGCCTCGCACATGAGTGGGCTAAGAGCAAACGTTTACAGAAACAGACTTGCATTCAGTCTTCACTTCCGTCAAAGTACGGACAGGACAAACCGCTCGGCGTCCAAGCCCTTGAGACCCCTTCGCTCGTCCCCACGGCAGGCCAGGACGCTTTCACGGGGGTGAGCCACTGTGGCTGCATCAACAAGATGCAGCGGCGAGTCTGGAGAATGGAAGGGAGCATGGAAACCCGCTGAGTTCGGGGGGAAGAGAGTCCGCCGTGGTGTGGGTAGGAGGAGAAGAGTCTGTTAGTCGATAAGGGCGCTGGCGGCGCGTTTGACAAATACGCCGCTTAGGACAAGGAGCGAGCGCCCCCGTGTCCATACTTGTCATGTTGATCCCAGGGAACTCGGATGCGGCCTGCTGTTCACAGCCCTTGTTACTTGCCGAGACATGATCCACGATCGATGCATGTACAATAGAGACAGAGGCACGGGTTTGGCGCCTGTCTATCCGAGATCATAGATTTGGGTCGAGGCAAAGCCCAAGTGAAGCAGCGAAGCCATAAAGTACCACCTGTAGGAGACGCACCACCCCGACTAATCAGAGAGCCTAGAGTGAACGGCTCTTTGGAGGGCCGCTTGGCAAAGCAGCTCGTCTGCCACGGGGTATTTCTCCTGGTTGTAGGAGGCGGGTTGTCAGGCAAATGGCTGACTACCACATGAACGTTATCTTAGCCAATGATGAGAGAGAGATGCTTCCTTATAGTACCTCTTTTCCTTGTTATGCTATACACCATCACACAGACAGGAGCAGAGAAGATGATACGAGTGTGTGTGATTCGCTGAGCTGGGATCGGGCTCAGGATTGGATCATGTTGGTATAACGACAACATAGTAATTCTAGAACTGTCATAGTCAACCAGCTGGGGTTATCAAGGTCTTTCTCGAAGAATGATTCCAGTTATATTCTCTAAGCTAGTAAACACCAAATATTGCATTACTGGGTCCCTTGGCTCTATCACGGTCCATTCACTTTGAGAGGTCTGGGGCAGTTCCTGGTATGCAATGTATTGCCATTGGAAAGATTACGATTCTGTTACTCAATGGTCCTACTGAACGAGACAGAGTGGCATCGGGGATCTGAAGCAATGGCTCTGAACGACGTCTCTCTTCCCAGAGATACAGAGACGCAAAAAGACCAGAGGACTAGGCGTTCAGCAACGACATTTACAAACGTCCTAACAAGGAGCCTCGAGTCTTGAAACATGAGCCCAGTGGCGGTGTATCTATTTTTGTATGAAACCAAACGACTTTTTTTGTGGTAGACCCCACCTCGACCAGTAGATCTAGACATACCCCCAACGCCAGTAGATGCCGAAGTGCAGAAGCGAAGTCCGTAGAACGCCGTACTCTCGTCGGTCCCGGCTGTCGTGGCTGCAGTAGCCGTAATAGCAGCAGCAGCAGCAGTAGTAGTAGCAGCCAGGACCGTGAAACCATCCTCCCCCAACAGCTGCTCATCATCCACCCGTCCTCGCGCCCATGCCTCTTCAGTCGGAGTCGACCTCCATGCCCTCCTGGGCGGGCGGGGCGGCAAAGTCGAAGCCGCCGTCGACGCGGACCTTCTGGCGGATCTTCTCCTTGCCGAAGACCTTCTTGGTCTCGGAGGGCAGGACGTTCTGCTGCTCGAGGCGGGCGATCTCCTCCTGGTCGAGGCCCTGCTCGAGGGCGAGGCGGCGCTTCTCGGAGCCGCGCATGCGCGGGAGCAGGTGGCTGTGGGTATGGACGAGCTTGCGGGCGTCGGCGAGCTCGCGGGCGCGCTTGCCGGCCATGCGGCGCTTGTAGAAGACGCGCTCGCGCTTCTGGCGGATCTCCGAGATGCGCTCCATGGCCTTGAGCGTCTTCTGCACCAGGTCGCGGTTGTAGCGCACGGGGACGTTGCGGCGCTGGGCGAACTGCAGCGTCGAGTCGACCGTCATCTCCTTGCCGGCGGCCTTGCGGAACGCTTTGGTCTGTAGGGGGGAGATACAGCGTTAGCTCTTCTTGTTCTTGTTCTACTTGTCTCTCTCTCTCTCTCTCTCGCAAGATGGAGCGCGGGCGTGTGTGGACGACTTACCCAGGCCAGCTTCCTGGGGTTTCTCTTCATCTTGAAGTTCTTATGGCACTTGGACCTGCAGAAGCGGAACTGCTTGGCGTCGTTGCGCACGAACATGATGCCCTTGCCGGGGTCTGCGGTGAAGAGAAGACACAGTCAGTCAATCAATCCGTCCTGGCATGCTTGCCCTGCGTGCTCGACACAGCGGCGTAGTCACAACTCTCCTCGGTGAAGAGCGAACTTCTCGCCGGGCACGAGTGCAGGGGAAAGAAAAACTCACAGGCCGGCCTGCTGCAGAAATAACATGTCTCGATGCGGACCATGTTGGCGACGGGGGCGACAGCGTCTGGCTGCCTCGGGTCCTGTCGTGGGTGTTGGGCGGCGGTGGGAGATTGGTCGTGGGCGAAGACGGCAGAAGTCTGTCTTGTTTCAACTTCCCAGCAGCCTTTTGCGCAATAATCTTTTGCACCGCTACTACAAAAAATTTGGGGACCCTGGGCACCCGGCCGCCTGCCACCGTGGGGCCCGGCGGGCGAAGTGGGAGGTGGGCTGCGGCCACACGGCCCGCTGATTGGCCCGCCCGGAAAATCCTGCTCGCCGGAGCACCCTCGGTGCAGGTCGGGTGGAGCCCATGCGGTCCAGGGAGGCCCGTGCGTCGAGAAATTCATCGGCCGGCTCTCAGCTCTCAGAGGCTCAGAGGCTCAGGCTCAGGTTCAGAGTCGCGAACCGATATATACCATCACGGTGCTGTCGCCAGCTTGCAGTCCTACCCTCGTCGGATCAAAGCCCCTCTCCCTTCGTCACTCTCAAGACCCTCGTCACCCTACCTCAGCATGGCATCCGTATTGGCTATCGGAACCGGCGTGGCCGTGGCCGCCTTCCTGGTAAGTACTGCCTCTTCCCCGTGAGAGAGCCATCCGTCCATCCCGTCTAACACAAATCTCTAGGGCCGAGCTGGACTGGTCGCATTCCGGCGCTCTCGCGGCGGTGTCGGCGCCCTGGGCAAGGCCTTCTACAAGGGCGGCTTCGAGCCGCGCATGAACAAGCGGGAGGCTTCGTTGATCCTGTCGCTCAAGTACGACCTCACTCCCCCTGCCCGCACACTCTGGCGGTTCGCAGTCACATGAAACTAACCCGCGCTTTTCTCCCCAACAGTGAACGCGCCCTGACCAAGGAAAAGGTCCGCAAGGCTCACCGAACCCTCATGCTCCTGAACCACCCGGACCGCGGCGGTAGCCCCTACCTGGCCACCAAGGTCAACGAGGCCAAGGAGTTTCTCGAGAAGAACTCATGATCCCTGCCCCTGCGACGGGACATGACAGGATATGACGGGACATAATCACGGCCAAGGGGGTCTAAGGAGGGAGGAATGTAAATAACTTGTACAACTACACCACTGGCATGTACAAAAGCGACGGCGTTTACGGATTATCAGGCATACTGCATGGTCATGGGGTCTGCTTTCGGGCCGCAGGGGCCTTATTCACCTGACGAAATAGAAAGTACTGCCTCCAGAAGGGGGGCGACATCTCTTCTCAGCCATCTTCTCCGCCATTAGCTATCTGCTTGGATATTGCTACCGTACCTCCAAGCTCTCGCGCGATTACGTGACCAGTCGATGGAAAACAGCCCGCTTGCTCGCTCAGGAACTCTCCGGGTGCAGCCTTGGCGCTTGGGTAGCTTATGCAACCCTACCACCTCTGCGGCGTATAAGAATCTTGGGTTTGACGAGCTGCTCAAATTAGCACGAGCTCGTAGCTAACATTGTTTAGGGAGCGTACGGGGTTGAATAACAGGCTCAACCGACTTCAAAGCACCACTTCCGTCGTCCAGCTCCCCATCGCTCCATTCGTCCAATCTGACGTAGTTAGTAACTGCGCTGGTAGCTATATGCTCTTGGGGACATGGCTCACTTGACCTCGGGTGCCGTGCTGCTCCACTTCTCGGATTCCGTCTGTGGCCCACCGACTTTCTTCTTCACGGCCATGGCGACCATGGCACGTAGCGTATACACCGCATCGTTTCCGGCGTTGTGAAAGTTGCGGCCGGGGATGCCTAGCTCGCTGCAGACGAACCGAAGCGCTCGGCCGTCCCCGGAACACTGCACGCGCTGGAACATGGCCTTGGTGTCCACCTCGTCCAAGAACTGCGGCAGGCGCCAGACGTTGTAGCCCACCTTCTGGAGATACTTCAGGTCTGTGATGGTGTCGTGTCCTACCATGACGACGGGACTCTTGTCGCTCGAGTTGGAATCGCCAATCAGCGACCCTACACGGCGGGCCACGTCCTTGATCGGGATGAATTCGCTTTTACTGTGCCATCGTTAGTACGGCAACACATACTCATATACAGGTTCCTGACCCAAAATCGAAGGCATCCGGGCATCCTTGTACAAACTCCCTGTTCACGATGCCTCGGTGTTCAGAAATGCGAATGTGGTGTGCATGGATGAACGAGAACCAGTTCTCGCCATGCTGCCCCGGAGGGACTTCTTCAATATCATCGGTATCAAGAATGGCGAGACCGATCTCGGTGATCATGTTGCTGTCTCTCTCGTAAGCCTCAACATCGACGCATACGAATCTGACTCGCAACTCCATCGGGAAGGGAGCAGGGAGAACCGCGCTCCAGGCATTATCAGATGCACCTGATTAAGAGTACCAAGTCAGCCCGTCTATACTGTCCTTTAGAATCAGTCCTTGAGTATCCAATATACACACCTGAGAAAGCGGCATAGGCTGTCCGCTGGCGGAGGCCAAGATATCTTTGAACGCGTTTGATCACTTGGCCATGGCTTTTCTGCCTGTTCACCATCTTCAGATGCTGATTGGCAGGATTCTTCTTTGATGGCTTGAACGAGTTGTAAATGCCATCTATTGTGTCTTTAAAGAACTGCAAGGACTTGGCGTCGATCCCTCTCGTGTCGTCCATCGAGTTACCAAGTCGGTCTTTGAGCTCTCTGTACGTCTCATCGCTGCTCGCGTGACCCATGAATCTGGGACGCGGGCTGCCGCCGAACGTGACGTTGAACCTCTCGCCGTTTTCTCCTCCGGGAATGGCCAGGTTGGTATGCAATTCCGAGTTCGCGGCTGTCAAGAAATCTTCCAGTTGCGTAGTGGGAACCAGGATGAGTGGATCTCTTCGCATATATGGATCGTGGATGTAATACCTGTTCCCCGTCAGTAGAAACATCAAGATAAGCAATCAGCATAAGTATTATGACCAAGAGCAAAGGTGCAAGGACAGTATTGAACCAGCTCCGGACTCTTGAAGGTGTATCCAGAAGGCCCGGGGCGGAATGCACCCGAGGCTTCCACTTGACCACGAATAACACCCGAAGCACATTGCTTCGTAATCCATGTTGGGCATTATATAGAGAAAGATCAATCCGTTGTCGTCATCACCGATAAGAATTGGGGAGCACCTATATGTGTCACTCACATTTCCCATGAACGTTGGTTGAATAGATTGGTCTTGAACCATGCGCCAACCTTCAAACAGGGTTAGAGTTGTCTTGGAAAAGAGCAATACGAACACGCACCTTGCCTTGGTTGTTCCTTCCCACGTACTTATAAGGGTACACTTGTATGAGCTTGAATGGACAGAGGGCTAGGTATCCCTGAACCATTTCGTTTCTGGACGGATTGGAGCTCACAGAGCCGTCCGTTGGGGCTGCTGGGGGCTCCATTGCGCGATACTCCCAGGCTCGGGAAGAATCTGTTATTGAATTGCTTAGCATGGCGAGTCTATTTTGGGATGATCATGATGCTATAAAGACTCACTAGGGTTCAGCGTCTCTTTTCTCCGCGCTTCGTGTGAGTCGCTCGGATTTTCAATGGTGATGAGATCGTCATTATCATTGTCAACATAATCATCTTCATTGTTTCTTTCCGGTCGCATCTGACGGTACTGCTGCATAAGACCATCAAGGTCTGGAGCCCGAGGGTGAATCCGGGATGCAGGCAGGGCTCGCTGGGCCGGCTGGGCCTGCAAGTCGCGCTGGCGTTCATTCGAGATGCGCACGCCTCTCATGCGAGACTCGAGCTCGTGTTCTGCCATGGTAACTACTTCGGTGACTGGGCGTAGGCGCGACTGTAATCTGTGGACCTAACTTGTAAGGCGTACTCAAGAACGGGCTTTGTTCTGGGGTAAGTGTTTCTCAAGTTCACCTTGGCAGAATAATGGCAGAGATCGGTACGTACCGCCAGGCAAAGATACGTAGAAGAATAATGGCGTTCCAAGTGAATCGTAGCACAAAACGAAGACATGGGCCCAACTGGGATACTTACGAGTAGAACTTAGAGGGATTCAACAGGCAGCTCAGAAGAGGTCGTTTGCGGATGGGCAAACGAACATGAGCATCCGACACGAAGTTTGGGAAACTAGATGCAAATCCAACTAGTCTGGTCCGTGTGACAGAGAAAATCATCACACAATTTCTCCTGATCAAAAGACCATCACTCGTTCCTTCCATTCGCTCATTAGAACGTTGGGCTGCCGCGAGTGACAGTGCTTGCTACTCTAGTGGCGTCGCTCTACACAAGCAGCCTGGCCTCTAGAATTGATCCATTTATTCCACGCTTAGACAGTAAAATATATGTCACCGAAAAATAACGGGCCACCGGCATTGGACAAGTGATGACGAGCGCTTGTCATTTCTTCTGCTCAACACCGTTCTACTCGAGCAGTATCCTGCAATGCATCCTAACTCTCCGGTAGCCTGCCGAGCATGTTGCTGCTAATATTCTTACACACTAGGCGCAATTCCATCAGAACCTTGTTTGCACAAACTTTGTCTCCTAGTACGGCACGCCTGATAGAGCCAGCCAACATGGCATATCTGACTGACTGGAAACTCGCAAGATTTGCCATCAGTCCTTTGGCGTGGTGAGCCAATGAGCCCCAGATACATTGAAACTCACAGATGCTCAGAACACCACCACCCCTTGCCAGCAAGTCTTTGACAGCCAAGCGTGGCGAAGACTACATGGGGCTTCAGTGGCCATAGCCTTCAATCGCGAACGGGCAAATACGCAATAACTGACCAAGTACTTGCTCTGGCCTAGTCTGGCATCTACTCAAGCAACTTGACAATTGTTCGTACGGGAGTTTTACTTCTTCCAGAACTGTACATGATTAGTGACAGGTAAGGGAAATGGAAGGGCATAGATCTAGCTTACCTCGGCAGCCTCTTCCCGAGTGATCTTGGACTCTTCAGATGCCTCTTTGTCGATGAGGCCGATCCTGGCACCCTTCAGCTGCCACCACAACTCTCGTCTATCGCCGCCCAGCTCGCCGGAAAGAAGCCTCTTCTTGAAGTCTCCCATGAAATCGTTATACAACATGGGCTCTTCATAGTTGATCATGAATTCACGGAAAACGCCCAGGTTCTCAATGACGCGGTCAAAGTTTCTGTCGCCGAAGCTGTCGGTCACGAGCTGACGCACAATCTGTCCCAGCTGCTTAGCAGCCTCGGAAAAGTCCGACACGTCATTGGCATTGCTCATCATCTGCTTGAACGACGGGATGGCGTTGTCTGGGTCAATCTTCGTGCGCTTGTTGTCGGGCATCTTGAGCAGAGCATCAACATCCAGTCCGGAGATGGGACGGGCTCTTTCGTGCTGTCTCTTCTTGCCCGTAGCTTTAGGTGGAACTGGAATGCTGTTAGTATATCTGGGACTGGCGGTTGGGGACTCTTGGCCTACCTTTCTTCACTTCTGCCGTTTCAATGAGATCATCCAACCTCGTTTTGGCTGCTTCGACCAAGTCGCGGTCAGGCTGAGCGTACTTCAGCAGGATATGAGGGATTGGGGGCACTGGCTTGTCGGGATGAATGGCACGGTGGCGGACGACTTGGTTGATGCGATGCAATGATGGACTGTAGGTATCGTCTACCGCCGCATACTCAAACGTTCGCTCACCCTCGTCATCCAGGGCGTAAGTTGAGATATCCATGGCATCGACATATTCACTCATTGTCTCCTCCAGATCTTGAGATGGCAGGTATCGATGCTTCGTCAAAGTCTTGTTGTTCACAGTTATGACCTTGTCTAGCGGAGGAAACGGGTAATGCCGAACATCCTCCGCAAAGGGCAGTGGCACGTCGTAGAGGCATTCGAAATCTGGATCGATATGGGGCGCCAGGAGGACCAGGATTGGATCCTTTCCATCTTTTACCACCAGCCGAGCTAGGGCATACGACTCAAGCTCGTGGAGGGAGTGAATCAAGGACGACAGCTTCATGCTGTCTGCGGTGCTGTTCTTTTGGGCTACTGTGAAGCAGCTCTCGCCAAAATTCAGGAATGGCTCGTACTTGTCCTGTTGGATGAAGCCAATGATGGAGAAGCCCTTCGTCGTCTCGAGCTTGGTGATGTTGAATTCAGCCTCGCTGATGTGTACAGCAGTCCTGCCGTATTCATAACCCTTGGCTAACGAATCGAATTCAACGTCCCGCTTGCCACCGGGTGCGTCCGGGTCATTGACCTTGTAGGTGCGGGCATTCTTGACAGCAGCAAATTCACCACCGCCGTACTCTACACCCTGCATCTCATCGCCGTCCTCCAGAGTTGAGGTAGATTGAGTGCCGTGATCCGTCCGCACTACGACATTGCTGGCTGTTGGAGGGTTGGCTTTCTTTGTCTTGAAATATCTCTCAACATTGATCCGCATGGCTCTTGGGTCTACTTCAGGATCACCAAGGGTCAGAGGTCCGTCATAGGGCTTGTAAGGCTTTGTGGCCTTCAATCTCGGCGTGTCAAGCTCATCGATGGCTTCCGCTATGGTGCCGAAGGTGCCGAGATCCTCACCGCAGGCCTCGGTCAGACTCCGAAGAAGGGCCTCGTTTGCGGCTTTGACCTCTGTCTTGTTTTCTTCCTTAAAGCCGAATTCAGCATCATCAAAGTCAATGCCCCTATCATGTTATAAGCAAAGATGGAACCAAGGTGGGAAATGTTCCCCAAACGACGTACAGGATCGTCAAAGCAATATTATTTGACTTCAGCTTGTCAGCTATGCTCTGAATATCATCCGGGTCGAGATCAAGCGGGGCCTCTCCTGACGTGACCATGAAGATCTTCCGGTTGAACTTGAGTCTCTGGGGCGCGACGGTGTCGATCATGTCAATGGCCGGGATGAGGGCCGAAATGCAATCGCCCTCAAGCGTGTTGCTCGGCTTAATCGAGTCCCGGAGGTTCCTCATCTTGGGCAGGTCCATTGGCTCGAGGTCCTGAAGAACGGAGATGTGCTCGTAGCCGTCCTGATCCTCCATGGCGTTCTTGGTCTCATCTGTTCTGACGCCGATGACGCCAACGTGCCACGTCTTCCTGGATGCGGCTGCTGTGGTAGATATCTTGTCCCAGACCCAGCGCATCGACCAATCCAGGTCGGACTCTGTTCTACCATTGTGGCAATCTGCCATCGATGACCCAAGGTCCAGGATGTAGATGGTGGTCTCCTTGTCGGCCATGATAGCAAACGAGACGGCAGACGCAAGTTGTATTTGCTTGGATAGACTGGTCACCAAACCTGCAACGATATCATGCTGAGAAGGAGAGAGCGGACGAGACAGCCACGAAAAGCCAATTGGTCCCAGGCTTCATTCCTTTAAGATCGTCCAAAGACTCAGCCATAGGCCAGGATCAATTTAGGCAGGCTTCGAGTTCCCAGCGCGTCGGCGGCCAGGGAGTGAGCTGGGGTGGGGTCCTGGGAACGCGAACAATGAGCGAAGTCACACTTCTGCAGGCAACGACACGGCCTAGTGAGTGCCTAGCAAGCCTAGGTGCTACCAGGCAGCCCAGCCCGTCTGCCCGTTAGTGCGAATCGCTGGGGCCCAAGCTCCCTGCAGATGCTGGGGTAGAGGAATGCGAATGCCCGCTAGCTCTAGACGCCGCGACTTGAAACCGTCATTGATGGCCGCCCAAGTGGACCGAGGTCTGCCAGTGCCGTCCAACTATATTCTTCTTATTTGCAGCCATAGCGGACGCTGGTGACTTTCCCATATCACACCACACTCGTGAGGCCATCGCAGCCGATATAGCAACCGATATACACAACTCCTACGCCCGTAGAAACAGTCACCATGGCGGGGTCTTTGATCTTCTCGCCCGGTCCATACCACATCCTCTCGTACGATTGATACACACCTGTCCCTGAGGGCTATCAAGGCGACGTGCTTGAGTGCTAACGTCTCAAAAGCTATGGAACCCTTCTTGGGACGACAGTGTTCCATGTAGGTCCTGCTTCCAAACGCCGGACTGCCTACAGCCACCGAATGCAGTAATCACTAACAAGCCTCTTCCCCTTATCAGTCCTTCGTCAACGCAACGGCATCCTTCAAGACCCTCGAGCGGCCACAGTTCGCCACCCTCCAGCGCGCCATCTTCCCCGTATACTTTGGCATGCAGACCATCTTGCCTGCTGTCATGGCATTGACGTACCCGGGCAGCCGCATTACTGCCGCCGGCATCCAGGGCGTTTTGGACGAGGCGAACCGATGGGACGTGCTGGCGCCGATCGCAACGATATTCGTGACGGGGCTGGTGAACTGGGCATACTGCCTGTCGGCCACGAACGCCGTCACCGATAAACGGAGAGCGCAGGGTAAGTCAATTGCATCCACTCATGGGTTCTAGATGACTTTGGCATGAGACTGGCGCACTAACGTGGAACCGTTCGAGCAGAGAAGAAGGATGGCAAGAACAGCTGGGATGCACCACCACATTCCCAAGAGATGGTTGCATTGAACAAGCAGTTCGGGAAGATACACGGAATTTCGTCGTTGCTCAACATGTTTACGTTGATTGCTACGATCAACTACGGTTTCCATCTGGCGGCAAGGATTCAGTAATGACATATTCACAAACTGTGAAGTAACAAGTATAAAGTCATTCAACGGAGCGGAAGTAATGTATCACTTTCTAAAGTGTGCCATTGTCGCTTCAAGCACAAGTTGCAACCGGACGAGGTTCGAAATCCCAATTTGATAATAACCCCTCGATCTGCGGCGAAACGACTTTTTAATTCCAAAAACGCCAGCTATTGGAATGCTTCATCATTCCCTCAGCGCCATTGTGGCTGAGTCCCAGGGTATAGTGCATGCATGGTTCGCAAAATCCACGGCCTGCTAAGTAAAATATACAACGAATATGGACCTAAAATGCTGGTACTGTAGCAAACAGGCTCAGGTCTCTCAAGCCTTCTCGGCCAGTGCGAGGATTCGAGCCTTGGCGGCCGCCAGCTTCTTCGCCTTGGTCTCTGCATCGTCGACTGTTCGTGCGAGCTCGTAAGTCGCGGCACGCTTGATCGAGTGGTGCAGTGAGCGCTGGCGTGGCTCCAGAGCCAGCTGCCGTGCAACGTCGACCTCCATGCTCGGAGCTGGGTAGTCACGCGACAGAGGATCCTGGGGGTAGGCCGGCGATTGTGACTGCGGTGTCTTCAGGGCATCGGATTCCTGCGAACTGGTTGACGAGGAGACCGAAGAGCGGCGAGAACCGGCATCCGGAAAGTAACTCTGGCTGACTTCCGTCGGCTTCTTTGGGTGGCCGCTCTTCGCCTTTGACTCCGGCTCCTGGGTGGGCGAGCCCGTGAAGGGCGTGAAGAGCCCAGTGACATATGAGATGGCTTGTCCGATGGCTGACATGATGGAAGCGGGTGACTCCAAGCAACACGAGAGTACAGTCAGAGATATTTCAAGCCGTAGGAGGAATATGTGTATGAGTTGGTCGAGGATGATATCCACCGGTATAGCCGGTAGCTGTTGTGGACTTCCGAAGATCAATATCTACCGAGTTTGTGAATTGAGTTTCGAGTAAACCCAGAACTTCGGATCGAGAAACGCAAGGAAAGAGACGGAGTGGAGAGGAGAGAGATGATAAGACTTAGGGTCTCGGTGAGAAGAGATTAGCATACATTAGCGGGAAATCCACCGCCTTTTATTTCTCACGATGCCCTCAAGGCGGGGAGGGTCCCTGGACGCCAGGGGGATCTTAAAACAACTCGATAATACTCCTCCCCCACTCTGATCGTGCGCGTTTTCCCGCATATTCGCACAGAGAATGAAGGATCTGCAATTCCATGCTTACCCGAAAGATGCACTCGCTCACCGCACTGCAAGTCGAGCGAAGCGCAGGCGAATATGACTCGGCGGGCGACAGCGGGCGCTGCAGATAGGGTCCTTGCGGCTCCACTCTGTCGCGCGGGATGCATCGTGAGATCCGGCGGAGCCAATGGTTGTGCGCGGGGTGGGCCGGAACTGTCACCCTTTGCGGACGTAGTCCAAGGGAAGCGCAGCGAGTTGCCATGCACAAGGCCGTCATGGTCACAGTTGTCAGATCACCCCCGCGTTGCCACCCAGTCAGAAATTGTCAAGAAGACGACAATCAAGCCCGAAAGGAAGTTTTTCTGCTTCGAATCAGAATTGAATAGCAAGGTCAAAGATCGTCACCAGATCGTCCGGCTTCAATGTGTCTCGAGGCCCAGAAGAGTGACCGTGGGCTAGCTGGTAGACAAGCCTTCGCAGACAGCCCTGGAGCCTTACGGGAATGCAGCTACTACGTAGCCGCCGGAGGAGGCTTCTTTAGAGTTTGCACTTCAGCCTCCTTTAACTGCCCTCGATGCCGACACGAGGAATAGTTACCAAACAGGGAGACAATGAATGGAGTGAGACTGTGACATGGTCCAAGTGGCATGGCTCAGTGTATAGTGGTATGAATCGTTACCACCAGTCACTTATCTCTTGTTGCTTGGCGGTTAAGTGCAGTCATGTGCCACATTGCCACTTAGGACACGCTTACAGCAATGCGGGGGACGCTCTCAACTCAGGGTCTTGAAGGATCATGGTCTTGCCCCTTACTCCGAGCATCTTGCTACATGACGTACATGTCCGAATGAAATATGTATCATCCGATTTCTTGGCTTGCACAGATTCCGCCTCCTATAACCCCCGACAGGGAAGTCTCACCACCCTCCAAAGTCACCCTCGCCCGTAGACGAATGCATTTCCGCGTCATGGTGCAGCCAACGCCAGTCCCGTGCTGCCCGCCAATGCATCCCATGGTGCACTAGCAGTTGGTTGCAAACCAGCTGCCCATCCTTGCCTATGTTTGCTTCGACTTCGCCTGTTGTTTCTTTGCCAACTCGCTCGTGCGAATCACCTTTGGGTCGGGCGTTTTGTATGGCGTGAGACTGGGGATTTGCATACCGACGTGGCGTTGGTAATGTTTGTACTCCGGATACTTTCCTGCTGTGATCAGCTCGGTGAGCCATGTCGAACCCTGGAACAGAAGAATCAGGCAGAAGGATCCAGTTCCGGTCCAGCTGTATAGGACCTTGCTAGCGTAGCAACTCCACTGATACAGAACGAACCAGATCGTCTGCTCGGCGGTGAAGTTTGGGTGTCGGCAGTAGGCCCAGAGCCCAGAGGCAATGAATCCGCGATCGAGGTCCTCTTGCTTGAATCCCTGAGGCAACTTCGCTGTCTTCTGATATTCCTTCTTGGCCAATTGGTAGTCTATATAACGATGTTAGTGCCTGCGTGGGAAACGAAAAGCCCCCAGCGGTGCCATCGATGTATCTTACCCCACTGCTGCTGGTCACTGAACCATTCAGTCACTACTAAAGCAAGCTGTATGGTGGTGAAAGCAATATCTGCTGTCGTGATCTGTTGCTCGTGCTGAGAAGCAAGCAGGACTGCGTAAGTTGGCGCCGCAATAAGGAAGAGTAGCACGCTCTGGATAAACGAGATGAAGGTAACGTTCAAGACGAAGAAGATGATAGGATGAACGTGGGCCCGGACGATTTCCCTATACCCGGGTCAGTACTTGTGGGACCTGTAAAGTGGCGATCCGAACGAACCATCTATAGTCCTCAGACCCAACAGTATAGCCGCCCTTCCGCCAGTAGTTGAAAGTCAATCTGGCCTACACCAAACCAGGTCAGCATGTGATCCAGCGCGGAAATTGTGGCTACATACGCTCCAGAAGACGCTCCATAGCGTAATGAGATCGAGCCTCTGGCTTGGGAGGCCATTCAAATGCGACCAGACCGTGAAGTGCGCATTGTAGACGGTCGGCAGCAGACTCCACAGGCGGTCTACTTGCGAGTAATTGCGGTTTATTTCGGACACCACCAAGACGACGACGCCCACGAATAGGGAGAAAGCGAAACCCGTGACCAAGGGGTTGGTCTGTTGGTAAAGCTCCAGTGCATTCTGCGAACCCGACACAGAGTCAAGCAGCTTTTGCGGCAGCTCGTAGAGTTGTGGTAAGAATGGCTCGACGGTCTTGGACCAGTCGGCGCAGTCTTCCAGCGCCTTGAGACTTGGAATCGCCATTATCGAGTCGGAAAACCCACGAAGGCTGCTCGGGCAAGTTATGCCGGAGACTGTTGGATCAAGGCGTGGAGGGAAGAGCGACGACGGGCCCTATTTACGCGCGTCTGTTGCAAGGTCACCAGAACGTCATTGACTTCACGAGCGTAGATCTACCTAGAGTAATCTTTAGCGCCTAATTTAGGGCGGAGCTGCAGGGACGGATGGGACCTGGCCCGAGAAGCACGGTCCCTGAGCTGAGAGCGTGGGGCTTTGTTGACTTCAAGCCTGATAGCTCTCTGTAGCGTAGCTGTGCAGCTTCGAACACCAAATACGCTGAGAGGCCGGGCTGCAAATTCTCCCGGGAGACAGTCCCTGATTTGGATGCGAGCGTGTTAGGAATAATTAGGGGCAGAGGACCTCTTGCGAGTCTTTTAGGAAGTCTTGTTTCGAAGACGTCTCCATGTTGATTGCATCTGGCGGTCTCGTAATGCGGCAGCAGTCTGCCCGTCGAACTCTGGCACGCGCCTTCCCGCGTTGACACTGATGCTCTGGCTTCAACACACGAGATTTTCCCTTTGTCAGACCAGGCCGCACGCTTCAGTTGCCAATATCACAACCCTCGGGGTTCGATTCCAGTCCAGGATGAGGATACTATGCGTGGCTGAGAAGCCCTCTATTGCCAAAGCCGTTTCCGAGCATCTCGCTGGGGGCCGTGTCCAAGTGGTATGCAACAGGAACCTTCCCACTCTCACATACGCATACTAATGGGCTCTGTAGCGCAATACGCAGAACAAGTACATCAAGAATTACTGCTTTGACTATGACTTTGGCCAGGGATGGGGCAACTGCAGTGTGACCATGACCGCGGTGCTCGGCCATCTCACCTCTACACAGTTTCCTCCTCAGTACAAGGATTGGAAACATCCACCCCCTGACCGCTTGTTCGACGCTCCGGTCCAAACAATCATTGCTGAGGTATTAGTGGAAAGCCAACATGGTTCTGTTGAAGCCTCGCTCATCATAGTAACAGGATAAAACCGATGTCGCCGCCAATATTGAACAGCAGGCGAAGTATTGTCAAGGACTATGCATTTGGACGGATTGTGACCGCGAAGGCGAACACATTGGCCATGAGATCTGCGAGGCGGCGAAGAAGGGGAACAGCCGCCTCAATATCAGACGGGCTAGGTTCAGCAACATCGAGAGAGCGTAGGATAGTCTGGCCCTTCCATCGCTTGCACGCTGACCAGACGATAGGCACGTCCTGAATGCTGCTAGGAATCTCGTTGCTTTAGATGAAAAACAGGTCAACGCCGTGTCCGCCCGCATCGAACTGGACCTCCGGATCGGGTATGCCTTCACCAGGTTTTTATCCAACAACCTCAAGCCAATGGGGGAACCCCTGACCAGTAAGGTCATCAGCTATGGTCTGTGAATTCATGTATCCAAGACCAGTTTTCCTTGTGGCTAATCCGACCCAGGATCATGTCAATTTCCCACCTTGGGTTTTGTCGTGGACAGGTACTTCCGGGTCAAAAACTTCAAGCCCGAACCTTTCTGGAGCATCAAGGTGTTGCACAAGCGAGAGGGAATTGACGTCCACTTCGCGTGGGCGCGGAACCGCTTATTTGACCGAGCTGCAGTCATCATCCTCTATGAGCGCTGCCTTTCAGCCAAGATGGCAGAGGTGACAAAAGTCCAAGAGAAGCCAACGAAGAAGTGGAAACCGCTCCCTCTAACCACTGTCGAGTTACAGAAAATGGCAACGCGTTTCTTGCGACTGACCGGTCAGCAGGCCATGACGGCAGCTGAGAGCCTGTACAATAAGGGTTTCATCAGTTACCCCAGAACAGAGACCGATCGCTTTGATAAGGGCATGAATCTTCAAGCCTTGGTCCAAAAGCAGACACCGGACAATCGATGGGGCCAGTTCGCGCAAGATCTACTTAACGGCGGGTTTTCCCAACCGAGACAAGGACGCAACGATGACAAAGCTCACCCTCCCATCCATCCCATTACGTATGCTGCTCCCTCTGTCCTGGGCGAAGACGAGAAAAAGGTGTACGAGTTCGTTGTTCGTCGCTTCTTAGCCTGTTGCTCAGAGGACGCAAAGGGCGTCGCAACAGACATTGATATTATGTACGGCGAGGAAGCCTTCCACGCCCATGGTGTCGTTGTCCTAGAGCGCAACTACCTGGATGTGTACGTCTACGACAAATGGACTGGCACTGCCCAGCTACCCAAGTTCACAGTTGGCGAACGTTTCGAGCCATTCGAAGCTATCATGACTGACGGAAAAACTACGGCGCCAAGCTACTTGACTGAGGCGGACTTGATTGCGCTCATGGATGCCAATGGCATAGGTACAGATGCCACGATGGCAGAACACATCCAGAAGATCCAGGACCGTGAGTATGTAAGCACTGTCCCCAGAGCTTCTCGTCCAGCAGATGACGGCGACGATGGCGGCGATCCACCAGCCAGAGGAGCTCGTGGAGGACGCGGCAGCCGCGGCGGTGGTCGTGGCCGTGGCGGTCGAGGGGGCGCAAGCACGACGGCTTCAAGAGGAGGGGTGATGGAATTCATTCCAACCAAGCTGGGTGTGGCCCTAATTGAGGGTTTCGATAGGATGAACTTTGAGACCAGCCTTGGCAAACCATTCCTGCGGAAAGAGATGGAATTGAAAATGAAGGCCATATGCGAGGGACGCACTACCCGACAAGCTGTGCTCAACGAAAGCATTGGCCAATATCGGCAGGTATATAACCAGTCACAGGAGAAGCTGCAAGTGCTTAAGGCTGTAAGTCGCCTCTTGGGCAGCAAAGAAGTCTAGGCATGGCCTTTCATACTCGGCTAACACATATACAGGCCTGCAGACAGTATCTGTTCGAGAATGGGGTTGGCTGATATATCATGCATATACCAACAATTCCTCAACCCCCTCCCGCATTTTTCCACAGCTTTAGCGATTGTAAAGCAATCTGCAAATCAACTCTGAGCTATTTGTCGAATATTGTCGCGTCTCACGGAAAGAACTTAGCTCGCTGGGCTACCGTGGGCCGCATTATCCAGGTATGAAAGCTTGATGCTAGCTTAGACCGTGTCTCGCAGTGCCACCAGGGCACAATGGTGCGGCTTCTGCAACAGCCTCGGCCAGTGAACCCAATCGCACCCGTTCATCCCGCGAGCTAGTCACGAACAACACCGGCGGGGGACCAAGGAAGGTTGACAAATGGTGGTATAAGCTGGGTATACTGAGACATATTGATCGCACATGTCCGAATAGTCTACACAAAAGACATCTGCCGAATTAGATAGAGCCCACACGTACTCGCTCAAAGTGGGTTGTTTGACGCTGGAAAATTGGTTGGGTTGCGGGGAATGTCGGGAGTGTTACTCCCTCTGAGGAAGCTCGTTACAACATGTCAGTCCACGACATGACCAAATACGACGGCACCACGACGGACCAGAGGATCTATTGCACTGAAACGTGCGGAGCCATTGCAGAGTTCAAATGCTAAATGTTGAGCATCTGCACAAGCATTTATCGACCGATGTGGCTGCTAGTAGTTGATGTCTGATCGGAGAACTCTGATATCGCCTCATTCTACAACGTGGGGGCTACTGCAGAGGATGATGGGATAAAGGGCACCCAAGATCATCACGAGATGGACATCACTATTCGAACTTGATAGCGGGGTAGTGCAGTTCAACGTCGAATGGGACTCGGCCTGAATTCGGAAAGCACCTGCACGATGGACAAAACCCCTCAATGTGCCACCACTCAGCGTCGCTCAAGGAGCAACGCGCACCAGCTGATAAGTACAACCCCGGTACGCGAGGTTGTCCTTACCACATACACATCGTGCTTATTTTGGCGGGGCGTGGAGGTTGCAACGCCAACCCTCAACGGGGCGCTGCTCAAGTCAGGTGGGCAGCATGGTGGAAGTTAGCAAGCCAGCCAATCAGGCCAAGCTCTCGTCGGAACGTGAAGAGACCTGTTGGATATCCGGGGCTGCAGCTAATGGGTGACAGCTCGAATTTAGGTGCTCCCCAGCGTTTTGAAACGGAACTCTGACAGTGCGAGTCAGTGGGATTTCTGGAGATCGACCGCCAACGTGCAGAACCCAGATAGACTAGCACAGTCAAATGTAGGTACGCGAGAGTATCGCGGACGCGAAATCAAACTAGTCCATGCGCCGGACAGCCAATTTGTTGGTGGGAGTACCAAATTTGCGGATTCAGGGTCTCAAGCCCTCGCGGCCGACTAGTTTTCGACTCAATCCAAGGTTCGTGTGGAGTGGTGTAGCGTGGTGATGGTCAGAAGGCCGCTAATTCCTAGCTGATGAAGAGGCGCGTTACTCCGGGGCCTCAGGCTTGGCTGGTTGTTGCTAAAGATACATACAAGAGCAATCCAGTCAGCACAAGCCCGGGCACTGCTGCTCAGCTCCTTTTCGCCATCCATCGTCTGACGTGGGACGTCAAGACCGAAATCGCTGCGCTGGACTTGCTGCGGAATAGAGCACATAAGTAGACTCTTGTGCGTATGAGAGGGCTGACGCGACACGCTACGAGCTGATGGCCAACTTTAATGAGCTTACGATACGGTACAGCCCATCGTGTCTTTCCGGATCGCCCTGATCAGTTTCGGATCAATGGACTAGTTGTGCGTAAAGTGGCTCTCTAGAGCCACACCCGCCGGCGAGTGGAGTCCCACGCTCTGGAAGGTGCTCAGGGCTGGCTGCATCCTCTGGGCCATGTGCAGGCGCTTTGGGGCGCATTATGATGGAATGGAAAGGAAGACAGGCCTGATGCCGTTGCCGGCCCTTCCAAACCGCGCGACCACGCGTTCAAACCGCATGGTGCTGTTGGTCCTTGTTGGGTTTCAAGAAACTCCAGGCTCTCAAACATGCAGGCCGGTGCTCGTCACCACGACTAATGACGTAGCTTATGAATCCACAATAGCTACCCATCGGCCGCTGCGCAGGGCACTATGCATGTGTAAAACACGGCGGATTGCATAGCGCACAACGAGACGCAGAGAGGCTTGCTGCTTCGCATGGAGTCGCTATGGGGTTGTTGACCTGGGGATTCATTCCTGAAATTGGGAGGTATTTCCCGTGGGCGACAGGAGCAGAAAGGAGCGTTCAGCGCAATCTTGACCCCCCTGCCTCGACAGTCTCGCTCTGGCTGATAAGGCCGCCGTGTGGCCATGACTCTGTATTGGGTAGGACCCAGACAGGAGACACGGGCGGGCATGGGTACCAGGCCGGTACTTGCGCAGTCTCGGGACGCTACGGGTTCTGGGGGCCGGGTCAGGCCAAACACCAAAAGGTGGCCAAGCGTGGTCGTCTGGTTGTCTGGTTGTCTGGGCTGCTGGGCCAATTCCTGGGGCACGGGCAGCCCTAACGACACGCCCCCCTATCTGCGCCAAGGCCCCCATGGCCCACGAACGAGCGAGCGAATGCGACGGCAGCAGATAACCTGCTGGATGCCGGATCCCTGTCCGCTAGGCTGGCCGGTGCCATCCCATTGCCCGTCCAGCGTTCCCCAGCAAGCCAGCGGCGCCCTGCAGCGAGCCAGTGTGTGTGCGCGCAGGAGACACCTGGGCTTGCTGGGCTTGCTGGGCAGGCAGGCAGGCAGGCAGTCAGTCAGTCAGTCAGTCGGTAATGTATGTAAGTGCTGTCGTCGCTCCTTTCCCACCTGGGCCTCCTCCCCTTCCCCCAACCAACATCAACAAAGAGAACAACAACACGCATTCTTGCACCCAAGAGTCATCTTCCTGTCACAGTCACGGTAATCGCGTCAGCGCTGCTATTTTGCCCATATCGTTTTTGTGTCTTTGCACCATCTGCTCCAAGCACAAATCCATCGCCATCAACACCCGCGACAAGTGCCTACTTCGGATGTAAGTCGCCCTCTGACTCAAACCTCGCCCCCAGTGACTCGATCGTCCACGACGCTCGCGTCGCACCGCCAACCCCCGTCTTCAGCGATCAAGAGTACTTATTCCGTGTCGCTTCGCCCTACAGACTTCCTCCCAAGTAAGCTGCAATCAACATGGCTTCTCTGGCAACCGCTGCTGCTGCGCGCGATATCCCAAAGACCTCCTTCGGCCGAGACAACTTAACTGCTGTAGCGGCCGCCAGGAGCGTCCCTGTGACACGAACTCATCCCCTCCCGACTCCTCCAAACTCCATATCCCCTGCGCTCCCCCCTCACGGCCTGAGGGCACAGCTGCAGAAGGCCTCCAAGCTCGAGCCCATCGACTCAGACCTCGACCTGCACGATGGTACCGAGTCCGACACGGCCGGCTCGCCGCCCTTCGAGTCCGCCGGCGCCATCACCCCAGTCCTGCTTTCCAAGTACCACCTCCCGGAGATCCTGTTGAACCACGGTCCTCTGGCCATCCGTCACATCATGGGTTACTTGACGACGTCGGTGCCCGGCTTCGCCGGTATCCCACCCCCCAAGGCCCGCAGGTTGGTCGTGGCAGCGCTGGAAGGACGGGGACACGGACACGGAGTTGAGGGCGGAGGCGTAAACGGTGACGTGGAATTTGAAAAGGTTGGCTGGGGAAGGTGGGATGCGAAGCGACGTGGTCACGCTACTCGGGGTGCCATCCCCCGATCGTCGCCCGACGCTGCCCCCTACCCTACCAGCATCCCCATCATCAAGGGCGGAAGAGGCATCGACCGGTCCAGGTTGAATGCCCGCGCCTCTAGCATCGGCGATTCGGCGGCCTTCTCTCACGACGATCGCGACGTGACCATGATGGAGCACGAGGCAGATAAGATGTCCATCGACTCCCTCGATGGTCCAGCCTCGGCCTCTTGCTCCGAAGCTGGTGACGACGACGACATGATCATGAATGACGACCCCGAAGATGCGACTGACGACGAAGACTGGGCCGCGGTGGGAGCGGCCGCTCTGCGCGCCGGCTCCTACTCGAGCCCGGCCGAGGCCCGTCAGGGCTTCCTCTCCTCATCCAATGTATATAGGCCTGGCGGCTTCCACTCCTACTCTGGAACCGGCATGCTCCGCGAGCCCAGGTTGGACAACATCGACCTGGCTGCGCTGGCTGCCTCACCCAACACCCAGGAGCGAGATGCCATCCAGGCACTTCTGCAACTCGGTTCTGTATAATCATCTTGCATTGGCGGCGTTTAGGGACAGCACACTCCCTGGTTTGGTTTGGTTGACGGGTTGGCGGGTTGGCGGGCTGGTGGGACAGGTATAAGTGTTATCAACGGTCGAGGCGGCGTTCCTCTTGATCTTACCCGGTTACTCATCGACACGCGGCGTCTCTGGCATATACGATCTGGAGGAAAGGTTTTGGGACACTCTCCACAACACTATGCATGGTATAAGCATGCTCACAACCCTGGAGGTTTTCGATCCAACATTCCTCCTTGGTAGCGGGCCTTCTTTTGGAGTCGATTCTTTTCGCTTCATTATACGAATTACGAACCTTTTGCAGATGGTCCACAACGGACACGTCTGTCGACCCGGGAGGGTTTTTGGCAACCTTTGAGACCGCGGTTCTTCCTGGTGTGCTCGGTCTCCATATACCCTCTTGCGTCACGATTTCATCTCAACATTATACCCCTTTTTGCACATATTCATCCCCCGCTATTTTCCGCTGGCAGAAAATACTCCCCATTTCAACATTGTGGGGAGGCGTCTCACGGAATATGGACGCAACTATTTCCGCGTCAATATCCCTTACATTATTTCGATAGCGCTTGCTGCGTTCTCGCATTTAGACCTTTTTAATATCTGGAGGAAGTCTTGGAGCGCGACTCGGACTGGGATGGAAGTTGGGCGAGGGAAGCTGGTAGGCTAGCACGTTAAGCTGGACATTCATACCGAGCGACGAGCAACCAGCGCTCTTGGCATGTGGTTGACACGGAGGAAAAAAAGAGATCAAGTGGGCGTCATCTTACGTCTGCCGTAGATGCTAAGAGCGAAAGGAAAATATTATGTCCAGCTTGATCACGCAGAAAGAAAGGAGCACAAAGCAGATACTTTTTTTTTTCGAGGGATTGCTTGATTAGGTGTCTGTCTAGTTGTGGAGGCTTGCCACTCACAGAATGAACTCTTGATCGTCTTTCCCAAGGTCGATGCCTTCAGTCCTCTTGTGCAAATGTGATGTCCCGCGTCGAGCTAGGGGGGCAATTATTAAAGGCAAATCGATCGACTGTCCGTGTAAGTCTTCCAAAACAACAAAAAGCAGTCTGCCTGTCTAACTTTGACGGCCTTTTCACAGAATTATTAAACCAGAACCAAACCCCTTTCGGCCTTTGTGAGCATCCACAGAATATTGAAGTGAAACCGGTTCTCGACTTTGTGACTCACACCCGACGAAGATGGACCTCAAGTTGGTGCCGTCGTATGTGGTGCGATTGCATTTGCTTCCATGAAGTCCAGACCAAATCCTGCACACGATCGTGCTAGTCAAATCCTCAGTACTGCCAAGACAGGGTTCGCATCACCTTCGTCGAACGCATCTCTGTCGGTAACTTCTCTTGGTGTTGCTTGGATTCTGCCGCTGATTTTCGCCTGGCCGAGCAGTGTGCTTGTCACGACCAACGCAACAGAAAGGATGGACGCAAACTGATCGTCCGTCTAAAGCAGCAGCTCTTTTTCTCTCTTCGCCCCTCGTCTTTCCAAATCAAAACCATCCGAGGCGCGTCTGAAGGGTAAATAGGATTGTCCTCATCTCTGCTGTGCGTGGGCTTCTGCCTCATCGTCGGTTAGACGTCGACGTCCGCCTCAGAATCTCGTTCGCCTTCATCCTTCATCTTGTCTTCTTGGTCTTCAACCCCGGCTTCTTCGTCCCCGATCTTATCTTCCTCATCCTACATATCGTCATCCCAATACTCATCCTCAGAATCCGTGTCGACAATCTCCCCACGCTCTCTCCTCTCCTGCCTGAGCATGTATTGGTAATTCTTGCACTCGTCAAAGGGAAGTAGCGCGCATCCGCACAGACAGAGGCCGGAGTAGGGGTCCCTGTATCCGAATCTCCACGAGGGCACCAGCAGATCCTCGACGGTTTCGCCTCCCAGATCATCGTCGTCCGGGAGGTCCAGTGGCCACCATCCCACTTGCTCGTACATCTTCTCGGCCCGTTCGCTGTCAGACATGATGGACTGCGGCACAATCGTCGCAGCGACAGGCTGTCCATCCGGGCCGTGCTCAATGCGGACGTCTTGCGCCAGACACCATGATTTGGCTTTGATCGCCGCTCTCTCGCGTTGTTGGTAGTCACACCACTTTTTGGTCCATTCATCCAGCTTGCTCAGCAGCGTGGTGCACTTCAAGCGGCCATCGATGAGCCTCGCCAGACGAGCCATCGTGCTGATGATGCTGTCCATCCTGCTGAAGCTATACACACGCGCAACCTTGAGGTGCGAGACAACGATCTCAATGAACAGCTCTACATTTGCGCGCAAGATGGAGCGGCGTCGAGCGTTCGCGGCGTGGAACACGGCGCCAAGTGAGGACTCGCAGTCCCCGTCGATGAGTGAACGTGCCAGTCGGTCACGGACCTTACCGAGTGTCAGGTGTGTTAAGACAAAACGTGAGTATACGTATGCCTTTTTGGTTTCAACAAGATCATCGTCTTGCTCACAGGTATCAGAATTGCCTCCATGGATCGAGTCTTTGTTGTCACCACAAAGGGCTTTTCCATCACTACTAGCTTCAACATCTGAGGTTGTGTCGGAATCTTCGCCTTTATCACATCTACTGTGGGTACCGGTTTCGTCGATGCTCGTGATAATCTCGTCATCCTGACGGATTTTGTCGACGCTTTGAATGCTGGTACAAACTCCGGTGACCTCGCCAGAATCTTGGTCGGCCCGTGGGACTGGCTGCAAGACAGCGCCATGGTCCAGGAGGAGCTCAACGACTGGCTTCGGCGAAAGGTATATAAACGCAAGGAGAAGTGGACAAAATATGCCGCCGCCGATGGACATGTTTGGATCTGCGCCCCCCTCGAGGAAATTCTTGATGACACGCGGCTCGGCTTCGGATTCGAGGGCTGCGTATAGAAGATGCGTCTTTGAGGCGGGGGGTAATTTGCGAACGACCTCAGGTGCGATGCTCTTGCTCACAGCATCATAGTACTCTTGCGACACTTTGGGCACTGCAGGGATGTAGGGCATGCCCCGAGAATCTTCCTCCTCGTCTGGCTCCCCTTCTGTCGGCTTCGATGAGTCTGGTATTGTGACAGGCTCTGACATGAACTGGAAAGGCCATTTGAACAGCTTTGATGCATAACCGAGGTCCTGGCAAAGATAATGGTGTACGTCTAGGTCCACCACCAGGGCCAAACCATCCGGCGTCTCCCGCTCCACAACGGTTGCGAAGAAATCCAAGATGGTTTCTCGATCTATGGTCTCCTTCTTGCACGAAGGTGCTAAAACTTTGGCGATGGTTGTATCCTTGTCTACAATCGCAGTCATGAGTGGTGACCGGCGATGGCGGTTGTCCAACGGGTCTGCACCATACCGCAACAGGATACCGATGCAATCCAGGAGCTGGCTATCCCGGTCCCTGGAGCGCTCACAAGCCAAACCGAGGGCTGTTGATCCGTCCGAATCTACATCATCAACTCTTGCACCAGACTCGAGCAGCAAGCGGACCGGGCCACTTGGTCGACATGAGCTACTTGCAGCGTTCATGAGCGCCGTTCGTTGCCGTTCATTTCTTGCTTGGACGTTTGCATCAGCGTCCAAGAGTATCTGGATAGCCTGCGTATCGGCATTTGCAGCTGCCAGCATCAGGGGCGTGCTGCCTTCATTGGCGGAACGCAATTCTGGATTTCTGCCTTGAGACCACGGATGTTCCACGTCAGCCCCGTTTCGAACCAGATAATGCACCATGCGCAGCCCATACGCTACCTCTTCGTCCGGCCAAGGAGCTTGCAGGCAGATGTTCAGTAGAGGATTAAGTAGCCCCCTGTGACCATAAGGCGAAGATGTGTCGACGGCGAACTTGACCAACATCATGGCGTCAGCGAAACGACGTGAGACGCAGGCCCGGCTCATCAATTTCTGATGTCCCGAGTCGTCGATTCCAGTATGGATGTTGGCGCCGTGTCTCACGAGCCACATAAAACAGTCCATATGACGTTCCCGGAAAGCGAGATCTAGAGGCGTTTCATTGGAGTTGTCGCCCTTGTCGAGGTTGGTCTCGAGCCCTCGCTCAACTAAATACTTCACGAGGGAAAGCTGACCAAAGGAGCATGCGTCGTGGAGCACAGTTCGTCCTTGGTTGTCCACGCGGCTGGCATTAGGGTTGCTGAATGTATGCTCAATCAGCACTTGGGCCGTGGAGACCTGGTTACAGCACATGGCGAGATGCAACGGAGTCGGAGCCGGATTGTGGCACCCGCATGCCGTCTTCGCGGTGCTGTTGATATTCGCACCTCCCTTGAGGAGAGTTTCGACGATGGCGCGGTAACCCATTTTGGCTGCCAGGTGAAGCGCCGTGTAAGTGTATTTGTTCCAGCCGCGATCTAGGTTGGTGGAGTCGAGGTACAGATATGAACCCGTCCAAGCGTCCACAATCCAATACTCACTGCTGGGATCCTGTCCAGCACCCAGCATCAGCTCCACCGATCTCAAGTGGGCTTTGCTGATTGCTTTGTGCAGAACGTCTCCTCCGCGTCCGGTTGCGAAGGCTCGCGCGTAGAGCTCTGCAATGACGCATGCATAGATGCCTCTGTTCGCCAAGGCGAGTCTGAAGATGTCGCGGCATGCCGATATCTTGGCTGCGACCAACGTCACCAGCTCAGCTGGGAGAGCGTTGAATGAGGCGGGCATGTTGTCGTATGAACGAGGCGAAGTGGTGTTTGGAACGATAAAGTCAAGAGGAAAATTGATACGTCGTTCGTGCTTGCGTTCGTCTCGAAGATCGCACAGAGAGGATTCTCTCCGCTCTCGTCAACGACGCCGTGACGAGATAAAATGAAGGGAAAGGGCGAACCTCTACGCGGAGAGTGATATATTTTGCGCGATCCCTTACGAGTGGTGTTCAAGTGATGAGAGGAGGGGGTACAGTGTGCTCTTTTCTGAATGTTGAGCGGAAAGGTGCTCCCTGCGAGGATCTCCACCGCGGGATGATGCGGATGACGGTTGATGGTCTAGGATTGTAGATGGAGATGTGTTTGGGCTTTCTGTGACGGTTGGTGCAGGTATGACGGTGGGTTGGTGATTGGGATGATGGGGGAATGATGAGGTTATCAACTGATGAAATTACGAACAGAAGAACGTGGGGGTAAGGGTTTTGACCATGACTGAGTCTCCGCTCTTACCCTATCTTGGTATTCTAAACACGACAGCGAGCGAATCGAAATAGCTTTCCATTCGAGGAAGGTATCCGCAGGCTCAGCCGCGGTGCGGCTCGTCAAGGCAGCGATGTGTGGCACTGGGCCCGGACCTTCTTGGCGACTAATGTCATGATAATAATGATGGTTCCCCAAGAGGTATAATCAGATATTCAATACTGGAAATAGGCTTATAAATAGTGGTAGTACACACTTTCATCGCGCGAACCAACGAAGGCTGCACATGTAGGACTGTCTATCACCAGGTTCTGTGCAGCCATGGGTCCTACGGCATCTTAAACAAGCGATACAAGTCGAACAGTTAGAACAAAAGGGGTGTTTCGTAAATTATTAGGAAGACGACAATAGGTTACACTAATCATCATAGTTGACTTTCAATGTGACTAGCCCAAAGGTTAGGCAGTCTGGCTCCTAGTCTGACTCCTAGTCTGACTCCTGGCCTGAGTTGTTGATGTAGTAAATGTACACCAGATTGTCAAGCTAGATACCTGTTTGCAGGTGCTTCATGGTTGGGGATTTATGGCAAACGAGTACCAAGCTTTGCGCTGCTACATCAAAGCAAGACAGTATTGCATGTGGAAAGGACGCAGAGACAGGCGTCTTATTGCAAAAATGACTAGATTTTCTTTGGACTGACCATACTGACTTCGCGGACGTAAGGCGTTCTGTGTCCACAAGGAGAAAATATGAAGGTAAGTCCTCGAGTGCGTGAAAAGATATTCTTTATGGTGTCAGTAACATGAGTCCTTCATTCGTGCCGCAATAAAGTACGCCCAGCAGTTCTTGATTCAAAGACTTACGTATCTGGATTACACCCCAGCGCAGCACCACAGTCGAAGGGCTTGCAAATATCACCAAGAAGCAACATCTATTTCTCCGAGACCAACATTAGCCTTGAAGAATGGCCCGTCATGGCCCATATAAGGGTCATAGTTAGACAAGGGGCAGTAATCCTCGAACTCAGCGGCAAACGATCGGGTTTCTTGAGTGACCCGTTGGCGCTCCAACTATTCCATGGTATCTTTACATACACCACTATCTTTTACATTTAAATTGCACAATAGACAAGATATGATCTCTTGAGCTCTGTATATCATCTTCGGTTGCTATTTTCTGCTTGTTTATGCTATCTAAGGCAAAGAGATTTCATCTTCCATCCACGCTGGCCTTCTTGAACCAATAAACATGCACTGAGCATCCATATCCGCAATATGTGAGGAAGACTTTGACCAAACCAGATCTCCAGAAATGCTTGACGGTCATCATCCCTGCTGATTAGTGCTACTTGACTTGTGGCCGGAGAAAGCGCCTTTGAAGCCTTAGTCGCAAAGTCACTTGAGCCGTACCAAGTAGTCGTGAAACTCCTTGCTCACATGGTGTTGGGCGTAATATAAGGGAGTCTTATCCCAAATATCAGTCGCTGTCTTGCATGCTCCATGTCCCACAAGAAGTTTGGCAATACATATTCGTTTCCGCGCAACCATCTTTCCCTCGGGCTCGTTCTGGCGTGGCGTTCTCGTGGCGCCACAAAGATAGTGAAAGGGTGTTCGATGCTTTGAATCACGCACATCAATGTGGTCAGGGGACGTAGCCTGCAGTAAATATCTCGTCTGGGAAAGGAGCTTGAGGTCACACGCGATATGCAGGGGCGTGACGTTACCTTCCTTGCCAACCTGTGAAGGTGAGGCTCCATGAGACAAAAAAAGCCGGACCAGCTTCCCAGTCTTGAGGAAAGGACCCTCCAGAGCCAGAATTCTGCATAAAGGGGTCTCATTTCGCATATTATGTTTCGCGTCTTTGCGATTAGGAGAGGCCCCTTCATCGAGGAGAAGTTCGAGGATCTGATAGAAACGCGCGGTGGCGAGTCCATTATCCTCAAATTGAAGAGGCCCGCTTGGGTGCCCCTCCGCTTGTTCCTGCGCAGCCCATGACTCTAGGCACTCTAGGACCAAGGAAAGCGATGCGTTAATAGGAGCGCCGCCAGAGATGAAGATCTTGGCTAGTTCGACATCCTCGTCGGTGATTTCATCACACAAATGATAGCTCATTGGAGGGATACAAGAGTCAAGCAACTCTCCCCAGACGCCACATCTTGAGAGCAGGCGGAGCTTTTGCTTAATATCATCCGTGAGTTCATTGTGATATTGATATTCGAAGAATAAGTTCATATCATAATTGGAGAAGGCAAGACGGCTGATACCTAAGTCTTGAATGCGGTGAACGACGTGTTGAAAGGTGTCGAAGGGTGCGTCTTCCCTAATCAAAGACGTATAGATCGGAGATTCCCTGTCGGGCGAGGACTGGCCTTCCTCTGGACGAGGCTTGGGTAGGAGCAAATCGATAATGGCTCTGCGGTTGGCGAAAGACATGACTTCGGAATCAATCATTGCGTTGCCAAGAACAGCAATGTTGAGTGGGTGTTCATCCCAAATATATTCAGAGTGAGCGTCCGGATCGGCTCCACGCGAAATAAGGACCGTCACAACCTTCACTTGCTGCGCAATTATGGCAGTTACGAGAGGAGTGAGCTTGGTATTCGCGGAGTTAGGGACACGCGGTAACTCTTTGGTACCTGCCGGCAGTTCGTCGCCCGGCCAGGTCTGGTTGATGTCGGCGCCATGGTCCAGCAAGCTCTTCACCAAAGAAAGGTGGCCAGCGGCACAGGCCCATCGTAGTATGGTTCCTGATCCCAGAGCGTTCTGCTTCAGCAGGTGGTCATTGGCGAGGTGGTGGAATTTTCGAGAAGTCAGGATGATGCTCCTCAGATCCTGGTCGTCACCGAGATTCTCGAAGATTCCTAGAATCAATTCATTCGGCAGGCGTGAGATGCGATCGGCTGCAGCCAGCGGAGGTTGCGCAATTTGGGTGGAAGCCATCGCTTGTATATGTATGATATGTTGCGATTGCTTGTAGGTTGATCGTGACGAAGTGTGGATTGAAGTTTGCGTTGATGACTATGAAGTGAGTTTGTCGCTGGTGCGTGTGTACAGAAGAAGTATCGCGCCATGCAGCTGCAACCTCAAGACCGTGAGTCAGGTGGTTGATGGTGACGATGGAGTGAGGTTGTTGCTGGATGGCCTGCGAAGTTGAGGGCTATAGCGGCCGGCGTTTGTCACAATGGAAACAATGCCTGATGCAAGAACCGTTGCAACGCTGAAAAATCGTGGACCAGATACTGGGCCAGCAAATCCTCAAAAGTGGAATGAGAAGGCAGTGTTTGCAACGGCAGAGGAGGAAACGTCGTTGAACCGTGCCAAATGATAGTCCGCTGCTTGGACGAACAGGCGTCAGGAATGGCGACACCTCAGATGTTGCCTTCTCATAGTTTGTTCTTTCCTTTGGGCGCTCTGATTCAGCTCGTATTAATTTGATGCTATCTATGTACGGTGTAGAATATTAGGTATGTACTTCAGTAATTGGCCATGCCGATGGTTCTTGTCATGAAGTCGTAGCGTCATAAGATCTCTATCCGCTCCTCAACCACATCCCCCAATGACTCCTCCTCATCGCACCCCATTCTATGACCCTTTGCCGTGCTCTTTGTTTTTTGTGGCAGTTATGCCCCGGATCTCCAGGCCCTGTCCCTAGAACAGCTCCACGCCCGCCCCAATGTGATAGAGATCATCCCTCCTTGTCCTTCTTCAGCAGCGATATGCTGGGCGGGTTGCCCGAGTTCCAGGTGGTCGCCTTGTTCATCGTCTTCTTGCGCATGATGGCCATGATCTCGGACTCCATGCGGTCGATGCCCTTCTCGATCTCGACGTCCTCGGCGGCGTACTCGCGCTGCCGCCGCTTGTCCATCCACCACCACGACCCGACGATGACCAGCGTCAGCGGGATCGTCACCACAAAGTACACCCACAGATACTCGGACACCTGGGCGCCGGCGCCGCTGCTGTCGCCCGAGCCATCGGACGGCCCGACGTTGAAGTCGAAGAAGGTCATGCTGAAGAGCGACGCCAGGAACGTCCCCGGCAGGAACACGGCACCCAGGAGCGACAGCGTCTTCATGGCGGTGCTGTCGCGCTTGCTGGCGTGTGCGAGACGCCGCTGCTGCGCGGCCATCTCGAGGTTCAGTTTGGATTCCTTTTGGGCAATAATGTTATACAGCTGGCGAATGTTAGTACAGGATTAGACTAGCAAAAGGTTGAAAGTCTTCAAGCTTACAGCTTGTCGCTGGATGTTCAGCCGCTCCAGCGTCGTGTGCGCATAGTTCTCAACGCCTAGGAGCTTGATGCGGTAGAAATCCAGGCGGCTCTCCATGCTGCCGTGCAGAGCCTCGAGCTCGCCGCGGTGGAGTTCGGGTCGCGAGGTCTGGTGGAACTTGACCATGGCCTCCTTCATCTCCTTGATGATCTCCTGGTAGGCCTGGGGCCGCTTCCAGAGGACCTGGGAGTGGCACTCGACGAGGTCACGGTTGATGGCGTCGAGGTCGAAGTCCATGTAGGTCTCGCGCTCCTCGATCTCGTTGCGCATGGTGACGGCGTTCTCCAGCCGGCGCAGCCAGGCACGCGCGTCGCGCTGCTTCTGGTCCGTCTTGGCCGACAGGTCGTGCGACAGGATGATGACCGGCAGCAGCATCGGGTGTGCGATCTGGTTGGCGCACGCGCGCAGGTGGTGGATCGACTCCTCAATGTCCGACGACGGCGTGCCCTTCACGTAGCCCGTCGTGATGCCCGTGTTGAACGAGTGCGAGAGCATGATCTCCCACCCGCGGGTCTTGCCCTTCTTGCGCACGTCCGACTTGCGGAAGATGATCTCTGCGCCGCCGTTAGCAAATGCATCGCCTCAGGTGAGCACCGGTGATGGTCTACACGTCGGAAAGACGTACGCAGGTGAGGATCGTGTGCATCCTGATCAAAAGCAGCCCAGAAGAAGGGCCCTACAACACTGGTTGACTCGATCGCCCGAAAGGGCAACCGCATGCTCCTAACCATGACCTCATATTCAGTCGGCGTCAGTGTGATGTAGTTTGGCGTGAAAGTCTCTGGCTGTTTCGCATTCTTCTGAAGCCTAATTCCATCAGTTAGTATATCATGCCTCACATGGGCGATAGATGTGGGCTTCACCTACACTAATCGGAGGCCATCGCGAATCTTGACGCCTTCCCTCAACTTTGGTGGTTCAAAAGCCCCCTGAGACGCAGAATAGAACAGTCAGTATGCTTCCTTTCGGTTCACGTGTATAAAAGCGCCAGCACTCCATCCCAATAGGAGATGCTTGAGTCCCGGAGTGCGGCTCAGACTCGCCGTTCCCCGCCGCCCGGGCGCCATGAAACTCCACCCGCAGGACTCGGAAAACCGGCAGGCGACCTCAGGTCAGGGGCACCAACGCCAGCCAAGGGGGCGAGCGCCGGGCCGCGGCGGCGCAACGGGGTGCAATTAAAACCGGCCAATGAGACTTACCCGGCGGTAGAGGAAGTTCTCGAACTCATCGGGCGTGAGTGGATGCTCCTCGTCCGTGTTATACTCGGGGTCCTGGGTTCGAGCGCCGCGGGTTAGCCTTTTTTTTTTTTTCCAGCCTGTCCCACGATGCGCTTAGGGAGCGGTGTGAGCTGGGGAGCTGAGTTGAACAGCCGCATTTTCTGCACTGCCCTCTCTCTCTCGCGCCCGCTACCCACGGCCAACGCACCCAATTGCGGAAGAGGAATGAAACATACCGTGTAATTAAATATCTCCAGGTAGCTAGTGGCCTCGGGCACGTATTTGCAGCTGTTCACATAGCTGCGGAACATGTAATCGTCCATCTTCCTTTTCGGCGCGAGGCAGTCAAGTCTCCAGAGACCTGCCGGAGAAAGGGTTTATAAGAAATGGAGAAGAGCAGCCAAAAAGGCAACGACGAAATGGGCAGTATAACACTCTAGTTCTCTTTTTTTAAGCGAGCATGCAGAATTGAAGAAATGTCTCACAGCAGCATCAGCAGCAGCTTCATTGGACTAACACCGGACAAGTCTGACGTGCAGAGCGAGCGAGACTCTGCGGAGAAAGATGGGCTGCCTTTTCGCAGGACTTTTTGCAGGACCGAGACGCTTGGCCAGCGGGAGCCCCGTGGGCCTCGTTCGTTTCGCACCCGCGGCGGGCTCGAGGGAAAAGGGTCTAGCCGAATTAATGGAGATGGCGGGTGTTTGACGGATCAGCCATGCGAAGAGCTATCCCCTGTAGAGTATGCACGGGCGGGGGGTGAGATATGACAAGGGCACGGTTATAGCGTGCATAGTGAGCGTATCGACCCCGACCGTGTCGGCAAGCCAGCATAAACTTGATCGGCCGCTTGTCGCGGCCTGAGAACGGTTCCATTGGCCGTGTAGATCTCCGACACACAAGGGATGGAAAAATCCCGGTTGGGGTGCTGCAATTCCATATAGTTAATCTGCACAATAGTTATTCTTCCTGAGTAATGCTAGCTTGACCTGTTGCTATGCTAGCCTTGGCAAGAGAGGTCTATGCCTGAAGACCCTGACACACGATAACTCCGTCGAGCACTCGACTATAATGCAATGACAACTAATACCCAAACCTGCAGCTGTGCTTCCTCTGGCCGATTTTTTGGCCCATCCTACAAGCCGGGCCTGTCTTGTCATGACCCGTGAAACCCGTCCCAATCCCAATCATATCCCCAATCCTAGGTAATTCAAAGAGGGGCGGCGGTTAGAAGTCAACAAACATGTGGCCGAGCCTACAAGTCATTCATTAGTAATCATCGAGTCCGGGAGGCTCAAGTTGCAACTCACTCATCATGACCCCCTTGCCCGTACTTCTCCGTCTCTTCAGGGTACCTGTCAAACTGGCTCGCATCTCCCGCGCCAGCCTTGACCGGGGGCGTATATGGAGCATCAATGTCCTTCCTCGACAGACGATCCCAGGTGACTTCGGCGAACCAAGGGTGGTTCTTCACATCCTGCGATCCGCCGTACAAGTTACCCAGACGCTTGGTCAGATCGTGCGTGATGAGCCTCTCCAGCAGATCCTGCGCATCTGGGTGAACGTACTGCGGGTACTTGACTTTACCCCTCAGAATATTCTCATATATTTTCATTGGCGAGCCACTGTCCCAGAACGGCGTGTATCCACAAAGCATTTCGTAGATTAAGATGCCCAATGACCACCTTGGCAACACTGTTAGACCGGGTACCGACTCCACTCTCTAATGAAAATGCAACTTACCAATCGACTGATTTATTGTACCCCTTGTTGGACACAACTTCCGGTGCCAGATAGTCCGGGGTACCACACAGTGTCCAGGTCTTGTCCGGGACTCGCTTTGCGAAACCAAAATCTGTTATTTTGAGGTGTCCGTGGCGATCCAGGAGCAGGTTCTCAGGCTTGAGATCCCGATAGATGATGTGTTTGGCGTGCAAGTATTCCAGCGCCAGAGTGACCTCGGCAGCGTAGAACTTGGCCACCGGGTTAGGGAATCGCTGCGGGAGTATAAGCCACACATGTTCAGGGAAGTTTAACAAAGGTGCAGTCACTTACGCCTGATTTTCGTAGCAACGAAAACAGCTCGCCTCCCTCGACAAAGTCCATGACCATGTAAAGATTCTTCGAATCCTGGAACGTCCCCCACAACGTAATGAGGAAAGGGTGTTTGACTTCTCCCAGCATACGCCGTTCATCGTTGGTGTGTTCGACTTGCTTCATCTTCACAACCTGCGCTTTCTTGAGGACCTTCACGGCATAGAACCGTTGGTTGTGTTTGGACTGGACCAGGTGAACACGGCCGAAACTTCCGGTGCCCAACGTCCGCAGGATATCGAAGTCATTCAGCGAGTATTTGCCCTTCGTCACTCGTGTGTCCGACGTCGCTTGGCCATGTTGCTGCTGATTCTGTGGCGGAGCTTGCTGAGACGCCCCATGATGGCCGGCACCTACGCTTCTGTCAGTGGACTCAAGGAAGCAGTCCGAGGTAGCTCAAGACGTACCATCGGTCTGCGGGGGATGTATGAGGTTGTTGATGCTCGGCAGGCTCTGCGGCGTCCCAACCTGGCCCGGACTTGGCGTGGGCTGAATCCCAAAGGGCGGTTGCTGTTGCTGCTGGGGTTGGGCTACGGTATTCATTGATTGTGATCCACCAGCCGAAGCTGGTGCCTTTGCGTCTTGGCTTCCAGGGTGGTTTTGGGACGAGGTCGTTCGGGTATGGGAGACGGAGCTCGCGGCCGTGGTCTGGGTTGGTGTGTGTGTGAGCTGGCTGTCGAAACTCTGGGAGATGGTAGGTGTGATCGGGGTTACGGGACTCGTGGGTTGGCTGGAGGAGGGATCGGTCTTTTCTTCCCTCGTCCGCTTCTTCTTGAGGAAGCCGAGAGTCGGCATATGATATATCTGTCTTGAGGCTAAAGGGTTCCGACCCTGATAAGTGCCAATGAGGTCAGGATGCACTGCAGACGAGGACGTCTCCAGTGAGGGGAGCTGCAAGATGGCGGTGCGACTTCTGAGGCTATCGGGAGCAGGCTTTCGGGCCGATCAGACTGGTCTTGACTGCTTCGGCGGGCGATCGCGAATGGTAGACGTAGACGTAGACGCGGAAGGTACAAGGTAGGGTTCACTCAGAGATGGCGCATTCCAAGCCAAGTGACGAGCGCGGATAGTTGTTCTCCCTCTGAGCGTTTCGGAGCCACAGCGCAGGATGCGTGGGAAGTAATACCTTGGGCTAGACCCGAGCTGCAGCCACGAGGCACGAGAAAGAGCCAAGCGAGTACAGTAGTCGGTCAATCGTGATAACTCGCCGTGGCTGGTGTTATCAACGTCGACGGCCCCCGGAAGCTGGTCACTGACTGACGACGCTTGGTGCCGACACTGTGGTTCAATCGTTTCCGGCTACTCCAAAGAAAGGGCTGCGACACAAAGAGATTCAGCTCATGTACGCGGGTGAGGTGAATTGAGTCGTCGCAAGTTCCCCTCGTTTTTCCTTTCTTTGGCCCGTGGGAGGATGACGGCAACCTTGGGTAGGGGGCCGTACGGGTACGGGTAGCAAAGCTCAAAGAGGGGTCGCAGAGGCTGCTGGCTAGGCGCTGAGTGCGAGAAAGTTGCGCAATTGCAACAGCTGGGCCCTGACGTCGATGGAGTTCTCAGCTCCTTAGTTTTAGGTCCTGGCTGACTGGGCACCGGGGGGGATGAACAACAACTACTAGTACGAATAGCTTGGTACCTGGGCGCTGGGTAGGGGGACAGATCGTCGGGTGGCTACAACAGAGGGCTGAATGGAGGCTTCAGGCGTCCGTGGTTCGAAGAGGTTGACTTCAATTGGGAATTGCGTGCAAGGGATCAATTGGAAAAGGGATCAGGATGCGTGAGGAGACGGGAGGGGGATGGCAAGCGCAGCGTAGCTGGAATAAGGTTCCGCAGCGTGCGAAACTCTGCTGGCGCCGAAGGAAAGCTGTACCGTAGTAGCTGTGAGACGAGACTCACGCACACGCACGAGCAAGCATCAGGCGAGGCATCTTGACGACGATGGATCACAAGGTGGGGTTTTTCTCGTCGATGTTGTAACTACAGCCCAAGATCGGCCTGCGGGCTTGCTGGGTTGGCCTGAAGACGACAAGGATCCAGTTCTGCCAATAGCGGGCCGCTCGCGGGGTCAGAGACATGCCCAGCGCGCACTAAAGACCACCTTCAGCTCTTTGTTCCTTTTCCTAGGTAGCTAGCTTGCAAGCAAGCTCCGAGGTGCAAGCAACGTCCAGTGGGACTGACGATATCTGTCGTAGGGCCTGCTGGACCAAATGGCCAGCGTTTTGAGCTGCCCGTAGCGATGCTGGTCTAGTCCATGTCTGCACCCGGCTGTGTGTGGGAAGAGGCCGTACGTTGTTGCGTGTCACACTGGTGACGAGCTAACTAAAGTCGTCCTACCTATATCCGCAAGCTCGGTACTGCAAGTTCACTGTAGCTAGTCTCAGTGGCTGAGAAGCTCGACCTGAAATCAGCCCCTAAACTAGGCAGGCTGGTAGGCTGGTAGGCTCTGGCACTGGGAACGGGCCAGGTCGAAGCAACGTGAACCCATCGCCGTGCTCGTCTGTCACATATTCAATATAATTCCCTGCCTCTGCTCGCTGGCCGGCGAGATCCGTGATTTGTCGAATTGACTGTTCGCTTCCACCTCCCCTAGACCATTTCCCTGCGATCGATTGAGGGCATAGTAAAGGTAAAGGTAGTGAGTGTGGGGTAGCAAGGCGAGACCCAGCCGACTCTCCCGCAATTCAATGCGTCATACCCTTGCTCGGTCTTTCATTGGACAATTGGACATCCGCGCCAGAGTTTCCTCCAGGCCAGGTTTTGCCCAAGGGCTTGCCAGGATGACTCCGGGGTTAGCAGGGGGGGCTCATTCGATATGCGTAGTAATAAGACAAACATATATTATATTCACGTACTTGATTCTCGCTCCTGCTCGTTTGAGATTGGCCTCGCTGCATTCAGTCCATGGGACAAATGCTCGATGGGATCTGTCATGTGTTATGTGGCAAAGAGACACATCCGACCTCGCCGGCCGCAGGTGAAGCGACACCGAGTTTCCACTGCAAACTTCGGCTTATATTTTTTTTCAGTAGGCTTAGTGAAAGTCAGCGGAGAGCTAGCGAATCAACACGTTGCACTCACTGCTGGCCTATCTAGTCCAGATACGTTGTTGGCCTTTCGAACAGGTCAATGTCATGATTGATCTATCTTCAACATACAAGTGGTCAGGGGCGTACTGTAGTTTACCGAGTCACGGCGACGGCGACGGCAGGCGTAGGCATAAGCTAATTCATTGGCTTTTAATGTATCGAGAGATGATTATACACGACCTTTTGCGCCCGACCTCCTCACAAAACCTAGGAGAGAAAGAAGTTGCGAGGCTCCACGAAAAACGGGTACAAAATCCAGTCCCCAACAATGCAGATGGTATATACGGTTCATCTCGCCCCCTCATCATTGGCGCGTAGCATGGTGAGTATCAAAACCTGTGCCACCCGGGGCCCGGTCCGCTTAGAAACGGTGTGTTCTCCTCTTGCTGGACCTGTAAGCCGTGTAGCCAACGTAGCCACCGCCAACGACCATACCGAACAGGAGGAACTTGATCAGGAACCATCCCCAGCCGCCGCTCTTGTTGGGTGGCTGGTTCCTGTTCTTGCGACCGCCACCTGGCGAGGACTTGCCGGCTTGGCCGCCCGAGGTGTAGAGGTTCTTTGCCTTGACCGAGATGATGTCGTGGTTGTCGCTCAGCTCGCCCGTCTCGGCGCTGAAGCCGAGGTAGGTCACAGAGGGGATCTGCGGGGGCTCGCTCGTCTCGAAGCAGAGGGCCCACTCGTCCTCGGACTTGTACTGGAGCTCCAGCTTCAGGGACTTGTCCTGGAAGTAGGTCAGCCGGAGCTTGGTGGGCACGCTGGCGTGGCGGATGCCACGAGCGGAGCAGCCGGCGAACTCGGTGTCCTTCCCGTCCGTGTTCTTGTTGTAGGACGTCTTGCCGTCGCCGTACATGGCCATGACGTAAGGGAAGACGACGCCGGGACGGTTGTTCTTGTACGTGTCGACAAAGAGGCCGAGGCCTTCAAAGTTGTCCGAGTGCCCGAAGACGTTTCCTTGCTTCCCGCGCTCTTTCGTAAGCCACATGGCGAAGCCGTCGCCGTACAGCTGGTTCTTGCCGTGGATCTTGAACTCGACCTCGATTTCCCAGTTGGTCGCCGTCAGCGGGACGCGGGAGAATAGCCAGCCATTTTGCGAAGGTCGGTCTGACGTCAAGCGGATGTATCTGTGCCCGTGTTAGCGACTTGGCTGATGACGGCCTCCCTGGGGAGAGGGCGGTGGGCGTACGAGTCGGTCCGGACAATGGTGTCGCCTCCAAAGTCATACCACCGACTGGCCATATCCGAGTCCAGGTATGGCTGTTGAAGGGTGTGCGTTCGCAGCTAGGTGGTGTCAGTCACCGTGCCCCAGTACCTCGGCATCATGGTGCGGATCGGGACTCACAGCAATGCTTCGCACATTGCCATCGTCGTCGTGGCTTACGGCGCCTCTGACGCTCGCGGCCAGCCAGAGGGCCGACAGGGACGACAGCCACCTCATCTTTCAGGTCTGACAGAGGGCAGAAGGCGAAAGGCGGCTGGGTAGAAGGGAAGCGGGTCGAAAGAATAGGGGGGAAACGTGTGCGCAAAGAGAATCGAAGGGAACAGGCGAGCGGAAGAACAGGTAAGGGAAGTGCTTGTCAGAGCGTATGCGGCGCAAAGGGCCTCGTGCAGTTTGCTGCGTTGTGCAAACCGACTACAATGTCGTGTGCTTTTAGGAGCGAGTACCTGGCCTCAGCCTGCGACTTCACGGGGTGGCCAAGGACGGCACTAGTGCAGCAAAACCGCGTAGCCCTCTATCCGAGGCGGGCGTGCAGCTCTGGTACAATATACTATTTAGAGCCCGAATACCACCCGCTCGAGAATTGAAATATCCGCCAGTGAATACAAGTATGGAGATCCGACAGTATCTCACAATGCTGCCGCTGAAGAAAATCGAAGAAGCAACGCTGGTCGTGCCCGGCATCGAAGAGGCCCGCCCCCAGGGCCGCGAGGAGTGCCAGAGTGTGCTCAATGCATAACTGCTTAAGTTGAGTTGAGTTAGACTTTATCGTCTTAGACCGTATTGGCCCCTTCTCCAAAAAGTTCAAAGTGGCCAGCTTGCGAGCTGCGTTTCACAGAGAGCTACCCCTGCACGCCTTGGGGCCCCGTCCACACCCGTCTGATCCATTTAATTGGGGCTGGCTAGAGTGGACGGACAGAACGGGCAGACGGGCTGCGTGAGGCTGGCCGCCTGGTAGCTTGGTAGCTGCTAGCCTTGCGCTAAAGAAATAATCTTGAGAGCCCTTGACATCAATGACAGCTTCGAGTCGACACATCTCTTGCGATAGACAACCAACAACCATCCCCTCCTACCACAGCCTACCGTTCTGCCCACGACCGCTCGGAGGCGACAATCGGACACCGCCTTTCAGTCTTTCACTACACAGAAGTCAGCACCCACCATGGATTCCGAGAGCGTCAAGGCCGAGGTCATCAAGCAGGTCCGCCAGCAATATGCCATGACCAATGCTAGAGAGTTGATCGAGGTATGTATATGGCTCAACAGGCTGTCTCGCGGCACTTTGCACCAATGCGGCACTCCCTCTCGATAAGTCAAGAAGAAGAAGAAGAAGAAGAAGAAGAAGAAGAAGAAGAAGAAGAAAGGAGACTGACCCGCGCCTTGCAGAAAGTCAACGAGCACTGCTTCGAAAAGTGCGTCCCCAAGCCCGGGTCTTCGTTATCGAGCGGCGAGCAGACCTGCTTCACCCACTGCATGGAGAAGTACATGGCGGCGTGGAACCAGGTCAGCACAACCTACATCACCCGGATACAACGGGGTGACTAGATGGGGAGAGAGTCGAACGGCTTGGCATGGTAGATAGATCTCTCCTCGGCATGCGCCGTGTATAATATCACCTGTACAACAAGAACGGCGAATGGGTCCGAGCATGGTGCAGAGGTGTAGCATCATGACTTCTAGGCCAACACGATTACAAATATACATGGGCGGTATACAGCAGAGGCAGTTGGAACAAGTCCGCTCACAGCTGCGCAATAGCATTTGATTCAGATGATAAAGCTACGAGGCACCGTTCTTCTTCTTCTCCTCTTCCGCCGCCCTCTTGCGGGCCAAGTACCTCTCTTTGGCGCTCGATATGTCCGACTCCGTCTTCCGGCTCTTGGCCGCACGCTCGACCTTCTGTCTCTCCTCTTCCTCTTCCTCCAGCGACCGCTTCAGGGCCTGCTCCAGCTGCGCTTCCATCATGCGCGACTGCCGTTCCCGCATGGCGTTCTTGCCACCGCCGGCGCCTACGAACCCTCTGGGCTGCCGGTCGTCCCTGCGGTCCGATCTGCTCGCGTCCTTAGGTACTTCGACCTTCTTCTTCGCGCCGAGATTCAGACCGCCCCGGAGCAGCTCTCGCTTGTCGACCACTTCCCCATCCTCGTTGATGGCGATGGACCCTCCTTTGGCATTGATCTCCTTGGCCCTATCCGTCTCTGTCGTGGTGTTCTTCTTCTCTGTGGATTCCGCCTCGTCTGCCTGGGGGCCGTTCTTGGACCGCTCTTCGACTGCCTTGACCATCTCCGTATGCCGTTCGTCGCCCCTGTTCAGTAGATCCTTGTAGAAGGCCGTCATGCCGCCGCCTTTATTCTTTTTGGCTTCTTCCTCCTCGCGCCGCCTCTCCTCCTCTTCCAATTTCCTGTTCTCTTCTTGCTGCTGCTTGTAGGCCTCGGTGACGAACTTCTCCTTGTCGGCGAACTCCTCGCCCTCGGCCTCGCGCTCCCGCGCGATCTTCTTCTCCTCGGCGATCAGCGCGTCCCGCTTCCGCACGGCCGCCGATGCGATCAGGTTCTTCATGTATTTGGGCCGCCTCTCGGCATCCTCCTGCGAGACCTTCTTCTCGGGCTTCATCGAGTCGTAGACGCCGTCGTAGTCGTAGATGGACGGGTCCAGCTCCTCGGCGGCCTCCTGGTTCTTGCGCGACTCGAGCGCACTCGAGAGGTCCCCGTACATGGAGATCTGGGGCTTCTTGGACTTGGGCGGCGCGGACGGCGGCGCGCCAGCCCGCGATTTCGACTTGGATGTCGGCTTGGAAAACGGCTGTGCGGCGCCTTGTTCGCCATTGTCTGAGTCGGAATCATCGCCGCCGAATATACCACCTCCTCCTCTTGGCTTTGGAGGCGCGGGTTTCGCACCGGGCTTCTTGGTCAAGTTGAGACCATACGACATGCCGGGTTTGTTCATGGTGCCAGTCGTGGGGGGTGGGTGTTGTCGCAGGTGACAGGTTGGTCCCCGGGCATTGGCAACAGCGATGACAACACTTTGATTCAGGGCAAGCGGGTTGATGTGAAGGCACCTGGCGTTATTTGGAGCTGTGTCCTGGGTCTCCCTTAACTCGACCGCGAATAGGCGGAACAGAATGGAGTTGGGCCCCGGTCTTTCGTCACCTGCATAAACTGGAGTCTGGGCTCTCGGCCGGCGGCAGGCCCCAGCCATCGATAAGCCTTATCGGCCATTTTTCAGGGTCCCGCCGTCCCAGACGTCATTTCAGCCTCCAAGCAACTAAGAACAAAGCAGTCCACAGAAGACATCACGGACCGCCGGCGCTTTCTGACGGCGATAAGGCCTACGACGTCGTCGCGCCCCCAACTGAGGATTGCGCCATGGTTTTGCAGCGATGACAGCCGAGCCGTCGTCGCCCAGGAGGCGGCACATTCTGTCCTCGTACAATCCTGAGGATCGACGTCCGACCCCGAGACACGACGACCAAGATGCCATCCTCACAGAGCCTCCCCCGCCGAAGGAGCGCTCCCCGTTAGAAGCCGATGCTGCTACCGCGCAGTCCGAGTCTACAGAGCGCAGATCCTCCAAGTTCCGCTTCAAGTCAAAGCGTCGCTCGCATCGCACGTCGCGGCACCGTGAACGAGATTACAACGACGGCCATCATGAAGATGGTGACCGCGACGACGGCGAAGGCGAAGACCAAGACAGGAGCGAGGATCGCCATCGCCGCCATAGAAGACACAGGCATCACCATCGGCACAGGAGGCGCCGCTCCCGAACGCGCTCTCCCACGCCTCCCAATCCCCACGAGCCACCGCCCCTGAGTCCCGAGACGGCCTTCCGCGAGTCGCTCTTCGACGCCATGGCCGACGACGAAGGCGCCGCGTACTGGGAGGGCGTGTACGGGCAGCCGATACACGTGTACAGCAACGCCAAGGCGAACCCGCAGGGCGGTGCGCTCGAGCAGATGGACGACGACGAGTACGCGGCCTACGTGCGCCAGAAGATGTGGGAGAAGACGCACCAAGGCCTGCTGGAGGAGCGCGCGAGGAGGGAGGAGAAGCGCAAGGCACAGGACGAAAAGGCGCGGGAGGCCAGGAGGCTGACCAAGGAGATGGAGGAAAGCCTGCGCAGGGGCGAGGAGAGGCGGCGGCGCCGGGGTTGGAAGTCCAAGTGGGAAGCCTATGCGCAGGCCTGGTCCGGATGGGACGGTGAGGTCGATAACATGAGCTGGCCCGTTCACAGTGAGCGGCGTGAGGACATCACAAGCGAGAACGTTCGGGATTTCTTCGTCAACGGGCTCGATCCGTTGGAAATTGGCGAGAAGGAGTTCGTGGCCAAGCTCAAGGAGGAACGAGTCCGGTGGCACCCGGACAAGATCCAGCAGAGGCTGGGAAGCAACTTTGATGAGTCTGTCCGCCGTGATGTTACGGCCGTGTTCCAGATTATCGACAAGCTGTGGTCAGATACCCGTTCCAAGAAGTAAGGGAGCAAGCAGCGGGCTTGTCAAGGTCTTATGATAACGATAATGGTGTACAATTCTGCTACAACTCATACAATATGATACCCAACCGTCTTTCTTAAGACACACAAGAAACCCAATTCTCCCCCTGCCCTACGCTATGACCGGAAGATGCTACCAATATGCCAACATACTCGAAAACGGCAAATGCAAAAATCCTACCAATATCCCAGACGAACGCCACCCAGTTCTCCCTCCTTTCCGGTATGTCATGAACCAACATCATATCTTTTCATCGTCAAAGGTGCGTAGACCATGCTTGGGCTTGGTAGACATACCAGCCAAGAGCATGCATCCATCAGAACGCCAGCACCTGCGCCCGGCGAAACACGTCAGGCCTGGCTCGTCTACTCCTCGTCTCCCCCCGCCTCCCCGTTCTGTTCCTTCTCCTCCTCCTCCTTGACCGTATCCTGCACGAGCTTGACCCAGGGGCCGTGCACGGCGCCCGTGCCGGCACCGATCAGGATGCCCAGGCCCGTGGTGGGGATGGCGGTGACGCCGCCGACAATGCTGCCGACGAGGGTGCCGAGGCCGCCGGCGATGCCGGCCCCGATGCCGGCCCCCGCGGCGCCGCCCTGGAAGGCGCCGTTCTGCATGCGCTGGGCGGTGCGGATCAGCTTCTTGGCCTTCTCCTCGAGCTCGAAGGCCTCGCGCCGCAGGCCCTCGGCCTCGTCCGGGTTCTCGTCGCCCATCTTGTCCGCCCGCTCCCGCAGCTGCGTCGCCTGCTCCTCCAGCCCCTTGGACTCCTCCAGCTTGGCCGTCAGGTCCTTGAGCAGCTTGTCGCGCGCCCCGCCCATCTTGCTGCTGCTGCCGCCGGGCGATGTCGGCTCGTTGGTGGTCGTCGCGCTGTCGTCACCGTCGGGGGGCGGCGCCGGGTTTTGGGGGTTTGCGTCTGACATTGTGCAAAGTGGGTGGTGGTGGTGGGTGTGGCTTTTTTGTTATATAGGTACGTGGGTTGCCAAGGGGTGCGAACTCGTTTCCCAAATCCTTGGTTGCTTTGTGCTGTACAGCTGGGGTCTACCTGGTATAATTCCTGGAAGGCGAATGCAATCGTCAACTCTATTTTCCTGGATCTCTGGGAACTTGGGATGGCAGTTTTAGAGATATAGCGAGCTGCAACGAATATGTTTCGCCATGATGCCGTAGCCGACTGGGATAGGAGGGTCACTCATACTGCTTTCGGAAAGGATGATCGCCGTTTAGTGGTGGGTGAAGTCTAAATACCCTGTTTCGAGGGATTGACAGGGTGGGGCTGTATATGACGTACAGTTTTAGCTGGTGGTGACAATATCATAGTACTAAAGATGCCTGGTACGGAGCTGCTCGCCCCTAGGTGGCCCTTTAGGCTGCACTTGGTAGCAAGCCTGGCAAAAGTCTCGGACAGCTGCCCACCAGGAATCGCTTATTGCACAATACCTAAGCTGTTGGTAGAAATGAGGAAAGTGGACGAGTAGTTGCATGGCCTCATTCGTTTTTATAGGGCTTGCTAACACTTGGGACAGCCAGTGGTGAATTATAGCCTTGAACCTCGAAACTATGAGTTTAAACTCTCAATTACGCAAAATTGGGGCTGAGGAAACGTGTCTGTCTGCTTCGATATTCCCGGAGCAAGTGTTTAACAAGGCCAGTGCCTTACAGAGAGATCACTGCTCGCTGCCATGATGATTGATAAGATGTCGGCAAGATTCGACTACTGCCTCACGTCGCTCCCCACGGTTCACCCAGTTTCTCGGATTTGTAATATTCTTTACATCTGCTTCGAGGAAATAGCCTTGCCCCGTGCTATTCATCAGCCAATATATTGGACATAGTATACAAGTTTGAAGCATGCACCCTATAGCACTTAAAGGAGGACTTCTTTCTCAACATTTGTCTGCTCTGTCGTATCAGTCTGTTTGGTCGGGGGAAAGGTACTGGGTCTTTTACAACGCCGCCTTGAAGCCGAGTTCGAATTTAATTACGCATTTCTCCAACCAACTTTGTCAATGCTATGTTCATATGTTTACTCGATAGACTTGAGCCCGCCAGTAACAATGTACAAATTCCAGGCCACCAAGTATGCACTACAGCTTTGCCTTGCCCGTCGATTGATCTCCAGGTGCTAACAGCGTGACCTCTTGATATGGCAATTCCAGGAACTCGTATACGTAATGCCACCTACAAGGCTGTCAGCTTCAGTCAAATTCATCTAACCAGAGCCAAAACTCGACCGAGTTTCGTCGAACACAGCACTCACCTATCACTTCCAAAGAACGGCTCGCTCTTCCCTTTGCTGTTCGTGACCCACAGCCATGGGGCTCCGAAGGCCCCTCTCTCCAACGCTTCGTCGACTGCGTTCTTCAGGCCTTCTTTCCACTTGGCCTCTCCCGCAGCCTTGATGATACTTTCGACATCTTGGCTTGTAAACAAGGGCTTTCCATCTCCCTCGCTGCCCGGCCCGCTGAACCCAACCGGGACTTTCCCCAGTGCAGCAGCCAGCTCGCTGGCCTCAGTGAGATTCCGCTTCGTGGGCCCCCAGAATAGATGGAAGAAGTAGTGCCACGTGGTAAGGTATGCATCGAGTGGGTAGCTGGCTTTAATGTAGTGCAAGGCTCTGAGTGACAGAATCGTCCGTGCAACAGCCATGAGGTCCTCCGGCGCCGACACCTCCGGGATGCCGACCGCCTTTTTGGTTCGGTTGAAATCAAATCCGCCATAGACGGCTTTTGCCGGAAGAGTCCAAGGAGGCTTGTTCCCTGTTGCTGATCAGCCGTGCTTTCGAATCCATCGACAAGAATAGATTGAAGCAACGCCACGCCATCGGGCTGTCTTGATACAGGCCAATGCCCGAATCGCGCCAGACTAATAACGAGGAAAGGGCTTACCTGACCCAGCATTAATAGCACCTAGGAAAACGGGTTTGATACTGTGTAGTCCGGTCAGGTTTGTGAGAGCAGCTGTTGGGCGTGTCTGACCTACTCGACTTCTACTCCATGAGCCTCTAGGATGGGCCGCGTCTTGAGGAGTTGCTTGAATGCTACATAGCTGTAGAATGACACTGATGGTGTTCAATTAGCTCCTGGCGCCTGTGCCTGAGGAAGCCACATTGCCTGCTCACCGACGTCAAGATAGATCTCAATTCGTCCGGCCATGGTGCAGCTAGTGACGCCGACCTGTCGGTTGAGCCGCCCTGTGTCTCAGTTTCGTGTGCGGCTAGTGCACAAATGGAAAGAAACTGGCTCCACTGCTTTCCTCGAAGATTCTCAGCACAGCGATTTCGCAATCAAAGCCTCGACTGCGGGTTGAGATAAAGTAGTTGGATGCTTTCTTGAAGTGAGTAACGAAAGGACGGCAAGCTGAAGGTCCGTGATGCCTCGGCTCGCATCGCGGCCCCACAAAAGCTCCGGGACAAGTGGATTAGTGATCCGGGAATCTGACCGGGGTAACGTATAAACCCCAGTCGCTATACCACTCTCTACACTTATCTCTTTCTCGAAACGCGTTGGCCTGGTATTGGACTCACCACATTGCAGCTGCTACGGACTATCGCGATGGGAGACAGAAAAGTTGCACTTGTCGTAGGAGGATCGAGAGGCATCGGACGACAGATCGCTATTGACCTTGCCAAAAATCAATACGCAGGTGAGTCTGCCCGGCTCTTGGAACCAGCATCAGTGCTAACTCAACAAAGTCGTCGTCGCCGCAAGATCTACTAGCGATGCGACAACAGTCAACCCTTTTCCGCCAGACCCTAACTCTCCAGAGTCTACAATATCAACCGTGACCCGGGAAATATCAGAAGCTGGCGGCCATGCAACAGCCATCGCTGTAGATACTCGAGACTACTCGAGCATCAAGTCTCTGGTAGCCAAGACCATTGATATATATGGCCAGCTCGATGTGCTAGTCTACAACTCCGGGGCTATATGGTGGGCGTCCGTGGAGGACACGCCCATGAAGCGATTTCAGTTAATGCAACGCGTCAACATCGAGGGCCTCTATGGTACGGTCCAGGCCGCCTTGCCGCATCTTAAACGGCATCGGCGAGGCAGGATCATCGTGGTGAGCCCACCCATATACTCCCGGTTCTTCAGAGGCAAGACGGCATATGCCATGGGCAAGGTGGGAATGAGCGTTTTGACCAAGGGGTTGGCCATGGACTTCCAGAGACAAGGCCTCACCGACATGGCCATCACGAGCATCTGGCCCGCGGCGGCGATCGAGAGCGGCGCGACACGGAAAATGACGGAAAAGAACCCAGAAGAGGCGCGAGATCTCCGGAAGGCGACGATCTTCTCGGACGCCATCTTGGCTATGCTTAAGGCACCCGCCGAGAGAGTCAATGGCCGGCTAGAGCTGGACGAGGACTTCCTCAGGACCGATGCTGGAGTCGTGGACTTTGCAAAATATGCTGTCATACCTGGCGCGACGCCCAGGCGAATTATGCCCGCAAAATTGCCCGATTTGACGGTGGCAGAGCAAGATGACGAAGGGAAGCGCATGAACAGCGCAAAAGATAAAGCGAAGCTATAGCCAATATTATATGATGACAGCTTGATGATGGTGTTTGCGCGCGGCCTTACAACAGGGCTCACGCAGTATGGCTGGCCCGCGTATAAAGCAACGTGAGCAAACTTATGGTGCTAGCTGTGAATAACAATCCAGGCCGGAACTGCCATTCGTAGATCCGTAGTTGTATGATAGTTCCGGTCGACGAATCTACATCGAAAATTGGTCTTGAACACTAGCTCCTAATCTGATCGCCACGTTACTTGCAACATAATACATTGTATTTATGCATCTCTTAGTAAACAGGCGTGCCACATTTTCTGCAGTGCAACACCCGGGGACAAATATATGCAAAATCAGACAGACTCCACCTCGCATTCTACAGCATCACTCCTTTATCATCAGCACTACAGATGCCAACAAGGACGCTATAATTGTTGTCGTCAATATGCCTGCCCCTATCCTGTCCCCTGTGGTGATGGGCGCTGGGTCGAGGTTGTCAGAGTTGGTGTTGGAGCCCGCATTTGCGTTGCCGACCGAGCTCCCTCCTGTCGTCGACGTGTATGGGGCGGCAGCCTCGGAAAGAAGTTGCGTCATGATGACCGACATGGCGTTCATCTGCTCACCCACTCCATAGTTCCCGTCCCAGGTCGAGTTCTTCAGCCAGCTGAAGCCGCAGGCCGTACCGGAGTGGCCCTTCCAATCAGAGGTAGGAGACCCTGAGCATTGCTCAGCCGCAGCCACGCCTGAGGACTTAAGAAGGGGCATGAATTCGTCGTACGTGAAGTCTGCTAACTTGGCGGTGAGGGCCATCCAGCGCGCCAGGTGCCCCTTGAAGGCCTGTTGGTCAGTGTCACAAGCGGTGGCCTCGCAGGGCGGTTCCCACATGATTCCGTCCTTGAAGAACGTGGTCGTGATGCTAGTTGCCAGGCCTGTGACACGTTGTTTCCAGGTATCAGACGAGGTGAGATTATACATGTGTGCCGCACCGTAGAGGAAGATTCCGGCATTATACGTGAATAGAGCACCATTAATTTGCGTGCAATTCTCCGTACCAGCATTTCCTGCACCGTCAAGCACCTGCCAATCCGTATTAATAAAATTCACTCCGCGCTCCCAGGAAAAGATCTTCTCGGCCCAGTCTGAATACGTCGTATTACCGGTATATCTGGCCAGGCGCGCTGCGATATTGAAAAAGCACCCGTTGGCGATAGAATTCTTATAATTATATCCGTTGTTGAAGGTGTAGATCTGCCATCGCAAGCCGCCGCCGCACGTATCGTCTGCATCATCCCACCGGCTGACGTACTCGTTAAAGCCAGCCTGTGCGAGAGCTAGCCATTGTGCCTGATTTGAGGCCGGGTTGGTAAAGTTATTTTCGGCTGCTGTCATGGCAGCCATAAGCCAGAATCCCTGATCGTCGTTACCTAAACTCCGTGTTTGGTTCTGGGGCATGTAATCGTCGTTATCTCCAACTTGATGTTGCATGGCTTGGAAGGTAATGGTGTTATACGAATCGTCGCCCGTGAATACCCAGTAGTCGATCAAAGCTCCAAACATAGCACCGGCTTCCCACCCTTAAATAAACGTCAGCAAGATACTGAAGAGTGTTACAGTGCACCGTGGTGAACCTACAATAATATGGGTCAGGTAGATTGCCTGGGGTATCACCAGTGTTGTTGCCTTGGAAAAGCTGATCAGATCGAGAGGCCACTGTTAGCGTGGGTGTACAGAAACCATACCAGTGTAATAGCGGACCATATTCCAAGCAGCCTCGCCTGCGCCTTTCTTGATTGATTCTACTGCCGATCAACTATGAGATCATTATCGTGAGACAATGCCGGAGCCTACCAGTTTGAGTGAAGTCCACCGTCATGGCCAGGGCCCGGCTCAGGATGAGGCCGGACAGTCCGGCTACTCGCATGACACTCATCCTGATTTGATAGAAAAGCTGGCAATGAGGGACTCCAGCGAGGTAGATAGACCTTCACAGGATTCGAGGTTTACGCATGCGTGGTCGGACGCGAGGGATACGAGAGGAGAGACGTTTTTCACCGTGGGATAAAATGGAAAGGTCGTAATCTCGACAACATCTTTGTATATGACAAGCAAAGAGGAAAAAAGGAGACCTAGAAGGTACAGAAGGCGAGGTAGGGTCTAAATGGCCTAAATGAGCTTGAGGCAGTGCAACGACCGATTAACCAGATAAGTTACTAGAGAGATCGATCTGAACAAGGGCCCGGGAGCGCAATCGTACTGTGTACGTGCCCCGTTTCTGAGCCGATGACGGGCCCATGTTACTGATAGGCGTGGATCTCTTCGCGAGACGACCGGACTTATCCCCATGACTAGGAGCGGCTGGTCAGTAAGTGGTGCTCTGCTACCGCCCACACTGGCAGGGAGACTGGTGGGGAGTGCTGGGAGCCGCCGTCACAGCAGCGTTCACTCCACACGCGACCGCGCGTCACGCCCGTGAGCCATCCATGTGAAGCCTGGAGCTCCCTCCCAGTTCCTTCAAGACTGTCAGTGTACTGGGGCACTTCCTTTGCGAGGTCTGCGAAGTTTGCATAACCGGCCAACAATAGACTTAGCCCGATGTCAGATGCAGACCACTTACGTACTGCTGGCGTGGACTTGGCGTTTGGTGCCGGGTATAATTAGTATTTCCAATACGGGCGACGGTGCAGCACCACAGACTAGCAGGGTCTCCCGGGGAATCGAGTGGAGCCGCTCTGCTGACCTGCGCCCCCATTCCAAAAAGCTTGATTCAATGTCAAGTCGCACCAGATTCCCCAGGCGGCCCCCTGAGACCAGCGATCTGGCCGGCGGGTACGAATCCTCGCCCTCGCAGAGTGCCGCTTTTCCGCTTGGCACGGTTGGACCCGCGGGCCTTGGCGAACTGCCGCGCTTGTGAACGACGACTGAGCATGGCGTGGCCCCGAAGTCCCCGTGGGGACCGGAACTCGTCTCAAGCAGACGTTTCAAGAAACCGGACACAACGGCCTGTAGATTGCAGTGTATGTATGGCATGCCGGATGGACAACCTCGCTATGCCCAGTTTCCTCATACATCAGCGTGGTCTCAAGGATATTGTCCATGTCGTAGAGTCACGCTGGCACGCCGGGTGCTTGGGGTTCGCGGATATTCCCGTGAACTCGCCAAACACAAGGGCCCCCTCTCAGCGACACTAACAGACACCATGGGTCAGGACCCCTAGATACCTACTGTGTAGTCAGCGCGGCCGTGGCTTCTTGCGGCGGAACCTGGATATGCCCGTTGTCCTCGAGGTCACCTCCTGTGCACGGCATGGATGGATTTGGCAGATTTGGCAGCGCCTCACAAAAAAAGGTACACTACTAATCTGGGCCCGAACTCTGCTGGACAGGGCACCAATCAACGCCTTCCCATGGGTCTATCAGCAAATTTCACAGATGCCAATCCTCAGATTGCCGCTTACCCGGCTGTAGTAAGTTGGGTTGATTATCGTTAATTGACTAGGTACTGTAGTTATTGCCTTGACACGCTGGCACCGCCCGTCAAGGCGTGCCTTCCAGCACTTCTGTCAGGCAGTCAATTTCAACTTCTCGTTCTTCTCGTTCTTCTCGTTCAAGGAGCGCCGGTACCTGCATCGACATCTCGGTGAATGGATTGACCGTTTCTCGGACATGACAGCATGGCATTGAACTCCGATACCTGCTGCCATTTCATCCCTTCTTTTTTCTCGTCTCTCGCTTAGGACTTCTTCAAGGACGCCTCTTGCCGGTGGAAGCTTCGTTGGAATCTGAAACTTTCTTCGCCCGTTGTCACGATGCCGCTCCTTTTCCCCCACGTGGCACATGCCCACAGAGATTCTGCTTCTCTCGCGTCCCGAGAATCCGAAAGCCATGCCAAAATTGCTCTCATGCAACCGTCGCAGATTGCGAGAGATGGCACTGATCTGGCTCTCATCCTAACATGCGCTCTGATTCTTTACTCGCTGTTTGCAGGCGTGCTACAGCGCGGACTACTGCGCAAACTGTACGGCGGCGCTTACGATGGCCTAGAGGATACTGCCTCCTCGAAAGGCAATGAGCGCCAGCGCATCTCCTTCACTTATCACCATGTCGCCTCTATCAGCTTCGGAATAATATTGCTGATCGGCGCGTACCCGGCCATCTCCTTCACGTGTGGCAGCGGCACCTTGCCGACTCCGCTCAACGGTACCAGCGGAATCACGATAGGTGACATACTGTCAATTTTGGTCCAGGTGTACTGCGGTTACTACCTGTTCGAGGTCACATTCCGGTCTAGGTACATCAGCTTTGTCGCATTGGCTCATCACATCGGATTGCTGATCATCGCTCAAACCGCCGCGGTCCTCGGTTCCCGCGCCTCGAAAAGTGCAGAGGCAACTAAAGAATTCTACTTGTGTGTTGTCTGGGGTAAGTCTGGATCTGCTAACGATCATGCTGGCGATCAAAATGACCAAATACTGCCAATGCTGGTCAATCTAGCGTCCTGGACTAGGCTATATTGATCACAGACCTGAATCTTCGAGAAGAAATGTTAACACTAGTTTTTAGGCGCATTCGATATCGTGACGGAGTTTCCATTGCATATTGTTTTGATCATCTGGAGAATAAAGCGCAGAAACAGTAGACTTTGCTACAAGATAGCATGTGGATGTACTGCTTGGGTTCTGGCCATGGCCTTCACCGAAACCATCATCACGGCCTGGCTTCTGGCGCAGTCATGGGCAGGTTGGCAACTGCAGTGGCAGATCATAACACCCACGATCTTTACGCTTTGGATCTGCACACAACTGTACGGAGCCGCGATATTCTTGAGGATGGCGCGGCAGCAACGGACATTACAATAAGCATTCGAGGGAGTTGCACTGCTATCGCTTTGTCTTTTAATCAAGTATATTATTGTAATTTGAACCCTTGGTTCTTGATAAGCCTGGTTCTGTAATCTATCTTTGGTCATTATAATGAGTATAGTATATACTGTAAGAAGCAGGACCCTTGCTACTCACAAGGCAATCTTCCTATTGCCATCGGAGATATGACACCAAACCAGCCCAAGGGTGTATACTAATGTAGTCTCTCATCGCCCCAACTGAGGTACCGTATCACTGATCTAACCTAGGCTTTTCAAGCTAATACCATGTGTAGCTTGCACGGACGTAAACGGATCAGCCGCGCACGACCTGGTTTCTTTCATGTCTCGAGCATCTTACTAGGATCAGGGTCTACAAGAATGATATCGTGCATACGTGCAAGTTAGTTTCTAGGTGGTTTGGGGCTGGAGATCAGTTGTCATTGGAAAATGTATAATATTCCATCTGCTCTCGAATAATTGGCAAAGACTGTGGTGAAGATCAGCCATGCGTTACAGTATGCGAATAGTTCTGTGGTCATACGCCTAGGTGGGTGCCACGGATACTTGCATTCTTCATCCTAATACATCACACATCGCACCCCATAAGTATCGCATCACTACCCTCAGGAGAACTGTAATACAGCATTTAAGCCACAACATGGTTGTCTTTTCGACGTCGGAACATGAATATTGGACAGGCTCCAGGCTGTGGCAAACGCTCGTAGATTGGGACCCGTGAGCTAGACCGCAGTGGTGGGAAAGTTGCCGCTGCAGCAGTGGGAGAGCAGAGATATATCTGCATGATGCTGGGCCGTATGAGAGAAATAACGAGGGTAAGACCGAAGATAAGGACAACAACAATGACAGCCGAAATACTAGTTAATGCAGACAGGTGCCGTCGGTCGAAGTCGTCAAGATCCTCTGCTGGCCAATCTATAGCCAGATGTGGTACATCCGGAGAAGTTCGCCAAGGCCACCGAGGACCAGAAGGAACGATGTGCTCTCTTCTCGTGTCCCTGGAGAGCGATTAGTCGGCATGCAGACGTACTAGAAAACCGGACACGGCGAAATCAGCCAAACGCTACACCACAGGCTGCAAGAACAGTCTCCTAGTACGTCTGTGGGTCAGGAATCCGTCATAGGCGGAACCCTTCCGGGCTTGTCTTGCAGCTGAATAACTTGCATGAACTTCCTGCACGGTATCTCCAGTCATATGCAGAAACATCTTGGCTCGAGTGTTCCGCCAATGGTTGACCTCCAAGCTTCCTGCTGTCAATTTACTCATTCTGTTTCTCTGCAATGCAAATTAATTTCCTTGCTTCTTGCTCCAGCCATGTACAGTAGCACAGGAGTTCCATATCTGAGGCGCTGTAGCAATTCGCCGTCACGAAAGCGCTACGAAAGGGGCAAGCTGTGGCGCGCGCGAGATATCAGGAAGTCGACATTAGTTGACAATTTAGAGTTAATTAGAGTTGCGCCACCGAGTTCATTATACACAACTAAGGTGCGTCAGAGCCTCGGGCGAATGCGGACCAGGCGGACCTCGGCCCTGTTGGGCTGCTGGGCTGAGGAAAAGCAATGCTTAGACTTTGTTGCTGCATGCAATAATCTGTCTCCGGTAGTGATAAGGCTGTCATCGGACAAAAGTTCACGGTATAGATTTGGCCCATGCACTGCCCAGTCGTCATTTACCCGCATGGGCTTGTACGAGCCCAGGACGATCAGCTGAGTGGCCATCTGCTCCTTTTACACACGTCCTGAGGGTCGCGAACTTGGCGTGGCGCAATATGTCGCCACTAGCCTCGTCTGTACCTGAGGCCCGATTCCCCTAGAGCCGCGCCAACATTTACTCCTGTTATCTTTCGAAGCCTATCCTACTGTAGGGAAACATTCAGAGTTGTAACAGATAGAACTAGAGAGGCGTGGATCAGGAGACACGTGTACATGATCAAGTTGTCTTCTACTCCCCATGGCACACCTGAAGCGTCTCGCTTTGTACGATCTGTCCGAGACCGTAGCTGGGAAGTCCCAAGGCTCGCCAGATACCCGCGGAGGCTGCGCGTGGGACCATGTGATACTAATGTAATACTATCTAATATAGTGCGTGCCGTAGTTGTCCCGACCACACCACGATCTAAGACAACCTCCAAAGCGCGTCGATGGGCTAGCCAACTCTCGGCATCGAGTTCCACACAGATGTACTCGTCAGGAGTAGTATCACCTTCCGACTGGCCCACGTACCTTGGTAGTCAGGGAAGTTGATTAATAAGAAATGACAGCGTGCATATTTTCATTAGTACTTTGGCAGTACATCGAGGTATCACAGGATAATCGAATCAGCCGGTTTAGCTAATTGGAATTCTCACTAATACACCTCATAATGCTGCTCTGTAACACAACACGCGTCTTTCAACTTGTTACAGTTCCTCCACGATTTAAGAACTTTTTTCGTCGTGAATAATCGCGTTTTTAAAACCGTAAAAGCCTAGGGCGTGGACCGTTTTAAACACCATCTAATTAAGGGGGACCAATTTATAAATTCAGTGTTGCTATATGGTTATCCAACTACGCAGATGATGACTCGCGTGTTAATTACAGGAGCGGTTTGCTGAATAAGAAAAAGAGTCGTTATTGTAAAATCTCGTAATATGTACCTATACAGCACTACATATGTTAACTACCAAACCAGGTGGGTAGGGATGTACTACACATTTTTACCAATCAGCGTGCTTTTTACCGATCAACGTCCCTGACTACCAGAGGTACGTGGTCCAGTAATACCCCTGACGAGTATTGGAAAACCGGACACTTCCAGGGCACTTCTCAACCACGGAATTCAATCTTTCACAACAACTCTACATCAAGAGTTATGGAAACACGGGGGAGAAGGTAACAGACCACAGATCACCTTCTTGTGATTCTCTTGCTATTTTTGAGTAATTTCAACGTACACTTGCGTCAAGTTATTTGGCATAGAATGGGCAAGGTGCATTTGAGAAGTGTCCGGTTTTCTAATACTTCTGTGTGTTCCACCTCTCGCTCCTTGTTGACATGAACTCTCGTGTACCATTTGCTTTTCTCTCTCTCTTGAACTGTAATCTTGAGCGAGGCAGGTGCCAACTACAAATGAAACAGTGTCTTGATAACCGGAGTACACAGACCTGTCAACCCGCTCGCGTGGGACTTTTTGCCCCTGAACGCGAACGCCATGTATTGATCAAAAAGAGCGGTTGTCCCCGGGGAGTTGCGTTGCGAGAAGGAGAGAGCCAATTCTGTTGCTGGTTCAGTCACTCTCTAGCGAACAGCCAGAGCGTGAATATAATCCACTCCGACGATGGGTTTCCGCACTCCCGAACAGCTCTCGGCGCAGGACCCGGAGGCCTACCGAGACCCCGAGACGTACGGCCGCAGCGAGGACTTTGAGCCTCTCCTGAGCGAGAAGCCGTATCGACGCCAGATCTCCAGCTGGGGCGACCTGCTCACGCTGCGAAAGACGCCGGCCCAATTCTCGCAACCCACGGCATCCAGGGGCGGCGTGCTCGGGCTGCCAGGCCTCCTCCTTCGTCTCGCGTTTCACCATTTTTTCTCTGTCTTCAGCTTCGTCGTTCCTTCTTTCCTCGTCTCGTTGATCTCGCATTTACGCAATGGGTCCTCGTCTTCCGCGCAGTCAAATCCCAAGAAACCGCTCCACCCCACAGCCTATCTTGACGGCCTCCGTGGCGTCGCCGCCTTCGTGGTTTACATCTTCCACTGGTCGTATCTATGGTTCCCCTTCCTCCGGAATGGCTGGTACTATTCCGAGGAGGATCCCGAGTGTAAATACTGGATCCAGATGCCCATCATCCGCGCCGTGCACTCGGGCCGCGCCAGCGTCACCATCTTCTTCATCATTTCCGGATACGTCATCACCATCAAGACGCTCTCTCTGATCTACGCCTCGCGGCGGCAGCAACAGCAGCAGCAGGGCCAGGGCCAGTCCCCGGGCCCCAGCAACCCCAGCACCAGCGAGGCCAAGGTCCTGGACGCGCTGGCGGGCAGTCTGTTCCGCCGGCCATTCCGGCTGTACCTGCCCATCATCGCGTCGACACTCTTAGTCATCGTTTGCATCCGATACAACCTCTTCGTCATGGACCCGATGGGCGGCGGGCAGATGCCGCACGCCGGCAACTTGAGCGAGCAGCTGCAGCACTGGTGGGAGAACCTTGTCTTCACGGTGAACCCGTTCCGCAACATCAACGGTCGTCACAATATCTATGGCAACCCGTACGACGGCCACCTGTGGACCATCCCCATCGAGTTCAAGGGCTCCCTCATGGTGTTCACGTTCCTGCTTGCGTTCGCCCGCGCCAAGCGCTGGATACACATAGCCTTTGTCGCTGGCTGTACGTGGTGGTTGGTGGAGCTCGGGGACATCGACCAGGCGCTCTTCAACGTCGGGCTGCTGCTCGCCGAGCTGTCCCTCATCTGCCCGACCGACAATCGTGTCAGCAGGTCAAGGGAGCCTTCGCCCCATGAAAATGGACACGAGAACGGGACCACCATGGCCAAGACTCCCAAGCCGCGCCGTTCCTTCGTCCTGCTCCGCCATGGAGTTACCCTCGTTCTGTTCGTCGTGGCATTGCACCTCTTCAGCTACCCCGAGCAGCACGGGACTGATTCCCCAGGCTACAAGACGCTGTTCACGTGGTTGCCCGAGTACTACCGGGGCGAGAACGACAACCAGCAGCTGTTCTGGCTCGCGGTAGGGTCGGTGCTGTTCATGCTGGCACTGATGTACTCGCCGGCCACGACACGGTCGTTCAACATCTTCACGCCCGCGGTGTACTGCGTGCGGCGCGTGCTGCAGGCGTGCACGAGCCGGCTGCGGCCGCGGGCACAGAAGCGCAGCGAGGGCATCATGCTGCCGCACAGCGGGCCGTCGTCGCCGGCGCTGCCGGGCGACGTGCCGCCGCTGAGCCTGGACGCCCCGGCGTCGGAGCCGCTCCTGCAGAAGCCCTTCACCACCGCCTTCGCCCAGTACCTCGGCCAGGTCTCGTACTCGCTGTACCTGGCGCACGGCACCGTCAACCACACCGTCGGGACCCGGTACATCATACCGGCGCTCGGCGCGTGGTCCAGCGCGCAGCAGCAGGCGGAGCAGATGCGCGAGGGCGGCGATGGCGACGGCGCCGATGCGTTGCTGCGGAGCGCGTGGTCCACGTATATGCTCATGGCGCTCTGGGGCTCCATCGTCAACACGTTCGTTCTGTTCTGGGTCAGCGACATGTTCTGGAGGGGTGTCGATGTCAAGTGTGTCACGCTCACCAGGTGGATAGGCCAGAAAGCTTGGAGTAGTTGACTAACCGGCGATCGCAAGGAGAAATTGGTTTAAGGCTGGATGTTTGTCTCGAGACATTGCTTGATACATGTGTGCCTTGGAAAGGTGCTGGATCTGCGAGAGCGAGGGCGAGGACCTAACTGCATTAATGACTTGATCATTTTCAATGTACATTGTTTATCCGGGGCACCGCAAGCATAGATACTGAAACTGAGGAGCGTATCAAAATAATAGTGGTAATGACAATAATGCCCATTGACGTACTCCAACGACTATACAACTTCGGCTCCCTTGCCGTTTGTGCGCTCCAGAGAACGCCCTAGACCCGTGTAGAAATCATGTCTGCCGCAGCGAGGTCAGTCTTCGTGAAATGCCGACTTTTCTACAACTGTCCGCGCCAGACGCCTAGCCTCAAAACCTTATGTACATGAAACTCCGAGCAGTGAATTGTAGTATAGCAAGCATACCCCCGGTAGTCGCCGGGAACGCAGACGAGGACAAGATGAATGCCGGTTCTGTTAACGGGTCTTTATTCGTGGGTATACGCTTGAATTTGAGTGGTAAACTGCAGACTCCGACGTGGTTACTCGCCTTCTAACCCTGGCTTGAACGCAAGCGTGCTTCCACCTTTTCCCGATGTGCACGATTCTTCAGGTGCACTTCGAAGTTGACCGTGGACATGTCAGGGCCAGGGGTATATAGCTTGCCCGGGCAATCTAGACACCTGATGCGCGGAAGGAAGTAGAACTTGACGTTTGATGGTACATTACCAGGTTGCGGCATGGCAACCGGCGAGCCGGTCGTGCCGTCAACCGCACTGTAGCGCATGAGTCCCTCGAACTGGTCGTTGGCGTACGTTTCGTTTTGCTTCCAATTTTCTAGCGACTGTGAAAGCCACGAGGGAGGTGAGGGCTATTTGGGACGTGAGTATTAAATCAATAACGTGAGACTGAGTGGAATAAATGGTAAGGATGCACAGGGTTCAAGAAAGTCGTGCACTCAAAGATCGTAGAGGCTGCTCGAGTACAGGAGATAGGGTTTTCTGTGCTGATCAAGGGGATGGGGAGAGGGTCTTACAAGAGGGGGTTGCGGAGTGGTTGCCGTTGGAGGAGGTGCTTCCAGACGGCCAATCTGTCCTGGGGGAATGCCATTATTGGTGACGGTCGGAGTGCGAACAGGCGCGGCTGCAGTAGCAGTAGCAGTAGCAGAAGCGGTATTTACAGCGCCAGGAGTAGAGGGAGGTGGCATAGAAGCCCGAGCTGAAGCACTTGGGGCTCGAGCATGGGCTATTGAGGGTGTTTGAGATCCAGACGGCGTGCTGTGCTTCATTTTCTGGTCTCGGAAGAACTTCCTTAACCTCTCCCGACCGACCTTCAAGGTGACAACCATGTGTTGTGGCTCTTCTGTCGCCTCTCTCGTAAGTTCGCGCCCGAACCTCCTGGACGTCCGGGTCTCATGATGGTGTATCGTCGCTTCAGGCGTCTCAGAACGACCAATGTTCGCCATCCGTGACACAGCAGCCGTCGCTGCGCCACGCATGCCTCGTGTCCTGGCAGTACCTGCCAATTGAGAGGCTGCGGGCGAATCAGGCGAAGAGTCGTCGCTCTCATCGGACTCGGAGAGGTCGTCTCTGGCTCCACGTCCCTTACGAGGGGCACCGGCGACTCGTTTGTACAAGGTGGTATCCTCGATATTGGTAGCCGCACCCGGTAAAGTAGACGACACGACCAAGGTGCGGATGGTTCTTTGCCGCTCCTTCAGGTCAGGCAACGAGGGGCCTCCTCTCCTGTTGACAGTGGCTCTCTTCTGCCGCCGTTGCTCTCGCTGGAAAATGACCTCGTTCTTCTCCAATTCCTGCTCGCTGAGTTCGTACAGGTAAGGCGCGTACTCCTTGGCTTGCTGCTGGGGCCGGAAGACGCTGGGCAGAGGTGAGGGGAGAAATGCGGCGACAAGATCCGGATCCTCGATCGGCCGTCCATCAAATGGATGCCCTATGCTGTACAGACTCCGAGTGAACAGCTGGCTCTGTTCCCGAATGCAATGGGCAATAGCGGTTGTGAACTCGCCGCTGAGGGACAATTCCTTGGCCATGCTCGCGGCAAATTCCTCGGGCGAGTTCAGCGGGTTGTTGATTTCCCACTCGAATTGGTCGACAAGGGTGTGCTGGCCGATTGTTATGTTCAGCTTGACCAGGATGCGCATCTCATCATTCTTCCAGGCCGAGTAGGGAAGTTCGGGGTCGAGGGCGTCTTCGTCCGAGAAGACAAAGGGGTAAAAGTCGTTGAGTTGTTCGTGGACCTGCTGGATGACCTGTTCGTAGACAGGCTGGGCGGCGGGCGCTTTCAGGCCCATGTCTTCGATCAATTGAGCGGCGAATAGCTCGGGGGCGGCTAGTCGTTCGTGGAGATTCCAGGTGAAGGTGTCGCGAAGTCTGATCTTGTCCCAGTCGACATCCACGCGTACGGGGACGAGCTCCTCGTGCTGTTCGGCCTGCTGCTTCATATCCTTCCTCTTCCACTTCAGAGCAGGCGTCGTGCGCTTGCCCGGGCGCGGCTTCTGCTGTGGGTACAGCAAGCGCGAGGGGCCACCAATCTCGGTTCGGCCATTGGCATAGCCGGCGTACCCTTCGCCGTACAGCCTGCTCGGGGTGAACCACGGGCGGTATTCGTTCCTCACCAGCTTGTAGTCGGCAATCATCTTGTAGCTGCGCTTGCTGTGGTTGTTGATGCGTTCCTGGTCGCCGATCATGGCAGCCGAGTGCAGGTGATCCCTCTCGATGTACTGCTGTATCAGGAGCTGGTTGAACGAGTCCTTGTCGCGCACGGGCAGGGTGCTCGTGTTGTCATCGGGCCCGTCTGGCTTATCCTTTGGCGTCGACGTGGACGAGCGCTCCGACTTGGTGGTCGATGCCCGGGACGAGGCCGGAGCAGAGGCAGAGGTAGCGACCGCGCCCGCGCCCAGGCCAGCGCCAGCGCCGGAAGAGGCCGTCTCGGGTTCCTGCTGGGTCGCCATGGTGCTATGAGGCCGGGAGGCGCATGCAGCAACTCGTCGTCGGCGACGGGGCAAGATGCGATGGATGCCGGGCGGATGCGCGCGCGTTGCGGTGGGCCCGGGGGGGGAGTGGGAAGCGAAGGGCTGGGGCTGGGGCGGCGATGAGGTTGATGAGGCTTTCGGTCGCGATTGATTTGATGGGGAAAAAGAAGACTGGCTCACTGACGGGCCGGCTGTCGAATGAGCAGCGGCCCCCGGGGCCCAAGGCCCAAGGCCACCCAGCACCCAGCACCCAGCACCCAGCACTAGCCAACTACGGGATACGCGATTCGCGCCGCGCTTGTCCACTTCGAGCCATGTACTTGGCGTCCGGAGGCCAGCGGTGCGACACCCAAGGTACCCCCCAAAAAGAGGGACGTGCGTCTCTTCTGTTTTCCCACCTTTGGCTGGAGGAATGGACAGGAAGAGACAAGCGTGTCATGCTATGTAGTCGCATAGCTAGTCCCGAAGACAGCACTATGGTATGTGACCGCATTTGCACAAGGTACCTAGATACTAATAGTACAGCAGTATACAACACGGCTGGATGTCTGTATTTGTGTAAAACTGCCAATACACGGCGGAGAGGAACCCGCTCAAGGCAACGATCGCCAAGAGCCACAAACAGTACTGTCGAATTAGCCCAGGACTCATTGGGACTTTGGGTCCGGATGAACTCCTAATTCGCAGGAACCGGACTCTTGTCGCATAGTAACTACAAAATACCGTACTGTCGGTGTAAGCTGAGTATAGCCGTGGCGCTGACTGGTTTCGCACTCAGGCCACATAGCCAGGGGGGAGATGAATGACCTCTACAACAACGGAGCAAGGCGAGGCTGTGAATGCCATCTACGTAGGTACCTGGAAATCTACCTTGTACGGACCGTGACATTGCGGGCTGGGAGGATACGCAGAACATGTCCATAGAAAAGGGACTAAAGGCTGGGTTCGAGTTATATATCTGCCCTTCCATGCGTGTGGCCGATTAAGATTAGAGCAGACGGGTGGGCTTGTGTTTGGCAACCAGTCAGAAGGGTGGCTTGTTCGAGGAGAATATGGGAGACCTGCGGGCTACGCGCCTAACTTGGGTGGTGCAGCACTTGATCGCCGTGAGTGACTTGGTTCAGAAACTCCCGTCAGGGCTGGCGGTAGAAGTGGAACGAGGGGGGTGGATCGTCAACGGGCAGAGATCGGGAGCTGGGAGCTGGGAGCTGGAAGGAAGACGTCACCCTGGCTAGAGGCTAGGCGAGGCAGGCCTGTACCTTATCATGACCTCGGGACCTGGGCTTGTGAAAAGGCACCCGGATGCGCGCTCGATTCTGACTTACGTACGGTACGGATCGCTGGGCTGAGAGCCGGGCTGGGCTTTTGGCTGGGTACGCCGGGGCGGGAAAGCTGGGTACGTTGGATCTGGGCCTGGGTGCATGCGCTGCTGGGCACTGCTCGCACAATGCGGGGCAAAATAGGGTAGCAAATAATGCAAAACCGACCAAAACACCTTGAACCCGGACTTCCACTCTTCCCTCACTCCCCTCTTACGACTGCACAAAGTCCCGAACCTCCCAGTCCATTCTCTTGATTCCTCATATCATATACCGCCCAAGATGGCCGACAAGGAGACCGTCGGTATGTATCCAACCCGCTCTGACTCGAGCTCTGCTCTGCCCTCCAGTCCCTCACCCCACCTTGACCTCCGTCGCCGTTGCCAGCTTCGCTGAAAAACTACCCCGCTATACATCATCATCATCATCATAACACGCGCTGCCCCGACCTCTACTTACACATACACACACACATTGCGTGCGCACACATTGGTACTGCAGGGCCCGCTCTCCTGACTGACCTCTCTGCCCATCCAGACTACTCCCTCAACAACCCGGACACCCTCACCAAGTACAAGACCGCCGGTACCATCTCCGAGAAGGTGCTTGCTGCCGTGTCCAAGCTATGTGTCGCCGGTGAGAAGGTCGTCACCATCTGCGAGAAGGGCGACAAGCTCCTCGAGGAGGAAGTCTCCAAGGTCTTTGCCAAGACCAAGCTCAAGGGTACGTCTCCCCCTGCCGGTGCCCACGCTGCTGCGACTTACACAATCTCGCTGCTACAGGTTTCGCCCACCCCGTCACCGTCTCCCCGGCTTCTTTCGTTACCCCATACACTCCCCTCACCTCCGATGAGGCCGAGGCCAGCGTTGTTCTGCAAGCCGGCGAGCCCGTCAAGATCCAGCTTGGTGCCCAGATCGATGGCTTCGGCACCATCGTCTGTGGGACCGTCATCGTCAAGGCCGACGATGTCGTCACTGGCCGTCCCGCCGACCTAGTCCTGGCAACCCACTACGCCAACGAGCTGCTGCTCCGCCTCATGCTCCCGCCCGGAACCCTGGGCTCTGACGAGGAGAAGGCCAAGGCCCCCAAGGCCCCTTCGCAGACCCAGATCACGTCTCTGCTGGAGAAGGTCGTCCAGAGCTACGACTGCAGCCTGGTCGAGAGCACCACCTCGTGGCTGTTCGACCGCAATGAGATTGAGGGCAAGAAGAAGCTCGTCATTGCGCCCGGTGAGGGTACCAAGGGAGACGGCACCCCGGATGTCGGCGAGGTATGGGGTGTTGAGATGGGTGTCAGTCTGGGCAGCGGCAAGGTCAAGAAGTACGAGCAGAGAGCAACCCTCCACCGCCTCATCAACGACAACGGTATTGCCAAGCGGCCATCGTCCAAGAAGCTGCTCCACGACGTCAAGACCAAGTACCACACCTTCCCCTTCAGTCTGAGGCAGCTCGAGAGCGAGCGTGATGCCAAGCTCGGAGTCCTGGAGTGTGTCCGCAACGGCTTCTTCCGCGAGTACGAAGTTGTCGGTGACAAGGAGAATGCCCCTGTCGCCAGACTCCTCACCACCATTGGTAAGCCACAATTGCGAGACTCCTATCTTCTGTTTTCCTTTTCTCATCTTTTGCCCCTCCCTGCCTGTCTCTTTGTCTGGGAGATTCTAACACATTTTTTTTTAGCCATTACCAAGAACGGTATCACCAAGCTTGGTGGACCCCCTGAGCTGGATCTCTCCAAGTTCAAGTCTGACAAGAAGATCACGGATGAGGAGGTCTTGAAGATTCTCGAGCAGCCCCTGGCCAGAAACAAGGGCAAGAAGCAGAACAAGAAGAAGAAGAAGCCCGCCAAGAAGGCCGCTAAGAAGGCGGAGGAGGAGGAGAGCGAGGAGGAGAGCGACGACGAGTAAGAGCAGCAAAGGGGGCTCAAAGAAGTGCACGTGACCCCAGAAACAATCTCGGGGAAGTCAACTGTCAAGTGTTTTTGAAGAGCAATTATACTTGAAGTGGATGGGCACCACTGCGAGTAGCCCAGGTTAAGGGGGCGGAGGCAGCAGCCGCCTCCGCTCGCTTGTGTGCTGACTGGAGGGAGTACCTGCAGGCTCGTAAAGCGTTACTCCCCCTGGAAAATGGCTTTTCGAGAGACAGGCCGACGCTCCAAGCGCAGATAGTGCTAGAGATCCCAAAATGAGAAAAATGCACCAAATGTCACCAAACGTACCTGGGCACCCAAGTTCTGGCGAGCATGTTGTGTTCAGCATACTTTCAACTACAGACTCACTGTGGTGTGCGTGAAGTTGAGTCGGCCGGATGAGTGAGTGAGCGGGCAATGGGGGGCGGAAGGCCAGAGCCAGAGCCCAGCAACCCAGAGCCACGTTCGTCCCCCCTTACCGTCCCCATTTCGCCGGTCCTATGACTGCAAGCCGGAGCCTCTCCAGTGACCCTTCGAACCCGAGAAGCGCACCTGATATTTTGAATGCAAGATGAACTGATCAGAGAGGGCTCGTTGCTTTTTCCTCATCTGACGCGGGATTCTTCATGCTCCGCCCGCAACTGGTTGGCCCTTCCTGTCGTGCTCAAAGTAAGGCTTGCATGATCCGCGCGGACGCCTCGGAGTCGGACAGCTCGTAGACCAGCCCCTGCGAGGACTCGGCCCTGTAGACAGACAGCAACGGGCGATGCACACACACTGAAATGCCGCACCCGCGGACCTGATGTCAATATTCTCGATAGAAGATTCCACGCTCCTCGTAGGCCTCTCAGCAGGGCGGAACAGGCACGTTCGGTGGCCGTATTACACTTTGGTGGCAGGGGGTCTCGAGTTTGCGGACCCTCTTGGAATGAGCCCCCCTTGTCCCCTAGCGCCTACGCTGCATGCCACTCCGACTTTTTGGCAGCCCATCCTCCCTCCCCCATACCCTTTGCACCGCGTTGGAGCTCCGACCAGACGCGCCGGCCCATCTTGGAGAGAGCTACTGTCCGGAGCAAGAGGTACAGGATCCCCCATGGTCGTCGCAAGCAGCCAGGCTAACATTCGACCCAGGTGCGACGCGATTCTGTGCATGCCCATTGTGGTCGAGGCGATAGGGGGCAAACGCCCGCGGCCACGCGTGAAGCCAACGCCATGATGCCTTCCACCTCAAAGTCCGGACGCTCGCGCTTCTCGAGCCCGCTGCACCTCTCGAGCTCTCCCTCAAGCCACAACAAGGGCGTCACCACCGAAGGACAAAGGAAGTTTCTGCAGCGCTGGCTGGAACCCCCGGTGCAGGTCAAGCCCAGCTATCAGGAGGCGGGACTGGTGCGCTCGGGCGTGGTCGAGAACATGGCACCCTTGGGAACGCTGCCGAAAGCTGTCAAGAGACAGCCAGGGACGCCGAGCGAGGGAACACCGGCTCCTGCGGTGAGGCGGATTGTTGTCAAGAAGTCGGCTACGAGGGTGACGCCTGTCGAGGCTGAGGAGGGCATGCCCTATCTTGCCGCAGCCTCAGAGTCGCCAGGCAGGGAGCTGATGTCCTCCCCGACGCGTCCGGTTTTCCCTGTGAATGGACTGGACGACGACGAGGATGAGGATTACACGCCCATGCCAAAGAAGCCTGCAAAGGGTCGTCGCTCGTCACTTGCTGGGAGTGCCAGTGGGAGCGCGCGTCCTGTCCGCGCTGGTCGCCGCAGCACCGCAGCCCGCCAAAAAAGCCCTTCACCCTCCCCCACCATCACCACCACAACAAACGACAACACGAACACGAGTAATATTCACAACTTGGAATTACCCGTACCTGCACGGGCATCTACTCCCACACCCACTCCCGCACGCGCTCCCGCACCCTCACGGCAGGAACCACGCTCTCGCACCATGCCCAAGTTCAAGGCACCCCTCTCGTGCCAGAGAGAGCCCGACGACCCCGAGCTGGTTGATCGGGCCGTGGAAGCTTCTGTTGACGAGGCCCTTCGTCACTTTCGCTACCCTACTGCTTGGGCCCTGAGGCTCCTCTACGATGAGAACTCATCTAACCCGCACTTTGTCTCGATGATCGAGGACATATTCAATCAGAGAGCAGATGATGAGGCGCTGCACGAGTTTAGTAGGCTCGTCTCGGCCCGAAAACGTGAGGGCAAGGTCGAGGACAAAGGCTACGAATACTTTGTTCCCCCCACCACCAATGCTCGTCAGAGTCCCTACCAGCCCAGGCCTGCGCCGTACGCGGATCTGCTCACTATGGACCTCACTCCTGCCAAGGACCGGGGCGAAGACGTCGACCAGCACGTGGCCAAGAGGCAGAGGCTGGAGGACAACAACCAGACGCCCACCCCGACAGGTCCTGCCGAGGGCAGCGGCGCAGGCGCAAACGGCATCAGCGGCATGAACGGCACGGGCAGCGGCGCCGGCACGGACGGGCTCAAGGTGCAGCGATCGCCGCACAAGTCACCTCACAAGTCACCTCACAAGTCACCGCACAAGCCGGCCCACAAGTCGCCTCACAAATCACCGCACAAGTCCCCTGGCAAAGGCAAGGGGCGACGACGGCACGGATCGGTCAGCAGCGACTCGTCACTCTCTAGCGTGCCTGACGACGTCCTAGATGACTACGATGAATTTATGGACCAGGAGCTGGGCGTTTCGCGCCCTAGTACTGCCGAGCCAAATAATGCGCCAACCCCGGCCCCCTCGTTCCAGCCAATCAACGCCCGCCAGAAGAAACCCGCGTCCAAAAAGAAGAATGCGTCGCCCAAACCTGGCTCATCCCAGAACACCACCACCCATCCTTTGCCCGCGCAGGACCCGGACATGCCAGCCGCCATCGCGGTCAACGGCGCATCTCATCAACGCAACAGCCACACGCCATCGGCGTCATCCAAGTCGGCCGGCCAGTCTGCTGCTGACTTCGCCAGCCTCGACAGTCTCATTGAGAGAAAGGCAAGAGCCCGCCTCGAGACGCAGCGCAAGACCAAGGGGCACGTTGTCGAGAGTTTCAGTCGTGATCCTCTCGGTTCGGACCCGCTGGACGACGAGGTGCCGACCCTGGCGCCCGTCGAGTCAGCCCGTTCTACTCGGACCCCGGCGCCGCCTTTGTCCCTGCGAGCAGCCAGGGCGGCGAAGCGGAATAATGAAAATGTGGATGAGTCCGTCTCGCCCACGACCGCGTCCCTCAGGGCAGACTTTGAGCCACCCTCCTCTGCACGCAGCTCGAGGGCGGCGACGCCATCGAACCTGCGTGCGACAAAGAAGCCGCGGACCGGCTTGCGTGTCAAGACCTCGTAAGTGAATTCTCATTGCGCCCTCTTCGTGTTCTCGCGGTTTTTCCGTTGTGTGTTTGCAGTCGACGCTCGCGGCCCAACAGGTTGTCTTGTTGCCCTGGAACCAACAGCTCCTTCCAGTGGCAATCTGGCAACACGTGAGCCTGCGTCTGTCCGGAAACTCATGATAACAAACAAAAAAATCACTTTTGCCATTTGATTCACTCATGAAAACACTATCTGCATTTGCTGACAAAAAAAACTTCTGCGCAGGCCGATGAAGAAGAAGGGGACATCTGCGGGAATTCCTCGTCCTAGCGGAGAGCGTCCCAGCCCTGTGTTCAACGGGACTTCACATGACAAGGTGAGACTTTTTTTTTCCTTTCCCTCTTCTTACGCAGCTCAGACTGCACTAATCCTCGGATGAATGCTCCTCGCTATTATTGCCAGGTGTCTTCCTGGTTATTATCGGCGACGGTGGCAATATTTGGGTTGTCGCCTGTGTCAGACTCCGAAGCAGATCTCTTTTTCACTCAGTTAGGCGCTCACTTTACTGACCAGGCCCGCTAGGACGATAATGACGATTCTTGCTATACCTGCGGCGGTAGCGGTGAGCTCGTTTGCTGCGATGGATGCAATTACTCGTTCCATTTTCTCTGCATCGATCCTCCTATGGACGAGAATGTCATGCCAGATGACTGGTTCTGCAATGAATGCATGCACAAGTACTTCCCGGCCACGTTCACAGGCCACAGAGGTGCGTTTGGAACATTGCTAGATGCCCTCGACAAGAAGAATCCTCGAGCCTTCCGCTTGCCGGTGAACATACGCGAGCACTTTGAGGGCGTGAAGACTGGCCCAGAGGGTGAGTACGAGGAGACGACCAGCACAAAACCCAAGTAAGTCCTGCATTCCCCGCACGTGGAACGCCTATCGGCTGACATGCGCAACCTCTAGGGCCAACAAGAAGGGCTATGAGGAGACGTTTGACTTCTTCAAGGTCCGCAGTACCGAGGGCAATGCTGTGCTCTGCTTCAAATGCCACCAAGGCGTCACTTCCAGCAGGCCGATTATTCCCTGTTCCGTCTGTGGGCTGAACTGGCATCTGGAGTGCTTAGACCCGCCCTTGGCAGTGCCTCCCGTTCTTCGCAACTGGCGGTGTCCCTGTCACGTTGAGGATGCCTTCATGGCCAACCTCGCTCCTGCGCACAAGTACCGCAAGGTCAAGAATGCGCCGATTATCGAGCAGGCGTATAGCCGTGGTATGGCTAACAACGGCTGGATCGAGATCGAAGAGGATGACGAGGAGGAGGATGCATCAGAGAACACGCATATGACCCGCAAGGATTTTGGCCGTGTCTACAGGCTGCCCGAGAAGGGCATCAAGCTGGACTTCATCTCTCGGTAGGTCACTCCAGAAGGCGAGCCGGCAGTTTCGCTGAGACGCTAATCTTGTCGCAGTGTGCACCAGGATCGAGCCAGAGCAGCACAGTCCCGCTCTTCCAACCCCGCTTTGTCGGTTGTACCTCGTGTCCACACCATCGAGGAGCAACAGGCCGCCCTCAACCTGTCTTCCCTCGCTGGCAGCGGTAACGGCGTCAACCAGCTGGTTGGAGCTCTGATCGTAAGTCTCGCATACAGGAGGCAGACCGAACCCCAAATACTGACCACCGTGAACAGTCGGAAGCCACGCCAGCCGCTCTCTCGCTGATGGCCCGAGGCGATGCCACACGCATAGCTGGTGGCGACCTGACTCAGCTTGACTCCGCCTCGCTCGAGGCCATGCTCTCTCAGGCCGAAACGCTTCGTGCAGGTATTGCCAAGATTCTCCAGGGCCGGGAAGCCGGACCTACACCCCAACGTACGCCCATGAAAGACGAGGCCGAAGACTCCGCTATGCAGATGGACTGAGTCTCTCTACATGTCCTATAATGCCATCTATTCCCGTCGCTGTATAATACCCTTCACCTGTTCATGGACAACCCAAGCACGGGCTGCGTTCCATGAACACCCAACAGAGAAATACTCTTTCCGGCGGCGAGCAAGCAGAACGAAAACGCAACGGTAAACGCGTTTCGTTCATACTTTGCCGCTGGCATCCTAGACCCCCGAACCAATGAGCCCTTTAGAGAAAAAGGCCAAGCGAATATACCATCTTGCTTTGTTTGTATGATTAGTGAGATAAGCGCTGTGCTCGATTTCCTACCACCCTCAGAACATCCGGCAGAACGAGGCGCCCTCCTACTAGAGCAGAGGACCTTTCTTCATTGCCCGGAACTCTTTGTCTCACAGACGAGACAACACACCCACACCGATGTGCTCCTTTCTTCACTTTGTCTTCGCAACCGAGGTCCACAAGGCCGTCGGAAGCTTCAAACAAGAGAGAGGGAAAGAGAGCAAACGAGAGACTGCGAAATTCAGCCTTGCCACCCCTGGACGGAAATCGGAAATGGCGTTTAGGACCGGCTGGATCGTGCGACGACGAAGACGGGGAGGGCCGTCTCCCGGCTCGCCGTAGTAGTGGTAGCAACAGTAGTAGATAAATACATCGGTATTCTTCCGTACAAAAACTGCCCGTGCCCATGTAATTGCCTCACTCCCCGCCCTCGGTGCTGTGCCTGGATTCCTCGCTGGCTCACTGCTATGATCGTATTCCCGTAAGCTATCAGTGCTCAGAGAAAGGCTTTCCCATGATTCCGTTCGGGTGAGTAGACCCCGGTCTCCAGATTCTACGCGAGATTCTCCGCGTCCCCTCTGCCTCCTCTCAAGTAGTGTGGCTTACTTGTGTCAACACCATGCTGACCACACGTGGCACGTCGCATCAGCCGCCGCAGTCCTTTGGTGGGAAGCATCCCATCCAACGGCAGGCGCGGGGGTATTGTCCTGTCGGGCGGCTGGCTCCAGAACGGGGTTGCATTGCCACACTACAGTCCATGTGTAAATTCCTTCATACCAGCTCGGTGTATACGAAGGGGGAGGGGGAATATCCCCAATGACTACACAGCGAGCAGTGGTCGCCCAGTCCAGCGGAAGCCGGGGAGGGCCAGCCAGAGCACGAGCGAGCATCGCAGCACGCAATTAGGCAGAGCAGGCAACGAGAAAAGAGTATAACACTTCTAAAAAACTGATTCGCCTATCCATTCGCACCCTAAGCATACAGGTATATCTACTACTGCGTGGCGACCGACCTCCCCGTTCGTGCCGTGCCCCCTTCCAGTTGAGTTCCAGACCTTCCAGAATAAAAGCACTCCCTCTTTTTCATTCCAGGGGGGCCCCGAAGCCATCTTCCGTGAGAAATAGAAGTTTGAGAGGGACCTCCAGGTCCCCGGCCTGGTAGTGCCCATAGCTTGAGCTTGCAGAGGGGGAGGCAGACCATGCCCGTCGTTTCCCTCAGCTCAAATCGATACGTGTCCCAAGAGAGTGCCCCGCGGGACTAGTTTCGTCCGCGTGCAAAAGTTTCATACAAGAAAAGTTCATGGCGTTAAGTCTCGGCAGAAACAGCATGTCAGTGTCACAACCATCATGTCAGTCCCCCATTGAAGTAAAGTCCGTAAAACTCCTATGCCTTCAATCGCAATCCACCAGTCCTCAAAACAAACAAGGGCGTGGTTCGAAACAAGTGACCCCGAGTGGAATGCCGAATATGCTCGCAAGTGAAAATTGATTTTGTCTACCAAACAGCCGGCTGAGAGAATGAGCTGATCATCTCTGTATTGTTGATGTCAGCGCTGGCACGTTACGGTCGAGGTGATTTTCTGCCTCTGTGGGTGGGTTGACCTACGCGTCCGCGCCGAGCGTTGACGGGTTGCTCTTGCATGTAGGGCATATTTTGCATTCCACCCATCCCGCCGTAAGGGTAACCGCCCATACCCATACCCATGTTGAAACCCGGAGGGCCAAAGCCAGCGGGAGCACCGGGAGGCTGAATAGGACTGCCATTGGACAGATTCTGGTTGCGGTACTGGTCGATCGAAGGACTGGGGCTGTTGTAACCGTTGAAACCAGCCTGCATGGGAGGGTAGAAGTTGTTCATGGGCTGATTTCCACGAGGCAACATGTTTTGCTGGTACTGCATCTGCTGTAGGTTGGGGACCATGGATGAGTTGTTGCCGTTGAACAGAGGGCCCTGCTGCCCGTATTGCGGGAAAGGAGGCATAGGGGGTTCGACGCTATCGCTCCGAGGAATACCGAAGCCCATGTCGTAGTTTCCGGGGCCGCTCGCAGGATTCAGAGGGTTCAAGTATTGGCTGCCATACTGGGCGTTTTGCTGGACGGCCGCAGCATTAGCTTGCGCATGCGCTTGTCTTGAAGCAGGTCGTTGACGCTCAGAAGCAGCGGTCGAGTGGTCTCGGGAACCGCCACCTCCGTTGCGCGTAGACAAGCCAACTTCATCCATGAGGCGCTTGTATCCCTGGTTTGGCTGAGCCTTGATCCTGACGAGAACGTTCTTGACATTCTCGACGACTTGGCTCCTTATGCTCTCATCGAAGAAAGGTGTCGTGAGAACCTTGAATATCAAGGTGGCACCGCACGCATGATCGCTCAAGATTGCCTCCAGGACCTGATCCTTCGGAGTAAAGAACAGAGCTTTGAGAATGGTGTCCCGTGCTTCGGCCTCCGCTTTTTGGTTGATGACTTTTAGAACCGTCAGGTAAGCGACCTTGTGTGTGCAGAGGTGGACCAAGTATGGCACGAGCTGGGGCGCCAGCACACTTCGGCGCTGGGGGAAGGTGCAGGTATCCAAGAACCACGTCAGCAGTAGAGCGCCGTTGGCATTGGTCGCCAACTGAACACTGTGCAATGCAATAGCAGCTGCAAGCATTCGCTGCTGGTCTTTGGTCGCGTGGTGACTCTCAAGACAAGCTCGCATGGCCCTTGCGCCATACCTGCCCTGTGCGATGTCCCACATCTTGCTAAGCATCGTCTCAAAGATAAAGTCGTTGAACGGTGAGTTGAACTTCAGGCAACCCTGGAGCACATAGTTGCCGTACTGGTCCAGGAACAACGGGACAGTGTATGGCCTGAGATGCTCGACTATCAGAGCCAATTGAGTCGGTGTCTTACACACATCAATGATCTTCTGCGCGGCCCATGTGCCGTTCTTGTGGACACCGATTTCTGCCAGGTGAGGGGCAATCTCGGCCAACATGGCATCCCGAACCTCGTCAGAGCAGTGCTCAAACAGCTTCTGGACAACCGTGTTGCCAAGATAGTCCGACGCGAGCTCGGCAATCTCGGGGAGCATGTCAATGGCGATGTTCTCAATCTCCGCTTGAGACAAGGTCTGGTTATCGATGCGCTTGCGGATGTCTCTGAGCTTCGGTGCGTCATGGACACGAGTATGAGTGGGCTCTCGGATTGGAGGGATCTCATCAGCGAAGTTTGTGAACTGGATAGCAGAGTTCAAGCTGTGAGAGATCCTGTACGAATCCTCTTCTGAAGCACCAAATGACTTCACTATTTGCATGATGTCCGAGGTCATCTCATGCAGGGGAGGGATCGTAGGGGCAGCGTTTGTCTGCGTCGCAGTGGCATTTCCTTCCCCAGAGGCAGCTGCAGAGTTGGACACACCAGCGTCTCCTCCTTTGGCGAATGGGTCGGGACTAGGAGATGGGAATATACCATCGGGGCCAGGAGTGTTGGACGCTGAGGGTGGCTTGGCAAAGTTGATGCGGATTGGGCCAGCTCCTGGGAAGATTTCCTTGCCGTTCATGGCCGCCTTTGCAGAGATGGCACTGTCGACTCGCTCAAAGTTGACAAATCCGCAGTTCTTGTGAGTCAGGACTCGTACCGACGCGATAGGTCCGTACTGCTTGAACATCTCGGTTAGAGTGGACGTTGTCGTGGAAGTCGGAATACTGCCGAGCCACAAGGCGCTCGTAGGGCCTTCGAGGCCAGCTTCTTCTGCGGTCAGAAGCCCGTTGTTACGGCTACTTGACCTCCCCAAGTTCATGGCTGCCACGGCCTGGGGAAGATCGTCGAAATCCTTCTCGTCTGGCAGGCGGATCTCCGCAGTCGTCATAGAGTTGTCAAGGCGAGACGGCGTGGGGTAATAATTCCGCAGACCCCTAGAGCCAGCACCGGTGAGATCCATACCACCGACGGTCCTAGCTCGTGGCCGGCTCATCGATTGAGCGGCAAACTGAAGGTTCTGCACAGCAATGTTGTGGCTGTGAATCGCGGCGTTGGTCTGGGCGATCTGATTTTGAAGTAATGCGGCGTACTGGCTTTCGTCCAAATCATCGTAGTCTTCGTCCTCATCGGCATACTTGTCTTTGTTGTTCACCGAGTACGAGCGGAAGCGGTTTGCTTGTTTCGTGAAGTCTGCCAAGCCAGGCAGGTAGGGAGTTGCCAATTGGGCGCGGGCAGGTTGGGGGGTCTCAGCCAGACCTAGGTAGTCGAGTGTCCTCATATGAACGTCGTTGTCTCCGGTTCCCTCCTTGGAGAAGGCTGATTGCGCGGGGGAGCTGGGGCCGTTGGATCCAACACTCGCGATGCTAGCAAGAGTGTTTCCACGCTCGCGGCCCGAGGGGTTCCAGCTGCCACTAAACAGGGTCGGGCCAAAAGGAGAGCTGGTACCAGGGATGTTGGAGAAGGGGCTACGCTGCGGCATGGAGCCGGCCCTCAACCTCGACAGGAGAGACGCAGAGCGCGATGCGTCAGAGGGCGGTTCGGCCAATCCAGGAGAGGGCGACTTGTTGAATGGACTTTGGGAAGGACTAGTTCGCAAAGACTGGGCGTTGAGTGTGGGAATGCTCAGCAGCCCATTGCCAACCGCAGCACCAGGGAACCTCGAGGGGACGGTGCCAGCACGAGCACGTCGTCCTGTCGACGGCAGGCTGTCGGGGGTCGGTAGCTGGGCAAAGTCGGGGAATCCGTCTGTCGGGGATTCTGGGATGTTTTCACGTAGAGGGGTCGAGTTCCCGCTTGTTGGCGGGCCGCCCCAGGGGTTAAGAGGCAGGCCCGGAACGCCCTCTTGAGCTTGGATCTCTCTTGCCCTACACAGATGTCAGTGATTCGCCAGGCTCAGAGGGGAGCCGGTACGGCATAAGCTCACCTTTTAGAGAATAGCCTGCTCGAGCCAGGCAGGTCGTGCGAGGGAGAGCCGGCTCCCGATCGCGTGGTGCCTGCCATCTTGCTGCCAGGAGGGTTCAGAGTGCCCGACATGCCGAAGGGTGATCTGATGCTTGACTCGATAGGAGACTGAGATTTGGTGGTGGTAGTTGGCGAAGTAGAGCGACCTTGGTTGGGGTTGGCAAAACCAAGAGTCAGGTGGTCTGATCTAGCACTTGACATTATCGATTATTCATCCGACCCTCGTCAAGAGAAGCAAGCTGGTAGATAGCAGTTGCTTCCCGGGGATGGGCGGTCGCTGGTTGAGAACACGAGGTCGAAGAGAAGGTCAACCTTGTCCGATCGGGGGACTGTGACTCAAAGGCAGGTCCTTGGGAACGTCGAAGGGCAGGTGACAGGAGTATGTATATTATGTCGTCACACAGCGACTCGAGCGGTCGTGGGAGAGAAAACTGTCAAAGGAGTGACAATGTCGAAGAGAGTAATCCCAGGCAGTGAAGCTGGGCGATTACAAGGTGCACGGCAGGGCCAGGACGCTGTCTAGAGGTCAACTGGACTCGAGGGCCGCGGCAGGGGCTGGTTGGTCTCGTAAGGTATGAATGAAAGAGTCTGAACCTGGTGGTTTGCAGAAGAGGGATGCAAGGAGTGGTCGAGGCCGGGTCCAGCGAGGATCTGGCGCGGGCGGCGGGTGAGGCAAAGTCTTGGGCCCGAGCTCACGATCGATTACCCGGATGATCGGTGCGACTGTTGAGACAATTGGACCTCGAGCTGGCTCGCTTTCTTTTTTTCCTTTCTCTCTCGCAATCCGATAGCTCAATCCGCCTTCCACGTCTCTGCGACTTCTCAAGAAGCGGACAGAGTTGAGAGAGGCAACGAGGAAGAAAAAAAAGTTTCGGCAACTGCTGAGACCGTCGGGGCGGTGGGAATAAAAAAAAAAGAGACCAAGCCAATGAATCAATATACAGGCTGCATTAGTTGATTTCCAGCACGCAGTTGGGTTGGAGCAGAGAAGCCTGGAGAAGGGAGTAAAAGACGAGAGAGGGGGAAAGAGGATGAGAGTGTACTGGACTGGATTACGGGACGTGATGTGATGTGGGAAGAGGAGAGGTGGATGTATGTGGATAGATGTCCTTGATCTCACTTCCAGGAACAGGTCCAGATCCAGGATAGCAGCACAGGAGACAGAACAGGGCAAGCAGCAGAGCAGGTCTGGTACCTACCGGCGTCCAGTAGCAGTCCGCCGACCTGGAAGTCCCTGAGTTACAGCCTACACAGTACCTGCTGTAACTAGCGACCGGCCGGAGGGGATGGGGGACGGGGGACGGGGGATGGGCAACGCAGCTGGATCTGGGTGATGTGAAGCAGGGGCAGGAGTGGCAGCAGGACCCCAGGGCCCCAGCCAGCACAGCGCCCAGCAGAGGCCCGGCAAGAGCCCGGGTTGGGTGCTGCGCGACCATGGGTGGGGGCCTTGGGGCCTTCTACCTAGTCAGCCAACGTCACGCAAACTTGGCCCTGGTGGATGGGACTTGCTGCGCCCGCCACCCGCCGCCTGACAGCCGGGTACCTCGTACAACCCGCCCGTTAGCGGACCCAGGGGGAGACGCCCCCCTCTCTCGACCCCCTTCTCTCTGGGCGGCGCTTTTTTGGAAGGATGAAACAAGGTGGTCGATTTAGGGGGCTGCGCATCGTGCATTGAACGACGACTGAGAGCGCGCGAGCGAGCCAGCCTCCCTTCATCAACCACCGACCGACCTAGCGTCCGCCGCCAACCAGGGACTGGCAGGGCCCATGCCGCTTGGTTTTCTATTCTAGATCTTCATGCTGCTTATCAACTAAGTCAGGCTAATGTAGAAGCTTCGGACGAAAAGTCACTCGTGCTCGTCACGCTCTGCTCCGCGCGAGATCGATCTATCAACCAGTTGTGTGACCGTGTGTTTCGTTTGAGGCCTGCACCGGGCATCTGTAGCATCGTCGAATGTCTTGCGTTGCTTGCTGGACAGGGGCCCCAGATCCTACTCCATGTAACCCGTAAGTTACTAGTTAGCTTCCTGGACCCTCAAGAAAACTGGCCGCTCGCGCACTCGTCGATCTGACCGACTAGTAATTATCAAGTCAACCAGTGTCAGACCACACACTGCTCAATCCTCTTGATGCTCCTTGCTCTTCGAGACCGCAAGGATTCCACCGCCTTGGAGAGCCTGGGAGCGCGGCTCGGGAAGCTGTGACCTTCTGATACTTTTTCCCTCGACATGTCTTTATCTTGTCCTTGTTACCGAATTGTGGGCGAGAAGCTTGGCGCCCTCGATTGGACGTCGCAAGAGTCGCAGTCTCAGACCGAGCGGCATCCAAAGACACTCTTCAACGGTGCCGACGGCTCCACACTGTCACTGATGAATCGATCTGGTCTGTACTGTATTTAGATGCCATGCGGTGACCTCGACCACAGGCAAACGCGTCGTCTCTAGCTATGCGTGCCTTGCGTGCCGGGGCACTAGCCCGTCTCGGCGAGATGGCACCTGTGATCATCCGAAACTGCCGTGATACCAACAGCCTGGATGGCAGTGTGCGCACGCTCACATCGCACTTCCCACCAATCGCTTCTCGGAAGGGTGCACATCTCGGGGCTGGCTCCTTCGCAGATCACTAAATTTGCACGCCGACCAGGTAATCTGGCAGTCTGGCAGTCAACCAACCCAACACTTCTCACAGCTTTTGATAGAAAACGCCCCGTCCTGCAGGCCACGCATGTCAGCGACCCGATCCTGAATAATGCGCTCTGCTCGCCCGCGCTGGAAAGTCAGGATCTAACTTTCAACGCCCGCCCGCTGACGCACGTCGGCTCTTGAAGCTATTTTCGGCTTCCCGTGGCTAGAGCCAGGCTGATAATAAAGCCCCATGCCCTTATTAGCTTATTTTGGCTGCGATGGAGGTTCTCGAGTTTACAAGGGCATAGCGGCACCTGGGGTTCAGATATATGAGCCTACACACTTGAATTTGCTTCTGCGGTACCGCCAACGTCGCATTCCCCGGCTCCACTATGACGCTTTGGGCAGTATAGCAGTAACTGTCATGTTCTCGAATGATTGTAGAACATACGACGCAGGCTTCTAGCCATCAATTTACTCGACAACGGCGCCCATCACTGTAGTGCGACGGCGGTATCACGGCCCAATCGGATGAGAGCGTGCGACTGTGGAGTGAACCACGGTAGCTAACAAGTCAGTCCTCTGTCCTGGTTAAATTGGCCAACGCTGGGGACGATCGTTGAAACGCCGAGTTTAGAGCTCTTGCCTCAACTGTGCATATGATCCCTAATGTAGATTGCAGGGGAATAAATCATCTCCTCTCAGTTCCCCTGCCTGAGTTCCTGAATTCTCAGAATAAACTGTCTACCGCAGACACATCGAGACGGGTGAAGCTGCCAACCTCTTGTAGACACGCGTCCGATCAATGCCTCGGGCTCCGATGCGGGAAGCAGGGCGGAGGCACTGTAGGATCTGTGTAAGTGGACACGAATCACTCAGTTTGCGGGCTCCCAGACCGTGGTTTGCTGTGGTCCTTGGTCTTCGCCTTCAAACGCCGAGAATCCACAGGGATCGGCGCAAGCATTGTTCACTCTGGCCCCAAAAGAGCAGCCAGCAGGCCAGCATGTTCCGATTTCCACGGTAGACCAGCTTTCGTGCCCTGGATGACGAGGACTTCCCCGGGAGGCGATGCGCTCTAAGGATCTGTCACTTTTGGGTAGTGCGACCCCTGTCGATTGGCTTTGCTTCGGGTTGGTACTAATCCAATCACGGCGTTGGACGGCACCTCAGAGAAATCTGAAACGCCGCCTGAACTGCCCCAAGGTGACGTGAAATGCAAGCCTTCGACTAGCTTGGAGTCCCCTACACCAATTACCTCATCCGGCACCCAACTGACATCCTCCAGCTGGCGATTGACTTTCTTATGGGCGTCGAAGACAACAACCAAATACGTTGTCGTGTCCCGCCCTCCTTTGATTCCCTTGGAGAGGGCCAGGGTTCTGAAGTAATCTACTTGGTGTTTAGTTGATCCCGTCACTATCCACCTCGGTACGGAGTACTTCAATCCCAGTGCTCAAAGGAAGTCCGAGTTACATTCGAGGTTATCCGCATCGTCACTTGGTGTCGCCACGACTTGCCTCAGGGGCCGGCCGCTACACTAACGAGCCAGTCCTGGGGAAGATCGGCAGACAAATCCCGGAGTATACGGGGACATGCATTGAGACTTCGCACTCTGGAGAAGCCGCGGGTTCACAGCGTCCATGGTGAGAAACGGCCTTGCTTCCCCAGCATTTTGGTCGCGCAGGGGGTTTCATGCGCATAATCGATCAAGCGAGGCTCGAGAGGTGATATAGGGGCTGCCTGTCCACCCGCACCTCTCTATCTTCGGCTAGCCACCACTAATCACCCACCCACAACGGGAGATCTACCCAACGCTGGGCCGCGTCGGTCCAATTATAGCGCTATACAGAAGATCCCACGGCTATATATATCCTTATACCCACGATCCTCACATTCAGGGCCTGAACCTGTAAGTGGCGCATTTGGGAGCCGCATATGTAAGACGCAAGCTTACAGTTCAGACGAAAAGTTACCCAATTCGACTATTTGCATTCCTCATGAGTGCTGGCGTCGCCGGTTAGGCAGTTTCGCATGAAATTTTACCGCGGCATCGTGGTGACCTGATTCGTGTCCTTATGCCAACCGAGTCAGACTGAAGTTGACTTTCAGCTCCTTTGATGCGCCGCACCATGCCGCGGTAAACATTTCTCGTTACCGTTACAGCCCACTTGTAGGCATCGTCGATTATTGCCAGGATCCCGGATTTCGCATTGACAGAACATTCCATCAAAGTTCCACGCGACGTCGGCGGCTCACACCGATGCTGTCTGAAATCGAACGACGTCGTGAGGTCTGCCCGACTACGCAACTGCGGTGAACCCCATGAGTGAAACCTTTACTGGTTGCTATATTCTTCGTGCGAAATATGAATAATTGATATGCCAGGCGCATGTTTTCCTCACTTCGCAAGCTATAGACGATCAAAGAGTAGGGGCACATCAAAATTAACAGGCTTCAGAAATAACCTAATGCTATGTGTATACAACCAGTCAAGTAGTACCCACGAATGACTTCGTTTCAATCCATGCTCGTGTCTCACATTGAGAATATATATAGCAGTGGAACCAGATTTTTGTTCAGTCTTGTTACTTCATGTTGTGAAAGGCAGACACCCAGTATAAGCCAAGAACCAATCTGAAACCTACATCTCCAGCCCCCACAAAGAAAGGCATGGTATGCAGAAACGCCAAGTTACCATCTACCGCCCAATATAGACATCGAGTGAAGCTTTCCGCTGTATCCACCCCACCTAGAAGAATGCCGCGCCGCTGATCATGCCGACCTCGGGGCAGTACTGCACGATCTTCTCCATGTTGTCCTTCTGCCACCGCACGGGCTGGTGGAAGCCAAAGGGGCGGTCCTGCCACACGGTCTCGACGGCGAAGGACCCCGCGACCTCGTCGCTGGGGAGCCGGGCGGCGGGCGAGCCGTCGGGCCGCGGCGGCAGCTGCTGCATGCGCGTGTACAGCCACTGGTCCTCGAACTGCATGTTGGCCGGGGCGCCGGGCACGGCGCTGTCGTTGGCGTAGCTGAAGCGGGCCAGCAGATCGAGCACCAGGGCGCGGCTGCGGATCGACAGCCCGCCGTTGTAGCCCTGGCCGTAGTACGGGGCGATGGGCGCCCCGATCAGGTCGTACTCGAGGAAGTCGTCGGCGCGCGCCCCCGACGCCGAGCAGATGATGCTGTCGTCCTGGAACATGAGGATCTTGTCGTACGGCGCCAGGTCCGCCCAGAGCCACGGCTCCGTCAGGAACAGCGACACGGCGCGGTGGTTGCTGAACGACACCTCGGGCGGCAGGTACCGGATCATGATGCGCCCCTCGTCCACGGCGCGTGAGAACGGCGCCGACGCCATCAGCGCGTCCGACGTCGTGGGTATGGTGTAGAAGATCAGGGGCCACTCGGGGCCGAGAACACTGTGGAAGTGCAGCATCACAGGAATCAGGTTCTCAAGCGGCCGGTTCTCGATGATCACCGCGGCGCGGTCCATATGTTGTTTTATCTTTGGTGTCTTCTGTAAGTCTGCCTGTGACGGCGTCGTCGTGTCGATATGTCCATCTCCTCCAACGCCTAACAAGGCAGAGTCCGTTGTTTCCTGGCCCACGGATGGGGTAGCAAGGTTGCTGATAGACTTGACATCGTGTTAGTAGGTATCCTCTTTACAACCTGAGAGATTAGGACGAGTGATGCCCTACCGGCAAGCGTGTGAAAGCGGCCAGTATCCATATGAACAACAGCACTGTTATGGCCTTGAGGAAGACAGGCCGACTTATACCAACAGAGGGAAAACTTGAAGAGGTAGGAGAGGATGGCGGTTGGGAATACATATTTAATGAGTAACTGAGATTTACAAAAGCACGCAAGATAGATATCGTCAAAGGAGTGGCGGCAGAGCCTCAGACTCTGCTTACAGCATTCTGGGAGCAGGAAAGGGGAGAAACCGATGGCCTAAGGGATGGACGCGCAAAGCAGTCCCAGAAGATAAGCCACAGGAAAGAAATGAACCAACCGACACAATAAGCCTCGGTGGTCCAAGCTGGGAAAAGGCATGTAGGAGGCGATCCAGAACTTAGCGTACATATTCCCCGAATGGACGAGGCCTCGTGGGTATCACGAATCTCTCCCAGAGGCGCGGCGGGCGCAATGTGCCAGGGGGCCCAGAAACCGTGTCATCAACCAGAACGCCAGAAGGTCTCAGACATATCGAGTAGTGAGCCAGCTTCCGACTAGCGGCATGATACAAAAAGCAAGAATGCGAGCTATAGGCCGTGTAGTGCACGCCCAGCTGGAATTCGGACCCATGTCTCAGCTCCGACTTACATGTACCCTCTTCGTTGCGCCCAAACGAGGGAAATGTCTCGTGGAGGATGTTGCTCGTGGTTGTCCTGTCCTCATCTGAAATCTTCAACTTTGCGCACACATCAGACCATGTTGCAGGGTGCATGGGTGCACCTCCGCGGTTCTCGAGTGAAGATAGACCGCCCATCATGAAGTGGACCCCGAGCCGCGCAACTCCCGCGCCTTTGAAAAGCCGCCATCCAGGTCCGTCCCCACATGTGCCGCGCAACTCTATTGCGTGTGCCTCGAACGCCTTGGCTGAGGGTACCCAAGATGTTTAGCCTGCAAGGCTAGATTTCAGATGCCAAACAAGTCGTAGGTTAGTCAGGAAAAAGCTTGTCTGGTACGGCTTGAGCTTTGAAGGACCCACGTTGCAGCTGGGGGAGAGAAACAAGTGGCGCGTTTCGCTCCGGATGGCAGGTTCTGGGCACCAGCCCGAACCCATGGAGGCGGAAGAGAAGCCATAAAGGGATTTACGCTAGATAATGCAGGTTGGGTAGATGAAGAATGGGTATCAAATTGTGTCCAATATCTACAGCACCGATCTAGATATACAGTATTTGCAAGGCCCAATATTTTCGATAGCATCAGAGCCTGAAAGGCCAGCCTATGTATACCGATCTATATTGCCCATTCATTCCTGTCATCATCGGCAGCGATGAAGGGCTCATCAATACGCTTGATTGCGAATTCGCTGCATAGAATACTGCGGATAATCGTTAGTGATAGGCCACCTCGTGTCTCCGTGCAGAAAGCGTGAGGTGAACTTACCAAGCAGACGCCACAAGTGCATCCAACTCCGCGACCATGGCATCCTTCTTGGCACCACTGACGAGGCCCTTACTGATTTGGATCTGGCACTCCTTGATCCTCTTGCTTTTACCAACACCCGCCTGTTCAAGCACTTTCTTTCCTAGACAGTCAGAATGGAAGGCATGTTGGCAGGGAAACACAAAGAATTGCCTGCTGAGAAGCGGCAGCCCGCAGACGTAGCATTTCTCCCCGGGCTCGACAATGGCGTAACGATGATCGAGAGCAGCAATGTCAATCTTTATGTTTGCCGCTGTCTGTGAGCTTTCATCCATCTCCTTCTTGAGCCCATCAATGTTACGGCTATAATCCTCCAGCGCATTGCAGATCTCGTCCTTGAAGTCATCGATGACGACAAAGTCTGGGAAGAAAGGAATCAAATCCTCAATCTTCAGCAAGTCGCACCTCTTGAGGAAGTCGATAGCGGCCTTGATGCCATTGGATTGGGAAATAACCTTGCGTGCAACAGCGAGCCAAAGCTTCTTGCGAAGTGCCGGATTATCCATAGGCCTATCGGCGATGATGGAGGCATATTCTATCTCATTATGTGACAAGGCCAGGTCGACAGCCTGAACGTACTGTCCCATGTTTGTGTAGATATGAACACAAGCCAATGTTCGCTTGTGCTGGATACATAACCGTAGAGCAAAATCAGGGTCAAACCGGGGCTCTTCACCCTGCGACTCAAGATAGCTTAAGAGAGCTGACTCGTCTTTGTTTGGATGTTTTGCGTAGATCGACACGAGCGTGTTGTGGACGGCAGGATCGGTTGAGTGGAGCTGGTTGATAGCAAACTGAAGGTACCGGATGGCTTGGTTTTGCAAGAGCGATCCCGAGAAGTTTCGGTCATAATCAAGAAGTGCCGGTATTATATTCCTTGGCTTAAGATTCGGGTGTCTTGTCATGATCTCAACCAGTTCGTGGCCGACATGCGTCATCAAGACACTGCTGTACCGATAGAACACTTCTGGGTCCGTCTGCTTCTTCAAGACGTTCAGGGTTTCAGACCACCGCTCCCTTTGCACCCAGTAAGATAGGACATAGTTGTAGTCATTCACAGCGTTCGCGAAAAACAAAAGCTCTTCCTCTCTGGCATGGCTGCTGATGACGTCGTATATTGTTTTCCGGTCCAGATCCGACTTGTGTTTGGTGACAAAAGTTTGGAATTCTCCTCTGATGGTACTCAATTGCTCCTTTGACTGATCTGTGCTCAGATTTTCGACGAGCTCTGCTTCCGTCTTGATCGTGTCCTCGAGAGAGTTCAGCTTTGCCATGAATATCTCGACCAGCCAGGTGGCGATCATCATCCTCTGCATGATTGATGCTTTCTTGTACGTCGTAAGCTTTGTCAGCAGATATTGGCGCAAAGCATCACTCTGGTTGTTGTCAATAAACGCGAGGGCTACCTCCTCGAACGGCTTGCTGCTTTTTCCATAGACGCCGGCCGCTTCGACATACTGGCCTTTGGATGCGAGATAGTCTCCAGAAGCCATTGCGATTACGTCTTTTTGGCTTGCGGTGTGAGCATATTGCAAAGCCTGGTCGAACTGCTGCCTCTCAAGCATTATGCGCCATATATCCCGGTCTTCGTCTCTGACCACGATCTCAAAGATTTCCTGGGCGGTGAAGAGCCAGAAAGTATTCTTCTGTTGGTCGACATACAGGCCGAGTCCCTTTTGGCCCTGGTCGAGAACGACTTGGTCGTAAACGATGGACCCAGTCAATCGGTTTGCCGCGACAACCCTTCCGCCGACCAGACTGACAATATGCCACTGGGTCAAAATGGACGTGTCAATGAAATCCCCTGCTGTCTTCTTCCGAGAGGTAGCGTCAGTTGACACCACTTGCGCCCTAGGCAGCAGCTTAGAGTCTCCATAGACCTTGACACCTAGGTCTGACGTAGCCGGCACTGTGAGCAGCTTTCCGTGGTAAATTCCATGAGAGGATAGCCACGCAAAAGCACGGTCATCGGCTGCGTCGTCATATGATTTTGCATCTGGCGCGTCTGGCGTAATAGCTAGCCCCGAGGGTGCGGCGCCGGAGCCGCGGGACAACTCGTGGATTGTAGGCTGTTCGGCGTCGAATAACTTGGTATAAATAGAGCCGCTGCCCTCGTGATGACTTCGGCCAACTTTGCCAACCATGTGGAACAACCTGCTCTGGGTGCTGATGAGCACTCTCCTGAGGTCTGCCTTGCCTCCCAGGTTGTCCACCCAGAGGCCCGTGACGGGGCCATCCGGTAACTTCTGGAGATTTTTGAGATACTTCTCCTCCTTCCTGTAGAACTCATTGGTGCTCTCGATGAAGGTTTCGTATATGTTGCCATCGCTGGCGCCAACTAATATCTCTCGGGTCGAGGCGGTTGGCAGTGACGGGTTCCAGGCAATGGACTCGATACTGACACCGCGCAGGCGGCTTAGGGGCCGCGGCTGGCGCGACTGGGAATGTAGGTAGTAGTTCTCGCCGAGGCTCGTGCAGACCAGGAGATGCGAGGCCGTGGGGTCGAGGAACAGGCGGCGGATGACGCCGACCTCGGACGGCTTCTTGGGCAGGTCGATGTCGTCAATGTCCTCGGGTCGGTTGAGGTCGATGCGCAGGATGCGGCCATTGGAGAGGGCCAGGACCAGCACGTTGTTTGCGACCTGGGCGGCGACAAAGTCGGCGGCGATGCTGAACTGCAGCTGCACGCGCTCGACGTCGAAGATGGGCAAGGCTACCTCGTCGGCCAGGTCGGGGACGCCGTTCGCTACCGACGCCATGGCAGAGAAGCCGTTCGATCCGTCAAGCGCCATCTGAGCTCCTCTCAGCTTATCATGTCGGAAGAGGGAGATGGAGCCCGTAGGAGATGGTCCTTTGCAACCGGAGCTTTGTCGTTGTGGGCGAGCTCCGAGCTGTTGTTGGACTGGCTGGTAACTAAGTCAGGTTGCTTGGTTGAGCAGTGCGCCCCAAGCGGCTGGAACTGATTGGGCTGGGGTCGCGGGGCTTATGCTTCTATCGGAGTGAGCGTGACGTCGATCGACCTAGGTACACTCTATCAACTAAGTAACCCGCTAAGTTAGCCAGTCATTGAAAGGTAAGGCCCCCTACTTGATCTCCGCTATGTTGTGTCGATCTAGATATTGCAAGGGTTGTTTAGAGGCAAGGCGCAAGATTGGCACTGCACGAGTTTTGACGGGCTTTGGTTGTTTTACAGGGGAATTGATATCCTGTCTCCTTTGGTAGTCTAAGTCTTTTAGCTGAGGGAACACGAAGCTTGGCTTATAACATATCAGACCAGCACTCGCTTCATTTGTCGCACTCAACTGGAGTACACCTAGAATTTAATTGATAGTTAAAATATCCAAGAGAAAAAAAAAGTAATGCTCGCTATATATGGATCGTCATACATTATCCCACGCACAAGCAAGTTCAAGGCTGGGTAATTACTGATGGGTATCAATTATGCACAGTGGCATCGCGCTTCCCCGACATCCTTCCTCTGCTGTTGTTTTGGAACAGGTCTGGTGAGGCCCAGGGAAGACATCTGATCACACCGAGAGACTCGACTTTCAACCTCTAGGCTCTTCCAGAGTGTGATACGTCATGGTCGAGCTCTGTTGAAGCTGACAAGGGCAGCCTCATGTAGAGGATCTTCTCATGATGCTCGCCGGCTCTGATATAATGGCTACACTCTTGGGTCGTGCGTGGGTGCTCGTCTGGGGCAGCTCTGGCCTAGGCTCTGAAGCCTGGCTCTCGGTTGCGCCGTCAGTTCCCAGAAGCTCCATCGGTTTCGTTGGCTCGTCATCGGGAGCCACGACATCATTCTGGTCTACAGAAGATGCTGCCTCGGCATGCAATGTGCTGCTACCGTCGCCCGATGGAATACCTGCGGGCGGGTCTGGAGTGGAGGCCATATCACCAGGAGTAGCCTCTGTGCCGACTTGGCAAGTCGCTCCCCCATTGGCTTCGTTGGTCTCAATATCCATGGCGGTACTGTGTCCCGCTGAAGGGTCAGTTTCCCAAAACGATGCGCCGTCCGGTTTTCTTCCCGTGAGGACTATGAACTTGACCACGAAGCCCTTCGACCTTTCACGGTCCAGCGCGATTCCTTTCATCTCTTCTTGTAGTAGCACCCCGATATTGCGCACCTCATCCGCTGTGTATCCTTTGTATTTCGTCAACAACCTCAACGCAGATGACTCGATGGCTGTAAGCAGCGCCTTTAAGAACAAGTGGCCGGTTTCCAGATCCCTTGGGCTTATAGGCACAACCCTTTCAGACAAGTTCACATCCACAAATCCAGCATCGCGCAGCAGTTGCGGATCCAGGTGGTGAATCCCCACCGGCCTCCCGGCCTCGACAGAGGCGGCCTTCCAGTCGCGCGCAGTCTTGTGTATCACAGAGTCAGGCCCAAAGAATGATGGAAATTGGCCAACGTTGGAAAGGTCCTCTTTGTCCGAGAGCTCAATCCAGCCTCCAGGTTTGCATACTTTGAAAGCTTGCTGGTATACGAACGGCCAGTCGGCAAAAGCCCCTGCCATGTCTCGAAAGTGGACCAAATCGTAGGTGTCAGACGGCCGAAGCCATTCCAATTCGGCGTTGTCCACTTCCCAGAATAGGTTCGGGGCAACGAACCTCGGAAAGATGTCTGATATGTCAAAGCCAGTCACCTCGCAGTCCGGGAAGCGATCTGCCAGGTCAATGGCCCATTCTCCAGTGGCCGCACCCTGCAGCGTCCAGAGTCAGCAAGTGTCCTGTTTGAGCCGTTTGGAAGTGCTCAAGCGAATGTTGATATCCCTTTATCGTGACTACGACCTCAGAGGCACGAGGAAATTCGCGATCTGGAAATTGCAGGAGGTGTAGGGTATGGTAGTTGACTACTTACCACGTCTAATATCGCTGACGGGTTCTCCAGCGGGATAGTGGTCGGCTCATCTCCAAAGGCGCTCTTATAGACCTCATGCACGAGTAAAAGGCGATCTTGCTCAACCTTGTCGTTCGGCATGTAGTAGGTATGGCCGCAATAACGTCGGTCGTTTTCCCATACATTTTCCGTATCTTGCGGGGCAAGGGAGCGATTGGAGTTGCTTGATGCGAGGTCAGCGCCTGGACGATCAATACACTGCCCGTTCGGCTTCTGTGCTTACAATGTAGCTCCATCGTCGAATGGTTTCGGCGCGCGACGATGGCTCGACAGGGACAGCATCTGGCTGGGCGCGTGCAGTGACGACACGTCGTCACTAAGTCCAAACCGCCGCATCTCGGCATCCCGCATCGGCGGAGGATCCAGATGATCATCGGTAGAGTCTCCGTTGTCGAGCTCGGGCATGTCACACACAGGGGCATATACGTGCGCAGGTCCGCTTTCAGAGTCCAAATTGGCCTCCGCATGCGGTGCTGAAGGCGCCTCACGACCACCCGCCGCCGATCCCTCCATAGCCAGGTCAGGTTCGTCATGCATGGCCACGGACCGTGGTCGTTGCTTTCCTATGCTCATAGCTCTTCCGTCGCGGGCTTCCAGGACGTCGTCGGACTGGGGATGGCGCTCTCTCCACCGAGGCTGGGTCGCATCGTCACAAACCATCGAGCGCCAGCAGTGAAAGGTTTGCGATTGGGCGTGGGCCGTTGCACTGGGTCCGCCGGTCCTGTCGCGGCAGCGCACGCTTGAGGATCAATTTGACTAGGCGGGCCGCGCGCGTGGTGCGGACGTCCCCTTCGGAGGTACTGGACTGGATTACAAGCGTCCACTGCGAGGATTGAGGCGGGCACCGAGTGCAGGCCGGGCCTTTGTCTGCGGGCCCTGGGATGTTTCGAAACTGCGACGATATGAGATGATGTGTAAGGAAGTCAAAAGTCGGACCCGAGACTTTGGGTGAGGAGATCCGGGGAAAGGCGAGTCGAGGCCCTCGCAGTTATCTACTGGGCGCCCCCCCAGCCTGTAATGGCACGGTGACACTGCTGAAGAGCCAAGGCCAAGCTTTGGGGTCTTCCCCTTTCGAATCCGCCCAGGTCCAGAAGTCATCGGCCCAGGGCCTGGCAACTGGGCGTCTGGGACCCAGGATTCTCGAGCGGGGGGGCACGCACCTCGAGCAGGCACCCGACAGCACTGGCAGACTGCCCGGGTGGACTGGACTGGACTGGACACTCTCGAGCTGCATCCCACCATGCCAGAGAGGGCTTAGGGGGCTTGGAGGGCTGGTGCGTTAGGCTTAGCTCCCAACCAACCGGGCCCAATTGGGCTGCGAAGGAGGGAGGAGCTAGGACAGCCGGTTCGCTGCGCCGTGGCTACGCAGCTTGGGCGTCCTGGGTCCTGGGTCCTGGGGCCTGGGGCCTGGGGTCTGGGGCCGGTAGGTATTTCGTATACCCCCCTCCGGATCACCAACTCGAGGACTGCCTCAGGGTCGGCTCTGGGCCTTAGTGCTCAACCAGTCCGTACGCGGCAGTAGGTACTTCATGACCATTGCTTGCTAAATCTGTTACCGCGCTCAACTGCTCCAGCAGGAACTCGTATATACTGCCCCACCCAATCAAGATAACATGTACAGCGCAAACCTACGAGGGTATGTGTCATCCCAGACTACCCCTCCAACTCTTTTGCCATGTGTTAAGCGGGCACAGCATTGCTCGCCTCCAATTTGAGATGGAAAGTTAAAATAGAGGGTAGGCTCATTTACAGGGGTTAGCAAGATCCATCACGCAGAGAAGTCTGGGACGTAACCCCCACGACTATCTCCACCGTCTTGTTGGTCACACCCCATGCCTCGCGTGGCTCACAGACACATCAGAAGACGGGAAGGGCACATGTGAGCGCGCGCAGTCTGCTGATGGAGTTGATATGTATGTATGTATGTATGTAGGTGTTGCATGCCTGGATACTTCGTCACGCACACGTTCCGTGATGAGATGCAGGGAACGAGGAAGGTCGAAGCAGCGGGGGAGGTCCGCTTTAGCCGGGAGCCATGCACCTGTACCCTGGCCAAGTTGGGGGCTTGCAGGTACATATTCGATAGTCTTCGAGAATGTCGCTTAGTCTGGACCTCACAGCAGCCTTGCGGAGTGCCAGGGCAGTATACACACAAAGCTTACACTATCTACTGCTGACTCCTGTTGCAGGTTGACTGTTACATTACATGCCCTGAACACGCTCATCAATGGTCTCATGAAACCCCTCGAAATTGTTTGGCTTGTAAATCCACAGCCATGCATGGCTCCCGTTTACCACCCAAATGCATAGAGCGAATGTATCTCGTCTTTGAGCCCGTTGTCTAATGGTGGCCGCAAGATGTCATCCATCCTTCTGGCCCCGGTGCTCGACGCGGAATGCGTCAAACCCCTACTGTGAAGGGCGATAATCATACACAAACGTCCCCATGCCACTCAAACCACTTCCTGAGCAGGGCTGAATGTGCTGGCCCTGTCCTTTGCCGGTTGAGGTTGCTCGCTAATCTCTTCGTGATCCGATACGACCTCAGGCGCTTCGCCTGTCCTATCGACGATTGGGAAGGGGCTGAGTACACTGCTGATGTTACCCCACCACTTCTCTCCATATACCCTGTACCAGTCCACCGTGATCTTCAAACCCTTCTCGAACGGCGTCTTCTGATCCCAGCCCAGCTGCCGAAGCTTCGTGCCGTCAACTGCATAACGGTGGTCGTTGAATGGTCTGTCATGGGTGTATTTCACCCACTTGTCAAAGTCGGCCTTGGTGTCGTTGGGGATCCCCATCTCCTTCAGAAGCCTGACGCATAGCTCCATGTTGGAGATCTCGTCGTAGGAGCCAACGTTGTAGACGTGGCCGAGTGTACCTTTGTGAAGAATTGTGTCAAAGGCATCAGCCGCATCTCCCGCAAAGAGATATCTACGAGTAGGACTGCCGTCCCCGTGGAGGACCACAGGCCTACCACGGTGAAGGAGAGAGGTAAACTTGGGGATGATCTCTGCTCATGTGTTAGCCGTGGCAATGCGGGAATAATCAGCGGCATACTAACTCTCGGGGAACTGGTGTGGGCCGTAGACGTTGTTACTGCGTACGATAATGACTGGAAGCTTGAAACTCTTCATGTAAGAGTGTACAAGCATTTCCGCGGCGGCTTTGCTAGCAGCATATGGGTTGGTGGGTGCCAGGATGCTAGTCTCCAGAAGGTCATCATCGTCATCCTTCACTTCGCCGTAGACCTCGTCTGTCGAAATGTGGATGAATCGTTTGATCCCGACCTTCTTCGCACTCTCGAGCATAACATGGGTTCCATACACATTTGTGTGCGTGAATCCGTAGGAGTTGCCGAAACTCAGGTCGACATGTGACTGAGCTGCGAAGTGAAAGACGGTGTCGATATTGTAACGTTCCATACATTCGAGCACCTCCTTTGGGTTGGTGATATCACCATGGTAGAATGTGAAGTTCCGCTTTTCATTGAGCATTCGTGTGTTGTTTAGCGATGCGCAGTAGTCCAGCTTGTCAAAAGACACAATGTTGTAGGCGTTGGGATATGTCACGGTCAAATGGCGAACCAACCAACACGCACTGCAGCAGAGGTCAGTTTACCGGCGCGGCGGCGTCGATGATGGAACGGCAGTGAGATGCTCAGCTTACATGAATCCGGCTCCACCGGTGATCATGATATTCTTGACATCCGGCAAAGGCTCAAACTTGGTGCTGCCGGTAAGCACCGGTGCGTCTTTCCAGATGCCGGAATCGTGATAGTACCCATTGGTGCCATTTGCGGTAGCTGAACAGATCCTCCAATCAGCAGGGTTTCAATGGACAGAAATGGGACACTCCAACTCACCAGGGTGGTTTCCATTGGTTGCGACAGTCATCTTGAAGGTCTGCACGATTGGTGCTACTTGCTCCAACACAAAAAAATTGAGGCCAGAAGGCAGAATGTGAGTGTGATTGGGAATGAGAAGGAGGCCGACCTCTCCAGGAGTCCGGTTGGTGGCTAGAAGAAGCTCAACAAGACAGGGCAGCAGTCCCCAATTGTCCCTTTCGCCGGAATTGCCTCAAGTAGGGAGGGAAGGCGATGACAGATATGCGACAATTCCAGATGTCCAGATGTCTCAGATGGCTTCGCAGTCCAACGAATGAAGGAAGTGATTGTGTGCAGATGCTGTCTTATTTGAAGGTGAACTTCGGGGCTTCAAGATCAACATCCCACACACCCTTCCTTCCAAGCCCTGGTACGGTCCAGTCCAAGTCCAGGTCAATGGATGGTGCCTTCCGCAACGTTCCTTTTTCCCCCTGCTTGGAGGTACAGGTGAAAGCGGCTGAGAGATGAGGAGGAGCTGGGTGACAAAAGCACTGGTAGCACTAAAAGATCACGGGAGATTTTGGCTTTACATCCATCACGTCGTTGGAGACCCACGCGCGGTTCGCCGGAGACAGGGCGGTTCGCTGATGCGAGTTCGCTTTTCAAGGCCTGCCGGAGGACAGGTGGGCCCAGCTACCCGGCGCCGCGTACAAGGCAAATGGCGCAGCTAGTGAGGTATTGCGCGGCCACTAGAACCGCCTGCCTACCTCCAGTGCGCTGAGGGCCAAGGTATCTTGTCTTATTAGGAACCAGCAGTAGGCACCCACTAGGCAATGTATGATGCAGCTGCTTTCTTTCCCAATTCCGAGCACCCTTGGGGTACAACATCGCCCGATGAGCGGCATGAAGCTGTCCTAAAACATTGCATGAGCGACCAACACTGTCCTCTGATCCAAAGGTGCCGTTCTCCGAGTTCAGTCCCCAGCACAGACGCCCGGGATTTTGGTGATTCGAGAACGGGCACTAGTTCTGTAAGACTTCAGACCAGGTTGGACAAGAATGAGTTCATTCTGGACCTTTCATGTTCTATGGTTAGAGGGCAAGCGTGATTCTACCCGCGCCGATGTGCTCTCGAATCTATGTAATTCGGTCGCCGTACTCTGCGTAGTTCGGATGTGATGCCGTTGACGTGCACGGCCAGGGGAGGAGCTCACACAACAGAGTCAGACACCTCGACACCTATCTGACATCCAACTAACTGTATGCGACCCCTGCCAAGGATCACCATCAGCCAAGTTTTGGAAAGGTTTCTGTGCTTGCTGGGGACAAGCAACTGGGCGTTTGGGAGCACGTGGGACGACAAACATCGGGTGCCGGTTGGTTGTCCCTGAAGACTGCTCCACCTGCTGCTAATTCTGATACACGTCCACATCACCCCAAATCACCCGGTCGGGCTCGCAGCGGGAACGAACAGTTGGTGCTTCGGTCGCAAACTCGTCCAAAGCCACGTAACCCTCGCCAGCGCCACGATTCGCGCGCGCTCCCAGCATGAACGACGCAATAGGCACTGCGCGCTACCATGTCAAGCATGTGTCCCGAATACCCCGTGCTATGCCATGCGGAAGGAGGCCTTGCGATCTAAAAAGGCCCAACATATTAAGGTTTGAGACACCACGCTGGGGGCCTCTTGTTCTCGTGTTGCCATCCAGCAGTATGGCGATACGAGAACATGAAGATTGGGATTGCTCCCGTCAGCACCACTTTCGGCCGAGGTAAACGAAGGCCAAGTCGGGGAGCAATGTGAGCGCGAACTCTAGTGGCATTCCATATCTCGCTTGTAATTGCAAGACGAGCTGTATCGCGCTTGTCACGTTATACGGGGAAAGTATAGTCGTACCGCATGTGAAAGTTTAGTGGCGCAAGCCGTCAGCGACGATAAGCAAGCACATTGCAGGTGCATCCCTTGGGATTGAATTAAGCTGCTGATGGCATGTCTAAGTAATCATGTCAGTCAGACTTACCTGCATTCCATCGGAGGTGCTGTAAGTGATTGCTTGTGTCAGCCACAGTTGCTATACCTTTAAACACTTGAGGTATAGGCTGGCTTGGCGAGCGCAGTACACGAAACACAGCTGGACGAAACGGAGAGACATGCTAGTAAAGGGCGCATCTTGTCTATCGCTTGACCTACATGAGAATATTAACTGGCATGTGGAGATTGTCATGGCTGGCAATTGCAGGAGTCTCCCGAGGTCGAGCCCCGTTCCCTGCCTTGATGCAGGCTGAGGAGAAAAGTGATTGACTGTTGACTGGTCGCTTACACATGAACCTTTCTGTCTCGGAAAGGCTTATTAGTGTGATGGCAATCTTGTGAAGCCGAGGGAGCCTGTGCTTCCCCGCCAAGGACATTGTTACCGTGAAAATGGTGTACAGTAATGAGCCCTTTGGCTGCAAGTTCGATGATCCTTGCGTCATGAGGCCTGTGGTCATGATCTGCAGCTGCCCCTCAAACAAGGACGCAAGGCGGATTCTTCGGGTACCAGTACCTACCTAGCCGTACACCACGGTCCACGACCGAGTGCACGAGACTGGGTATATCTCGGGCGACATCGGTCTAGGCCTGCCAGAACAGAGCGGCAAAAGAAAAGCCGATCAGCTCTCCATCGTCTTCTAGGGCTCGAACCAGGCGTCACGAACGCAAGCAGCAAACGGAAGATGAACAAAAGGCTCTCTCTTTGTGGGCCCTGGGTATGACGGGCCAGGTACCTCGTCGTCAACCAAACGTCCAGGGGCCCCATTAGCCGGTACAGTGGAGTACCTTGCCGTTACGCCACATGTGCCAGGCTCCCTGCTAGGGGGCTGCACGCCTGCACCATTGCGCAGCCCAGCGCAAGCCCATGGTTTCCCCCCATCTCATTAACCCGTGCCAAGCCAGCTTAGCGGCGGTCTTCCACCCAAGCCCTCCAAATGCGTGCCGGCCGCCGACCAGACGTTTGAGTGGTTCACTTCAACCCGTAGCCCTTCACTTCCAGCATCGTCTTGCCTACAAGACGCACTCGTTCCGCTTTCCAGGCCGGCGCCGATCCCACACCTCCCAAGCTTCCGTTGCTCTCGATGGTCGAGAGAACACTCACTACTCCATCCTCGGGGCCCTAGAGATCCGTCGACGCTCTCTCCAACTCCCGCCAGACTTTGAGGCCGGACTCCAAAGTCAAAGAGGACCTCCGAGGCACCAACCGTCACGATGGCGTCCAGCGCACGCCCAGCATCTATCGCATCGTCGATCACCGAGGGACATGACGACAACGAGAAGTATAGAAGCAGCTACGAAGAGTCGGACAACGACCGTGTCTCCCAGCACACGGCCGTCGAGGAAAGAGATGGGGGCGAGGACGAGGGACTGCTGGAGAAGGCCCCGGTCTCGTCGCCAGCTCAGACGCCGGGGAAGGACAGTAGCAGCATGACCGCTGCCATTCTATGGATGATCATCAACACGTTGGCCACCATTGGTATCGTCTTCACCAACAAGGCCATCTTCTCCGACCCGTCATTGAAGCTCGCCCAGCTCAGCTTCGCCTGCTTCCACTTCTTCGTTACATGGCTCACCCTGTACACGCTCTCGCGACCGAAGCTCGCCTTCTTCACGCCGCGCCGGACCACGATCCGCGAGATCATCCCGCTCTCTGTGGCCATGTCGCTGAATGTCATATTGCCGAATCTGTCGCTGGCCTTCTCCTCGGTGACCTTTTACCAGGTGGCCCGTATTCTCCTCACGCCTACAGTCGCGCTCATGAACTATGTACTCTACAAGTCAACCCTGCCGCAGAGTGCTCTGGTGACCCTGGTTCCGGCCTGCCTGGGAGTCGGTATGGTCTCCTACTACGACTCGCTCCCCACGGATGACGCCAATGTCAAGACGACATCAGGATTGGGCGTCATCTTCGCGTTCGCTGGCATCTTTGCCTCGTCTCTGTACACTGTGTGGATTGCAAGCTACCACCGAAAGCTGCAAATGACCAGTATGCAACTCCTCTTTAACCAGGCTCCCGTGTCGGCTTTCCTGCTACTCTACGTCATCCCATTTGTCGACACCTTCCCCGTCTGGACCGAAGTACCGCTTAACAGATGGGTGATGATTCTCATGGTACGCATAACCTGACAGATGTTATCATGCTCCATCTCATACTAACACCGCACAGTCTGGCGTCTTCGCCTCCCTTATCAATATCTCTCAGTTTTTCATCATTGCCAAAACCGGCCCTGTTTCAAGCACGGTGGTGGGACATCTCAAGACATGCACCATCGTCGCCCTGGGCTGGGCAACGTCAGGCAGGTCCGTCGGCGATAAGTCTGTTCTTGGCGTTTTCATTGCTGTTGGAGGCATTATTGCGTAAGTAACGTACTATGACCGTACGACGAAGTTCAACCAACTGACTGCGTACAGCTATTCCATCGTAATGATTCGTCATAACGCTCGAGGAGGAGGCAAGGCATAGAATGATTTCGACCATATCCAAGGCGTTAAAGGCGTATTTTGCACCGCATCGAGAAAAGGAGTCAATTGTTGTCCTAGTCTGCCATGAGCAGCAGAGATATTGTACAGGGCACTGTAAAAGACCCGGAGTTCAGGCGTGCTTATCGGGCAGCCGCCGTTCCTATCAATTCAGCAAGTTAATATATATGGCACTGCAGGTCGATATGTTGTCGCTGGCTAGCCTACGCGCAGAAAATCTATTTACTGGTCCCTAAATGCTCACAGAATGCCAGCTCTGTGTTATCAATCATGCTTTAGCCAGCTGTGTGCTTCTCACTCATTCAGCGTATCTGCATCTTTTTGGGCAAACTCCCGACTAACATGGTATACAGTGGCAAGAGACCGATTGTGGCAGGCCATTTTCACCATCTTCACCATCTTCACCATCTTCACAATTTTCGCTGTGCTCCGCGTCGACAGCAAATACTGCCACGGTACAGTGCAAGCTCTTAAAAAGCACGCACCAGGGCGTTCTGCTAGTCAAGCCACCGGACCAGCAAAGGGATGGGCTGACCCGCTGAGTCGCACAGGTCGAGACTTCAGCGCGCGTTGCTTATTGCAATGTTCCACTTACATATCCAGCGCCGCCTCCTGTCTTAGCCACGATCCCTAAGACATCGAGGCAGGCTAATAAAACTATTCTCAGGGGTACGCGATGGATGTATGACTGCGATGCACATCAAGGGAGGACATATGCTCCCTATCTTCTTCGCGAAGCACCGCGTGTTCAGCTGGTATAGCCAATTGGTTGGTGGGGCTGCGTTCGTCACCCGCTTCGTCACCAAGTAGACTAAGGCTCGACGACCCCCATATTCCTCGAGGGTCTAAGAGTGCACGCTCTGAGCGACTACCGTCGCCGCTGTGATAGTTTGCTGGCCATGGCAGTCCTCAGAGGGACGTACTCGTCCGGTCGTCTGCTCACCACTTGTGTGCTACTCTGCATTCTCCTCTCGGCCCTGACCTTATACGGCAAGCCCTCGCCGGATCATGGTGGCAGCACTGGTTCAAGCCTCATCCAGGCGCTCAAATCACCCTTTGCAACATTCTTGCCAAAGGGACAGAAGCGCGATGAATATCTAGCCATTTGCATGGCTGTACGGAACCAGGGGCCCGACCTCCCTGAGTTCTTACAGCACCACTACTATAGGATGGGCATCAAGCGCATTTACATCCTGGACGACGGCTCGACGCCGCCAATGTCGGAATTTGTGGACACTTTCGGCGTGCCCAAGTCTGCAGTCACCTTTGTCTACTACAACGAGACGCAGCGCGTCGGATCCATGCAGTACCACATGTACAACGAGTGTGCCGGCGTCTACGGCACGAACCACACGTGGCTGGCCTTCATCGACACGGACGAGTTCTTCGACGCGCCCGGCGGCGAGAGCATCGAGACCGTGCTCCGGCAGCTGGAGCTGCGGGACGAGGTCGGCGGCCTCGGGGTCAACTGGCAGATGCACACGTCCAACGGGCACCTGACGCGGCCCGAGTCCGTCCGCGAGGCCTACACGCAGTGCATCTACGACGACGCCGAGCACAACGGCGAGGCCTCGGACAACAAGCACGTCAAGTCCATCGTGCGCGTGCGCGACTACGCCGGCCCCATCAACCCGCACATGTTCAACCTGGCCCCGGGCAAGATCACCGTCGGCGAGGACGGCGTCGACATTGCCCACTGGGCCTTCCGCCAGCCCATCTCCCGCAACCGGCTCAGCCTGCACCACTACGCCGTCAAGAGCCGCGAGGACTACCTGCAGAAGATGAACCGGAGCAACGCCATGGATCAGCCCAAGGGCTGGGAGTTCTGGAACCACGTCGAGCACGAGCTGCCGCACGTGCTGTGCGATGACATGCTGCGCTGGTTGTAGGGGCTGGTATACATTAGCTTTCACGATCCAGTCGTGTCCCTAGATATGAATATGAATCACAATCGAACCTTGCAGCGTCCCAATGAGTTACCGCGATGAGTTGAACATCAAAATTTCCCTTCAACCTTGTTGTGATTCGATGGCCATGCTGACAACAGCCGAATTCAGTGATGATCAGATAAGCTGATGTTGGTGGGCTGCGTCGTCGATGAGTCAGGTCTTGGCGTCTCCCAAATGGGGAGCATGCATTTACCGCCCAAAGCTGAAAACCTGGCTTATAACATTGGGCTGTCGGGAGGAACTGGTTACGGTTGTTGCCCTCCAAGTGGTCCTAGTAAACCATAAGTCAAAGCTGTAGTACGATATTTCTCTATTTTATTGCCAGACGACTTGTCCCAAGAAAGCCACTGGCGAGCAGGCTATCGTGATGGCCACTACCTTCACATTTGGTGCTCTCGGAGATATCATCTCCCTCTGCCAGCTCTCAATCCAGCTCAGCACGGCTCTCAGCAGTTCGCGAGGCAGCTCAAAGCAGTATCAAGATCTGCGCAAAGACCTTGATCAGTTTATCAGCAGCTTGTCAGAGGTAAGTTCGTGCCACGATGCAGAAATCTATTTCGGCAACTGAGCGGCCGTTATGCGTAGGTCATCGCAACTTTTCAAGGATACGAGGTATCGCCGATTTTGGATACGCTCAACCGTGTTTCAACAGAGATTGCAGAGGAATGTGGCATTCTTGTGCAGGAAACCCTTGACCGTGTGACTAATCGCTACGATGCGTCTTTAAGCAGTGGCAAGTCACAGGGCCGACTCAAGGACGGCCTGAAGAAGCTTGAATGGGCTATCCGGGAGAGAGACAAGGTCAGTGAGTTGCAGGAGAAGCTGGTCAGAGATTCGGCCAGGCTATCGATGCTTGCGTCTCTTGCGGCTATGTTAGACCCCTTCTTTCCTTCAGACGATGGGCTGAACTAAGCAGGCGGCGATGTAGTAAATCCTCCCGGGCTGACAATGGAACCATACAAACCCGCATAAAGGCGACCGAGGAGTTGCTTTCTCGCATTGCGGAGGACCATCGATTGAGTGTCCAAACACAGATCCAGGACTCTTCCAGCGGGCAGTCACATGCATTGCAGCTAGGAATCATGAACGATCATCTGGTGAATCAGCAAGAATCCATATGGTCAGTTCTCGACGCTACAACGAAAATTGCGTCGTGCTCCTTGAATGTGAGCTCAATGATTCAAACCATTCACCAGATAGTGGTTGAACAACACTATAATCGTACCAACACACAATTTTTCACTAGTCCGGATCCTTGTCGCAACGAGCCTGTCGTCCTCGAGGATGCACTGGGGAATATCTTGGAAATAAACTGGGGCTTGATCCATCATTGGGAGGTATGCGAGCCGGTCTGAATGATTTGATAAGTAGTAAATCATCTTATGTTGCTAACGGTGCTTAGTTCTTCTACAAGTTTCTGGAACATCAATTTGAGGGATTGAGAGGTTATGAAATGGTCGTCGAGCGTTCTTTCATGTTGGAAGATGGTCTTAGCGGGGCGCAAATTAGTCAAGAAGTTCCTTGGAAGGCGGCAGTCAGGGAGGGTATGAAGATCAATATGATCATGGTGTTTAAACGCAACGTTTGGAGCACCTCGTACTTATGCCCGGCATGCAAGACTACTTGCTGCGATGACAGAGGGAGCCGTTCGCAATGGTAAGCGCGGAGCATTACTGCAATCTATCTTTGCTGACCTCCAGACAGTGAGAGCAGACTATGCGGTTTGCCAGTCAACATCTCAGAGGTCTCTGGGGTGCGGTGGAGACATGAAGCTATCGTGGAGATTGGATCACTGTCTAGAACAGTCCGCGGTGAAACACAGCAAATCACTGAACATCCCAAGGCCTTCCGGCGGGTCCGGTTTCTTCAAGGGCACCATCCTTTGGCGGACCCGTCCAAGCTGCCCGAATATTATTCTCACTTGAGCCAAGAGTCTTTCAACAGATACTTTGAGCAAGCTGCCAACCAAGCTGAAGGAGAGATAGTATGCGACGAGTTCTTCTGATAGGTACCTATGTATGATTACGAGAGCGGGCTTTGTGTTGGATAATAACCGGCACGATGGATAGGCCAATGGAAGAAAGAACCACGGTCTGGCGAACGAAAGCATTATACAGCACATACATACATGCCATTGCCTGACAAGAAAACATGTAGCGTGTCGGATTGATGGGCCATGTTCTATGATTGTAAGCACTTGCGGCTTCGTGCTGGATATCACGTATCCATGTCAAAGCAATGCATTCTCCTTGGCATGCGAGCTACACACTTCCAAATTCGAACTACATCAGCGTTCAAAGAAGCAGGATGTCACCTACCGCAAGAGCTGTCGTCGAAAGCCAGACGCCCATTGAGCATGGAGTGGTGCCTGACATTGTGCCAAGCCTGCCGCACTACCTTGAGATGGCTAGTGCCCCCTGAAGGACAGCCCCGGGGGCCCGGGGGGCTGGCGAATGATAGGCATTGGCGCTGGCGCTGGCGCTGGCTCTGGCACTGGCAGATGGGTGCGGTATGCAATCCGCAGCCGCACCTGGGCAGTACAGTTCATAACTAACCTTACGTACTTTCGGGTGGTACAGGGGCCCGGCAGCTTGTGAGGCCCGTGCGTCATACGTCGTCATTGGTGAGCAGCGCTGGGTCTGGACGTCGACGGCACGGAGCTTCCAACTTGCCTTCAGGCTCCCAGATTCGAGCTTCAGCTTCGCCTTCGCCGCCGCCGCCGCCGCCGATACCCAGAACCGAAACACCACGATAGACTCTTCGCACACGCCGCCGCCCCGGTACCCTGAACGGACCTCGGAGCCCAGAGGTGCAGAGTCAATGATCTCACACACATACGTCTAGGTCTTACCCGTTCCGACTGCGCGACCGCGGGCCCGTCATCCCCCTCCCCCGCCTTACGTCCGGACTCGCCGCCATCGTCACGTCAGCCAACGCTTGCGACCTCAGGTCGTGACTTGATTCACCTCTCGCGTCTCCGTCGCCGACCCCCGTGACTGAATCCGACTGGCCCCGACTGGCAGCCAGCCTTGTTTGACGCACACGCACCCCAACCGCCAGCATGTGGAACGACGAGGACGACAACAACCCGTACGGGACCAGCTTCGACCGCCGGGACTCCATCACCTCGTCCTCCGCAAATCCCACCTCGCCCACCTCGCGAGACTGTAAGTAGTCCATCCTCGGGTGCCTCTGCGCATCTGCTCCTCTTTCCACTGCCTTTCCCCCCCTCGGTCGCGGATACATAATGTGGGAATCGATAGCGTTGGATGACTCTCCGGATGAGGCTGATGCAGAGTGGGACTTTGTAGACCCTCGATACGATGCCCCCCATACCCCCTCGACTACCAGCGAAGAGGCCCCGCCGCCCCGTCCCTACGGTCAGGAAGCGAGCGATGTCGACAGCGACGAAGAGTATGCGGCGCAAGCCCGGAGCCAGGTTCCGAGAAGGAAGCCCGGCGGCTATGACAGTCGCATCGAACAGATCCTCTACGAGAACCCCGAGCTGGACATACTGATCACGGATGCCGGCAAGAGTTTGGAGAACGGCGGCAGATACATCGTCTACACCATTCGAACAGGCGTATGTCCTTGCTTCATCGCTTACCGATCGAACCACATGAACTAACCGTGACCACCAACGAACAGGATCTCGAGGTACGGCGCCGTTACTCAGAGTTCGCCTCACTACGAGATGCCCTCACCCGGCTTCACCCTACCCTCATCATTCCGCCCATCCCCGAGAAGCACACCATGGCAGATTACGCAGCGAACCCCACGAATGCGAAGCAGGACCAGCAAATCATCGACTTGCGAAAGCGCATGCTGGCCGTCTTCCTGAACCGCTGTCGGCGCATGGAGCAGGTCAGGAACGACGGTGTTTGGTGGAGATTCTTGGACCCCAACGCAAGCTGGAACGAGGTGCTTCACACCCATCCCGTCGCATCCATCCCGAAACATGTCCTGAAGGCGCCGCCCTTGGATACGGCCAATGCGTCAGCAGGACACTCGTATCTCCCAGTTCCTGCCGCCTCAGCCAAGCTTCGCACAGGCGCATCAGGAGGCTACGATGGCTCCGGTAGCATGGTTGGATCGCAAGTACTGCGTCGTTTCCCTGCGGACACGAACGAGTTAAGCGAGCAGGACCTCGATCCCTATTTCATCAGCTTCGAGGCCTCGATCAAGGAACTTGAGAAGTTGCTGATGGGACCGATGGAGAAGGTCAACAGGCGCACGCTCAACCACCTCACATCGCTGTCTACCGATCTTTCCGATCTCGGCGCAAAGTACAACGCTTTCGCCCTGTCCGAGCAATCACACACGCTGGCTGCTGCAATCGAGCGCATTGGCCAGGCGGCAGACTCATCGTACATTGCGACAGAGGAGCTGGCAGGGTCGCTCGGCGCCAGCTTCGCGGAGCCCATGAGGGAGAACGCGCAGTTTGCCAGTGTCGTCAGGAGTGTGTTGCAGTACAGGCTGCTGAAGAGAGTGCAACAAGAGATGACGAATGACGACCTGCACAAGAAGCGCGCTCTGCTCGATCAACTTGAGAGAAGTGAGGCCGAGGCGAAAAGAATCGAGCAGTACCTGAGCAGTTCACAACAGATCAGTGGCAATCAACAACACCATCCGCCTCGGAGATCATCAAGCATGAAGGAAACGTCCACGCAGCACCATAGGGAGGGCAGCGGGGAGGACACGGCTTCCATTGACTCTGACTTCGCTCCCACCCATGGTGACTTCTCGTCTGCCCCGTCGGCTAGGGTTGGCGCACCTGAGTACTCCAACCCTAGTCCATCCCACAAGAAGGCACCCAGCGGCAACTCGATTACAAACAAGATCTTTGGGCCGATCCGGCACGCCGTGCAGGGTGTGGTTGATGTTGATCCGGAACGGACGCGGCGTGATACCATTGGCAAGACAAAGGAAAGCATAGAGCAACTCGAGCAGGCTCAAGTTGTGTCAGCGCAGGACGTTAAGGATGCAAGCGCAAGCATTCTCAAGGATCTGAAGAGATTCCAAGGCGAGAAGGAGGATGACCTCAAGCGATACATGGTAAGAGAGCCGCTCCTGACAGACGTACAGTTATGCTGACCTGACAAGCTTGCGTATGCCAAAAGCCAGATCGAGTGGGCGAAGAAGTCCAAAGAGACCTGGGAGGAGGCCAAGGCCGAGGTTGAGAAGATCGACGAGGCTTAGGGTAACACCCGGGAGGATACCAGAGCGACCGTGGATGTGATCAGGAGAGAACAGGCCCGATAAGGCTTGTCCACGTTACGCTGTAATGCATGTAATGGATAGCCCATAGAGACGAGCATGATCACGATCTTCGGTTATGGCATTATACAGTAATTGAGCAAAGCTACGTTGATGATTCCATTTCCCTCAAGAACTCCTAGACTTAATATCTTGAAACAAAACAAAACAAAACCATGCCTGATATTCGATGCCCAATGCCCAGGAATGCATTCAAACCAGGTATATGCCAAATCCCTTCCCAATTTCCTTAACTCCACTTCAGGGCAACCATAGACAGACTGACTTCACTTGGAAGCCGCTGCATTTTCCCTTTCCGCCGCCCCGACCACTTCTTCCTTGGGCTCAGTCTCACCCCTCTCGACATCAGAAAGCCTCGGATCACTCGATGGGACCGTCTCATAGGGGGAGGTGAAGAGGTTTCTGACCCGACCTCCGTTGGTATTCTCTCTCAGCCACGCTTTGCAGGCTTCCAGATGGCTCCTTGCGGCCTCGGGCCCCATCGAGTAGTACATCATGCCTAGAAGCGCAATGGCGTAACCAAGCGTCTGAAGCATCGTGACGGGCGTGTTCCAGATCATCATCGACACCACCACAAGCAGAATGCTCTTGAAGATGCCGGTCAGATTCATGGCGAGAGCCGAGGTGCGGCCGATCTGCGGTTGCTGTTAGTATACACAGTTTCGCTGCTGTTTTGCGATATACTCCAAGCGCATGAAAAGGACAGGTGAATGGATAGCGGGGGCCAACACTTACCAAAAATACGCTCGCAACATTGAGCATGAAGGCCACCAGTCCGCTCAATGCCAGCAGGCCCCAGCCGACCCTCTCCAGGTCCGACCAGTCGAACGTGGGCACTTCAGTCACGAGCGCCACAAACCCATTCAGCACGGCGCACACGGGGGCGTAGTAGTATAGCCCCACCAGGGGGTCCATGCCGATGCCCTTGACGGCGCCGCCGGCCTCGCCGTCGCCGTCCTTGCTCAGCAGGCCCTGGATGAGCAGCAGGCGCAGGCTCTCGGCGACGGTGCCGCCCATCTGGAAGGCGAAGCCGAGCCAGCTGAAGCGGACCTCGCCGAGGCTGCTGAGCAGGACGCCCGCGGCGATGACGAGCACGTTGCCCAGCACGCTGACGCGCGGGTTGGCCAGCCCCAGCCCGAAGCTCAGGAACAGCGTCGACACGGGCGCGAACGCCTTGAGCATCTGGATGAACGGCACCGACAGGTACAGGTACGCCAGGTTGCTGCACACCAGCGACAGCATGTACAGCACCCCGATGGGCAGGATCGTCCGCAGGTACACCCGCCCCGTGAGCCGGATGTTGTGCCGCGAGTCCAGCAGAGTGGAGAACCGCGACAGCAGCTGCGTCAGCAGCGTCGCCATCGCGAGGTGGATCGTCGTGAGAATGATGGCTGTTTGCACATGGCGTTAGTCCAGCATTTCGTGCGGTGCAAGAAGGGCGCAGGGAACTGAGAAGGGGGTGCGCAATTAGAGGGGGAACTTGCGGTATCCTGAGAGTTGGTGTTAGTCAACTTGTGCACTGAGTCGAACCCAACAACGGGGTATAGGAACTTACGAAACCCGGCAGTATCGAGAAGCCATTTGTTAAACAAAATTGTGACATTACTGAAGAATATCCACGCTCTGTTTGTCCCATTCTCGTAGATTAGATCTCAATCATCCGAAAGCTCTTTTCTGGTATATGAAGGGAAGAGCTCACGCGATGTAGAAGGCCGGGTGAAGCTCCGGCATCTTCGTCCCCGAGGCCCACAGCGGCCGGGGAAAGGTCGCAGATCTTGGCGTCTGCATTGTCGTGGCCGTCTTTGTCTTCGGCAGCCGAATGAAGAGGTCGCAACCGGTCAAGTTTACATACAGACGGCGAGAGAAAGGTGCAGAAAAGATACAAAAGGCACGAGTGGGTGTGAGAGGGAGACGTCGAACTGGCGCCCGCCACTGGGCCAAAGGAACGTCTGGTGTCAAGAGCTTAGGACTTGGGAGGAGAGAGGGATGCGGTCCACGACAGACTAGCGCGTCCTGGCTGTGAGACAGGCACTCAGGATCTATCGATGAAATGTCTCAAAGCTCGCCGGGCCACAAGAGCATGAGCAATCATTAAAAAAGAAACGGTCATCCAGGAGGAAGCCGTATGGGCTGCAGTGAGCTGACACGCTGACATCTCAGCTGTCTGCGCCTCACCAAAGTGCCTTCAGAGGGGTATATACGAATCCAAAGCCGGCTCGTATGCCCGCACTAGCTCAGGAATGCATTTCATTGCGCCTCTGCCCTACCCCAGCAATTACGGTGTAGCGCGCGCGCCACGTGGTGCATTCCGTTCAGTCCTACCAATTAGCCTGTACGAGGGGGTGTCGTCACGACAATTGTTGTCGGAGTTCGGCTTGCTTGTGAACATAGAAGAGAGATCAAACCCATCCAGTTCAAATCAAACCTACCACACCCTGGTGGTCTGCATATAGAGTTGCGGTAACCCTCAGAGATTCTTGGCAGGCTCAAGTGTCGTCCGATTTTTGGACGTATAACGGCACGGTCCGGCAGAAGTCAGATAGCTCTGGAAGGTTACCGAGACGTGGGCACAAAACAGTCAGCAAGCAGGATTGGCATTACGGTTTCAGGAACTATACGGCATTCTCACAGTCAATCGCGCCGGGTTGCAGCAATTGGCAAACACTCACCACCTGTGCGCGCGCGCCAACTCGGGGCCCAATTGAGACAGACCACCTTCCGGCGTTCCGGATGGGCAGTCTAAGTTGTGCTAGCCCCGCAGTCCATCTTGGTCTAATTCTCTTATACGAACAGTGGAGTTGTCGAGCTAGTTACATAACTGAATTGATCTTTCCGTGGTTCCAACTTAGATTAGTGGCCCACTTCGTCGGATGGTATACTATGTGGAGTGATAGCACCTTGCGCGAGTTATTTGAGTCTTGTATCATGAAAGGGAGTGTGCTTAGGGCAAAATAAATAGTATAGATGTGTATAGAGACTCAAGCCAGTGCCCGCATCCACGACGACTGGGCTTAGAGACTATTTAGATCGCCTTAGCAGAGAAGATCTCCACCAGACAGAAGAGATCCTATTTTTCGGGACAAGGCAATCCCAACTAGATGATCTGCCACCGACAGAGCTTCCTTGTCTACAGTATCGGCCTTGGCTGGTAGTTACTGGCACACAAATGACGAAGCCTGGTTCGGATCCGGGCCGATGTATGTCAATACTTTGGGATAGGGACACAGATTGATCTCCCGCGTGCCACTCGCACCTACTGCAGGGCCTCTTCCAGGCACCGTCTCGGGCGTGATCTCATTCTCAACCCATGCGACCACCGAGTCGAAGATGGTGCTGGAGGGATCCAACCCTGGCCCACCGCCGCAATGCTCAACGCCCGGGGCCGCGAAAAACTTGTAGTAAGAATCCAGGCTGTCGTCGAACTGCTTCGCTCTCTTATAGTAGTCATACGTGCCCAAGGGGGTTACGACGAGATCTGCCAGACCGTGCCACACGATCATCTTTCCTCCAGACCTTCTGAAACTGGTCAGGTCCGGATTGTCAGTGCCAATGACTGAGGCATACTGATCTACGGATAAGCGGAAAAGTCGATCGAAGTCCTCCCGCGTCAGGCTGTTGTAGTCCAAGGAAGCGTTCCTGGCCAAGAATACCGCGATCCAGTCGGTGCTGACGGGGAATGGGATGGGCACACAGTGATCAACGCTCTCGCAAGTCGTATTGAGAAGCGCTCTTAAAGAGGTTCCCTTGGTTAACCCATACCACTCAAAGGCACCTTCAACAGACCTGGGGCCGTCCCAGATAGCATTGACGAGCTGAGCATGCTTTTCCGTGAGGGTTATTATTCCTTCGGGTTTCGTGCACTGAACAGTCTGGCCAACTATGGATGAAGCATTGAACTGGCATTTGTCTGGCGTGGCAATGACATTATCCTTAACACCGTCCAGCTCATCGCATCCGCTGATGGAAGCGTTGGTGAACGCATCAAGTACGCACAACGGCGGTACAGTCTCTATAACGAGTCAAAATCAGGGCAGCCCAGCCGAGAAAAGTAGCGTCACTCACCCAAAATATTGGCCACCAGAACTGGCCAGAACATCCCTATTATAAAAGTCTGCCAGGCGATAGCAGGGGCACCAGACAGGATTCCGTCAAATTGATCAGGATACCGCTGAGCCATGATATGCCCTTGCCTGCCGCCCGTGGAGCAGCCATTGAAATAGGAATACTTGGGAGGCGAGCCAAAGTAAAGTTGCGTGGCTAGTTTCCCGAGTGTCGCAGCTTCGTCTAGCGCAACCGCTGCAAAGTCCCAGAGCGCTGGCCAGTTCGTGTTGCCGGGACTGACCAAGCCCCAATCAGCTGCTGTTTCATTCTCGGTGTGGCCGGCGTCCGTTGAAGTTGAGGCATATCCAGCTGCTACTGGACCGTATATCAAAAGCAGATTGCCGGCCGTCCAGCCACCGCCGCCTGGCATTTGAAAACGGCCGTTCCACGCGCTGGCATTCAGAGGCAAGCCAATAAATGTGTTGATGACGTCGTTCTGACCCGGATGGGTGTACTGGATTGTGACTTGGCAGAACTGTGTGGCAGCAGCCGTCTCCTCGGGCGTAGCATTACCTGCAAGTTCAGTGAACTGGCCATCGGGCCCTGCCACGATGTGCGCAACCGTGGCCGCCGTGGATGTGACTTCGATGTTGAATAAAGTGAGAGATTTAAACGTGGATGCATCACACACAGGAGCAGCGCTTGCAACTCCTATAAGGCAGACCAGACCGGTCAGAAGTGTTGAGTGAATTGGCATTGTGTAAATATACTATAGCCTTCCAAGAGTAGGTGCCTTCAGAAGACCAAGGAATGACCATTGCTGATACTTTGGAGAACATGAATAATATATGAAGTTGAAATCTGCTCTAAATGATGCCTTGCGTTCGCGTATGTGCCTTTCGTAAGTATGATCACGGGTCGCCTAAATAGTACTTTCCTTTTTCATATTCTGCTGCCTGAGATAAAGTATAGGATTCGCCTACTCTAGTACGGTTACATCGTTCCATTCATATATATGCAACTTCAAGTGGCACGGTGCGAGGCCCCAGAGGCGTGTAGTATTGTGTGGAGAAACCAGCTCACTTAACCGAGCGGCATGCTGACAATGCGCTCATTTGAGTGGATTAGGATAGGGCCCCACACGAGTTTTGTGAAAGCATACGACTCAAGCAAGGAGAAGAATCTTTTCGTGCTGCATAGAGGTAAGGCTAGATGTGGGCTCGATCCTGCTGTGTAGTCTTCATTGAGATTACAGATCTGACAAGTAATGCCCTCATATTACCTCGTATTATGTATCATGGCAAAACCTGAGGTCTTGCATGTATACTATCCACCAGGTATAAAGTCGTCAAAAGGTTGTGTTATAGAAGGGAACATGCTTACGTGCATTCTCAATACAAACTCATAAAATTTGCGAATTTGAGGGATTAGTAAGAACGGCTTCTATATGTATCTGTTTCCGCCTCCCCTTTTCTTCATACTAAGATCTGCCTTTTATTAGGCCATATGTAGTCTCTTGTCGTTCGAGTTGTCCCACTTGCTTAAAGACAAACAAAAATTTGATTAATTCGGGAAACGAGTGTCATAGGCTATGCCAGACGAGTAAGCTGTAATACCGAAATAGTTCTACCTTCATAAGAACATCCACGATCTCAACAGTAATATGGATGGCGAGAGAGAAGTCGAAAAGATTCAAAGAAGAGACGAAATCGCCCTTGATATCTTCATCCCAATCACACAATGCTACGCAAATGGCGTCCAGTGAAGTCGCAACGAGACTGTGACCTCACCGTGTTTGATAATTATATCTAATTAAAATTCAAGGCTCAAAACCACGTCAGATAAGGCGAATATTTTGTACTTCTCAAGCAGCCAATCCGTCGAGCATCTTTGAGAAATGGCTCATAGGAGTCCTTCGTAAACTCTCTGGGTTTCCAAACTCTACCAGGCATCCTGCGTCCATTACGGCAACGTGATCAAAGTCAAGAATACTAGAAAGTCGGTGTGCAATCATGACAATCGTGTGGTCCTTGAACTCGGCACGGATGATCCCTTGCATTTTTATGTCCATCTGGGTATCGACGCTAGGCTGGCCGTTAGCTGGCTACTCTCGCATTTCTTCGAACGGTACATGCTGTAACAAGTTAGAGATGATGTGGTAGTACTGACCTGCTGGTAGGTTCGTCAAGAATCAATACCTTCCCGGGTTTGAGCATGGCTCGAGCGAGACAGAAAAGCTGTCGCTGGCCGTGGGAGAGCGAGTCAGTGTCCATCATGCTGCTCAGTATGTTGGATGTCCCTGATGTCTTGTCGCCGGCCTTGCTCTCCAGCAGTGTCCACAAGTCGACTTTCTTTAGGGCAGAAACGATAGCCTCATCCGTTGCTTCCTCTGTGGGATCCATGTTACTGCGCAACGTGCCAGGGAAGAGGAAGGCATCCTGCGTCAAGCAATTCAGTCGTCGCCTGACTACCGATGCTTCTACAGTCGCCAGATTGATGCCGTCAAGGCTTATTTCACCGGAGTTAACATCAATCATACGAAGGATAGCAAGCGTAGATGAGCTCTTGCCACTGAAAACATCATGTTAGCCACTTTCAGTCTAAACATTAGAAAACTGAGGACAGTTTGCACACACCTCCCGGTTCTTCCGACTATGGCCAATTTCTGACCACCTTTAATGGAAAAGCTTATATCCTTGATAACAGGAGGCAACGATTCGCTGTTCAAAACTGTCAGTGATGGATCATCTGCAGAACGGAGTGATTGGATCACACTTACCTATATGAAGCACTCACTTGTCGGAACATCAACGTACCAATGCTGGGCCACTCGTCGCTGGGTTGCGTCTTTGGTTCAGCCGGCGGCCTTTCAGCCGGGGTTCGTTCCGAAAAATTCTTGATACGTGCAATCGCACCTAGTGAGGTCTCCAAAATGGTCCAGTGTTGAACGAGATTCGTTAGTGAATGAGAGAGTGACATCATATTGACCAAAGCAATGCCCAGCAGACCGGGGCTCATGCGGGCGCGGAGAGCGACGGCAAGGCCGACCAACACGACCGCGAGCCCAGCTACAATCATGTCGAGAACGAACACGAGCCATCGCTGAATGCAAAAGAGGAGGTAATAGGGCGCGGCTCCGAGTAATACGTATCTTCATTCATGCATGAGTTACCCGGTTATATACAACTAGTCCCCTCTGTCGATTGTCATCGAGTATTGCATTAGGACTAGTGGACCCTTCGGGAGCCGAGAAAACTGCCAAACGCCATAATTTACTATGCATGTCTATTCAGGATCAGCGCGTTAAAAGACTATCGAGGAACTCTCAAAGCATCAACAGGTACGGACAGTCACTGACATGGATAAGCCATGAAGTAGCCGAAATTATTAACCTTGCCAGATGTTACAAGGATATAAAACATATACATTACGTGACAGGTTTATCAAAAGGTAATCTAATACTGTGCGTCGTGTCTAGCATGCTCATTCTTGCAACACAGGTGGATGGTGACCTGTTTTTGGGTCTCGACTCAAGAGACTACACCCCAAGGGTTTCGGGTTTATGAGAAGAAATCTACCTCTAGAGTTACCATACCATTGGAAAAGTTGTGGAACCTCAGCAAGACCTTTCGAGGGTACTTGCTGATGTGCTTGCACCCCGCCAGAGAATGACCTCAAAACTTAACCCCGTTTACCTCATCGCCTGTACCAGGAGGTGGCGGGCTAACCCCTGAGGGTTTTCCAACATAATTGACCGGCTTGTCGATCAATATTCGTATGTCGCATTTCCGTATCACCAACGAGCGAGTTGCATGACTGTAGGGCGCTTTGATAGGCAGCTGACCTATCAACTAAGCAAACCAAGGCTCCCTTCGCTTTGTAACCCCGCCCTCTGCAGCAATAGACTGTACAGGTTTCGAATTGGCAGCAAATTCTCCTTCTAGTTTTCTCATTATCTACAGCCATTGAAGATTGGACACAAAATATGGGGGTTTTCAGCGCACTCATCGTCGCCATCGGGTATATTAGTTGCATTTTGATTCCTCATGTAAGCTTCCACGGGTGCGGCCTATTTCCTTCTGACCGAAGCCTTTAGTGCATCTTCCAGGCCACTTACTATTTGGCTTTCCATCCTCTCAGGGGATACCCTGGACCCCTTTTGGCACGGATCTCCGATTGCTATGCCGGTTTTTATGTTTTGCGAAGGTGCCTTCACCTAGCCACGTGGGAAGATCACCGGCGATATGGTAATAATCTGTTTCATCACTTGGATGTCGGTTGTAGTCGACAAGGTTAACAAGACGGTAACTGATTTCAGGAAATGTGATGCGTTATGGGCCCAATCGACTGATATTCAACAGCGCCGCTGCGCTTCGTGGTGAGTCTTACGTTGCCGGACCAATAGGATTTAGGATCCTTACTTACTGTGATAGACATCTATCAAAACCCCAAGGTCACCAAATCCCGTCTCTACTTGTTCTCTCTCAACGATGGTGTCCCTTTCATCTTCAACTCGCTTGACAGAATTGTGCACCTCCGAAAGCGCAAGATCATCGGTCCAGCGCTATCAGAACGATCCATGCGACTCTTTGAACCCACACTGGCCGAGCAAATGGACATATTTCTGAAGCAGCTCCTTGCTGCTCATTCGAGTCCAATAAATCTCACAGAGCGCTGTAGACGACTCGCTATGGATGTGGTTGGCCATTTGGCCTTCGGTTTCCCACTTGACTTGCAGACCAAAGATGAACACTATTATGTGTTAAGTGGGTTTTCCATTGCAAATTTCCGCATCAATTCATACATGAACTTTCCGTTTTTGTCAAAGCTTGGCCTGGATCATCTGTTCAATAGAAGCCCGTTCCGGCGAAAACTGCGCAGTGTAGTCCAGAAAATGATCACAACACGCCTTGCACAGGATAGGAAAGAAACTCCCGACTTTTATTCTATCGTCATGGACAACCTGGAGACCAAATCCGTCAACTTTCAGCGAAGTGAGCTTTTCACAGAGAGTCTCTTTTTCATCTCAGCCGGTACGTATATCATATGACCTTGAGCGGGTGATAACATAGATGCTGACTGGCGAAAACTTCAAAATAGGTGGCGACACTGTATCGACCGCTATGGCGTCTCTATTCTTCTATTTGTCAAGGAACAAGCACTGTTATAATAAACTTTCGAACGAAATTCGCACCACCTTCAAGTCGGGCAACGAGATTCGTAGTGGTCCGCAACTTGCAAGATGCGGTTACTTGCGTGCGTGTATCGATGAGACTTTGCGGATGTCCCCTCCTATCGGTGGCACATTGTGGCGTGAGCAATCAAATCAAGAGGACGGAGAACCCTTCGTGGTCGACGGCCATGTTATCCCACGAGGCACCCACGTTGGTGTCAATATATTCTCAATCCACCACAACGAGTAATACTTCCCCGAACCCTTCACATTCAAACCAGAGCGTTGGCTTAACCGCGATGGCAAGCAAGTTGCTCCAGAAGCTTCTGTAGCCGTCCCGTCAGACGCACAGACAGCCTTCACACCGTTCTCGGTTGGTGCCAGATCGTGTGTCGGAAAGCCAATGGCATACCTAGAATCCAGCCTTCTAGTAGCCAAAACGCTATGGTATTTTGATTTCGAGACGTGTAGGGGAAGCCTAAGTGAGATTGGTTCTGGGAAGGAAGGTGCGAGGGGCGGCAGGGGACGGGTTAGCGAGTTCCAACTCTACGATGTCATCACATCCCGGCATGATGGGCCATACTTGACGTTTGTACCACGAGGTGATTACTGTGAAGAATTGCAGTAATTGTCTTCGTTCAGGTTGAATATATGCGATACGCCGTATTGCTTGATCGGAAGTTGTCGCAGAAAGCTGTTGACATTTTTAGACCTGATCCCTGAAAGCTCACACACGAGTACTCTCGACCTAAACCAAACCTTGGCTAATGTTCGTAATCCCTACAAACGAGTGCCGTTGCTCCATGTACAACGACTCTTACTTAACCAGTATAAAGCAATATTTCATTGTTTCAAGGGTTGTGAAGACGCAGAAAGCGTTCCGGAGCCTAACCTCTTTCGCTGTTGAAACATCTTAGCTCTCAATGGTGAATGTTTCCTGTCGACTTGACGTAACGAGCTCAAGATAGTCAAGAAAATATGGCGACCAAATTTGATGAAGAAGTTGTTTGGATGGAGAAGGTCCATTATTTGCACCAGTTATACTAGAAATATGATGATCCAGCCACCGTCACAGGCATGGCGAGTGCCCTACAATATTTCGAACGGTACAACTTAGTACTTTTGCTGGTCCTGACTCACTTTCCTCTATGTAAAAGCGGGAATCTCGCGCCCGTTCACATTAAGTTTTTAGGTTATTATTCCATCAATCTTGTACCCCATACATGAGCATTGCCTTTTGTACCATGAAAGACATTGATACGGAAGAAAAAAAAAAGAAAGAAGAAAAAACAGGGGTGCTAAAGTATTTCTCACTGCAGCTTTAACGCCTGCAAAGTACCAGAAAATTGAGATCTTCACCTTCCCGGCGAGAACCTGTAATTATAAGGCCCAGCCGCTGATTCAGGCGTAGCATTGACCGCAAAGCACCGCATCAGGGCAAGCGGCAGCTTATGCCATCTACTACATCGTTGCCCTTTTGACAGCTCGCTCTAGATTGGATAGATCCTTTCCTGAGGTCTTATTAAAGTAGCTTGTGTCTCCTGATCCTGAATTGCTAGCTGTAATGAATATCGATTTTTGAAGACCATGAGACTTCAGAGTGTCTAACCTCAGCTAATTGAAATTTAGAAAATAGAATGGAGAGTAAACAAATTTACCTACTTGATGAAAGCCCCGTAAATCTAATAATATTTTGTACCGCCTGGTTGTCTCCATCCACAGTGTTCTGCAACTCTTCATCTACCCATCCTTCTGACCAACCTCCTCCGAAGTCAATAAGCCAGGCGTCTCTATTGTTGTCAATGACTACGTTGGACGACTTCCCATCTCCCCAAATGACGTCGATCTCATGTAGTTGTTCTACCGTCTCGCGAATTTGCATCGCCCATTTGCCTCTAAGTTCCTTTGACACCGGTTCCTTCATGACCTCCTTCAACTTATCTCCATTCGGGCCGTGTGGAATCCAGTCACGCAACAGTCCAATGATAGCACCTGTCTTAGCATGGACAATATAGCCTCGAAGTTGCGGTACCCGTAAAGGGGCCCTAGCGGTCAAGTGTTGATCGCGAACCTTCTGTAAGATAGCTAGCTCTCGCTGCAGATTGGGGTCAAGAAGTCCCGTCTTAGAAGCCTTAGACAACAGTTTTTGGCCACGAACTTGAACGCAAGCGACTAGGCCGAACCCTTGGACGAAGACATCCGAACAGATCACGTCTTTGGATGAGAAGCGGGAAAGTCGATTGTCCGTGGAATTCCGTGCGAATACCCACGCCATCTTGTTCAACGATTGTGGCCATAAATGATTCGTCTAACTAATCGGAAAGAACCTGGGGTTGCCGTCGACAGTCTTGAGGCAGAACTCGTACCGGCATGATCGCCATCGTCGGTATCAAATTGAATGATTCAGATGTCAAGATCATCTTTGCGCTCCATGTATCCCATCTACTCAGACGATACCTCAGACCCAGGGTCGTGGAGGTTAATGGAATCAGACATCCAAAAATGTTATGCTTTCTAGAAGGCTGTCTATATTCAAGAGATAACGTGGATAGATCGTATAAGCCCGGATGGTGAGCAGGTAATGGTTGTTCATGCATTGAAGCAGTGTGGTGAATTGAAGTAGTCTGGTGCCTGCGAACGTGAGGTGTTTGACGACGCGATAGATCGACGTGTCCGTTCAATCCTCGAGTTCTGAACCCAGGTCAGGGCCCTCGACAAGGATAACTGGACAGATCAGGCGAGGCGTGCACGTAACTGGCCAGAGCGTAGGGCCTTGATTTGAGATGCGGGATCACGGGGGGCAATGTTGCTCAGTTGAACCAGTTTCGGTGATCTATAGATACGCCAATTCGGCCTCTTCCCCTTCGGAGCCACAAGAATCGTTGTAGAAGATCCAGGAAATTTAAAAATCACGATATTGTATTACCGTTAATTTATCGGCAAGGAGGCCAGCATTGCAAAACTATTAGTAAAGCGAGAGATAGTACATGGTTATTGCTGTGCTGGGCCCACTGGAGCGGGTATGCATCCGTGCCATGATCTCTGGTGAATATTGCCAAAAGTGCACTCGTACGCAGTTGGCGTGATTTACTGTCTCGGTAATGATATATAATTCTTTGAGCATTCTCTAGGCCAAGCAGCATTCTTCTACGTAACGTGATTCCGTAAAGGCGTGGTGCATCTGATTCCCCAGTTCCGTGGACTATCTGCTATGATGCTAGTACAGTTTCTTCAGGAAGTTCGGTATTGTTCAAGTATAATCAATATCTTCTTCGTCTTTCTATCAATATATGCATGTAGTAGCATCTCGGGAGCTTGTAAGCATCATTATGCTGATGACGACTCCATAGAGACCCAGAACCTCTGCGAAGATGAGAATGAGTACCATGCCCACGTATAGGCGTGGTTGCTGCGTGCTTGCTCGTACTATATATTGAGCAAGGTTAGTCGTCTCGATTTCTCATAGGGTCTCACTTGAAATACTCACCTCCAGCGTCACCCACAATGCCGATGGAAAACCCGGCGGCAAGGCCACATACTGATCTCGGCAGTCAGTGAATGTCTTCTCCATTTTCGATTTCCAGTGATCGGTGGCCATCTGAATCCCCTTTCTAAATTGTGGGCCTCCGAACAAAAGTCTTTGAACTGCAGGTTTGAAAAGGGGGAGGATGGCCCCGAGGGCACTTACGACCAACAGTAATACCAGCCCCCAGTTGCAAGAAACCCTGGAAAAGTGGCATTTTCTCTTTCAAATCGCCAGAGATGATGGAGCTCGCTACGAAGCCGTAGATGCCCAAAATCTGGGCCATGATTGCGCAGATCCTGTGATCACATCAGTCTCCTGGTTTAGTAACAAATGGAACCGAGGTATGTTTGGCATACGCATTCTGCATCAAACGGTCTGGGCGGAGAACACCCGAGGAGAATATGGCTCCACTTGACTTGGCTGTGCCATATGACGCGCCAAAGACTGTGAAGATAATGGACGCTGCGCATCCCATAGCTCCGAAGAAAGACTTCAAGGTTCTCGCGAATTAGTGACATGCATTACAAAAGGTTATTCGTAGCGATCAACTCGACGTACGGCGTACACAGGACTAGAAGTTACTCCACATTAGCAACTAAGATATCCTAAAATTGTGTAGAATACACACCATCTGTCAGGATTGTAGTCGGCCATGGTGCTCATCGTGTAGCGGCGGCACTATTGTCGATTGATGGTTTCACGCAAAGCAAGTATGCTCTGATATGACCCGAATATTCTGCTTCTAAGTAAGAACAGGGCTTTTTACATGGCCACAGGTGGATATAAGTAGCTTCAGGCAGCCACTTAATGCTGCTAGGCAGACTTCGCCCTGACCTGGCCGGGTACATCACCCAAGTGCTCAGCAGGGTCATATCTGACAGTGCCATTCACCATCTTTAGAATTGTGTAGATAGGACCAATAAGATGCTATGCATCACCACCAGGCAGAAAGATACCACCGTGATTGATTGGTTGAACATCAACGTTCCGAAAGAGCGAGATAGCTGCATCCGAACCATTCAAATCTCCGAGACCTGGCGACATTGGTGTACCATACTGTCAAAAGATCAACCGGTGTAATTGACATACTTGCCTCCTGCTCTCCACTGAGGTTGGTACAGCATAGTCCTAGCACGGAGTGTGATGGTGTCACGTGATCACACTCTGCTGAAGATGTCTATCTTGCACGGCGGGGTTACACAGTATACCCGTCTAGAATCAGGTTCGGAGTATGGTGCGCTAGGACTCTTGAGGACAGCTTCTCGAGGTAGAGGCAGCTGGGCTATGTTTAATGCAAGGCGTTGGCCATCAGACGATATTGGGCCTGTTGATTTCCCTTTCGTCTAATTTAAGTGCATGAAACATTGCCCGCATCTCATAATGCCATGGGAGCCGATCCAAAGACGGGCCTCCAGGTGTGAAACTTGGGTAGTGCTGGCCCGTGGCGGCCACCCAGCTGGCCGCCGTCTGGCTTAGAGATGCATCCCGAAGATAGAGAAATGCTGAGTCAGGTCAAGAGCCGAGCTAGCCAGGTCCAGACCCTCCACTGGCAACGTGATGGCTAGCTGCGGGCCTGCGTGACGATTCTGGTTCGGCATCCGTGAAGTTTCATTGCACAAGTGTTTCACAGCAGCTTGGGACAACGCGCACAGGGCTGGTGGGCAGGGTGGGTAGGGTGCGCAACGCAACGCAACGCATCGCAACGCTATGATGTTTCCAACGTGGCTTGGGCTGGTTGAATAACTTTGGCCTGATGCAGCCGGCCCCTAGGCCATGTCCCAAGAGGCTCCATAGCACCAATAAACGCTTCTATTTCAGGAACGGGGACGACGACTGCCGCTCCCCACCCAAGACCGCCTGGTGCCACATTCGTCGTCGATTGCGACGCCAGCTGCACTACGAAGTCGCCGCATTGCCTGCAGGTTGGGCTCTCGGGGATTTCCCGTCGTCTATCGTCTTGGCCAGCATGGCCGGCACCGACAACCGCAGTCTGCTCACTGCTCGCTGTCAGGCGCCGAGAAAGCATTTCTGAGGGCGAAGAGAGGAGGCGTCGTCTTACCGTCGTCCGGAGTCCGGCTCACTCGCAAAGGAAGATCTGACTTTGGCAGGACAACAGTAGGTAAGTTTCTCAAGCGTGTGATCTTCGTCTGTTTTCCTCTTGGCCGAGCATGGCGCATCCCCACACTTGACACATCCAAACGTCTCAGGAGCCCTGTAGAGTTGCGAAAGCTGCGCGGGGGGGGCCTGCCCGGGGGCACTCGGCAACAGGACCTGGCGCTGTCATGCCCTCGACTGGGCCAGTCGTCTGTGGTCTCGCAGTCTTGGGCGCGCCTCGACAAGAGCGCCACGGCGAACCAAGCCGCTGGGATGCGCAAAACATCTTGTCCCCTTCCGGCCTCTGCGGTGCCTGGTGGGGACAACCCCGGCGACGACGTTGCTGGCCGCGCGTCAGATCGTGCCAAGCCCTTCCCCTTCTGGTGTGGGTCCCCACCCGATATGGACGCTGTAAGTCGACACCCGCAGCCTCAGACACCGACTTGGGGCAGCGTACATCAGGTACATAGATATTCCCTTCTCCATCTTGAGACTCCAAGCAGTCTTGGCACCACTACTCTCAATCACGGATTCAACTTGGCGCCGTATGCAAACCTCGAGGATCCTCTGTTCTGAAAGAACCCAGCACCGCATCCCGGACTGTTCCCGTCCTCTCTTATACACTTGTTTCGCCACTACATCCATCCCAGCTTCGTTGCCCTTGCTTTCCATAGACTTTGGCCCCCTCTTGCCATTGTATACCTAAGCACCTTAGCCCCAAAGGACGCGCACGAGTGACGATAGCATTCCACTTAATCTTACGGGTCAACGGTTCGTTCGGCTCCCAACCCGCCTCATATAATCGGACGCCACGGCGCAACACGGGGAGAGAAGAGTTTCAATGTCAAGGTTATAGCGACTTTTAAGCATCGAGGATATCGTCGACGGACAGGAAGGGTCATTTGAAAACCTCCAGGGTCGGGCGGTAGCAAGGACAACATGAAGTCAACTACAGTGGCCGCCCTAGTGGCAGGCGTCCTCTCGGCATCTTCGGAAGCGCTGACTCTGCGGGAAAGGAGTACGGTGCCGTCTAGGGTGGTTGGAATGGACGTGCAAAGGAAAAAGGTGTCCGACCCGGTAAATCGAGACCGTTTACGGAGGAGAGGCACAGCCCAAGCCTCTCTGGATAACGAGGTAGGTGAACTTGTCGAGGCCATTCATGGTAGCGCTTGCTAAGTCATTGGACAGGAAACACTATATTTCGTGAATGCCACAGTCGGCACACCAAGCCAGTCGGTTAGGCTCCATCTCGATACTGGTAGCAGCGATCTTTGGCTCAATACACCAAGCTCGTCATTATGCCTCGGGAGGTCAAAGCCGTGTTCATTTGCGGGAACCTACTCCGCGAACTCATCATCCACATACCAGTACGTTGGGAGTTGGTTCAACATATCTTATGTAGATGGATCCGGCGCCAGTGGAGATTATGTGTCAGACACGGTCACTATCGGAAGCACTAAGGTGGACAACCTTCAGTTTGGTATTGGATATAAGAGCTCGTCAGCGCAGGGCATCTTGGGAGTGGGCTATCCGATCAATGAGGTACAGGTTGGCAGAGCGAACAAGGACCCCTACGACAATCTTCCGGCCAAGTTGGTGTCCGACGGAGCTATCCAGTCTAACGCGTACAGCCTGTGGCTCAACGACCTGGACGCAAGCACTGGAAGCATCTTGTTTGGAGGAGTGGACACGGCGCAGTACACCGGATCATTGGAAACATTGCCCATTCAGGCATCTGGAGGCGTTTATTCCGAATTCATGATCACCCTCACCAGCGTGATGCTGGATGGTTCTTCCATTGCCACGGATCAGGCGTTAGCCGTTCTGTTGGATTCCGGCTCGTCTTTAACTTACCTGCCGGACGCTTGGGTCGAACAGATCTACACCCTCACCAATGCAACCTACGATGCTAGCGAAGGCGCCGCCTACGTTCCATGCTCGCTAGCCCAGGACACGAGAACTCTGGACTTTACCTTCTCATCGCCGACGATCAAGGTGGACATGAACGAGCTGGTGTTGGATCTCATCACCACAAGCGGGAAACGCCCGACTTTTTCGAATGGAGTGACTGCGTGTCTCTTCGGAATCGCACCAGCCGGGTCGGGCACGAATGTCCTGGGTGACACATTCCTCCGGTCTGCCTACGTGGTCTACGACATTGCCAACAACGAAATTTCCATCGCGCAAACCAACTTCAACGCAACGGAGTCGAACGTCCTGGAAATCAGTACTGGTACCAGCGCGGTCCCGGATGCCACCGCCGTTGCCAATGCCGTTGCGGCGACCGCTGGTATTTCGACCAGCTCTGGTACCAGCGGGCTCGGAGTCGATGATTCAAGTGCCGCGATGCCATCCTCAACATCATCATTGACACTGCTCATCGTACTTGTCGGCGTAGGTGCCGTGTTTACACTGCTGTAAACACGGTGGTGGAGTGGTGGATCTAATATTATCTTGAGAGAAGACGAAGACATCTGGACCTTGTACATTTGACATTTGGGCATTTGATTTTATCAGCAGCATTGCATGGCGTTGGGGGCGGGGTCACGATGTCATTCAGCACGACTGGATGCTTTGGTTTTAATGCATAAGCTTAGGTATTGACGACCTACTTGCGAAGGATTGCATCATGGGGAAGGGTTCATATTGAGCGTCGCGACAACGTGTGAGGAGACAGACCGTCATGGCTCGAGAGTGTGGGCACCCACGTGCCATAGATCTGGGAGCATTAGAAAAGACCATTATTGACTGGCGCAATCTATGCGTCGTTTTGAACTCCAACTACATGAATATTGTCGACGAATGCGTGAAACAGTGTTAGTACCGATGTATTCCGGCAACATGCCTTAACTAACGTTCGGGCAGCTCGACAACGGGAGGTCCATAGCCGTGAAACAACTGATAAGCCACGATCTCCATGATCCTCAAGTGACAGCATTGAAGGTCCCACTATACCGAAACCGATGACTACGACGTTCAAGACGCTGGCCTGGCTCCCGGTGAACATCCGAAATGAGCCCAGGGCCTTGCTTGCGTCAGCGCCAACTGCATGTAAACACATCATTGCATGGGGCCAACGACACATACTGCGAGGCTGAGCCTGACACCAAAATACAAGATACGCACTGTCACGAGAAGCTGTCTGCGGACAGTATACAATCCTCGGTGATGTTGGTCCTAGGGTGTGACTCATCTCTCACGAGTGATCACGGCGCAATGTCACCTTGTATGATACACGAAACATCATTAAAGGATTGCCTCTGGGACTCGGCCCCTTTTTCTTCTCTATGGAATGATTTGTGGCTGAGCCTTAGAGAAAAGCAGGAGAGACTCTAGATACGCCACCTGAGTGCGGACCTGGGCATTATTTTGCGATCAGGCCATTCGTGCTTACGACTTGATGATACGGGTGCCTATAGGTACCTTTCATGAATAGTTTTGATCTTGCAATGTGGAGTATAGGAATTAGATGGAATCGTTCAAATAACTGATGCCTCTTTGGCATCGCGTGTTAAAAATGTGAACCTGGCCACGTTCTTGCCCTTAGGACAGCCGTCCTACCTAACAAGCCAACCCTGTACAAGGTATATCAGATGTTTGACTCCCATTTGACTACTCTGATGACAGAAGGTCATAGTCTACTCTGTCTATCAAGTTTCGTATGAACAATGTTGGCTAGTGCATGGAAGCCAAACAGGGGGCTCGTACAAATACCATGTACAAGGTGTTCAAGACTATAGCCCTTGTTCATTGTTGATCGCACATTGTCGGCTTTCTCAATCTAAACAAGGATGCGACAAAGGCAATGGGGGATATAACAATGTCCATGACTAAGCCATTGTCTAGGTCTAAGGAGTACTTATATGGGGCCGGGCCAAGTTGCATCGGATTAGCATCAGTATGGCTCGCTACTGACCGCAAGGATCTACTGCAAGAACCGCATTGCGAGCCTCATACTGACATTGTCTAGTATTGCATCCTCGTACCCTGATGGGTGGTTTAGAGGCGATCCGTCGTGCCATCGCCAAGGTGATTCTCAAGGTAACTAATGCTACCAAGTCACGCCGGCAACTGAACAGCTACAGCAAACCCAGGTCCTCGAAAGCCCGCAGGCGCAAGGCCAAGGCAAGCTCGAAAAGGCGGAACAAGAATGCAGGGCCGGTCTTTGTGAGGAAGAAGGGCTCTAACAAGGTGTGGGTCGAGAACCGCAACAAGTCTGGCAAGCGGACTAGAAACCATTCGGCGAACCACCACGGCCGTAAGCCAAAATCCAGGAATCGTGAAAGAGCCTATGCTGCTGATCCCACAACCAGGCAGGTCTCTGCCAGACCCGTGGGCACATCGGGTTATACTGGATATGGTTCGTCAGTGTATTCCACGGATTAAGGTGCATTTGGAGTGGGGAATGAGGGTATATCTCTGGGCTGCACATAAGTCCTTAGCCGAGGCTTAGCTGCCGTTATATTACATCCAGCGTTGAGTTAGGTGAACAAACCCCTGGGCCGATCTTCATAGCGATACAGTTAATCATGCAAGAAATCAACTATTGCTCGAGAATAATACTAAGCCTGAGTGATTTGATTTGACATGTGATCGAGGTACAGCTCGGCGGCAGACACAGTGTTACATATTTTCACTTGGTGATCCTAGGTTTCTTGTTGGAATGACTTCAGCCTTTCCTCCAGATCCGTAGCAGTTGCTCGAGTGGGAGGATGAGGTGGGTTTGGCGTGGGCACACGAGTGTCGGCGCTAGAACTGGGACTTGCGCTATCAGTGTTCTCGAAGGCGGTGAAGGACACACGACACGCCAACCGAAGCTAATCTCGGACGCCACTTCAGATTGACGCGGTACCTGCGTGCCCCCTTCGTGTGCCGTCCCTGGACTGTCACGACGAGTATAATGGGCACGAAACCCACTCTCGTGAAGTCCGCACGGGGCACCCGAGGTTCAGGCCTCGGCCGGTTACAGGTGAAAAGCAAGGGCGGGAATCTGTTGAAGAAAATGGGCCACCCCGTGTCGTCCGAAGTCCGGGGTGGTTAGCGATTAAGGTTAGTGGGGTCACATGTGCTTGAGGTCTGTCAGTGTCAGTGTCAGCGGGTTCAGCCAAGACCCCAAGACCCCAAGACCCCAAGACCCCCAAGACGGGCGCCCCCAGTGGCCGTTCCTCCCACCATGGGACTAAGTTAGCTGCCCCTCAACAAATCAGGTGCCGCGGTCGGTGGGCCGGCTCGTGGGCGGGAAAATCCCCCAATTTCACCATCTCGGAACCCAAGATTCAATACCGCCTGGTCCACGAGCCCGCCTCCTCGACTCTGACACGCCACGCCAGCGCCCCCCTCCGCGAAGAGAAGAGAAGAGAAGAGAAGACGAGACCAGACTCCCGACACCGACCTCTCGACATGGCCGTCCTACAGTTCCTCGCCTACCTCATCGGCGGGCAGATCGCCTTGACCGTCGCCTTCTACATGCTGTCCCTCGTCGTGCCCAAGGCCGCCTTCGCGGCGCGCTCGCTCGCCTCCTACATGTCCCTAGTCGTCGTCGCCCTGTACGGTGTCTTCGCCTCCATAGCGCTGCGCATCGTCGGCATGCAGCAGATCGCCCAATGGACCACCGGCCGTGCCTTCAAGTACGCCATGGCTGCCACCACGGGCATCAGCTTCGAGATCATTGACCCCGGACGCCACCTCGACACCGTGCGCCCGGCCGTCTTCATCGGCAACCACCAGACCGAGCTCGACGTCCTCATGCTGGGAACCATGTTCCCCAAGTACTGCAGCGTCACTGCCAAGAAGTCGCTGAAGAGCTGGCCGTTCTTGGGCTGGTTCATGGCCCTGAGCGGAACCGTCTTCATCGACCGCAAGAACACCCAGGACGCACGACAGGCCATGGCTGGTGCCGCCGAGGAGATCAAGAACCGCAAGCAGAGTGTCTACATGTTCCCCGAGGGTACCCGTAGTTATACCAAGGACCCCACTCTCCTGCCTTTCAAGAAGGGCGCTTTCCACCTGGCCGTCCAGGCTGGTGTGCCCATTGTCCCCGTTGTCGTCGCCAACTACTCGCATGTTCTCTACTTGAAGAGCTTTGTCTTCAACTCGGGAAAGATCCCCTGCAAAGGTATACTCCAAGCCTCGGCTCGACAATATCTGGGCGCACCTACTGACCATGCTGCTAGTTCTCGACCCTATCCCTACCGCCGGCCTGACGGCTGCCGACGTGGACGAGCTTACCCGATCCACGCGAGATCTCATGCTCAAGGAGCTCATATCGCTCACCGAGAAGGCGCAGGGCCGCCCCATCGCACTGCCTGCTACGAACGGCACGGACGGCGTCGTTAAGGCTAGCGGTGCTGAAGCAACTCTATCATAGCCACTGAAGAGCTGCCATCTCTTACCAGGTTCGAATTCCAATTCTTGAATGAGCTACGTGCAACGAGAGAGAGAGAGAGAGAGAGAGAGAAAGAAAGAGATACTCGTGGGGAGGGTTGCGTTTTTCGACTATAGCATTGCGTGCGCATTTGATACCCTTAGACCAGATCACGTTGGGGCGCCAGACAAGCTTTGAGCCGTCTGAGCAGTCGTCTACTCGCTGTGGACTAGCCCGTTCTACATTGCTCGGCATTGGGAAGCTGACTACCCTAGGGCGTCTGCCCACGGGTTGAAGCCAGAATTGCGGACAGGCGTTGCATCGGTCGGGATTAGATAGAGCTAGAGAAAGACTCTGGTGTTGGGCTTTGAATTGGATCATTGAGAACATTCAGCAAGAGATGAAGTATCCCTGCTTATCACAAGCAACACAAGCAAGTCTGAACATGTAGAAAGTAGGACCTATTCGGCCGATCGGTCCCCGACAGAATGCCGGAAGTTGACTTCGGCCGTATGCAAAATCCACTCAAAGTCACGAATATTGCACCCACTCTCGCGACTATCCGTGCGGTTTGGTGTCCATTGATGCGATTCCTCCAGTGCCACCGGTGGAGAGGAAGGGCGGCAAGTCCACAGCGACTCGACCCAGCATGTGTGACGGATTGGCGATCCTCACTGGCGGGAAACAACATACCGGTGTGCATCAGGATCGTGATGATCGGGGTCAGTGACTTTTACCCCTCCTGGATGGAGCCCTCTTTCGAGGACTATTGCTTTTGACGTAAGCGGGGTAATTCTGTCGGGCTGTCCGGCACCTCTACCAAGTACATTTGTACCTTGAAGGGCATGGAAACATACGGCATACCCACTATGTATGTACGCATTCGATCTGGGAACCAATCTCGGAAAGCCACAGCAAGAGACAGGAACCCCAAGGCGTCGCAAGCAAGGGGCCGGAGTTCTAGATTTCTTGGCTTTGCCAGCATTAGCTCGTTACCTTATTCGTAAGTAGGGGTCAGAGGCCGCCAATGAAAAGTCAAGCCTAGAGAGCTGCTCCAAACTACCGGTTCCGGATCTGTATCCCATCACGATCTTCAATGACGCAACCGTTCGTCGCTGAAAGCACTCCCATCGAGGAGGACAATCGGGGCTCATTCGCTCAATGTACCGTAGTGTGGATGGTGAATTGGAGTCTTCATGGTGCAATCAGCTTTTCACCTCCAACGTGTCGTCGAGGAACACGTTATCAAGGGATGTGCGAATCGATCTGTGACCCCAGAAGAGCTACGAAAGCATCGGCCCCTCTACCCCGTCTTGCCCATCCACTAGCCTTGTACGCGCTGTCCAAGAATTGACGTCTTGACTACCCGGATGAAACCTTACAGCTATGCAGGAAATGACGAGCTTAGCTACCATGTTCAGCTGCTGCAGCTGAGCTACTTCTTCTGGAAGTAGACCTCGATAGTGTCGCTAGTGTGCCCCGTTAGACACTCGTCGCCCACTTGGCCACTTGGTCGGCGAACTCTACGAACAATACAAGTCGATCCCAATGCTGGCGGCCTCGGCAGCTTGACATTTGGTACGTAGAGCCGACGTGTATCACCGTTGCAGTCTAGACTTTATTCCGCTATCCACGGCGCGGCGCAGCTGCCGGCGCCTATCGGACACTTCCATTATGAGACAAGCCTGTTGGAGTTGCCGTACGAGCTTGGACTGCAAGTGACGTCGCCCCTCCCAGCCATAGGTTGCGGTTCAGCTTGTTGGAGTTCAAGCTCGAGGACCGAAAAGAGGGAGCCGGCTACTGTGTTCAGAAAACCGGCTTTGGCAGTTCAAGCCGCATATAAGACCAACTCCGGCTCTGTTCCCAAGAGTTCTGTTGACATACTCATCAATACACCCTTTCCCCACCAAGCCCATATAAGACAAAGCCTTCGTGCCTTATACACATATCTACTTCTCACACCACACACTCAAGATGTCTGGCTACGGTAACGACAACGTAAGATAACTATATTCTCCTCGCTGACTGATTGATGCTAACAAGACGTTCAGAGCTACGGCGGTGACGATAGCTACGGCTCAAGCGGCCGCACTGGCGGTACTTCTGGCCGCGACAACGACTCTTACGGTTCCGGTGGCAGAGACAACGACTCGTACGGCTCCAGCGGACGAGGAAACACTGACAGCTACGGCTCGTCCGGCCGTGACAACAACGACAGCTACGGATCCAGTGGCCGAGACAATGATACCTATGGCTCCTCTAGGACTAGTGGCCTAGGCTCAAGCGGTCGTGACAACGACAGCTACGGCTCCAGTGACCGCGACAATGACACCTACGGTTCCAGCAACACCAGCGGTCTAGGGTCCCGCCGTGACGACGTCTTCGGAACCGGCAAGTCTAGTGGACTAGGATCCAGCACTCGTGACAACGACACCTATGGTTCGGGAACATCCGGCGGCTTCGGCTCGTCTCGCAACGATGACGACTCGTACGGCTCCTCCGGTCGTAAGGACAACGATTCTTACGGCTCCAGCAACACCTCGGGCGGCCTCGGTGGTCGCTCCGGAGACAATGACTTCGGCAGCAGCGGCACCACCGGTGCGTACGGCTCCAGCGGCAACACCGACAGCTACGGCTCCGGAAACAAGTCGAGCTCGTACGGGCGTTCGGACAACGACGATAGCTACGGCTCGAGCGGCCGCGGGTCGGGTGGCTACGGTGACGATGATAACAACCGCCGCTCGGGAGGCAAGGGTGATTCCACCGTCGGCAAGCTGATGGAGAAGGCGGGCGACTTGCTGAACAACGACAAGATCGCCGGGAGCGGGCGCGAGAAGCGCGAGAACAAGGGCTATGGCAACAACGATAATGACTACTAGGCTTTTCTCTGCTAGTTGACAGATCTTGGCGGATTCTAAGAGCTCTACTCATCTAATATTGTCTGTCTCTCTAAATAATGAACTGAAGAAAAATCGACTCGATTGACATGATCGGCTTTTGTGATGTTCGCATATGTTTATTTCCCTTATACTAGCTATGCGCCTAGTGAAACTGTAGACCCCGCCCAAGATTCTTTAGCCTTCAGCGCACCGGACCCTGGTTGGAATACATCAGTTCCATGCTGAGCGAGATATGTCTTTGAACATCAGACGTATTTATTATCGTTCTGAAGAAATACAAGAAGCGTGAATGGCATCCAAATATACTTGACCGTCGGACTATTAACAAACGCACAGACTCGGCGGACAAGGACCCCCTGCGGCGGCGTCGCGGGAGTGGCAGAGTGGGGCACCCGGCAGCCCGACAGACAAGCAGGGGCCTACGTCAGTCATTTCCGAGTTTGTCTGCTGCGTTGCAGGATCCGTCGCATCCCCCCAAGCCCAGAGAGCCATTCCTACAGCTTCGTTCAGCGTGTTGCCCGAATACACAAAACTTCACACCTCTTGATGGAGTATACTGCACCCTGCGATCGAACATGGCGCACGTCTTGACCGCCGCGTCCGCCGTCGGCTCCGAGGTCTTCGCGGCCATCGCCCTGCTCGTCATCTCCTTTATCGTCCTCCTTATCCTCCGGTACTACCTGCCCCTGCGCACGACGCCCGCCTACATCCTCGTCCCCATCTTCTTTGCGCTGTGGCTGCCGGCCTTCATAGTCCTTCTCGTCCCCATCGATCTCGCCTCCAGCGCTGCCACCGACGATGAGGCTGCCCGGGGCATCTGGTTCCCGCCGCGCCTGCTGCTGGTGTCGTGGCGCATCACGTACTGGCTGACCTTTGTCCTCACGTGGTAAGGAGTTCTCTTTCTGTCGAGTGATATGCTTGCCTCTGACCAGAATCCTCAGGTTCATCTTGCCCATCCTTGCCGAGTACTCCGACGCCGGATATCGCGAACCGAAAGACCGCCTTCTCTACTCCTTGCGCGAGAATGCGCAGTACCACGCGATCGTCCTCGGATCTGGCATTCTCGGGCTTATATACGTTTTCATATCATATGGCATTTCATTCAACTCGATGAAAGGCTTGGTCATGGCCCTGGCGTACTGCTGGGGCCTGGTCCTCGCCATCTACCTGATGGGACACGGACTTGTTTCGATACCGCGAAGTCTGATTAGGAAGGGAAGCATCAGCGGCCGGCTACGACAACTCCAGACCAGGGCGCCCAAGGTCTACGAGAAGATGGAGGATTCGCTCGCAAACTTGGAGGAGCTCGAAATCCAGGTTTCGGAGCTCAGTAAGCGCAAAACAGGCAGTGCCAGGATCTACCAGGACTGGATCGAAGAGCTGGCCGACATGTGTAGTGTTCCGGAAAGCAGGCCAAGCAGCGTCCTACCGAGAGTGGGAGACGAGAGTCGCATCCTGCCAACCGTCATTACCGAGAAGTACTTGGCCGACCTTACGCGACAGCTTGATTCGGCACGACATGCTCGGTCTAGATACGTCGATGAGTGGAACCGTCTCCTGGAACATGCGTCGAGGACACAGGCAATCTTGGATTCGGGACCTTCGAAGAAGCTAGATTTCGGCCGGCCCAGTCCAGGATCTTCTATGTTCGGCAGCCTAACTCTGCTCACGCCATACAGCCGTTACTTGCTACATTTCCATGTCAAGCCTGTACTGAGTGTCATTCTCGGTGGATTCCTTGCCATGGCGTCTGCTTGCATCATTTGGTCAGAGCTGGTCAAGGCCGCCTTGCCTTCACTGTCAGTGATCCGTCTTACGGTGGTCCACCACTGGACAGGAGACAAGGGTCAGGTCGGCTTCGCCGGCCAGGTCATTGCTGCCCTCTGGATCTTGTACATGTGCACGGCTGCTCTGGTTTCGATGACAGAAGTCAAAGTCTGGAGAGGTCGAGCTCTGGTTCGACGCAATACCGCCTATGAATCCGCCTTTTGGTACGCCGGTCAAGTCGCTCGACTCAGCGTTCCACTCTCGTACAATTTCTTGACGTTCCAATCTCCGAAGATTTACACGCAAACTACATTCTACGACTTTCTTGGAGACAAGATCGACCTCACACCTCTTGGAAAATGGTTCGACTATTTGTTCCCGATCCTTGTGTTACTACCGGTGTGCGCTACACTTTTTGGACTTTACGGGAAAGTCAAGCGCATGTTTGGCTTCGACATGGAGCTGGTGACCGACGATGAGGACGAGCCTGCATACAGCTCTGGGTCGTGGCGCGAGGGCAGGGACTTGATCGAGCGCGAGCTGAATGGAGCCTCCATCTCCAGACGAGAGGCCGTGACGGGACGGGCGGTGGGATCTCGAGCAGCGCCGATCCTGTCCGTGCCGGCGGCTAGGACCGATGGTACACGGACGCCGTTTGCCACTTCACCTTCGTACCGGGATAACCCTGCGCGCCCGGGCCAGTCATCAAGAGGTGCAGCGGCTGGTCCCGACCCCGAGGACGACAACTTCTTTGCGTCTTTCGGTCATCGCTTCAAGAATACAATAGACAGCATCGATACCCCGAAGTGGATCCAGGAGATCGGGGACGGCTTCAAGAAGCCCAAGTGGATGGGCGGAGATGACGATGACGGTGGTGCGGACGCCAGCGGATCGGCCGCTGGTGGTACCGACAACTCCGATGTCAGGAGGTGGTTCGGAGGAGAAAGTCGGATAAGGCTGTGACAGCGATTATAGACATGATGATATCACGATAGATTAATTTTTAATAGACTCCACGATGTACATGAATTTTTCACCTTGATCACCCTTGACGTCGTCCAAATTAACATGATTCCAATGAACTACACGTTTGGTTATGCCCCGGCAGATAATACAGTATTTAGAGCAGCCGTGACATTTATTGGGCTCCCGCGATCATTATGGTTTCCTTGCCGCGGGCTATACCTGACAGCCTCGCGGAGTTGGCTACTCCGGTAAGTCTTCGGCTCGCGCCCCACTTAACTCGTACTCGTGATCGTTATATGTATACGGATTTGTGAATGACGATCAACAGCGGGGTCCCACGACCGGAACAAGTTCATTTGAAGAAGATTAGTGCCGTCTCGCAGAGAGGCACAATCCAGTCTCGCGTGCCATGGTGATTCTGGACTGTAAAGCGATTGTACAATGTAGGAGTTGGGCACAATGCCTTAATTTTGTGTACTCGGCATTGCTCCAGGGAATACTTGAATTGCTGCCTATACTAATTTCAATGAGAAGCGCCGATGCCCCGGTTTGAATCCTGTCATACGATTTTGACCGGAGGATAATGGAGAAGGATTTCTAGCTAGTGTTAGCTCTTACGATAGCATTTCAATGATAGGTTTTATGACTTCTTCGTTTGGAACACATCCACCCATTTTAGGTTCCACTGTGCTCCGTAGCAGGGCTGGATATGAGACTAGGAGTGCGATGAGTCCATTCGTACGGCTGTGATATGTAAGCACTTGTGCGACTACCATAGTACCTATTGCTGCTGATTAGCAGGGTCCAGCTCCTCGCATTTCAATTGGTCGATCATGGCAGGCTCGGCAAGTAACCCTGGTCAAATTGAGAAACAAAAGAGGTTTGGTCTCCTAAATCGAAGGATCATGCAAGATCAAACCCAGTCAACTACATATTAATCCCAGCCTACAGACCCTGGGAAGTGCAGTATAATTCTTGGCCGATGCGACGAAATACACCATGCTCCATTTACCAAGAGCAAGGAATTTTCGGGAACTAGTTACGTGTGAGAAGCGGAAAGAGCAAGCGAGCCTGTCAGCTGGGCGAACAGCGCGGCACCGTTTAACTTTGACTTCACGTTAGCGCAATGGCGACGGTGACGTTTCAAGTCAGCTACTGCGCAGAGGGGGGAACAGGATATGGGACAAGGCGGCGCCGGCACGTTGATCACCAATAGAGCTAATCACTCGCTTGCAACTATGCGTCGTCTAATCCTTTGGTCTGTCGCAGTTGGCCGCAGGGTCGTCGACGAGCGCGCTCGTAGCCCATGGCGGTGCTTGGTAATAGGGGCCAGCTGGCAGATGAGCCTCTACCGAAGGAACTAGCGCCTTAAGTGATCGTCGCTATATTCTCCACCTCCACGGGTCCCAGCAGTTCCGTCTCAGCACGGACAGGAACTGTACATGGGAGTCCATGATGGGCCGGAGTAGGGAGTTCATAGCGATTTGGCGGCTGTGTGCCGGTGGGAGTGGCAGCTAAAATAGGGTGACCCGTTGTTTGTGTTATAACATCACACCGACTCGCTTCCCTCCATTGCTCGACTTTCTGTTTCCTATACGCATAGCACATACTCTGCTGGCTACGGGTATAATGGATCAGGTTTCGAATCTCCTCGCCGAACGGGGCCCCGTCGTGGCATCTGTCGCCCTGCTACTGGCTGGTGTCTTTGTCTTGTCCAGCCTAGGTCTTTTCAGCAATGGCGCCGCCAAATTACCCTTGGTAGGACAGGAGATAGGTAGCGCCGAGAAACGTAGGAAAGCCTTCATTGCGAATGCTCGCGACCTGTACGCCAGGGGCTACAAGCAGTTCCAGAACAAGGCCTGGAGACTAACAGACACCGATGGTAAGACTCGGACATCGTTCTTTGGTTTGTAACACGTGATGTAGATGTATACTAAAGCACTGGAACAGGCGAGAGAATCGTCCTACCCCGTCACCTCGTCGATGAGGCTCGACGCATTCCGGATAGCCACATCGACATCAACAAAGCATTCGAGAAGGTATTGTTGACACACCACACATGGAGCACATAGAATTAGCCCTAACGGTCACAGGCGAACGAGATCAAGTATACTGGTCTTGGTGGCAACCAGCAACATACTGATTTCCTGATCCATCTGATTCGCAGCGACCTCACCCGCGGTCTCAGTAGGTAACCATTGCTTTGGTGTACAGAACGGGGGAGTTAACTGGTGAGCAGACCGTATCAACACGCGCCTGAGTGCAGAAACCGCCGCAACAGTCATCCGGGAACTAGGACCATGTGAAGACTGGACCCCTGCTGTTGTCTATTCGAAGCTCCTGCGGATAGTCGCCATCGTCTCTGGTAACATCTTTTTGGGCCCCGAACTGTGCCAGCAGGACGAGTGGACCAACCCCGCCATCACCTACACCGTGGACCTCTTCACGGCCATCGGCAAGTTGAAGCAGTGGTCGCCATGGACGCGGCCCATCGGGCAGTACTTCATCCCCGAGCTCAAGAGTATCAAGCAAAAGAGAAAGCAGGCTCGCGCGTGGTTGGCACCAGTCATTGCAGAACGGAGGAAGCTGATGAAGGAGGGCAAGGAGCTGCCGGATGATATGCTGCAGTGGATGATGAACAAATCTGCGGAATTCAATATCTCCGACGATGATCTGTCCCTGATCCAACTTAACTTGAGTCTGGCAGCGATCCACACCACTACTTTGACGACTACTATGACGTGAGTACTCTGTTCCAGCACCCCTGAGTCCCATTCGCTGATTAGGTTTTCGTAGCCTGTACGATCTTGTTGTCCGTCCGGACCTCGTAAAAGAGCTGCGACATGAGATTAAAACAGTCCTCGCAGCCAATGATAACGTGTTGACCACTCAGGCGCTCTTCCAGATGAAGCTGCTTGATAGCGTTATGAAGGAGTCGCAGAGATTGAACCCTGGGAGCCTAGGTCCGCCCCAACCGTCGACGTGCTAATACGCGCTTGCCATGCTGACGATAATTGCAGTGCGATTTGTGCGTTACGTTGAGAAGCCGGTCACCCTCAGCGACGGCACGCATTTGCCATCCGGTTCCATGATCGAGTCTCCATACGGATCAATCGTGCAAGATCCCACACTCTACACCAACCCTCAGGTAAGCAGCTGCGCGGTGGTCCAGGGAACAGGTTGCAGATGCTGATGTGCTATATAGACATTTGACGCCCACCGCTTCTTGAACCTACGCAATGGAACAGTCCCCGATCCCTTGGAGTACAAAAACCGGGAGCAGTACCAATTCGTCACCGTCACCAAGGATTTCATGCACTTCGGGTACGGACGGCACGCTTGGTAGGTCCCCTTGTTGTCTTCACTATCGCTCGTGCCTTGATGGACTACTGACTGACGGTGTGCAGCCCTGGTCGTTTCTTCGCCGCCAATGAAATCAAGCTGATCTTGGCCCGCATTCTGCTTGACTACGACATCAAGATGCCCGACGGAGTGACAGAGCGCTACCCGAACTTGAAGATGGGTCTTGACGACCTCCCAGATCCCACGAGAGAAATAATGTTCAAGAGGGCAAAGGCGTGAGCTTTAGTCTGTTTGGCCAGATACAGCGTGTAGTTGATGGATATAGATTAGAATACCTAGAGATTGAGGGCTCTTCACACAGTCTACTGATTTAGCGAAGTCACGAATCATTGCTAGATCCCGAACAATGCCATTGCCTCTCTGTGTGTGACTCGTATCTTGTATCTGGCAGGAAGACTTAGCATTACCCCGTCTACAAGCGCTCCCATTGGTTGATGACATTATGTGGAAAGTCGTGCTCTCCGCTGTACTGCGAAACCAGGTGTTTAGCATGGTCAATCTCACGACATTGAGCCGGGCTGCAGTCGAGTCGCGTACTCGATGATTCTATCAAAGTAACAAAATAATATGGTACTGTAATTATTGACCATTCCCAATGTTCGATTGCCACGATGTGGTAACTTATGGGGGCTAAGACGAAACCGATCGCAGGAGTGGGCGACCCGATCCCCGACGTTTTGGTTGCCTTGACAACAACCCTCTTAGCGCCAAAACACAGCCGGCTTGCTGGGTCTCTCACCACACAACCCAGCAAGAACTGGGACACCTTATTCAAATTGAATCTTCAGTGAAGCTTGATTGATCTCTTCTGCACTCACTACTTTCCTCACCCCGACTTCTACTTGCTGCATTTGTGGGATCACTAGGGATCATGGCTGCCAGGGCTTTAGAAGCGCGCTTCCAGCGCATGTCGGTCAACGATGAGAACGACCCCGGCGATGCCAGCAAGCTGTACCAGAAGTCCAAGGTATGTTCGTTCCGCCGTGCTTGTCGAGAAGTGATTGCTAACAGCAGTGTGTTGCAGGCCACCGTTACCGCTACGCAGTTGACTCATAGCACCAGCCGGCCGAACCTGTACAAAGTCGCCTTACAAACCCAGAATACCAACACTGTCACAGCCGTCACTCTTCCCTCACAACAAGCCCAATTGAAGGGCTCGCAACCTTCTTCCCCGGCACGGAAACCCCTGCCTGGCTCTCGGTCATCTGTCGAAGTCGTCGAGGAGCGCAAGTCGGTCGTGCTGATCGAGCAGCCCACGATCAAGCAGTTCCATCTTGGCATGTTCGAGATCGGCAGGCCGCTGGGTAAGGGCAAGTTCGGACGTGTGTACCTGGCAAGGGAGCGCAGCAATGGCTTCATCTGCGCCCTAAAGGTGCTGCACAAGAACGAGCTCCAGCAGGGCCGCGTCGAGAAGCAGGTGCGCCGCGAGATCGAAATCCAGAGCAACCTGCGCCACCCCAACATCCTGCAGCTGTACGGCCACTTCCACGACAGCAAGCGGGTCTTCCTGATCCTCGAGTTCGCCGGGAAGGGTGAGTTGTACAAGCATCTGCGCAAGGAGAACCGCTTCCCCGAGTGGAAGGCCGCCCAGTACGTTGCCCAGATGGCCAGCGCCTTGAGGTACCTGCACCGCAAGCACGTCATTCATCGGGATATTAAGCCCGAGAACATCCTTGTCGGCATCCATGGCGAGCTCAAGGTCTCGGATTTCGGCTGGAGTGTGCATGCGCCGAACAACAGGAGAGCGACCATGTGTGGAACACTAGACTACCTGCCTCCGGAGATGATCAAGCCCGGCAGCAAGGATAACTACTACGACGAAAAGGTCGATCTGTGGTCGCTAGGCGTCTTGACATATGAGTTTCTGGTGGGTGAAGCTCCTTTCGAGGACACGCCCGTCATGACGCAAAGGAGGATTGCCAGGGCAGACATGACGATTCCTTCGTTTGTAAGCCCCGAGGCCAGGGATCTGATCAAGAAGGTAAGTCTACTTCACTGCTCAGACCTGCATGGCAACGAATGCTGACATTTATGCCTCAGTTGCTTGTCCTTGACCCCGAGAAGAGAATACCGCTGGACCAGGTCCAGCAACACCCGTGGATCATCAAGCATTGCCTCAAGGGTGAGCGTGCGGCAAACCGTGAGAAGGGAGTATAATGACTATGACGACGTAATGACAGGGATTTCATTGGCACTGTATCATTAAACAGCAGGCGTTCAGGGCAGGCACATCTGGCTACCAAAGGGAGTTTTGCATCAGAAAGAGTTGGTTTCTCCATTGCGTACCAACGAAATACAATCAATATACTGTTCATGGCAAATCTTGACTCCAAACGCCCCCCCTTCGCCTCATAATATTGTACAAGCTCGGATCTTCCAGAGGATGGGAAGAATGAGCCCAAGCTTCGTCTACCTATACACTTCGTCGAAAGGCCTCGTATCTGCGAAACACGAGTCCCAGACCTGATTCACCACCTTGACGGCCTGCACATCGTCCTTGCATGCCGGTCTCGCGAGCACCGACTGCACAGCTCGCTTCCGTACACATTCCTGGAACTGCTGTGTCAACGTCCAGTTCCCTCTTGTGATGGCCTCCTTCGTCCATCTGCACTCGCCACTCAACATCGATGCCCGTATCTGTGCCGCAGGTTAGCTTCCCGGTTCCCACGTCCAACATCGTGTACTGCCGTTGGCAACCTCCGGCGTTAGCCACGTACCTCGGTGCAGGCGGCATGCTTCAGGTCCTTGCCGCCGGCCCAGTCGACCTTCCATCTCAGGTGGTCCCAGGCGTGTACCATCTCGTGCGCCAGTGTGTCCTCGAGGTGCTTGCGGTCGCGGACCTCGTTGGCGCAGATGAGGATGCCGTGTCCGGGGGAGAAGCCGCCGCTCTGGCGGTGGACCTCGCCGTCGGCGGTCAGGCGGGCGGGGCAGCGGCGGCAGACGACGTTGTCGGCGTCGAGGCGGCCGTTGAGGGCCTCGATCTTCTCGCGCATGAAGCGCACCGTTGGCGAGTGCGCGAACGCCCAGTCCCGGTAGCCCTCGCACGTCTTGCAGTCGCGCTCCTCGTTGGCCACGTACCGCGACTCCCGGTAGTGGAACGCGCCCTCGGTCGTGATCTGCCCCGACAGGATCTTGAAGTAGTTCATCCACCACTTGGTCGCCGGGTCGAAGCCGGTCCGCGCCGGGTCGTTCTTGACTATGGCCGGGAGCTCGGGCGACGTCGCAGCGGCCGATGAGGATGGCGTGGGCGTGGGGGCTGCAGCCTCCGGTGTCTGGGTTGTTGACGGAGCCATGGTGGGCAAGCTGGTGCGCAGATGGTCTCCGTTGCCTGAAGTATGTCACCTCGTGCTAGTGTGCTCACTTAGAAACCGCCCTCAATCACTAGAGTGCAAAGGTCGCTACCCTTTTTACCGACGTAAGGCTACACCGCCCGGCAATTCGGTGAGCTGCTAAGTTGCCCGGGTTTTCAGTTCTCCACCGGCTGAAGACCGTGGATACATCCAATCAGAAGGCCCTCTTTTGCATGAATTGACCCTACTTAAGTACTTACAGGCTCACAGCCAGTGCGGAGTTCCACTGCCGTCCAAATCGTCCTTTTGCATGGTTCATTCCGCCCTTCCGCCCCTTGCTATGGCCGACGCCGGTGACGCAGCGCCCTGTATGACACTCCCGATCCACGCCCAACTACAGTTGAGATATTGCGTAGATATGTTGCGATCTTGTTCTCGCTCTGTGTCTTCTTGTGCTCCTGAGTGACGAGTCAGCTTTTTACAGTATTTGGGTTCCAACTAATTCGTGTGCGACGTCCGCAGATATGAAGGTTGTTAAGCCGCTCACTGTGGTTATAAAACTTGGTAAGTCATTTGGTGCCCAGAGACTCCTTGATGAGTCGGCGACAAGCACTGGAAAAGCCGAAGCGCAACAACTCAAGAAAGGACTTGAACTCATACTCGAAATAGGAACCAGTTCCATTGTTGATGAGAAGACCCATGAGCCACTACTCCCCATCCTGAGCCTGATAGTCTCCACTGCAGTCAAGCTGCGTAAAGATGGCCACAGGGTTGTTATTGTGTCGTCTGGAGCCATCGGCGTAGGCCTACAGCGTATGGATATTGAGCGACGGCCCAAGCATCTGTCACAGTTGCAGGCCTTGGCTGCAATCGGCCAATGCCGTCTGATCAGTCTCTGGGATCAACTCTTCGGCCACTACCGCCAGCCTGTGGCCCAGATCCTTCTGACCAGGAACGATATTGCAGATGTAAGTAACACATGTTCTCCCGTTTTCCACATCAACGACCTCACTAACTTTGGTGAAAGCGCCAAAGATATCTAAATGCTCAGAACACGGTGGCCGAGCTGCTAGAGCTCGGCGTCATCCCAATCGTCAACGAGAACGACACCTTAGCTGTGGCTGAGATCAAGTTCGGTGACAACGACACCCTGTCAGCCATCACAGCCGCCATGGTCCACGCCGATTTTCTCTTCTTGATGACGGACGTGGATTGTCTGTACGACAAGAACCCTCGCACCAACCCTGACGCCCAACCAATACAGGTAGTTGAAGATATCAACTCTATTCAAGCAGATGGTCTGTAAAACTCTTCTCAAGCGGGTTCTGTAAATACTGATTATGTGCAGTCTCGAGTGCTGGTTCATCACTTGGAACGGGCGGCATGAGTACCAAGATAGTAGCCGCAAAACTTGCGACGTCAGCGGGTGTGACGACTGTCATAACACGTTCCTCGAGCCCAGATAACATCCACCAGATCGTGCGATATGTACAGGCTACCAAGGTGTCAGATGGCCAAGAAGATCCCCTTTCTCGATCTACAGCCTCACTAGCGCTCAATGTCCAAGAGCCACCGCTTCATACGAGGTTCCTACCGCTGTCGCAACCTATACGCGATCGGTACTTTTGGTTGCTTCATGGTCTGGCACCTCATGGCACGCTTTACATCGACAGCGGTGCCCACCAAGCGCTGGCCGATAAAGCCGGCCTGCTACCTGTAGGCATCCTAGATGTGGAAGGCTCTTTCGCCCAGCATGAATCGGTGCGCTTGGTCGTGGTGGAGCGGAGCTCAGAGCCGGCCGCATATGGTAAATCATGGCAAGGTACGCCGGTGGAGGTGGGACGGGCTCTCGTGAACTACGCGGCCCCCGAGATTGTTCGGATAAAGGGCCGCCGAAGCAAACAGATCGAGGGGCTGCTGGGATACGCCGACAGCCAGTATGTTGCTGATAGAGACAACGTGAGCTTGTTCCTTCACGAAAGTCGTCCAGTCACTCCCACACCAGATATCTGAGATCCAGCGGCCTAGACAAGTATGACTGTCGATAGAGCGCTGGTATTGGTATTTTAGTAAACACGGCGTATAGGGCAAGGAGAGTCATTGTGTGTATCCTCTCTGTGCTTAAAATTACACAAGTGGCACTTACTGTCGTGGCATCAAGAGAGCGCTCTCATTCGGGAGCAGTCACAAGATTTAGATTGGATGTTAAGGGATTTTACCCCCTGAGACAGGACCTATGTCTTGAAATAAGACTTCCCAAACCCTGACACCTACGTGCTAATTGTGAAGGAAACTCACTTCAGATGGGAGACACAGCTGCAGCGAAATTAGAGTGACTTTGGAAACGCAGTCGCGGATTGTTGTTCTAGATAAAGCACTCATTCCATGGGATCAGGAATGGGCTGAAATGGACCGACTGAATCATGTCAATACTCCGTTTAAGAAAACAAGACTATGCTATAGTCAGCTAAAGCAACATTATCTGTGTAACCTGTCCCAAACACATGTATAGCTCTAATTGGAACGGGCGCACATAATATTAGCCTGCCAAGCTCATCTCAGTTACCCTGGCTAACCCTAGAATAGGATAATAGGTTTCTCCAGCCTTGCATATCCGAAGATCAGCACGCCACCGCCCCTTTGAATTGTTGGATTGACTCGTGTAACCTTTGACGGTATGTATTCGACGGACCGCGCCGAAAATTTGGGGGGCTGTCAGCACCATGTTTGACGATGACCTGCCATTCCTGGCTGTGAGGCTGAGCACCCCTGTCCATCGATGTGCATACCAAGACCGTTCGTAGACCAACCACCGTCGACGAGACTTCCTTGGGGAGGCCTCGGGCTCAGCACCGCCATTTGGAAATGCGGCCAGTGCATTCACGCAAATATATACAATGAGTTTGTGAGACACATCTCATCGGCCTCGCATTCGTGGACTCCCGTCAAAGACGAGGCACGCCAATAACTCAGCGCATTGGTACAATGCACTTCATCAGTATGCCAGCACCGCTCACGGAGCTTGTACTGCTCCCTCTGCTATTCTTGTCAGGCGCCCATGCTGCGACAACGACTACAAAGACAAGCACTACATCAATCTTCCTGCCCTCGCGCTCCACATCCTCAGGCTACCACATCTACGCCACGGCGCTGACCTCGGATGCCTCATCAACCGAGTACCTCCTCGCGTGCCAGACCATCTTCACCGCGCCGTACTCGTGTGGCGGTGACTTCACGGGTGTGACACTGACCGTGGCGCCGACGTCGTTGCACCTGAACCTAGGCCCGTCCGCAGGCGTCGAGTTCGACTGCAAGCTGTCGTCAACATCTGCCAATCCGGGCGGCGCCGTGTGCACGACGACCAGCTCGGGCATCGTGGCTACGAGCACGGTGGCAACGCTTGCCAGTGCCGAGACTGCGCGGCGCGCGACCGCCATCACCATCCTGGACGACGGCCGCAAGAAGGGGAGCAGCACTACGGGCACTAGGAGCACTACAACCTCGAGCCGGATCACCGGTGCGGGCTCGTCGACGACCACCACGGCGGCGGCCGGGAACGGGCTGTGTAAGCGCAAGGTCACAGGAGGGTCAGGAGGGAGCGGAGGCGATGGCGCTACTACGGATGGTGACACCTCAGGTGGGAGTGCTACCACGACGAAGGGTTCCGGAGGTGATGGCTGCTCAGGAGGAAGCAAGGCGGAAGCTGGGATGGTGGTGATGGGCTTGCTGACATTAGGCACGGTGGTTGGAATGATTATGTTATAATCAACCTGTCAGGGAGAGAATCCATGAATCTCGGAATCAACATGGGGGATGTGCCAAAGCACGCCTGGAGAAAGGATAAGAGGGTAAATGCAAATCTAAACACGAATTGACCTTTGACTTGGCTCGCTTATGTTGAGTGTTCGCCGATTCTTACTCTTCAGCCGCATGGCTGGCAGTCATCACCTGGCGCAAGCCGCCTCCTGAAGCACATAAAGCAGAGTTCTGAGGCAAGATGATATCAATTGAAAACCTGCCAGGGTATCCCCCTTTTTGGTGGACAACCGAAGAACTCCAAACTCCATTTCCATGCTAGATCCGCAACCTCCCCTTCACTTATATGCCCTCTCCCGTTCAAGAAGCCCTCTTAACTAGCAAACAGGGTATCCTCATCTCTCAAGAACTCTCCACAATCGGCCTGGCGGAAACACACAACTCCAGTCGGATCCAGCTTGCGCGCCTCGCCGGTAGACCTTGCCGTGACGCCGAAGCCGAGAGGAGTGTCGTTCATGTCGTAGACTACAACTCCCTGGTGCTCCGGGCAGTCATCAGACCAGCGCCCCACGTGGGCCTTGACAATGTTGCCGCCGTATAGGAACGGCATCGTACCGTTGGGACGGATCCAGATCTTGTATCTTGCGTGGGCAGCCAGGACGGGCAGACTGGTAATGTGCAGACGGAATTTGCCAGTCTTGCTGAACTTGCCTGTGTTGATGGTTGTTTGTTAGAATCTGTGTGGTATAGATCACTATTGACCAATTGGATGTGCAAGAGAAGCGACCCAAACGTACCTAGACAAGTTCCCACAGACAACAGCTTGTCGCGACCTATCGAGGTGGCCAGGTTCGCTATCGACAGTAAAACGTAGTACACACGATCGCGCTGCAGGCGGAAGACATAGCGGTCGCCGTCCTCGAGGGGAGCGATGAGGTTGTTGAGCGACGAGCCGGTGTAGTTCGCCAGCTTGGCGAAAAGCGTCTTGGTTTCTTCTTCCGTAAGGGGACGCATCGTGGTGGTGCCGTCGTCGCTTTGCTCTGCTCGTTAGACGTGGTGGTCTGCAGGCTGTAGAAATCTCCAACTTTTCCCAGAAATTTTGGCGGAGAAGAGGCTATCGATAAGGCCGCGGCGGAATTGGCCCCGCGTTAGTGGGCGTGGGGCGGCGCTAGGATCCCTGCAGAAGTCGCGGCGGCTTATGAAATTTTAGTTTTGACATGTCCTGACATTTGCGACCGAGAAACGACAGACAGGTCATCAAGAGGTTCAAGGGCTCAGCGCGGCTCTCACCAGATTCACACCCATGACCCTCGCAATGGCGTCACGACCAGCCAAGAAGAGGAGGCTCACCCCTCCCCAATCAGAGGACGAGGGCAGCTCCCGCCAGAACGCCAAAGTGCAGAAGGCCTTCTTCAAGAGCGCCTCCACTTGGGACCTTGAGCAGGACTATGAGACCAAGGCCAGGAAGGGGCAGAACAAGAAGGGCAAGGAGAGCACCCGCCTGCCCATCAAGCTTTCTGACGGTCGACTGCAGCATCATGTCCAAGCCGTAGATGATGACGTGCAGTCTGTGGATGATGAGGACTGGCTCGACGGTAAAGACTTGTCCGACGACGACGAGCAGGATGATGAGCCCGTCCGCGAGGAACCCCAGATCCCTGTGCAGCAGCAGATTCTCGAGGCCAAGGAAGAGCTCGCCAAGATAGCTCTCGCGCTCAATGAGAATCCCGAGGAGAACGGCGCTGCGTTCAAGGCTTTGGCTAAGGTCGGTCAGTCGAAGATCGTTGCTATCCAGAAACTGGCGCTGGCAACTCAGCTTGCCGTCTACAAAGATGTCATCCCTGGGTACCGGATACGGCAGGCAACGGAAGATGGACCGGAGGAGAAGCTATCCAAGGACGTCAGAAGCTTGCGGTCTTACGAACAAGCTTTGGTCTCCGGCTACCAGAAGTATGTTCGGGAGCTCGCGAGATACGCCAAGACGGGCAGAAACAAGGAGCCTTCCAAAGGCCAGAGCGTGGCCAGTGTTGCGATAACATGCGCCTGCACTCTCATAATGTCGGTACCGCATTTCAACTTCCGCGGAGATCTGCTCAAGATCCTCGTCGGCAAGTTGAGCACGAGGAGAGTCGACGAGGACTTCGACAAGTGTCTCAAGGCGCTCGAGACCCTATTCCAGGACGATGAGGAAGGCCGACCGGCTATGGAGGCTGTTTCGCTTCTCTCAAAAATGATGAAGGCACGAGAGTACCAGGTTGATGAGAGTGTCCTAAACCTCTTTCTACACCTGCGTCTCCTGTCTGAGTTCTCCGGCAAAGCCTCCAAGGACCATGTTGAGCACGACAACATGGGACCCAATGGAAAGAAGCTCAAGCAAAAGAAGGAATTCCGAACCAAGAACCAGCGCAAGGCCATGCGAGAGCAAAAAGCCATTGAGAAAGACATGGCACACGCCGACGCGCTTGTCAGCCACGAAGAGCGGGAGCGCATGCAGTCAGAAACGCTGAAGCTTGTATTCGCGAGCTACTTCCGCATTCTCAAGGTCCGCATGCCACACTTGATGGGAGCAGTGCTGGAAGGCCTGTCGAAATACGCACACCTTATCAATCAGGATTTCTTCGGAGACCTCCTTGAAGCCTTGAAGGATCTGATCCGGCACAGTGACGCTGACCAGGAGGGCGAGGATGGAGAAGACGAACCGGCCTTCAACACCGCCCGCAATCCGACCCGCGAGGCTCTCCTCTGCACTGTGACGGCCTTTGCTCTGCTTGCTGGTCAGGACGCACACAACGCCAGGGCAGATCTCCATCTGGACTTATCATTCTTCACCACACATCTTTACCAAACTCTCCTCCCGCTCTCTATCCACGCAGATCTAGAACTTGGTGCCAAGTCTCTCCACCTTCCAGACCCGGATGCTCCAGTTTCTCAACAAAAAGCGAGCACCTCGCGCAACAAGGTTAACTTGCAGACGACGACGGTTCTCTTGATCCGCTGCCTGACTGATATCCTCCTTCCACCGTGGAATATTCGTTCAGTCCCCCCGCTGCGCCTTGCCGCTTTCACGAAGCAGCTCATGACCGCTTCTCTGCACACGCCCGAGAAATCAACGCAGGCCATACTCGCACTCCTTGCGGACGTCGGTGGCACGCACGGGCAAAAAGTGTCTGCTTTGTGGAATACCGAGGAACGCAAGGGCGACGGGTCTTTCAATCCAATCAGCGAGAGTGTGGAGGGCAGCAATCCATTTGCGACCACGGTGTGGGAGGGTGAGATTCTGAGGCGGCACTATTGCCCCAAGGTTCGGGATGGAGTAAAGATGGTGGAGAAGATCTTTGCACCGCAACGGAGATGAGACTGTCACTTAGACTTGCTTGGGAAAATAGAGTGTACAAGTTTGAATCATATAGAAGTATATGGTAGACCGGACGTCAGAATGAATGCAACGTATAAAGCCGAACCTACGTTGAGATCGTCTATGGACAGGTATGACACATTACCGATTTCGTAACAGTGAGCCCTACTTGAGGACAATTTTTGCGGGAAATAATTGTTTGTTCCGTTGCTGTCACTGCTCAATTATGTCCTGCATTTAAACTAACCATGTCTTGGTCTGTCCATTTGCCTTGACTGGATTTATTTGTAATCCTAAGGTGAGAGATATTGGCTGACACAAACACGATGAGACAAGCAAGGCTAACCAACGGTCTTTATGTGGAGAGAGGCCAGTGAAAGTAAACTTCCTTGATGCGTTCACGATTTATATACATACCGAGATGATGTTAATGTGCATAAAGGAGACGTGTAATTCTAATGAAGTTCGCTCGCTGGTATAGCTACCGGCAGTCCCGAGCCCAGCCGTCTCAGCTCCCCATCCCGTGCCGCTCGTCGATAGTCCTGGCCAAAATCTCGGCGACTATATTGTCCCCCATCGTCGCGGCGAACGGCCGGCCGTTCGCGGATATGCCAGGCAGTCGCGGACAACAACGGAAACCTCGCAGTTACCTTGACGGCACCAACACATGGCTGCATCGTCGTCCTTTCCTTTTGTCCAGTCGATAGTCAGCCGGCTTTGCCCTAGAGTTTTCAGTCCACGACCCACGATCTTTTTGCGCTGCGTCTTCTGCCTCCATCACAGCTGAAGCAACCTGCTTCTCGACACCTTTTCCCTGACAACCATCTCACACCCTTCTCACCTCCCTATCTTGTATTCTCACAACCCGCAGACGAGATGTCTCGAACTTCGGGTGAACAATTCTCTCTCGAGGAGAAATTGCAGGCTGCTCGTGAGCTTCGTGCCATGTTTGGCACGGAGAATCGCCGCGGCCAAGGCCGTGGTGGCCGAGGCGGCAGCAGCTCGGGCCGTGGTCGTGTCCCCCAAGGCCGTCCCTATCCCGGAAGTGGTGGCTTCGCCCCGGGCAGCACTTCTACCCCCTCGATGTTCCACCGTTCGCTGGCCTCGGCCAATCCGGCTGCTGTTTCGACTCCCATCTCGCGAACTCCTGCCGCCGCCGCCCAGACTGCTACAGCGTCGGGTACTTCGACCGCACCCAACCGACCCAAGACTTCCTCGCAACTCACCTTCCTTAACTCGGCTGCAGACACCAAGCCCATTGGTAGTATCACCCTCCAGGGCTTCGGCGGTAATGTCGGCCATGGAACTGCTGTCATTTCGCCCCAGACAGCGCCCGCCGTACTCCGAGACGCTACGAACCAGCACGGTCCTGTCAACAATGTCCTAACCAAGCAAGTTGAGAACAAGTCGGCGTCTTTTGTTGCAGCTGGTCAACCTCGCCTGCCGGGTCTTGATGCCAGCCGTTTTGCCAAGGCGAATGCAGAGCCGAGTAACAAGTCTGCTACTAGTCACACTCGCAAGGCTTCATTCGCAAGCGATGTGGAGATGACTGATGTCACAGCCTTGCTGACTCAAGGTATGGGTGGACTGACAATCGGTCGTTCTGGCCACAATGCTTCCCAGGCCGCGGAGAACGCGACTCTGAAGGAGTCCCAGCGCGGTCAGAGGCCTCAGCCGCAGGATATGGAAGATCGCTATGCCGTAAGTAACCCCTTAAGTCAACGAGATACACCTTGCATGTTGCTGACAGTCTGAGTAGAGGATGGAGAACTGGGTTCCCGCCTGGGTTGTCGCTTCGGCTTCCTCTGGCTCGACCAACCAGTCTGCGGTCCCGCGATCTGCCCAGCCCGCGGCCCAGCCCAGCACTGCAGCGTCTAACACCACCCGCCAGGGCGGCAGCGGTCCGCGTCGTGGCCACGGAGGCTTGATGGATTCTCGACACAACAGCAACAAGAAGCCGGCAACTTGTCCCAAGAGCATGTAAAGCTTGAATGTGCAGCTTGGCATTGAGGCCTTGATTATGGTTGCGATTTTGTTTCAGGGAGTTCTGATGGCCACTGTTCATATAGGCACGGAACTTGTTATGTGGATAACGTTTGTCGAAGCCCATCGTCAGTTTTAGCGACTGTGATGGCTAGAAGTGCCAGTTTGTCTTGTGCCGTGTGGTTAGGTACCTAGTTGATAGGCAGTTCTTGATGGCAACAACCGAGTTCCGATACCCTTGGATTCTTTCTATTGTGTCCGTGTCAAATATCCTCTGTCCAATGTGTTGCTTGAAAGATGTGAGTGGCGAGCCAAGAAGTCGGACACAGACTGGCCAAGACGATGGAATGACTTCAATTCTTTTCTTCCATTACGGTCGTGCATTATGCCTCGAGACTGGCTCAGGTGCCTACATCATTTGCGACTGGGTTTCTTAGAACCTATGACAGTTTCGACCGTCTTGATCTTTGTCTCCCTGAACTCTGCCTTCTGAGCTTCCTTCAACCACGTAACCTCGATCGGAGGCGCACGTTGGCGGGCAAAGTCCACAAGCGCCTTGCTGTTCGGTGCCCCTTCCCGTAGCCCAACGCACGAGACGCGAGGTATGCCCAATGCTTCGCATAGCCGGTCCTGACAGGCTTTTGAGATTCCAACGAGTCGGATGGGTTCTGTCGAGGGATGCGTCTCTGATGCCACGGCCACGATCTGAGGCAGATGACTGTGAAGAATGTTGGGTTGGCCGGAGCGAGCCACAACGATCACCGAATACAAGCTCGTTTTAGATGCATCTGCATCTGTCTTGGCACCATCGACGCCCTCCGCGATGGAACTCTGTAGGTTGCGTGTGATGGTCGAAAGACCAACGTCAACGTACGAGCTGATCTCCGGTGCTGGCGGTGGCGCAGGAGCAGCGTCTGGCTTCTCTGCTTCCCTACGCTTTCTCTTCTTGTCGCCCTTCCCCCTGGACGGCTGCTTGTGTTGTGTACGGTGGCGGCCGATAGGCGACAGTAGACTTGATCAGAAATGTCAGACATACCACTGGAAGAAGCTTGGTGACAAAGGACTCTGTCTTTGGCAAACAATGCCAGAATAATATAGCAGCCTGTCATACTTCTTGACGGACGTACCTGCATAGAAGCTCCAGTATTGTGTCTTGATCCTCAGCTGTGACCTGTGGCCTATGCTCAGTTGTTAGTCATGGACGCTGACAGGCGGGTAGCTGAAGCCTATCGGAAGACGTACCAATCGACCGATGAGTACGGGGTGTCAAGTTGAAACGTGAGCCTTTTCTTCTCCATCGTATCGGTATCGTCCGGAATGCCTCGGCGTTTTATGGTGGTGTCTGTGATCTGTATTTTGTAGGTCCCGGGTCACAAGTCATGATTGAAAATTGCCAATGCGGCTCAGAACCATGAGAATCGGACCCACACAAGGATCTTGACCTCGGGGACGTAATGGGCATTCCAGGACTTCGGTCAGGATCAGCTGCAGCATGGACTTGGCAACGTTACGACTGAGTGTCATGCAATATCATTAAGAGTAAGACTCTTGGTACCAAGTATTTCACATATGCGTAGACGTAGGATACAGCTTCCATGCCTCGCATCAAAGCCCAGCACAAAATACCTACCATATCGGACCCAGTTTTTAGCCTGTACAGGGGGTTTGCTGAGCACTTTGATGGAGGAGGGGTGACTGAAAAGTCGCGTCTAGCGGAACGCGCGGTGCACTGCTCCTTGGCGTGCGTTCACACAGCACTTAGCGAGCTTGAGTTATGGATGGATCAGGGATCCAGGGAGTATAGTGGCACCCATTAGGTCCCCAAGTGAGTCCATGGAGCTCATGGATGTGGTGCAAACAGCGCCATGAGGACTCTAGACGATTCACATGCTGCAGCCATAGACAGTAGATCAAAGAAACAATCGAGTGGCCTGACAATCGATACTGTAGATTTTCAGGCAGCCGCAAGACAGTATGGACGCCGTCAGTGGGCAGGAAATTCACGTACCTGCATAGGCACTGAAAGGATCTATTTGCATCAGGATCATAAATACTGAGGTCAATAACAGCCTTCCTTGAGCACATACATATCTCTCAAATCCTGGAAGCCGACATCTCATTGGACGCGATTGTGCTGGTCTTCACACTCACCACTACAGCCAACATCTCTCCTCCCGCCAACAAGTATCACCGCCTTCAGATCCCTGCGGTGTCTCTCTGACTTCTGCAACTATTCCTTGCGAGCTACGCCGCATGGGCACTTGAGCAAACACTTCACACAACTCGTTGATCGCGACCACAGGCCAGTAAGTAAATATTCGCCTACCCTCTCATCAGGTTTCTCGACGTCATTGCGCACTCCAACCCGCTCCTCTGGCTTCTTATGCAGAGCCTCACCCAAAGCAGCAGCTGCACGCACGGTTCCTTTTTTCCTTCACCCGACTGGACTGGGATCGGGACCGCCTGCATGTATTAGACCATATGGTGCAATTGTTTCCTCCATGCCCGTCGCTGATGGTTCTATGCCCTACGCGGAAAAGTCAAGGGTCTCGCCTGTCCAAGTATTTTGGTCGGACCGTGGGATCGCATAGTCTTCGCGACGGAGCGTCTTGGGCAGCCGGAACGCTCTTTCTGCGCCTGGTCTCATCTTTCTCACACTCGCCCGCCAAGAACCACCGAACCTGCCTTACTCACTTTTCCGTCTGCAGTCGTCTTCTTGTCCAGCGGATAAGCAGTCTCTCGGGCGCTAAATCTGGAGAGGCCAGATAGCGATCAACCGTCCCGGAGGTTCGGCACACACTTGATCCCAAGCCAACGCGGTGCAAGTGCTCAGATTCACTCGTCGGCTTAAAAGGTAAATTCTATCCGGTCTCTTTCTACTCAAGCCACCGCAGGCCTCGGATCGGACGATTACAGTGGACTCAGCCCTGGCAGGGGACTGCCAACTCAGCCTTAGCGCTCTAGCGTTACCACCTAGTCGCGCCTTAGCAGTGGTAAACCTTGGGCGGCTAAGTTGCCGTTTCCAGGGTAGGGGGGTAGCTGAGCTCCTTGCATCCCTCCCCGCGGCACATCTCCACTGGCCTTCTAGACACGCCCCTCACCCCACTTCTAGCGGCCCCCAACTTCGTCACTGCCTGCCTATCACCACCAAAAAAGTAGCTGCAGAGCTTCCCACGATCACCGAGACAGCTTCAGCTTCAGCCTAGTCCACCTCACTAGCACAAGTTATCCTGGACGCGTGCGTCGAGGCACACGTCTGCGTCTGCCGTGCTCCTCCTCGATCGGCATCTCTTCTCTGCCTCTCCCTCCTCTCCCCGACCTCACACTCTCTCGCGCTCCTCCCATCTGGCCCCGCACATTCCAGTCAACCCACATGCTAATTCTGACGCCCGCCAGCCGCCGAGCCTTCTCGCGCGAACGACTCAAGCTTCGAACTTGTCTGGGGCTGTCACATCTCCACCAGCCAGATGGAACAAGATTCGAGATCCGACGAGTCGCGAGAACGTGCCGTCTCTTCTGAGCCCAGCTCGACGCGTCCGAACCCCTTCGTTGACGCCGACCCCTCGGCCAGGAAGCGCCGGAGAACGTCGCTGGCCGGCTCCCGCAGCCGATCTGTCGAGACTCTGCCGCCCCAACCGGAGACCGAGCTCGAAGACGAAGCTGGGGCTGCGGCCGCAGTTGAGAACGAGTCCACCATGAAGGTCGACAGCCCAGAGCCTCCGGTCCCGAGCACTCCGCCGCACTCAGACCCTTCTTCCGAACCGCCTAGTACGGAGCCTCATTCTAGTAAGGTGACCATCAACCTCCGTAATGCTATGGGCCTCGACGCAGCTCCTGCTTCTCCCCCTTCTCCGACCAAGCTGCCACCGTCCAGCGAAGATATCAAGATCAGTGTAGAGGAGTCCGAGACAGATTCAGCACAGCTGCCGCCTATAGCAGACGACACTTCGTCTTCGACGTCAGTGGCGACCGGCTCCGACTATCCCAGCGCGGCCCTTGACGAGGATGACGACGAGGATGAGCTTGAGCGTGTCGCTCCGAGACAAGCTCCGACCTCTCATGACTTCGCGGCCTTGCTGGTCAATTTCCCATACCACTCTGTCGAGCAGCCTTATTTCGAGACAATTCAGCGTCTGGTTGGATTCTTTATGACGCGTAAGTCAATGATGGCCAGGTCGCTGATGCCCACTGACAATTTATCGCAGCATCCCAGTTTGACGAAGTCCTCTTCCTACTGGGCAGTTGGTGTAAAGAATATCTAAAGCAGGCGTACGTAGATGCCTATGCTATCGAAGCGGCGATAAGGCCGTCCTTCGAAGCCCGATTCCTCTGGCATACGCTACCAGAATTGTTCTGGACCATATTTTCGCGAAGGTACGTGCGCCGTGGCCACGACTCCTTACTGAACCCACTGACACTGCGCCAGGGTAATACTTACCAAGAGTGATGATACTCGAAAGCTCACAACCGAGTTGTTCCTCCAGCTTCCAAGACTGGCGGCTCACTTGTTGAAACTGGATATTCGGCTTATTCATAACTTGCCGAATCCCGACGATGTCGAGAATGTAGACTTTTTGTCTCCTGGCATGCTACAATGTTTGGGGAACATCGCCCGCCAGGATGAACCGCAGTCACACAATAGCTATGTCATGGATCCATTTCTGGATAATTCTGAGCTGCTTTCCATCTTCCAGTGGGAATCTTGCCGGGAGCCTGGCCAGAAGACTGCTTCGACGCTTAGCGGGTCCATGATGAAGCTTGTTCGCTTTGTTGAATCATTAGCGAGCATGGTCCCTCGAATTCCAAGGAAAGCCCTGGACTACATGGCTAAATGTTGCAGCTTGGTAGACAGCATCGTGTACGACAGTTACCAACAAGTTGCTCACTCGTACGGGCCCTCGAACGCGCGCGTTTCACGGTCCGAACGAAACCTGGCTGCTGCCGTTCGACTCTTCAACGGTGTATCGCCTGCCTTGGACTGGGTTGTTGACAAGTCTATCAACAATCTGGCGGCTGACGTCGCTTCTCAACTCATAGTATCCCTGACTCTAATTCTCGCTCGCGGCTTGAGAGGATCAGCCAAGGACGCTGTAGAGATGATCAACGCCCACCGCAAGCAGAACCCCTCGCTGCCAGAAGCATGCACGGTAGATGCTATCGCCAACGAATGGCGATTCGGCTTGCTAAGTAAACTCATCATGTCGCGTCAGATGCAACTGCGCGTGAGCGCTGTCACCTTGTTGTGCGGTGACCTCGTAGCCGAATGGAAGAAAGGCTCAGAAGCTCAAGAGGAGGGCAACGAGTACCTGCAGCACATATCGAAGTTCTTGACGGGAACGGGTCTCGTCGACTACCTGTTGGGGCCTACTTGCCACCCAGAGATTACCATGGAGAGCTACAACATACTTGGCTTCTTAGCCGTCACCCAAACATTTGGCCCAGCGCAGACCGATCTGTTCTGGCAAACGTTGACATCAACTCAGGATCCAAGAATAGCCGAAGCCCTCGCTCGGATGATGGCAAAGACGGCTCCCAACATGCACCAGGAGCCACTGGTTTATCTAGTCGAGAAGCTTGAGAGTCTACCCGTTGAAGCTTTCACGCTCCATGTAAGAGATCTTTGTGAGTCAGTCACGAAAGCATTGTCTGTACGATACGGGTACATTCAAGGTGCACCCACACATATGCTTTATTTGCGACTGGTTCAACAGGCTTCAGTATTTGGTGCTCAAGGCACTATCGAGCATGCGGATATCTACTCCTTCGCTACGGCACGGCTCAGAGACATTGTGCAATACAGCATCAACTTTCAAAGTCGCCAAGATCTCCTTGAAAGTTGCCTGCAAGATATACGTGAAAAGACGGCAACGACCACCGGCAGTCTGAATGCCCTGCATGTACTCATGCGCTCGACGATGGGCCGGGATCTCACTTCGCTAGTCACTGAAAGGAAGTTTGCCAGTCTCCTTGTTGAAGAACTAGAGTCTACAATCTCGATAGCTCAAAAAGTAGGCTTCACTCCGGTCTATGCGTCTGCTCTAGGCACCGCCCGTCGGGAGTTCATTGAAAACATCATAGCAGAACACGGAAATTCGATCGAGTCCCAGCACATCCAGCTTCTGTGGCACCTCCTAGTCGGCGATGGCGCGGCTTGTCAGGAGGACAGAGCGGCCGGCTGGGCTTCATTGAACTACGCGGTCAGTAAGACACGACTAGCAAACAGGTTTCTGGAGTCGTGCTTGCAGGAACATCTTCCCCACCTAGCACCGAATCTCTATTGCATTGGTGCATTGCGGTTTGTCCGTGAAGCCCTAGGACCATTCACAAATGACACAAGTGGTACAGCATTGGATGAGCAGAACGCAACTCAGCCCGGCGGCCCCTTGGAACTACTCTGGCGTATCATCTTGACGGCCCCCCCTCAGTCCATTGAGGAACAAGCGATCCAACTATTAGTCAATGACATCTACGTGAACGGAAATTCGATAAATTCCTTCCCTCTGCACCGAGCTCGGAAGGTGCACTTCGCGCTGGTGAATCGATGCCTTCGGCAAATGGCGGACGCTGCTAGAGAGTTACAATCCGCCGATGGTGATGAGGTTATGCAGAGCAGTGGTGAATCAGAATCTGCTGCTACTACGGGAGATCTCAACGAGCAGGAGCTCAAGTTCATTCGATCACTGGCTGTGCTTCAGTCCTTCTTTAGGACTCTGCAAGGCAAAGCCCACGCCTTCGCAGCTCCAGATATGAGGTCATTGATGCTCCAGTCTGCCAGCATTATAGAAGGAGAATCGGCAGAGCTCAAATTCCAGTCGTTTGATGGCAACCAACAGACAGATGTTAAACCCCTCGCTATTGGTCGACAGAACACAGCCGCATCGTTGTTAGCCAGCATAAGAGAGGCAACTGGATTTGATAACTACCGGATATTCTATCGTGGAGCACCACTCACACCCACGGAAGACCAGATCTGCAAATCTTTGGAGGACCTTAACATACAGAACGGCCTTCTCTTGGTGAAAAGAGAGTCAGATGTGGTGTCTTCACCTGTCAAGGTGAAACCTGGTGCATCGCCATTGGATATTGAGATCCTGAGCCACTTCAAGGAGCTGTGGGAATACCTTAGTATGGACGAGAAGCTTGCGAGAGAGGTAAGATAACAGTATCTTACGTGACTGAAGAAGGCTAACTCGGCTACTCTAGATATACAACTTCCTCGTCAAACTTCCGGCGGACGAGTCTATCATGGAAGCTTTCGAAAATGCAGACACATCGTACCTCAAGGTGTTCCCTCTGGGGGAGCCCTTCAAGTGTTTGTATACGGTGCATGCTCTCCGTGAATATTTGAGTACTCGGCGCCTGAAATCCCAGGTTATGCAAACAAACTTGCAGAGTGCCGAAACCCGACAAAAGACAGTATCAGACCAGGAAGCCGTCCTCTTGAAGGCGATGTCGCTCCTTGTCGCAGCCATTTGCGATCCGAATGTCGTTGATCACTGTACCAGCGCCTCTCTCCAGGTGACACTCAGCTTTCACCTCGTGGACAACCTGCTTCAGCTGCTGATCAGTGAGATCTTACCGGTGTGTCGCAGCATGCCCGACGCCACCAGTTCTGGTGAAACGCAAGAATCTTGCAATGGACAGAACATCATCCAGTTCCTCAACCCCAAACTCCAAGAACGTCTATTGACTCTGCTGGCTTCGGCAGCGGCATCACCTCCGCACCAGTACAGCATCGACCTGATCGGTCGGTCTCTAGAAGCATTACTGGAGTGCTGTGCTAGGAGCAACGATTTTTGGACTTCTTTTGAGCAACAACCGGCCGCCGCCAACGTACTGCAAGGCCTTCTTTTCACGGATGATCGCCTCTTTGTGAGAAAAAGTGTCGCGAAGATCATCAAAGACAGGTGCTTGTTCAGCGCTGGTGATGCCGGCGCGACTTCCCTGCGCTTCGCGGAAATGTTTTGGCCAGTCGTGTTCGAGCTTCTGCCCGAAGCTACAGCCCAGCCCACCAAGTGCGAAGAGGTGTTCAACCTGATAATCATGCTTATGAGACGATTGTCAGACGCCGACTCTCCCGCATTAAACCTGCAGGCCTGTTTGATACGCTGCGGCGAACTTCTTCTGTCTCACACAAGCACTGAGGACATATCGCATGCTGACCGAGTGGACTTCGTGTCACACGGATTGGTGTCCATCTTGCATTGTGGAATCAAGTTCTATGCCGGCGAACAGCAGGTTCGCTTTCCTGCAAATTTTGCGAGGAAACTATTCCACAGGCACCTCTTTCCGCGTCCGGATGTCAACGGTCCTTTGGTACCACGCGTGATTCTGAACCCGCAGACCCGCACCATGCTAAATGACATCATCCTCATTCTGTCCAAGAGGGCCCCAGATCAGTATTTGGCTTTGCTTCAGGCTCTTGATGGCTTGACGACCTATACGAAAACCGACGAGTCGACTCTTAGTCCGTACAGATATGAGCTCTCTCCGCAATATGAGAGGTTGAGGGCTGTCCGGTCTCCATGTGGCTACCCTGGTCTTCGAAACCTCTCCAACACCTGCTATCTGAATTCTTTATTCACTCAGCTATTTATGAACCCTCATTTCCGAAAGTTCATGATGGAAGTCCCGATTCTGGACCCCGATACACACCAGCTTCTACACGAAACCCAGATCCTATTTTCAGAGCTACAGGATAGTATCCGCAGGTTCGTTGACCCTCAATCACTTGTTGGGCAGATCATGACCTATGATGAGTCGCTTATCGATATTCACACTCAGATGGACGTGGATGAGTTCTATAATCTCTTGTTCGACCGCTGGGAATTCCAAATGCCAAGTACACGTGCTAAGAAGACCTTCAAATCTATCTACGGCGGACAACTGGTCCAACAGATCAAGTCAAAAGAGTGTGAACACATTTCTGAGCGCATTGAACCGTTCTCGGCCATCCAGTGTGACATCAAAGGCATCGCAAACTTGGAGGAGAGTCTCCAGGCCTATGTTGACGGTGAAATTATGGAGGGAGACAACAAGTACAAGTGCGAGACTTGCGACCGTCATGTAGACGCAGTCAAAAGAGCGTGCCTTAAGGACATACCCGACAGTGTGATCTTTCACTTGAAGAGATTCGAATTCAATCTGAGGACACTTCAGCGCAGCAAGATCAATGACCACTTTGCATTCCCGACAAAAATCAACATGCAGCCCTACACGGTTGGGCACCTCAGCGACCCTTCAGGCGAAGCTGAGCCTGATGAATTCGAGCTTGTGGGCGTATTGGTTCACTCTGGAACCGCAGAGTCGGGTCACTACTACTCATACATCCGTCAACATCCGAGTGCCACCGGCCAGGACCCCTGGGTTGAGTTCAACGATGACTCGGTCACACCATGGGATCCAACGCACCTCGAAGGTTCTTGTTTTGGTGGGAAGGACATGACACAACGGTTCGACGGCACACTCGGTTTCGAGAAGGTTTATAGCGCCTATATGCTCTTCTACCAGAGGTCATCATCTCTCAAGAGAGATCAAGAGGTACTCAGTCTGTCGGGCCAACCCTGTCCCATCAGATTCGACCTCAAGCCTGATATTGAGTTCGCTATCAAAGAGGGGAACTGGGGTATCGTCCACCGATACTGCACCAACGATGCCTCACATATCCCGTTTGTGAAGCAAGTTCTCTCTCACAAATGGGATTCAGAATGCTCGGAAGACCACAAGGTTGAGAACTTGGCTATGTTCGTTGCCATTGGCCATCTTGATCAAATCGCCTCACGCACCAAAGACCAGCCGGACTTTCAGCAGCTTCACGAGACAATTCTGCAAGTGTGCCAGCGATGTCCACTGTGTTGTCTGTGCTACCTCAATTACCTGAAAGACCGGCCCGAGGCAATGCGCATGCTTCTGTTGAGAAACGTGGACGGTACTGCACGGCAACAAACCGGGAGGCTTCTCATACATGCGCTGAAGCACATCAAAGAGAGCCTGCCGGAAGAATACGAAGTTCCAAGCGAGGAGAAAGACATACTTCTTTATGATCTGTCGGTTGCCCGCCCTTGCGCCTTGACTTCAGCGGTGCAGATTTTCAGCAATCTCTGGGAATCATTTCACATCAGCCTACGAGCTTGGCCCGAGCTCTTTGGCACCATGGTTGATTTTGCTTCAATGGGCAAAATCGAGGGCGCTGCACTACTGGAAGAAGACTTCCTCATCAAACTTCTCACAATTATTACTGCAGAGTCTAGTGATCGTGAGCTCGGTCCACAGTACGCTCGGCTCGCTACAACACTCTCGAGGCGGCAGCGAGCACCAAGCTACGATAATATCCTGGCTTTGATCGAAATTCTGATGAAGCTGTTGGACACCGAAATGGAGACTCAACAATTCCTCGAGAATTCGTACGGTCGATTGCAGCTTGCTCTGGATGATGAGTGTGTTCCATGGACCACAGAAGAGGTCAACGAGATTCACAAAGGCTGGGCTAGGAGCACGAGCATATTCGTCGATAAGTTGATACAGATCAACCAGAATCCCCCGGTGACAGAGAGAATTATTGAGCATCTTCTGACTCTGGGTCCTCAGGTGGACCGGAAGATTTTTGGCGTTGTCCAACTTGGTATCACTGATTCTCACTCTCAGCAGCAGCAGACTCCTGTCAGCTCGTATTTGCGGGCAGCTGCTTGGTACGTCCAGCACAGTGCGGACTCGACCCTTGTGCAGCAATTAATCGTGCACGCTGGCCTCCAGTGCAAGTTGCTGGTAGGAATGGAAGGACTGGCTTACTTCTACTTCTTCAAGAAGATTTTTGAAATGCCGAGAAAGACTGAAGAGGATATCAACACAGTCCTGGTCAAGGGTTATCAAGAAGTGCCGAGATGGGTCCCAGGCCTGCTTGGTTACATGGATCGCAACGTGAGCTACCAGGTGGAGCTGTTCCTGGAGGAGACTCTTTGGCGATGGGTCACCGGCCCAGAACTGCTGGAAGATATGGCTGGCATGGAGAGAGCTCATGAGATGATCGCCACAGCAAAGAGACTCGGTGTCGCTTGTCTTTTGTATCTACGCGATACGTATGTTGCCCGTACCGCGCAGGCCCCGAGGGATAGCTTCCAGCCACTGGAGAAGACTGTGAAACGTTGCAACACATTCTTTAGTCCCGAGAATGTCGCCATTGCTGCGGACATGGACCGCCAGTTTCAGGACCTCCTTCCAGGTGAGCATTATGGCTGACCAGAACATAGTGAATACCAACTAACTTGGCGGTTGTAGTCATTGACCAAACCAGACGACTGGTTGTAGACGAGATTGAGGAAGATGTTTCTGGTACGTGGAGCGACTATTCCACGTCTGCTACTATGGACGCAGATGATTCTGAACTGATGTTTTAAAGATTGGGACAACTCGATTGGGTCCTCAGAGCCAATGGATATGGCAGACTTACAACCCACCGGGGATCTGAACGACGTGGATGTTCAGTGATGTACTGAAGGTCATCATGACTCGACGCCAACCAACCAACGGGCGACGATGAACCGCTTCTGACTCTGTTCATCTCATCAACGAATAAAGCATTTCGACGGCGAAGCGAGCACGATCATTTCATACTGCAGGATCAAGGCATAGCACCGGCGTGTGGCGTAAGCGTGGCGTCTTTGGAGGGCAAGAATCATCCATTGCAACCAGACTTGTTTCATCTTTATTCATTTCCTTTTCTTTTGGCGAGCCGCTCCGATGCTTTGCGGAACGGGTCGTGAGTTGTATGAGATACGTCAATGCATAAGGAAACGAAGCCGCCTCGTATGAACCAGAGGTATGACTGCATCATGAGAAGGGGAACAAACTACAGGACTGTCCGATACGCAGTCCAGTCTATTCTCGATAGCATAGATTGTAGTCTTTAATTAGACTTGACGAACCCCAGACGCTCGCCTCCCGCCATGATGTGAAAGAAGATTGATATTCTTAGAGCTCGGCGGCTATATGTGATTGGAAAGGGGTAGTGCATCTGAAAATGAGGCCATCACAGAGGCACGATACCGTTCTTGCTAAAAATAATGTGTTGCGAAGTCCCCCTTGGTTGACTTGGTCGGTGGGTGGCCTTGCCTGGATATCAAGTCCCGAGCGTAGATCCCAACAGCTGAGGTAATCACACGGTGACGGAAGAGGCATGTACACCATCCAGTCGTGATTGGCTACGATATTAAAAGAATACACATGGAGTTCATGGATGCTGGACAAGACACGACGAGGAGAGGCGCTGATTGGCAAGCTGATGATGTATGTTTAAGGTCGGACCCGAAAGAGCCTTGAGCATCCCCCTGTTTACCTGTTCTTCTTAGCCCTGGGTTCAGCGGATCAAGACCGAGCCGAGAAGGTCGACAGAATATGATGGATGGAGAACTCTATTTTGGGTCTGCCAGCGGTGTATGCAACTCTGGTTGAACTCATCACACAACCTACCATCCCGTGCCCGGCCGGGGAAGCGGGTCTATAGCCTGTATATACATGGTCGCAACTGGACCAAGGTCCCACCATCACCTACTGTGAGCAAGCAACGAGCGGTCACGAAGGGCCCAGCCGGCCAGTCGCGTGCGTGCGTCCGTGGGGTTTGGACGTGCTGTCGAGATGGCAGATCTGGATCTGGTGATGCTTCTATTTATTGCCTGCATGCCGGGCTAGGCGCACATAAGCGAGAGCGCTAGGCCTCTTTTGAGCCCTGATCGTCCCAACATGACCCCGGTCCCAGCTACCAAGATGTGATGATGTGCCGCGGGGAGGGCATTCCCTGGTCGATGGAGTCCCATCCGGCAGCTATTTTTGGCCTCTAACCGCCCAGCCCCAGCTGATCCAACAGCGTGCTTGGTGGAGATGGGCACACGTCTGCCCTTCATTTTGCCCCTCAGCTGGTCTCCCTTCTGGTCGCCGGAACCAGCCAGGGGAGCTTCTTAGAGAACGGGAGAATGTGAGGATGTGAGAATGGTCATCTGGGTTTCGCCCGAGATTGGAAGATCTAGTGAGTAGTAGCCTCCCCTGCTATTGCTGCTGCTATACTTGGGGCGATCCGCAAACGGGCCAATTCCTGTCGCTCCCCTATTTCCCCCATCGAGCAGAACCCTGCCAATTACCAATTACGGCCACGACCCTGGAGCACATCACACTTACCTCATCTACCACATGCATCTCATTCCCGAGGGATAACAAAGCATACATCATAGGCCCATCGCTCAAGGAATCTTGAAACGGGGCCATTGGGGCAATTGGAACCGCGCCCAGCCCTCTACGGTTTCTGAGCACATAGACACGTAGCAGGTAGACGGCGACACGTTAGGTTCGTACGAGGTGGTGCTGGCGTTCGTCAACCCCACGGACGCTGGGAGGTTTCAGAGTCGCCAGCTGCGGGAAATGAGGACCGGGGGAAATAGAGTTGTGTGTGTGTGTGCGTGTGTATGTGATGGCTTGGCTTCTATACAGGGAGAAGAGCTAGGTAAGCGGTCGTAGCCGCCCAGGAAAGGCTATTTTTTGTGATCGTGTGTGCGTGGTTGCGTGCGTCGCAACGACACCCCATTCCATTACCGGTACACGCACAGAGAAGACCCCCCCCTTGTCCGTCGGCGTGGGCAAGCAAGTGCAAGGGTCTACGCCTGGGCGTGCTGGCGTGGTACTGCTGGACGCAAGGCCGCCGCCGAGGGCAGCCCACGCGTGCGCCGTTTCCGATGCATCTGATGTATATTGCCCAGATCAGCGCGTCGTTGTTTCAAGTTTCAGGAACCTGCAGCGCGGGCTTCTGAAACAATCCATTTTGGGTAACGCGGGTTTTCTTTTCTGGGCCCTATCCCTATCCCTTGCCTTCCCCCCATCCCTGACACCCCTGCTCTCTGCAACGGTCGCCCGCAGCATGGGATGTGGCCGCGGCCGGCTTCGATATATTTACACTCGTTGCCGGTCCCCGTTTCTTCTGGCTCCTGGGGAGGCTCAGTCAACATACACCATAATAGACTAGATCGTCGAACTTTGCCCTGCGGAAGACTGGACATCCGGTATCGTCTTTGTCTTGGTTCCTATTCTTACTGCCATTCAGAGTTTCGTCTCTTTCGGCATCTTGCATTTGCATCCACTCGGCTTCGACAGTCGTGTCTTCTGTTTTACTGTTTGCGTCTGATACCCACAAGCGTGCATATTCTATTCCAATATCCTACACGAACCATGTCGTCGCTGCTGAAGCAACGGATATCCTCGCCTCTGGAGGCTGGGACATCCATCCTGGACTCGCAGAACCTGCCACCACATCTCACGCAGGCCCTCGAGTACGCCTCCAAGAGGCTGTCTCGGAAGGCACTGCACATCACCCTCGTGGTGATCCGCAAAGAATACCAGATTCCGTCCTCCACAGTGCCTAGTGCAACCCCAACATCGGCCGTCTCCTCTTCGCCAGCATCCCCTGGCTTCGGGGTGGCGTCCTCGGGCCCTCTGTCGCCTTCGCGCTTCACATCGCCTGTAGCTGGGCTCAGGCAACTCGTCCGCCGGGGCACCGGCAGTTCCATCGCCTCCACATCCTCCAGCGTCTCTGAGGCATCTTCCATCCGCAGCGCTGGAGCCTCGCCCACCTTCTCACCTCCACCTTCGGAAGGGTTCAGCAGCCCCCGGCGCTGGCCCATGACACCCTGCACGCCGATGACGCCGCACACACCTTCTTCGACCACGACCAGCACATCGACCTCGTCCAGTGCTTCCTCAGCCCTCGGACCCAACCCCTTCGGGATCCACCTCCTTTACACACACGCTCTGGACGCCCGAGCTGAGAAGACTCTGCGCCACACTATCGCCAAGGCCGAACGCAAGTTCCAGACGGGGACAGGGTTCCTGCCTGCAGCCGCGTCGACAGCCTCGGCTGCCGGGCTTAGCGGAGACTTGGTCAGGCGCTCACTCCAGCAAAACGAAGTGCTCTTCAGTGGTGAGGGCCTGACCCTGCTAGGCCTCGACCGGCTCTACACATTCAAGTCGGCACTGGCAGCGTATGCCCGCACCACACTACCCCCGGGAAGCCTAAACTCTCCTGTGGGTGAGGGGGAGCGAGCCGCCAGGATCGAGGATGCGGTCGATGAGCTCCGGCGGCTGGTCTTGTCAAGGGGCGGGAAACTCCTGGAGAGGCGAGAGCTGTACCGCTGGTATGGCTGGATCGGTGTCAGTGCCGGTGCTCTAGGCGACGTCGAGAAGATGTATCGAAGAGCATACGGGGGCGTAGACCGTATTGGGGCGTTCGAGGATTACACACCTGTCGCGAGTCCCGTGCCTGCCGCTTCGAGTAATGAGACGAAGGCGAGCGAGAAATCAGACAAGAAACAGGACGACTGGCCGCTGAAAGAAACTACCGTGGAGGCCCCGAGGAGCATTTCAGCAGGGATTATCAAGATCGGCACACCACCAGGATCCAAGGGTCCAGCGCTGAAGCTGCAAACCACGTTTGCGAAGCCGGTGGCTCAGAGGCCCGTAATCAAAGAGCCTGTGCAGAAACCGCTAGGCGAAGTCATGGAGCTCGAGATCAAGATCGAGGAGCTCGAGGCCAACGAAGAAGACGACGACCTGACAGCCAAACCTGCACTTCCGGGCATGTCGTTCTGGAACGGACTTGGCGCATCCATCGATGGGATGATGCTGAACGGCCACGACCACCAGCAAGAAGTCATCTCGCCCGTGATCGAAAGGATCTCGCGGACCAGCCGGATGGGGCCGGTCACCCCTAACGGCTATGATGACATTTCACCTGTCACGAGAGGTGAATGGGGCTTTCTGTTCTCGGGTGACGGATGGAAAAGGGGCAAGACAGCCGCGGTGGAGACATGCTGATGCGGAAATTCTTGAGAGGCGGATAGCTCCACACAGTTATATAGATCGATGGGGTGCCACAAGAGCGATCTTGTTATTATTAGCGTAGCATTTACTCGGTGTTTTGTCATTTAGCGTGGTGTTGAATTCAGGATATCCGATATTCTTTCCAAGTCGCTCATAATCCATTGCGTCAGTGATCCCTCCCAAATCCGTGCCAGCGCTAGGTACTCTGCTATGCTCGTGAGACGCAGCATGTAGGTAGGCATTTCATGGCCAACAGCAGTGACACTTGATCACCAGCCATACCTTGACCTAGCTGCGTTCTGGTTGCTCTTGCCCTTGGCGAAGCTCTCCTCGAGGGCATCCTTCTGGTTGTGGACTTGGGTGACCAGCTGCCGCAGACTGTGCTTACCCGGCGCAATGGCCCGCACAGGGTTGTAGATCTGCTGCTCGCCCGAGGCGCGGAGCTCCTCGTTGTGGGCGTATTCCTGGTCCGTGTTGAAGTTGATGACCTTGGTGGCAGACTGCGAGGGCGCGGGAGCACCACGACGGCCGAACAACTCTCGCCGCGCCGCAGCGGACAGGTTCATGTCTGATGCTATCGTGTCTAGCGACTCGGCCTTGGAGGCGCCGGCGGCGGGCTGACTGTATGCACTGGAGTTCTGCGCGTCGTATGCGGAGAAATCCTCAGGGACGCCTGGCGCATCCTCCATAAACATGGGCTCATAGGCACCCGAGTTCGGCGTAGTGTCCGACGCGGCGTCGGCATCAGTCTCAGCGGATATGGAGAAGAGAGAGACCTTCTTCTTCTTGGCTGGCGGCGGTTCATTCTTAAGTTGCTGTTCGGGTATTGTAGACGCGGTTGGAAATGCGCTTGGTGTTGTTGCCACATTCTTGGTTGCTTTCCCTGCTGTGTTTGCGGCCTTCTTGGGCTTTCTTGATACGGATAGCGGCCTGAACATCAACGGCTTCCCAACAAGCTTGACTTCCTCGGCCGGCTTCTGTCCCTCGGGTATGGAGGGCTGCTTGGATGCAGACTCCCCGTCTTCTGTATAACCGTCGTCCCCATTGCTCCTGCTGAAACCAGGAGCCGCGCCGGTCTTAAGATTCACGCCCACACGAGGCGGCGCGCTCTTTCCGACGCTTGCACTGGCTCCGCCTGCGCTGCTGGCCGCTGCGGGCTTGCTCGGGTTTTTGGGTGGCGGGAGCAGGGAGGCAAATCCACCGAATGCGCCGCCGCCGGTCCTGGCGCGCTTCGCAGGCGGCTCGTCGCCCTTCTCTCGAGGCTTCTGATCATCATGTCCACCAGCGCCCGACAGGCTCACGACGATCCTGCGCGGGTTGGAGCGGTCGACTACTCTCTGGATGGGTTTCTTCGCTGTCGCAGACGCCGGCGCTGGCGCTGGCTTCGGGGGAGGTTGGACGACGGCCTCTGAATCGGATTCCGAGTCGGAGTAGTCTACCAAGGCCATCTTGGTTGCTTCAGCTGCCGTTGTTGTTACCGTGGACCTTAGTAGCCGGGAATCTTCGCTTTGCGGTCGTGAATAGCTCGTCGAGATCAGGCAATGTCAAGCGTTGAGGTGAAGGAAGCAGACAGGGTATTACGTAGTGGTTGCTTGTCTGTCCAGCAGATTTGTTGGAGCTCCTCTATGGACAGCACCCGACGTCAGTTAGGTAGAAACTTTGGCTGGTCTAGGCGCCATAAGTCGCGACGCGGTTCCGCTGTATGAGCGCCTAGGCAGGCTGGGCTGCTGGGGTTCTCCCCCACAGGGTCCCCCCTAACCCCTCAGCCAGAGCCCACTGATAACGATAAAGGAGTTGCCGTACTGAACGCCAGTTGGTCTGAAGTCGCGGCGCCTGTTTCACGATAAGATACCTACGAACTATACCGAGCTGCTTGTTGGCCGATCGCTGTACTGTACATCAGCATTTATTGAGAGTCACTCATTCGCCTGTGTTCCGCGCAACAAAGGGACCAGGCCTCCCAGTGTCTATTACCCGGCACCGGCGATTGACGCAGGTCATGGGCATGTGTCCCTGGCGTCCCGTAGCGTCCTGGATTACTCTTCGCTGAGCAGTGCGCCGCAGCGCGATAGCCTCCCTCCTTCCCGGTGCCATCGCTACATTGCGGCAAGGCTGCTTCCGGGGTTGGACGGCTTCCAAGGCTGGACCGAGCCGTTCATCGTGTCCTCGGCGGGCATCGACGTGTCCCAATCCCTTTGGGCATCCCCTCCGCTGGTCCGAGTCAATGCTCTCGCTGTAACCCAACATGTCACTCATTCAGGTGGAAGAGTATGTCTCCCGACATGGCCAAGCAACTTCGTTATGCTGATCAGAACCTCCTTCCAGTCTTGTCTCGTACCAATTGCGCACCAGCTACCTCAGCGAGGTCGCTGATGGCGTTGGAGAGCGCTTGATCACCTTGAACGACAGCTTCCTCAACACTGCCCCCTTCAAGGCCGCTGGCTGGCGCCCAAATCCTGCCATTATCAAACGCACCCATTCGCCTCCCATACCGACCGCCATAGCCTCCGAATACTTCCAGGCTGCACCTCGGTCCGTCGGCCTAACGCTCGAGGATGATGTGGAGGAAGGCGGCATGCTGACCGGCGCTGGAGGGGAGACCCCAGGGCCCGGCATTGCAACGAGGCGGCGGCGGGAGAGGCGGCGTGAGCAATTAGAGGAAGACGACAGCAGCGATCTCAGCGATGAAAGCGACGAGGATGCCGATCAGAGGGCTGCCCAGCAGATAAGATTCGCCAAGATGCCCGTCAGGAACCGATCTGGCTCCTCGCCCATCCAGAACTCCACACTACGCCAGACTCCCACCACGTCCTCCCCCAGGGCTGCCCCCGGTGCCAGGAGAGGCTCGCAATCTGCGTTGGAAACGGTCAAGGAGAGAGCCAGAAGGGACACCGTCACAAGCAGCGAAGTATCCTCAGACAATGAGGTGGAGGGGTCCGGTATTCGCCGGCACAGAGAGGCTGCGAGAGCTGCGGCAAAGACAGCCAAACTACACGCCAGAATTGCCGAGGAGCCAACTCAAGGTGTCAACAGGGTGCAGAGCGATCTCCTTGCTGAGGAGGAGGAAGACGACTCGGATCTCTCTGACGCTTCGTCCTTCGTGGAGAGCGTAGATTCGGCTTCCATCCTTGCCGATGTAGAGAATCCAGCTGTACCTGCCTCCCCTGGCCAGCAGGTGGTCGGTACACCACCGAAACAGCTCCTACGACAGTCCACTATACGCAGACCCCCGACAGCACCCCAGTCATCACTCCTTCAGGCGCTGCCTCCACCCAGACCCATGAGTACTATCCGGCCATTGAGCATGATACAACCTAGAAGTCTGTTGTCGGACGCATTCAAGGCCAAGCAGACTAAGCCCGCTATGCCCTTTGAGAAGTTTGCTTCTCTTTCTGGCCAGGGCGACCCTGACCCGCTGTCGATACGGATCTATGCCCCCTTTTCCAAGACGTCATCTAAACCCTTCGAAGTTTTGATACGAAAAAACATCCAAGAGAAAGATGGCAGTAGCACTCTTAGACCCGTCACTGTAGCCGAGCTGATCGGTCTGAGTCTTTGGCGATATCATGAAGAAAAGCTGGAGCCCCCTATTCCGAACGACAAGCTCAACGTCAATTGGTGGACCTTGAGGATGGTCGATGGCGATGAGGTTGACGATGACTTTCCGCCCTTGGAACGGAAGAAGCCGGTCAACTCCTTCACCACAGCCAACAACAGGGCTGCAAGATCGCGCTCAGCTTCCAAGACATATGATGACTTTGGCTTAGTTCAAGCATCTGCTAGCGGGTTTGAAGAGAACCAAAAGCTCACGCCACAGTTCGACCAGCAGGAGGTCGCCGAAGAGACAACAGCAGAGGTCACACCCACTGACACGCCTCAACCACAACTGCCTCTTCCAACCCCGCCAGCGAGGCCACGAGGAAACCCTATCACGAACACCACATTCCGCTCAGATGCGCCCGCAGATAAACCAGCTGCTCCTGCTCCTGCTCCCCAGTCTGTCAGTCGCGGACAACGGAAGCTCTTGCGGGTCCATATCATGTCAGCGGATGTGGCCCCCGGACAGATGGTCACTGTGGACGTCACTACAGATATGTACCTTGCCGAGGTGCTCGACATGGTCTGCAAGAAGCGGCAAATCGACAAAAATACGCACGTCCTCAAGCTTCCGGGGTCTGGGTCCGTCGTCTTCGTGGACCGTGCCGTCTCTTCCATCGGCAACATGACCGACCTGGAGCTGCACCGCCGGCGCTTCGCCACCGACGGCCCCCTGACCATCACCGGCTCGCCCATCGGGTCCTCCCCCAAGGCACACGTGTGGGACAGCAACCCGGCGCCGGCCAAGAAGAAGAAGGACAAGGGCGCGGCGCCCCACCCGCTGGCCCAGGAGGCCGTCAAGCTCGACGAGGCCGGCAGCAGCGACGTCAGCCTCAAGCGCTACGTGGTCTGGAAGAAGCAGACCATGCGCTTCGTCGGCAACGAGCGCCTGCTGACCATCGACGGCGAGTACGTCTACATCCAGCCGTCGTCGGGCGGCAAGCCGACGCGCGAGAGCGGCAAGACCTCGAGCGTGCACTTCAGCAACATCCTGGGTGCGAGCCTGTCCAGGAAGCACCCGGGCACTTTCAAGGTAAGTTTACTGCTGCTCCTCTCCTTGCTCGCGTCGTGAACCTTGGCCACCGTATTGCAACGGATGATCGGTGGAAATCTATGCGCAAGGTGTGAAAACAAAATCCAAATGCTAACGTTGCCCCGCTCGTAGTTCTATATCTTCAAGGACAACGCCACCAAGAGGACCGATTATGAGACGAAGACCCCTCAGGAGGCGGCCGAGATCGTGCAGGAGATCAAGAAGGGGGTTGCGCCGTACGCTACAAGTTAGGAGACTGAAGCAGATCGGTTGCGACAACGCTTGCTCGCAGACGACTGGGGGCTGGAATGATAGGCTGTGTATAATATGGGCAGGCGCACTCATGCCCAGCCACGGTATGTTGTTTACCTCACTCACCTGGCGTCAAGGCCTCGGTACCCAGGATGGGAAATGGAGGACGTACTTGACCGTCATTTTGGATAGTTTAAATTTTGGCTCCATGATGGTCATGGCATGGCCTGCCAAGCTGCAGGTATCAAGTATCCAGCCGATAGGACGTACAGAAGACGGGAAATGACAACAAAGCGAAACAATATTTTCAAACTCGAAGACGTGGAATTATCAGAGTGGTCAAGGCTGTTCATTACTTCCTTATGACTGACGATACCATCCTAGTATGCAATCCATTACCGGGGGAAGAGTTCCTGACCTTTGGGTCGCCGTGTCATCCTCGACTAATCCATGAAAAAGAGGTAGAAGTACAGTGTTCCTTCACCTGCCAAAACCATATCAAAACCCCGCCTTCCCCGTTTCTGCTTCCCTTCGCAACTATCCGCTTAGATGATCAAGGCGAGGGCGCCACCAAGAAGGGCGAGGCCGACGGCACCTGTTGCGTGGGCAGCACCGGCGGTGGGGCTGGGAGGGGCCTCGGTCGAGGATGCCGGGGGCTGCGACTCGGTGTCAGTGCTGGAAGGTCCGCTGGACGTGCCGCTGACGGTGGTGGTCGAGCCCGAGTGGCTGACAGTGGTACCCGTGCCCGTGCCAGTCGTGCCAGAAGGGTGGGCGCCAGGGGTCGTGGTGGTGGTAGTAGAGACGGCAGGCGGGGTGCCTGAGCCCGAACCACCGTTGCCGCCACCGCTGGGAGTGGGAGCGCCAGGAGGTGTGGCGATGCTAGTCTGAGTGGTGACGGGAGGGACGCCAGCGGGGATAGTGCCGGTGCCGGTGCTGGTGTCGGTGCAGGAGGACGAGGTGGTCGCAGCCGGGGGTACGCCGGCGGCGGTGGGCGAGGTCAGAGTGGTGGTGCCCGAGACAACAGTGACGGTCTGGGTGCAGCTGCAACTCTGGTCGAAGACTGCCTTGACGACGACGTCGTTGTCGGCCTTGGGCGCGGCGACGGCGGTCTATGGGAAGAGGAGGGGAAATGTCAGCTCGCGAACAGCAAACGGAGAAGGAGGGAGGGCAGTCTGTCACATATGACCGACGGCGAGACGGATGCTTGCTTGAACGAGTCCGAAGGTTCGACGAGGAGGAAGCAGGAAAAACACTTACCATGCCAACGGTCGCGGTGGCGAGGACGAGGAGGGTCTTGATGAACTGCATCGTGACGACTGTTTGCGTAGTGGATGTTGCGCGCGTGGGGTATCGACAAAGAGAAGAAGGGAGGTTGAGAGGTTCTCGATGGGGATGTTCGTTCAGTCTGCACGAAGAATACAGGGGATTCAAGGATGCCGACGGTAGGAATGAGGCAAGGACGACGATGGAGAGGTTTTGGTCCAGCGGTCTTGAGCTTGGTGTTGGGGAGGGGAAACGGTGGATGGGTGTTTGCAGGTTGGCGTCGAGGAGTGAAATAAAAAATAAAAAAATAAAAAAAATCCGGGGACGCGGTTGGGGTGATTTTGAGCAATGGGGACAATCGGGATCAGCAGCAACCAGGCAACGGGGCCGGACTGATCTGGGTCAAAAATGGAATACACAATCGAAATGATGGCAGTTTCCCGTTTGCTTATCCAACCCTGATAGAGTACTAGAGTACCTATGTACCTGAGCTGGAGGTCATCCAGGTTCACTTCACTGCTTGTCCCGCCCCGTCACTGAGGAGACTTGCATACATTCACTTTCCCCCCCAAGGCAACGAGCCTCCACGGCCGGTTGTGGTCCGCCATCGCTCTCGCTTGTACGTAGCTATCCGTTGAGGACCTGTTTGCCCCTCGCTCGGCGAATGCGCCGTTTCGTATGGAGAACGTCCGGTTGTACGGAGCTCGATGTCGTTACTACACCTCGTCCAACGGGTGCCACCTCGTCTCTTAGATCTCGCTCCATGATGGTGATGGGAGAGTAGCAGTGATATGTAGTCGCGAATTATCTGACAACACCACCGGCTGTCGAGCGGTTCTCATGATTTTCCCCGCCTGGCAATCTAAACAATTACCCGTGGTGTTCTCATCTCTACCCATCTACAGTCCTGTGTATTATCGTTGAGTGTCAGCAGGGCATAAATACCAGAACATCCAGCAAGGTAACAATGCGATGAAATGCTCTGCCACTACCGGGCTTGGTGCGTTTCAACATCGACGGGCTGGCAGCACCATGATAATGGATCGATATCGTAGGCTTTGATGACAGCAATGAAATCAGGGTATCCTCCGTTGATAGGGCAGGTTTCTGAATCGCTCCGTTACGCCTCCGGAAGCAGACTGGTGTGCAAACCGATGGCATACCAGACGGGCCGATGCATCGTCTCCTGGTGCGACGGCAAGCCAAATTCTGTGCTTCAGATCTTTAGCCTGCCAGCTTGTCAATTCAAGCACCTGAAGAAGCAGTGTCGACACGAGCCCATAAACTCGAGGCCTCGTCAAGTCCAATGATGACTTCTCATGTGTGCAACTTACCCCTACCCAGCATCAGGCCTGACTGGCGTGCTCTAAATAAGAAAAGTTGAACACGATAACTATCATATTTCCGTCGCTGTTAAAGAAACTGTGCTCTCTTTCCTGGCTCATACCGATACTCACTGAATTTGCCAAGCTATGACAATAGCATGATGCCTTGAGTCACGACGCCAAGAGGCGATACGGACGCGAGAGTAACTATGAGCTTATGTTTAAAATAGGGTGCAGAAGTCATCTCGGACCTGGCGTGTGGTCGATTGGATTAGACATTCAAACAATCATCTTTCAGTCACTGTTTTCTCGAATCGTCTATAATTCTCGAACATTTTTGTGCAATTCTTCTTTTTTCATGTGTTGGGAGCTTACCATGACACTGGTTCGCTCATGGCACTGTTTTGATCAACTCGTACTTACACGACCCAGCTTCATGATTCTGAGGGGAAAATCAGTCCAACCTCATTCTCACCGGCCAGGGGCTTTTAATATTGAGCTCTATCATGGACATTGTTGCCTTTTGCCCAAAACTTCACGTACAATATCAGACCTCACGTGAATGTGTACTACTGTTTCTTACCCTTGAAGATTCAACAAGGCTGAGCCTCCTAGGTGACGACGGGACGCGCGTTCGCCTGCATGAAATGACTGCTAAACGGCCAGCCTACCACCAACAGGGTCATACAATGCCTGCTTGATCTGATTTGCTTGGTGACATTCGAGGCAGAAGGTCAGCCTATATTTAGGCGTCCGCCTGCTTGGACGCACGCCAGAGGCCAAATTGTACACGGCCTTCAGCCGCCTCGAGGCTTCTCAGTTCTCATGATGTGAGCACGGTAAGCTTCTAGGGTGAACATTCAGCCCGAAGGAGTACTAGAACACTGTCGGCATTAGGCCGACGTCGGGTTGGCTTCTCAATCTAAAAGATGACTTATGCGTTGGCGCCAGCTCATTTGGCTGTCATGAGTTGTTTGATCATATCATTGGACAAATCGTGCTTTCAGGGGGGTGAGCATGCTGCTAAGAAAGGCGTGCTATAACACAAATGTAATATGACTGCCGGAGAATCCTGAAGTCCTTACAAAAGCTGATAATGAAGACTATCGAAGAGGCATCTTAGAATATGCACCTAATACTGATTCCTGTGAAGGTGAAGAGGGTGCAAAATCAGCTTAGACAAGGTGTTTCCCTCAAATCAGTGAATTACAAGGGCAGGATAGTCCCGACCGCACTTGTACTCATGAGATGCTATACCGTATATCGCATGCGCCGTTGGCGTCGTAGTTGTGCCCAAGGGTTACCGGGCTTCGCTATGATACTGGCGCCTTTCACGAAGGCACGGTCGCATGATTGTAAACGTTGCACCAACCCATAAAGGTGGAGGTCAAGAGGCTTTGCCAGTTCGGAGAATTTTCGAGCAAGGCTAGAGGTGCATCTTATTTTGCTGACGCCTCGAGTCGCTGATGCATCAAGCAACTCGGCCAACAACTGGGTAGCTGGATTGTAGGGCTGTGCTGGAAACAAACTCACCCGGCCGGCTGGCCGCACAGCCCTACCAACCATAAGCAGGAAGGAAGTAGGGCCAACCAATCCCAGCGCTTGTTTTTACAGAGAAGCTCACATTAGCGCGAGGATCACTCTCGGTAGTCTACCGGTCGGCTGGGTCAACGGCCGGATGGTGAGGGCGCCGGGCGAGAGGCGCAGTTAGGCTCGCACTATTTCGCTTTCCCAAAATGGGTCTCAATTCTCGGCCCGGGTGTTAGTCGACCGGCACTTTGGCGCAGCAGGATTGGCATCTATTTCGAGACGCGGAACAAACAAAGTCGAGAAACATCACAAAAATGAAGCTGACGCCAACATCGTGAGGCCTGTCACTGGCCATGGAGCGGGATATGTATATAAGCCTGCGATGTCTTCGTTTCAAAGGGAGTCTTTCAATATCGAGCAATTATCATCAACCTCATCATCACAATAACAGCCCAGATCAATAGACTCTCTGGTTTTCTGCTTTCACTATCTCTTAAAATCCACTTAGACCTCCTTTCCAAGCACTCGAGTTAAAAATGTTCACCACCGTAGCAGCCGCTCTTCTCCTCGCTGTCAGCATCACCGCTGCTCCTACTGCCACTACCGGCTCCAATATCCCAGCACGCACACTTCCACGAACCGGTGTCACTCACACCATCGCCGCGGGGAGAGGAGCTCTCTCGTTCGAGCCTGCAAATGTCGTTGCGCAAAAAGGAGAGGTGATCGAGTGGCATTTCGCTCCTAAGAACCACTCCGTGGCCCAGTCCTCCTTCGGCAACCCCTGCAACCCCCTCGAGGACGGTACTGGTTTCTTCGCGGGCTTCAACTTCCGCACCGACAACGTCCAGGCCGACAACGTCTTTCAGCTCGTCATCGAAGATCCCACCAAGCCAATCTGGTATTACTGCCCCCAGACGGAAGGTGATCATTGCCAGAAGGGCATGGTTGGTAAGTCAAGCTATGACCGCAATCTTCGTTTCCATCCACTAACTTGACCCTCCTCGCTAGGCGTCATCAACCAGAACTTCAACTCCAACGACGCAACTCTGGCCAAGTACAGGGCAAAGGCAGCCGAATCTGGCCACAGCGTTGTTCCAAGTGTTGAGCAAGGCGGCAAGGTCATTCCTGTCCCTGACCCTCTTGCTGGGTTCTAAGCCGAGACTGGGCTATCAGAGAGCTTTTCCCGGTGCTCGAAGGGAGCTTTGAGGCGAAGCTTGGTTTTGTTTTTGAATGCATAGCGGTACAGCTTCGACTGTGTCTGCATTGGGCGGCGTTATTTGATATTTGAGCGATGCATGCAAATTCTCATCATCAGGAGTCGAAGGGGAAACTTATCAACCGATTTACTAAAACGGCGAGGCAAAGGCCAATCAGAGTTGACTAATTCTCCTTCCATACCCGGAGGAAGTCTGTTCCCTTCCTTCATAGACCATAGACCATAGACCCTCCTTCCTAGCACCAATTACTATGATTCCCAAGACCCACATGTCGGAATAACAGTGCCCTGTCCGATGCAAACTTTCCTTGACTGCGGGCTTTGCTGCCTTGACCAACATGCGAATCAGGCCAAGAGAAAGCTCTACCTCGAACAGCACAACCGCAGTAAACACTAGATGGTTCAGTTTGGTAGCGTCATGACAGTCTCAACAGAGACATACACTTCTTGCCTAGAGAGGGCTTCTAAGAACACTTTGGGAGTACTCTCACGAATGAGCCCTCCACTTTGAGTTTAGCGACAAGTACATCGTACTTATGATTCTACGTTGGCCAACATACTGGCACTGTGGCTTTGTCAAGATGTCATGAGTTCAAAACTGTTGCACAATGAGCATGGCCTATCCATGTAACAACAGCTTTTGTGTTACGTACGAGAACTTATCCTCGACTATGCACTGATAATCACCCAAACTGAGCAGGGTAAATATACTACCTCTGTGTGCTGGTAGTACTGTCACGAACGAAGGGCGGGTTGGCTCCTGCATCGCTCAGCATGGCTGCCTTTACGTGTTGGATGGCTAGCAAATTTCGGGACGCTGGATGCCCGGAGGCGAAGTATAGTTATGTGTTCTTGAAGATGGAGCATCCCAACTTGCAAGAGACCGAGTCATACAGCCGTGAACTTCGCCGTATTAAAGGTAGCGCTGCTTGTCTGCCTGAGCACCTGCAACGAGGCTCCACTCACAACGACAGGGGCTCTACTGCCACCTGGAGGTCTGCCAAGACATCAGATCAGCCCACTGATGTTTTCGATTGTCCGGGAATAACCAAGGAAACACCCTCGCCTGGTCTTCCTGCTCAAAGCGATGGGTCGATGGATCTTGTCTTTGAAGCAGGTGTGACACTCGCAAGGGGATTTTCGACCAAGCTGTCGAGGACTCCGTGTGAGCATATTTGCTTTGAAAAACATCCACGCCTTTGGAGTGATTTGCGCCATTATGTAGGACCTTGTGTTCTTATACTTGAGTTTGAGAGGTGCAGATTATACCCTGAGTTTACCAACGACAGCAACCATCGCTGAAAAAAGCATAGTAATAGCGGTGCCGAGCAGCACTCAAAAAATAGAGTTAAGCGCCAGCCCTCTGCATACGAGCCTCAATGGGGCCACAACGACCCTGTAGTTGTCGCGGGCCGGTGGATCTCGGTAGATTCCCCCAACTTCATGACCCCCGTCCCCACCGAATGGGTCTCCACCACTGCAGCGGCTCTAACGGGAGGTGTAGCAGATGATCGTCGCAGATGATTTTCGCAACCCCCTGGGTGGATCCGATGTTTGGTAGGCCGGTTGACTTGTCTGATGGGAGGGATGAAGTCAATGTCAAGATGGGTCTCGATATAAGAGTTTGAGAACTGCAGGAAGCATGTGTGCTCTTGGGGTGCTGCCATCTGCCACTCGTCTTCATTTCTGTATACAGCAGCCGGTCTGGTTCTGTTTTCCTTTACCATTCTCCTTCTTTTCGCCTGTATAGTTCGTTTCTTCGTCGTGCTGTGCACAAGTTTTAACCCTACTTCATTCTACTCATCTTATAGAAATAAAAAATGCCTTCGCTTTACCGGGCTTGCCTCGCCGTGCCCGCCTTCTTGGCTCTTGCTCACGCACAAGCTGTCATCGTTTCTGCAAAGGGTGACAAGGGAACGAGTCTGCCGCTTCAGGGTATGTTGTTCTCAAAGAATATCACCAAAGAATCCCATTCCTAACATTTACGACAGTCGACACTACCAAGTCCGACGCCAATGTAATAAATACACAAGAGATTACCGACAATGTGGTCAACGAGTGCGGGAGGACCTTGCTCGCGGGTAACATTGACATTGGAGAGCAGACAGAGATCCAGCTCTCCAACAAGACCGTGACTCAGGTTACCAAAGGCAGCAAAGTGGCAGTCACAATCAACCAACTGACCGCCGATGGTGCCGGTCCATTTACATGCGACATGGATCAGGCCAGCAATATCCAAGGTGCTACGGGTCAGACTCCTCTGGATGTCACCGAGAAGGATGCCGGAAACGGAGTCACACAGCTGACTGTGACCATGCCACAAGACATGACATGCATCGGTGGTAAGTACAACCGGTTTTACACCATTATGACATCCCCCGGCTGCTCTTGAGTAGGGTGGTCCAGCTATGCAAGACCTCACTAACTCGTTCGTCAGCTTCGACCGGCAATGTATGCACAGTCAGATGCTTCAACGCAGCAAAGGCTGGTCCGTTCGGCGGCTGCTTCGCAGTACAACAGACAGACGTTACTCCAAACCAGAACACGCCGCAGAACATTGCTACGGCCCAGACACTCCAGGGAATCACGGCCCAGGTCCTCCAGAACCAAAAGGACCTCGGAGTCGCCGTCAAGGCCAACGCAGACGCACCAACACAGGCTGACCAGGGCGTTCTCGCCGTGGATGAACTCCTGAACACCGACTCGAAGGCTCAGGCCACCGCAGGCGCTGCTAATGCGGTGGCGACGGGCGGTGCCACCACTGGCAATGGCAACAACAATGGAAATGGTCGTGGCAACCGTGGCAAGGGCAATGGCCGTGGAAATGCCGGTAATGCCAATGGCAATGCTGGCAATGCCAATGCTAACACCGGCAACGCTGGCAATGCCAACGCTAACACTGGCAACGCTGGTAATGCGAATGCTAATACTGGCAACGCTGGTAATGCCAATGGAAATGCTAACGGAAACGCCAATGGTAACGCCCGTGGAAATGCCAATGGTAACGCAAACGCCAATGGTAATGCCAATGGCAATGCTAACGCCAACGGTAATGCCAACGCCCAGACAGGCAGAAATGGCCAGAACAAGAATGCAAGAGCCTTTGCTGCTTAAGCGAGATGTTGCTGTCCTGGACTGGAAGACCATGCCGACTGGAAAGGACTACTCCTTGACATCCCTGCCAGGGCTTCCAAGCCAAGTTGTATATCGACCGGTTCATTACATAAATAGCTAGTAAACTTATAACGAAAAGAGATATGGCATATCAATAGGGGCATTCCCAGTGACCACTTCCTATACCATGTCGGCTGTGATTAGCTTGTTTCATATTGTACGATGAGACAGCACCTCTGATCAGAGATTCATCCGTTTGGACTCACTGATGCTGCTTGACTCCGTACATTGACAGAGCTAATGGTCCCGTCAGCCAACATCATACCAGGATGATTCCTTCGTGAAAGCCAGGCAGAGCTGAGGCTTCACAAACGATGTTACTACGACCACACGAATATATGCTGGTCGAATTCTCCTCAAATCCCTTATCATCCGAGATCAATTGACTGAGTGGTCACACTTCACGTGGGAGGTAGTCCCAGTGATAGAAAATGTGTAACTTATTCATATGCTGTCTATATGCTTCCTCTAGACGAAACATGTAATCGTCCAGTATGTCCAAGTCTAAGCCTTCAGAGCGCCAACGAGTTATCCACTATATTGCATTATGCGTCCTCACTCAATCGCAATATCTTAACCGCGTTGCCCCCCATCACAGCCTTGGTGCCTTCACTCCCCTCGCCGAGCGCCTTTTCAACGGCTGTCTTATTCCACGTCATGCTCTCCCATTCTCCCTGCTCGTCGCTCGTCAGGGGCGGGAAGAAGGGGTGATCAGTACCAAACATCAACCTGTCGACACCGCTGGCGTCAATGGCGGCCTTGAGTCCGACCTCTGAATAGATCACCGCATCGAGGTAGATCTGCTCCTTCAGTACCTGCCACACTGTACGTCGGCCGGAGCCGACCTTGCCCTCCCGCACCAGGTGGCCATCGTGTACGATGCAGCTCTCAATACGTCCCGCGAGAAACGGCAGTGTGCCACCACTGTGCGCGAGCAGCATCCGAAGATCTGGCACCTCGTCGAACACTCCCGCAAGGTACATCCGTGCCACGGCAATGGTGGTCTCGAGAGGGAACCCAAGAGCCAGGGGCAGAACATGACCGTACTCGGCCGTAGCCCGCGGGCCCCAGACCTCGCTTGGCAGACCGTAGTGCGGGTGCAGGAAGATCGTCAACCCATTCTTTGCCAGCGCCTTGAACACCGGGATCAGCTCTGGGTCGTCGAGGCCCTTGCCCAGCCCCGAAGTCCCCAGGATCACGCCCCGGCAGTGCTTGAGCCCCTTGACGAAATCTATGGCGGATAGGAGCTCTCCTTGAGGTGCCGTCAGCGGCAGCGTTGCGAAGAAGTACAGCCGTCCCGGCTGCGAGGCGCACATGCTCTCGAACTCCTCGTTAACGCTCACAGCTGTCGAGGCAGCCTCGGAGGTGGCAACGAAGTCAAGCCAGGGGTTGGCGAGGGAGATGACCGAGATGTCGATCCTGTGCGTGTCCATGAAGTGGATTTTCTGCTGCAGCGAAGAGTAGTGGCTTGTCACCGGCCGGCCGGGCAGCGGTGCGCCATCCTCCCCGGCCTTGTCCAGCGACTCGGCCTCGGCAGGCAGGATGATATACCGCGGGTCTTTGGCACCGGCGAACCGCCTGATCAAAGGAATATCCGAGCGGTTTTCTAGGATCTTCACGTACTCTGGCGGGTACATGTGCGTGTGTATGTCCACCACGGGAAAGGGGTTGGAAGTCATCTTGAAGGAGTGTATTGCCTTGAAAGGGGCTAAAGGGTGGATGAATGTGGTAAGAGATGCCCGATTGTATATATCCGTGTCTCACGATAGCATCCACTCGGTCTCTACAGAGCATCGATCAGTTGATGTATGGAGGAGGAAGGTGTGTTTCAAGTGGTCTCGATGAATTCGTGGGGCTGCTGTAGTGCCAAGAGGGGGGTCATTGACTAAGTTGGGAAGTATACGCACCCGCTAGCCTAGTGACCACACTAGAGAAGATGAACAAGGTAGGCTGGTAGGATCTTGGTAGTTATCTTAGCAGTGGAAGTGAGCTTAGGATTCTGAAGAAGAGCACACTCCAAGATACTCCTGCTGTGAAGTTCTCGTGACGATCACCGGCGGTTATCGTATCTCGACCGGACCTAGCCGTCGGAGCCTAGACCCCACATTGGCCGTGAAGCTAAGACAGCTTATCTAGCGGGGTATTATTCGTTCGGTTTATTAACACTGTTGACTGCACTTTTGAGGTGGAATACTACTTGATGCACAAGAGTGTTTTAAAATTGAATTAAGGCCTGCCAGCCAGTACATTCTGGCTCCGTCGCACGAGACTCGCATTTCAGATCCGAGCTTGCGAGCAAGAGCGAACCTCAGTAGGTATCCCAAAAAACCGTCGTGTATAAGTCAAGGAGCGTTGAAAACCAGACGTCGTATCTCTTACTCGACGACAGACTTCGTGATACTCGTTCAAACACCTGACGTATTTGGACGCCCCGACGCTCATCACAGTAAAGATGGAAAAAGCAGCAGTTGAAAATGAGGGTCTCATGATCCCGGTACCTATACTCCTCCATTCGACGACGTCCGCGAGGTACTAAGTTTGAGCAGCTCATTGACTTTTCGGTGTTTCTGAATGGAAACCCAGAGGAGAGAAAGGAGACTGCCAATGCTGTCCTCCATGGCTTTCAAACTGCGGGTTTTATCTACCTGAAGGGTCTGCCATTCTCATCAGACTACCGCCAGCATATCTTCAACACTTCCGCCAAGTACTTTCGGCTGCCTGTAGACACGAAGATGTCACACTGCTGGACGACCCCGGCGGCAAACCGCGGCTACTCGGCGCCTGGTCGTGAGAAGACAACGGAGCTTACCAACATTGAGGATATCAAGAAACTACGCGAGGGCAACCCAGACTTGAAGGAGTCTCTAGAGATTGGCCGTGAGGGGGTCCCGGATCACCCAAATCACTGGCCAGAGGAAAAGGGCGAACTGGAGGGGTTCAAATCCATCATGACAAAGTTCCACGATCAGTGCAAGGAGCTGCATATGGAAGTCATGCGCGCCATTGCGGTAGGCATGGGTTTAGACGAGACCTTTTTTGACACCTTCACGGACGAGGGCGACAACACTCTGCGCCTCCTGCATTACCCCGAGGTGCGCAAGGATGTTTTCACGATCAACCCAGGACAGGTTCGCGCTGGTGCCCACAGCGATTATGGCAGCATCACGCTGCTCTTCCAAGATATGCGGGGCGGGCTACAGGTCAAGAGCCCGAATGGGACGTTTGTAGACGCCACGCCGATCCAGGACACATGCGTGGTGAACGCAGGTGACCTCCTTGCGAGATGGAGCAATGACACAATCAAGAGTACTATTCACCGCGTCGTCGAACCGCCAAGCGGTGATGGACCGGTGCATCCGGCCAGATACAGCATTGCGTAAGTTGAAGCTTTTTTTATCCACGTCAAGAGTGTTGCAAGCACTGGCTAACCTTGGGTGCACAGATACTTCTGCAATCCCAACTTCAAGAGCCACATCGAGGCGATCCCGGGAACCTTCTCAGGAGAGAGCGAGAAGAAATACCCAGGTATCAACAGCGGAGACTACCTGGTTCAGAGACTGGCTGCGACTTACTAGATAAAAAATCGTTCCTTCATGTAGAGAGGAAGATACGAGAAATTGGCGGCGAACCTTGGTGACGAGAATGTATGATGTGATGATGGTGTTGGTAGAATTATGACTAGACGACAATGCTATACGCAAGAATCCAAACGTTGACCAATGAAACTGAATTATGCAAACCGGAAGAACCATATCCAAGGATGCCGTTTTGACTTAATTGACTTGCAACTTGAGAAACAGTTATGGTGGACAGAACGCTCAAGAGTTGATGCTACATCGACGGATGGCAGTGGTCGTGCCTCCGTCAGTGGAAGCTGGGGTAACTCGTGAAGTGCCTGAAGCGGAGCCCTTCGGCTGGTGTCCCACTAACATAGCCCCCCGCCATGCACGTCACTGCTGACCGGCGGCTCAGCTGCATAATGCCATCTATCCCATAACTCTCACGCTATGCCTGGTGCTAGACACTGAGCGGCAGGCATTGTCGCATTCTCGAATCTCGTCGATACTACTTCTTCTCCTTCAAGTCGATGGATCGCCTTCCCTGCCCAAGATGAAGAAAACGCTTCTCCTCACGTACATCCACGGCTTCAAAGGCGGCGAGGACACCTTTGGCACCACGGGCGACTTCGCCGAGCACCTGGCCGCCCTGGTCGGCGCCGAGCTGCCCAAGGTGCAGATCCGTACCCTCGTGTACCCCAAATATGAGACGCGCGGCGACCTCACCGAGTGCGTCGCCCGCTTCCGCGACTGGTTGTTGGAGAAAGTCATCGACCTCGAGGTGGCCGCCGGCACCCCGAGCCCCACCGTCGACCCCAGCGTCCGGACCATCCTGATAGGGCACTCGATGGGCGGCATCGTGGCGGCGGACACGGCCATCGCGCTGGCCAATGAGAAAGTCATACCCTCAACCGCTGAGGAAGAAGGCGACGGAGAGAAGGAAGTGGGTGGGCATGCGGTCAATAGCCTCATGTTCCCGTATATTCAAGGCGTCCTCGCCTTCGACACACCGTACCTGGGTATCGCTCCTGGCGTCGTTGCCCATGGAGCCGAGGGGCATTGGCAGACCGCCTCGGCCGCTATATCACAACTGAGTGGACTGGGCGCTATCTGGAGTGGAGGGAAGGCTGCCGAGAAAGCGACGGCGCAACCGGAGAGGAAGCCTGTTGCGGCTCTCGAGGCGCCCCCGTCGAAGGACAATAAGAAGGGCGGGCTCTGGAATAACTGGAGCCAAATGGCCATGTATGCTGGGGGCGCTGCTGCCCTCGCCGCCGGGGGTGCCGCAGCGTACATGAAGAGGCAGCAGATCTCGGAGGGCTGGGGCTGGATCGGCAGCCATCTGGAATTCGTAGGGTGCCTGGCGCGAGGCGAGGACCTAAGGAAGCGGATGGCGAACATGATGCGCCTCAACAAGGAGCTGGATGTCGGGTTCGCTAACCTGTACACCAGGCTCGGCCGCGCAGCCGACTCGAAGCAAGTCAGCACGGTTGGGCTGGTCATGGGCAATCAGAGGACCTTCTGCAATCTGCCGACCCGCGGGGCCGCCGGTGAATGGAGGGAGGCCGTGAACGACGCGGCGAAAGACGAGACGGGCGCGCATATGGCCATGTTTGAATCCGCGCAGAACCCTGGCTACATTCAACTCTCAGAGGACGCAAAGAATTTGATCGTAAGCTGGGCGAAGAATGAGTGGTACGAGACAAGCAACATAGAACTGGAATGAAGGAACTCTTCGGCAGGCTGGGTTTGGCTGATTTGTCTTGCGCCATATGATACCTCTTTTGCTTTTGGCTGGTCGGCGTTCGGTATTATATAGAACAACATTACTATATGTGCAGCGTATGTCTAAGTATTACGATATATCGCGCGGATTCCAACCACGCCTGTGTGGTCAGTCCTCTAGTGGTATCCATGATCGCGCAAGTATTCCCCCTCTTCTCTCACGTTGTGCTGCAGCCCGCCCTCTACTGTGTAGCCTTCGTGTCCTGCGCCTTCGCAGCCTTCAGGACTTTTCTCCTCTGTCGGTTCATGTGGCCAATTAGGATATATGCGCCGGCGGGCCAGATGATGAACAAGCAAGCCATGAGGAACAGCTGGTACAGCTGCCCAAACTTCTGCGCCGCCGGTACCAGGGCGAGGTACATCATGCCCATCTCGCTCAGAATGCCGATGGGGTACAGGATGCGGTACGAGCTGTAGCGCACCCAGAAGAATGGGTATGGCTCCCATCCCATGAGCTTGACAGCCAGGTACCCGTAACGGATGACCTCGGTCAGCGACCAGGCGAACAGCATGGACGAGTAGATGGGCGAGGAGCAGAGGGCCGGGAACGGGTACTGGACGGCCCAGACGGCGACGTAGCGCGAGCCGACCTGGAGGGCGGCCGTGACGGGGTCGGAGCGTACGATGCCTGCGAGAAACCCGTGTTAGTCAAACTGCTTTCAGGAGCCAACCATTTCGCGTCAAAGAGGGGCTCAGAGGGGAGATATACCGAATAGCCCGTGCAAGACGTCCAAGATCATCAGCGTCTGCGTCCAAAGCACAAAGTTGCCCGTGGAGAGGTAGACGAAGGCCGGGCCCCTGATAATGTTGGTGCCGACAGTCCGCCCGAGCACAGTGGCCCAGAGGATGGTGGAGACGGCATTGTAGAGGATCAGGTACCCGTTCTTGACGGGCGACGATCGCTTGACGGGCTTTGCTGCGTCCGAAGCCATTTTGACGCGATCGCTGTACGGGGCGCTGTCTTGGGAGTGATGGGAAAAGCTCGCGATGGTTGATGCCGGTTCAAATTTTGGCGTTGACCTTGCCCGAGGTGTCATCACCCGCTGTGGACCCCTGGAAAACGTTGGGGTCTAGCGGCATCTTGGGGCAGGGGGTGGATCGGCAGGTACCGCATGGTTGGCATGTGCAAATGCCACTAAACAATGGCCCATCCATGGCTCAAAAGCAACCTACCTAGCCGCAGTGGACCGACCCATCAGCACCGCTCTCCAAGTCCTTCTCTCTATCGATGGCTGAAGCTCTGTGATGCCCCCATCCACTTCTTAAGGCGTCATGGATCTAACAGCATTCCCTGCCTGTTCGTACCCAAAGCACGTTTGCTACGTTCATTGGTATCGCGAGCATTCGGGCAAGCAGGATCCGATGTTTGACGCTGACGTTTCGTTACATTCGTCCGCCATGGCACAGTTGGAAACATTGATTCAGCTGCATTATCAGCCGAGTCATATAGAGCCTTCCTCACCTTGCGCGTAGGAGTGCCTAGTGACGAAATGAGAGAAGATGATGGATTGCACTCACAGAAATCTAACCGGGTCAGTTCCAGAGTCGACTGGGGCAGGGTCATGAGGCATGCAAGTGTCATGTCAGCGACCTGGAACGTGCCAAGGGTTTTGCCCGATGTTCTGGGTCACTCTACGCACTGGAAACACCACTCAAAGCCCAAAGGAGCGTTTTCAGTCACGAAGCCAAGAGAGTATTTAAAGAAAAATTTCAATGCTTATATTCTAGTGCTACCATAGTACAGTTATGCCTGGGCAGGTCTGTGTGTTAGCCAGCAAGGGCTTGTCAGCAGGCATGGGTCAACCTCAAGAGGTGAAAGTGTGGATATACTGCACATCATATCAGCTCAGTTTCTAGGTGCTTCGCCTTCGAGGTTTTTTTTTACAGCATACTATCGACCCGAGTCTTGAAGCTTCAGGTCTCTCCTTTTTTTTTTTTTTTTTTCTCTTCTTTAGTCCAGCTTGTACTAATCTTTCGAGGGGCGGGCTCCTCTTTAATCGCGAATATGCGTATTACATCTCTTCTTCTGGGGGCTCTTTCTATTGCCAATCTGGTGTCATGCGAGAGTACTCGGCATTCTGTAAGCAATCAATGATCTACACCAGGGAATATCACGGGACTGATCACGCGAGGCTTATAGGGCAGTTTGGCTAGCCGAGCAAAAGCCATGATCGGCTTGAGATCAGTCGACACGGAGCAGCCCGCGGATCTGACTAAGCGCCAGATCAGCTTTGCTAACGGCGGCATATCCATCGGTGGACTGACACTTGGTGGGGGAGGGAAGGGCCAGACTGCTGAAGGCGGAGCAAAGGCTGGCGAAGGACAAGGTGCGGCGACCAACAAGACAGCCGAGGGCATCGCTGCTCTTCGCGGCGCGAGGAACAACACTGGCGGCGGTCTCACGGTTGGCGGCGTGACGCTGGGCGGGGCTGGTGGCGGCATCACTTTCAACAACGGTGCTAATAATGCAGAAAAGGGGCAGAAGCAGGGACAACCAGCAGAAGCACAGCCGGCTGAGGGCGTGGCTGCTGCTCCAGGGGCAGGCGAGAAGGCAACACCCGCTGCTGGAGAGAAAGCGGCACCCGCCGAGGGGGAGAAAGCATCGCCCGCCGAGGGAGAGAAAGCAGCGCCTGCTGAGGGTGAAAAAGCTGCTGCTCCTGGAGAAGGTCAAGCCAAGCCGGCTGCTGGTGAGGCAGCCAAGACCCCCGAAGAGATTGCCGCCGTGAAGGAGTCGGAGCAATTCAATGAGAATCTCGGCATCATCACTGACAAGAACGGCAACGCGGTGAACCTGGGTGGCGATCTCGGCATCACCAAGGGCTCGGATGGCAGCACCTCTGTCGGTGGTGAGGCTGGCATCAACATTCTTCCACGAGCTGCTGGGTCCTTGATCGTGACACCGGCACCGGCCAAGGCTCAAGAGGCACCGTCTGTGCCTTCTCTCCCCAAGGTACCCGCAGCTCTGGCCGCACCGTCTCTCCCGGCGTTGCCGAAGGCAGCACCGGCAGCCCCTGCCCCCGTCGCTGTTGCGAGTGTCCCACCGCTGCCGAAGGCCGCTCCTGCGGCTCCGGCTCCGATCCCTGCTGCGACTGTTCCAGCTCTGCCTGCTGTCTTGCCACCCAGCCAGGGGGAAGCTAAGAATCCGGGTGCCCCCGTAATGGCACCTGCTGCGTCTGCGGCCCCTGTTGCCGAGATTCCTGATTTTGTCCCTGGAACGGATCCGACTGCTTGAAATGACAAGCTCATGCAGTGGAGGTCGGAACAGAATAGGGAATAAGAATGTCTCGCTACTCTATAGCAAATATGCCACCTACATGTACTTATCGTCGTACGTTCTTTCAAGGTAGTAATTTACGATCAGAAATAGCGGAATCGCAAGTCAATGGCGTTTCAAGTCTTGGGCTACCCTCACAAGAGGTGGCAGAAATATAGGCATATATAGTGAGTGACCAAAATGTTCGACTAGTGCTATTGCTTACAGTCATCTTGTCTTAAATATGCTTTAGTGTAAAATAAACGGGTATGCTGCTCAACTCCGCCGCGTTGGCGTCATACATGAGAAGGCCACTATACACGCGAATGGCCTCAACCAGCCGCCTTTGTCTTCACCTCTGACGGATCATCAGGCCATACTGCTACCTGACCCTGCGAATCATCACCCGCCTCGGCCCACCAGTTTTCAGCCTGTACAGCAATTGTCTGAGAAACGAAACACACTAAAGACGATGAGCGTAACTTTTGCCGAAATGGCGTTGACCGATTTGCTCAATACTAGAGGGCTGGACCTCATTGCGTGCTATGAGGCTATTGGGCCGCGCGATTGCGATCTCGTCCCCCTCACTGTAGCTCCAACTATATACCACACTGTTCCCCCATTCCAATGCAATGACCTGGGAGTTCACCGCGAAGTCTTATAATTACATTTGGTATCCGGCAAAGGCTCACATGAGAATCTATTGGGTTGTTCGAAGGGAGTTGGATATGCAATGGGTTCGAGGTGGAATATGTGATTTGGCTGTTTGAGGATTTTCTGCAACGCTCGTTCCCGCTGATCGACCCGCGTAAATGCGACCGACTCAGAGTTGGTCTCGCCACGAGATGGGAAGAAGTCATTACCACAACATCGATTATGGCTGGCAAGACAATCACAATAAGGACAGGTTGCTCCAGAGTTGGTTCGCCACGCCCATGCACGGCAGCGCATAGTTGGAATAGCCGGACCACTTCTTCGCCGCAGCTGGATCCGGCTCTAAGCTTTCATCTGAAGATGAAATTTCATCTACACCGATTCTCCAAGGTTGGTCATCCAATCAGCACTGGATGATTGGGCTCTCCAGCGAGCGCTGATCCGTATCCGAGCCGAAGTAATCTGAAACACAGTTGTCTGTTCGCAGAACCAAACTCCTCGGTGTGCCTGGGCGCACCCGACTGGCTACGTCGCACAGGGGAAGGCTTAATCGATTGAGCCGCATGATCTGTCGCCTCCGTCGCTATACTCTGTTCCCACCTCCCCAGACCCAGCCGGATGCTTGGCGGCAGCCGCCCGTCTTGCAGGTCCTCAAACCCGCGTCTGCACTTCTGCGACAGCTCAGCTGCGTTCAGCCGGCGACTCAAACAATGTTCTTGCCGTGCTTCGAGAAGCCTGCGTCGAATGGCCCCGGTGGTCTCGGGAACGCCAACTAGCGGTGGTATGCTCAGTTTGCACGCTCGAGTCGTCGTGGTCAACTAAGCGAGACACCGGCATAGTGCACTGTTTGCATAAAACCCGACCTTCGCCGTCAACTCTATCCTGTGTGATCTACAATCAGCCATTTGGCTTCAAGTCGAGGCCTTTCGTCTGAACTAAGCCTGGACGCTCAGATCGGATCGCCACCTCCCCGTGTTATTCATCCCATTCAACGTCCTCAAAGGGTCTTGACGGAAGATCGCCACCAGAGCAAGCGAGCACAGGGGCATATTTCGATGGCATTTCCTGACAAATTTGCTCCGCTGACTTGGTCCTTCCACTTGAACCTCTCTGTGCTAGTTCATGACGAGCTCTTGTTCCGATGGAGGAATCTACTCATGTCCATATTTTGCAATCGGAATCAAAGGTCGTGCAGCTCAACACGGTAGGTCTAAATGTTTTAGAATCGGGCAGACATCCGAGAAGCACCAAGGCTGTCACTTGCTTGTCGTTTGCCATGCGCTTTCGGGAAGTGGGCCTTCCTCTGCATGCCCGATGCGAGGCAATTGTGGGAGAGGAGGGAGGAAACCATTTCTTTGGTTCATCCCAAGTGCCTTGTCTACGCCTATCCTGCCTCCAGGCAGGGATTCTCCATACAGAGTTCATGGCGATCCTCCACAACGAAAGCCTGACACATGCGGCTGATTTAACCGGCTGGGGTGGGCTCTATCCCGTCAGTGGTCTTTCGAGACATAGTCTCGGGAGGCAACAATTACACATCTTTCGACTTAGCCAAGGCATGGAAGAGGCGTCGACCTGCGTAGGTATCTGTCATCAGTTATGATGTCGTATCGTTCTATATCTCATGACTTATCCCGCTCTTTTATGATATGCCATCGATATCATGACCGGTCTCTCCTTCATATTCCCTCCTTTACACTCAATCTCATATATACGTGTTGCACATCACTTTCGTTTCTAATTTTCTTACGCCCCCAATATTGCTCATCTATGTGAAAACGAATATCAGTCTTCGAGGCAATACTATCTTGAAAGGATGATGAACTTTCGAGATGGTGAGATGGTTCCTAACCGGAACTTCACCTCAGAGTTCCTTACCGACCCAGTCAACTATCCGCCCAGTCCACAGCAGAGTGTTGCGATAGCAATCACTATTGCGTTCCCTGCTGCTGCACTGGTGGTAGTAGTGACGAGAATTGCTGGGAGGTTATCATCACGACAGTTTGGCTGGGGTAAGCAGAAGCACTGGAGTCGAAATAGTTCACCGCGATTCCAGTAGCTGACACTTTCTACAGACGATGGCCTCGTGTGTATTGCCATGGTATTCTCAATCCTTGAGACAGCTGCAAGTTATATGTGTAAGCCCCTTCTGTCCGAGCTACAACCCTTCGAGCAATTTTGATTGACAGTGCCTCAGACATAAAGACAAACTTCATCGGTATATCCTTGAGGAATATCCCGCCACATGACCCGACGCCTGGCGCAATATGGAACTATGCGATTCAGATCCTCTACAACCCGATCCTCGCCCTGGTCAAGACCTCGATCCTCCTGTTCCTGCTTCGGTTGTTTGGACAGAAGCCAGGTGTGCGCCGCTTCATCATCTGGCTGAACACGGCCAACATCCTCAACATGTTCGCCATTTTCTTCGCTATCGTATTCCAATGCTTCCCAATCGAGAAGATATGGGACCCAACGCGGCCTGGGTCTTGCGTCGACAGGCGTGTGCTTTTCGTCACGAGCAGTAGCATCAACATCCTCACGGACTTGCTGGTGCTGGGCCTCCCGCTCCGAATATTTCTTGACCTCAAAATCCCACGCCGAACCAAGATCGCACTGATGGTGGTCTTCTTGTTGGGTTTCACGTACGTATCCCGTCTTTCTCTACGTCTACCTGTCCCTTGTCACAGGGCATGTGATGAATTTGGGTCTAACGACAGCTGTGCAGGGTCACCATCGTCGGCATAATACGGTTGGCGTTACTGATCCAAGGTCTGTTCATGCTGATCGAGCTGCCGGACCCGACGGCCAACATCGGCTTCGTGACCTCGGCCATCGAGACCAACCTGTTCCTGATCACGGCGTCGGCCCCGGCGCTGCGCCCGCTGCTGCGCGCCTGGTTCCCCAAGGTCTTCGGGCTCGGCCGCGACGAGGTCGAGGGCGCCACAGAGCGCCGGGTCATTGGCACCACGGCGGCCACGCAGCTGCAGACGCGCCTCACGCGCATGAAGAGCAGCAGGACCGCCCTGCGGAGCCAGAGCCCCACGCCCAGCGAGGACGACCTGGTCATGTCGTACAACGGCATCATGCGCAGGAGCGACATCATTGTGCGTTACGATCCCAGGCTGACGAGTCGTGATGGGGAGGGCGGAGATGGCAGGATAGAAAAGTGGGTTTGAGAGGATATCAGAAACACAGAGAATTAGGCCATCTTTTGACATTCAACGGGTTCACGACTATGGCGTTTCGGTTTAATGCTTTTGGTGTGGCACTGGGACAGGAACGGCGCCTCCGGATGGGTTTGATTCTCAATAATAGGGTTGCATCTGCTGGAAACAAGTTGGGAGTCTTCAGACACCACAATCCGGGAGCGTTTAGTCTATGACTATAGGGGCTGTTGTACATTTAAGCTCGTGGTCATATGGCATTTGCACGCTCGTCAAAATGGACGTTGTTTGATATCGAAGCTGAGCATATCTTCCATTAGTCTCTCGCGGTGTTGGGTATGAGTGCACCGGTCCATATACAGAGGTTCCGGCGTATACTTATATCGAGCACACTTAAAAATTTCAGGCAGGCTACTCCTATCCTTATAGGGGTTTGGCGTTGGATAAGCTGTCTCTCAACGCGAAGTCACATACGAAGAACCGGTAATACTGGATCCAAGAAATGAAGCAGTGAAATCATGTGTCTATCAAGTCATAATTAAGCCATCATGAAATATTCCAACACGTAGATGCCATTTGTATGAAGTGCAGAAGAGCATTATGCTGGGCGATTCTCATGACTTTTAATAGAAGCACGGGGTAGGTCGCCCGTCCATGCGTGTGTGTGGTCTATCTTCCCACTTGATGCCCATTGCAGTAAAGGCTGGACCCAACTCGCAAATCTTTGGGTTCGTCGTTTTTCCTGATACGTATTTGGTACGCACTGGTTCTAGTGGAAATGTAGCTTCTTGATATGGTCATTGCATCGTCACCACTATCCACGAGGCGCATTTGTTGCTTGCAGTTGTTTTGGGCCTGGATATACTTCTGTGCTCCTGGCTAAGAAGGACCGGTCTAATCTTCCTTGGGCGAGCCTCGTCACTGCCGTACTGCATATTCTATGAGGGTTTGTGCCGTATCATGTGGAAATCTTTAGGCTCTGATGCAAGTGAGCACCAAACGTAGGGTCTCTTTGATGCTAGTGCGATATGTATTTCATCACTGGTTAGCCATGCCGAGGAGGTCAATGGTGTGACTAGTGCCATCGATCATGACGGGGGTAATAAGGTGTCCAGTCCATGACCTTTTGATTCATAGTACTGCTTTGAGTTGAAAGCTGCTGCTGCCAAGCTTATGGGGTCGACGGTAGTCGATAGGTGTTGATTATCGTGATAAAACTAGGTTTAGTCCTACTCCACTTAGTTTGCGGGCGGCACCAGCAGAGAGTGGGATGCCTGCGGGTTTGCTGCGTTGTCTCTGCGGCGAGCCCCATCGAGTAAACCCGCCAAAATTAAGGGTCCAAGACGGAGATAACCGGCACGCGCACTCATAGATCAGACACGGCCGATCAGGGAGACTCGAAGCGGTTCAGAACGAGGAACAGAAATGTACGGATACTGAGCCAATAAATCGTGGATGAGTGACTGAGATACCCATGTGGCTTGTGACAACTGTCGCGTGTGCTATTGATGTCATTCGGTGCATACGTTTGCGGGGAAAGCGAATGGGATGTCGATGATAAGGGATTACCCCATTGACGGACTTGCATTGCGTAAAGGGTGGGTGGAGTTGGGGGTCGGACGAAGCCGCTGGCCGTTGCGCGATAGAGCTTTGGGATCGGATACTTTGTGCAAGCCACGCGGGCGATCGCACAAGCTTCTTCACGAGTTGGATGGGTGACATGGGGTTTTGGGATGAGGACTCTACATAGTAGCTGCCTGGCAGAGCCGAACACGTCAAGATTTTGCCTTGTTTCCGCGGAATGACCGCAAGCGCAGTGTGCGAGTCATGGCCTGGAGAAGCAGACAGGGCAGATCTTGTTCATACTATGTAGTGAGTGACAGCTGGGCCGGTCTGGGTTGGTGCAAGTTTTTGCGCTGTTGAATTCTGCTGCACCTTGGGCAGGCAAATATTACCTAAGACGGCAAGCCGTAGATATAGTAAAGGCACTGGATACAGCCTATTCAACCGTCGCTTGGAGCAAGCTGGCTAACAGGACCTTGTTCACTCCTAGTACTACTGTAGAATCATCAATCGTACCCGACGGGGCTACTGCTCTGGAGTCAGCAGTGTTAGTTGGAGATTCGTATTTCGGTGCTTCTAGTGGGCTTAAGGCGATCTCCTAGCAGCCCAGGTCGTTTTGTGCGACTGACGAAAAGCTGGGATGGAGGGCTGGCTTAGGCGCTCTTTCTACTGCGAGATTCCCAAGCAAGCCAGGGCCGCCAGAAGTTGATGGAGACTGGACGGGGGATGACTACCGTAGTAAGAGTCACAGGCTCACAGCGGGCACTGCGGCATCCACGATGGGTCGTAGAACCGATGGAATATTCTTCAAGCTCCACCCAGTCCCTTTGAACCCACACGGGGGAGAGAGGGTTTCCTTTACTTAAATTGCGGAGTGCGATTTGACATGATATTTGAATGAAGCGTGCAAAATCACTGTCGGTACCATCTCGGAGGACCCTAAAAAGGCGCTGTTTGGGTTGTGCTTCGGTCAAGCTGCTTTGGCTGCTACGAGGGAAAAAAAACCCCCCCGCCAGTCTGCCCACTGCCCAGTCTTCTAGTGAGAGAGTGCCGAGGTCGAATTTCTCAGGGTCCTGGGGTCTGCCGTCTGTGATTGTTGGGAAGGCCTTATTGCAAGGATACGAAGGAAGGGGTCAGGTATGCGGGCAGGGTGTAACACGGGGCAAACGGAGGTGAGAGTTGCCAGCGTGGCCTGGTCGTGATGAAGCATGCTGCATGCCACTGGAAGGGGGAACTAATAATATTCTTGCACAGATTTTGTCTCCTGTTCCCAGCCATGCCGGAAGAGGTGAAGTATTAACTTAAGGCGCGAAAAATGGCGCTGTCTGTCCAGCGGTCAAATAATCAAGTCAACCATGGGGCGTTATATAGGACATCCTTAGTACAGCAAAGTTGCTCAGGCTTTTTCTTAGATTGACTCTTAGACTATGGGCTCTTGTGTAGGTGGAATGTGCAGCCGGTATTGTTGGTTTCCTATCAGCTGCACCCTCAACCTCAACCCTCCCCAAGATCCTAACCTTCCTACGCGTTACTGTACGATAGATGGTTAGTTACTGTACTGTGGTACAAGCTGACGATTGGACGTGGGTGAAGCCCCACTGAGGAGCCTGTGTACTTCCCCCATGCGGCAGGCGACTGCAGTGGTGCCCGGAACGAACCAGGGAGCCAGGGAGCCAGGGAGCCTAATTGTACCCTGGTCCGTTGGTTCGCTCGTGCACGGAATACGTCAGGACGGAAAGCGCGGGATATGCGCCAGGGGGGCAGGGGGGCAGAGCGCAGGCGAGGCGGTCTCCGACCGGGAGTCAGCCCAGCACAATCAGGTCGTCCGTTATCTCGGGGCCCTCTATTGGGTGCTGTACTGTACAGTTCGTACAGACAGCCAGCACCAGACCAGAGTGTCGACTGCAGCTGGCTCTGAATCACAATAGCTCAAGCCTCCCAAATACATGGGTACCTGACATGTTCTATCGCCTCTCTCCGTCTTCTTTTTCTTCCCTCCATCTCCCCAAAGAGCTGTTGTTGCTTTCCACGCCGTCCGCGTAGCACCGCTCTGCGACAGTAAGACAATCCGTCAGCCCACCTGAGTCGCGCCCGGTTTGGACCCTTGGATTGTCAGATGCACTTTGGACAGGGTACCCATCGGCTGAGAGGCGCAACCGCTTGAAAGAGGGAGGACAGAGGCATCTGCGTCACCTTGACCACCGACAAAGTCGAAGGGGACGAGGCCACTCTTTCTTCTCGCCAGTTCATCAACGAACCGAAGGCTGCTTATTATCCTTTGAGCCCACCGCTGTACCTCGTTCGCACACGACATCATCTTTTTTGGGGCGACCCTGTTCCCGCATTGCCGGATTCCGCCCTGCATTCTACGTGGCCGAGACCTGCTAGAGCCGCTCTTTTACGTAAACGGAGCTTTCCTGGTGCAGGACACGATCGAACCGACTCAAGCACCACACGCGACGGATTACCCTTCCCTGCCCTGCAGCGCTCTTTGCAGTGGTTCCTTGCGGAACAGCCCCGCCGCCGCCAGAAACTGGGAACCCCGGTGAGGGCGCCCGTTCCAAGTATTGTTATCCATAGGGCGGGCGCGCGCAGACTATGGAAGGCCGGCCATCATGATGCTGAACCCCAGATCCTACTTGTACTCCCGCCGACAAGTTCCCTCCACCTCACCAACCCTTGCCACGGCAGCCCCAAACACTGGTTTCCCATCCAAACGGAGAGATGAAAACATCACCGTCACTCCCATCAAGAACTCGAATGCAGACCTCACCAGTCGGCCGACCACTGCTATGCCCAAACGCAAGGAATCTAGCAACCTAAGCCGCAGCCCACCAACCACAGGCACAACCATGGCCGCTGCCGTTGCGCGACCAAACACCCCGACGAGCGCAGTCCAGATCCCTGTCAAGAACAAGCAAGAGGCATCTTACTCCCACAACTCCCGATACGATGCTCCACGACGGCAGGCCTCCAGCCAGCGGAGGCGCGATAGGCACTCGCCAGATGGCCTCCCACCCTCGGTGGCTGCTTTGCTTGCCATCACAAGTATCCCGCCGCCCAGTAAACGAGCGGGCTCCCGGCAACGGATGACTGTAGACTCTATTGTCCCACGGTCTCAAGTCTCGGAGAAGGAGCTGAGCCAGGAGCTCAGTCTATCATCGTTCAATCGCACCCCCATGGATGTACTTCTCAGTCCGCCGGATGAGCCTATGGAGGAGGACGCATCTGTTACTAGCGATAGTTGCATGGCTTCTGTTCTTTCCACTCGTGCAGCATCCTTCGATAGTCTGCCATCCCTCGGGGATTCTTTGGGGACAACGCTACCCTCTGTCGATAGTCCCGTTACTCCAAGAAGCAGGCGGTTTCGTCCGCCCCGAAGATCCCTTGAGCCCGTTTCTTCTCCGCCGGGTGAGCAGGCAGAGCACCCTCTCTGGGTCGATCCAGATGTCGAGGTTGATGAAATGGATTTCAGTGTTTTCGATCCGTCGGCAGTATCAACGGACAAGCAGCAGGCCAACGTCTTCTTACCGCTCAAAACGGCGTTCAAGTCGAATCTGACAGCATCGCTCCGCGCATTGCGCTCAGCGGCCCGGTCGTTGTCGACGTTTACGGCTTCTTCGGTCCCGCCGGAAGATCTACTTACGCGCTCTATTCTCACTATGGATCCTCGGGTACCATTTACAGACGAGCGGCGACCGCCTGTGCTTGACGAGGAGCCAAGTGAGGCAATGCGCCGATACCTTAACCCTACAGATAGTGCCCGGCTCGATCTACGGACGACCCCAGCCACGGGACCTACGACACGCAGTTATACGGCGTCCATTCAAATGCAGACATACAAAGTCTCACGTTCTAAGAGCGCCCCGGCCACATCAACCCGCAAAGCATCCTCGCCACCTCCGTCAACAGCCTCAACTAAATCCCCGGTTCCCCCTACGTTCCCCCCAGGTCCTAGGCAAAGAGAAATTCGCGAAAACGCTGATTTTATTCGTATTGCCGTATTGGAACACCTGATGCGCAAGAGGGGCAAGTTCGACAACTCACAAGAAGGGCACGCTCGTTGGCTGTTGCCTCCCAGGAAGCCGAGTGCGAAGCCTTACGAGATTGGGTCTGACGGCATACCTATTCGATGGATTCCGATCTCTCAAGACACCTCTTAGTCACTCGACAAAAATGTTGCAGCAACAAGGTCACAAATCCGCGGTGAAACGAAAAGCGTGGAGCGTCATATTAAAGACTCAGCGCAAGCACCAATCAACAATCAAGGCTCGTGTGCTTTTCTTCACCATTACCCCATGGAAACAGGGTATACTGGCCCCAGCCGACATGCAACTCACGGTTGGGCATGACGACAAAGACTCGACCAGGCCAACGCTCAACACGTGTCAATACCGTTCGAAGCGGAAGCAAGGCGACTTGTGCGTCACTTTTCCTCGGCGACACCCAACCTAACAATTCGGGATCTGACCGACGAATCCGGCGCCTTCCATTTGCACACTCCGCCGAAATCGCAAGCTCCCGACCCGCCGTTTACGTTAAACCACACTAGTCTTCGGCACTCGCGAAAACACGCCGACACGCCTCTTGCGTAAGACGCTTTCAGGGTTCAGATCATTTAACCAGGGGTAGGGCAGCCCTGTGTGTACTACCCGACGTTTCGGTCGGTAGCGATACGGGCAATGCACCAGAAATTTTCTAGAAGATATTGGTCAGGAACAGAGCGGTCCGCTCTCCCGATTCCGTCCGATGAGCCTTTTTTGGGAGGGAGGATTCGCTATTCAGCGCCTAATGTCACGAATTCAGTGACATTCATTTACTATCCATTCTGGAGGGTGTTTGCTGATGGCCCTCAAATCGGGGTCCGGGCTTTTCGGATGTGCGACACAATGGGGAACCTGGGCATTACACAACGCTGTGATTCTCGGAATTCCCATCCTGCGAACTGGAAGCCAGCGCGAGCATCCATACAGCTGGTTCAACACCCGTTAAACCGAGCTGGTGTTGTCGCTCTCTGATTCAGCACGTCCAGGGTCAACGTTCTGGTTAGCAATACTTGTTCCTACTGTTGGCCCTCGGTCAATTTGATTTTCGGGAACACCCTTTTGTTTTTGCGCATTTTGCGGTTCACCAGAAATACCCGGCAAGCGCGCTCATTTTTAGGGCATCATTACCCGTACAAGCCTTACTTTTTCTTTTCCTTTGTTGTGCATGCATCTTGTTTGCAGGGGTCCAATCGAAATGGACAAAGGTTGCATTGGGAAGGTGTTGATCTTTGACTTGGTTTGGCAGATTCAATGAGCATGCATCCTTGGCGTTTGGGTAGGAGCGATCATACAGTTCTCAGATCATTTACAGGTGTAGAAGGGATCGCATGGCTCCTTGTTTTCTGTTTTCCGCAAGGTATCCCGCATTGCAGGTGGGATGTCGAGGACTTGATGCGCAAGACCCTGGGAATTGGTCCCTGCATGACTGCTTAACTTGGGTTATCGTGTTTTGGTTATGAGCGCGCGGTGCGAACCGCAAAGCGCCAGCAGTGCCTAGTACTGCACTTTGAGATGCATAGAAGTGCGGCTAGGGGTCTGGCAGGCGGTGTGATCCGTCCTCTTTTTTGTGCATATATACCCAGTCTATCCCGGTGGGCTGGCTCGCATGGCCGGATGGCCCTCCGATTAGCTAGTTAAGTGAAACTACATTAAGACTACGTCGAAAATATTCTTGTGAATGTGCTCGCATCCGTTTGGGGCATTGAAGTCCAGACTTTCGCCGCAGGGGCCCTTCCTGATCACCTTCCAGATCAGGGAGGATGTGCTGCAACTTACACAGTACTTGTGCGCACTGAAGTGGATTCATGCTTACTGCCTGCGTCTGTAGCCCTTTGTTCCAATAGAGACCAAAATATCCAAGATCCCGAAGAGGAAGTTTTCCACATGCGTCAGCAGGTGAGTGGATTACCCATCGTTCGTTCGTATGCCCTAGGATGCTAGCGGACCTGGTTGCCGATATGAGCAGTCCCAGCCAAATATATAGTCTACTAGCTCGAACTACGTTTCTTCAAGGCAGGAATTGTAACAAGGGGCATTGGATCCGTGGGCAAGACATCACCGCAGTACCTACTGGCTTCCATTGAACGGCTGTCTAGCCGGTATCGAATATGATAGTAAAAGGCGGCGCCTCATAAGGGTTCAGCATGACTATCCAATAAGAGAGTCTGAATAAAACCCATGGATCGATTGTACAGAAGTCTATTCATAAACCTCCATCTCCAACCTTAGCTCTATCTCTGTCCAGCGCGCCGTGCTACCCGATATCTCATAACAACCCTCTGCGTCGTGTTCGCCGTGTTCGCTATACTCGCTATGTTTGTCAGGTAGTCGTGTTTTATCTTGAGGAAGAGCACCACCAGCAGGACATTTGCAAGCAGCCAGACGACACATAGGAGGCCAAGGCAGAGCCAGAACCTGTAGTGCCATGCTATGCGCTGGTAGCTCGGTATCATAATGACTTTCCCTGTGGCTTTGATAGTGATGGTAGTGTGTACGCTCCTGGCCTCACGGCTCATAAGTAGTTGATAGTTGATAGATCGCAATGTCATTGAATAGTCTCTACGCTCGTTTGGTGTCAGCTTCGTGAAGAGGCTGTGAGCGGCTTGCATGGGCTAAGAATGGTTGTAGGACCAAGGACCCTCCGTCTAGACTCAGCTCACAACGGCAAACTATCAGAATTCCTATTTTGTGATACAAGGGTGAGTCAGAAGATGGATGAGAACTCATATGCGGTTGGTTATCTTTTAACTCAATGGAATGTACGCCGTTACAGGCGACCCAGGATGGCTTGGATGGTACAAATTCAATTGCAGATACGACCGTAACGATCTCTCCCAAGCAGCCTGCCGCGTTGTTGGAGAATAATCATAAGCTTGGAACTCAAGAAATTAGTGACCTTCTTCTGCCGGCCGTGACTATCAGCATTGTTTACTATGGGTATTTCTCCTGCAAGATGAATGCGAAGTTTATCATAGCTCTGTGTAATAGCCAATTGATGACGAGTGAAAGGATCAGGATACAGATTCTCCTCGTCCACGATAGAGACCTACAGAGTTTGCTTCACGTGGGGGGTTTACCTAAGGTGAATACAGACATAGCATTAGCCTAATTTGGTTTCTGATATTTTGGCTCCGGAGTTTCCTCTAAAGTATTGAATCATCCTCTAGGCCTACCCTGCCAATCATGTTGGCCCAAAGCCCCGGGGAGGATGAGCGCAAGGTCTTCAAGTCTCACCAATCAGACATTGAGCCAATATTGGCTCCAGCTATAAGTCTTCGCAGAGGTATCTGGAAGTCCACGTATGGGCACGCGGCGCAAGGCGACCGTACTCCACTGGGTAATAAGAGATATAATACTCACCGCGTTGTTGATCGCATTTTGCAGAAACACTGAAACAAACCAGCTCTTTCGGTTTATCAGATTGCGGCCTCCACATCGAAGCAAGACATGTTTATATCACTCTCTTCGCCAGACCGAAAAAGGATTGACTAATTGCTAGCCTCACAAAACGCTGTAACAGTCTTTCTCGCTATAATCCAACTACCGTTCCTCGATGCTGTTCGCCCCAATGAATGTGGCATCTCCCAGTCATTTGAGGTGAGAGGCCTCTAGAGCCCGCTGATCTTGTCCAATTCTGGATATACAGTTGATAGGTGTGAACCTTCGTTCAAAAGCTAAACATGACGAGATAAACTAGCTAGCTGGTCTTCCTTCGGCACTCTCTGACTAAGGATGTTGTACGAGACTACGAGGGCCATGCCCAGATTGAGCTCGGGTTTGATGAAAAGGCCGGCCCGAGGGCGCAATTACATCCCACCGTAGAAGCACAACCGGAGAACCCCAAGGCTGTCATCTGGGGCAGTTGTGCGCCAAGCTGTCGTCTTTGAATTTTCCTATGGTGGAAAAATAAAACCGGCCAGAAAGTTTGTTTGGCAAGGCGCGAACCCCCGTCTCTTGGAAAGAACTTGGCTCTTGGAATTAGCCAAGAGAATTGCATTCAGCGATGTCTCCATATACACGTGGATACCTCCTTGCAACTTAAATGTGCCTAAACGGAAAGACATTATACTTGTCAATCACTGAACTGGTACGTAACAATATAGAAGGTGCAAAGTTGTGAAGGCGCCGTTAAAAGGTGATCCAATGGCACCACTTTGGGGCGTTATACCTGCGTGCGACCACTGAAGCCCCTATTATATGGGGGTTCTCTCACTGGAGCCCATGTCGCCAAGCCCGCCAATGTCGCATTCATAGGGCAATGCTCAGCGAATCGCAAATTGTTGCAGTCCCTTAATCAATTTCCCACCAATTGGTGAGCCGTGAACCGCATCACGGTGAACTATGATAGCCTCTTCAGTAGAGATCACCGCAATCCACCATTGGTCCCTGATATTAGAAAACCAATATATCAGATAAGCCGCAGCCTTGGCTGGGAACGGGGATGGATTGTAAGTTTGCTTTTTGGAGTATAAAGAGCTCTGCCTGTTCGGTGTTTCAGATCAGCCTGATAGACTGCATCCTTCGGTAGTTTCAGTGGACCAGGTACCTGTACTGCAAAATGAAGAGATCACTCCTATCCTTGGCAGCCGGCATTACCGCCGCCGCGGCGGCGCAAACTTCATACCTGGCCTGGGCAACGGACTCCTTCCTCAGGCGCGGCGTCACCCAGGATTTCCACTACACGACGGCAACGTTGTACTTGGGATACGAGGCTGCGTACAGCTTGACCAAGAATGAGACTCTCTATTCGTGGTATCAGAGCCAGATTGACGGAATCCTCAATGATGACGGCACGATCAAGAAGTGGAACTATTCGTTTCACAGCCTTGACGAATACGTAAGTTACATCACTCATCGAGCAATCTGGGGTGTCATTTTTAGTCGCAGAAGATGCACTATAGCAATCACCAAGAGTGCTAGGCTCCTTTGTCCACGAAGCATACCCTGGGGATCTGGCGGCTGACTGGTGTCTCAAGCGCATTGCCAACAACTTCATCTACTGGTACGAAGAGACTGGCGATGAGAAGTACAAGAATGCCGCAGATATCGTTCGAAACCAGATGAACAACCACCCACGCACTCCATCCGGAGGCTTCTGGCACCGCGAGCCCACTTACCCCAACCAGATGTGGTTGGACGGTATCTTCATGGCTGATAGCTTCTACGCGAAGTGGACAAGCCTATATGACGCCGATAACGTAAGTCACTTCCAAAATACGATTGAGACGCATGTCGAGGCCCAGCCTTGCTCCGGCCATGAGGCCCACCGCTCGGCTCGTCCACCAGAGCCATGCTTTGACGCCCCGTCATTCCCAGTTTAGTTTTAGTGCTGATCAATATATAGACCACTGCATGGGACGACATTCTTCTGCAGTTCGATAACATTGAAGCTCATTGCCGCAATGCCACCAGCGGACTACTGGTGCACGGCTATGACGAAAGCAAGAAAGCGGTCTGGGCAGACCCAGTGACCGGGGGAGCTCCTTTGGTTTGGAATCGCGCCGTGGGCTGGTACTTCATCTCCCTTCTCGAGGTCCTTCCCATCTGGCCCCAATCGCACGCAGGATACGCCAAGCTCCTCAACTACTTCACGACACTTGCCGCAGCTCTGAAAACTACACAAGATGAGTCAGGCGGTTGGTGGCTGATCATGAACGAGCCTTACCCCGGAGCCGAAGGGAATTACATTGAGAGCAGCGCATCGGCAATGTTCACACTCGGCTGGCTGAAGGGTATTAGACTTGGATATATCAGCAGTGATGAATATCTCGAGGTCGCGAAGAAGGGCTATGCGCTTCTGACCGAAGACTTTGTGATTCCCAACGCGAACGGAACCATGAGCTGGGATGGTACGGTCGTAGTTGGTTCCCTCAGCAGCAACGGATCATACGAGGTAAGTACAGTCCAAAAAATTTTGCGCAATGATCTACTTGCTAAGAGACCATAGTACTACATCAACGTGCCGATTGCGATGAATGACTACAAGGGTGCTGGGCCTTTCATGTTGGCTGCGTATGAGATGGAAAGCTGGGCCTCAAGTGCATAAATGGCCGAGGTCGGATATTTTCCAGCATGGCTCTGTCTTGCTGAACAATATAAATTAGCTAATAAAGCTCACCATTGAGCTCTAGAGCAAACCAATCTAAAAGATAGCTATTCCAACATTCCTATGCTCGATAACGTCGCCGTAAATTGGCAAAACTAAGGTGGAAGGATTTGCCGTCTGGTTGCTTCACGACCAATTTTACGTTCGAGGCTGCGGGATGCACACCCTCGATGGCTGTGCAGCTGCCATACACAGTTTGGTTTCGTAGAGTATTGCCTTGATCGACTTTAAGGGGAAGACCGGCCCCAGATCTGCAAGGTGGAGTATGTGGCGGGAAACGGTATGGACTGATGTAAGATGTGCGGGGAGCGCAGTAGAATGGAAATTCGGCCCAATGATGTGACGAGGGAATATAATGTATACCTAAAGTAGTTCGAGCCGATAGGCAGTGTTTGGGAGTTGAGACACTTGGTCCTCTCCGTCACAATAGAGTCGCTGAAGGTGGAACGGAATCAAGGGGACGATGGATGTTGTGAAGATAGGGAAGATGCATAATCGAAGTACATCTGCTAGTTCTTGTGCTAGAGCTACTGAATACCAGAACCAGATTTGTTGCTCGTCTGAGCCCGGTTGATACACGTCGAAGACATGAGTGGAAGACTACTCTGCACCAACTCGCAATATCCTTTTCGACTGAGGCTTTCATTCGATAGGTCGACTAATCCAGAATTATGGCCACTAAAAGCAGCTTCGCTCGCCGAAAAGTTTCCCAATAGGCAAGTCTCGGATGGAAGAGACGAAACCGGCCACAGCTAGCGAAGGCAATTGCGGGGTGAGCTAACTAGACTGCCTGGGCAGCCCTTATATTCGATTTATAAGTAGGTGTTCCCCTACTGCCCTATGGGTATTATCAGGTATTTTTTTTTCCTTTCCATCGAACGTCGACGACATTATTTCTTCTAGAGCTTGAACGAGTCTCCTTCAACATGCCACACGCATCAAGCCCGACCCCCGAGGCTCCGTTGTATGTGAATGACGGCCGCTTGCTACCTGAGCAGACCGGCTACTTGCGACCTTCATCACCGGACGAGCCACTTGAAGTGTTGCGTGATCGTTATCATAATGACGGATATCTATTCCTGAAAGGGCTGATTCCAAGGAACGATGTTATCAAAGCCCGAGAGGCATACTTTGAACTTCTATCTCCTAGTGGAGTCCTTGCTCCTGGGACTGCTCCTGCGGACGGCATATTTGACAGTTCTAGAAACAAGCTCGATTTCCCAGGGATAGGAGCCGGTTCTGCGGATGCAAATGGCCGACCGAGTGGTGGGGTCTTCGTTGACCTCGCCCTCAAAGCCCATACTGAACCATTCTATAAGGATGTATTCTGCAAGAACCCTGCGCTTCTAGCCTTCATTTCCAAGTTCACCGGCTGGAATGAGAACACTCTGGCATTGACAAGAACTCTGTTGAGGAATAACACCCCTGGAAATAAGGCCATAGGCGGTGAGTTTTCTCTTGTAACCGTGGTCAATGATCCCTGACTGGTCCAGTCCATTACGATCAGATATTCCTTCGCCACGGCGAGGATACTAGTGTAACAGCTTGGGTTCCGATGGGCGACATCGCATTGGATGGAGGAGGTCTCATATATCTGGAGAAAGGCCAGACACTAGGAGAGGAGATCGAAAGGGACTTTTATCGCAAGGCCACAGAGACCGGGCTGACCGAGTTGGAGGCAAAGGACGCTTTCAACAAAAACATGATGAGTGGCGGCCTTCTCGCCGATGGACCAAAAGACTTTGGAGAACAGTACAAGAGGCGCTGGTTGGTCACTACATACGAAGCTGGAGATGTAGTCCTGCACACTCCATATACCATCCATGCTTCGACAATAAACTATGATGCCAAGAACATCATCAGGCTCGGCACTGATTTGAGGTTTGTGGACTCTTCACGACCGTACGACATGGTAAGCCGCGCTGCCAGACTCACTCTATGTCTACTAACGCTGCGCAGAGGTGGACCAACGATTACAGGTTTGGCGATGGGGTCTAATAGACTGCTTCGGATTCAGTACGAGTTTATTCTATCTTAATCGCATGCATTCAAGCTGAACACTGTGAAGGTGAAACACTATCACTAATGGAAGTCAAGCTCAACACCAGCCATGCGAAGTGAGATGGTACAGGTGGCTATGTTCCGCCCGCGACATTTCGACTTGACCACATGTCGACTTTGCCAGAGAAACATAATTAGAAACAATTAACTCAGGCTCGTCGACTGTACTCAATGCAAGACTACGGCTGCGCCCTGTGCGGGACCCACTTCGTAGATCACGGCACTCGCGAGCTTACGAAGGTTCGCCCCCTTCATGCAACGAACGAATGCAGTAATCATGAATCAAAGCAACCCTCTTCACTCAGCTGGAATAGTTCATCGGAATAATCCATCTGAAGTAAAAACAATATGTTGATCAGAGGATAGGGTGGCGAAGCCCATTCCTCTGGGCAGGGGTCTGATTTCGTTTCAGATTGCCGAGTCCCTTGACTTTGAAACGTCAAGTGCACGATGGCCCCCAGTGCACTCTGCTGACATCGTGTGATCTCAAGTTGAGGAAAACTACACTACAGATAATTTTCAACGATCTCATAGTTTTCAGCTAGATCCGCCTTTCTCCCGCTAATCGGTTGAATACCGACTTTTGATATCCAAGCAGTCCGCTTCCTCGATCCATTCGAACTGTGACAAGGCAGTCCGCAAGTCGACGCCAGACGACAAAGGTCTGCGTTTCATTTGACCAGGCGGCGCGCGACCACGTGGTTTAGCGACTGAAGAATCTACAACAGACCTTGCCCAGTGTCAAGTCAGGGTGGGGTATAAGCATTTGGAGCAGTCATGTCGAACGATAGATACCAGAGTCTTAGACCAGACGACCGCGATGAGATAGACGACCTGGATGCGCATATTGACGATCATATCGATCTAGACGAGAAGGACTACCTCCACACGCCGCGACGTTCGAGGCGAGCTAAAATCCTTGAGGCATTGAATCGCTACCGCTGGGTAATCGATGGGGTACTGATTGGGCTCATTGTGATGCTGCTCTTAGATCGACATTGGGACTGGCGGAGCAACGGCGAAGATGAGGGCCTCGAAGGTGCCGGAGACGTGACAGGCTTTGCGCCTCAGTGTAAGTTTGTGTCACCCGGTCCTCTGGGTTCTATGCACTATGGTACTGATGCCCGACAAGTTTCCCAGAAAATTGTTACTTTCAGTCCAGATCCTATGTTCGTGCCTGAAAACACGTCGGAGTTTTGGTCGGACGAAGTTCGTCAGAAGTGGCTGGGACTTGTCCCTAAGGGCCTGGGATATCTCAACATCGAGCACCCCGAAAAATACCGCGACCTTCCTGCCACACTAGTCGGCTATAAGGGCAAATACGTTGTCACAACATCAATGACCCATCAGTTGCATTGCCTGGTAAGAATTTGAAGCCATGATGACTCATGGACACCATCTAATGCCACCTAGTATTCGATAGCAGAAGTGTTTAGTGCATATACCTCGGGAAACCAATCTCGAATCCCCTTCGAGACACCATGGCATCTCGCACACTGTTTTGTAAGCTCTAGCCCTGAGTAAACTTTTCGTTCCTGAAAGCATACTTACGATGGGCATTTTATGACTGACCGTTATCTCTGCAAAGGACTATATCAGGCAAGGCATCATGTGTGCAGGTGACGTTGCCCTCGAAGGACGGCAAACAACTTTCCCAGAAGGTGAGTCATACTTCGCACAAATGGCTTACGACAAAGCTGTGAGAAGTTGTACGGCGATGGTTCGCTGACCTCATCATAGGATTTGATGGTAGTGATGGTTGGGACGCCAAGCATGTGTAAGTAACGATACTCCTGCACCACCGAGAAGATTAGAGCTAACGGCGTTTCGTACGCACCAGGTGCAAGTCGTATGACGAGGTCCTTGACTATCTCAATAGAAACAGAGCTGATGACGAGGTTTGGATATGAAAGTATGGTTAGGACCACTTGCATTGGTTGGAGTTAAGGTATATGCGATGAGGATAAGAGGTGTTGGCGTACTAAAGTCCCATCAAGACAACCCACGCATTCGCAAACAGTATAGTAGGCTGCGCACGTGCATGGGCGACAAAAATTGAGGACTAGATGTTGCTAGCCACTCAAATCTTGGATCATGATTACTTGAGCGTCACTCCATCTGTTTGCGACAAGCATCCAGACATCTCTGCCTCTGTAAAGGAATTGAACAACCTTCTGCAGCGAATATGGCCCGAATGCAATCAAAGTGTTATCCAGTTTCTGTGTTGGCATTCAAGGGGTGTTATGCCCATGGCTTGGAATTCCGGTGTTGTCTGAAGGAGTTAGCCCAAGTCAATCGTGCCAGCCCAGTGGGTGGAAGTTAAAGCGCCAAACTGCCCAGGTATGCTGATAGCACCACTGCGATACTGAGACATGTATTTGCAGCCAATCTCTCCAACCTGACGCAATCTCATATCTCCGATGGACAATTTTGAGGCTTCTTGTTGGCTCGCGACTATAAAGATGGGCCTTACACCGAGGTCGGCAACTGTCCGATATTGCGTGATTCGTCGTGCGATGATGCCATGCATACAAGATGGAGTTACTCACGCTTATAAATCGAGATCAACTTGATACATTAAAGCCTCGCTTTGCAAGATAAATTATACAAACAAGTACCTCAAACCAAATAATCACAATCGCAAAAATGCCTACCGAGTTCATTAGTGTAACCTTTCCCAACTCAGCAACGGAGATCAACTCGGGACCTAACCCGACTGATATTGATCCGACTTATCTTGTTCGCTACGCAAGAACTCTAGATGACTATGGATTCAACTACACGTTGGTGCCGTACGGCTCGGGGTCATTTGACCCCTTCACCATTGGTGCTACAATAGCGGCAGTGACGAAGCAGATCAAGGTCATCATCGCACTGCGTCCCAATACAATGTACCCAACAGTGGCTGCAAAGGCTTTGGCTACGCTAGATCAGCTCAGTCAAGGACGTGTAGTCGTACATTTCATTGCTGGGGGAAGTGACGCCGAGCAGGCCAAAGAAGGTGACTTCTTGACCAAGGATCAGCGATATGGCCGTTTGGAGGAGTACATCAAGATTCTTCGTCGCGCCTGGGAATCTAAGGAGCCTTTTGATTGGGAAGGGAAGTATTATCAGGTGAGAACCCTAGTGCAAGAATGATTCAAGTGACTCTCGGTAGCTGCTGGGGAATGGCCTGCTTGAGACCAGTTAATGCTTTGCGACATTTCGTCACCACTACAATGAGGAATGATTCGCTAACACAAGGACTAGTTCAAACAATTCAGCAATGGAGTCCAGCCAACCAAAGGGTCGATTCCTGTCTCAGTTGGTGGCTCTTCTGATGAAGCCTACCGCATCGGAGGGTCCCTAGGCGACATATTCGGGTTATGGGGAGAGCCGTTGAAGGAAACCAAAGATCAAATCGATCGCATCTACGCAGAAGCTGAGAAGGCTGGCCGTAAAGACCGCCCAAAGATCTGGGTCACCTTCCGTCCCATCACCGCAGAGACTGATGATCTCGCTTGGGCCAAGGCCCACCGAACGCTGGACGCTCTGAAAGGAGGCAAGCCTCTAGGGGGAATTGTGCCAGCGACCAGTAGTACGCCTCAGAACGTTGGGTCTCAAAGATTACTCGAGATCGCAGCCCGCGGCGAAGTGCAAGATCGTGCCCTCTGGTATCCCACAGTAAGTCTTCCACTCATCAGAATAGATTCATGAGTACAAGCATTGCGAGCGACGAATGGTTTGATCGTGCACACAGATCATGGGGCAATCTACTAACTGCTACCTCGCAGGTCACTGCCACCAATGCGCGAGGAGCATCTACTGCACTGGTTGGCTCTTATCAGACTGTCTCCGATTCCATCTTGGACTATGTCAACCTCGGCTGCGAGCTCATCTCCATTCGTGGGTACGACAACTACAATGATGCCGTTGACTATGGCCGCTACATATTACCAAACGTTCGCGAGGCACTGGTAGAGAAAGAAAAGGGCACAAGCGAAGTCAAGGAGCCTAATGGTTCTAGTACCGTCCAGACCGAATCTGGCTGAGATCGAATTCCCGATGATAATCCCAAATTTCCTTGTTTAAATGTGCGATAAAGTAGAAAGCGAATATTGTGGGAAGGACACTTCCATATGAAGCTATTAGATTGAATACAACGAGATCTACGATTACTTGCCGATGATTTGCAGAAAACATGCCCAGTTCTTACATGTCTACATAGCTTGCACGCATCTCATTTTGCGCGGTGACAGACTTCCGTCTCGTAACATTCTTCATTATGAACGTCGGCGTTGCATTCACTCCGAGTAAGCGAACAGCGCAAAGTGAAAGAATCATATCATATGCTGGAGAGAGTTTTGCGAGCGACGCGCCGTTCACGTCTGCATACCCCGTGAGTGTGCATCGTGAACAAGGGAAAGAAATCGGTCTTGATGTCGTAGGGCCGAGCAGGCATGCTGTGCTAGTCTGGGTCTAGGCTCTATATCGACAGGGGGTCCCCTGGGCGAAACTGGGATACTGATTGGGGTACCACATCTCGAAGCAGGTCCGATGCATGACAGCGCAATTAAAGTGCCCGGCACGCTCTTGACATGTTCCAAGTTTCCTTGCTTTGACAATTGGATAAAATGAGGGGCGCTCCCCAGCTTCGATTGCCGAAGCAACCTTCGATTGAACTGTCAAGCTCGCTTGACTTGACGATGGATCTTGGTGGTGGCTGTCGGTGATTCCAGAAATGCGGTTTTCTACGCTGGCGATTCTGGCCTTTGTCGGGGGAGCATTCGCAAGATGTTCGGACGACAGATGCTTGCGGGGTGAGAATAAACATACAACGCCATCACGATGTGGACTGTGAGGCTAATACCGATTCAGCGGTGAACGGCGCGCCGTCGCGATCCAGAATATCCGACTGTCAGAGCTTCTTTAGAGTTACGGTAACGCCATCAACAAGGTATATCAAAACAGTGTCTGTGTGTATGGTTCCTGTGTCTAATTTTCGCATAGCACCGTCACCACGACGGTCAGTGTCGGAACCACTGATATCACTACAGCCACAGCCACGAGGACCGTCATTGCGACGGAGGTCGCATCGAAGAGATGGGAGAATCAACGTGAGGTTCTCGATATCCTATTGAGGCGTCCTACACGACCTTTAAGTTCTGCGACCTCTGCGGCGCAAAAGACCCCCAGATACGCGGCAGCGTGTGCTTCTGCGGCCGCATACTCGTCCGCATGTTCCTGCTTGGGAGTGAAACACTCTACAATAACTGTCTCCACTGCAAAAGCAACGAAGACAGTCATCGTCTCCAAAGCTACTACCATAACTGCGGTGAAAACCGTCGTAACGACTCAATTATATGTTCCCATCAGTAATAGCTCGGCCATTTTCGCCAACTCCACCAGGGCGATTTTCACAAACTCGACGTCTTTAGGCAATAATGGCACAAGCTCGACCACGCTCTCGATCTCTGGCTCGACACTGACCCAAACTGATTCGATGAGTCTGACGAGCTCCCAGTTGATCCCCAATTCAGTCAGCAGTGCTAGTAGTGATGGCCGCTCTACAAGTTCGGGTGATATAACGTCCAAGGCCGGAACAACGGCTATCACGACAAGCTCTGCAATGTTCGCCAACAGCACGAGAGCGTTCTCACCTTCGAATGCCACAGCTCCATCTCTCAACAGCACCGGCATCGGTCACTTTCCAAACACAACCTCGTTGGTGCCAGCTGCCAATGCAACAAGTACAGGTCGTTTCCTGAATACGACGACCGTTTCAGCTGTAATGAATGCGACAGTGCCGACAACATTGGCGAAGCCCGCTAATATGACATCCGCACCATTCTTGAATGCAACATCAGCTGTGGTGAACAGCACGACCTCTGCCCCGTTCATCAACACAACGGTTGCGGTCTTAAACGCGACAACTTCAGCACCTTTTCTGAACACGACAGCACGACCGTTAAACGCAACGTCCGCGGCACCTTTCCTGAACACCACGACTTCGGCGCCTTTTATGAATGCTACCAGCATTCCGATGTTGAACACCACGAGGCCACCGTTTGCCAATGCAACTACTCGCCCGTTTTTGAACTCAACCTCAGTGCGTTTCAGCAATACAAGCACGTCGGTCGCCACCCCGACTCCAACGACAACGCTCGACCTGACTTGCGGAGAGACCGCAACTCCTTTCATGCTCCAAGTTTCTCAGCCTTCTGGTCTTTTCGACGGATGGTTCCTGAAGATGGTCGGAGATGCTATTCTGTTCAGCTCTTCCGCGAATTACTCGACCAAGTTCAGTGTTGAGAGCTCAGGGCACCTCTGTGCTGTTGGGTACATTGGTGAGAGTGGACACCCCGCCATTGGCATCGCCGAGACCAAAGATGGCCTCACCGGGAGCGCCATATATTTTGTCGACGGGGCAAGGGTCAAAGACATGGGGAAGGTGGGATATGGTGCACTCGACTGTGCTGTAGACGATGATCTTCAGTGCGGCGCCCGAGACATGGAGCACTGGGTTGCCTGCGGGCTCGGCCTTGATATCTCCAGCGATGCAGGGCCGAACGTGGTTGTCGATACATTCAACTGTACCAGCATTAGTTTATCTGCTATTTATGAATAGAACTTTGGTTCTTGCCATGCCAAGAATCCCCAGCACGCCGTTCTGTATGACGAGGGGAGGGCAGATTAGTCATCGCGACCCACAACGTCAGCACGCTTACCCTGAAGGATACCTAGACAGGTCTGGGTTTTTCGGCCTCATTATGTCGACAACGCGTCCTGGGCCTGACAGCAATCCCGCAGAGTGGACATCACAATTCTTTTAGGCGGGCGGTCTGCTGTTGCGAAGGTTGAGCGCTCATCCTGTTCTGCGCGTTGTCTGACGCGACGGGCATCCGATCGTGACCCATATTCTTTCCAGTTGCCGATCAACCTTGGCTTGTGACCAATGGAAACTCAGACAGGGGAACGGCATGAAGAAGCAGTCAATACTATAGCCAGTGTTGTCCGCCTATTCCACGCCACCCAGAGGCCCTTCCGAAATTACCATGGGTCAACCAATAGCACGCGTACCTCTGAGAGGCGGGCGGACAACACTGTCGACACAAGCCAACTGACCCATGTGATCCGGGTCGACCGTGAGAAGAAGGTCGCTTTGGTAGAGCCGAATGTGCCCATGGATATTCTTGTCGAAGCCTGCTTGAAGGAACGTCTGGTGCCGCTTGTTGTCATGGAGTTTCCCAATATCACTGTGGGTGGCGGGTTTTCCGGATCATCCGGAGAAAATAGTTCCTTTCGTTACGGGCCTTTCGACTCAACAATCAACTGGATTGAGATCGTTCTCCCAAACGGAGAGGTCAGAAGGGCCTCCAAGACCAGTAATCCTGATCTGTTCTGGGGAGCAGCGTCAGGCTTCGGGACGTTGGGTGTCGTCACCCTCTTAGAGGTGCAACTGAAGGCGGCAAGGTCATACGTCGAGTTGACATACCACCCTTTTTCGACAGTATCGGATGCTTCCGCCAACATGCAGAAGCAGGCCCAGGATGGCGCTGTTGATTTCCTGGACGGGATTGCGTTCTCTCCCAGTCTCACCGTCGTCTGTTCAGGGCGCTTAGTTGACGAAGTTCCAAGCCCAGCCTCGCCCTTGCGCTTCGCAAGACGTAAAGATCCTTGGTTCTACTCACACGTGAAGCAGCGGATGGGAGGTACTACCAGGCCGACCACGGACTATGTGTGCCTGGTAGACTACCTGTTTAGGTTTGATCGTGGAGGCTTCTGGGTTGCCAAGTACGCTTTTAGTTATTTCTTTACGCCGTTCAACCGCATGACGCGGTCGTTGTTGGACCGTTATCTTCGAGCGAAAGTCATGTACGCTGCGTTGCATAAAAGCCAACTGGCAGACGACTACATAGTCCAGGATGTTGGTGTACCATACGAGCAGGTCGGCGAATTCTCCAGCTGGCTGGATGCAAACCTAAGGACATACCCATTATGGCTTTGCCCCTTACGTGTGCGACGCGATGCGACTGATGCACGACATGGATTGCATGCGGAGTTCGCCGATTCCACCACACCAGAATTCCTCATGAATTTCGGGATCTGGAGGCCTGGTTCTTTGGATCATGACCAATTTGTGCAACAGAACCGCGGTCTCGAGAAGAAAGTACAGGAGCTGGGAGGGAAGAAATGGCTATATGCCCATGCCTACTACACTGAAGATGAATTTTGGGCATCCTATGATAGAGAATCATACGATACTCTGCGTAGGACATATTCGGCGACCTATTTGCCCAGCGTATATGACAAGGTTAAGGTCGATCCTCAGAACCGAGCGAATCGGAAGAAGCCCTTCCACGGAGTCCGTCCACTACAGGGCCTCTATGGAGTATATAAGGCTTGGAGAGGCGGCGATTATTTGCTCGTAAGGAAGCAATCGAATTGAAGGAGTTATTTCAATGTGCTGGGCCTGCACGGTGAATACGAGTTGGCTCAAAAATGAATCAGAAATCCAGGTCGACTCAGCACGATGAAGTTACCGAAGCCTTCTTCAGTTTAAGTTGTACTATAGGGATGGAAAATATAGTAATGGCAGTATATTCTCATCATTAGACATTCCCGTATGTTATGCTAAGTTTTCTCTCTAATTTAGATGCTGCTTCGCTTTACGACGAACGCGCCTCTCTCCATGGTGTTGACGAGGATGTACCCACTCTTGAAGTAGGGGTAGTGAGACCAAGTACCCGAGAACTCGACGATACCGCCATCCTCGGCGTCGTCGTCTTCAGGGTAGATATCAAAGAAGCCAACCTCTTTGACACCGGCGCCAGTGGGATCCTGTGGGATGGATGAGACGTCCAGAATACGGAGACCGGTACCGTAGTTGCTCTGGTATGCGAAGCCGTCGATGACAAACTGGTTGTGGTCGATGCCCTTAGTGGAGCTACGGTACAGACCGGTAAGCTTGGGAGCCTCAAGCGATTTGATGTCCCAGAAGTAGCTGACGGGGTAACCCGCAGCTCCCTCACCGGCCTCGTCGACCTCATCATATTCGTCGTCGAGAACGAGATACTCCTGCCATTGCTTGTCCAGAACCCATCCCTGGTGTGTGTAAGATGCACCCTCGTAGCTGGTACGCGAGATGATGGTGGTTGAGTTCTTGTCGGTGACGTCGAAGATAGTGAGCGTGTCTTCATTGTAGCCATAGCACACTTCACGCTCGTTGTACTTCTCGTCAGGTCCACGGTAGACAAGGCATTGAGCATCGTGGACATAGCCGTCGCCGCCAGCGCAGCCAGGGGAGAAGGGGGCACTGGGGTCCGTCAAGTCAATGAAGATGAGACCGGACTTGCAGCTGCTGTTTCGCGGCTGGGCACCGACGGCAACTGCGTACTGCATCTCCTCGTTAACGACGACATTGTGGGTGCGTCCAACTGGGAGTTCGTTGAAGTGGCCGGTAAGGTCCTCCTTGTTGTTAAAGACCTTAGGGCTTGCTGGGTCAACCTCCAGAAGCTTCGACATGTCGAAGATCTGTACTCCATGGTAGTAAGCCTCGGAGCCGATGACGATGTAGTTCTTGTATCCCCGGATCTCCCTCCAGAGAGAAGGCTCTGCCGTAGTGTATTGGGGCAGGCGTCCAAGGTAAATCAGCTTGCCGTCCTTGTTAATCTCTGCGAAGGCAGCACCGTCACTTTGTGCCACGGCAACAAACTCCCTGCCCTCCGGGCTGGTCCATCCCCAGGAAGAGGAGCCCTCTCCACCGCTATTGCAAGTGTTAGGGGTCATTGACTTCACTTATAGAACGCAGCATGGCTCTGGTCGATACTTACTTTGATCCTAGGTCTGCGTGGCTCTTGAAGTCGTAAAAGTCGATCTGTGTCATGTTAGTCTCTCGAAAAAGAGTATATAGACCAGCTTGACTTACGGCGTTGCAGCGGAAGGTGTTGTTAGCATCACCCGGAATGACAGCAGCTACACCATCTTGGCAAAGCACAGGACCAGCTTCGGCGCTGTAGCTCTTGTACTGAGTGGAGTCATAGACTCCCTGGGCCCGACGAGAGTCCCACAGGGCCTGTTGTGTTGTGTTAGTGACATCGACTCTCTATCTTCTTGATATGTGACGACCTACATGTTTCTTGCTCATGATAGTCTCATGAATCTGCCCACTCTCGTATATTTCTTGCTTGGCCGGGTTGGCAATCTCCTTTGCAATAGCAAGTTGAGATGCCGCCAAGATGGCAAGAGATCCCAGGCTGTGGTACTTCATGATTGCAGCTTGATCAGGTGTATTGAACTGGCGATGAACAGCTGGACGACAAAGTCGTACAAGTCATCCTCCCGTGAGGCAACTTGAGCCTACTTATATCGGCTTCCCGAGCGCTGCCGGCAGTCATTCCATGGGTCATATCACGCTATCTTGCGGTGCATACCGAAAAGGGTAGGCAGATAATACCCATGTCACGGCAACAGTCGTGTGTAGCATTTTTGCCGCTCGGCACAGCTTGGCAAAGGCTTGGCGACCCCAGATGAATCCGGTTCACGATGGACTTACACGCGTGGACCAATCAGATGGCTCGCTGATAAATTCGACAATTATCCCACGATCGGCGAGCCAAGGCGTTAAATGTACGCCAGGACGGTTCGCTGCAATGCTACCTTCTCGTTGTGCGAGCCTCTTCTTGTTGCATAGGCCAAGCGGTAAAGGTTAATCCAGTCATGTGGGGGGCTTTTCGCCATACTCGCATTTGTTGACGCCTTGGATGCCCAAGTCCGGAGATGTCTTGCTGCTGCAAGAGCTATACCCGCTGACTGGCCACTTGTAAGAGTATCAAAACCCGAGTGCTACTGTAGGGGTGAATATGCAAGCCACCATCGCGGCCCCAGTATTACGATCATGTTTGCCTGCGCCTGAACCGATATCCGGTTGAGTTGCATTGAGATCATCCCGGCATGCTGCCATCTGAATAAACACTTGGCTTTTCTAAGCTTTCCCGGCACGGTTAGGAGCGGCCAAGAGTAGAAGCAGAAGCATGTCGGAGCGTCCCGTCGCGTATCTCAAGGGCTTCTAACTCCGAAATGATACTACAGATCTGATTTAAGGCGATGGAGTCAATTTCTGCTTCCAACGGCTTGGCTGGTCTAAAGCAAGTCAAGTAACGCAATATCGTGAGGTGATGATTCTGTTTGCAGCAAACCCGACTTGAGTCTATTCAATGGAACTCTGCCAATGCCTTTGAAATCAATGCCCAACGTAACTCAACTGTAGGGAAACGTCTAGCTCTCAAACACAACATAGCACTCGGAACCGGACTTCGGAGTTCAGCGCAATGAAGTCACGAAAAGGCTCTTTACGGTCCAAGTAGCGCTCATTACGGCCGTCAAGGTTATTCTGGTTCCGTGCCTTCTTAGCATTCGATACAGTTACCCAAGAGGGAAAGTCTGGCAGATATAGAAGAGCCTCGCAAACTTGGAGCTATGCATGGCAAGCTTGGCAGCGGATACCTGTAGGTAGTTCGCTTGCACTTTTGATTAACTATGAATGAATGTAAGACGTAATAGACTCCTTCACTAGTCTAATTTGTGGGCACCCACAACGAAAAAGCCTCAGACCAAGGTAAGCCAAGTGTATACGACGTGAAACTGCCCTAAGCGCTCACTACCCAGGGACGGAGGGCCAAGAGAATGTAATTTGGTTCTGAGCAAACATACCAACCCCGGGATTCCAACATTAAAGAAAGGCAAGAATTGAAGGCCTAAGAAGGAAACTCGATTCAACCACCCTGAATAGATCTCCTGACTTGATTCGCGGAACCGAGTGCTACACACCCGTCAAAAGGTGCTTCTAGACTGCGAAAGGTTTCTGACCGTCGTATCGTCCAATATGGTCGGAGTTCGGCAGGCCGAAAGACCCTCGCAGAGGTGCATAGTCTGGTTCAGCTGCCGCACTGCGTGTCACCCTGAGGATCGTCCCATTTTCGCCGATTGCTTCTGCAAGGGCAAACTTGACTTTCTTCCTCGGGACCCGAAGAGAAGTCTCGAAGCTTTTGCGGTCAACCTCACCTAGGAGCTCCTTGAAACCTTTCCCGTCGGTTGCGTAGAATCGCCAGATGCGCGTTTCGGTATCGCCGTTCCAGCTGACATGGAGCGTAGTACTGTCGCCGGACTCAAGAGCTATGAGGGAAGGCTCTTCGTTGGGAATCCCTGTCCAGTTATATCGGAACGCGCGATAATTTTCAACCCCAGCACCCAGGTCTCCCGAATCCATATATGCGTGAAAGATCGCGGTTCCGTTCGGGAGGAACTCAGTCACAGCACCTTCAGATCCCCAGCCTACTAAAACATTGCCATTGGGGAGAGTCTGGGTTGAACCTTGAGACTTTGATAGCAAGTCATCAGGGGGAAAGAAGCCTTGGACCAGTTCAGCTTCCCACGAAGTCGTATTGAGCCTCACGATCTTCCCGCTGCTTGTTGGCGCCGTGTGAACTTCGTGACCTCCGCCATGCTCAGTGCCATGCGCGCTGTTGTCATAGAAGCTTATAATTTCTATGTCAGCTGACTGCTTCATCCATCGTGCATGGTGCTGAAAGCAGAACTTTGTGTTGTCGGGGACTTTGAAGGTACTGTCTTTCCCATTGAGTTTCCAGATAATGCTTCCGTCGGTGCCGTTAATCTTATGGATGCTACATGCGTCCCTTGCAGAGATCAGATAGTTTCCATCGGCATCCTTATCGACGCTGTTGATGTGGAAATAGTCCCACGCGTCTGAGCTGTTGTATCCGGAGCCGGCTTGTCCAGGGTTAAGAGGCAGAATAGCTTCTGTATTGATCCTTCATCAGTCACCTAAGGCAAATATCATAGGGTGGTATAACATACCGTCTGGGGAAATATGATCAAGACTAGACCATTCGAATAGAAGATCGCCAGTTGTGATATCAAGTTCTGGAAAGGTCAGCTGTCTACGACGTATCAGAACCATTAGCAGCTCATACCCTGAATGATGGCGTTCACAATCCATTGCTGCTCGGAGCTGCCTCCCCAAGGAGCCAAATCTCTGGGTACTGGTTGATAGACTTGTATCAAGCCAGTTTTCTCATTGACAATGTGAAACTCATGTTTGTCGACGAGCTTGTGATTCCCGGCGCGAAGCTCTCTTATGGTCTCGTAATGTGAGTCCATGAATGTGACATGGCCATGACCGTGCCCATAACCTGGGTTATGATCTCCTTCAAAGCTGAAGATGATGTCCTTACCATTCCAGCGCCCGGCCTGGAAATTTGTCGTCCAAATACTGTAGATGCCGTATCCAGACCACACGAGATCGCCATCGTCCCGGAAGATGTATGGCCCTGCCTGTCTGGGACCATGCTGTTCGGTTGGTGTGTCAGGCAACCCGGCGAACGGAGCAAGAAAGAGATATCCCTTCTCGACATCCTGAGTAGCTGGGATCGTGATATTCAGCCGAGGAGGAGCAAGGTCTGAGCGAGACCTGAACTGCCAGTCCGCGTATACTGGGAGGCTTAGGACGGACAGAACTCCGAGATACTGAGCGGGTCTCATGGCGGTAGTGTTCGGATTCGACGGGTACTGGCTATGTCAGAAATCACCTCCATCTTACCAGTGTTGAGGAGGGTACATTAACCTTGGCGAGAGAACATAAGCCCTAGATAACCCTTCTGTATTTTGACAATCCGCAGATGTCCAAGTGAGTCTGCACTCCACGTATTACCAACTGGAAACAGTAGTTTTGGTGTGTAATTGAGCTTTAGTCTTTCCACTCGGTGCTACGAAGTTATTTCATGACTATAAGAGGAGTAGACTACTGGTCAAGACTATGACGACATAAACAGCCAATAGAGGCCCTCTGGCCAGAAGCCGAAGTCGCAATCCTAGCAGGTATGAATTGGCGAATCACTGCTGAGTAGAACATAAATCATGCTTATGAAATGCATTGCGCGAAAACTAAACGGTGCTCCAAACCTTGCAAGAGGGTCTAAGTGTGGTAAAGTGCAGATGCACAACGCAGTGAGTCACCCCGAAACCACATCCGTTTGGACTCTTGAACCCACATCTTCCATGCTTGAGTTCGTTGCGTGCTAATCGAGCTAGATTGCACCACACCTTAGCCTCTAAATCTAGACGCACCAAATCCTTAGAAAGCTCCTTGCCCTTGGCTGCGAGGCTGGCTAAGCTTGGAAATCAGGGGATTTGTGATGAAAATTACATCTTACGTGCTTGGTGATTGTCAAATGGCACCAAACAGATATCCGGCCTGCGGGGTTGCCGAGAAGTTCAAGAGTATACATAGCCAATCGCAGCGACCCGCCATGTAGTCAGCGATCAGGAGCCGAATCACCGGAGTACCACTGTAATTGGTTACATTATTAGTGGCGCACAGTGGCTAGCATTCTAGCCTTATACGATGTATCCCCACTAAGAACAATTTTTTGATATATCGTTGCCCGCCAGACCAGCATTCTGTGTGACCTTGAGGAAGAAATTACTCCCATAGCTGTGCCTAACTCTCTGGAATTGTAAGGCCAGCTTGCTCAGCCCACGTGACGCGGGAATTCCCAATGGCTGCAGTGAAAGGCGCCGCACTAGTGCCAGGTGCCGCTTCCGCCGCTATACGGGATGGAGGAATAGCAACCCAACACCCGGTCGATAGTCAAGGAGTAGAGGCTGCCGAATCTCAGCCTCTTCTCGGACTGACAGCTCCGAGTGAGGACGCATGGAAAGCACCGAAGCACTTTCTCTTTATTGAGACGGCGATCTTCTCAAATGTGTTCTTGTACGGCTTTGACTCGACGATCACTGCAGCAACATATGCCGTGATCAGTTCCGAGTTTGATGCAGTCAATACAGCGTCGTGGTTGACGACATCGTATCTCGTCACCAGTACTGCCTTCCAGCCACTGTATGGCCGCATATCCGACATCTTCGGACGGCGTATCTGCTTCTTTATCTCGACTATTACGTTTGCGCTGGGATGCCTCGGATGCGGTGTTGCTGAAGATTTTATCCTTCTGAACCTGATGCGCGCTCTTACGGGTTTTGGAGGTGGTGGCTTGATGACAATGGGTATGTATCCTAGCTCCTCGACTCTTGATTCTGCTAAGTATCGAAACTAGCCACAATTGTCAACTCGGATATGATCCCATTCAAGAAGCGAGGAATGTATCAGGCATTGCAGAATGCGAGTTTCGGATTTGGGGCTATATGCGGCGCTTCGTTTGGAGGGTCGATTGCAGACAACATCGGGTGGAGGTGGTGTTTCCTACTACAGGTCCCGGTGTCAGCAGTCGCTTTTGTGTTGGGCTACCTTGTGATCAAGAACCCCCAAACGCGCTTTCATGAACAAAGCTTCAGAGAAACATGGCGGGCTGTAGATGTTTCCGGTGCACTCCTACTGGTCACCGCGATATCGGTCCAGCTGGTCGGGCTGAGCCTCGGGGGTAACGAGCTTCCCTGGGGAAGCCCCTGGGTTATAGGGTCTCTCATTGGCAGCGTTATCTTGTTCGTGGTATTCCTCATAGTGGAAGCTCGTACATCAGCAATCCCGGTCATTCCACTGCGGATGCTGAAGGGACGACTTCCTACATCAACTCAGATCACCAATGTTTGTGTTGGGTTATCTGCTTACGCGGTAAGTTAATTGCTGGTCACGGTATGATCGCATTGTCTGGAACTGACTGTTCCCCTAGTATCTCTTCATGTTACCTCTATTCTTTCAGGTTGTATTGCTCGACTCTGCGACGAAAGCAGGAGCTCGCCTAGCGATTCCTTCTCTAGCGAGTCCAATTGGGGGGTTGATTGCAGGTGTTGTCATGTCACGCTATGGAAAACTGACCACCTTGGTGCGGGTCGGAGCTTTTCTAATGGCCGCAGGAAATGCGTTGGTCACTTCACTGCAGTTTGAGGATTCTACCTGGAAGTATTATGCGTACATCTTCCCAGCGAATCTCGGCCAAGGGATCGTGTATCCAGGCTTGCTCTTCACTTCGCTCGCTACATTTGAACATTCCGGTAAATCACACTCCTGTTCTTGTTCGACGTTGCCTCTAATGCATTCTAGATCATGCTGTTTGCGCATCGACCGTCTACCTTATCAGATCCCTGGGCACAGTCTGGGGCGTTTCGATCACTTCGGCAATTCTTCAGACCACTCTCAGCGTCCAATTGCCAAATGCGCTAAATGATGTACCCGATAAATGGACAGTACGACCCTTTTTATACCCGCCTTCTCCCGATACCTGTAGCTGTTCTTGGCACTAATAAGTTATTGTGGTAGATTATCGATGCGATCCGACATTCCGTCGAGGCATTGAAGGAGCTACCTCCCGACATCCAGCTTAAGGCTCGACTCGTGTACTACCGTGGACTCCAGTACTCATTTGCCGCATCAACAGGCATTGCTATTATCGCTCTCGTCACTTCCATGTTGTTGAACGGCAAAGGGTTGCGCAAAACGAGCAGCTAAACAAGCCCAGGGCGGTTTCTTGCTGGCGCGCGTGAATGATGTTGGTCAGCTAACTTACAGCAAAGGACGGGTTTATCTAAGGTTGTATAGTGTGGACAGGAATCTTTCTGTGATGTTTTACCAGTCTAAATAGCGTCAAAGAACCTCAGCTGTCGGTTTTCATTGATATATCGGTGAAAGATGAAGTAATACTCTTGCACAACATAGCGCCTTGTTCTATAGACTTCTAGTTCGTTACAATGCTTCCAAACGGTAATTCATGGAAGCCACAAATCTTGCCAGTGAATATTTTGAATACCAATCTATATGTCGATCCATTTTGCAATGTTGCTCGGCAGATGAACTTACGCAAGGTAAGTCAACCAGGTTGAGGTTTTCCGTGCCCGAGTCAGACAGACACTGTCTTAAACGCGTCTTCATCGTCCGTATCCTCCTCATCCGTTCCTTTCTCCTCCTTAATGCTGGTCCTTTGGTTCGCGATGACCGATAGTTCTGATGCCTCCTTCTTTTCCAAAGCCTCTCGGACTTCGGGTGTCATGTCGAGCTCTCTACGTCGCTCTGCCAGTCGATCTGCCTCACCTAAAAGGCCACGAGCCCTCAACAGCTTCTCCACAGCCGCGGCAAACATCTTCCATACCCCGTCCGGAGCGCCATTCAGTTGGACGGCCGCTCGGCTATGCTCAATCACTTGGTCCAGCCCGCCCTTGGCAAGCCAGTATTTCATGAGCAAGAAGTGACCGCTTCGGTAGATCCAGTTTTCATAGTAGTCGTAGACCCATATCTCCGGAGGCTTCTCGCGATAGCACTTGTACATTTTTGCACATGTTGTACATAATCTCTCGGCTGCCTTCCGGAATGTGTCGTCGAATAACTCGAGATCTGCCCGGAGCGTCAAAGCGACCCCCCAGAGCACTCGAGCGTCGATATTGTCCTCGCCAAGCTCCGCTGAGGCCTGGCGTGCTATTGTCATGAAGTTGCCCATGGACTGGAGTTGTAGATCTCTATCCTGGACCCCATGGGCATAAACCGAGAGCTTGTTCGCCGAAGCAACGTCGAGGCCCCGTAGGCGAACGTATGTGTCATATTGAAGTCGAACTAGTTTTGATATAACCGAAATCACTCGTTGCATGCCGCCGACTGACGCTGCTTCATGCAGGCTGCGTGCAACTGCGGCAATGGGGTGGGCCTTTCTAATAATTGATGACTTTACGGGGTCAGTGATGACTGCCAAATCTGTTTGGACACTTGTTCCCATATGCCACACGAGCGAGTGACACACGTACCTGTTGATATAGATATCTACATCGATCAGAGTCAGCGTTGCGTCAAAACGGCGATGATTGATCAGAACCCAAACTAGATTGGATATCTCCTCTTTTCTTCCCTACTGATTTCGCCCGGTGAGGGATGCAACGAAACTCTGGGCTTACTTGCTATATGCTTTGATAATCTCGTCCCGCAGAGGTTGCTGCAACTTAAAAATCATGAGCGGGCATGCCACAAATAGATCCGTGGCACTTGAGATGTGATCGTCCATGAGAACCTCCTCGATGGCCAGGAATGCAAGCCGCAGGAATCTGCCCCCGGCCGGGTAGTCGCCGGACTCGAGGTAGCTCGTGGCCATGCGAAGGTTGTCCTTCAGTGGGAACTGCTGGACAGAGAGGGAGTCCGACTTGTACCGGGATATCTCGCGCCAACGCGGATCCGTCTCGGCCCAGGACACATTGAAGCTGCGAAAGCCCCGCAGAGCCGCATCCAGGTAGGATGCAGTCCGACTCTCATGCATCAACAAGCGCGTGCTCGGAGCGTAGATTGCGATTGAGCCAGGGGTGGAAGAGCGCGAGCCTCCGCCGATCTGCCTTGCGACTTGTCTCCCCAGTCTCGTGCTCTGCACCGCCTTGGCTTCGCTTGACTTTCTCATGCCCCATCGAGTGAGTCGGGTCTTATACATTCGCTCACTGAAGAGAACTTAGGTTAGGAGCAGGAAACACTTGACAAGGACCAACAATGCGGGTGTGCGCATGACGTGCCTAGCTTTGAAGCCATATTCTGTCCTGATATGATGTACTACGCCCCGGAGTGGGAGGTTCCTTGTAACATAAAGCTCTTCGATAACCGGCCGTAGTGCCTCCCATTCATGCTCACCAGCAGGGAAACGCGGAGCGGTTCCCCCGGGCGAGGATAGACGCGAGGATCCATCACTGTCCGAAGCGATCTTTGCCGTAGGTTGAGGGACTGGATCTCGAAGTCCAGAAGCTTTGTGTTGAGAACTGATCATTCTCGGACCATGCTTACCAATCAGTGCGATGCTGCTGCTCCGATGCACACGGTCGTTGCGAAAACGTGGGCAGATAGGTGCGGAATCCCATTCGGGCAGTAGAAGTACCGTGCATAATGCACAGCTGTAGCCTCTTGTTCTGCAGTCACATGTTTCCCGACAGGGGTCTTGCTTACTGCGGCACAGAGCCTGGTAGAAATAATGGCGAGCTTCCTTGTCTTACTCTGGTGTACTGCATTTCTATGATAACTGGCAGCAATTGATAACTGGCATAAATATCTAATATATTGTCTCTATCTAAAGATGAATGGTATCTTCTAGTCTGTGCTCTTCGTTATGAACTCCAAGGAGCGACCCTGTAGCGGCCGTATAGACAATGCAACCCCTTCCCGCAGTGTGTCCAAGAGGGTTGTCGCTCTGACCCAAGGCACTTTAAGTGTCCTTGGAGCAAGGCGCATAATGATATCTTGTAGTCCGAACGCGTAAAACGCAACGGCATCACAACGACTTGACTTTGGCGGTTACACCAATCAAGGAAGTTGACGGATTCAAGTACAATGATCACTCTCAATGGGGTATCAAGGGGGTCCTTAAGCCATGACTGTGGCTGAGCTACGGTGGATGAGCAGGCGCTATGCTTGACAACCTGAGGCGAGTGACCTTGGAGCCGGATCTGAGGCTCTGGTCTATGGGTATCAAAACGGCGGGTACAGGAACCGCTATGCGTAGCCCAAACTTGGTCAGAATAAGTCGGCTGAACCCAACTCCGTCTATATATCCCGAGGTGGATTGGCCCCGGGCGTCTGAGCCAGGCCGTAGGTATTGTCATTCCTGGAGAACGTTGATGGAAACTGGTGCGGCTGTCTGTGACCTAGAAAGTCCTAGCAACATCAACTTTGCGCAGTGTTTTCGCTCTGTCAACTCTTTCCTTCTTCCTCTTCCGTACAGTCCGCACATGCGTGCGGTCAAAGAATGAGCGGAAGTACTCATAGATAACTAGACGCATGAGAATGAGAATAATTCCGAATGTGACGGGGATCGCGATTTGCCAGCTGTCTTCCAGTTAGTGCGAGTTGCCAGGAGTAAGGCCACAGCCAGGGAATGGAGTCTTACAAGGTAATGACGCTCCCCTGAATTGCATCAAACAAAACAAAGTTCTGGCCGAAATCTGTCCAGAGAAATAAGTTAGCCTGATTCATTACACTTTACACAAGAACATATCAATCTTGTATAACACCGGGTCAAGCAAGAGGATTTGGCGAATTTTGGCACTTACATCCAGTAAGGAAAGTCAACGGTAGGAAAATAATCGTCACTACCGTCAACTGCTTCATGCTCTCGTTCTGATATGCGGAGATAGTGTTGAAAATCAGGTCTATCAAACCATCCGCGGATTTCCTGATCGTGACCAGGTTCTCGGAAATCAAGACACAGTGATCGTACACATCTCCAAGGTACGTGTAAGTCATGGGCGTAATGATGACGCCGCCTAAGGGGTCCTGGAGCTTCATCTCGGCATGATCTTGAGACAGCGTCGTCTTGTGATCGCGCATAGCCGAGATGATGGAGGCGATAGGGTTGATCAAGCCAGCCATTTTGTTGATTTCCGACTGGATAATGTACAGGCTCCTCGTCTGCTTGATGCTGGGTTGCAGAAGAACTTCGAGTTCCAGATCAGCTATGACATCGGCGTAGCAAGCCGATACGGGAATGGCCATGTCGATAACGGCGTCGATAATCGCTTGTCCTACCATTGATGCATCACAAGACTGTCGCAAAATTGTGTCGGGACTGGCAAGTCTTGCGAGAATTGGCCTCTCTACATCATCGGCTGACTGCTCGAAGAAGGCTATGACTGTGTTGTCTGAAGTGACGAACATAGCGACCTGTTCAGCTGTAACGGCCAGGCCTCTGGAAGCAAGCGCACTATGCCTCTCCATGAAGTCATTTCGCGCCTCGTTGGAAGACGCCCGATATCTTTGCAGCGTAGTGAGAGTGTTGGGGTTGAAAACATCCGATAGCCCCGTGGCTTGGTGGGAAAGGATATCATTCAGCGGCGGTATGTTGTTGCCCTTCTCTATGTTACTGGCTGAAGGCGTTGCGGTGTGTTTCTCCTTCGTAGAGGACCACCATCGCTTGATGTTCTTCTTGATGCCTTTCTTGGAGCCGTGACTTCTGACGCTATGGCCGTCGCGCGCATCTTCATCGTCGCTGCTATCGTCATCGATCATGCGTACCAGTTTCTGGCAGGTTAAGATCATGAAAGCGTGGTGTTGGTACCTTTGATAACACATTGTCAGCCTCCTTGCATTGCAAGGAGCAATTCTGGTCTGTGGCGCACTTACCAGTCGACCTTGGTTCGATTCCTTGTATTCATAATGTCTTCAATAGCCAACCTATGCAAGTTCTTGTAGTTGCCCAGGGCTTGTATAACATCCCAGCTTAGCCCGTTGACGTTGATCCAGCGGCACTTGACCCAGTCAGGCTGGGGTTGCTGCAAAAAGTCGACTAACTCTGAGTTGTCCAGTTCGTGGATCGCGAGGTTGTCCTGGCTAAAGTCGACGATAGTAATCTGGCAATTGGCATGCAACCCCATGACTGCGTGGCCTTGTTCGGTTTTGGTGGTATCGACTCCGGGCTCAGCCCCCGGCTGCCACCCGGGCCGGGAGAGTTCCTCGAATTCATCGTACTCTTGGATCGTCTTGAAGGTGTTCTGGTCGAGAGCAAGTCAGCATCTAGTAACGCAACCGATCCTGTTCATCTGCGCCGTGCGGCCATCCTGTTGGTCACCCCTTGGAAGGGACGAGTTTCTCTCACGAAACCCCACCTGCGCCAGGAGAAAGGGAATGCGACGGTCCATTACGTACGGCACGAGTATTGCGTCGCCTCACTCCACTACGCGAGAGCTCGGTGTCCGATCGCGTGACGCCCCCGAACCCAGGACTCCTTGGGGAGAGCGGCGAGGGGCGCGGTGCCGACTGGGGCGCTCGGGTATCGACATTGAGGGCGAAATCGACGTGATGTTGTTGCCGCGAAGGGGGTGAGGTGACTTCGGACAGGCCTGGGGACGAGACTGTCACGTCTAGAGCGGGCGGGAAGGCCTCGGTCGCGGTGTCGTCTGAAGAGTTCGACATGTTTGCCTACGTCCCCATGCCAGACGGAACTAGGACCGCGGCGGGAGCTTGATGTCTTGGCAATGGATGGGAATGGGAGAGATGGAGCTGTTCCCGGGCCGTTGTTGCAGATAAGCTTAAAGCAGTTCGGCCGGCCGAACTAGTCTCGATGCCCAGACGCGATGACGGGCGGTGGATCGCAACCTACCAAGATAAGTATGGAAGTAGTGGTATAAGGCTGAGTTTCCCTTTTTGCAACTTCTCATGTACATCATAGAAAGGTGGAAACAGTACCGATTTCCGATGCTCGTTCGAGCTCCTATTCAGCTCTTGTTCAGCGCGAAATCCAGGGTGGCCTTCAGGGGTTGCCCATCAAACAGTGGGGGCAGCGCCACCCGGCATCTTCCTTCAGATTACCAGCATCCAAAGTTGTACCCCTGTCCTATCGAGTTAAAGTACTTCTACCCAGCAGAGACGAGGCAAAGACTTTTTTGGATAAGCGTCGCCCCGGGCATGCACGTGGAAAGTCAACAAGGCTTTGGAGAAAAGAAGAAAGTATGAATTGACCACCTGAACTGCATAGTCAGACACCAGTATATCCCAGTGTTGACGAACCCGCCAGTGTTCCCGTCTTGGTTCCCATTGTGACCTCCGAAGCGCAACTGTACGAGTGAAAAGGGGTACCTTTGTCCTATCAAGCATCTTTCCCGGATACCCTTGGGATGTGTCTGCCGTATCTTTACCAATCTGGCACCATGTATCCATGTCTTGAAGCCGCCCCGGCTTGCTTTACTTGCTTGGCTGGCAACCTAAGTTAGATGATCAGAGCTGCCCACCCCCAGCGGATAGCCTCGTCATTGTATCACCAACGACCACCCCATTGCATGGCGCATATCGTCTTGTGCCTGTACGCGCAATGGACTCACGCCTTTATCCTACCTCACGCACAAACTCAAGCTGATTCACTATGTTTTGAATTCGCGGCTTTCGGATGAACTTGAGCAGCCTCCGCCAGAGGCCGTTTCCGTTCTTCACTTTCTCTCACGGCACCGTGACCCGGCGCCGCAGCCTTCCGCATGCTACGGTCCGGTCAGGTGCGCGAAAGGCAGTCCTGAATGCATCGGTTGCTGGGACAGTCGCTCTGGCAATCTCACACACCCTCCATCTTAATTATCCCTGTACCGAACTCCCGGACGGATGCACGCCTGCTGAACAAAACGAGGCTTGGCACCAGGGCTGGGATACGGCGATCCGGAATGGAGACTTGAAGCTGGCAAGAGAACTTCTGTTTGGCCATATCCGGATGTGGATTGGGTGGCAGTTCGACAGCCCCATCATCGACGATGGTCCTCAGGGGTCGGACGTCGTCGTCGGCACTGGATACCACTTCGCGTCCGAGGATATGAGAGTGTTCTGGCTGCCTGTGCCAAGCTGGAAATAATCTGATATGCCGGTTGTCTATGTTGGCATCAATGGCTTTGGCATGGAAGATGACCTTGGAGAATGCCTCGCGATTCTCATTGCCTACCGTCTGCATGATCGCGTGAAAAAGTGGCAGGCGGAAAGTGAAATGTCCAACAAATACTGCCTGGTCCTCCACTCCTGCAATAAAACATTGTTTTAGGACTGCGGACGTGGATGATTTGTTGCTTGATGTTCTTGACGTATATGATGTCGTAGCAGAAAACTCGGCGCCGTAGTACGATTGGCCCTATTCACAGGGAAGCAAGCACATTCAATCCAGATACGTATAATCAGATGAAACTGGGGTTACGTATTTTAATCGTAAAGCGTAGGCAGGCTTCGAGAATCAGTGCCACCTACTGTCACCAAACAACGATGGATTGAGAAGGCTATCTCGCCGACCAGGTGATCTTTCAGTTGCTACATATAGACCTTTCATGCATGTCCATGACCGGGGTTACTAGACCGTCAGAGGGTGATTGCAGGGGAGCATCTTGTGGGTTGGCATCGAACCCTGCAAGTTCTATAACACATTAATTTATTTCTACTATTGTGGAGTTACGGTCTGTTTCATCCACCACTGGGTATCTCTTTCGCCCGTCATGATGCCCATGTCTATAAGATGGTCTTTTCTCGAACCGATTTATATCCCTGGAAGTCCCACGATGCTCCGGAGAACAGGAATCCATCGAGGGAGGTAATAGACAGCATAGATGCCGGTCAAGGCCACGAGGAGCCCCGTAAGCTGCAACTTCATGTTAGCGTCCACTGGATATAGGATAGACCAAATAGTCGAGACTGACCTTCTCAAACCAGGTGTGAAAGTAGATGGCCGTCATAAGGAGCATCCACAGGCACAGTCCGACCAGCGCGATGGCAAACTTTCCTCCCAGGCCTAGCTCGCCCTGATTCGCAGTCCTGTCCTCCTTCTCGGCTTCAACGCTGGCACCCTTCACGGCGCCGTCGGCCATGACGACACATCGTTCATCCCTGCGCCCGAAGACGCCGCGGCGAGCCACAACCCAGCCCACCTCTTGCAACAGGAACCAGCTGCCCAGGACTAGGAGGAACACATGGCCGCTGATGTCGTGGCCGCCGCTCCACCTCCCACCCGAGGCCTTGCACGCGGCCGCAGTGAAGACGTCGGCCTTGTCGTTGGAGCCCTCGAAGACGGCCGTCTCGGCGACCTCGCACTTGCCGCCCGTGTAGCGGAAGCCCCTGTCGATGAGGGCGGGCCCGAAGCACCACTGCGTGACGATGACCCACCAGCCCGTGACCAGGGCCCAGCGTATGCCGGCCTTGAGCTTCCGCGTGGGCGAGGCGAGCGCCGGGTGGGTGAGCAGGAAGGCCACGAAGGCGAGGGTGATCCAGCCCCAGCCGCGCTTGACGAAGAGCGTGTTGAAGAGGTTGTTCTTGCGGGCGAAGTAGCTGGGCGCATCGTGTTGGACGTGGGACTGGCCCGTCGCATCGTACGGCACGGCGCGTGTTTCCGGGCTCAAGACGGAGAAGAGCGTACCAAAGATGAGCAGGACCGGGTAGACGGCCAGGACGAGGACCTCGAGGGGCGTCGGGAGGTGGGGTGCAGTTCGTGGGGTCGCCGCGGTGCTGCTGCTGCTGCTGCTACTGTTGCGAGCGTTTGGTGACGATGGGCCTCCGGAGGCTGCCATTTTCACTGGCCGTGATCTTAGAGAATAACTGTCGGCCATGTGGGACGAGGCACCATGAAGTGGCAGGTTGGGGGGTTTGTGGTGTGGTGTAGTAGTTTTCTTCGATAGCAGATCTTGCGCAGATGGATCAGTAGGGAGCTCGTGACACTCTTGTCAGAAATTGTCTTGGCGCCAACGAGCCGAGGGATCGACACGAGGGTCAGTGACTATTAACAGAAAACGAGTTCTTTGAAAGGTGGCTGCAACGATGTTTGCCTGAAGCCATCTAGTTCCACGAGCTTCTGGTTTACAGACAATTGAGCGATGACGTTGACACTGGCCGGCCAGCCTACTGGAACGTCCGCTGTGACGGGCGCCACAGTTGCCGAGGTGTGGCCGCGCCAAAATCGACATCCCTGTTCAGGTACCGTGCGTGATTACAGGACACCACCCTCTTTGCCTCTGGTGGCAATCTAACTTACATCAGTTGTGCCTGACAGCCTGGCAAGCTTGGAGTCAGCCCACAGGTCATCAGAAGTGGTTCTGATCGCACCGCAAACATAGTGTTATAAAGTCAACATGGGATTTCCCAGGTTCATACGAATGCGACTCATGTTGATGCTATAGGATCTACAAGAGCTGTGGCATCTGGGCCACGCGCTTCTCGGGAAATTGCCATCTATAATGGAAAGGGTATACACGAAACATCCGCCGCTGAACTGTTTCTTTTCTTGTCCCGCCAAAAACTCCTGAGACCTCTGCTAGGTCATGAATGCAAACCTGCCCTGTTCCCTATGTGTATCATGAAAAGAAGAAGAGAAAAGTATTCGTTCAAATGCCCTCGGGGCCAAAAGGTGGAAAAGAAGTGAAGAATGTTGTCGCCGTGCGAGAAGTCTCGTGGGCGACAAGATATGTATGTAGGTATCGAACCGAAGAGAACAGGGACAGGCCTCACACTCATGGATGACTACAGTTTGGTGATGTTGTAGTCGTAGTCGTTGTGGTTGCTGTCACTGTTGAGGGCGCGACTGGTTGGGCAGGACTGCCTTGTCCTGTAGGTGCTGTTGTAGCCTACGACGCAGCACACAGTCCCGTGGCAGTCACTGTTGCAGTGACCGTGACCGTGACGGCTTTCGCTTGGTCGGGGACGGTACCACTCCCAGTCGTCACGGTCTGGGTCGCAGCGGCCTGGGTCGACGTACTGGCCGGGAGAGTTGAAGTGATCGGAATCGTCGTCACACTGTCGGTTCCTGAACCAGAGCCTCCCGACCCACTGCCGGAACCGCTGCCGGAACCGCTGCCCGAGTCACTGCCAGAACCACTGCCGGAACCACTGCCAGAGCCGCTTCCTGAGCCGCTACCCTGAGAAGGAGAAGTGGTGGCGGTTGATGCGGGGACAGCAGCAGTCGTCGTGGCGCCAGCCTCTGTGCCTGAGCTCTGAGACCCAGATCCTGAACCGGATCCGTAGCCGCCTCCAGTTCCAGATCCAGAGCCCGAACCGCTGGACTGAGTCGGCGAGGCTGCCGTTGAGGACGGAGCCGAGCCCGAGCCTCCTGCAGTGCTTGATGGCTTGATGGTGGCCGTGGCAGACTTTGATGCAGAGGACGAGGAACCGCTACCACTGCCGCCTGAGCCAGAACCGTTTCCTGGACGTGGAAAATCAGCAACTTGATCCTACAAGTAACGATCGTTCCAAAGGAAGCCAGGAGATATCACTTACCAGCAGGGCCGCCCTCACTCTCGAACTGAGCAATCGCGGCGCAGAAGGTATTTCGGTTGTCCTTGTCCAGTGCCACCGACTGACCGTCTAAGGTGATCATGTTGACCGACGCCTTGGTGCTGATACCGAAGAGGTGAACGCTGGAGCTTTCGATGCTGACCATGTGGTCCTGGCAGCTCTGAGTAAGAAGACAATCCTGGCCGTAGTTCTCAAAGAAGGAATAGAGCCTTGAGAGAGATTTTGTTAGTCATCACCGGCCTCAACAATTTCAAGTAAAGGGGAAGAGGAACTGAGTACGTACCCGCCACCGAAGACGAAGATGTCCGACGAGTTGGTCACACGGAGACCCCAGGTGCGAGCACACGAAGTGGAACCATCCGTGCAGCTGGTTGCGAAGTCAGGGTCGTTGAATCCTTCATTGACCGGGAAGGGCGTGGTTGCGTCAGGGTTGCCTTGCATGTATGCCGTCTCGGTCTGGATGACAGACATCCACACGTTCTGGGCGTTGGAGATCTGGTAGTTGTACATCTGATTGTGCTCGGATGCAGTACCCCAGAACCAAACGGGGTTTTGGGACTCGAGAAGAACACCACGGCCGTTGTAGATATCAATCTGGTTGTGGTCGGTGATGTCGAGCTCGTGATCGGCAACCCAGAACCAACAGTTCTCAACGTAGACGGAGGCAGTCTGCGTGGCGTGGAACAGCAAGAATGCACCCTCGCACTCCTCATTGGCACCGTGTGTGGCGTTGGGGTTCTTCGTGCACTTGTCCGACTGGAGCTCAGTGCCGGAAGTGCCGCCAATACGGAAGTGAACATCCCACAGACCAGCAGCACCAGCTGAGGATCCAGCCAAGTTCCACTGCATGAGGATAGCGCCCGGCGCAGGTCCCTTGGTCTCAATGATCAGGTCAGAGAATTCGACATTGCCAACGTCGCCAGCCTCGCCAACCTGGAATACAGGCTTAGGGTTCGCTTTGTCGTTGAACTTGGCACCATCTGCCATGAGGAGCGGCCACATCTCTCCGACAACCTTGATTTCCTTGGGGACTTTGATGGTATCCGAGATGATGTAAGCACCGTGATCGAAGTAGACAACGCTACCGGCCTGGACACTGTCGAAAATCTTCTGGATGGCGGCTGTATCGTCGGTGACACCGTCTCCTTTGGCGCCAGAGGATCTGACGCTGACAAAGCTGCCCTTCTGGAGCTCTTGGTACTGAGGCTTGGTCCGCGTAAAGACTTTGCCGTCGCTCATCAAACCCTCCGGCTTTGAGATACCGCTCCGCGCAGCTTGAACAGCCTTGCCAGCGTTTCCGTCGTAGGTCCGGCCTTGGGCGAAAGCAGCAATCACCTGGCCACCCGCGAGCAGAGTGCTGTTGTCACCAGCAAAGCGAATGGCGGTCGTCACTCCCTCGGTCATGTCGACGTTGTCCAGAATCAAGGTGTTGTTTGTCATGGTGAGGTCTGTCTGGTAGAGGGTGTTGATTCCGATGGGCGTGCCGGAGATCTTGCTGTCGAGAAGCAAGAGACTACCAGCCTGAATGTTGCCAACACCACCGCTGGACATGTCGATACCGATCTGCGCATTGTTGATATTGATTTCCTGCATGGTCCAGAGCCAACACCAGTTAAGATAGATGGCGGTGTTACAATTGTTGAACGTCATGTTGCGAGTGGTGAACTGCTGGCTGCCGATAAAGGCGCCAAAGCCGCCGCCGTTGAATGTCAAGTCGGCCATGAAGCCACCGGATCCGTTGTCCATGAAGATACCCTTCTGGGCGTTGGCGGCACTCTTGTCGGGGTTCATGTTGAAGACAATGTTCTGCAAGCTCGTCGCCTGGGCGACTTGCCAGTGGATACAGGCACCAGCGCCCGGGGGCAGTGCTGTAATGTCGATGACGAAATTGCGTACCTGGCGGAAGAAGTTGTTCTGGTTGATGTACCAGTTGACGCCTTCCTCGTAAGGGTCTGCATCGATCACAGCCATACCGGTGAAGCTTGACGAAGCTTTGAGAGTGGGCAGGGTGACGGCGTCACCAATGAATTGCGTGTAGTAGGTCTGGATGATGGGCTCGCTGACAAGGTAGGTACCAGGGGGGAAGTAGACGAGAGCAGGCTTGGCAGTCTGAGAGTCACATCCTTTCATGCAACGGTTGCCATCCTGTACGGCCTTGTTGATGGCAGCCGTGTCATCAGTTGTGCCATCACCGACCGCACCATAGTCTTTCACATTGCGGAAGACCTTGAAGCTGCTGTCCCCAGCAAAGGCAGCTACTTCTTGACGGTCCATGTTGGGAAGCCAGTAGCTCGAGGCCTGCTGGCGAGCTTCCAACTCACTTGTCGTCGGGACAGCGGCTGTGGGGTTGAAGAGACCCATGGCCAAGAGAGAGGCCGCGAAGAGCTTTGAAAGCCCCATGGTGAAGATAGAACCAGCTATTCGTAGATGGACTCGAGAGGTTCTGCAGCAGAAAGAACGGTTTATGACTTGTCTGGTGAGAGGTCAGCAAATATTCCACCTGGGAATGAAATAGTGGGAGGAGAAATGTGTAGGCGAGTCTGTTGTGAAAAGAGTGTTGACGAAGATAGTCGAGTTGGTGTTGATCGAAAGGCAAAAATTAGGAAAAGGCCAAGAAAGTTTGGCCAGTTCCTATAGAGCTCGAAGATTTATAGGGAAACACACGTGCAACGGTGAATCAAAGGCTTTGTGATGTATTGTTGCCTCGAAGGGTGAGTGGTAGACAATGGCGGTTGTTCGCGAAGGTGCGTGATGTGGAGTCGACAAAGGTGAACCAGGCAGTCCAATACCCGGCGTCCAAGACCGGTTGAAGGGAGGCCCGCGTTTGTCACCAAATGAATGAAGGCAATAAATTCTCCCAAGGGAAGAAAAAATTTTCACTTACTACCAAGAGCGCGGTGGTGAAACGATTCAGCCACGTGACGAGTGAAGGGAGGGTTTACAGTCAAAGGTCGGATGTGTATGGTGTTTTTCTTCCAGAGAATGAATGAATGAATATTGAGCAGTGGGTGTTCTCTGGGAGAAGGCAACCACCGAGAAGATGAACCAAAAATGAATGCGTCCAGACGTCAACAGAAAAGTAGGTATGAATAGGACAAGTGACGGTGGTCGGTGTTGTGGTGAAGGAAAGGTGGACGTGGAACGGGCCGCGGAGCAACGAGAGAGGTGCAGTAGACGGGGCCAGCAGTTTTAATATCAACGACAGCAACACGCTTCCGTACGCCGTTGCCTCACTAGCAATAAGGTCCGGGATCTTTCCCGTCCATGGATGATTTCCTATTCATTCATGGACGACAGGCACGACTAGCCTTGTTCACAAATTGTCCGATCTCCCGCCAGCCATTGGTAGTGGCGAGGCACACAAACCGGCGCTACTCCAGTCTCCCCCATGCACGTATTCTGGGCCACTTCCTAATACGGCGCTTCTGATCTCTATGCAACCTCCTGTAATACTTTAATTGAGAGATGCACCCATGCACGTGTGGGGAACACCTTGAACTGGCCATGCCCTGTTATTTCCTTGCCCCTTTCAGGTTCTGCGTATTGGTACGTGACGTGTGGTTGATGCGGCTGGAGCAACCCGAGACAAATCTCCCGCCCTTGCGTACCGGTACCCTGCCCACCAACGGAATGGGAGCCAAGGGCGGGCAGGGGCCGGAGAGAATCAATGCCAACCTAGACATGCCCATCGGCAGTGAAAGCGAGAGAATCCTTCCATTGGCCAAGAGGACACCACGGTCCAAACGCGCCAGCAACATGGGAGCACGAAAGCAAGATAATCCATGTCTATGCCTCTAGAGCATTGACTGCGAATCTACAACATCAGACGAGAGGCAACATTGGGAGCGTCCCAATGGCTGCTTGATGTTGGGCAGACGCAGATTAGGGAAGGGGTCGACTTGCTCGCTTCCACGGGCTCGTGGCTGTTGAGTACAGTTGCCGAGAGTTGGACAGCATCGCGCATAGTTAACAAGTGACGAGGCACAGTCACCACCATTGGATTTGCGGCGTGCCTGGTGCCTGTTCATGTGCTCCCACGCTGTTCCTGCAGCTCACCAAACCACCACCCACGCACCTTGTGCAGCGATCAGGGATGGAGGAGATCCGCGGCGATCCTTAGTAACGAGCTCCCCGAATCCTAAATTGAGGTCACTGGAAAGTCTACGCACGCATGCTCTCGCGACGGACCGGGAGCACGGAGGCGCTTAACCCACCTGGCTTGCGTATGCGCGTGCCCGCAAATCTGCCCTGCACCATCGCCGTCACGATCGCCTGAAGCAATGGCTTCCCGGGGATGCACGGAGGAGCCATCGTCGAGAAACACCGGCTTGGGCCCAGCGTCGGCGCTTGAGGAGCTTGGAGATTTGACAGCCACCTGGAGAAGGGGGGCGACGAAGACCCCTGGTGCCCGATGTTTCAGATGTGGGGGATCTTCCTTAGCCTCTGGTGCTGCTGGGTGGCACCGATTGGCTGGGAGCTCTCCAAGGGGATCGGGAGTCGGGCATGTGCCACCACTCCAGAAGGGCACGCCAACCCCGTTTCGACATTCTCGTTTCAACATCAGGCGTTTACCACCTGCAATTTGACGGAGTACTGCTCGTTGGACGAGAACGTTTCTTGAGACCGCTCTGACTACATGCTAGTTGGACAGCAACGCGGCCTGTATTCGCCTGTATCGACTGTGAGCAACGTGTTGGCGTCATTGCACGAGGTCGTCGTGCATCGGGTGTATACTGTCGGTCGTACCCCAGAAGAGGCCTAGAACCGGAGTGTTTGGCGGACTTCAAGTATCACGGATGGCAACGCCCATTATGTGATGATGGCTCATCACTGACGCCTTGAGCACTTATGGGATAAGACTTACAAATTTAGCAACAGCAGCGTCAACTACTTCGGCCTACTGAACACTGACCCCACGGATATGGCCAATACTAGACCCTAGTCGAAGAGAGGCTCCTCTCCATCAATGCGAGATTTCCAATCTATTCGCCCACATCCGTCCTAGTTTATGAAAGATACGATATATATCGCATCAACACTGCTCTTCTCTAAAAGTCTGCCAGAACCCTCTTGCGATTTTCCGCCGCTTGCTTGAATGCCCGAATCGTTGGAGCTATACCGTCCCATCCATGGACCAGACCTGCGTATAAGTGAAACTCTACGCCATTGTTTGCCGTCGCCAGCTTCCCTGCAAATGCGATATTCTCTGCCTTGAACAGATCGAGACCCCCGATCTCGAGATAAGTCGGTGGCAGCCCTTCCAAGTTCTCAGCCCTGCCTGGTGCCGCATAGATGGACACATCAGCGCGGTTACCTCGCTCTCTGCCACCGAGGTACGCCTTCCAACCGATATCATTATTCTGCGACGTCCACGTCAGGTACTTTCCGAGCACATTCCCGGATTCCAGAGTTGTCCGGTCATCGAGCATGGGGTAAATCAGAACCAGTCTAGCAAGCGGAGGACTCAGTCCTTTGTCTCTGGCCATGAGTGCTGTTCCGGCAGCGATGCCGCCTCCCGCACTGTGGCCCATGAGAGCAATCCTGGCCGGGTCCACGTTGAGCTCTTTTGCATTTGCTTGTATCCATTGAATCGCAGCATATGTATCCTCGAGGGCTGCGGGAGCAGGATGTTCAGGAGCAAGGCGGTATTCTACGCCGAAAAACTGTACTTCGTTCAAAACAGCGTCGTTCTCGATTTGCGGCTTGAACATATCAATGCTTCCCATGATCATGCCTCCAGCATGAAGGTATATGACAGCCCGCTGAGGGCTTGTAGCATTCTTCAGAGAATCGGGAGCGAAGCGGTGCAGCGCGATATTGGTCCCGTCCAAAGAGACAATATCGTATTTGGTTTCTGACACACCTGCTGGTCGAGGCACATGCTGAAAGAGCTGTCTAGACACTTCTTCCATGTGCATTCTGAGTGCAATGTGATCGTCAAAGTCTGGGCTCTTGGCACCCGCAATAAGATGTCCAATAACCCCCCAAAATTCCGTGTCATATTTGAGGTCTGCCATGCTGTCAAATGGTGAAAGATATCGAATTCAAGGATGACCTAGTTTTGATACTAAGTCGAATGCAATAGCGGATGATTAAATTAACCATCTAGTGGTGGTCGGCCACGAGGTTTTATACCATCGCCGAGCACTTTCTATTGAGGTCATCCTGGTATGGTATGGAGCGATTTCGCAACCGTTGGTAACCCGACTATACCTTAAGAGTCCAATGGTTGTATCGCAGATACCGAGAGCACATTTTCAGCATCTCCTAGTGTACTATGGTAAACGCACAAGAAGCTACCATTGGTCTTTTAGCGAGGATCGTGAAAGCTAACGTTGAAAGAGTATGGAGAGCCGAATCTGGTTGAAGGATTCGTTTGCCAAGGATGTTCAAGTTTGGGTAGGATTATACAGTAATAGCTTACTAGCGAGTTCGCTTAGAAATGGCGCTATCACCACGGGAGCAGAGCAACACGCGAAATGCTGAGCCGCATCTTTCCACACCACGAATTGAGTTAATATTGTTAAAGCCACCTACTGTTTAAAGAGATCTGCAGTGAATTTGTAAATAATATTAATGGTGCGTAACTCTGAATGCTTCGGCCTTCTAAACTATAGATTTGAAAGTCTTCAACACTTTGTTGGAGCTGGGGCACGGCTTCTGCATTGTTCAGTGGGTGTTCGGGTCTATTGAGCATCAGGTCGGGTATATAGATACGGCCCCCAATGAAGCTTGTATTTACATGCATACTAGTAGATCCCAAAACAAGTTAATTTCAATCCTTAGACCCGAAGCCCAATCTAACATTCTGCACTTGCCTGCCTGCTTGCGTTGTCTTGAACGGACCCTTCCATCCAGACCGCAGGTGGGTCGCTTTGCCGCTGGCTTCCGTGGCCCATCCAAACCTTCTGTAAATATCAGACCCATGCCATGGGCCAATGTTGGTGCTCTCGAACCATGTCGCATGATGAACTAAGTGGTGGCTGTTTCGAAACATCCCAGGGGTCTTGTGTGGGATCCGGGCCCCTGGGGCCCAGAGGCGGGGGCCTGAGATTGGCCTGCACCCCTCTGTAGCGAGCAACATTCATCTGGACGGGGTCCAGATGATCTGCATTATATCACCAACATGGCCAGCTCAATGCTTGTTCCTAGCACACTCAACCGATCTAGACCTGGTGATCTTTGATGCGAAGGTTGAGACCGAAAAAGTGTGGCGACTATAGCGCTTGCTTCCAAGGGCCCTCGGTGGCGTGGGGGCTGGTGAAGCGGCAAGCTAAAATAGTATGCCGGGATAGTAGAATTGATCTGAAGCATTGTCCAGTAAAATGCCTGACGTTCTAGCGTATAAATGAACTTACACAGGAAGCTTGGCTACTGTCCCTCCAGGATGTTTTGGTTTATTCTGGTTTTCTAACTTTGCGTTGAACAGCGCTTTTAGTGGATGGGCCTGATGTGTGAATGCGGCGGTGTGATGAGCTATCATCTTGTATTCAAGTGCCCGATCAAGAGGAAAGCCTCCTCGGCGTTCTTCAATCATGATAGTAGTCACTGTTGGAGCATGGCAGATGTAATTGACAATTTTACTCTTTTGTGGTATCATTGGTCTATATAGCAATCAGCTAACATCCCTTCTCTTCGCTTACCCGCTTTAGATCTTGCCCTCTCTGCTCTTCATAAGCGGCTGGATCTTCTCACCGAATGCATCCAGGCCGCCCAAAAAGTCATCGAAAGTCAACATTATACCCTTGGTGCCGGGAATCGACGCCGCCTCGTCAAGCATGCCGGCTACCTTCTCGTAAGAGCCGACGAGGGTTCCCATATTCAGGTTCACGGCACCTTCAGGCAAGGCGATGTTCTTGGCAGTGGAGTTCGCATCGGCGTTGGTGTCCTTAGAACTCTGCTTGGTCATCCACGACAGAGCATCGTTATCGACGCCGTCGTTGTACAGCTTCCACTTGGCCTGGGCCTTCTCATCTGTCTCGTCGGCAATGACCATGAAGAGGACGTACGAGCCGACATCTCGGCCAGTCTTCTCAGCTGCCTCCACCAGGCGAGTGGTGGCGTCACCGTAGGCCTTGGGTGTGTTAATGCCGGTTCCCATGGCAAAGTTGAAATCGGCGTAGTTGGAAGCGAACTCCACGCCGCGGCCAGACTGACCAGCAGCAACGATCTTGATGGGGTTCGCGGGTTGCGGTGAGAGCTTGCAGTCCTCCATGGTGAAGTGCTTGCCCTTGAAGTTCGACACTCCCTGGTCCCAGAGATCCTTCATAACCTGCACGTACTCTGTTGCGTAGTCATACCGGTAACCGAAATAAGCATCGCCCGGCCACAAGTTCATCTGAGTGTACTCGGCAGATTGCCACCCAGTGACAATGTTGATACCGAAACGACCAGGGGCAACACTGTCGATGGTTGACGCCATACGTGCGACCAGCGCTGGTGGCAGTGTGAGAACAGCTGTTGAGGCGAAAAGCTTTATCTTGGTGGTGACGGCGGCGAGCGCCGACATCAATGTGAAAGACTCCAGGTTGTGGTCCCAGAACTCTGATTTTCCGCCAAATCCACGCAGTTTGATCATCGACAGGGCGAAGTCAAAGTTGTATTTCTCCGCTTTAGTCACAATCTGCTTGTTCAGCTCGAAGCTGGGCATATACTGTGGAGAGGTGGTTGAGATAAGCCAGCCATTGTTACCAATGGGTATGAAAACACCGATATCGATGGGAGCCATCTTGTTCGTGTAAGCCTCTTTAAAAAATGAAAAGTGAAGGCAGAAGAACGTTGGTATACGGTTGAAATCAAGTCATTCACTGTAACACTCGTGGACACATCACAGACTTTATATCATCAGCCCCTATACTGCGTCCTGCATCGGTGCATCCAGTGCTCGAGAGGACCCTTGTGGTTATCTTCGGTAGCCTCCTCAAACACTCGGCCCATCAATTGGTCAAGAATCCCGCTGTTGCCAGATAAGATCCCGCGATGGTGTGTTACGCACACGGCAATGCGGTATACATTTGGCAAAGCACACAGCTCAAGGCTATCGGGATAGGCTCGGGACCACATATCCGAAGGAAGCTCCGGCTTCCATAAACCAAGTTCGGACTCGTCCGAAAGACTCATGGCGCTAATTTGCTGGATGTTGTCCTCCTATGATGCTCTCAACTCCACCCCAAAAGGCCATTGGAGGTGTTTTGCACTAAGGTTTAGTGATATGCGCCTTATCATTGATAAGGGGTGATTTATGTCTCCCGATGTAATGCCAAGACTCAGGGACCTGGCTGGTAACAGAGCCTCCCTTAACGTGTGGAGATGGCGCTCCGCAATTCGATCATGGGATAGATGGATTTAGACGGGGAACAAGGTGCTCAATCTTTTGTTCTGAATTTATACCGTTGACAAATCCAGGGTCTCCACTGTTGAAATGTTTACTTCAACCAGTTTCATATCGTATTGGTAGTTTGTATACAATAGCTCTTCTCATACGCACCCGTAGGCCTCGTTCACGCTATCGGAGGCTACTTAATCTTGGCGTGCCTGTGCCTTGCTATAGTCCAAATGCACACCTCTACTAAGTCAACTTGTGATCATTCTCATACAGCCTTCCTTACCTGCGCATTTCTTAGGCCAACTTCTCGGGTTAGGTCACTATAGTCTCGGCAGTCTTCAATGGCTACCCTGCGGCATTGGGCTGTTATAAGGGTCCAGTGTTCTGTCAGGGGCATCGGGCGGTCAACCAGTCAATTACCAATGCAGCAGCTTATGTACTTGAGCATCTCATCGCAACGAATCGATGATCGAAAGAATTGGTAGATAGCCTGATGCTTCTGATCATGAGGCACACGGTGTAGTCTCTTTCTCAACTTGGATCTTCTTCCGGGAGCCGAAGACTGTTATTGTGAATAGCAAATCACCTTTTCCGAAATGATTTCGATCATTGAGTCCGAGGCCATCTTGGATGCGGCCCGCGAGTTGAAAAAGCGTGACGTGCTACGCCTGGACCGTCCCCTGCCCGCGGGACTAACCCAAACGAAGAGAACGACCTGATATGAGCCACGGTGCCTAAGATCTCCGGGATAAAGGGCCGCCAGGGTGCTCCACACAGGATATGCGGATCCGTCTACTCCTGGGGCCCGTACCCATGCAATCGACGTGTTCTCACGGACCTCGCGCTCGCTACGGGCTGGAATGTAGAGGAGACCCGAGCCTTCGAGAGGCTATGTGTCAGGTGGCGGCCGAGAAGATGGTTAGCTATTCTGGGTCGATTATGGACCTGAACGACCCGGACCAGCCTCTGACACGGGGGGAGCCGTTCACTTTCCAGCACATCGCCTAGTATTCTTTCCCGTACGAGGTCGAATTAACACTTAAGCAAATGCATCCCGACAAGCATGCCGCTTTCAAGGCCGTACGCATGAAAATTGGTGGTTTTGGGTATCAGGAGCCCAAGAGGGTCAGGATGCGACTTAAGGAGTGCATGGCGTCCAAAGGTACTAAGGGAGAGGAGGTGCGCCGATTACTCGATGTCGCAGAGGCCCACTTGCCCACTTCGAGACGTTCATGATGGAGACGAAGCCGAGAGTGATAGGGAAGTGTAAGGTGTTCCACAACGCATAGGCGTACCTGAACAGAAATCTCAAGAGGCTGGAAGCCAAGGAGAAAAAGGGACAGAGGAGAAAGAAGAAAGAGCCTTCAATTCCAACAGTAATCTGGCCGCGTTGCAATTTCGAAATGTTCAAACAACCATGAGAGATATCTAGTAGGAGCTAGATGCTCGTAAACAGCACCTGAAAGTTGTATGGTAGTTATCCAAGTTGAGTTTATAGTGTGCACAAGTTTCATCATCAAGGTCAGGGAGAGAGTATCACGGTTTTTCGGAGGATTAACCACTAAGCCCGGTTTTGGCATTCAGAGCTTTCGATAGACATAACACCAAGGAGTGCTTCTCCAGCAGTTCATCGGCATTGGCATTTGTATCACCATCACCATAGCCGCCCACACCTCTAAGCTCCTGTTTCAAGGTGTTAGTCGCAGACAGGCAAGTCGTACATACTCCTCTACGTCTGTTTAGAGATCGATCATCAGACGAGAGGTCACTTCGTTTGTTATCTTTAATCTCCGATATCTAAAGGACATGCCACGTAGATGGCGAAGTTGCCTGCCAATCGCCATCATCACACCGCAAGATATGCATACTATATATGAAGCACTATACCGTCACTCTATATCCTCCCGCCTTGTCATGCATTGGCAATCTACGCCCTCGCTCGCCAGTCAGCCTATCGGAGTCTCAAGCGAGGCCGCGAAACGCAGGAACATATTCCCCAACGACGTCATCGGCGATGCTGATACGAGGCTCGGCTCGTCTACGCCGCCTCTGCCTCCTCGATTCTCCTTCTTCCCTCCGCACCGGCGCTTTTTGTACGGCCGGACATCCCGCCCCGGAGGTTGGGGGTTTGGAATACGAACGAGCGACACTTTAGCCGGACGGCTTCGGAAAGGGCCCGGGACGCGTCTGCCCACGTGGTGGCGCAGGGATCTTATTAAGGTGTTTTATCAATGACTCTTCCATTTCCAAGAAGGGTAATGAGCTCGGGTCGGTCGATGAAGTTCTTGGCCCTTCGCTGGAGTGGCTGGGTGCTGTGGTCCAATGTCGCGGCGAGGAGGATGGAAATGAAATCTTGAGTTGCCAAGAGTATAATTACGCAGGCTCAAGAGGTCTTTGAGAGGTTGGTCAAGTAATGCTTAACATCGGCAAACGAACCTGCCACAGATCAAATCGAGGACTGAATAGCTCTCGCTCGAGTGAACGTTGTGTTTAGACGGGATAGAGAATATCATGGACCAATCGCAATTGTGTACAGTACTCACGGATGAGGTGTTTTATGAAAACGTCAAGAAACTCGATTCATATCGCCGAAGCAGGTCTATATGCTTGCTGTCTACGGGCCAAAACTCCTTCAAAACCTTTGTGGTGAAATCAAACTCGCTTCGCAATGCAATGAACGGGTGAAAGAGTCAAACCCAACCAACGCCGCCGCAGTGGGGTGCCCCAATCCAAGTTAAACCAAACAGTGAAGTGGCTATGAAACGCCAAATGACTCTGTTCTGATTAGACCGTTCCGCCCTGTGAAGGGCTTTGTCCCTGAAAGAATAAACTATGCCGGGCTATGCCTATGCTGCCGAATGGGGCCCTAAAACCATGAAATGTGCTGCGATCTATCAAGATGGCAGGACTACAAAAGGAAATTCGTAAGGTTCACAGAGGTTCAAGTAAGAGATGTTCCTTATTGACCTTATGTGACCGAGTAATTATCGTATTAGACTGAGCGAGGCCGGCTCTTGAATTAGATAAAGCCAGCAGCTCTCGCGACATCGGTTTGAGGGGCACTCTCAAGCATTCCGATATCCTTGACGTTGGCGCCGAAGTCCATAATAAGAATCTTGGGATCTTGCCCGGTGCTGACGATGCGTCTGTAGTCGCTCTTCGCACTGAGAACCCAGCTAGCGTGCCAGCGTGGGAAGTCCAACAACTGATCACCGGTTGCAATGTCGAAGACTTTGATATCGGTGTCGTAGCTGCCACTGATGAGACGTCCGCTGACGCTGTCAATGTGCAGACTACGAACCAAGCCCTCGTGAGCCTGCATCTCGCGGATGCACTCGCCGGTCCTGGCGTCCCAGATGCGGATCACCTTGTCGCTACCGGCGGATGCGATATAGCGGCCATCCTCCGAGAATTGGCTGCACGCCAGGCCCTTGGTGTGACCTTCAAACTCGCGGACAACCTTGCCGCTATCAATGTTCCACAGCTTGACACGGAAATCCCCTGAGCATGAGACAATACTGTTGCCACGGAGCTGGACGGCGTTGACCGGACCAGTGTGACCCTTGAGCTGCTTGAGCAATGCGCCAGTAGCTCGGTCCCAGACACAGATGGTGATGTCCTTGGAGCAAGTCACAATATGCTTGTCGTCAAAAGCTAGATCAAGTACAGCGGCAGTGTGGTGTTCAAGACGTCGAATCGGGCGGTAGCCTGACTTCAAGTTGTAGACGATACAGGTCGAGTCCGACGAACCTGTCACCAGGATACCGTCATCGTACTGCAGACACAAGATTGATGCCTTGTGGTGAGTCGGGAAAGAGACAGTCGCGGGTACCGACTCGTGGTCCCGCTCCTTTTCTGGCACAGAAGCGTAGTGGACAGGCTGGCCACTGGCATCGAACAGGACTGAAGTATCGTTAACTACTTCAGGCGGCCCAATGACCAGGCGGCACTGAAAGGTGTGCATGTCCCAAATTCGAATGGTCTTGTCCCTCGAGCCGGTGATGATTTTGGACCTGGATTGCAGTTAGTATGTGAGACTCAAGATGCGTTGACAAGAAATGGAACAACATACTCGTCGAATTGTAGACAGTAGATGCTATCCAGATGGCCATTCAGATAGACTGGCCTTGTAGCAGTGCCCTCCTTCCACTTCTGGTCCAGCTCTTGTCGGGCCCGGTAGATCTTCTGCCAGTCGTTACCCGGTCGGAGAGCAGGCACACCAAAGCCTGTGCCGGGCTGGATCGGCTCCGTAGTGGCGAAGGTGCTGGTCTTCTCCCGGAGGAACGATTGGCGCCATATCTGCTGATCCTGGGCCACACTATACCACTTCTTGGAAACTCTGGCGGCGGCAGTAAGATGTGTGGCATCCAAGTGAGAGAGGACCTGAATGGCGAGCTCAGATGGTAGTCTAGAGACGAAGTCGACCCTACTAAGCCAATCTTCGACAAGGGTAGCACTGGACTCGAGGTCGTCTGCGTTCACGAGAGAGATGCCAATGCCGCTCTCGCGATCATTCTGCATGTGCTCAGCCAGCCACTCTTCCCTCTGGCGCATGGCCAGGTATTCGTTTTGGTATGCAGCCGCAGCTTTCGCAGCAGCGCCGGTGTGTGACGGGATGATTGGAGGCTCGAATCCGTAGCCGGGAACAGGCACGCTTGGGAATGTCGACTCGAGAGGCGAGTAGATTGTATCCAGTGTACCGGTGCGTGCACTGTACATCATCTTGGAGTGACGGAAGCTAGCGGCCTGCCGTAATCTGTTCCATGCCGAGTGGGCTGTAGACGGCCTGGCTGGGTGGTCGTCATGGCTCTTTCCGGGTTCCGAGCTTCGGCGGTCGCGGCGGTGGGCGATGCCCTTCATCAGGCTGAGAGAAGCACGCCGAAACTTGCCCTTCAGCGAGCTGCTGTTGATCTCTTCCGGTTGTCCATGGCGTGGTTCCTCAACGGCATCCTCGTTGGCTTCGCTTGGGATTGAGCTGTCTTCGAATGCGAGGTGCAATGACTTGGGCCGCCGTCTCCATGGCATCGAGGTGCTGAAACTCCGCGTGCGTTGGAAAGGGTGTGCGGTTGTCGGCCTGGCGGGCTCCAGAAAGTCCTTCTCTACGCCCTCGGCGCCGGTATCGTGTGAGTAGGCACTTGCGCCCGAGGTCGAGGGTGCATCGTCGTGCATTATTTTCTGTGCCGGAGTCCACTCGGGGGCAGCAAAGACCGGTCGGGGACTTGTGGTGAGGCCTGCCATTGCGGAAGCAACAGCCGGGTGTGGAGGAGGTTGTGTTCGCTATGGGTGCGTGTGTGGACGCGTGGAGCGAGCAACAGCCCGCTGGCTCGAATATGTAGCGATCGTTGGTCGTGAGGCTCCGTGCGAAATGAGGGTCGGCAGTGGCAGAACCAGGGTCCCTGGGAGACGAGTAAACAAGGACGGCGAGGTGTGAACGGACGTCAGCAAGCCAAAGCCTAGTGCCGGAAGGCCCTTCTCGTGGCCTGTTAGCTGCTGGGCGTGATGAGGGATCGGGCGTGTGTTGTCACAAAGAATGCTGACAACTATGTCTTCCCTCTGGCGCTCTCTGGTTTCTGGTGCAAAAAAGATTCAAGGATTGATTCGGTCGAGACAGATTGGGACCCTGGCTGACGCTGAGCGAAACCAATCCCCTTTTAGGGAGACAGGTCTCGGAGGGGACGAGCTGGCGCGAGTCGTGTGTCACTAAATTTTCTGACTACGATTCTTCGAGCGGCTGCGCCAGTGGCGGAAGCCAACCAGCAAAGAGTCTCCTGAGTCTGTGGGATGGCTGGGATTGCATATGCGCGGGTGCCGAACTAGACAGCCCCGGCCGTGTCAAGATTTTCTATTATTTTGGAGACGGCCTCGGGAACTGGGGATTCGCGGGGGACGTCAAGCCACCATGGCGCGGTTGGTGCTTGGTGGGGTTGGAATGGGTTGGAATGGGTTGGGATGGGTTGGGATGTTGCTAAGGTTGTGACAGAGGGCGAGTCTAGCTACTCCAGTGCGGACTGAGAGAAGCTCACTCACGGGATGTTACGCTGTCACCGCCCGGCGTCTGGCTGGGAACGCCTGGGAGACCTAAAGCAGACGCGTCGTCCGTGGCTACGAGGCTTGGGGAGCGGAGTCTGGAACAGATACAAAGAGACAAGGAGACAAAAGAGAGTGAGAACTTGAAGGCGGCGGAGAGGTCGGCAAGGTCGGGTCGACTATCGCGCGTCACCTCTGGGAGGGGCTTGCAGACGTATGACTGCCTGGCGAATGCATAGCAAGGCGTATTATATCCAACGACGAGGGTTGGTTGGGAGACGAGGCAGCCCGAGCGATGAGCACGAAACGAAACCCAGCGTGCGCCGCAGCAGATTTCTTAGATCCTGGAGTCCGGAATGCGTGATGATGAGATATGACCGGGTCTGAGCCACCCCGGGAGTCAAATCTCACGCTGACAGGTTGACAGCAGGTGGAATGTCTTGCTCTGGGACCCGTTTCACCCGCCCAATCCTTCCCGCAATGCGCGCGGGTCTCAAACTCCCTCACAGGCCTCAGACAGCCCTGGAAGCCTATCGCTATTAGGTATAATGAAGCATCGAGGAAACCTGGAAACGGCTGGCCCGACTTGTTGCACGGGTCCTCCAACTGGGCTTCCTTCACCTTGTCGTGTAAGTTCTTGCGCTGCGGCTTCGACAGGAGTTAGATCTAGCGCCGACCGCACGGTGATTTGACGGAGGGGGATGCAACTCTTCAGTTCCGGATTAGGAATTCTTGTTAATTAAGAGCTGCAGCGGACCCAATCCCCAGGTTTTCCATGGGGCTGCGTAGCGTTCGGGTGGATATTGCACGATTGATCTGGTGCCCCAGCCATGGATGTCAGCCGACCACCGCAGGGCGGCCCCAGCATCCCTGTCGACTTCTTGCAGTTGGTCCTACGCACGCCCCCCAGGCCCCCTAACTTGCCGTGCTCACCAGCGATGTGATGTCGCCAAGCGGCCCTCGCGTATGATCTCATTCCCATATTTGTTCTCAGTCACCGCGTAAGGGCTGGCTACGCTGTCAGATCCGTCGCTGCAACCACACGCATACGCATCAACCACGACCGTCAGCATTTGCGGCCTGCAGAGCCAGAGTCAGATTTTTGCAGCGGCGGGATGCAGGAGCTGATAGTTCCAACGCATGTCCCGGCACCCGCTTCGTTCAGGCCTGCAGATCGTCTGAATTATCTTCCATGTGTCGATTCAGGAACCCCCTTTCCACAGTAAATCTCAGCCAAGGTTTGCAAGGATGGTTGCTCCCAGCGAAGTCATGTTCCGCAGGGACGGGCCTCTGTAGATTGCGTTAGTCTGCGCTGCCCGCGTCCAGCGTCCAGCGCCGGCCCAGGGACCTAGATCAGCCATGTGGCCTTGCACAGAAGCCTCCCCAGGCCCCTGGAGCCAAAGATGGCGAAATCGCTCTTGGGATTACGCCATGACACGCATTAGCTCTGGCCCGCCGAGGGCACATTGGGTGTAACCAGCTCAGACCAAGCTTGCGATTCAGAGGGTGTCGAAATTAGCACCAGCTCATCTAAATCCCTGCAGTCGAATAGATTGCCGGCCGCTTTCCTTGGGGCCTTGGGGGCTTGGGGGTGGAGGACAGGCCGTCACGCGCTCAGCCTCACCATTAAAAGCATCATCGATGGCACCCAGCCAGCGAGCAACACCCGACCCGGCATAGCACCAACCAAACAGCAGATCACTGCATGCACAACGACACAGGCTGCCGAAACGCCCCCGTCCGGGTTGCTCGGTTCCAGGGCACGGAGGCTTTCGCGGCGGCGCGGGATTGCGTCTTTGTGGTGCATATCGCATCAGAACTACTATCTCAGAGCCGCTATATAATTGTGTAGCATTCTGAACTGATATCATACTCCTACGGATCATAATTCGTAACATCGTCAACTGTGGTGTTTACTGAGTCGGGAAATAACGCCGCGAGAAAGACAACAAACTCAGCCAACAAACTCTCGAGCTCCAGCTTAGCCGACCGCCTCTCATCCTCCGCTTCCGCCCCGGGCCCCTCATTGAAACCGCCAAGGACTCAACCTTCTGCACCGTCGGGTTATCCGATCACCACGCGTCGGTCCAGCCGATCTATTGATGGATGACGACCACCATTTCAACCTCTTTGGCGGTTTCTCTCATGCCGAATTTCCATCAGGTCATGCCGGTCGACCTTGCGCCATGGGTTGGTGAACTGATCGTGTCTCACCCAACCGGCTTTGGACGACTTTGTCTCCTCGCCCTTGATCACGACGAACCATCTGTCTGCCGCGGTTTCTTCCCTGGACCAACGGAAGATACCCCTCTTCTTCCGTTCTGGCGCCATCGCAGTCATCTGTAGCTCTTCCTCTGTCAGCAGGGCGATCGTCCATTCGCGCTGGCGACGGGGATTCAAGTTAGTCTCGAACGTCTTGTCATCCAACAGCCGCTGCAGCCGGTTGTAAATATCGTTATCCAATTTGGAAACGCGGTTGGCAAGGTCCTGGTCGTAGGCCTTCTCGTCAGCCTTTGCATCCTTGGCTGCGTGGCTCTGCCTCGCATTGTCGATCATATCAATAAGCTCGCCTTGCTCGAAGGCCATGAGGGGAGTCAAGCGAACAAAGCCGTCGGGCACGGATCTCCATGTAACCCCAAAGTTGATACCCATACATCGCTTCCACGTATGCCAAACCTGTGTGTCTGGCAATGCGACGATCTCCCATGCCTCGTAGACTACTTTCACATCAGGGTCCGGAACAGCACTGTAGGTTTATTAGCAACGGCGCCACTGAAAAGTAAGCACGAAAGGACATACAAGGTTTGCCAGCCATTAGGGTCTGTAATTGAGATAATCGATTCGTTGTCAGCTTCGGTGACCGAGTCCGCGTCACTGTGCGCTCTCGGAGTAAATCGGACGCGGCCAGATACCCGGCGAACGGGCCGGCGATCCTCCGGCTCCTCAGAAAATGCCGGTGAACCTGGACGTCGGGGTGGGGCCCCGAAAGGCTGACCGTACGGACCAGGCCAGTGATGGTTCATCGCCACCGAGTACATCGGCAAAGCACCATTGGCATCTAGATGCGACTGAAAATTCTGGAACGTAGGGCCAGTTTGCGCTGGTTGAAACAACTGTGGACCGATCATTGGGGGAGCTATCGACACGGGATGCGCACCCAAAGGTGAGGGTAGGGGCGGAGCAGCTCGCTCGGCTGGATCAGTGTGAAGCTGCTCGGCGTCCATGATGCTATGCGCCGCAGTTGTATCCGTGTTGATCTCTGACTGTTGCTATACTTGTATGGCAATCATTCACCGACTTTCAGGTCGAGGTCTCCGCACCGCTATATATCCTCCCGTAAGCAGCACACCCCATAGTTTGGTTGGGGGCCATGCTGCCTGGTGTATTAACACGTGATGAGCATTGGTCCTACGATGCTGATGCGGAAGACCGAATCTGGTGTGGTTTCTTGCATACAATGGCGCTAGGCTGCCTGCGTTGCCTGCTTTTTGGCTGTGACTCTTGTCTGCTGACAGGCTCTGATTGGCCAGACCCCATCTCATGCGGCGACAGCAGCCGCAGGAACTGAATTACAGTGATTTTAATAGTCTCTGAGCCTCGTCCACTAGATTCAATGAGATCATTAAGTACGAGGGCTCCAATGACCATGGTGAATCAAAATACAATTTCCCTCTGGCCACTTCTGTCTTACCGCAGCTTGTACAGTTAAAATCTAAGCCTCAGGGGTTCAATATACCCGTCCTTCGACTACCCTATGTTTGTCTCATTCGCCTCGGGTGAGAGAGAGAGGTCGCCATAGGTGGCTTCAAATGGAGTCTTTACGCCGACGCTGAGACCACCCTGAATTCTCGACTTCTGCCTCCTCTGAGTGTGTTACACGCTATTCTGCTCCACTTACACTTATTCAGTCTCACTTTATCGTGTCGTGAGCTGTTCTTCAGTGAAACCTCCATATCAATGCACCCTCATTCATTCCTATACCTCTCAATGGTGCGCCGTAAAATCAAAGCAGAACAGCCAACATAAGCCAGCACAATCAATACCAGCTCCGGAAGGAGATGGCCTTCGACCTGGCCTCCACCGCAGCCGAGCCGTCCATCATCTGCGTTGCGAAGGGTTTAGAACCGAATGTAGATTAATAGAATGGCATGCGAATTGTAGCAATGGCGGAAGCCATGGACCCACGCTCGTCGAAAAGATACGCATGAAGCTTTTGATTGTATAAGGCTGCTGACATCCATGATCAACCACGAGGCGTGTGCCTGCAACTCCCAGCTAAATAAGACCAAGCCGACAGGGAACATTGTTGACCCAGATACAGAACTCGGGATCTGAAGGTTTCAGGACCTGAATGCGAATGTGCTACTTTCACCGTCTGTACAGCCAATCCATATACAGCGTTCTGGGGGATCTCCACGCCCATTGCTACTGGGACCGTGAGGGACTTCCCCTGGCCCCTGATGCGATACACATGCATGAATGGCTGTGTATGTGATCAGAAAGAATCACCAAAAAGGTGCGAGCAATGTACTGCACTTTCGGTGACCCAAAAAGCAGCAATATGAGCAGCTGAGGACTGCCCTAAGGGATAGGAGGGTTATCAAGACCAGTCAACAGTGAGAAGAACAGGATGAGAGCCAGTGTATGAACCATAACTTGCAGGTTGACCCGGTTTTAACTTCGTCAATTTACGTCTGATCATTATGTAGGATGAAAAGCCCAACGATGAGAGCTCCTTGGCATATCGTAAGTGTAATCTCTGTTTGGGGGTATTTCACAAGAAACGCATGTTAGTGCCCGGTGTGGCCACAATGAGGATCCTTGATCTTCGGCCCAAGAAAAGCAAACCCGTCTTTGAGGAACGCAGATTATTGAAGATCAAGCATTTGTTTCAACTGTACTGATAAGTATATGCTCTCCCATTAGATGCACCTCGTGTGTTGACGGGACTATACCCCGTGTAGGCCTCGGCCACGTAAGCCTTTCCTAAGCAGGATTTCAATACCGTAGCTTGCGAGGTAAGAAGTGAAGAAGACAAGGTAGAGAACTCAATCTCCAGCACGTTGGATGACTACCCGAGCAACCTGAATTCCGGCTGCCATCAGGTCTGGGAGATCTAAGAAGATCGTAAGAAGACCGAGAACGTTGGACTGGAAACTATTTCAGAATGAAATCCCTCTTGTTAGTTATTGAATCCGCACTCGTGCACCCAGTGGCGTCAGTCAGATCTCTTTGTAAAACTGATGGACGAGTTATCGATCCTTCTAGATCGGAGTATTCTTATGCCTCGTGGAGGTGTTGAAAGTATAGCTCCAAGTGCAGCCTTACTGCAGTATGGCCCATCTGTAGTCTGGGTTCTTACTGCCCTCCCGTAACATGTCAGCGTGAGCGGTTCACTTGTCCAGCCCACGAAGTCCACGGGGAAAGACCTTCAACATCTGGGAAGTCGCCACGGAATCGGTAGGCTTCGAATTAATGCTGTGTCACGCCTCGTTCAGCCTACATTTTGCGTGAATCTGCAATACAAACGCAACACAGAGGGTCACTTTGAAATTCTAAAATTATATATAGATTTCGCATCGATACCAAAATTTAACGGCCTTAATCTACTCTAATCCTTCTTGTGCAACGAGGACGAGACACTCGGTGCATCGACACCTCCGCTGACCGCAGCGCAGTGTTTCGAATGCTTCCTATGGAATCGAAACCTGCCACTCCTTTTTAACACAACACCCCATGCTTCGGTGCCGACGTGTGCACAATATGCTGCAGAACCCAATTTGCATACAGTGTTGGCCACTGCATCAGACGGTCTGGAGTTCTTTGCGACGGTGAGGATGAAGTCGGTTTGAAGTTAGTGTTCGATCCCAAGCCACAGACCGCTTCGAGGCTCAGCTCCCGTTTTCGGACCAACCAAGTAATTGCAAATCATAGGCAAGGTCCCCATTGAGTACTATTTTAAGAAAATAACTAATGAGTTAGGCGTGGGGCGGGCCCGACAAGTCTCAGATCTTTCCCTAATCGATTCAAGTGCGTCAATATCATTGGCTATAACTACGACAATGAGACCCGACAACATAGCAGCCCACAACCTTATCATGAAGTCAATTTCCACTTTCATTTGGCGCAGCCTTGTCAGCGGCTGTGAGTCCAGTCTGGAACAGGCAGTATCGGCACTCATAGCGAGATCCTCTGGTGGGTTCTGCAGCGTGTAACCCCACAAGAGTCATCGGTCCTCTTGGCATGCCGCAGTCCAGGTAGTTGGGCTGGCTAGGCGTGGAATATGTTATTTGGCAATATAAGCTGTCTGCAGCCTCTCGACTTGGCTAATGTAGTTTTGTATGTTCTTGGCTTCTCTAGTTACCAACTCCCTCGTCCGTAATATTCCACTCGGTTGCCGAGATGCCGCACGCGAACCAGCCGCATTCCGACCTCGACTATGTCAGTGTTCGGCTCCGGTTGGTGGGGACCCGGGTCGTGGAACCGGAGAAGACGCCCCAGAGTTTTGAAGGCTCTCGGGACGACGAACAAGCGCTGTTACACAAGCGGCCAGTGTATGAGGTCCCACATTTCTGCAAGGTCAGTCTCTATTGTGCAGTGCCAGCGGACTGTGTTAATGGCATTATAGAATGAAGCAGCAACAACATTTGAGGTACTCCAGTCAGCGCAAAAGTGGGCTTCTAGCATATCCCTAACTTTGTCTTCTGCTCGCAGCTGTTCTATGACCTATGGTTTGTTGCAAACTTATCAGTCTTCTCGAGTGTAAGCATGTTTGGCCACATCGATAAACAAAACACTGATTGTACCTAGGTCCATGAAATTACAACCGAGAAATCATTAATGTCTTTTATTGGTTACATGATGTGCGTGTTGGTATTTAAGAGTTCAGGCGGATGAAACTAACACGATGCAGTCTCCTATGGACCACATGGCTCATCACAACCATCTACGATGTTCGCTTTACCGCCGACAGTGTCCTTGAGCGATGTTGTAAGGCAATCCATTTGGGAGTCATGGTTGGGTTTGCCGAAATTGGCACAGCTTTCCAACCCGAGGCCCAGATCAAGTCTGTTTTTCAGGCAATGTCATTATTTCTCATGTTCTCTCGACTCGCCTTGGCTCTACAGTATGGACTGGTGGCATGGCAGATTCGGAAATACGTCGTGGGTCGTCGACCAATGCTCCTCACAGCCGTCATCCACTTCATCGCTGCCATGGTCTACCTGGGTGTTTCTTTTAGATACTCAGCAGGGAAGAGCAGCCGTGTCTACACGGTATGGTACGCAGTGGGGCTCACAGAAATGGCTTTACATCTGGGATTTTCTCAGTTGAGCGAAGTCCTGACTTTTATTGGTACACATTTGGGAGAGCGACTCAATCTTCTTAGCTTAATCGTGCTTGGAGAAGGTAAGCTGTGCATTTCCTTGGCTGATATTTCTCTAACGATCTGCAGGTGCAATTATTCTTGCGAAAAACGTCACACTCGTAGTCAAAGACACGTATCTTAAGGATACTAACCTGACAATCTGGAGTGAGCATTCCTTCCCGTAACCCAACTTTCTCTAACTAACGTCTACTAGGCCCATCTCTCATCGGCATTGTGACTGCATCAGCGGCGTTGATATATATCATATTCCAGCTATATTTTGACTGGATGCATGAAGAACATTCGATGTCGGTACGTCATCAGGTCTGGTGGGCAGCTCTGCATCTGCCCTTCCATATCTCACTTGTTCTCTTGCTCGAGGGGGCAAATCAATTTGTGATATGGGCGCGTGTCTTGGAGCAGGTTGATGCCGCTATCAAAAAACTGGTCTCGGTAACAGACAAGTTACCAGATAACCCGGCACCTCCAGAAGTCTCCGAGGCACTAGGCGATGTCGTGAAGCCTTTCATCACAAAGTATCAACCTGCAGACGTCCTCGAAACCTGGCAAGGCTTGAACGAAACCCTTTCCAATATTTCTGAACTTCCAAACTACTTGTGGTCATCGAACTCCACATACACAGATGATGATCCCAACTACATTCACTTCACAAACGACTTACTCGAGCTACTCTATACTATGGTCAACTCAATTTACAACGCCTTCGGTATTGAGGCCGAATCGCAAGCTGAAGCTGCAGAACATGGGGAACATGCAGCCTACGTGCAAGCTCAGGCAACGCAAGCAATTGGTCAAAGATTTCAGCTTGTGGTATGTATCAATCAAACTTTAATGAGGCTAGACGGGATAGGATTATTGATTCGGTCTGCAGTTTATCTACGCCTTTGCATGTGCAGGCATTGTGCTACTCTTTTTGATCGTCATGCACAGCATCTCCAAACGGAAAGGGTGGACGCCGTTCAACATTGTGCGAACCGCGGTTTGTCTTGCTCTGGCTTTGGGCTTGTCCTTAACACCAACAATTTCTCTCAATGAGGCCTATGTGGGAACTTTCATGGACAGCCCCTGGATGCTGCCAACAATAACACTCTGCTACTTTGTTGTTCTTATCCTGTCACATGTGCCGCATCCTCCTACGTTCGGCTTGGGGAAATTCAAGAGGGGGACATACAGTGAGGTCGAGAAGGCCAAGGGCCTTAGAGAAAGCCACCAGCTTACTCCCATACCGCACGACCTACATGAACGAAGACAAAGTCAGCTCGATACAGATTTTGAGAACATACAAACAGGATATGCACCAGGGGGTGTCCACGGACAGGAAGCTCTGATACACGACGAATTTAACAGAAGGGGCAGCAGTTACGACAACAGAGCGAGTTACGTGTCAGCTGGATCGGTGAGTGTTGGAGATGGCTTTGACGATGTGGTCGACTATGAGCAGATGCACGATGGCCATCGTTCAAATAGCCCGAATGAGTGGAGCAGAAGACACTAGAATTACGACAAGAAATACGACATCACCGGATGAGTAGACACATATGACCGTGGCTGGTCGCCCTCAAGCGGCATTAATAGCAGAGCAAGATTCAAGACTCAACCTAGTAGACCACAACATTACTATGCCAATGAATGATGCAAGAAGTTTACAGGAGGCTCAGAGCTCTTATACGTACTCAGAACTTCTTCCAGTCCACTGTCTTCTCCCATGCATAAGCTGCTTTGAAAATAGTAGCTTCCTCCCAAAATCTACCAACGAGTTGCATGCTTGCGGGAACCTGGATATCGGGGTTTTCTTTTGAAGGAATGAATCCAATCGGCATCGCCAATGCGGGATGGCCGCTAGCATTGAACGGAGCTGTGTTTTCTGTCATGCCCTTATTTGCTTCCAGGTGTTCCACAGGGCTGCAGTCCGCAGCCGGCAGGGGGAAGGACGGCCGCAAGGTAGTTGGCATAAGGAGAAGGTCAAAGTTCTTCAGAGCCTCGTTGTAATCATCCTTCAGCTTCCGACTGAGGTTGACTGCCTTGGAGTATGCATAAGGGTAGTTTGTCCAGCCCAGCTCTCCAGAGAAGAGACCTTCTCTGCTGAAAACGCTCATCTTTGAAAGAGCCTCCTGAGAATACGGGAAGTTCTTCTTTTGGAAAAGATCCGTCATCATAAGTTGCCTCCGGCCTGTTGCACGGCCTAACATTCCCATATGGTTTCCCATTTTGCTCATGACGCTGTAGATCACTCTAGCTGATCCATGCAGTGGCACCGAGACCTCTTCTACACTTGCGCCAAGCTTTTCGAACTCCTTGGCTGCGGCATAGAATTTCTCCTTCATTGCATCATCCAGGACCGGACTGTCCAGGGACTCTTTTAATATCCCAATTCTCAGCCCCTTGGCGCCATCCTTGCCGGACTTCGTGAGGTCTGCTGCATACTTTGGTACTTGCCCCGGGAACGGGCATCCAGCGACCTGACGATCATCAAATTCATCAACTCCAGCAATTGCTTCCAAGAGTGCTGCACAATCCATACATGTTTGTGTAATGGGGCCCACGAAGTCCACGCTGGCATCGTTGCTTGCGATACCGGTGTACGGGACAAGACCCAGAGTCGCCTTCATACCCCATAGACCACACATGGCCGCTGGAATACGTATGCTTCCTCCCTGGTCACACCCAATGCCCATATCCGATGCACCGCTGGCAACTAAAGCTGCTGTGCCTGAGCTGCTCCCACCCGCTGTGTACCCATGGGCATAGGGATTATGTACGGGGCCCGTAGCAGCACTGACAGAGACAGCTCCTCGAGAAAGGTTCTCGCACACGGCCTTGCCAGAGATTGTCCCACCTGCCTCAAGGATGCGTGTGGCGACTGTGGCATCCACCGTTGGTGTCCAGTCCGTGAACGAGTCTGTTCCCAGCAGACACGGAACCTGGGCAAACGCAATATTATCCTTCAGGCATACAGTCTTGCCTTTAAGCAGACTCGACGAAGGGTTGACATGAGTGCATTCGCACCGCCAAGCCCAAGCGTTCAGATGGTTTTCCGACTTCTCGGGGAAATGCACGTTTCTCCTTGGCATGAGGTTAACATCTGGTGTTGGTGTATAGTCTGCGGGTGAAATTAGCACAAGATAACGAAGATCAGAATGAGCGTATTGTTGACTTGCCGTCCATTTCTGACAGTGTCTCAAATGCACCTTTTGCCCTATCGAACAGTATTTTGTAGTCATCGACTTCGCCCTCCGGAATCTCATACCCCACGGTTCGGGCCACCTTGAGCAACTCATCTTTACTGGCCCCCATCTTGTGCTCGTAAAGCCACAGAAGTATGGTCAAAGCACAGATTCAATCACGGATCCAACAAGCCAGCTTTAGTAGTACTACTTGTCTTTCTCTTTGAGGATGGACACTTGACAAAGCGCTCAAGTATCCTCGACACAAGCCGGTGCCGATTGCCGCCGCGAATAGTTCGGAGCCTGGAACCGCGCTTATCAGCCGAAGTCAGGAGCTATCGGTTCAGATCCGACGCTAACGGCAGCACTATACCGCCGACTTCGCCAAACTCCGTCCTTACTAAATCAATAAGGTATAGACGACAAGTAACCTTGTGTGTGGATTCTTGGGACTACAGCGACAGAGACGCTACACTGCTCAAGGTTCCTCCGACAGGACTAAGTCAAGGAATTATGGCTTGCGCCGATCCACACTGACAGTATGATTCTTACGTGCACTGCAGTATGTTAGGAAGTTCAGTATCGCGGCGACGAGCGCAGCCCTTGTGTCACACGAGGAAGAGAAGGACTGACTCGATAATGCCACACTTTTGTACAAAGGATCAGATAGAAGGTTTTTGAGAAAAAGAAATCCAACTCTGGGTTCTGGCCATCCCGCCAATTCATGTTTCTACACTGGTACGTACATAGCTTGAGTTGTGCTCATTCAGCCGTCGTGTTTCACAAGTGACTCTAGCCTACTCACAGTAATGGAGATACATAGTCATGTGCTTGAGCATGCCGATGAGGGTACCAAACTCCTCGTGCATGCGAATAGTTGCAACCGAGCTTCCCAGGGTTTGCCGCGAGGAAAACAAACGCAGCATATGAAACTTGCTCGGAGTCGAGGAGACTTTCGCAAACGACTCACTGTAGACGTGTCTTTCGAGATCATTGTAGCCGCTACCTTGAGTCCATGTGAGCAAAATGTGGCAGTGGCTCAGGAAGTAATCAGGTTATAAGTATACTGTCCTTCACTTTCTCCTGCTCTATGCCAGTCCTGTCAAATAGACCTCGAAAGCCATTCTTACTTGAAGACGAAGCAATGGCAGCCCGCGAGCTTTTCCCCGGCATCTACATCATTTCCGTTCCCATCTGTGATGGACCCGTCTTCGAGGAGTTCTTCAGTGCCTTTGCGGAGAAATTCCTTAAGCCCACCACTCCCTCCTCGTACCGTGTCTCGCCAATCGACACTCAGTTCGGTGATAGTACAGGCAGTACCATTAGTTACAACACCAATCACCAATACTACCAGTATGGCTTTCCAGCGTCGCACTATAAACCTAGCCACTCTCCTCGGGAAGGAGGCACAGGCACCACCAGTCCTTGTGAGCGTAATGCCGATGTCTTCACCTGTCTGAGCCGACCTGACCCGCCCGTACCGGCACCGAAGCCGCCATACCCAAATCCACCGTTCAAGGGGCGAGAAGCGGCCTACCAAGCCGGCGTCAACTCGGGGCTTGACGGAGACAGGATGCAACAGTCCACCATTCTCCAAGACGAGCCACTGCCAGACCACTCTTTCATACCGTTCTTGCCGGGGCCCGCTCGACCGCACACACCAGACCTGCCACCGTCTGCCCCAGTCCCGAAACAGCACCAGGCAGGAGACAAGGTCGGCGAGTCCTCCCGCAAGGGCATAGCGAACAACAAGCCAGTAGCGCAGCTGGAGGTGCATGCCTTTTGTGCATGCTGCGCAAGCAAGGCTCTGGATCTCGACTAGCGGATCAGACCGTCGGCCCAGCGCCTGGCACGCTACTCTACGCCCTCAACGGTAAGTGCTCCATTGGTCGTGTATTTTTATAATCACCACGCAGGTGCCCGCGGTCCATTGGGGTTTGAAGTAGCATATGTGCTTTCTTGCATCATATCGTGTGTGAAGGGACAGTGCACGAGGAGCAACAAGTCAAGGTGGACCTTGAAATAGATTTAATAGTACCTATAGAGGTCATTATCTCATGACTGCCGTTCCGAATATATTTACACATGTGTGGTCATGCTTCCTGTGTTCCGCCTCTAAGCTCCAAACTCCTTGTCATAATCCACCATGGTGAAACGGTACTTGACGTCGTTCTTGTGCAGCCTCTGCCACGTTTTCGACAGGTTCTCAGCGTTGATAGGTACCGTCTCAACCCAGGACTTGATGCCCTTGTCGGCGGCCAACTTCAACATCTCCAACATTTCTCTTCGGCTGCCGAGATGCGACGAGCCGATCAGGCAGCCGTTGGAGATAAGGTCCTGGGGCTTGATCTGCAGGGTCTCGTTCTCGGGCAGACCGACGGAAACCCATTTGCCGTGAACGTCCAGGAGGGAGAGATAGCCGCTCAGGTCGAACTCACTGCCAAATGCGTTGGCTGTGGAGACAATAAGGTCAAATGTCACTGCACAAGGAAGTCAGTATCTGTCCTCCTGAAGCATTGAGGCCCTTGCCATAAGAGCTGCAGCTTGCAACGATATGGTCAAGCCAGCCACGCTCAGACACGCTGGGGTATAACAGTCAGAGACAAATAGGAATTACTTACTCTTGTGCGGCTCATTCCAGTTCTTATCCGCGGTAGCAAGGAAACCATCAGCGCCCATCTTCTTGGCATCTTCCTCCTTGCTGTGTGTGCGGGAGATAACCCAGGTCTCAGCGCCCAGAGCCTTTGCGAACAGCACGCCAAAGTGTCCTAGACCTCCCAATCCCACGATGGCAACCTTCTTGCCTGGGCCGGCGCCATTACGCACCAGCGGGCTGTACATGGTGATACCGGCGCAGAGCATGGGCGCCGCAAGTTCGCTCGGGATCGGGTCTGGGATGGGGAAGACCCTTTTGTGGTGTCAATCAATAGAGCAGTCCAAGGTTGGCAGTGGTCACTTACCAGTGCTCGTGCGTCCGAACATGGGAGGAATATCCACCTTGGGTAACAATGCCAGTGTCCGGCCATACAGCACCGTATGTATCCTTCTGATCAGGGCAGTAGGTCTCGTTGTCGTTCTTGCATTGACGGCAATTCAAGCACGAGTAAGACTGAGCGCCCACACCAACGCGCTGACCTTCTTTGATGAGAGTGACCTTGGGGCCGACACGCAGGGCCTTTCCGACAATCTCTTTTCCACAAGTCAGAAAGTCGAACGCATGAGGGTTTAGGGATGCCTACCATGGCCGACGGCGAGGGGAAAGTGTTGATCACCCCAACCTCCCGTGACCGTATGAATATCACTGCTGCAAACACCGCAGGCCTCAATCTTAATCTCTACGTCGTAATCACCGAACGGCTTCACGTCGAAGCTGTTCTTGTGGACTTCCTTCCAGGTGTCTGGCGACTTCACCTGGAAGCCAGTATACTGGTCGTATTGAGGCATGGTGGAAGCTGAAATGGGAGTTTTTTCCAGAGACAGGATTCAATGGCAAGGCTCAGAGGTGAGGTAGAATTTCCCAGAGAAACAGAGGAGTAGGAGCAAGACTGTAAATAAATTCGGTACATGTTGGACACGAGCGTGCCCCCCACCTCTTATTTACGTCGGCCAGCCTTGCTGGGGGAGCTGGCATGGAGGGGCATGAGGGGCATACTCCGTACATACTCCAGGTTTAGAGCTGGCCTTTAACCGCCATGCCCAATTAGCTGCTGTACTCGCGGCGATGGGGGCTATATTGCAAACGACATTGTCAAGCCAAGTCGCCCGTCCCGCGATCGTAGCCCCACCATCGCCAGAGGAGCTCCGTCCGGCTGGACTTGCGTCGTTGAGATTGGTCAGAAAGCTCCCCAAGTAGTTAATCCGCTCCCATGCGAAGATGCCGATAATTCCACCATTCACGAGTCCCCGAGCGGAGCAGTATCGGACAACTCCAAGCCATCCGTTGATGCGGCTGTTCGACTTGATTTACTAAATCTCGTCGAATTGTGCTCGGGCCAATGAGCTCCGAGAGCTTTGCGCCATTAGATCGGCCGTAGACCAGTGCCAAATAATTAAGTAATGAAGGTGATCCCTTTCCATGAATGGATACTCCGCGCATTGTATCGCTTGCGGCCAGACTCGGGCCGCAAGCGCAACCACAAGCCGATCTCGCGTTGGCTCGCCTAAAACTGTCGCAATTCGGTGATGGTTTCGATGAACCGTGCCGAGTGCGCAGACTCTCGGGTCCATCGTGATTGCGTTAATTCGTCTTCTTCGCCGCCCCGGCCGTCTGAGCTCCTCCTAGTCCAACGCCGGCTAGAAACGCAATACGCATGGAAGCCCCCAGGTACACGAAGGGCACATTACCCCAATCAATCGCGTTCCACGAAGCAACGTCCCAGTAAACTCGCGACCCGACAGCAGAGACAGAGTACAGGTGCCCGATGTCCGCAAGCAGCAGGACGAAAAGAACCGTCTTCCAGGTTCTCAAGTTGCCCGTCGACCGCAGCACGAGTGCCTCGTTGAGCGCGAAGAGCAGGTACAAGTTCGCAAGCTGCGACATGATGATGGAGGTTCCCGTCGGGATTGGAGACACGGCGGTGGACGCATGGGTCAATGCCATATATTCCGGCTGGCGGAAGTGCGCGTAGAATGCCCCGACGAGTGCCGAGATGGGCTCGATAATGAGGAAGAAGAGGCGGTAGATGACTGGAAGGCTGAAAGAGCCTGGTCCCAGTTGCGCCTTCGCCATGATGCAGGTAAGAGATGATTCCTCAACCGTAATGACGCCGCAATCCTATGAAGTGAGTGTCCACGTTACAAGGCCTGGTTGTTTGTGACGGCTCCTTCGTATGGAGGTTGTCAAATAGACTGGAGTGTTTAAACTGAGCTACAAAAATTTGAGGTTCAGGGAAGAAGTGGTCAGGGCGTGGCAGCAGCTCTCCACTGAAAATGGACAGCAAGGTGCAGCCATTTGTACATGTGAATCCTAGCACAACCCAAAACCACGGATCAATCAGGGACAAAACACCATACACCTTGTATATTCAACCACCCATAATTTGCAGAATTCCCGCTTGGAACAATAATTCAACAACACACAGCAGGAAGGAACAACACTATTCCCTCGCCAGTGTAAGTAGAAGGCAGCGATTTTTGCGATTGTTTTCTCAGCAGGGGGTTAAGCTGATGCGTCTTTGTCCTTTACAGCCACAGTCACAAGCGTAAGAGGAGATGGGGTGCCAATGAAAGACTTACTATGATTCCACCAGAAGTTATCTTATGCAATGACAGATTGAAAATCCGTGCCCTTTCCATGCAGCAACTTTATCGTTACTACTATCATCGTGACCGTGATAGCTTGAAGTTCCGCACTTTTGGTCTTGAATATGTCTGCCGACACTGAGAGGACTCCGTCTTCCCCCTTTAAACAATGTTGTCACACGACAACTGTTGGACTATGATGTACATCGAATTGAATGCCGACAAGTGGACATGCAAGACATGTTGCTTGACTGCCCGCAAAATACTTCTCCTCTTGGCATTCTGCTAGTTCCGCGCGCTAACAAACAATGGAGTGGTTCTGCACCAACTGGTTGCTAAAAATAATGCGGCGCAGCTCGAAGACAGAGACCTCCCAAGCGATCTTGGGTTTAATGAATAGGTCCGCGTGGAGAATGTTCTCTAGATTTGCTCAGTCTAGGCTCTTAGAACGTGCTGGTAAAGAGAGCTATGATCTGACATGAGCAAAAGCTACATGGTCCTTACGGAAAAGTCTCAACAGCCCTATCCCGTATGTCCGCAGCCCTGTCTTGGCAATCAGCCATGGCACGACCGTTGGACTGCGCCTCGACTACGGCCATCTCCCCGGAAGCCTGGGATGCCCGGTTGGTGACCTATTTCGAAGGAGCGGCTCAGGTCCACCCGCAATTATACCACCGACTCTTTTTCTAAGAATGGGCAGGTCCCATGCCCAAGGTGGGCTTTTATTATTTACCTCCGAATCAACGAAACATCAGTCCTACAGTAATACAGCTCGCGGTCTACTACGTCAGAAATCACCAGCGAATTTGGATGCTTGTTTTTCTGCCTGCCCAGAGCGTAAGCTGGTGGCATGAGACTCTCATAGGCTCTTGGGCTTCTCCATGATCGTGGCTCTGTCAAGTCTTTGCTGGCCGTGACTTTCACAAAAGGGCGACAGTTCTCCACAGAGTCGTAACTGAAGGCCGTTCTCGCATCACACACTTCATTTTCTTCTATAATACTGACAGTTGGCCTTATTATGTCGAATCCTAATTTCGACCTGGGCCTATCTTGCCCATCCGAGGGCAAATTCTACGTCTGCGACACCGCCAAGATACGGTTCATTGGATGCTGTACGACCGATCCTTGTGCAGATGGCTCTGGAAACTGCCCCCAGTCCAACTTACGGACATCGAGCTTTTCATCGGATCACTACGAAGAGATCAGACCACAAAGCTGCATAGGAGCGAACTCAACCGAGACGTGGTACACTTGCCAGGCCTCACCACCTTTCCTCGGGTGTTGCAATTCGAATCCGTGTAGCGCCACCGGGTGTCCCTCGAAAGACATCATCGCAGCTCAATTAAGCGATAACTCAACCAACGCACAGGCGATGATAGGGACAACAACGACTACATCATTGCCCACTGGGACTTCGACTCCCACCGCATCAACGTCGAGTTCGCACTCAACTCTTCCCACTGGGGCTATTGTCGGGATAAGCATTGGTTGCGCTGTCATCGCGTTTATGATCTTGGGATTCGTGGCATATAGGTGCGGATGGAAAGCGAGGAACAGAGAAGCTAAGCAAGGAAAAGACATACAACCCGAGGTCACGGAGCAGTTCGGGTATTCACGTAAGAACCCAGCCAATTCATGGTTCTCATAAAGTTTACTCACCTCTTGTTAGCAATCTCCCCAGGGTTCTCTTTCTCACAGACAGATTACCAAGACCAACGGCACTCGACAACAGACAGCCATCCAGGCTCACCAGACCCCCGCGTCTTCCAGCCATTTTCGCCTGATTCACGATATGATGGTCCCTTATCTTTCCCGGAGAGCGGCATGCCGCTCACAGTTTCAGAAACATGGAAGTCCGACCCGCGCCACGCATCGCAGATGTCGTCTGTAACGTGGGACTCGGTGTCAAGCCTGGGTCATGGACAGCAGCAGCAACACCCGGCATCGGTGGAGCTTGACGGAAATATGATTGAAAGGCCCAGAATGGTAGCAGAACTTCCTGAAAGGTGACAGGGAGAATTACGGCAGTATAAGACTGGTAGTGGTACATGGAAAATGAATGAAAGTCCCAAAAGATGAAGGCCAACCAATTTCAAGTGCAAACGTTATAGTCCATACATGACAAAATCAGTGGCTGAGACGACGGGAGCGCTGTCGAGACGACAATCATAGGCATCCTGCAGTCAACTCCCTCGTTCCCAACCATCTCGATGTACGTTTATGAAAGGCTTGGCCTTCTTGCAAACGAAAGAAGAGGTTAAAAGAGAGAACAACTGACAATCTACAGCCAGACAGCCAACTGCCATCGACCGAGACCCACTCTTCTCTTTGAGAGCCGCCCACTTGGCCCACATCTGTCCCACCGGCTGTGCACAGACCAGTTTTTACCGGAGATTTCCCACGCTTCCCACATTTCGGATTTTCGACTCTAGCCCTGGCCAAAAATCCGTGGGAACTTTTTCCTTGATAGCAGCGTCGCGATCAACCTCACTTCCTTTCCCACGAGAAGCCGACCCGACCGACAACAGCAGCCTCATCCAGAGCCCCGTCGCCCATCATGTCTTCCCCCGCTCTGAACAAGATCGCCCCCAACAGCCCTTCGAGGCAGAACCCCTCCGAGCTGGAGACCAGCATCGCTGGTGCCCTCTACGACCTCGAGACCAACACTGCCGACCTCAAGGTCGCCCTCCGACCTCTGCAGTTCGTCTCGGCCCGCGAGGTGAGATAGAATGCCATTGACGCCCGTGACTCTTTGAGAATCCGCAGGAATCTTTTCCGCCCTGGACCGCGACTTGCTCCTGTTCCTTACGATGGCCTTGCTATGCTACACTGCAAGCTACGATATCAATTGCGATACGTATCTGCACCTACACTCCCAAAGTGCGCTCCACCACGACTCGAGGCGAGCCATTTTGATATGAGGAAGAGCAAAAAGTTCACATTCGAAAAGAAGATGACTAGCAATACAACACATCAGAGGAATAGGACGGGAAGCGGTCCATGGAACACTCATTGCACATGATGTCTGTCTCCTGGAGCTCGCCTGCTGACTTTGGATCTTACTTAGATCGAGGTTGGCCACGGCAAGAAGGCTATTGTCATCTTTGTCCCCGTCCCCTCCCTGCAGGGTTTCCACCGTGTCCAGCAGCGGTAAGTTCAAATAACTGACAGCCGAACCCTCAAGCATTGTACTGACTCCCTGTCCAGCCTGACCCGTGAGCTCGAGAAGAAGTTCTCCGACCGCCACGTCCTGGTCCTGGCCTCGCGCCGCATCCTGCCCCGCCCCAAGCGCTCTGCCCGCTCCCGCAACACCCAGACCCAGAAGCGCCCCCGTTCCCGAACTCTGACCGCTGTCCACGACGCCATCCTGGCCGACCTCGTCTACCCCGTCGAGATCGTTGGCAAGCGTCTCCGCACCAAGGAGGACGGCAGCAAGCTCCTCAAGGTTGTCCTTGACGAGAAGGAGCGTGGTGGTGTTGACTACAGACTCGACACCTACTCCGAGGTCTACCGCAGACTCACCGGCCGTGGTGTTACCTTCGAGTTCCCCCAGACTGGCGCCACCGAGTACTAGGGTTAAGCGGTCGCTGTTTGGTTGGGCTGCGAACTGAGGGAGGCGTGCTGGTGATGGCGCGCACAGGTATCCGGAAGGAAATGGTATGACATGCATATTCTACGATGGTAGCATGAATGGAAATTTCTTTCTGGCGAATCACAAAAAGGGCAAGGCGTTCCGATAGCTTGTGAAATGAATGACAGGCTTGGTTTCTGATGACAAACCCTGATATATCTTTGACCCCAGTGGTTCCGCGTTTTGATGCTGTGACGTGCCCATGTATCCTCCTTTGACATGTTGAAATGTCGTATGGGGTTCCCGTTGGCCCATCATATACATCTTATCCAGTCTCCAACTGTATCACCTGGTCCTAGGTTGCGGTCCACGCAGAACGTCATTCAACATGACTTGATGCTAGGTCCTTCCATGGGCAGCCTCTTGTCACAGGGTTCCTCAGGAGCATTATGAAACCTGAAGTATTCGACCTCATCAACTTGCGAAAGCGTATTCTAGCATGAATCTCAAAATTGCCTACATCTAGGGGGGTATCATACATTGCTTGCTCCTTGCAGAACCGTCTATCCTAATCCTGGCTGATCCGACCGAGTCCCAGCACACACCAATACGCCAGCTCCCTCTTCTCCTTGGCCTCTTTATCCTTGCTGGCGGTGCTGCCAACCTGATCCTGGGCTGCCTCGCTCTCCCACTCCAGGCGGACAAACATGGGGATCTCCAGGATGTCCTCGTCCTCTTTGAGGGGCCCGAGGTCTTCCGCCTCGCCCGGCTTGCGCAGGATGGCGGGCTTGGGCTCGATCCGGAGCGACGACGGGATGACCTCGACCACGATGCTGACCCAGTTCCGGCCGCGCTCCCAAGGCTTGCCCGCTTCGACCTGGGGCGCGGCCTCTTCCTTGTCCTGGCGACGGTCGTCCTTGAGGGCCTCGTTAATGTCGTAGTCTTCGGCGTTGGCGTCGATCGTGAACTGCGGGCATAGCACAGTGACTCGCGACGCAAAGCGGCCTGGTGTGGTAGCCGGTGTAGCGAGGGTGACCTTGATCTGGTCAAACATTTGGTTCTTGAACGTGAGAAGGTATTGGGTAGGCTTGAGCGGCGTGAGAGTAAGCGAGCTTGTATCAGGCACGGGCAATCCAGGGGTATCTGTAGGATTCAATGGTTTGATCGATATCGAGGGAATGTAGTTGCCTGCCACAAGCCGGATGCGCCATCTTGTATTGTTGACCTTGGCCTCCGGTTTGCTGAGGATATGTCGACATACGGGACAACGCTTCGCCCTCTTGGAGCGGAGCAGGTGAGGGATAGGCCACAAATCCTCGACAAAACGAGCGCCTTCGTCTACCTGCGATGTAGCCTGGGAGTTTGTGACCGTGCCATCATATCCATTCTCGCGCAGAGCAGAGATAGAACTGGACTCGTCAAGATTACTTGGACGAAAGCCGTCTTTGAAGCTATCGGCCTCGCGTATCTCCGTGGGGCGGCTCTTGGGCTTCAGCGCGGCGAGACCATTCCCCGAATAGAGACTCATGATCCGCGAAAGAGCGGTGGGAGAGCCGTATCCGTACTCTCCCAAGGTTCCACTTAGGTTACCCGAGGAGGTCGAGTTCGAGTTGGCCAGCTGAGACTGGTAGAATGACCTCATGAGTGCAAAGCGTGATTTGGTGGAATCTGCCTCGGCGTCACCGCTCTTTTTCGTGGGCGCGGCATCCACCGCTGCAACGGAAATGTCACCATGGCCATCGCCGTCCCTTATCTTGGCAAGCTGTCCGAAGATGCCTTGTGGTTTGTCAAACTTGATGCCAATCTCGGAGGAGCTCCAGTTGCAGTACGAGCAGCACAGCGCCCAAGGGCCGGGGGCGGGAGGCGCGGCATTGTCTGCTGTGAGTAGTGACGACGACTCGGGGGCGGGCTCGAGAGACTGCACAGCCAAGGGTCCGATGCAGACGGGACACTGGAAGCAGCTGCGGGTGCATCTGCGGGTGGTGTCACAGCACGTCAGCTACTGGTCCATGGCATATGAGATCCCCCATGCATGATCAAAGGTAGTTGAACACAGGCGATGCAGTGTAGCTCAACGCGTGCATGGCCGGGTAGGTGTTGATCGGGCGTGTGGCACGTACCGGTTCCCTTCGGTCTTGACGCTGCTGCTCCCAACCTCGAACAGACAGCTCGGGCAGTAGATGGTGACGAGCTCCTCGGCGACACAGCGTGGACAGCGGATCTGGTTGCAGTCGACGCAGTACAGCAGGTGCTCTATGGGGTACAAGCTGTAGTTGGACCTCGGCGAGCGGGGGTCGAAGGCATGGTCGTCGTCGCTCTCGGGCGCATCAGAGGACGAGGCGGAGGGCGACTCGTCTGAAGGGCGAGCTTGGCCGGTGGCATCGAAGCACGGGCATTGAATGTAGCTGTAGGGGGTGAAAGATGCCATTGGATGCCTTGGAAGGCGCTACATGGCAGCCGGGAACCTGTAGAGTTTGGCGCCACGGGTCGCGTTCGCGGAGGCGGGAAGGTTGGCAGTATTCGCGGTAGACTTTGGTGTTTGTCGCCCTGTCCGGAGCTGGAAATACGCACAGCGAGCATTGGCGGACGGGCTTGACGTCGGTCCAGGGGTCCAGTGCCCCGTGTCCAGTGGTCCAGGAGGGTCCGGGGCGCCGCTGGGGTCCCAAGCAGAGCAGTTACCTAGGGACCCGGGGCAGCTGCCCGCAACTGGCCCGTACCCTTACATTCCTTACACCGTCCGTGGCCGCGTAAGTACATACCACACCTACTTCCGGCTACCATCCAATAACCACCCGACAGTAGCAGTGTACTTAGACACGTAGTTACATGAACCACTGCTCGACGTCATGTTCTCCCTCGCGCGCAGTCAAGCGTGGCTCCAGTTCTCCCATCGTATCCGTTACAAATGTCTTTCGAAAGATGGCAAGCAAGACCCTGGAAAGCTTGTCGAGCAACACGGGCCTTCTCACACCTCTAGGCCCCTCCGCTGATTTCCCATCAAGCGCAGCCACGGGCCAGCCGCCCTGCCGCCCTGCCGCCTTGTGGCCATGGCGAGATCCCGTCCGGTAAGAAAGTAATACGGACCCGCGGGTGAAGTTCTTCTATCAGCATCATCCCTGGTCCAACGCGGAAATGGCCCCAGGTGCAACGTCCTGAGAAGAATTTTCTCTCCGTGCAGTTTATATTACACACTCAGTACTAGTCTTGTTCCGCGGCACTCGTACGGGCATATTTACAGCGTACAGAGTGCACTGCAGTGTATGTACGTCTCAGCTGCCGAGGAAGGCCATGCATGCGAAGAGCACCTCACCACTCGTTTACCTGTCACTCGTACCCATACATGCAAGTCACGGCAGGCCTGGAGGCAATACGACGGCCACGCCGGTCCAGCTGCTTGGGCCAAGTCTAGGTCTGCGTCCTTTGGCCGCAGGATCTGCTTGGGTTTTGACGCTGGACCTCAGAGAGAAAACGTCCCCATTTTCTGCGGAGAGCAAGGGCTCCCTGAATACAGTAGTTTATTAAGGAGGCGCGGCTGTCCGATGTTCAATGTTGAAGAATCTGGGCACTCACGAAACACCCGGCTATGCGTAAGCTGTAGGAACGCCACGGGCAGGGATCGTAACATCTGGACAGCTTCTTGGCATGCCGACTCCAGAGCCGCTGCTAGAATCTGCTGACCTGGCTGGTGACAATTTGCAAGATCTAAGACATCGCGGGGAGCAACAAACAAAAAGCATTGGAACCCTGGCACTTGGCCCGAAAGCGCTATGACGGCGACACGAAGCACATGGGAAGGCCCCGAGGTCCCAAGGATCTGGGTCGCGAATCTGCCACTTCCTGCATCCCAGCATCCATGGCTTTGTGGCAGCACACCAAAACGGCGGGATCCTGGTCCATGGTTACAGCGCCCACCGCCCACCGCACGCCCCCTGCCCTGCGCGCACACTAATGGCGGGGTTCCCTGCGTTTCAATGTTCAGCTGCCGAGCTGTCATCACGACGACACGCAGTGGTAGATTGGTAGATGCACGTCTAGGCCAGCTCTCGTCCGGCCGCCGCTTGATGCTTCAGATTGACTAGAACGTGGCACTTTCATGCTGATAGCCCGGGCCAGACCGGTCAACCAAGTCTCCGGCGCCGAAGGTCTCTCTCTTTCTCTCTGCGCTCAATTGCTGCCCGCGCGCGTCAGAACGCCAGATCGCCAGAACGCCATGCTGAGTGTAAACCCGATCAGTCTGAACCCAAATCGCTCTCCCCTGGAGTTACCCTCTCTGCGGTGGCGTTCCACTTCTAGGTACGAGGTTAAGGTTCTCCTACCAAGGCGTCAAGACTAAGCTAGGCGCAGACCGACGAGCTTCGTGGCGGAGAGGCCTCAATGCTTGACGCAACCAGAATGCTGTGCACGTCTCCAAGCCGCCCAGCCGTCATGAGTCTGGAACGCAAGCCGTGCAAGGGACACCGACTGGCCAGGCCAGATACTTCTACATCTTGACAGTCTGAGTGGTCCTTTGCCATGGCCAAAAATCTGCAGCCCAAGCTGCGCGCGCCGAAGACTGCATCGAGCTAGAGCGATCCCCAAAGTCCGGCCCACTGGGCTGGACGTCTAAAATTTAGCGCTATACCCTCTCTGATGAGGTACAGGAAAGTAAAGTGATCGCTTGAAGCAAAGGGACAAGCTGAATCTGGCCCTCGCGCCAAGCCTGTCCGTAGCTACCGGGGAACCCGAGTATCAAGGCCAGAACTACCAGCACTCTGATCTTTCTCGCTTGCTTGCTGTCTCTTTTGGTTTGGCATTGCCTGAAGGCTTCAGCTCGTTCTTGCAAGTGTGCCAGCCCGGCCATCATAGGATATTTTCACACGCTGCTCACTGCTAAGTTTGTAGTTTTAGCTCTGGTTCCGCTCATTCCATCAGCTTTGACTATCGTTCCATCTACAAGGATCACGGCCATAATTGGGCGGATCCGACAGGGTTGATGGGCCCCTGCAAAGTCCGTCACTCCGGGGCCATGGGGTGCTACGAGGCGTGCAGAAAGCCAGTTGCCTGGCACGGCTCCCGGCTTGTCGCCATTCAGCTTTCGCGTCGTAGAGTGACTCCGCCGAGCACGACCATTGGCTTGGCGCCAGTGACTGATCTATGATGGCGTGCCGGGTGGGATTATATCTCATCTCCAGTCCACCTTACTTCAGAGTTTGTGTGGGTTCGTAATGTCTGACGTCTTTCAACTTCTACGTTGAAGGCAATTCCTCTCCAAAGCCTTCATTCTCGTTCGTTTTTCAGGGTTATCGCTTGTCATACATACCCAATGGACAGCGCAAGCAGACCCCGGCAGCTGCATTGAGGTGCTGTTCTACCTGGGACCCTGGCTTCGGTGTTGGGAGGATTCGGGGGGTCACCAACGTTCCTGACCTGCGTGCTGCTTTCAAGCCAACTCTCGAGTTATCAAACACCAGATCGACCCGTTTGCTTTCGGCTGCATCATTCTATTTTTCTATCTTCTTTCCTTTTTCGACTTTACTTTCGTTCTGCATCTTTCGACATAACAACGGTGATATGTCGTCAATACCCAGGCACCTGTCGTTATATAATGGAGTCTCCGATCGGTCGCGTGGTTGGAAGTCGAGGAATTCGGAAAAGATTGCAAAGAGGGCCGCTCCCACTTCAAATATCATGAGGTGGGATGGCGCTTCTAGGTCTAGTAGGGCTTGGGACAACCTGAGAAGGGTAAGCAGGCAAGCCTAAGCTGGCAAAGCCAAGAAATAAACTTACACAGTATTGTCAGGACCCCGAATTATGGTACCGCGACGGCGACTGTTATGTCCACCTCTACGGTCAAGGCCAGTCCCGGAGAGGCCCGGCTTTCAAAATCCCACTGTCGACGCTGCTGGAAGCGAGTTGTTACCCTCTTGTTAATCGATTCATGGCACACGATGTGTCCGAACTCTCACCGGTCACGAGCCCTGAGCCGAGCCAGACGGAATTCGAATCACAAGGGAGGCAACCACAACACCGAGTCGATCTCTACATTCCGGCCCCTCCAGGATCTGATAAGCAGCAAGCATTCAACTATCACCTGGCAACACGGAACTTGTTTGCATTCGTCTTTAGAAGATCCCTGGTCGGTGAGCACCTCGGTACTGCTCTCATTGGTCTGTTGCATAGCATGTACGAATTCCGGACGACAGATGTGGACAATTTGGCAGATATTCAAAACTATATGGATGAGGAGGGCTACTTGGACTTCAAGAGTCAACCATCTCACGCACTGGCCTGTCTGCACTTCGCAGAGGTATTCCAGCTGCGAGACCTCTATATCGAGGCCTTCGCCCACTGCTGCGGCATGAGCGACCGTTTATTCCTTGGTCCTGAATACCAGGTGAGTTAGAACCCCCCATTATTGTCCTTGAGTTACGATTAACAGGCTCAGCTTGTTGCATCCGTCACGAGGAAGCTCCTACGGCGGGCCCGGGTAGACATGGACGTTAGACTTGGGCGTGCCTGCACAATGTTGCGCACATTTCTGCAGGACGAACTCTCTGAGACCCATCTGGGCTTGAATCCCGGTGCTCGAGCGCATCTCGAGAGATTTCGAACCCTGGTTCACGGATTTTACGCCGCCAGATTCGGATACTACCCTCCTCCATCTATCGACCCCAGGACGACGATATTCGAGGTGGAAGTCATCCGCACACTGCAGAACGACTTTGAAGCGCTCTTCAACTATCTCGTGGACGAGTCTTCTGATCCTACTCAAGGAATCTCGCCTTCGGCTCAGGGTGGCATTTGTGCGTTGCAAAGCGTTCAGTCGTTTGATGCTCGTCAGAAGTTTAGTACTCTGGAGCATCCCTTACCCCTTCTTCCCGATATCCGCCAGCAGGTTCCTTCGAAGAGGATCAACTGGTTTAACAGACAAGCCAAGGCATCTCAAAGCCAACGGAGCGAAATTCTCACCTCTGTCGTGAAAGCAACAAACCAAGCTGACCTCGGACTCTTGGACAATCACCTTGTGCAGACATATCGGAAGTTTGAGGAGGACTGCGTTTACTCACCTCTCAAAGCGGACAAGCAAGAAAATCTTAGCCTGGTCGATGCGCGAAAGGTGAGGTGGATCTTGATATATGCAGTGCACCAGACCATCAAATACGCAACTCAACCGCCACCGGAGGTCAAAGATTTCAGGGATGCCCCGTACAATCTCTGTATATCAACCGAGCATCTCCCCCCGTGGACCGAAGAGCGGCCGATCCAGTCTCTCATAAGGAGAGATACCGAGCAAATCACCCGCAACCCGTCCGTATCGACAGCAGGGCGTAGCATTGCTACAGACCGTCAGTCCTCCATACAGTCCTCCGTTGTTGAGAGTCCAGCCTTCGAGATCAGGCCCGACATCGACTATCTTGGGTTGTCAAACCATGAAGACGGAGCCAAGGACAAAATCACCCTGGCCGTTCAGGAACATCCCAACTCCACAAACCTACCTAGACGGACTAGTTTTACTCGGAGTTTGTCCCGTCACTCTGCCGTTCGACGCTCTCTACGCTTGTTTGGGATCAGCCAGCCCGAACAGCCGCAGCCGCCTTCCAATCAACGTAAGCCCATACAGTATCATGAGATCGTTGTTCATGGTTATGGAAACGGAACCAAAGACGTGGAGTTCACTTCTCAGAACCACAATGATGGCGATATCGCGAACGCCACCGGTGGCGGTAACAAGGACACAACTACCTCCCGTTCGCCATCGACTTCGTCTAATTCGAGTTCTGCGAGCGATCTGAGCATCTCGGAAGGCGGCAGTGCTTCGACTGAGGCTACGTCTGTGAACAACAGTCCGGTGACTGCTTCATCCAGAGCCTTGCCATGGGAGACTCAAGATGGCGGTCTGTATATGCGTGGTCGTCGTGGCCGTGATGCCACACCGCGGCCCGTGTCCATGTATTGCACAACCTCCCAAATACCCGACATTCCTTCTCGGGGCGACCAGACCAGCAAACCACGGGATAGGCTGAGGCCGCCTATGTTCCTGGGCGGAGAGCGCACATCACTGGAGCCTGCCCCATTGCAGACCCGTAAAGCGCCGAAGTTCGACCATCGACCAGTATCCCAGGGACGCTCCCATAGCTTCATGGAAGCCAAGGATGATATCCAAGTGCATTGGGATAGCTATACGGACCTGGGAGGCCTAACGGAGATGAACAATGTTACGTCAAAGAGGGCGAGCGTGGCATTCTAAGTTATGAGGAGAGAGGTCAGTGACAGGCGAGGAAAGAGGGAGACACCTCGAAACCGCGAGCATGGGAAGCGCTCACGATCCGACACACCCTGATGTTTAAATTTCCTATGTTCAAGTGATACCCACAATTACTCTTCTGACGGAGTTGGCTGGTTGCGTATTACACTTCACACTTGCCACTACTTGTGTTCTTTAGCCTGTGTCTCTGGGCTGCGACAAAAAGTCATCTGTTTCTAGCGGATAATTCAAGTCCCACATTACTATTGATATCTAGGTGACCCTCTTCTTGCGCGGTGTCAGTCTTAAGCAATAACTTTGAGTTGCTTTAGTGAACAAGGTCGATGTGACGAGGCCATGCTGCAACATAGTGCCGTCGAAGACATTTAACTACATAAAGATGAGGAGCCGCAGTGAATAGTCCACTAATGCTACACTGATATGTATTCATTGAAAGGTATAATCAAACTGAAACTTCAGTATGATCCAAGGGTATCCCAAGCACACCAATCCCGCATTACGTGATCCTCCAATTAGAGACGGGCCGCGCGAATCATTCCGACTTGACATTGACGCCGCCTGAAGCAGCCGCCAGCCCATCGATGATCTCGCCTCCCATGACGTAGATCATGTAAGTCGGGAAGATAAGCCAGGCACCGCTACGTCTTGTCAGTGCACCGGAAGAGCTTAGGGAAGAAGCAAAACGTACTTGGGTATAATCCAGAGAGGAATAAGATCCTGCCAGGTGTTGTGGCCAATGTTGTCAAAGCCCGAGTAGTATTCATTGGCCCCTGCATGCTCACGTCAGTTCATTTGTCGGCTACCAAGGCGAACAACGCCGGGGGATTAGGCATCTTACAGTAGAGCACCGTCTTGCTCACAGTCATGACGGCGGCGCTGAAGGCGAGCACGACGGCCAGGCCGGCCGGGCGGCCGGTGAGGACCTTCTTCTCGCCGGCGCCGGCGCCGGCGAGGGGCTGGCCGCGAGCGAAGTAGATGTACAGGTAGGCCAGGTACATGGCGGTCTCGACGACGTTGAGGGAGCCCTGGGCCGAGGTGAAGCCGTTGCGGGCGTTGAAGGCCTTCCAGCCGTAGACGTGGTCGACCTCGCCGTACAGCTTGTAGGGCGCCCACAGCGGCCAGTGCAGGAAGCCGCCCTCCATGGTGTGCGGGCGCCCCAGCACGTAGATGCTGTCCCAGATGACCAGCGGCAGCGACACGGCGAACCACAGCAGCGTCGTCCGGTCCGGCGCGTGGTACCAGGCCTTGGGCGCCGGCGAGACCGCCGTCTTGGAGCCCGAGCGGGTTGTCACCATCTTGGCGGAGAGAGAGCTAGCTAGGAGGTATACTTTATTTGGGGCCGGTGATGGGCGGCCAATGGATATGTTGCGGGGAGCAGAAAGAAGAACGCGGCTTCGAAATGGAGGTTGATACGGATTTAGCTAAAGCACACAGGAATTCCCAGAAAATAGCGAACGCGATATGACCGTCGCTGTTCTGCGAGTGTCGTCGTATGTTTCCCAAGACGCGAATTGCGGGGATGGCGAGTAATCGCGAGACAAGGGGTGGTGGTGGAATGGTAGCAGCAACTCCTCAGACTCTGGGTTGCACTCTCGGCACGTCGAGTTTCCGAAATTGCAGATCCCCGAACCATCCGCCAGGCGCAATTTCTCATTGGCCTGAGGTCATTATAAGCCTCGAGCTGCTTTACTTGTGAGGAAACATCATGGAGGATAGCCATACTAATTGAGATGGTTCACACGAGTGTCTACCTACATAGGTACCATGTTTACATCACTTTGGGGGGTAACCAGATACCTAGGTCGGCAGCAGATCGCCATATAAATCTGACCTGAGGCGCTGAGCGCATCGCCACACCGCAACTAGCCAGCCCATGGCAATAACTTCTGTGAAGGTTTGCTCATTAACTTAGAGTTCTAGGACGATTGGTTCAGGCTTAGTGCATCCGGTTACATGTCATGAACACTCCGTAAGACTATCTCGTTGTTGGTCAGAATTGCTTGGATGAAAGCATCAGTATCAACACAGTCGAAGCGGGTCTCTCTTATTTACGAAGAATCACGCGCCTGCAGACACTTGCTCCGGGGCACCCGCAAGCGACAGATGCAACCGAACACTAGGATGCCATGGGTTGAAACTTTCCAGGAGCGATCATGACCTGAACCCTCAGAGCCCGTTGTTTTACGTTCCGGGTCGAGCGTTGCCTCAACGTTTGCGTATTCACCAGGAGTGGAAAACAGCGGACAGTGAATGTACGGAGTGCCACCGGGACGCGACACCTGCTAAGGGAAGCATCACGAAGAATAAGTAGCAGCGGTCACCGAGTATATTCTGGCACGCAAATATGAACGAAAGCAAGTGGGCGATTCGCAATCGTTTGATTAATCGTGCTGAGGTTTTTAAAAGTGTAAAGAACAAGAGGAAACCAGAAGCGGCCGCCGCGGCCCTGCAGAGAATTTGTGTCGACGCGCGACAGAGCGGAGCGGAGCAGCAGGTTGGGCATCACGTGACAATCCAGCAAATAGTGGGGGTGGGCGCCACACCTTTTGGGTTTTCTTGCAAATCTCTGCAATTTCGCTGGCCTGCATCTTTCCTTCAACCTTCAACCTCAACAGAGCCTCGACTTCTGGTCGAGGCTCCAAGCAGCTCGCGGATTGATGAGGCATAATGCTGACGTCCTCATCTCCAGGTAGGTGATTGATGAATCCTATCATCAAGATCGTTCTCTTTAGTCGTGTCGCTATTCTCGCGCATCGACAGCGACTTTGCTATCCGTCCGTCTATCCGTGAAATGGTGAGCCCGTCATCGACGTGTGAGGGCTCTGGAAAAGAAGGGAAACCCACAATATGCCTACCTCTTACGGCTTTCCATGCCTCAGAGCGTCAACTTAATTTTATCGTTCGGTGGGAGATGAAACCAAGGGTCTAGACAACCCGTCCAGTCCACCCTGCTGTCGTAGATCTCAGTGCGACAGCGGGACTAAACAGGGCATACATATGCAACCAAGCAATTGAAGCTTTCCAAAAAAAACCTTTGAAATGAAATGGTCGACATTCATAGGACTTGGGGACTTGAATCATGACTACGTGTCACTTTTGTCATTGTTTTGGTGGTTAAACATCCTGAAGATTTCTCAAGGATGGATATCGTAGCTCGTAAATTTTTACATCCATCTATGTCATAGGGTATCTCTCGTCCGTGGGATACTTCTACACGTATACATGGACACCAGCATCTTGTGCAACGCCTTGCTCCAATATGCTACACTCAGTACTTGCCGTCGAACAAATACTTATCATCTACGAAGGAGAGCAAAAACCTGGCCAGCAAACGGCCGGTGTAGTTCAACGAGACATCGCGGGGGAAAGGGTGTGTCTCCTGGTTTGGCAGGATAGGATCGGCTACCAAGAAATCCAGTTCACAAACTAGGGCGAAGTTAGTACACTATCCAGGACTATATGCAAGGGAACTTACAGGAGTCGCCCTGTAGCAGCTCTCTCAGGCCGATGACCATCTCGAGCGCTGCTCCGTCCAGGTCGCCTTGGTCAGCAAAATTGTAGTCCTGCAGAGGATTGAAGGCCTTTGTCGAAGCATCACGCGTGTGTGTCTGATACACCTGGTGGAACTGATAGGCAAACTGCTTGAACGGCAGGTTTTCAACCTCCTTGCACACCTGCAGGGCGAACTCGCGCTTGTACTCGGGTATCGTCTTGTTGCGAATGTTGATCTCGTTCTGCGAGATGACAAACGTATCTGCAGCTGTCTCAACTGCCTCCATGAACAGGCATAGCACGAGGAAGGCTGCCACACACGGCGCCCATTCCTTTCTGGATTTGGGTTTGAGCGACTTGGAGAAGCTGTCGAATAAACCCTGCATGTCTTTCTGGAGCAATTCGTCGAGCATCGACTTGATTTGCCGGTTCAGAACCCGGGGCGTGAGCCAGGGGACATCCTGAGGTACGAGCTTGGTGTGCTCCAAGCCGTGGACTGACGTAGGAGTGAGGCAGAGATGTCGAGTCAAGACGTAGTGCGTGGCGTATATCGACAGGGCCTTCTTCACGATCGGAGACTAATCGCCGTAAGCCAACATCTGATCAAAAGTAATAAGGCCGATCTTACCTGGGATCGTAAGCCGTAGCGCTGCACAATCTTCAGGACTCTCCGAGGTATCCTGGTAGCCCTGAGTGAGTCTGTTACTTGCTCTGCATATTGTGGCTCGACTGTGATGCCTTGGATATAGTCCCGAGTCCTCCTTCTTAGATCCTCCCTATAGACCGCATTGTCTAGCTCAATACCTATCGGAGCTGCCCGACGATACTGCATGTCGACTTGGTCCATGCCTACATTCATATGCCAGTGCTGCAGAACTTCGGTGGTTTTTGCAGTAAAGAACTTTGCTCGGACCTTCAGTGTAGACTGGAACCGTGCTCCAGAGTATAACTCGACCTCGCACGGCTTCTCAACCCCGTTGATAGTGAACGCTTGAATATGGTCGCTGACAAAGGCGGCCATTTCCTCCTTTCGGAAGTGACCTCGGATGAAGTCAGGGAATAGAACTGGCAAGAAATCCTGAAACTGCCAGCATATAATTTGGGGCACAGAAGTGGTGAGTTTGGTGCAATTTTTGCAAGGGCGTTCTTTGTCACACTGAGATATGTCAGCTATCGTGAGGCGATATTGCATGTTGTTAAGCTACCTTGACTTTGCGGGCGTGGCAGCAGAAGCATGCGCCGAGCCTCCTGACTTGAAGAGCGCTCTCCTTGACCTCGTTGGCTAAAGGTCCTTTGCGGCCTTTCTGGGTTGTTCTCATGGCCTCGAAGCACTCGAAGGGGTTCGGCTTGCCAGCAGAAGCACTGATAGTATTCGGTGTCATTATGACGAACTTGCTCGTCGAGTCTGGCTTTCTCTTCTCGATCTTGCTGCCGCTGCCCTTAATCTTTCTGATCGGACTCGGGGCCTTTTCGACCTTGACCGGCGGAGACTTTGGACTTGATGATAGATTGCCACTGTCTGTAGGAGAGCTCAGGGCGTGAAATGAAGGTCTGAAGTCGGTCTCAAGAGTAGACGACGGTTCGTCATTCATCAACCCTGGAGGGGACCATGGCGAAACATTGCTAGAATTCCGGTATTGCTGTGGGATGCCAAGGTCGCCAGGTTGAGTCGTGAAATCTAGAGGATCGAAATCGCCAATGTCTCCAAGGTTGGTGTTGTAGTATGGTTCCATACCGAGAGTGTCTAGCTGGTGTTAGTCGCCGTCGACTCGCACATGAAGCCTCCCTTGGACCGCTAAACTTACCATGAGAAGAGTCAAAGAACATGAACTCTGGGTCCGACATGAGTTGCTGCTCAGAGAAGTCGGGGATATACTGGTTCTCCATGCCGCCGACGGTAGCCATCATGGAAGGGCCACTTTGGTTGGGGAACGACTGCGAGGGGACACTTTGTGGGTCGTTGTCCAAGTGCAGAGGTGATACTGCAGCTGGTGAATGCTGCGGCTGGTTCGAAAACTCCGGAACGATGGCCCAGCTGTTCATGCTGCTGGCGCCGCTTTGCGGACTGGGGATGAAGACCGACGCTGGATGGGATCCAATATACTGCCAGGAATCCGAGTCCTCCGTCGACTCAGCGCGGTGGAAGCTGCGGCCCGAGGGCGAGGCAGAAGCAACCGAAGTCATGGTCGAGGTAGATCCCAACTATGTCCGCCGAGTCTCGTGCAGTCTATAGACCAGAATCTTGCGCGAACTCGCCTCTGTGGTGTAATTGGAAGTGCCCGTACTGTCAGAGCCTTGTGTAATGTCTGGCCCTCCAAGCTACAGTGAATTGGGACGTGGGGCGCTCAACTGTGGCAGTGAGCTCTAGAGCTCTCAAGAGAGGCAAGGCGAGTGAGACGTCGGATACAGCTGCCCTCGAGGCTTTAATAAGGCAGCACAAGTATGTGTATATCTAGATGATAAGATAGATCAAATCGTCATATTCTGCAACTGAGAGAGATTTCCGAGATCAGGACCGAGAGCAAGGTCCCCCCTTCTGCTTCAACGACGGGGTGAGCGAACGAGGGGCCGCTGTGCTTAAACGTGGGAGTGCAGCTGCCCCCAGCCAAGTTCATGGCTCAGCCATCGTACGCTAACTGAATACGACGACCGACGGCCCTCGAGACATGGCGCTAAGCCTCTTTGGACGTCGGTCGCAGCCGAGACGATTACGCCCGGCTTGCGAAGGAGTGAAGGAACGCGCTGGCTGTCTGGCTGCCGGGCTGCACTCACATTCCAAGACCGATCAGTCACGCCACAGAGCGCTGGTTCGGGCGCGTGTTGAGCTGAGCAGACCAGTATGGCGGTTGCTCATGGATCCATCTTCAATCAACGTCGCTGCCATCGGCTCGCGAGTGTTTGGGAGTTTTCACAGCGATACCTTCGAAGTAGGCGTCACCTCGACGCCATAGGCTCGTTGGTACCATGTAGACAACGAACTCCGCCGAGCAGTCCGTCGTGGCTGATGAGGTAACCGGAGTGCTTATACGTGCATATGCGGTGAGACTCTCGCTATAGCGACTCGCCATGGTTGGGCCGCGCCGTGTAGATCTTTCCGAGTCCGAAGTGTACCGAGTTTGCTATTATAGTCGTGATTCTACATTGATCCGGCACCGCCGGGGTCGAGATAGTCGAAGCCAGGTATCACTGAGTGGTGCAGTACGTTGGACACCACGGACTCATAGATCTTTGAGCGCAGTCATATCCTACATCGGACTCAGGTGTACTGGCACGCTGCAGGGGCCGTCGATTTCATGAGCTGGCAACTTCATGCATGCCATGCATCTGCAGCGCGGCAAGGCCTTCGTCAGTATTATGGCGGCAAGTCATTCACCTAGTCCAGAGGCGGCGGGGGCCCAAGTTGAGCAATTGACCGACATCAGGTCTTATTCTATAGGGAAACATGCGATGCGAGGCTTGACATTGATGCCAGAGGAAAAAGCGGCAATGTCGGCCTGAAGATGAGGTGTGATGCGATGCGTACGAAAGGCGTTAGCACATTACCGTCTTCGCTGCAGCACCTGGTCAATGTGATGATCAGGTCTCTTCACAGTCCGGTCAAGCAGGCTCAAGAGTTGGGCGCATAAGGCGCCAGGTGAAAAGGTGCAGGGTAGATTGATTATTGGTGGTGTGTCTTTTTTACAACACCCTTGAATGCATATGCTTGAGATCTTTGGTGCCCAACCGCCCAATTTCCTCAGACCAAAACATGGCGTGCATATCGAGTTCAAGGCCTAGATCGACGACCAGATCAAACAAAACAGCTTGAGAGTAACATAGATTACAGAGAGATATCGCTGCGCTTTCTGAATGTCCGGGGAGGAAAAAAAACAAAACCCCCATCCTGCTGCCCTTGGAATGGCCCCAAGACAAAAACAAACCACCACCTCTTGTTTCCAGTTGCCCCCCAAACCCATTACTGCCAGTGTTTTGCAAAGAAATTCGTGACTTGCTTCCTTCCCTATGGTGAAGCATTTCGTACAGTTCTCGTCGCTCAACGGATGATCCGTCGATCCAGGTCTTCCCCAACCTGGTGGTCTGATACTTGATTTTGCGTGTCGCAAAGAAAACGTTTGTTTGAATGGTGTCATGAGATATCATGAAGAGTCGTAACGTAATGTTCTGTCCTTCCGGTCAACGGGATTCAGCGGAAGCGAGCCTGAGCGGCCGCGCTCCGGTCCCTGATCTGTTGTTCTGTTGAAACGTAAAGTCTGTCCAAGTAGTCCATGGCAGCCGCGTCCTTCAGGATCTTGGCCACTTGGATTCCAGCACTGATTAATTGCAGGATGTTCCTGTCATCCTTGAGAGGGCGTGATTGATGCTTCGCAGCATGACGCATTTCTGTTTTCGAGGTCAGTACCTGTCTGTTCAATCTCTCAAATGAATCGTCTGGTCTGTTGTGAGGCCAGAAGGACGCCGCCGCCGAGAGTGAGCGACAAGTATACAGGGTACCCACCTAGAGAGTTTTCTAAAATAGTCACAAATTGCTTAATCTGACCATTGTACAGAACTCTTGCCTGTCGCATCAGTCAGTATCTGACGGGCAGATGAAGAAACCTGGCACTATCGTCCAGTATAGTCGAGGCCATCCAGTATTCAGGGTAACCGTCGCTGATCACCATGCCAGGATGGAACCGGTTCCAGGGAGTTACTTACAGGTATTCTCCTCTTGGTTGCTAATCGCTTCAGAAGGTAGACCCATTCGGTCCATTCCCGGTCCTGAGGTCGCTCCACGGGTCTCATATCCTGCGTCAAGGGTATCGGGAACTGATACTTTGCGACGAAGTCATAAGCACATTGCGACAATCTGTCATTCACTTGATTGAGCACGCTGTCCTGCTCCTGAACCAGGAGGTTTGTAGGGAGGTGCGGAAGCTCTCTTTCTTGCATGGCAACATAGCTTGCCGGCGGCCGCTGCAAGAACTGGTGGGGGCCGTCGAACTCATCTCGGTTGGATGGGCGGCGTTGTGGCCGACTCTTAGAGTTGCTCTTGGGCCTTCCTGATACTACCGTGGCTGCACCGTTGTCCAAACCATACTCAGACAAGCCTGGAGAGGCAATGATATCATCCACGGAATCGGTCGGGGAATATCCGGCTTGAGCATCCCATGCCTGAGAGCTAGAGCTCTGCGCAGTCGGATAGGCTGCGGAAAGCGGCCGTGAAGTATACACTGGCGACGAAGAGAAAGAAGACTCTGGCCGACCACCGTTGTCGTAGAGTGGTGCACTGATTGGGATATTATACGACGAACTGGTTCCAGTGGACGGATATGTGACGCTTCGGCATGTTATTTTTCTGGGACTATACAAGGGGTTCTGGGGGTCCGGATCGGTAGCCCTTACCTTGACCGCGGATAGGCACTGTCATAGATATTGCCCTGGTACGGGTCGCTGTAAGCGACGCTTGTAAGGATTAGCACGACCTGCGCATTGGAGGTTTTTGACGATCGCACCTGCGGGAGGAATTCCAGGGTCCGTTAGACATCGCAGATGCTCTATAGACTAATTCCTGCTGGGCCATTCCCTCCTGTCGGTGAAGGCAAAACGGAAACGCAACCACGAAGACTATTCGAGGTAGGTATACTATATCAACGCTTGGGGGCTCCTCAAGCGTCGTCCGTCCGTCCGGCACTGGGCAGATCCACGGGTTCCGGGGTTGGTCCTTGAGGGAAATAAAAAAAAAATTCAGAACTTTCCAGAGTTCCTGGGATACACGGTTGAGAGACGGTTCCAAACCGGGATATACTGGCTGGCGTCGAAGCGGTGTAGTCAGCCAATCCTAACCAGCTGACAGGAAAAGACAGCTGGGCCTGTTCTGGAAGTCCGTTGTCCAAGGAAAGATATCTGCTCCTGTATTTTTGGGAATATCTCAAGAAGTACCACCGGCACGGTACTTAAGGGGCAACACTGGCTGACTTTCCTTGGTTGCGAAGTGGCCTGTCAAAGCTGTTATGAAGCTGTTCGGTCACCCACGTCGGATCTTGGAGGTGGGAACGCTATTTTTTTATGTTCATCTGTATCATGCCCACTTACTAGATCTCCGAAAGTAGTTTCGCCACTCTGCAACAGCACTGATCCAGGTCATTTGGGTAGACGGGCTTGTAAACAGGGCGTCTAGCGACGATCCAGGATATCAATCGCCCTGGCATGGCCTGCGAAAAATCCGGGGCGACGGGAAATTTGGCAGAGAATGTCACTCGCATACACAGGCTGGTTCGTGACCTGAGGCCAGGACAGGGAACAATAGACTTTAGCTCGGGTGTCTCCCAACGGACGAGGATGGGCCTTGTAACGGGAAACTCGTTACCCGCCCGGAGCACCACGCACGATAGTAGAAATCTTGGAAGTCGATCAGTGACCAAGGAACAGACAATTGGCAATGGTCAAGGAGCACCCTGGAACACCTTGCAAACTCAATTTTGCAAGCTCGTCCCAGTAAAAGGTGAGGCTGGAGTACGTCCTCTGAATTGTGTGGGAGCATCCTTTCCCGAAAGGAGCGTAGGGCACCGATTGGGCTCTGTATTGTGGCCCAAGTGAACCCAACCACTAATCGCGAAACGTCGGCAATAGTTGAGATGCACCACTGCCGCTGCAAGGAAAGACCCTGAAAAGAAACGGCGGTGACTTGGCTCGCGCGTGGGTGTCCAGCATTGGGTTGAAAGCACGTTGCACAGCGATAGAACCCAATCTGTATCAGCGGCGCCCGCATGGCCGCTTATTAGTTAAAAGTAGCAGTACCCCGACATCAATTCACAAGGGCGGCCAATGGCCGCATTATCGCAAGTCGCTGGTACATGAGAACCCGCCGCAGCCAACTTTGACAGATTGACGCGATTGCCTCGCTGCCGTCATGGTGCAATGATGAGGCGGTGAATTAGGCAATCATAAGCGGTACATCGGCTGATGATAGCTTTCGACGAAACGCACATTGGCTGAGTATTCTTGTCAATCAGCTTATCTGAGGCTTTCTTTGGAAGAAGGCGCAGTCACAAATGCGACGAGAAACGACGGGTGGACTGACTGACGACGGCGTTGACATTGTTGGCCTCGACCAAGTTTTCTATCCTCAGGGGCCCTTTCCTACCTGCTACGCTGTAAGTCATTACAGTGCAAGCAGTGCCTTCTTACTCGGGCCATTTCAATTGTGACGAGTTGATGGACATGTCAGCTGCAGATGCTCTTATTGCAGGGTGGACCTGTCCGGTTGCTTGTGTGCGCTGAGCACTACCGAAGAGCACAAACGACAAAGTCAAGGTCGAAATGGCTCCAAAGCACTATATGCATTTGATATACAGATTCGTTCTTCCTATACAGTTTGTAGTCAAGGTTCGGAGATAAATAAGGGGGAGAGGAAAAAGAAACGGCGTTTTGCATGGAAAACGTAGTAAGCAGAGACAGCCACCCCACGTGGGGACCGATGGACCGACGGTCGATCTCAGAAATTCCTCGTCCGAACCGCTCGCGGGCAGAGATGAACGAGAGGCGTGCGTACAAACATATGATAGGATCGCAAAGCAGAAAGAGTTGCTAGTCAAGTCCAGACGTGCGGATGTCCTCCATAGGGGCATAGTCAGCCATGAGATGATGCCACCATGGTGGTAAGATCTCAAAGGAGAAGTCAGTGCTCTGGCCTGTGGCTCAGGGATCTCAAAGTAGAAGTTGAAGCCCATAGCTTCAGGGGGCCGTTAGGTAGGCCTAGGTAGCTTATTAGTCAGTAGCCGCCCCCCGTCCAGGCTATTATTGGAAATTTGAAATAAATCCTACTACGCCCCACTATCCTGAGTTGCATTCGGGTCACCAGCGAAGTTGAAGCTGACCGTCTACTGTACCTGAACGGCCATGCCATCTGATTGCCCCACTTACCTTCTTCCACATGAACGCGCCCGGGTGAACTCACTCTACCGGAGAAGTTGGAGGCTATTCAGCTGGTGATAACTACCTGGGCAGCTTTAAGTGGCTGGCAGGCTGGTGGGCCGAATGCGAAGGTGGGGCGCAGCACGATTAGTGAGTTGGAGAACCGCTGGGATCGCAGGGTATGGAGCACAGTACCAGCCCAGTGGTACAGGAAGGGATGACAGGCAGGGCCGTAGGGCTGGATGGTGCAATTGTGCGGAAACGCCATAGGGAATCAATTGCACATGTGACAGCCCGACCCGCAAAGTCATAGTGACGATACACTCCTAGTTCTTGCCAGCATTGAGGATCGAGTATCGCGACTCTCGCGTTCCACGCCCGCCATGCCTCCGTGCAACGTGCTTGTGTGGTGTGTCACCAAAACTTCAACACTACCGCGCGCTTGGTTTGGTAATCGCAGGGTTCTTTGTAACCCTGTCGTTGCGCGAGGCCATCCGTCGCTTGGCACCCCAATGCTGCAGCAAACCAGGGTCTCAGGGTCTAGAAGGATTCAGGGCCATTGAGTGATGATTTCATAATCCTTCCCAGACACCTTTGCACCCCCTCCCAGGAGCGTGGTCCAGTTTGGAGAAATACGGTTGCCTTGTGGACGTCTGGAATATAATGTGCTGAGTGTGAACTTCTTTGATCTGTAATCCCGTTAGTCAGATAGGAAAGTTCCATTCCAGGCCACCATGGCTGATCCGCTTCTCGCACGCCAGCGCCAGCGCAAGTTTCATCGTAGATCCAGGAATGGTGAGTGACAGAGGGCAGCAGGCCCCAGCAAAGGCTACACGTTTGCTGACTTAATCGCGCATCTTGCGTGCGCGTCTAGGTTGTGCTTTATGCAAGAAGAAACACATCAGATGCGACGAAAGGAGACCGCTTTGGTAAGTCAAGACGCGAAGGAATCTGGCATTCTAGGTTCTACATATAAAAACATATGGGAATTGCGGCCGCGCTGGCGCATTTATTGGTGCCCAAACATATTGACCCCAGTCGGGTCGACCCTTCCGCCGTCCCTGTGTTATCGGGGCCGAATCCTGCTGACCACGCCGTAGCACGTATTGTCTTCGGCATGGTGGAGAGTGTGTATACTCGGACGCTACCCACATGCGACCGGGTAGCACTAGAGATGCGAGTTCCGAAGAGCCATTGGACTACGACGATGTCTCATCACCGGCGACATCGTCGTTGATCGATGTAACGCCTCGGGATCCCTTCGTTGGCACCGCTTTCGAGATGCCTTACAAGTCGAGACCCTTGTTTCACCTTTGTGAGTGCATATACACCGGGTTCACTGTACGAAAGCTGATAAGTCATGGTTCAGTTATGACTACACGAGTGCTGCACTCGACTCCGGTTGCCAGAGATAAAAATTCGTTCCTGTGAGTGTTGAGAAGGATTGATTTAACCTCCTGCCCCCAAGAACATGTTCTGATGCCAAAGCAAGGGTACATCGTGCTTTATCACACCCTGGCTTTCTCCACGGGGCGCTGCTGATGACGACACTCCAATGGGCTTGGTCAACTGGGGACAGCGAGCAGTTTCGAGTACCTTATCTCTACCACAAGTTGCAAGCGATACGGTTCGTCAACGAACAACTTGCGAATCCCGAAACAGCCGTTCACGAGGGGACGATTGCCGCAGTGGCGAGTCTTGCGCTTGTAGAGGTATGTTTGCATTTTCACCTGCTCAACATGAAGAAAAGGTGGAACTAATGGTCGATAGAACTCTCTGGGATCCGATGATGCAGTAACATCGCATCTACGCGGCCTTGCTCGGATCAAGGAGATACAGGATAGGAATGGCGCATCCAGGTCCCCAGGGCTTTTGCAGCGTGTGATTCTCATGTAAGTTGGCAACCTTAAACCAGATGAGAGGCGGTGAAGCAGGGCTAATCATATCTCAGGGCGGCACGATGTGTCAAGTCCCGGCCGGTCTGTGGTATTCTCGATATCTCAAGGACTGACGACGTTCATCAGTCAATAATCGTGTCGATACTACGCATAGCACTGCGTCCCATCTACGATATTTTCACACTGACTGGGTCAGAACATCTGACAGAAGAACTCTCAAATGTGTTGGCAAGGCAATCATCCCATGCACAGGCCCTTGACAGCAACTTGGTGGCTCTGCAATCCGTGGACAGCAGCAGGACCGGTTTCATCTCCTGCTACTTCTATCTTTATATGATACTTCGCGAGAGCGGAGTGGATGCATTTGTATTGAATTGGTTACTAGAGCAATTGCTCGCGGACGTCTGCAGGACCGAGTCACTCATGCACAAGGGGAGTTACAGTCAATCCTTGTGGTTTTGGACGGTCATGTTTGGAGCATGTGCCACAGTAGCCGCGAGAATCACTTCGCCCCTCGAAAACGAGCAGATGAGCGCGATTCGGGACGTATATATGGACAAGATCAATCTTGCGAGCCAAGTACTCAAGATCAAGAGTTGGGAAGGGGCGAAGTCAGCACTCAGGCTCTTTGCCTGGGAGGATGACTTCGATGGAGAGGAAGAGCTCCGAAGACTCTGGGAGGAGGCTGTCTGGGAAGACGATGGCCACCGCCCAAAACTTCATTCACTCAGCTCGGGATTTCCAATTTCCTGAGGCTGATAAAACTTCATTTTCAGTCGAAAAGCCGAAGAAAACGCTCACCCTCTTGTCTTGGGACCAGAGGGCTGGACGCTGCAGTAAGATGACGGAAGCTCGGATCAGGCACAAGCTGCATTAGCTAACTCGTCACCTTATAGGTGCCAGATCGAAAGCAAACCACTGGCGAGTAGGGTCGTTGACCTTTGGGCGTTGTAAATATGTTGTAGATTTGTATTGTAGATAGATACGGATAGACACGAAGGCAGTGGTTGTGGCAGACGCATGGCAGATGGCAATGTGCCAGCAGGTCGAAGACCAAGCGTTCCGGCCAGATTTGTCCAATATAGCTGATCGATTTCACCGAGTCAAGGTTTGTGATTATGTCGCCAGTCAGTATGCCAGACGCAATCATGGGACGCCCAGCCATGGTGCAGTGCTGTTCATTGGAAAGGATAGCCGCTGGGCATGCTTTTCCCCATGCATCACGACCATGGCCAGTTCACTCGTGCAGTGTTATGCCAAATCGACGTTCGCCCGCCTAACGAGATGGAGATGGAACTACGTTACACACGCTACTGTCTTCTGCACCCTGACGACCAACCGCATTATCAACTCACCATCCTTCTTGTAGTTGAATCATGGCGCACGTCTCCCATTGGTAGTCGCCCAAGCCAACAGGAAACGACGGAGGTGATCCCCTCTTCACCTTGCATAGTAGTACGCTCTCTCTGGGGGAATAGTTCGGCCGGCCAAATGGTGTTTCGGGCTTTCAACTTTGAGGGGTCGCATTGATACAAGCGGTGAACCTCCAAACTACCCAGAGGCCACCCCGTTGTTGTCGGCCCGTATAGAATCCTCATGCTTTACGAATAGCTAATAAGAATTTTAATTCTCGTAATGATTGAAATGAGAAACCACGTCACCGACTACCGTACCATTGTATTGGCGTGGTTTGGTGGAAGTTCACCGATGGCTGCCGGTCCACTGCCGTCCCCTCTTGGCGCATCGTCGAAGAGACTTACACACCAGTCTCTGCGCGGGCGGCCCGGTGAATAAGGAGAAGGGGTGATTTCCCGCGAGTTCCGCCAAGACGACAGCAATTTTGGAAGGTGTGCCTTCCGTCAGATGCTCACCTTCTGAGCTGGTGCTGCACCGCTGTGTTGTCGCTGCAGCCGAAATCCCTCATCACGTCGCGGCATCATGCTGCTTCTGAGTTTAATAGGCTGTCGACGATCCTCATATCCACCCTGGCACGTACCGGACCCTTCCGGGACCAAAGCATCAGTCCAATAACTGCAGCAGGCCAGGTCTCAGCCTATCGCACGTGCAGGAGTAAGGGCCAGCGCAGTGTTCCCAAGACATGCGGCCAATGTGACGGCCAAATGGGAAACACGACGGCGGCAGGAATCCATGGCAGGAGTTGGCAATTAGTTGGTCGAGCGCCGATGGGGCAGCGAATGAAGGGCTTCCAGAAAAGCAAAGCGGGGACGGTGATGAGCGGTCTGACCAGGCCTGACCCTGGCAATCACGCCAGCCATGGGTGTGTTTCCCAGCCTGCTCTCACGATAAAACCCGCCTGTCCCCAGCTCACTGCCCAACTCGCCTTTCATCCTCTTTTCTTCCAGCCCAACAGCAATTTCTGCCCAACGACCCGATATTCTGCCTCTCCCAAATTCACTATACATCTTTGCCCTCCACTGCCACTGCCGCCTTGTCTCAGCATACCACTTTGATTTCTCGCGACCCGCGTGAATCTTATCCAAGGATAATCTCTGTGCAGCCAGTTCACAGTCATCAACAACAGCCCAAGGATTTCTGTACCAGAACAGAAGAGGAACAGACTCTTATCTATCCACAGGACTTGCCTGGACAAAGCAAACCAGCCCTTCTCATTTCCAAGGATCAATGAAAGGTGCTACTGCTTCTAGCTACAACTCATCTCTTGAGATGGACAACGTCAACACTCCCGCGAGGTATATTACATTATTTCTATTCACTACCGGATGTCATTGATTTCAGAGTCATGTCTTGCGGCCAGTCATGTAATTTCCTTTGTGTGCGTCAGCCAGCAAGTGTATGGCATCTGCCCAGGACAGATCTTCCGGATTCCAGGACTTCAGGACTTCCCACGTAATCAGGAGTGGACTACCATGGACTCCGTTCTGGATCTCTCACATTTCCCGGACCAAGCTCTGAGTTAAGACAGCCGTCCTCAGATGGATTCAAACAAGATATTACACTTTCTTGCTCCTTGGGGGCATCCGAGTAAGTATTTCCCGTTAGAGGACATGTGACAACAGACATCCCAAAGGACAACACAACAATGGACACTGCATGGAATTCCCGTGGACCTCGACTATTTTTTTATCGCTGGACATGGACATTTTCTCTTTTCTACCGGATATTATTCAGGATACAGTCATTCGCAGTACGCTTTCGAACTTCAGCTCTGAAGTGGACCAAATTCTCGACAGCCTTGTTATTTCCCTAAGGACTTGCCACAAAGACCCATCTTGTGCGAACATAGCGATGTACTGAGAATCCACAAGATTCGACCACTACATGCTATCGTGAGTACTGGGTGGTGTCTCTTGCTACAACAGACCGGCGTGTCGTCAAACCAAGGATAATCATGGACCACTTCTCTTAAAGGATCAATGTTCGATATAGCATGAGATGCTCTTATTTTCTGCCTGGACTTTTCACTGGACTTACCGCATGGACTTGTCGACGCAACCGCGTCTGGATACGCTAGATTTACAAGCAGCTACTTTCACATGCTGTCACAGTACGTATAACGCCAACTATGCTGTCGATGACACTGCAGTCTAGCTTGCTCGCGTGTGTGTTGACTAACTTGTCGTTCCTCGTGTCTTCGCAGGCTCTCGCCAAGGAACTCTGGACCAAGGACTGGTTCTCTTTTCTCGCTGCTTCAATACACCCCTGGATCAATCACTGGACATACGGACCATTATTAATGGCGCTGAAATTTCGAACCTCATGGACAACAATCTACCGGACCCTGTTCTACTTGTGACCTCAGCTCGGTTTGTGCACTATGCCCCAATACACCGAACCGCTGCCTGATGAACTAACCGCCATGATAGGAACAAAGTTGTGCCAATGCTGCCTTTTTTTATTTTGTCTCTATTATTCGGCGCTTATTGCTTCCATGGGCTAGTGGAGAACAGAACACTAACCTACTCAGTGACTACAGCTCATACTCTCATAACATGATGAACGCGTCTAGCGGACCATTCTATTCACAAACAGTACCTGCGGACCTTCAAGGTTCGTTATGGGATGCATCAGCAGCAGAAGGTGCACAGAACTTTCACGGAGACTCTGATTACTCCTTCTCATTTGGCCACATCACACCCAGAGGACATGGACAGGACCCCAGTGAGGATGATATCTCCGGAAAATGGATGTCCACAGAGGAAGCCCCAGCGGTTGTCGCAGAGCCTATGCGACGGATGAACTCCCGCAGTTCTACAAGCAGCAGTCACAAGCACAGAACTATCAAGGCCTCTTCACTTAAGAGTCGCCCAAGAATCTTGTCTACTGTGTCACAAGGATCTCACATGTCAAGCTACGACATGACAGGTAATGCTCAGATGGATGCGTACCTTCTTGATTCCGATGCCCACTCTGTTTCATCACAGATGTTCTATCCCACACTCCCCATGGGTGTCGGTATGTCTGATGGTCTCTCATACACTTCGGACGTGGTAACGTCTGGTCTTTCCCAGCAGCACATGGATCCTACTCAGCTGCGACTGGACTTTGATCCAAGTTTGACAGGTAACTCTCCAAGTGCGTCCTGGAGCGGTTCTCTCAGCCCCATTGAATCTCGGATTTCTTCCCCTGCACTTCCCGAGGAATCATCATGGAACCATGTCCCAGTGGGATCCCTGTCTCAGGGCAGCACCTCATCCCATGCAATGGGCTTCCACTCTCCCAGGTATGTATAATCTATATTGGAAGATCTGCGCCAATTTCGCCTAACAATTCCCAGCCTCAGCCACCAAGGAAACGGCCTAGTTATGACAGACGACATCTACGGAAATGACCTGCTGGAGAGTGCACTTATGCCCCCTGCTTTCACTCGCCGATCCAGCGGCGATGGTGAATCTACTGCCCGGGACCATCCTCTGTACAAGAACGCTATGCCCAAGGCTGATGGACTTTTCCACTGCCCATGGGAGGGTGATGCTTCCTGCAACCACAAGCCCGAGAAGCTCAAGTGCAACTACGAGTAAGAGCAACAAACAAATCTCTCGTTATATTTTACAAGTTGACTAACATTGTCGCAGCAAATTCGTCGACTCGCACTTGAAGCCATACCGCTGCAAGGTTGAATCCTGCGAAAATGCCCGATTCTCTTCGACTGCCTGCCTCTTGAGACACGAACGCGAAGCTCATGCCATGCACGGCCATGGAGACAAGCCTTACCTTTGCACCTATGAAGGATGTGACCGTGCCGTTCCTGGATGTGGATTCCCCCGCAACTGGAACCTGAGGGACCACATGCGTCGTGTTCACAATGATAACGGGCAGTCGCTATCCATGGCCTCTGGCTCCCACTCTTCCAGCCGCGGATCGCACTCCTCGTCTAAGGGGCGGAAGCGCAAGAGCAAGGACTCTGAGACCTCTGGCCGGAAGTCGTCATCCAAGGCCGCAGATGAGGCCGCTGCTGCTGCCGCCAGGGCTGCTGAGCAACCGCTTATCGAGCAGTGGTGGGACCACCGCAACGCATTGCAATCTTACCTCCAACGCTTTGACAACCCCGTCGCATTCGAAGTCCTGGAGCACTCCGGCGAGGCTGGTGAGCACTTCGCCGCCATGGAGAAGATCTCGCGCAAGCTCAAGAAGTCGCGCGACCCACACCGCCGATCTTACTTGCACCACTCTGGCTGAATGAAAATGTAAGATACATGCTCTTCAGCTTCTATGATACACGTTACTGACTAAGATGTACAGTGAAGCGATAACGTGGAAATAACTCATATCGCAAGTGCAAAGTCAAGTCGCCGGGTCGTGAGACCAAGATGGCGCGAAAATCTTATCCAGCTTTTGACAGCTAGACATGGTCAAGCATGTCTCGTCTTCAGGCTGAGCACTACCCAATGGACCCAATGGACTGGATTCGGTTCGACTAAGGCAGTCAAACCAGAACTTCTTGAGGAAGCCATTGCCTCATCGTCCGATGAGCAATGCAACCATCCCGGATGTCTACCTTTGAGGATACCATGAGGACTTAAGAGGACGTCGCAGCCTTGGCTGCATTTTACACTTTGGGGAGGGGAATGAGGCGTCAGTATAGGCTAATTTGGCCTATGCCAAGAGTTTGTTCGATTCGTTTGCTATTATGAGCCAAGCTCTCCGTCGAGCTTGAAAGTGTGTAGAGCCCTGATGCTCAGTTGAATTTTGGTCCTGTCTACTCATTAGATGGCTTTGGATGTGTTTGAGCAGTTAGTTGAAAGCAATTTGCAGTAGTTTGAAGCGTTATTACACGAAGTTCTATTCCCTACAAGGTGATTTTTATGTTTGCATTTTGCTCCAGCACTTCGCACTCCATAAGCCCTGCAAGACAAACATCATGATTACGTTCACTTTTCGAGGCATTGCTGTGTCAAGTCTGCATCCATAGTTAAGAATCTAAGTATGTATTCCATTACCAGTCAAAACGTGGAGCCAGATCCCAAAGGACATGAGAGCCTCAAAACTAGGACGAAAATGACTGACTGGTGGTATCTTGGAGAACGCCTAGCGCCGATTAATCTACCTCATTCCCGAATCCCTATATGTTGGCCTGGACATCTGTTTCAGATACAACAAAATGAGTGTCCTGTTCCCGTGTGCGTACAGTCGTCTCTATTGAAAGCTCATCCGTGCGCCACGTGCGCCAAACGTCTTATGCTAAAAGGGGAGAAGCGTCGGTTTAAAAAAAAAAGTAGAAGAAAAATGGTGAGGCAAGTCACCTAGGTCAAAACGCGCGCCCGTGCCCGTTGTCGTACACGATGAACACGGTCGTGCGGTCCTCCGCGGCCGCAGATCCGGTCGGCGACGTCACAACCGACGAGTTGGTGAAACGCAGCGCGTTCCTTTGACTCGCGTACTCTCTCACGCTGTCTTCCGAGAACCGGGACGCCAGGGGCGCCGGCTGCAGGACCGACTGTCTCTGAGACTGGATCGCGGGCAGCGGCTTGTTCAGGTCCGCGTTGGACGGTTTCTTCTGGAGTAGCGCCGGCCCCTTGGTAGTAGTGCTACTGTAGTTATTATTGCTACTGTTGTTGATGAGAAGCCCCTCGGTGCTTGGTGTCTTCTTGTGAGACACCGTCTTGCTTGGCTTATAGAGTGGGAGCATAGGCGCATCAGGTCCACCTATGAAGGTCTGGAAACTGGTGGCCGAGCCGGAGAAGACGTTGGGCGAGTATGGATGCTTGGCATCGTTGGAGTAGCGCGATGACTTGCGCAGGTGGAGGGTCGAGCCAATCACGAGGGGGAGGTAGGTTGCGAAAAAGGGCTTGATTGCTGGAATGGATGCGCAGATCTGGGGGAAGGTCAGCGATGCTGTGACAGAGCTTGGTGTCCGAACGAAAACGTACAATACTTAGGTATAACTCGACAATGCTTGCCACCCAGACAGCCCACAGATTCCAGGTCGTGTCGTGATTATCGGCCGTCTTCATGATCCACGAGTATACGGTTCGAACCACTCCAGCGGCACAGGCTAAGAAGCCGACCCCAAAGAGGCCGATGACAATTTTCTTCTGTCTCTTCGGCAGGTCGAGGTTGAGAACAGTCCGCATTGGCAAGAAGACCAGTATAAAGTCTTCTAGTGTATTTACGATGCCAGCGAAGAGAAGATGCGCAGCTTCGTTGATACATTTTCTGGGGGCGCCGGTAATCGTCCAGTAGGCAGAGATGGGCCTGAGATGGGTGTAAGCTTATGAAGGAGTGGTAGGAGAGCTTGACGAACCTGCATTGGAAAATCACGACGAGGATGAAGGTGAAGCCGTTGACCGCGACTATGGCGGCCAGCACTTGCACAGTTATGTTCATCGCGCGATTATTGGCACTGGATGTCAAGCGATAAATCATGGCAAGCATTGATAGTTTTGTGGTTGTAGTCGATAAATCGAATAGTATCAGTTCTGCCAGGCTGTGGAAGGTGTGATCAGGTCGAGCCACGGAAGCATGATATTGGGATTCGGGCCTACCTGAATTGGAGAGAGGGGACAAAAAGCCTGGGATCAACATCCCACATGTGTCTGTTCCATTGAAGGTTTGTTTCGCCATAGACCCCAAGTATGGCAAAGGCTGTGGCGGGAACCTTTGGAATGTGTCAGTGTGCACCGCATCGTTAATGGGATTGGACTTACATAGGAGAGTACTATGAGTATGTCGTCGAGGCCGAAGCCCTTGGAGATAAAGTGCCTCGTGTACAACCGAAGAACTATGATCACCGTGGCAATAGATACCAGTGTTATGCCCACAATCTTGCCTGCAGGACCTCTAGTTTCTGGGTTCACATAGTTTGGTGCAGGCCAGTTGGCGGAAATAGAGGAAGGCGTAGACGACATGGCGATGGATGTGCGATTCAAGCTGCCAATATCGGCAAGAGTTGGATTCAGAAACCCATGAGAGATAACCAATGGTCCTTCAACACAATACAACAAGTCAGAGGATGTGAGTATGAGTAGTTATCAAACTTGGGCGCAGTGATGGTACAGAGTCAGCCGGAAGTAGAAAGAGGCCCAACAGGAAAGTTCAGAACATAGACAGTATCCAGTGATATGCTGGACAAAGAATTTCGTCGGCTGCCTCACGAGTCTACGACCGAAGACTACAGACCTACTTTCTTTGAAGACGTAGGCAGGAGGGGCATCGTCTCTTATCTTGCACTGACATCGCCACAGACACGTTCACAAGAACATGGCATGATTGCTCCACCATCTGTTCATCGGCGGCAGTTCCGGCTCACTTCTAGCGCAAGGACAAGGATATAAACACTTGTCAAGTCAGGTTCTCGGTGGGACTTATACCTGCTTCGGTAAGGTAGAGCCGCCTCGATGATCGGCAACAAGGACATCCTGCAGTAACGTCGGACCAGGGTAGTCTCGTGTCACAAAATCCCCCATGTGGCTATAGCGTTAGCACGTATTGTTAACGAGCTAAACAGGTTTAATTATTTACCCGGCAAAGAACACGCACGGCGCAGGAGGAGAACCTGGAGGCCTGCCACAATCCAATTGTGGTGGAGGTTGGGCATTGTTTCGACTTCTGGTACGTACCAAGCTTCAGTTTTCAGTGGTGGAGACCAAAGCTTTCGGGTGTAAGTCTTGGGCCAATATCTTGAGTTGCGACTGGGCCAGTACATGATGGGAGTGTTGTTTTTTCCAAGAGCATCCAGTTTCAGCAATACTTTGGGACGGTAGCTTTACGCTCAGACCATTGACTTGGCTGAGCCACTGTTGAAGGCGGATCGTACTATGTTCCGGGATACCTGGGCTGGAGGATTTGCCTGGTCTAATAAGAGCTTGGCACATAGAACGACATATGTCAAAGAGACCTCAGGCTTTGGATTGACTCATCAGACACACATGGAGAAGGGATCACGGAGGATTAGCCCATTGCCAACCCATGAGACGCTTATTAGAGTTGGCAATCGCCACACCTTCGGACCAAGGCCCTGTTTTGACAGTTCAAGCATGTCGACGTTAGCCAGTCGCCTGGCCCCGTTGAGCCTTCGGGCATTATTCTGATCGCTGCCAAATATGTCAAATGCATAAACACAGTGGAAACGCTGACAAGCTTCGCTGCATATGAAAGATCTTCGGCCAGGATGTCAAGTCTTGCCACAGATGTAGCGGCAGTTGGGGGGAGTAAACGGACTCCGCTTACTCTGCCCACAGGAACCCTCGTTGTGGAGACATCGTGAACACTGCGACTGGACTGTTATCAAGAAGATGTGGTATCTTTGATACTCCGAAAAAGCATTCACTGTTTCGAGTGGCGTGCCCCCTCTGCAACCAGCAGTTGGAGTGCCATCATATCCCCAATGAAACTCTGACATGGTAGCCAACAATCGGTACCCCTCTTACAACATAGCCATACTGGGCAGACACGGTCTTTCGTTCTTGTCTTCATAGCTGCGGCCCGGGTCTGAAGCAACCGGAGGAACCGCACAACGAGCAGTTGGGGAACGGTAGGCTACAGCTGTGATGTTTCACACTGGCGATCAGCAACAACGCTGGGCTGACTGGCGTAACCCGGAATCGCAGAAAGACAGATACGAGGTCACACCATGGGTTGGAAAGTTAATCTGTCTGTCTGTGCAATGGCACCCTGCCCAAGCATACCGGGCTTGACGGGAAAGTCGGGTCCTGATGCCATGTCCGAACAGACACATATGCACCAGGGGGCAATGAAGGACTGTTGCGATTGGCTCATCGTAAGAAGACCCTGGGTGAGACATGATGTGGTTGCGAAACGTGGGTTGTGCATTCGCACGCCTATGCCGAACCCCAGGCCGCCAGGGGACCTGGGGACCTGGGGCAGACTGGGGCGGTGTTATAGTGTTTCAGGGCTCTGCTTGCACAGACCACGAGCTAAATGCAACGAACGATGCTCGAGCACCGAACGCCTACAGTATTGGTATTATTGCATTCCAGTGAGGTCCCGAGGTCTGCCGACCTGCTGCACGTTTCTCCTCTGAGACGTTGAAATGCTGTCAACGCCCTCAATGAAGAGGGGCCAGAAAAGTCACGGGTGCGCTTCGGATGGTCTTTTTCTAGATTCGCATTGCATAGGGAACCAAGGATTCCCGAGGAGCTGATGAGAAGTACCGGGCGGCAGAACAGTCGGTAAAGCGTCCCAAGTTATTCCAAGTCGAATCATAATAGTGGCCGGTCGTGTGACGATCTACCATTATCTGCGATCGGCACTTATTACATGTTGCTCATGTTGTGTAACCGAACTGGAGTGGCTTACTAGGTTACCAAGATGGCGGGTTGGTGGTTGGGTGGGCTCTGCTTCCCCTCTGGACTGCCAGCTGCTGCCGGCCCGGAGAGTCTGCACACCCCGCAAAAAGCTCCGCCCACAAAAATTTCGGGCAGGGAAATAAATCTTCTGACCGCAAGCCACCACCGCCGTTTCCGACCCCATCACCAACCATCAGAACGATAGAATCCTCACCACTAGAGCAAAATAGTGGAAGACTGTCAAGATGTCGAAGATCACAGTCGGTGCGTAGCAACGAACACACACCCGCCGGCCCGATGCCGCGTGCGCACGGAGAGATGTACAGTCACTGACCTCGTCGCAGCCGGAGTTCGTTCCAACGTCCAGGAGTTGCTGGACTACTCCCTCAACGAGAAGAAGCGTAACTTCCTCGAGACCGTCGAGCTCCAGATCGGCCTCAAGAACTATGACCCCCAGCGTGACAAGCGTTTCTCGGGTACCATCAGCCTGCCCACCATCCCCCGCCCCAACATGGCCATCTGCATTCTGGGTGACCAGCACGATCTCGATCGTGCCAAGCACGGCGGTGTTGATGCCATGAGCGCCGATGACCTGAAGAAGCTCAACAAGAACAAGAAGCTCATCAAGAAGCTCGCCCGCAAGTACGACGCTTTCGTCGCTTCCGACTCCTTGATCAAGCAGATCCCCCGTCTCTTGGGTCCCGGTCTGTCCAAGGGTAAGTAGCAGCAGCACCAGCAGCAACTGGTTGCATCCATCCATATCTGAAGAACCTGATTCTAACGTACTACGTCTGCAGCTGGCAAGTTCCCTACCCCCGTCTCGCACGCCGACGACCTTACTGGCAAGATCAACGAGGTCAAGAGCACCATCAAGTTCCAGCTGAAGAAGGTTCTCTGCATGGGTGTCGCCGTCGGTAACGTTGGCATGACCCAGGAGCAGCTCGTTGCCAACATCATGTTGGCCATCAACTACCTTGTCTCCCTGCTGAAGAAGGGCTGGCAGAACGTTGGAAGCTTGACCATCAAGGCTTCCATGTCTCCCCCCAAGCGTCTCTACTAGATGCGGATCATAGTTGATGGAGGAAGTAGTACTGCCGGAGTGATACTGGTGCTACTCAAGACAAGAATATAGTGGCATTTAGGTCGACGGTAGAAATGGACAATGGACGAACCTCCACCGCCAAAGTGAAAATTGGGCCCCGTTTTGACCACGTGAAATGATGCCAAGCGAATCACTTGTGACATGATTTTGGCGGCCTTACGGATTTCATTTTTATATTCAACTCGAGATTGATGAGAGTAACTCGTGAGATGTGACATGGACACCCATCAGTACCCAACTTGATCTCTCGTCGCATTCTGACTACGTGGTGAAATCGTCAGATCGACCTGCCCGAGGTGGTCGGCCCCCGTGCACAAATTCCATGATGACCCTGCTCCCGTCGTGTCACAGATGAGAATCCGGGCCAATCGCTGAGATCACTGCGGTCGTCAACAGACCTGGAAAGAGCTGCGACGACAGAAATCTCTCCAGACCCACGCGACACCGAAAACGCGCACGATTCACTCACGACGCACACAATTACTGGCTCCATGCCCGGTCGAAGATATCATCTTATCGGCCGGCACGCTTGCCAGAACCTCACGCACGTAGGGAGCAAATTCAGCAGTCAAATACTATGGAGGTAGAATATGGTAATGTGGCAGACACCCCACAGTCGCGAACCAGGAGGAGCTGGCGTCGGCGGCTGATTGGGAAGGGCATCTCCCTTTGTTTTAGGAGGCCGGGAACGGAAGGAAATTCACGGGAGAGAATAAGTAATAACCCTCAGCAAGCCGCTTGCGCGGAGCCTCCATTGGTATTGAAAATAATACTTGACGGTATTAAGTTCAACCCTTACTGATGATGAGGAGGAAAGGAAAAGAAGAAGCAGAAACGGCAGCGCAGCGCAGAGTTTTATGCTGGCTGGGTGTGGGGCGCCCTGCCGCTGGCTTGGCTCGTGAGTGGCCGGCCCTAAGCCAGCCAAGCTACGGCCACGTCTGGGTGGGCGACGAGGGTTTGGAGGGGCTTGACCGGGCTTGACGGGGCCAGATATTCCAGAGATCCATCCTATTGTCCGCCCAGGACAATCCCGAATCTACTGTACAATCACAGGGCAGGCCAAGCATGGCAGTCTCCCATAATCTGATCATTCCTAAGCCATGTTCATCGGCTTTGGTCTTATTGTACGCTTGAGAACTGTGGTGTTCGTATGTAAGACAGCCGTCTGCAGTTTCCTTCTATCATAGAACCGCGGCTACAAACGCAGGTCTATCTTTCGCATCTAAGTCGTAATGCGTAAACGCGTGCCTGGCTCTCTACTGGTACCATTTAAATTTTTGACGCCGCGAGGAACCCGCCGGTCACCGCATCCATCAAGCGGTTCGCTATGGCAGTCTGCGGAGGTAGGCGCAGGCCGCCCTCTTTATAACCCTCAGGCGCCGCCTCACCCAGCCCACTGGTGCCAGTAAGGAGAGCATCTCTCACCTCCTCCATCGGGAACCACTTGGCCGATTCCAGCTCGTGATCATTTCCGAGGTTGATGGTCTCACCCTCCGTCGTGGCCTGCCCTATAGCACCGATCATCAAGTTGGCGGGATACGGCCAGGGCTGCGAGCTGTGGATGACCACTCTGCCCACGGTAACACCGCTTTCCTCCCAGACTTCGCGGCGCACTGCCTCCTCGATTGACTCGCCCGGCTCGAGGAACCCAGCCAGTGTGCTGTACCAGTAGGGTGGCCACCTCTTCTGACGGCCAAGTAGCATCTTGGTACCATCGGCCGATACAACGGCCACGATCATGGTAGGATCTGTTCGCGGGAAACAGAGGTTGGAAACACCGTGCCTCGTCGGGCAAGGGCCTCGCTCCTTGGGGGCGCCACCCTCAGGGACGCCGGCTAGATCTGTGGGCGGGCAGGTCCGCTTCATGCCCGCATTGACGGACAGCGTCTTTTGACCACAGCCTCCGCAGAAGGGGTTGCGCGCGTTCCAGTCAAGCAGAGCACGGGCTTGCGCATATATAGCAGCTGCGCCAATGTCAGCCGGGGTGGTCTTTTGGACGAAAAACCAAGGGATCTCACCTTCAGGCGCGTTCAATGTGATATGCCGAGTGCCGGGCAGGAAGGAGACGCCTTTCGCCTTGGCCGCCTCGATAACTCCCTTGGCCACTTCCGTAATGGAGCCCTTTGGGGTTACGTCCACAGCAAAATAGGGGGCACCCCGGTAGTCCTTGTACTCGAAGCCGGACTTCTTCTTCTCATCGATGCCGAGGAACAGGATTACTGGGAACGCAACATCGGAGTTGAACTCTTTAAGCAATTCTTCCTCCGTCTTCTTGAATGGGTCAGATCCAGTCAGAGGCTCGACGATGGATTTCTCAACATAAGCCAACTTGGTCGGGTCTTGTGCCAACGGGGATAGATTCTCCATCAGCAAGAATGACGCCGTAGGATGCGAGAACGCCGAAGATAAGAAGCCATGATCACCTCGCAGGAATGAAACCCGGTTCAGCGGACTGCCTGAGAAGTAGTTTGCGACTTCGCGACCAAACTTTCTAGTGAGCATTGAGTCGTCTTCTGCGAGGATCGGTAGATCCGGAATCGGCGCGGCCATTACGTCGTGCTGCCGTCAAGTAGAGTCGCTGCCCTCACGAAAGGAACGTAAAAGATGGGACAGCCGAGTTTCTGAATAACGGTATAGAAGTGCTACAATCAGGTATACTTTGAGTTGCAAGCGACCAAGGTTTGCGGGCGACGAATGGATAAGCTGCTGATTAATGTTGAGCGCTCGACTCGGGTCTCCGCCGAGGTCTAATCCAATGCCGTCAACGAGTGGGTCGCCAGAGGCGATTCATACGGGGATCAATTCCATGACGAGTTATCTCCGGCTGAGCGGTCACCCAAGATGCCATCCACACATGCAACATAAGCCTGCCAAAGTGTACACGCTGAGGCATACGAATCATGACATGAAACATACGATGTAATCCAGGGGAATCCGCCCTGAGAATCCATAGGTAAACTCTTTGTCCAAGTGCCTAGGTGGTTAGGGCGTACAACAAGAACCTCGCCCGCTGCCTTGGACGTCCCCCGCAAAACCGGGATAGTCCGAAAATGGTTGGACTGGGCTGAGCAAGAGCGAACCAACCCCTCCGAGCATCTGGCAGCTGGCAGCCAACCATGAGCTACCTGACTTGGCTGCATTGAAACTTGCATTCATCAGTGCCTCAGCTGCAGGTACTACTTAAAGACAGTACCAGTTGGCCCCGGGACCTTTGCCAGGTTCTCCAGTGTTCGCTGGACCAAATACAAACACGATGCGATCGTTGGTGGAGTCAACGTAGGTGGTGACGGCCCTGCCCTGGAAGCCAGTGTCTGACACCCCATACAGCAACCGATGGCAGGAGACCGTTAAACACAGCGCGAGCTTATCAGACCTGCAGCGCGCCGTGAAGTTCAACGGCCCCGACAGCCCCTGCGTCACCGGATGCCGCTCCGTGTGCTGGAAGGCCTTCTTGCTGGGCCACGGCTCCAGCACGGCGGCGAATTGGTCCCATGCGCTGCTGGAGTCCAGGAGTACATACGCCTCCCTGAGAGACCACTTTCTAAAGTACATAAAACACCCCGAGTACCTTGCCAATGTGAACACCGACCCCCTGGCGGATGACGCAGATGTAGGCAACCTGACACTTGACACCCCGGATGCCGCGGATTGTTGGACTGAACCTTCTACTAGTCACCATGGAACACTTTGAGGCAGGATGAGATCCTGCGGGCCGAGATTCTGCAAGACGTCCAGCGTCTACCCGATGAGCCCTTCTACCACAGGCCCGACATACAGACGCTCATCCTCGACGTGCTATTCATCTACTGCAAGCTGAATCCGGACGTCGGTGGGTACCGCCAGGGCATGCACGAGCTCCTGGCCCCGATCGTCTACGTCGTTGAGCAGGATGCCATCAATCCCGCCGACGCCGCTTCCGACGGGTCCGCGGATCTGACCATGGTGGAGATGCTAGACGCGAACTTTGTCGAGCACGACTCGTTCGCCCTGTTCTCAAAGCTGATGGAGCGCGCAAAGGCGTTCTACGAGACTGGCGAGACGTCGAAGCTGGGGCAGTCGACCATTGTTGAGAAGAGCCAACATATCCATGAGGTTCTCCTCTACAAGATCGACCCGGACCTCTCGAATCACCTGAAGAACATCGAGGTTCTTCCCCAAATATTTCTCATGTAAGCTTTCATCACTGTTGCCCTGTGGGCGTCCTGCTCCGTCACTGACATTCACTGCTAGCCGTTGGATCCGGCTTTTGTTTTCGCGCGAATTTCCTTTTGAGCAGATGCTCGTACTCTGGGATACCCTTTTCTCTGTTGATCCTTCTCTTCGTCTTATAGATTACATCTGCACCGCAATGCTTATTAGAATCCGATGGGATTGTAAGTGATTTCTTTTTTATTGTTTGGGATACTTTCGCTAACACTGATATGTAGTGCTAGAAGCAGACTATTCTGTTGCTTTACAACTGCTTTTGAAATACCCACCTCCACAGGCACCTCACGGGCCGCATACTTTCGTCGACGATGCTGTCTACCTTCGTGACCATCTGGGTTCAGAAGGAGGGGCGACTTTGATTCGGAAATATACTGGTAGAGATCCAGCACCGGTCACTTTGCCCCGTCCGTCAACGCCAGTCTCAACAGGACTTGGGATACGGCAGGGAAATAGGGGCGGCAGGTCTCCCCTATCCCCTCCGCGCTTCATGCAACAGCAAGGCGGCGTGGAAGCCCTGTTCCAGAGTGCCGCCAAGGGAGTTCTGGAACGCAGCCAAAAGCTCGGGGTCAACCAGGCGGTGCGTGACGCGCTGGTTGAGATCAGGCGCAATGTCAACGAAGCTAGAAGCTCGATGAAGGCCGGCCGTGATCTTTTCTCAGATCCTGTCTCGAACACCACGGCGATGAGAGCTGTTGCCGCTATGGATCGACGGAACAAGCAGTTGGCATCCATGCTGGATGAGACCATGTCCACCCTGAAGGCGCTGGCATCGCCAGAATCCGATGCCTTCCATAACCTCACGGAGAACCTGGAGATTGCTGTGGCCAAGATCCAGTTCGTCAAGATTTACCTAGAAGATTCCACAATGGCCCTTCCCGAAGACGCCGCCGGCAAGTCCCCATCAGAGGAAACAACAGGGATGGCAATCCCGGAGCCAGAGCCAGGGCCCCTCGCAGAGGCGGTTGCCGCCATGGTCATCAACACACCTGACATGGCCGTCGACTCGCCCGACCCAGAAGCAACGCAAGCACCAGTACCCACTCCTTCAGAGCCCCCAGCAATGGGACCAGCAACCGACACCATGGAGACGGATCCCCTCTCCTCGTCCCGGACAGCAACACCCACGCAACCGACATCGCTGCAACGGCCACATGCACCAATACCCACACGGTCCACACTAGCCCAGTCCTCGTTTGCGTGGATGCTCGAGCCAGACCAGTCGGCCTCATCGGCACCGTTACCCCAGCCTGCCTTGGAATCGAAGCCCAGACCGGCCAATAAACACCACAAGAAGCCGTCGGCGAACGCCAGCCGCGAGAGGACGGCCTTCTTGTTCGGCGAGGTGCCCTCGGGCGGTGGCGACGGGAAGGCGGTCCTGCCCGAGGACATCTTTGGGCTGCAGCCGATGGGGAAGAGCAAGAGCCAGGGCCGGCTGTGGGATGACTGAGACGGTCGGCGGGTTGGGGTGAGATGAACGGCGATGCATGCGTGGACTGGGAAACTGTATATACTTGACGGACGCAATATATCAGCCCGACCGAGGCGACGGCGTCGCCTCGGATGTTACATGTAGTCCTTGGCCTGGGCCCTAAACCTTCCATGTCTTCGTTATTTCATGTGCATTCGTAGACTTTGATTTGCAGGACTGGCAATCGTGTCAAATGACCAGCTTCCAGAGCGGTACTTCCTTGTCCATGGCCTCGTCCTCGCCGATCTTGAGCTCCTCGTGGAGCATCTTCTCCATCCACTCGTCCTCCGCCCGCCGGGCCTCCCGCTCCATCTGCTCCATGAGCTCGAGCTCCTCGAGCATGTCGTACACGAGGCTGGCGCACCCGTCCAGCACCCTCGCGAGACTGGACCTGGGCATCCGACCCTCCTGGTCGCCGGGCGCCGGCCCCAGCTCTGTCAGTGTCCTCCGCCACGCCTCGAGCTTCCTCTTGAGGCCCGCGCACTCGCCCTTCCACGCGCAGTCCAGCTCGCTGATGAACATGACGCCGCCCCTGTCGCCGTCGGCGGCCAGGCCGCGGGTCGGCCGGCTGTCCCGCTGCGCCGCCACAATGCCGGCCATACGGTCCGCCCAGTCCTCGAACGCCGCGACGACGCGCGCGTACCGGCCCCCGGGCTCGCCGAGGCTCCAGACCCCACTCAGCACCTGGTCCAGCGCCTGCACCTTCTCCTCGAGGCCGACTGGCGCCCCGCCGTGCCGGGCCTGCGGCGACTGCTGCTGCGCCCATTGTAGCAGCGCGGCCGCGTTCCGGCTCTCGACGCCGTCGCGCTCCGCGGCGCACAGCGCCTCGTCCTCGGCGACCAGCTGCCTGAAGCGCGCCCCGAGATTGCGCCGTGCGCTCTCGTGCCACTGCAGCGTGACGGCCTGGGCGTCCCGGTGCAACAGCGACAGCTGCAGCAGCTCGGTCTGCAGACGGCTCGTCTCGGCCGAGATGGCGACGTTGGTAGGCAGCTTGCTCGGCGAGGGCGGCGCGAGGTAGGTCGAGGTCAGGGGTTTGGGGGCGTGTGACTTCAGCGGCGAGTAATGCTGCTGGTTGGTGTTGAAGGCTGGGCGGTGCTGTGCGGCGGCGGCGGCGGTATTAGTCGTCGAGGCAGCTTGGCTTGTGGCCTGGGACACGGTTCGGGCGCGCGTCTGCGGTTTGGAAGTGTTCGCCGAGGCGGTACTGGAAGAAGAGGCGGTAGTCGCTGCTGCGCCTGGCGGGCGCAGCGTCGTCGCAGAAGTCAATGTCGTGGCCGTAGACTTGGCCCGCGAGTGGCCCAGGACTCGTGGTTTGGAGGAGGGCAGGCCGCCCGAGGATGTCGGACGCGCGGCGCCCGGTGCGGGATCCCTCCGGCTCACGCTTGATGTCGAGGCGCCCGAGGGGACGCGGCGTGTGCTGGGAGCTCTGCCCAGCGGCTTTGCTGCTGCTGTGGCCGCCGCCGGCGCTGTCTGGTCGGTCGGCGGACTGGGCCTGCGCGTCGTGGTCGTCCTGCTTGAGAAGATGCCCGACAGCGGCCGCCCGGAAGCCGTAGTCGTGGTGCCGGTTGCTGAACTGCCGGCGCGAGTCCTGGCCGCTGCAGACGTGGAGGAGGAGGTGGTGGATGTAGTGCTGGTTGCGGACCGCGTCAAGGGTTTGGCCTGCGGGAGGCGGCTGGGCGAGGTCGTGCCGCTGGGCTTGGGCTTCGTCTTGGTCTCATCCTGGGCCGGTTTGACGTCTTTCTGGGTCAATTGGCCCGCCGGTTTGCGAAGAGACCGCGTCCTGCTCAGGCCTGTTGCGGAAGCCATGGTGCGCGGCGTTGGTCGAGCCCGGGACGTTTGCGGTCTGCAATGTTGATGTCTCGGTCGTGATAGTTGTCCGTCGATGCGACCCATGACCTAATCTGGACGGGTTCCATCTGGCGGTCAGGTCGAGTCGAGTCGAGTCCAGGTCCCGAGGTCCCCTGGCATCGCCTGGCTGCAGCTCCCGGCAGGCACCCGACGTGCCTCCAGGGCTGCTTCTAGTGGGGTGTCACGGCCCCAGACCTACCTATCGGGCCAGCCGGGTCCCTGGTTTCTAGCACAGCGGCACCACCCTCGGGCCCCTGTAGCAGATCACTGCAGGGCACAAATCGACACTACTACCCTGGGCCAGGCCGGGCGCCCTCTAAGTTACATAATTTATGAGATGTGGCAGCAGCCAGTGGACGTCATTTTTAGGACTGGCACTGGATGCTGGCTGAACTCACGGCAGACTTGGTTCGATTTTCACTCCAGGAACTCTAGGTCTGCTTCATGCAGGAAGGCAGCATCAAATCTCTTATTCGTTGCTTCTCTCTTGATCTCGTCCCATTCAAACGATATAATGGTATAGTAGCCTCGAGCCCCCGGGATTTCTTCGTCCGGGTTTCTTCATATATCCTTCAAACGCCCCTGTGAAATGCACCAAGACGAGTAAACATAACTGTCCCTGTCCCTGTCCCTAAGTGGTCTTCAAGAATGCAAATAATCTTTCCACCCGAACGTTGGTTTGTTTACATGTCCTCCTGGACCTTTTCCTCGATTTCCGCCTCGATCTCCGCCTCGAGGTCTTCCCGTACGGGCGAGACCACCTGCTTTCCCTTGCGCAGACCGTCGAGGTCTAGGGCCTCGAGCGGGTGGACACGCAGCGCCTCCATGCAGCCCTGGCAGCAGCGGACCCCACAACACCGGCACACAAACCGGAACGTCTTGTCGGGCACATGGCACACCATGCAGCGGATCGGGTAGTTGGCGTTCTGCGTGCAATGCCAGAGCTTGTGGCTGCCCAGGCACTGGTAGTGGTTGATCGAGAGCGCGAGCGCCGGCCACACCCCGTCCTCCGTCGGCGTGAAGTTGAACTTGCTGGGCGAGGCGAGCGCCGTGTTGATCGCCTCCTCGAGCTTCGCCTGCTGCTCCGGGTCGATGGGATGCGGGTCTTCGTTGATGTCCCGGTAGACGACGGGCTCCGGCGCCGTCGTGATCATCAGCTCCGGCGGGATGCGACGAGGCTGGGGCTGGGAGGGCCGTCGTGACCGTGGCGAGGGCAGGCCCTTCGCCGGCGGCGGCGCAGCAGCGACGACAGGCGTTGACGATGTCATCTTGGGCTCCCTGGGTTCGCGGATTTCTGCATTGCGGAAGATGTCCTCCTTAGTTCCAAAGTCCTTGGTGCCAATCTCGCGTCCGCCCAGCTGGTCTCTCGGGTCCCCATGACTCGCACCCTTCAGATCCACATGGCTCTTCGCGCCTCTCAGATCTTGCGCAACGGCTGGGTCGGCCATTTTCGCGTTCATGTTCTGCATTGATGCCTGCTTGCGCGCCGGCGCGCCTACATCTCGACGCCGGATAGAGTTTGCGGAGTCCCGCTGGGGCTCCGGGGACGACAACGGGGATGCCGTTGCGTTCAACGGCTTGCTAGGTTCGTCTGATACCGGTGCTGGCTGTACCTTAATTGTTTCGGATGACGCTGCCTTGATCGTGGGCGAGTCTTTGGCTGGTGGTGCTGGAGCGTCACTCGACTGCGCGCTCATCCTGGCGTCGGCCTGCTCTCCCGTACCCGAGCGGCCCAACCCGAAGGGCTTCAACTTCTCTTTAAGTCGCTTCATCTCGTCGTCAGCCTCGGCTTGTTGGGGCTGCGGTCTGATGTTTCGTCCAGGTAGCCCTGAATTAGGTTTGGGTGGTAGCGGAGACGTGGTCTTCACATCATTGTTTGTCATTGCAGACTTGGGCAGTGATAGCTGGGCTGGCGCAGCGACGGGTGCCGTCGTCGCAGCGGTTGACCCATGACTGATGGACAGCTTTAGGCCGGCCACTGCTATGCTACGATCTGATTTGGATGACGCCCTTCTCCGCCAGATTTCTCGGCGCGGCGGAGACGCGTTGGCCACAGATGTCGTGGGTGAGTCCGCATTCGCATCTCTCGTGGGTGATGCAGCCGTTCTTCCGCTGCGAGGTGTTGCTGGCAGTCCGGTCCGCGGTGTAGTTGGCCTAAGGTTGCTTCTCTCTTTGAATGGTGGCGGCGGAGGTAACGGTTCATTCATCATGACCGCCTTCTCCTGTTCCGACGGCTCCTCGTAGGGATTCCTCGAGTACGCCTTATACGACCTTGTGAAATCGTCCTTGTTTCCATCTTGCATGGCCTCTCGCTCCGGTGAAAACGAAGGTTCGCTGCCCTTTGTGACTGAGCTGCCCTGAGACGATCTGTGCACCGAGTCTGACGACGTGTTGGAATATGCAGAAAGCAGACTCGATATGGACGACACTCGCTTCAGGTGCGCCGGTGTGGTCTTTGCTGGTTGCGCCGGCGGTGAGGCCACTGCCTTTCTCGGTATTGGAGGCATCTTCTTCTGTGTGTCCAGCCCAGATGTGAGCGCCGGAAGCGCCGGTAATGGCGAATCAAGTGGTTTTGGCACAAAACTCCCTCCAACGCTGTCCTTTCTAGGTGGGAAAGCCACTGTAGCGGCCATGTTAGGCAGATCGGGGAGTGCTCGAGGAACTTGGTTCGCTGCTATAGCTTGAGAACCGTTCCCTTCGAGATCCAGACCAGGCGGCAGAGGCAGTGCTTTTGAGAAACGCGAACGACCCGTTCTCGGGGTCTGTAATGTGGCCGTATCCATATTAGTATTGTATTACCGGCTGAAAGGGGACGCTGAGGAGTGAGGCGGAAGGGTGGTATAGCTGCAATATTACAGGAAGAGGAGTCAGTTCATGCTCCCATCCCTTCCATTCCCCAGAAAACGAAAACAGGCCCGCACGCCGAGTTGCAAATATATTCCGCCGATATGTGAGTGTCAGCGGCCGAACCCTGGTCTATAACACAGACTAATGCAGGTACAACAATCCCACGACGGCGTGGAGAGAGGGCCCAAGTAACAGATGGCCGGGTGACTGGGAGGGGCCTGCCGACAATGTGGGAGGCCTATTATTAATTTGTGGAAATGCCCAGCCTCGGGCTGACAGCAGCAGGATTCAAGTAAAAGCTGTTAGGCCCTGGGCCCGATGAAACTGCCGTCATATATGGCAAGAGGCGATGGCTTTTTGGACAAGGGGATAGCACACCAACGGCAGCTAGTGCGGTCTTGTTAGCCATCCACCCGTAGAGCGGCGTTAACGAGAATACAAGAACCGCGGGTCCCGAAGTCGATATTATCACCAACGGGCACACAACAACCTTCACCGATGGGTCGAGCTTTTGAGCGACCGACAGCGATCTCAATTCCATCAATCCCCCTATCCCCTTGGAATGTGAGACAACACCAGCTGCGTTCAGGGACTTGTGACACAAGCTGTGGTCAGCCACACTGCCTTTCGTCATTGCTTTGCAACGGCCGCTCCCTCTCTGGAGAATCTAAGTGGCTGCTCTAAAAAGCAAGGGGATTAGCATGGCGGGCAAATGACAGGAATAGCAGTGCCCTCTGGCGCGTTTCAACTAAGATCCCTGGGCCCATCAGACCTTCACAGCCTATGGGAGTCTCCACGATGCCGGGCAAATCGGACCACTGGGACGCGACGGCAGGCTTCCAGATTCCCAGATTTCATGCCCCTCACACTGCCTCCGTCCTTGGATCTCGCTGTCCCAAGACGCGAAACCTGGAAAGCTGACGTCCATCATTCATGCGATATTCGCGCATTTACCGGGCTTTCAGTGAGTTCATGGGAGTCTCCGATGGTTCCATGCTAGGCGATCCATCACTTATGCAATGCCCGCCGCATTGCACGATGTAGTAGCGCACTAGTCATGTACAAGACAACAAACCTGTGCTGCAGTTCACGGCGTGACGATGGTTGCAGACCGGGCGATTTCTTTTTGCACTCCAGTCCCACCAACGACGCGTCGTGCAACTGCAGAAAAAGTCGCGACAAGGTTTGGCTGGGCCAAATCTAGTGCCGCCCGGCTTCTGTGTGCGTGCGGGAAGCGTTGGTGCGACGGGGAAATCAGCCGACACAAAATCCTGTGAAAGTGAGTGTGTGCTGGGTCCCCATCCCCTGGAGCGCTCCAGTAGCTTGTGGTGCATCAGACGAATTGGATCGGACGAGTGCGACACTAGGATGGGACCCAGCTTGCGGTTCCTGTTGCGAGCCGTGTTCCATGCATACGTGCGACGCGTACCCATAATAAAACCCGATGGAACTCTGACGGTCTGATCAGATCAGAGAGATCGCGCTGATAGAGTTATCTCGGAAATTTGCCCGCCTCGCCTTGTGTGCTCGGTTGGCGTTTTCGATGCAAGTGTCTTATTAGTAGATGAAGATCCACTCAAACCTGCATATTCCTGCATCTTCAATCACAGTCAAATTTATGTGGCCGGCATCTTCATGAGCGTTGAAAGAAGCATTGTTTTGACATCTGTACGAGTCGTTCAGCTGTGATTCACATTGGACCGTGATCCGGCAAAAGAAGTTTGATCCAGAGGTGATAGCAGTGTCCCAGACGGGAGTCACCTAAGACCTTATCTATCCAAGACGAATCAGCTCCGGTATCCTAGCCTTGGGGTCTCCAAAGACAGGGTCCCAGTTGCGGCGTATATACTCTTAATGGAAAGAGAGCAGAGTCTCAAAAGGTGATTTTCAACAGCGCAGCATGCCGTCGCCATCACCAGATTTGAATTCCCGAATTTCAGATGCCGATGTCGACATCTCGTGAGTTGCTCCTCTTTGACGGGGGTCGAATGCCGAAAAATGGAGACGCTATCGGTATCGGAGGACACCGATCACGGTCTTCGCGCAACTTCTTTACTCGAGTCTCGGTGGGCCATTATCTAGTGACTGATTGACTTGACGAGGCGGGAAGAGAGTCAGGATCTTGAGTAGTTTTCATACTCTCCGTCTAGCAAAACGCCTGCTCGACAACACGTCTGTGTCGTCTACCCATAGAGCCCAATTGCCAGTCGACCCCTCTTAATTCCGAACGCCGGAAATGCCGCTGCCCCAGGAAGCCTCGGCGGCGTCGGAGACGGCGCCGCTGCTCGGCCCAAATGCCTCAGAAACGGGCACAGCTGCCAACGTGAATGGTAATGGTACCTTCTCGGGCTCGAGAATTCCCCCGCCGGAGGGCAATGGGTCTTCGGCGACTGCCAATGGAGACGCAAATGGCCGGAGTGGTGAGGATGGGCCCAAGATCAAGGTCCATATGGCTTCGCTGCTGCCGGCGCTGGCCATTGGTGTAAGTGTCCGCCCCTAGGGATCAGATGTATTGTGGAAGTGGAAGGAGGAGCAGGGGCTGATTTTCTGTGGTAGATCTTTCTCGTTGCCATGGACCAAACTCTGGTGATAGCAACCTATGGCAAGATCGGATCTGACCTCCAGGCGCTGAACAATACCAGTTGGATCGCCACCTCGTAAGGCTGCTATCCCTGACAATGAAGTCGAGTCGCTAACTTGCTGAAGCTATTTCCTAACGCTCACAACTTTTCAACCATTATACGGCAAACTGAGTGATATATTCGGACGCAAGGAGTGTCTGCTCTTTGCTTACTCGGTCTTTGGGCTCGGCTGCCTTGGCTGTGGTTTGTCCCAAGATATCATCTCGCTATGTATATCTCGAGGTGTGGCCGGAATGGGTGGAGGTGGCATGAACGCGGTTGTGTCCATCTTGATGACTGACTGTAAGCAACCGCTGAAATTTAGCTTTCTCTTATGCACCGTCAAGATGTGCTTGATTTCAAGGCCTGCCCAAGCTTCACCTTCTCTTATTTCAGTCAATGTTACCCCAACCAGAGAAAATATACTAATCATGGCTACCAGTGGTTTCCCTCCGTGATCGTGGCGTTTGGCAAGGCTATATCAACATCGTGTTTGCTGCCGGTATCGCTAGTGGAGCTCCATTAGGAGGACTGATGGCGGACTCCATCGGATGGCGATGGGCCTTCATTGGGCAGTTCCCCATCTCCATTATCGCTTGGTTAGCAGTATACCTGGTGCTTAATCTACCGAAGACCGACCATTCGCACTGGATTGCGAAGTTTAGGCGTATTGATTTTCCAGGAGCAATCACTCTCAGCATTGCTGTGTTCCTCCTCGCTTTCGGCCTGGGTATGGAGTTCCGTCCCCCTTTGATAATGTCGAGACTTCGAGACTAACACCAAATCTCTTAGATAACGGCAGCAACCAGGGTTGGGGAGAGACTGCTACTGTTGTGCCTCTGGCATTGACTCCCGTTCTATTCGCGCTCTTTATCCTGATTGAAGTCAAGTTTGCTTCAAACCCCTTCGCACCAGGTCATGTCATCCTAAACCCTCCTGTGTTGGCTGCTTATGGAGCCAACTTCTTCGGCGTCGCGGCACAGATGGGAACGTGGTTCTTCGCAGCCCTTTTCTACCAGGGAGCCATGGCTCTGACTGCAACAGAGTCTGGCCTAATGTTCCTGCCCGGAACCATCTCAGGCCTTATAGGCTCTCTGGGTGGTGGCATCATCATGAAAAGAACCGGCAAATACTACTGGCTTACGCTTGTTGGCTATTTTATTGTGTTCCTCAGCATCATCTTGTTGGCTTTGTTCACTGGAGCCATTGCCAAGTCCCTTGCTGGCGTCGTCGTGGCCATGGTCACACTTGCCTTAGGCGCCTCAATCTGTAAGTCATGTGTCCACTTCCGAGGGGCATTGTAAGCTCATCATATCAATAGCAATTACCACGACGCTGATAGCAATCATTTCGAATGCCGCGTCCGAAGACATGGCTGTTGCTGTGGCCTGCTCCTATCTCTTCCGTTCGCTCGGCACAACCATCGGCATCAGCATCTCGACGGCAGTATTACAACAAGTGCTACGCACGGAGTTGGCATCGAAACTCAATGACAGCGGCCGTGCAGGCGAGATTGAGGAGCATGTGCGTCAAAGTCTCGACTATATCCGGGAGCTTCCACCACACCTGGCAAGTGTGGTAAGGGAGTGCTATGCCACTGCAACCACCTGGGCGTGTCTTCCTGTGGGAATCATGATCGTGTTTTGCCTAGTCTCAACTGCCTTCATGCGCGAGAAGAAGCTGGACCGATGAATACCGTGAGGGACTCAGAGACTAGACCGTAGGGTATGCGGCTACCCTTTGGTTGGTATCTACTTTCCCACCACGCATAAAGGAAGACAAGGATTCGAGCATTATCGAACATTAAATCGCTAATCACATACCATGCATGCACGACGAAGAACTAAGTAGGAGTCATACTTCCACCCCAACAATAAGAAGCATTCCATGTTGGTTGTTTTGTATAGATAGATTGAGAAAAGCAAGAAAGCTAGACTATTACAAACAACGTCGACCGTATATTGAAGTGGACTCATAAACCTGTATGGCTATTTGACTAGGGGATGAATGTACAATCATCAAGTAATCAGACTGGCATGACTTAGCCCTCAAATAAAATCAGTACAGCAGCTCTGTAGCATGCGTGAACGCCCATTGCCTGTCCTTAAAAGTTTTATGCGGTTGATGGCTGCCGGGCCACAAGCCTTTATCTGGTACAGGTAGGTGAAAAGGCTCAATACCCCCGGTACTCATACAAGCTACTATCCAGCTCAAATTTTCTCCCACATTTGAAATTCATACTCCGTCCCATTTTCTTCCTGGATCCCATCCGGCACCTCCTCTCCAGTCCACGCGTCGAACTCCTCCTTCGGCTTCTTGACCCATATGGCGTCACCCTGTGATTCGAACAGCTTCAGCGGGAAGAAGGCATCGCACTCAAAGTCGCTGATGACCTTGGTCAGCAGTATCCTCTTGGCCTCCTTCAGCTGCAGCGCCGCGCCGTAGATCTGGGCGCCGCCGATGATGAACACCCTCGCCACCTTGTCCGATGCGCTCGAGCTGACGTACTCCATCGCCTTCTCCAGGGAGCTGACCTTGACGGGCTCCGCCGCGTAGTCAATACCCTCCGCCGGGGCTGCGTCCGGATGCGACCGGCTGATGACGATGTTGAGGCGGCCCTTCAGGGGCCGGAACTTGGGCGGGATGCTGTCCCAGGTCTTGCGGCCCATGATCACTGCGTTGAGCGCCTGCGGGTGTGCCTGAGGTGCCGCATGAGCCATCCACCGCCTGCGAAGCCAGAAACCACTAAAAAAATCAGTACACTTACATCTGAAGGAAGGCGTTTCGTCACTCGGGCAAAATAGGCCATCTCCTTCTTGAGGCCGGTCCAGGGCAGAGTGCCCGCGCGGCCGATGCCCATGCTACGCGTCGCCGCGAGGACGAGCGTGAGTTCTACGGGCAACATGTCTGATGAAGAGCCCACGGTCATTGAGGATTTTCCAGTGAATGAGTCTTCCGAAGTTGTCTTGGTGTCGACCTGAAAGCTCTTTGCAGTTGTAGCGTTCTACAATTCCCACTACAGTAAGGCCGTGGAGGGGCAGTCGCGACTAATAAAAGAAGCTCTGCAGAACGCGTTTCCCGCCCACTGCGGGGCTCAGGGTTGCAAACTATAAAAGAGTGCAAGGATACCCTCAGGTAATTGCGTTCAAAGTCATCTGGATTCACATCTTGCCACACCATGGTTTCCAAGACTGGTCATTTGACTTGTATCAAGAGGGCCATTCCATACAATCTTGGGTTATGGTATGCTTCTAGGTTGATTCAATGAGCGAGGAAACTGTCAAGATAAGTGTTACTCATTGCATGCATCCATGCAAGCGTTGCCTATCTTGCCTAAGCGCCGCTGATCTGGTAGCATACACCTACATACTTCAGTAATGGTCGCTGTCCACAAAGTGCACAAGTTCCGAATTACAGCAAGTTCTCTATAATATCTGCGCAAAGGGAGCAACAAATTAATGCAAGCACACAACCATGTATAGAGATGCACTACAACGTCTGCCACTTAAATTAGAAGTCTTCTGACGAGTTCTTCGGAGAATCCTAAGTCGTAGTATACCGACTCGCCCCCGATCGTTCTGTATAACTCTATCGGCAAACCGCAATTATGCTCGTGAAATTGCGAGATCCCCATCTGTCAGAGCTACACTATCAGGCGTTCGGCAGACATCAACCTCCCAATAGCGTGTGTCATCTTGTCTTTGCTCGTGTCATGCAAGCCGCTGGCTCCAGAGTCTGGCGATTCCTTTGGCAGCAGTGCTATTCCCCTGTCAAAGCTCTATATCATGTCCGCCTCTTTCATGCCGCTCATAATCTCCTTGCGGACGTCAAACCCGTAGAAGAAATCCTGCACAGGCACAGTAAAGTTCATGGCAGAGTGATCGAACAAGCCTTCGTCGCATAACTCTTCGGCCCTCTGACGGTACTCATCCCTCGTTCCTGGGATCGTGTCGCTAAGATGCTGGATGACGTGAATGTGCTTTTTCAAAAGCCTGCTGTACAGCTGCAGTCTTGGGGCCACTTGACTGGAATCTGCAACGCCGTCGAACAACACCTCAAGTGCCGCGGCCTCCTCAATGGCCATTACGGCTCCCTGTGCGTGGGTGGGTAAGATGGTATGTGCAGCGTCGCCGACAATCACAGCGCGCCCCTTGGTGTATGTCTCGAGCGGCTCCCTCCGAAGGAGCTTGTAGATCTTGATGTCCGGGGCTTTCTTGATAATTTCACCCATCAGGGGATTGTAGTTCTTGAGCAGCTCCAACACATCCTGGTGGGAGGCTGGCGAATTCCAGTCTTCCTTGTCGCGGTCTTTGGGCTGTGTTGTGTGCCGCAGCGCGATGTTCAGCATCTCATTCGCTCGGCACGGGTAGGCTACCATGTAGAAAGCATCGGGAAGGTAGAAGGGAGTCCAATAACCAGCCGGCTGATTCTCAAAGATCGGCCGTGTGCTATCGTCGGAGAGAATGTCCTTCATGGGAATCAAACATCGATAGGCAGACCAGCCCATCTCCTTCAGAGGTTCTTCCTTTCCTGTGACTTTGCTGACAAAGCGAGACCTGATCCCATCGGCGAGCACCACCAGGTCTTTGACGATCTTGCTTCCATCGGAAAGTATAATCGTGCCCGCCTCGCACTCCACGTCTACCACGCCGAGCCCGAGCTTGATCGTCACCGGCTTTCCAGGTTGGCCCTCTTGACTTTCAGCCATTGTCTTCAGAGTATTATGTAGGTCTACTCGATGGTAGAAGCCCATGTTGGCACCGAATTTTGTGTGTACATCCTTGAGATCCCCCACAAAGGCCGACTCAAGAGTGTGCGCATCAACCATGCGGAGGTTTTTGGCCTCCACGACACGAGCCTTCACATGGTCGAATCCCCATGAGTCCAAGATGCGCGAACCGTTGGGGGTAATAGTGATTGCTGCTCCAACCTCATTCTTAAAGGTTGAACGCTCGAAGATCTTCCAGGTAAAAGTATGTTAGGAGTATATTGCGTGGTTTCACAACGAGGGGACTGGGGTGATTCTATGACTGGGGAACAGACACCCCTGTACGCCTCGAAAGGCAGCCATTGCCATGGCCAGAAACAGGATAGATCATAACAGGGGGGTTTATAACTTACCTCAACCTCCGCACCTGCCCGCCTCAGGCCAATAGCAGCGCTTAGTCCGCCGATACCTGCCCCGACGACTCCTACTTGGAGGGGCATGGCTGTCTCAATGTCTGTCCCTGTCGATCTTGTCTGAACTCTTCGTACGACTTGGATTGGCAAGACAGAATAGACGTTGCCGAAATCAGTTGCACCTTACAAAAGGTTCCGCGCAGATTCGCCGTGCACAGCATAGAAAGTGGCTCTTGACAGTCACTGAATGCAGTGCGGGCGCGAAATAATTCGGTTTGGTGTTTCCACACAGGCACAGTTCTGGTGAATTTTACTATCTAAGGCTATCCCTTAGATTTCACCTCGCCGCACTGGTGCCGTAGCGATGTTGCAAGGGGAAGCCGTTCGATGCACCTGCAAGTATCTCGGCCGTAAAAAGGCCTGGATGCCGCCGCAAACGCTCAGAAAACGGCCAAATTAAACCTGTCATTGGACCGGAGGCTTGATGCCAAGGACGCAAGGGACTATATGACCGCCACCGAATGCGCTTTTTGTACCGTATCGGTACAGTTGTTTCTGGCTTCCAAGTGATGTCGCTCACAAGTGCTTGTGGCCGGGTCCACGGTCGTTGGACCGGACGCTTGCTAGAGCCCGGCTGATCGGACTGCCCGTCGAAGCGGTTCCCCCACTAACTTTAGACAGTTCGCCAGAGGAATTTGACGGCTTCTTTGTCATAATATCACGGAACAACAGGCTGTCTCGCTTGTTCGAGTGTGTGGGGTTGTCTGGCTATTTCATCTCTCAGCTATGAAGCACTGGCCTATCCATATCCGTATACGGCCAATGGTGTGTCCAAATTTCACTTTCCGGTCATCTTTGGAACCTTGAGAACACCAAAGAGGCATTGGTGCCACCAAACCCGAAGCTATTCGACATTGCCACGTCGACCGTCTTGTTCTGTGACTCCAACGGCACGAAATTGAAGGAAGACTTGATATCAGAGTTGTGCAGGTTCCTGGTGGGAGGCACAATATTCTATTTCGGGGCATTAGCAGTAAGTTCTGGAGCCTAGGAGGTACTACTCACGTCTGCAATTGACAGGATGGAGATAACGGCTTCTATGGCGCCAGCTGCCCCCAGGAGATGCCCTATCGACCCTTTCGTACTGCTTACCGTGACTTGGTCATCAGTAGCATATCCCTCCGGTCCACGCATCAGTGACTGGATAGCCAGCGCCTCAGCTGAGTCGCCGATAGTTGTTCCTGTGGCATGGGCGTTGATGTAATCAACTTGGCTGGGCTTGATCATGGCATGCTGCAGTGCCTTTTTCATGCCTCGGTATGCACCAGATCCATCGTCTCGAGGAGCAGTCATCTGGTAAGCATCGCCGCTACAGCCGTAACCTTTGAGTTCAGCGTATATACGAGCACCTCTCGCTTTGGCGTGCTCTAATTCCTCCAAAACAACAACTGCTGCCCCTTCGCCTACCACAAACCCACTACGGTCTCGATCAAAGGGGCGGCAACTTGACGGGGGATCATGGTTGAAAGCCGTCGATAAGGACCGTGACCTGCCAAACCCTGCGAAAGTCAAGGGGTGAATGCAAGCCTCTGAGCCTCCGGCTACCATGACGTCGGCATCCCCAAATGCAATGAAGCGAGATGCATCGCCTATAGAGTGGGCGCCCGTAGTGCACGCCGTAGTGGCAGCATGGTTTGGCCCCTGGAAACCATACTTCATGGCAACGTGGCCCGCAGCCATGTTGATGAGAATTTTTGGCACGAAGAGCGGAGACACCTTCTTGTAGCCCTGCGAGTAGATCTTAGCATATATAATTTGACCTATATAGGGAATAAGGTTGGCGAGATTACCTCCTGATGAAAAGCGATGCTGGTCTCGAAGATGTCGTCCAGGTTTCCAATACCACTTCCTAGACAGACCCCGGTCGCCTCAAGCTGCTGGGGACTGCGCGGCTGCCATTGGGCGTCCTCCAATGCCTCGGCCGTGGCAGCGAGAGCATACTGAGTGAAAGTAGAAGTCCTCCGCTGTTCGGACGGTGTCAGCCAGTCACCCGGCCGCCATTGACCCTCGCCACTGCTTGCTCTGGGGACAATCCCAGCGACGGTGCTTGGCAGATCCTTCCATTGCCTCTGGGGCTCGAAGTTTGCGACACTGACGATCCCAGAATCGCCAGCAAGGAGGCGAGACCAAGAGCGTCGAACGCCCACACCCAACGGCGTGATAGCGCCCAGACCTGTCACAACAACCCGGCGCATCACACCTCCATGGCCGGGATCTCAGAAGAAGATAAAGGTTCAGAGCAAGTGTCTGATCATGGGCATTGCCACTCCCCCACGCTCTACTTCGAATTGGATCTTTTTATTGGCGGGCGCACACGGATGGGAGCACCAAGGCATGATATCTCAAATAGGCCAAAGACGAAATAACGCTGGCGAGGACGTTTCTGGCGGACTGGAGCCTTGCCCTTTCGAGTTAGTGTGGCTGCTTTGCCGTGCCGTCCAGGGGCTACGCGTTCTGGACAAATGCCGACGCCATGTTTTATGGGCTCTCCAAAAGGCTTATTCCAACGGCGGGCGGCATACTGCAACGCAACCTCACCAGCATTATGCAACACCGTCCTCGAATGTCTTGATTGAGATCTTTCATCGTAACACGAGCCTCCTAGCTTCTGGCGTGCTGCAGCATAATTACTCTGAGGCTCTTACTGTTCAAATCGAGCTAGCTTGTCGAGCCACGTCGCTGCGCCCCTTGGGGTCACGTTTCTGAGAACACGTTTCAGCCGCTGGTCGATCTGAGGCTTAACCACATAACAACGAAAGAAAGCATTTTGACCATTGTCGCCGGCACTTAGCACACAGTCTCACGTTGCCAATGGCTCGATGAAAGTGGCATAGCGACCGCCATTCCCTAAGGTACCCGTGTTATATCACGAGCCGGCCGTCCTGGCCCCTCCCCCGGTCCCAGCCATCTGGATCGGCTATCGATATCAGTGCAGTGCCGCATCTTGGTTTCAGTCTTATCTTGAGGTTTCTGGCGACGTTTGTTTCTGCAGCTTATCACGTTCAGCCAGCCCAATCACTGCAGAGTTGCAAGGACGTAGCTCGTCCCACCACGGCCTGGATTCGGTGGCATCGTCTTCCAGACTTTGAATTTCATGCTTAGCATTACACACCTTTCACCTCGCCCACGCAACCCTGCCTGCTTTCCGCATCGGGAAAGTGTGCTCATCACGCCTTCACACTTGAGCCGGCTTCTGATTCACTACACCCAGACCTTTGTCCGAGATCAGCCACCCCTCAGAGCATATCGTGCCGTACCTGGCATGACACTCTAGACCTGTCTTGGTAATCTGGACAACGAGGACGCGCAAGAACGGGCGGACAACTGCCAATAGGATATTTCCTTCCCGAAGAAAAGCTTATCGCGCTCGACAGCTTGCTTCATGTTGGTCTGGGATCTACAGAGTTGGGATTAGCCTACCCATCCACCTGGACGCCCGTTTTGGACATTAGAGCCCTATATACTCCGTAGAGCCCACTGCTTCCCATGTCTTGTCCTCCATAGTGTGTTGATCATCCGCGTACTATCGTATCCACAAGATGGACCACACATCCAGCTCATCGCCATCTGGCATGGCCGAGCGAGCTAGGATGGTGGAAGATGACGATCGATCATGGAGTGACAAAGACAGCGTGAAGGCCAGTGGGCGGGAGGAGGCCGAGGGTACAGCAGCGTCGAGGCACGAAGACCCCGTTGCTGCCCTCAAAAGGCGCCTCTCGGAGTGGGGTGAGTCTAGTGTCCATCACAGCCAGCCTTATGAAGAGGGTGAAGAATACGAAATGCTTCTAGATCCCAATCTACCCGAGGAAGACGAAAGGCAGCTCCGAAGCCTGTCCCTTGACGATCCAATGAGAGGCGAATCCGACTCCGAGGCCAACCTGAAAGTGCTCGATGATGTCGAAGACTCACCGTACCCCGAGGTGTAAGTATCTTTTGGCATTAAGGCATTATTGATCATATCTAACACTACAGGCAAGACGAGCCGCTGTGCGCAATTACGATGAAGACCTACCTTGTAATACAGTCCGCGCGTGGACCATCGGGTTGTTTTTGGTCGTAATTGGTGCGTCCATGAATACACTGTTCTCGCTGAGGAGTCCATCGATCGGGTTGGGTGCGCTTATCGCCCAGATCATTGCTTGGCCCATCGGGCAAGGCTGGGCCAAGTTCATGCCAACCAAGCGGTATACGTGGCCATTGATTGGAACATGGAGCTTGAATCCTGGACCGTTCAATATCAAGGAGCATTCGATCATCGTGGTCATGGCAAGTGTCTCATTCTCGGTTGCCTATGCCACCGACATCATTTTAGCTCAGGTCGTTTTCTACAAACAGAACTTTGGCATAGCCTGGCAATTGCTACTCACCATTTCTACACAAAGCCTGGGATACGGTATTGCTGGTATGATGAGGAAGTTCCTTGGTAAGTACCTGAATGGCGGCAGCAGAACTTGGCTAACAAGACTTGCAGTCTACCCGGCCTCCATGATCTGGCCAGGAAACCTTGTGTCAGTCGTGCTCATGAACGCCATGTACGAGAAGCATGCTCCCCCAGACCCGACGGTCATCGGTGGAAACATGCCAAGATATAGGTGGTTCGGTTTTGTCACCCTCGGCGCCTTCGTGTACTACTTCATCCCTGGGTTTCTGGCTCAGTTCCTCAGCGTGTTTGCTTTCCCTACTTGGCTGGCGCCGGACAACCCAGTGGTCAATCAACTTTTTGGAGGATCAACTGGCTTGTCTCTGTTGCCGATCACGTTCGACTGGACTCAGATTGCGGGTTTCGTTGGGTCCCCTCTTATCCCCCCTTGGCACGCCATTGCCAACACGCTCATCGGCGTCGTCGTATTCTTCCTGTTCCTCACCTCACTGTTCCACTATAGTGGCGTATGGTACTCCCAGTTCCTGCCAATAAGCGATTCAGGAACATATGACAACACCGGGTCGGCCTACAACGTATCACGAATCTTGACTCCTGAATTCAGGTTAAACGAGGAGGCGTACAAGAATTATTCTCCTCTCTTCCTTAGGTAGGGAGATCATCCCAGAAAGAGGATTGTCCTGATGCTAACATTGCGTGACTAGCACGACCTTCGCCATGTCATACGGCCTATCATTCGCGGCGATCGCTTCGTTGATCGTCTACACTTACCTCCACCACAGCAAGTCTATATGGCGCCAGTACCAGAACAGCACGTCGGAGAAGCCTGATATCCACATGAAACTAATGAGAAAATATAAGGAGGCTCCTACTTGGTGGTATATGAGTCTCTTCGCAATTGTAAGCTCATCTCTGCCGGAACAGGCAACACTGCAGCAGCTAATCACGATGACAGATGTTGGGGCTAGGGTTTGTCACCGTGCTGGCATACCCTACCAACCTCACCTGGTGGTCATTCCTCTTGGCCGTCGCTATCTCCTTCATGTTCGCACTGCCCATCGGTATCATACAAGCCGTCACGAACAACCAGATCGGGTTGAATGTTTTGACCGAGTTTGTGTACGGCTATATTCAGCCTGGCCGGCCTTTGGCCCTCATGATGTGTGTGCATCTGCAAATTTGGAGCAAACGGAAGGACTGACATCTCTATAGCTTCAAGACCTTTGGATACATTACCATGTCCCAGGCGCTGAGCTTTGTTTCGGACCTCAAGTTCGGCCACTACATGAAGATCCCACCGCGCACTATGTTCATGTGCCAAGTGGTAGCAACGACATTTTCATGCTTTATACAAATTGGCGTCTTGAATTTCGCACTCAACAACATCGACGGGGTGTGCACCACTACTCAACCGAACCGCTTCACGTGCCCCGGTGGTAAAGTGTTCTTCTCCGGTGAGTCCTAGTCTTTTCGTCTTCCGTAGCGAAGACATGTTGATCTGAAACAGCCTCCGTGATCTGGGGTCTCATCGGTCCTGCCAAGATCTTCTCTCCAGGGCAGATATACTCGGGACTATTCATCTTCTTCGGCGTTGGCGCCGTCGTCCCCGTGATTATCTACTTCGCGGCGCGAAGATGGCCCAAGTCAGCCCTCAAGTACATGATGGCGCCTGTGATTTTTGGAGGCGCGGGATCCATTCCCCCTGCGTCGCCCCTCAACTACTTGTCGTGGGGCATCGTCGGCTTCGTGTTCCAGTACCTGATCAAGAAGCGCCACTTCAACTGGTGGAGCCGGCTGAACTTCCTGACATCCTCGGGCCTGGATCTTGGTCTCGCGCTCTCTACTCTGGTCATCTTTTTCGCGTTCACCTTAAATGAGATCGACCCGCCCAACTGGTGGGGCAATCAGGTGATCACGACTACGATGGACTTTAAGGACACCGCCATCCAGACGGTACTGCCGCCAGGCGAAACGTTTGGGCCGGCGGTCTGGTAGATGGAGATGTCGTTGTCGGGAGGCGACGGCCTGGCGTTGTATAGACGGGTGGCTGTTGATATTACATATAGATGCCATATGAGAGCCGCGGCCATAATAGTAGCTATACGTAGAGGAAGATCAAGCAAGATTCAATCATCTTGAGCTGGACGATATAGTATTGAGATTGTGATGCAATGTACCGCGCAATCGACCCAGAAGAGGGCCGCTTGTCCCTGGCGGAGAAGAAACAACAGTCAGTGTGTGTGCGAGGCCCGGGTATGGTCTCGTTAAACACAAGCGTCATCCAGCGAAACTCCTTCCAACGTCACACCCAGACTGGTCGAGGAATCAGCTTGCCTCTATTCAGCAGCCGAGTGATACCCCGGAATGCAGCCCGCGCGCTAGTGCCCTCTGAGCGCTGAGCCTGAGCTCCAATCCCTGCTGTCGATCAGCCCAAGCACCAAGGTCCGGACCTGTCGCGCGCCGCATAATTTTTTTCTGAGCGGCTCCGATGGGCTCAATGACGCGAAGACCCTGAAAGCGCCGTACCTCTCGACGACCCAGCAATTGCGGCGAACCCGGCGACTCGACCTCTCCGCAACCCAAGAGGACAACGAACCCCAACGATACCATGGCGTGCCGTAGCTGTAGGCGCCATCTCGCGACCCAGCTGTCCTCCCGACAGTCCCTGTCGGCCTCGAGCCAAGCCCACCAGCAGCCTTCAGCGGCATTCGCCTGGCAGTCGACACGACGAGCCACAGCCGTTGCGCCCCTGCGCCAACAGCAGCAGCAGCAACAAAGACGGGGGTTCGGAAGCACATCGCAATGCCAAAAGTCGTGGATACCAGAGCCTCTGCGCAAGCTGGGCGGCCTGCTGGTCAGCTCCACCAGCCAGCCGTACCAGGTGCACGCCGCCACCGAGACCATATACAAGACCTGCGCCCGCGAGGCCAACTACACCATCTCCGAGACGGACAAGCGGAACGGCACGGTGCCCAAGACGGAGGAGGGCGAGGAAATCGGCGTGGGCAACACCACGTGGCATAAGGGTAAGCCTTGGTCCATTCTCGAGCCTCTCGCACCCCCCTGTCAAGTCTCGTTACCGGGTTTCCCTTCATGATCGCAGAGTACATGCCAGCCGTATAGCTAACCACTCCCACCTCCCCGGCCCACAGACTTCGACCTGCCCCCGACCTTCAGCACCTGGTCCCAGGTGACGATGCTGCACCTGTACCTGGTGTACGCGCGGCTGCGCAACCTGCCGCCGGACGCGGCGCGGTCGTGGCAGAAGCAGCTGACGGACCACTTCTTCTTCGACGCTGAGGAGCGCATGGACGTGACGCACGGCATCAGCGCGCGGGGGCTGCGGCACCGGTACCTCAAGGACCTGTTCGTGCAGTGGCGGGGCGTCATCCTGTCGTACGACGAGGGCGTGGCCCGGGGCGACGCCGCCCTGGCCGCCGCCGTCTGGCGCAACGTCTACAAGGCCCGCCCGGACGTCGACGTCCGCCACCTGGCCGCCGTCACCGCCTGGGTCCGCCTCTCGCTCAAGAGCCTCGACCAGATGCCCGACGACGCCCTCTTCTTCAGCGCCGCCGGCGTCTTCCGCACCCCCGCCAGCCACCAGCTCGCCCTCGTCGACGCCCCGGCCCGCGAGCTCGAGGGCCTGCTGCCCCAGTCTCAGGCGGCGGCGGCGGCGGCACCGAAAAGTTCGCCCCGGGTTGCGGGATGAGCAGCCGAAGGTCGTGAGGAAAGATGCGGCATAGATCTAGTCTTCCTGTGGAGGGTGGCATGGGGGCCATATGTGTAATGATAGGGCTATGAGAAAGTGTAATATTTGCTGTACAACCACGAACAAGACACACTCATTGACGGATCCGAGGCGTTTGGCTGGATGAGAGCGCTCAGGGGGACTACACTCTGTACAAGGTCCCCGCCCCACGAGCAGCAGTTGCTTTGGTCTATGTATATATCAACTACGGTGGCAGTGAACACAAGGATACGTGTCACAGTACCGATATATATATATATATATTAGCAGCTCTTTTAGCAAGCATCATATATCGACGTTGTGGTATCGATATATAGCCTTGATGATAAAATTTCCAATAACCAAGCAGGGCAATAGATTATGAACACGTCGAGCATCACAAGAGAGACGTGGGGGAGGTTACTTTTCTTTATATTCCAATCGTGACGCATTCATGCTATGGGCTGCAACGGCAATTGCTTGCTAGCTAGGATATCAAAAAAATTCAGCCAGGAAAGAGAAAGAAAAGCAGCGAACGCATCCCTGATTCCCCCGTCTCCCTGGCTGTCTCTAAAATCGAGTCAGGCCACAGGGCTGACTCGCACGTATAGGAAGCGGAAATAAGTCTAAATGCCGGTGTGATATCAGTGGGACACTAATCGGAGGCGCTCTTCGCCAACCGTCCATCCGTTCATTCGTTCATCCATTGGGCGTTGTCTTCTATTTTCATCTCTCATATATCTTTTCCCCTTTTTTTCTGGATCGGGAAGAAGACCACCAGGTGTGCGGTATCCTGGTTATGGCTTCAAGATGCTCGTCATCTTCCGGGGCTCCCTATGCCCGCTTCTGGGTCCCCTGCCTGTGCTCCCCTTGATCAGAGCTTCTCCCACTACAAGAAGCCCCTGCGGGGGAAGCTGACGCCCTCGACAGCGGCGTCGTCGGTGAACCAGCTGCAACGCTCTCCGGTGGCCTCGTTGACCAGGGCGGCGGGCAGGCCGTTGCCCTGCTCAAAGATCTCCTTCATGATGTCCTTCTTGCCGCCGCCGGTGGCGACAAAGGCGACCTTGACCGAGTGGGTGACGACGGGGAGGGTGAGGGTGACGCGCTTTGGCGGAGGCTTGGGCGAGTCCTCGATGGGGGCGACCCAGGCGCTGGTCTCGCGCAGCAGGGGGTGGCCGGGGAACAGGCTGCAGGTATGGCCGTCGGGGCCGGTGCCGAGTAGGAGCAGGTCAAAGATGGGCAGCTTGACCGAGTCGCGGCTGGCAAAGGAGCGTACCAGCAGCTGCTCGTACTGGTCGGCCAGCTCCTGGGTGTCGTTGAGGTACTGGGTGTCGATGGGGTGGACGGTGGGCTGGCCAGCCTCGGTGGGGATCTTGTCCAGCAGCTCGGCCTTGAGCAGGGCGTAGTTGCTGTCCTCGTGGTCGAGCGGCACGGCGCGCTCGTCGGCGAAGAAGATCTCCCACTTGTCGAAGCGCACCTTGTCGTCGTCCGAGGCCGGGGCGGCCAGCAGGGCCTGGGCCAGGGTCTTGGGCAGCGAGCCGCCCGAGACGGCAACCTTGAAGACGCCGTGGCGTGTCAGGCCGGCGTTCTGGGCCGAGATGACGTACGATCGCAGGGCGGGAGCCAGGGCGCCGACGTTGGGAAAGGCAAACAAGTTGGGTTGCTTGCCCATTTTGGCGGTCGGTGGTCTGAGGCTGACGGGCGGGTTTTGTTTTTTTCGGTTGGACCTGGGTCTCACAGCCGTCCCTAACGGTCGTTTGTGTGTGTGTGTGTGTGCCGCCTGGTGTGGTGAGTGCGTGTATGTGTGTGTGTGTGTGTGTGTGTGTGTGTGTGTGTGTGGTGGGCGATGTGTCAGACGGGATTTGGGTTCGGGTCACAGTGGGCGGGCAAGCAGGCAGGCAGGCAGGCAAGCAGTTCAGTTGGCCGTGGAAATATGTACGAGAAGGTTGAGAGCAGGTCGAGCCGGCGACGGGACGGAGGATAGTTTATTTGAGTGACGGCGTGTGTGGGCTGGCAATGATAAGTGGTGACGATGGTGGGGTGATGGAGTGGTTTCGAAAGCATGTAGCTTTTTGCTAACCCAACGGCAGGGCCCTTGTTTTGCACAAATAGAGACGAGGCCTACGTAGCTAAGTAGCTAAACCTACCGCGACCAGAGAACGAGAATCCCCCCTTCGACATCCAGTACATTGGTTCTGCCCTACAAGCCTGTCCGGGTGTCATCATGGCCTGAGGGTTTGAAGATACCCAAAGAGGGAATTGACCTTATCTAGATCCGCTGGAGGCATTTGAAGTCGTCTCGGGGCCGCACCGTACCTAGGCTAAGCTTCGCAGAAATGCTGAATAAGTACACGAAGGATGCCAACTAGCAACACAAGATAGCTTGCAGCGGGGCGGTGACAAGGCGGGGTGATGGGTGATGGGCGATGGAAAACAATCGTAACACAGCCCTCGTTCCAGAGGGGGGTACATGCCACCATGTCACCGCCCGTTCACTTACTGGCCCATTGGAAAGCGACTGGCCAGCCAGAGGACACAAAGAGCGGTCCTGGAGCCCGGCTCGGCCTGCTGGCTGCTTCTCGAGCGAGCGGCAGACAATCTTCCTCTCTTGCGGTCAGGCAAAAACGCGGCTTGCAAATCTTTTTCCCGTGTTTCTCGCGATTTCTGTGCAGCGGGGTGCTTGACGTAGCATTGAAGCTATCGGAGCATGTCGAAATAACGGATCGGGAGGAATCTTGGCAAGGCCCCACTACCCATGGTGGACGGCGGCGGTGCAAGTCATGGTTTGAGGCCCGAGGGATACAAACGGCACTCAATCGAAACGAGAACTTCTCGCAGCTTCTCGTGGAATATCGTAGCGTGGGATTTACGCGAGAGCTTCGTGTGATCGAGTGAGAGCAGATGGGTCTCAAACGGTGTGCCTTTTCAGGTGTGCTGCAGACTGACCTCGCAACGAGACGAGCCTTGCGAGCCCTACCCAATGACGCCGGGTGGCGCGACAGAAGATCTTCGGTGCCCCCCACTATCTTAGTTACGGGATCTATTCTGGCGGGCGGAAGTATGTCATTGTGCTGCAAGTCACCACATTGCACATGGCAAAACGTCCGCGCCTTGACTAAACCTGACGGCCCGTGGCCCCGACAACGTGCCTGTCAAACGTGTTGCTTGGGCCTAGGTGCAGCGCTCATCGGCGGCTCGTCTTGCAAACTTTGCTCTGAGGGGACCACATGGTACGTTTTGCTGGCTTGCAAGGAGAAAGGCATTTGGTCATTTCAAACCTGCATAGCAGTAGATGTCATACACTCTGTTGAGAAGGAAGATTGAAATAACGATATGCCACTTATCAACAATCTGATAAAATATCAACTCGTTAGAAGTGGACGTTGATTTTATTTCGGATTATTTTCCATCACCTAGTCCCCCCCTCCCCCTCTCCCACAACTTACGATTAGAACACTGATAGTTGGCAAAGGGCTAACTCGTGCGCAAGCCTCTACATGTTGTTACGAGTACCGTCATCCACCTCGGATAGAATCTCTCCCATCCAGCTGGACTAGCCATTCACAATTCATAAGTGAAGGCAGGCTCCTCCTCAATAGCCACTCTCGTGTCTTCTCAACCCGTCTGCTGAACCTGCTGTGTAATGTAGTGGTAGGGAATATATTCTAGCTGACCGGGGTGCTCCGTTGCTATTCGGGCACTGCGTTCTCGGTGTTAACGCCCCCCGGCCACCACCCTATAGCACTGAGAGATTGCGGAGTACTGGATCTGGGAGCATCTAATAATTGAACACGCAGAATGATGGCGAATCTGGTTGTAGTGTGTGCAGTTGGATTGCGGCTAGAAATTATGCTCATTGCACCCTGTGCGTTGTACAGCCATAAAGGCGCTGCTTAGCCGAAGCAATATATAGTCCGATCGGGAAGCTGCTTACGGCACACTCTCAAGTCCGCACGCGGCTGTCAGGCTGTGTACCGGCACCGCGGTCGCTAGCGTAGCCAGGTTCCAGAGAATGTTTCCATGGATGAGATGTCTTCCTGATAGGAAGCGACTTCTTCGCGGCTACACTGGCATAGCTGAGGATATAGTCCGTGTGGTCTTGGCGTCTACTAGATTACTGAGAGTTTCTCATGTGGCATTCCCATGCCTTTTTTTGCACTGTAGAAGTTCACGTCCGATTCAAGGAACAACTCACGCAAGGCTTTTAGTAAGCTTAAAGCGGCATGGCCTAGCTCCAGACGGGACACACTACGAACAAACTCGGCGTCAATGCCGAACTCCGTGCCGGCCTGCTTGCCTGGAAACAGATGAAACACGGGCTCACGATCGCGCGCCTCACCCCGAATTGCGCCTAAGTCTACATTTAGTCCTTTCCGTCCCGTTTTCTTGCATACGAACGTCGATTCGTAGATCACAGCTCTTCCGCAACACCTGGCCCAAGAAAGATGGCCCCATCACCAAAATACCTCACAGGTGACTCAGCCGCCATCAACGAGTTCATCGACCGTTTCGATGTGAGAGTCCACTCCACTGGAATGTATAACACCAAAGCTAACCTAAGTTCAGGTTTTTCTCCTGGACTGCGATGGTAAATCTAACCCAGTCATTATGAGTCTGCTTTTCATTGACACCGTGCGCAGGCGTACTCTGGTCTGGCGACCACCTCTTTGAGGGCATCGTGGAGACACTGGAGATGCTGAGATCCAGAGGTGAGCACCCCTCCAAGCTGTATCAAACTTCCTGAGGTAGTGTGCTAAGTCCAGAATCGCTTCCAGGGAAGAAGGTGGTCTTCGTTACCAACAACTCGACCAAATCTCGTCCGGATTATCAAAAGAAGCTCACTTCCATGGGGATTCCTAGTGATGTAGAGGAGATATTCGCCTCTGCCTACTCGTCCGCTATCTACATATCCCGGATTCTCAAGCTCCCTGAGGGCAAGAACAAGGTTTTCGTGATTGGTGAGAGCGGTATCGAGTCTGAGCTGCGGACCGAGAACATTCCCTTCATTGGCGGCACTGACCCGGCGCTGAGACGGGACATAACCCCTGAGGACTACGGCAAGATCGCAGATGGGTCGTTGCTTGACCCAGAGGTTGGCGTTGTACTCGCCGGGCTCGACTTTCACATCAACTACCTCAAGCTGTCTCTTGGGTACCAGTACCTGCAACGGGGCGCAAAGTTCCTCGCCACCAACCTGGACAGCACGCTTCCCAACAGCCACACCTTCTTCCCTGGCGCGGGCTCCATCGTCATCCCCCTGACAAACATGTCTGGGCAACAGCCGGTTTCCCTAGGCAAGCCCAGCCAGGCGATGATGGATGCGATCGAGGGCAAGTTCCAGCTCGACCGGGCCCGGACGTGTATGGTTGGAGATCGGATGAACACTGATATCCAGTTCGGCGTCGAGGGCGGCCTCGGGGGTACGCTGGCCGTCCTGACGGGCGTCAGCAAAAAGTCGGATTGGGAGGCCGAGGACGCGAAGGTCGTGCCGGCCTACTACGTCGACAAGCTCAGTGATCTCCGAGCCGCTAAGTCATAGGTTTGATTGCTAGTTACACGGTGCGTTTCGCGTCATAGGCAAGATACCGTCAAAGAGTGCTGCTTTGTTACAGTTGCCCGACATCCTATAGACCGCACTAAGATATTTCTGGACTAGAATAACCTATTTGCACCCCCTCAAGCTAGAGTTTAGAGGAAATGCTTGACCAGACTTGCATTCAGCCTGAATCATTAGTTCCCCTAAAGATTGAATGATTCTCATCCAATACTCTGAGTATGATACTGTTGGAAGACGTATTCGATTCACATCCCTGCCCCTGATATGTATGGTTCACTTTGAAACCCTATCGTTATTTCCAGTAGTCGCTATGGTGGGTTACATCCCGTTGGGTTCCCCCGCATTGTCCCTCCGATCCCGCGCAATGAGATACTTATAGCTTGCAGACATCATGCGCCAGTCAAGCTTCACTTTGACCCAAGGTAGGGCTTCGTGCTTGTGGGATGTGAGATACTTCTCCAATAAACATATCGTGCCCGAGTAGCTGTTGTCCTCTTAACATTGAACAATACCCTACAGCCACTTTGGTGCTCTAGTAAACTTGCACACCACTCCAGTTTTAGATCATTGGAAGTCTCTTGAGTCTATAAGCGTTTGCCCATAGTTTCCCGTCCTACAGAAATATGGCATCACCAACCCCTTTGACCGCAGCGGAAAAGGAGCACTTCCTCAAGCATGGTTACATTCGACTTACAAACTGCTTCACCCGTGCACAGGCCGCGGAGGTGACATCGGGGGTCTGGTACGCAACTCCCGTAGTTCGACTTATCCTCTCATCTCTAATGCTTTCTAAAGAGGTAAACATATTCAGAAAGAAAAGGAAAACCACTGACTTTTGCTTGTCGCGAAGGACCCGCCTGGGCATGTCGCCAGACGACAAGACGACCTGGACCAAGCCACGGGTGAACATGCCCTCACACCGGACATTCGATGTGGCCGAGTTCGCGCCGCGGGCCTGGGCCGCCATCTGCGAGCTGTGCGGCGGCCAGGAGCGCATTGACGAAGATCGCTCGCGGCTCTGGCGCGACTCGCTGATCGTCAACCTGGGGAGCCCCGAGGGCGAGGGCCGGCCGACGCCGCCGCGGAGTCTCGACAACTGGCACGTCGACGGCGACTTCTTCGTCCACTACCTCGACAGCCCCGAGCAGGGCCTGCTGGTCATCCCGCTGTTCACGGACATCCGGCCGCAGGGCGGCGGCACCGTCATCTGCCCGGACGCGATCCCGCGCGTCGCCGGCTGGCTGCACGAGCACCCTGACGGCGTGTCGCCGCGCATGGTGCCCCGGGGCCACCCGGACTTCGCGCGCGAGCGCAACCTCGAGTGGTACTGCGACGTGGTCCAGGGCTGCGAGGCCTTTGTCGAGGCGACCGGCCAGGTCGGCGACGTGTATCTGCTGCACCCGCTGATGATGCACTCGGCCAGCAACAACGCGCTGCGGGAGGTGCGGATCATCACGAATCCGCCCGTGAGCCTGCGGGAGCCGCATCGGTTCGATCGAGAGGACGGCAACTACAGCCTGGTGGAGCTGAAGACGATACAGAGCCTCGGCGGCGAGGAGAAACTTAAAGGTTGGAAGATAACGAGGCCGAGGGAAGCTGTGATCCCTGAGAGGGTCAGGATTCAGGAGGCCATGAGGCAAGCTGAGCTGAAGAGGCTGGAGGAGTCTAGAAACGTTCCGGTTGAAGCTTGAGCTTTGCTTTGTAGCATAGAATTGTTCCATTACTTCAACCGGACGAGATATCCTGGTTATGGCAATGGTTTTCAGTAGGAAACTTGCCCCGTTGCGGATTGTAAATAGGGGTATTGTCTATCGTAGCGTTTTCGGGGATAGGGGCGGACATGATAGATATCTAGGGATCAAGACAGACTGTTAGCTTCACAACGTGAGTAACGTTAAGCAAATTTGGAACTCAAGGAATAGAAACAGCTCTATAACCCGAATCTATTGCAGCAATTGGTGGTACGCTGGTGCTGTGATTTGTAGTAGATTTTCGGCCAAGTCACGGAGCACACACTCCTCAACAACACCATATCGAACGGCAAGTATACTAATCCGATGAAAGAGAGACTGAAATGGATTTGTAACTCACTAGAAAATTTGTAGACAAGTCCGCAGCCTGGTCTGGGAAGCAACGGGGGGTCTGGTACTACTCGTATCCGTCAAGGCAAGGTAGTTGTGAAGGACTCAGACGTTTGTGTCTCCAGAGACGCCGGGCCTGCACTTTACTCGGTCTGTAGATAAGTGGAGATAATGAGCATGAAGGAGTCTTCCACCTTCAAGCAACTTCGCCATTATTAAACCCGACAAATAGGCTGGGTGACGAGTGGGATTATCCCGGCCGGGCGAAGATTAGTTGGCCCGATTCAGATGGACGGAATAAGGAGACTACCCACAGCCACGCAACAACACGAGGCTCGACTGACAACATATAATCCGCAAGTTTCATGGCTATCGATGTTTTGCGAAATCGTCCTTGAGGCATATTCCATTCCTGCCCGAAATTGCTGTATAAGATCACCTTCGCCAGTATCTGACTGCCATGGAGTCAAAGTATGCAGCAAGTCATGTCAAGCCACGAGGGCCAGGGGACGCTCGACCTACAGCTCTCCAGATTATCGAAGACGAAAACCAAAAAGGAAACTTGAAAGGGAAGGTAGTGTTCATTACTGGCTGCTCGTCTGGACTCGGGATCGAAACAGCCAGGGCTCTAAAAGCCACGGGAGCAACAATATATGTGACAGCACGCAATCTTGACAAAGCTAGGACAGCACTGGGAGACATATTAGATGAGCACCAGGTTGTTCTCCTCAAGCTTGACCTAGAATCCCTTGAGAGTGTTCGCAGCTGTGCCTCCGAGTTCAAGGCGAGAAGCAACGTGCTCAACATATTGATCAACAATGCCGGTGTACGAATCACGCCTCCGGGCAAGACCAAAGACGGCTTCGAAACCCAGTGGGGAACAAATCACGTCGCGCACTTCCTCTTGTTCGAGCTCCTGAAGCCAACCCTGCTTGAGTCCTCCACGCCGGGCTTCCACTCTCGCGTGGTGGCGGTTTCGTCGACCGCCCACAGGACAGCCCATATCGATTTTGCGGACCTTAACATGGAGAGCCGAGGCTACGACGGCGTGGTTGCATATGGGCAAAGCAAGTTGGCCAATGTCTACATGGCTCTCGAGATCGAGAGGCGCTATGGACCGCAGGGACTACACGCTTGGAGCGTCCACCCAGGAGGCATCCGGACGGGGTTGCAGCGTCCAAACCTGTACGACGTCGTCGTAGTGCTGAAATCTGGCCCACTCTCTACGTTGCGGTTAATGCAAAACGCCGCCCAAGGGGCGTCGACTACAGTTTGGGCGGCCGTAGCTAGGGAGTTGGAGGGCACGGGGGGCAAGTATCTGGAGCGATGCCAGATCAGCCGGCCGGCGGCGCGAGGACACAAGCCCACAGATCCAGGATACGCCCCTTGGGCATATGACGAGGTAGCGGCAAGGAGGCTATATGATGTGTCTCTGGGGCTGGTAGGACTGCCGACGCAGATGTAGCTACTGTCTCAGCACTCTGGGGTGTTGGCCTCCTGGGATTGCTTTTTCCTTTGGAGGACTGCTTCATCATGCGCATAACCCGCTGCACTCCTGCTAGATTGCAGCATTCCAAAACGTTAGATAGACGTAATCAACTCATCCTGACTCGAAAGATATGCGCATGGGCTCCGTCCACGTGAGGTATCGCGGCAGAGGCCCCGGTGGTTGGGCCCGCCTCGGGGTGGCTGGCAGCTACGGTCTAGCAGTTGACGTGGCCGGGCAGAGCGACCCCCAGCGTGAAGATCGGCTTCGTCCCGAAGAAAGACCTTTTCAGCTGTGCTAGGAATTCGCAAGTTGGGGTGTTTTTCATGCAAAGCCTAGGAGTAGCGCTTTGCGTAGATAGGATCGCCTGAACTCGACGTTCTCTAGAGGCTCCGCTCAACGTCGACGCCGCCAACGAGGCCACGCGAGGCCTGAACCGAACGTGGCAATCGATTGAGTTCTGGGGCAAGCTGGCCGATGGTCCCCACTGCCGCGGAGTGGAACTCCCCCAAAAGGCAAAAAAGGTGTGCTGTTCAGGGCCAAAAGTAGCGGTACGAAACCGATGTTCAGCAGGCATCGCCTGTCCAGCCGTTTTCAGCGGGGAACGTGCAGGGATTCTTCGACTGCCGAACCACAGCCACACTGATTTCCTTGCTCACTGCATGTGCGTCGTGTTCGTTTTTTCCCTTCAGACGACGTGTGGCTTGCCACCTCCATACAAGCCCTGAGATCTGGTAGAGAATGCCAAATATATCGTAGCGGAATTCCATTATACCTCGGGCTCGCTAGATCCAGAGTCGGAATGCTGGATTCCGATGTGGACGGTCGACGGAAACGGCCAAGACATCAAAAAAGCCAACGGGCAGTGCTTCTGGCGTCTGACTGGTCAATGGCTCTCATCTTGACGTGGAGAATACCCCTGGAGTGATTCCCAAGTAGGTAGGCTTGAATTTCTACGTCCCTGGCTCTGCTGGCCTCTCATGACATTTGAGGATTGAATCGACCAAGAAGGTTTCGGCTCGGGCCTTAATGGTGGTTGTTAAGCCCAAGAGTCAGTATTAGTCTCGATGTGTAATCTAATAGCATTGGCTGCCCTGCTTCGCTGGACTCTCCATCCGAACAGCGCCCAGGAGGACCCCAACGACGCATGGACAGGTGGGAGAACGCTCATATTGCGCGGCTTTGCATCAGGTCTAACTGTTCTTGTTTGACCAAAGGGCCATTAACAGACCGTCCAGGTAGATTGCTCTTCCTTAGACTGGGCTATGCCTGACTGCCAGATGGGCGGCAGAGAGCCGGACGTGCGCATCATGGGTACGCTGGGTTCAGCGCCTATTGTAACGACTCCTTACGTTGCAAATCGCCACTACCAAGGTCCATGGGTGCCCGCGTCACCACAAAGCTCCCTGTGCATTGCATGTAAACGGGGCGATGGGCCTTACATCATTGAGGCCGCAAACGTATTCGCATTTGTCGGTCAACGGTTCAAGTCAACACTGCCCTTCGGTTATGTAACTTGGCCCGTCTTTTTTCAGACCGTTGAACCTGGTCTGCAGGTAGTTAGGTAGATCTGGCATGGCGGGAATGGCCGGTTCGGCGGGGCCGTTCCTAGCCGATTTTGCGACCTCGGCGGCCTCTTGAATACAGTTGTCGAGGTTGGAAGCCAGACAGTATCTCATGTTCGGGTGCAACAGGGTACAGCACATTCTCGTCACAAATAAATTCATAGCATTTGCAAGAAAGCGATCCAGAGTTGTCGCAATACCGTGATAAGTGATCAGCTTGAGATTTCTTAGCCCAACTGGTGTTTTAGACGGGTATTAACCTAAAGTCAAGACACCCAATACGATTCGCCTAATACCTAACGTAGTTTGCCTCTCCAAAAATAGATCCCTTGAGACATGCAAGGGATCCAGATTGCACGTGATAAATGATCAGAGTCCTGAAGTCAGGCAAGAGATTAAGGCGAACGACATATATCGCACTAAACAAGGAGTTCAGTGTCTGCCTTACCATTTTGTTTGGTGGCAAGAAACATTGGCGTACATTGATGCCGCCGATTCTCGATCAGCGTATGATGGGATTTGCACATCAAGTTATCCGGAATCCTATAACTCGCCAGGGGCCTGCTCGGCATGTCTTCATTGAGTAGAACGGGAGTGCAAGGTAGGTGGATGGGAATCAAGGAAATAGAAACACGGCTGAGGAATTTTCGCTCATCGTGACCGGCCTTAAAACGGTAATCCGAGCGGTTGGTCTAAAGAACAGAGGGAATCTCACCGTCCTTCTGACCCGGCCGCGATCACGCGGGAGGGTGGCCAGCGCCAAAAGGGCAGCAACTGATCTACACGGTCAGATGACCACGCTCCCATGTCGGGGCTTTCGTTGTGGCACGAAACCCTTTTCTACGCGCTTTACACAGCTCTTGGCTCGTACAATTGGTATGACCGTCGGTGGCCCGTAGGGCCTTTCTGATTTTCATGCAACGTGGGCCTTTAGGTTCGCTCTCGATATCTTCCATGACTCATACGCTTGTGGGCGGATCTGCTTGCGTGCTCCAGTTTCAAGGCGACCTACCTAGGTGTGGTTTCTTTTAGACATGTTCGAGGCCGTTGATTTTGGTGCATCACATTGCGCGTTCCTGTACCCTCCCTCGCCTTACACAAGGTTCGTTAAGGACGGGAACTAGAGCTTAGGACGATGCAGTCTCATCCGAGATGGGAAAGTTAACAATATTGCGGCAGGGTCAGGCATGTCAGCGTTTTCAGAGCTCTTGTCTCACCCCTGAAGACCATTTTGGGGAAAGCTTCAAACAGTAGGGCCACTGTCACTTTCCTTATTCTGAGTATCATGTTCATCAATCGCTCCATTCTGTCTCCCTCGAAATCATCCGGTTTCTCTCTAGCAAAAGGTGTCCCGAAAAGCCGGTTTCCATGTTTGAGGATTTTCTGACCAATGAGCAAATTCGTTGCGGAAAAAGGCCGAATGGTAAAGGCTGCGCTCTAGTCGTTTACAATGCAGCCAATCAGCACACAGATCAGCCATATCTCTGAAAGGCGACCCCTGCTAGTCCCAAATGGTCTATTAGTCGAAAGTGCATCTATAGGCTGTCGTTAATTCAAACCCTGCTCTGGCCGTCTACCCCATCTTTGGTCAGACCACACTTTTTCACCCTTTTTCTTTTCGACTCCAGTCGGGGAAGGTTGTGTCGAGCAGGGACGTGGGCAGGAGGAATGTAGAAGTCTCCGCCTGCTATCGTCTCAACGCGACTAGATCCTTGAGGGTATAAGCGCCATTGCTGAGTCCTGACAGCGGGTCTTCAGAGGGGCCCGGCGAGAAGCTATTCCCATTCGTTTCCGTCTCCAGCGAACTCTATCATCATAGACCATCACCCCTAAGACCTGCAGCACCGTACGTCGACAATCTTCCCGCCGTCCAATACTAAATCTTCGTCGAGCTACGACCCAAGGATACTGCTACATCGTCTCATTAGGGCATCTCATGCGCTTCTTTAACGACCGTCCGTCTGGTCCACTCAGTTGACAGAGACGAGACTCCTCTTTGACGGCAAGGTTTCACATGCATATGCAGCAGCGATGAATAGTAGCACTCGTCCTTTGTGGTGCTGAATATGCAAGTCATTCTGTCTTTAGTGTCAACTGCATGATCAGTCTTGCATATGATCTCCAAGACTTTATGGTTTGATATGTAGAACGACCTTCTGGAACGGCTGGCTGATCATTGCAGATTGAAATGACGAGACCCATCCTAATATAGTTTCAGCTGTTGATACCAGATACCCTACTGGCAGAAGCATTGATGAGGACAATTTCCCCTATGGTATAGGCAGGTTTTGACATAATCCCAGACGGACGAATCGCTCGTCATAGACGCGCCTCGTCGGCGAGGTCCTGGGGCCCGGCCGTTCTCTTCTACTAACCAACTGGGTCTGTCCGCATTTTGTAACTTGCATAAGCGCAATAGAAGACTTGCCGGGGCCTCTCAGGTTTCTCTAGGCCAGGAGGTCACATTGTTGGTCAATAACATGATCGGAGATTGATCAAATATGAGTTGCGCCTCAACGCGAAGACCTCGCGCATGCGCCAATGATGGAAGCCGAAGGCGTTCCTTACTTCAGCGTGGTGCAGAGCCGAGAACACCCACAAGTTACCGATGGATGTGACTCTACTCTGCGATGTCATATCTCAGATGTGCGGGAAGAGCTCGCGCACATATGGGCCGAGCACTGGGGAGGAAGGGGGGGGAATCCATGAGGAGATGGTGTTCTGCCGGTGCAAGATGCCAGCGCCTAGTCGAGCGGAGACATCCCACCATTGTGCAGCGTCCCAGTGTCTTTTTCTCACTCTCGTCGCAGACTCCCGGCCGCCGCGGCAGGGCTAGACAGTAGACTAGACTAGTCTATACTACTATGTATGGCAGAGCTCATTGCGGGCGACAAGGAACAGGGCGGCACAGAGCAGAACCTGACGATGTCACTCACACCACCAGCGCATGCCGTCGCGCCCGTTGTGCCCGTGTGGCTCTGCCCTCTCGCGTCTGTGCTCGTGGGCTGGTGTTTCCGCGTGGGCCGATTGATGGACGGACGACGCAGCCCGTCATGGCAGCGCTGGCAACCTGGCTCAGTGTGCGTGCGAGTGAGACATGGGGCCGCCTCGCAGCCCTCGCAGTCTTCTGGAATTCCCGGATGAAGTTGCTGTGGCCGTTAGCGTCGCCTCCCAGCGGTTGCGCCGTACCGGTACTTCGCAGCTGGGTGGCGCTGCCCCGGGGCCTGCCCAGGGCTGCACAGGCCACACTGCATCTCTTTCAGCTCCCTCAGTTCGGCGACGGCCCTCCCATTTGCCTGTTTCCCTCCAGCATATGCAAGTCGCAACACAGCCCACACAGCGCTGTGCGACGGGCCAAAGCAAGCCCTTCTTTGCCGCGCATGACCGGGGGTCGATCTGCCATGGGTACATGCCACCCAAGGTATCTCCGTAGATCCTCTAGGGGTGCCGACCAGTGGCCTAACGCCTAGTTAGCAGCCTGCTGATCTGCCTGCGTCGTAGTCGCAGTCGCAGTCGCAGTCGTCGTGCTCGCCGCCCGTGTGCCGTGCTGCGTAGACCTGCAGGGCATGAGGGCCAGGGCCGCCAGGCCACCCCTCCCCCCCCCCCCCCCCCCCCCCCCGAGGAGGGACCTGGGACCAAGGTGAGGTGAGTACCGCAGTACCTCACTACTACGTAGCATGTCGCAGCAGACAAGAGCCACCAGCCCAAAGAAAATCTTCCGAGCGGCGCCTGCAGACAGGCGGGCTCCCATGCTGAGGCTAGACAGAAACGAGGAAATAGGCGACGCCAGTTATGGACTCATGGTGACATGGGGCACGCAGGCGACGCCGGGTCGGAGCGGGAGGAGGAGGATTATAACTCACCCCACCTCTCATCGTGAATTCGTCTTACCCTCCCTCTTCTCTCTTTACGAGTACCTCGTCCTCCATTCTCTTCTTCCTATTTGCGGTTGCAGGTGTGCAAGCCAATACCCTGTCTTTGGGGTCGCCTAGCTCCGTAGTCCATTTCTTATTACTATTCGTCTTTCCCATCTCACCTCGTCACCGCAAGCGCTCTCCCGCCGTCTTGGGTCTTCTTAGTCACCTTTCCTGTGTCCTATCTACCCATCTCTTTGCCCTCTCTCCTCCCACCAGATACCCAATTTGCGACATGCCTCCCCAGTTATTACCAGCTTCGGCTGCGGCCTTTGCGCCTCGAGCATCATCAGTCAACGTCGTCCTCGGCTCAAAGGTCGAGCCATGGCTAACCCAGACCCTGAAGCGCGTCAACAGGGTGAAGCGCCCGCTCAACAGTGTACCGCAGCACCAGAGATGTCTCACCGAGACCTTGTCGTCACCGAATGCCATCTGGACCCTGACCTCCATGATGCTTCCCAAGGCTCCGGAGTCCGAGTTGCGCCAAGACTCGAACCCCCTCGTCGAGGCCCTGTTCAACTACCAACTCCTCCATATCGAGGCCTATATTGTACATGTCGACATGGTCCTGCGGAATGAAGTCGCCTTCAAGTTAACGCCTGACTCGATCGAGTCCCTCATAGAGTACCACAAGGAGGTTCACACTGTCGACGCCAAGGCCGGGACATATGAGTGGTCGGAAAAGGAGCAGCAAGCAAAGAAGCTGCACGAGGACTTCGTCCAGGCAATCAACAAATTTGTTTTCCGGACGCACGTATCCGCCCTAGAAGGACTGGAAGAGGAAGGTGCTGGCGAGTTGCTTTGTGGAAAGAGTGAAGAGGTCAAGAACAACATCATGGGTCTGATGAAGCCGCTTCTGCCGCCACCCCCGAGAATTGTGGATGTCGTCCGGCAACCGCCCTTGTTGCCCAGCTCACCAGCAGGCGCAAGCATCTGGTCTCAGTCGACCCCGTCACCGGCAGCCGTGCCTGGGCCAGTAGATTCATGGAGGGTCCTGCCATCGAGTCCCAGTGTCACATCTACTTCCGCAGATTCAACCCCGATATGGGCTAACATGGCTCTGACCGATGTTCAACTTCCATCGCCGCCACAATCGTTCAGTCAACCCTACTCGACCGCTGGGTTCTTCTACAGCTCGCCGATGGTCACCGCCCCTATCCCAGCACTACCGTTGCCAAGTATGTTGACACCCCAGTGTGGTGTAAGTGCTGGATATGGCGGGTTTGGCTGGGATCGCTACCAAGAGTACGCAACGACAATGTGACAACCAGCACCGAACCGGGGTCTAGTTCCCCGATAGTCACCTCTTCGCACGAGGCCAGCAAAGGAATAGCCCTCTGGTCTTCGCTTCCTTGTCTTGCTCAGGATCCGATCGGCACAAAGACTCATCGCGCCTCACGCTGTACCGTGGTCCTCCAGCAGAATCTGGAGCGGCTCTCGACTCTCAAAATATCCCTTCGGGATATAATACTGCCGGTTCTTTTTGTTTGATTTCTTTTTGAATTTTAATAGCAAGCGAGCGTTTGATTTTGGGGGAACATCTCACATCACTATAACCGCCAGCTCGGTCATCAGCATTCCTTTCAACTCATCATGGCTGGGTCCGGCGGGGCATTCTGATTTGCATTTACACCAGGGCAGGTCTTTGAGATATAGAAGACCGGGTATTCTTCTCGCTAAAATAAGAGGTACACGCAGCAATGCACACCCATTCCCGGCGAAGTACGGGACAGAGATCATTTGGTTTTCAGGGATTCCCCAGTTGTTTCTCTTTTCTTAATACGGCAGAAAGCGGCTTTCTTTTGGATGATACCCCCCATACCGGGCCGAGGATGTGTTTCCCTCGGAGTCGCGCACTCACTTCAAGCTCCCGACTTGGTTTCTTTGTCTTACGAATGAACGGACGACCTAATGACGAATAACCTAATGCTTGAAAACGACTTGCACGAAAGATATACTACCAACTTGATGTTGACACTTCTTCTCGAAAAGCTATTCAAGCAATTACGGATTCGGTTGGAATGCGGGGACTGGATCCAACACTACGCATTACCAAGGTCGATCTCTCACCTCATCTCGTAGCCGAGACGCATATCTGGGATCATGTGGTCGAGGCAGGCACTGGTTGTCGACACACCAAGGCTCAGCTTCCATGGCAGCCTCCGGGTCAATTCCGTTGGCTGCCAGGACCCGAGCAGGACTTGAAGACGAGGGGGGAGGATCAAACACAACAGCTGGGCATCGGTATACGTTATTCCTGCTGCGCAGGGAGATGCATGGCCCTTTACTGCCGTCGATGCTGACGTCACCCTGGCCTTTGCCCTCATCTGCTTCAGCGCAATGCCGATTTGGAAAAGCAGAGTAAACGCCGCGCCGAGCTTAATCCAGGTGTAAGACTCTCCCGCAAGACGGGCCGAGTGCTTACATGGATACTTGAGCAGCGGCATACTCGGGTTACGGATTTCCTGGCGGCTTAGATGGGGCGCAGGGGTCAGGGTGATATAAGCAGCATTCGTAGCTCATCTCACTACATCCTAAACATCCTTGTCAAGAACGATTATCGTATCTCAGGGTGAAAAGGGCGCTGAACGGTGATCGTGCAGTGCATGGAATCATTCGGGAAGCATGAGATGCTGGGTATTGGTGCTATTGTTGGCGGACCCCAGGAGGTGTCTACAACACACCAGAATTTGCTTTGTCATGGACCTAGTAGTTAATTTGAACATATACCGTTCACACCGTGCGCCTCTTTCTCTCTTGTGACTTATCAAGACGCACTCAGCTCGCCATTGCCATCACGAAGTTAACACGTAAGATATGCAGTCATTAGTGATCCGCCATAGCCACTTCGCTGCTTTCAGATACTGGCCTTGGTAACTTTACTGTGCACACTACTCATCGGAGAGACGGGAAGTTCTCAGTTGGGAGAGTCCGAAACCGTTGCATACAGCACTACATGTTGCGTGACTCACAAGGTCAATCGAAGGGACCTGATGAGCCACACCTGAAGACTATTGATCTTGCAGGTGTTCTCGTCCGCTACTGCTGATGGTTGGTGGTCCCCCGCGTGAACGCCGCTGAGCCACATTACTGCACCGCGGACGAGTTTGGGGCATATGCATGCCGTCATCAAAAAAGCTGGTTCCGTGGGTTTGCTTACGGGCCCTTCTCGCTCTGCCTGATTGAGGTCGCAGTGAATGCCCTACTTACTGAGTCGCATTGACAGTGAGATAACAGCCCCCGGGTGAGCGGATGGATGACTGTCTACGCCGAGTGCCGCCGGTCAAATCACCATCTAGGACTGTGGCATATGCTGCAGGACATGCGCGGCGCGCAACGTCGTCAGAGAAGTAACACTACGGTGGATACATGAATCCTAGTCGTAGATACATCCTTCAGGATATTGGCCACGTGAAACACGGGCACACACTGAAGAATGGCACATCAGTTCCAACACAATAATCGCCGTCGAGCTGAACAGAGTTACGCAAGCGTGGTGCAACGCTGCGGATAGCGGCCGCTGTACAGCCAGCCGCGCTACAGAATTGTTATAACCCCCCCATAGAAAAAGACGACCCCAGCGGCCGCCCCCCATTGGGCCACATACGAAACATTCCGGGATGGGCAAAGATAATCCTTGGCACGGCAGTGGCCGACCTACATAACCACACGTGCATGCAACAATATACTGACGATGCCAGTCAGAACTCTTTTCGCCATCTCCGGGACCCAGCGGTTTGGGTTCTGGGTCGCTGGTAGCCTGACCGAATCCCCAATCCGGTCCAACCGTGATTTCGCACCTGCAGCTGCGATAGGGGAGCCCCTGGCAGCCTTGCGCACCGATCAGGCAGTCGTTGGTCATTTTAGACTTCGCCCGAGGCAGTTGAGTCCTGTAGTTGGATGCGTTAGTTCGAGAGTGCCTGGGCTAAGTATGGGGCCCTTCTCGAACTCTACATTTTGCTGACTGCTTAATGCAAGCAGAAAGGGGCTTGGAGGACTAGCGGTACTGGTACGCTGCACCCGGATTCCTTCCATGTAATCAACGCACTTCGGACTTCGCTGCTGACAGCATATGATGATAGATCAAGGGGGGCCCCGTCTGATGTATGGATACCTCTGGGCTCTAGTTATCAGAACATCACGGCCTTGCACACAGCGACTGCAGCCGACCAGGCAGACAGTTAAGAATCGCTTGTATGGACAATTCGGTCAGTCAGTTGGTGCTAATGCGCATAACAACCTGCAGCGTCTGGTCCGATATTGGTGTACTGTATACGACTTGTTCCCTGCAACGGGGCACGCGCGGCTATCAGTCCCTTTTCCTGGTAACAGTGATTACCTATGTATCCACACCCTGCACGTCAGCTTGTCGCAACGGCCTTGCAGTATTCCCAAGTCCGGTGTAACTTTCAGCTTATCAAGTAGTATATGTTATGCAAACGTCAACGTCATGAGGATATTCTACTTGGTTGATGCCTTGCTATCCTGGGAACAATGGGGATCCACAACGATGATCCTCAGCCAGACGTTGCTACTCGGCCTGAGCGGCGAGCAGGCTTTACCAAAGAGTGTGGTAAGCAATATCAGATGGGACATGGTATTGTGAATAACATCAGGTACTCGGCGCACATGGGCTGAGTAGTCGTCGCTGGCTTATACTACACAACCTGTCGTTTCAGCTAACCTAGAAGCGGTTCCATACACTTAGGACCACTACAGGAATAAGCTGACAGCATCCCAGTAAACTGAGATGGCTATAAGCTAACAAAGACTTTGAGATTGTGGTAAGCATAGACATTCCCTTCCTAAGTTGGAAAATGTGAGGTGCAGCTACTCGGAGCGCAGCTTGATCTGCTTACCGTCTCGGCTACGATTCGCGATACAAGCGGTACAACTCCAGCTGCCCCAGCAGTAAGAAACATACGCAAGCAGTAGTCTCTCTTGATCCTTCGGCTTGGCGGCTGTTACCAAAGGGCCTGTGAGGTATCGGTACTGGGTTAGTGGGAATCATACTTTGTGCCCCTGTGCGATTGTCACTACTATTGGGGGCCACAACTTATCTGCGACAAATAGACCCAAAATATAACCATTTTCGACGATCGTCGCATTTCGGCCGGCTCCTCAGGGCTCCCTGTATAAGCTCAGCCGTTGTTGTGGTTACGTACACACGTATACTTCGGCCCCCAACATGCAATGGCGCTCTACCGTGTTTCAGCAGGTGAATTCATGCCGGTATCCGGTTTTCTGCACACTACGATGCAGGCTTTCAAGTTCTATGAATAACCCAACTCCACATGCAAGTGGGAATGTAGCGAATTGGGCATTATGTGCACGTCAACGAAAGTCTGCTGAAGAAGGATGCGGGCACTAGATGGTGTCTGCATTGCAGATTTTCCAGACTTAGTGGTACTCAGCCACTTATAATGAAGGTACTGCGAGACTTTTCCATTCATCGTATGTCATTCTTAGAAGTTCATTGGCTTTCCTGAAGACGCGATCTCTATAATGTTATTTATGGGAATTCTCAGGACCTTTATGTTTACCATATTGACTCCAGCATGAAATCACGACCCACCACACTTTGACCAGCCGAAGGCTTAGATCAAATGTCTCTTAGTCTTCCTTTAGCAAGTCCTTGGCAACATTCCTAGCGATGTAGTCTGCGAATGCCATGGTTGTAATCATTGGGTTGACTCCGCTGGCACTGGGGAACACGCTCGAGTCGGCGACGTAGAGTCCTTCAGTCTCCCAAACCCTGCCCCTCGGATCGACCACACCAGTCTCCTCGCTGCGGCTCATACGGCAGGTCCCCATCTGATGCGCTGAGCCGAACGGGGTGACAGGTGGCTTGTTGCCCGCCGTCTCCAGGGAGGTAAGCCAAGCCACGAATTCCGAATCTTCCACATCTGCGGTGCCCGCCTTATCGGACTTGCTCCATACGAACGGCCGTGTCCCCGGGAGAAACGCAAAGATCTCCTGAGCCCCTTGCACATAACACAGCTTGGCAAGTGCTATCACACCTGCCATCACATGTGCACGGTCGAAGTCACTTGCCACGTAGTCAACACGGGGCGCACCAGAGACGGTATCCGGCCACACACGTCCTGTATCCCGGTCTCGAGCCATTGAAATGTAGCCGTTCATGTTCCGGAACTTCAGAGCGTTGAGTTTGTATTCCAAGCCGCTATACCAAGGAAAGTTGGCCAGAGTAACATATGGCTGGCAGGGTATTAGCTTTGGGTACCATTACTCAGGGAACCGACATACCAGCATATTGATCGTTTCCAGTTTCACTCCATGGCCGTTGCCATCCAAATTCTCAAACTCCGAGCACACGCTCGTGATACTGCTTCCTTCCCATGGCTGGATGTCGTCTTCAAAGCGGCCTAGAACGTAATTGCAAGGGTGAAGATGCAAGTTCTGTCCAATATGTGGGTTCTGATAGGAGTCAGTAATCATGGTTTACCAAGACGTCTTTGAAATTACCTTTAAGCCGCTTCTTAGAAGGAGCAGAGGACTATGGAGAGTCCCGGCAGACACAATGACCTTTTTCGCTTGCACTTGTATAGTTCTCTTGACCCGCTGGTCTTCCAGGACAAGCCCACCTTGACTATCCCTTGAAGTCCAAGTTCCAGTGAGCCCAACTGCCTTCTTATTTCCCGCAGTCTCATCGAAGCTGATCTCAGAGACATCGAACCCTTCGATAAATTGAGCACCTGCCTTTGATGCAGCAGGTAACCAACTAACAGCTGGCCCCTTCTTGCCGGCGGAACCGCATCCAAGATGACACCTTCCACAGTAGTGGTCGTCGGTGCCAGTGTTCTGTGGGCAGGCTTTGGCTTTCCAGCCTAGCTTACGGGAACCATCGAGGATAACCTGGCCGCCGTGGTTATGCCGGATGTGCGTGTCGCTAACACCCATGACCTCGCATACGCGATCGATACATCCCTGATATTCTTCGGTTGCAAAGAACGGCAAGCCTTGGTCCGCCCACTCCTTTCTGACGAAATCCTGCGGCTCGAGGGAAACACTCCAGTTGACAGTACCGCCTCCTCCCCAGCAGCTCCCGGCAAGGATATTGACGCAGCCATCGTCACTATTTATGACTCCTTCATTTTCAAAGAGATATTTCGACCCCGACTCTTGATTCATGGGAAGTTGGGACGGCTGGAAGGAGTAACCCTTGTCCACCACCAGAACTCTGTGGCCAGCCTCAGCTAGGACCTTCGCGCACACAGCACCGCCGCAACCTGATCCTACAATGACGACATCTGTCTCAACTACTGCAGGCTGCTCACTGGCCGCAAATTGCAAGAATTTGAAGTCAAAATCCGGACCGGGCTTGTAGTCCGCAGGGTGGTCCGAGAAGCCGATAAGCTGATGATACAGAGGATCCCCCTGGCTAAAGGATTTCTGAGCGATCGAAACGATGGTCCTCGCAAGTTGCGGCAATGTCTTCAGCCAAGACGTGGTCCACTGCAGCCTTCAGAGTCAGTGAAGTCATATGCTCTTCAAGACGGCCTTTGAAAGCTCTTATCACGCAACGACTCTCGGCGTACTCACAGACCGAAGAACCGAGTGCCTAAGATGAAGTGGGAGCTCCTGAACTGGGGTACAGTAGCCTGTCAGGAAGAAGCTTCCTAGTCTTGAACTGTGCGGGAGTCAGTCACCTATAGTACGAAGGGGCTATTACTTCATCTGAACAAGGGGGCCGCTAACCCGAGAAGGTCGAGCACACTGGCTAGCCGCTTTCTGTTGGCTATGGGAACCGTCTCAAATGTACGCTTCACGTTCTGTACAAAGCGAGGGCTGTCAGATTGCCTCGTTCCCAGGTACTCTTTGAACTTGTCTAGGTCTGGCGGCTCGGCCTGCGATGTTCGGATCAACTCATATGCCCCTCGGTATTCCTCCTGCGAGATTCTGAGCTGATTCCGTTTATCTGTCACAGTACCTGCTTCTACGATGGGCGGCAGCACTGCATCCAGTAGTGCGAATAGAATGTGCCATTGTGTCTCTGTGAAGTAAGTATCCGACCGAACCGGCGGAAGCGGAACCGCGGTTGGTGCACCGTGTGGGCGCGTGGCTACCATTCTGTTAGGGCGCACCATCTATAGGACACGAGTAAGGCGGTAGAGGCAGTATAGGACTGAGCGCGGAGCTAACAGTCAGCGTGCATTGATCAGGCTATAACGTTCATGCGAGTCCGATGATAATCAAGTCGCAGTCGAATGTTGTTGTGATGTCCGAATATGGCAGGCTTAGCTGAAATATTCGCGAATAGCAAAAGGTCCGTGCTTCCAACGTGTGAGACAGGGAGGAGACTACAAGGATTCTCGCGGCGATGAATTCTACCAGCGACGGAAAACTGGCAATTCTCGAATCAAGGGCCAACAACTCCAAGCTATCAGCAGTGAAGGGGTGACGAATACATCTACCGTAGTTGCAGCGGAAATCCGGGTCCCGAGCGATCCGTGTTCTTGCACGCTAGGAACTCAAGCTCTGGAGAGCTGTCGACTCACTCTCAGAAAAGACATATCCTATAGCTATTCTCAGCGGCTACATGAGTTGTACCTTTGTGTGATATATGCCGCCCGTGGCCAGTTGCTTGTTTGTTTCTGGCTTGGCAAGACACAGCTGAGAACGAATGATATATGACAAGTAGGTGATGCCAACGCTACTTTGCCAATTGTGCCTCTTTCCTGAGGCGAGCTGGCCGGTTCCCTTTTCATATGCAAGGAGGACTATACTGTTCCCTCCCACCTGAGTCAACCATGGGTTGTGTACCATAGTACAGAAATTAGGGTAACGGGAGACGGCTAGCGACGAAGTGCACATGGTTCATGGGCCGACACGACCACTTTAATTGATTGCATTGGGACAGCCGGGCTAAGAAAGTAGAACCTTGCAATCAAGACCAAACTGTTGACAACCCCAGGTTTACCGTAGTGGTTACAACATCGGTACGCGAAGAACCCGCGACCCCGGGGTTTAATGGGCTGATGAGGCTCTTGGATAACTGGCGCATGTGACAGTCTTGGCGGCAGCTGCTTTCACATGTGAAATCCATTTACGGCCAAGCTACGTTCCAGGACCCTGGGGAAATTCTGGTAATGGAAATTGGGCCGGGTTTGTTGAGCACCATGGGGGCAATGGCGAGTTCTTCTAGAACCATTCGATGGCTCAGCAGACGAAGAAAAATGCTAAGTTATGTGCGTACTACCGAATGGGCTGCAGGTTCCGTTGATCGATCCCACCAGCCCGGCAGCAGACGCGGGACGAAACGCAACGCGGGCAACGGTGTCGACGCCATCCAGTGTAGAAGTTCGGGGAAGAAACTGAGTTAGGTATTACTTACAGGCACGCCCACCGGAGCGCACGGCGGCGTCCAACAGCTTTACAGACAGATTGGCGGGAGTCCACACTTAAATGCAAAAGGCAACTACATGCCGCACACCATTTATTATGTAGACTGCTGCACTCTTGAGATTCACCAACTCGAAAGCAGCTCAGCCTCAGCCATTCCCATCCAGCCGAAGAGAGCACCAGACTGAACTAGAGTGCCTATCCACGAGCCAGGGGGGGCAAGCTTGAGAGCACGACAAAATGCAGATTGGCCCGGGTACAACGGCGCCCGCTCTCGTCTGGCCCAGCCTGTCAGGACTCTCTGTTCTGGTGGAATCGCGGGGGGGATCGTTCTTCTCGGGTTCGACAGCAGCTGCACTGTCGCTGTCGTGTGCAACATTTTTTTTGAGATCCCAACAGAAAATTGCCCCGCAGTCTCAGGGACCAGCTTTCCGGGGGCTCGCGTGCCCGGGTGCAGCTTTCGCCTAGATCGCCAAGGTGCATGAGGGGCAATGGGCTGTCCCTTTTCCAACTAATCATTCTTTTTCGGGTCGACTATTGCTCCATGCCAATTGAGATTGCCCAGGTCTCATGAAAAGTTCGCACAGGCATATGGCTAGGTGCGCGTATAGTCTGATCGATTCACCAGTGTCTCGAGCGATCAGTCCGGTATACTGAGTACGGCCTGCTGGCAAACGGGTTCGAGAACGCCAGAAACAATCGCCAGCTTTCTGTGAAACCTACGAGATGCGTGTTTCAACGTGTATTCAGTTAGACGCATTTCCGCACAGCGTGATTGGCCAGGCGCACAACTGTCATGCCTGTCAACTCCGTACCAAGACGTGCGGGAACCGAGGCCTTCCCTGTGGAGTTTTTGTTGGAAAGGGCACTTGCACCAACAAAATCGGCATCACGAAAAGCCCACAGTTTCCGAACTATGATGTCGTCCCCTGGGTACAGTCGCATGCTATTCCACCAACGGCAACCCGCTCGAGCTGCCCCCTTGTCAAGCCTGTCCCTGGGACCAATCATCGCGGGAGCGCAGTGCCTAGTTGCCGTCAATCTGATGGTTAGACATCCGGAACGTGCGTCGTCGACGGCACACAGACCCTTCCTGGAGAAAAATCAGGGTCCTCGTTTCCATGTCGGCACAGTACATCAGTCGCTCCTCCTGTCACTCAACGCTGTCTCATGGTGTTTTCTTCTTCTCTAGTCTTGTGACCAACTGTAGCGCATGCCCATCTAGGCGTTCAGAGCTTCTAGAGTTGTGTTGATTAACTCTAAATCACCAACATCTTCAATACACTCCTTCGCCAACCTTGCAGAAAGCCCCGTCAGGCAACGCCCTCCGGCCTTCAAAAGCTGAATATTGTGTTCCGCTTCACGTTTTGGATTCCTCTCCCTGGCTCTTGGAAAACTTGGTGTCGACGACGTCTTTGAGCATAGTGCGCAATTGCCTCGAGTATAGAGGTGCACTTCCAGTCGCCATGGCTTCCTCCCCATCAGTATTTTTCGAGGCTCCCTCGAAGTCCCTGTTCAGCTTCCCACCATCCTCGGACCCGCGGCCGATACCTCCTCCACACTTCAATGTGCCATTTACGATCCCGGATGGCCTCTTTACTGCGGCATTGGACCCCAAGGTCCCCATCACCATTGCCGCCACATACGCCATCAGCGCGAAACTGCTGAACTCATACAACAAGTCGAACGGAAAGAAGCCGTGGGGCATTAGCAAGACGGCGCCCTTCCGCATCTTTGTCATTCTTCACAATGTGTTCCTGGCCGTCTACTCGGCTTGGACTTTTGTTGGCATGCTCGGGGCTCTGCGGAGGTCAATCGTCAGCCCGACGGGTCCTAACGGCTGGGCCGGCACCGTTGACAGCTTCTGCAAGCTCAACGGCCCTGCTGGCCTCGGTAACGCCGCTACGTACTACCAAGAGCAGAACGCCTGGGAGACTTCTCCTAGCCGCGTTGACGCCGGCAGACTCTGGAACGAGGGTCTTGCTTTCTACGGGTGGATCTTCTACCTCAGCAAGTTCTACGAGGTCCTCGATACCTTCATCATCCTGGCCAAGGGCAAGCTGAGCTCTACGCTTCAGACTTACCACCACGCAGGCGCCATGATGTGCATGTGGGCTGGTATTCGATATATGTCGGCTCCTATCTGGATGTTTGCGTTTGTCAACTCTTTTATTCACGCCATGATGGTGAGTTTTGACTCATTAGTGAGACATGTCACAAGCGCTAACCCTGGAAACAGTATACCTACTACACCGTGACGGCCTTCAACATCCGTGTTCCCACCGCCATCAAGCGCTCGCTGACTACCATGCAAATCACCCAATTCCTGGTTGGCGCTTCCTACGCCATGATCCACTCGTTCGTCTACTACACCATCCCCGTCCATGTGGCAACCTCCAAGCCAGCCAGCGCTGTTTCTGAGGCTGTCGCCGCTGCCACCGAATCTGCCGCTGCCGGCGGTCTGCTTGACAGCCTTAAGCAGGCCGTCTTCGGCGCCGCCGAGGCTGCCAATGGCGCCGCGGTTGTGTCCAGCCAGGAGGCCGGCTCCGCAGCTGTTTTCTACGAGAGGCAGTACCGGGCTGTTCCCTGCATCACCACCGCCGGCCAGACCTTTGGAATCTGGCTGAACGTGTTCTACCTGGCACCCCTGACGTACCTCTTCGTCTCCTTCTTTATCGCCAGCTACATCAAGCGCAGCAGCGTGGAGACCAAGCGCATCCGCGCCGAGGAGAAGACCGCCGACCGACGCCTGAGCAACGCCATGATCAACGCTGAGAAGGCCGGCTGGGACGCCGCCCGCGGCCTCGAGAAGGAGGTCTACGGCCAGGGCAGCGAGTCCGCCATTGTCGAGGAGGATGTCCCCGCCAGTGGCAACCCGAGGGCGCTACGGAGCCGCAACGGCAAGAAGAACTGAACTCTCTATCGTGTGGGCGAATCGCTGGCATATCAGTTCAAAGACTGTATCCTATAAAACTGTTAAAGACTTGGGAGAGGCCATGCCTCTTCACAAAGAAAGGTCAACTGGCATAAACCTAAAGCGGTTAGAAAAAGAAAAAAAAGGAAAACCCCTGGGTTCATCAAACAGAAAAGTCAATAGACATTTGGAGTCTGTCGCTCATAGAAGGATCTGCACCTCAAGTAGGGGGCGCGCTGAGACACTTTCAGGTATAGGGTTGGTGGGTTCGTGTACATAGCAGGGATCCAGGGCATGGCGCCGCGTATATAACAGAAGACCCGGCAAATCAAGAACGTATAACAAGTCACCACCATCTGTGCCCATGTGGTTTGTATTGAACTTACATGGCCATGCTCACAGCTCATGCCCAGGCCATATGTAAGTATTTGGTACCGGAAATCGAAAGACTGGATAGCTGCACTGGCACGAGGTTCCAGATCCCTCAACGACCTCTCTGAGGACGAACCTCTAGCTCGCATCGTCAGACGTCATATGGGGTTGGACCCCCTGACACCGGGTGGGCCAGAACCGTGAGTGCACCTTCAGATAGCAGATCAGATCCGAGATCCAGATTACCTTGTCGCCTCAAAGACTCAGCGCCTCTTCGCTCTCTCTTCCTCAGCTTTCCCCCGCTAGTTTACCGTGCCCATCTGCGTAGCCTCAACTTACCTCGGCGTGGGCTTCTTGTGAAGAGATCCCAAGTCCCGGAGCTCGGGCTCAGCGCTCAAACAACGTGGCCTTGGGCCATCATCGCCAGGACGCTGTGGTCACCCCGTTATGGGCAACGGTACTCCAAGCAAGACTGAGCAGGTCTCCAGCCCTTGGTTGCCGTATGGGCGGCTGCGGCCACCCCAGTATTGCCCGCGTGGTTGCACCTTGGGCCAAGGTGTTGGTTGTCGAAGCCAATAGAGATTGCAGTCCCGGTCCTGGGGGATACTGGGAGGGGGCGCACAGGCTCAAGGCCATGTCCGCCCGAGCCTAGGGAAGGCATTTTTTGCTGCTCTGTATTCTCGTCTTCCGAGCAAGACCTCAGAAGCACCAGGAGCTGTCGGCGACAATGTTGTTCGTTTGGCCGTATCAAAGCCTGCTATGATATATTTCGACAGATACTCGAGGCAGGTATTGCAGGATATCACAGTCATGTGAGACAGAACTTTCGGTTGGGTCAGAATTATATCAAGTATGTTCATCCTGTGGTATCCGCTATGGACGCTCAGGGTATCCAACAGCGCTGCTGTCGGTCCTGGACTATCTCATCATTAAGAGCGCTAGAAGGCCGGCCTCTCGTACTCGAGCGTACAGAGAAGTGTGCCCGCCCATGCGGCAAAAAAGAATCCCTAAACGCCAGTTCCAGATCTATGCCCCTCAGCCAGGTATCTCCTAAATCAGGGAGGGAAAATCAAAATGCTGCTCCGTTCGCTTCATATGCCAGTCTATAGTATCCGCTCAGTTGCATCGAGAAAGGTTGTCCATGGTCATCTCTCCTCGGACCTGGCTTTCACGTGCCTGCATTGCTTAGGTCTTTCTTATCACTCTGCGGCTCGCGGCTCGTCCAAATGGTGATGAGGAGGTACCCGTCATTCTTCCTCCGCGGCAAAGCAACCTTGGGTATCGTCGCGAAATGCGAAAGTTGTGAAACAGACCGATGCTCTCATGATGCAGGTTTAGATGTCGCGTCACGCAGACGCGGGTCTAAAGCTGCCTCCGTCCGTTTCTGTCTATCCCTCCGCGATCTCTATTCTATAATAGTTGGTTCATTCTCAGGCCGTGACGTCGTGTTGAGATGGGAGCTGCTGTCATTCCTATCTCTAGGAGCGGAGCGTCGTCCCGTTGAGATGCTGGCGTCTCCCCGTGGGGAGGAACATCTCAAGAGTGAGTGTGTGTTGTGGTACGAGGGCTTAGCCTCAAATCGGTCGTGTCTAGAAGGTGCTCCAGTTCCAATCCCTAGGGACACTGGCCGCTACCTCTGCTTGACCTTTCTTGGCAGCAGTGGGTGTGCTGGTCCCGACGGGGCTCGCGGGTGCAGTCTGCGCACCGCGGGTCGAAGAGTCGTCGCTGGATGCCTGGCTGTTGGTTCGGCTGCGCCAGAACTGGAACTCGGTGTGGCAGTGGGAGCAAGCGCGGCTGACGGTGCCTCTGGGATTGTAGTTTGCATCCTGGTCCAACGGCACGTCGAACGCAGAGTGGGTGTCGCAGAAGATGTTGCCGCATTTGCGGCAGTGGTGTCGGCGCGTCCAGTAGTTGAAGTGGCGCATGCAGGACGGCTCATCGCAAATGGCGGACTCGGTGTCAGGCTATTAGCGGACGAAGAATGTTAGCGACTGGTGCTGTGAAAAGGAAAAACATGCTCCTTGGGACACGACGAGGAATACTGCAGAAGAGATACAGGAACATAATGATGAGGACTCACCTTCCAGTGTTCGCGGGTAGGTTCTGCGGTGGGCTTAGGGAAGTGGTCCAGGTTCCAGTCGCCGTCGACGCATTTGCCACTGTCGCCTGTCGAGCGCCGGCTTAGCCGACCAAAGGCACCCAGACCGGTGAGACTCGACCAGCTGCTGCTGGCCTTGAGGCTATCATCGTCCTGGTCGTCGCTCTTCTTGGTGGTGGGCGTCTTCTTGGAAGGGTAGTCTGTCGGCCGCAGCACGGCAGGGATGTACAGCGGGCGCAGTTGTCGGCCGTGGTAGGACTTGGGAGAGGTCGGCGATGGCGTGTTGGAGGTGCTGAGGGGCGAGATCTGGCGGCTGTTGGTCCCCAGCGGCTGCTGGTGCTGTGACTGGGTTGGCGATTGTGACTGTGACTGTGGCTGGGATTGTGTCTGGGCCTGAGTCTGGGCCTGGGTCTGGGTCTGCGAATGCGACCGCGAATGCGCCGGCGATGGCCCGTTGCTGTGGACTTGCGGCGTGTACTGGGTCGTCTGCTGGGCGAGGTGCGGGTAGAAGTGAGCGCCGTAGGGCTGCTGCTGGTCTGGCAGCCGGGGCATTATGAAGTCGGTTGCCATATTGTCCTCGTCGAGACCCGTCGGTGGTCGCCTGTTCTCCTTTCCTCCCGTGGTGCTCGAGGTCGCGGGTCGAAGAGTAGCCGGGATGTGACGAGTCTCCCCTCTGTTTGTTTGTCTCAACCGGGGAGCGAGTGGGTGCTCAGTCCTTGTTGTACCGTCCTGTCGGGTACGGTGCGGTGCGTTGCGTTGCGTGGTCGTGCGACACCCCCCGCCGGTTCAGCGATGAGTGTGGAGGACGGCGAGCGATAAGGAAGTGCGCTTTGTCGCGTTGCTGTTTGTTACGCGCCCACTCTCGTGTGCTACATGCAAGGTCTGGAGTGTGAATTACACGACGGCTTGCATAGTCGGCGGCAGGAATGTGTTATGTATTATCAGGGTGGAAGTGTGTTCGCGGGTGTGAGTGAGGGAGAGGTCGGACGGGATAAGTTGGATGATGGGCGAGCTGGGTGAAGCAGCAGGTAGTACTCGGGAGCGAAGGCTACGGTACATAACGAGCCTGTGGGCCAGGTACTCTGGTACTCTGGTACTCTGGTACTCCGGTACTCTGGCCGCCCCAGAGCGAGCGATCAACCTCAGTAAGTCCAAGACTCCAAGTGGGTGGTCCCAGGGTGGAGATGGGTATTGTCGGAAATCTGGTCGCCGCCATTGGTTGCCCAGCATCTCGCTGGCCCGGGCGGCGAATGGCGATGGGAGGCGGGACCCTGAATCGGACTCGAGCCCATCCTGCCCATGCACGCGAGCAGCTCCCTGGCTCCCTGGCCGGCCTGGGTAACGCTATGGAAACCTTCAGCCACTACGATGTGCGAGATAAGATGGGACAGGTCGAGACAAGGGTTGACTCGCGTGAGTCCCACACCGACTTCAAGCTTCGACTTCTGGCGTGTAAGGGTGTCCCTGGTCGACACTATTACGGAGTAACTACTCGCTTCGCACTCCCTCCGAGCTGTCTGGTCGTACGCACCACGTAACGGAACACCCGTGGAGGACGTGTGTTGAATACTGGTTATTATCTGTGTGCCACTGTCACTGTTCACTGTCACTGTACTGTCAGGTACGCACAGCATGAAGCTCCGAGACGTACTACCGCCCAGTCCCTCAGGAGCATGGCTTATGATCTCCAGACAATCGTCACGGTGGCTTGCTTGCCAAGAAGGCATGTGTCTTGGTCCCGAGCGTGTCCAATGTCCATAGCCGACCTCCATCAGACACACCTCGGCACCCCTACCGTACGTGTGTGGACGTACTGTAGACTCCAGCGAGATTGAGTAGCGCGCGCTCCACCCGGATAAGCATTGATGCTGGGGTCTTCGTCACTGGCTGCTGGATCACTCATAAGAGAGTTTTGTTGATTGGAACGATGGGCCCGTATAGTATATGCTTCTCTTCAACCAATGCATGTGAATGCAACAGTCCCATGCGGGCACTGTACTCCAAGATTGCTGCGGCCTAGCTAACAAAACTGTATCCATAAGGTAGCCAAACCTGAGAGGCGCGAGAGGCTAGAGCCGGATCAAATCTGCACCTCATCGGCAGAGAACGTTTATGGGACCAGGGCTAGCCGAATCAAAAAGATGCGCGAAAATCATTATTTCGGGCCCAAGATTCGCCTTGCATCTATGTAACCCCATGTGGTGGGAGTCGCGTAAGACGGCAAGCTGGCAAGGAGGCATCTCGACCTACATAGTAGATACAGGCCCTGCAAGAGCAGGAGAAAGGGCGACAAGCGACGTCGGAAGCATTCCACCCCGTCACCTGTTGCTTCTTCTGACCAGCGGAACGCTAAACCCGATGGCGATGGTGATCCAAGGTACCTCTGATTCTCGACCACGTCCAGGCATTCATGACTTTTTAACCGTGGGACACAGCCTTCGTCTGCATAGTCGTACTATCATTGTCCGGCTGGTGCAAAGTGATTCGCTGCATACCCGTCGAATCCTGGACTCGACTGGTCTTGCCGTTAGAGGTGCGTCCAGACAAAGACCGGCCGTGCCCTGTAGCTGCTGGCGCCATCGGCTGTCGGTGAGGGCCCGGTAGGTAGGGGTTTGCGACCTCGAGCGCCTCATCGCGACTCTACGTCAGGCCTCAAGGTTTCGACATCTCTAGCGAGCCTCCTAGAGCCGTATAGGGGAATTTGGCACGTTTCTCACCGCGGATCACCAATATACTTTTGATTACTCCTTGTATCACAGCCTGCCAGCCCGTCCATCAATGAGGAGTAACAGAAGCGCTGTCGCCAGAGACGATCGAGACCGGGCGGCGCCGTACGGCCATACTTACCCCCCTTACTGCACCAGCCAACTTCCCCCCCGCCCCGCGTGTTTGCAATCTGCAGCGGCGACGAGAGCCTTTCAGCCATTCATTCATCGCTCCATCCATACTGTAACATCGTGGCCCGTCTTTCGCGCAGCTGCAGCGAGGGGCAGCGCCTAGCGGCGGGACAATGCGGAGTGCCGAGTTGCTGTGTCAGAGATGGTAGTGGACAGCAACACGCCGGCGCCACACAGTCGCCCTTGTCCGCACTCACGATGCGCTCGAGTCTATAATACCGCCGCCCGTTGCACCGCGGGCGCCCCTCTGATCATCAATTAGCTGGAGTGATACGGCAAACCTATCTCGCGAGCCTCGCCCGAGGCCTGGGCGCCGCGCCCCCCAAATAGTCGTTACTCATGGCCCGAAAGGATGGATCTTGTTTGTCATCAAAACACCTGGGGCCGCTCCACAGTCGCTCCCAAGGCCTCGGTAGAGGGTCTCGTCCCGCGCAAACGTCGCCTTTTAGCAGCGCCAAAAAATGGGTTTGCTCGTAGCTACGATTCATGGCCTTCCCTCGTAGGTCTAACTCGGTCAAATAGTCGTGCCAGGCGTGCCAGGATGTTGCGCCCAACGTCATTGATAAGATTATCTACTCCATAGCCCGTGCCGGCTTCCTCGCAGAGGCAACCTCACGATGGCTTCGGCCCTGCTGGACAGGTTGACCCCGGAGTATACGTTCCTGTTTACGTGGCACACCGTGCAGCGTGTGCACGTCCTCAGGAAACTCTCCCCCCAGACCACCCACACAGAAAAACCCGGGTCTGGCGGTCCACCAGTAGGAAGCCCCGAATTTCTGCGAGGCGGTCCGTACACCCTTCGTTCTCACGTGCCAATTTAACCTCATATCTGCTTACCGCCTTGGCTTCCGGTGCTGCACACTGGGAGTTTGGAAATAGTGATGGTCGACACGACATCTTGTAGGCGGCATACTTTGTTCTTCTCCAATGACATGAGGTGCTTCTCTCGCAGCTATGACGGTAGACGAACTCAGATCGTGTAGATAAGAGCCGCAGCTTGGTGTTAAGCGAAGGTTTATTTTTGAGTGCTGCATACTAAGCGGGAAGCCATACCACAACAATTCCGACGCTGTTATAGGCCCGCCCGCTGCCGCGTTACCTCCCGCCGAGCTGATCAACGTACTTACCCACCGGGGCCATGTGCCGCAACGTTGACTTACCGCCTCGATTTCGACCCTCGTCTGAATGGGACCCCCGGATCGTGCTGCAGTTAGAACACGGTTTTCTCTTCGAGAAGCAGTTCTCCCCGGCGGCTCACGAGGCGAGGTTGCGCAGCCGTTCTGTTGTGCCGGCGGTGGCCAGGCCGTCATCGCAGGGCTATCCCGGCTTCGCAGCCATCCCTTCATTCAGGGTCCAAGGCTAGCGTGACTAGCTCTGGTAATTAGTGGGACTGCCTGCAGGCTCTTATCGCTCTGTCATGATTGGCGGCATGTGAGCTCGGTGCCCAATGCGGTAATCCCATCCAGTGTTCGCGCGGAACTCTACGCCGCTCTGGCAGGACCGCCTCCGTCCAACCAGCGCGCGGCAAATCCAATTCATATTCGGGCTATCCGGCGCGAGGCGCATTAGCGGACCGCTGGGGGCCAGACAGCGACGGGCTCCCCCCCGAGCACAAGACAGGACAAGCCAGGCAACATGAAGTCACTGCCGGACAGTCAATGGTGGTGCAGTAGATACCATGGTAGACAAGAGAGCTTCGGCTGACACAGCGCGCGACTGCGTAGCATCCAGACAGGCCAGAGAGTGTCCAGCGTCGCCATGCCCACAGGCATCCGCCAACACCCATCCGTGCCACGGATTGTTTTTTTTTTTTGCTCTCGGCAGCAACAACTCTATTCAGGCAAAGTTGGGGGGGGCTCTTGACAGCTGCGCGACAAAACTTACTCAGAGCTCCCCTCTGGCGACGATCTCCCTTTGGCCCTTCGGGGCATGCCAACATGCAGGCTGACGGGCAGTGGCCGTGAATCATGTGAGGATTGGAGCCGGACCTTTCTGTTAGGCTCAATCCTTCCCCTTAGCAGCGGCAGCGCGGTTGGGACTTGGGGGAAGCTGCATCTGAGGAGGGGCTGGAGGGGCAGGCAGGCAATCGCGATGTAAGTGATAAGCCAGTTTTATCTATGGGGTCCCTGACGTCGCGATCTGCTGCGGCTTGCTCAGCTAGGTGCGGTAGCTAGTAGCTAAGGCTGTCTGCATCCCTTGGCTCCGCGACTCCTTCTGTGCAACTAATCTCGACCAGCTCGCCCGTAAGGCCAGAGAGCTTGAGAGTCTGGTGAAGAAAACATGGGGAGAGCATATGAATCTCGATGGCTCTGACCCCAGATCTGCGCTACGGCTGTCCTTCCGAGCTGATCCCAACGTAAATTCGACCCGAGATGACCAACGGTGATGGCTGTCGCAGGCATCGATGCTTGCAGCAAGGGAGCTGGCGGATGCGTCTCCGGAGGAATGATGACACTGGTTCATATGAGGTGAGATCTTCGCAGTCGGAAGTCTCGAGAAGCAATCAGCGACAACAACAGTATGCGACGGAGTCCTTAAGTCATGTTTCCCGTTCGAGGAGATGCAAGGGTAAAGAGTATACTGCTCAGTTCAAGACGCATTCTGTGTCAAAGTATGCAGTTTTCCTTTTCGAGGACGACAATTTCATCTACTCTGGTCGTAGCTTGTACACGTATGATTAGATGTCGCATGTACCTTGGTAGACATGCTCTACTACACATGATTATACTCCAGCCGCGTCGGAAGATATCCAACCTCTCAGGGTCTTGCTAAAAACACATGGTTTTCCTTGCTACAAGGACAAGTACAAAATATAGTCTCATGCTCGCGATCACCATTGGCCCTGAGAGCAGGGTCACTCATAAACTCAGGGGCATCACGACATGGCCTTTTCGCCGTATCGTAGTCCACGACCTATGTTCCCTTGTCCTCCTTTTGCATACCCTCAACCCACCGCCCGCTCTTGCCTCCCTCTTTCAACACCACCCGTAGCCCTTCGACCACCATCCCCTTGTCCACAGCTTTGCACATGTCATACACAGTGAGTGCTGCCGTTGATGCAGCCGTCAAAGCTTCCATTTCAACACCAGTCTTGCCGTCGCAAGAAACCGTGGCCCGAATGTCGATCCTGCCCCCTGCAATTGAATTCTCGTCCTCTGGCTTTCTCTCAGGGTCTACAATTGTGAGATCAACCGCAACCTTTGAGATGGCGATGGGGTGACATAGAGGGATCAGGTCTGACGTTCGCTTGGCGGCCATGATCCCGGCAATCCGCGCAACGCCCAGTACGTCGCCCTTCTTGAACGCATTCTCACGGATGAGCGATGTTGGAAGAGGCGAAGTGAAGAGCACACTGCAGACTGCCTGTGCCGTGCGCGATGTAGGCTGCTTGGACGCGATGTCGACCATATGGGCAGAGCCAGAGGATGAGACGTGAGTAAGTTTGGGTTTGGAATCTTTGGATCTGTCAAAGGCCCGGCGCGTAGTAGAGAAAAGTCGCAGTTGCGAATGTTGGAATGCAGGCCGGAGAAGGTGAACGGGAACGCCTCTCATTGTTCCTGTGGAGGATGCTGTCACCCTGGATAGAGAGAGCTGAGACGTGGCGGTCGGTGTTGATCCAGTTCCATCTAGCATGGCAGTTTAGCTGGAAGGTATCCTTATAGCGGCGGCAATCCGATGTAATACCAGTGTTGCTTGAGGGTTGCATGGTATATTGGAAGCCCTCTTATGTTTTTCCCCGGGGGATGAGATGTGGATGACAAAAGTGTTCACCCACCTATCAAGATCATCGGCCGGTTCTTCATGTGCTCGAGTTCCCCTATACCGGCATGCTTCTCCTTCTTCCGCTTCACAGCCATACCAATTACATCCAAGAGTTCTTGTTCCCCGGGAGGCAGTCCAAGAGGTTTTGAGGTACCAGTCAAACCTTGTAGCCTGTCCATCTCGATCTTTCTCATCGCCTCATACGCCTCCTGTTCAATGGGCTCGCCGTTGTTGGATTTCCTTAGAATATCTCGGAGCGACACTTCGGCATTGCCAAACAAGCAAACCTTAAGGTTCCCATCACTGGTGATTCGTAGGCGGTTACAAGTACCGCAGAAGTTGTGGGTCATGCTTGTAATGAATCCGATTCTGCCAACGAAGCCAGGGACTCTCCAGGTCTTACTCGTATCATTCTTGTGATCCTGCACCTTTTCCAGGTTGGGGTACGTTTCTCGAATAAGGTCCAGCATCTCCGAATAGCTGAACATCTTCCCTTGATTCCATTTGTTCCCATCGAAGGGCATGTACTCGATGAACCTTACCTCGATATTCTGCTCACGCGTCATCTCGATGAAGGGGATGATCTCCCTGTCATTGACACCTCTCATCACGACGCAGTTGATTTTGAGCTTGATGCCTGCTCCATGGCGATTGAGCTCGAGAACCCTATCAATGCTCTTCATAACTGCATCGAAACCTTTCCGCCGGGTCATGATCTGGAACTGCCAAGGGTCAAGGGTATCGAGACTTAGATTGACTCCGGTGAGCCCGGCTTCAACCATGGCCTCAAGCTTCCTGTGAAGAGCCAGACCATTTGTTGTGAGGCACAGCTCACGGAGGCCGTGAGATCTTAGGGCCCCGATCTGCTGCATCAAAGGTAGGATATCTCTCCGGACGGTCGGCTCACCTCCGGTAAGTCGAATCTTGTTTACGCCTTGAGAGACGAAAACAGACGACAGCATGATGATCTCGGGCGTTGTCAACAGCTCTCGTGGAGGAGACAGCGGCACGCCTTCCTCAGGCATACAATAGACACACCGGAGGTTGCACCTCTCCGTAAGAGATATGCGCAGGTAATCATGCTGTCGGTGGTAGTTGTCCGTCAGGAAATCTGAGAACGGTTTTGCCTCCTTGAGAAGATCACGCCGCGCCGGTCGTTTGGTAACTTGGGCGGCCGGATAGGGCGTCTCCTCCAGAGGCGAAGACAGCGTTGTGGATGCCGCAGCGGTTGAGGAAACCTTTCGCCGTGGCATATAACATAATCGGGACACGGCAGCTTGGGCTCTAGCCCAGGCCGGGCGGCCCGCTTTAGGCGAGACGACGGATGCCATCTGAGTGGGATTGACGAGCAACGGGATTCAGCGAAGATATAACATGATTCCGGCCAAGTGCTGTCGTTCTCCTCTAGGATCACGTCTGTCCAGCTGTTGGAAGAGATGAATGTGGCAGGAGGATGAATGCACAACCGCTTATTCGCCACAAATTAAGACCGTTGGACGAAAGGCGCGGAGAACATCGGTACCCCAATGAGTCAGCAGGATATGTCCGGCCGCCGGGCTCCGGTCTGGACAGGCCCGATGCCCAAAGGGTTGGCCATGCTTATGGAAGAAACTGACTAAAACTGTGTAAAATGTATTGGTGTTCATGGGAAATATCAAGCTGTTGATAACGACTGGAAGTCTCTTTATTTCCATTGCGCTTGCTACAATGCAGCCGCCGTCAGGGAGCTCCAGGCGGCAACATCACTGCAGCCAAACAAAGCCCACTTGCCGTGTTGTAATCGCGTAAAATCAAATTTGAACCTACCAGACCAAAAGATCTAATGTCAAATCAGAAGTCTTCCGCTTCCGAGTGCTTCAATATCCTACGGGGTATACCTTGGTGATTTCGATAGTATCAGCGGAGCCTGTGAGTACTTACCTATTAGACTGTGCACTCTTTAGGTGTTCTGTGTCGCAATCGTGTTTCCCAGGTCGCGAAAGCCTTGACAGGAAGCCATCAACAAACACAACAGCCGCAACAAACTTCCACACCACCTAGCACTCACTTTGAATGAGAGCAACTTCTACGCGAAACTAACAGAGAGGTTGTGGGTCTCACACTTGTCTTGCTTTTGAGGGCGCTGACGATCCAAGATCCAGCGACGTGGCAGCGAGGCCCAGTGCTCGTCAGGGAGACTGCCGCCACGCGCCGAGCTCTACACCGGTTTCAACGAGCTCTGTCATCAATCGCACGAGATCCTTCACCTACGCAAGGCCTTGCACCACACAGAGGTGACTTGATCTCACACACCATGCGCTTTTCCCCGGTCTTAAAGTGTACGCAGATCCCCCTTCCTACTTTTGCGGCTTCCCAACCATCTTGTCTCTTTGCTTTACTCTACTTGGTGTGCCCCGAATAAACGAGAATCATATTGACATTGATGAACCAAACCAGCCTCGCCTCACTGCCTTCCGAGTCCAGACGGACGGTGGATTGCAACGCTCCGTCCCTCCAGTGTCGTCATCAGAGAGGTTGAGTCCCTGAATGTTTTCCGAAGTATCAAGCTGTCCACAGCCTTCGCCGGAAATGTGACCACATTCGTCTGGTCGCCGTCGTCAGAGAGGATCTTGCTTGCTTCTGCTCATGAGATCCATGTATTCTCTGCTGCAGATGCAAACTTTCATGCTACCATCCGCAGCCCTTCTTCATCAACTGCCAGATCAACTTTTATCGACTTTGGAGCTACTGACAGGGAGGCTTGCATTTGCTCGGCCCATGGCATCAAGCTTTCAATTTTCAATCTCACAACGTCCAAGGTTGTCGAGATAAGCAACCCAAAGTTTCACACGACTGTATCTGCAGCTCGGGGATTCTCATTTCGGCGACGCACCCACCACCTTGCATTGCTTACAAGAACCTCGGGAAGAGATACCATCAGTATTCATTCCCCGGACTCGAGGGAGGTCCAAAGATCCTGGAACCCGGATGTTATTGATGCGCAGGGCCTTTCATGGACCCCGGACGGTAAATGGTTGGCTGTGTGGGAATCTGCCTCACAGGGCCACAAGGTTTTGTTTTTCACGCCAGATGGCCATAAATATAGGGACTGGTGTGGTCCACTTCAGCATGCATCAGGCGAGGTGCAGGATCGATTGGGTGCGGGTGTGAAGCTCGTGGCCTTCAGCGCGGATAGTCAGTACATGGCGATTGGCGACTTCAGCAGATGCATATCTGTGTTACACACATCGATTACAACCCAGCAGTTGCTGCTCCATCATCCTACCGTCCTCGAGCCGAAGGATACGGTCCAGGTGAGTCCATGTCCATACCAGTAGATCGAGTTTTATGACACTAAATTGCAGCAGATTTGGCAGGAGCAAATTGATAGCGCCTCGAAAGGAGACGTAGCCACGTTCCCCTTCGTTCAAGCTTCTCAGCCAGTGTCACCGCCAGGCCGAGCCCCAGGCGGTACATCGGAGCTCAAGTCAGGTCCTCACACAATCTTATTCGACTGTTCTGCAGCCCTAGTCGCAGTCATCCTAGACGACGCGCCAAGCACGCTGTGGATCTGGGATGTGTCGGTAGTAGAATTGCGTGCAGTCCTCATGTTTCATTCCGAGATCTCCAGAGTCGAATGGCACCCAGTGCAATCGGAACTTTTGTTCGTCAAATGCGAAGGGAACAACTACAATGGCGTCATATTCATTTGGGATCCTTTAAGCGGTGGCCCCCAAACAATGGACTTTCGGTCACTGTTGCCGGATCGCAAGACTGGCGGGAAGTCGTCTGTTTTCTGGCTCAAGTCCAACAGAGAGCCTGCATCACTGTTCTTTGCAGATGGCAAAAATTGTCTACTTGGATCTCTAGCTGATACTGACGAAGAAGCACTTCCATGGCAGGAGCACCAACCAACGCCGTCCATCAATATGAACCAACCCACAGAATCACCGCTGGACATCATGCCCGGTTCCGCTGAAGAAAGCGACGAGAGCAGCGACCTGGGTGTCGGCGAACTCGATGACACATTTCATTTCAAGAAAAATGGCATCGAGTAGGCCGCATTCCCCGCCTGACTTGTTCGTGTTGCTGCATGCTGCACGAGAGAACTGACCAGTCAACAAAGCGACCCAGCTCCGCGGTTCAAGTCTCCAGGGTAGCTTTCCGGGGAAGAAACCACTTCGCATCCGGCCTGCAATGCAATGCTTCTCGTCACAAAACCTTGTATGGATTGCATCCCCTGCCTATGTGTCTCGCTCAAGTGATTCCGTGGTCCACTCTCCGTACAGCAACATTGCAGCTTGCCAACAGCCTTGGGTACACGTCCACAAATCTCGCCAACTTTGCGACTTACAATTGTGGATCCCGTTTTCTGCCGCCCCCAATTGAGCGCGGTTGCGGGCGATAGACGTGCCAAAGGCGGCAGCGGGGGTGGCATCAAAACGGGAGCAGGGGGGGCACCAACAACCCGCAGGCGCCACCATCCTCGCAAATCTGCTACCATTGACGGAGAGGGTTCCATTGTCAGAAGTGCAACGGTTCTGGTGGGTGGGCAATTGTTTGCTTGATCCCTGTTTGGATTTTGGTCAAGTTACCAACAAGCATGTTCAACTGCACCTATACCGATTGGGGCCGTCTACCTATAGCTGCATCGGTCGGATGGCCATCCGTCATGGTTCGTTCATCCCTACTTGCGCCTTTCTTATAGCATGCCAACAGCGTTTCGAATGGCTAGCCCAACACGCGGCCCATTGAGGCTTGGGGGCGATTCTGTGAGAGGACGCCATGGCTGCTCGACGCCCCTTGTCTGCAGATTGTTCGTACTACCACATGAAGCCAGTCCATCAGCTGCATCACTTTGAGAGACGTTGGGGGCGCGACCCCCAAAACACGTTCCAGATCAAGTAGCCCCCACTGCTGCATAGTCGGTCACGGTCTGGTCGATCCAGCCACTGTTCTACCGAGGAGAGCCGCAGCCTGGCCATGATACCAGCTACCGGGAAACACGCAACGCGGAACTGGCAAGACCCCGGGCAACCCCACAATAGCTAAGCGCCGGGTCATGTTGCATAAGGGTCAACTAACGCTTGGACTATTACTATTCATCTCGTCTAATGTGCTCGTTACCATAACACAGTCATTCAGTGCCTTTCATTCGTTACCGACTGACAAAAGATCCCAACTCGGCCCGTTGGTTGTATCTGGCAATGCCACCACCTGCCCTTTGATGCTGAACCCTGGCATGGGTGTGGACCGTTGTTTGTTACCGCCGCCATGGCTGGGCATCTCAAAGACATTGTACATTGTCACCTTGTTGCTTTTGATCAGACTATGCAGCCCATGACGCTGCCACCAAGGCGGGCTCGAGTACCATTGGATGATCGGGTAAGAGATTGCGCCTAGTCATTCAACAGCATACTCCATCTCGCCAGACACAGGCCAGAACAAGCATTGCCCTTCGACGGGTTTCCCCTGATTGGCGACTGGTCGTTTTATTCCTAGGGTCGCAGGGGACTTCCGTTACGCACGCATACGAGCAATTACATTCACGTTTTTACTGCATGAACGTGGGAGCACATGTTTGAAGCTCCTCTGCAGCGAACTGTGGATAGCTTGCTGAAGAATTCTGCTCTACTCATTTCGACCCCAATACAGTGCACTCTCGTGCCACCAGAATATAAAAGACATCGATCGATCATTCCATCTTTTCTCGTTTCGCACGACCTGTGACCAAGGGTGCTCCTTGCTCCACTGTCAATCTTTTACTCCTTTACTGCAGTCGCCCGATGACGATGGCGACTGATACTCTTGCCAACCAAGTCCCCATCAACAACACAATCCAAGTGAATGTACGACCTGGCAACGAGACAGGTCTGTATTACATTCTCCTTTCGAATGTAGGTATAAATTCTAGCGCCAGCGCTTCCTGCCAACGCAAGACTGATCTCAATCTATCGCAGTTGCCTTGGCAAACATCGTGGCAGCATTTGAAAGATCACGTCCGCACAGTGTGCTCTGCTGTTGAGAGGGTTGAAATCTTCAACGAGAGCACCACAGCCTGGGTCTGTGTTCGCGGCCATGAAAACTACAAAGCAGCTCTACGTAAGGAGATTTCGACCTAGTGCGGCGCAGGCATAACGTTAACAGGATTCAAGATTTATTGAGCACCGTACCATTCAATGGAAGACCAACATTCGCGGATGGCAGGAATGCCCACCAAGAGATTCCCATTAAGAGACTGGTCGGTCCTACCGACATGCGTATGCCCTCACCCCGGTCACCTCGGACCCCTAGAACGACACCGCAGGTGACGCAGTATTCGAGCCACTCTCCCTCCATGATGTCCCCTACTGTATCGGACTACAGCCAGGTACGATGGTATACCCTATAGCTGCGAATAATTCTCCGAACTGATGCGTCTAGTGGTCATCTGCGGCGCCCGGCTCGATCATGTCTAGCCCAGCTACGGAATATGGAGTACACCCATTGCCAATGGCCGCAGCCTATGATTACTCCGAGTCCAATGGCTCATATCCAGCGTACGAAAACGGCTACGTAGACGCTACAACAATCATGTCAACGGCTGCGCGACCTTACACTTGGGAATCAAACTATCCGTATTCCCAACACTACGCACAGTCCAGTGATTACTACGACAGCAACAACTACGCACAATCCAGTAATTACTATGACAACTACTCTACGTCTACGTACACCGCGGGCCCCGGGGCGAAAGCAACAAGACACCGAAGGGCCCACAGCGGCGAACTGGTTGCAACCGAACGGCGAAAGATACTCATCAAAAATTTGACATCATGGACTCAGCGAGAACGGGTTATGGAGCTGCTCCAAAGCAAGTGTGGAATCAACTCAAATCAGATCAGTGCAATCAATGTTCCATCTAGCAATGGTAGTAGCAGAGGTTACGCTACGGTCACTTTCAACAGCGAGGAGAAAGCTGCTAAAGCTGTTAAGAAGCTCCACAAGTACAAGGTTGATGGTAAGACTCTCGAGGTTGATTACACGAAAGAGGGTGTCTCAAGGAATGAGGATACCCGAGGCCGGCATTACAGCAAGCACCAACGGGAAGAAAAGGAGAAGAATGAAAATGCACAGAGCTCTGGTTCAGGCAGCGACAAGAAGGAAAGGCCTGCTAAAAAGGGTGTCATTATCGCTAACGGCTCTTCAAAAAAGGTTGGCGAGAGCAGTAAAGGCTCGAATTGATAGCTGTACACTGGATCATAGATTGATGTCTCTACTAAGCGGCGACGTATGCAGTGAATATTTTATCATCGTTACTGCATTCTGGTAGAGTTGATGGTGTCCCCTTGGGATGCAGTTACAGTTGGCGGTCAATCCTTAGCACCAGCGCCTCTTTGTGCAGCATGTTTTCCAAAACTACCTTCGCGTCTCTGACCACCTCATTCCACTACGCCTGGGCGATCTTCTGGCTCCTGATGTATGCGTACACCTGTGCCCTTATCCTGAGGTCACAAGTGATCGGGCTAGTCGGGCAAGATCTGTTCATTCCGGACCATGTCACGGATGTTGCGCAGCACCATGTGAGGTGTCAGTTTTCCCGTCGCCGCATCAGGAGCACACATACATGTACAGCGGCTCGTATGCGAACCGTCGCACAGCAGGAGCTCTTACGAGTCCTCCCCTTGTCGTGCATGGGAGCCACGCGGGTTTTGGCATGTGTCAATTTTGGGATGCGGGTCGGGGCCGGTTGCGTTTCCTCTCACCCCAAGTTCAGATCTTCCACACCTCCGTTCCCAAGTCATGTTGCTTGCCGCTGCTGTGGCGCGGGTGTGTGCGCCCAGCGGGAGCGTGAAAGGATGGCCCGTCCCGCCCTCCATCCTTCCAGCCAGCCTCCTTGCTCAGCGTTCCGCTGCACAGATCGGGAACACCCACTCTCGCTACCTCCCTCCCTTCCACGCTCCCACTCCACTCATCCACACCTCCGACCCCCCCTCCACACAGGAGAGACGTCAGCGGAAAACTGTCGAGACTGTCTCATGCAGCTGGCCCTTCTGGGAGCTTGGGACACGGGTAGCTGCTTCAGCGCAGCTTATATCAGATGAATAACGCGTGGGGAGTGGTCGAGATGCCTCGGCTGAGAACCAATATTCCACGTACATCGCAACGACTTGATATTACGTACCTCAAGCTGGCTGGCCGAGAATCGCGGGTCAGGCACAGAAGCAAGCCATTGATGTCCAAACGGCGGGTGAAAACACAGCCTTCGGATCGAAGGCTCCGGTGGGCGTTGAAGTGAACTTTTGTGTTACGTAGTCCTCCAAACTTGCCAGGCACTGTTGGCTTTGAAACCAGCATGCAAGGAGAGAGTAAGGTAGGATAAACAGTAATGAAGAGGCAGCCTTATTACGTCAAAATATGTTTGTCTCGACATGCACATTCTCATGGACCAGGAACACAATAGATGTGCCTCGAGTAATGCTACTCCCATTGCATCTATGTTGAAAGCCTATGGCCAGAAATTCCTGTGAGATCCAATGATCTATCATGTCACTACAGGCAATTCACTTATTACTGGCATTGCCATAATCGACTCGTAATGACAGCTCTATGTGATAGTTTCCATCATAGCTCCGCACAAATTAGATCACTGATCTTCAGTACTGGCGGTGTTTCAAAATAGCAAATCTTCGTTTATGACACTCGAATCGATGCTAGTCTCGCTTCGATATCCGAGACGGCTAGCCATATTCCCGAGACCGAGGAGAATACTGTTCAGCCCCGTTAAGCAGGTACCCGCCGGCCATATTGAATCCCTTCTTCCCGCTGCCTGAGAGGCGAACTAGGCTAGTGAATAGGAGCACTTGATACACAAACCCAATCATTGGTTCTGTCCTCTTTCATTACGGCATGGGTTTTGGTATTTTCTGGGAACAAACTAGAGTAGCTTCATCATAGCATTTCAAGTCCGCGTCAGTTGCATACTAGTCACTGGTTGCAAACACAACCTTGGGAAAACCAGGAAATAAACAAATGTTTCAGCATTGGCTCTTTGCATGGTGAAGAGGTGTCCCTACGAGGGAAACGCAGCGCAATTGTCGTCTATGAGTAGCTAGCTAAACGAACTTTCTGATTGCCGTATTGTCTTGTGCAAGTTGAATTCAAGATGTCAACTGTCTTGCGAGTACCGTACCGGACCCGGATTTTCAGTGCAAACTGGCCACCGATGGCAAGTCACCGCCATAATTCATAGCCTCATACCAGAACTATTAATGCAAAAGCAGAAACCATTCGAGACGCCCGGTCATCATCATGATGCCTGAGATTTCACAGCCAAGTTGCAAGAAAGAGTTTGTCTGGAAACCCAGAGTGACCGCGATGTCAGTTTCGTATAATGGCATGGCATCTAAGCGTCGACCATGTTGACATCCAGTCCATTCGGTGTCTCATCAGGAATGCCTCTGTCCATCTCACGGTTAACGCCCGAAAGAACCTCCATGACCTCTCGGCGAACGACTTGCGGCAGGCCTGCATCGCCACGTTTCTGGATGCCATTGGTGTAGTCTGCAGTCATGTTGTTGATCATCAAATTGATCTCCTCGAGCAGGGTCTCCTTGTGAATTGTGCACATTCTGCTTAGCTTGCTCTGGATGGACGGAATCGACTTGTCGAAAACTCGAAAATCCGAATTGGCGAAATCGATCAGTTTCTTAGATATGCGTTTGAAGCTTCCACGGCCTTCACGAGTGTTAAAAATTGTAAGAGTAGCATATCGGAGTGTTGAACAAATACCTTGCTCCTCCGCACAATCATCATAGACTGATGTCATGACGCGTTTGACTCCGGGCATGAATTGGCGACTGAGATCTCGCTGCCATTCTTGAATTCTCTGCTCAAAGTCATGAAGTTTGTCGTTGATGCCTTGATTATAGGTCTGGAGCTGGGTGTGGAGGATATCGATAGTGGATGCCGCACCCGTATGTCGAAGCCGAGCTTTGAGCTGCTGGTGGAACTCTTCCAAGGCCTCTCTACAACTCTGGGAGAAGAGCTTGAGGATTTCTGGTGTGTATCTGGAGAATATATCTTCCCAGGGAGTTGCCAACTCTCGCTCCAATCCGGTAATGAGTTCTATGTAGGCTGTAAGCTACCATTCTCCGAAGTCTGTAGATCACATGCAATTTCAATTACCTTCGTTCAAGTCGATTGTGCTAGCCTTGCGTTTGAAATGTCCCCTGTATCTCGTATTAGAAAAACGAACCCATGGCACCAGAGTAGACGTACTGGCGAGTGAGCGTAGCCTTTAATGTGCTGTGGTAATAACCACCCTGCTCTGTGGGCGCAACCCATCCGGTTACAATACGGGGCGCCTCATCGATTGCCCTGTCGTTGGCTTTGTGGATTTGCTTGAATAATTTCTTCTTGAAGATATGCTTGCAGTCTTCCGAGCTCTTCTTGGCCGCCTCATCGAGAGTCTAGGATTCATTAACAGATGGCAGATGAAAGAGGTCCCCAGCAAAAGATATCTTACAAGTTTAAGACCGCCGAGATCCCGTAAGAGCTTCTTGACCTCATCAGCTTGCTCATTGGGCGAAAGTACCAGCTCCAAACTCTGTGTACCTGTCAATATCTGTAGAGATTGCAAAATTTGGAGGAAGCCATTGAGAAATTTTCTGCAGTCACTAATCCTGCCTGCTTCAGTAAGTTTCTTCGCATGGACATGAAGCTGAGGCATTCCGGTCATTTTCAGGTCATGGAAGGCATCAAAGTTGCGGTCGATCTTGGCGGTGCCTTTCTTCACTTGATAAGCTTGGCTGCTAACACAGAAGACAGGGAGAGACTGAGCAATCTGCTGATAGTCGCGCTCTTGATGGTCTGGGTCAAATGATTCATCATCCTTCTTGATAGCCGTCTCCTGGTCGAGCCTTGAAGTAGCCATAGTTAACGTATTGCACAAATGTTGGTATGAGGATAGCTCTAGGCTTGGGACGAATGACTTACTTCTGTACTCCTAAAGCGAAATGTGCTTGGATTGCAGTACTTGAATACGCGTTCCGGCGTTGGATGCACGAGGACATAATGCTGACCTTTGACCGCTGGCGGTGCCCCTCCGCGTCACCTATCGCTTTCTCGATACATTCCTCTTGGGAGTAGAGGTCCCCCAGACGATCGCTAAGGTCCTTCAGCTGGCTTTCGAACTGATTGATCTTCAAGGTGATTTGCTCATGTGTCAGGGCCTCTTGCTGTGCATTCGCTGTAGACTCTTCTCTTTGTTTGTCTTCGTCGTCACTTTCCACGAAGACGCGGCGGAATCTTCGCTTTTTGGGTACTTGTGACTGTTGACTCTGAAGCTTGCGCTTTGTAACAGGGGCAAAAACCTTAATGCCTTTGGCATTTTTCAGAGCGAGTTTGTTCCAGCAATTCAAGTCATTCTGGACTTGGGTTGCTTCGGCCTCAAATTCATTTTGTGTCTCAGTTATGCGATCAAGTTCGGTTTTTCTGTTTGTATTCTCCGCCGCAGTCCTCTCTTCTAGGGCAAGATGCCCTGCGTACTCTTTCGCGAGGTTGAGACTATCCACAGCTTCCCCTACCACGATGTCATCTGTCTGAGAACAGATGAAAGACACATTGGAGATATGACCATCGAACTTGAGCTGCATCTTGAAGGATTCGCCAAGTAAGTGTTGAGCCGTCTTGTTGTCTACGGCTCTAACAATCGGGGCGACGATCCAGATGCTGTTACATTTCTCGACGTACTTGCTGGCAACTGAGGCTCGAGCTGCATTGGAGTCCCCGACACCAGGCTATAAACCATTCAGCGGAAGATACAAATAGAAAACAACGTGGAAGGCTCACCAAGTCTGCCAGAGTCAACCCCGTTGACAGAACGTCGGCTTTGACGTAAAGCCTCACCACTTTGATGAGCGGCCACAGCTCCGAGGGGCCCGGAGCTGTAGTCGCAATCGATGTCTCCTTGTTCGATATCTTCTCCTTACTGTCAATGAATCGTTGAACCTCCTTATACAGAAGGTCGGACTTTGATGGGATAACCTTCTTGGTGGTACCCAAAAATTCTCCAAGAGTACGGTCCTTTGCAAGAGTCTTCTCAGTAGTCTGCGCTAGCAGATCTCTCGTCATGTGTGGATATATGGTAGTGATCTTTGCCCACGCGACTCCCGCCTCGGTCTCTTGGTTTGTGCTGTTACTGTGAACCTCACCGTCCCCGTTGAGTACATCGTTGAAAAGGCATCGAAGTTCAGCAAGCCATTCTTCCACACTGATGAACTCTACTTCTGCCCAGTCGGGGCCATTGGTATTGTTGTAGGAGATCTCGGTAGGGCAAGCAGTACATGCTCGCATGCAACTTGTAGGAACCACCTTCTTCTTGCCTAGGAGGCCATTGATTATGGTACTCTTGCCGCCGCCTGTATCGCCCATAAGGCACACCAAAGTTTGGGATGCCACAGCTTTGGTCTTGAGATCCTCGATGAGGTCAAGAATACGTTTGGCATCAGTGTTGTCGGTCGTCTTACCGAGTGACTTTTGCAACTTGTCGAGAACGCCTTGAGCAACTTGAAAGATATTCTCAAGTGTTTCTACCTTGCTCTCATCAAGCGCTCGATGGAGGCTTGGGAACTCGACCCGAGAGTCATCAATAGCCTCGAGGGTCGGCCGAGGCTCACGTTGAGGCGACATGGGCTCAGACTTGACCCTGGCAGTGGCATCGAGTGTGGTAGGCTCGAGTACATTCTGGGAGTCACGGAGTACCACCACTCTCTCACCAGCCTCTGAGTTTGGTTGTTTAGTGTGATGTTCAAGAGGCGCGGCGTGCTGGGAAGCAGGTTGGCCGGACTTCTCAGGAATTTGGCTCATGGTCGCCATGATCCCTTACGGACAGCTTCGTGATAACTTGTGTGTTGATCAACGAACTAACGGTGGCTTCAGGAGTAGTGATGAAAGTATGATCTGGGACGGAAAAAAGATGCCGAAGAACTGAGCGGAAAGAGTTGTCCTCAAGTGAGGTCCTGAAGCAGTACTTAGAATATGAACTGAGGCAGGAAGTTGGGAATACTGCAGGAACGAATTGAAGCTGACCTGAGCTTTGGGGAAACAATGATATCAACCCGTTCAACGAGGAGAGAGAGAAAATCCCAATAGCTAACAATGAGAAGTTGGGAAACCACAAATTCGGCAGGCGCAAATGTATTTCAACCTAGGCGACGCCTCCTTGCTGCAGCGTTCGAGGATTGGAGGTCACAAGGTCCAACAAAGTAGGTGGCCTGGTGTCATGGAAATGGTTGCGTTTGTAGGAATGAGGGCTGGCAGCGATGTAATGAATTAAGTCTTGAGAGAAGTAACGCTGGGTATCACCAATGCAGGTGGGCGGGGTGTAGGAAATCGATGACGATGACGAGGGAGTTGTTGAGAGATTTGCGTTGCTGAAGATACAAGAAGGTCTGATGATGGTTTATCCTGAGTTCGCCTCACCTCGAGAACAACAATGGGGAAGGATAATTCACAAGAGGGAACCGATGAGGGAGAGAGTGCTGACTATAGGTAGAAGGGAAGGCAACCCGTGGTCTGTTGATGTCGTTGGGGGAGCTAGTTGTAGATACATGCTGGCTGTTATCGTGATAAATCTCAGTTCATTGATAGCCTCCTACCAGGGTAAGTGCGGCTGGACAATAGATTTCAGGCAAGCCGGCTGCGTGTTGAAATTTACGTTCATCTCAAGAGGGTATGTGCGTTATCTACAGTGGTGCGTCTGCGTTGGGCATTCTTTGGAAGTTGAAGAGTCTACATTGCCTTCATCAGATGCAAATCACTTTCACCATTCGAGTATGCTACCCGAGGCTTTGCCAGCATTGCTGATCAAATTCGACAGACTATGAGGACATTGGTAACCCTTATGAATGAGCCTTAGTAGCATGATGAGCACGTGAAACGCATTTTCTCTGTTATGTATGGTGAAGTCCTCTTCATGTTATACGATTGGCTGATATGTCTTCACCGCCTGCCCAATCGGCTGGGGCCCGGGCCGACAAGCTGTCTGTAGCTTCATTGTAGCTCTAGTCACGGTTACCCAGCCTGCTATTTCCCCAGCTGCAGTCGGTCAATACGTTCACTGTTCGGAGGCTACTTGAGACCAGGACAATACGTGGCGTAGAGAAGCGGTGCATTTCTATTGGCACCTTAATTAAGCTTGTCGCGGAAGACACGTACAAAACTGCGCAGTCCGCACCTCTGGTTCGCCGCGCTCCAGACCGACCAGCATGTCGACGGTCACAGCGACTGCGCTCAAGTCGGGGCAGCCGCCCATCATCCCCCTCGAGTTCAACGCGAACCAGCCGAAGACGATCCGATTATACCCGCTCTCCAACTACACGTTTGGCGTTAAAGAGACGCAACCGGAGGAGGACCCGTCGGTGATAGCCCGTTTGAAGCGCCTGGAGGAGCACTACCACGAGCATGGCATGCGGCGGACCTGCGAGGGCATCCTCGTCTGCCACGAGCACAACCACCCCCACATCCTCATGCTCCAGATCGCAAACGCCTTCTTCAAGCTGCCCGGAGACTACCTGCGGCCCGAGGACGACGAGGTCGAGGGCTTCAAGTCGCGGCTGGACGAGAGGCTGGCCCCCGTCGGCAGGTTAGGGGAGGGCGTGGAGCCCGGCAACTGGCAGGTCGGGGACTGTCTGGCACAGTGGTGGCGGCCGAACTTCGAGACGTTCATGTACCCCTTCATCCCGGCGCACGTCACCCGCCCAAAGGAGTGCAAGAAGCTCTATTTCATCGAATTACCGGAGTCTAGTACGTGTCCCCTCTTGGCCCCAGCTGGTGTGTGAATGAATCTGTGCTGACAGTGACACCTGCAGAGGTGTTGAGCGTCCCCAAGAATATGAAGCTTCTCGCCGTCCCCCTTTTCGAGCTCTACGACAACACTGCACGATACGGTCCGCAACTATCGGCCATTCCTCATCTACTGAGCCGGTACAACTTTGAGTTTGTCGACGACAACGGCGAGGTGGTCGCAGCGACGCCTGGCACGGGACCCGAGGGCTTCGTGCCGCAGACAAAGGTGCTTGCTGGCGGCGATGAGGACATGCGAGACGTCAAGGACGGCGAGGGTAGCTAAGGGACATACGGGACACGATCATTCTCCCCGAGCAAGAGCCTCAAGCCATGAGATGCGCATATGAGAGCGGCAGCACTCTGACTAAAGAGTATACAAGGCTTTTTACTCAAATGTCGACAGAGGGTAGGCCAAGCTCCCGACGGAATTATTGGAGGTGAAGGGATGCTCGCCCAACAAGCCTGGCCATCGGCGACAGGTAGAGAGCCGCGCACCCGGGCGCTGGTTTGAGATATGGAAGCTGTTAGGATCAAAGCCAGATGTGATGATAGAGTACAAGTCAAGCCAGCCCAAAGTTTCAAGGTCACATCGGAGAGATTGTATAGATGATCTCTGCTGGTCATTCTAGAGCCGCGTCGCATTTGAGTGATTAGACGCTCAGCACGCGGCTCAAGTCTCAGGGCTCCGGATACCGAATGAACAATGCACCAAATATCTAACCACGCTGCTGCTTTGACTTCTGATGGATCTGCATGATCCACGTCGGCCCGTGTATCTGAACCCTTGCTAACATCTCTGCCTCTCCGATCGCACTGCCACCTGAGCTTGCTTCATGCTTTTTCTCCCTGAATTGTAGCGACTACCCGTCTCGTGTGCTTCATCGCCCGGAACTCCAGATACCAGATTCCTTGCCACGTACCGGTTGCCTGTTTGGAGTGCAAGAATTGTCAGCGTTCCCATTGTTCCCGCTCCAGCTCACAGCTGTAATGTTCGGTCGGGTCCACTCACCAGCTTCCCGTCCTTGATCGGCACCGTGACGCTGGCTCCGATCAGCGCGCTCTTGATGTGCGCGGGCATGTCGTCGGGGCCCTCGGCGCTGTGGCGGTACAGGTCCTGGCCCTTGGGGCCGGCCTCGGGGGCGATGCGGTCGAGCGCGTCGCTCATGTCGGCGCGGACGTCGTCGTCCCAGTTCTCGTTGAGGCTCAGCGCGCACGACGTGTGCTGCACGAACAGGTTGAGGAGGCCGACCTGGAGAGTTGCGCCCGGGTTAGCACCACCACCACCACACTGCGCCTAGAACTCACGGCGAGGATGCCGAAAACGGGCCCCGCATGTGCGCGCTTACTTTGTACTGCTTGATCTCCGGGAGCGACTGCACTACATGGTCGGTGATGAGGTAGGACCCTCTCGACTTGGGGGGCAGCGTGAACTGCTTCTGGGACCACGACATGGTTGGTGTGTGGGTGGGCTGCGATGGCGGGGTCGGCGAGCTGGAGGACGCGAACAGGAAGGAGAAGGGAAGCGTGATAATATAGTTGAAGAGCCCGGGAAATAGGCACACGATGAACAGGGTCAGGAAGAGGACACTGCAGAAGCTGTAGTTTGCCGAAGCTGCTGCTGATGACGGCATGGCGATAGTCGTGCAATGAGGTGTGGGCTATTGGCGATTACATAGATGGTGGGGCTATCTGGAGCTTCTGCAGGTGGGAGTATCGGGCCTTCTCCACGCACGGCGGGGGTGCATCCATGAAGGAATGGGATGAATGGGCTGGAATGTTGCTTGACAATGGCACATTGCTGAGGCAAAGCGGATGGATATGATTTTTTTTGGTCTATTAGACACACAACCTTTACTGGCTCATCATCACCTGTGGAACTGGGAATTGCCCAGGGCAGGTACTTTGGTCGCTCTTATGTACAGAATCATTCGCACGTCTATGCACGTCAACGTCTCCTCCCGAGACCATATGCCTCGACCTTCGGTGGGGTTTTACACAGCGTAAGCCGTGGATCTATGCGAGGGGGTAGGACGTCTGCGGTAATGACTCGAGGTGTTCGCGGTGGTGCTCATTGGCCTGATAATAGTTAGCTGACTGTACCCCATATCAGCGGGTTCTTGTGCTTTGAAAACGACCAAGAACCCGCAACCTTGCCCGGGAAAACGTACAAATGGAAGACCGCAGTAGCCGCAGACTGCAATCTCGGCCTTGTCGGTGTTGATGAAGATCCTGGGGTGACCGGCCGGGCCGCCGCCGCCGTCGCATGCGACGACCTTGTCATGTGTCCATCGAACGGGTTGCTTGTGAATGAGCTCAATGGCGGCTTGCGATTGTGGCTATAGTCCTGGTTAGCCCGTAGAAATACCCATCGCGGACCGTGCGTGCTGGCTGACCTGGAGGTCGAAGTCGGTCTGCTCGAAGCGAGGACCGGCCATGGCCTTGGCTCGTGGCCGTTGACTTCTCGACCAGATGCCGGTGCGGTTCGGCGCCTGCTGTAGTCCTCTCTCTTCGTTTTCGGCAAGACCCAGAGAGTCCTCCTCGCTCTTGGCCTCGGGGGTCGTCTCGGCCTTGTGGTGCAGGATGGCCTCCTTGGCCTCGACGGATCGGGGCACCGAAGTCGCGAAGGCCCTCTGGGCAACGCCGGCGCGCTGCGGCAGGCGCAATGCCGTTCTGGCGGCTAGCCGTGGGAGCATCATGTCCGGTCTGTGTTGTGGCGATGAATTGACCCGTCTCGAACGTGTTTGGCCCGATTGACGACGTCAAACTGGCTGGATTGAGGTGTATCCGGTGGTGACGGACGTCGAAGCTCGGGCCAGACCAGAGCTCCGGGATAAACTTTGTTCCTTATCGCATAACTTGCATTTTTCTTTATCGGCCCAGCACTGGGATCTTGTATGTAAGTTGGGCATGTACTGTAGGTACTGCAAGTCACTGTACAGACACCACGGGGCCTTGGAAGTTTGATGGAGGCATGCAATTGAAAGCTGCGGCTCCAAGATAAACACCACGACAACCAGCAACGCTGCCAGCCCTGGAGGGGAAGTCTGGACCTGCGCGCGAGTGCATTCGTGAGCCTGGCGCTGTCGCAGTCTCCCGTCGCGACCCCCCACGTTGACGTCGACGCCTTCATCCAGGATCCGCGCCGCTGTGTTCAACACGGGATACCTTCCGAGCTCAGCTTTAGATTATCTCCTAGACAGCTGCGGCCTGCGACCGGCGACCTGCCCACATAAGAACCCATTGCAGGGTTGTTGCACGTCTCACCACATACATCCCCCTCTGCCACACCCTTTGTCACAGTCACATCGCGTATTGCTTCTTCTTCGCGACAGCTACGTGCTCTGGGATCTCTAGCAAAGATGGCGGCCCAGACGCCCCCGAAGGGCATGTCCTCTAGACTGCTAACTATGAAATTCATGCAACGAGCAGCCGCCTCAACTTCGTCGCCAGCCTCTAGTCCTAGCACTCCAAAGTCAGACGAGTCTTCCTCGAAGCGCCGCAAGATATCCCACGCGACCCCCACCACCACCAAGGACGAGCAGCTTGAGGTGCAATCTCTGGTGGACCAGAAGGCCATTCAGGCTGCTCTCGAAGAGGGCGAACGGAAACGCGAGGAAGCTCTCGTCAAGCATGCCGCGGAGCTCGGCGATGCCAGATGGGTTCTCAACGTGAGCGAGAATACGTCGAGCTCGGGCAGCCAAGCTCAGAGGCCGCTGCAGATAGTCCAGGTGGGATATGCCCAGATCGATGCTCCTGATGCTTCGGAGGACCGGGCAAGCTCAGATGAAGACCCGCTTGGCCGAGTCCAACCGATCCGCCGTTACAACATGGGTAAGAAGAAGGTATGTTACACTTGCCATTGTCGCCTCGCCTATTATTGCCATTCCGTCGGGTGCGTGCGCTCACACTATCACAGGGCGCCATTGAAGCAAATGATTCCGACGACGACGACGACTCCTCTGACTCTGATTCATCCGATGCAAGCACATCCGCAGATGAAGGCCGTGACTCTCGATCGTCACAGGGGAAACGGGATCATGCACGGACAAGCTCGTTAAACAGCAGACGAAGCGCCGAGATAGCCAAAGCAAAAGAATTTGCCGAAAAGAGAAGGAAAAAGGAAATCAAGCTCAATAAGGCAAGGCCCCAGGCCGCGGGCGGCTTGTCATCAATATCCTCAGGAGGCGGCTCGATGTCGATGTCGCTGTCATCCGGAGGACGTCCTCCCCCGCGGCAGGCTGGGTCTTTCTCCTTTGCATGTCACAATTGCGGCGAGACCGGTCACAAAGCTGCTGACTGCAAGAGGCCCAAACAACGCTCTCGGTGAACTCCCGGCTGAAAGGCTCGGCTCTGTTGATACACCGATCTTCCTGCCAAAGTGCTCGCTACCCGTTCTTGAGGGGATCCTAAACGAGGACACGGCAGGAATCTCAAACCCACTCATACCAGGATTTTCCATAAGCCTTTGAGCTGCCGCCGACTGTAGCATGAGAAGTAGGGTTGTCCGTATCCCATCCCGCAATATGTCTCAAGGGACCTTGTCGTCAAGAACGACTCCAACCCCATCCGGCAACTGCGCGGATCGGCAACGAAATCAGGCTCAAAGGGCCATTGCCTCCTAGGGAAGGTTCCTCCTAGCCTGGGGCACACTCGTGAAATTTGATTTTACTCGAGCCGCGCCCGGCGCTGGTCTAACTTGAATCTCTGTGGCTTCCAATTTGCGAATGCCTCCGGCTCCATAGTCGTAGTGAAACCTCCTGAGCGAGAGGTAGCGAAGAGGAACTCTTGACTTATATCATAGCCAATACAACCATAGGCAGAACGGGAGAGAATCGTTTCAATGCATGCAGCCCGTGAGCCCCAGTCACCACCTCGCTCTGGACGCGGGAGAGTTGCCGTCCCGCGCCTCCTATACCCCGGGAAAAGGGCAGAACCAGGGTTGTTTCGCATTTCCAACGCAGCGGATGATGGAACCTCACTGCAATCCCCTGTACAGCAGGTCTCAAAAGCCGGCCGTTTCCGTCCGCCCGGATCTCAACCGAATTGCCAGGAATCCCGACGCAGGTTCCTTTCAAGTATCTGGCAAATTAGCCATGCCATGCAATCTGAAAGACTACCACAAGGGACTGGCAGGTTCGCATCTTGCGGACAGGTTGGTAGCCGAACCTAAGCTGTCTGCCTGTCGCACTGTACCCAACGGTACAATATGCCACTCGTCCATCTGCAATGACACTGCTTTGTTTATGCTGTTACCCGCGCATCTATTATCTTGGCCAGTTGCGATTATGATCCAGTGAAACGACGATCCCTTACGGTCTGCCGTTCTCGACTTGTCCATATTGAAGCTGGTACCATCATTGGCCACACATCTATCATTTATGACAGCGTGTTCCATCAAACACAATGTTTCTGATGAAACTGGCCAGGAATATCACGCCTTAACTTCCATAAGTGCAAGGGCCTTGTTATGAATTCCCGACTCGCTATTAGCAATGGGAGGCTGCTATGATTGACCCCCACAGCTCGGTCAAGACTTTCTGACGAAAGGAGGCACAAAGGTACTCTAGTGATGCCGTTCCAGTCTCTGTAGAGCTCACGGCAAGGATCCCCATACTTCAGTATCCGGCACTAGGACGATGCAACCTTCTAGTCCTGGATATTGAATCATGCTTCCCATCTACGTCACGATGCTTTGCAACGAAGCCATGGAACCAACTTTTGAATACCCACAGGATATATGGCTGCATATTGGTTGGCATTGTGATTGCGAAGGTCGCAGTCGATAGAAGTGATCCGGCGTACCGGACTCACGGTCCCTGCAGTCTGACAAGGGCAAGGCACGGTACCGTCCCCTTTCGCAGTGATGGCTGTTGACCGAGCTGGTGTAATCCCTGTCAATTATTTGCTACCCTGCTAGTATAGTACTATACTTGGATCGGAGCGCATTAAGTGGATCAGTGCGTTTTCGTCAGCATCTAGCTATATCCGGGACCACTCTGGGAGCTTGTCGTCAGCTCTGTGAAGATTTTGTCTTCTTCTGACAGTCACTGGAACTACCTAGTCAGGGCTGTAGCGAGCATATGGAGGCGTTCTGCACAAGCACCCTTGAGGCCAGCTGCACTGACGAAATCGGATTGATCTGCCCGAAGAACCAGCCCAGTTGGGATGTCTCGTGTCAGTGGAGAGTCGTGAATCGGGCAACACCTGCCGCAGCGGCTGCGGCTGCGACCCATAGTTCATGTATGTTGTATGCAATGGACGAGGATGGTGGGGGACGACGGGATGTGATGAAACCTGAGAACTAATCAGACACGACTCGAAGGCATGCTTCCCGAATACGCTTCTGCCTCAGCCAAACGGACGGGACTTGGGGCGATCCAAAGTTCTGGTCAGGCAAGCTACGGAGCCCTGCACTATTGATTCCCTATAGTCATGGTGGGGCGGCGTCAGGCAATGGGGCTTGAGCGGAAGCCGTGTCGTGGGTTTCATGGTCCTGGGCCCTTCTGTTTCCAGATGTTGTGGAGACGGTAAGTGATTTCGGCGCAGGTCTGCTGCCGGCCTTGCATGCCAATGGAATGCTCAAGAACTCTGTATCAATAGTTGCACTTCTATTACGGGCGTTGCGCGTCGAGTAGCGTGCCTCACACGCCGAAGGCCATTGGCCCACCACCACCACACTGGGTAACTGACTGACGGCTGGGCAATGCCTTAACTAGGTACCTAACTTACAGTACTATGGCAGTGAGGCAAATCCAGCCCCCGCGAGACTTCCCTTACCTTGACAGTACCGGACCAGAGATCCCCGACATCAGAGAGCTTTCTCCACGGAGGTCCAGGACCACGAATGTCCCGAGGTCTTTCGGGAAAGAAGAGCCCATCCTGATGCCGACAAACGACAATGCCGTGCATCCTGCGTCGCCTCTCGCGATTCATGTGGGCTGGAAAGAACCCTGACTTTTACAAGGGCGCCCCCAACCCAACTCCGTATACAACCTACAGTACCTTATACACACCAGCGCCGCGCGAGATGCCGAGGACTATTATACGGTACACTAGTTAGTCCGTGACTCAGGTCAGCATCGTTTCCAACCCGGCCCCGCATAAAATGATGCGGATAGATGACAATGCAGCACTTGGCACCGTCACAAGATCCGTCGTAACTTGGAGCGGTACAGTGACTGACAGATTCTCCTCTTACTAAGCCAGAGATTTGACCTCTTCTACGGACTGTGTGGTCAGTCTTCAGAGCCGAAAGTTAAACATGCCATCCCGACAGCGGACGTGATTTGGAGCTGATGCAAATCCACGAACCACAGGACAGGTGTTGAAGTCGCACCGCATAGACATGATATTCCTGATCAAGGAGGATTGCGCACGTGTCACGCCGTAGCACCTCAGGACGATGGCAGTGCTTTTTTTTTTTTTCGGTTCTTTTTTTTGGCTCGACATCTTGAAACACAATCCTACACTCCTACCAGACTTGCACGTCGGGCTTGACTCGCCTCTTTCATCATTGCAGAATTAGGACCGCGGACGTGAGTGACCTCTGCTTCTGGCCTTTTTTTTGCACACGGCGGCCAGATACCTTGAACGTGTCGCAGTCATCTGAACTTTTCGTCTCAACTCTGGACCCTGGACCAATATCACCGGCGCTTATTCCCCTGCACGCATGCGCCTGTTGCATGCAGACCGCCAGAGAAAATTGTTCCTCCACATTCGAGAAGAGCAGACAAGACACATGCCTCGAATGGCCAGGGCCTTGATGCCACGCATTGGCCATAACACCTCATAAGCTACTGTGGTAGATTTCAACTGGGATCTCTGGCTTTATTACCTTTAGGCTGGGTCTGGCTCTCGTCTCAAGCCTCTGTTACCACGCAGACGGGCCGCAGGTTGCACGGCGCACGCCGAGTCGATCATTTCGCCCATCCCGTGGTACTCACCCGTTAGGCTTCGACAGGTACGTACGTGTACCATAGTACATCAGAACCTTGGCAGGCATCAGTCACATATCATAAACCCCGGCTCTCATCTTTGCATCCCCGGTCCCAATATTGATGGGGCTGCTGCTGGTTAATGCTCCGAGAGAAACATTCCTTCTCAACGTTCCCAAAGGGTTGTTAGTAGGAAGGCATTATAGCAGATCGCGGTTGCAGCGTAGCTTCTCGAAATCTGGACCCCCTGGCTCCACCCTCAAGGTTCTGAGAAAGCTACCTAGGTGTCGGTCTAGAGAGGACCTGGCTTTCTGGGGTTGGGCACCTCTCGAGTGCCGTGAAGTCGGAGCTGCAGCTCAGCTTCGCTTAGTACTTAATCCCAGCACGGGTTCGCATGCGAGAGCAAGAGCTCAAGTCAAGATTTCCCTGTTAACCTGTAGAGCTGCTTTCCTTCCCGACTCCCTACGAAAAAGGCACCGGTTTCTGCTTCAGGGGCAGCAGCGGCGTATTATAAGTTCCCCCATCGCCGGATATACCTAGTCTTACAAGCTTCTTCACTTACCGAGCGCTACGCTGGGCGTGGGTACATGCTCCGATAGCTCGCTCTTCATTATCACAGTCACACAAAGTCACATTTGCTCTATACTACACAAATCAGATCCGACGATCGGAAGATTCTACACCGACTCTCTCCTGAAGTGCGACGTCCGCAATAAGCAATCATCAACCCGCAATCCGACCGAGAGGTGTGATACGACGATATTCTCAAGCGGACGACGAATCTATATGGGGGCTTCACCAATATACTGATCAGACCAGCCCTTGAAGGGAGACGCGATAGGCCAAGCCACCCAAAAGCAATCAGCCTTCTCTCTTTGGCTCTGGAGCAACCCCCAGAGCGAGTGTCCCGAGGGTTCCATCGCGGCAAGACGACAAACGGGGACGAGATTGGAGGACGTTAAGACAACTACCTAATAAGGCTGCTTCGGTGGCAAGGACTCTGGCCCAGCCGCAGCCGCACTGGTGTCTGATCTGATCTCGCTTGCCGCAAATCACCGTCCTGTACCGTGCTGCACAGCACCTACCTCGGCGCGCGGGATACGTTCATTAAGGTTCTCGACCCAGAGATCCCCTTCACCCTTGGCCCTTGGCCCTTGGTGATACCCAGTTAGCGCGCTCCACACGCCCCAGTGGTCAGGCTGGTGGTCAGCACAGACCCCAATACGGCCAGCTACCAGGCATATCCACAGCCGCATCTCCCAACTATTCGTTCGCCGCTGCTTGGCTAGTACGGCGTCGTCCCCCACTACCTGACTGACCTAGACCTACCAGAGGGGCCCGCCGACCTGCGTTCTTGTGTCAAGTCTTGTCTCGTGTCTCTGACTTCCAAGCTCCGGGGCCTCCTCTCGTCGACGTCAACAAAGGGTTCATTTTTGAGAAGAGGTACGACTGCAGCCCACAAGACGAAAGACGAAGACGCACGACCATGCCTCCCGCCGCCAAGGTCCCGAACGGGCACGACGTCACCATGCCGCGGGACAAGAGCGCCGCTGTCGAGAAGGTCACAGATCAGCTGGAGAAGCCCTCCCTGGACGATCGGTCCTATCGTGTCATCCGCCTGCCCAACCAGCTGGAAGCTCTGCTCGTCCACGATGCCGAGACGGACAAGGCCAGCGCCGCCCTGGACGTCAACGTGGGCAACTTCAGCGACGAGGACGACATGCCTGGCATGGCCCATGCTGTAGAGCACGTAAGTGTTTGCGAGAGGTGACAATTGGGGCTTTGGAGCTGCCTTGCTGACAGAAATGTACCCCCTAGCTCTTGTTCATGGGCACCAAGAAATACCCAGTCGAGAACGCATATAACATATATCTTTCATCACATTCAGGCCACTCGAATGCGTATACCGGCGCCACGTCGACCAATTACTTCTTCGAGGTCGGAGCTAAGCCTGCCAATGACGGCGACCTGTCTGAATCCAATCCTTCGCCGTTGTACGGAGCCCTGGACCGCTTCGCCCAATTCTTCATCGAGCCCCTGTTCCTCTCTTCGACCTTGGATCGCGAGTTGAAGGCCGTCGATTCCGAAAACAAGAAGAATCTCCAGAGCGACCAATGGCGGTTGCACCAATTGGAGAAAGCCCTCTCGAACCCCAAACACCCATATTGCCACTTCTCGACAGGTAATTTCGAAGTTTTGAAGACGGAACCCGAGGCGCGGGGGATCGACGTTCGTGCCAAGTTCATCGAGTTCCACGCAAAGCATTACTCTGCCAACAGGATGAAGCTTTGTGTGCTTGGAAGGGAACCGCTTGATCTCCTCGAGAAGTGGGTGGTCGAGTTCTTCTCCGCGGTCCCCAACAAGGACCTGCCGCAAAACAGGTGGGAGACCGAGGTACCTTATCCGAAGAGCCTCCTGAGCACGCAGGTCTTTGCCAAGCCCGTGATGGATTCGAGAGAGCTGAATCTGTCCTTCCCTTTCCTAGACGAGGAGTACGAATATGAGTCCCAGCCGAGCCGGTATATTAGTCACTTAATCGGCCACGAGGGGCCTGGCAGCATTATGGCGTACATCAAGTCCAAAGGATGGGCCAATTCTCTGAGTGCTGGTGCCTACCCGATCTGCCCAGGGACACCTGGTATTTTCGACTGCCAAGTTCGGCTGACAAAGGAAGGTCTGAAGCACTACAAGGAAGTCGTGAAGGTCTTCTTTCAATACGTTGCGCTTCTGAGGGAGACGCCGCCTGAAGAGTGGATCTTTGAGGAGCAGAAAGGCATGGCTGATGTGGACTTCAAGTTTAAGCAGAAGACACCAGCCAGTCGGTTTACAAGCAAGATCGGCTCCGTCATGCAGAAGCCCCTCCCGAGAGAGTGGCTCTTGAGTGGGCAAAGCCGCTTGCGCAAGTTCGACCCAAAGCTCATCGCAAAAGGAGTTGAGCACCTGCGCCCGGACAACTTCCGGATGACCATTATCTCCCAGGACTTCCCCGGCGACTGGGATCAGAAGGAAAAGTGGTACGGCACCGAGTACAAGGCCGAGAAGATCCCAGATGATTTCCTGGCCGAGATCTCGGAAGCAGCGAAGGGTGCCGTCAAAGATCCGGCGCTGCATCTCCCTCACAAGAACCAGTTTATCCCTACTAAACTGGAGGTTGACAAAAAGGACGTAAAGGAACCGGCAACGGCACCTAGGTTGCTTCGAAATGACGACCTCGCGCGGACGTGGTTCAAGAAAGACGACACTTTCTGGGTCCCCAAAGCAAACTTGATCGTCAGCTGCAAGAACCCGGTGATATATGCTTCGGCCGAAAACTCGGTCAAGGCGAAGCTGTTCACCGATCTCGTTCGGGATGCATTAGAAGAGTACTCCTACGACGCCGAGCTTGCTGGGTTGCAGTATAACGTTACGCTCGACTCTCGTGGACTGTTTGTGGAGGTTGCCGGGTACAATGACAAGCTACCAGTTCTGTTGGAGCAGGTACTTCTTACCATGCGAGATCTCGACGTTAAGGACGAGCGTTTCGACATCATCAAAGAGCGGCTAACCCGAGGTTATCGCAACTGGGAGCTGCAACAGCCTTTCACACAGATTGGCGACTACGTTTCTTGGCTTACTGCCGAGCACGACTACGTCGTGGATCAACTGGAGGCTGAGCTCCCTAGCATTACTGCCGACGACGTTCGGCACTTCCACAAACAATTGATGTCCCAGATGCATATTGAGGCATATGTGCACGGCAATCTCTATAAGGAAGATGCGCTGAAGCTGACCTCGATGGTCGAGAAGATCCTCAAGCCTAGGGTGCTTCCGAAGGATCAACTGCCTATCCTCCGATCGATGATATTCCCTCCTGGCTCCAACTTCTTGTACAAGAAGACCTTGAGGGACCCTGCGAACGTCAATCATTGCATTGAGTACTACCTCCACATTGGGAGCAAGGGAGACCGCATGATCCGGGCGAAAACGCAGTTGCTCGATCAGATCATCCACGAACCTGCATTTGACCAACTCCGCACCAAGGAGCAGCTTGGGTACATCATCTTCAGTGGGCTGCGCGGTTGCTCGACCACTTATGGTTTCCGATTCATCATTCAAAGCGAAAGAACTTCCGAGTACCTGGAGTCTCGGATCGACTCATTCCTGACTCAGCAGCTGGAAACGCTCTCGAACATGACTGATGCCGATTTCGAAAGCCACAAGAGGAGCGTCATCGTCAAGCGGCTGGAGAAGCTGAAGAACTTGGACCAAGAGACAGGCAGACACTGGGCCCAAGTGTCTAGCGAGTACTACGACTTTGAAGCCTGTAAGTTTTATTATCACGGCAGTCGGAAGCCATGAGCGAAGCGGACTAACACATGATATAGCACAAGAAGATGCAGCGGCTGTGAAGCTTCTGACTAAGTCTGACATGATCGAGTTCTACACTACATATGTCGCCCCTACCTCGCCGGCGCGGGCCAAACTCGTAGTTTACCTCATCGCGCAGGGCGTCAGCGACAAAACGAAGGATGCCGCCGTAACGGACGGTGAGATCCAGCAGGTCCCAGGAAACGGTACCGAACCCTACATCGTCGAGGACGTCAGGGTTTTCAAGTCAAGACTGGTGGCGAGCGCGGGAGCCCGCCCGTTCAAAGAACTGAGCGAGTTCGAAGACTCGGACGCGAAGCTGTGAGGAGTTCCGGGCGCCACACATCCAATTTCTACCTCGACGTAATCTCATGGTCTGCGCATGGCGTTGGCGTTGGCGTTGGCGTTGGCAGATAGGGAGAGACATGAGCATATTTTACCCCCGGGGCATTGTTTTCAAACGCGTGGGTTGTTGAATTACGACTTTTAGGTTGTTACTAGCGGTACTCGAACGAGAGACGAGGCAACGGAAATGCAGCGACAGGGAAAGATGATGAATCGTCAACGGTCAGAGGGAGAAATCATGAGAAAATGCCCTAGGGACGAGAGAACTGGAAACCCACCCGGAATATGCTAGACCAGACGCAGTACGCACCCTCTAGACCGAACCCATCAGCCTTAGATAGAGCAGGACTGTGAGGCGTTGAATAGAAGTTCTTGCAAGTATCTGGCTCGGTTACACCCCCGGTTTGTGAAACTGTTATACTAAGAGCAGCAGTTCTCTCAACTGTTTAGTGAACGTGCAGGATAGAGACAGAAGCAGTACGGAGCAATCGGTCTCACATTGTTCTACGCATGCCTGCTTTCTAGCTTTCCATGAGCACTTGGCTGATAGTAGTGTAGTTTTGATATGATTGGACATGTTTCACACATGAGTAGTCAACGTTCAAGACTATTCGAGGTAAATCTACTGGGCAAGGTGTTCTTGTGGATGAAGACAATAAAACTGGCTGCTTTCTGATATGCCTGGATGCAGTCCCACATGCTGTGTAAAAGAATGCTGAGCTTTGACACACACATACATGTCTGCCGTTGTGTTGCATTATCAAGGCAGTCAGACGGACCAAATGTAAACCTTGGAACTTGGTACACACCTGCATGCTCTCGGGTGCTGCCTTCCCCCTGTATTATTGAAAGAGATTTTTCAAGGGGCCCCACAGACGGGGTTCATGACGTGAAGGCCCTATGAACTCTAAACGTGAGAAGCCGGCCGGGGGCTTGTTGCCTCTAGCGGGCGTGTGGCACAAAGGCTGTACGCTTTCCACAGTCAATGACTCTGAGCAGATGTTTCTTTGGTAAGTCATTTGCATAGGTGACAAATGGGTGGAAAGCATGGACCAGGAAGGTATAGTCGTCAGAGTAGAGTGCATCCACTGCGCAGCAGTATAACAACAGCAATCCGGTGGGACCCGTTGGTGCACCGCATCCAGCAATCACGATTTGGGAGGAAGAAAAAAAGATCACACATGTATATGTAAGGTAGTCAGCAAGGACGGAAGGGGACATCTGCTGCCGCTTTGACTGGCTGAACCACAGGAAGCGCACGGTTCACCGACCCAAGCCGCTATTTTTGGCGAGAGGCGGCGGCATGCAATTTTTGTGCCACCATCCAAGGAAGACCTGATCGACATCATCAGGAAGACAGAAAAAAAAAAATCACTACTCACCGCAGCTTGCTCGCCTGGTTCGACCTTGGACCATTGCAATCTCGCGCTGATACCGCTGGTGAAGACGCAGCCGACGAGGTCAAACATTCAGCACTAGGCAACGGCGTAGAAACGTCACCAAAAGCCGTCCACGGGTGCGTCTGTGTCGGAGTTTGTCACGCGTCCTGGTTTCGGGTCCAGTAGCGAAAAGGTACAGGCCAGTTAGTGAGCAGTGGTAGCAGAGCGGTGCTAGGTAAGTTGAGGCAGAGCCCCAAAGGCCCCCCGTCTCTGCCCATCTGACAAGCCTAATCCCCCACCATCGGCGAGTTTCTACGCCGCTAAGCTCCCCCTGCCCTGCGCTGCCCTGCGCTGCCCTCACCTTACGGCCAACCGCAACTGCACTGACCGACAAGCCGAATTGAGCGACCCGACTGACTGACTGACTGACGGGCTGGACAGACCACCCTCCACGATCTTCTCTTTTGTTTCTTGGCCCTCCATGTCAGAAACGTGAGGAAGCACCAGGACGGAACCCTCACATTGCTAGACCAGCATCCGCATTTTGACACGTACTCCCCCAGAGCTGCGTTTGCAGCTCGTCGCCAAAACGTCTTCCCAAAAGAAACGGAAGATCGCTACGTCGAGGCGCTCCCCACGAGAAACCCACTCCCCGGACGACCCCCTACCCTCGCTGGAGGTCGACGACAACCCAAACTTCAGCTTCACCTCGTCCACCTTGGAACCCTCGTCCCCCGCGTCGGGCGTCCCGCCGAGACTGCTGCACGCCGGCACCAGCGCCCTCACCTCCCACCCCGACTACGCCAACTCGGCCGCGAGCTCCCCCGCCGGCGTCGCCGACTTGTCCATCCAGGACCAGGGCGGGGACAGTCCGACCAGCTCGTCGCTGTACGTCGCAAAGCCCAGCTACCACCGCACCATTATGGGCGGTGCTGCCGATTTTCCAGAGCGTGCCTCGTCACCATTGAAGCGGAGGGCGTCGAGCATGGACCCCGAGGCCGAGGCCGAGGCCGGCGCAAGCGAGGACGTCGACATGGTCACGGCACCGGCACCGGCACCGGCATCAGAGGCAGCCGCCTCGGACGCCGTAATGGAGGTATCACCCAGCGAGACGGCGGAAACTCAGGTCGATGGTGCCCAAGGGGCTATGAGTCCACCAGAGTCCATCGAGGCCCACATCAAGTCTATAAGGACCTTTTGCGAAGAGTTCGAGGGCCGGCGTCTCGAGGACGGCGATGAGGCATTCATTGTGTCGAGAAAATGGGTGGAATCAGTCACTGGGAACGGCAAGAACGCAAAGGAGGCGCCGGATGCAGCGTCCATCCGGCCGGTGGACAACTCCGATATCATCTGGGAAGTCCTGGACGATCCTAGCGCCCTCTCAACTACAGATCTACACAAGAAGAAGTTTGTACGGCTGAAGCCAGGCATTGGCCCTGAACACTACAACGCCTTCCCTCCCACGGCCTGGGAGCTTGTCATGCAATGGCCCGGTCTCGCTGCGGGGCAGATACCCATTCGTCGGACGGCCCACGCGACCAGCGACAACGAGTTCGACCCGAACGTTCAACTCGAGCTACACCCACCTGTCTTCACTATCCATAGGTTATGGTCACCGAACAGTCCCATCCCGATCAAGCAGATCATCAAGAGCCAGCAACCACCGCCAGTCCGTTTGGCACGCAGTCGGACCTGCCTATGGAAGAACTTCCTCCTCCACTGCAAATATCACACCAACATCGACAGGACGAGGAAGGTTCGGGTATGGAGAATACCACGAAAGCTCCCCACCATTGGCCCAAGTGGTAGTGCCGATGCCAGTGCGGCCCCGACGCCTCCGGCATCGCCCCCGGCTTCTGACCCGAGCAACCCGCAAGACTCTTGGCCGCATTTGTTGCTTGATGTTGCTACTTTCCGTGAGCTGGACGATCCCGCTGATCGAGAGAAGGTCGAATTCCGAGATGTCACGGTGGACGACAAGTACAACGGCCACATGGACCTGGGCAAGCTGGCACTGTCTACCGATCAGGCAATTGTGCTTGACGAGCACATTGATGGCACCGACTTTGTGTCTAACTTTTCCGCGTCGAAGGCCTCACAGAATCTCCCTGTTGCTCGTGCGAGCTCTACTAGTCTTGCTGTAAATCGCAACAACAGAAGCGGCAGAACCAGCCCTGCACCATCTGGACCACTCACCCGGGGTCGCGCACAGAAATCCGGGAGACAGATCGGCTGTGTAGGACTGGGTAACCTCGGGAATACATGCTACATGAACTCGGCTCTACAATGCGTCCGCAGCGTGGAGGAGCTTACCAAGTATTTCTTATCGGGAGAGTGGGAAGGCGAGGTCAACAAGGACAACGTTCTGGCTCACAACGGTGATGTAGCCGCAGCCTACGCCTATCTCCTGAGAGATATCTACAAGGACCCTCCGCCCAATTCAGTCACCCCTAAGCACTTCAAAAGCACGCTTGGACGCTATGCGCCCGCGTTCTCGGGCTACGGCCAGCAGGATTCCCAGGAGTTCGTCGGCTTTCTCTTGGATGGTCTACAAGAGGACCTCAGTCGCGTGAAGAAGAAGCCATACATTGAAAAACCAGACTCTACAGATGAGATGATCAATGACCCCGAGGCCATTCGTGAAATGGCTGAAAAGGTTTGGGACATCACGAAGCAAAGAGATGACTCGGTCATCGCCGATCTGTTCACTGGCCTCTACAAGTCAACACTAGTATGCCCCGACCCCAACTGCGCCAAAGTCAGCATCACGTTCGATCCGTTCAACAGTCTTAGTTTGCCGTTGCCAATCGAAAACAAGTGGGCGCATACCATTAAGTTCTTCCCCTTGAACGACAAGCCGGTGGACATCAGAGTAGAGTTGAACAAGTCATCGTCTATCAAACAGCTCAAGGAATTCATTAGCACTCGGACGGCTGTCCCTGTCGAGAGACTCCACGGTGCCGAGGAGTGGAAGTGCAAGTTCTACAAGCAATACCCCAACGGAGCTTGCGCCTCTGAGGAAATTGGCAGTAGTGATAATGCCTGCTTTTACGAGGTTGAAGCCGTGCCCACAAACTGGAACTCGCCCGAGTCTAAGAAGCTCGAGCACGCCGCCTCTAAGGGTCGACGCTCTCTTCTCGATGAGGCTGAAGATCCTGGTGCAGAGGTACTCGATGCCATGCTTGTCCCAGTCATCCACCGCGCCACAATCAAGGCTGGTTATGGCCAGCCACGCCAACAATTTGCCCTGGTACCTCACTTCATCATTGTGAATCCCGAAGAGGTAATGCATAATCACCTGGAAATCATGTCCGTGTAACTAACACCGAAACAGTCACGAGATGAGGATGTCATACGCCGAAAGATCCTGCAAAAAGTAGCAACCTTCACGAAGCACGAGGTCTTTGCCCGGCAAGAGGAATCTGATGCGTCAGACTCCACAGATTTCGCGACTGCTGGCTCTGATAGTTCCAACGATGGCAAGGTTGTGGCGCAATCCGTAGAGGGCGAGGACGATATTGTCGACGTGACTATGAAAGATGCCTCCGAAACAAAATCTTCCCAGGAGACATCGACTCAGCAAGCGTAAGTGATCACATAGTCGTGACATTGAGAATACTACTAACATGTCGTAGGCCTGCTAAATATCGTTTCAACGACGCCGTGCCTGCTTGGGTGGATTCCAAGGAGTATCTACCGGCGGATCTGCAGAACCTCTTTGAACTGAGCTACTTTTCAGAGAGCGGCTCCCTCCTTGCTAATGGGATGAACGCAGCCCACGAGACGACGGAGTACCCCAAGCTATCCTCCAGAGCACCGGAACCAACCGCATCAGATGATGCCGGCGACAGTGGGACGAACGGGACAGCATCGAATGATGAGGACAGCTCGGACGAGGTTCCTCGCCGCAGTTCCGAAACACCACCAACGAGGATGAACGCGGAGAGCGAAGAGGAGGACGGCCCGCCAGTCGTCAAGGTACGCCGACACCCTGCAATCACCAGCAGATGGACAAATAGGGGTTTTCTCCAAGTCGCAGTCCAGCGACGCGATCGCATGAAGTCACTGACACAACCACAGATCCCGCACAGGCCCAAGAACAAGCCGAATACCAAACCTAATAATGGACAGAAAAAGATGAAGGCCCACAAGAAATATGGTAAGAAGGGCTCGAAACGACTCCAGCGTCAGGCAGCTGCACTGAGTCGCAAGCAACAAGCTCATCAAGATTTGCTCGACGCTCGCTCACCAGCTGACACAGAGGACTCCGGCGCTGATGGTGGCCCTCTCATTCGCCTGAGAGAAGGTATCGTCGTTGACTGGGTTGAAGATGCCTTCAACGCCCTGTTCGATGGAGAAATGGGAACTTTCAAAGATTGCCAGACTCTCAAAGACGCAGAGCTGGAAAGAGCACGAGAGGCTCGTAACAGGCGAAAGAAGCACGGCATTTCGTTGGAAAACTGTCTGGACGAGTTTGAGCGCGAAGAGGTGCTATCAGAGAATGACACGTGGTACTGCCCTCGTTGCAAGCAGCACCAGCGTGCATCGAAAAAGTTCGACCTATGGAAGACACCTGACGTCTTGGTTGTGCATCTGAAGAGATTCAGCTCTAGCGGCTGGCGCAGAGACAAGCTAGAAGTTCTGGTTGATTTTCCCATTGAGGGCTTAGACCTCACCGAGCGCGTGCTCCAGAAGGAGGATGGTAAGACGGAAGTCTATGATCTGATCGGAGTCGACTGCCACTGGGGAGGCTTGGGAGGTGGCCACTACACGGCACACGCCAAGAACTTCGTCGACAACCAGTGGTACTCCTACAATGGTAAGTGGATCTCAATGACCGTGGCTTGTATGATAACTAATTGAACACCTCAGACTCCTCCGTTTCCAAGGCGAACACCGATAGAATTGTTGACACATCGGCCTACTTACTCTTTTACCGACGCCGCTCTGACGTTCCCCTGGGTGGGCCGCGCTTCAAGGAGATCATCGATGCCTATGACAACCCTGCTTCAGACGAGGAATTGACCGATGCGGGGGAAGGACGGCGTCTCGACGAGGGCTCCTCCCCAGTTGGGTCGTCGAGCGCATTCCCGGAAGGAGCAGGAGCTACTCGCCAGCGCCAAGTCGGAACTCATGGTGGTAGAGTGCATGGTTCCAACGGTTATGAGACCAAGAGTGATGACGGAGTCCAGCGCTTGATCGACCCCGTTCGGCAGAGCATCGAAGAGGATGAAGGAATCGATGTGACAGAGAACCCTGGTAACAGTAATTCGGTTATGGGACCTACATGGAGCTTCGACATGATCCAGAACATGAACGGCGACGGAGCCCCTGGCAGCCCAGCCGCCTCAGGCGCGGCAACGGATGAAGCTCAGCACGATTCTTCTGGAGACGAAGTATTTGGACCTCAAGATGCCGATACGGAAATGGATAACATCCCTGGCGTTAGCCACATTGAGCTCCCAGCAGCTCCGGGACCCAATCCACCTCCTTACGAAGAGCTTCCTCCACCTGACTACAGTGGAGGATTCTCGAGGGATGAAATGACACGTGTTTGGGACGCCAAGGATGGGGTCCATGAGGTCCCAGCAGAAGGCGAGCAGGACCAACGCTCTGAAGAGGCAGCAGAAATTCATCTCGACGACGATGGGAAGAAGCTAGCGTAGGAGGCTTCCAGTCTTCTCAGGTCGTCCATTACGAACCCTTCAGTGACACCTAGCATGACTTCTGACAGGGTCGAAAGCTCACCGACAGTTCGACCTCCATTCATGAAACGGGCTTCCACGCCGTTGTCGGATGTAGATATGATCGACGTAAGCATCGGTGATCATGTCGGACGACGAAATTCAGCCTGAGCAGGGTCTTCGCAACTAGAGATGGGGTTGTGAGCCAGGTTGATGGAGGGGGCAACCCTCAGTTGTGCACATACGAGGGCACGCACTTAGAGATAGACCAAACCCGGGTGGGTTTTGGAACAAGCCGCTCGTGACTATGATACTTGAGACGACGAATCATGTAGAATTACGGCATGACATGAAAAAGCGGATTCAAGGGGTTGGGGGAGCAGCACTTCGGCGGCATTTACAATGGCATGGCCCAGATCGATCTGGGCAACCGGTGTTGATGTGAGATTCTGATAGACTGACGGAAGAAATGCATGGCGTTACGATTTCTATCTTGCACTGCGATCGTCAATGTTCTTGTCCGATGTGAAAGACATGCAAGCAAGTGGTCATGTCATCAAGTGACGAGACGCTGAGTCCCGGCAAACAGCTATTCGTATTCAGTGGTGACCCAGAAAGAATCTTCTGAGAAGTAATTCTTTACTTGTGCAAATCTACTCTGACACTCAAGTCATGGGGTGTCATGTAGTGAAGTAGTCCAAATGCATCTGTGCGTACGACTAAAGTTGTTGACAGTTCTCTGAAAGCGATTGTCGGTCTTCCAGTCTTATACTCAACCGATAGTCCCGAGTTTTCCGAGTGGAGAACTGTGGCATCAACTCCCTAGGTGCTAGGCAGCCTCCCCACTGACGGCCTCCGGGATCAACTCTCCATTCCCTCCAACACACGATCAACCCCTACAGTAATCAACACCGACTATCCTGCAGGGTATGCGGAACTCCTTTTAATTGCGTTTCGCCCTGCGAAAGGTAATTGCCGCTTCCCTCTTCGGGCTAGGCCAGAGCCAAGGTCAATAACATCCACCAATGTCACATCCATACCTCAAGTCCGACCATGTTCTCATCATTGCTGAAGTACGTGAATAACATTGCTCTCGGGGCTGAAAACCGATCGGTGAGCAAATATCTCGATGAGGCCACCTGTGGTAGGTGACCTGCCGCACCAGCCGTTCGCTCGAACTATCTAACATCAGGAAAGACTCAGTGTCTGCCGACCTAGGACGGGTTCTCTCTCCTCAGCTAGGAGGGTGGAGGGAGCAGGAACTTCTACAAGCCACATTTGACAAGTTCTGCTACGAAGGCTCATCACAACAGAAATGTAACTGTCGCCTTTTGGTTAGATGAAACACCTTCTCACAAAACAGCAGACTGGAACGATGAAAGCTTCAGGAAACATGTCCGAAGCAGGCATTCTGTCGGAGCAATGTCCGACGCCGCGATCCAGCTTCTCTGGCTAAGCTTCCATTTCTACGCCTATCACCCATTCCCTCGTGGGATCCAGCACGCACGTCGACTTCGATGCCTTTCAACGGGCAGTTCTGCTCACCGTCTGCCAAGGCGACTGTCTCCTCGGCACCCGCGAGCTCGACTGGTTCTGGCAAAACGATGCTGCCTTCTTTCGCAGGGCCGGCTTCGAACGAATCTTCAGAAGCATTGCAGCGCCAGAGACTACAACCGGGACGGACCCGTCGAAGCAGCAGACTGGCATGACGTCCTCCTTGAGCGATACGATGGATGTTTTGGTCATGGTCGGACCTCAATTCATGCACGCAATGCCCTCGCCGGCGAAGCTTGAGCCTGTGGCGCGGAGGCTGTTCGCTGAGCGGTCTGTTGTAGGGCGGAGAGCAGCGACACGGGATGAGGTATCGACCTTGGTGAGCCTGTTGCTGCGACTGAGGTTGGAGAAGGAGATATGGGGCTTTTTCTATCATCTCGGCGATATACTGGAAGCCGGTCCGGAAGATGAAAGGTTGACGGAGGCCATGGTCAATAGTTTGGCAGCGAATGAGAGCCAACAGACCATATCGTCGGAGTGGCTTCTCAGAGCAGTAGACCTGATGGTGAGTCTATTCTTGTTTCAAAGCCCCAAAGAGCGGTTCGCGCTGATATATTGTAGCCTAACCTTCGGTTGCGGTTCCACCAGCTATGGGCAGTTTTGTTCCAACCTTTAGAAGCAACTGATAAGGCAAGATCGTCCCAAGTGCCCAGAACGATGTCAACTCATCCTGATGGAGCTACTTCACTCTTTGCACCCTGCATCACGATCGAAAATGGAAACCGGCAGATAAAATACGAACAAGACACAAGAATCACTTTAGAGGAGGTACACATCTCGCCAGGTCCAGAAGATATGGCACTGAGTCGTTTGACACAGTGCCTCTCCCACCATTCATCGGCACACGTCGTGTTGTTCACTAGTGACGCATCTGCGGCGACTTTAAGGATAGTCATAGGCGCCTATATCCCCGATGATCCACACAAGGGCGGTGCTGAAATGGCGGACAAGAAGTGCGAGTTTCGAGACGATACTTCACTTGTGCTTTTTCAACTCCAGCCCAGATTCCGCCTTTTACAGAGGGCTAACTCTGGAATACATCTTTCTCAACTAATAAGAACAGGAGAGATAAAGGTCGCCGTTGAAGAATCTGTGACGACTACGGATCCTGAGTTATTGAATACTCCTTATTGGATCGGGAATCCTTCGGGTCAAGGCACAGGTCTTAGGATTGACCCCAGGAAGAACACAGCTACGCTCATTTGCGGCGACGAACGATGTGACATGGAATTGAAAAAGGGTGTGAACACTGAACCCGCTAATCACGGGGATATTACGATCCAAAATGCGCGGATGTTCATCTTTATGGTGGCACCCGTTGTGGACCGCAGAGATTGACAATGCCTTCAAGCATAGAGTCAAATCGGGTGTTCGCACTTATTTTGATCCATCGAAGGAATATGTCTATTGATGCCTGGCTCCTATGTTGCTCGATCGCCCCGGAAGATTCAGTACACCATTGGTTCACGATCGGCAAGATATCACGCCAACTTAGCCTAGCCACCAACAGCGAATATCCATGAAGAGGTCTTGGGTGCTGTGGGACTCCCTCTTAAGCATATTTCAGATCTGATCAAGGTGCACCAAAGACGAATACTGGTGATTGAGTATGCAAGCTTGGCAGCATGAGTGGATTGGACACTGGAACGCTCAACGTCGTCAAACCTGTGGCTAGAACCTCTGGCTCCAGATGTTCTAAGGAGAGAGTATGTTTGTTGTGTTGGATTGAACAGAAATGCCGTCGTGGTCTCGATCTGCCATTATGCCAATTTCAGTCCCGGCATCCGCAGCGTGGACGGTCGAGAATGGGTCAGCTATTCAACAAATAAACGTCCCAAGAGGGTGAAGCACATGATGCTAAAGTCACACCAGTCGACATCACTTGCTAGATCAGAGCTTGAGACTTCTCTTCTACACCACATCGAGCTACCTAGGTTTTCGTAGGCGCCGAGAGACCTTGAAAATTGAAAATTTGGCGGCCAAGACCCTGATTTGCTAAGGCCTATCTTGAGAGATCACTTGGACTGATCATTCAATCGAGGATAGATGCAAGAAACCATGGTCGTAGAAAACGCATGGCGCAAAACTGCGTGCTGAAAATGTGCTGTCACCGGCGATGGTGGTATGGTAAAGAGTAAGGCCAGAGCGCGGTGTAGAATTTGGATACGTGAAGCCAGGTCTTACGGCAAACACGCGGTAACATCGTGGTCAGGAACTTCCCTGGGGGTTTTGCAGTGAACAGCAACACAGAGGTCGTATATCTTTACCAGCTGGCCGATCTTGAGGTATCGGCAGTAAACATCTCCTTTGAATATCATTCTGCAGTTAATTTTCTCCCTGGTGGTGCAAGTGTCTAGAGCTCATATGAGTTTCAGAACACGCGAATCACATAGGACTTGTACCAGACTTGGAAAAAGACTGCATGTAAGCGTGTGATAGCTCGTGAAGGAGGCGGATGGGGAGGGACACCGAAACGAGACATGAACCAACCGTTTGGCGGTCGATACAGCAAGAACAAATTTACTGATACTACCATGACATCTGGAATCATATGAAATACACCTTTTAGCTGCTCGCAAGGACACCTGCCACAGTTTTGGCTCCAGCCCTAACCTTCACACCTACTTTGGCCCTCGATCGTCAGTTCCCCGGGGTTATCGATCTAGCAGGTTTACCGAACTTGCCATTCGCCCCGGCCTTTTCCATCCACAAATATAGCTTCTGAGTTCGAGACGTTTGCCCTACCTGCAAACGCCAGAAGGCGTGGTGCCCAACCTAAGTTGCAGTTTTTCACCACACTCGTATCGTCACCACACATCAAACACACAATCACTACCGTGGTCCGAAAACATAAAGAGCACACCACAATTCCAAATTCTCGGCGGTGAGATGAATGGGAAGAGCAATATCGCATCATCAGTCAATTGTCGATCGTTCCTACCAAGGCTCACTGCCAATCTCACATCCAACGCCATCAAGTACCAAGTGAGGAGGATCTGCGTGGACATCTCGCACTCTGAACCTCACCGCATTCGGATGATCAACGCACCTTCTTCACTTTTGTGCCTCACATCACAGCCCATATCCTCTACCATCCCGTCACCCGTCAACTCAACCTCACGACAGCGTCCTTCACACTGATACCTCGAAACGAGGAATGAATGGAGCCTTGAGAGATGGATTCATTTCCCTTATTTAGCCAGCTCCCATTAGAGCTCCGGCTCACAATATGGGAGCTCCACGCTATGCAACAGCAATCTGTCATCAACTTGGCAGGTCCATTGCCAAAGCCGCCTGCCATTCTACACACCAACGGAGAATCGCGCAGAGTAGCTCTTGCCTCAGGACATTTCTGCGTCACGGGAGCTCTGAAGTGTGGATTTTATTCAAGCGCTTTAGATATCATTCGGTTTCTTCACAATCGGTACTGCTTCTGGTACAATCCGTCCCGCGATCCTGTGCCTGACTGTGCGATGGACCAGAGCCTTTGCCGACCGTACCGTGAGGGAATTATAAACTTCCTGCCATTGTGCAAGCTCGCAAGAAGGATACTCCACATGAAGTATCCCATTGGGCTAGAAGAACGGCAGCAGCGTGGGAGGCTATATCCAATTTTCGAGTATATCGCTTCGAGGCACCCTACATCCAAACATATTGACACGGTTCTGGTCCAATGCTGTCTATCTTCCCCAATGGCCATCTTTTAGCCTTTCTATGGTCATATCCTCACTGTCAAACCGGCCACGTCAGTTGCGAAGGCTCTATTCGAAGGACTTAATCACATTGAGATTGACCTTCGAGACCATGATGAGATCTGCAGAGTTCTATCGCCATTGCGCGACGAGTGTAGCGAAACAGTCAGCTTGCTTGAGAATATCTCACAGCAGTTTGCTTCTTTGCCTGAGCGAGGCCTCAAGTGGTGGGACTCAGTCATCGCCGCCAACGAGCGATCCTGGCTCAACATACACTACAGCATGAAGCACAAAGATACGGAGACATCGTACAAGTTGCAGGACCCGAATCAAAGTGCGTCCATACGGTTCTGGGACGCTGAAGATCCTTGGATCAAGGGTACTCTCAGCCGAATGCCCCAGCTAAAACCAGTCTTCGTCATCGCTCAGGAAGATGCACCATCTCTAGCCAGAAGAAGGGAAGTCATTTTCGATGAATGAGGCGGTTGAAGCGATAATTAACCCCTAAGGTAGAGATTTTAAGGAGGTGAAATAAACTAAACTGATAAGGTCTGGCAGGTCTCGACGGCAGCTTGGACTTTGAAGTCCGTTGGTCAGGCCATTATTTACCTACCTATGTATGCAGCAGTTGAAATTGGCGGTGTCACAACGGACAGGGTTCGCGGCGGTTTTGATAATTGGTCTGCAGTAACAAGGATTCATCTGCAAGCTCTTCTGATGTAGCAATAATGCTCTCTAAGCACTTGATGTGAAACTTTGACCGTTGCCATGAAGGTCCGGTCCCCAATATGATTGCTTTCAGTGGGAACTTCCGACCCAACACTTTCTTGAATAATATGAAGCCTCTGAATGTTTTCGCATCCTGTCACACACTGAGTGACTTGTTTGGATTAGGGGGTAAGCACTTCAAGCTTTATGGTGTGTGTGCATTATCCCGTAGTCTCCGGCTCCGAGGTTACTTGTAGCTGAAAAGATAATTTTCCAACTGTTCTGTTCCACTTCTTCCGGCAGTGGTCTTGACGGAATCTCGTTGGGTTTATTTTAGGATAGCGGTGATTGAATATCTTATACTACACGCTCCGAAACTGCTCACCACCGTTGCCATTAATGCACCATCTAGCTTTGTGTCGCATGAGATGAGTTGGTTCAGACAGAATGGTCATAATTGAAGCACTATGCTGACCGGTCAGGTGAGAATTGGGACAAGGCAAGACGGCGGTGGAGAGGTTGGCAAGCCACATGTTGAGTGCCCGCCCTCCACGTGGTTTTCTGGGTGCGGTTTGTAACAGGCAATCAGCCGTGGTAGCTTTCGCTTATAACCACCCAACCTCTTTGAAATACGACTGGCTAAATTCAAGGCATGTGGTGGCACTTTCCCCTCTTGCTCCATTCAGTAACACAACTTGTAAGTCTCACCTGCCTTCAGATGCATCCGTTGTCCAAGACCTGCGTTTAAGAACAGGCCCATATAGTCTGATCCTTCAGCTTTAGGCTACTTGCGACCCGGTCTGTAACGCAGCATGGCATTCACACAAATAACGAGCATCCAAACACTCGCTTCTGAGCCAGCTGAGTTGTCAAGAATGGTTTAGCTCAGCCTCTCCCCTACAGCTTTCTCAGCCCCGAGTTCGTGTAAAACGCATTACTTGGTTGCCAAGGCTTGGCGTCTCGTATAGCTCAAGATGCCGTGACACATAGGCTGCCGTCCTCCGTGGCCGGGAGTGGGAATCACTATAAAAACCCCAGATACTCCACCCGGAGCTTTACCATGTTGTCGAGAGAAATAGTGCCCCACAACATCAACTACTAAAGAAATACGCAATGCGATTTAACGCCATTTCTGCGTTTGTACTTATTGCTCCGGCACTTGCTGCCCCTGCTTTTGAAGAAAAGCCCTGTCCTCACACAATCTGCGTAGACAGCATCAACAAACGCGGCCAAAAGTATAGTGCTTGCTACGACGGATGTCAGCCCTCGCTTAGCCCAACGCCACCACCGTGTTACCCCGCTGCCACTCCTACACCCACGATAGATGACTGTAGCACACGCACTGTTTGCGCCGATTATGTCAATGAGTGTGGCATCTGGTACGGCGGCTGTTTCCCGGACTGCAAACCCTGGCCAACCTTCAGCAAGCCTCCTTGCCCCAGTACTTTGACAGTCGGCCCGGTATCTGTGTCAACTACCACCGAAGACTGTAGCACACGAACCGTTTGCGCCGACTATGTCAATGAGTGTGGAAAAACGTACGGCGGTTGCTTTCCAGACTGTAAACCGTGGCCGACCTTCAGCAAGCCCCCTTGCCCTAGCACTTTGACAGCTGACCCGACACCTACGATTACGGCTACAGCCACAACTGAAGACTGTAGTACACGCACCGTCTGCGCTGACTATGTCAATGAGTGTGGGAAGACGTATGGCGGCTGCTTTCCAGATTGTCGGCCGTGGCCAACCTTCAGCAAGCCCACGTGCCCTAGCACTTCGACACCTTCCTCAACCATCACTGCTACTTGGGAGCCATCATCTTCGGGCCAATAGAAGGCAAATTCACCGACTGCCCCTTCGGCGCGCAGATGTGCATCGAACAGGTCCATGTGTGCGGACAGACGTATGGCACGTGCTTCCCAACTTGTTCGCCATGGTCGACTCTCACACTGCCATCCTGCTCTTTAACGACAAAGCTTCCGACGGAAATCGTCACGACCAGTGTCCCTACTATGACGTATGATCCAAATGGTCCGACTTACAAGAGAACTTTCAACTTGGGGGCAGTCCAGACATACGCAGTCATCGGGTAAGACAAGTCAGAAATCTTGATAACTCAGATGGGGGCAGCTAGCAGCTGACACTTGGCGGCTGTTTTCAAAGAATATCTTGCCTCTCTCAATATAGTATTTACTTTGGTGCCTAAGTTGGAGAACTTAAGACATGAGAACTTGGGGATCCAGTACTACCAGTAGTGAATGCTAAGTGTCCCCTGGGCTTTCATCGCACCTTCACAGCCGAGTGAAGTATCTGCGTGGCCGCCGTTCATACCTATCAACGCCGCAATGTTAAATCAGCATATAATATGTCCCTACTTGCTCCCCATGCCCAGCTATCCAAAGATCTATACCAGGTCTGTGTGCTGGCTTGAAGGTGTGACCATTGACGAGACTAATCTGCAAATTCTCATGACCTGTTCCTCATGAACAAAAGTTGCTTGCCCCTACAGTCAAAAGAATAGATGGAGGTGTAGTAGCCTCAGTTATGCTATATAATATCCTTGTAATTGCTGACTGATCCACCATGAAGTGGAAGTCTCCATGTAAACCTTGAAGCCTTGAAGTATGTCACTCCTCAAACACCAAGGTGCCGGAATTCTCTCGTCTAGCACATGTTGCCTGAACCCATATGGGCTTAATCTCCTATTTTCCAGTATAAAGCGCCCTTTTCGATGCTGCACTTTACCGAAATCATTGAGGTTTGTAGGCATTATACCTTGCAATCTTCGCATTGGTTCAATCCCCCATCACTCAAGCCTCTTTACTTCTCACTACTACATCTATGGTTTCATCTAGTCACTGTGGCTCTCGACCTGACCTTGTTCCTTTCAGTCTGATATTTCAGGAGAACCACGCTGCACACGGGGTCTCCAATAAGTTCGCTCAAGCCTCTCAAACAAATCACCATAACCCGCCATAAGGGACTGGGCTATTATTGGCAGAATGAATGATTCGACGATGCAAGTCAACTCTCAGGGCTCAAAGCTGAACATACTCCACCTACCCAACGAGCTTCTCCCGAGAATCGTTGAGCAAATCAAGAGTCAGGCAGACGCGAAGGGTCTATTGCTGTCCTGCCGTAGTTTCACGATGATCAGTCGCCGTCAACTGATTCGGCTCAACACTCGAAGCAGTGGTAGTGCCATGATGTTGGCGTGTGACCATGGCGACCTATCTTTGGTTGCAGCAATGCTAGACCATGGGACCTATGTCAACAGGTATTTCATGCTGAGACGGCAAGGATTGGCTCGCAACATCCATGAGAGATACAAATATTCTCTGCTAACTCCGCTGTCAATTGCTGTCTTCCGACAGGATCTTGAGCTTGTCAAATACCTCCTATCGCGGGGTGCCAATGTCCAAAATTCCTATCCAGGCTGTTGTGAACCGATTCACTACGCTGCCACGACCAATAGATGTCAATACCTCACCAATAACCAAATCCTCCGAAGACACTCGCAGTAGTATCATAGATATTCCTGTTGAGAATGGCGCGCAAATATGGACCGGTGCTGCGCTAGGAATTTGCGAGCAACAGACGTGGCACTTGCGGATCTTTACACAACCGGGTACATCTTCCTTACACAATTCAAATTGCCGGACACGAACTGAATCGCGTGCTCCTACACGAATTTCTGCATTACCTGATGTATCCGAGACCAAGAAGGATCACCGCGGCCCAACGAGAGAAACTCCGCTTGTTTCCCGTGGCAGCTATTCAGGGCGATCATGATACAAGGCATATGGCTCATTTCCTAGAGTTGTAAACACATCAGCCGGAAATGGGGTACCTCGATGTATTGCAGACTTTCTTGTACCAATCTACAGTCACAGCTTTGTTGGCAACAATGCAGAAACGTCGTTGCTTAGTCGCTCAGACACCGTACGTATCTTGGTGGAAATGCTATCTGACTTGCACGAATGTATATGGTGGTTATGATATTGCGCATCATGTACCTTGTCAAAGATGTTTGCTTGTATGCGCTACCTAGGCGGTCGATGACCATATGAAGAATACTACTATTAGAGCACAGTACGTGCTCGAGCCTCAGAATTTTCAGTGTGTGTGCTCTCATGAGGGTATAACCTCGTCGAGTGAATAAATAAAATGTTCATCATAGGCAAGTTTCCGTGTCTTCCTCTTCATGGGGGTGACGTATGATGAACTTTCATCGCGAAGGGGAGGGGTGTGTGGAGTTTTCGAAGGCGTTTCGAAGCTCTGTCGAATCGAAGATAGCAGAAGGAGCTGCGTTACAAACCGTCGGTTGTGTTCGGGGTACCATCCAAGGTAAGAGACAATTCCGACATTCGACATCTCCAGGCAAGCTCGAAGGCAGGAGTCTGCTGCCGGAACTGTATACCAGACACCGACAGACATGCTGAGCCTACCGAACCGGGCATTTTCATGCGAGCGAGAAGCATGTTCTTTCTTTAGCTAGTGCCAGATAATGGATAGGACCAAACGGCCAGTCCCTTTCTCAAGAAGGAAGGGAGAGGCTGGGCGAGCTTTCTGCCATCGCATGGTGGTGTGTTATGTGTGTGGTATGTGTCGTTGGGACACTGAATCGCGAGACGTTGGTGGAATGCAGCCAGCCAAAGCACTAAAAGGGAGAAAAAATTGCTGGACCCGGAAGACCCCCGGCACACAAACGGGCTGCGGAGGGCGGAGCCAGTTGGGACCAATTGGAGCCAGTCAAGGCCGGAGGATCCAAAGAGCCAGAGCGGCCAGGTCACGTGGTGAGGGAGCACAGACCACGCACAACCCAAGGGGCGCTTACCTATTTTCGCACGCAACCCTAATCAAAAGTCCCACCTTGCAGAAAATATCCAGCCAATTTTCCTTCCTTCGACTTGAACCTCACGATCCACGGGAAAGACATCACAGGCAACATCAAGTCAACAGTTGCCCACCATGTCTTTGGTTTCGGGAGAGAAGACGAACTTCCAGTTCGTAAGTGCGCCCTGCGTTTCCCCCCATCCACACTTGACGCCCGCGCATCGCCAGCAACTCGTTTCTCGGCGGACCCCGAAATGGCTGGCTGGCGATGGACACCCCCGCGATCCGTGATTGATGCTCGATCTTGGATCTGTGATCTATGATCCATCTCTCGCTCTGCCTCTGCGTGGCACTTGGGCCAGAACCGCGGCAGACCACGAGACGGACATGCAGCTAACCGGGGGTTTTTTCTTGATAGATCTTGCGTCTCCTCAACACGAACGTCAAGGGCGAGGAGAAGGTTATGTACGCCTTGACCAGAATCAAGGGTGTCGGTCGTCGTTACTCCAACTTGGTCTGCAAGAAGGCCGATGTCGACTTGAACAAGCGGTATGCATGAACAGACCCCCAGAGCGGATGCGAAGGACTATGAACGGACACAGGAGGACTAACGAGAACTCTCCCTGCAGCGCCGGTGAGCTCACCTCGGAAGAGCTTGAGCGTATCGTCACCATCATCCAGAACCCTACCCAGTACAAGATCCCCACCTGGTTCCTCAACCGACAGCGCGACATTGTCGACGGCAAGGACTTGCAGGTCCTCGCCAACGGTGTCGACTCGAAGCTCCGTGATGACCTCGAGCGCCTGAAGAAGATCCGCGCCCACCGTGGTCTCCGTCACTACTGGGGTCTCCGTGTCCGTGGCCAGCACACCAAGACCACTGGTCGTCGCGGCAGGACTGTCGGTGTCTCCAAGAAGAAGGGTGGTTAAACTTGTTGCGGCATCGGACGGGTGGTTTCATTGGCTCTGGTCATTCATTGCGAAGGGATTGGCGTGAAGGCTGGACATGGAATTACACAGCATCATGGACAATCGTCATCATCATTGATTGCTTTTGACACGGGGTTTACGGATCATCATGGATGTACTCTAAAAAAAAGAATGAAGAGGCATCATCTTTCTGACCAGGTCTCTGCCGCCATCCCATGCATCCATGCTCCTCCCATGTTTCCATGTGATGGTGAAATGACGTTAAGGAATAATGGTCTTCTAAGAGCTAAATGAGAACAATATTGGCACTTCCTGACCTTTCTGGTGCCCATCTGTGCCTCGTGTGATTTTGTCTATTCCGCTTATGCTAAACCACCTAAATTTTCCCTACGTCGGCTGTCGTAAATCATGATTGTCCCGAGTCATTGCGCTGAAAGGGTCTCGGGTATGCTGGGGTATATCAAGCCAAAAGTCTCTCAATCTTCGTGTGTGACAGCCATGTCCAAAACCTCGACTCTTCCCTGACCTCTCGTCTCGTTGCCCAAGAAATCCGACAGAGGCTTAAAGGCGCCCGGTTCCACGAAGCCAACCACCTCCCACTCGGAGCCCAGGACATCCTGTGTCTCAACCTGCTCGATGTAGCTCAGAATCTTGTCCTTCACCGTCCCCGGGGCTGCCTTCTGGTCGCCGTCTCCCTCGGCCGCCTTGGGCGCCTTGACGGCCTGCTTCAGGACGTTGGTCGTGCATGTGATGCGGAGCCTCATGCGTGCCCTCGAGACCGGGATGGGCTGGCTGGAGATCAAGGCCTTCATGGCGTCCAGGGCCTGGCTCTTTGCGCTCTTGGTGGTGACGACGCCCGTCCAGGTGTGCTCCTTGGCCCGGGGCTTCGCCTCGGCGTCCTCGCCCGTGGCCGGGGTGCCGGCTCCGCTGCCGGCGGCGCTCTTGTCGCCCTGGCCCTGGTGCGCCTGCGAGCTCAGCATGTCGAGCGCCTTGTCGATCATGCCCGTGGTGTAGACGCGCTTCGTCCGCGGGTCGACGAGCTTGCTGGCGACGATGCTGACGACCTCATTGTGCACGCGCTCGAGCTGGGCGGCCCGCTCCTTCTCCCCCACCTGGATCTCGCCCTTGTTGAGGATCTCGAGGATGATGTCGTCGACGGGCTTGTCCTTGCCAAAGGCCTTGGCCAGGTCCTCCTTGGGGGCCGTCTGGCCCTTGCTGACGTTGAGGAAGACGTTGGGGATCTGCAGGACCTCGTCCAGGTCCGTCTCGATGCCCTGGCGCCACTCGAGCACCTTGTTCTTGTAGCAGGCGATCTCGAAGCGCTTCTTGCCCTTCTTGAGGCGCACCAGCGACACGTTGGTCAGCTTGATCTGGTTGCTGGGCTGGTTGATCTGGCGCGACATGGTGGGCCGGGTATCATGCAGGAAATCAATCACACAGAAATAAGAAGAGATAGAGAGGGAGAAGGAAAAAAAAAGTTTGTGCAAAGTGCTGGCTCTGGCGACTCTCGTCCGTACTCAGATGTTCCAGTAATCCTACGAAATCTTTTGTTCCACCGTGACGTGGGGCAGCAGAGCAGCAGCACCAGAACCCGGCCAAGTGCGGGACAGAGAGACAGACAGACAGACGGACAGACAGACTGGCGCTACCAGCGGGGAGGTACCTACCGTGCGTACTTTTGACCTGGGTGCAGCGCCTTCTTCCATCGGACAATCAGGACCAACCCGGAAAGATGGGAGCTTCTGTGTGCCACTTCGACAGGGTGCGAGCTCGATGACTGTTTCTGTACCAAGTGAATCATCCACTATGGTTTGTGATTAACAATTTTTATCGTCGGATAACCCCAGAGCGCAACTCAGTTCAGATGCAAGGAACGAGGCGGATGAGATTGGCCCAAGCGAACGTTGAGCGCCCCCGTGACTCGGGTTAGCAGGGACGCTTGAAGATTCCGGGGCGAGTCATCAGACGCCAGCTGGGAACCGACAAGGGCCGCCTATGACGCTTATCAGCGACTTGGCACCCCCCTCCACGCTCCAGTCCTGCCAGTATCGGTGCGCTGGCGCTGGCCCAGGTGGAGCTTGCGCCTTCGAGCACGTATCGGGCAGGTACTCGGCTAGCAAGAGCCCCCCCAGCCGTGCTGGTGCTGCTGTTAAGGCGCGACTTGTGCCAGGCACCATCTGCACCGACCCCCCGGTTGTCAGGTCAGGTCCATCCCGAGCTCCCTCAAGGTCGTTTCAAGCGCTCATGTGCCTTGCCTACCCCGGAGCTCTGCTCTCTTCGTTCCTCCATCATCTCCATCCCTCTCTGCTGTCATCAACAACCCCATTCTCTTGCCTCGTGTCAACCCCAGATCCATCGACTCGTTCATCTGGGTTGACTGCCTGCCGTTGTTGCTTTGTGAGATCACTCTCTAACTATCTATCTATCTCTGTGTCTTATCATCGCCACCATGAGAGTAGCGGCGTCAACGCTGCTGCTAGGCGCCGCCTCGGTTGCCGTCGCCCAGCATGAGCAGCACGTCCTGGGCGGTGTCAAGGACACCGTCAAGCCCATCTTTGACTCCTCCGAGTCCATCCTCGACAAGATCGAGCAGACCTTGGGCAAGATCCCCACCGAGGCCAAGGGTCTCTGGGACGAGATGCAGCTCCTGGTGCCCGGCTTTATGGAGAAGGCCCAGAACCTCATCTCGCGCCCCAAGGCCCACACGCGCAAGCCCGACAGCCACTGGGACCACATCGTCAAGGGCGCTGACGTCCAGAGCATCTGGACCGAGACCAACGGCGAGAAGCACCGCAAGGTCGACGGCTCGCTCGAGGCCTACAACCTGCGCGCCAAGAAGGTCGACCCTTCGGCCCTCGGCGTCGACAAGGTCAAGCAGTACAGTGGATACCTCGACGACGAGGCCAACGACAAGCACTTGTTCTACTGTAAGCTGAACCCAACGACTGCTCCATACCCGTTCTCCGTTCGTTCACTGACTTTGGTGCTTCTCCAGGGTTCTTCGAGTCCCGTAACGACCCCAAGAACGACCCCGTCGTCCTATGGCTGAACGGCGGGCCCGGCTGCTCCTCCATGATGGGTCTCTTCATGGAGCTTGGCCCCTCCAGCGTCGACTCCAAGTTGAAGCTGGTGTACAACGATTACTCGTGGAACAGCAACGCCTCGGTCATCTTCATTGACCAGCCCGTCAACACCGGTTACTCGTACAGCGGCAGCTCTGTCTCCAACACTGTGGCCGCCAGCAAGGATATCTACGCCCTCCTCACCCTGTTCTTCCACAACTTCCCAGAGTATGCTGAGCAACCCTTCCACATCTCGGGTGAGTCGTATGCTGGTCACTACATCCCGGTCTTTGCCTCCGAGATCCTCTCGCACAAGAACCGCAACATCAACCTGCAGAGTATTGCGATTGGTAACGGCTTGACCGACCCCAAGACCCAGTACGCTCAGTACCGCCCCATGGCCTGCGGCGATGACGGCAGCAACTACGGACCCATCCTCGACGAGAGCCAGTGCCAGTCCATGGATAACTCGCTCCCTCGCTGCCAGTCCCTGATCCAAGGCTGCTACGACTCCCAGAGCGCCTGGACCTGTGTCCCTAGCGCCATCTACTGTAACAACGCCATGATTGGACCTTTCCAGCAGTCGGGCTACAACGTCTACGACATCCGTGAGAAGTGCAAGGACCAGGCCAACCTGTGCTACACCCAGACCGCGTGGATCGCCGAGTACCTCAACAAGCCCGAGGTTATCGCTGCTGTTGGCGCCGAGGTCTACGACTACGAGAGCTGCAACACTGATGTGAACCGAGCCTTCCTCTTCAACGGTGACTGGTCCAAGCCCTTCCACCTCCTCGTTCCCGACATCCTCAAGAAGATCCCTGTCCTCATCTACGCTGGTGATGCCGACTACATCTGCAACTGGCTCGGCAACCAGGCCTGGGCTGAGGAGCTGGTGTGGCCCGGCAAGGAGAAGTACAACGACGCCAAGATGACCTCTCTCGAGGTCGGCGACAAGAAGTACGGTGAGGTCAAGTCCAGCGGAAACTTCACCTTCATGCGCATCTACCAGGCCGGACACATGGTGCCTTTCAACCAGCCCGAGGGCTCCCTGGACTTCTTCAACCGATGGATCGGTGGTGAATGGTACGCTTAAGCGTCGAGGCGGAGTTGTCTGGGGTACACACTGTGGTGTAAATACATGTCTTTGATTACGGAGCAATCGGGTTCGGTCAAGGGATAACCATGAATTTGTTTAAAGGGAGGGAATCACATCAGATGATCAAAGCCCATCGCTAGAAGTCTTGAATAAGTACAAATTGGTACAAGTATCTTGATATGTGTGGAAATAGTACTCTCGAGGTGACACGCTGAAAGAAGGCCCAGCATGACTGCATGTTACAACTGATAAATTGCGAGATCCTCGACGCCGAAGCCAAGGAGGTCCCGCACTCAAAGAACGTTGTAGAAGTCGCTCTTGTCTCGTACACAAGTGTGTATCCGGCTCAAGATCAGTCGTGTGGTAATCGAGAGCTGACCGAGCATGGCAAAAGACATTTATATATATCGCAAAAGGAAAGCAAAACCTACAGCCAATAAAGTCGTCCAAGATCACGACATCTACGTTGCATTGACGCTTCGCCGGGTTTCCGGCATCCTTACCTTTGAAGGCTGGAACAAAGAGGCTCGATGGCTGCGTCTGGCGGTGTCCCAAGGGTTCTTGGCAGTGAGCGCCAAACACTTGCCGCTGTAGCCGGCCTGTCCCTTTTCCATGATCGCAGGCGTTTTCTGCCACTGAAGCGGTGCGCCTGTGCTTACAGGTGTCTCGGTATAGTTTGCGAAGGAAAGAAAAGGGGGCATGGCTCGTCCCCGGCGTTGGTCACGCAAGGTAAGCAGTTACCGGTGGTGTGGTTTGTGTGAACGGGAGAGGAACGCGGTCGTCGCGCAGGAGAAATTTTGCGTGTGTGGTTTTCCTTCCAGCCGTCGTTTTGCGGCTGGCCAATGGGCGGATAAGCTACGGGGCTGGCATATGGCCGCCCCGCCGCCTGGTCCCGCTTAGCACGGAAACGCGGGTCGGTAGCCTCGCTGCGCAGGGGAGTACAGCACGGTAACTCGGATCGCAGCTCACATAGGGCTGGGCTGTCCGTTCAAAGTTGGCTGACGGGGCACAAGGAGGCTTGCATTGCCATGCCCCCAGACTCACTGAGCTGGCTCTCCGATGGTAGATGCAGAGACTTGCGTCTTGCGGACTTTGACATTGCAACTGCAGGTGGACATGGCAATGGCCGTACGTACGGCTTTGCCATACCGTCCACCTCTCATGATCCGTGCAAGATCTGCAATATGAACGACGCAAGTGCTCGCGTGACAGAACAACGAGAACAAAGTGGAAGCGGCAGATGATGACCTCTCAACCACGGTAACATCTGAGCCTCACACATGCTGGTTGTTGAACTGGGGGCCCCTTCCTTTCGAAAAGCAACCTTTTGTGCTTCGTATTACGGATGATGTCTGCCATCTGGGTCGCAGCTATCGTTTCTTGGCAAGGAGGGACCACCTCAAGGGAAGGACTGATGAAGATCCACATCTTTTCGGGCCCTTCGTAGGGCGGATACAATGGAGCAAGCAAGACATGTTCTCTCTCTCGGCTTCTCTCGCTTCTTTTTTTCCTCTTCCACCTTTGTCACTCTGGTTGTCTGTGTTTTGAGATTTGTCTTTTTTTTGCCGGTCGAGATCCTGGGCGACCACTTGAGCCTACCCTCCTTCTTTCTTGCGCTCTTTCGCTTCATCAAAAGGAGCTTATGGTGCCTGGCCATCTCCATTCCGCAAGGCGACCAGCTGAGGCTCCGGATCTACAGAGGACCCCCATGTCGCGCAGGCCAAGAACGCTAGTCGACCTGCTTGACCTCACAGTCTCTCCATCGAGAGCTCTCAATGCGTGCACAAACATTGCATGTATAGTGTTGTTACTTGCCACATGGTTTCAGTATCTAGCCCGTGGTATGTTTTCAATATAATTTCAGCAAATGTTCGTAAACTTCTTTGGCTAAGTAAACGTGTGATAGGTCAACATGACCCATATAAATGCCGAGCACTATTGCATGACGGCGACTGGCCTGCTTCACCCAGGAACGCAGATCTGCAGCAAAAATTTCAGAAATGGGAGCCCACCGGTTGCCGAATGAGTGAATACTCCAGAGACGAAGTCAGTCATTGTCTTGGTGGCCGCCGGGTTGTCTTTGCAGGCGACTCAACAGTGCGTCAGATTTACTGGGCTGCCGCCACCAGGCTGGACCACGAGAAAGCCCACGTTGCCCTGCTGGACGTTTTGGTGGACAACACCAAGCATGAAAACCTTCACTTCGAGGCTGAGGGAGTACAGTTGGAATTCATCTGGGACCCGTGGCTGAATACGTCCCACCTCGAAACGGAACTGAGGAGATTTCGCATACAAGAGAGTGTCGCAGACATTGGCACCGTTCGGACGAAAAGCGAGGAGTCCGCTGCGCTCGTAGTCCTGGGTTCTCCTGGATTATGGGCCGCTCGACACGGAGAGGACGATTATTTCGACATCTTCAAGCGCGGCATCGACAATGTCCGAGCCCACTTGCAATCAAGGGTTGACAGCACTTTGGTATCCCCGACTGCTAACCTGACAAGAAACTACGACCTGGCTCCCAATCAGATCTTTCTTGCCCCTATCCAAACTCCTTGGTACGAGTCTCTCTCAAAGGATAGGGCTGCTACAATGACCCGCGAGAAGATCAATAAGATGAACAACTACCTGGAGATGCTATCTTGGGACGAGCAATCCCACGTGTTGTGGGCTTATAGTAGGATGACCCTTGATGGACGCGACGCGTTCGAAGACACTGGAATCCATGTCGTCGAGGGTGTCGGAGAGAGGAAAATCGACATTCTTCTAAACGCCCGCTGCAACTCCGGAGTCGGCCATGAATACCCACATAAGCAAACATGCTGCATGAGATACCCTCAGCGGAACTCACTTCAGTTCATGTTATTTCTCTCGTTGCCGTTCGTCGGGCCATCTATGTTGCGATGGACCAACGGCCGGACGAGGTTGGTATTTCTGCAGGGTATGCTGCCTTCAAATGATGTTTTGAGTGCAGCGCGATTCCTTGCTGTTGTGTTTGCGTTATGTTGGGGCCTCGACCGCAGTCACTTGATCCAGAAAGTAGAGCGCCACTATGAAGAAGGATCCTTTCTTGCGGTCTGTGCAGTCTTCCTGCTGGTCAGTCTTCTGTCACGGCGAAACTCCGCCAACGCTGGCCTAGGTGACTGCGCCCAGGTCACGACGAGACCTATTGGTAGGTTCACGACAGATCACGACCAAAGATTTCTGCCGCGTGAGCAATGTGACGAATGGAAAGGATGGATGCAAGCCTTGATCCTCATGTATCATTACAACTATGCGTCTCAAACACTCTGGGTGTATAAAGTCGTCAGGTTGCTTGTTTCAGCTTACATCTTCCTGTCAGCGTACGGCCACACCCTGTACCTTCTCAAAACAGAAGACTTTTCACTACGAAGAGTAGCTGTCGTCATTTTCCGCCTCAACCTTCTGAGCGCTGTACTTCCGTATGTTATGATGACCGACTACAACTTTTACTATTTCGCACCCGTCGTCAGCTTCTATTACCTGGTGACCTGGTCCACACTCCGCGTCTACAGAAGTCTCAATCAGAGTCCGCTGCTGCTCTTGGTCAAGATCATGGTAGCAGCCATTATCACGAGCTGCATTATACTGATACCTCAACCCGTCGCCGGGGTCAGCACTCTCTGTCGTGTGGTGTTCCGCATGTCATGGGACTCTAGCGAAGCACGCTTTAGGCTCGGGCTGGAGCGCCTTATCGGGTTCTTCGGAATGGCGACCGCAAGCCTGGTCCACAGAACAGCAACTATTCGAACACGTCGAACATTCGATTTCGCAACTGCATCGTTGTCGCAGTCCCACCAAGAAAGCGCTGTCGATCCTTTACTCTATGTGCTCGCGTTTCCAGACTCACTTGGAAACCCTCTTAAGATGGTCACCAGCACCGTCGCAGCTGCCTTCATCTTTTTCTATATCATTGTGACTCAAGCTACTCTCAATGACAAGGTACAGTACAACATTGGGCACCCATACATGTCATGGATCCCCATTTTGTCTTTCGCCATCCTGCGGAACTCGCACCATAAGCTACGCAAAACGTACCTAGGGTTGCCTGCAGCTTTAGGCAGAATCTCTCTCGAGACCTACGTTTTTCAGTACCACATGTGGCTGGGAAGTGATGCAACATCGAGATTGAGGATTGGACTTTGGGACCGGTTCGGTAGTTCAGCAACTTGGGCTTTGCCACTGAGAGTTCTCGAGACGGTGCTGCTCACAGCAGTGTTCATCTGCGTCAGTGCACAAACACGAAACGCTACAGAGACCTTGACTCAATGGCTAGCTGGTACGAAGCGCACGACTGGGCGCTGTAGAGCCGTCGAGAGCTCTGCAGAGATGAATGATAAGTCGACAAGGCCAGACGATGAGGGGAGCGATAATAGAGATGGTCATCAGCGGCCAAACTCGGCTCGGTCCTCTTCACAAAACACCACGGAGGCGACGGCCCACCAGCAGGGAGACGCTGGCCACAGTGACACCAAGGGCGTCCGCCGGAAGATCTTGGTGATAGTACTAGTGCTGTGGTTGGGCAATCTGCTTTATCGTTAAGAATACTTCATGGCCAAGAGAGGCATTTGGTGCATTTGGGGAGGGCTGCAATGTAAGCTAGATTCATGCCAACATTAAGATACCCGTAATAAGCGTAATTCGTTCAACATCAAGTATAGACGGGAACATGACAAGAAAGTGGCGGTGACCTCTTGGATGGACATTACTACCCAGGTACTCAATTATAGCCAAGAATTGTAGCCAAGTTCAAGGCCATCGCAACTACGAGAAATCGTGACGTCGGTCAAGAGTTCACCCTGGGGAAGCCGTGGTCATGCTAGAGTTGCTTTAATCCGGAGCCAATCTGTGCAAAGGCCCGGCCAGAACATTGAAGAGTACCAGCACAATCGTCGCATCCAATGGGCTCAAGCCCGAGTTGCTCACCAAAGGCCAGCAGCAACAACCCATTAGAGCAAGGATATTTGAAGCTGGCTGGCCTATCACCGACGGCATCGTGGGGACAAGTGTTTCTGATCGGGACAATGATCATACGGGCCCACTTAAACAGCTATAACACTGTGGTAAGCACTTGTCCGCTTAGCAAGGCCCGACGTCAGGGCGCTTGTATATGTACCACGTCGGCTTACACATAGCATTGGTTGGCTGTTTCCTTTCCTCTCCAAGGATCTCACCTGCATCAATTCGCATCACAGCAACACAGGTCAGTTGGTGCTGGAACTTTCTGGTCCTTTGAAGTGCCTCCGATTCGCTTGGCTACAGCTGGCTCCCCACTAATAACCCCCTCACATCCATGGATGTCTCTTCCATCTTATAACAGGCCTTATATATCAGCATTGGAAGCATCAACCAGTGCCCGAACCGTCCAATTCAAGGGAAGAACTTCATAGCAACGCTTCTTCTTGTTCGTCTTCTGTGGTATCACATTTTCGAACCTATACTGTTGCCTCAGCACTCAATGGCTACCTCCACAAACGAGCGGACGGGCTCCTGCCTATGCGGCGCCATCCAGGTCCGCATCACGGGCGAGCCGATCTTTACGAACCTGTGCCATTGCACCTCGTGCAAGAAGGCCTCGGGCTCCACGGTCGTCTCCATAGCCGCTTACCGCTCTGAAGTACGTCCGTCCGTCCTCAATTTTGTGGCTCACACCCAACGCGACTTGCATATGGAGATCGAGGTTTGCTAACGGGCCTTTGACATATATAGGATGTCACTTACACGGCCAACCCGCCAGACGCCTTGAAAACCTACAACGATGGCTCTCCGGAATCTGGGAGAGTGCTTGAGCGGGCATTCGTGAGTCTTTCCTCCCTTTACTTCCCCCCCTTTCCTCCCCCCTCCCCCTTGCTTTACCCCTTGCGTCCTCCTGCCCCCCATCTCCAACCTCCGCCCCCAACTTTCGTCACATACCAAGAACTCCCTTCATACGCGTCTCCACCTGTCCGACCTGGATGAACCGACAGCTAACGGCAGACTAGTGCGGAATCTGCGGTTCGCGGGTGAGGAACGCGAGCCTGAGTTTCCCGGGCTCCGTCGCGCTGCCTACAGGCATACTCGACGGCGACAAAGAGGACCTGAAGCCCAAGTACGAGCTCTTCTGCGCCAGTCGGGAGAACTGGATGGCAGATGTCCCTGGGACGGAGCAATTCGCCACCATGCCGCCTCCAGGATTCCAGGCGCCAAAGCCTGGGGAGAAACAAGGCACTTGGTCATTAGAATCCTAGGAGGATCCGATGACGCGTTGCGAATCAGGCAAGTTGCGTCTAGACCAAGCGTTTCTTGCTGAACGAAGGGCCGGGATTTGCACCAAGTTTGGACGTGTGCCTACCTTGGGTTGAAGTTGACCGGAAGTGAGTGGAATATCTCGTGGTTCGGAAGTCTCGCATCTAGGCCCTTGCTAGTGAAACGCGAGGTCAAACATGTAGGTTGAGATCGAGCCTATATCTTGAGATTTGTGTTGTCTGGAAGACAGGCGCTTTTGCTGGCAACAAGATCTACTAGGCTACAGCTCTGGTCGCCGTCAATCGTCCTGAGAACAAGAAAGAGACACTCCAAGTTTTCCTGCATCATGACCCTGCTTACGCATTCATAGTGAAAACATCGAAATTGTTGGTTTAGTGCTCGCCTTATTGAAATGAATACTTCCCATGAAGCAAGATACATATTCAGGCAATCTAGGGAATATGAGTCCGTTGATGCGAAAAAAACCTAGAAGACCCGACTGGCAGTGACTTCCTTTTCAGCGTATATACCTGTGCTCTGAGATACACGACCACACGCAACAATGCAGGCTCTTCAGCCTGCTAGGGTGGCGGCAATATGTTAGCATGCTCTATGGACTTCCTGTAAAGCATATACGTAAGGTCTTTGGTATTCGGGAATGTGCAGTGGTATCAGCAACCTAGGAACCACAAGTAGCTCGTATGAGCAACCCTACTTCATTGTTTTAAGTTTTATGTAGATCCATCTAATGATTGAACACTCCCCACGAAGACTTGTAATGAGGGTTGGATTATGCTTATTTCCACTCCGCCAGCCGATGGTAACCCCGAGGCGCTTGGGCCAACTCGGGTGGGTAACCTCCTCCCCATCCGCCGATCCGGCTCCGAGAACATCCAACCTTTCGCGCTTCCCTCCAGAAGTTGACCGGTGAAGCGGTATACGTGACGCGAAGCGCACAGTCCAGTCACCTAATTCTGGGGGTCTTGTGTCACATACTCCGAATCGCAGAACTTTGAGTGGCGTCCGCTGCACCTCCCGCGGCAGAAGTATTGCCGCAATGCCGGACGCCGAGTCCATGGCGTCGGGTGGCACCCGCATCAAACGAAACACGGCTTGTACCTCTTGCCGAGACGCCAAGGTGGGTTCTACACTTGTGCTTTAAACGTCAAAAACCAAAAGGCCCTTCATGAGAGAATAACTCATTTGTATTATGCCGCAGGTCCGCTGTAACCCTAGCCAACACCCTGGGCGACCTTGTCAGCGTTGCACCAAACTCACCCTGCCATGTTTGGTCGACAGGACACACAAGAGAGTCAGTCGGAAGAGGTCAGTCATGTCTAATGTGTTGTTGGTTCTCTGTCTAAAAGTTGCATTAGTAAACTAGATGAACTGGCGCAAGAAATCCAATCTATCAAACAGAGTGTTGGCGACCGCTCGGCCCAGCTGTCTCAGCCGAGTTCAACTCCATTAAGGGATGTCGGTATACCACGTCTTGGCATGCCATCGCCAGATATCACCAGGCCGAGTCTGTCTTCTAATAGCAACCCGCCGACTGTGTCTGCTATACAGACTCCATTGACGACTTTCATCGATGCAGCTGTGGAGCCAAGTCTTCCTAGAGCCCTAGGCTCGCAGCCTTTCTCGGGAGAAGACATTGACTATTACTTTCAGAAGTGGGAGCTCATTTGCTGCTTTATCTTCGTTCCTAGCATATGTTCTGACCGATTCATAGGTATTTTGAGTGCTTCCACCCCTACATGCCTGTCGTACGGCATCGCGATCCAAACAAGTGCTACGAGTCTGGAAGCGTCCTTTTCTGGACGATAATCATGATAGCATGCCGTCGTTACGCGCGTAACTCACAACTGCTCTCCTTTCTGATGGAAGCAGTTCGGAAAGAGTTGTTTTCGACGATATGCAGCTTACCGCTATCGATACATTCCATCAATGCACTAATACTGGTGTGTACCTGGGTGTTCCCCGACATTCGATTTCTCAACGACCCAACGTCCATGTTCACCGGAGCAACCACAAACGCGGCCCTGCTTCTAGGCATCCACTCCGGGAAGGGCTCGCATCCGGAGTATAGTATCGGGATGTTTCAAAATCACTTCCGCGATGAAGAAGCCCATTACACCTGGGCAGGATACAATATCATTACCCAAAGGTATGCCCATCATGCTTACACGGTACAATGTACACCTTTTAACGATATCCAAGAGTTTCTACATACATGGGACTGCCACCTACCGGTGGCTTATTCAACCAAACAGTTCAGAATGTCATTGATGGCAAGACACCATTTCAGGTTCCTTCCAGCTTCCGCGTTCTTCTTGAGTGCCAAAAATTTGCCAATAGGGTCAGTAGAACTATGGCATCGTGTCTAGAGGAGACCAGAGGAGTTTCTTCCCACGTTGTCCGACACCTTGAGGAGGAGTTCGATACTATTCGAGGATTGATATGCTCTGAGCGAGCAGGTATGTGGCACGCGTCTTTCGATGCGACGAGTCGTTAACACCAACTCACAGATGACTTGGATCGGTTCAACGCCCTTCTGGTGCAGCTTGAGATTCAGACCTTCTACCTTCTACCTCTTCCGGGGTACAACCCTGAAGCACTGAAACGAAACGTGCTACGGACCTATACAACAGCCCAGAAAGTGATATCCGTTGCACTGGAGCTTGAGCGTTCGCACAGATTCCTGTACCACATGCCGCATTTCTATTTTCGATCTGTACTTTGTGCCACGTGTATCATTTACAAGGTCCTTCGTTCGTCCTACATGGATTTCCTCGACCTGAAGCAAGCAGAGAGCGCAGCACTGGATTCCATCAAGGTTTGCAGGCAAGCAGTCATCCAGGACGGCGACTTGCCTACCCGGCTCGGCAACCTCCTCGAGTCCATGTGGGCTTTTAGTCAGCTTCACAAATCGCACGAGGAACCGATCTCGGCAACCTTCTCTCATCGCCTAGGGGCTAGCGTTACTTTTGACTGTCTTAAGAGGTGGAAGCAAGATATGGATATGCGAAGCAAGAGTCAACCGCCGCCAGGCGAGGGAGGCGAGACCCCTGCTATCTTTGCCGGAACCGACCCTCTGGCGAGTATTGATTGGAGCTTCATGGATGATTTTGACTGGACAATCGAGCCAAGTCTTTTGGTCCCTCCTTTAGGGCCCACGTAGGGTTATAGTCGTCAGCGTCTTGTTGGGAGACAGAAGTCTGAATCGATTTGAGGTCGCGAAAGGACTTGGCGAAATGAACTACTTGGGTGGACTTGGCGTAACGGACTTGCAAAGGGTATACCACTTTTTCGCATATCAATCACAAAAGTGTCATGATAGCCCCATACATTGGATACACACGGGCTCAGGCAGTAATTTCCTTCAGTCCGATCTTGGAAGCTTTGAGATTCTGTTGTTGTTACATCCAAGTTGATACAGGTAAGGTGGCGGTATAACTTATCAGCACGACCGGAGCCGTGCCGGCTACGACCGCGGGAGCTTCATTTCCCAATCTGGGGTAACTAAAAGTGGAGCGCACCCGTCTGGGAGGGACCAGCTCCCTGCCAATCGGAAAACCCAAGACATTACACGACTACGCCCCTGATTCGAGTATAGTCGAGCCGTACGCGCAATTGAAGACAATGAGACCAACCGCTTGAGTAGCTCATCAGCACTCCCCCGACACCCCCACACTATTCTCTCCATCCCACCCTTCCCGGCGACCCAGTAGCTGGGTCGCGTCCAGCCATGCACGGCAAGATCATGGCAGCGCCGCCGGCGCCGGCGCATCCGTACTACCCGCTCGGCGTCGAGATCCCGCACTACGTGGCAAACACGGCGCCCGTGCCCGTGCTCATGGTCTCGCTCGGCAGCATGCTGGGCGGCGTGCTGCTGGCCGCGTGCGTGCTTGCCCGGCGCTGGAACCCCAACCTGACCCGCGCACAGCTCGCCGTCTTGTGCTGGTTTGTTTTGTGTAAGTGAAGGCGAAGCCAGATGGCTAATTCCTCCCATCCGCGACGCTGCCCCGTGGAAAAATGGTATGAGATTATCTAACACGTGGCGAGTATAGGTGGATCGCTACACTGCTTCTTCGAGGGTAAGTCAGTTTTGGGCAAGGGTTTATGTCACTTGCCGCCCCGGATATCTACGCAGCATGTGTTATCTGTGTCCTTGAGATCGTTTCGCTGACATGACACCTCACAGGTTACTTTGTCTTCAACCACACAACCGTTGCGTCCTCGCAGAATCTGTTCGCGCAGTTGTGGAAGGAGTACGCGCTCTCGGACTCGCGGTACCTGACGTCGGACCCATTCATGCTGAGCGTCGAGAGCATCACCGTGGTAAGTCATTCCGTGCCGCCAACTCTTGACTCTCCTTGCTGCGGCTCTCCCTTCCCGCCTCCCCCGGGTCATAGACAGACTCGGCGCCGTCTTTCCACCAATGTAGCTCCAAAACTAAAGAACGACACAGTTCATCTGGGGCCCGCTCTGCCTGCTCTGCGCTGCCACCACGGCCGCGAAGTCGTCGCCACTCCGGCACCCGCTACGCATCGTCGCCTGCATGGCACACCTGTACGGCGTGGCGCTGTACTACTCGACCAGTCTCGTCGAGACGTACTTCACGGGCCGCGCCCACAGCCGCCCCGAACCGCTGTACTTCTGGGGCTACTACGTGGGCTTCAACTTTCCCTGGGTCGTCGTCCCAGCGTGTAAGTCTTCTTCTGCGGGCCCTCCTTCTGTCTTTCTGAAGCCCTTCTCCTCTCTGTTTCGCAGATGCGAATCTGCCTTCTTCCTTCCTGAAACGTGGGATGACGAGCTGACGCTTGGTGCACAGTCTTACTGTATGATAGTGTGACGACCATTACCACGGCAATGAGGAGTCTGGACGGCGTCAAGGCAGGGCTGGAGGGATTTCAGATGCGCAACGGGGCGGCGAGACAGGCCGATAAGAAGGCCCAATGATCGACTCAAAAGCCGCTGGCAGGATTGGATGGACCAGGGATATTCTGGATCCCCTAGGTACGAATGACCTATTATACCCCAACTGGCATGTTGTATCTACAAAGGCATCAATGAACTAGTTTGCTGTCCGCAAGTTGGTAGCAAGGTTGGCGGTAATAGTGCTGTACTTGTAGACTATGCTGCTTGCCCATGAAGGGGAAACGTCTGGCAGCGCTTTTCCGGTAGCGTGGGGACTCCCCTGAGCGACTGTGCAAGTCCGCTCCATACTGTTTGCATATATCATCCATTGAGGGCAATGGGCAATCACGAGTTGTCAGGTAATATTTGTTACATCATTTTCGTATTGATTATATTCGAAACTACAACACCATGTCCGAATCGACCAGAGCTTCCGCAGATGACCAAACGCTCATGAGCGTAGCCTTCATCAAACGCAAAGCAGACTTGACGCCCGAGCAATTCTACACGCATTGGGAAACAGTCCATGGACCACTCGTGAGACCATGGGCGGAGAAGCATGGTTTCGTGGGTTACACGCAGGTCTGAGCCCCCTGCCCTTCTGCGGTAGTCAGGCCCCAACTCCCTCTTCATCACCCCTCAGCCATGACAAACGTTTGATGAGGCCTTCAAGTTGCTGAGAGTCCATAGGTACACTGCCAGCCCGCGCTCAACAGCAGTGCGGCTCCGATTGGTCCAGAATCGAAGGCGGCGTCTCCACTGTCAGGGTACGATGGGTGCGCGCTATTGGAGGTGAAATCGTTTGAGCAGATGGCTGCCGCTTTCAAAGACGAGTACTACGTCTCTGTCATTCAGCCAGATGAAAAGAAGTTCATTGACCAGAAGGTTGGCGTGCTCAGGTCCAGAGGGGAAGTGAAGCGGATTCTTTGAATGTATCGCCGAAATCTCTGTGTTGTAAAGCATACAAATTATGTATGAAGGGGTATCTCTCGACGATGCTTCGCAATGCCTCTATCTGACGTATTTGCCCATGAATCGTTTGTGGAAGTCGGAGCGCAGCAGATCCTGTTCGTACGGGTCAGTACTCAATCCAAACACGAGATGGCCGGAAGCCGCGAGAAAGACTTACGTTCACAAACTCCTTCTTCTTCCCCTTTTCTTCCGTGCCCCTCGCCTGGTTCTTGAAAACCACGTCGTCGTCCCACCGGCGCTTCATGTTGAAGTTCTGCTTGTTCAGCAGCGGATTTCCGAGGGCGATGTCCCGCTCCCGCTCCTCCTGCTCCATGGCGGCTTTCTCCTCCTCCTCCTTCTGCCGCTTTGCCGCCCTCTCGGCCCTGATCCTCTCCAGCTCGCGCTGCAGCTCTGCCTCGTCGTCATCACTATCATCGTCGCTGTCGTCGTCGCTGCCATCATCGTCGTCCTCCTCCGAGTCCGCGTCTATATCCCGCGTCTCCTCTAATATGCGCCGACGCTTGGCTTCAGGGTCCTCCTCGCCGTCGGCCTGCGACGTGAGCTCCAGAGGCCGCTTTGAGGTGGCGCCTCCAGACTCGGCCTCGCTGCTGGGCTCGGGCAGGGGCGTGCCGTTCTTCTTGGCGAAGTGGGCAGCTTCGGCAGCCAGCAGCTCGGCGCGCAGGTCGCGGGGCTCGTCGGCGTCGGCATCGCCGCCTTGGCCGGGCTGTCTGAACTTGAGTTGGGTGTGGGCGGGAAGAAGGCGTTGGTGGTAGGCCGGGCCACGGAGGGCGTCTTTGCCCCGGGCGGGATCAAAGGTAGGCCTATGTGCTGTAGTCATGATGGAGTCTTTCCCGCTGAACTGACAACAGGTGAGAAGCTGCAAACGCGGCGATTCCGGATGACAGGTTGCAGTGGTCCGGCGTAGGTGGTGAGGAACGCCGGGAGGGAGACTCGGTGGGCCGGAGAGGCTGGTGGAATGAGAGGCTGCTGACGGATGGTTGGATAAGAAGTGCTGGAGTTTGGTGAGGCTACTGTACCAATTCTGGTAACTAACTAGTCTAGTTCCTGGAACACACACTGAGGCCGGCGTTCCTAGCGCGACCGGCCCAGCCTACAGGGGACCTCACCGCCCGGCAGAAACCCCAATAATTTTGACTGCAGCGGCCGGGAGCTCCCAAATTCGCGAGGCGCCCCGCCATAAGAAACAGTACGGGTACGGTGCAGTGCCTATCCCACCTACCACGTGCCGGAGAGCAATGTGACGAGAGCAGGACGGCGGCTAGATCTTGTTCTTCTTCTTCTTCCCTCTGTTTTCCTCCCTCCACCTGATCGACCATGCCGCGCGAGGCCGAGCCGTCGCTCAACGAGAAGGCCTTCTTCCTCCAGGCCTTGCAGGATGGCCACCGCCTAGACGGCCGCAAGTTTGAGCAGTTCCGCCAACTGGACCTCCAGTTCGGGGACCAGTATGGAGTCGCAGACGTCACTTTGGGCAAGACGAGGTATGCTGCAGCGAGCAGGTCGAGGATGACCCAATTGGGGACCCTACTAATACGACACAATCTAGGATACTTGCCAAGGTCTCCGCCGAAGTCACAGTCCCCTACCCCGACCGTCCGTTCGACGGCATCTTCACCATCACCACCGAGCTCAGCCCCATGGCCTCGCCGGCTTTCGAGGTCAACAGACCTACCGAACAAGAGGTGCTACTGTCAAGATTACTGGAGAAGACGGTGCGGCGGTCGAATGCACTGGATACCGAGTCGTTATGCCTGATTGCTGGCCAGAAGGTCTGGTCCATACGAGTCGACCTGCACGTCCTGTCGCACGACGGCAACCTGATGGACGCGTCTTGCCTCGCCGTCGTCGCCGCTCTACGCCACTTCAGGAAACCCGACACAAGCATGGAGGGAGAGACCCTCACGATATACACACCCGCAGAGCGAGAGCCCGTGCCGCTCAGCTGGCTGCACACGCCGCTGTGCATCACCTTCAGCTTCTACGGCGACGAGGGCGAGATGACACTGGTGGACACGACCCTCCTAGAAGAGCAGCTGAAAGTGAGCAGCTGCACCATCAGTCTGAACAAGCATGGCGAGATCTGCCAAGTCGCCAAGCTTGGTGGCACGCCGGTCGACGCCGTATCGTTGGTGCAGTGCGCCAGCATCGCCTTGCAAAAGGTCAAGGAGTTGTCGACCCTTTTGGATCAGAAGCTGGCCGAGGACTCGAAGAGGAGGAACAAGCGAGGACTTCTAGCCGAGCTGTCTGCCGAGAATGCGAGGTAGTGATAGCGCCGTCATAGACGCGAATTGTGTAAAGAAGAAAAAATGTGATACCCACCACCCGAGGAAGACTCCCTAGTTCCCAACTCCTCAAGATCAGTCCATCTATCGTCGTCATGACGCCCGTATACCCGAAACCCATGCCAAACGCCGCCACCATGCCGCTAGAAATGCAGTCGCTCCGACTCAACACATGATCCCCTTTTCTCCGTCTCTGCGCCTGGAGTCTGCTCAGCGCCTACCGCATGACTGGGGGCCTAGACTCCTTATTCCACTTGACGCGGCTCCGTACCCAGTCGACAGCCTCCCTCACGCCGGTGCCGGTGAGGGCCGAGACGGGCAGCACGCGCGAGTCCCGCACGCTGCTCGCCTTCTCGCCCTCGAACACCTTCTTGACCAGGCCCTCCTTGATGCGCACCACCTCGACGCAGTCCTCGCGGTCCTGCTTGTTGGCCAGGATCAGCACCGGCACGCCCTCGGCCTCGCTGTTCTGCAGCACGTCCTCGAGCACCAGCCGGCACTCGTCCAGCCGGCCCTCGGTTGCCTCCTTGGCGGAGCTGCCGCCGCCGCCGCCGCTTTCACCCGCACCACCACCACCGGCGCCGGCGGGGTCCGAGGCCGACAGGGCGCCCAGTGGCAGCAGGCCGTCCCCGATGTCGGTGCTGTCGATGATGAAGATGATGGCGTGGCACGACGAGTAGTAGCTCTGCCACAACTTGCGCAGCGACAGCTGGCCGCCGACGTCCCAGATCTTGAGGTACATGTCGGGCAGGGTCAGGGTCGAGACGTTCTGGCCGACGGTCGGCACCGTCTTCAGCTTGGGGTCCGGGCGCTCCGGCAGGAACAGCGACTTGGCCTGCTCGTGGAAGGTGGTCTTGCCGGCGTTGTCGAGGCCCAGGAGGATCACGGAGTACTCTGTTCGGGTCTCTGGTCAGCGGGTCGGGATCCAAAAGCCGGGGGAAGAGAGGGGCCGGAGGGAGGGCGACGGACCTTCCTTGGACGTCGCGAGCCGGTAGAGGCCCTTTGCGAGGTGGTACATCTTGATTCGTTTCTTCCTACGCCGTTCACCTGTGCGAATATCGTCGAGACAGAATGCGCGCCGGAAAGTTCGCGATATGTACCAAAGGGGAAAGCCTCCAAGTTGCGACTTGTCAAGATTCGGAGCGGCATGGATGCTGGGGTTCGCTGGCTCTATCAGGGGACTAGGTAAGTTAACTTAGCCCCCATGTCCCCTCTAGCCCAGCCAGCGGCACTAGCGCTGTGTTTCAGCAGGGAATCGTCCGCTGAGGGTTGCTATTGGCAGGCCGGTAAGGCGGGCTGCGACGCTATCTGGCTTTGCCCAGGGAGACGGAGAGAGGCCTGAGAGGTTGAGAGGGAGGAGAGTCAACAGCCCACCTGGGCCCTGGGCCCTGGGCACCTGGGCACGTCATTGCTGCATCTCTGGCGGTTGGCCTGTTTGACGCGCTCCAGTACGTGACCGGCCCGCGGCTTGTTTCCTGCTCCCGGTTTCTACTCCGTGACAGCTTCAAGCGGGTCGACATTGCATACTTTCTTCTCATTCGGAGTGCCACGAAAACCTGCCGGCTTTCACCATGGCGCCCGTGCCTATTGAGCACCCGCCCAGGTTCGTCGCCCAATTAGTCCCGGGATCCAGCACGAGTTGGACGCTAACTGTCTTGACTTTCCGCCCGCCAGCTACATCCCATTAGCTCTGTCCACAACCCACATTGGTCTAGCCGTCTATCTGACATATGCCGTGGCCGCGAGCTTATACACATCATATAAGTCCTTATCGCCGTCGCAGGATACCCGCAAGCGCCTCGAACGCCGTGTCAAGCTCGCGCCCATTTTCTTGGGCCTCGCTGCCGCGTCACTGGTGTTTGCTACCTACTCGTCCATTGTCTACGCCACCTTGTCCTATAAAGCATGGGCTGATGACGGTGGATTTGATCTCCCGCAACGGTATGAAGGCCGTGGCCTGGCTCTTCCTTGGTTGGCTCCTTTACTCACATGCTGTATAGATTTATCGGAGAAAAGGGTTTCTTTCCCGGTACTCAGAACTCCAGCCAGCTGTATCTGGCAAGATGGTTAAGTGACACGCCGGTTTACTACGATGCCCTAGAGATCGTGGCCGAGAAGGCTCGACGCTTCTGGTGGAGCCAGCAGGTTGACCTCTCCACTTTGTCATGGAGTATCCTGCTGGCTATCGAAGGGCGTCGCCGACGGATTCCCTTGCTCACAGCCTTCCTGGCCCTGGCCCATCTGGTCAACCTGTCATTTGCGCAGAACCTCTTCTATCTGGCACTCCTCCTTACGCCGGCTCCCATCACTTCTGGAGATGACGAACTCGAGCTCCCTGTTGTCCCTGTCCCTGCCTCGGCCTGGTCTCGTATCAAGAGTACACTAACACCTGCCCCCAAACCGCTCAACTGGTGCCCGCACCCTGCGATATTCTTAGGCGCAGTACTCATAAACTTCGCCGCTGTGTTCGTCTTGCCCTATGCCGCCGAGACACCATCATTTGCCGTTGTTGCGCTGATCGCCCGCGCCTCCACGTTTCTACCAGTCCTGCTACCCAAAGTTGTACCCGCTACCTGGGGCACGGTACACCCTCACCCCCATAACGCCTACAGCTCATTCACAACCCTCTTCCGGGTTCTTTCGGTGGTAAGCTTCGTCTTGCATGCCAAAGCCAGCTTCCTCGGTTTGAGTTACAGCACGCCCGATTCACATTACCATCGGCATAGTCGTTTCTTGCCATGGGACGTCGAGGAGCGTTCTGTATGGGAGCAGAGCACCACCGCCCTGGGCAAGGTTCTTGGCTCTACGGCTGATCACCCGGTCGTTGCAGCCGTCGGCAGGGACGCGCTCTTATGTACCGTGAGTTTGGGTCTCTGGGCCGCGGTCAGGGCGAGCGACGTTGGCAACATCTTCATGTCTACTGTGCCCTTCTACGGGAAGCCGGGCGTTCCCGTCACCACCCACGAAGCCTCGCCTACTCCACAACCTGCCATCAAGTCCGAGCCAGAGGCCACGGAGTCCCCGGAGCCCGAGCTAGGCATGACGCTGCGCCGTCGCGGACGTCCGAAGAGCAGGGTCGCCAGCATAGCCAGTTCGAGCGGCGCCAGCGAGGAGGTGTCTACGCCCACGCCGACGCGACGACGCGGCCGTCCGAGGAAGAACGTGGCCGAGGAGGAGAAGGCGTACGAGCCGTCGCCCGCCGAGGCTCGCGACGTCGTCGAGGGCGATGTCCTCCCCCCGGATGATCTGGACTGGGAGAGCGCCGCCCTGGCCTGGGGCCTGGCTGCGTTCGGCGGCTTAGGCAGCGCGAGCGCCGGCGTTTTCGGTGCCGAGTGCATTTCGAGATGAGACTATGGGCATGGGCAACTCAGTATGGAGGATGGTGGTTAGCGCAGTCATGAAATGAGACGGATTGTGAGAGCTACTGGGAAGGTCTCCTTCTCGTGGAGCGCGTGACTTGGAGGCGAAAGCTGTGATCTAAATAAGTCTCCTTTATCATGCTTTTTGCAGATCCAGGTGATTACTTCTAACGCTCGTGTTGCCCGCAATGATCCTATATTCCTGTATCGATGTACAGTTTGCTAGACCGAGAAACATATGACTATATGGAACCTAAGCCCCTCCAGGAGCCTGAAACGCATCAATGAAGACTCCAACCCTGCTTTAGAAGCTTTGGTGGACAACCCGACCCCAATCATCCTGACTTCCCAGATGCTACGCCACTTAGATGTTTGCCTTGGTAATGGTGAAGGCTTAGTCGCGCTTCTCGACTTTGATAGTGGGCAGCGCGCGCGAATAGATTGCATTGCCACGGCCACGAGAAGTGAGAACGTCTTTTGTCAAATAATATGCTCTCGGGACGGGGGCGTCTCAGTGATAGCGACATGAATTGGTTCAGAATGGTAACCACGGAAGGTAGTCACCAACAGTCAGAATTTATAATGTCAAGGTATTCCAACTTTCGAACGTGGACCAACCCGAGTCTATTGCTCAGGTTCAATTGAATTGGCTTTGACGCCCCGATTCACAGCGTAGTGAGGGAGTGAACGCCTCACGCCTTTCTGCCTTTTCTCCATCGTTCTCCTCTTCGAATCTCGAGAAGCAGCAGAGGTCCGCACATGCCACTTGATATGCCAAAAATGGTGAAACACCAACCTATACCGATACCGTCGATAACCACTTGGAGCGCGGCAAGTGACGCTCCAGCAAGCGCGCACCTTACAATATTTGCTGAAGCTGCTGCAGTAGACGAGCGATCAGGATTTAGGTCCGTAAGTAGCGTCCCCAGCGCCTGAGGCTTCATGAGCAAGCGTACCAACAGATAGCCAAAGCGAAAGCTTACCACGAACATGCCTGTTGTAACAAAGCCAATGATTGTCTGAAGTATCAATGCCACCGAGACATGCTACATCGCGTGAGCCAAAACCAGCCACCCCGTGGGTGGGGATCCTCACTGTACGATAGTGGATAGCCCAACCATAGCCAGTGACTGCTATCGCAGTTACCATAACAAGCCAGAGTGCACTAGATAGCCTTGCCTCTCCCAAGGGGAAGTCATCTTTTAAAGCATGTGGAGTCTTGTCCGTGTCCAAGCCATGTCTCCTGGCTATCCTTGCAAACTCAGAATTCAAAAGCTTCCCTACCTTGCATCAGTAAGTCCGCAAAGGAGTCTGAGAAGGAAACTGTACCCCATAGGTATGTGCTCATCAGACAGCCAAACCCGAATGGCATATAAATGAGCCCTGATTCCAGTTCGCCGTATCCGTAAACTTCTATAAACAAGGTTGAGAGCGATGCTTGAACACTACAATAAGTTGCGTAATATATACCATTACAAAGCAGCACATTCAAGATCTCGGGGTGAACAAAGAGCTTTAGACAAGCTAGAGGGTTTGGACAGGAGAATTTTGAGGTTGCCTTCGCAATCTTCGTCTCCGTCGCTTTAGATCTCTTTGCAGATAATATATGCAGGAAGTCCCGGTTCAGTCCAGTTGCTTGAATACTCCCATTACCTACTATGTTTCTAGCCGTCTCTGGCAAGGCAACAAGAACGAGTAGAAGACAAAAGCCTCCTAGAATGGCCAAAAACCAGAAAATCCAATGCCATCCAAGCCGGTCTGCAATGACGCCACCAATGACTGGTCCCAAGGGCGGGGCGACGTTGGGTCTGGGCGTTTTTGCATTAATACGGCGATGATTTTTCGTTGTCAGGCTGGGAGCTTACCCCAGATTGAATATACCAACATACAGTCCCCTATCTGCAGGAGTGGTTATATCTGGTATGACACCGTATCCCAGAGAGATTGTGCCTTTCAAGATGAGTTATATCGGACCAGCTCTTCCACTTCCAACTCACTTCCCCATCATCCTACGTCTACCACCTACAACGCCGTTAGTAATATGGCTTTGAAATTGCAGGATGAGCTAAAACAGCAATTGAGCTCTCTGAGTGATTCTCTTGGAGGCAACTTACCATTGGACGGTGCTGTCTTGAAAGGTACGTGCACGTCACAATGACAAGAACAGGTGTTAGTCACTTTGCCATGCCATATATTGATCTTGGCAATAGCTCTACCTTCGGGGACCACCTCAGCATCAGCACATAGCTATGGTCATTCTGCGTGGTCTTTCACTGCCAAAATTAACGCACTTGATCAAAACCATAAGCCGGTTGCCTATCTTCTCAAAGTGTGTCTCCAATATTCTGCGCAGCTAGTTGTAGAGGCTATCGCATTAATCTTCTTAGTATGTTGCTGGAGATCTTGGAAGGCACCAACTAAAAGGAGAGTTCATTGGTATGGCAGAGTTGCACAGACTTTCGCCCGAGATGGTCCCCAGACCAATCGCTCAGGGAAAGCTTGAAGTGGCAAGTCCAGCTACCTACTTCCTCTTGATAGAATTCAAGAACTTCATTCCTGGGCTTCCGGATGCCGCAAAGCTTGGTGCCCGTCTGGCGGCCTTGCATGAGAGAAGCGAGTCGCCGGATGGCAAATTTGGTTTCCACGTCCAGACCTACGACGGCGCGCGGCTCCAAGCCATCGCTCCTGACAGCAGTTGGACTTCGTTTTTCTCCAAGCTTCTCGCCGAGGCCTATCGGCAAGACGCCGAGACCAACGGCGTCTGGCCAGAACTCGCATTGGTGCACTCGAGAGTACAGTCCCACCTCATACCGCGTCTCATTGGGGTCTTGGAATCTGAAGGCAGGACGGTGAAGCCTACGCTGATCCACGGAGACCTGTGGGAGGGCAACATAGGCGTCGATGCCGACACTGGCGATCCGTGAATTTTTGACTGCGCGGCCTACTACGCTCACAATGAAATGGAATTGGGCATCTGGCGCGCTCAAGGGTATCAGATGAACGCGGAGCGTTTCCGTCTAGAATATCGGAAACACTTCAGGGAGAGCGAGCCTGCGGACGAGTGGGATGATAGGATTATCCTGTATAGTGCCAAGACAAACTTCATGCATTCGGCGTGCTGCAAGGGCTCGACAGCAAGGGAATCAAGGAAGTCGTGAGTGCCCCGTAGGAGAAGATGCTCCAGCGGTTATTGCTGACCTCATCCCAGAGCTTTCGAAAGCATGCTTTTGTTGGTTCGGAAGTATGTGCCGGCTGACGACAGTCTGAATGATTGTTAGGGTGAGGATGTATACGGGGTCTAACCGCGAACTGAAGTGGCTTACAGTCTTCGATCAATTACCTGCAACAGAGGTACGAAGAGCTTTCTGCATTGCATGGAGTTGGGCGACCCGGCTCAAGGGGCCCGCGCTCTTTCGCGTTGGACTTGCGCATGCCCTAAATAAAAGACTAAGGAGTCAGGACAAGAGACTTTTTCCGTAATGGAATATGTGATTGGGTGCATAGTTCTTGCACCGTATATCTATTTAGTTCCAGGTTTGATGCTTAAGGCGGTAGCTTGCGTGAAGAAGCGGACAGGTTTAAAGAAGGATATCTCCTACTACTAGAGCACTGTGTTAGGTTCTGCTACCTGGCGGTAGCCACAAATCTCGCCCTTTTCTTTTGTGAGAAATCTCTGCGAGTTGCTTTTAGATACAATTTTGAATTTGACACCAGTTTGCATTTCTCCCCAATTCACTACCTCGGGGGCGATCCGGATATGCAGTCCCAGATCTAAGCCACACGCAACCTAGGCAGGAGAGACGACAAGTTTTCTAAGGTCCGTAATTCCGGCAAGCCCTTCCGGCCTGCAACTTCTTCATTATGGCTCCTATCATCGGAGTCAAATTGGAATGCCAGTCTGGCAGATTGAGATAATACACAATACTCTGGACGAGTACAAAACTCCGGGCGCCTATGCGAAAATTCAGACCCAGCCATTCGATCTATACCCATTCCCTGCCCGTTTGCGCCTGATCCGTTGGTAAATATGATGCCGGCTCTTGCCTCGATGGCCGCTGGTAGTACGGCTTCTGCTCCATCTTCCACGGTGTGGCAGCTCCCTGGCTTGTCTGCGCTGGCTGATACCGACTCGAATATGCCGGGTCCACCGTATTGTACGACGGTACCGAATCTGTCGTATTGTATCGCGACACTCCAGGCCTAGATTCCACCGCTTCGTAGGGCCCTACCCCTGGCCTCGAATCCGACGGATAACCCAGAGCAACCCCTACTTCTTGTCGCGACTCTATTCCGTGCCCGAGCGGCACGTCCTGCCTGGTATCGTCATCGCTCGTCCACATCGAGGCCTGGCTCGCGTTCATGCCGGAGACAGTGGCGTTGGGTCTCAGGTTGGTGGTACTTGCGGACGCGGTTTGCCCCAATCGTTCCATGCTGTAATTCGCCTTCCTGGCCTCTTGTTCAGCCAATAGAATCGCCTTGGCCTTCTTCATCTTCATCCAGATGTAGACTCCCATGACGACGGTAATCGCAAACGTGATGCATAGTACAATCGTCTCTATCTTGTTGTCCTCGTTCTGAGCGACAAGCAGGACACCCAAGTATACAATGAAGATCTGCTTCGGTAGGGTTAAAAATGTTGCAACGGCGAAATGCCAGAATTTGACGTCGCAAGTCGAAAAGACGGCGGTAGAGAAATGCGATGGGACGACTGAGAAGCGGATCACAAAGACAATCTAGTATACGGTTAGCGGTTGACGTTGGTGGATCGTGGCATAAAATAGCCTACCCAAAACCCGCCGTCTCTAGTGACTCTAGCCAGAGAGGCATAGTTGAGGTTGGTTCTCTCCATCTTTTCTGCTTTACTTCTAAGGAGTTTCCTGAAGGCAAACCATGTTCCCACTGCGGACCTTATGTCAGAACAAATCGACCATGGTTAGTGCTGTTGCGTACCTTCTCCGATGAAAGTGCCCGCTGCGACAATCAAGAAGCCAATCCATAGACCGTACACGACGCCACAAAGCAGGCCAATGATCTCATGGCCGAACAGAGGTGGAAAAGAGATGATCACCAGGATCACAACGGGAATGATCCAGCCAGCCGGGATGTCTCTGACCTTCTCGGAAAACGGACGTAATATCTGGTGTAGCGCGTGAGAATGACAGTCATAAGGAAGGCTAGCTCCAGCGCCCTAGGTATACTCACCTCAACGACCTTGTCATGATAGACAGTGATCAAAATGGTGATAATCGTTATTACTATCCATAGAATATGCCACGCTGGTGGGGCTGGTTAGCTGGGGGCTCCGCGACCGACCAAGATGTGCACTGTCCGGCAACGTACGAATGTATTTGGGCGTCAAAAAGACCTTCTTCCAATCTATCGGTCGGTAGTCTGTGGGCTGCTCCAAGTCCCTATACGGGCCTGACGGCTCATCGTTTTTTGCCATCTCGGGATCCTTCATGTCGTAAGAAATCGATTTAGCGCCCCGGCGACAGAAGACAGGCGATCACAATGATCGCAACCAGCTCCGGAAACAATGACAACCAGCACGACCAGCCGTAACGGAAACGATCAAGGAACTACAGCGAAAATGACGACCAGCTGGTGTCGGGATCTCGTGAACAATGAATAAAGAAACAAGGGAAAGTAGTAACTGTGCGTAATTGCCGGCGCGGAAGTGCGGTCGTTCAAGGGGATCTTTTTGTTCATCATTCAGGTAGCGATCGCCGTGTTTCATCAACCCCCTTTCCAGACCCTTGGCTCAGCCATGCATTAAAAAAAGATTCACGGGCGCCTGGTAGGGCGAAGTCCACATGCGAGCCAAGAAAAGATGCAACTTGCAAGTCAGCGCCAGCTAACTACGGCGAGGAGACCCCATTGAACCCGATACGAGGATTAATTGTGCCCCAATCAAAAGATCGGACAAAGCCAATATCAAAACGAGTGCGAAACCGTGATCGCCTTTGCCCGTCCCTGGCGCCCAGAGCGTGGCTGAGCGTGGCATAGCATTGGCACAGCTGGGGCATCGGCCACCATGTGGACCTCAACTCGCCTTAATTCACTCCTCTACACGAAGGGGTATTGATTGCGCTAGTGCCCGCCGCTTGTAGGCTGTATTGACGTAACCACTGAGATATGCGCCACCGCATATCTGCTCTCTGTACCGCAGTCCTGGCCCGGATTCAATACAAGATGCGTTGCTGCAGGGGGGCTGAGTGCTGCTGTGACTGGCTGAGGCCGGGTGATGGGATTCCTTGGCGTCGATCGCGGATGCGCGAAACCCCCCTGCCTTGTAGTGTTGATGGGGAATTCCAATTAACTGACAAGGGGGACGACGAGATGCTCAGCCCTCAGTCCGTCCCGTTTTCCTCGTGCATTGGCCACTGAGATTAGACTTAAATTGCCCACGCATTCCACCCTAGACTCTCGTAGGTCCTCGCAACGTCTCGCCAGCTGCCTCTCACAGTTAAGTATGCCCGGAGTACTGTGGCACGGAGGGGGACGCCTCCGATGACACCCACAACCAACGCCACTAGCACCAGCGCGGCAAGATGAAGATTCAAAATGTGTATGAGACATCTAAACAAGCTCAAGTGAGAGTTCTCCCACCATGACCCCCCGTGTGCGCGTTTCAAGCTGCCGGATGAACGGCATTTGAAGATCAACTGAATTGCGGGTACCTGTATGATGTAAGATGGGAATGGAGAGACCTTTGCTTATTGTTAATGTCGAACCTGGTCACTCCGGGTAAACTATAGACGTATGATGCAGCTGGTACTGTAAAACTCCTATTGTACGTAGGCATGCAGTAATGCTGTACGTCAGATGGCTGCGCTTACTCCAATACCCTGACAGTCGCGTTCGCAACTGTTACTGGCTTAGAGTGAAGTGGGTCAACGTTTTGGTATAGTAAGTCATTGTCGTTGCCACAGCATAGCTCCACATGTCCATTTCACTCGTCAATATTTCATTCAGTCCACTATCATCGTTTCCTGGGCCTGCCGTGTGATGACCGTTAGTAAGAACGAGCCGCCATGATCGGTTGGCCGTGTCACGCCCCGGAGCGCATCATCGAGCCTGATCCACAAGTCTTACCTGAAACGTCGTCTTTGGGCAGGAACTTGGTCAGCAGCGATGCATCTTAGTCCATCGGCGCAATCACTGGCAAATGTGTACGTGCTCTAGATAACGCAGTTAGGGTCACCTTTGCTACCGCTACTTGACCCGCCTTAACAGCATCCTATCAATCCAAACCTCCGCGGAAAAGAAGTATTTGATCCGGCTGAATTCCATGTATTTCAACCTCTGTTGATATGATTCGGCTATATCAAGTCAAATCAAGATAGGCTCTAAGCGATTTTCTCACGGCAGCCCACGACATGACCCTGCTTCCGGCTTAAGCCCGCCTGTGAACCGTTATTATCCGCATGGTCGCCAATGGATGACTCTGGCAAAGTTCGTGATGATGGACTGATTCAGAAAGGACACAGCAAGGCGTAGAGGCCATTCGAACCGCTTGCAGAGACAGGTGCCGTACCGGGAAGCGCAGTCTCTTATAAAGGTGACCTGGCGGTCATATGAACTCAGCTGGGGCCATGGCCTGAACGACAGGTGAAATGACATCGTATACCCCAATCAACACAGGTAAAGACAGTGACGTACCATGGTCAATATGAGAAGTGATATGGCTGAAGCGATTAGCAGGTAAAGGTGGATATGCCAACCAACTCTGTCTTATCCTTTTATACTGAGGCTGTTTCGTTTCTCGTCAATTTCCATCGAAGCAGTCAACGACAGCGGGATAATGAACTTGCTCATTTATGCTTGTCGTCCGCCAAAAGGACTTGCTAACGGACTAATGAAGCCACTCCCGGTCCGCTTATGGTACAAATCGGCTCTGTAGAGAAGCTCCCCCTTCATGAAGGGTTCAGGCTAGAATCGTGGCACAGGCGGACCTCTCTCATAGTCAGGTCATGATGCCGCTGTTATCATTGACAGGAACCCTTCGGAGTGAATGGAAAGTGTCGCTGGGCTTCCTCTCCAATCAACACGATGAGCCATCTCACGCGAGGCAACAGTACCTCCCAGTTGGTAGTGCTCAGTGCTGACGCATCTTTGAGACTGGAGGCTGAGTCACCTACCGCACACTTCCGAGTCGTCAGACACACACGGAAGTGTGATCATCTCTTGTATAGATACCTTCAAATTGAGATTTTAGATATCAAAAAGACTTTTCCTATCTGTCTGAGTTGTCCATGTAGAAATATCATGATATTCCAATATCCTCATCATCACTTTCATGCCTTCGCAGTAACAGAAAGTATTTGCTCAGGATTAGTCATTACGGGTTTGGGGCGCGCAAGCCCAGAGCGTCCTCTGTCCGCGGGCTATGTTGACTTTACCTTCATCGGTAGGAGAATTTCCAAATCCCATCCATGAATGCATGATTGATGCTATGCTGAAGCAGACGTGCTGCTCCTGTATGCTCAACCTCAGTTGTTCGAATATCTCGAGACTTATCACGCTGCCAGTCAGTACACTGAGTTATTGAATAGAAGCCCGCTTATCACAAACCGGGTTGAGAAGAACAGCAGAAATGGCATTGAACACCATAATCTAGCATCTTTGATACTCCTCAATACTCGGTGGAGTCACGATCTACTTCGATTGTCCAGGGATATTAGGAGGATCCCAGCGGGTCATGATAATGGTGCTCGGTAGGATAGGAACCCCCTTCTTGAAGCTACTGGAAGCCGGTTCATAGTCGTAAATATGGGATCAGCGAACTATCGCATAAAGCGATGTGTTAATAGAGTAGTGGAGGAGTAATTAGCCTGTTGTACGCATGAACATGTCCAATGGTAGCGAGACAAGACAGTTACTCCAACGCTCGATATAATACAGTATGCATCTTCGTCGACATGGGTTACCCTCAGTTCAGATTTTCATTACTCATATCTGAGTGTTGGTATCGATTTAGAAGTTGTGGAGAATGTGGCAGCCAGCAAGGATTCGGCGAGTAAAACCCCCAGTCCCACGGGCACGCGACCGAATATTATCAGCTGTCGCGCGACGATGATGGCTGGAGTTGGGTCTGATAGTGAAATGGCTGATCAAGTTTTAAAACGTCCAAGTACACGTGGTATCGGGTGGCATCATTACAGTCAAAACGGTAGAGGCGCCCCTTTTCCGTGTTTGAGGGGATGGTAGGGGAGCCTTGGTGAACATAAATCAGCCTCTATAGAGTTGTTGAGATCGCCAATGCGCTTCCAATACACTAACACATGCTTGAAACGGCACGTCTTATTAATCAAAGGCTGAGTCGCTGACTAAGAGGGCTATTTCCCTCTGGTTACCGGCTTCGTGATATCTCTGCTTGAAAGTTCTCCTGTCTTCCAAATCTTCCTGCGAAACCTGCTGTAGAAGCTCCAGCAGTCACGGGGCTGGAACTTCAGAGACCTCAAAATATCTCTTAGACTCTGTTCCGGATTAATCGCTCCTGATTCTCCGCAACTTCGGATCCGAATGGTATGTCTGACCGAAGACGATGCTACCGGGGGTAGTACTTGCTTACACACAGAGCAACATTTGAAGCCCAAATATGTGCTCGTCTTTTTCCACACGTCGGTACAACATGATGAATTTGATCTCGTGATAGAGAAGTCATGAGACTTATGGGCTTCTGCAGTGACACCATGAAGCGCCACGTCAAGATACCACCAGATAGATAAGAGTGCCGCTCAATCGGTCCGGTCTGGTCCCCAGACTCCAATGATCTATTGTTCCCCAGATGTGGATGCTTCGATTAGAGAGTGAAAGATACCTCCGATAGGTTGACCCTCCAAGAAAGGGTATCATCGAACTGTTCATGAGCATGGCCGTCATTGACCCTTCTAGCTCGCGGGATTCTTCGTCCAACAAAACGTTGGAGGCTCCGGTACAGAGCATCCCGGAACACCACGCCGAAATGAAAAAGGCGGGCTCCTCACCGCCTGACCAACCTCAGCACATTCCCAATACACCCTGCGAATACAAGGAGATCAATGGCACAACTGACGAGTTCGATCATGTAGCAGCATTTGCTGCCAGCGACCCTTTCAACCTTGACGATGGCGAAAACCGCGTCATTGGCCACAACGGCAAGCAGCGCTGTAGCGAAACGACCGAGGGCAGCAATTCTGTGCCCTACTCAGGTGATTGGGCATCTCAGGCTACCAGTGCTACCACCGGCAAGATGCCGCTTTCTCCCAGCACGCAGGGCACTAGTATCATCAGCCAGGAATCCTTGGAGCGGCCATCTAGTGTTCCGGTCACCACCATTACGGCCCCGGAGGGCAACCATCTAGCCCCACCGTTACCGCCAATGGAATCCGTCAACTCGAATGAAGAACATTCAAACGGAAGCACGCTCAAGTTGACTGGGTCGCCTGACAGATCGCCAAGCTCGGAGAAGTCGTTGAAGAAGAAACCAAGCCGGTTCAGAATGAACGCGCTGAAGTTGTTCAGACGTGACAAAGGCAGTAGTTCCCCCTCATCTGCAGGGGAACCTGGCGGTTGAAAGACATTATATACGAGACTGCAACGCATCATCTCGAAATTCCCTTACAGATCCACATCGACATGTTCATGATGTGGATACGGCTTGGTACCGAAATCCAAGCAGCCTTCGAACAGCCGACGACCCTACTGATGGAGTCAAGGCAGAAGCAGCGCACTCTCAGGCTTATAGTGTATGATATGGGCGCAGCGCAAGACGAAGCTTCAGATTTGATGACTTCGCTTGCGCAGCATATGTATGTACTGTTAACGATGTGACGGAGCAATGAGGGACGAAGCCCACTAGGATGGCCCGGCAGTGTCAGTGTCAGGCGTTGTCGTGCGAATTCAGTGAAACCACAAGGAGCAGTGTTCCAGGCCACACAACCACATGTGGCCTGTCTAGGTGATGATACCTTAGGGCTTGGAGGGCCAAGGTAGTAGTATATCCAATACGAAGCATCAATCACCTCAACTCACCCGCTCAAGATATGTTTCTTTCGTGACGTGATCCCCTTATAATGTCTGGACGGTTTGCTTCAGTCTGCCAAGCGGCACCACGGATTGTATTAGCATTGCCACGTCTCGAAAATTGTGCTCATCCGCGGCAAACTGTCTCTCCATAACACTTAGGACAGAGTGCTTTCCTGCGCACCAGGATTCATGACCCGACCGGTCACGAAGCGCGCCAGCGATGTGCGATACAAGGCAACTGGGCATCTGCGGCTACCCGGGTGTCGGGTTTAAAAAGGGGGGAAGGGGGCTTCAAAACCCTCCGTGTGAAGGTTAACTGGTGTATTTGTAGACACAACCATGCCAATAATTTTGTCAGGCCAGGAAGCCACTCGCTAAGACGGAGCCTTCATTCCGTTGCTTCACGATGCTACTAGATGTATATCTCGAACGCAACCTAAGGACGAGACCAATTTGCGCTGCTGTAAATGACCAACCCACCAATTTCCCCTCTGACCCAGACCCCAAGCGATGTCTATATCCCACCGATTTCAAAACGCGACGAATTGGTTGCATTTTCACGGCTAGCCATTGAGTATGGCTCGGCCCTATGTTGATTAAGGTGATTATGTTAATCAAGCCTAGAACTCCAAAGTTACTCGTGTAGACAGAAGGAATGATTGATTCCTTCTGTACCCTGAGAGCTCTCTTCAATTTCTGGTCCAGATTGAGATGGTCTCCGTCTCCGCCTGGATCGCCGTAGTGCGCGTTGGGCTGGGTATTCAAAGCTAGGTGACTGCTTCCCAACTCGTCGTTTCGATGTATGCTGATCAAGCCGTGAAGTGGACCCAGCCTTAAGACGTGAGCGTCCTCTCCTGGAGCTGTGAAGTCTCGCGGGACGCTGCTCGTCAGTGGTTGATGAGAGATTTGAGGCAGAAGAGTCGCTCTCGATCTCCTCTTCCTCCTCCGCCTCCTCAGCCTTTCGCTTTCGGGGATGCGAAGCTTCACCGAACGCTTTGTCCAGCATATCAAGCTCGGCTTGATCCAATTGAAACACGGGACTGTCCCCTCGCGTGCGTTTCCCTAGCGATGTGTAGGTGCCTGACTGTTTAATGGTGTGTCCCTGCACTGCGAGTACAGGAAGCCACCAAAGTGCGAGATTCATTGTAAGGATATTTTCGCCACTCGCGGTCCATGGAATGCCAGAGTACTCAACTTGCAGCCCCGTTTTGCGCCTGCTTTCGCCGAAGGACGCATTAGATGGCGCATTGGATATCTGGTCTGCGTCATCATCACTAACACCTTCCTCCTGCTCATCATCCACGTTCTCAAAGGATTTGTTTAGCATCTCAACTCCCGTGCCTGCAATATTCTCTCTCGGGAAGACAGAAAGCCTCACGGGGACCAGCTCTTCTTCGCTGATAATGAAACCATACCTCGTCTTGGCTTCCCACATGTACTTGGTCATCTGTCTTATGACGTAATCTGCCTTTCTCCTTTGAACTGGCTTTTTAGAATTAACCCATGCTGATTTCCACTTCTTCGCTGGCTTGGAATCCCCTGGAACAATGTTCGGATAGAAGGGCTCGAGCCCTGGCACCTTTTGATAAACGCACCAGTCCGGCTCCTGGTCTCTCCCTTTTGGATTCTTCACGTTGCCCCGACCTGTGTTCATCTCGAGATGGATCCTTCCTCGACGAAAAGCACTCGCATGCTTTGGTCTTCCTAAGGCATCATGGGTGCCTTGGAATACGTGGCGTAGGACTGGCTCATTCCACGCAACAGCCAGCTGGGTCACTGACCCTTCTCGAAATATCTCCATTTTCTCCGGAGGCACCTCGCTCGCATCAGCGACACGGGGCTTACGCATCGGTTGCTTCAGGATATTCTTGAAGGTCGCTTCCAGGTTTTCCCACGTGATGTCTTCCCATTTAATACACTTATCAGGACCATAGTTAATTCCAGTCTTGGTGCTGGATCCGGCTTTGCTAAGTACAGTCGTTTGGGGATTGGGTTGTGTCAGATATTCAAGAAAGGTGGTCGCCATTTTTTTGGAGGAAGCCTAACTTCAAACGTGTACGACACAAAACACTTCGAACCAATTCTGGGAGGTTTTAATTTCGTTTAATTTTTTAATACTTTTCTTTCATCTTATCAATACTAACGATATATCAGGCTGAGGCCCATGCCATCATGAGAGTGAATAACCGGTGAGCGGTGCGCCTAGGTTCGCTTCTAGACTGTACAGCATAATTGCCGAAGCAGTCCCATCTGCATTTGCTATAGACGAATCGAGGCCGTCGCCGAAGGCAGCTGATCGATTTCAGCCATTCACAGACTCTTCCATCATGCCGGTGTGGTTGCATGCAGCTCAAAAATCTACGGGACACGGAAAGGCTGTCAATATTTGCCCGCCTGCCCAGCTTTTCATCATTCGATGCGGGCCGATCCTGGCCACTATATCCGCCAAAAGCCCCGCATCGTTGTTCCGTGAAATTCAGAGCCGATATGCATGCCGCACCCTATTGAGGAAGCTTTCCAGTGTGGAGGGGAAGTCTTACACCGGTTTCGTGAGAATCGGGGTACAAATGGATGCAATCTCGGCAGGGTGTTCGAAACGATGTGTGGAGTGGAACTATCAATAGTCTTAAGATGTCTGGTTCTTCAAATTCTGGCCCTTTGCCAGATTGCAAAGGCCCAAAGCTCTTTGCGTTTCCTGGGAAAATTGAAGATATCAAATTTCTGCGCCAGCTATCTCCCGAAAGAGACTGCAGCACTGGTGATGTACCCCATAGCAGGGTTTTCCACATATCTCTGGAAGACCAAATATATGCTTTGAAAGTTGTAAGCTACTTAGATCCGAGGATATATGATTCAAATATGTTTGCTAATATCATGAAGTTCAATTTTTTCAGCTTGGAGGAGCTTCGCCCCTTTGTCCCTTTCGGAGAGCATCTGTTAAAGAACAAAGACAAAATGATAAGGCACCAGTTGGATCCATTCTACGCCGAGTGCCGCGCGTTTGGGAGGCTTACAAACAAGAGAAAAGATGACGAACTCGCTGTCCGGTGTTATGGATACGCATTGTTACCAGATATCGTGGAGCGTCGCATTGAAAAACAATTCGGTATTAATGACTGGAACCGTGGAAAGGGGGACGAGGGGCAGCGTTTAAGAGCTATTGTCAAAAGCTATATTCGGTTTCAAACTCCATTTGCTAGGAAAAAATTCCCAGTTATGAGAAAGAAAATTGAACAGCTAAATAATCTAGGGATTTACAACATGGACATCAGGGAAGAGAACTATCTGGGTGGGCGCCTCTTTGACTTTAGTATCGCGATCACGGCACCCCATTTAAGTCTTTGGACAAAATTGCGGTTTGAAGATCGGATACTAGCTGACATAAACTACGACTTGGAGTGTTTCGATGAGCTCGTTAGTGAGAAGGAAAATGCCAAGCCGAAAGGGCGTGTGCAGTCTAAGTATGAACTGCGGTCGCGGACTACTCGAGATCCGCATAATTCATAGTCGCAGATAATTAATATGAGCGTCCATCTTCGCCATAAGGGAGACCTCTTGAGCTGGCGAACTTTCCGATCAATCTTGCTCAATACCTGCTGCAATTACATAGATTGGCTTGATCCACGATGTTCAAGTCACAAACCGCATGTATACAGGTAGGGAATATAAAATATAGTCATGATGGATATTGATCAATACCCCAGCCGGAAAACTTAGCTCCTACGTCATATATGCAAACGCAAGTCCCCTGAAGAAGGAGAAACCCAAAGTCTATATTATCTGAGCACGTTATGCTGATCAAAGACGTGGGCTGTAGCACCTATGCCGCCTCCCCATCAATGACATCGGCAAGATTGATTCCGCCCCTTCCCTGACCCAACAGATGTTCGTTTTGATAGACCGCAAAGCCCCAAGCACCGGCATCAACTCGTCTCTTCGAGGCTTCGGATGATCAAATGGAGGTTGAATTGTCCCCGAGGTCCTCATTCATCTACCACTTACCGTCCGACGGTCTGGCTTTGATGTCCATAACGCCCTAGTTATCCGCCTCTCCAGAGCTTAGTTCTAGAGATCTATCACTTTTCAGTCGGCGGACGGATGTCGCGTAAATTCAATGATCAACATGACAGCCTTGCTAGTCCCATTGATCCTGCTCACCTCTTGGCGGACATTGAGATTGGTGAACCAATGACTGTGGGCTTATGTTTTCCCCTACTGCGGTTCCGGGCTCGCATTCGCACGAACTCTTCAATCTCAACATGCAGTTATGTGAACTATATAAATGATTCAGTGATACTTCCACAGTAACCAAGATGTCTTGCAAAGCTCAAGGCGCATATCTGGCGGTCTCGACATCATCCGACCATTTCGCATGGCTGGCTTCCTGAAAACACATCCCATGATTTGAGCAACAGATCCCAGTATATATGAATAGTATCTAAAGGGAATCAACTTTTGCTTAGTGGGACCCAAGTGAATGCACTGCGGTGGAATTGTGACGGTAAGCCGTCAGGCGAATATTGGTACTAGTAGGTGTGGTCGCATTATGTCCCACTTTTAATAGGATGTGCAAAAAGCGCGGATCTCGCGCCCGTTTGTAGTGGATCTGTAGCTTAGTATTACATCAATTTTGCACCCTATACATGAGCATTGCCTTTTGTGGCCTGCGAGGCCGTGACAGGTAAAAGTGTAGTACTATCCTGTCGAATATTGTAATATAAAGTTACGCAACTTGGCTCGCAACATGGATTATTATCGTCTCGATAAGGATTCTACCCGTACGTTTCGCATACTATATTTACACTATTTCTTCAACTTGCAAGCACATACGACCATAAGCACTAGAGAACTCGGGATCCCGTCCGCTCTCCCATAGATAAACTGGTGACTGCTAGATTAGTAGTTGGGTGGGTGACCACCAGCGAATACCTGGTGTTGTATGTTTTTTTTTCGTATGCAACAAAAGCTGTAAATTTTTTTATATTTTTTTGGTTTATATATTACCCCGTGTATCTGTGCCTGCATATACTCATTAGTTAGAATTGGTAGGGAGGCCCAGGAGAACCAGTTCCGAGACTTTGTAGTCGCATATCTAAGCACCCCTGTCATGGACGGATTGTTATCTTCACATTGACGTGCGAAAGACATGATCGCAGACTCGACTAAGCACCTTTGAGGACTTATAAAAGTGGTAAACACATGAATCTCCAATTAAGACGATAGTAAAGGCGCAATTTATCGCCGTACAAAGTCCAATTTTCCGTAGTGTGTTTGGTTACTGCATTGGCGGCTTCGGTGCTGCCTATCGCCGGATTCTTCGTACTTGCCGTTATTAAATATCGCCTCCCTAGGTTATCACTAACATACGTGACGATTCTACTAATCGGACAGCTGAGACCGAATGCTTAGAAGGTCTCATCCAAAAAGATGTAACCTTTTGTCTGCGTCTCTCCTCAACCCTACAAACAGGCAGGGAGAATCCTTATCTTTTTGTTTACTATTCAATACACTCAAATTGTATGACCCTGCTTAGGTTTGACTGCATGTACCTACCCATGTAGGTTATATTATACCTTGGGTTCTTGTTTATCTATATATATATACATGTACGTAGCTGGATATGCTTCGTACTTACTTGGCCGCCATTGAGCGCCATGCTACGCTGCATATGCAGACTACATATAAAGGTACTCGCCCATATAAGTACCTTGCCTACTTCCAAGAAGGGCCTGGAGAGCCGGGTTTACGGTACCACATCAGCCTTTTCAGGAGCCGTCTAACAGTTACTATCCCTTGCGTAATGGTTTGGATGGGTAATCCCTAATTATGACCACTCTCATTGTTGCCGAGGTCGTTATTTGGTTGATGGGGACTTTCAGTGAGGTACAAGCACCTGGGTACGAAACGACAGGTAATTAATAAGGCAACTATGAGGTATGTTTGCAATACCATCCAATGTTTTTGGAGCAGAGCAAATTTGTGTGTTAACGTATTCCGACTGCCATACCATCCAGAATTAGCAGGTCAAAATACTAAATTGTAGTGTGACTTGGAGCCCTTCGGTGATAGCAACATATTGGTCGTGAGCTGTCGATCTTATTACTTCCGGTCCCACCTATATTTGCCACTTCTCGACAGTCTCCTGTCGGAGGGTTGGCGGACGCGGGGCAGGACATTGCCCATGTAGACAGTGGCCTTTCGTGATTGCAATCATATTTCTCGGAATACTTGAAGTCACCTTCGGATCTGAGACGGCATGAAGTGATACATCGAAACATCGAACCCCCCGCCTGGCCACTAGACGAGCACTTGGTTGACTGCCTGACACGTTTTTGATTTACAAGCCGGAAGATGAAATACTGCTCATGGTTGTAAATAGAACTTTCCAACTCAACAGGCCTGAGGAGCCGATCTCTGGCTGCACGCTTATCTAAGTTGAGAAATACAGGTTTTGAGTGATTCGCTGACTTTCACGTTCGAAGAGGTGCAACCCACGAATCTTGCTCTTACGGCCCAGAGGAATGTCATCAATTTGTCATCTAACTATAACAAGCGGATTCTTGCATGATATGGATGGATCTTTCCATCCCTCCAACACGGGTTAGTGCTTGACACCATGTGAGTCGTCATGCAAGTCAGGGGTTCATTGGGTTGTAATTATAGGCCGTGCCCACAACTGAAGAACCTGCATTAGTTGGGTGGATGTTACGGCAAGAGCTCTTCACTTGAGTATGTTGTGGCCATAATCAAGTTCAAAACCCCTTACCGGCGTAAATGTGAAACGGTGGATGTGCCATGATAGGGACTTGAAAGAAAGGCGGGTAGAGCAATCACATGAAGAGGGCGCACACCCGATCTAGGCACTAGGAATGGACTGAAACGTAGGTTTGTGATCGTAATAAAAGTATGCCTGGCCCACTGCCCCCGATAATTCCTTTCTTTTATGCTAGACGGACATCCATAACGCATTCATAGACGGGCGCGTTGTATATATAGGTCTTGACTAGTCGAAGGCCTACTTCGGCGAAGAGACCGGACCAGTGTCTTTCAGAGCGCTCCGCGCTTGCAAACACTGCCATCATGGTCAAATCGTCGTTTGCAGCGTCGAATCTTACACCTGTCTCAGGCAGCGTCACCTCGTCGATAAGGAGCACCGATTCACTTGTCATTGCCGACTTGGTGTGTTCCAGGATCTGCTTGACTCTGTGGTCTGGATGGTTGTGGAGAACGCGGCGGAGAAAATAGAACTTGGCGTCTGTGTTGTGAAGGATGGTCAGATTCGGTCCGTGGATCATTCATTCTCGACATCTTGCATTCAGGAGCGTGACGTACCTTTGATGGGCTGGGGTTCAAAGAAGTTGTGGACCAAATTCTCCACCCCTGGTGTCAGTAGGGCGTTGTCAATAGAATACGGTAGATCCTGTAGTATAACTCGTCCAGGAATATGAGGGTACTTTTCCTTGAACTCTGCACATTGGTGGCCGATATTGCCGCCAATGTTGACGTACAGGGGTTTGTCAGCAGTCCAGCCGGCGCACTCCCCTTCCACAGGATACACATTCAACCACGACTTTTCTGGTAATCTTCGTGAGGCCATGTACTCATTGAAGTATGCCATATTCTCTGGGTGCTCTCCGAACCAAGCAAATGGATGTTTATCAGTGTTGAAAGCATCGTGCCATGCAGTGTGATTTTCATCTTGCGGATTCCGGTACCCTGTTTTCTTCAAGAACGATGGCAGAGCCTGGAACTCTGGACAGACGGTGTAAAAGCTGTGGGCGAGTCTAAGTTAGGCGATGCTTCGCGGAACGAGTGCCATTACCGCAAGTGATGACATACTAGTGACGAAGGCCCGCTTCGCTGACTTTGGCTGTCATGTTCTTCGTGGCAAGATTGGCTTTGAACTGATCTCTGGAAACCTCATCGACCATACCAATGGATGTAAGGTACCGCAAAAGCCTTCCTGTACGTGTATTTTGTCAGAATACTACTGATTTGCGCACGCCCGAGAGCCGATTCCTTGCCTGGCTCACTCACCTAGCAGAGCCTCCTCGGCCTTGGTCTTCTGTGCGAGCTCATCCACTGTCAGTGGGGATTCTGCTTCCACCAGTAAGACAAACAGTCCCAAATCGATTCCTATTACGGTTGCCGCGCTATCCAAGTGCTATAATCAAGTTTCAGCAGTAGACCGCGACTCCAAGCGGAAGACTTGTAAAACCAAGGAAAGAAGGATTCGGTTGCCCTACTTGACTTCCAACTCGCTGAAGCATCTCCTCGGGTGCCTCCAACGAGTTAATTACTTTCCTCAAAGCAAGAATCAAAGGCTGCCGAGCTGAATCGCCCGCCTGGCTGGCCAATTGCTTGATCTGTTCGAGTGCGGCGTTCATTTTGGAATTTTCTAGACTGGGTCATTTCACGCCATCTACATGTCTTCATCAGGTTATGGGCAGTAAGCTGCTAATATATTGAGAGAATCTTTGCATAACAACGGCTTCAAGTCTTGTGGGCCCTGCCAGTATTGATTTCTTGGTATTGAGGGCTAAGCATCTGGGCACTCCTTTCAGGGAGGAGGGTTGGGAGACAGTCCCTGGTGAGTCAGACCATAAATGGACTTAGGATTGACAGTGATCTTTCTGAGGTACCCCTTGAGCATGTGCCTGCAAAAACGGGTTCCCTAGCGATAAGCGCATAGGAACCCGGCGTGTGATGAGATAATTTGCACTGTGGTGCAAGTAGCTCTTTGAATGTTGGAGAGGTAATTCCTCCGACGACCATGTTGGTAATGATGGTGTTGCATTGCAGATTATATGATGCTTGTGATTGCGTAACTCGAATGGTCCAGCCCCAATTCTATCACCTTGGCCATGCAGAAAGTGGATGAGGTAGGACTAGGAACACCAGTGATGAGGAGCATTGCTGCAATCGAAGGAAAGTCCTATACATGAATAGTGGAGTGAGCCTTCATCTGGAAATTCGTTACCTCGCCAAGACAACCAGAATCCTCGAGCAATCGATGAAATTCTCGCCTTCGGCATCTGCGCTCTCTGTTCTGCAATCAACGTCACATTCCACCACAACATGGCTTGGATAGACCAAGCTCCTTGGCTGGCCTGCAGCGCAGTCATACTACTCACTCTGGCAGCGCTGCGTTTCTTACCTGGTTATACACCAGACCAATCTCAAGCAAGACTGTGGCAAACACTCGATGCTATCGGTGTAGGTCAGCGCGATGTTCTGTCAAGGACCTGGGCCATAATCCGTTCCCTCACATCGACAGCCGAGGGCGACTGAAGGCTACACTAAATTCTGTAAGGCGCAGAACTTGCCTTTCATCCTGCCCAGCCTCTGGGCCGGCCGGGCTGTCGTGGTCCTGCCGCCGTCGCTTCTGCCGCTTCTCAACCGTCAGAATAGCGAGCTAGCGGCTCACGGACCTCAGTCGGATACTATACAACTGCCGTACATGATGTCCGACACCGATGTCTATCATAACCCTATCCAATATGACGTTGCACGACGCAATAGGTCCCGCAGGGACATTGGGGCTATAGCCGCTGCCACGTCGGAGGAATTGCACGCCGCTTTCTTGGCCTTTTGGGTTGCAGATGGCAACGAGTGGGCTGAGCTGAACAATTGGGACGCATGCGGTATAGTCTTGGCAAAGGCCTCCCACCAGGCTGCAGCCTGCCGAGAATATCAAGGTGCAGCAGTCCGGAAAGGAACAGCGACGAGCTTGGATAATTACAACCCACCCAACCAACGTTACGTACATGAAGCCATTACCGCCTGTGGTGAACTATTTTCACGTTCAAGCTTTTGTGCATCAGCATTCATAGGACCTAAGCGCTCAAGTACTAAGGGCCCACGCCATGTTACCGACAGCCTGGCTTCGAAGGCAAATTTGGAAATCATACGTGTACTTGAGCGAGTAGCATTTCTAACTAGGTGGATAGTCTCACCAATAGCGGACAGCTTTAGCATCTGGAGCAAACTACCTTGAAGATGCCAGTGCTATTCCGGACCTAATTGTTGCCTCAGGCCTTTGACGACACGTCCTGCCTTCGCCCTGGCATAATCGCTTATATCCAAGATCAAGTCTGGTAAAACTACCACCTCCAGCACATGTCACGTTATATTGTGTAGTGTGGTTGCTCTCGCCTTTAACGTGGTTACACAAACTGTTTGTGGCGAGGGGCTGACTGCGTATATTTGATATAGTCGAGAATTCCACACCTACACAGTATATTGGTGCTGAATCAGGCAAATTGATGCCTGGGTGCTGCCAGCGATCTTCTGCAGCTCGGAGATTAGATGTCCTGCATCTCCATTCTGTACGCTGATTTCAAAAGCAAAATTGAAATATCTGTGCTCCATCGCCCTGTAATTTCTTGGCTGCTGGTACAAAGCGGGCCGCGCCAGCCTCGCGAGCGCTCTCTGAGACTATCTATTATTTACCTACTCACAGTCTCAATCTCAACTCCAGTCTCGCATCGTCCTGGTATCCTTCAGTACTATGGCAAGGTTTCACCGCCTGGGGTTGTTATAGATCCACGTATCCTTTATACTTCTCGGTCAACACTCTGCTTCATGAGCTAGTCTGGTGGTATTTTTAGTGATCGAGGCCTGAATGAGCGACACAGGCAAGGGCTCAAATACAATAGAGGCAACGAGACTACTGTCTTTGATGGACTTGATTGGCTCGAGAAACAATGTAAAGATCTCTGTGGCTGCCTGGAGAGTTGCGGTGTGTGCCTTGACTGGGGTGTCCATATGGGCACGTCTAAAGATATGTTAATTGACATACAATGAACCATGTATAACCAATGGAATATTACCTTAGATCCGAATTGCTTGAGTCTGCAGCATCCTTAACGCTGATGAGATTTAAAGAGCCGAGACCGTCGATTTGCGGAGTAACTGTTGTGAAAGGACCCAAGTTGGACGGTCCTTCTAAACCCCCTATGTGGTAGATCCGGTGCACACATACAGTCTGTCCCATCTGAGCAGAGTATGCGGTGCTGAGCATGATATGAATATCATTACTTGCATCTGGACTTTGGATTTCTTTGACCATAGCATCAATCTGATCGGGGAAGCTTGGGGGGATAATAGTAGACGTAGCCACCCCACATTGGTCCTTGTGGAAATGTTTCCATATCGTATCGTGTTACGATCCCGAAATTGTTTGATCCACCTTTCAAAGAAGCCCATAAGTCGGGGTTGTCCTTGGCATTGGCATGGACAATGTCTTCGGAAGCCAAGACGACCTCGTAGTTGGCCACATTGTCAGAGACGAAGCCCCTATTTGACGAGAAGAATGAAAGACCTGCTTCTAAGGCAAGTTTCCCGATACCTCTTCCGCCATTGCGCCAACTGGTAGTACTGACATTCGACTTTCCAAGATTCTCCAGGACGTTGTCCCAGCGCTCGCCGGCTCCAATTGCGGCGATCCCATCCGGTCTAAGACTGACGCCAGTCATTTGACTGAGGTCCAGAATGATGGTATCGTTCCTGGCTTCTTTGTCCCCTGGAGGTGAAAAGACACCCCCATCCCGAATGGCGAAGGTTGTTTTGCCTTTGAGAACGAGTGGCTTGATAACTTTTATAAACCTGGAAACCTCTTCACTACTGGTCGGCTGAACAGTGTAATTCTTCACGTTCTGACTCTGGTCATGGCCCCCAAGCGTTGTTGTGGGAAGCGTCCTGTCAGGCAATGCCTGCTGCAAGGCCTCCATGACTTGAGCGAATGCCATTGAACGAGCTGTGGTGTCTTCCACGTACGGCCAGGCATTTGGAGGGGCTAGGGGCGGCGGCGTACGACAGTTGTAACGAGGCCTGGTTGAATTGCAAGAAATTTACGGTTGCTGGGTTGGTGGCTACGGTTCTTTCAAAGCTGATACAGTCACATTGAAGGATACCGGAGACCAGATAGATTTTAATACCGATTTTGACCATGGAGTTTGCAGTCCTGAGTTGCCTGAGGGGTGGCTCCCGCTTACCGCAGCCGGCCGTCGTCTCATTCGTTGGTCACCAATTGCGAACCGTCTGTGGTTTCCCCCTGCACTTAGGCAAACGTCTCCATTGATTGACTTCGATGACATGGAGCTGCGAAGATATGCGAAGATATGCGTTGAATGCCTTGGACCGTCCATAGGTTTTACTATATGTAATTGGATGCTAGGACCACCTCGCACAGTGAAGTTGCAGCCTATCCGCCTACGAGCTCTAACTTGTAGTAGCACTTGGTGCTGTTGGGACCATAAATCCATATTCTCCGCCCTTGCCGTTGCGAGATATCCCTTGCGTTGGTCCGCGCCAACATAACTCTCCTAGGCGCATGCTGCAATCATGCACGGTGCTGGACGCATCTAAGCTGGCCTAGGCGCGGTCTCAAGCTCCTGTGCTGCGATGTCTGACCCCATCTCCACCGGCTTCGGGCGGTACAAGAATTGCTGCTGGTGCATAACGATTGGTTCTCCATAGCTCCTTGATGTTTGCGGGTAAGCAGATGAAGGAGTCTGCTGTTGCCAGGTACATCTCTCTGCGCAACTTCCTGTTCTTGGCGAAAGCGAACGCAAGGACCGCGAGCGTGACAGCAGCACCGCACCCTCCACAGTCAGGCCGGCGATGACGCCGCTACTAGGCGTGTAGGATGCGCCAGGCTGGCAGATCTCGTTGGCTGGGGGGCTGCCATTGCTTGCACTGCTAGTAGGAACTACTTTGCCGGAAGTCGAAGACGATGCCGTCGCGGTCGGCCTCAGATGTCGGATCACGGTGCCTATTTGCTGCTTGCCGAGAGTGAAAGCCGCAGAGAAGCATTGGGTGTCGTTGACACGGCCGGATGTACCATCGTCGTCGAGCTCGTTGCAGCAGAAGGCTGTGTCGTTGCAAGGCTGGAGGTAGGCGTTTTTGAAGCGACCTTGAGACCGTGTTAATCGTGTTAATCATCCAAGTGAATTTTGTAACATGTTGTGTGACCACGGTGACCCCTAAAGGGGAATCGACCGAGCCCCCCAATGTCAATTAAGGACACTGTTTCCCGAAGATGTAGCAAATAGCACTAGGCGTACCACCTGTACAGAGTTTAGGGCACGCAGCGTCCTGGAACGTTGAGTTGGTACAGCCGGACGACCACAGGAGATGCGACGACTGCACGGAAGCAGTATCGAGACACAGTCTCGAAACCAAGCGAGCGTCTCCGTTCTTGAAGCTGCAACATGAGGTGTGCGACCCCGTCTCGCCGGTGGCATTGAAGTTACATGGCCCATTCTGCGAACCATCGGCCGTGGAACCGTCAAGGTGGTAGCAGGTCTGAGCTGTGGCCAGAGATGAAAGCAGCACGGGGTAGACTGCGGTGAGGAGCAGTCTCGTCACCAATGGAACCGGTCGGATTACCATTGTGTTAGTTGGCTTCGAAGCGGATGTGGTTTAAAGATGACCCTCGCTACTTTGATCGGGGAGCGGAGATCCCAGATCAGAAGGAGGCCAAGGCTACATGTATTCCTACGCATTCTATCTGAAGAGCTCAGCTCAACCTTAGCAGTAATAGGAAGGCAGGATCTCGCTTGACGTATGTGGTGAAGAAGTCGTGGAAACTGTCGGTAGCCTCGTAACATTGAGCTGAATTAGGCTTGCATGGTCGGCGCTACGCGTCTGGTATTTTTTTTTGGCCCCCTTCCTATTCCGGGGCTGAAACTTAAGAACCTAACGCATGATCGAGAGGGACAAGACCTGTCATGTTGCTGTAGTCTTTCAGCATGGCAGAAGGATCCAGCGCCGTTATTCCCACCATTGCTGACCAAGCATGCATACCAGTTTGCCTCGCGACATGCAGCCGTGTAGACACGGTGTGATTGGACAAATTCTTGCTGTACCGTGTCTGAAATTGCTATGTATTCCCTTGGCTTTTATTTGTACAATCATCATGGCCCCAAAGACTGGGCGACTTCAGATACTACTGAGGTTGCGATCCCTCCCGGTGAACAATCCATCAGACGCCTTTTCCCCTCTGATTCTGTATGACACCCAACTGGGCCTTAACGGATGAATGGTATCATCGTGGATACGTGTTTTTTGTACTCGTTGTAGTCTTCCCCAAAGAAGCGGATCATATAGGCCTCCTCTGCCCTGATCCTCTGGGAGAAGAACTTCCAGAGCACGACGAGGTAGCCAACAAAGCATATCGGGTTTCCGAGCACCAACTGAGTTCCGATTCCCCAGTAGAAGAAACCAAAGTAGGATGGGTGTCGCATGACTCCATATAGGCCTGTAGTAACCAGTTCATGGCCCGTTCTCCGCTTCTCCTGGACTATGTGGTTAAAATTGGTCCCCAGCTGGGACATGGCCGTGGCGCGGACGAACTGTCCAATAAAAACAAGTATGAGGCCAATGAGAAGCAGGATGTTGCCCGTGTACAGAGGTGCCCACGAGCGGTTCGGCCAGATCAAGTTCGTAAAGAAGCACTCCACCGTTGCGGACGTGTGCGCAATGAAGTACATTGGCCAGTTCGAGGTCAGGAGGAACGACTCAACCTTGGCCTCCTGCGTGTTGTACTTTGCGGTGGTCCAGAACTCGAGAAAGTGGAAGACGGAAAGCGCGGCGAAGAAGAAGGGCACTCGCCATAGCGGAGAGGAGGAGAAGACGAGAATAGAAGCCACAGCAACCGCGGACAAGCTGAGGGTGATGCCCAGGCAAAAGGCTCGGAGTGCGATGCCCTCGAGCGACTTGGCTCGGCCCGGGAAATACAGCTTGTCTGGCGAGGGCCGCGCGCTCATGGGACTGGCAATCGGAAGCAAATCGTCAGCATCCTTTTCCGCAGGTTCGTGACGTATCGTGGGCAACTGAAGGGAAATGCGCCGCTCCTTTCTCTTGTTGGCCCACATAGGACGCTTGTTGGGGTCGTCATTCTTGCCGGCGGGCAAGGTACCACTGGCCCAGGCCTTGTCCTCCTCGAGCTTGTCCGCGAGGGCAAAGGACGACTTCCATTTCGGAGTCGAGGGGACCTCGTCGTTCACTAGATAGTGGAAACCCGCCGGGGGCTCGTCCTTGGGCAGAGCTCTGGGAGAGGCTTCGGGGGAGGATCTGGGTGGGGCGGGGGGTGTAGAGGCCGGTGATGCAGCCATATCAACAGGCGGAGCGTGACCAGGTGATCGTCTGGCTTGGAGAGAGCGTGGGAGAGACAGTATCGCGCGAGACTGGCAGCAGACACATCTTGTAGTGGACAGCGAGACTGACTTACCTATCCGGCGGGGAGGCCATTGTGTTGTCTGATGACTCTTGTCACCTCAAGTATCATGTGCACAAACCCGTGACAAAGAGCAAGGAGGTCCGTGTGTTCTTTCACCCGTTGCCTGCTGCTGTCATGGCCGAAGTGGTTTCTTTCTCTTGTCTGGTTTGTCGACTGGTGGAGGTTGGACAGAGGCCCACAGCCTTGTCTATGGCGGAGGGTTTCGGTGCGCGGATCCGCTGGGAGATCCATGGACGGCGCTAAATCAGATCTCAGCCGCGTCGGCGGGGCCGCAAACGGCACGCAAAACCCCCTGCAGGTCGTCAAAGAGGGATATGCAAATTGGCGTTCGGGCTATCAACCGGGCACCATGAGAGATGCACAATCAGTCAACCGCCATACTGGACAATGGTTATCCAAGCAAGTAGTATGAAGGCGTTTGAAGTATTCAGCGGTGTCAAAGCGTCGAGTTTGCACGTACAAATTGACGGCTGGCAAGGCTAGTTGCTGCCTCGGGGGTCAGGAAACGCGGGGCCAGTGGGGAACCTGTTTGTTCGGCAGTCCTGGATCTCTCTCTCCTCTCGCATAGATCTGAGACAGCTACAGATAATTGAACTCAATTTAGGTGTGTTTGCACGTTCGATTGATTTGACCCAGATACAGCATGGACCCGCTCCGCTCTATAGATCTTGAGGAGAACAAGCGTCGCATGAGGAATGGGGAGCTTTACCATGCCTTCACCCCCGACCTTATTGCCGATCGCAAGCGCTGCCGCTTGGCCTGTGACGCTTATAACAGGGCCGGAGATGTCCCGCGTCGTATACTTGTCGAACTCTTCCAACTGTGAGGACCTCTGTCGTTCCAGTGCCGCTGTTGAGTAACTAATCTCCGTCGTATCTTGCCAGGATACAAGACGACAAAACCCCTTTGCCTCCACCGGCTCAAACCTCTGAAGATGACGAAGATCTCCTCGGTGAGCACATCTGGTGCGATGCTCCCATCAGGATGGATTACGGACGCAACGTCAAGTAGGTCGCGCCTGTGAAACATGTCAGTACACACGTGACTTACGTGTCAGGTTCGGGGACAATGTGTACATCAACAGCAACAGTACCTGGATCGATACTTGCCTCATCACTGTGGGTGCTCGTACCCTGATCGGACCAAACTGTTCCTTCTACTCCGGTACACACCCAACGGATCCCAAGCTTCGGAACGGCAACAAGGGCCCAGAAACCGGTGCGCCCATTACAATTGGCGAGGACTGCTGGTTCGGAGGGAATTCCATTGTTCTTCCCGGGGTTACCATAGGGCAAGGCTCAACCATTGGGGCCGGAAGTGTTGTGACCAAGGACATTCCGCCTTACTCCGTTGCGGTGGGCAATCCAGCGAGGGTCGTGAAAAGCGTCGCGCCTTCAGCAGAAGCAGAGGCTACGCCTGGTTCTGTGTCGTCGACATGAGGAATGACGAGCCGCACTGCCGTGAAAAGGATTTCATAGACCGCCCTGGATCGTGAATGATGAGACGATGAGCACGAGGACATTTATCCATCCCCAGATGAAGGGTATCCAGGTAGACATGTGGAGCTTTCCGTTGAAGTAGACAGCACCAACACTGCAACATAGATTAGCAATTGCTCACAGGCCCTGCAAGCTGTGGACTACTGACAGGACCCCAACGATGCTTCCCGCAAAGGCCGCCTCAAGCGCAGCCGTGATGGCGTAGATGATGGGCACCGTCCACAGGTACTTCCAGGTCGAGCGGTGCTTCCCGACCTGCACGCCCAGAGCGATGGCTGCGGCGCCCATGTGGAAGATGGCATACAGGATCAGAGTCCACAGCAAGGTGAAGCGCCAGGAGTCCCAAAGGTAGTAGATGGCATGGTTGCAGCTGTCCGCGGGCCAGTAGAGGGACGGGAAGGAAGGGCGGACTGGGTCACAGGCCCCAGCATTCGCGGTCGACCTGTGCCGTCTTAGCAATGCCGTGATGGTATAGGAGCTCGCCTTTCATGACTTACACAGTCTGGCCCATTCGATGCGCATTCGCCCGCCGTCTCGGGAGACGCGCTGGCTGCTTGCACGTGAGTGGAGCTTCGGAGGATGGGGAGTTGTTAGGGGATGCAGGACGAGAGCCGTGACTGCGCCAGGGTAGCTGCTGAATAGACGCCGTGCCTCGGCAAATTGTGGGCCCAGCCCAGCGCCGACACCCCAGCCCAAGCTCCAACCGAGAGCTGCCGTACAGCACCCAGCTTCCCATTGACGACGGGAAAGCCAACAGTGACCTTTGCCTTTGCATTTGCTCCTTCTCGGAATAGATGGGGACGGTTCGACAACATGTCGGTTGACAGGCTGCTGACAGCGGCCCTGCGCGCATACCAGGAGCCGCACGATCCCGCCCAGACGGACAAGATCTTTGGGACGACCACGACCCTGCTGTCGAACCTCAACAACCCGCTGAACATCTCGCTGCTGACCTCGCACCTTCTGACGTCGCGTGCGATATGGGAGCTCCCCGACGGCCTGAGGACGTGTCTTCGCATCATCAGCATCTACAACACCGGGGCCAGGCACCTGGTGCAGAACGAGCAGGACAATGCCAAGCTGTCTTGGGGACAGAAGCCCGTGGGCAGCGCACTCCGCCCCGAGGAGTGGGCGCGCGCCGTGGCCAAGGGCGCAGATGAACGCTCACCCAGATGGAAGCACCTGTTGGTTCTCACCGGCATTTTAGTGGGGATGGAGAGCGACGAGAGGAGGGCCTTGTCTTCCGGGCTGAGATCGACACTAGAGCAGGCGGTAGTGACGGCGGCGAACCTGGCATTACAAGATCCGATACAGACAAATGAGTTTGGCCGCGATGGCGTTATACTGGCTTTAACCTACGCGCTGCCAATTCTGTCTGACTGGAACAAGCGGTCACTGAACTGCGATCTTCTCATCCCGGCAGCATTGCAGGCGATGACGGGTCCGGAGGGCTTCCACGGGGGCGAGTTTCTGCGTATGATATCGGCAGGCCACGTCGCCGGGCACGAGGCATTCTACCGGAACTCACCAGACTCGTTCGCCGAGGTCCAAAGACTCATGTCGCGGCCTCTGACTCAGAACATGGGTCCTTTGTCACGCCTCGCAGCATTCGCACTGGAGAATGCGACAGACTCCAGGCTTGTGCTGCAGGCCCAGGACAAGTTGCTGGCGTTCTCAGCCGATTTGCTGGAGAACTGGAAGCAGTGCCCATTCTCGGATATAGACATCTCAGCAGAAGCCACGGTCCTGCCCCCTGAAATGCTTCAAGGCCCGTGGAATATGTTATGGCAGCTCCTTAAGAAAGTCATGTATACTGTCGTGGGGACGCTCCAACCCATTGTCGGACGCTGTCTCCTAGACCCCTATCTCAAGAACGATGCTACCGCCCCGTTGGTGGCCTCAAGAACACTTCGCACACTCCGCAACCTCTACTTTATATCATCGCGGCAGGGGGCCGACACCTTCCAGGTCTACACCTTCACCTATCTCACATCGATTGACATCATCACCCGCTACCCGGATGCTTGTGTCTCCTTCTTGCAAGAAACACAGCCCGCAACGCCACAGGCGAACGCTCCCCCGGCCACAGTGCTCGACCAGGCGCTTACGCTGTTCTACCTCAACCTGGCCGAGCACCTGCCTCTCTCGCTCCCGACACCGGCTGCCGAGTCCCTGATCCTCACCCCGGCCACGTCACATCTGTCCCTCACGAACGCCGCAACTGCACACTCCGCGCCCCAGATCTCGTACACGCGGCCCCTCTTTGAGGCCTCGCACTCGGCCATCCTGTCCGTCATGTCGTGCCCCCAGCACGCGGACCTCACCGTGGCCCTGATCCCCTTCTACATCGACACGCTGCTGGGGTCGTTCCCGTCGCGGATCTCACCGCGGCAGTTCCGCCTCGCCTTCAAGACGGTCATGCAGATCGTCTCGCCGCCCTTCCCCATCTCGGCCACGCACCCGCACCTCTCGGAGACGCTGCTGGAGATGGTGCACTTCCGCTCGCTGTCCGCGGGCGCGCTCTCGCTCCCGCCCGAGCCGGTCCCGCCGTCGGCGTCGCCCCTGGCCTCGCAGCGGCCGGCGGCCGCCGACCAGCCGCCCATGTCGGAGCAGACCACCCTGGTCCTGGCCCTCGTCGACACGCTGCCGTTCCTGCCGCTGCCCATCGTCGAGGAGTGGCTCAGCCGCACCGCCGAGGCCATGAACGGCGTCGCCGACCCCGGCATGCGCGAGGTCGCCCGCAAGCGCTTCTGGGACGTGCTCGTCAGCGGCGAGATGGACGTCGAGCGCTCCGCCGTCGGCGTCGCGTGGTGGGGCACCGGCGGCGGCCGCGAGATGGTGCTGCTGCATGCGCCGCGGCCCAGCGGGCAGGGCAAGGGCGAGGGAGAGTACATGATGAGCGGTGCGCTGGGGGCCAGCGAGAGCGCGAGGCTGTGAATTTTGGAGTTCGATATTTTAGGGGGTCCGCAAGGCGTCTTGGCTGGGGACTTGTATAAATTTTGGGCTGTGGGATTAGATTACATGGCCGAGGGTTGTCAATGGGCTGACGAAACATGATGCTTGCTCTATCTTCAGTGGCACAAGGGAAAACAAGCGAAGTCATTCCATGACCGACGACCACGGTATGTCCGGTGTATACTATACAATACAATTAAGCGCCGGAAGCGCATATTACAAATGCAGAGTGCCCGGGTTACTACTGATACTGATACACACGGCAGTGGTGGCCGGTGCCAAGATTATTTTCACAAAGTTCAGAATACGAGATTGCTTGTGAGGGTGTGTATTGGTGTTTTGCCATGCCTCCTTGTCTGCAGTACGATCAAGTGACACTGCAATGCTATCATATAAGCAAGAGCACACAATGGAACGCGTCAGTCCCAGATCGTAGACAACGAAGCCATGAGGCGCTTATTTCCGACGTGAAACAAATCTGACCTGGGGGAACTCTAGAGGCAGGGCAAGCTTGGCAACTTGCATCTTGGTGCCCTTGGTCTTGCCAGCAGGGTGGGCCAGCTTTCCTCCAATCTCGCGCCAGTACTGCGCAAACTGTTTCTCATCCAGGCCCAGGTCCTGCCGCAACGCGCTGGTCTCAAACTCGTAATTCATCAAAATGGCTGCCAGGGCGCAGCAATACGTCATCAGGAGGTCCTTGTGATGCTTTCTCATCTCACCATTGTGAGAGAATTTCCTCCGTATGCTCTCCACGACCGGTGTGGGTGCGCCCTCCATCTTCTCATGTAATGAACTCTTCTGTGGGACTCGCAGAACGCCTCTTTCCCTGCCTGGCTTGGCGCTCTTGAGGAATATCACCAGGTAGTTTAGGTAGCGGAGTACCCTTAGTCGTTGAACTGATTGGGGCCCTGAGGCGATCGCATACATGTTCATCGAGATGAACTGGTAGGGAAGAGCAAGAGGCACCTGTTTCTTTGCCGAGTCTTGCCAGTCCTTGATGGGAATGGAGCTTAGGATATCGGTGCCAATCATCTGCTCAGGCCTGTAAACGTCCTGGATCTCTGTAGCGTCGAAATTTCCCGGCGGTACGGGCTTGGCTTGGTCGACAGCGGCCTGTAGTTCCTCTCTGGTGGCCATGCTCTGGGTGACCTCTTCTATCGACTGCATCATGGCGTGCGCAGAAGCGTCGAGCTTTCGGGGGCTTCCGCCCGCATCGGCAATGGCCTTTTCGGGGGCAATTGCGTTCTCCGTGATCGCAGCAATGGCCTTCCGTGCCTTCTTCGTTCCGAACGCCTCGCCCAAGTCGTTTCGTAGCTCCATCATGGTCTGTCAAAGTAAGCGAATGGACCTCCTCCAAGGCTGGGATGGAAATAAAAATACCTTTGAGAGAGCTCGGTCGGCTGGGCTGTCCTCAGGTGGCTTCTGTGAACGAACGACACCCCTCACGGCCATCTTCTTGGCCTCCATGACAGACAACTGGCCCGTCTTGGGGTCGAACACACCGATGTAGTGCTTCAGGTGGGATTCCCGGGCAGCCGGCCCATCTTCCTTTACTGTGTAGTCTAGGGTCCTGTGCGAGGAGGAGTGTAGTGCCAGACTGGCAGGCGGCGGCGCAGACTTCTTGCTTCGCTTCGCGTTTGATGGTTCGAGCTTCGAGTAGACCTGGAACTGAACGGACTCGGGCAAAGACAGGCCAGGCGATGTAGCTGCATTGAGGCGTGAGTGAGGCCACATGTAGATGCTGTAGACGAGCCGTCCTTACCTATCACCGGCGGGCACGTTCGAACCGACTTGACGGACGCGACCTTGATGGTCTGGGGTTGCGAGGGCGCCGGTGTCTGAATGTTGACCTTCTTTCTGGACTTGGAGGAGCCATCCTCGGCCCTCTTTCTCTTCTTTTCGCTGCCGTCTCCCGCCATGTTTTATGTCGACAGTTCAATCTGCAGGCGGTTCCGCGATGTCAAGCTTCACGTCGCCAATGCCTCACACCAATCACCCAGACTACACCACGGTCGCCCGCTGTCTCGAACTTTTTTTTTCTGCCAGGTACAAGGCCCCACAGGCGGCTGACAGGGTGCTGGATGGTGGGCGGTGAGTCTAGCGCCCTGCCCCTCCGCTCTAGCCCTGTAAGAGCGAGCTTCAGCTCAGGCTCATCCAATATGGACCTAGGCACAGCTGTTGCAAAGAGGCGAGATCCCTCGGTAAATTTCAAGAGGGATGTTGATGATTGATGACCATCCAACGAGGTGGTGATGAATAAACCGAGAATCTGATTGGGAGAGTATTTTTCTGCAAGTGAATTCAGAGTCCACATCGTATGGCGCTCAGCACACAGACACAGCTGGGCGTCTTCATAGCAAGTTAGGCTGCAGAAGCTTGGAATAGAGTGGAGAGAGCTTCAGCTCAAGGGCGGGCGGGGTTTCACACATTTCGTCATAGTCCACCAAATCCAAGAGCACCAAAAAATAATGCGAGTTCACGCGAATCACGGGAGGCCAAAAGGTAGAAGCAGAAACTGTCAATTGACTGCTCAGCAAAGTATCCCGTTAACCGGTTCCGATGCGTAGTTGCTGTCCCAGCAGTCATGCTTCTTGGGGGCTGTGCGCTGTAGACACCTCCAAATGTTCCACTCGACGGGGTATTGACCAGACCGTCCTCCAATGTGGGCTCAATTCATCACGAGACTAGTATCCCAGACCTCCATTCCCTGACCGTGATTCCATCGTTGCTTCCCTTCGTCGAGACGTAGTAGATTGTTGCTCCGCAGAAAGATCGTGGGCGGGTGGTGTGAGAAGATCTCATGACAAATGTGGCGTGGCCACTATCGTGTGCTCACTGAAAGACGACTGTGATCGAGCAGGGCGAGGCGTTTACTTGCTGCAGAGGGGAGGACGTATTAGTACCTACGTCATACGATCGTGGTCGGGATTCATGTAGCAACGTACCTGCGAGCTCTCATCTTTCTTCTCTTACGCTTGAGACGTCTAACGCGCTTCTTTCTCCACTTCGCTCTCATCTTGAACGATTGTCTGTAAGCCGGGCAAAGTCAGCGGCGGAGACCGATAATGACGTGGGTTGTGCGGATGGGAGCTGTGCCGTTTGATCATGCGAGCAGCTGCGAGCGGAGGAAAACTCAGCCCGCGCTGTGCAAATCTACAGCACAGGACGCGCAGGGGCGTGCGAGGGCCATTGGGGGCTTTTCCTGGGGTTCGGCGGGCGCAACTTACCAAATTGTTCGAGATGAGTGTTGTTGGTGATGAGTGACGGAGGAGGGGAGAGCTCCAAGCTCTTTTGATCATAACCTATGGTGGCAGAATGTCGGGCTGAGGGTCTTGCCCTAGCAGGGCGGTCAGTCGCTGGGGTGCGGCAGAAATCACCGGCTCTGATTGGCTACTGGCAGCTGCCACAGCTGGTGGCTTCAACTGACCACATGCGGGACGGCATTGGACGGGGCTAGCTCTGGGTCAACGGAATGCATACGCACCAGGAGGACAAAGTAATCAGCTGTTGTTGTTTTGGTCGACCATGATCTGGATCCTTTTCGTCATATCCTGACTGAACACTTCATAACAGCTACCCGCCCTTGCGGGGCTCATGTCGTACATTGATCTCGTAGACTGGTATATTTCGATGTCCGCTCCCTCATGCCGCGTCGATGATGGCAACCGCACGTACTACACGAGACGCCATTGAGCCAACTTTTCAAGTAAATAGCTGCACAGCTTCTGTTTCAGATTGTGATATATGCAATGTTGCGTTCGTGGCACACGCATAAAGCCAAGCCGATATAGTGAAGACGTAGAACAACACGCCACTCGAGAGACCGGACGTTCATATGCATCAGGAGATGGGAGTGTTGGACCGCTCCAGTACGGTTTAACTGGCAATCTGATTGATGCGGAGCTGCCTCCGGGGGCGCCTATAAGCAAGATAAGGGGGAAGGTACTGAGCTCATCACTACAGAGGCATGTATTGGTTTCTCGCTTGGCACACCTTTCTAGATGTCGTATTGTACAAAAATTATATCCATCTTTGTTAATTGTGAAAGGCCATTGTAATACATGCAACACAAAATCTTAGTCGATGGGGCACTCTTTGTTTATCCTCATTCCAGGTTCGGTACTATAAAGATGGTTCACTTGATCTTCAAGAGAAAATGTAATCACAATCAGAGAGACTGTACGCGAAGTCCTGCGACCTAACAAGATATATACCCAAGGACAGCCTTCTTTGCTGAAAACCCATACTAACATCTATCAGAAGAGATGAGTGACATGTCAAAGCCTCAAGAATGTACCGCTAATGAAGCCACCAAGGAGTGGGGTGCAGGAGCTCGAAGAATTCGACAAGCACTTGGAAAAGACTTCAAGTCAGTCCCATCAAGAGATGAGTATTCGATAGGGGACTCGTATAACGAGCAGCAGGCTGAGAACAAGACTGCCAAGGCCAAGAGGGCAAAGTTGATCACTTGGCTGGCTGGAAGAGAACAAGTCAAGGAGACGCTCTCATGCTGTTTTCGCTGCAAGTACAAGAATATGCCATGTGAGTACAGCTTAGCAAGCGAAGGTGTTCTGGTCTGCCGGCGGTGCAAACGAGCTGGCGAGAAGTACTGCATTAAAGAGCGACTCATTCCTTTTGACGATCTGGAAGCGTCTTCAATGGCGATTGTCCAGGTCGACGGCCCCGCTTCCCAGGACGAGGAGTCCAGTGCTGAGATACGAGATCTGATCGACAGTTACATTGGCGAGCAGATGGTACAGGCACAGCCAGGCCTCTGGGTCTCTGTGGCCACCGCAGAGCATTCCATGGCACTTCCCAACGCTGCGCCTTGGAGGGCCGCCTTACCACATGACCGTAATATGAGCGAGACTGCCCAGCGGAAATTAAAGGCGCAAGTCAACGCCCTGAAGATTGAAGAAGAGGTTCAGCAGGAGTTGAGGGTTGAGAAACGTCAAAGGGCGCGCCAAGAGCGACTTGAAATGGCAGAAAGAGGGGAAACAGAGTTCAACGAAGAGGAGGATGACAACGATGATGACGACGAAGAGGTAAGGTACAACAGAGATGGGATGACCGAGCTCGAGAAAATGCACATGCCTCGACTTGGCTATCGTCCTCGAGCCAAGAATATGTGCGAAGAACGGGATATAAAACAGTTCTGAGATATTGTAGCCACCTGACTAACAATATCTGACATATCTCAATCTTATTGGATTATAATTGATCTTTCACCTCTGCATTCGAAGAAAGTGCACGAAGGTGATGATGGGAATTGCAATCCACTATAGCAAAGTGGAATTGGAGCGACAACCTCATGCGTGGGGGGCTTCCTTCAAACGCCTGACACGTGTAAGACGACAGTGGTGATTCAATACTTCCCCGTAACATGGGAGGTGAATTGCACACGATTGTCGAGAACTATCGGTTCTGTGAACGGAGGGGATGTGGAAAATCGGGAAAATCGGGACAATCGGCGAGACAATCGGAACAATCGTCGGATTGGATATACAAGAATATAACGTGCAGAAACAATCGCCAGCGCCTTGGAACGAAGAGCTGGATTACTATTTAATGTCTCTTCCTTTACGCACTTGGCTTGATGTTCCTTCCACACTCTTCATCACTTTCTATCCTAAAGCAGAACCATTAGCTCACTTCATTTATCTTCAGCTTCTCTTTGTGTTCATTCGTTGTCTCTCCCAAACTGAACAGCATACGCTGCCAACTACAAACGTTAATAACATCCAAGAGGAAGAGTCATTTGATACAAAGAGGGAGACAATGGACGAAAATGTAGACAGCGATATCCTGCATTTTCGTCTGATCCCTCTCAATTCTTCTCACGGGGCTCGATCAAGACAGATCCTTTACCTGCGCCCAAAGTCGCCACCACAACGCCGTCTCCAGTGCTGCCGCCTCCGCCTCCATTTACGCCTCAGGCGCAGTCAAGTCGGGTGTCACCGGCGCTACGGGTACTGCCATCAAGCTTACGCACCTGCAATGGTTAACATCGACACGGTGGCCCAACTTGGTCAATGTGAGTATTTTTTAGTTTACCTAAAACAAGTCATCTCTAACACCGCCCTGCAGGTCCCCGGTTTGGGGGTCGGAGAAAGTCTGAAACAAGCATCTCCAGGGCTCACGAATACAAACCTATGCTTCTGGGCCAAGCCAAATTACTGCGCCCTCGGAGAAGATGCTGAACGTGCACTTGCAGGGCTGGCGAATACAAACCTATGCTTCTGGGCCAAGCCAAATTACTGCGCCCTCGGAGAAGATGTTGAATGTGCACTTGCAGGGCTGGCGAATATGAACTTATGCTACTGGGCCAAGTGCAACTACCACAGCCTCGGAGAAGATGTTGAATGTGCACTTGCAGGGCTGGCGAATATGAACTTATGCTACTGGGCCAAGTGCAACTACCACAGCCTCGGAGAAAGTCTTGAACAAGCATCTCCAAGACTGCAATGAACTCGTGGTATTTGTTCGACTGGATGCGTAAATAAAAAAAATTCACGATGTAGAAGTAGTTGCCTGTGGTAAGAGGCGAGGCTTGAATACTTTGTTGCCGCAAGGGAATGCCAGTGGTTGCTACTAGTAGTATCAATGTAGCAGGAACGAACTACACCCGGGGCCTCTGTATTGAAGCTTACTATGATAGCGGAGAGGACTGAGAAATAGACTAGGAGCTACTGAAATCACTAAAATGGCAACTGGACCGGATGGCGACATTGGGGGTCAGTGTGACAGAATCCTTCCCCACCCTATACACTTACAAATCAAATCTCACCCCTGAGGTCTTAAAGAGAATCTCGTCTCCTTTTTGCACGAAGGCATTGGCATACCGCCAAGGGGATCACGAGGAACTAGCATTGAGAGAACTATCTGTTATAATGTCGAGTACTGTAACTGAAACGTTGAGCGCGGCCGCGGACCCAACTAGATACGGGTTTGACAAACTCAACCCCTATGAACACCCGCCAGAGACCAAAGCCGACGTACCTTGGTCCGAGTTGGTCACCCTGGATCTAGAAGACTATGCCCGCCCCGGCGGAAAGGAGCGGCTGGCGAAACAGCTCGAGCACGCCGTGCACCACGTGGGCTTCTTCTACGTCAAGAACTTTGGCCTGTCCCAGGAGCAGGTGGACCAGCAGTTCACCCTGGCCAAGAACTTTTTTGAACTCCCGACCGAGGAGAAGGAGAAGTTCGAGGTCAACTACGCCGAGGCGGATTATAACGGCTGGCGCAGGCCGGGCCGCTATCTGCAAGTCAAAGCCAAGGACAATGTTGAGATGTATAACATTGCCAAGTTCACCAAGGACTTCGAGGGCAAGTATGACCACCCGGACCTGATCAAAGCACACCTCCCGGAGATCGAGGTATTCCACCGCGCGTTGCATTCCAACGTCGTGTTGCCTCTTCTGCGTCTCTTCGCAATCGTCCTCCAGCTGCCCGACGAAGAGTACTTGGTCAAGCAACACACGTACGAGACGAAGAGCGAGGACCACTTCCGATATATGCTCTACTACCCGCGGACCGAGGAGGAGTGGGCCGACAGCAAGTACGGGACCACGGGCGGGCACACGGACCTCGGCACCGTGACGCTGCTGTTCCGGCAGCCGGTCGCCGGGCTCCAGATCCTCGGCGAGGACGGCAACTGGACCTGGGTCAAGGCGGAGCCCGGGACCATCACCGTTAACCTGGCCGACACCATCTCGCATCTGACGGGCGGGTGGCTGAAGAGCTCGGTGCACCGCGTCGTTGCGCCGCCCGAGGACCAGCGCCAGTACAAGCGCACGGGGCTGCTGTACTTTGCACGCCCGCACAACGACACGGTGTTGGTCCCCATCACGGACTCGCCCGTGCTGGAGAAGGCGGGTGTCAAGCCCCGGTTTGATAAGCTGGTCACCATGGCGGAATGGGTCAAGGCGAAGCAGACGCTCCAGCTAAACCCTGAGATCGCCAAGAAGCGGTGGGCGGAGAGCGGAGACGGCACGGTTGAGGTTCTTGCTGGGTTTAGGGACCAGAAGTACAAAGAGTAGCAGTCACTTCTAGGTATTTCCTATGCAGATGTCATGATCAGGAACCTTGTGTCATATAATTATGCTTGGGCACACTGAATCAACTTGTAGTGCATAAAGCCTCCGTTGCCACTTTGATACGATGCTTCAATTGATCTTAATGCAGTATAGATATCTGATATAAGCGACATCCAACTAAGTCGACGCCTAAATTATCAGTGTCCTCACTCCAGAGCTAGGTACCATCTCACAATTGCAACTCGTGCACACGTAAGGAGAGGATTGATGGTCCAATAAACGCTCCCTTTCCGACGAAACATGTACTATTCACGTGTCTCAAGGTCTGAGTGGGGTGGTCAGAGGACCGATCCGTGACGTTGCTAAGAAGCCCATAAATTAGATCAGTTGGTTGATAACCTGCTCAACGGCCGCACCGGCGGCACCAATACCAATGACCGTCCAAAGCCACTTGTTTGTCAACATATCTGACCTCGGCCAGATTGAGTTGTGGCTCGCCTTGAACTTCTGGAAGTCGGCGTGCTTCTCGAGACTCGACTGCGAATATCGTCGCTCTTGGTGAGCCTCGGTCTTCTTAGCCCCGCTGATGTAGCGAAGGAAGATGTAGTTGGCAATGCTGCCTAGGATCTCGATAGGGGCCAGGAGATCAGACCCATACAGCAACAGCGGGAAGGAGAAATGGACAAGAGCATCTCCGAGATAACTGTAGATTGATCAATGATACATATTCTCGTTTTGAAACGGATGTGAGAAAATACTTACTTGGGGTGGCGGACAAGAGACCATACTCCTTCCTTGCAGATTGCCTTCTCATCCTGGACCGTCTCCTTGTAAGTCGTCAGCTGGGAATCGGCAATAATCTCCAGCGCAAGACCGGCGCTGAAAATTCCGACGGCAATCCCCTGGATGAGCGGGTGGTATCCTGAGATCACCTTGCCCTGGTGATGGAACGGCGCTGTGAACGGAAGGGTGATGACAGTCTGCAACAAGGCCTCTGGAATGAAGACGGTGAAGAGAGCTGTGTTCCAGAAGTTGGGGTCCTGCTTGAGCTCCTCATAACGTGGGTCGTCGGTTCCCTTGCCCGCCTTGCGACGAGCAAGAGAACGGGTGGACCTGCGGTAGAGCAAGCGCCCGCCCCATAGGGTCACTCCGGTGAGAAGTAGGCGCTCGGGACGCGAGAGCAGGCTCATAGCCTGTCCGAAGGTGAGGCCTCGCCTGACCTTGCGGCCCACAGCCGACCACCAGGCATTGGCTATAGGCGCGGTGGGCCAAAGCCAGTCTTTGGCCTCGACGCTATCGGTAGCTCGGCCAATGCCGTATGCCACCAAGGCCAGAGGGGCGTGCAGCGTGAGACTGGGCAAGATAGTGTCCTTGAAAATGCCAACATCGAAGAGCTCGCGGTGCCAAGCTTCGTGGTAGTGCGGCACCGAGTTTTCATGGCCTGGGAGCCTGGTCTCTAGGGGCCCAGGAGCAGAAGATGGGGCATCGGAGTAATAGGGTGTCGAAGTTGAGACATTGAACTGAACCGTACGGCCTCCGAGGAGGGAGTGACGGTCGAGATCCGGGTTCGACATTGTGTCTAGACTCAGCGAGCAGCTCGACTAGAAGCCAGCATCTGTCTCGCGAGCTTCGTGCTTGTGTATTTTGTTTGCAGAGCTTCGATCAATTGGAAGCGAGAGATTGGAAATCGACGAGAGCTGTCACTCAAAGTGCGGGGAGAGAGGGGATGCTCATGGAAGCTTTCGGGCTGGCTCATCCAACCTTTGCATGACATCAGACAATGCGGAGATGTCGAACGTCCCCCAACTTTGGCTAATGTGGCAGGGCTGGGTGCGAAATAGGGCAGGTTACACCAAGGGAATGCCAGGAACGTCGATCTGGGGAATTCAAGGGAGGAGAAACTCACAGATAAACGAGAGCATATTGTTTTCAAGAGGCCAACCGAAGGCTGATCTGCCAGAGTCTTTGCCTGCTAGTCCCCAAGGTCTAGCAAAGGGGCAGTTTCTTTACATTGCTCTGGCTTGGAGAGCTCGGATTGCTGTGACCGCTTTACCGGGAGTTACCTAGAAGGTTTGCACTTGCGCAATGACCGCATCTGTCCGGCCATCTTATGATCTCGTATGTTGAGCGAGCTCAAGGGGTCCTGAATGACATTCAATCCTCACAAGATGACCCTCACAAGGCATCTCGAAATGTCGGCTTTCCCGCTTTGATTCTGATATTTAGTGACTAGACCTTTGAATATCCTACATATTCCAATACGTATACAATTGGGGGCACCACGAAGAGCAAAGCTATGTGCGGTCGCGAACTGTGAAATAAAGCTACCCCAGACTGCTCCCTTCGACTACCTCCCTCTTCCTACGGCAGACGGGACATCCGGCTGCGACCTTGTCCCTCAACAACCTTGCATGGGTAACTTTGCTCCCTATGAAGCGACCACCTCTGGTTCTATCGTCTCCATTCCCATAGCCTACGATACTCGGATCGGGCTCTTGCCCCGGGTCAAGATATTGTAACAAGTGGCTCACGTGGAACACATGACCGCAGGCAAAGCCGACGAGTGTCTCTGTCTCCCAATCCGTGAACGGTTCATGACACTTAGCGCAGTGACCCGGCTGTGGGGCACGGTGGTCGTGATCCGGCTGTTGTAATTTGGAGCCGCCGGTCACGACGTGCTCCGTAGCTGGATCCACAACATCCGGCTCCGTCGGCGTATTGGCCCCAGTTGTTTTCCCAGACTGCGACTTCGCAATTGTGGTAATAGTGGGCACCTCCTTGACCTCGACGTCGACGTGATCTGCTGCTTTTACGGCAACCTCAAACTTGACACCTTTCCTCTGGCCCATCCGTAGCATATTCTGTGCTGCAGCAACTTCAGAGCGAAGGACGCGTGCCACGCCGGAGGAAATGCTGTATTGAATCTCATGCTCCTTCATGATATGCTTTAAGCCCTCTCTCAGGCCAGGGATCTCTAGTCCTTCCGGAATGCGCCTGATAAGAGTTATTGGGTTGATGGCCGTGCCGACTTCTTCCAGTAGCCCGCGGATGAACCGTGGCTTGTCCATACTGTAATTAAGTAAATCTTCCCACAAATCTGGGTCATCCTGCTCTTTTGCAAAAGAGATGGCTTGCGACACATCGCCAAGTCTGTCGATGATGAGATATAATGCTCGCTTCATCTGCCCAGTGACTGAATACAGATATACGAGTTCAGGAACGTAGTTGTGACTTTCGCACTCCTGCACTGCCTTTTCAAAAGTATAGCTTGTCGAGACTTTGAGCAAGTCCATCAGCAGATCTTGGTCAAACATTGCGAACATTCGGACTGCCAGATCCGCGGACTCGTCGATAAGGCAGATTGAGTCGTCGCCTTCTCGTTCGCGATATGCCCTCCACAGTCCGCGCAAGTAGAAGTACAAGTAGAGGCTGAGCTCCTTCTTTTCGAGTTGGCGTATGACAATCTCGGGTTTGATGAGCCCTCGTTGTGCTTCCTCCACAAGGAGCGTGATGGCCTCCGAAGTTGCTTCATCTAGCTCAGGGATCGACATCTTGTTCAGCTCGGCCTCTGGCACCCTAAGCGCAATGAAGCTTGGAACATCATCCGTAACGGCATCGGCCAAGTGGTTGTCTCTTATCAAACGCATTGCTGCGTCCGCATCCTGAAGTTTGATGTAACATCTCAGGGCATCTCTAAACTTGCCGTTCGATTCGTTGAGTTGGGCAAGTGACTCCATTACGATTCGCCAGTCCCTGCCTTTCTCGCCATCTTCGATGCTGTCCTCCCGGACATCGCGGTACTTTAATTGGTCCTCGAGCGCAGTGGCGATGGTGTGAATATCAAAAAGCTCCACATCCCAGCGGTCTAGCAGGTCCTTGAACCTCGGCTTGTCTGTTTGAAGGTAGTGACCAAGTAGGATTTCGTAAACAGTCCCTGGGATTGGCGGGTGCATTGGCTCTGAAGGAACGAAGCTGACGATTTGATCGAACTTTTTGGCGCCTGCAAATGTATATACCCACTTCTCCCAGCTACTAGGCGTGTTGAGCACCTGAGATGCGATCTTGCCGGCACGATCCCAATCGTCAGCTTCAACTAGCTCCTGAATCCACAACTCTCCGATTCGCTGTTTCTCTATTTCGGCCGAGGAGTGTGGAGGGCGGTGCTGGCCCTCGATGATCGAAGCAGAGTCTTCATAGAAACCGTCACTGCTATGCTGTGATTTGCTTGGTGTTGCAGGAAGTACTTCAGAAAGCCTATCGGGAGGGGAGGCCACAATCTCAGGATGCTCATTGAGGAGAGCCCAAGCGTCCTCATAACGATGTTGCTCCAATAGCCATGCCAGATGATCACCAAGGTCTCTTTTGGTGGCTAAAATGCAGTCGTATGGGCTGTGAATGAAAATCTTGGCTCCAGGTTTGACCAGGTTGGGATGTACGGTTTGGGGTGTAGATCGCGGGGGTACACGGACGCTGCCGGACGTGCTACCGACCTTGGTACTTGATGCAGCATCATTGCTGTCTTTGCTCTTGATACTTGCTCCCGAGCTGAACAGAGATTTGGGGTTTATCGCGGCATTCCAAACCTCTGTACCGAAACCAGCCATTGCTTCCAAGACACCTCTTGATTCGACGACTGACGCCGCATTGTTCGCAGGCAAGACTGCAAGATGATAGTCGTTGGAGGACAGCCGTTCAAAACGGCTGAGGGTTAAGCTGTCCTTGTCGATTTCGACCTGGGAATCCAGGTCAATTAACCGCAGCTCTGGTGCCAGAGCATTCTGACGCCGCCGTATGCCTCCCGAAGGCTCACTGCCCGTTGAAGTTGTCGATAGCTTCGACTTGTGCCCTTTGACGTGTTTCTTGATATCGTCGTCCTCGTCCTCGTCATTATCCGGCTTACAATATGCTAAAACAAGAAGCAAACTCTGGGTATATAACGAAATGCCGGAAATAATGCAATCCATCCGAAGCCTGATCATATTAGCGCTCAAGGAGCTCCTGCTTCCTGATGAGGTGCCAACTTACTTCTTTGCGATCTCCGCTTTGCCGATCAATTTCTCGCCCGCGTTCCGTCCCACCCCAACACCTCCTGGATGCACGTGGATAATCCATATGGTGCCGCCCCAGCCTATTAGTAATCTCTCAAACTTTCTCTCGCTTTTCGTCGAGAGATGCTTCAGCTTGGCGGCGGCGGGCGACGGAGCTGACATAGGCTCGGGAGCTGCGCCTTCTTCGTCCGTCTCAACGGCCTGTTCGTCGATCCACTCCGCCCGCCCTTTCCATACGCCGGCCATCTCTTCCCACTCGTCCGTCTGTGGCCTGTCAATGTGACCTATGCGTTTCCAGGCATCCTCTGCGTTGGCCGACTCGAGATGGAGGTTTGATCGCATGATCTTGATGCCGTGCTCATTCAACCACACGACATACTTCCCTGACAGCGACCATTTGATGGTACTGATGATGCCTTCTCCAGTGTGGAGGACAGTGTCCTTCCCAGTGTTGGCACCCAAACCCATGCTGCCAAGCCAGCCCGACGCCGCGGCAGTTGTGCTCACGATAGTTGACGTGCTTCGACCCTGAGGGGGACTGACGGTCAAGACAAGGCTCCCTGCCTGTCCACCCGACAGGTACGTCCTGTCATTCTTATAATCAGGAGACAGGGCAACGGCCTGGACAGGGCGAGCGAAATTACGCAGGGACACGTCCTTCACATCTAGGAGCGATTGCACACAGACATTTCCATCCATGGACGAGGTGCCGATAAAGATATTGTTTGATGGGATGTTTGGCAACGGATCTGGCTCGCGTGGCTTGCGCTGAGTAGTGCCCGCTGTAGGCTTCTGCGATTGCCTCGAGGCAGGTCGCTGGTTCATGGACAAAGATATGGCCCTGGTTGCCACTTCAGACTTGAGCGTCGTGGGCGGCAGTGGTGGGGGGTAAGGAGATATCGAAAGGCTCGTTGCCGAGGCTGAGTGCGCATGGTAGACTCGAAGAGACTGGAACGTGGGTAGCTGTGTGACGTGCTATTTTAAAGGCTATCAGCTTTCGCACATAATGACAACAAAAGCACGGGAGGAAAACAGGAGGATAGGCGGTGCGACTTCGAAATGCTTACAATGTTGCCGCCATGCGTCCCGACGATCATCTTGTCACCGGCGACAATAAAAGCGCTGGTCATGTCGCCATTGCGGTACACGGAGCTGAGATGCTGCGTGAGGCGTGCGTACTTGAGCTTGGGCTCATCCTCCTCGTCGTCGGTCTCGTCATCGTCTTCAGACTCGTCGCCCTCTGCTATGGCGTCGCCCTCGCCGCTGTCGTCGCTCTCCTCGGACTCGTCAGGCCGCGGCTCGACATTGACAAGCTCCGGGCCCGAGTCGGTGTCTCCATCTCCGCGAGCCCTCTCGGCGCCCGATTCGGGCGAGTCTTCCGTCATGATAGGGAATACCAGCTGGGAACTGGCATGATCATGGGCGGGCTGTGTCTAGGAGAGGACTTTGCAGAGGACTGGCGTCGGCGGCTGCTGCGAAAGCGTTCACTGAGCTACCCAGGCAATTGGCAGCCCTGGATGTGATGTCGGTAGGCAAGCTATCCCTGGCCGTTGGGACCGCGGCTCCCAATGCGCCGCCTAGCTCGGAGCTACGTCAGCAGCTCAACTGACCGCACCGTGCGTCTCTTGGGAACTATACACTGTAGACGCAGTCGTGACTAGATCCTCAGGCAGGCCATTCTCGTCTGGATAGATTGACAAGCCTCGAACTACTCGGTACGCGTGCACTCTTTTGCCGTGTTTCCAATCTTGAGTCTACTGTGTCAGTAGAAGCCTCCCATGACTCCTCGACAGGGTCGAAAAAGCGCAATCAAGGCAATATTACCATTATTTCTGGGGCTCGGGGCATGTGCTACAGGAGTATACATAGTACCAAGACACAGTACGGAAGGCAGGCTACGTACCGTGGGCATTTTTGGACGTGCCCCTCATTAAATTCCAGGTGATAGTGGAAGTCGCGTATTCCTTGGGCGCACGCGTCTTGGCCTTGTAGTGGAGTGGAAAGAACCCGACACCGACCATGACAGCGTATGTAAACATGCCGACCTGAGCTCAACCGACTTCCAGCCAGCCCCAATCACCCCAGAGCAGACGTCGAAGCCCGTCGGTGCTTCAATGGAGCTTACCCAGAGAACATGGCTGCGGTGACATCCCTAGGGCTGCACCAGCCCACGGCATTGCAGTATGCCATCCAGGAGCAGCTGGTCGACGAGAACGCACCCAGCGCCGGCTACACCCTGGAGACCTTCGTGAACCACGAGGGCGACGACACCGGCGAGGACGAGCTCCTCGTGACCGCACATGCCGTCGTATGGTCCAGAGGCAACGTCTTCCGCAAATGTTTTGGCTTCAAGCTGGAGAAGGAGCCCGTAACCCAAGCACTGTTGACCTACTTTCCGAGCTCCGTGCAGTCGTCGCAGCACAGCCCCCGACACGGCTCCCAGTCGAAGCTCTCGCAGGACGGGCGGATACTGTCCAAGGCCCTGGTCGTCTTCCTCAAGACCCAGGCACACATCTACTTCCTCGATGGGACCAGCCACGTCGTCCACATGCCCTTTGAGGTCGAGGCGGCCGTTGCTGGCCCGCAAGGCGTCATCATACAGCGCAAGCAGAGGAATGATGTGGGCTATTCGGCCAGCTTGAAGTTTCCCCGCGTGCCTCCCAACTCGTTCATCTCGCCTCAGACGTCTCCCGTCTCCGTTCGAACCTCACAGCACTCGACCTTTTCGACCGAGACACTTGGCAGACCCAAGGCACTGCCCTTGAGGTTGAACCAAGCGCTCGACAATGTGTGGGAAGTCCCGAACGAGAAGGATGACTCCCACTGGCCGCGCCTTATATCGTTGACCGACCCCCTGCTCGAGCTTGGCTTGGTAGTCACCCACTCCGATGGGAAACCTAAGAAGAAAAGGAGGCAGAGTTCCAAGAAGTCGCCAAGTTTCCTCGACCGTGCCGAAGAGATCCTCCACATCGAAGAGATGCCGAGTCTCCAGTCCGACGCGAACATGTCCTACGAACCACTGGTCGTTGCCGTTACGATCAACAGGGAAACCAGCATGTACACTGTCTGGAAGATAGCGTACCTCAAGAGAGAAGACCCCTTCCGACCTCCGAAGGCATCTAAAAAGAAAGGAGACCGGCGTCGGAGTTCTATGCAACCTGGCCTGGCACCTAGTGGCGTTACCTCTCCCCTCCAGCCAAATTTCAAGGAAACATTCGGAACCAGCTTACCAGGGAAACGGTCTCGCAAAAGTGAGAAACAAGAGAAGGCCGACAAGGCTCTTGAAACTCTAGAGTCCTCACTTGGGCTAGATCAAGATTCCGGCTCCGGAAGAAGAACCTCCCGCAGGGTAAGCTCGATGCTTGCAAGAGCGGACTTATCGGCCTCACAGGATCGGACGGCATTTGGCGATCAACCTCAAGTAACGAATCATCCTGCTGGGCGTAGAGATACCTCCCATGGAAGTTCTCGGGCTCGAACTAGTGCTGCTTTTGCTGGCAGCTTTAATGCAGCCCCACCAGGTGCCAGCTCCCTGGGCAGTTTTCTCGAGGCGCCCGTGGACAATCTTTTGGAAGAACTGCGCGCTGGGGGCGATTTCGAAGGGTTCCATAGCATGGGCTTGGATGATCACGATTTCGACGGCCTCACTCAAGAGATACTGTTCACCAAGATTCACAGTATTTCCGTGGACAACAGCAATGTACGGTATTCCCTCTCCAAGACGCCAGCACGGTCACAATGCAAAGTCTTCTGCCTTCCAGGGCCACAGTCTGTTGTGGATGAGCGAAATCGCCATCAAGTCGTCATTGGTATACAAGACTCGATGGAAAAGCGTCTCCAGCTTTTGATACTCCATCTGCAGACAAGCATCAAGCCCTCGTCCAGTCCTGGGTCAAACACCGTTGTCACGTTTGGGCAATTACGGAAGGCACATAACGTCATTGATTCCTGTAAGCTCGTTGATGGCAACGTGGCAATGATCCTTGTGCTATCGGAGTCAGTTGACGGTACCCGCGAGCTTAGCCTGCAGGCGCCTTGGAGCGAACTTACATCTATCAACCTTCCTTCAAAGCTCCTGCTTTCAAACACGCGAGGCCTGGACGATCGGGGAAGCCTTCTTGTACGAGAAGTGGGAATAGGGAGGGCCATAACTCCCGTCGTCGGAGAGCTTGCGGCTCTGTGCCATCCCAAACTGAATGGAGTCGTCAGCATCTTCGATGGAGAAAGCCAGCAAGTCCATCAAGTTCGCATTCAGCTAAAGCCCACCCGACCACAAGTGACAAAGATCTTTGATGCCTTTCGGGCAATCTTGCCGCCGGCTGTGGGTGATGTTTTGCTAGCTGGCTGGTGGCACGTGGTGGCATGGATACGCCAGGAGCATGTTGAGGTTGCTGACATTGAGTGGTCCGCTATGGCAATTCAGCTCTTCACAATTTTCCTTGCCCTAGACACGCATGTACCTTCGGCATCTCCAGATACATACTCCTCGCCGACTCATCGGAGAAACCGGAGCCTTCTTAGATCAAGTAGCGGCGCATACGTTGATTTCAATGATTGGGATACGATGAACGTCTTCGAGACTCCAAACTCTGCAACCCATCCATCTTGGATGGCCGGACGTCCATGGCAATGGGTTATGGAAGAAGAAGAATTAACAGCGAATCTGTTCCAGCCGAGCCAAGGGAGACAAGAAGAAATAGGTTTCCTAGTATCCCATATAAGGCACGCCCAAAGTTTCATGGCTTCGACGATGGGCGATGCAGCTTGTGGTCAGGCCGGATACTTACCCACGGCTCAGAGCCACACGGAGCAGAGTCGCATGAAGCAAGCGCAAGACATTATGGTTGCATTACATCTCTTACTAGAGGAGCAGAAACTCGACATAACGGCACAGCATCTCAGTTCGCCGGCATCAGTCGACCTGGCAATTCTCGTGCTCCAAATTACGAAATGGCTAGACTGGCATCAGTGGACTCACAATTACGAACTTGACATGCCTTTGGACTTTGCAGACTCACAAGCCAATACGTTGCAGCGCCATCTGTCGCCAAAACCGGCAGAACCAGCGCTTTGGAGTGTTTTCGAATGGCTACAAGCCGGTCTGGTTCTCGAAAGCGGACCGCTTGACATGCCTGTTATTCTGACTACTGCATCCGGGAATGTTTTACCTCGTATCAAGATTTTCGGGCGTCTGTTTGAATGCCTCAGAACGAAGCCTAAATCGCCCGTGGACTTTGTTGAGGCTATGTATGAAAGCGGCATTACACCTGTGACTCTGGAGTCCTTGCCGGAGGCCATACTCGTTCCATTACAAGATGCGATATCTCAGTGCCAAGCACGGCCGCCGCCAGCATGGCCCAGCAGCTTGCTTCAACTTGTGGATCGGAGTGATGTCGACTCGGTTTTGTCGCCCGCAGACGAGTCTCATCTACGGTCCTCAAACCTAGCGGTATGTATTCTCAACGTTGGCACACGTGTTCTTTTACTGATTCATAGTAGATGTCATCGCACCTTGCAACTTGGGACTTCAATTCTCTATGCCAGAATATCATGGATTTCAACGACTCACCTGCTGATGACATAGCAGAGAGCGACAAGCAAGCAGTCATCCGAGCAATATTCAAAGAAGATCGTCGTTTAGAAGAGATCAGGCTTATGCTCAACACGACGAAGCCAAGACTTGTGCGCTTAGAACATCAGTCTGACTGGTCCGAGCCGTTCTACCTGGAACAGCAGAAGGAGCTGGTGACCCGCCTCGCTACCAACACGCTGTCGATTCCTGCAGGCAGGGGCATCATGAATTATGGCTTGCGCTTTCCCCTTCTGACTCAGAAATTTCACATCAATGGCTTTGTGCTAAATTGCACAGTCCGACCAACCAATGTCACCGTTGGCGTTGACAAATCTCTCTTTTCGGAAGAGAAGATTGCGTGGGCCTTCTTTCACTCTGGCGTTGCTGCAGGCCTGTCAATATCTCGCCAGGCCAAGGGCATTGATACGTCCTGGATTTTATACAACAAACCCGGCAACGATCTCAACAATCGGCACGCAGGGTTCTTACTTGCCCTTGGTCTCAACGGTCACCTGAAGGGCATTGCTAAATGGGTAGCTTTCAAGTATCTGACACCAAAACATACAATGACGTCGATTGGGCTCCTTCTTGGGCTGGCCGCTTCGTACATCGGCACAATGGACTCCTTAATCACACGCCTTTTGTCGGTACATGTCACTCGGATGCTGCCACGAGGTGCAGCAGAATTGAATTTATCTCCTCTGACGCAGACGACTGGAATTATGGGCATTGGCTTGCTATATTGCAACAGCCAACATCGCCGAATGAGCGAGATCATGATGTCTGAGATCAAGCATGTCGAAACCGAAGATGAGGAAGAGCCACTTCGAAGTGAGTGCTATAGACTCGCCGCAGGCTTTGCCCTTGGATTCATCAATCTTGGGAAGGGCACAGACCTGAAGGGCCTACACGATATGCGAATCACCGAGCAACTCTTAACACTGGCATCGTCGAGTAAGAAGGTTGAGTTGGTCCACATCTTGGACAGATCCAGCGCCGCCGCTGTTATGGCAATTGCCCTGATCTATATGAAATCCGAAGATCATATAGTAGCTCGAAAGATCGATGTTCCCGACGCCCTCTTGCAATTCGACTACATCAGGCCCGACATACTGTTGCTGCGAACTGTGGCTAAACATCTCATATTATGGTCCGAAATCAAGCCGACCCATCATTGGATCCGTAAGAATCTTCCTGCTCGTTACCACTCCCGTGTCAACCCCCCAACACAGCCCTTTGACAACCCATCCCGTGGCCAGCTCAATTCCACTCACCTGCCCTTCCTCACCATACTTGCCGGGCTGTGTTATGCTGTTGCCTTGCGTTACGCGGGTTCTGGCGACCTACGCGTCCGCGATTTGTTGCTGGTATATCTCCAGCGCTTCTACGGCTACTGTCGTGCTGCATCGCCCAAGGCAAATTTCGATGATCGGACTGTACACGTCACGGCACGAATGTGTCTTGACGTGGTTGCACTCTCCACTGCGGCTGTGATGGCTGGAACTGGTGATCTTAAAGTCCTGCGGATACTTCGTTCTCTTCATGGTCGAAATGACACCGAAACAACGTATGGCTCGCACATGGCGACGCATATGGCTATTGGCGTATTGTCTCTTGGTTGCGGGACGCAGACTTTCAGCACTTCCAATATCGCGATCGCGTCGCTGTTAGTTGCTTTTTATCCCGTTTTCCCGGATCAAGTGCAGGATAATAAGAGTCATCTGCAAGCCTTCCGCCATTTCTGGGTTCTGGCCACTGACCCCCGTTGCTTGGTTACCAAGGACGTTGCCACGAATGCCCCTGTCAGCGTACCGGTCACTATCAGGTTTCAAGATGGCCGGCCCGAGGAGGCTAGAACCACACCTTGCCTTTTGCCCCCTCTCAGTGACATCTCCAGCGTCCGCACTGACAGCCCCGAATTCTGGAACCTCGACCTAGTCTTTACTGGTCCGGAGGGGGGTAAGCTCCTGGAGAAGTTCGTGAGCAACCAAGTCTTGTATCTACGCAGGCGGCCGGTGGGCGGCAGTCCATTCTCGGCTACAATGTTGGCACTCGGTCGCGAAGATTCTTCCAATGCACCTGCAGAAGACGCGACGCAACCATTGGAATGGTTGTTTGATTCTGCACCGAGCCTTAACCGCCTGACTCATACCGAACGGAGTGTGGTTTTAGACAGTGGAGTTGGTGGACCGGACGTGAGTCATAGCAAAAGCAGCGTGGTTGATGCCAGACTGGCACTTGAAGCAGGGCTCGACCATGGGGGAAGGGATGATCTACTCGGCATCAGGGGGCTTTTTGAGTGGTATGAGTGGAAAGCAAAAAAGACTGGAGGTGGTGGTAACCAAGTCCTAGAGGACACGACCTGGAACAGTGAGGGCTGGTTGAGGGGTAGCATCGTCGAAGAACTCAAAGGCAAGGTCTGGTTGACTGGCCGCGAGACCGGATAGGGAGACTGGGCACGTGCTGTACAAGAGCTAGCGGGCGGTGCGTATGAGAAACATGTATCAAGAGTCCACGAATGACTGGAATGAGGAATGATCACGCGTTTTAGGTTGATTTAATCTGCTACGAAATCGCCAGAGGGCTAATGCATGCACCCAAGCGCCCTGATTCACTGTCGCGGATAGGTTGTGAACATGGATACCTAACACTGTATTCATAGTTTTTTGCACACGCTTCGTCCTAGTTGGACTTGTATTCCAAGCCACGCCCTCAATGCCATGACCTAAGATATATATCCAGAGTTATCGGCGCAGTCAAACACCTTGGAGATCAGGCCTGTGGCGAAGGCGTTCCGAATCGACAGAGCAACGCCATACCTAAACCCTGTTAGCATCGTTGAAGGGGCAAAGGATCCAGATGTACTTACGTGCCGCCGACCACCATGAAGAGGCCAATTAGGATAATCACTGCGTGTAGCCACCATAGAGCCTTGTTCTTGCCCGACAGTGTCTTGTACCCCTTAAAGTCATGCATCCAGAACAGCGCCGGGAAAATGAGGCAGAACGGTGCTGAGAACAGGGACCCAGTGAGACCGAGTAGGTAGTCTAGGATCGGCACGGCTTGCGAGATGATGAACGACAAGGCACCCAGGACAACATTGATACCGATCCACGTACTCCAGTGCACCACAGTTCCCTCCTGCAGATGCTTCGAGTCCCTGAGGACTCTCACAAACAGGTACTTAGCAGCCACATGCTGGTAGATGCCGTTACCGATGACCAGCCCAGGAAGTGCGATACCGTATGCAATCTTCTTGAACAAGGACCCAGCGCTTCCAAACGCCGGCGTGGTCAACCACTGCCCGCAGTAGCGGTAGATGACCAGCGAGAAGGTCAGATACATGGCGCCGACCAACAGGCCAGTCCACAGGGCCGCCTTGCGGTAGTCCTGAGGCCGGCGCATCTCGGAGATGATGGGGAGGTACATGAAGGAGCCGCTGCCGCACAGGAAGATGTTGGCCGATGCCGTCATGCCGGCGGCGAAGGTCGGGTAGGCGAGCGCGGTCCAGCCCAGCTCGAAGTCGCCCGTCGGCGGCGCCGCCGCCGGCCGGTCCTGCTGCGTCACGGCCACGACGAAGACGAAGACGGCGATGAAGAAGGTGACGAAGCCCAGCCAGGTCAGCCAGCCCAGCCGCGCGAAGGTGCGCACGGCCGAGAAGCCCGTGATCAGCACCGCGGATATGAAGGCGAAGGTCACGGTGCAGGTGCTGTGGTTCGAGAGCGCGTTGAACGCCGTCGACACCGAAACGATGCCGGCGGCCGTGACGAGGATCTGTGCAACGAGGATCATGACTCCGCAGATCTCACGGCCCAGGGGACCCCATAGAATGTGGCAGGCATCGGCGAGAGCTATCGTCGGTTTAGCGACAGGGGCAACAGGACACGGCTACAGGAGGCCATGTACTTACTGTGGCACTCGGGGTGACGACTACGGAAGTCACCGATAAGGATCGCGGTGTCTGTGGATATATGTACTCAGCAGATGTTTTATTGATAGACACAATGACTTGGAGATTACTTACAAGTATTCAAAGCCTCCCAAGCCACGATGGACAGCGAACCGCCGATAGCGCCCAGTGTACCAAGAGCTCCGGGCACGGCCAGGATGCTCATGGCAAAGTTGATCTTGAGGAAGATGACCGTGGCGAGCTGCCAGCTGACGGTCCGGAAGTCGACGCCATCCTCGGTCGTCTTGAAGACCTCGCGCGTCTCGGCCACCTTCTCGCTCGGGGCGTTGATGCTAGGGCTGCTTGCGCGGGCAGGGTCAATGGTATCGTGGCCATAGGCGGCCGTCGACTTCTCCGTGGTCGCCATTGTTAACTTGCTTTCCACTGGTTTTTGCGATGGAGGCCTGGTGAGGTAAGAATATGGTGCTGGAGTTGTGCACGCATATTATAGTCTCTGGTCATTGTGTCTCTATCCCTGGCGTTATCTACAACTGACCGGCCTATACTCCCTGGAGGTTAGCCGAGTTAGAGTAAGGTTTGTGCTACGGTACATAGGGTTAGTGGCTCGTGAGTGAGCGGCCCGCGCACCAAGGCGCTCTGCTATTGGCCAAGATCTCTGCCGCTTAGGGGGCCATACGATAGCTACCGCGATAAGTTGCATTATTGGCACGTAAGCAGACTCTGGGGTAACCGGGGTAGTGGACCCTTGGAGCGTCTTATCTACCTTGATTCAAGTTTCCCGTGCCCATTCTCCACCAGGCCATTTCGTCTACTGTATCTGAATCAGTCCATCGACAGAGGCTAGATCGATCTACAGATGGCTCCAGGAGATTGGAGACACCCAGCTGACACTGGCTTCTCGCCTCCATGTCCCTCCTCCTACACGTCACTTATCACAGTGGCTTGACGATAGCTTCGCCCTGGCTGAAAGCTCCAACGTCTCCATATTCCGGATTATTAATACAGTCCGACCTCCACCGGATGAGTCGTGTGTTATCGCTCAGCGCTGAGCTTAGTCTAGTCCTTTACCCGCTCATCTCCAACCCCCTTCTGAGTTCACTCGTCGGGAAGCCGTGAAGCAACACAGCGCTATTCGTCTTGCACTGGGAAGGAATAGACGACGGAGATATTCGAGGAGAGGACCAGCCTTTCGGAAAGTATGTAACCAGCTTCATTTCCACAGCACTTGACCACCACTGAGCTAGAGTACGAGCCCCTTTGATCCATGATGCCTGCGCCGGTAACACGTTCAAAAAGTGCAGAGGTATTAAGGCTAGCTACCGTGACTCTCTTTTAGGTGTAGAGCTTGGTATCAGTTAAGAATTGATTAATTTGACAGTATTACCACTGGTATTAAACAGAATGACACGAGCTGCCCACTTGTGGCCATAACATGCTGGGGAAAGGACAAAGACTCTCGCAGAGCCTCGCAGGTACCAGGGAGATGGAAGCATCTAGGCAATTAAGAACTCGAACCTGTCCGGAGCTCGTATGTCTAGATGTGTGCCCCAAGACTGCGCCAGTATCGGCCGCCACCACTATCACTGGGCACACACAGGATTATCAGAAGGCCAACCAAGTCAAACGCCCCTCGGATACGAGAGCCTACCGCGGCCTCGACCATCAGAGCTCCCAGAACCGCTCCTATCTTGACACCATCCGCCGATGCAGCTCCTAGCGAAACTAGAGGCACCTGGAGAAGAATCGACTGCTGGAGCCGAGAAGTCGGACTGCAGATACCGTTTGGAAATCATCTCAACCTGCAGCCCATTGAGAACAGAGTAAGCTCTAGCCGGAAAATGATGTCCACTCTCCAGCGTAACCTCGCAGCTCGAAGGGCTTCACACTTGTTGTGGCGGCAATGCGCTGTGGCCAATATCCAGCAAAACGCACCGTGACAGCCTGTGTTGGTCCTATCAAGGAGCAGCGCTTGCTTTCGCGTGAGCACTGGCTGTGACCTTTTTTCAACAAGAGGATAGAGGCTGATTAGAGCACTGTAATGTGATGCGGGCTTCTCCGTGGGTTGAACATGAAGCGGACATGCAGCAGCGATTGTATTAGCCATGCGATGCTGGCTGGTAGAGGTATCTCACTTATGCCGACTTATGGAGGTTGAGAAAGATTCCCAAGGGGTCTTCGAAGGAGTCCAACTGGAGCCAGGGTGGTTATTCCATTGGTGACCTGGTTTGACGTAGTCTGGCGAAATGGCATAACCACCCTGCGGAGGCCATAATATTTCCCCCCCGGGGGTTGCCACCCCAAGAGCTGCTACGCGTTTGCTCGACGCCGGATCAACAAGTTTTCATTTCATTCTTCTGAGGACCTCTATGCCCGTCGCTCGTCTTTCGGCGGCTGTTCGTGAGCTGGTCACCAGGCGACCTGCATCATTTCGCAGTGACGTGACGCTTCAGCTTTACATTGGTGCCTTTCGACTAGGGGCTCGGAACCTCAGTCACACTTGATATCTCGAACGCGTGCGATGAATACGTATCCCTTTCTGCAACCATCTCAATCGACCGTCCTATCGGGAAGTCTACTCGCACAAGGCGCTTCATCTTGGGTAGCCACCGGAGTCATTGCCATGTGCGGCACTCCTGATTCTGCAACCACTGGATGTGGTGATCTCATTGCTCATCGGAGCAGGGAAAGTCATAAGAAATCCCCTGCCGGAAGCTTCATCGACGCCTTTTCGAGTATTGAGCCGCATCAAGGCAATCAAGGAGGTGGTGTGTTCAACTCGTATTCAATGTCCTGTCATCTGCTGATATCTTTGAAGATACCACTGCATCACCACCGTCCAACTCCCACCCCGACTCGATGGGTAGCCCGATTCATGAGAACCCGAACGGAGACGCCTTCGAGCAAAGAGAGCCCATACATCAACCTGCACACAAGCTTAAGTCGGACCGAGTAGCATATCGGCCGAACGTTCCTTACCGCAAGGAGAGTGGCAGAGATAAAATCAAAGAGGTGGGCAGACGCCTACGTTTGCCACTGCAGGAGATACAGGTCTCACAGCCCAACGACGAAGACCCAGACCCTCTTCTGGTGTCTTCCTCAAGATTATCATGGCGAGCCTCCGGATCTTGGCGAAATTACCTTGGACGCGACGCGCTCCACAACAAGCCAGTTCACAAAAGCCGACATGTTTGGGCTTTGCCAGCAGCGCGAAAACTGCCTCGGCGAAAGTTTTCCGTCCCTAAGCTATTGGGAGTTGGCAAGTCTGAGATTGAAAGATTGCCACTTGACACCCTTTTATGCGTATTAGACCTCTTGCCACTTTCGTCGATTGCCTCACTTGCTCTGGCGAACTCTGCCATGATGTGTCGGCTCTCGGAGTTCCTACAAAAGATTGGCAAGGATGATCATCAGCGCGATACGTTTCTACAGATACTGCAACGCGAGCCTCGGTATGATGGATTTACTCACTGCGGAATGTGCAACAAGTTGCACGACCCCCTAAAGTCGTTGATGACCAAGTCGAGACTGTATTCCTGTGCTATGCCAGCGTACACAGGCCACCACCTTCCGAGGCGAGTGACTGCGAACATGGTGGACGCGGTGATGGAAAAGAAGAAATCGGGCCAGAGTTACGACCACTTGCTCTCGCAGATGAACACGACAAGGACCTTGCAGACAGCCGGTTTCTTTCTACAAATAGAGCACAAATGCATTGTTCGAGGAGGGAAACTGTTTCTGAAAACACGTCAGTACTGGTTCACGGACTCCATTTCGTCGCGCGCCTCCTGGGAGCTGGATCGAGCCTGCAAAGACTATCGCCAGTCGGCCAGATTCGAACAACTGATCCATGGTTTCGACCCTATCTGCCAACATTGGTCTTGTCAGAGATTTCTGCATGCCATCTGTGAATGGCCAAACGAGGAGGAATGGGTATACCCCCATAGAGCTTGTTTGAATGAGTGCGATGCGAAGGATTATCATGGTCACACGAACCAATGCTTCGACGACTCCCCCTTAGTACCGGAAGAAAAAACTTGCGAAATCGTCGAGAGAATTCTTGGAGTTGGCTTGGGTGTTGACCATTGCCATGGGCTGACGCATACTTGTTCAACTTGTTTTACCGACATGGAGGTTCGGTCCCTGGAGAGGACTGGACCGTTCAAACGAGGCGTCATGTTCACCACCTGGAAAGATCTAGGGTCCGGCAACTGCAGTAATAGCAAGGAATGGAGGTCACATGTGCAAGGCCCCAAGGTTTTCGACACTGGGCACCCATTTTTCGGCGGAAGTATAGGCCATGATACTCGGGCTGAGTGCGACGGTGGAGCCACTATCAATGGCCCCTTTTACTTCTTGGAGCCCTGGGGACTGGCGTCCAAGGCCTATTTTCATCTCAAGCAGGGCAAGCGACAGGCTGTCACACTGGGCCCCAAGATTGACCCGGAGACCGGCTTGATCACTGACACGAAGAAGCCATGCAGTGACTACACCTGGAGGTCGGACATTATTTGAAACAAGCAAGGTTGAGGAACGTGAGAAGGTTTCTGCTGTCAGGCGGTCATTGAGAGGTCTGAACCTTGAGAAAAAGGACGCTGGAAACGCGTACGTAACCGAGAACGGTACGTTACGTGAGTTGTTTATTACTGTAGGATACAAGGAATGGTGGGCGTATTGGTACAGGCATTATTCCGCATGGAGAAATGCGTCTTCACAAGGGAGGGCGTGCCGTCTCTGGCTTCAGAGGGAATATTCGATGCCGAAATTGAGAATGGCAATCTGCAGATAATTCAGTCCTGATGTCTAACCGTGAAAACCCCAAAGCCGAATGCGCCAGGAAATGCCACGCTGTGCCCCCCAATGATATAACAACCCAAGATTCTCTACTCATACACAGTCTATCATACAAACGCTCCTATCCATAACCGCCCTCAACTTCGTAAATCTGGCTTCTGTGCCAATCCGCTTTCTACCATCCATCGTTACTGCTGCTGAAACACTCGACTGATCAGCAATGGGCCAAGAGATTTTTTTTGGGACCCCTAGGAGTTTTGAGGTTACGGAGGAGGAGGCAACGAAAAATAGGGGCGTTATCGTACTAGACGACCGCCATGCCCAGGACCTCGCCGACCTCGAGCTGGCCGATGGTGCTGGGCTTGCGCAGGCCGGGCTGCAGCGGGTAGCCGGCCTCGCGCAGGCGGCGGGCGTCGACGCCGCCGTACAGGCTGACGACGTTGGCCTCGGGCCCGCTGAACAGCATGTTGGACAGCGTGCCCAGGTGCAGCGGGTGGCTGAGGCTCAGGTCGAACCCCGTGTCGGCGATGCGCTGCCGCAGCCCCGTGATGGCGTAGCCCGGCACCAGCGCGATGATGACGGCGCGCCGCACCGGCTCGGGCGGCGGCGCCCGCGCGCCATCGGGTGCCGTAGCGGCGGTCCGCCTTGTGGAGGCGAGGAAGGAGGGCGTGTAGTACAGAGAGGAGGACGATGACGACGACGGCGATAGGAAGGATGATGACGATGTCGCCTCGTTCCACGACTCCTCCTCAAAAGCCCGGATCTGCTTCGTGGCCTCGAAGCCGTCCAGCACGGGCATGACAAGGTCTGCGGTGTATGTTAGCTTCGCAAATCGTAACACAAAATTTAAGTATTTCGACACTGTCCGTTTTCTATACGCCGCGAAAACGACGGAGTTGGCACGTAGAGGAGAGGCACTCACCCATGAGGATGCATCGGTACCGCTCAGGGTTCCGCTTGTACATGTCAACGGCCTGCTGGCCGTTCTCGGCCAGCTCGTACGGCTGGCCCCATCGCTCGCAGATCTTGCTTACGATCTGTGAAAGAGTACATTGAGGTTAGCATCACGGGTATAAGTATACATTTATGAACACTCAAGAAAAAAAGCCGATGTTGGGTCTGCGACAAGTTTACCTTTCGCTGAATCGGGTTGTCATCCACGATCAGGAGCGTGTAGGCCCCGTTCGGTTCGGGTTTCGAAGGCGCCGGGAGGCGGCGGCTGGCCCTGGCGGCAGGGCGTATGGAAGAGGGCGAGGCGGTGATGAAGGCGGCGGCGGCAGCGGGGCTCGACGACGACGACGACGGCGTTGTCCGGGGGGTGTCGAGCGGTCTCAGGTACAGCGAGCCGCGAGGCAGCGGGATGGCGACGGAGGTGAAGCCGGGCGGCGGCAGCAGGCCCAGGGCAGTCAACGGGTCGAGCAGCGGGCTGGGTGGGCCGCCGCCGAGGGGCGTGGATGGGCCTTGAATGTCCGCCATGGTGATGGGGCTCGGCGGTCACATTGGAATGCAGACAAGCCAGACCTGCGGTGCTACCTGTGGCGGACGCGGGCGCCGGCGGTCATGGTTTGGTGATGGTCGGGAGATGGGCAATCGGGCAAGGGGGAGGGAGGAGAGAGGCTTTTTTTCCAGGTTGCTTTTGTGGACTGCGTTTGCAGGGCCATCCTGAAGTTATGGGCAGCGGATGGCTGGCTGGCAAGCTGGCTGGCTGGGTGGAAATGCAGGGTCCCAGTGATCAGCAGAGTCACGTCGTGTTGACGGTTTGGTGGGGTCGCCGATCTCTACGTCACGCCAACCGGACGGCAGCGGCTCTCGCACAACGCCAAAGTGGCCTGACGAGCCCAACGGGGTTGTAACCGGGGTTGTAACAGTGTGTAACGAGAGTCTCTTGGCACCATGATTCGTCAACCTCCGCCGCGGATGCAACGGCGAAAGCGGCCCACGGTTTAGATGCGATCAAGAACAAACACAGAGACAGAACGAGAAAGAGAGCCAGCGATTGTCGCCGGTGCCAGAAGATGTTTTGAACCTCGTTAGCCTCGAAGCAAAATGCTATTATCCATACAAGTCAAGCAAGCAAGTCTATCCGCCTATTTGGTTTTTGGCCGATACCAGACGCCCTATAACGCCGCGCATGCATGCCTCACTACTTCCTCGTGAATCACTGTCCCACGGGCCCCCACCCTCTTCAGGCTCAGCTGAATGGTGCCCTTCTCGCCGGCCCGCTCTATCGGGCTACGGCTGCACTCAGTACCTGAGTCCGGAAGAAGGCGCCCTTGGTCCGCTCAATCACCTGCTGGTAGACGCTGCTCGGCGGGTGGTTCATGACCACGGTGCCCTCCTTGTAGTCGATCTTGGCGTCGACGCGGGTGTCTCTGATGAGGTTGACGATCCACTTCTCGCCCTCGTCCTGGCCCAGACCCAGACGTGCACTCAAATCCTTAATGTCGATGCGGGCGTGGATCTTGCAGTAGCTTTCCGAGATCAGGTGTCTGGCTGCGTCCACGAAGGCCTCGGCAGTCGAGATCAGGAAGAAATCGGACTTGAGGATCTCCTCGGCCAGCGACAGCTGGCGCTGTGCCTCCTCGAAGTCAAAGTCGATGTAGAGAGCGCGGACAAAGTCGGTGACGGGGTCCGTGTACTCGTAGGCCTCCTGCTTGACAATGCGCACAATGTCCTTGAGCTGCTTCTGGTACTGGCCGGTGCTCCTCGTGCGGCCGCGGCCGGTGATAACGGAAGCGGCGAGATATCTCAGGATCCAGGGGCAGCTGGTCTGGATGGTGTTGATGAAGGGGGGGCTGAAGAAGAGGTCCAGCAGCTGGTCGCGCGTGGAGTCGTCGTTGAAGAGGGGGAACAAGGCCCAGTGGATGAGCCACGTCCGGTTGTTGAGCTGTGCGAGGGGGTTGTTGAACAGCTTTCCGTCGATGCTCTCCTTGACCTTCTGCAGCTCCTCGACGGCCTCCTTCCAGTTGGTGGTGAGGATCTCAGAGGCCAGCTTTCCCCAGGTGGCGGCGGCAACCTTGTCGTTGTCGGTGGACAGCACACGGAACTGGTACAGCAGCTCCGAGGCGGCGGCGTAGTTTCCGCAGCTGTACTGGAAGTTGCCAAAGTCGTAGAGCGCATTGACGTTCTCGATAGTAACCTATTGGGGGGACTGGTAAGCAAGGGTGATTTTTTTTGGAGGAAGAGATGTGCCTAGGATCTGGAATATGCCGAGATGCAAGCAGACTAGAAGCAAGCAGAAGACGAAGGCAATCGAGAGAAAAGACGTACGTCGTGCTCCTTCTTCAGGAACTCCAAGTTGGCAACCTTGTCGCTGCGCAGGTTGTTGACGACCTCCTCGCGGCCCAGCAGGTCGGTGATCTTGCTGGTCTCGTCCTCGAACTGCTCGAGGCGCGACAGGACCTTCTGGCGCTTGTCGTTGAACTCGGCGGGGGCCTCGTCCAGGCCGTCGAGCTCGGCCTTGAGGCTGCCGATGAAGTCGGTCATGTTGGTGGTCTTGAGTAGCTCATACTTGACGCGGGTGAACTCGAGGTTCTTGGCGTCATCGTCCTCGGGGACCTGGTTGGCGGCGAACTCGACCAGGGGGAAGATGAGGTGGCGGTCCAGGTGGCCCACGAGCTTGGGCAGCAGATCGTATTCGGCCATGTTGTCGCGATCGGGGTGACGAGAGATGGTCGAGATCGGGTCTGGGGGTGTGTGTGTGTATGTGTGTGTGTGGTTGAGGCTGGCTCAGGTTCGACGGCGATGGCGATGGCGATGGCGATGGCGATGGCGATGGCGGGGCAGTCACCGAATTTGCACACAATCGCTTTGCCCACGAGAAAGTTGAGGCGCGGGTTGTGGACCTCGCTCCCAGAATCAGGCCGCTGGGGGGGAGAAGGGTTGCCCGAGAATTTGCCGTGGGAACGAGTTAACTAGGGACCGCCCGTCGGCCAGTGAGTGGTTCGTTTTTTTAGTGAGCTCAGGTCCGCAGGTAAGTAAAATCCACTGTTCATAGGCCGTCGGTGCCGGATCATTAGTGGCACCGACCACAATCACTGGCTCCCATCCCTGGAACAAGACTCCTGGAACACCCCCCTGCAGCAGGTGTTCGGCTCTGTCCAGTACTAGCCCCCCCCCAGACAGCCCAGGCCAAGGCTGCAGCTCCAACTGCAAATCGGACAGGCCATTGGCGACAGGGCTCCAAAAAAGTTTCCGAAGCTCGAACGGTTCGCGACTCCAAAGCAACGGGTTCCAACAAGTTCGTTCCAGCCTGGGAAACACTGCTCCTTCGCCCGCCCAACATGTTCTCGAGGACCCTCCGGCCGCTGCGGGCAGCGAATGCCCTGCGGACCGCAACACCGACCTATCGCATGAGCCCCGTGGCCCTGCGGACCCTGACCACCGAGGCCGCCTCTGCCTCTGCCTCAGAACCGTCAACCGCGCAACAGACCCCCAGCGCCATCCCGCAGACGCCCGAAGCGCCGGCGAGGTCGCCCAGCCAATTGCCCTACTTCGTCGGCCGCAACAGGTTGAACAACTTTGGAATCTACGAGAAGAGACTGCGCGGTGGCACCATGAAGAAGACGCTGCTGAAGAAGGGAGAGGGCAACCTGCAGGCCCTAAGACACGACGTCGCCGAGGCCCTGAGTCTGCCCGCCAAGGAGGTTCGGGTGAACAATGTGACGGGCCACATCGAGATCAAGGTAGGCCACGTGAATCCCGGGATATTGTATCTTGTCTTTCCGAGGCGCACACTCTAACCCTCGTTCCAGGGACACCGAAGGGATGGCATAGCCATGTTCCTCAAGAACATGGGCTTCTAAATACGCCTTTCTCACGACACAACCATGTATTTTACTTGTATTCATGCGTCAGGCCGAATGGCGCACATACACCTATCCATGTACGATAGAGACCACCGCCAAATAACGGCATGTCGGACGACGGTAGAGATGCCCGTTTTAGAGGTCAGGTGGTGAGATATAGGGCCAAACGGCAACATCGTCGATTGGGGATGGCCGTCAAGCCGGTTATGGGCGCTTCGTATGCCAAGGGTGAGACAGCAACGGCCGTCCCACGGAAATAGGATACGACCTGACCTTGCTGGGCTCTCCTCAGTTCCGACTCTAGCTTTTCTTGGTATATAATAAGAGCATCAGAGACTCGCTTCGCCAGAAGTCTAGCATAAAAATTTGTCATATTGTACGTTGATCAGCGTCTGCGGCCCGTACTGGTGATCGCCATTGGTGTGACCAATCATGTACTGGGTGTCTGGATTTGGCCACAGGGGCAGCGCCTACCACTCTCAGGTATCAGGGTTGGACAACGACCAAGTATCGCTTGGCTTATGTAAATGATGCTGGAGGCTTCTGACTTCATGGCTTGGAGCAAGGCACGTAGCACTGCTACGACCATCTTCCGTTCTCAAATGCGTTTTCCCGGGCGACCGTGACTCAATGCGCCCATCTTTGCGCACATCCGGTCATTATACCTTCCAGGTATCGTTCTATAATTGCCATTCAAGCACCAGCCTCCAAAGGCCCATGCGCCTTCGAGTCGCGGTATCCCAACTCCTTAAGCAATCCCGATATCTCCTGTCCATCAGCATCCGCGTAGTGTCACAGCATACTGGCCCCACGTCTAGCATGTATAGCGAAACGGGTGAATGGTGCCTTCGTGTGGATTTTGTCAACCAGAACCGTGAGACCGACGCTCCCAAGTCGTATCCGCTGCTAGGCTACTTACTTGTTAGATTGAAGCCTCAGGATATACAGCAGGAGTCAGTTTACAATCTGCAGGTAAGACTTTCACGCACTTGTAGAAACAGGCTGATACGTGCTGAAATTGCGTTTCTGTTACGGTGTAATGCCCTTGGGAGCCTTAAACAACAGCTTGTCTAAGAAAAATGTATGGAATTCTGAAGATGAATATTACAAAAAGTAGGGCCTGGAATTGTACCATTTTGAAGTATTCTCTTTAATCGCGATCCCCCTTTCATTTCTCTTCTGTCTCTTGTGGTGTTCTGTGCCTCTCTATGAACTCCCATCTCCGAGACTCCCTATTGCTGCGCTATATCTCTCTGGTTTGCGCTCGTCGTCGACAAACCATGTTCATATCATGCCCACGGCGAAACGGCTTACAACGTTCTCCCAACCAGCTTGCCACCACCCTACAACACCGCACCAAGTTCCAGCAGCATCAAGCCCGTCTCCTCGAGCAGCATCGTAGTCTCGACCTCGGAACACAGCAGTGCAGCCAGTCCGGCCGTGTACTCAACCAAGCATCCCAAGTCTTCAAGCAGCACCGCGGCCTCGACGTCAACCTCGACTATCTACCCAACTCAACCCCCAAAGTCCGCGAGCAGTATTGTACCCTCAACCACAACGGTTACCCTGACCTCAAGCTCGACCTCGGCAACCATCACCTCTAACGTGAACTCTACGACCTCCACATCTACCAGCTCTACCAGCTCCGCCACCTCCGGTCCAACCGAAACTACCTCGACCAGCTCTACTGCGTCCAGTTCATCTGAAACCAACTCAACCTCCACCTCCACGACTTCGACCACCGTTGTCAGCAGTACGATGACCTCAAGCACTACCACATCCACAAGGTACAGTCTGGCCTAATTCTCTGGCGGTGATTAGCGCTTCAGGTAGCTAAAATTCAACACAGCCCTACAGCTACCAATGTTGTCCAAAATCCTGGATTCGAAGATAACGGCGGCACCACAGGACTATGTAACGTACACCACTTTGTGGCCGGGTTTGCCGATGTGTTCACCCTGGCCCTCTCTTGTACGCCTGGTTTTGTAGTTTCCCTCACGGTGGGCGTAGATAACTTTGTCGTCACTCCAGTCTGAAGAGCTGATGTACGAAGCCATTGGTGTTTTATCTAAGTTATCATATTCCGAAGGTGCATTCAGAATGATATATAATTGAGACAACCTGCGTATAACTATTAGTAATCATACGCATGATATATGTAGTAACGGGGGGCTCCAAGTTCCGTACAGAGAAGGCACCAGAGATCGTATGGCTAGTATAAGCACGCTTCTTCATGGTAATCATTCCTTTTTCATTTCCTCCCCCCTCCCTTTTCTTTCTGTCCTTGCGTCTCATGTTGACGACCTTCACCTCTACATGCATGGACATGTGTATTAGGTCATATCTCTCGTCAGTAGGCATGAGGCAGATACAAACGGGAGAGCAAACCCGAATCGTAGATAGGAACAGTATTCGGGACAACTGGCCTCTAGTCGGGAGACGGAGGCATGATACTTGGCCGTGTTCTCAGTATGCGATATCAGTGTTGAGGAGAACCTCTGGGTAAATGTAGAACAAGCTCTGCTTGCATACTGGTTGGTCAAAATCTGTTCAACTGCTTCGTCTTCCTTCCGTGATCCAATAATGCCAGTGCACTGTCCGCGCATGCTCAAGGCATAGTATCCAGTCACGTTATATCCGAAACCTGCTACCGTAAAAAGGTTGTAGACGATGTGGCTGCATTAGTGTCAAGAAAGATTATGATGGTCATACCCTCTTGATGTTGTATTGAAACTATAATTCCGTTGACTGATCATTCTGGAAACATCTGGATGCATTCTTCTTTTCCCAGTCCAACAATTTAGGAAGCAGAGATGATGCCAAATACTCAATCAACTTTAATGTATAGGGGGTCTATTCTAGAAATTGCATTTGGTCCATTTGTCTCGAAATAAAGCTTATCAGTGATACACACTTAGAGGATCATCATCTTTGCGTATCTATACTCCACCCTAGGACTCCAAGTCAAAAACCGGGCAGCGACAACGGATAAGCGGGGCGTGACTGACACCGGCTTACCGTTTCCTCGCTTGGATGCCTACTTGAGTGCACTCCATGATGAGCAAACTCAAATTAGCCTACAGGCTACGTTCGACAGAAAATTCTTTTCTTATGCAGCAGCCTGGGTTCTGTTAATTGTCAAGAAGCTGCTTGGCTCAGGTCTGTACTATAGTTTTGGGATGTCCAGCTGATGACATCATGCCGTCCGTCAACATTCTCAAGTTTGGGGTATCGTCGCCCGCCGATGTAACGCCCATCCAAGGGCTTTTGAGGGCTGGCTACGACCCGTCCCAGGTTCTCGCACTGATTGGCAAATCGGAAGGTTCATTCCCTGGCCATGACAGTGTGGTCCAGCACTAACGCGGCGCATAGGCAATGGGTGTGTCAACGACTTCTCCCGTACGCTGAGCGCGATGGTCTGGGAGCCGATGTTGCCCAAGGACTCCGTCACGGTGTTCTCCGGAGGCACAGAGGGCGTTATCAGCCCGCATGTCACCTTTCTCGTGAAGGAGCACGGGGGCGCCAATACGGGTCTGCTCGCTACCGTTGGCCGGACCCGAAAGCTGGATCCTCATGAGATCGGGACTGCCGACCACGCCCGTGAAGTTGCCGGTACGGTATCTCGGCTTGTGGAAGAACTAGAATCGTCTAAAAACGCGATACATTTAGTTTTGGTCAAGTGTCCACTCCTCACAACGAACAAGCTCCAGGAGATACGTGCCGCAGGGAAGACACCTCCAACATCAGACACGTACCAGTCCATGGCCAAGTCACGATATGCGAGTGCCGTTGGCGTGGCTGTTGCATTGGGAGAAGTGGCAGAGGGCGAAGTCGACGCTGCCATTGAGTCGGGCACCACGTGGAGCGCGGCTGCCAGTTGCAGCTCAGGGGCAGAGCTGGAAGATTGCCACATCCTAGTGTTGGCATCGTCGCCTGAGCCAGGCCGGTTGAGGGCGACATCCACATTCATGGAAGACGCCATTGACGGCAGAGCGGTTGTGGAGGCCCTGGGGGAGGTGAACCGTGACCAAGGCCAGGTCTTGCAAGTGTTTGTGAAAGCCGAGGCGGATCCGACAGGGGAGATCAGGGGTAAACGTCACACCATGAACACGGACAGCGATATCCTGAGCACTCGACATGCTAGAGCTGCAGTTGGTGGCCTTGTCGCTGGACTCACGGGTGATACTCAATTGTATGTAAGCGGTGGAGCTGAGGGACAAGGCCCACCGGGAGGAGGGAGCTTTTGCTTGGTATACACCTGCCCAGAATAATTTTGTGAGGGAGCTACAAATCTTTGAATGTCACACAGGGTACATAAGGACCTGTTCTCCTGCGCGCCTTCCTCCAGCCTCATTCGTTATTTACAGTGGTCTTTGGGTCCTCCATATCAGATTGTCTTGAGAAGTTTACGAAATCACGAAAAGCAAACAGAGTGCTTTCTCCGAGTTCTTATTACCACTGACCATACCAGTCTTCTTGATATCAAGTTTACACACTGTGGCTTGATTAAAGACGGTAGCTATAGACCCAAAAGCCACTCTTGAATCCATTTGCGAATCCAGTCAGGCTGCACGGCTGTCAGACTACGAAGCGTTGAGCTCGCAGCCAAGGTATGTTCCACAGACATTGGCTTCATCTCCACTCTGTCAGCCCACAAACCGTCTCTGTAGAAGCTTAAGAGTCTGATAGCTGGATTGACAGTTACAGAGACGGCAGGATCTTGACTGTCTTTCTCAGAAGCCTTCTGCAGTCGGTCCAGCCATAACGAGGGTGCCACAACGTCGAGCTTGCTTTCTAGATGTGTCTGGATGACATCCTGTACGGTTGGGATAAGCTTATCCCAGGCTAAGACATACGGATTGCGCAGGTTGAACACTTTAGTGCCAACAATCTCCGCCAGGTTCTCTGCAGGTCGCACTGCTAGGTCCACCAGTACATCAGACAGCATGTCCGATGGCACCCAGTCGATGTTAGAGAAAGTCCCCAAATTCTCCGGTAAGCAGCCGAGGTGCACAGAGCTAATGACAAGGCTCGGGAACCACTCTTTGGGGTTCCAAATACCAGGATACTTCACTGAGCCAGCCACCTGGCCTACGCGAACAATGCTGGTAGGGATTCTCAATTGATTGCTCGCGGCATCGCAGAGGAGCTCTGACAGGTATTTGCTTCGGGTATAGCCACTGGCATGCGGCGTATCGAAAGACGTTAAGATGGTTTCTGGCGCAGGCCCGACATCACCTGGCCGTCCAGCCATAGTACCAACCGTGGATATGAATAGGACTCTTGTTGAATGGGTCGCGGCCGCCGCGAGGGAGAAAATGTTTACCACACCGGCCAGTTGCGGTCGGAATGCTGCAAGGTTGAGATTGAAGTTGACGGGCCAGGCGTTATGGATTATGAACCCAACTCGAGTGCGCAGCCTGTCATACATGTTCTCGTCGAGCGCAAGTTTAGGGTGCGCCAGGTCTGTTTGAAGAAAAGTGACACGATCCTGAAAATCACTTGTCGCAAGCTTATGGGCAGTGAACCTGTCGACTTGAGCCGAAATTCCCCCATCTGAACCACGATTTAAGCAGTAGATATGCCCAATGCCCTTGCGTTCGAGCAACGCCTTTAGAATAAAAGTACCAAGGGCACCAGTGGAGCCTGTTAGGAGGACATCCGCGGACTGTCTCTTGGGTACATCGTTCTTTAGCACTGGGAGTTGATGAATTAGGTTAGTATACGTAGCCAGTAGTGGCTCCATAATGTCCCGGTCGGTCTGAACGTCAGAATGAGTCGAAAGGATGGCTGTCGCTAGTTGAGATACTGTAGGGTTCTGGTAGACTGTGGATAACCCAAGGTCGGGTCGACCGAATCCTCGCCGTAAGGTTCGAGTTATTTGTAGTGCCTGTAGCGAATCCATCCCCCGCTCAAAGAAGTTGGCGGAATCGTCAGGGGAAGGCCAGTGCGTAACGACAGTGACACACTCCCTAATATGCTGCGCGACAACCTCAGCATTGTCAAGTGCTTCAAATGTTATACTATCTCCCAGCTCTACCTGAACATCTTCCGTCTCCAGATATACCTTGTCAATCTCGGCTTTATATAAGGCAAGACTGGCAGCTCTTTGCAGTGTCCCTTTGCCAGCACGAATCAGAGGTCGTTCCGGGCTTGTGACGAAGATCAACGACTTCTCAACTCGCGCATGCGCGGGAGCAACTCGGTTAGCCTCCTCTACGCTGGGCCATACGCGCTCGATCAAAGAGGCCTGTTCGGCCGTGGTCAAGTTGCTATCAACAGGTTCAATGAGAAGTGCAGCTTGGAACCGCTGGGCTCCAATGACAATGACACCTCCGAGTTCGGGGTTGTTGGACACAATGTGCTGCTCCATGGAGACAGGATTCGTCTTCTCTCCGTTCAGGAAGACAATGATATCATCGGCCCGGGCCTTCCATGACCACGTATCCGGCACGGTCGGATGTGGAGCAAACAGATCCTGAGTGCGATAAGAATCTAGGTGTTCTTTGCCTCGAATAGTAAACGTTGTTTGCGTACCAGTAAGCGCCCGATCACGCCGGATTACCAGCTCATAAGTGCCATCTGCAACCTCCTCAAATGTAGCACCTGTACAAGGATGGAAGCGAATGTAGCGCCAGTCAGTTCGAGGATCCAGCTCTGTAGGTATCAATTGCTGAGGCATTCCAACCTCCGACGCCCCCCACTGGCACCGCAGCGGCATCTTGGCTGCGACAACGTCTCCTATAGCTTGCGGCAGGTCGCCTCCAATATAGACGATGAGTTCAAGATGCTTAGCGCAATAATCAAGAAGGTGAGGGTTCTGAGCCAACTCAACCACCACTGACGGCACCAATAAAGCCAAATCGGCCGGTATTCGTTGGAGAGCATCCACAAGGCCCTGTGCGGTGACGATCGCTGTAGCCGCTGGAGCGATGACCGTGTTACCGAATGGGATGGCATACAGAAGGAATTGGCCAAGACCGGCGCCCTGATCATCAAGGTTAGTTGGTTCGCTGTAAGTTTTCCTCTGTCACGTTGGACGGCCTTACATGAAACGGTGGCACTGTTACCATCACCCGCTTGCCAAGGTAAAGCTTCTCTAGTGAGGGAATCCCCTCCACGGCTCGGCTTCCAGAGGCATTCTGATGTCTCAGTACTGTCTCGTGGGTCCAGATCAACGGTTTTGGTAAGCCTGTCGATCCAGATGTATGTCTATGGTTTTTGCATTAGATATAAACGCGAAAAAAGTTTTCTAGTAGCTGCAGATCCTCACATGATCATGACAGGGTCGTGTAGGCCCTCATCCAACGTCTTTGCATATTGAAATGGAAGATACGATGATCCAAGCAGTTCTTCAATACCAGGAGCTTTCAGATGGCGTGGCCTAACGGCCTCAATGATTGCGAGTGCCGGCGACGGTATTGGCTCTGGTGTTACCAGAGTTTTACATTTGAGCGAATCAAACAATGCCTGATGGGCAGCGGGACTGTTGCGTGGTGAGGCCAGGAAAAGCTGTCGTCGATTCCGTTAGCGTGGGCAATTCCACTGCAATGTGGCGTGCACTACCGTATACCCAGCCTTGACGGCCGCTAATAACAGCGCAGAGAGCCGAACATCATTGGGGCCGACATAAGCCAACGCCTCGCCGGCTTGTCCGGGCCCGAGATTCTCCACAAGCCACCATGCCAAGCCGTTCACAACGTTGGCTAGTTGCCGGTAGGTCACGGCACGGAAGCCGGCCTCATACGATGTAGGCATTATTGGCCATAGCCCATAAACGACGTCCGGACTGTCGCAAGCCAGTTGATCAACCATGGTAGGGAGCAGATCGCGCTGCCGCCCGGTAACATTGACTGGCTCTGGGGGAAGAGTCATGGACGACATGGCCATGCGTGAGGTTTTGACAGCGTTTTCACTGTTCTGTAGATCAGATGGCGACAGCATGATGAGAATACTCTTTGCGGTGGTTTTCGACGGTGGCGAAGAGTAGAAAACCAGGCTTCGGTTGTAAGACCGATCCCCGCTCCAGTGCCTCCTGGCTGATGCGCGCACAGCGAGGGAGCAGTTATATCCAATGCCATGCAAGGGAGTCTTACCACGCCTTGTCGTGACGCCTATTGGAAGCAAACTGAGCGCAAGTGGGTCAATGAGTTTTGAATCGAAGAATGTCAGATCATCTTCATGGGCTCGTCATCTCTCCTAACGGCTATTTCGTCACCGAAAAGAGATATGAAGGAGACTAGGTTCTATTTTGGACAGCAGAAGCTCTTTCATTATCAGCGAATCGCTCTAGGAAACCTCGGGCTTTTGTCGCTTCTCTCTCAAGCGCTCGACCGCTTGCTATTGCCTGTCTCACTGCACCGCTTACGGTGCACCTCGTCGGTCGCCATTATTCCACTGGCCCGGAACTTTGTCTTGCTTAATACTTCGCCCAATGCAGCATCAACTAGGTTGAGACTGTCTCCGCTCGAATCCCCTCCTTTTTAGACATGACATAAGCCTTAACCAAGGTTATTGGTAGGGCTTACCTTCAGTCATGTTTTACGATGCTACCTTGCCACATTCCCAGGAGATCGTTAATGCAGTTTCGGGCTAATGGAATTGTTCACTATCTGTACGCCCTTCAAGTAGTCCTGAACCCAAAAATGAGGTATGACGGCAGTAGCCTGCCCGCCCTCTTCTAGAGTGCAACATGCGAAGCAAATAGCCTTTGTGGATTTAGTGAAGGCCTCAAGGTGTAATATATGCCAGATCTAGATCATCACATTCCCTGAGATAAAACAGGTTCTATCATGGAAGGTGACCGTAGTATATAGGTCCACTATAGTACTCGTAAGTCTCGACTAACATTCGCTATCTCAGGGCTGTTCAAATGCCTTAATACTGGGTATGGTACGCTATGCCAGTTGGTCGATGTTGGATTGTTTAGCTTTGCGTGATCGACTTACAAGATCGATCTAATGGGCTAGATGCTGCGTATAACCACAACCTGCATCAGCCGCACAGAGCCTTGGCAAGCATCTCAGACCGAAAGGTCTAAACAGTATCAGGCTGCATTGTTTCTTTAGGCATTGTGATTTGATCGAACATTACTATTTGTTGTGCAGTTTGCACAAAGCCCTGCCCTTGTGTAATCACTTAGGGGCTCGCTTGCATTCATGTAAGAGTATTATGAAAGAAGCCCCTCAGGAACGGGATTATCTGGTGTTATGTGTCAAAAGCGCGTGAACTGCAGCCAGCCCCCTTGCAGGTACAACTCATCGACTTGGCAATTACTCTGCACACAATCTCTAGGGTACCTGCCATCGGCTGTGTATTCACTGATGGATACTAGGACCCTGCAATGCATGGACTCCCGTCGAGTCAGGTACATTGCAGTAAGGTCATGCCGGAATGATTGGCTGTTGCTGGAGCCTCAATGAGGGGGGTACCCCAACCAGATGCTAGCATGCACTACCCACAGCCGGTTTGCCAGAACACAGTGGTTGCCTGCTAGGCTCTCGCAGACCAATATCCGGTAGCGCATTTCTTCGGAGAGTCTGAATTATCGTTGCACCTGATTCATAATAAAATGCTATCGATATTTCCGAAAGATGATGACCCACTTATGCCTCCGTAGCGAGCAGCTTGCTTGCTCAGAGTCCGGCTACGGCCTAGACAAGTTGGGGTACAGTAATGGTTCCCCAGACTCCACCGGACTAGACCCCGACACTGTGGAGAAAGCTGCGCTTGGGGGTGCTTCAACAGCCCCTGTATGGAAAATCGATGTGATGACTCTGCTCGTGAAGCTTCATCCCGCGGGATGAAGTCCGTCCCCGCTCCGATATGTCTCCACATGGAGACGAGGTTTGGTCTGGTCAGCCGATCGAGGACCCCGATGCCCCTCACGATACGTGTATGGGAACTGTCAACCACGGGCATATGGACCGTACTGAAATATCAGTTCATCCTACAACTGCCCGCACGCTTGTGGAGAGCTATCCGTTTTATTTCGCAAATCTCTGTGATTCTGTGCAATACCTGCAAAAATGTTACACCAGACTGAATATGTGCCTCAGCAATACAAGCTGAAGGAAACGCCGGAAACTGTTAACGAGCGTGTGGAAACCTCCATCTTCCTGCAATCGTTTGCGGCGAAAGAACTCACAAGACTCCCCTCCTCTTGGAGCTTTGAAGCTCTTCGAAGTAACGTTTTTCGCACAACCTTCTCGACGCCCGAGCACCCATTGCCGCCATTCCCAAGTGCGGTGCGGCCATGTCCCAAATTCGACGGCATAACGCCTTCCGTCACTGGGGGGAATGATGGGTGTTCACGTAGTATTACCCTCGGAAAGGTCAAGGTTGTGGTTGAATGGTCGGGAGCACCTTTAGTTTCTGTTTTCCTCGATGGTTCGCCGACGGCTATCCATAAAGACTTGCCTTTCCGCTCTTATGCTACCGATTCTACAGGAGTTGCTCACTACACAGCCTACAAGAAGGACACCCTTCATGTCGGCCTTGGTGAGAAAGCTGCTCCCATGGACTTGGGCGGACGTGGGTTCCTCATAACTGCCTCGGACACTTTTGGTTATGACGCATATCGTACTGATCCACTTTACAAACACATCCCCCTTCTGATCAACGTTACTTCTGAAGGCTGCATCGGGATTTTCTCGACCTCCCATGCTCGAGGAAGTTGGGCAGTAGGATCCGAGATTGATGGCATGTGGGGACACTACAAGGTGTACCGACAAGCTCATGGAGGTCTCGAGGAGTATCTCATTGTAGGGAGTACCGTTGCTGAGGTCGTCCGATCGTATGCGGAACTCGTCGGGTTTCCACTCTTGGTACCACGGTATATGATGGGCTATGTCGGTGGCGGTATGAAATACAGTATGGAAGACTCGCCACGGGCTTGCGACAGCATTTTGAACTTTATCAAGAACTGCGAAAAACACGACATGCCGTGTTCGGCTTTCCAAATGAGCTCGGGCTACACTGTAGCCGAGACTGAGCCCAAGACCAGAAACGTGATGACATGGAACCGGCACAGATTTCCTGATCCACGAGCTTTCACCAGAGAGTGCCATCAGCACGGAGTACGTCTTCTAGCCAATGTCAAGCCTTACGTTTTGGCGAATCATCCCAACTACCGGGAATTGCAGGAAAATGGGGCATTTTTCACGGATCCGGCCACCAAAGCGACCGCAGTCGCCAGACTGTGGAGTGCCGGTGGTGGTGAGAGTGGGGAAGGCAGTCATATAGACTTTACATCGGCTGCTGGATATGACTGGTGGTACAAAGGAGTCCAAGATCTCAAAAACGTAGGGATCGATGCCATGTGGAACGACAACAATGAGTATAATATGCCGAGCGATGATTGGCAATGCGCACTAGAGAAAGTTGTGGTCCCTGAAGGGTTGAGCCGTCGAGATATTGGCCTTTGGGGTCGAGCTATGAACACAGAACTCAACGGGAAGAGTTCTCATGATGCGACAGTCGAAGCTGAACCGGATGCTCGTCCTTTTGTACTTACTCGGAGTGCTACTGCCGGCACAATGAAGTACTGTGCCAGTTCATGGAGCGGTGACAATGTCACAAGCTGGGAGGGCATGAAAGGGGCCAATGCCTTAGCCCTCAACGCCGGGTTCTCTCTTCTTCAGGTACGTCTGAATACATGGCTCCGAATCCAACCTTATAGAATCTAAAGTTTGTAGTGTTATGGTCATGATATTGGCGGGTTTGAAGGCCCTCAGCCAACCCCTGAGCATCTCGTTCGATGGATTCAACTTGGAATTCATTCGCCTCGCTTTGTCATCAATTGCTACAAGACGAATCCGGACGACAACCTGATTGGCGACGTGATTGAGCCCTGGCAATACCCATCGGTAAACCCTATTATTCGAACTGCCATAAAACGACGCTACGAGCTCGTCCCCTACACATACTCACAAATGCTCAAGTCTCATCGTGAGGCTATTCCACCTCAGCGCTGGACCGGCTGGGGTTATGAATCTGACTCCAACGTCTGGTCAAAAGAAATACTCAAAGGCGACACGCAGTATTGGTTTGGTGATGCGCTACTTATAGCCGGCGTTTATGAGCCAGGAGTGAGCTCTGCAAAGGTCTACTTGCCTGGGCACGCCACGGACCCTGGGTTCCTGAATTTGTCAGCTCCACATCAGTATCTTCAATCCGGCAAGTGGCATGAGATCTCATCTACTTGGCATACTTCGATCCCGGTGTTAGCTCGTATAGGGTCTGCCATTCCCGTAGGCAAATGCATACCAACGACTTGTCGGGCGGAGAACGACCCAGAGTTCCCAAATATGGCCAAGGATGACTGGCGTGGGGTTGAGATATTCCCTCCTCCGGCTCCCCATCACCCTGGGCTGCCCAGCAACATTGATAGCGCAAAAGGTTCTTCAGGTCCCGGAAACTGGTTCACCAGTGACTGGCTAGAAGATGACGGCGTGAGCCCTGCGCACAAGGCAGACCTTTTTATGGTCAACGTCTCATACCGTGTGTCGGATAATGATATTGAAGTGAAGGTGATTTGCAAAAAGGAGGGCGACTTTGAACCGCTTTGGGCCAACGATGGTCTCACTATCATATTACCTGTTGGCGATGAAAGATCAGTCAAGGTTGCAGGCGAAAACCAGACAGCAACTCTGGAGGGGAACCGTGATGAGAAGGGCAGACGCACATGGAAGGTCGCAGTAGAGCATAGTACTTGAGTGTTCGGGCTTTACTTTACTTTATGAGATAGACTTAGACCACAACAAGGGTGACGAGTGCCTCCCTTTCGAGCGCGGAGGCCATGAATGTCGAACCATTTTGCTCCACTTTCACAAATATGTATCAAAACCTCTTGGCAGAATCAAGGCGTTCTTCTGTGCCAGTGTGGAACTTGACTAAGTAGTAGGCAAAATCCAACATTTATAGGCTTCAGTAAAACTGGCCTCTCTAGTGGTATACACAGCTGGTCATGGGTTTGATTTGGCTGAGACACATGGATTGGAGGGAACACCTTATAGTGTTCAGAGCAAAACAGTCCTATTCCAAGTCATAAGTGACATATGGATGTATGAGAACCTACCTTCATCTCTGAAGTCACCCGATACGAACCACACTTGGTCAGAGGAACATGACACGACTGCAAGGCGGATCTCCCTGTTGCTCTGAAAAAGGCCGCTCCGAAGCCGTTCAAACAATTGCGGAATATCGCGCGAAGCTAGACCGGCCATCCGGACGTGTTCAAAGCTACTGTATTGCTGTTGATTTTAACTAAGTTAGCCTGCTTACTCATGGCTAAGCTTTTCTTGCACGTGCTCGTGAGAAGGCTCTGCAGCTCTTAAAACTATTGACAGCTGACGCGAACCGCCCTCAGTCAGCTTACGCCATAGCGTCACGAGATACACTGCAGTCTCAGAGCCGGGCAGTGAGCTCAAATAGCGCGGAAGCTCCCGTCATCAATTTAAGCATTGGATAGCCGGTGTGATGGCCCCTTGCATAAGCTTCCTAGTGCGCCAAGCTGTTATAGACTAGATCCAACAATGTAGTCCCACCCTGTATGCCCAAACCGGCCTAGCAGGTCGATTTGGTAAACATACATAGCCTTTTCGCAATAAATCAGGACGGAATAGTTCCACCATCTTACGGCAGCTTATGCAGGAGTGCTTCAGCCTCCTCAAGACCAGGTCAGGTGTTCAGTTTGCTACTATCAGAGCGTGATGGGAGATGTATTTCACCAGGCTATCTATATATAAGGCTATATTGGGTCCGTCATTGTCCTCCTTGTCTTCTGCTCTGTAGACATAGATCGCTTCACTTCATAGAATTCCTCCAATTTTATCTTTCAATCTTTCCAACGCGAACATGGTCAACCCACCTAGCATTCCAGGCTACCACATCAAGTGGTCTGACGCCTTCGCTGGAAACTCGGGTATGCTCCCAGACGAGAGCAAGTGGGAAATCATCGATCGTTACCTCAATGTGAACAACGAACAAGAGACGTACAAGAAAAACTCGAAGAACATCCAGCGCAGCGGTGGGGGTACTCTACAGCTCGTGCCATGGAAAGATGGGAGCGCTCCTCACGGCTGGAGCTCGGGACGGATCGAGTCGCACTACACGTTTACGCCTGTTGCGGGCGGCAAGACGTTGGCCGAGGCCAAGATCCGATTTGGCTCCGCCGCCATCGCCAATAAACAGGGCATTTGGCCCGCCTTCTGGATTTTAGGCGACAAGTTGCGCCACGGAGGCAGTTGGCCCGCATGTGGCGAGCTAGACATCCTAGAGACGGTCAACGGAAAGCTGACCGGCTACGGTACTGTACAGTATGTATATCTGAAGCTGTCTCCCCCCTACCTGAACCATTCCGAAAGAATACTGCTCTATAAAGTCTTTCAATTCCTTTTTCTATCGAATAACAACTGCATCGAATCCGTTCATACTGCTCGGAAAGGGAATTAATAATTCTGTTCTAATGTATGTGTAGTGGAGGTACGTATCCAGGTGGCATTTTCAATGAGCCGAACGGTATCCAAGGCCACATCGAAATCCCTAACCAAGGCTGGCATGTTTGGCGAATGGTCTGGGACCGCAGCCACGGTTCGTGGCGAGACGAGACCATCACATGGTTTATGGACGGGAAGCAGTTCCACCAGATCAGTGGTTCCCGCATCAACGATGAGCAGGCTTGGGGCGTCTTGTGTCACTCGCCTCTTTACTTCATCCTCAACGTGGCCGTTGGCGGAGGTTGGGTTAGTTTACCTCCCCTGAACTGAAAACAGCTCAAATCATCTATCTCTACAACCTGGTGCTGACCTTCTTACTCGCAGCCTGGCAACCCCAACGATCAAACTAAGCAGGGTTACGAGAGTATGATGGAGGTCGAATACGTGGCTCACCATACTACCAAGTAAAGGGATATTGCAAGACTAGTAAATTTCGAACTTGCGTTTCTTTTTACTTCCTTAGTATAGACGGGTTGGCATGGACTTATTTGTGTGGTTTCGCGAACTTGATTGTAATTGAACTCAAATTTCCGATCTCTCTCGAATATTCAAGTAACTCGATGGCGCCATCGTGGTAAAGGAAAATATAGGTGGCCACGTCTTATATATTTGAGAGGTCTCAAAACCTTAGTAATGACAACAAGGACACCACAGATCAATCATAGTCTTTGAAAATTTCTTGTGCTAAATTATTTAGCTTAAGCAAAGACATCGAACTGGGGGAGACGGTAAAACCAAACCGTCTGCACCAAGCCCCCACCGAAATCAGCTACAAGAACATGCTTATTGCAATCATCTGTGAACTTGAAGGTGTTGACATATTGATACCCAATATCGCTGGGAAGCGTAGCGGACGTAATGTTGACAGTCAGAGTTCCTGAAGGACCGCTCTCATTGCCATGATCTCCTTTGTTTCCCTTGCAATCCTTTTCTTTGCCCTTGCCACTACCACTGCAGGAAACGTTCGAGAATTGGAAAGTTCCAAAGACGCCAAGACTATGCTGCGCAACGGTGGCCCAGTCCGCCTGAGAGTCTGAGGGCTGCGCGGGCAGGGAGACGGTTTTGGGGCGAAACTCGGGCTGAGTCGTGTCATTGGCGGTGATGACGAAGGATATATGACCGGAGGGAGCGTAGACCGAGCCGCCTGAGGGATAGATGCTGTGCCACTCGGGGATGATTGCGCCGGAAGTGGTATTACTGGTGTTGGCCATGAGACTAGTGAAATTTGGATGTAGAGGGTGAACTCACGTTAACGTGGCATTAAGGTATCCCCAACCGCCCAATATGCATTGCAGAGCCCTGTCGCATTTCATCTCGATAGTTTTTGTGGACGGAAGCCCATGAGAGCACACCAAGAACTGTGAAAGAGCGATTGCTCCGGAATGGGCAGCCTCGGTAGGCTCTTCTGGTTTTATATAGTTGTGCCGTACTCTGGTAACCATTCCTCAATATCCCTTGGCAGCCAAGGCGCACGCCATGGAGCACCAACACCTTGCCTACATCATGGTTTGGAGATGCGTTTCAGCCGTAGCCAAATAGCCAGGAATAATCGTGGATTGACCATCTTACACAATGGCCACGTCCAAATCGTGGACCATTGCAGGAAGACGTATTAGAAAACAGGACACAGCGAAATCGGCCGTTCCCCACACCACAAGCTGTTAGCCGGTTTCGCTGTGTCCGATTTTCTAATACGTCTGCCTGCATTGTTGGCCTGGTCGACGCCGTGTCGCGCATGGGCGGACTAGTATCGAAGTTTGATACAACTATTAGACAAGACTCAGGCTTTATGATTTGATCACTGGCCCAAAGAAAATGCTGGCCGGTCGTGTTGAGCTAATACCGTTGTGTTTTAGACAGCCTTCTGTGGCGCGCTATTGGAGTCTCTTTATCTCGGATTGTTCCGAGTCTCAGGACAGCTTGTGTACAGTTTTTTGGGCCCAGGAATTTCTTGCCTGTAATACGATGGGCATTCGCAAGAAAAAAAATATTGCCAGCGATAGTCGTGAAAGGATGCACAAGGAAATCGAGTTCGTTTGACGCCAATTGCCTTTCAAGGCGGTGTTGGATCAATTTGTACAAATGGTTACTCAAGTCCTGCATTTCCTCGTGATGCCCGTAGCAGGACATGAGAAGTGTAGTGCAGAGAGACTTTGCAAATGAAGTGTAACATTCTGTTTACCCAAGGTTGTTAATTTCAGTATCCAATGGTAAGTCAAACCTTGTAAGGGGCTTCACTGCCAACCAACCGACTGAGTAACCTTCACAGCTCTATCGAGTTGTTGACAACTTTGTAGATCATATTCTGATAGCCATCATTAGCTCTTGTGTTTCCTACTCTGAATCGTGCTTTCTCTCCATCCGACCAATCTCTTAATATTACCTGAATTTGATGCAACTAGTACTTAAGGAGAATTGTAAGTGCCTAATGGCCTGCACAGTACCCATAACCGAGCTAGACGTGCGCTTCAATCGCAATCGTTTACGTAGGCATTTATCCAAGTGCTTGCCTCGCGGTACGTGCATCGAAGCTCCAGCAGCCTCGAGGTACATACTGGAACGTATGCACGAAAGGGGTGTCACAGTCAGAAGACTTTGACTGATGGTGGGCATCAGCTACTAGAGTATGGGCACAACTTTGTCTTTCTAACACATAGTTAAAGAGCGCATCATGGAGAACATAGAATTATATGATAAAATTCGTCGATGAAGATAATAGCCGGAGGCTACAGCCGAGATCTCACAGTCAGATCTGGAAAACAACAAGTTCAACAGTGTGTATGCCAAATAGTGCACCTATACATAGACATAGTTTAAATGGTAATACATTGAGATGATGCGTATCTTGACACCAAATGGGACTCCCATGAGTAGTTACATCCCTAGTATTTCTATTACTTAGAGTTGTTTGGCCACTTCTGTTCAACATCTCCAGCCATTCTGCGAACCGAGAGGTAATCCGAATTGCTGAAACATCTGGCAACGACATTTTGAATGCGTGACCCAATTTTTCATGTATGTTTCAGATGTTCCAAGGATAAAGGGGACAGAAAATGCGGCAGGAGTTTACTAGAACGAAGTCACCAAAAGTAAATCTTGGCGTCAGTCGGGATTTGGAGTAACTATTGACTAAACAACTTAGTGCAAGTTAAGCGCGAACTTTTCATCTAAGCACTAGTGGTTTAGTGGTAAAATCCATCGTTGCCATCGATGGGCCCCGCGTTCGATTCGCGGCTAGTGCAATTACATTTTTGCCGTGTGACTCTGAACTGTTATCTTGCCGAACTTGTCTGCCTCCGTCTTCTTTTTGCCCCTACGGGCGCGGGTTCGCGCGATTTACATTTGCAAAGCGTGCGCGAAACTCATCTCATGTTACTATACAGCTCTGGGTGTTTCAAACAGCGTGTACCGCATGGGCTCGGTAAAAGAAAGAATGCATCGTCGCAGATCGAGGCTCTGCCAATGGCTAGGCGCTTTATAGAAATTCATTATCGGTTGCTGTGCTCCCTGTCTTTGTACCTATCTTGACCAGTATGCGTAGCCTAGCGACTCTACACACTTCGCGGGATCTCTGTAAGGCTGGAGCTTTCTCGGCTGGATGAAATAGGCGGACATGATTCCCTGAGTAATGCAAGCAATTTACTGTCACTATATGCAGAGTTCAATACCTCAAGAACGAAGGCGCACGTTTCAACGGTGATCGACGCCACCATTGACTGGTAACGGCCGGGCTTTCAGGGGTGATCCTGTGCAGCCAGACCTGCGTCGCCTGAGTCAATAGTCCAATAAGCTTTGATGGCGCATTAAGTCGCTCAGACTCAACCATATAATTACCATGCTATACTCGGCGCTGGAACTTCATGAGTGATTTGCAACTCTGTGAGAAGCCAAAGCTACCCTTTTCTGTACGTTTCGAAGGCCAGCATCACACCGCCCTCGCGAGACTCGAATACCCCAACTGGCGGTCATGACGCGAAATGGTCGCGCGGCACCCTGCACAGACCCACCGTTCATCTGGTGTGCTGGCAATCTGGCGGTGACAGACGGGTCCAAATGTAACGCAGCCCCACCGTGAACTCACAAATTTCGTGACCAGCCACGCGCCTTGTTGGCAATTCCTCGTTCATGCGCTCTGTTATATCCCCAAGCAGGTTGTTATTCCCAGGTAAGTTTGGTTATGTCGGCGTTTGTGAACTGGGAAAGCCTTCTTTCACCGGCTTCCCCAAAGGAGAAGGTGAAGGCCCCGGCGCCGCCGCCGCGAGGCAACACGGCTGTGCCGGTGCCGCCCGAGCTGCCGAGTGCTTCGGTCCCTTGGGCCACCGCGGCCACCATCGGTGCCGTCATCTTGAGCACGCTGCTCATACTCTACCTCGTGCGCAGCAATGCGCGCGCCAAGTCGACAGCCACGCGACTCGCTGCGACCAAGCAGCGACAGGATGAGGCGATTATCGCTGCGGTGCAGAAGACTCTCGGTGAGCAGATCAAAGCCACCGAGGAGAAGTTCCAGCAGACTCTGGATCGCCGAATCAAAGATATCCAAGAGACGTCCCAACAGACTCTAGATGGCCGGATCTCGGCAATCGAAGAGACCTCTCAGCAGATGCTAGATAGTCGGATCGCGGCTATCGAAGAAGCCTTCCAGCAGACTCTAGATCACCGCATCGCAGAGATCGAGGACGCCATCAGGCGGCGTGTCAACCAGAGACTCGAGGCGCTTGAGTCCAAAATCAAGATGGACCAGGAGGCTATTGATAGCTTACACAACGCCATCAATCAGCGAATGGAGATCCTTGAAGACGGGGTGCGCATCCTTGACGGCAAGCAGCTAGACCAGGAAGCCACACATATCACCAGCAGGTCATTGGGCCAGAGACTCGAGACAGTTGAGGGATCGCTCCAAGCACTAGACGCCAAGACAAGGGCGTCAAGTCAGAGGATCGAGGCCGTGGATGACAGCGCGCGCGTCATCGACAGCAGGACCAAAGCACTTAGCCAGCGCATGGAGGCGGTGGAGGATAACCTCAGCGCGACTGACGGTCAAGTTACACTGTTATCGCATGATGCGAGCCGTGGAGTCGACGCCATTGAGAGGTTGCAGAAGCAGGTGAAGAATCTGCCAGGAAACGAGAAGTTGAGGGAGTTGACGGGTGCCTTGGAGGAGAGGTTCAAGGAATTAGAGAGCCGCATCAACCAGTACCAACTTGCGATAGAAGAGGCTCGCGCGGAACCGGAACCGGAACCGGAACCAAGACTCACTTGGTCACACATCGAGAGCCAGGAGATCGAACCAACCGGGCCCATATACGTCAGGCCCAGCTACGGCCACTCGCCGACATTGTCATACGACGGCTCTTTACCCCCAACTCCTTCATCCAGCGGTCGCTCATATTCGTTCACGAGTAGTAATGCTGGTTATCCAATTACAACACCAACAAACTCAAAGAGAAGACGGATGGAGATGGCGGCGGGTTTTCAGGATACGACTTTCGCCTCAAGACAGAAGCTGTTCAACAGCAGACAGGAAATGCATCAACGCAAAGATTCTATTTTGTAAAGGGATATCACTCATTGAAGGATAATATTTCATTTTGTCAGGGTGGTACAGGCATCTCTGTTTAGACGGATCACACAAGCTGGTCCATTGATTTTTGGGAGGAGTTGTTCACTCGAAGCAGCAATGCATATGATACCAAGGACGTTACTGCGAGTAAATGAGTACGTCATCTAATTACCCATATAATGCGGAGTAATGAAGAGAACCGGTTAATTTTATTTGGAAAGACTTCGAAGACTACAGCGGCTAGCTAGACGTCTCGGTGTGTTCTGTGAGGGTTCGCAGGCTTGTGGCATTTGCATTGGATACTGGTGCGCCATGACCAAATTTGCTTTTTGTTTCATTAATCCGACAACGGTTAGCGGGTTGGTTGAGGGGCACAGCCTCCACGGCTCTGACACTGCGCCTCTTCAGCTGCCTCTTCGCAAAGTCTAAGATGGTCTTTATCTTGGCGGCGACCCCCATGCGATTCACAATTAGCCCAACCAAGCAAATCTGACGAGAGAGAAGCCGTTTAACGTTTCGCAGAATCGACCAGCAGTTACTCTTGTGTAAAGTAGCAAATGCCCACTAATAAGAGGAGGCTCAAGTGTGTTTCTGCCACCCAACGGGACTACACTAGGTGTGCCTAGTATTCTTGGATTTTAGAGCCACTCAGCGCAAGTATATTAGCTATGCGGCTAAACAATTCTCTGGCTTGGTTTTCACCAGCACTAATGATGCTTGTAACAGATGCCACCGCAAACAATCTTCTCATCAGTTTCGGAGTTCAGGGCAAAGCTAGAAGGGCTACGCAATCATCTCCGCGAGCTTCGAGCATCTTGGAAGTCAGCCGTACAGTCGAAGACCTCGAATCAGCACCCTTCACCGCAACAACTCTATAAACCATTATATCCCGTCAGGACCAACATCCGCCTTTTGAAATTTCAAACTCGCAAGCCCCGTGAATCTGTGCACAGGGAGAACACAAGAAGATGTCTAGAATGCACTATGGAATCATATACGTTCGAACGGCTAAAACTAGCACCTATCCAGTACTACGCTCTATCCTATACGTGGGGAAGCGAACGCCCGTCAACCAGATCACGTATCCGTATCAATGGGTACTCTGTTCAGATATCTGAGAATCTACAGGAAGCCTTGCGGGCCATTGTAAACATGCAGCAAAACGAACTTGGATATATGTTGTTGTGGGTTGATGCGTTATGCATAGATCAAGGAAACATCCAAGAGAGAAATAACCAAATATCTGTCATGGGCCGCATATACGCTGGCGCAGACGCTGTTTTCGCTTGGTTAGGTCCCGCAAACCACAAGTTGGAGCCTTTATTCAAGTCCTTCAGCCCAGCAATCTTTGACCTTGACGGCTTATATACATCTCTTTGGATTGGGCAGAGCGACAAACTGCCAATGGAGTGTGTTCGCGCGGTCGAAGACATAGCATCCAGGCCTTACTGGAAACGGGGATGGATCCGACAGGAACTGCACTTTGCAAAGCGAGTCAACTTGATCTGTGGTCAAACCATGATACCTGCAGGACAACTTTCTCATGTGCTAGAGTCTCTTCCTTCGGGAATTGATCAAGAGCCGGACATATCTGATCTCAAACGGCATATTAGTTCTGCAATGAACTACTTCAGCTGGAAAGCCAACAAGAGCTTATTGGACTTGTTAGAGGCCTACGGAGCCAGCGAATGTAGCGTTAAACACGACCGAATTTACTCGCTGCTTCCAATGGCCAGCGATTCACCAGAAGCCAGAGGTTATCGAGTGGAGTACGGCTGGTCGTACGAGGAGGTAGTGGTCAAGACAGCCGCCTTCTGTGAGTGCTCCTCAGCTGAGCAGCGGCATAGGCTCCTCCTCACCCTAGGGGATAAGGCACAGGTAGACGAGGGCTATTCGACATCGCTTGATAATCTTTCAAGATGCTGCGATTACATTGCGAGACAACATGAAGACGGAATGTCGTGGGCCGACACAATGAACATGTCATATGACTTGATACGCCAGGATGCTGGAATGCAACAGAGGCGTGGCATTCACGCTCGGTCCTGCTAGGAGACTCGGCAACAGTAACCGCAATTTGAGAAACCAACTTATTTGCAGCTCATCCTGGAAATCCAAATCCTTTTATACAAAAGGGAGAAAAATGAAAAGGAAAGAGAGAACCTTTAATACAAGTAAGAATGCGTCATAGTCCTTAGTTACATATCATGTGCGTCCACAACGTATACGAAATCCTCCTAGCCGCCCATCTTACTCATGGTACGGCTCTCTTCGATGGGGCTACTCAGGCGCAGTGGCAAAATACGCTTTGGGCCGGAGACCGTCATAGTCATATAAGGGGGAGGATATGACGAGAGTCTAGCGGTGTTGCAAACTATCATCCCATACGTCAACTTCAACTGTGTCAGCCACCGGTTAAATATGACGTCATGAAAGGTACAGCTCAGTTTCTATTTCGAAGATGCAGCTCCTCAGTAACGGTCGATCATGAATTCCTCACGCTGCGTCAAATTTGATCATCAGCAACGCCTTGTGTGGGAGCGGCCGGCCTGTCTGCGGCCAGAGAAGAGATTTTGGGCATCAAATCCCCCTTTTCGCTGTTAAATGTCTCGACCGAACCCTTGGTCATCGCTTGACGTCCATACCTTGTCGGTGAATTCAGTCTTTTTACAAATACACTCTAGCCTTTAAAATACGCCGAAATACATTGAAGATCACATCTAGAATGAGCAGCAATGACATGAATGTCAAGGTCTTCGACCTGCAATTGTTCATAGACGATGAGGACGAGGAAGATATTGCCTACAAACAGAAACTGCAGAGCTTGGTTAATGGAACAGTGACCCCAAGCCAAGCAGCCACCGGCTTCGACCACTGGATTGTTGAAGGTGCCAACAATCGTCTAAAATGGCTAGAGCAGCGGGTCGACCCCAGAAGCTTGACTGCTGAAGAAGAAGAGAGCGGTATGACCATGCGAGTGATAGCTCCCAACGCCAGCGGGAAAATCGAGATGGTCTTTCCGACTATCGCCAGGCTGTCCACCGCATTTCCGCCGTTTCACCCTGGACAGGATGCAATCGTCCAGTTCCTCGAGGCACTCAGAGCGCTGCCCGAACACCAGGTGCCTGACGGCATCCCATCCGAGGACCCCAGTAGCAGGGATTATCTGATGACGCTTTGGCCGTTTGGGGGAAATTGGATGGCCTTGGCCGAACATTTCCGCAGAGAAGCAGACAGTATGCTTTCCACATTCGTCGACTTGCTTCCTCTCGCTGATCAATGCGCCTAGCCTATTCTTACCCATACTCTGATATCGAGACGCTTGGTAGCGAAACTCGATACCGCTGGCGGAACTTCCAATCCGCCATCGCGCGCATCACTGCTCTAGGCCTTATCGACTGCAGCTTTCTCTCTGCGCTCGGTGACATCGTACCATCGAGTCGGAATTATGTCGACCTGGAACAGCGCAAGGTTGGCGGACCCAACAGACTTGCGGGTTGTGCGGTGGCAGCTGCGCAGTGGGTCATGTGGCCTGGTGAGGGTCTCTTTGTGTATCAGCAGTGTAAGAAGGTCGAAAAGGTGTCCGGGCCACGAGATATGTGGAGTCGAGAAAGATGGGAGTTATGGAAGGAACAGTTCACCTTTGTGTCAGAAGATGAAAGGTTTGACCCCGAGGCACGGCTGGTGTGCAAACTGTCAAGGGAGCAGATGATCGGCTACGAAGAGGAAGACGGCATCTAGCACACCCTCTTGAGACAAGATGCCTGAGACATCCATCGTCAGATATGTATTATGCTGGAGACTGCGAGTTATGGGTGCTTGGGTAATCATGTAGGTAACACTAGGCGGAAGCAACGCAGCTGTTCCATCTCCACAATTGGATACCCGCTTCAACGCCGACGACCCACACCGCATTACAATCCGTTCTGGCAACCAATAGCGTACTCCTTGCGCTGGTGGTGGGAGTTTAATGTCCTTCACTGACATATCTCATGGGGTGTTAATATATGCGGAAATGGGGAGGAATGCTTTGATTGTTAACCAAATGGTGCCATCCGGCGCCAACTCGTCTGTTGATGCTGTGCCAGGAAACAAGGCGTTCCTGCCCGATGTTGTCCTTCGCGCCTCGATGAATCTCATCCTGCGATCGTCTGTAGCTAAACATCTCAATAGGCTTTCAGTCCATGCCTTACGCTGCTTTCTTGACATGTGATTTATCATGATCTCCATGACCCTGTTCCTGATCGCATCTGCTGAGGTGCTGTCCAATCTGCCACTTGTGTGTTTCTTTACCACACGCGCTTGCTGTACAACGCCGCCACCAATAATGAGCGGTATACTCAAAATATCCGAGGGACTCATCCACTGGGCCGCCAAAGCCGAGCCACATCTATATATTCATTGGAGTCATGTCTCAGACATATGATATCCGAGGCGGCACTGTCTTGGTCGAAGTTCCAGACCATCAAGTAGGCAATACACTAGTCGCCGTGGTTGGACGTAAGTGACACGAACGACATGTGTATAGTCTGATAGCTGAGTCAATTTCCGTAGCTAAGGCCGAAAGTAATAGAAGCGGTGGAACCGGAAGTCTAACAAAAAATTACTACGTACTTACGATAATCTTTAACATAGTCTTACGCCGCTCACAGATTTCATCATTGAATTTGGAATGTAATCTTATAAATATAATAGACAAGACAACGTTAAAGTATTTGATTACAAGACTTATCACGGCACGATGAATGAGTTAAGGCTCTGTTGTAAATCCTATTATTGTAAACCTAAACCTATAGAGGAAAGTGTTAAAGGGATTGTGAGGTCAGGTATAATCAGAAGTCCAAATGTATGGTTCAATTCATGAAGAGACTGAATCTTGTCCCCTTTCTGAGAGAAGGGACAAGATAGGGATTATATAGCGGACACTGTTCGGTGTCTCACCGAACCTTCTGTAAACCTAATGCACTGCCGTGACACAAAGGAAAGAAGAACTCCCACCACAGTAATCAGCTGTATCAGCCGACCCCTAACAAGATTTCCCTTATAAACCCGGACTGGATATCAATGAGCGAATTCATTCCCGTCATGGATTTGCGCCATTAACTGACTAGAGCCCACACCCCCTTAGTTTACTGGATTGCAATGCGTCGGCCTTCAGGCTTGTTGGCCTTCGGGACGACCACGTTCAGAACACCATGCTCCAACTTGGCCGAGATGGCCTCAGGGTTGACATGAGTGGGGAAGCTGAACGAGCGTGAGAATTCGCCAATGCTACGCTCGGACACCCAGTACTTGGTCTTGGGAGTTGCAGACACTTGCTTGTCTGCGTCGGATGTCTTGGCGACCTCAGTGGGTTTCTCCTTCTCCTCCGTAGCGACTACTCCCTCTTTGGGATTGGAAGTCTCTTCGTCCCCACTGGTGTAAGACCGCTCCACCTTGCCGGAGATGCGCAGTGTGTGGTCGTTGGTGAACTCAAGGTGCACGTCGTCCTTGTTGATGCCTGGAAGATCGCCGTGAAGCTCGTAAGTCGTCTCGGTTTCCTTCAGGTCGAATTTGGGAGTGAATGTTGGTAGATGCTGACGACGGCCTACTCTGTCGTCTGTGGACGATTGAGAGGAGTACTTGTCGAAGTCGTCAAGCAGCCGGAATAGCCCGTTGAAGCTGGGCTCATTGTAGAATCTTGGTGCAAAGACAGACATGTTGTTTGTGTTGTTGCGTGTTTTGGATGTGTTTTTGGAGTTGCGTATATGAAGGAGACTATGTTCGTAACTTTGCTTGCGTGTTCTGTTGATCTTGTGGTATGGAAATTGTATCATGACTGAGATGACCGACGCTCATTATATACACATCGTGGCTGCAAAGCAGTGATGCGCAATTATCATAATCAGGCGTTTCTACAATATTCCTCATTGCACGTTGATGCGACTTTGCGTCACTTGTCGTCCCTCGAAGCAACATCGAGGTTCGCGATGCTGGTCGTCGCAGCTGGAAGTTTCCAGAGGCTTGGCGGGCCCACTTTAACTAAGGTTCCTGAATCTGGGGGGTGGGGGGAGCTCGGGTGGGGTACAGCTACAGTACACAGTCCAAACCTCCCAATCGAGTCGTTCTGTGCATGCAGAACCCATAGTCGACAATAATTAGTTATAGACCATAACCTACTTGAGCGCAAGCATGCGCCTACATGCTTTTTTTGACTGCCGCTATTGAACGGCTAACCTCCTCCATAACGACTAAACTCATTCTGCAAGCCATCCCTATCAAAGCACTATTTGAATCAGAATATAGATGCCTCCCGGCTCCCCAACGTTGACGACCTTCTGGTCACGACGGACAACCCAGCGCACACCAACTTGGAGGGGTTGGATCACGCACGGTGCGCGGCTTTGCAAAAATACCTTGCGCAATACGCCTGGCTCGCTGAGGGCCGCGACCTAACCAGACTGTACGAGAACAACAATTGGTACACCGCTTACGGTGCTAAAGCCGATGCTCTCCGTCCGCGGCGAGAGCCCTCACTGGCGGCATTTCTTGCCGACGTCACGATCCCTCCTTCTAATGCTCAGGAGCCCGCGCCCTCCTTTCTCTGGACTAGCGAGCTCTCTGAACCATCCGGAATGTTCTATGATGGGACACGACACGAGCTAGCAGTGGCAGATCCCAAGCTGCAAGGATATGGAGTTGAAAAGCTTGCAGTAAACAACCCAAAGTAACAGTGTATTTTATGAGATAGTGCTAAACATCTAGTAGATGTTGTCCTCCGGCTCTTATCCGGCTCTGTCGAAGGCGGACCATGAGCAGTTACACATACCATTAAGCAGTCATGGCCCAGTGAATGTCAAAGTGCGAATAGTCGCTTACGAGTCTAGTGGTTTCATACGTACATACAGTGCAGACTCTGATTACTCTATTATATTCCAAGACTTCAGGACATACAATCCAAATTACGCCCGGGTGTGACCAGCAGTGTCGCCCTTGAACACCCGCGCTGGCCAACCCTGCAGTGTCGTTCGCTCATCCACGACATCGCCACCCATCACTAGGGTGTGTTCCAGAAGACAACTGTCATTCTGCATGCTAGCTCCCGAGAGGAGTCTGCTCCCAGTCCTCAACACACACCTGTCACCAACGTGAAGTTCGTTCAAGTCGAAAGTGCCCCTACTGTTAATGTGCCCAACGAGACTAGCGTCGTCTACCACTACTCTGTCCCCCATGGTCAGAAGATCAGGTTCAGTGAACATCAAACTCGGCGCGCCATTCACAAACAGCGCACAGTCCTTGCCGATGCGTGCGCCCAGTGCTCGGAAGTACATGACGATCCAGTGCGTGCCTGTTAGCATCCCGAGAATACCATGCCCACGGTAGCAGTGACGTCGAAGCCTCTCAATGCTGAGAAACAGCTGCCACCTCTGGCAATAGCTACTCTTGTCCCAGTCATAGTTACCTGGCTTCCGGTGTCCAAGTAGAACCCACTTCGCCGTGATGACCAAGCCAAGTGCCACAACGGCTAGAGTTGAAGTTATAATGGCAATAGCTGCCGTCATGAAGCCCCAGACGTGGAGTGCGTCACTCCAGAAGCCTCTGCCGAGTAGGTGGTCAAATCTGATCCAGTAGACAATTTGAATAGAGAGGATGAAAGCAACGTTCCAGTACGCTGCTGTAAATGCTGTGATCAGAGCAGAATACAAGAAGATGACGCCTTGTCCAAAGACCTTGTAAGGGGCTTTTTTGAGGTAGAAAGCTCGACCAAAGGGACTCAGCGTCAGTTCCTCCTGGGGCTGTAGTGCTTCTTGGGTAAACAACACCTGTCGGCTTGATTTCTCTGATAATGGAAATGATTTTACTGTGCCCATTGCCAACTGTTGACTGCTTGCCTTCGGAGATAAAACTGTCGGTGACGTTGGCCCAAGTGTAGACGACGAACTTGAGCTTACGCCACTGGAAAGTTCCTGAACATCCACCTGGGCAACCTTCTGTTCTTTACCCTGGTATGTATCCGACTTTTCGGAATCCACGTGCTTTGGCCTTGGGCGGGAGAGGTGGATGGAATCCCCTCCTCTGGAGCCTACCCAGGTGCTGTTATCTTCGTAGGACTTTCCACGTCTGGTCAAGGCACCGGAACCCATTACCGTACCATTGCCAATCGTGACGGCAGGAAGAAGGCAGACACGGTCGGCAATCATGGCATTATCGCCGATCTTGACCTTCTCCGAGCTGATACCATCGGAAGTGACAAGATGCGATCGAGAACCAAAGACAACGTCGTCGCCAATGTCAATTAAATGATAGTCTCCAATTGATGGGCCTGTGCCGGGCCAGTAAACACGCTTGCCGACTTTTCCTCCTAGTAAACGGACGGCGATAGAGGTTCCTTCGTAGTGCTGACCGAGTATTTCAGTCATGCCGTGAAGCTTTGAGACTGGCATCAAAGTTTTCATGAGAGCCATTCGCCATCGATCGATGTTGCTGCGGGTGACAGCTGGTCCTGGGGACAGCCTCCCGAACCAGACATCCAAGAATAGTCTCATAGAAACCGCAAAGGCGAAGATGAAGAACGGACTGAGCGTGGACCTAAGAACCAGAGCTAGGTAATGATACCCAACTCTTCCTCCAGATGCAAACCAGTGGATGACGCTGCGGACGGGATTCAGAGTCTCGATCGGTTGAGCCATGACTAGACCCAACAGACCGAGTGCCCATGGGATCAGGGAAATGACGTGGCTAAAGAAGGATAGGGGGACAGTAGCGAACAGAGTCAGTACCCAGTGAGAGCCAGGGATGTTTGATGATGGGAGGTCGCGAAAGCTCTCGTCGGCGTCCTCCAGTTCCCATGCGGACGAGTTGGGTCCAATGCAAGCATTGTTGGGGACGATACACCCGGGCGCAACGATGGAGGACTTGTTGACGACAGCATTACGACCAATGGTGATCGGACCAAGATACATCGTCGTGTTTCTCTCACCAGCGAATGGTCGAAGAGTACAGTGTTCGAGGACGGCGCCATCTCCAATTTCGAGGAGGTCCCACTCGCCAGTGCGGGCGCCGTTGATAGTAACATTCTTCCCAATCTTGGCTCCCATCATCCGGTAGTACAAGCACTTGGACCAGTTGGTAGAGCCAAAGAATCCCATGCCAGTAATATCAATAATCTTTTGAACCAGCCACCACCGGGTGTGGTAAGGTCCCCACATGGGATAGTAGCCTGTCCTGTATTTCCCAATGATCACCCATTTTGCTGCAATGCCGAACCAAGGGGAAACCAGACCGATGACAATTTTCGAGAAGGCGATGCTGAGAATAAGAACGAGTAGACGGCCCCATACTGACTCGTTCGTTTGCCAGGTTAAAGTAGAACTCAGAGCAACCAGAAACACTGTCCATTGAAGCGCGCGACGCATGGGGTATAGAATCATCATCGGTACAAGCTGAAGGAACATCAGGAACAAGTTGGTCGAGCTGTACTGTTTGCCTGTCAGGTTAAAATCTTTCTCGTCAAACGTAGTGCTTCCATCGGAATCGTCCAGCGAAGCACCTTCTGCCTCCAGCTCCTTGGCTATGTCGCGAGCTGACCCATGGTTGAAGATGAACTCAATGGGCAGCGAGACTTTGTACTCGCTCCTCAGCATGGACAACAATCGGCCGGCTAGAATTGAGTCTCCACCAATGGCGAAGAAGTCTGCAGTGACTTCGATTTCAGTAGGACTCCTTGATAGTACCTTGGCAATAATATGGAGAACAGCCTCTTCGAGACTCGCAGCTAGGGCGTTCTCTGCGCTGTTGAGCTGTTCGACGCTCATTGCGCGTAGCTTCTCCTTATCAACAGTACCGCATCCGCACAATGGGATCGGCTGATCTAGGTACTGTATCCTCTCGGGAATGTTGTAGTTGTGAGTCCGAGCTGGGAGAAGTTGTTTGAGTTCTGCGCCGGCGCCAGTGCCAGACTCCCTCGAAACCTCAGTAGTAGGCCTTGGTGCAAGGAACATCTCAGGTCGCCCGTCGACAGGAGATATGTCGACATAAGTCTCGATAGTAGTCGGCGTGATCTGGCTGGCGGCTTCTTGTAATTGAGAGATGTCTAGAGCGCACACGGTAGCGTCGATGGGGGTTGCCAAGGCTGTGTCCACCGGCGGACACACAGCTTCCCAGTGCTTCTCAAGGAATGGTGTAGATCCTGTCTGCTCTGGTAAACCTAGGCGCTTCGCTAGATTTGTACGCAATACCTTGTTGTTTCTCTTTGGGACATCTTCCATGTAAACAATGAGCGCTGGCCACTTGGCTTGCTGGAGCAGCGATCTGAGACTCTGGTGCAGAAGGCGAACATCAACTCGCGGCTCGTCATTTGGCGTGACTAACACAATGCCGACTACTTCTTGAAGCACATCATGAGAGAGCCCAAAGGCTAACGCCTGGGTGACTCTCCCGTAGATGGGGCTGTCGGGGTCGCCAGCGGCAGATATAATCGCATTCTCGACCTCGAAGGGTGAAATGATCTCACCGCCACGGTTGATGACTTCCTTGGACCGACCTGTAATGTAAAGGTACCCATCTGTGTCCATATAGCCCAAGTCTCCTGTGTCAAACCATCCCTCCTCGGTGAAAGAAGACTTGTCTAAGGTACCATCCGGTCTCAGATAGCCTTCGAAGACAGGAGACCCACGTACGCTAATGTGGCCAATGATATTAGGAAACGCGGCCTTTCCAGCGCCGTCAAGGATGCAGAGTTCTGGGCCGACAGAAATCCCAGACGTGCCTTCGCGATCCAACTTGTAGTTTAGAGGTGGCGTCGAGATTGGCATACATCTGTATCGCAATTAGCTTGAATAGCTAGAATCGGTCTGAAGGTGGTTCTATCACCCACTCTGTCATTCCATAACTTGGCAGTACGGTACAGTTGAAAGTGTCTCGCAGTTGACAGGCAAGAGCAGGTAATAAGCCGCCAGCAGCATTGCAAATCAACCGGATTCGACTCTTCTTCATATCGAACTGTCGGTGCAGGCCTTCACTAAGGATTAAGGAGTGCATCGTGGGCGATGCGTAGTACCATGTTGGAAGCTCTTGGTCGACGAGGTCCCAGAACAACCCTGGATCAAATGCTGGGCAACATATCGTTGAGCCACCTGCAAAGATGGGAGCGAAGACGTTACGTAGTAAGCCCCCACTGTGTGGTGTTAAAGAGGATGGTCTTGTTTGGGAGGGTAGGTAAACTCACACATGGTGAAGAGGCATCATATTTAGGCACGTCTCATCTGCAGTCAAGCCCCAAGACTTGATAACCATCTGGGCTCCACTTAAGACAGCTCCTATTGATATTGGCACTAGCTTCTTGTTTCCAGATGTGCCACTTGTGAACAATTGGATAGCTGTGTCCCGGGGAGTGCTTGGTTTGACGGTAGCTAGTCCCACCAAACTGCCCCCGGTGTGATCAGTAACTGTGATTGTCATGTCTGGCTCCAGCCGAGCCAGGCAGACCGTGATTCCTGCATCTACTACCCACGAGTCCCCCAGTCCCAACTTATTTGAGTCCTCATGGGTGGTTAAGACAATCGTGGCGCCGGCCTGGATGACATCTGCCTTAAACTGCTCAACGCCAACGCTAGGGTTGACCGGGGCCGCGACATAGTAAGTCGATACGGCAATGATGGTGGCCGCGAGAAGGGGCCCATTGGGTAGCGCAACAGCTACGATCTCCTTTTTCGAAGGATGAGTCGATGGAAGACGGAAACTCTCGACGTATTGTCTAAGCTGAGAATGTGTAATGAAGTCTTTCACCGAGCTTGAGTAGATTGCTGGTGTCTGTAGGTTGGGCAGATGTCCCACGATGGACATGCCGTCATCCAAAGTAGAAGAAGACATGTTCAACGCCAGGGTTGAGTCACCGCAACTGTCTCTTCAGTAGCAGGGATATCCGGCGGATATTGTCTTGGTCACTTGGCGATGGAAGATCAGGCTGGTACACAAGCGAGGTAAGGTCTCACGGCTTGCCTCATATATGTAGTCTATACCACGACACCATCTGCCAGACTCATTAATAACGATCTGCATGGGTGGGATTATATCCCGCTGCATATGCTTCATGGCGACTAGGCTGTATCTCGGCTTGTACTTCCAAAGCTGCCGGGTTCTCTCGTAAAGACTTGACCAGGTCGTCCCGAACGGAGCCCAGTCCGTCGAGAATATTCTCCGAATACTTATCGGACGACTACTACACTGCATGGTTGCTTCTCCTTCCGTTACGGTCAAACATTGCTCTGATCGTCAGTCGCATCGGGAGCGTTAGATTCATGATCTAACTAGAATGTATTCTTTTGGGGGTAATAGGGGGCATCATGGCCGGTTTGATACCGCAACGACCGACTATCGGGTCTTGGCCTCGTCGAGAAGGTCGAACCCAATAGACAAACTTACTGATCCGACACCAGGCAAGGCATTCGATTGGTGGCTGCGCGATGCAACCTCAGAACTGCACGTTTTCCACCTCGTGCTGCCCCGTTGTTACCTGGTATTCATGGCCGCTTACATTCCTGACGACTTTGAACGTGGAGTCGCACCGTGTCGAGGTGGGCAGCGTCGACCTTGATACGCGGGACACATGCCATCCACTGCAGCTGAATGGTTCGGCCTCCTCGGTGGCATCTGTGTCTCTGGGGCTCGTTTTCCTGCAGATCGATTTGCGAGCTCACTTAAGCACTGTAGATGCTGTTGGCAAGAATCTGGGCAAGAGCATGGCCAGGGGTAGGTGCATTATCGCCGACGATCCAGGAACCTGAATCACTCCACCTTCCAGTTCCGGCAGCGCAATTCTCACGTACATCAGTCCTTGACATACGTGATGCACGCAAATATCGGTCTGAGTGAGCCAGCAGCAAACCAAATCTGTTCATCTTGATAGCTGCTCCTCAGGATCGAGGATGATTGGTTCAGGTTCGATGTCGCAAGCGCTGCGTCGACTTGTTTGGGCAGGACTTGGCATACAAAATATGGGTATAGAATTACCAGGTTAGATGGAGACAGACAGATTGGCCCACCCACGTGGGATTGATCTCTTGTCACCGGGTGGTTGCACAGCAAGTATGTACGTGCCAACCCAGCGCGCCCAGCTGTCAGTTTGGCGAGGACAAGGACGGGAGAGAGAGAAGAATGTTGTTCTTGCGCATTCGGTTTCACAGCATCAAGCCACGCGCCACCTAGCAGCCAGTGACGTAGGGATGCAGGCAATCGCAGTTATAATTAGGCCTGTGTCTGCAGGCCAGCGGCTGTTCGCCCGTCACATGAGAGACGTTGCATCCCTCCTCCGCCAAGACCACAAGTGATGCTGTGCATCTGGGAGGGCTCGGAGGGCTTCTCAGGTCCGCTGGACTGGCAGGCGCGGTTCGTCCCGGGGTCTTGGGTACCTACGTGGGTATCCATAGCTGGTCAATCTCCGTCGTAATCAGCAGTCACACTCAACTGGCGCCGGCATTTGACGAGAACCGGGGCGCCAACGGATACCGTGGGTCGTGGGTCGTGGGTCGTGGTTTTGTGGACGGGGTCGCGAGTATCTGCCCTGAACATGTCCGATGTCGTGCCAAGAGGCTCGGCGACCGTAAACGATTTCGGGTGCGCAAGTGGCTGGGATTAGTGGCTGATTCAATAATAAGCTCAACGTCGCGGTGCATCAATTCCTGGGCATATGCACTGCGCTGCACTACACTCTACTGCACGGCTGTACCGTGCACTGGTTTTCCTGCACTTGATATTACTGCTAACACGAGGGCCGACCACCCCGTCCGCCGGCATCCTTTACCGTGTTTCCTTCGCTGCTGATGCAAATAATGTTGCCCGCATCGCTGCTGGCTGCTTATGTGCCCGTGATTCCACCAATGTTCAAGATGTCTTTGCGCCCAAGTGCGCCTCGATGCGACGATTGAGGGCTTGGCCTCTGTCATTACCCCGAGGACTGACTTCGCCTGCCAGCCCGTGTCGCCAGTTTCGAGCCTTGCGTCAAAACAGAGTATGCGGGTAAGGTTGCAATTAAGCTCAAGATATCGCAGGAAACAGCCCGACGTTTCATTGGCCGTCCTGGCGTCCCATGCGAAGATGCACCAAGGTTTGCCGTTTTTGCCTTTCAGCCGCAACATCAGAGGCAAGGCCCACTCAATGGTGCTTATCGTCCTGGTAGATACCCGTGGAGCTAAGTTAGGCGCCGGTCGTCGCTCTGAGTCCTAGCCTGGAGTCGCTAACTTACACGGTGGAGCTGATCGTCATCAGGATCCCGGCATATAGAGACGATTAGGTTGCAGTAGATGCGACCAACTGATAACTTGTATGCACCAGACACGGGATGCTCCCCGAATGTGGCAGAGCAGCAGCCGCTTCGTTTCCTCATCGTCCCGAGTTTCATGTGAAAGAGGAAGGCCAGGGTCGGCCACGGGTAGATTGCTGCTAGATCGGAGTCTGAAGTCCAAAGATCGACAGGGACCCGTAACACCGGATTTCGCTCTGATTAGAGTCCAGGTAACGGGAGGTGCCGTTTTGGGCAAGTCAATTGCGAAGATCTCAATTGAAGGACCACCGCCGCCCACTCAAGTCTCACGGTTTCACTTGTTGCTCGTGGTTCCGCCAGGGTTCGAAAAGTGATAGAGCAGCATGACGGGCTCTATCACCGTCGGTAACAGTATTGGAATAGCTCGCAGGAGCTGACATCAGACCCGCCCATGCCTTCACCGCAGGTCTCCCCCGTGGAAATAGAGTTGCCATCGGCAGTGCAGAACGGAAACTCGCATCAGGCTAGATGGACTCTGCAATGCTGTCGCATCCCAGAGAGCTGCCGTGCCACCTCAGAAAATGCAGCCAAGACTATTGTTTGGGTAGAATTTCCGTCGATGAGGCAGACAAACGTCGATAACCATGTCGCTCGGTGGCGCGAACGCGGTGTTGCTTGCGGCTTGATCTTACTTCGCATAATCAAGCAAAGCCCGTAAAGATCTCCAGGATGACATTGCTGCAACTTCGCACACTAATGCAAAACCCGGTGAAGATGGGGGGGTCATATTGATACGAAGACTACTCGCTATAGCGCTGGACCATGTTGATATCTGGTCCTCCTGGGTATGCTACCGTTCCACTCTAATCTACCGAAGATATCTACGCCTCTTGGCATTCACTGAAGCCAGTACGAAGCTCCGTACAGCAACACATTGAGTGTAACGAAGGAGCTCTGCCGTGTTGATAGCTCTAGCTCGCCATGATCTATAGGCTTACGACGCTCGTCAATGTTTTTTGATGATGTAGACATAGTCAGCACGAACGCTACTATAACATTGAATGCAACTGCCAACCAAGCACGCCCGGAGTCTCCTCTATTCAGTATCTACCGACTCTTGAGCTTATTCAGGTGTGAATCCGAGTTATGCTGTGGACCAGACCGACCGACTGCCGCTGTCAAACCGGCCCCACATGCCCGTGTTGGTCATTATGAGGCTTCTCTCACAGCCGAAAGCAACTGTATCTCGGTTCCATAAGGACGGCATCTATCTTTCGTTGCACCGAGCACACATCATTGAACTGTGGGGGTCAAAACTCCGCTGGTATTGCCACATGCAAGGACCAAGTTCTCCATGCCGCGCGGCAGTTACATATATACAAGGTCTGCCAGGTGTTGCAACCTTGAAGAATCGAATACTCAAAGGAGAAGCTTCTGACACTGACCAATCTTATAACACTATACTGCTCGTTTATATGGTAACAAGTCCGTCTTGGCAGTATAGGATTCTGTGTCTCAACACCGGCATTTGTTGACTTGACCTCCGCGCCCCGGCCGTGTGATTCACCAAGCTTTTCGCTCCCTTGGATTTTTCGACAGGGCACAAAGATAATTTCACGCGAAATTAACCCATAGATACTCTCAAGATGGATTCGGAGCTGCTGGCCTCACATCGACTACTCCTGCTTTCAGAACAGCATCCTACAGGGCATGACGTGCCTCAGGCCGCTACCGACCTCAAGTGATCGTCCCGTTTTCTACTTCCAGAACTCTCATGACACTGATAGCACCAGTTTCAAGCACTTGAAGCAGTGATGTTCCACTCTATGTGTGAATATAGTAGTATGAACGCTATATGAGAGGCAAAGAAAGTCTGCTGACTATATGCTGCTAGCCGTGTGAGTGAATCCAATCACTGGGTTCCTACGTTGAATCCGATTTCAAGTCCAAAGGTCTAGCGATGTATCTCAACAATGACACGCATATATTGCCAATATTCTCTGCATCACATTCTAAATTATCTGTCACATTAAGAATCGAGCAGAATACTAGCGCAGAGTGAAGTGAGCTACAAGCATAGAGTACACATTGATGGTGCTGGTTCTATAAACTGTGATCTGCTCTCTTTGAAGAAATTCCAAACAACATCCTAGGAAGTCCTTGGAGGTTCACCGTCGGAGCTTCAATAACCCTTGAGACTTCCATAGCAAAGATACCGACGACTTTTCAACCACCGTGTTTAAGAATATGCATAATGTTCTGAAACATTTGGAATGGAGCAGTTTACTTCATACTTGATGGACTTTGCGAGTGAGAGGCTGGATTAATACAACCAGGCAAATGTAATAACATGACTAATCAATCAAGTCTAGCTCGAACCCGAGGTTGAGCAAAATGACCAACACCACGAGAGTATATACAGCCAAGAAGAATAGTCTCTGTACATAGGTCCAATCCACGAGTATGTCTTGATGCTCGCATGATTTACAGGTCGCGATCAGCGCGTCAACTTCCTTGTTCATTCCTCTCACGCCTCGATGCACCTGAGAATCCGGCCGTCGTAAGTGATGAAGTGCTCGACTATAAGGACTCTCTGGCGATGAAACCCTTTCAAGACCTGTATAATCCGGATGGCGGGCTCGATATTCACTTGTCAGGGCATCGAGTTCCCTTCGTATGCGATCCAGCCTCTGTGATGCCGCATTTCGAGGTCGTTCCTTGGTCGATCCATCAAACCATCCTCGCAAAGTCATCAGACCGTTGCTGACCTGGTTGTACATCGTTTTCAGCCGGGAGTTATCGTTTTCGACTTCAGTCAGCCTTCTCATGATCAATCGTTCCCCGTCCGTCAGGCTTCGCCTTTCTTCGAGGATTTGACTAGCTACAGCTGGTGGTGTGCTATCGCCAACGAGACCACGGTTCTTCAGCTCATCCTCAATCCAATAGTTAGTAAGGATAGGTTTGCGCCTTTGTGGATAATTCTGGGACCACACTACCTGTTTCACTTGCGACGACCATCTTTCACGTTTCTGATCGTCTCCTATACGATCCGTCGGCGGATACATCGGCAGGATACGTGTCTGTGACATGGTCAGAGTTTCCAAGTGCAGCCAAAGAGCACACGCTTCACCCTTGGATTTTCCAAGACCTCAGATTAATTACATAGCTCCTTGACGACTGCTCCCTCTGACCTTTGTTATGCATCCTCACCGATTGGTTTCTTTGTAAGAACCGCCAATGACTGCTAATAGACAGCTATCCATTGTCCTTCCGCAAACAAAAGGGAACCAAGTAGAGTGATACCTCTGTTGCGACAAGAAATCCGTTGGGCGAGCTCCTTTTCTGATGCGCTATATATACTGTATGCATCCATAATTCCGATTAAGGAGAACCACTTGATCAAACTCTGGATCAAATTCCGGTAGGGTAGCAGAGGCTGAGGTATGCTGTACGTAGCATTTGGCATCTATTAGCTCCAGGGGTCAGGCTTGGAGGTCTCCTCCCAGCTAGCCATTGCTTGACTGGACTACCATATGAAACTTGAACTTTCGATGTCTTTACGGCGCGGGATTCGTGACAAGTATAGGACCGCATCTATGTGTATCCTCGTCGCCTCGTTCACGTGATGTACGATTGGACTGTGCATACCAATGAGATGCTGCAGAACACGGCGCATGTATCAACCTGAGACAAAGCACATAGACCACTCTCAATTGGCACAACAGTGGCTGCGGGGCCCCACACGAGCTCGTGATCCACCCCGGCCGGAAACGGCGCGGTTTGGCCAGTTTCCAGATTGTTACAGAAGGGCTGTTAAGCTTCCCCGCCTCGGATGACCCGATTCGAGTCAGTCGAAGAATCAACCCCAGCGCGACGCCTCATCCCTCTCTTCCCTTCTTTCAACACTCATCCCGCCCTTCTGTGATCTCAACATCACTTCCCCTCAGGCAGAAGCAGCATTCAGAATGGACAGTTCAACGCCCATGGAAGTTGATGCGCCCAAGAACAAGCGGTGCCGCTCGCCCGATAAGGGCGATGCCGCCAGGAAGAAGCCGGCCGTGGAGCAGACGGTCAGAACTGCGCCGATTACTCTGTCAACTGAGATGATGCTTGACAAGAGCGCGGACCGCCCTGTCACGCCCAGCGGAGGCCGCCCGAGATCGAACGCGGTTTGGACGCCTACCAACCAGCTCCACGCGAGCAGTCCTGATTGCAAAGTTATAATGGCTGGATTATGAGCGTTCTGAACCACCGAGCTCGGTGCGCAAAGCCCGCCTTGTGGGCAAATCGCCGGGGTCTGAAAATGGCCCCACCGGCACAATAGAACCAACCACACCTGTTCCCACACCTGTTCTCACACCTGGACACAAAAGGCAAACTGGATTCACCAAGAAATTTTGTACTAACGCTAGAAATAACGTGTTTCTACCAAAATAAAGGAAATAGGGCGAATTCAAAAACCATAGGAAGGATATCAAGCCTTGGGTATCATTCAGAAGCAGATGCCCAGGTATCTTAAAGGCTTCAGGCGCCAGATGATGCAGATCTGCGGGCATTTCCCCATTCGCGACGGGATGGCGAGCTCAAGCAACCAGTGTCGCGAGCACACAGCTATCTCGTCACCTTCATCCCCTTCCTTCTCGACTCCGAATGGTCTCAAGATATCATGATTGCCCGCACGCCTGAGCCTGGGCAGGGATATAGAGGACCAGTCCGGGCAGCTTTGTTGGCTGTCCATCGCTGTCGAGATCCAAGGGCATTCGGGGACCTCATATTCGGACTTGCTTCAAGTCTCACCCAACATTATCCAGGCTTCGGTGGTGGCAGCGTCGGGATTGTCCTCACTGTCATCGGTCAGAGCAGTTAGACCGGAATCCTCTCGATGTAAAAGCGGAACAACATTCCAACCATCGCAGTCCTCCTCGTCGGAACAAGAATCAGTATCAAGAACATGACGTCGCGCTGGACGCGCAGCTAACGAGTGTGTCGAGCTCTCAGTGAGCTCGTAGATGATATGTAAAGGCGTGGGTAGGGCAAGGTCAACCTGACGGTCTTGAATTGGAGTTGGCTCATTGATCGCCGCTGAAGTTCCGCCAAATTCGGCTGATAGAAGCTCCGCGAGCGAAAGGTCTTCGTCGAAGGGAAGATCGAGCCAAAGTGACTTGTCAAAGTTGCCGCCACTGGTACATTGATTGCATCGGCTCTTACGTGTGCGTTTGGCCGGTCGGATAGCGTAAACAGGGTCAGAGTGGACGATGGCGTTGAGGTCGAAGCCAGAACCTCGTGCATGTTCATCGTCGTACAGGAGACCTAGACGATATAAGTCAGAGTCATTCTCAATGACATCTGAAACGAAGACCATCTCAGGCACTCGGAAGGCTTCTTGGCGTTTTAACTGGGGCTTCTGCCGGCTACCGTCGCTGGGCAGCCACAAGTTGCTGCGCGCCAGCGAGGCGCCATCTTCATTGTCGATGGCCCATCTGCAAGAATCGTTTGCCGCCTTTCTCTGTCGGTTGCTACGGTTGACACGTGCGTTTATCTTTGCCTGGGCGTGCTGGGAATATTTCCAGCACCCAGTGTACTGAGAATACAAAGAGGAGTTCAAGCCGTTCCTGAGACCTCGAGCTGTGGCAGGCCTCAAGCGTCGACTGAGCCTTCTTAGTTGCCGGCCATTAACGCCTAGTTGCGTTTCTGGATTCTCTAGATTGACATCCATGATGGGCGTTTCTATGCTGTTATATGCGGTTGAGGATGAAGACAGATTTATGAAAACAAGGGCGAAGGCAAGTAGGATGTATAGGCTCCAATGCGCAGGACGCTCGATTGTGTGAGTGTACCGGTGTGTGGAGGCCAAGTGCAGGTACTAGAATTTCGATGAAGAGATGCTTTATAAGACCTTTGATGCCTAGATCTCCTTATACTGTTGATTGGATCCGTGTCCCATCCGTAGGAGTCATCGAGGTAAGCTCTTACCCGGGTTCTCAATACTCACCCTAATTGGCTCGCCTAGTGGAGTGACTCACGAGACCCGAGCCCAGTGGCGCAGCGCCCCCGAGGCAGAACCAAGCAGCCTACAAGCAGCAGTGCGTCTCCGCGCAGTAGCGATTCAATTGGGCAATTAAAAGAGTCACTGAAGCTCAGCTGAGCACTGCCAGGTTTTGCGAATTCAGTTGGGTCAAGGAATGTCTGTCCCCCACGTCAATGCTCAGGAAATCCTGACTCAGAAGAGCTTCAATGGCTACCGAATCCTCAGCACTCCATTGCATCGCCCCTTGCGTGATTGTAGTGCATGTTATGGGTCCAGTGAGGTTGGCCGACAACCCACAAACCTTACATTATGAACGTCCACATGGGCGACAAGCCCTCGTGCTCAGTGTTTGACAGGGCGATTGTCTCGGGAGGCTTTCCAAATAAGAATTCATGTAGTTGTCTTGAGTGAGACGACAATGTCATGGTCATTGTCCAGCCACTGGCCATTGCTGTCCCTCTTCCTTTACCAATTGCAAACATCGAATTACAGGGCAGCAGGATACGATTGGATTGCCAACACACCCTAGACTTGAACAAACACCACAATTTCTAACTTTATCCTTACCACTCTCTCAAGCAGTACTAGGACCGAGCTGCACGCCGGGTAATCTTGACGAACATATCCGTCTGGATGCTAACAGCCGCATTCCACACCTTCCACGGGTTTGTCGGGTCAATCAGAGTGAAATCGAATCGCCGCAACAGCTTCGTAAACGGGTCAGAAGACCAACATAAAAACATGCGCGGACTTCGGTGTTATGAACTTACTTCGACGTAGATCTTGTTCAATTCCAGGAAAGCTATGTTCTTCCCCAGGCATTCCCATTTACTTCCGCCTTTGAACGCCATCATGATGGTCAAGTCCATCAGCCGCCCCTGCTCTTCGGGGGCATCCAACCATCTCTCTGGGCGGAACAGTTCTGCGTCTTGACCGAAAACCTCGCGGTCTCGCATGACTGACCACGGATTCCACGCCACGTGTGTCCCAGCCGGGATGGACACGCCGCACACCACTTCATCCTTCTTAGACATCTTGGGTAGTAGTCCGCTTGCCGGTGGCCATAGACGGAGTCCCTCACGGATCACCGCTTGAAGATAGGCGAAGTTTTGGGCTTCAGCATTGGTGATGGGCGACGAAATCTTACCATTGGCAACTGCTTCGTCGATCTCCTCTTGGAAGCGGTGATAAGCCAACGGGTTGGTCATGAGGAATAATATTGTGCTGCGGATAGCGGTGGCTGAGGTATCAGATCCGGCGAGGATCTGGACGAGAGATTCGCCTTCACAGTCTTCCTGACTGAGTCCATGAGCGATGAAAGATCCGATCATATCTCTTTGGACTGGCGCATGGGCCTGGTATCTTTCTGCAACCACGCTGTGACCTATGTGCATGACGGTCCCGATACCTTGGATGTTCCTCGCGTCAGGCAAAAATGACCGCATCCGCTTTGACTGCAATATGTCAAGCACCCAGGGCATCAGGGCCACGGTCAGCATGAAAGGTACCGTCTTCTCCACCATCTCCAACCAGCGGAATATGTCCGCATCCGCTTTAAGATGGCCAAACGGCTTCCCAAATGCGAGCGAAGAGATGACGTCGAGGGTGAAGAAAGGGACCTTGCTGGCAAAGTCGACTGGCTTGAACTCTTCCTTCGAAGACAAGTACCTCGACTCGAGAAGATTGATCAGCTCCGCTACCTGCTCGTCAACAAGCTCCTGCAGTTTATCAACATCCTTGCCTGCGTATCCCGGTGCAATCTTGGACCTCAGCGTCTCGTGTCTCTGATCGTCAATGGTGCTGAAAGAGTTGTCCCGGTACGGGTCGACTCTCAGGCCACGGTACCAGTCGGGTCGCTGCCATTGCGTGCGGACACCCCATATCTTACGAATCTCTGCGGGGTCATTACATACAACCCATTTCGGAGCGATTCTTAATAGTTTTCCTGCGTCATTATGAGTGACCATTCCAACTTGTTGAGGTAGCAGCATCTTACCGCCGTATCGCAGGTCTTGTTCTCTGAGTATCAGCTGCATCCGTCCGCTGAGCTGCGCTCGGATCACTGCAGAATCAATCACTAGCTGTTTAATTTCGGGTTTCCGCCCTGCCTGATTTGGATTTGAGTTGCCTTGATGCCAGCCTGCTGTCGTTATCGGGTAGAGGAGTAGGCATGACCAGGGTACCTTAGTGGTTGATGTACTACTTACTCCACAAGTCAGTCCAACGCGCCGCTGATGGGCCGGGTATATGCTTCAGTGAGACATAGTCCTGGATGCGTGCTGCGATTAGCAGGACGGAAAGAATTGCAAAGGCCGCCGTGGCGAAAGTGAGATAAGTGAACGCCATGATGGGAGTATTCGTCAAGGAGACAATTAGCACGAGGGAAGATTCTCGGAATGTTCACCTGAGCCAGACTGGGCTATATACGACTCCGATGCACGCTAAGAGCTGACATGTTCAAGTCTCCTCAATCTTCACCAATATATACCCCTGTATTACTCATGTATTGTCCTTTTGGCGTCAGAGCCAATCAGGTGTAAACACCCCTTGCTTCCCCACTACATTGCCTAGTACCGTGTGGTTTGGGGGCTTCCATGTCTGCTATAATTTCGGAGAACCGTTGACTTTATGTTCAGTTATGTGAAGACTATATACATCGATACTGTAATGTTCTATGAGCAATGTTGATCCCATCATGATTCGTTCAATCTTTCATCATAATCAGACCAGCTGACTCCATACTTCAGATCCTTAACTTCACCAGAGCAATAAGGTCATAGCCAGGCCAGTCAATATCAAAGAGCAAGTAGACATAGACGTGCTCGGAACCGCGGCAGAATTTCCCTCTCCCTTAGTCCCCTCTGCAAAGCCGTTCTGCTCACCGCCAAGATACAAGGATCCGAGCTCGGTCAGGCCACCGTGATCATCAAACAAAGACACAGCGTCGCCTGTCCACTCGTTGGCGCTGTCTGATCTGAAGGCACCAAACCAAGCGTAGCCCTCCACGTAGTCTAGGTCGTCCAGATACGCGAGACTCTGATTCATCATGGCGACGGTGGCATCTTCGTCCTGCTGCGGTAGCGCCATCTCCGTGATCCAGAATTTGAGGTCGGCGTTCGTGGTCGAGTTTTCAGTGTAGAACTCATGCAACGTCCCTAGCCAGGACGCAAGCCCGGCGAAGTCTCCATACCAATGCACGGCCACGAAATCCATTGGGCATCCGGCGTCATCGAGTTCGTAGCACGACGAGTTGAATCGCTGCAACCAGTTCAGACCCTGGCCCGACCCGGTCACACTCGGGTGGCTGATGTTCCACTGCCGGGAATCAGATGATCTCAGGGGTGCGATGTGGTTCAAGTAAGACTTCGCGGCGTCCTCGGGCTCGATTGAGCTGCCGCCCGAATCGGTGGTGCCATCGGGTTCGTTGAAGGTGAGCAGGTGGGTTGATGAGCTTGGTAGTCGGTCAAGGATGGTAGTAAGATCCGAGTTTGATGCGTCGTCAGTGTTATGTATCAACGGCAAGAAGGCGACGGAGTCATTGGCTGATTGTGCTTGGTAGAGCGACCATGTGTAGTACCAAGATATAGGAGACTGGGCTGAGAGCAGTAGTCTCGTGTCTGCTTGGTCATCGCTGCCGGTGTATGCCAGTCCGCGCTTCGAGGGTAGCGTGGCACGGGTCGGCGCGAAACAGAGTGCATATGCACAGATCAAAGTGGAAACCGAGGCTCGCATAGCTGCTGGTGTTCCTGCGTCGAGGCTCTTTACTTCAGGCGGTCCGAACTATATAACACAGGGCTGATATTGAAACTGAATGCATTCCATTCGTAAGGTAGCAATTGACATCCTGCGAATTATCTTTTATTTCAACGATGACCCGAGAGTTGAAGAGCTTGCACTCTTCAGTGGCATTCCTTGGAATTACTCGCACATCCAGGTTACCATGAGGTGTGACGTCATCCCTGACCGCCCAATTGTGCGCCAAGCCTTTGCGCGCTCGGCGAGGAAACCCAACAAACCATACGGATTGTGTGGTATATGTAAAGCTTCCACATTGAAAAACCTCGTCAGATTCTTCGTCCCCGGTAGCTCCTCGCCTGGTGTTCACCGGAAGCATCAGCACTATGCCTGGGTCCAAGAGGCAAACAAGCAATCCCAGCAGTCGGCCCGAGACTAGACTCATCACTCCGAACACGGTATGGCCATGGCCATGGTGAGTCTCAAACGTGGAACATGTCGGATGGCCACAGGGAGTTATCGGGTCTTTAGTCTTGGTTCCAAAACAGAGTTTGTGATCTTCACGTCATGGGTAGATTTTCGAGCCTCATCGTATCACGAATGGCCCCGCAGAGTGGATGAGTAAGCTGCAGTGCATGCAGCAATCAACTTTAAAAAGCGAGTTGCGAGTATACCCGACGACATTTCATGCGTTTCCGAGAGTTTCACACTGGATTCCCACTCTGTCTTCGTGGTTGACGTTTCACTCTAGATTCCGTGCCGAAGGGGCCTCTGAAAGACTGTTTGAGCAAGAGGGGTCAATTTGTGCAGCTTATGCTGTTGGGCCGGAGTGACAGCACGCGCCAGAGTCATGGACAGCGCGGCACAGAACGGCGGTGCAGGCCAGAGGGCCGTTGACCGTAATGGACATTCTCAGCAACACAGTGATCCCGGCAGAATCCTGAACAGACTCAAGCATTGGACATGGGCAAACTACACGTTTCCCATGGCGACCGGCGGCGTGGCGCTTCTGCTGTCAGAGCAGACACAGGCGTACAAATTTGATGGACTGCAAACGATCGGAAAGGTGGTTTACATCTTTGACCTCTTCATTTTCACCATGGTTACGGCAGCCATCGTCTGTCGCTTTTGCATGTTTCCTGGAACCCTGAAGGCGTCGATTACCCACCCTACCGAAGGTCTTTTCCTGGGAACATCAACCTTGAGCCTGGCTTCCATAATCGCTGGCATCGCTCGGTATGGAATCCCGGCCTGCGGACCCTGGCTGGTCACTGTCTATCGAGTCTTATTCTGGATATACTTCGCCATCACTTTCTTGATTGCCGTTGGCCAGTATGCTCTTCTGTTCACGCTGCCGGCGTTGAAGATCAGGGATATGACTCCGGCTTGGGACTTGCCAATCTTCCCTTACATGTTGTCCGGGACCCTTGCTGCCACAGGTGCATCTCTCCAGCCACCATCGCAAGCCGTACCCATGATCGTTGCTGGGTTGACTGCTCAGGGACTGGGGATGCTCGTATCCATGATTATGTACGCCAGCTATGTCCGGCGCATGATCCAATGGGGATTCCCATCTCCTAACTCGAGGGCTGGAATGTTCATTGCAGTCGGGCCTCCCTCATTTACAAGCCTGGCAATCATCGGCATGGCAAACAACTTCCCGACAACATACGACTACTTCGGCAACGCTGAGCTCACTATGCAGATCTTTCGCGCCATAGCAACAATGGTCAGCGTATTCATATGGTCGCTCAGTCTTTGGTTTTTTGCTATCGCCGTCGTTGCCTGCCTTGCAGCCAGAAAACATATGACCTTCCGACTCAACTGGTGGGCTTTTGTGTTCCCTAATGTTGGGTTCACAATTGCCGTCCTAAACATCGGTAAAGCGCTGGAAAGCCCAGGAATCAAGTGGGTTGGAACTATTATGACAATACTGCTCGTCTGCACTTGGTTATGTGTGTTCGGCAGTCACATCCGGGCGTTTATCAGAAGAGACATTGTCTACGATGGCAAGGACGAGGATGTTTATCTTGACGAAACGGAGCACGCCCATGCTAAACTCGAGAACGCTGGATTATCGGATCAGGAGCGACTGCTCAAACAAGCTTGAGTTAGCCCTAGGGGCGCGTAGGGGCGGTTATTCCACAGTTTCCAAGGCACAAGACAATGACAACTAAGGCTCCCCTGGAGTTGGCCCTTGAAGTAGAAAGATATCCTTAGCTCAAGTGGATAGATGTACCAGTAGTCTGAACTAGTAATCGGATGCAAACGCTGGCAGAGTCCTTGCTAGGTCATGGTAACAAGCCGCGTTTCCATAAGGCCCAAGGGTAGGAGTAACCACCTGTGAGTGCCCCACAAACATTGATAGACCTTTTTAAGTGCACAAGAGGCCATACTTTTCAAAGGCAATTTTTGTCACACTTAAACGCGCGCGAGAGCATGGGAATTGACTTGAGTTGATCCTTGAGGAGCTACAAAAGAAATGGGCTGATGAGCCTGCTATATAGGGGGTGATCCCCCGGATTAATGTTGTTCCGCTCCTCTATATATCTCCTATATCGTGACAATTTTTACTACTCCCGTGACCTTTTCTTTTATATTATAAAAATATCCACGATAAAATTTCTATCCATATTCACCCATGGATAAAATGGGTAAAGATGGCCCGTGCATGGGTACTTTAGCTGTCTAGACTCACACCATGACCCCGAAACGGGGGCATGTCGAGGACGTCACACCACTATGGAATGACCCCGAAATGCAAGACTCTCCGCTGCATGTACTCTGTGCAACCCTTCCAAACACATTCCCGCACTTGAGTAAGCTTTACATCTCGTTCCAGTGGTGGCCGAGTCCGTCTGGGCAGAAGTGGGTAAGGCACGATGACATCTCCGAGGTTGAAACCCTTTTCCTGGGGCCCGTAGAGAATATGCTATACGCGCTACGCCCCGGGGTAGATATGCAGTTCAATGCGGCAATCCAACACGGTTCATGGTATGTTCTAAGCGTCAAATACAACACCTTACTGGGTAAGGATTTGAGGGCTGAGTGGTCCGGTGGTATACGTGGTAGGTTCTGGAAGTCCCTCGGCCAGCCTACAGACAGTTCGCATATCAATGGGGGAAACAAATGACGATGCGCACAATGGATATTGGATCTGTGGCGGCAGGGGTGATACGGAGGATGTATTAGACCGTTACTAGAATAGGTCCAATTGGGGTGATAAGTGGACGGGAACACCAGAAACCTTCTGAATACCATCTTCCCTCTCGAGCTATGAGTGAAACAGCTCATTGTGATCATAACAGTGGAGTGAGTAGCAGAAGAGGCAATTTCAAAACAGTGAGAGCTGCGAGGTTCAGTGAAGCTATGGTCAGAGAGACGACAAGAGTATCATTGCAAGCAAACGTTTACTGCACTAATTTAGCTCATGGCGGCAACACATCTTACGGTTGTAGGATACTTAATACTAAGGAACTTGCCTAAAATGGGAAATTTTCAGCGATACAGAGCCTATAAAGTAAAAGGATATTCAGGATATTGTAGATGCGAAGACCATGATATATTGGAATACTGGTCGAGACCAGTGGCTACCTTAAGTCTCTGCGTAAGCTCCTAGAGTGCTGTCATCTCCAAGCTGACGTCTATCACTTCTAAATGATTTTAAGGCCAAGAAATCATGTATAGGTCAGCAAGGCTAAGTTACCCCCTTGCCGTCTCGTGTTAGGCGCTCAGTTGAGATCCTTGGCGACCTCATCCACAAATGTCATGCAGTTGTTCGTCTTAGGGTCATATGTTTCGTGCTGTGAAACATACTCCTTGCCTGTAGCGCATAAGTGTTAGCAATTCTGTCCTTCCAGTATGGTGGTGCTTTTATGCACAAACATACCAACGGGGGTGATCCCAGTGAAGCTTTTAACCTTGCCACCCAGTTTCTTCAGGTACTGGTGCTCAACCTTATCTTCTTCGGCCTTGGCAAAATTATAGGTTGCGCCCTCCTTGTTCGACTTGACCTTGCCGTCCTTATCGACGGCGATGTCGAAGAACTTGACGTCGCCGACATCGAGATACTTCTCCTTCTTCTTGGGCGGGCCTCGCTCCTTTTGCTTGACCTCGACGGACACCAGGACATAGTGGTTTGCATCCAAGAAGTTACGTGCCTCTTTGATAAGATCTGACAGACCTTGGTCTTTGACCTCATCACGTGGGTACTTGGCTTTGAAAATATGCAAGCCCTCCGTCAGCGCGTTTCCAGGAACGCCTTTCTCATCGTTCCACTTCTTGAGAGCATCGCTTGGTGGAGGAGGGGCGCGCTCAGTGAGCTCAACAGAGGGATGCCCATTGGTAGTAATGGGGGATGCGATGGCGAGGTGCGCACAGAAGAGCGCGAAAAGGGGCTTAATGATCTGCATCTTAGAAAGTAATAAAACCTTTGCGGATTGATAATCAGGACTGATATAAATGTGATGGAACCGTAAATAGTGATAGAAAACAGTTAATTGCTAGTTGAAGTGGGTGAGGACAGAGTGCCATATTGCGTGACGACGTCCTTGGTATATATAGAAAAGCTACGAGAAGTATGGGATTTCAATCATTGCGCAATCATGTCTGTTTCAATCGACTTCAACAATAGATCTTAGTCTCATCATGCCCATCAACGACTGATGATGAACACCAAAGGATCAGGACAGCCTCAAGAAGGAAGCCAGATCGTCGCCTGTAATACGGGATAGCATGAGCGGCCTCGTAACATGGTGTTGAACAAAGTTGAGAACCCATGAGTATAAGCCTCATACTGCATGGAGAAACCATTCTGAGAACAAGTCGTCGATCAGTTCTTGTCTGTGCCGTATACGATAGAGTCGCCCGATTTTGTCGTAGAGGAGAGATCAACAGAGCATCTACGCCTCGTGCTTACTCATATTCTATTCCAGGAACGGTGCAGTGAAACAGAATCCGCTGCGCGCAGCTGGAGTAGATCATCGATCGGTGTACCTTTCCAAACTTCAATTGCGTTATGTAAGCATCCTGATAGTATTTGCTGCGCGAGTGCGATGAAATACAGGCTGACGGCTGAGTGGCTTAGCTCGGAAGGGACTCGTCGATCATTGACACCAGCGAGTCTCACCCAGTTGGTGCACAAATGCCACGGTATTTCTTTTTATTTTAGTGTTGGAAATTGCTTGGTTGATCACCAGAAGTATGAAAGCGTAATTTCAATTTGATGATTTGTTCTGGATTTTGATCAGGTTTGGTGAAGACATCATTGATTTCTATTTCTGTCCGGCGAACTCCTACCGTGGCTGTAGGCCGGGCAGTGTTACGTAACAAGGCTATTCCCGCCACGACACCGACAGAAAGCTCATGGTTATAACATGGCCATTCTGCCGCCTTGTCCTGGAGGAAAACAGAGCCATCACTGAACAGACCACTTCCTCGCAAGTCCAAATTGTGAATCTTTCAACTACGCTCCAACGCTTTCCTTCACCACGCCATGGGGAAAATGTGGTACCCACCGGAGACGTATCTCGACAAGTGGGCGGCAGAAAATGAGCTCTCGGCCGCGCGCTTTGTCGCACGTCTCGACGAGGTCGCAAGAAATGACTTGCAAATTACGCCCGCCAAACTCGCGCGCATCGACAAATACTGCGTTGTCCAGAACGGCGACCCTGTCATATCCGAAGCCTCATTTGAAAGCCTCCTCACCTCTTTCTACCCTGCACCCAGTGGCCCGCCTATCCTCAAAAAGGCTGCTCCCGTACTCTTCCGCATGCTCGTTTACCTGTCGCGATACCCCTTTATGCCAGAGCTGGCAACAGAACAAAAAGGTGAAAATGCACACCTTAGCCGCAACGGTCTTGTTCGGGCCGTTCTCATTGCGCACAAAGATCGAGCAAGACGAACCGTTGGCGGCTATGGTGGGGGTCACACACGCACACGCACAGCAGGAGACCACAGGCGGTTACTGTTCCAGGGCCTAGCAGTCCAGCTAAAGTCGGATCCGCAAGGGTATGAGGAGAAAGTGTGGCAGGCGGACGCTGCCCTGCGCGCAAGGAGATTTTACAGCGGTATTTCAGACGAGGTGTCCTGCCCGGACAATGCGCTGACAAATCGGGATGAGATCGGAGACGAGCTTTTCCACGATGTGGTGGATTTCATGTGTCAACTACTGCCTGATTGGGAGGAAAATACTGTAAGAAGGGAAAATCTCCTGGGACTAGCGAAGGGTATGATACAGGAGGAAGGGTTATGTCGTGTGCCATTGCAGAGGTACGAATTGAGGAGGGCGGACTTTGAGGCGCTAGTGGAGATGCTTTTTCTGGTTTACGAGTCGGGAGAGGAGACGTTACCTACAGACTTTGCCAAACGCAGAGATCAGGTAGTAGAGCAGTTCTTCGGGCAGAGGCAAGGAATTGATTTCAAGGTCTTCGATGAGGTCTCAGGAAGCGGGAGGACAGATTTTGATACGGGCTCCGCTGGTGGCAACTTCGCCGGTGGTGATGACTACAAACCCTCCTTACTTGAGATGCTATACTGGATGCTGGATGAGCTCTTCAAAGAGACCGCCACATGAATATCTCGCAATTCTGAAATAAGGTTCATCATGCACAGTTTTCAAACCTTGTTAGGTGAAATAATGTTTAAACGTCATATATGGCATGATGCTTTCTGTCCTTGGTTCTGAAAAGCTCGACTTTGAATTCCCTCTATGGCAACACCTCAGCATCTATATGGGCTTATGCAAGACTTTAAGGTAGCTGTTATCCAGAAATGAAAAAATAGCAACAAAACTTTCGAGGAAGAAAATTTGTGAATATATCTCTGCCCAGAAGGATTCAAATGAGCGCCGTAGTCTTGTCCCAGGTGAACGAAAGGAGGTAGTTGGCAGACTTTGCCATGCATTTGGGCGTTTCGATGGACTGGGTTTAGTGCATACCTTTGCAGGACGAGTTATCCTTTTAGCCCCTCTCAGTAGTTCAGCTGACACTAGTACCTCCTCACAAACAAATTGATCAACCCAACCTGAGTCAGGCATTTGACTATAACCTTCGCCTGCCCTTGTCTAGATCTTTCGGTTTCAAGCGAACAGAATGCGACAGAATGCGACTTCTGAACACCCAATCTCTAACCCTCAAGGTGTTTGGCTCAGAGCTGCCTGAGTACGCGATCTTGTCGCACACGTGGGGCTCAGATGAGGACGAGATTTCGTTCCTAGAGCTTCGGCAAAACAATCACAACCTGCTTGGGAGGAGCGGGTACCAGAAGATAATTAGTTTCTGTGAAGTTGCCCGCCAGAATGGGTACGATTGGGCGTGGGTTGATACTTGCTGTATTGACAAGACCAGCAGTGCTGAGCTATCGGAAGCCATCAATTCGATGTTTCAGTGGTATAAATCGGCCGATGTTTGCTATGCCTACCTAGAGGACGTCGACGAGGGCAGCAAAATAGAGAATTCTCGATGGTTTACCAGAGGCTGGACTTTGCAGGAGCTACTGGCTCCTGACTCTGTTGAGTTCTATGATCAGCATTGGAATGAACTTGGAACGAAAAGTGACCTTCGGGACACAATTTCCGCCATCACTGGAATCGATAGTGATGCGCTTCGAAACAGCCTCAAGCCAAGCTACTACACAGTGGCACTTCGAATGTCCTGGGCAGCCAACAGAACCACTACCAGAGAAGAGGATTTAGCCTACAGCCTCTTGGGGATTTTCGAGGTCAACATGCCGTTGTTGTATGGCGAAGGCAGAAAGTCCTTTCAGCGACTACAAGATGAGATATTCAAAACTTCGGAAGACTACACATTGTTGGCCTGGAGAAGCCGACCAAGGATGCAAGGAGATATGGGAAGAGATCCTACAGGTATTCTTGCCAAGTCGGCCTGGGACTACCGGAATGACAAGAGAAGCCTACAGGCGGGAGTTTGGAACTACAATCAACTCGAACCGATTGACTGGAATCCGTCAAACCCCAGAGCAGAGGACTTTCAATGGCGTGGCCGCCCATCCCTGCAGTTCACTTCACTACCAGGTGACTTTGAACCTCCACGTATAACAGCGAGGGGGCTACGGATAACCCTTCCTTTCATAATTAGTATGTCTCCGGTCGATGATTTACAGCGAGAGGCACACCTAGCCTTCTTGTACTGTATCAAGCAGCCCAAGGGTGAGATGGTGTGTTTAGTGCTGCACGAGAACGACGATATCAACTCAAGCGGCGCAAAAGGCCAGTTCTACCGTCCCCTCGGCGGCACGGGTGTACATTTCGTTGCACCACGATCCATTACACTCCAATTTCGCACGGTGTATCTCCGCATGAAGCCAAGAGATGAACCTTTGCGTTGGTTACATCCAGGATCTCAAACATTTGCTACCGTTTTCTTGACTGGATCCATCGGAGCAACCCGTTCCTACAACCAGGTCATCACGAATCAAGGCAATCTGCTGGTTCACCTTCGAATAGGGCCTGCACACTTCCGACTTATTATAGGTCTCGGCTTCTATGGGAAATGGTGTGATTTGCTACCAACTTCAAACGAGAATTACGCGGACGAGCATGAGCTGTTTTCAAGAGGTCTGTTCAGAGCAATGACGAATGGCGATTTCCAAGTCCAACAGAACTTGCGCTCTTGTCTTCCCCTTGCATGTGGAGGCACAGTCGAATGTGTATTGAAACATCGACCGAGAGGTTGGTTGCACATTCATGCACTGCAAGATGAGTTGGTGATTAGAGACAGCGAGACAAAGTTCTATTCGGTAGACATACAGGTCCACTCGGGGAACATCGATCAAAGGCATCATGTGGATATATTGGGTTCAAAGTGGTTCTAAAGTGCAACGTACAACTCTTTTCCACCAACTCGCCGTGCAAAGGTGTAGACGGTGGATAATTTATGGATTAACGCGTATAAAACCCTTTGAAAAAGTTGTTACTCAAGAAACCAGACGCATAGAACCCTAGCCTTTCTTACTGGCAATCAGTGAGCCTTAGAGTCTGATGTACAGGCTCCCACTGCACAATGCACAAACAAATCTGGCGAGCAGGCCCTCGCCAGAGATCTACATCATAATACGGTTGTTGTTCACGACATCACCCATACAGATTATTCCCTTTCATGGCAAGCAAAGGCGTGTTCATGGGTAGAACAAAGCCTCTGCCTCTCCGCCGTTACAGCTAGCTGCCAGAGGCCAAAGCTGCTAGATACACACGTGTTAGACAAACTGGATAGTATCCTCGCCCTGATTTGGCGATACCCTAAATCTGCTACCGATACAAGCAATATGTACCCATAAGTTCTGGGCATTGAATGGTAATCGCATTGCATCCCCTTCCACACGCACTTCCCCAAGAAAAAGGTCCCAGAAAATGAGAGCATTGCTGTTGTAAGCATACATTTTAATGGGTATGTGTCAATAAGCACAAGGTGGCTGGAAGCAACAAATCAAATCTATTTTTGGGGTTTCTCCTCGCAACCCCCAAGAAGATCAACGGCAATATCCGCACAGCCTCGTCGCCAGGACATGCATGTTCCCTTTCCTCTGTTGTTTGATTGGCTTCACAAAGCCCCCAAATTTTGCGCCAGGTTGTTATCTCTAACACATCTTTTCAGCTTGGCTGGCTATCGGTCCATGTGTCGGGTCTCATGATTGGAAAAATTTGCGCTTTTACCAGTTTGCTGACAAAGTTTCATAGTCTTTCTCTCTTTTTGCGACGTACTTCTCAGATATTGGGATGTCCCATCTGCTTAGACGCAATCAGGCTTGTTAACGCGTACACGTCCATTGTGGTCTGGGTAGTCCATACTACCCAAGGCTGAAACTTTCAGCTTGAGGTGGTGAACATGTCGGAGCATGTTGTCTTGGCTGATTGCAGAGACGGCAATAACGTGTTGTCATCGCAGATCGCTTACTTTCCAACCACAGGCGGAAATACACCACAGGATGTGGCAACCGTCGTGACGACATCTGGTCAGACCGCGCTCTGGGTGTGTTCCACGACGACGGCCCTCTTCACAGACACGAACACTCAGTTCGTTGCGAAGATCGGACCCAAAGTGGCCGACGGAGCATTCGCTGGAACTGGTAGCAATGGTTTCGACTCAAACAACGGCGGGTTTCGATGCTGGCAACAATTTTCTCCACAATACTATACCTACGGTAACACGACATGCAACATGGTGTATGACTGTGCTCATCGACTTGCTCCTTGTAAGCAAAGAGTGGCAATTACAGGAGGCTGTAGCGCTAATCCGTGTGTCACATATCAGCTAATACAGCATCTGCAACTTGTGGAACAGCGACAGCCACAGTGTCGGCATCGGAAAACCCCTCGAGTACATCCGACCTGGCTACCGGTGCCGTCATTGGTATCAGCGTTGGAGCAGGTATCGCATTCGTTGTTGCCCTTGGAGCTGCCTGCATCGTCTGGAAACATATGCGTAGGAAGAATCGAAATGTAACTACTGGACTGCGTGCGGATCAAACCAGCAAGAATAGCTTCTTTGGAATACTGAAAAGTGCCAAGACACCCCCTATTCAGCAACACCCAGCGCTGGCTGGCGGAAATATGGCACATTACAGAAACTGGCATCACCCTTACTCTCTTCACGAGATGGATGGACAAGGCCATGTCGCGGAAGCATCAGCATCAACAGCACCTCTGGAGCTTGGTGAGGGTGAAAGGATCGAGATGCCTACATTGGAAGTGCAGCACGACACATGGGATGGAAAGGGCCAAAGAAGCAGAGTAAATCGGCCTACTAGGCATTGAAGAAACACTTCATTCAACCTAGAGGCATAGATTTAGGTCGATATTTCGAATGCTGTGAGGATACACATACCAGTAGACCTCACTTGTGCAGTTTTCCCCTATGTCCGCCGTCACACATTGACTTCGAGAAAGCAATCATGGTGTACGACAAGGAGGGAGTTTCTTCTTGTACTCAACTTCAATATTCGCTCAATGCGCTGGGGTTGCCGCGAATCCCTCGGCTTTGCTACGGATGCCATATCTTGATCAAATTTGTGAGCATGTTTCCGTAAGTCAAAGTCATTTGGTTGACAGGGAAAAAGTTGCATAATATTCAACTTCAACACCTTTGAGCTTGCATGAGAAGAATATCACGAGTTACATCCGTTAAATTCGATGTTCTTTCAGCCAATGATTGAACATAGGCATATATAACTCCAAGCCCCTGTTCATTTTGCCTGAGGCGAAGAGGTGACGCTTCCCTTGCGCCTCCTCGCCAGTACCTTCAACATCTCGTTACCCACCTCGATAGCACCCGCAAACCTTGGCTCAAAGAATCGCTGGGTGACCAAGAACCTCTCTTTCCACGTCTCAAAGTGCCCTAAGCTCACACACTCAGCCCAGCCCCTGGCTGCGAACGTAAACTCGAGATCATCGCTGCGGAAGGTATTATCCTCGATGGCTACTCGCAAAGCCTCATCAAGCCTCTCTGAGTTGCGGAAGATGGACTCGGTGACACCCAGCCACAGCCGGAAGAGGGGCGTCGAGCATATCATGTGATCGTAGGGCACGATGCCAAGCGCAGACCAACAGTCAACCATGGCGAGGAGAGAGAGATGGTTGTTGGGGAGTAGCAGCTCAGGCTTCTTACCGAGGCTGAATTGGTCCAGGACCTCATCATCAAGGAGCGGCTCGTCCTTCCACCGATATTTGCCACCTGCGCCGCCGCCGAAGACTCGCTCTTTGGCAGCATAGACGCGTGCTCTGAGCTCCTCAGCATGGCCTCCGAGCATCAGCTTGTACAGCTCGGTGGTGCTCTTGGCATACTGTTCGATTTGCACTCTAGCCTCTGGGTTGAGGATTGCAAGACCCGCATAGACATGCCATTTCTGGTTGTATATGCGCAACATCAGGTTGATCTTGACATTTTCGATGCCGCCGATGTAGCGTGCTGTCTCCCACGGATACTCCTGCATGCTGTTCCAGGCTTTACCCATTGAGAGAAAGGCAGCATGGGTCACGGCCTGGGTATCGGCCGTGATGTGGTCGTGTTCGTGTGCGGTGAGGTAAACATAACGACTATTGAGGCAACTCAGGGCCGTCTCCACTTTACGAAAGGAAGCATCAGATGCTCGATGCTTGATCAATACCTTTTCGGTCTCTAGTTAGTGGCTGCGCGAGGAGTCTGGCTGAGTAGATCTCGTACCAGAGGCTGGTCCCTGGGATCCACACCGGGACCGTGCAAAGAATGGCACGACACAATGTCGACATCGGCCGGCAGGTATCTCTCGAAAGCGTCGATCTCGGGCTTCTTGCACGACGTTTGACCGCCTACAATTGCGCCCATCTTGGTAGCTGACATTAAATGGGTCAGCCACACACAGAAAGCCGGCCGGGCGAGGTCCAGGCTTACAAGGGCCATACAAGGACACAATACGATCAATATTGGCAGCCTCGACGCTGTAGATGATGTAGTCGCTTGCGCGGGACACGAAGTGGCCATTACGGAAAATTTGGACATTATTCTGGACAGACTCTCAGTATCTGCTTCTGAGATGCTGGATGGTAACTACAGATATATACCCTGCTGGCAAACTCTTGCTTCAAACTCTCAAAATTCTCCTCTCTATCGCAGCCGTTGATTCTGTTCGCAATCGGGATCAGTCTATCGAGAGATGGTTAGCGACATGCCAAGAATGTCGAGTCATCAAACGTGTGTGTGAGGGTTTGCATTCAGACAGAAAAAAATTAAGGTAGCTGAGAATTAACATCATGGAAAGCAAGCGACCGGCTGGGGACCAGAATGGCCGATCCAGCTAATCACAAGCCATGCTCGAGCCAAATGCACTCAAGTCATCATTTGCAGGTGTAGGGAGTGGACGTGTGAAGTGAAGATTGACGACTTACCAAAAGAACTTCCCAGAGGCTCGAGCGCGGAAACAAGCACCCATTCCAGGGCGGCATTGGCAATTATTACCTCCAGCCAGCGTCGCTGAGCCTCTGAGCATACATCTTCCCCATCTCACCCATGCCAATGATGCCTACCACGAAGCCCTCCATCTCAGGAGGGACTTTGCTGGAGGGCGCGGCCATGGTTCGGAACGAGTACTGAATATGAACGCCTGGAGTTAGTTCGTGTGCGGCTGAGTCCCGCTCGTCACTTGACTGCTCAAGATACGAGAAGCCACCTCATTCTTCAGCGACCGATCCAGGGAAACCAGAGCAGGTCAGCGGGAGAAGTCGAGCGTTGAAGTGCGACTGCGACTTGATTGTGCGAGGTGAAAGAAACAAAATATCTGGACCATGACAGGCGCGCAGAGTTTTGAGCTCTCAGGAGGGTGGGGCACCGGAAGAAATGTGGAGCCTCGGGATCATTCCGGACCTCAGGGTACATAGGCGGAGGTACCCTGGCCTTGCTTGACTTACATCACCGGATATAGTAATGTGCCGTCGTCACGCATAAGCCAAGCTGTCACTGCAAAGCCAAACTGACGGTCGAAATTCAAGATCAAGACCGCCCAGCAACGTGCCAGTCATGTCCGGCCTCTTTGCTCTTGGATCCAATGGATCGGGGCAGTTAGGGCTAGGGCACAAAGAAGACGTATCAGTGCCTAAGCCCGTGGTCTTCCACTGCGAGCCCCCCTCGGACCCGATCGTGAAGGTTGCGGCGGGAGGGAATCATACTATCGTTCTCACAGACTCAGGCAAAGCCTACTGGAGCGGAGATTCGTCTAAAGGAGCCTGCGGTATCACGACCATCAGCACCGCCGACAATGCGCAATTCGAAGAGCTCATCTTGTCGGAAACTGAGTCCCTTGGCCCCATCGCGGCCGTGGCTTGCACCTGGGAGAGCTCTACATTTGCACTGAAAGACGAAGACGGGAAAGCCACGTTGCTGTACAGCTGTGGCACCGGAGAGCAAGGACAGCTCGGTTTCGAGGCGAAGGGGATCGTGGAACCGAGGCTTATCCCCAATTTTCCACCTCCAGGCACTGAAGTCGTTCATCTTGAAGCGGGGCTGGCGCACATGGTAGCCGTTCTAGATACTGGCGAGATTTACGGATGGGGAAATGGCAGAAAAGGGCAGCTTGGCCAGCTTGTCAATCTCGATGATGGCGGGCCATCAGCTCCAGTCATACATCTTGCGCCGCAAAAGATCGGACTCGGCAGTGAGGTCGATTTCAGGGTTATCAGTACTGTTTGTGGCCAGCATTCAACAGTTCTTATCGGCGAAGAAAAGGAGGGCAAGGTCGCAGTACTCGGTCCAGACAAATGGGGTTTGAAATCCAATGCGCTCAAAGCTGTGCCTGGGTGGGTCTCAATCACAGGGAGTTGGGGAAGTGTATACGCTCTCAAATCTGATGGCATACTCATTGCATGGGGCCGCGACGACCACGGTCAGCTGCCACCGCCGGGCCTGCCGAAACTCAAGAGCGTTCAAGCAGGCAGCGAGCACGTTCTTGCTATTACCGAATCTGATGAAGTAATCACCTGGGGATGGGGCGAACATGGCAATTGCGGGCCGCAAACGGATGGGAAAGCTGGCGATGTCAAAGGGCGTTGGAATACCATTGCTTCGTCTACGAATCTGCCTGATGGTTCCCAAGTCACCGCCATCGGAGCGGGTTGTGCGACTAGCTGGATATACGTGCAAGCAGAGGGCATACATCTATAGCGCCGAATTTTTGCCCTGACCTCTCCCCATTTCCTTGATGACCTGAATCGATGGTTGGAAGTACGGGGACCGGTATATGGCGACTGTCAACCGGCTATCGCGCTTTGTGTGGGTCTTCAATCTCCAAACAGACCATATTTCCGGACCTGCGAGATACGCTGAGTGGGCTCGAAATCTGATGGAGCTGGGGTCTGGTCTGGTTCATCACCCGCAAAGCCGCCATGAGAGGCGGCTTGCTGAGCCATGACTGATCTCATATTTGGTGCAGTGGAGGTCTAAGGGGAAGTTAGTCCATGGGGCCGCTTTCGGAGGCTATGTGTGTACGAGTTATTACCTGCGGAGCACTTGCGTTCCATTCCAGCCTAGCATTCTCCTCTTCTTCATCTTCGTTGAGATTGACTGGATCCCACTGGTTATCATTGTCTTGCGGGACAAACAGTGAATCGTCTTCAAAGGTAGGCGGAGGGGGCCTTTGAGACAGCCTAGTTACCGGTGGGCGTAATGATGGGACAGGATCTGGTCGTGTGGAACTCCGTCCTGCCGGAGCAGCATCTTGAGCCGGGGTAAGAGCCCGTGAGGTCGCTCTACTAGTAGCAGCCTCGAGTTGGTTTGGCCGCGGACCCTTGGCATTCGCTCTTGCCTTTTTTGCTTTCTGGCCAGAGTCTCCGCGCTCGCCACCGACAGTCATGAGGAGAAATTCGCATTTGAGGCCATCACCTTCATAACTCAGTTGCATCGGCCGAGAGGCTGTGGAGTACACTGCAGTGATCCCGCTTGAGAGGGGAGCTGCATGTTGTGTAATAGCTCGGAAGTCTTTAACACTGATGACGATGTGCAAATTCTCTTCCGCGACTTCGAAAGCCTCGAATTCATCGCGCTCTATAGCGATCGAAGTATGAAGGGGCTTCTTGAGCACCTCTTGTAGAAAGATACGTAAGCTTGCTGCAGGGAATCGGGAACATAAGAGCTCACCATCGCCTTGGGCTACCTTCTCGGTGAAGCATGTAAAATTAACGGTTTGGTCGTCTTCAGAGTGGATATCAAGGAATTCGATCCCCGGCCCAAAATGGTCCATCAGCTGGCGCAAAGTACGAGATGCCATGGTCCACTTGTTCGTGGCCTCGACTTTGTTGAACTTTGCATGAGTCGGCGGACTGACCTCGAAAGGCAGTCGATATTTCGTGGTCATTCCTGTGTCTGTTTAGCCGCCGATGCATGTTGCTGCCAGTAGTCGTCATTACCATTTCTGCAGATAATCTTGACAATGAATCTGCTGTTCTTCCCAGCTTCATCTTCAACGGCGACATCACAACGCTCAATGGTAGTGTCCTTCTCATGCTCGTGGAAAGGATCTCCGCTACGAGCACGGAAGAGGGATAGAAGGGCCTGCGTCACATTAGGAGGTGCGACGACTGCTCCGTATCTAAGGGCCATACCCTGTTGTACAACTTACAGAAGAACTTGCTTCTGTTTTGTGCTGCGCCTTCGAATTGATATCGAGAAAAGAAACGATTGGTGGTGAAGGAGAAGCACGCATAAGCAGACTTGGATGAGTTCAACGCGGTAAAAACCAGCTAGAGGCAGCAAAGTCAGCAACAAGGCGCAGAGACAGCGGAGTGTTGCGCAGAAGATAGGACATACTTTATCCTTCGTAGCTTCGAGAGACACTTCCTCGCTGAACTTATTGAGGCAGGCCAGAGCTTCGCGCAGAGCGCTGACACCCTCCTCGCTCAAGGTGAATTTGAGTAGGGGCATGGTGGGCTTGTTGGTTGATATTGCATCATGACTCTGAACCAACGGTGAAAACCCTCTTGAGTGACTTCAGGCGATCCAAAGGGGCACACTTGACAGCTTTCCGAAGTGATGACTTTGGTTTAGCTTGTGTCTGATACGATAGCCTGTCCCAGGCTTTCTCCAGGGCGGAGCAAATGGCGGTAGGTACTGTAGCCTGGCAGTGTACAAAGTATCAGTCGCGTCTTTGGCGAAGCGCGTCGCGGGGTAGCTTCGTAGTGCTAATTACGCTAGACTTACTGTACGACTCAAGCAGGCTGCAGCGCCACTGTACAGTGCGCGGGCAGAGGCATTTCTAGATGACATCAATTCCGTTGCATCAATAAACTACGCATCTGCTCACGTCAAGACCGCCAACTCCCTATGCCATCCGGCTTCTAGAGCGACCTTTCAGTGCACTGAGGAAGTGAACGTCCGTCATCCTCATCGGAGAATCGAATCACAGATCCGAGTCTTTCCCGCACAAATGACCATGGCTCACAGTCCGCTCCCTCAAGAGATCCTCCTTCTCTTGTGTAAGGAGCTTGCTTTGCGCCTCGATTTTTCGACACTCTTCCGATGTTCTCTTGTAAGCAGGCGAGTGGCAAGCATTGCCCTCGAACAACTATACAGGTCAGGAACACCTGCGCATCACTACAGCCGTGCTCTTTGACTGATGCCAGGTAGCATTCATGAATCATCCCCAGTGGTCGTGTCAGAGTCCTACGACAAGGTCAAACTGGCCAGACTCTGGAAGTCTATTCTTCTATCGAGCCTTGGCCAGACGGCATTCCCCTACTGCACCTACATCCAATCTCTGTCATTGGGCAGCTATGGATCTTTACTAGAGGACATTTCGCGCGACACCACAATTCGGCCTTGGCTGTTTGACCCTCAGGAAAACATGGAGCAGTTCCTCGTACTCCGTGACAATCAGAAACCCAAAAGGCCGACGAGGAATCAAGCCATGCCATTCATTGACTTCTCGAAAACGATGATCAAATGCGGCGACTTTTTCACACAACGCATCAAACAAATGGCTGATCAGTCCAAGACCTCGGTAGCGTTGGTTCACCTTGAAGGCATCACGATTCCAGAACAGATCTTGTCGACCTGGCTTACCCGCCTGCCCTCGCTTGTCTCGCTCCAATTGCAAGACGGCTCGGTCTTGACAGCGCAGGCTGCCAGTGCCATATACGAGCACTGTCCCAACTTTTCCGAGATAAACTGCCTCTCCTGCGCTGGTGGCCATGCAGACCAGGACATGGCTAGCTTCCTTCGAGCCCTGCGACCAAATACTCTGGAGCAATTCGAAATTATTAGCATGAATCATATAGGGGAGCTAACCTTGACGGCTCTAAACGCCCATTCTGACTCTTTGAAAACGTTGAAACTTGGTAGCCTGTCATCAGAAGCAATGAGATGCCTCAACGTGCTGGCGGGCTGCACAACGCTTGAAATCCTGCAGATCGAGAACAGAAGAGACGACCCAGCTGACTTGAAGGTGTTGAGTGAAGAACTCTTGAAAGAGATCACAACGTGGATCCAGAATTGCACAAATCTCAGAGAGCTGAACCTCAGCAATATTAAAGATGCCCTACCCATCACCAAGGAGGTGCTCAGCATGCCATCTACAAGGCTGTCCACCTTGAGCCTTCAGGGATTCAGCTCTCATGGGGAACTAGACTCCGCTGCCTGGGAAGCCCTAGCTCGTCAAGAGACCTTGGAGAATCTTACTATAGGTGGGCTGCATGATACACCCGATGGACTTGGACCGATCATCCACGAAAGTCCCCCCTTGACCCAGTCAATCTGCAAACTGCGGAACCTCAAAACCCTCAACTTGACCAAAGCCATTGTGCGGACCATCGATCTTCGCTTGATTGTTACGGCATTACCTGAGTTGACGGAGCTGAGTTTTGGTGGCGACTGGATAGACGATCAGATCCTGGATTCGCTCAGTGCTCTGCGGCACCTCAAAGTCCTGCTTATCAACGCCTTCTCGGTCTTTACGTACGATGGTCTCCAGGCTTTCGCTCGTCGTCTGGACCCAAATCTACATAAAGGTATCAGCGTTGATATCCTCAATCAAATAGGCAACTGGAAATTTAGTCCAGAGGACGAGGCCCGATTATCGAGTTACTTTAGTTCTACATTGGAAGGAAAGATCGAGATCGCTGTGTTCCGAGACCCAGATGAAGCCCATGAGAGCGACTTTTCGGTCACTTCCGACTGAAATGAACACAGATGGACTCATGGGCTGCTACTCATTCGCGGGATTGATGACAGCTGCGAGCTTTATTGAAGGGTTATCATAAGCTTGTAGTGTGGCCACTTTGTTTTGTATTCATCAGAGCTGTTCACGCTACAGGAGTGCGATGACCATCACCATGAAATGCGAGTAGCAAAGGTTTCACATGCTGGAACATTATGAAATAAACTGCCTTAGTAACTTCTTCTATTGAACCTTTGTCGCTTGTATCGTAGGAACCTCGTCGTAGCTGGGGTACGGTTGCTTTTCCACCTCTTAGCCGAAAAACCAAGTCACCTGACAGCCAATGACGTCGTGTCTACCTGGTCAATTAGTTGTGGCCACGGAGCTCGTTCAACATTCCTCGACCAGTCTCAGGCCATAAATTCACTTTGAAGCTCTGTAACCGAACGAACCAAATAGTTGTATTTGTTGGCTTGGCTTTGGGACAAGCACTGACTGCCTGAGATTCTTTACAAACCGAGCTTCGCTGTTATCACTGAAGATGGCGCCGATTCCTGTATACGCTGACAGTCCAATCGCTTCTAAGCCTTCAGGAGTCACCCCCCAAACAGCTTCTGAAGATGCGCTGGACTCTGGTAAACGTGCAGTAGCTCCGGCTGCCGTCACGGCAACGCCGACGAGGCCACAAGTAGCATACCCTCAGGCTCAGCCTGGAGCTGCGCCCGCGCTCCCCGCGGCCACAACAACAGCTCACGCACACGTCGCGCCTTTACAGCCAACTCCCACGCAGGATCTGAGGAGAGACGAAGGTCCCCCACCACCCCAGCCGGGAGCTGTGCCCAAAGCGACAGGGACTCACCTTCCTCCACCCCCAAAGGCTGGCGAGAGGTTCGTGCCTCCGCCAACGACGTCTGCTCCCCAGGCTGCAACAATGCCCTACCCCCAGCAGATGTCGATACCGCCACCAACCATGGCTTACCCGGCCCAACAGACTGGCACGTCTACGGCCGCGGCTCCCTCATCGGCATTCACTGGGCTAGGCACAGGTCACGGCCTTGGTCAAGCCGAAAGCTTGCAGCATCCCCCCGGATATCAACAAAATGTGAATGCCTCGGAGCTCGACAAATACCAGAGGTCCGCCGTACTGCGGAACGACTCCGACCAGCTCAGCGACGCGGATGAAGGGGTCTGGAATTCTGCAAAGAAGTGGGCCCAAGCCACAGGTGAGAAGCTCGCCGCAGCAGAGACAGAGATATGGAAGAAGATCAACAAGGAATAGATGGTACTTCCAGGTGACTTGCGAGAGTTTGGGATTTCGTGGCCTTCCGTGGTCAGCTTAGGTCTTCTGAGCTGCCCTTGTCGCGCCGGCAGGATGGATCCCCTCCAACTCGGCCGTCAGTTGCTGGAAAGAAAGATGCGATAGGACAGCCCCAGAAGTAATTGTTCCTTTTCACGGCAAGCGGTGCTATTTCTGAAGGCAGATGGGCCATGCTGCATGCCGCAGGAAGCCTCGGCCTATCACAGATGAGTTTCCCATAGGTGTGTTAAACATCAAACATGCCGACATCAGATAAAACAAAAAGATGGTGCCTTACACGCAGCCTCTGGAGTGATTCGATTCAACTTTGTTACCTGCACAAGTGCGTGTGAGTGCGTAAGTCCGACTTGGCTTGTCTTGTCGGCCGTGTGCTTCGTGCAGGCCCAGCTCGCTCTGCAGCCGAGCCACGGCGTTGCGGTTGGCTGAGGCAGCGCAACTCTGCCCGATGTGTCCTGTTCCTGGGGGACGGCATCGCGTCATCATTGGCCCAAGATCTTCATAAGAGCCGAAATAAGGTCTGCGGTCTGCGGGTAAAAAGGCGAGGGCATTGATTAATTTCCCAAAGGAGTCGGCGTTGTTATGCGTTCTCCTGGGCACATCCCGGCTGGCTCCGGGGAAGGCGAGGGCCAGCGGACTCCACAGAACAAGTCATCGAAGCCCGCTAGAAAAAGATCTAGGTTACACGCCATAGTCCAGTGCGACCCTCTTGTTGATCGTGCGAGGATAAGGGTCTGAGCGCTGCCAGATTTTGCAGTCTAACACCAAGAGCCGAAGTGGGAGAGAAGACTAAGCCCAGCTTAATCTCCGACGCTACCAAGCATGATCCGGTAGTGGCGGCCTCGAAGGTCGCTAGAATCCAAGGCGGCCGGATCTTCTGGACGTCATAGCACTATACGAGTCCGTTTTCCTCGTGAATTCCGACTTGCCAATGCGTGTACCTCGCTACGCGCATCGTGGACCGATACCACGGCTCGATGTGGAAGTAGGAGCGTGAGATATGCGCCATGTCACACATTAACATCTGACTTAATGGCTACCCAGTGTAAGCCGTTCGTCGGCTGCAGGTACATTGCAACCGACTATGCGGGCTGAATACTTAGTAAAAGCAGTGTGAACACCGCACTACTTCGACACGGTGTCATCGGAGAGTGTGTCTATATTTGCAAGTCTAACGTGTGGCTCAGCTGAGCGATAGATACCATATGCACAAGAGCCACCTTATTCCGCGTTTTGTCTACACCCAGCTGGCCTATACCAACACCTATACCAGACCGCGGAATCTATAACTAGAAGCAAGACAAGCTGGAGGATGCACGTCCCGCACTAAACGTTATCGATATCGCCCCAGTCCAGCCCAGCCCGATGGGCCCGAAGTGTGAGTGAGGCCATGATCCTCACCCTATATCAGAGACTTCTATTACGGTCGAGCGGGTGCAGTGCCGCGAGCGGGCCAGGGCTTCCTTTCCAAGAAGCGGCAAAACTGCCAGTTGTCTCGCGCATCCCCACCTACAACACGTTCTAGACGATACTATCACGATCGATTATTCATAGGCCCTGGTCCGTGGACGCGAGGGGGATGGCGTAACACGGTCACATTGTGCAAACACACTAGTGATGGCGTCCGCTGCATGGAAAGCCCAAAGAAACAATGGCGTTTTCTCGCTTGAGGTCCCGAGACGGAGTATGGGAGACAGCTTCCAAATCCGATTATGGCGATGATACGGTGTCATCGGGGTGGAGGCTTGGACACAAGAGGCTCTCTCCATCTGTATCCTCGCCAGGAAATCAGAGCCATACGATCCGACGTTTGACCTGATCGCCAGCCGGAAGTCCGTCGTAGCATGTCTGTGACACGCCCAAACACCCTACGGGGCAGGCCCAGCAGCAGTCAGCAGCAATGGAGAAGAGAAGGCTTACTTTGCGATGGATCGAGGTTGCTGTGCAGTGTGGATAACAACACCACGTCGCCCGAGAGGCAGCCGGCAGGGTAAGTAAGATGGGCAAGGTTGACAACAATAGGTTGCGAACGCTGCTCAGTGCTCACATCACATTGGATCACGGCTCAGCAGGCTGCCAGCGATTCAACGGACGTCTGGGCCCTGAGGGCTGAGGTGAGGGGGACAGGGATCAGCGCGTTTCAGAAGTTGGAGGTTGAGACAGCGAGCCCCTGCATGCTGGCCCCGCACCAGCCAATCAGCCCTGACCCCGCCCAACCTTCAACGCCAACCTCAAACGCGTCCGTCAACGACCACGACGGGCTTCTGGGCATCCTCATCTTCCTATACGACGAGGGGCACGCTTCGCTGTCGTGTGCTATTGCAGTAGCCTACTGTAGCTGCTGTCGCTGCCGGCCGCAGGCGATCGCATATACCCTCCACCACCTTGTCGACATTCCTATCAGCGCCCGCTGGCGATTCGAACTCGGAGCGCAACCCATAGGGATGGATGCAGCTTTTTGCTTCTGGTAGTCTACCACTGTACTCCTCCTCACCTCACCCAGACTCTGCCCCGCCATTGGCCCTCATAATCTCTAAGGGCTGGTTGTGAACTCCATCCAGAGAATTCTGTTACGGCTAAGTGACATCGGTCCCCTGGAACACACTTTTCCCCCAGGGACCCAGGCAAGCAGGTGCCATCTCATCGCCGACCTGCAACAGCCAACGGATGCTCAGCCTCTTGCACTGATGACTACGTTCACAGGGTTTCTATCTCTCGTCTCCAGTAAAGGACGAGGGCGAGGCTGTGAGTGACCGAATGCGTACGTCCTTCACTTTCCTAAGATCTTGCTTGCAACATCCCGTCCCCCGTAGCTCATTGGTGATCTGCTCCCAACCAAGATCTTGGGGTTTGAACTACTATGGTACATACGTCCATCTGCCGGTGGGGCTCTCTGTGCAGACCTTTCTGGGTAGCGACCCTGCACCACTGCTGCAGCTGAGGGTATGGAGCTCCAAATAGAGTTACAGCACGATGTTCGAGACGTTTGTAACCAAACACAGCGATCCATGATCACCCTCCGTTGGTTTTCTGCTGCGCCGGTCTGGCGGTGACAAGACAGAGGGGCACCCCAGAATCCATGGCGACTCTCTCCAGGCTGCTGTCTGCAGCGAACTGTAAAGTGCTCTGGTTTGCGAACAACGTACGGAAGGCAATGTCGGTCCCCAATCGCGATAAAGACGCGAGTGCGTTGATGGTTGCGCCGTTGAATCCGGCTTCAGTCGGGACTAGCGTGCTCTCTAGGCTGGCCCGCCGGGGTCCTGGATCCCCTAAGGTAATAAGGCGGTCGCTCCTAGTCAGCCCCGTAGACGAGCACCAGGATCAATGTCGCGCTGGAAACCTGACGTTCTCCAGATCGACGTATCCGGCCGGCGTCGTGTCGTGGTTGTGTCATACGATCGCAGGAAACACTCGTCTGGTCCGTGAGTTCGCTAGGCGGTTCAGGACAACAGAACAGATACGGGACTGGCCCTTGGAGGGGGTCTTTTCAAATTGGTCGGCGAGCTTGGTGCGCTGTCTTCTCGCCATCTTCTCCGCCAGCTACTGCAGTTGGCCTAGGTCTGGGTCCCTCCCACATGGTCGGTAACGACGTGAGACAAGCCACTTCCACGCTACCAGCTACTCTGGAAGTTCGACGGTTTCGAGGCTCGGGCACTGCCCTCTTGTCACTTTCAGATAGACAGACGCGGCTCCTCATCCTCTTGCAAGTGCCGTGTGAAGGACAAACGCAACTTTTCCTATTCTTTCGCTAGAGGATGCCCACATGGTAACCTCGAATTGGGGCTGCTCCCCTTGTACCCGTCTTCCCAATCCGGTGCAGCCCCTTACCCTGTCGTTCTAACTGGGGCAGTCCCTGGTAATTCTATATGGGTGAGGAAACCTCCAAAGGACTCCATTCTTTTGCCCGTCCCGTCGCTGCCCCGTACCATTCGCCCTCTGGCACCACATCATCGACAGCTAGATGTAACCTTTTGATGAACCCTGTACTGGAAATCCTTGCAGAACTCCTGGTCCCTGTCGTAGTGCCCGTCTCTTTTCAGCACGCCAAGCAAATTCTCGCACACCCATTCTCTCCTCCCACTTCGCAGACATGGCCAGGTTTGTATCAGGGAATCCGGCTTAGCTCCTACCGACGTTCCGAACCTGAACCAGCCTGGCCGTGCTGAATTGATTGCCCTGGCCATGGATGATGCTGATTTCCACTGAGTACTTCTTTTATACCTCCGGGGTTCTGCACTGCCCCTCCTCTATCTTGCCTTTCGCTCCTCTTCCGCCTTGCCCACCCTGTACGCCATTGTCCACTGTTCGATTACTAGTCGCTCCTTTTTTCCCTGTTCTTGAACCTACTTTGTTATCCCCCCCTCTGGTCTATAATACTCGGAGCTGGTTCTCTTCCCACACGGACGCGCCGGTCTATCTGTGCTTTGCCAGACCTACCGTAAAGAGTTGTTCTCCTCCGGTCAACACTCACCACACTCCTTTTCCAACCTCACTCGCACAGCTCCAGAGCAGACCTGTCCTTTTTTCCTGTAATCCACTGGACCAGACGCTCTTTCCAATCCTTGATCCGAGGCACCCCCGCAGTCATTATTGATATACAGAACTAGAGAAAATCTACGCATTCCTTACCGGCACAACGCCTGTCGAGCTCGACGGGGATATTAACGACTGTGCTCTGAAACAGTCATATCCCATGCTATTATTACCTTGTAAGTCCACTCTCTCGATGGGGTTATTCCCTGACTGGTGTTGGATTCGTGGCCCGTGTGGATCCCACAGTGGTTCCCTCTACTATGAACGACGCCAGTCCCTCGGTCCTGTCCCCAGTCAATGCTAACTGCCACTCCCTCCCTCAGCCTTCGGTACATAATAGATTAAACCACGTTCACTCCCTTGTCAAAGTCCATAGCCATGGACTCAAATCAGGCACATCTGTATGCTTAATCTAGATGCTATATCTTCTTCACACAAGGCTCACATCCTCCTAGGCGGCACCAGATACAAACACCTGCCTTCACCTTCAACCCCAACAACAAATTCAGGAGAGACGTACCGCCGCCACGTCCTACTCCCCTCATCACAATGAATGGAAGTGAGATGCCAGCAAAGACGGAGGGCATGAGTGCGCCGACGGGCTTATGGACAACGCCGACATCTCAAGGAATGCGACCGCGGCCGGCCACTATTCATGAAGGCTTCTCGTACTGCGTCGGAGAGGAATATGGCACATTGCCTACTTGGGACTCCGGCGCGCTGACGATGCAAAACACTCCAAGCGACACCATGTCTCGGCCTGTCTCGATGCATCAAGACTTCTATCCTGTCACCACTATGGAAAGCAGTGAGTCGTTCTGGAGCATGGCTGGCACAGTGCTGACCTCCGAGGCAGACCCGTGGGGAATGAAGCCATGCGAGGATAACCTGGAGGCACATGGACTGGATACAGAGATGCACATCGGCCAGGCTTTGACGACAGATGAAGCCATCCCCATCCTGGATCTACGATACGCAACGCACGGGATGGAGAACGAAGGTGGACTAAACTTCGAGGGTGGCCTCACTCACCGTCGCATGTCTGGATCATCCTTCACCATGTCGACTTCTGGCAACCTTTCTGATATGCCTTCCTATGAGGAGTTCTCTGCCGCAATGTCTGAAGCACCCTCTTTCACCTCGGATTACCCGCCTACGTCTAACAGGAACTCAATGATGTCCTCCACCCAGCTATCGCCAGTTGCGTCTCCGCGGATGACGCCTCAGAGCCGCTCTGAGTTGGTTCGCACCCAAAGTCGAGGCCGTGGGGCATCGCCTTCTCCTCGCCCTGGAATGCGATCAGCGCCATACAATGTTGACAGCAGCGCAAGGAACAAGAGATGGTCTACAGGTTCATACGGCACGACACCCAACCGCAGACCATCACCCTTCGTCTACCACCACACTCATGACCCCTTTGGCGCCCGAATGACATCTAGGCACTCATCGCCGACTATGCCCAATAACCCGTTGCCTCTCAATTTCGGTAACCTTCAGGCAGTACAGCAGCATCCATTCTTAGTCTCACACCCTCCAGCATTCCGAAACAGTATGCTATTGCCGTCGCAATTGCCTTCGCAATTGCCATCACAAGGATTCCATCCGGAGATGCACCATTTTGAGAACCCGCCCCCGTTGATGTCACACGGGCTATTCAGAATGCTTCAGAGCAATGCCGACCCGCACTCCTTACATGGTCATTACACGGATCTTTCCGACCCACCGGATCTGTATGCGGCTCTTCATGAGGAGCAAATACCACCCCCTCCGGAGGACATGAACCCCGAAGACCCGGATATGGTGCCCCATGAACAAGAATTGCGTTTCGATGGAGACCTATACACACCCAGGTGGGTTCGCGGCCATGGCAACAAGAGAGAAGGGTGGTGTGGAATCTGCAAACCGGGCCGGTGGCTTGTTTTGAAAAATTCGGCCTTCTGGTACGACAAGAGTTTCACCCATGGCATCAGTGCGGCCACCGGCAACCCCTTCCAAGAACCTCAAGAAACGAGACGCATGGATGGAAACCCAGATGTTTGGGAAGGCCTCTGCGGGAGCTGCAATGACTGGATCGCGCTAGTAAGCAGCAAGAAAAAGGGGACCACTTGGTTCAGACACGCGTACAAGGTAAGAATTCTCTTAGCTGCCGTAGGGAATTCGGAGACTAACCCCATGGCAGTGCCACACACATCCCAAGATCAAGGATGCGCCCAAAAGACGTCGCGAGAGCAGCCACTCGAGGGCTCTAGCAGCGTCCCAGATGGCAAGGCCCAAGGTTGAGGTGCAACAACCCGTAACTCCAGAGATAACACCAACGGAGACGGTACAAATGGCAACAACGCCAACCCCAATGCCTGTGCCCTCCTTGGCAACGCCGCAACCGCTGCAAACACAGCAGTCATCCCCAATGAAGGTCGGCACCCCTCTGGATGGTCTTACCAACATGATCTAGACATCTTTCTGGCTTCACTCTGTTACGATACCAAGCAACCTCGTTGCTACGTTCAAAATTTGGATACGTTACGAAATCATTTCCTTTGGATACTCTGCACATGGCCGGGGCTGGACTATAGACTGGTATCGGAGTCAGGTTGTTGGACAACAAGCATTCTGGCGAATTTCTCCACTCACCACACACTGGCTCGCCCGCACATACTCTCGTTCGAGACCCTCTGGAAGTGGATAGGAGAGGTGAAAATATGCCACCAGCCCAGCAGGCGATTCGGAGAAGGTTTCTCGAACGCGCAAAGCCTGGTGGTGAGGACGTCCTGGTTGCAGGATGGCTTCGCCGCCACAAACACACAAAAAGAAAAAGAAAAAAAAGTCAAACACTCCCACTGATACTATTCGGTGGAGACTGCTCTTATTCAGCATTATTTCCTTACGTCTTTTGTTTGCCGTTGTCATGAATCAACGTGGCACGTTCCTAATCGTAGATAGCTAAATACCTGATACCCCTTGATGGAGCTGGGGTTACGCTGGGGTACGAAGAGGAGGAACATTGCACGACAGCCATTTCAATGGCTCTTTGGAATTTTGGGATATCACAAACTCCAGGCGAAGGTCCTGTTGAGGACTGGGATGGTGTTATGAAGTTTGCGACGATGTGTTCGAGACACAGTATATATCCGTAGCTCAGCATTAGCTAGATGACGACGAATGAATTTTCAGTTGATATCAGTGATCACTCGACTTGGCGATTTGATACCCTATCGCGAACATCCACGCTCAAAACACCACAGCTAGCTAGCTTACAACCCAAGGTCCCCAAATCAGACTATGGCCACAAAGACCCTGGGAACTAACACCGAATTTTCCGAGATATAGATAGCATCGTGTGAGCCTCATGCCGATCGAAACAAAATCTAGAGCCGCTTACTGAGATCTCTACCGCGCATGAATCGTCACTCGCGATTTGACAGATATGCAGACGGGGGACCATAACCCAGCAGCAAGTCAGGTACCCGGTCAGCATCCCCCGGCGGCGGACTGCGCCTCAGGGGTATGCGATAAGATCAGCCCAGGTACAGTTACCGTAGATCATGAGCAGCCGAGAAGCGAGCCGTACTCGGGCATGGGTATAAGCCACACTTGGGCCTGCTCTCGCATGCATGAATCTTCGCACCGCCAGCTGAGCGTCTGTGGAGATTATAGTTGCAACGCTCGAGTCGCGCAGCCCACTGCTTCCAAGGCGCGCATTGAAGGGGAGAGGACCTAGGTGCACATCTGGGTGCCGTAGCTGGCGTGTGTGCCTTGCGTGGACGGACGTTGCATACTGATTGGGGTAGGCAGGCATTCAGAAGGGCCGTTAGCAGTCAATCCGGGGCTGCCCCCCCTGTTCGCCGCCAGGGGCATCGGCCGGAAGTGCTTGCATGGCCGCGGCTGTCGGGTGGGGGGTGGTCAGTCGAGGCCCTCCCTCGGCACCACTGCGTCTGAGTGGGATCTCTGGGTGGTGTTTAAAGATAGACATAAGTCTGATCACTCTATAGGGAAACTTTGTTAGGTGTTAGGGGAGGGTACCTGTCCACTTTCAAAACGAACCACTTTCCAACTCCACGGGCAAACTTTCTGCCTCGAGATCCTTGTGTTATCTGCATACGTGATGGGGTTATAGGAAGACGTCAGAGCGGACGCAGTGTTGAGATGATGACGCCTCCTACTGCCATGGAGCCCCAATGGGTCTAGACTTTGTCTGCCGGTCGGCGATCAATCGCCAGGGTGGTCTGTCGCAGGAGCCAAAAATAACGACCCGGCCCACGGCATTCAGATCATAGTAATAAGCTTTCGGGCAACAACCGCGCGCATCATGATAAATGCCGCTGAACAAGCTGCTGGGTAACGGTCAGTACTGGTCGCATTGGGAGATCTTGGCCAGGGTAGATTGGAAGACCGGGCATAACCTATACGTGCGCTGCCTGTGGTTATATCCCAAGGGTGTGTGGACAGCAAAGCCCACTGGAACTTGGGTAGACTGTCAGTAGGTGACCTGCATGCACCAAGACTTCGATTCGTGGCTGCGTCGGAACCTCTTTTCCTTGCTCAGACGTGACATTGATTACCTAGGTCATGGATTTGAGGGGAGCGATTGGCCATCTGCAAGTCAGCGAAAGGATCGATCGCGTTTCAGATGGTAAACGAATCACATCGCAAGAAGCGAAGTTTCGCCTGATCAGTTGAAACCCGCTTGTATCTTCATGAAAGGTCGAGCCGAAATAATACGCGAGCCATTTGCCGTTACTCAATCTTTGCCAATGAAGGAAGGTCATGAACCTGATGTATGGAATTTACTCAAAGTAGCCATATATCTACACGATGGAGAATGGCCTGATTGCTCCCTGTCATGGTCCTGCTCCAGCAGGTTGTGACGACGCTACTGACAGCAGTTACTGGTAAACGTGTGAATGCCTTGAAAGCCGCAGGCAAGATAGGATGTTACTATGGTGACATGAGTGGCTCATTTGAGTTGCAGCATATCTGGACTGCAGTCGAGCCCTCTTCGACGCCTGTCGCCTTGAGGGACGCATGCGTCCTACAACGTTCTTACTTGCGTCACAGCTACGACATCATTTCATTTGAGCAATGTTGGGCAACTGGTCTTGATAATCCATAGATCGGGACTCAGTTGACTATCAAGTGGGAGTGTGGGCAGAGCGTCACAGTTCGAAGTGCCCTGGGCTTGGAGGGACATCGCCTGACTCCCAAGTTGTTGGCTCTTCGCCAACGGTAAACTCTATAGTACCTCCGTTCACCATGACATCCTCATGATTGAACCAATTTTTGTCCCAAACTTGCCCATTAATTTTGACCGACTGCACGTAATACCCTTGTTGACCCAATGTAGCATGGTCACCACTACTCGTAACCCTTAGTGTCTGATTGCCGTTGATGGTGATGTTGATGTCACTAAACCACGGCGACTCCAGGAGATAGACGGGCTGGGTCACAATAGGGTATAAGCCGAGCATTTGCCAGATAAGCCACGAGTTCAGAGCTCCTGCATCGCTGTTTCCAGGGACGCCATACAATGCATCATGGAAGTTCTGGTTAGCTAAAGCGCGGGACTGGTTGACGGACTTGTACTGCTTATTGAGGTAGTTGTATAAGTAAGGAGTCGCAAAGTCTGGCTCATTGCTGGCAGAGTTAGTCTCTGGTGGTCAAGTGTTAAGCGCTTATAAACTTACCCAATATTCATGATAGTAGTGATCCCAGCGCCATTGGCAGATAGATCTTGTTCACTCGTATTGGGTTGGAACTTTGGGAGAATCAGCCATCAGTCATCCTCGCTCGGATCTAGGACGACTCACAATGTAGTCTAATCTCCTCTCAAACTCCGCTTCCCCTCCCATAAACTGAATCAGAGTTTGCATGTCGTGTGGGACAGTGAACGAATACTCCCACGGTGTCCCTTCGTAAGAAATGGAAGTCCATTCACACCCACCGCAGAGGCCAGGATTGTAATCTGTCGCATTCCACGATCCGTCTGAGAACCTGGGAGTCAAGAAGCCGCTGAAGTTACGACTGGTCACATCGTGATTCCAGCTCCTCTGCCATCCTGCTGATCTGTTCAAATACTTTTGGACGTCCTCTGGTGCTTCTCCAGCAGCGACAACGCTCAGTGCGTAGTCGTTCAGCGAATACTCGACGGTCCTCGATATGCAGCGCGAATTGTCTAGAGATACGTAGCCTAGGTTGATCCAGTCATCCAATGCACCTCGGCCTTCCTTGACGCTTGCCGTCTCATCGTCGAGACTGTAAGTATTGTATGGCGTCACTTCGGCATTCTTCTTCATGGCTAGATAACCATCAGTCCAGTTGATAGCTCCACGCAGGCCTTTGATATAAGCGTCGGCAAGGACATTGTCAGCGTTACTGCCGCCTTGGACCAACCCGTTCCAGTTGCCCGAACGGCCATCGGGCATATATCCCTCGTATCTCCATATGTCGATGAGAGACCGTATCTGGCTTTCATACGCCTCGGGCTGAATCAAGTGATGAAGGCTCACTGTGCACCTGAAGGTGTCCCATAAAGTGTAGAAATCATCCCATGAGGGCTCTCCGGAGTCCCACAGAGGGTTCTCACCAGTCCTGTCTGAAGGCATCAGGTGCATAAAGTAGAGGGATGAGTATAACAAAACTAGATTGGTGCTGTTTACCGTGTCGTCCGTGGGCACTTGGATACGGCTGAGGACATCCTTGTTCCATTCCTCAACAGCGGCATCTACCGTATCTTCAAGCTTCCAAGATTTGACCTCGTCGTCCTTGAATTTGCAAGCTTTTTCTGCAGAGATGAAAGAGACGCCGACCCTTGATCTCACTTGCGAAGTAGCCGCCGAATCCCACGTGAAGACCGCACCAATGCGATCATTAAGCGGCCCCGAGGTTTCTTGATTTGAGCCATCAGATCCGAAAGTAGCTTGTCCAATAGGCTCATTGCTGAAAGTGTGGTACCTCGTCATTGGATCTGTGTTTCTTCCACGGAAAGTCCTGGCTTGATTTGGCTCCGTGTCAAACTCGCCACAAAAGTAAACTGTGTAAGGTGCTCCCTCGTTCCACCCACCACCGTAAGTCCCAAATCCGGTATACGTGGAACCGTTGATGCTGATTTCTCCTCCAAGAAACACTTGATTACTGTAGCCACCTGTTTCACTGGGTAGGTAGTGTGACACATCCACGAGAATATGCTTCGCTCCATCCGGGAATGAGTATTGAATGATGCCCGAGTGCCGAGCGCCTGAGATCTCGACTGTGATCCCATTCTCCAACTCTGTCTTGAAATAACCAACTTTTGCTGTATCGTCTCCGGTACGGTTTTGCCAGTAAGTCCTGTTATCGAGGATATTGACCGGCGGGTCAATCGTGGTCAGGGGCATTTGCGCAATGATGCCATATTTAGGGAAACCTCCTGTCCCGCTTTCTTCGCAACAACCTGAGTGTCAGCATCTACTATTCAAGGCATTTTCGGCTTGAGCCAACCTAAGGAATAAGTCAAGGAGGAGAAATGATAATCTAGAACCCGCATACCATGCATCATGCTAATCGCAGTTACTGCGCCTTTAGGCGTCCATCCGCCATTAAGGGTGGAATAAGAAACATTCTGCTCATATGTATCTATGCCAACCTTTGCGACTCCAAACGGTAAAGCGCCGCCGACGAAGATGTCGCCTCCTCCAACTAGGTTACGCAGGTAAGTACAGTGATCAATTGTACCGTGGCTAGGGGAACACTTGCATGCCAAACCATCGAATGGCCCTGAGCCTCCCATCAATGGGTTTACATATTGAGAATAGTCATGCACTTGACCAATGACATTGTGTGCTAGCAGTAACAACGCAAGCTTGACCGTTGAGGCGGCCATATTGATTCCGGCGTCAGTGAGCTCAGGGTTTTTCTAGCAGCCTGAAATTGTGCCTTTGCGAAACTGAGCTAAAATCATGAGGCACTCATGGAGCTTCAACAACCAGTACACGACAAGTCTTCAAGGCTGGCCGTGCAGCGTTCATCGCCATATATATACTGATGCAGGTGGACAATCCCTCCGCCCTTCACAACCAACCCCCCCGCATCTTCATGCGTGATGGTTTGCGGGGTATATACCATCGTTCATGACGGTATCTTAGGTTTTCGAATGAGATGTCATAGAATCATGACTAAGAATGCATCTTCCCGGTAACAGAGGTTACCCCGCAACCCATCCGAGGAGTCTGCATCCCTGATGTGCAGTGGCAGGCCGCAAATCGATAAGTTGGCTTCCTCAGACCAGGGCACAAAGGAACTATGCATCGAGCATGATATCATTCAGTACCATATGAGCGAATGCTTGGTTTCCGATCGGTTATTTCACATTGAGCTTGACTGTAGCGGTTAGCCCCCTCTTCGCCGTCAAGACTACTGTCCACAGAGTTCGAAACACTTGCCCGAGCACCGTCGCATTGGTGTATTAGAATCGATTCAACTATAAGATAGATCTCTCTTCATCATTACTAAAAACGTCATAGAGCTGTGCCTGTCTGTCCCACAAATATTTGTATGGCGTTCGTGGCAACCTGCAACCGTCGCTCAAGGCGTCTGGGGGCTTAGGCCGACCAGTCTACTGTATATCTGACGATGCTAGATATGTGATTGCGAATATTACAAGTGCACTAGTTGGCAGTAATAATTAATCCGAACCCGGCATGGTAGCCATACTGACCAATTGCATTAGCACCGCAATTGATACACCTGGATAGGGGGCATCGCCCGGAGGGCAGGTCTCACATATTTATGTTAAAGTCTGCTCGCATAGTCGCTTTGGAATATCACCTGATGAATCACATCTAATAAATCACATATAACGTCGAAGCCAAATACCGCCGCAAGGCTCAAGTTGCATGGCGAAACCTGCTTCAGCAATCACACGTCGAGACACACCCCGAAGTGGCATTGCAGATCTGCATTATTGATGACTCACAGCATCGCTGCCATGATGGCGACAGGGTGGCATATTGCTTGCCCAGAAATTCAACAGAATGGCAACATGAATGGACACGTTGTAAGTGAGCGGGCCGTGATGTGAAAACCAAGAATGAGTAGTTAGGGTAAGAGGTGTGCCCCCATGCTACCCCTTTCAAGTGCATGAGTGTTAACTGCTTCGGACACGACTGGAAAAAGTGAATTCATCCGACTTTGCAACATCGTAATTCTACAGGATTGTGCAAGTTTCATCCACAACACCTTACTGCTCCTATAGGCTCAGACGAGAATGGATCATGTCATCGGGATGGCCAGTTCCAGCAAGCGATCAGGACCTATTTCGCACCTTGCGAGGGCTTCTCCCATGGTGATATGACTTGATTTGATCTGCTCATTGCCACAAAAATGATCTTTCCATAGCCACATGAATCGTAACTAAAGGGCGGTGGCTCGACCTAAGACCTTGCCACTTGCCCACCGCACAGCCTGGAAGGGGAAAGGCACCACTGATGTAGACTGTATGTAGAACGGCCCTCGAAATCATGTTTGCGAAAGGCTTGAGATGTCAAGTTACTGGTTAATTTTGCTACAAAGCTATGACTATAGGGCCTAAGATTGTGACACCGGTAGCATAGCTGAGGACCGTGTTGGCCACGTAGGTGGTCTTGGGTGTTTTGCCCTTCAACGCATGTTGAACCTGGGCTGCCGAAAAATCCAAGTCGACGGGCTTTTCATTCTTGCCTCGCAGCAGGATAATGCCCACCGTTCCCGGCCAGCTTTGCCAGATCGTCAATTCAAACAGATGACTACGAATAGGGGTGAAGTTGGCTCCCGGCTCAGGGGTTGAATTGCTAGAGTGAAACGCAACAGAGACATGAATATGATTTGATGCTATTGATAAGGTAACGGAGCATTCCACGTCTTAGACCTGTTGCACTATTTAGTAAGTCTCGGCAGCCCCTTCAACACTACCGACCGCACTTTAGACTTCAGTCCGGGCTACATAGTCGAGCCGGAAAGGGGCCGCAGAATGGAGATTGAGCCTGGCAGTTCTATATAGCAAGAGAGAGGCATAAGTGACACTTCTAGGTCTTAGATGCCGGTCTCATTGATCGGGAGCAACTACTGGTTGTCAGTGGCCCGGAAGGCACTGCCAAATCCGGATACCGGCGGCCTAGCTAGACCAATGGGAGTGCTGGCAGCTCCCCGTCAGCTCTCGGGGTACAGACGGCAAAGCGACAGGGCATCACCTTCCAGGTTATGTGCCCATGATCCCCAGATCCCCAAGCGGGCGGGCAGACAGGGTCCCCGGGATAAAGGTACAATTAATCTGGACATTTCCCAGTGAGGAAACATTCAATTTCCACGTTTATGCATTGACAAACCGACATGATTGACACAACGGCTTTCTTCTACCCAAATACTTCCTTGCCGAAGGGCGATTCGAACGGCACCCAAGGGTTCAATGGCTAAGTCTCGCATCAGGGGACCTGGTTGTGGCTGCTTTGGGGGCCGTTCTTGAGCCGTAGATGATGTAGTGTACAAAGCTCCCTAAGTCTAGATGCAGACGTAAGAGAAAAGCGGCGAAAAGTGGCCCTGCGGGCTGACAGCGCTTGACAAGTGGCCACAAACCAAGGCATGCAAGCCGAGAAGAAGAAAGCTGAAAGGGCCCAGAAGATTCAATGGTCACACAATTGACTTTGGCTAGGCTTTAGACAGGTACCGCCCACGTTTTGCGGCTCTCCAGCACTGGCAGACAGCGGAATTTCGACGAGCCGCAAAAAAACTGTGGAGGAAGTCTGGGTAGTGGGGGATTCGGGCCACCCAGTAAACTGGTCAAACTCCCCTCTAAGCTCTAAGTTCCAACTAGGTACAGGCGTCTCTCAGCACCGCCTGGCCAATCAGACAGAAGTCGAGCGAGGGGAGCCTGTTGGTGTCGAGCGCTGGTTGCCAGTCGATCCACCACATCAGACACCGTCTCGACATCCAGCCCTCCCAGTAGAGTCGTCTCAATTGTGCATCATTACCAATGGTTACGTTTGTAGTCTGATTCAGGTTGTGCTTGGTGGTGTTTGAGGAGCCGACGAGAGTGTCCCATCGTACAGGTATCAGCGTCAGCGCTGGCGCCAGCACCAGCGGCACCAACAAGATTCCACTCAGGGCTTCACTCAAGCACTTGCATATGTGATCAGCAAGTTCATGATGCACAGCCCAAGGCCCGGCGGCTCTCCAGTGCTGACGAGAACGAATGGACCTTCGAGAAGACTAGGAAATCTACAGCGGCAGCATCATATGTAGCTTGCCTGCGGGCTTGTCCGATGCGCAGACTCATCTCGTCACACCAACAATCAAATACCTGTTGACCTGCGGCCGTGGAACACTATTACCTAGTTGTGCATATATAGTCAGCTGCAGAGACCACCCCGTCATATGCTGCTCCTAATGCCCTTGCAGCGATCGGTTCTTGCTTTTGCGATCTCTGCCGGGGCTATTACATTCGGATCAACGCCCAAGTGTGATGTATAGAAATCTGCAATGCTGGAATATGAGACAGATCTATGGGTTGCTCAGATCCTCATGCGGGAGCAGCCAGTCGTCTGATGAGGTGCAGCAAACCCACGCCTCTAGTGAGCACTGCGACTGCAAGCCCCAGTAGCCTGAACAAGACTCGTGGTGTCAGCCTCAACCCCTGGAAAGCCGAGTTCCGTAGAGGCATCCGTCTAGATGGATCTGGGCTGGCATTATCCCTTCTTTGACACAATAGACACCACCTGGGCACTGACTGGATTCTGGTAACACCCCCATATCATCTTTTGTAGTTTAATGGAATATGCACCACAAGCCCCTCGGCTGCAGTTGGCGTTCATGCAGGGGGGTCGAGTCCTTGGCCCATAATCGACCTGCGCATAATCCCATACTACACCGGCGCTTGTTGCACACCATGGCATAGACTTACGACGAGCCCGGCCTATGACGAGCGATGCTGACGACTGCAACCAAGCTGAGCCAACTAGGAATTAATACGTACCTCTGGCCAGCGTGCGGCCGATGAGTGGCTGAACGGGGTGCGGCCGCCACAAGGTTCAGCTCGCGGGTTGGCGGGCTCCTATGGAATCAGGATTAGCATCCCAGATTCCCATACGTGATGTGGGGGTGGACGATTGGGATGTCTGCAGCCTGGCTCCGTAAATCCAGACCAGAAGTTAAGAGCGTCGACTAATTAGTCAAAGGATGGGAAGCCGATTCTGCCGACTCTTCACAAGACATCCACCAGTCCACCACTGGACTGCTAGTCCGGACTTGATTTTTAAACACAATGAATCCTTGCGATAATCCGTAGATAATCACAAGCAAAGGCCCCTCGTGATCGTGAGGTTTTACCGGAAATGCCGTACAACTCTGTGACATGGCCCTCTGATAATCATGTTGGTAGTTCCCAGCTGGTGCCACTATGCGGCTGTTGCTGCAGGCTAACTTGGATGGACGCACTCCGTAGTTGGCAACTTGGTTGGTTACAGCCTATCCAGGCACGGCTGCCAGGTTCATCCAGTCGTTCGCTGTGGAGCCATCGACCTTTGACTCATAGTTGGGTCAAACACCAGCAAGCTTCACCCCTTCACCTTGGGTCTTGGCCTTGGACACACTTGGGCTACGGTCGGCTGTATCTGGATCTTTGTTGGCAAAGGCCGGATCAGCGAAGCTAACTCCAGTCCGACCGGTTGCATCGATCCCCCAAGCTTTGATGTCACGGCAAAAGAAAGTCGACAATTCACTGCCTGTCGTTTCCGCCGTGCAATTTGCTCCTGCATTGGGGTTCCCAGTCCACTCCTGTCCGCAAGCCCGTGTGCCCAATGGCTTCTCTCGACGTCCGCGGCGGGCACCTCGGAGGCTTGGGGTCAGCACAGTAGCTCGCTCGCTTGAGTGTTCCTCCCCCATGCAGGTCCGTGGACCACGGCCTGCGTGTCTGGGTTAATTTTCAGGCACACAAAGGTACAGTACCATGGTACAGTGGTGCGGGTGCCAGATCGAGATGATAGCGCCAAGCGGCCGTTCGCACTCGCGCCCAGCTACGAGACGATTGATGTCCACGGGTGTCTCTCTTAGCAACTGGTTGCGCTAAACCCGTCTCGCAGTCGCCTGGTCGGTCGGGGAATAATTGCTCACTATCATACATTCAGGAACAGTAGCTCGAGCTATTTCACTGCGCGCTGTGGGCTGCCGCTTGAAGCCTTGTATCTAATTACAGTACCTACGTCTCGTTTGGGATAATTCTCCAAGGATCTCACGTGCCTCATGGGCCCCCGATTGTCTGTAATCGGGAACCTGGACCGGCATTGCAGGTTATCCTTGCTCTGGTGAGCATTGCCAGTCTGTGCCAGTCTGGATGCCTGTCCAATTCTGAACTGTCCCGTCCTGTCCTTCCCAGAACGCATGGATTTCTAGGCGCCGTAGTCGACCTTTACCTTGTCAGTCAGCCTGGCAGCCTGGTCGTCTCCGCCAGGACAACTTCCCCTCTCCGCCCCCAGAGAGGTACCGAATCATCATCATCATCACCATCACACATCCGGGACCAGCTTCCAGTCCGAAGGCTGCCCCAGAGGACGCGAACCGCTCTTCCTCCGCTTGTCCCCTCTCCGGAGCACTGCCTCCCCGTGGCAGGTCAAGGCCGGCACCTCACTAACTTACGCTGTGTGGGAGCCAACCGAGCATCTCCAGGCGACTGGCTGTCTGCCCAAGCAGCACAGACCTTCCTGGATTTACCGGCTAGCCCTAGCACCTACAGCCGTCCAACGTCTTAACGTCCGTCCGTCCCTCGGCCACTCGCCAAGTCGGCATATATCGAGTGCTACGTAGTGTGTCAAGAGGGCTAGAGGGCCGGCTCCAGCAGCTTGACCGCTAACGAGACGATACGAGACGACCTCAGCTCCTCGGCCTCTGCGCCCCGTGCATTGTGTCCATTGTCAAGTGTGTTCCTGAGTGGGTGGCGCGTGTTGTGCAGCGCACCGGGAGAACCTTAAATCTACCCACTACCCAGCCCACTGCTACATAAACTACTCCAGGGTATTTTGCTCAATGCCATCCGTGCCTCGAGAACTGAAAGCACGAGCCGAGCTAACGTCGAGCCGCCGATACAGTGTCCCTCACAACCTCCGCTCTTTTCAACTTTGACGATTGACGACCTCGGATGACTACCTCCTGTAATGCTATAACTTCGTTGGAGAGCCCGACCACCAGCCACCAGCTAGATACCAGACCGACCAATCAGCTGCCCGTACGATACACCTAGAAGCCGTCCCGAGAGCCAGCGTTGCCCTTCCTTCCTTTGCCGCCCGCTGCCTGTCCCGACTCCTGTTTGACTTGCCTCGCTGTTTGCCAAACGGCGCTCCTACTTTGGGGTCGGTACATTCCCAAAGGTCAGATCCCGTCGTAGCAGCCGACTTATTTCGCAAAGTGCCATGATCTTGCCCGGGAGACGAGGTATATTAGGAACTTTGCTATGAGTGGAGATCCACCGATTTCCAGGCAAGAGGCCCCCTCTAGCTCCACCAATATAGCGTTGCCTGTTGCTAACATTCACGGCGCCATAACAGCTTTGGTGATCCAAACGCTCAACCTCCGACCCCAATCCAGACGCCGACGTCTGCCATTTTTCCGAGTCCAGTCTTCCAGACGCCGAGGAACAAGCAGGGATCCTTCGAAGGATTCTCGAGCGGCACACCCAGGTTTGCAGAGGAATACTCGGTCTTCAACTCGACCCCGGGCAACCTTCGCGGTTCGCAGGGCCCCTTCGTAGACTTTTCGGTTCCGAGCCCATATCCACAGTCGGCGGGCCACAAGAGACGCTCGTCTGCCGAGAACATCGCCTTCGAGATAGCGGCTCATGTTAATCACTTCTCGCCGAGTCCGAACCTTCCCTTACCGCCTGTCTGCCCATCCCAGAGGCTGCAGTCCTCGCCGGGGCCTCTGGCGACAAGCCGCAGCCAGGAGGACAGACCCGCTTCATTTGACGCTCAAGACCGGCCATACAAAAAGTGTAGACAGGAAGGCTCGGAAGAAAGCCAGGGCCAGACAGCAACACCTCCTCCATCCGCCCGCAAAGGGACGAGAAAGCTAGCGCCCAAGCTGCAGATGACCACCATGCACAATGAACATGGGTACCCGCCGGAGTTTGTGGTGGGCACGCCGCAGCAGAACCCGAACATGATGCCGAACTTTGTGACCACGCCGACCGACATGTTTGGTTATCCCATGTCGGCGCCGCCCACTGCGCCGGTTTTCTGGGATGATGCTAGCATGGCTGGAATGGACATCGACTTTCACAATGTCGCTGCGAATATGTTTCAGAACCCTGGACATCGGGCAATGAACTCGTTGGACTGGCGCAGATCGAATGAAATGTTCCAGGAGACCGGCATCATCCCACAACCGAACCAGGAAGGGAACAATCCCCCGAGGAGGGAGAGACCCTTGGCGCCGAAACCTATGGTGCCGAACCCAGAAGCCGACAATCAAGACATCTCAATGTATGGAACCTCGTTTGTTGCCCCTATAGGGGACCCTTTCGGCATGATGAACCATGTGGGGGGTGTTGATCCTGGGCTGTTGTTCACGCGGCCGCCATCGTCCAATATGGAGCCGGCTACTTATGATCCCATGGCACAAGCTCCTTTGTTGCAGCCAATGTCCCAGCCAGAACCGCCGCAGCTACCTGCGGCCCCGCCCCAGCGATCTGATATAAGGCGCGTAGCCAGCACCAAAGAGATCAGCTTGTCGAAGAGGCCAGAAAGGGCAGCGATAAGCTCGCCCATCAAGTCTACTGGGAGACCCGGTCTGTCACGGAGCCTCAGCGACAATCGCGGCCGGAAACCAGTGCACAGGGCATCACTTCCCGCGCTTGCACCGGCGGCCAGACCTGTCTCGCAGCAAGGAGGTTCAAGCCGGCCACCTTCTCAGGCCTCGCGGTCCAGCGGGAGAATTTCGCCGTTGAAAAATCACCACCGGCTCTCAAGCTTAACATCGATACCCGAGAGTGTTACACCCAGAATCCGAACGTCAGTGAAGTTCACTATTGATTCGCGAGGCCGAGCTCGTGCCGAGACGACGAGTGTGGCCCTTGACAGTGATGAGGACAAGACGCCAAAAGCGGTGCGGAGCAGAAAGGAAAACTTGAGCAGAAGCAAGAACTGGTCGTCTGAAGAAGACGACGATTCGTCTTCAGACGACGAGCCCATAATTATTCCCAGCAGGAACACATCTTTCGCACTCCCGGACCCGAATAAACCGACGACCTCAAATCCTTTACAGTTCTCACGAAGGAGTATAAGCGAACAGAGCACCAGCAGCCTAGGCATTTACTACAATGAGCCAAGTTCGGCTGTCATGGACAATGAGAGCGAGGCAGAGACCGAGGTAAACGAGCCTGCTGGCAGCCGCGGTGATGCATCCAGCGAACTGCGCAAGGTGGTACAGGACCGCCAAAAACGCGCCTTGAATACCAGCCAGCGCTTTGCGCCGCCATCCGCGCGCAGCTCTGCATCCACAATTTCCCCGGGCTCTTTCACGGAAGCCACTGTTCCAACCCCGTCCACCAGCAGAGAGGAGTCAATCCGCTGCGTATGCCAACGTACTGAGAGCCCACGCAACAGCGATGGCTTCATGGTCCAGTGGTAAGAAACTAAACCCTTCCCGGGATCAAGGCAGCTTTTGGCCGTATGCTAACTATGCGACAGCGAATCGTGTGAACATTGGCTGCACGGCAAGTGTACGAATATCAGCCGCAAGGCAGTGCCGAGCGTGTACATCTGTGCCTTTTGTGCCAATACGCCAAACGCGCATGGCTTACGCGGGCGGCAAAATGGGAAGAGCACTGGAGGCGCATCCCGAAAAGCAGCCCCGTCACCGCTGGCGCACAAATCATTCAGGTCATTCAGGTGATGGCCGTATCTGTTGGAGTTTCTTCTTGGGCATTGTTGGGCTGGGAGAAAAAGTAATCAAAGCATGGAAGCGGCGCACCAACTATAGAGAAACGACCGTTCAAGCGGTTCGACCAAGCCAGGATTATGAAACATACATACATACGATACCCTAATGTGCTAGCAGATAATGATAACTAGAAATGAATAACGTTGACCAGGAACTGGGGCCGATCTTGGACAATACATCACTTATTATACTTGGGTATACTTGCCTCTTTGTCGGAGACATGGTCTCGCTGACTATAATGAATGAATGAAGAATAAATAGTCAACATCCGTGCCGCGGAAGACGAACCATTCTGCAGACCTTGTAACTTATTAGGCCCCTCAGTGCCGAGTGACGTGACGTCCTTTGCAGCCTTCTATCCTTTCGATGTCGAACCTGGCAGACAAGCAGACACACTTGAGACTCGATTTCCGCTTTATAGAGAGAGTGTACTATTTGTGGCTGGCCTCGGGGGTGCGGCTCTCCCGACGACATCCAATGCTACTGGCAGAGGGACGACGGATTCCCGAGTCCCCTTCCGCTTTTCGACATTGGCCCCTGGACACCGCTGGGGCAGCACTGGGGCATGTCCCCAAAAGCGCCTCCGATTTCGGTAGGTGGGGTCGACAAGCCTGGGACGTCGCCCGAACGCGGGGCACATACGTCGCCAACAAAATTCGGGGGTTTCTACCAACCTGACGGACCCGGCGCTCTCCCTGCTTCTAATTGTCCTCCGACCTCTATCTCCGTGTACACTTCGTAACCGTTCAATTGGGCAGTCATGGCATCGCACAACATTGTCGTCTTCGCGGGAGACCACTGCGGCCCCGAGGTGAGCAATCCGGAGCTCGGTCGAGAGCGAACCCACGTCATTCGCGGACCGTCCCACTAACACGACAGAACAGGTCGTGGCCGAGGCTGTCAAGGTAAACCACCGCCCCGGCTCTTGTGCCACCCGACACGCCAGTCAGCTGACGCCCGGGCGATAGGTCCTCAAGACGATCGAGACGCACAGCTCGGACGCTGTAAAGTTCAACCTCCAGGAGCATCTTCTGGGCGGAGTACGTTGCCGGCCCCTTTGAACCCTCCGAACCACCCCCGCCTCGGAACCCGGGCCTCCTCCCTGCTAACCTCGCGTGTGCTTCTTCCACAGTGCTCGATCGATGCCTCCGGTAGCCCCCTGACCGACGAGGCCCTCACCGCCGCCAAGAATGCCGACGCCGTGCTCCTGGGCGCCATCGGCGGTCCCAAATGGGGCACCGGCGCCGTGCGGCCCGAGCAGGGCCTGCTGAAGCTGCGCAAGGAGATGGGCACGTACGGCAACCTGCGGCCGTGCAGCTTCGCGTCCGAGGCGCTGGTCGAGTACTCGCCGCTCAAGGCCGAGGTCTGCCGCGGCACCGACTTCACCATCATCCGCGAGCTCACGGGCGGCATCTACTTCGGCGACCGCCGCGAGGACAACGGCGACGGCTACGCCATGGACACGGAGCCCTACAGCCGCGCCGAGGTCGAGCGCATCACGCGCCTCGCCGCCAACCTGGCCCTCGCCCGCGACCCGCCCGCCAAGGTCTGGAGTCTCGACAAGGCCAACGTCCTGGCCACCAGCCGCCTGTGGCGCAAGGTTGTCTCCGAGGTCATGGCCAACGAGTACCCCCAGCTCGAGCTCGAGCACCAGCTCATCGACAGCGCCGCCATGATCATGGTCAAGAACCCGCGTGGCCTCAATGGCGTCGTCGTCACCAGCAACCTGTTTGGCGACATCATCAGCGACGAGGCCAGCGTCATCCCCGGCAGCATCGGTCTTCTGCCCAGCGCCAGTCTCAGCGGCATCCCCGACGGCAAGAGCAGGTGCAACGGTATCTACGAGCCTATCCACGGTGAGTGCTCATCCATTGCTTCTTATATGACACGACGGCAAAGAACTCGGACTGACCTGACGCGCGTCTAGGCTCCGCCCCTGATATCTCGGGCAAGGGCATCGTCAACCCCATCGGCACGATCCTGTCGTTGGCCATGATGTGCCGCTACTCGCTGCGGTTACCCAAGGAGGCCACGGCCATCGAGGAGGCCGTGAGGAGAGTCATCGACAACGGCGTCAGAACGAAGGACCTCGGGGGCTCGACGGGCACCGCGGAGATGGGCGATGCTATTGTTGCGGAGTTGGTCAAGGTTCTCAAGGGTTGAGATCTTCAAAACAAATCACGAATCATGCAAAGTTTTGGCCCCAAAGGTATATCAAAAGTTATGACTAGGCGAAAGTGAATCTTACACATGATCTGCGCCCCATAATATAGTTCCACGCCCTTCACCCTCCAGTTCTCTTCCGTAGTTATTGCCATCGCTGGTGCTCACGGAGTTCACGATATCAATAAGTCTAGATGAACCCCGCAAGCAGGTGTATTACAGAGCCCGATGACCATCGCTCGACTTCCACACAACCGAAGGTCTCTAAACTAAGAACAACCAAGGTGGTGCGGATTACCTGCGGGGTGCGGGTTTGCCGCTTCCAACTACAGCGTAGAGTTTGCAGCTTACCGCAGAAGCCGGTGCAGCTGCCCTGGACATATGTTCTCTTGAAAAGCACGGATGGGAAGCAACCACTTGACGTGAAGAGTCCCGATTTGCCCCCGCAGCCGCCAGACTGGGCGCTTGATATATTCAAACTGGGATCTCCATGGACACTATTTTGGCCTCTCTCTCATGTCTCTCCGCTGGCGAGTGCCAACAAGGTCTTGCGGTAGACTAAATCCCCACCTGCGTCGACAGAGAGATGCTGGTGCTCGCCATTTTTCTGGAATGTTTGGTTGCTGTCGTCGTCGTCCTCAGAGCGGCGTTTCTTCCTCTACTAAGATGCCGTCCAAAGGCCAGAACCCCAAAGATATCCAGAGGGCATCCCCAAAGCCCGAGTATACAATGGTCACATTGGGCGGATGGAATGTCAGGTGTGCAGAGGCGCAGCCGAAAAGTAATCCGAGAAGAGATCGACTCACTCCTTGTGGGTGCTCCCTGTGGAATGAAATACTGTGTACAGTGGAAGAGAGTAGAATTTATCAGTGTGCTAATGAACTCTTACCGGTATGACGCGAATACCCTACACAATGATGTGGTGGTACGCGTGCATTCACACATCTCGTGCTAAATGTCATCTTGAAAGGACACGCACAAGCTTTGTTGAAAGTGGTAATATTCACGCCGTCACTAAGGCAGCCCTTGAACAATCGGTACGATGGATTTATATTTTCAGTTGATAGACTGCTTTATAGTATTTGATTGAGACAGATGCGCCTAATTCCAACAATTTCCAGCAAAAAAACCAGCAATAACGTGCCCCCGAAACATGCAATCCTACCCTAATTCATCATGATTGACCGCAACTCGCTTTAGCCAACCCACTTGCGTGCATTCAAGAACATCTTGAACCACGGGCTGTACTGACCCCATTCGTCCTTGAGATCCTTGGGTGCGTAGCTGCATGCATCAGCCATGATTGTGCGCTCGGGATGCGGCATCATCGCGACGACACGGCCGTCGCGGCTCTTGACACCAGCAATACCTTGGGGACTGCCGTTGGGGTTGAACGGGTACTTCTCAGTCACGGAGCCGTAGTTGTCGACGTAACGAATGGGGATGAGACCGTTGTCGCTCAGTGACTGAAGAGCGTTGGGGGACGAGAACTCTGCTCTGCCCTCGCCATGGGACACGACGATAGGGAAAGACGAGCTGCTCATGCCATCGAAGAAGACAGACGGCTTATCCTCCTTGATCTGGACCATGGAGAAGCGTCCTTCGAACTGCTGGCTTGTATTCTCGACAAATGTTGGCCAGTGATCGGCACCAGGAATGAGCGATTTGAGCCTCGACAACATCTGGCAACCGTTACAGACGCCAAGACTGAAAGTGTCTGGTCGCTTGAAGAAGGTCTCAAAGGTTCTTCGGGCATTCTCGTGCATGAGGATGGATTTGGCCCAGCCTTGGCCGGCACCTAGTACGTCACCATATGAGAAACCACCACATGCTGCGAGGCCGCGGAAGCCCTCCAAGGAATATCCATCAAGGATATCTGTCATCATCACGTCGACGGCATCGAAGCCAGCAGCACGGAAGGCAAACGCCATCTCAGCGTAGCCGTTGACACCCTGCTCTCGAAGAATAGCCACGCGAGGCCTAGCGCCCATGAGGTTCTTGAAACTGGTCATCATTGGTAGAGCAGTGTCAGCTGGGTCATATGTGAGCTGGTAAGAGATTCCTGGGTCCTTGGAATCTGCGATTGTGTCGAACTCTGAGTCAGCACAAGCTGGGTTATCTCTGAGCTTCTGCATGGCGTAGGAAGTGTTCGACCACCACTGTTGCATCTGGACACGATCCAAGTCGGCCAAGACTGTAGACGTGTGTCGAATGACGAGTGACTGCTTAGCTGCGGAGCGAACAAATCCGATCTTCTTAATCAGACCTGGTGGCGGTCCACTGGTGGCGAAGCACTTCATGAACCTCGTTTCATCTGCCTTCCTCACTTGGAAGACAGCGCCAAGCTCTTCGTTGAACAAAGCTTCGAGGACGTCTGTCACCGAGTCGGATTTGGCTATGCTGTCGAGGGCAATATCCGCGCCGCATCGCCCGGCAAACATCATTTCGGCAACAGTGGCCAGAAGACCACCATCCGACCTGTCATGATACGCAAGGACGATATCCTCCTCATGTAACTGCGATAGAGCATCGAAGTAATCTCTGATAAGTTCGACGTTTCTAACGTCAGGTGCCTCGTTGCCCAGCTGCCCAAGGCACTGTGCGAGAGCCGAGCCTCCCATGGCCTTGCGGCCCTCCGCAAGATCGACGTATAGGAGCACGGAGTCGCCGACATCTTCCGTGCGGCGCAGTTGAGGCGTCCAAGTGCTACGCACGTCCTCCACCAGGGAGAATGCAGAAATGACAACCGTGACGGGGGCTGTGACGCTGTTCGTCTCCCCGGTGGCCTTGTCTTTCCAGGAAGCTTTCATCGACGTAGAGTCCTTGCCTACCGGGATGGAGACACCTAATTGCGGACAAAGCTCCATGCCTATGGCTTTAACGGCCTCGTACAGGGCCGGGCCCTCTCCAGGGTGATTGACAGCAGCCATCCAGTTGGCTGACAGCTTGACTCGACGGAGGTCACCTCGAACGTCCGTTGCATTCTTGATGTTGGCAGCACCCAAGTTCATCAGGGACTCAACAACGGCCATACGAGCTGAGGCGGCAGGAGAGATCAAGGCTAGTGTCGGCTTCTCTCCCATTGCCATAGCCTCACCGCGACGGGTCTTTTCGTCAATGGCAAACGATGTCAAGGTGACGGCCACGTCGGCAACAGGTACTTGCCAAGGACCGACTAGCTGGTCGCGTGCTGTCAAACCTCCAACGGTCTTGATGTTCGGTCAGTGGATTGCCCCAAACAGGTGCAAATCATGATGCAGAATTCGACTTACCCGATCGCCAATCGTGATCAAGAATGACTTGGACCCAACAGAGGGGAGGTTGAACACTAGTTCTGTGGCTTTGGAAATTGCAGAACCCATGTCAGAGATGCTGAACTTCTCCTGCAAACTTGCTGCGGGCTCAAAAGCACTCAGTTTCTTTTGAACGGTCTCAACGTCCTTCTCCAGCCTCCTGCCGGGTGGGAAAAGGGCATCCATGGGCAGATCAATGGGGACAGGGTGCTCAGAAGACTCTCTATCGGTGAGAATCAAGCTCGCATCGCCGTTCCCGTCTTTCGAAACGACTGTTCCCACGTTGGAGAAACCGCATCTTTCCCTCTGACAGATCCGGGTGAACTGGTTCATGCCTTCCTTGTTTACAAGTAGGACATATCGCTCTTGAGATTCGTTGCACCATATCTCAAGAGGACTCATGTTGCCGGTACGATCAACCTGGCGCAATTCGAACTTGCCACCAAAGCCGGCGTCCTTCACAAGCTCCGGCAGAGCATTCGACAATCCACCAGCGCCGACGTCGTGGATCATGGCAATAGGGTTTTCCTTGCCAAGGGCAACACATGTGTTGATCACCATTTGTGCCCTTCTCTCCATTTCGGGGTTTCCTCGCTGCACACTATCGAAGTCTAGGTCGGCGCTTGCTTCGACAGACTGGTTGCTTGAAGCAGCACCACCGCCCAGGCCGATCAGCATGGCTGGACCTCCGAGGACAATCACATGGGCGCCATCGTGGACGTCGGACTCATCTTTCAGGGCGTTGTCGGGCCTCACTGTTCCCACACCGCCGGCAATCATGATCGGCTTGTGGTAGCCACGCCAGTCGCCCTTGTTGGCATGTTCCTCGGCCGTAAGAAGGGTTCGGAAAGTGCCAGTAAGACAAGGTCTACCAAACTCGTTGTTGAAACGGGCGCTTCCGATGGGTGCCTCAAGCATGATATCCAGACTACTGGCGTAATGGGCGGGCTTCTTAATGTCCAACTCCCAGGGCTGCTTCTTGCCTGGAATCAAGAGGTCCGAGACCCAGAAACCAGCCAAGCCACCCTTTGTGGTAGAACCCTTACCCACGGCAGCCTCGTCACGAATCTCGCCACCAGAACCTGTTGCGGCACCTGGGAAAGCTGTAACAACTTATTAGCACCCTGTTCACTTGGTTGGCTTGCCATCCTCAGTCGACATGGGGGGTCTCTGTGACGGCACAATGATGACTTGCGAGGCAGATATCACAACGCGAGAAAAGAATGAGACCTACGAGATATAGCAGTTGGGTGGTTGTGTGTCTCAACCTTGGCAAGCATGTGGACTACCTCCTTGGTCAATTTCCATGAACCTGAGTTGTAGTCGGGAGCCCAGTAGTTTGCAACCTCTCCTTGCAATACGGCAGCATTGTCACTGTAGGCCGAGACGGTATAGTCAGGAGTGGCCTTGTGGGTATTCTTGATCATCTCGAAGAGGCTCTTATCCATGCGCTGTCCGTCGATGGTCCAGTTTGCATTGAAAACCTTGTGTCGGCAGTGCCTATTCGTTCATGGCGATTAGAGCTCGGACATACAAGACAGTGGTACGAATTGAGTCTTACTCAGAGTTCACTTGGGCAAACATGAACAGCTCAACATCATGCGGCGGGCGGCCGAGCTTGGTGAAGACACCGACTAGGTATTCCATCTCGGCCTGGTCAAGACCCAGGCCCTTCTTCTGGTTGTACTCCTGCAGAACAGCAAGGGGCTCACGGTCACTGGCGAAGATGTCGACGACTACGAGTGGAGACTGGGCGCCTTCACTGAACATTTCAGTCGTGCTCGGGGGCTCGAAGGTCAGGGATTCGGTCATGCGGTCGTAGATGACGTCGCGGAAGGACAGGGCCTGCTCGCCGCTGTAGGGCCCGTCGAACTCGATGGTGATGCGGCGGCCCCGCTCGATACGGTTGACGGTGTCCTTCAGGCCGCAGACGTGGGCAATGGCGGTGGCCTTGGAGCTCCATGGCGAGATGGTGTTGCGGGGGGTGACGTAGATGCTGAGGGCGTTGGGCTTGGTCTCGGCGGCGGAGAAGTCGCCGGCGTAGTCCAGCTCGAGCAGCTGCTTGACCTGGTCGAGGCTGGCAGCAGCGGAGGCCTTGAAGTCAACGAAGTACAGCCAGTGGCCGCGGATGTCGTTGACCTTGGCCTGGCTCAGCTCATTGATGCGGGCCAACAGCTTCTGGGCTTCGGCAATCGTGAAGCACGACAAGCCAGTTAAGACCTCGTGCGACATAGCTGCGACTGGGAGGGAGGGCGTCCCTGAGTATGTCGGTATGAGGTCACGTCACTGGCGGCAGCGAATGTGGGAGGCGATTTCGTCGTCGGACTGCGGGTTTGGGCAATCCCAAACTGACAGAGGGAAGATGAACCCCTCCAAGGGCCGTGGGGTTTTGTAGGATTTTCTTTCTTATCGGGGCCTATCGGTAGCGGGGTTAGGATCCTACAGGATCCTGGCACTCGACGGGTAGCTGCGGGTGGGTGGGCATAGGATAGGTAGGTAAGTATACCACCACAGTACGTCAGCCTTGCAAGCGAGTTTGTGTTTGTTGCTGCACTTCAGTCTCCGAGTTCTCCATCCAAGACCTGCTGGCAGATAGAGATTGATAGAAGCAAGGGCATATATCAAATTGTAACGCTGCCTATACATGTAGCTATTTCACCGACGGAGCGCTTGTTGTAAAAACACATCAGTCGAGGCAACGATTTTTTCTTCTAGCTGCCGAAATCGGAATCATCTCATTGGTCCTCCACCTGGTCAACCTGATCGCTCGAGTACTTCAGTACTTACAAGTCTTTTGGGATTCGTCTAGCCTACCAGATGTGATTCAACTGGATGGAGTATGAGACTTTGGAACGAAGCTGCCGCGAATTATTCCTTACGCAGGTCGGTCTGCTTACATGTTTTGTATGTTCTGCCGTTGCTACATATAGGTAGTTAGTCACACCGTGTTCTGGGAAGCCTTAAGCGGAAGCAGGGGAGCACAGCGCGTGGAAGGCCTACGGCAGAGTTAGCAGTTCCTTAGGTAGCCCCCGCCGCCCGTGTGACCCCTGCGCAGCCCGCTCAGTGCCCAGTGTCCATCGGGTGCACTGCGGGGACTGTAGGGACCTAAAGGCTACCCGAGCCAGTTAGCCAGTTAGCCAGTTAGGTAGGGCGTGCTTGGGCGTGTTTGGGGCGCACGTCACTAAAGGGACCCACCATGCCCGTTTGGGTTCAAAGTAAATAAAATAACGGTACACTCACCCGTCCGTCCCCGCGTAACCTGATGATCATCACCAGGACACAGACCAGACCCTGACATCACCCCGTCCTCCCACTTCTGACCTCGTCGCATTGACCATTGACTGGTCCTCCTTTCGCTTGCTTCATCTGGCTTGGCTGGCTCAAGTTGTTCTTCCTGCATTTCTGCCTGCAACAACATTCGAGAGCCGTCACCATGTCGCCCCCGCGTCGCCGTTCCGCTCGCATCGCGAGCTCATCCAAGGTACGTAAACAAACGACACCGCTCATCACCGCCTCGCGTCACGCCGCGCAAACGCCCTCAATCGCTCGTCTGCACCGCGCGCTGACATGTAATTCGCCTTGCAGACCCCGAAAACAGCGTCGGTCCCTCGACTTGGCTCTGTCATTGAAGGCGATGAGTCCCCTACTGCGCGCAAGCAAACATCCAAGGACCTGGACACCATCATGTCATCTCCCGTCCCCAAGCCTTCCACACCGGCCAGCGCGACACCTGTCAAGCTGCCCATGTCCGAGATGCACCCCAGCCGAGTCCATCAGACTATGGCTCCGCCCTCGTCTGGTCTGAGACTGGGCTTTGTGGACGTCAATGCTGACCCCAAAGCCCGAGACCGACCTTCCGGCATCACCCAGACCACCCCCTCCAAGACGCCACTTGGCCGCCCTTCGCCCTTCACCTTCCGTGTCGCCCGCCCCAGCGCAGGTGCCGATGCCGGGAAGACCGACTCGGGACTGAGTGCTGAGGCCCAGAGAATGATGGAGGAACTACGCGAAGAGGCTGCCAAGATGCGTGCGCAGATGGCCACTCAACGACAGAAGGACGCAGTCGCCCAGCTGCAGGAAGATATGGCCTCTCAGCCGGAGCAAGCGGCAGAAAAGTCTACAGATTCGTCCCGCAAGATCGCCAAGGCAAGGGGCAAGTCTGGTCGCTTCAGCGCTGCTCATATGAGGGAGTTCAAGAAGATGGATTCCATCGCCAACACCCCGGCAGTGCGCGCTGCCAATCTGGCTGCTTTGTTCTCCGGCCGCCTCAGCCCCGCCAAACCTGCCATAAAGCGTCGCCAGTCCAAGGCCAACCTTGACGAGCCCGAGCCCGTGTCCCGACGCCCGGCCTCTGCCAGGCCTGTCGCTAGATCTATCGAGAAGCCACGTGAGCAGCCCGAGTCGCCTGCCAAGCGCGTTCGACAGCGCCTTGAGGACGATACCTCTACGCAGCGACCCGTCTCAAGAGATGGCAGCAACATTCCCCGCCCCAAGAGCAGTGGCAACGATACTGTTCGTGGTGGCATCCCTCGTTCCCAGACTTTGACGAACCTCATGACGCCTACTAAAGCGTCAGCCGCAAAGACTGCTGCAATCAAGACACCTACCGTGGCCTTGGTAAAGTCTCCCAGCAAGCCAGACTTGCGCTGCGTGGCTCAGTCCGCGAGCAAAGCTGGTTTCAGCAGTCTCATCCGATCTCCTACAAGATCCGACCTGCCTACCCTGGCCAAGTCCCCTAGCAAACCCAACATCGGAGGCAGCCTGAAGAAATCTGCGACTGCGGGTAATTTGAGTGTTCCTCGAGGAATTGCCTCGCTTACCCAGACGCCAGGAAGATTTGATAGAGTCAAATCGATCCTCAAGAGACAGTTTAGTGCTTCGAAGCCCAAGAGCCACCTACCCCAGGTTGCCGGCACTGCGCCTAAGACCCCCGGTCAGACTGAGAGAGCGGCAGCTGTTGTCCCTTTGACAACCCCAAGCCAGAAGTTTGGCAAACATGTTGAATTCACTCCTGATACGAAGCAGGCCACTCTGACCCAGAATTCACCGTCGCCGGTCAAGTCCATCTTATCTCGATCGAGAACAACCCCGAAGCTTCCAGCTCCCAACTATCCTTCACTAAACGAGGTGATGAGCGATCAGGCTGTCCCGGAGGAAATCTCATACCCTGACCTGTCTGCCTATGGAGCTGAAGCAGAAAATGGAGTCGAGAGTAAGCCTGTGGAGTCTCTGCCGGAGTCCGTTCCTGGCACCTTCACCTTCCGGAGCGACCATACCATTCGCTTCGACAGCATTTCACCCAAGGGCTTTGGGGGCGCTTCTGGTCAAGCTAGCGTGCGTCAAGTGAGACCCTCCGTTGGACCCTCTGCACGAATGCCTGGTGCCTTCCCGAACGTGAATGACATTTCTTCCAACAAAGAGAACAAGGAACCCGTCGTCTTCACCGGAATCCCTCATGGTATGTCCAATAAGAAGCGAAATCGTGCTGTCTGGGAGGATGAGGAAGTCAAGTCGGGCATTTCGCATGGCATCTCGAACAAGAAGCGCCATCGCGCCAGCTCGGATGGCGAAGATGAAGTGGACGAGGGGGCGCAACGAGGCGCCAAGAAGCTGCGCAAGAACCCGCCTCCTGCTGAGGGCGAGGCGCTCGTCGCACCCCGACTTGCCAACTCCTCCCCCATCAAGAAGCCCAGTGGGATCTATGGTACACCCAGCCCACAGAAGAAGAAGGGTATCAGTCTCAGCCGACTCAACATGCTCGCCCGACCGAAGAACCGAAAGTAAAGCAGGGATACAGGAGAGTTGATGGCGGGAATGGGCTGCCGAACGCCTTATATTAGACAGGGTTTGCTGACAATGTTTTTGGTGATGAACTTGCCGAATGGCAACTGACCTGCTCCTTGAAGATGAGGAGTCTTGGTGTCCTGGTGCATGTCGGCTGAAATCAGCATGTCAACCAGGATAAGTGATATCTCGTGAGCCGTTGGCCGGAGGTGTTGATGTACAATTAGAAAATACGGCGTTCAGGCAGAGTGACTATCGGAATGTGTGGGAGTATTCAGGCGTTGGGCACATCGGAATGGTTTTAGGGTCTGAGGATAATTGACAACGAGTTGTATTTCTGAGGACCTCGCGGTGTCTCCATAACAGTTACTTGATCTCGCTGTAAGTCTGTTCGTGGTCATGGCTGACGTACCCGGATGCCAAGCAGACAAAGGTATTAAGCACCCGCATATGCGCCTGCCGTTGCAGTCAAGGTTTTCCCTCTCTCACACCCTAAGTTCATTCTGTTACTCGCGTCGCTGTATGGTTGATGCAACAATCTCATTTTCAACATATTCCTTGGACTTTCCGAACCCGCACCCTTCTGCTGGGTATATTCGCTTGCTTGAACATTCTTTCGATATCTCCAACAAGCTACAGAGACCGATCACTCATCCATCGTGGAGCTGGGGCCGCCGATACAGACGACTTCGTGCCATAGAAGCCGTCCATGACGCAACAACTTCACCCTACGCCCCAGAGCCATGCAAACCTATTCACTTGCACATTCTGCTACCACCTCTCTCCCGGACCGCCACGTGTTCTGGGCCGTGCTGCCCGCCTGGCATGCGAGTCGTGCCATAATGCATTGATCAACCTCGCCATCTGCTAGGTGTGCGGCGAGGTCATCTACCGTGGCGCAGAGTGCGTCAGCCTGGGCTGGTGCTTTTGGCACCGTGCCTGCTACGGTTGCTTGTTCTGCGGGAGTCGCCGCATTGCGAAGGGCGCTCACGTCGAAGACGTATATCGGGACAACGATGGCGGCAACGATGCTCCCCATACAACGCCAGGAGCGTATACCGGCCACGCCGTCCGAGGCTTGGACAACGCAAAGGCAAACGAGATACTGGAGATTCCGCTCTGCGCCAATTGCGTCGTTGAGACAGAGGCGGACGACAACGGGACCGTCGTGCAGAAGGCGCTTCGGAGGATTGACAAAGCGGACGGTGGCTTGAGCCGTGATCGTTGGGGTAAGAAGGACAGAGCCACGCACCATTACGGCCGTTCAGGAGTCCATCGTACCACTGGAAAGATCTCCAGAATATCAGGAGGCTCTCCTTCAGAACGCCTTTCCCACCCGTGGCGGATTACCGCCGACGGTGTTGGAGATGATTCTACCGACGATACAAGTGGCTACTGCATGGTTCCCCTGGATTCGACCATATACGTTTCTATTCATGACCCTTTAGGCCGACCAGCCTTCAAGCCGAGCCCAACCAAACCCATTCCTCAATGGATACAGCCACCCTGGATGAAACAGCTCCCGAGCCAGCATCAGCCTTCGCGAGCCGTAGATCCTCGTCCAACATCAATACTCGACGACCATTTCCAGGACGTTACATCCGCTTCCGCTATTCTCGGGAGCGCTTCCGTGCATAGCACTGCCTGCCCTACGACCACATTTCATACACTGAGACACGGCGTCTCACCTAATAGCCGCATGGAACGCGCTGAGACTTTTGTTCATTCTTCGCGCAGTCCCACTCCAACTGAAAATGACACGGTCCATAATATACCAAGAGGCGCTAGTATATCATTCGTTACTGCCGAGCCCCTTAAGCGCCCATCTTCACGCGCAGTGAATCAAAGTCAAATATCAAGGATCAACTCTCCAGAAGCATCGCGAGGACCTGGCTCTCCGCCTCATATATCATCGGGTTATCAGGACCAGGGAATCGACGACGTATCGCAGAGGAACTCTTCGCGCCACCACCGCCATAGACCTCCCTCTCCCATCATGAGCGCGCTTTCCCACATCAAAGGCAAAATCAGGCGCACCCCACCATCCCAGAGCAACGAGTACCTTGACCTTTACCAGCCTGCGCAATCTACCTCTGGGAAGACGAAGACCGCGACTGCCAGTATAGCGGTCGCTGGTCGTGGACGTGTCCGCCGGATTGGGAACTGGCGCCAGACAAGGGAGGCTGAAGCTGACACTACAAAGACAAATCAATCGAGCGTGGATCTGGTTCAGAGGTTAGATCGGAGGCACGGTGGGCATTTAGAGAGTAGCCATGTGGAGGGAAGGTCTTCACCTCAGACAGGTTACCTCAAGAGGAGCACTGCCCAGACTGATCTCTGGAAGCTTTTTGGTCGCAGTGCCGGTGACAGCCAGAAGTGAAGCCTGCTTAAGGTCATCGGCGTCGCAGGGGGACTAGATGAGTACACTTGCAAAATCGTTTATGCCGCAAACTTAATTCTTATGCGTTACTCTTACCAATCAGTTCCGGTGCATTGCTAAAAGACACCTCACAGAACACGGCAGCCAGTCGAATGATCACAGCATCTGCCACAGCTCTGCCTTCTAAACAAAGGTGGCTTCCATTCTTGGCGCTCACAGTGCCGTTGAGGTTTCCAGCAAACCTTCTCGTGGGCTTTCTGAAAACCACAAACCGTAATCGCAAACTTTGTAGCAACGATGCCTCTTTCTTTCAGGCTTTTAATTGCTCAATTAAACAGGTAGTCTCTACCTACGCACAGAAAAAGGCCGTTCTGGCTGACCGGTGAAGTGGGCGACTTTCAGAGAGCGCCCCTGAGCTCGGCTTGGGTTCGATTCCCTTGATGGCTGACATTGTTTACAATTTTTTTTTTTGGACTCCCACAAGTATCTGTGGTCGGCCATTACGATTACTTGCTCTTACCTATTAGCAACTCTGGGTCAAATGTACCATGTACCTCATTCCGTCGGTGACAAAAGAGTTCCCAATCGCGCGGAGTTGGTAACTTGGGATAGAAGACTGACCGCATTTCCTCGTATCGATATATCTCTATCATCGAAGTGAATCCAACGTACTCGCTACGAGTCCGTCATGACTGCCAACATATATTCAACAACGTGAACGCTTGCGACACTGCATGGAGATTCTGCCCATTGCGTCGGTTTCGCTATATTTCTAATGGCTCGTCCGTGGAGAGATACGATGGCATGAAAGCCGAGGCATCTCCTACGCCATTACATCAAGACCTCTCCGGCGACCTGGCTCAACTTACTGTCTCTTATCGAGATCTTTGTGTTGTAGTTAGTGCCTGCGACTTTTCTTATGATTTGGGCACTGGTGTAATACGAGTTCGTGATGAGCGATTCCAATCACTATGGAGAAAACGGCAGCAGTGTCCAATTCCGTGGGATTTTCACCTCATAGCAAACGAGATCAGTATTGAAGCCTTGGTAGAAGGAGGATGCCCGCCCGGCTTGTTCTTGGGGCAGCAGATTGAATATAGTTTTTCGATTTATTTTGTTATATATTGCAATTCACTGTTTCGGTGGCTAAACATGTGTTCTTGTGATTATGCGCAAGGGTTGATGTAACGTTGAATAATGTGACTTGTTACTTATACAACTTTGTTCATACCTGTCGTTGAAGATGGCCATATAGGGTGAGAATTTATTGCGCCGACACGCCACACCCACCAACGTGACCCGCTAAAGCCGTTAGAATCCAGTGAGATATACTAGACGCATTAAGATTTGACTCTGGACCAGGCTTGGGACTTAGCAGGTCAACAGTTGAACAGGCTGAATCACTGCCTTGAATGTGCCGCGTATCTGGAGTCGCCAGGAGTCCTCCATCCACAGTTCAGCGGCCCAGGCGCTAGGGTACGCCGGCCAGTGGCGCCTGTGGGCCTGCCTTGAGCGCGCTAAACCCTCTGAAACCTGGGGGAAGCTGGGCGGTCCTGAGCCGCATTCCTTAGTGCAACGACATTCCACTGCAGCATTTCTCAACCTCACCTCATCAACCAGCGCGAGCGACACCTGCCCATCATGGCTCCCATGGCGCGAGCAAGCCACGACGAGCTGGAGGGTGAGTTTGGGCCTAGCTAAAAGAGCTGTTGCCATGCCACACACGCTAACACGATTGCAACCACAGGCCAGCTCAAAGAGGGCCTGCAGTCCATGTACAACATCCTGGTGCAGACGACGGCATACGACGCATCATCGGCCTCGGCGTCGCGGCCCTCGCGCGACGTCCTGGCCAGCGAGCTGCGCAACCTGCAGGCGACGCTCCAGACGATCCACAAGACAGCCACGACGCCGTCGCCCGAGGCCGCGCTGCCCCACGTCCCGCCCGAGCTGGTCCAGTACGTCGAGAACGGCCGCAACCCGGACATCTACACGCGCGAGTTCGTCGAGCTGGTCCGCCGCGGCAACCAGCTCATGAAGGGCAAGCAGCAGGCCTTCCGCAGCTTCCGCGACGTGCTCGCCGGCGAGATGGAGAAGGCCATGCCCGAGCTGAGGGACGATGCTGCGCGGGTCGTCGCGGCCACCAATGGGGCAGATGGGAGGCCGTGACGAGCCCAAAAGACGTGTGCTTCAGGGTCTTGGTGCGGGTCATGGCATGTAATTCGGCGTTCATAAGGGCATGGCGTGGGAATGATACCTCTTTTGTTCTGTGTATTCCATCGCAGTTTAGATGGCTACAGAAGGAATCACCACTTCTTGAGGAATAAAGACGATCTCTTTCTTGAATCGGTGAGAGCTTTAGCGTCCTAATGATGACCCTTGGTGACATCGTGGGATCTGCTCGTGGGACGAACAGACCTTTCGCTGGTACTACCTTGGTCCTCTGTCCTGCCGCCACTCATACCATCCACGCGTACCGAGGGGGGCTGCTAGCTAAACACCTGGAGACACAGTAGCAGAACAAATTCTGTTCTGCGTCAAAATGTCACAAATTTAAGTCATTTCCCCTCAAGTTTCTGTCCTTCCAAACTCTATCCTCGGTCCTCGAAGCCCCACCAGACTCGCCTACTCCTTACGAGCATATTCCTTCGCTGCAGGACAGCAACGGCCAAGTACCGCAGCATAGCTGGTAGCTCGCTGAGGCGAGCGCGTCGGCTCACTGACCAAGGACACAGCTTCTGCCTTTGGCTCAAACGTCTTTGCAGCAGGATCTACCAACTCACTTAGTTGGATGACGCGATAGCGTGAGAGCAAGAAGGAGAAACGAGGGGTAACTCACTGAGCTTGAAAGGCGACGGCTTCGAGGCAGCGACGACGCTGTAGAGAGCGTTGGCAGTAGACGCGTTCGTGCCGTCGGCTTTGTCCTTGGTGGACTGAGATCTGATTGCCCTAGGAGTGAAGTTGAAATCCGCCACGATGGAAACACTTCGGGGACCAGGAGTAGGTTCATCGTCTGTCGGCGGCGGTCTATTGATGGTGATTGTGACGTCGTCCTCATCGTCCGCAGGGGAAGCCTTTCGACGGACACCGGTCGCCTTCTTGAGGGGGCGATCACAATCAGTAGTTGCCAAGCCGTACTCGCTGCATCGTGAAGCGCCACCGAACATGTGCTCGTCGCCTGTGAGGTCGATGAGGGGCTTGCGGCTGGGAAAGTCACCGAAGCCGAGAGCACTCAGTCGCTCGGCTACTGCCTCGAGCTCAGCTTCGACAGCAAGCCCGTTCTGACCTGAGATCTTGAAGGTTAGTCGCACCACATTAAGTGCAGTGCGCGTAGGGAAGTGGACAGCACTGGAAATGCACTCACGGAAGAAATCCTCTTCATTGCGCGTCTCTTCCTCTTTGGCCTCCTTTGATTGGACGGCCGGCAGCTCTGTGGCCTCGGGGGTGGTGCTAGCCATTCTAATGACAGCAGGAGGTGCCCAAGATGCTGTTGAGGAATTGCAAACGAGTTGCAAGAATGTGAGGCGACGAAAGAAATTGCAATTTAGTTGACGGTACCTGATGAGTTCAAAGTCCTTCGAAGGGAGCAAGGGTGAGGTGAAAAGCGGCGAGACAATGGTTATTGTTAGGATGTTTGGGTTTGCTGCTGCGCAGATGTTTGGATGAGAGCGAACTCGATTGACCTCTCCGGATCAAGTGAGTTTCAATCCAACCCAACAATCACTATATTGGTGCTCTTGGGTGGTCGAAGGGGACAACGGTGGAGCCTGAGGCCTAGAAAACAAATAAAAAGATTCCTTCCCATTTATTTTGCTCTATTGAACTGTTGACATCCTAGGGGCCATTTTGGCCCGTCAACAATAATCATCTAGAAAGCGAATCAGTCTTCGAACAGGGAACATCTCGATATAAAGGAATGGTAACAGTGCCCTAGGGGCCGTGTCGTGAAGATACCAATTTGACAGCTTTCTAAGCAAAGACACGGAGATATGTGACATCTTGGCTTGATTTCTTAGTACGAGAACTTACCATGTTTCAATCCTAAGTAAATAACCTCCTCTTTTGGTACGGAAGAGACTATGAACTGGCCTTCCCTGACTGACATTTGTCCTGATGGGTAACAGTTGGCAAGAGGCACGAGCGATGTCCTCTTATCTCTCCATCTCTACCTCATCTCCCGGCTCTTTGTCCGGTCGAATTGTGCTCATATCATGACCAAATCATGACTAAAATAACGGCTCAGGGGGACAAGGCGGCATTTGAGATCTTTTCAGTTCGCAAGCCTTGCTTCTTGTTTTACAAAATCCTCGGTGACCTCTCCTGCAGCGCTCGTCCAGTCATAATGGTATATGGCGGACCTGGCGCGGTCGTATTTGACACGAGTACGTTCTTACTTCCGCAAATATTTGGTGGTATTATGGCCGCCTACTCGTATTCTAATACAAGATTGACTTTTCTCTTTGGTGCACTTGCATCATAAGGCCGGCTCCCAAGAATTCTGGTAGGAGTCCGATGGTTCTAGCAGGAGCCGCTGTTTCAAGATGGACTCGGAAATCTTTCAATTATCCTAACTTGCCTAATGGCCCAGGACCTGACCGTCTGGGTCAAATAGGACAATATGTGTGTATCGGCCGTTGCTGCAAGCTAACTTAAGTCCAGAGTTCTCCCGAAGCCAATCCTCGCCAGCGTTCTTGCAAGCAAGGAAATCACTGCTCACGCCATTCGTTTGCTAAGAGTGCATATACCGGAAGAGATGAAACAAGCAGTTAACAAGACCCTTTACAGGCTTTGAAGCATCCGAGCGAGGATACGACTGTACAAAGCACAATGTACGTTGCATTTCCCCCTTATCTAAATCTCGTATAACGCGCGTAAGGAAGGGAGTAACGTATATTGTAAGGGTTCTTCAGATGCTCCTGCTTTAGCTCCGGACTAGTTTCTAACTTTCATATGAACGGCCCGTCACCTCTCGTAGCGGGTTGTTCATTGGTAAAATGGACCGTCATCCCGCGCCTTCCAAAAATGACTCTTTCAATCTTCGTTTATAACGATGAATACGACACCTCAACGGACATGGATCAAGACCACTTTTTGGACCTCATCCCGCGGGTCCGCTGTATAAAGTTTGCAGGGGGCAGCCACACGTGCCATCACGAAACAGGGCTTCGGGAGAGGATCTTCAAGGTTGTTAGCCAGTTTTCAATACAGATAGAGAACACAGAATAAATCCAGGAAAACCTGGTTCTCAGATTCGTAAATTATAAATATTGTACAGCTAAGAAACCAACTGTGCGTTTGGACTTTTGCACCACAACGCTGTTATTAAACGGCGAGAGGAAGACCAAGAAGGTTGTTGGCACAACTGTAACTACTTCCCACGGAAAGGGAAATACTTTGAAGGCAAGCGATAGATGTGTCTCGGCTCTATGCTGGCCAAAGTGACGTTGTAACTGTTGTGGCTTGCTGGAATCCACGCATGAGTCATTAGATACGTCGGACTGATAAGGAAAATTCCTCAATTCGGAATTTCAGCCATATCGCAAATTGCAGATTCTACCGTGAGAATGGACGACGACTCCCTGTTCGCTTGTATTCTGATACGAGTACGACCTATGAGGTGAACTCCCTGGTCATCTTGGTAATCCATCTTGAGGCAGGGAGGTAGTTCCCGAAAGCTAATTCTGCCCGTCGAAGCAGTTATTAGTGGGTGACGACAAACGCTCCGGGTGCGAGTAATGTCACTTGCTCACATTTGAAGAAGTTCTTTCGTCGTTTCCGCAGCCTATGGCACGATCGCACGAATGACCTGCGTTTGCCGCTTATAGCGCAGAATTGCTACATCGGCATGCACGTACCTAAGCCGCATTTACCCCATCTGGGCACGTTGATATGCAATCCACTCTGAAACCCTGATTGACCCCGGTTGTGGGCGGCAAGAAGAACCCCTCCTGGACGGGCCGTGCCTCTTCTCAAAAGCGCCCTCCGGGTTGGTGGTACAGACGATCGACAAGCTGAAACAACCAGTAACGCCCCAGCATGCTAGTGCATGTCGTTTGAATATACCATTCTCAAGAATCCAGTGGCGTTCTACCTGGTCCGGAACGTCACCTCGTCGTATATATCGTATGGTATTGTCGGGGTCTTTTACCGAAATGAAGATTAGGCGATACATTAGAGAGATAGATGTGACGTGTCGTGCAGGAGACACCACCGCGTATGCAGCAGCTCTTTCGCAGTCTTTGCGATCTCCGAAACCCAGTGAAATGTGATTAGCCTTGTAGTATTCTCTTATTTGAGCTGGATTGAGGCATGGATACCGCTTGAAAAAAAGGAGCATTCTGTATTCTGTCTCGTTAGGCAAACTTTTTTTTAGATGGCGTTGGACAGGGATGGTCAACAGTCTTTGATATGATAATATCACGCCCTAAAAGGATTGATATGCTTATACCGAGTTCGGATGTAGTTGTGTTCGTAGATAATCTAGCGCTTAGGCCGAGCCGTTAGCATACCAAACTTGTTATATCCGAGGACCAGCCGCTGGGGGTTTCTGATTATGGTACAATGGATTCTAGATAGCGTTCCTTGCGACATGGGAGTACTTCCGTCGTCATAATAGGACTTGAATCCTAGGCTCGGTGAGTTCGGCCCGAGCTGTACGAAGAGATAGTAGCCAAGATATGGCGTGCTAAGTGACTGCTCTTTCGTGCATCGGAAGTGGGGATCGCTGTCTTGGCCTCGCCTGACAGATAATGCATGATTATCACATAACACAAAATCAAGCCAGGCACGACCTCTTAATGCACTGCAACCTCCCGGGATGGCTCGGGTGTAGAAAGCGGTGTTGGGCATAGCGTCAAACTTTGTAGAGGAACTAAAATGTCGTTAAAATGATCTGTCGGAAAGAAGATAGATTAATGGAGATCTAGAATTATCTATCGGCGCCCCCAATTGGTCAATAATCAGCGCCACGAGGGCTCCATACGCATTGTAATAGCTATTCTCCATAGCCTTGTCTCCAAGCGTCTTGTTGAGCCTCAACTACCATCGTTGTGTCTATGGGAGTTCGCTGTCCTCCTGTATTTGACGACTGGTATTGATCGTATAGGTTTTTGTCTACACAATATTTGTTTGTGAAGAATTTATCAAGATCGCATGTGATCTTTGACAACTCCTCACCTAGATCGCCTAAACAGGATCTTATTGTCGAGTCTAGGCGGTTAGTCGGATCTGGCATCATTGGCATGGTCCCCCAGTCTTTGCTTTTAGCCAATGCATGTATTTCTCGAATGCGGTCCTCCAGTGTCTGGAGCAGTTCAATACTACCGGGCTTAGGAGCCTTACGTGCCCATGCCAAGTATTCGGCCACGACAGACGAGATGCCAGCTATCTTTGCTTGTGTGACGAAAACATCGGTGACAAGATTCGTGACTTCTGTAGGGAGTGAAAAGCCTCCAGTTCCTTTCTGAAGGATTTGAGAACCCTGTATTGGTGGAGACCAGTGGTAATTTTGAGGCGAGCCGGGACTTGGGGGCAAATTTAATTGTCTTAGCTCCTGGAGGCTCGGTATTTGACTGTCAACGACGCTTCGGGGAACGACTGACATGTCTGCGTTCTGGAGCTGGGGCTGTACCAATTCGTTGAGGCTAGCTGGCCATGAGCTTGTTGAGTGGTAGCCGAGGGACTCATTGTCAGCCAACCCCAAGGTTGTTGTCCCCGATGGCTGGTATCCAGGGAAGTTGATGTGGGTTGTTGGAAATCCAGAGACTTCTGGGTATGTCACGTACGAGCTAGTCGAAGGAGATCGAACTGCTCCAGATGCAACATTGAAAGGGTATTGGGCTCGATTTGCATGGGTGTCGAACTTGTATAGTTGCACTTCGGCTCGCTCTTTGCCATTCTTAGAGTTATTCGATGCCCTTGCACGAAAGAGGCCGACCCTCGTGAATGCTTACCAAGACGTTGCTGTAATTTGCCCACCATGTTGCTGAGATCGGCCTTTGTTGGCCGGTAGGATTGAAGGTACACACACTCTTCACCCACCCGGCGGCATTTCTCGCAAATTGGCTGACCACCATCACATCGAACTTTACGATCGCGACACTTAAACCTGGATAGTCAGCAGCTCTTTCTCCGTGATACGGACTTCCCTGGCCAGATCATGACACAGTGCTTATCCGAACTCAACAAGGAAAATTGTGTAAGATGATAGGAAATAGTTTCAGCGTCACTCACAGATTTACAAGCCATATGACGAGAAACGCCACGAGACTCCATGTTACACTGGGTGCCAGGCGTGATTATCTAATGGTGCAAATAGACACAACGCCAAAGAATGAAGAATAAGTAATCATCACAATACGACTGTCTTCATTTTAATATCTTCAGCAAACACCCATTTAAGTAATGTATATTCTTTTGCCACGAGTCACTCGGCTAAGACCTAAAGTGGAGTGCCGCCTGCATATACTTATGCAGGTAAGCAGGATGTAAGCCCGCAGCTTGGTTTCGTGCAGAAACGGTCCTTATCGAAAGATAATACGTTAGATGTTTGTTGCGGCATATACGGTGGATGCAGGCATGCATCTTTTGTCTAGGGTAGCGGCAATCTGACAAACTAGTTGCAGTTCATGCTGAAAGCGTGGGGTGGCTCCACGCTGCGGGAGTATTCCGGTAGGCACCACAATTTGCTGCAGAAACCCTACATTCAACCCTCCATCGAAGGATCATGAACCCTGCCTGGTGCTTTCATCATTTATCAATGCACTTTTGCTTAACTACAGATGACCAAACAATTTGATAGGATTGTGTCAGACTCAATCCCATTCTGGACAAGGCCTCACCTATGCTTGGATGTCCGACACCGGGATCAGAAGGTGAGGTGCACACCGTCTCCTCCCGTATGCGGTTCGGTAAGCAAAGAGGTGTATGCAAGTACCCCTCTAACCCATGATATTGTGTGTAACTATATAGCGAAATGAATGAAGCGGTTACTCAAACTGGGCACTGGGGTCGATTTGATGCTTCCCCGCCCTGATATTGTTCCTCGCAGCCTGATCGAGCATTCACTCTCAAATTAGCTTGTCGCTTTGAAAACAACCGCACTAGTGCATGTCTCTTTAAGACGTAGGTACTATCTTTCGATCGCAAAGCTGTAACAAAAGCTCGTTAAATTAAAGCTAATGCCGAGACCGCTCGAGCTCAGCGCAGACCCAAACTCAAGAAGTTTGCACGCGATAGACTTGCCAGGGCCACTCTTGTTCAAAATCGTTGAACGCCGTCATTTAAGAGCAGCTGAATTTCTGCTATCAAACGCTAGGTTATAATTAGAAAACACATGTCTATAACTAAAGAAAAAAACGCTTGGATTACCTCTGGCGTGGGACCTCTCCCAAAGAGAACCCTTGTACAAACATCATTCAATATGAAATTGCCGACATCATGTGTACATCCAAGCCCCAATTCTGATGTATCGAATCTCCGATCACACAAAGTAAAAACTTCCGGCACTGCAGTGTATGCAAAAGGAAACTCACCTATCGTCTTATACCAGCCTCATATTGTATCCATGTGTGACATAGTATGAAGGAGTTGACAGCTACAGGCTGCTGGAAGTGACGAGCCAGCTCGAAAATATTATATACTGGCCCGTGGTAGTGCATGCTACTACGGCTCGGGCACCAGTTTCTGGTATTATCCGTCAAAGACTTTGTGTGAGAATTAGGCCAGTTTATCAAATCCCTTTGCTTGTCGTATCCGGAAAGATGATTGGCGCGGAACTTTTGTTCCACACTTTAGTCAGCCGTGGGAATATATTTCAAATCACCCGATGCTGAGTAATATGATTTTCCGCTTCTTTGTATAGTAGTTGCACTCAGTCTATTCGTCATCACCTTAGTCATGCGGATATTGGTTCGTATTAGACACCGTGGCGCGAAACTAGTTCATCGTACTCGTCTTCCAGCAGAGGAATCTACTTGCATGAAATAAGTACATGATTGCGAGTCGGTGTTAATGGTACATAAAGTATCAAATTCTTTTCATCGACTATTGAATACATTGCTAGCCAAGCAAAGTCAAGCAGTCTTTTGAGCCATGTGATAAAGTGTTGTATTACTATCAATGGCAAGGCTTAATGATCATCCCACCTAGGAATTGTACCCGCTGCGCCCCTTGACAACGTTGTATGCCCCTCCTGTTTTGCCAAACATCTCTCTCACATCTTCCACTAGCTCCTGCGGCTGTTCGAAAGCTGCAAAATGGCCTCCTCTCTCATGTTCCTTCTCAAATACAGTCTCCCCAAGCGTCCGCACCCAGGTACTAGGATAGACAGTAATATCCATGGGAAAGTGACTGAACCCTAGTTTGACACCTGGTGACCAAGATCGAAGTCTATTGCGATCTAGCTTGTTCGGGCGATTGTCATAGTTGTGCTGAGTTTCGTAGTAGATACGAACGCTGGCAGCTGGCCCGGCTGTACTGAACCAGTAAATGCTAATCCAAGTGCAGACTTCATCGTCTGTCCAGGGGTAAGAGTCCGTCCAATCGTGTAACTTCTCGTAAATCCAAGCAAGGCAAGCAACTGGGCTGTCCGCTAGGCCATAGCCGAGTGTCTGCGGTTTGGTGGACTGCTCCACATTGTATCCATAACCTTCCTGGGTGAACCATTTTGAACGCCCAACGCCTTCTCGCTCTCGTTTCGTGTAGGGTGTAACTGCATGCTGCAAGGCGAGAACTGGATTTTTTGAGAATTCTGGCGGGTTGGCACTGTCCATATTAAGATGTGTAGCTTTGCAGTGATTAGGGTAAAGATGCGCAAGAGCACGGCTAATGTGGCATCCCCAGTCACCTGACACAATGTCAGTGGATGGTTGCCGATTTTTCACTCAACGAAACTCACCGCCCTGTGTAACATATTCGTCATAGCCAAGTTTGATCATTAGCTTGTTCATGGTTTCTGCGTATTGTTCCTGGGCAAATCCACGTTTCTTAATTCCATCCGAAAATCCGAAGTTGGGCAGCGAAGGCGCAACAATATGGAATGCAGGTGTACTGATGCCATCTCCGTTTCCAAGTGGTTTCAGGATTTTTATCACTTCTCCAAAATGGCCCGGCCATCCATGGATAAAGAGCAGTGGAATGGCATTCTTGACTTTACTGGGTTGATGGATGAAGTGTATCGTAAGTGGGTCAAATCCATCACATTGGATATTGGTGGTGCAGTGTGGGAGCTTGTTCAGCTCTTTCTCGGCGGCTCTCCAATCATAAGTGTCGTGCCAGTATTTCGTGATGCGTTTCACATCTTGAAGAGGAGCGCCCATGTCCCATCCGGCTTCGTCGAGTTCGTCTGGAAACTTGGCGAGGCTGAGTCGTTGCTTGAGGTCCTTGAGACGAGAGTCGGGGACAGAGATTGAGTACGGTTTGACGTCTGCCATGTTGAGGAATCTATTGTGAGAAAACCAAGCTCAACAGGTGATGCAGTATAGTTTCCAGTCCCTCACTTGAGAGGGGCTTAACGGATCATGTCCACTTTAAATATAAGCTAAGCACGGAGATAATGATCGTTGACGTGGTAATAGACTCACGTGGGGCTCTAGTGCAGAAGGGCGCGCTCGGACAGGGGATGACGTCCAGATAGGGCGTAACTGACTGCTAAACTCGACCTCTTGCCTTGGTGCGCCTGCATCCCTTTTCAGACTGTGTCAATCTCAGCTGCAAGGATGCTGACATCTAGGCGATAATAGGGATTCGATAGGCAGTATGAAAAACAAGATTACAAATCAACACGCTTGCGAAATATGCAACAGCTTGGGCTGTTATAAAGGGCGCCGGAACTCCACCGCAAACTATCGCGATGACATCACAGTGCAAGCCTAGGCTACCATTGGCTAAGAACCCCGATACAGAGCCAAAGTATGTATCATGGCATTTCCCCAATTCATCCCATTACATTATTTTGTGCAATTCTCGTGGACACGCTACTCAAGCGGCAAGAAGTAGCACTGGAACGCCTTGACTGTAGCACACAACTGCGTGTCAATATACCCAATTTACGGTGCGTTTCGTGACCGTCGCTTCACCAGTCTCGTAACCTTTCTATCATTATCAAACCAGGTGGGATCGAATGGCGATGCCAGAATGATGCCGGATTCCATAAGGACCTAAGGCACATATCGAGGAAGCCTAGACAGATGTTGGGGATCATCGTAGTCCTACAAAACTGCCCCTACGCTTATCCCGTTAAACATAAACATGGGAAAAGGCGTAGAGAACGTTTGCTGTGAAATTATGCAGACGAATAACTGACCAGTGATATAAATTTACAAAATCCCCCAGTATAGCTGTTTTTTTAGGACAAGCTATTGTCGCGTATGAAACAGCTTTGCTAACCAATGACAGAATTATCACTCGTGGTGCTGACAACTCGGCGAAGGCAGTCATGGAAGAAAGAATGTGCCATGATCATCACATTTATGGCTTCTTGGGATGACCATAATACAGGTGATGATTCGTTCGGCTCCAACTATTACACCTAGAGCCGACCACTGGACATGACTGGTGCAAACACGCTCTGAAAAAGCTACTCAAGCCCGCAGAGTCTCAGGGGTGTCCGCTTGATGCTTCCAATCGGCATCCACAAAGGACGGAACAACTCGGATATTATCATAGACTCTCTGGATCTGTGGGAACTGCTGCAGATCGATTCCCCATCTCAAGGCCCCCTCCACTGCCGGCGCCAAAACAACATCAGCGAGCGTTATGGAGTCACCAACACAGTACTTTCCGGCGTGTTCCTGCATACCACTCTCAAATGTAAGTAGTGCTGGAACCATCTGCTCCTTGCACCAGTCTGGCGACGAAACACCAAATCCTGCAACTCGCTTCAAGACACACAGATTCGTCTTTGGCTGAAACTCGCAAGCCATGATGTTGACTAGGTCTCTAACCTTAGCTCGGAGCAGAGGCTGTCCTGCAGAGGGAAGCAAAGGCGTATTTCCTGGAAATGCGTCTTCGAAGAATTCTAGAATGGCTACAGATTGGCGAATAAGGAAATTTGAGCCATCTGGTGACTCGACAACGAGTGTCGGGACAGTGCCGGCCGGATTGAGGCGAGTGTAGACGTCGGCACTCTGCTCGCCCTTCAGCAGGTTCACATATTCGTAATGCAGCTTAATTCCTTTGAGGCAAGCAGCTGTTCGGACTCTTGCGGAGCAGGAGGATCTGAAGTAGGAGTATAGTGTAAGTCTTGTGTTCTTGTAGTCCATCTTAGCAGCAATGCAATACAAAACTTGTTTTCAAAGTGACCAGATCTTCATGGAGAGTATCCAAGTGCTGTCGACATGGGGTGTCACCATATATTTACCGTCTAATGTGTATTTCGTAACCCAATCTAAACGTCAGCGTTCGATCTTTCGGTGGTGGCACTCTATTGCGTGCCTAGCCGGCAGTTGCTGACCATCCCAAGAGACATGCAAGCCTCATTGGGAGCTCTGCCGACTACAGCCGATTATAGCCACCCGCTGCGCGGAATCAAACTGTATATCGGCGTGGCTCCCCCGCATTCTGATGTTGAGTGCTAGCCTGGGCAGACGGACGCCGGCAATCCACGGAAACGGAACGGCGCCGCCCCACAATATTGGGAATCGGATTCGGTTTATATTAGGGATTCCCCACAGTCCCGGTTCGACGCGATTACTTTGGGCTTCGTATACAAACTTCGAGTAAGTAGACCAATCTGGACGACCTGAAAACATAATCAATTAACAGCTAAACATATCGGGTTGTCGTCAATTCTACTATCTCCCGTGGACTGTCCATTTGTTGCATCATGTCACAACCCTCCTGGTTCGAGATACCGGCTGAGTCGGACTTCTCCCTTGCAAATCTGCCGTTTGGCGTTATCAGCCATGCCGGACTTGCCCAACCGCATCCTGCAGTGGCCATTGGGAACCATGCGTTGGATTTGTCAATATTTGCTGATGCGGGGGGTTTCTCTAAGCTCTCGGAAATCCAGCCGCATCTAAATGTCTTTAAGCAAGAAACCTTGAATGGGTTTGCGGCACTGGGAAGGCCCTTCCACAGAAAGGTGCGCGAGTACCTTCGCAGCTTGTTTCTGGAAGGCACACCGTATCCGGACCTGTTACGCGATAACCAAAAGCTTCGCCGAGACAGTCTGATACCATTGGCCAAGGTTTCCAATAGGTTGCCTATCCAAATAGGAGACTATACCGACTTCTACGCGGGGAAGAATCATGCATATAATGTTGGTGTGCTCTTCCGGGGCCCGGCGAACGCATTGCAACCAAACTATACCAACCTTCCCGTAGCCTATCACGGGCGCGCATCATCTGTGGTGATTTCAGGGACACCGATCCGGAGGCCATGGGGCCAAATCCTGGACGCAGACAAGAACCCCACCTATCAGCCTTGCAAGCGGTTAGACATTGAGCTAGAACTTGGCGTGTTGATGTGCAAGAGCAACATCATGGGCTCTCCTGTACCTATTGCGAGGGCAGAGGACCATATCTTTGGCTACGTCTTGATGAACGACTGGTCAGCGCGCGATATCCAGGCGTGGGAGTATGTACCTCTGGGGCCCTTCAACTCCAAGAACTTTGGTACTACAATCAGCGCCTGGGTGGTTCTCGCAGACGCTCTGGAACCATTCCGAACAGAAGGTATCAAGAATGATACTCAACTGCAGTCTTATTTGCAGCCACTAACCTCCCGGGACGCTTTTGACATCAATCTCGAGGTTGATATTCGAGGTAAGCTTTGACCAACCGCTTACTTTTCCTCAATACTACAAGCTTTCTACTGTTGTCTGACTGCTTACGCGCTTGCAGAAAACCAAAACGTATCAACCGTCACCAAGACAAATGCCAAGAACCTACTATGGTCCTTCCCTCAGATGGTTGCTCATCATACTGTAGCGGGTTGCCCGCTGAATGTGGGGGACCTCTTTGGGTCGGGTACCATAAGTGGCACAGAAGCAGGTAGCCAGGGAAGTTTACTAGAGGTCACGGAGGGCGGAAAGACGCCCGTAAAACTAAGTAGTGGCGCTGAAAGGGTGTTCTTAGCTGATGGTGACGAGATTACGATCAGGGGCTGGTCGGAGAAAGACGGGACAAGAGTTGGCTTTGGCAGTTGTACCGGCCAGATTCTTGAAGCATGGAAGACTGGCTATGAGCAATAGACAAACAATTAGAGGGAGTACAATGCTAGACCTTACGAACAAAGGTAGCCATAACTGAAGGTGGCACCAAGGTATTGCGGCCTCTCCAAGTTTCAATTCATTTGCCAATATATCTTGAGACTTTGCCACAGTAGAGGAGACTGAGTAAAGGCTACAATTGTTGGCCAATGCGAATAGTTGATATTGGAACATATAGAATGGTGCTGCCTTTTTAGGCTCTGTTGTAGTTCTATGTCCATCCTGGCGGCAACGCAGACACTTATTTCCTACCTAGGGAACAATTAGCGTCAGTTTACCTTTCTTGGGTCGGCGCGGAAAGGACGTTTTCACACTGGTTTCTAAATGGAAGTTTGAACCTACGTAAAAGTTTACCTCCAGATTGCCACACAATAGGATTTTGAACCTTTTTATCGTATAATATCAGAGGACAAGACTTGGTAGATCATGTCATAAAGATTTGGTCTTCATCTGCGATTTTATCAACGCCTTGTTCTAGGGATATTTGACTTTTGACGGTTGCGGGTGGAGCCCAGGGCCACAATACCCTTGCAATCCTCCAAGTAACATTGCAAGTTCTGCAGACATTCTCGTATCTGGATCTCGTATCAATCTAGCTTTAGGTATCCCATGCCACCTTCCTAATTCGGAAGAGAGTCTTGCTGAATTGTACTTACATGTTGTTCTTATTGTTACAGGCAGCGCTAATGTTTAAAAGCTCACGAATTGCACGCCTGGAACCAAACGAGCTTTAGCCAGGCACGCGATTCCAGTTGATATCTTTTGGTCCACGCGCAAAATCCATGTGTCGCGATGATAAAACTTCTTCCACTGCTGCTGTCAAGCTCAGCTGCCCTGGGCGGCGCATCTCATCCCTCAGCATCTGATGCTCGGAGTTTTCAGAGTCACATCAAGTACTACGAGGATGCAAGAGCGGCGACACAACAGCAGGCAGCCTTCGTTAGAGGCGTGTCAAACGCTTCACAGACGATATCATACCTAACAAACAAGACAATACCTTTCGTGGTGAATGGTACGGGCTTGCCACTGGTAGATTGGGATATTGGCGAGTCATATGCAGGGCTTTTGCCCATTTCACAAAATGCTACCGAGACTCGAAAATTGTTCTTTTGGTTCTTCCCTTCAGAAAACCCCGCAGCCACCGACGAGATTGCGGTATGGTTTACCGGAGGACCTGGATGCTCGTCCATGTTAGGTCTTTTGCAGGAGAATGGGCCAATTCTCTGGCAGACCGGGACGTTCAAGCCGACGCAGAATCCGTATGCCTGGAATAAACTCACGAACATGGTATGGATCGACCAACCTGTAAAGACTGGTTATTCAGTCGGCGAGCCAGACATCTTAAACGAAGATGACCTTGTCCGAGAGTTCAAAGGATTTTGGAAGAATTTCATGGATACTTTTGATCTTCATCACCGAAAGATTTACTTGGTAAGCAACTTAAAAACTTGGTTATGAGGCTTCATCAACCTTCGGTTTTGGGTACGAATTTTGTTTTTCTGACTTGACAATATTAGACTGGTGAATCATACGCTGGGTTCTACGTTCCGTACATTAGCGACGGCTTTCTGAAAGAGAACGACACTGAATATTTTAACATCAAGGGTATTGCCATTAATGACCCGTTGATTGGTGATACACAGTTTCAGCAAGAGATAATCCTTCCAGACTTCATTGATTACTGGAACACAGTACTGGGATTAGATGAGTCTTTCATGTCATACATACGGTCTCAAAAAAAGGAGTGCGGCTATGCGGAGTATCTGGATAAGTATTTGACCTTTCCGCCGCCATCTGGGCCATGGGACGCTCTTCCGGACTACTGTGGGGTCTACTACGACTTCATCGATGCTGTGCTAGAGGTGAATCCTTGCTTCAACGTCTATCACATTACAGATATGTGCCCTTTCCAATACAACCCGCTCGGCGTTATCAATGGTGGAGATTACGTGCCTCCTGGGTCCCCTGAAACGTACTTCAATCGCGAGGACGTCAAAAGAGCTTTGAATGTTCCAAACGCAGCATATTGGTGGGCATGCTCTCTTAGTGGCGGTTTCGTTGGCGACGACCGATCGTTGGGTCCCGGCGTCGATGGTACACTCACAAGGGTTATCGAGAGCCTTAATAACACGATCATCGGCTCCGGAGCCCTCGATTTTATCCTACCAACAAACGGGACGTTGTTGGTTCTTCAAAACATCACGTGGAATGGTGCACAAGGTCTACAGCAAAAGCCGTCTACGCCGTTCTTCGTTCCGTCTCACAAAGAACAGAACAGAGGTGCCATGGCCGGTGCGGGAAATCTTGGGGTCTGGGGGACCGAGAGGGGATTAACCTTCTACGAGATACAGCTTGCCGGCCATGAACTTCCAGGCTGGTCTGCTGGAAGCGGATATCGTAGCATTGAGCTGCTTCTCGGTCGCATTAAAGACTTCAGCGATACAACTCCCCTAGCGATCTGAGGTCACAGGGAATGTATGAACCTCGCATAAAAACTATGCTCTCAACATTCATTTTATCCCAGTCATCCGATTGACGTCGATCTAGCCATATCAACGTTTGGCTTAGAAAACAGTGTTGTTTTGAATTCAACAAGTGAAATGGCATGAAAACCTGATCTTCTTCCTAAGTTCGTATTTGATGTTATAGTTGCAATTTTCATGAGCAGAAAGCTCTATTTCCATTTTGTGGTATAGTACAGGTGTTTCACAAATCTTTCGTTCTTCCCTCAGCCTCCGCAATCCATTGCCGCAACTTCGACTCAGAGCGCACTTTCACGCCAATCTTGAAAGGCTTCGGGTCAGTCGTAAGTGATGTGGGCACACTGTTGCACTCAATTGCATCAATGATGGGCCTATCGGCAGCATTCTTGGCTTCGGTAATCTTGAAAGCAGTGATGAGGCGGATGTATGCCGTGTATAGCTCTCTGTTGGCTAGATGAGAGCCTGCACACATTCTGGATCCTGCTCCGTATGCGTAGTGAGGTGTACCTCCTTCAGCGTCGTCAAGGAATCTCTCCGGGAGGAATTCATTGGGCTGCTTGAACCGTTGATCATCGTAGTCAGCTGCCCATGCGTTCTACTCATAGCAGGATCAGTCAGTGATGCTCCCTTTCCAGCAAGGGAAATAACGCTTACCATGAAAAAGGTAGTGCCAGCAGGAATCACGGACCCATTCCACGGGATATCCTTAATGCTCCTTCGAGGTAGACAGATGGGAATAACGGTCCAAAATCTCAGAGTTTCCTTAACAAGTGCAGTGACGTAAGGCACCTTCTCTTCTATCAAGCATTTCTCCCATGCATCACCATCAGGGTAAACCTCCTCAATAGCCTTTATGGCTCTCTCCTGTACATCCTGGCCTTCACGCGAAGAGAGGTACGCGAGTCCCATGACCAGGTTGACTGGAACAGTATCGAGACCAGCAGAAACCATGGTGAGGCAGATAGACTTCACCTCAGCTACACAACATGCGTTAATTTAGATGCATAGTTTAGTCGTTTGAGTAGAAGGAAAGAACCTACCTTCATTCAACTTTGCGTCTGGATCTTTGAGAATGTTTCCGGTGATACAAGGTTTATCTGTTCCTTCCGCAATACGCTTCTTCAAGTCGTTCAACAGAAGGGTCAAGTAGTTGTCGCGTCGTACTCGGTACTCCTCCGCGCCTTTGTTCTGCGTGCTCCAAATGCGCATCAGAGGAACGTAGTCTTGCCAGTTGTTGCTGGTGGATCGGAAATTGGAGACCTCACGCTCCACGTGTGTGATCTCCTTGAGTAGCTCACTATCAATGTTCCCATCGATTCGAAACCCGTAGTTCAGAGTCAAGGATGTGTTCAGGGCAAATCGAGCAAAATACAGACTGGGATCCAGGTCTTTGGTCCCTTTCTTGGAATCCTCAAGCAATTCCTTGATGCTAACAGCTGACTCCAGATCCAAGATTGGCATGTATGACTGCACAGCAGGTCGGTTTAGTGCAGTACCTGCGGCCTTGCGCCGCTGCTTGCAAGAGTCATCCCACGGGGAGGTCCCAATTGTGAACCCCTGGGAGGAAGATACAACCGAGTGAAAAGTGTGAAAGGTAGGGCGTGAAATGAGGGCGGACTGGTGTGTGATCCAGAAGTGTTTTACCGCTTCATATGAATTTACGAAAACAATTCGCTGTTCCCAATTAATTTACCGCTCGTGCAGTCAAAGATCGCCACTCACTCGGTTGCCTAAGCGAGTCTGGAAGACTGGGCCGTACTTCTTAGCCCATCGTCCGGCAACTCGGGCGTGATCCGTGCCAAGTTGTATCAAATTGCCGAATATGGGAACTCCAGGAATCTCCGGTATGCCAACGATCTTTGGGACGTCAGTAGAGTTGAGTATTTTGATCAACAGGAAAATTGCCACCACGAGGGCGGCTCCAATCAACTGATAAGACATGGTACCAAGAAAGCGTAGAATAGGAGGCTTGCTAGAGTATGGAGGGAGAGGTGTGGTGTGTCGTTGAACTTGGAGAGACGTTTCATTTTTTACTTTATACGATTGATTCATGCCACGCTGGACTAGCTGACAACAACGACGACCTTACTGGTGCCGCGGAACCGGTGGGATGAAAACCACATCCCCACAATCTGCGGGGTAATTACCCAGTTCATACCAAGGAGTTTCTTCTTCAAGGTCCCTGCTGTAGCAATGAGTTGGTCTACTTTGCTGTAGGAGCCAGCGCTTGACACTCGAGGCGCATACCTCCTGGGGTTGGGGCGAGCCTGTGGGTCTGTCGACATTTCCGATTCCGATTCCGTTGCCCCATTCGGAAATCTGGGGAACAAGCCACCCGTGGGCGCTAGAGGTCGCACTAGAACGAGAGGCCATGCAACTAGAGAAAAACGTAGATTTCAAATGAGCTTGCGTGAAAAGGGCAATGATATGCATTGTATTTCTTTCTGAAGTAGCGGCTGACATATCGCTGGAAACAAAGCCTGTTTAAGAGCACCGCAAAGACGGTAACACAAGCGCTTCTCAGAGTCTTCATGTTAGTGAAATATGGATGTGGATTATCAGTCTGGAGATACGATGGATGTCAGGACTTTTATTGATAAGCTCATCACACTTATATGCTGCGTCACTTGTTCTGCTGGGCACCCTCTACAAGTGCTTTGAGTCAAGATCTGTGGTTGATAAAAGCTTGAGAGATCGTAAACCTGGGGACCGACACACAATCTCAAGCCTATTTCCAGCAAAATGCACCGCCAACACCGTGGTCCTTGCAGCATTGAACAAATTTACCGCTATCCAAAGCCCCCAGAGGGTTGGAGCACTGGCAGGCATCAGTATCTCACCATGCATACTCATGGTGAAGCATAAACCTCCACGCATGTAGGTGAAATTGGGCATACCTGATGATTCAAGTCCCCACGATATTTGCCGACATTCTCCAAGCAGCAATTTTCTGTGAGTGTGTTGTACTGTCCGTTGGAGTCTTGGCATTTGCAGTTGTATCCCGCCAGAGCGCTTTGATGCTGTTTAACACATGCATTCATACTGATCATCGGAGCTTGACATAAACTTACGGAACAGCCAGCAAGAGAGTCCCAAGAAGAGTAGCGAATTGCATTTTTGAATGGATGTGACTATTATTGGAGAAAAAAGGTGATGGGGAGTTTTAATGGATTTCAATGGTGATCGGAATGGTTTATATGAGGGGACGAGACTTCATTTATATATTTACCGCTGCTTGAACTATTTACTGCGAAGTAGAAGTATCTTGCTCTCTTTCAAGCCAGTGTTTCATGCTTTCAATATCATAGTAGTTGATAGCAAGTCATTATGGAGTCAGCTCACTGCAGCGTCTCACAAACACCAGTAGCAGCTCGACCAAAACGTATACTGTCAACGCAAATCTGGTGCCCTAGTGCTTATGTGAGCCGGCTCCCAAAGCCTCATTCAATAGAAACTGTAGATCGGTATCGTCATATTCGAGACTAAGACGTCCGAGACAGTCTTATCCCGGCTTACTCGCTTACTCATGTGTATCTCGCCTGCCAATCGTTAATTTCAAACCGAGTGTTGAGTGACAACTCATGAATATCTTGAGGGGGTTTAAATTGAGTTCACCTTGACTCTCATCTTATGGAGTGGATCAATGCTACGCGATGCTGGCGTCATCAGACGCCGTAAGCACTGATTCAGACACTCCTAGATTACTATTCAATAATGCCTCGACATCAGATTTTCAACTGATCTGCAATACTATGACAGCTTCTGTACCTATGGTAGTTTGATTGGTTACGACTACTCCAGTAATGGAGATTCCAGGTGGCTGACGCTTTCATGGATGGCAAGGCTACACCGATCAAGCAGAGGCAATCGGAGGCCGGCTTAATCACGTTCTTCGCCTTCTCACTTGTTCTCAACAACCTGGCTGGTATCTAAATACCCACGTCGAGGAAAAGCAAGAATGTACTCTACCTCCAAGCAGTATGTGGTCAAGCACCTTGGGGTATCGAAACCTATAAATGAGTCGCGCCTCGATCGTCAATCAGACCGATTTGCGAACTCTTCTCTATTCGCACCAATACCTCGACTTCTCTACCATCTACCGCAAAATATTGGTTACATTTGCCTAAAATGCAGTTTTCCACTCTACTCAAAATCTCTCCTCTACTGCTGGCAGTCTTTGCCCAGGCGGGCCACAACTGCAAGTGCCAGGACGGCAATGGGCAGTACAATGGGTTCACTCGGTCATGCTGCGACGATCAACGTGGAGGTGGCATCTTCAGCGATATTACTTATCACGATGACCAGGTTCATCAGGTATGTGATGTACTCCGTGTTCCTCGCTTTGGACCAAAGCTCTGGATCCTTGGTTCCAAAGCCTTCCTCACCTCCGTCATATGTTGACGATTATGACAGTGCACTTCAGCTAGCAACCACCTCGACAGCGGTGCGTTTGTTCGATGCTGTCAGGGCCATGGAGTTGGAGGCGCTTTCTGTTGGGACTAGGTGCTTATCGTGTGCAATATAGCCACGTTGACGAAGGATTCAAGGGTTTTCATACTTGAGGACCTGCTCTTGGGGCTGTGGCAATGCTGGGTAGACAGTACCTCATTTAACCCTTTCTTGGCCATCGTAACATTGTCATGTATGCGCCACGATGATAGTCCTGCAGGATTGCCTGTTGAATTCCACCATTTTGGCCGACCTGCTGACTTAGTTCTCTTCCGTAGCATCTCTTGACATGCTATTCGTCCCATTGCAATATACAAGTCGTTCAAACATGTAGCGCGGCGAACCGATGCCACGTATGTTTGACTTCTGTTGAGTAGGCTTAGCAACATGCACGCGCAAAGGACAGCATCCACTCTTATCGGACGACGACTCGGGAGACAGCGTGCCACATGCCTGTAATCAGACTAAGCTGTGGTGGCGAGCGGAAGCGCGTAATGGATAGTCTGAGTCGAAGACGATTGACACTAACAACATAGGTGCGCGGCTAGGTACTTGGGGACATAATATGTAGGATTGTGCATACTCTAAGCGGCCATTTACATGATTTGCAATAGGGCACAGGCACAGGCTGCCCCCGCAAGTTCTGCCCCGTAGCGTCGCGAGTAGGGTCCACTTCCCCGCGCTGCCGGCAATGGTCAGGGGGTTCGCATCGATAACCGGCAGGCCTGCCAAGATCGCTTTTCAGCCATGACATTACGAATTTGTCTGTGGAGAATCCCTACATGTTGCGACCGCAATGACCAAACTCTCTTCTGCAGGTTTTCCCTGGGAATCATTACCCATCATTTAGATGTCAAGCCCTCGTGTCAGTGGTCAACCGTAGATGGCGTCATCTGTTTTGGACCTCCCCAATCTCAGGAAGAGACGTAACCCGTACACAACTATCGCCTGGTCAGAATTCCCCCAACCGTTCGCCAAAGTGTCCATCCATCCTAACAGGAAGCACGCAGCGATGAATGTAAGCGGCGCAAGGTGAAATGCAGCGGTGGCCATCCGTGCGCCTCTTGTCAAGCTGGCCATACTTCGTGTGTCTACGAGCGAAGCACCCGCTTCAGAGCTGGACGCCGTTCTTCACCGGTACGATCTACACAACGGGAAAGACGGAACTCCACGGCGATCCCGGTATCGCATGAACTAGTTCCGGACCCGTCAACATGCCCTGCGTCGTCGGAGGGGCACCTGAATCTCTCCCCAGTATCGCTGAACTCTTCACCCCAGGCCAACGGTGACATCGGTCCTCAGCCCCCTAGACCCGGTAGCACCAACTACTACCTAAACTTGGCGCAAGAGCTTCTCATCAACTCCCGCTCAGCAAATGATGCAGGGTTGCCGGACGTGCCTGGGGGGTACTCCCCAGCCACAACACTTCGGGAGCTGATAGCGAATCGGTCCAATGCCACTCTAGGGGACGTGTTCTCCAGAGTATCTTGGGCTCATTGGCTCGCGTTTATTGATATATACGAAGACGAGATTGCTCTCATGTACCCATTTCTGAACCTTGAAAACCTGAGATACTCGGCAAGCCCTGCTAGTCAGGGCGGACCCGTCAACGTTGGGGCCATCGGCTTGGACGGGCAACGATGGATTCCCGACGGCCACATTGAAGTTATGTTACTTCTCCTTGTGGTGGTAGCGGTCCTTGAAGATCCTGAGGTGAGCAAGATATCCGACGGATTCACAGAGGACATTATGATGAACACACGGCGGAGAACCTACGCTGGGGATGTTGGAGAGCATGATATCGAGTTGAACATCCTTATTGTAAGTCACTTGCTCCATGAAAGTCTTACGCCAACTAGATGGTCTCACCCAAATACTAGAGCATCTATTACTTCATGACAGATCGAGAGACTCTGGCATGGAGGACGGTAGGCCACGTCGTAAGGATGTTACAAGAACTAGGCTATCACAACTCCTCGAATCTGCAGCAACGGTTCAGGTCAGATGAAGCCAAACGTAGAGCGAAGAAGGTTTTCTGGTCAGCATACATGCTCGATCGCCGGTGGAGCTTTGGGACGGGTTTACCATTTGGGATACTGGACTCAGACATTGATTATGACGTCGATGTGATGGTATTTTCTCCGTACAACGTCTGTGAGTGTCGAGCTGATTATCCGACAGGACGATACGCTGCCTTCAGCCTACCTCAAAGCCATGGTAGCCTACTGTCGCATAGCTTCGGAAGTTCGAGACTCAGGACTTGGAACAGTCTCAACAAGTCCCGTAAAAGATGCAGCACGCGATCTAGCTGACTTCAGAATTGTCGAATGGCGGCGTAATTTACCTTGCGGGTTACACTTTACCCCAGACGAGAAATTCGATCCTATGAAGGAGTCTAGAGGGCAGTACCGGCTTCGCCTGGTCCTCTATCTCCGAGCAAACCAGATGAGGACGGTGATACATCGAAAGTCAGCACTTCGATCAGGAACCGGCCATATCAATACATCTAGTGTCAATGCCATGGTCGGGGTAGCGCAAGATACGATACGCATTCTGGCTGACCTTGTCAAGACATCCAACATCTACCAAACGCAACAGAAAACATTTAATCACTTTCTCGAGTCAGCTCTGTCATCTCTTCTCCTCATCACTTGCTGCTCCAAGAGTTCAGTGGACCGATCATGCCTGAAAGAGGTGAAGCTGGCAATGAGCCTAGTACAAATGTTATCAAGCACATCATCCATCACGAGGAGGCTACGAGATCGGCTGCAATTTGTTGCAGGAATAGACACCGAAGACATGGAAAATGTCATGCTGGCTTCGGGTGTCGGATCATCAGTAGCAAGGCCGCTGGGGGTAGATGCCCATAGCAGTACTCAGGATATGCCATCGCCAAGTACGAATCGAACGAGCGCATCTGTGGCTTCAGTAGAGACCAGAAATGGTTCCACACGCGTCACTCAAGATCAACATTCGGGAAACAGCCGGCCACTCCTTTTCAACGAAGGGAACCCAGACCCCAACTATGGGCGTATAGGCCGGTATACCCCGCCCGCACTGGATGTGGATGTAGTGTCCATGGCGCCACTTTCGGAAGGCTTCATGCCATTAGGCATGGACTCGACGTATCCAATGGGTCTTGCTTTTCCAGATGGCTCAGAGGCCTCTATAGCAAATCTTCCAGACACTTTTTTCGAGAATCTTGGGGAGGATCTTACTGAGATACTTACGGACTACGATAGGCTCTTCGCATTCTGACATTACAACGTTCCCTTGGAAACAATCAGTGCCACCCCGAAAGTGAAGCCACTTGCAGTGCCAATTGTTGGGAATGAGAGATCTAGACGCACTCAAGGATCCATCAGTGATTGGTTGCGAGGTTTGAATGATTGAGTAAGGCACTGATTCGAGGTTACAAGAACACCGCAATTCACCTCCTGGGCAATGGAATGTATCTTCATCCACTGAAGTACGCATTTGTGACCTCGGCCGAAAGCGCCATCTGTCGCGGGGTTGGCAAGGGGGCCAGTAAGAGACAGGGTGTTCGGCTGCTTAGGCGGGGAGACCCCGTCTCCATGGCGAGGAATATTAATTTATGATGATTGTACGCCTCAGAAACTACTTTTTCACCCTGCTTCTGCTCTTCGCTCTACGGCCATGTTAACGTTTACATATCAGCGCTAGATCTCAATCCCCAGCGCCTTATATGTTTCCTTTAGAAGTTCCCGAACTAGCGGAGTCACTGGCCCTTCCGTCCGCATTTTGTTCATGACGTACGAAAATGTCAGTCTTCGGTCCAGGTCCATGACATGCTTCGAGCCACCCCATCCGCCCCATTGACAAACGCGGCCGGCTGGAAGCCACTGGTCTACTGCTGTGTCACCATCTCCCCGTAGAGACATTGCTCCGCAACCCATTCGCAGATACATTCCATTGAATAAATCAACCCCTCTGACCTGCTCTTCGAAAATCAAAGACGCTGTATCCTTTGACACAAAATCAGAACCATGTCCTGCAAGAGTCCAGGCCGAGAGCAAGCGCGTGCACGCCTGCGCGTTCCCATGTCCGTTCACAGAGCCTAATTCTGCCTGTCTCCATATAGATTCATTCGCGAAGGACGGGTTTGCCAATGGGTTGAAAACCCTTTCAGGAATAGAGTTCGGCGCCCAGGCCGGAAAGTCCGTAAGACTGGGAACTGGCACGAGTTCCGCTACCCGTCCCCAGTCCTTCTCCTTTATTCCGATTTGTAAGTCGGCGCCAACCGGCTCACACAACTCGTTGGCCACGAACTCCTTCAGTCGAGCCCCTGTCACACGTCTTATGACTTCACCAATCAGATGGCCGCTATCCACAGTTTCAAGTCAGGACGCAGGCTCTGGTATATCCGAAATAATACGAAAGGCACATTGCGAGAGCTCTTAACACTCAGTATGAGAAGCGAGCATGTTTCGGTTGTGAAAACCCCCCTGTTTCATTGGGAAAGTGTAACATTGAAGAGACCAGAAACAGAAAGATAAAGTTCCGAGTAACTTACTAGGTCCAGCAGTGATACCCCGAAGCCGTTCCTGGCTCCCACCACGGAGCCTGTTTTGCTAATTCAGCCGTGGAGCTTTCAATGTCGCACATAGCCTCGAGCGTCATCGGGTGATCCCATCCAGCAACTCCGGAACTATGCGACAGGAGATGACGAATCTCGATTTTCTCTTTACCATTCGCTGCAAATTCTGGCCAGAATTTAGCCACCCTATCGTTCAGAGATACTAGGCCACGATCGACAAGCTTGAGCATGGCTAAGGCGCAGACAATTTTGGTGTTTGCCCATATGTTTACGATAGTGTCCTCGTTCCAGGGCTTGGTTCGTGCTGCATCAGCGTATCCCCCCCAGAGGCTGATTACGTCTCTTCCATCTATATTGACGGCGAGAGAGCCACCGTGCTCCTCGCCAGACAGGATGTGTTTGGAAAACGCATCCCGTACGCTCTGAAACTGTGCATCGCAGTGCCCATTTACTTGCGCCATAATTGGTGAAGTGGTACTAATCGAATTAGCTGATTGAAACGTATGTAGGGGTGACATTCAAGTAGAACATGGGTCTCGTGATCATTTAAAGGCTGGGGAGTCTTTGCGGACGGATAGTGAGCTTAAGTGGTTTTAATCCCGCACGCAGCCCCCGAGCTCTGGCAAGCTACAAGCTGTCTCTCGGATAAGCGCGGCCGACACCATTGCAAGCGGGACTGCGAAGGGGTTCAGAGTTGGTGCCCCAATCAAGTAACTACATGGTTGCCCATAGATGAAGTGGCATGGAAAGTTGGTTACAATCTAATTAAAAAAGCTTGTTCAATGCTGCACTATGGCGTAAAACGCGTTCTGTCTAGAAAAGCTGCTGAAGAGATACTCATTTGCACATGGTTAGGACCGTTGTTATCAATGATTTGCTGCGAACGTGCCGCACTAGCTGCTATATGGTCCTGGATTCATTGCACACGAGATAGCTCATGTACATCTTGGACAGATTCATAACGAACTCGTGGCGATAGTTTTTATCACGATATCGAACGAAATGCCGTTCGCATAACTGGGCGTCGATTATAAGAGTGGGTTGCCGTACAATGGAATCATAGAGATTCCAACTATGTGCAGCTTGTTTGAGACTTTATAATGGCTTGTTGAGTGAGATGTCTTGCCTCACTTAGCAACTAGCCAGTTATGTTCCAATCACCCATCATTTGAAACATTTCAGTCTCTAAGTATAAACACGCAGACTGTTTTATGCACACTAAGTTTTTTCATACATTCTAGTCTGACACAGGGGTCTCTAGAGGTTTAGCGCAACGTTGATTGTTCAGGCCCCAAGAAGAGGCCGGTAGTGAAGAATGGTATTGGAAACAGGCCCTGAAGTTCTTTTGACCGAGAAAAACCAAGGATTCGATTAGTTTCTCCTTCCAATGGCTTTGCCATTGCGCGTCTCCTTCTTATCCGCACCATATAAAACTTCATCGCGCAACCAGCTGATCGCTACGATAGTGACCCCCGGGCCGATGAGGAAAGAAGATAGAAAGCCAAGAACACAAGACTTAGCCCAGCTAAACGACCCGAAGCGATCGGAAAAACGCATGGCGTTCTGGAGCTGCGCCAAGAATAAGAGCATCACGAACGAAAAGCCGAAGACTTGATCCCACACGACGAAGCTCCAGATACCATCACCCGGCGATTGCGCCTTTTCCACGGCGATAGGCGGCACGGCCACTGACAGCGGGTGCAGTAGTTCAGCGTACCCCGGAGCAAAGACAGCAGGAAATAGGGCAGCTGAGAGAGAGACAGCTGCCACGCCCACATGCACAGCGAAACCGAGGGCCATTGCGCTAGTAGACAGATATCTGACCACCCGCAAGTGAGCCGTATGCCCAGAATCGCGGGAGGAAGCAGCAGGGAGCAGGGCGCTCCATAAGGGCTCTCCCAAGTGGACGAATGCAGAGATCCCAATAGGGAACAGGTTCCATATAATGATAGCCCACTGCCGGAAGTTACTGGATACCATCGAGGGAACCGGAAGTGACATGATGATCATGCTGCCTATGAAGTTGACGTACGTCGCGGGGAGCAATAGAGCGGCGGCCCGCGGAGAGTACGGCAGCGAGGCTTCCTGTAGCGCTCCCAGCGCGATGGAGGACGAGAGTAGAGGAGATGTGACCAACGAGACAACACCCCAAACGGCTCCGCTGGCTCCAATAGCGGCCGCGGCGAAAATGAACCACCATATCGAGATCTTCAGCGTTGACGAGCCATTGCCTTTCCTCAGGCCGTCCAGATACTGGACCACGATGACGGGAGCCATCTGGCCGGCCATATAGATACCCGCTGCCGAAGTCTTGGGATGGGACCCATCGATGGCCTCCCAGAAAAAGACCACAAGAGTGCGCGCGAGGTTGTCTAAGGGCCCGATGCCACAGAAGCTACTTACCAGGTCGTAATCCGACCCGGGAAGCTTGTTATCACCTCCCAGCACCTCCTCAATCAACGAGAAACTTCCGTCCGAGAGCATGCGGCCCCATGTCGCTGCCAGCCCCAGCAATCCAAGCCCAACAAAGGCGGCTTTTAGGGCTGGGCCGCCAACAGAAGAGGAAGATGGACTCGCATGGCTCGACATTATTTCAACGGCTGGGCCGTTTATGTGAAGTATCTACGAAGGGGCTGTTCCAGCAAATGTAGGCGAACACTAGTAGAGGATGAAAAAAGGGACCACTGGAACGAATTGACTGTATGGTGAATATCATTAAGACAGACAAAGCATGCCACAATTAGGCCACGTTGAGACCATTTAAAATCAATCGCCCACGATGAACTTCGATATACCCATCTCATAGACTACCTACGTCTAGGCTTACGATGCGGCACAGTTGTCATGATGCCCGCACAGCCCTCAACATCGGCCGACCTGCCCCGGGTTCCACCAAACGTCGCCGCGGGAACTTGTCGAAGCAGCCAGCAAAATGAAGCATGAAAGAAGAACATGAAGCGACTTTGAGTGGGTCCCTCGGGCAACTGTCGCCGCGAGAAACAATGGAACGATTTCGGGCATTGTTGCACTTCAGTGGGGTTGTGGTAGCTCGCAGGGGTCAGACTCTCTAGTCTTGCCGTCTGCCTTCTTGTACAGTAACTGCAGCTGAGGATGCCGGAGGGCGACTGCAGTAAGCGGCAGTCATGCAGCCCCACAGCTTCTCGGCCATTTTTGGCCGATTGGATACTCTGACAAGTGTACTTGCACCCCCGGTCCGAGCCGCATTAGTTCCAAGCTGTACAGAGTACCGTTCTGCCGTTGTGCTTGCATCAGCGAGCGGGTGAACCCGGCCCCGATAACTGCATTAGTTCCGCTCACACATCAGCTCGTCAATTCCCACATCTATGTCGTTATGGGGCTCCAACAGAAACCTTACAGGCTATGCATGCAGTAAGCTGCAGACCTTTCGCTAGCATATCTTAGGACGCCTTGATCCGGTCTAGATAGACGGTGATGATCGTTACTACATTAGGTAGCCGAGTATCGAAGAGGAAATCCTGATGGCACGCCTATCATCTTCCAGTGAATGCATCTATCTCCGAGCCCCGAGTTGCCTACGTCCGAGCTTCTCAACAAATTTGAAGCTTTGCAATCAGCACAATTAACAGCCTAACATAAAAGCAGTGTACCTCATATATCAACAGGGCGTATTAGGGGAGATTTGAAGGGGACAAGGCTTTGGAAAGAGGTAGGCTCGTCTGTAGAATTGGGAAGTGGCATATTGATTCACATCGTGCTTCGTCCCCTTTGCTGTTCTATTATTCCGTCTAATGTGCAGTTCTATGAATTATGCTGTGGTTGGAACGTGTGCCTTGTGGTGCTGAGTAAAAGCACGGCAGACCTACCATTAAAACTAGTAATTTCTAAAGTAAACAGAATCAATGTACATCAAACTGAGAGGACCACGATCTAGGATCGTGTCATTCTGTGAGAACAAGCTTTGGCACCGAAAAATAACAGGCTGTCCTTTCAACCTAGCGAGACACAGCTCTTTCCCCCGAGATCCTCGGTACAACACTCAGGCGTCTTGTATTCTTCCCGTTCTCCGGTCAGATCCTTAATCATGGACCCAAGTCGAGCGGCTCCCTCCTAGTCATATAGTATGAGCCTCTAAGCCACGCTGCCACCGGAAAGGAAGAGTTTCTTGGGCTGTGAAAATATGTTTATTAGCAACCACGCATCTTGAGGCATGCCATTTTGAAAAGCTTCTAGCAGGAGATGAACTTACGCTCAGGAAGAATGAGGTGATGAAACCAATCGCTGTGGCGCCGACAAGATAGTAGAAAGCTTCACTGATTGCTGCAGTTATTTGGTCAACGACCAATAGCTGATCAGACTTGCTCAGACTTTTATAGAATTTCCCACTTGCTCCTGTGATCAACTCGGCAAGATGTTCATGTGGAATGTCAGGCAAGGCCGCAGCGATGTACTGCATGGCCTTGTTCTGGAAAATCGATCCTGGAATTGCGAGGGCAAAAGTAATGCCGATGATTTGTGCTACAGAAAATTTCTGTCAGCAATATGTCCTTGGGGGTGGGGGGTAGGGTAAATATGTCTCCATCGGGGGCCTCCGCATTATTACGTACCAATGGTCATGACAGAAACGACATTGCTGATCTCGGACGCCGGAGCGAGCGCTGATGCAACACCAATTCCGGCGCTTTGGAAGGCGCCGACTCCTAGCCCAATAATAACCGTATATCCGTAGAGAGCCGAGTTAGATATTGAAGAGTCAATCGTTGCTATGTCGCAGTGATATTAGCACAATCACCCCCAGTTTTCGGCCAAGAATGAGTGGTATAACATACTCATCAGTGCAGCACCAGCCACCAGCAAAGCATTGCCGACGACATACCAAGGCAGGTAGTAGCCAAATTTTGGCATAGCAAAGCCGTTAAATAGGCAGCCGAAGACTATCATACAGATCAAAGGCAGGATGCGCACGCCAGCCATCAAGGGGCTGTCTCCCCTGGTAAACTGGAACACCAGAGGAGTGTAGTAAATGCTCATCATCATGCTACCCGCCACCAGGAAGGCCTGTAAAGGTATGATGATGAGATCCCTTGTGACCATGAACTGCACCGGCAGGAGCCTAGCTTCGGCGGGTACCAGTGGATGATATATGGTGACGAGAATAAAGGCGATGAAGAGGACGAACGTCACAACCCAGAGAGCAATCTCGGAACCGCTGTCCCAGGCGTAAAGGGTGCCTCCAAAACTGCCAGCCATACAGAAACAGGCCATGAGTGCGGTGAAGACGGTAATGCCCACCCAATCCTGCATGCGGAGTTTCTTCATGAAGGGCGTGTCGGGCATGGCGTTCAGATTGGGCATCAAAAACATGAAAGCCGGGGCGAACAGGCCAGCAATGGGAAGATTCTATCGGCCATGTCAACATTTGCCTCTCCAAGTGGCCAGGAAGTTCTGAGTACTCACGATGTAAAATCCCCATCGCCAAGTAGCAGAGCTGACGGCAAAGGAGCCACCAATGATGGGACCCAGGACGTTACCGAACCCCCATACGGACATGAGAATGGCAAGGTAAAGCGGACGCTCGTGTGGAGTAGTCAAAACGCTGATGTAGGTCAAGCCTCCAACGTATACACCTGCGCCGCCAACACCAGCGATGGCGCGACCGATGATGATGGCAGCCATGTTAGGCGCCGCACCGCAGATTGCGCTTCCACCCTCGAACAGGATAAGACTGATCAGGAACAGCCACTTCATGTTGAAAATTCCATAGGCCTTGCCACTACACGGATTATTCTTATTAGCGACTTGATCTCGAAACCTGGACAAGCTGGGTCGATACGTACACAGGTAGAATGACGACCTGACCAAGAATAAAGCTGACACCGATCCATGCCAGATCTTGCTGATCGTTAAAGGCCTCAACGATATCAGGCTGGATTGTGGCGACCTTTGTGGTACATGAGTAATGGTAAAGCAGGGCTTTGGGCAAGGGCTCTACTCACAATAGTGTTGTCCAAGGCAAAGAGTAGAACCTATCCAAGTCAGATGTTAGCATCTCCAGGACGTGCCAAAGTCGCAGCTCCATTTTCCAGAATTATTCAGCTATCACACAGAAAGGAGACTGGAGCTTGGTTCGGTAGGACGGCGAATTCGACCACTTACGGTAGACATGAGGGACGTGTAGATAATGAACCACTAAGCCAGACAAGCGGTTAGCAGCTATCGTGATAGACCTTTGAAATGCGATGTACTTACCTTCAGGCCTGTAACGGTCCTCTTGGGCTCTTGATCGGGCGTCTCGACCCCCTTTGCCGCTCCTCCATCTGACTTTTCCACGTCCTGTACGTTGTCTGGAACTCTCGTGGAGGACTCAGAAGTCTTGTCCTCGTCGTGGCCATGGCCATTGGGGATAGCGGTGGTGTCGTCGGCGGGAGTCATTCTTGCGGCGTCGAATCGTGCCTCTAGAATGTTGATGGTATCGGCCAACTCATGTGTAAGAGTGATCGAGTCGGAAGCTTTATGTGACCTTTGAAACCACAAAAAGAGGGGATTCAATTTGTAAGCTTCGGGCAGATCGCTGCAGCTTTTTTCAAAGGCCCATCACAATGTCGAATACTTTTCCAAAGTGAGTCGGGTTGGCATGCGCGAGCCGAAAGTAAACAGAAGCTCACGTCGCTGGAGGCCATAGACGGCCGGTGACTCGTGATTGGCTAACGGCCGGTTCGGTCCGAGTTGACCGAAATTTCAGTGAACACACTTCGGGCGACCAGACCAACATAGCTTGATAAAGATTCTGCCATCTGGCAGGTGAAGGTACTCCTAATATCTCTTTCACGACTGCCAGCTTGAATACAGAAGTACTGATGTTTCGATGTGTCTGTCCTTCTCACATATTAGAGCTACTTTTGCTCAGCTGCACCGACGGGCAGTTCCAGTGGACTAATCGCCAAAAGTTAGTGGATTGATCGCCAAGACTTAGCGCATTGCTGGCCAGGATTAGGGGGCTCCAACCCCTGGCCATTGCTACAACAGCTTCCACATCAGATGCCCTCGAGCTGGTAGAAATATCTTTGAGCAATGTGACGAATCAATAAGCCAAAGTTACTATCTAGCTAGCACGTCTATACCATAGATTGAACAACTAAAGGTACTGTGAGCCTGAGGCCGGTGGTTTTCTGCCGAATCTGAGGCTCTCAGCTGAAGCAGCTGAGCATGGATTTCGGGCTAGCATTAGTTCTTAGCTCCCACCCGCTCAGCTCAGGGGCGAAGCTTGGTACACCACTGCTCGAATAACTCTGAGCTGTAGAAAGGTCAATCCAAACCAAAACTTCTCTCCAGTCTAGCTTTCCATCGATTGGAGACTTATATAGTACTTTCTAATCTACTTGTCTATCGATGGGACCAGTTACTGCTCTTGCGCGCTTTTCTTCTCAAGCCAGGGAAGGGAGAGGAAGTGGCCTCACACCGTAGTAGTAATAGAGTGCGACCCCCAGAGCCGTGACAAGGCTCAAGCTGCTTAACTTGTTCCCACCGACAATTCCTCCCTCGGTCGACCGCTTCTTGTTCGCTACATATTCCCAGGGCACCCGACCAGGAGGCAGATCTTTTACCTCTAGAAAATCCAGCCGCGGTGCACCGCTAATGATCTTGGACATCTCAGCAGCCAACATGCTGTCGGGTATGACCGGGATGATCCAAGTTGACAAGAACTTATACCACGGGGTTCTCCATCCCTGCGACATGTTCGACGAGAACTTGAATATATGCTTCATGCGTCCTACTCGCTCTTCCTGGTAAGCTGCGAGTGTCTCCTCCAGCTTTGCGCTGCTTGGCTTTCTCCAGTTGGTGTCTACAAGCATCTGACGCAAGCGATTGGTCAAGACAGCAACCGACTCCATGCTCGAGTTTCCACCCAACCCCATATTCGGCATCACCTGCTAATGTGTTATAAAACAGACGAGGAGGAATAAGCCGCCACTTCCACATACCTTGTGAGCGGAATCCCCCGCCAAGGCTATCCTCCCATGATACCAATGGTCCAGAACACCTTCCTCCAGGTGGATCACGCTCGATCGCAGACGACGTTTCCAAACTTCTCCAAACATGACTGTGTCGGACAAGGGATGATCAGCAACTGATCTTGCCAGGTCCTCTGCATCCTGCTCCGTAAAACGCTTCGCTCGCTTGGGCCACGGAAACGGCTTGTCCAGAAGAAAGTATACGCTGAAGAAGCCTTTCTTTGGTGTCAACGTGAACAGATGAGTGTGTTCAGCCGAGTTAATGACTGTCATGTCGGTTTCGCTCAGCTCTGGAATGCCCGGTGTCACAAAGACGAGGCAATACCAGTCTGCGCTTATAGCTGAGGGACATCTCGTTATCAGTGATCTGCTTTTCTTAAAGGCGTACAGTTCAAGGAACTTACCCCTTTTCTCCTTCACCGTTATCATTCCCGGCGAAGCAGCGTTCGCAGCGTCCCACATCGCACTTCTCACCGTGCTATAGACCCCGTCACAGCCCAGGACCAGGTCGCCCCTCTCAACCTCACCGTTACTCAACACAACATCCACTCCATTTTCGTCTTGCTTGATACTATCCACAGACGCGTTGGTTCTGACGCGCGTCTTGTCCGGTAAGGTCTCATATAAGTCTCGAAGGAGTTTCGGCCGTTCAAAAATGAGCATATTATAGCCGTGACTATCATTATTAGCGTAAATGCGTTGCGAGTCAATAATGCTGGAAAACAGGTTGGTGTGCTCATACGAACGAGAAACGAATGGACGTCCGGTTAACTTACTTCTTCTGGATGTGGCTGAAGAAGGTACTTTCCAGTATCTTCTTGCCGCCTGGCAGTCTGATAAACCAACGGCCAGGAGGAACGGTACCCTTCTGCACCGTATCCAGGCATCCCAGCTGATCCAGAATCCGTGACCCGTGCGGGTAGATGAACATGCTACCGCCCTCCAGCCGGGCAACTTCAGATCGGCGTTCCAGTACAATGTGATCGATGCCGGCCTTTTGAAGCATATGAGAGGCCGACAGGCCGGCAATGCCACCACCAATGACAATGACACGAAAGCGCGACTCTGTGTCAGACATGCTGGGCAAGTAGTATGGTTACTATGATGGAAAACTAGCAAAGAACGTACGAGAATGTACTGTTGGTTGTTCCCACAACCTTCACGGCCTAACGAATTGCATATTGAGTCTCAAAGTTACAACAGGTGGTCGGTTTAAATCTCGAAGCTTGAGACGTGTCTTCCTTCTGAAATATGAGTAATTACCTTATCTCATGATTTTCCATCGCTGTATTGCTATCAACATTGATTACATCGCATGATTCAATTGCCGTTCACCCCCCGCATAGAATCCGGAACCCCAGGCCATGCTATGCACATGCCCGGGCCGGCTGCTCCGTGTAGAATGCAGCAGCGCTTTTTTACCGCAGCTCGGTCCGGGCGGGACCGTGGCTTATCATCATGGTTATCGGTAAATTCGATCGTGACTATGCAATGCACCTATGCATACGGCGTTTGAGTTCTCCTCATTCGACTTTCGATCAGCCACGGCTGGCAATTCGAAGGAATCCCACCTTGTTGCCTGTCCCCCTCGAGAGCCGCAGCCCACCGAAGAGAATCCAAAAGGCTTGTTCGAAGGCCTCAATCTCTGTTGCTGTAGCTCGGGATCAAGCAGAATATTTTATTTTGTTTCACTGTTCTTTGGTACGCAGTTGTGTGACTCTTTCATCCCGTCCACTTGCAGTTGCGATACCTCAACACTTTAGTCGTTCCATGATGCAGAAACCCTTTCGTCCCAAAGCGGCCATCTCCACCTTTCCAAATAGTGAAAGACATTTTCGACTTTTGTTCTACACTGCCGTTGCCCTTCTATGGGGTGCTAGTGTCTTGAATGGAACTATCAAGGCCCTCTTGGTAGCGGTATGGAATGGACGTCTGGAGGATGGCACGTTGCTGAGAAGGGACTATACCGGCTTTCCCCCATTGGACTACCCACTGGCAGTCTTGGTAGCTTTTTTCTTCTCTGGAACCAACGGCCAGAATGAGGCTTATTCTCTCTTTCTCTTCGATCTATACATAAATCTGCAGCTTGGGTATTTATGGCTGTATGTGGAGGCTGCACGGCCGGGCCAGAAGCCACGCTGGATTCAGAGGTGGGCTAATTCTTTCCCGCACTGCAGGCAACTTGAGAGTAGTATGTGCTAAGAAAACTCGCGACGTTAGTCCTATCTATTTCGCGCTTCTTTGGCAAGCTTGCGGTGGCGCCGTAGCTTTCCCACTGTATTTTGGCCTACACATCCGGTGGGCCTCCCAGGAGAGGCCAGCACAGGTGGTGGACTTGCACAAAGCCCGAGCTCTGCCACTGGCGTTCATACTAGGCGCTGCTGCTCCCATGATTGTCCTGATGGCTCCGACGTGGCTTGGCCCGGAAGCCCGGTCTCCAGCATCGCAGCAAATGATTGTTGCACTATTTCAACCGTCCCCTGTTCTATTCTCTTTACTGTTGACCTTGTTCACTCGAGCATCGGAATATGTCGGCCGTGATGGTCGGAACATTGGTCCAGATGGCCCCAGGGACAACAGAGTGGTGAGACGGTGGGTTCAAGGATCATACCTGGCTGCTACAGCAGTATCGGTCATTGGCCGCTTGTACGTACTCATCAGAGTTTTCACTGCCGAGAAAGGTGACTCGGTGAACTTACTGCGCATGTATGTACCGCACCCCTTCAGCGGACCTGTTGGGACGACTGTGGTCCTTGCCGGAGGACCATGGCTGTTCCTACAGTGGGACAGTATCGTCATCAGCCTGGCAAGTTCTTTTTGGGCCTTGGTACTTCTGGAAAAAGACGGAGTTGTGCGGGAAAGTATAGCAATCGTCGCACTAGTATTAGCCGCGGGGAGTGTAGTGCTTGGACCTGGAGCAACTGCTACGATGGCGTTATATCTTCGAGAAAGCCATTTGCCTGAGAGGATGAAGTGCACCTAGATACTTAGCTGTCTTTGGCAAGAGAAGCGTAGTATACTAGGATAGAGGTTATGTCGACCTCATGGTTGAGTGAGATTGGACGAATACAAGTTGCATATTTGCACAGATTGCATGACTCCTATGCGTCAAAGGTAGAAAAAGGAACCATTTGCTCGCCTGCTATTCGTGCTCAGGACGGCTTTCTTAAAACGAGGGTGTTTATACATGCCAGATAAATAGTGACATTATCTATCACAAGTTTACACACCGTGTTGAACTGCCAAGCACTACGTTTTTGGTGGGTTCGTATAAAAATCCCTTCTTCATCATGGGATCTACCTCTACTTTCCATTGCACCACGGGTATTGGATGACATCAGTCTAATATGTGGAGCTCTCATTCTATCACCGGCCCAACTGTTATATCTTTGTGTCATTGTGAGATGTTACGAGCCTGCTCCGTCAGAAGGGCGCATATGTTGTACCGAGAGCGGAAAAATTCGGCACGCTCGCGTGCTTGGTCCTGGAGTTCCTCGTCAAGGCTAGCGAGTCTTGTAGCCATAGCACCACCAGGCGGTGCGATCCCTTCCAGTGCCGTTATCAGCTCTCGCAACGCGCTGTTGCTTTTGGACTGGCTACTGTCACAGAGTTCCCGGACACGTGTTTCGAGTGTCTCCAGAATGCCCACATAGTGCGGGCCTTCATTGACCGAGCCGCCACCGCCTGGGGGTACCTTCCTAAGCCAGGCTATATAATCCGCGATCAAGGAGCCCATGACGGACGCCTCGGCCTGGCTACGGAGCACTGTAGATGAGAAGGATATCACCGGTCCAAGAATCGCCGCGCCTGTTTCCTCGTTGATGTCCTTGCGGCAATCGAATCCGTTCTGGGCGTAGAAGTCAAGACCAACAGAATCAATGTTCATGTCCTCACCAACCGAGAACGGGTCCATAGTGGCTTGTCTTCCCAAAGCCTGCCATACTGAGGGATCTGGAAGCTCTGATCCGGACAAGTGCATATCATGTGGCTGAAATAACAGGTCTGGATGGCTGGACCCATTGGGGAGAGCACCGACACCACCTCCCGGATGCGCCGTCGAAGGCATATGAACAGTCGAAGGGGTCAGGGTCTGGGAGTCGGGGTTGAGGGGCCCGTCGGAAGTGTGTGAAGATGGTGGAGTGACTTTGTCAGCCGGAGAACCGTTCAAGCGAGAGATGTAGGCCTCTGCTTCTTCTGATCACGTCGGCCACCAGGAGCAAGTTAGTCATTGCGGCGTTGAGAACAAGTATACAACTTTGATTCTGGGGCAGTGGGGTGGGAGAAACCCACCTAGGCGCTTTTGTAATGACTCCACCGTCTGAGCCAGATCTGCTTTGGTTGGTCTCTGCGTCGGCAGATACACGCACTGCTCGCCCGCCTGTATGCATTTCCGACACTGCGGCTGCTCACCTCCACACTTGACTTTACGGTCCCGACATAACTTCCCACACGTTAGCTGAGCGCATCGTGCTTGGAGAAATCGTCACACCTTGCATGCAACACGACGTGATTGCCCGCCATTCGGGGTAGCCATTTTCGCAACGGGTGTGGCGCTGTCTCCTCAAATGCGAGGCGATTCAGCACCACTGGGCGGCGTCGGTGTCGTAAAATGCAGCAGTTGTTCTGTTCCTCCGTGGACGCCGTAAGGCACACGCCCTAGGAAGCCAATTGACTGAGCAGGTCGTTGAGTCAACACTCGCCTCCAGGATGGATCGGCCTTAAGCACGCGCCCGCTATTCAGTATAGGATGGCCTGGGTTTCGAGCCTCCAAAAACGTGGCTAATCCTCTCGAAGGATAACGCAGCGGGTGGTCCTTTGCTAGTCGCTTTGCGGAACTGCGGGGTAGACTGTTACGGAAAGTAGTGTGTGTATGAATATGCAAATGGCAAATGGCAAGGGCGAGTATCGTTATTGGGTGGACGCGGTATCTCTGAATTCGCGCTCTGGCTGTCTTCTTAACAGGACGGAGGTTACAGTCAGAGGAGTGAGATGACGAAAACGAGAGATTCCCGACGGCACTTGGTCGTAGATTGTCGAACCATGGGCGGATACAACCAGGAGGCTTGACGGGTTTAATTGTCAGCAGTGGCTTCGGCCGGGCACAATCGTACTAGTTATGCATGCTTGTTATGCCCGCTATTACATGAAGTAGTACACCCGCAGATCACACCATATTTGCTGTGGGTGTGATTGGCTGACAGCGGAGGCGCGGATTTACCAGTTGAGCTGTGCGTCTTGCAGCAGCTCCATGCCACCACCAGCTTTCCTGACTTAGGTCGTGGCCATCCTCCCGCACGCAATACCGTAGACACGTTTTCCCCGGTTTTTACTCCGTCTTTTGTTCCCCCTTATCCCACGAGCTTTTGGCAGGGGACCTGCAAGTGGCAAGCGTCCAATGCAATGACCTGAAGAATCGGTATCAATTTCGCCTAAAATGGCAAAGTTCCACTTGACAGCCGCAAGTGAAGATATATGCGTCTGCCTCAAGTGCCGCGGAGCTCTGTACTGAGGGCATGTGACCAGTACTTTTTGCACCACCAAAGATAGCAGGGAATCGACGTACCATTCGGGCGACCTCGAGTGATTTGCAGTCCTGATCGTGCACGATCCGGATCAGCGACTTCCTAAAAGTACTAGCTAACTCTTCAAGAATCTAACAGATCCTCTACCACTTCGTGGCATAGCTGTCCCGTATTATCAACCCCATGACCACGCGACGGGGTATCTCAACAAGCACAACGGTTGCCAGTCATCCCCAAGCCATATTCAGTTTGATACAAAAGAAAACGAACTACTTCCAACACGGCAATGGATTGCAGAGCGCGCTAAGATGTGTTGTGACAACATTGTGACAACGTTGTGAGATTGATTGTTTATTGTCTTCTCTAAATCAGACTAGTGTGCTTTCCTATCATCCCATTCAGCCAGCACAAGACATACCTCCGTCAATTACAATCGGAGCACCTGTGATAAATCCACTTCCCGGGCTCAGGAGGAATGCTACTGTCTCAGCTACTTCCAAGGGTGTTCCCAGTCGGCCAAGTGCGGCTGTTGGACCTCTGCCATACATATCCGCGCTTGCCGTTACCCCCATTGATTTTGCAACGGCCCGCAGCATCGGTGTATCAATCAAGCCACTATAGGCGGTTATTATAAAGAAGCTTTATTGGGAACGAAGGAGGATGGGTGTCATGCAACAGTCCGAAGAATGGTTAGGTGGGCTTACGGTGCGATAGCATTAACTCGGATCCCCCTAAGGCCCTCCTCCTTCGCTACCGTGCGTGTGATTCCAATGACTGCATGCTTGCTGGCTACATATGGCATGTAACCACCCAGACCCATCAGACCAGAGAGACTGCCAGCGTTGACGATCGCGCTACCATTGACGCCCGGGCTGCCCTCGCGCATGTGCGGCAGCTCCGCACGCAGCGAGTTGATGGTGCCTTTGACGTTGACATCAAAAATGAAGTCGATCTCCGCGTCACTGGCAACTCTACTGTCGGTTGCTGCCGCCTTGGGCAAGGTCACAACGCCTGCAAGGTTTGCCGCTCCATCAATCGGCCGCCCGCCAAAGTGGGAGACCGTGGCGGTAATCCAGTCGCGGCACGCGTCCTGGGAGCGGACATCAACCACGGATGTGAATGGCGCAGTACCTACGTTTCCCGTGATCCCCTCGATCTCAGCTTTCAAGGTATGCAGGCCGTCCTCGGTAATATCCGAGAGGGAGAGAAGCGCACCGCGGCTGGCAAGAATCTTGGCGGTCTCGCGGCCGATGCCGGAAGCTGCGCCGGTGATCACAACCAGCTTGTCCTGGAAAGAGGCCGCCATTATGATGAATTAGCGATGATCAAATTGGGTCGATCTGAACACTGAATGCACGTGGATTGGTTTTGCAGTCTTCGTATCTAGGTGATCGATGCTACAGCAACAAAGAAGACAAGCAACTCGTCAATACTCGTCTCCCAACTTTGCCATCCGAGCGGACAGAGACGTGTATGTAGCCTCAGTGAAACTATTCCCTTGCCTGCAGGTCCATTGTACAGACTACATGGGAAATGCAGATGAGTGCCACTGCAGTTACATGCTATGCCTTACTAGTAGCCCCACGCTTGATCGACAAGGCCGTCCTTCTGGTGTTCGTGCCGGAAACGAGACTAGCCCGGCAAAAAACGCCCGTTGCCTCATCTTAGTTGCCGGTAACAAACCAATACGCCCGGCCTCGAAGTTGGTGTGGGACTACATGGGGGTTTTGGCGTGGTTCATCTGCGGGCCGCGCGGACCGAGATACGTCAGATCGAAAGTGGGTCAAATGCAGATCCTATAACGATCTGGGGGTTGCAGACAAAGCCTTACAATCCATACAGCGTTGTTCTCGAAGTTTGTGTTCCTATTTAGCCTTCTAGAATAGAATCTTAACTAGTGACAGGTCTTCTAACGCACTCGCGACCCCTTTTTACACTTTGCACGTAAATTCACTAACACAATGACTTCAGGATTGAAGGGATTCGCGGCCTTGAAACCCGCCGTTATTTCAAAGGTCAATGTTGACGTGACTAAAATCCATCCTTTTGGTAGGCTCTACTCGAATATATGAAGTTTGTTAGGCGGGTGCTGATCTGCGACAGGGGCGGCCCACAATGGGTCTAGGCTTACACATTTCGTAAGCGATCAGAGCTTGGTCCCTATATTAACTCATCGGCTGATACGTCTCTTTTCTCTAGGAATGCCCTACTGGGAGTATTGAATCAGTTCCAGGGTTCGAGCCGGCCTTCAAAGCTGATATCACTTTCGGCGGTGACTGGTTTTCCATGGACGCAGACGGGGAGCATGGCCGCGTCGACTTCAGAGGAATCGCCAGGTGAGTCTTCGAATCTCCTTCAAGATTGAGTATGGCTATAAAACTGACATGAAAACTTACATTGCAGAACAGAGGATGGCAACGAGATTGACGTTCGTGTCTTTGGCATTGTGAAAATGGGGCCTGAGGCGTCCAAGCTTTTCAATCTGCAGCCGGACATGGCCACAGTCCCTTTTGGGTGGATCAGTGAGTTCGCCCAACCCCGTGATACGCTTTTATCTTTATTTATTAATGGCGCATCAACGGCTAATACTCGTATGCAGCTGCCAAGGCTGAGTACATTGTTTCAGACCCCAGGTTGAAGGTCTTAGAAAACAGCATTCTTGTAGGCAATGCTAGTGCGATTGTTGATGCCAATGGAGTTACTATCGAGAACAGGCAGTCGATTGTTGTCGCAACGACCGCTGAATAAAAAATGGGATGGTCTGAGGGTGGCAACTAGGTCCATAGACATCTTAAGGCGCTCCTTAAAATAGGCAAAACATTCATCTCGGGAGAAATGGTATCAATCTTGGATTGAGAATATTCGTATCGCGAAGATTATGACGGTTCGCCGGTAGTTATGGAATGAACTTCTAGGAAAGTTTTATCCTGAATGTGAATCTTCATTCACTCACATTCACCAAAGTCTTGAAGGCCTTTCTGCAATGTATATCTTCCCTTTCACTCTACAGCTGAGGGCTTTCCCTCGTTGTTAAAGTCTGCGCTATATTTGATCCTCATACAGCTTGGTATAAACCCGCTTCTCTCTAGTCTGAATCTGAGGAGTGCGCAGAAAAGCCTCCTATGATCTAGGGGATGACTCAGGCAGTCGACTAAGTTTTCTTGAACCATATACAGATGAAGTCAAAGATATTCTCGGATATTCACCAGAAGTCATCCTGGTAGGCTACAATAAGTTCTATGGTGCTACAGACGCAGACGCAAAAGTGAAGAACCTGAACCCTTGCAAAACAGCCAGAATCGCTGCCCCAGCGCCGACAAGTCGCACTATTCTAGACGCGATAGATGAGCCCTGAGAAACCTTCTCTGTTTCATGGTCGATCCATGTTACAGTCCCCGGGCCGAAGCCTGCGTCATCCACGTAGTCCAATTTCGCACCGCGCCGGATGATTTCAGTAAGCTGGTTTGCGAGCTCCTTGTCCGACTGCATAGGGAATACCCAGGTATCTACGAACTTGTGATACGGAGTTTCCCAAGCTTGGACCTTTGTGACCAGTCTGCAGAGCTCCGATATCTCCTTCATACGAGGTACCTGTCTGTTTTGATAGAGTTCAAAGATCTCACTCAGCTGCTCCTGGCTCGGCTTTCTACCCTTATTTTCTGATAGTATCCGATTCAAATGGTTGCATAAGACGGCTGTGGACTCAATACCGCAATTTCCACCAAAGCCCATGTTCGGGGTAAACTTTTGTCAACTGTCAGCAAAGTGAAATGCGAGTCGGCGATCTGTGACAAGGCTGATATATGTTCACATACCTTGTGCACGGCATCGCCAGTAAGTACAATCCGGCCGGAGTGCCAATGATCATAGACACCATCCTCAAGGTAGAGAAGTTCCCCACGAAATCGCTTCTTCCACAGCTCTCCGAAGAGAAGCGTATCCGAAATTGGATGATCGGCCACACTTTCTACTAACGCGTCACGATCGGCATCTTTCGAGTTCGGCCGACCTGGCCAAGTGTATGGCTCATCAACGCGGAAGATAAAGAAGAAGTAGATACGGTCGGGCTGAGAAAATGCAATGAAGGTTTTTCCTTTGTCTGAAACGGATGTCATATCCTGTACACCTAGACCTGGCATCTGAGGAGCAACTCCAATCACAGCTTTCCAGTCCGTCCTGTAGTCTGTTTTCAACGGGCTTGGATTAGCGGGCCTGATTGTACAATGACAGGAAACCAGGAGCTCTGAGGAGTATTGGATTCACTCACTAGCCTTTTCCTTTGCAGTAATGAGCCCTGGTGTTATCCTATTCGCATGTTCCCACATGATGCTTCTCACGATGCTGTGTGCTCCGTCGCAACCAAGCACGATATCACCGGTCTCGACTTGGCCATTGTAGAGCGTAACCTGGACCTGGTCACCGACATGTTTGACTTCCTTCACACCGCATCCTGTTTTGATATAAGACTTGTCCGGGAGCGAATCGTATAGTATCTGGAGAAACTCTCGCCGTTCCAGAAGGATGTAGCCAACACCGAAACTAGTATTATAAAGACTTGTGATTAGCTCATTGATTCATAAGATGAAACTTTCCATTTCAAGCAGTCATGGATTGAACAGGATGGGGCAGTAGACTCTTACTTTTTCTCCACATGGCGGAAAAATCCGTTGTTCATAAGCATTTCCCCCTCTGCTCCGCGGTAAAACCATCGGTCGGTGGCTGTGCATGCTGCTAAAACTCCCTTCAAGGCCCCAATCTGATGCAGGACACGCGCGCCGTGAGGATACATGCCAATACTGGCTCCTTCCGGCGGCGCAACATTGTCTCTTCTCTCCAGAACGACATGGTCGATACCTGCTATCTGCAGGCAGTTCGATGCAACAAGTCCGGTCACACCGGCGCCGATGATGACGACTCGAAATGGGGACTTCGACTCTGCCATGACTGCAAGGATTATACAGGTTATGAGAAGAGTTGACGCCCACTTAGCCTTACGTGTGGATTAGTACTGGTATCACTGCAAGTGGCTGAGAGCAAGTAATATGTCTGTCATTCTTCCCTATCGAACTAATCTACCAGCATCATCAGATTATCTTGCCACTATCTCGGACGAGGCCGCTGAGGACCAGACTATCGAGTAGCTATCCATTGAGTTTAATCCATCATACACCGTAGTGCCGGCCGCTTGAGCTGAAGTACGGACGCAAAGAAACATTGTGGTCCGAACGGCCCGAGCGGCCCGGCAAGGGTGATTAGATTACTGGAGACTGTGGGTGAGCCGTGGAGTGGATACTCACGGGCTATCCTTGTATGGCAATTCATTTCCGCTCGGTGCTTCCGGCCCGAGCCGAACAAGCCCTGCAGTCTTGTCTTTGACTAGGTTCCGGGAACAGCCTGTTGCATTTGCATTGATACCAGTTCACAAGCCTTCGCCGCTGGCCCCGATTCGTCCACTCACACGCCAAGAATAAATCCTTCACAGGTTGGGCTCCACCACTCGGTGCCCGTGAGGAGTACAACATGTGGGCCAAGCCTGCGTCTAGGATATTCCGGCTCCGGTCTGCAAGGGGTTATGTTTCTATCAAGGTCTAATGCGATGTTAGTAGGCCTGTCTATCTGTGCGTCTCTTGAGGATGACCCCTTGTTCTTGCAGAGGCTGAGACAATCCATCGGGGGGTAAAGCGCTGCCAATCCATGTTTCTCGTCTAGCGCCAAGCTGTGCGCGCGCAGCGTTTACTTGTAAACCTACTGTGGGAACAAACAATAGTAAAGATAGAATTACCAAGCTTTTCTACCTGTAGGGACTTGCTGATCCCACGGTCAAGGGACATCCCATATAGTCTAGTTTGATGACAACCAATCGAAGCTGAAAGGATAGGCCATCAAAGTAAAATCAATCGAATGGCATGAAGCGTCAGATGTATATAGTGCATGAGAATATGCTATACGTAAACAGTTTTTCGTACTTTCTCTCTCTTGTGCCTCTTATGTTAGTCCAGCATATCACTTAGCGACCATAGAGGCCAAATAGTATCGTGGCAAAGAATGCAACGAGAAGGCCAACAAGCACAATTTTCACCGCACCGACCCCTGAATCGACTGCTTCGGACTTGCCCTCTCGCTTCCATGATTGCACTTGGCGAAACTCATCAATGATCCCTCGATAATGCTTCGGATAATACGGCAGAAACTTGTCCGCAAATGGATTAGTCTTCCGTCTTGTCTGGATACCCAGATCGCTCAGCAGGAGGTCGATGTACTGTTGCTTGGTCAGCTTTGAAATTCGCCCATTAGGCTTCCCAGCCATCGCCCAATATCCTCGGTCGGATTAAAGGCTCTTCGGATAGTGTGTTTAATGAACACTTACCGAGATAAAATCATATATGCCGTATGAGTGTTTACGGCCCTGAGTGAGATATCGCTTGGCGGTCCAGGCGTTCCACACTGCTGCCTCCTCCTCCATCTCGGGCAGGGATGGCACATCATGCAGGCCGAGCATAAATGCAACCCCCCACAATGCCTGCACCTCACCGACCAGAGGGGTGTAGACGTTGTGCATCAATCCTGGGAAGAAAATGGATCTGTCACCTTCTGCTGCAAGCTTAGGTGCGACCATACGTCGATAATGTCGGGACGGTCCGAACGAAAGTTGTTTCTTCTCTCCATTGATAGTTTCTGTTTTCATGGTTTCCAGATCACGGAGTGGGACGCCAGATTCTCGGAGTACGGGCAGCAACACATCAACAGTCTTGGCCGCCCTAGTCTCGAGGCGAGCCCACTTACCCTTCTCGGTTGAGTCGAGCTTCAACCCGCACTGCACCTCCAAGTCGTCGTCAAATGGGTCATAGTTCTTGTCGAATCCAGTACATAGTATCACGTAGTCTGTCTTTAGCTGGGTCCCGTTTCGAAGTTTGACGGTGTTGTCTACAAATGACTCCGGCTCGGTTCTGTGAACGGTCACATCTCCAGCATGAAACACCTTCCAAAAATTAGGAACGCTGGCACAGCCGAGGCCTCCATTTGCCCAGAAGATCCTATTGCTCCGGTTAGTTACAGTTATGTGTGTAGGAAGTTGCAGTGACGAGTGTACCCTTCGCCATGTGGAAGCGGTCTCAATTTGGCCGCATTGGAAGACCTGTTGTAGCCAGCATGTCTGTCGGCAATCCAGTTGGTGATTCTCCAGAACACTTTATGACACGCCAGACCTAGAGTTGTTCTATGAATGAACTTGTAAGAAAGGCCCTTCGTAGCCATAATACTAGCCCCAAAGGAGGCGAATATTCTAGTGGACATCACGTCAATGGTATTGACTAGGCCGAAGATCGATGGCGGCATCAGCGCCGCAGCGCCAGCTCCGTCCTTTCGGATAATCCAGTCGACTTTCTTCCCAGCATTGAGAAGAAGGAAAACTGTATCGAAAGCTGACTTCGCTCCACCAACCACTGTTGCTCTTTGGATCTTGTCGAGGGCATCAAGATGGGTCCCTGTCTCTGTCGAATGAATTATAGGTATGTCAAAATCCGACATAGGCCAAGAAGGAATGACAGCATGAGATGTTGGCCCCGACGAGTAGATCAGTTTGGCACATTGCACTGGAGCCTTTTCATCTCCGAGATCCAATCGCCAGCCACGTCCTGGCAGGCGCGTGATTTGGCGAATGGTGGTGGACAGACGGGACCTCCTTGAGAGATCATATTTCTCTGCAAACTCGACAAGGTATTTGTTAATGGTGTCTCCTGGGATGTATCCATCGTCACTGATGCCTTCCCGGCGCATAGGGAAGAATGAGTACTCAAATTGACCGTATTTGACCTGGGCGTATACTGCAATGCGGGAATTTAGCCATTACTCTTAGGCTGCGACCAACATCTTGAGTTATGAATCTTGAATGTGAAGAGCCAAAGCCTAAATCTACGCTCAAACTGTACAAAATGACTCGAGATAAGACTTACAGCTGGGATAAATTCTCTCTATTCTCCACGATCCACCGATAGACTCTCCATTGTCGATCAAGATCAAATTTGCCTGAGGCTCAAAGTCGAGATATGTCTTCGCAGAAATGAGCCCTGTCCAGCCTATATCAGGGGATCAGAAAATGGCAAAGTCCGCCAATCGAGTGGAACAAACCTACCGGTACCGACCACGACGCAATCCACTTGTTCTGCTTCCATTCTGTTCAATTGATGAATGTTGAAAGTCAACCTACAAAACGGTCCAACCCTTGAAGAACGCAATTTTTCAAGTATGATCAAGAAACTAATTTTCAATAAAATTTCCCACAGGATCTACAACACTATTGACCTGTGTGCTTATGTCCTGCTTCACCAACTCCTGGTTGCTGGCCAAGGTAGTCTACAGGCTGAATGACAGCCCATCTCGTACGACATCTCAGCGTTACTAAGCCCCCATAAGAGCGTGTAGATAGATACTTTAGTCTAGGTTCCAGATTTTGCGCGGTGTAAACTAGCAAAGGGTGGCTCGGGGGTGCCCGGGGAAATCTTGCCGAACATACCCATCGAACATTCCGGCTAGAGTTGACCAGTGCATTACCCCCGTTCTAGAACATATCACTAAGTTCAATACATAGGCCCCACCTACACTTCGGCTCCTTCCAGCCGTTGCCACGGCAGTCTTTACGCGACTTCGCGGCCCGGTTGATACGACATGACCAAGGTTAGTGCCGCCGATAAGAGCTATATTCGATCAGATTCGCCGTAGAACCTTGGATATTCTGCATCTGTAGCAAGGATTTCCTCTACCTATAGGCAAAACAGTGCGGGTTTCGGTATGTCCACAATTTTCACCAGCTTGGCCGATTTGGGCGCGTATGAGATCCAGCACCTGTAGTGCAAAGCACTGCGATAGCTGATACTTACCCAATCCGCTCCCGCAAATGAGTATTTTCGGGATTGTTTTTGCCGGCAATGACCCACACGCTACCCGGATGGATTTCACTGGTCGAGAATGACCTCTGTCCCACTTTCCGGTATTCAGAGCACCATATCACCGAAGAGGTAGACTTTGAGGTTATCTATGTAGCACAGAGACTTATAGCCGAATACAACAAGATCCAAACGTATAGAAGCCATATCTAGGCCATTGTATTCAGACCATCTTATTTTGGGCGTCGCCTGGCAGACCATATTCTCTGTCATCGTATATTGTAAGGTCATTAACAGGCCAGAATCGTCCTAAACTCTCAGCCTGGTTCTATTCAATACACCATCGACTGCAAAATGCCGGGCTTGATTGTGCAGTCGAGGACATCCTCGGAGGGGCCCCATGCCAGTAGGCAGGGCTCTAGTCGCAACTCTGTGATTGAAGATGACTATCCGGCGGCCACCTTCCCTGGCTACGCGGAGAAACCCCTCGACGAGCAGTTGGAACCGATCGCAGTAATTGGGATGGGTAAGCTGTGGCGCGTGTCTGAATTCTTTTTTTTTTCTTTTCTTTTTTTTCACATTGAGAGACTCATAGCTTACGGGTGGGCTCAGGTTGTCGATTACCTGGGGATGTTGGATCGCCGGCCGATTTCTGGGACATGATTATGAGCAAGGGAACTGGCCAAACACCCAAGGTACCAGCTTCACGGTTCAACATCGAGTACGTACTATTGATTGGCCCTATCTTAGTCAATGCCAACAGGCATACTTGTACGACACAACCCCTAATCTTCATAGTGCACACCTTCACAAGAACAACGATCGACCAGGAAGTTTCGCTGTTCCCGGCGGTTATTTCCTCAAGGGAGATCTGTCAGATTTTGATCCTGCCCTTTTCAATATTACTCCGATCGAGGCTATGTGGATGGACCCACAACAGCGAAAGCTACTAGAAGTTGTTTATGAAGCACTGGAGTCCGGTGGTATCTCACTCGAAGCCATCGCAGGCACACGAACCGCTGTTTTCGCTGCTAGCTTCACAGCTGACTGGCAGCAAATGTCGTTCAAAGAGTCTTCGTTCCGACATAGTTTGTCTGCCACCGGTGTTGACCCTGGTATTATTAGCAACAGAATCAGTCACGTCTTTAACCTAAACGGCCCTAGCATTGTGTGCAACACAGCATGCTCTTCCTCAGTCTATGCGCTTCACAACGCCTGTAATGCGTTGAGAAACGGCGAGGCGGAGGGCGCCATCGTTGGTGGTGTCAATTTGATCATCACGGTTGACCAACACATGAATACTGCAAAACTTGGGGTTTTATCACCAACGTCGACGTGCCATACGTTTGATACTAGTGCCGATGGCTATGGGCGTGCTGACGCTGTCGGCGCCGTCTATCTGAAGCGTCTCTCTGATGCTGTCAGAGATGGCGACCCAATTAGGGGTGTAATTCGATCCAGCGCAACCAACTCGAACGGCAAAGTCCCTGCCGTTGGCATAACCTACCCAAACAGAGATGGGCAGGCCGATGTGATTGCGCATGCCTACCAGCGTGGAGGAGACTTAGATCCTCGGCTCACTGGCTATTTCGAGTGCCACGGAACCGGAACAGCTATCGGCGACCCCATCGAGGTCGAGGCGGTGTCGATAGCGATGAACAAAACTCGGCAGGCCGACGAAGATCCTCTGTGGATTGGCGCCGTCAAGACCAACATCGGGCACAGTGAGGCTGCTAGTGGTCTTTCGGCCTTAATCAAGGCTATCCTTATGGTCGAGCGAGGTGTTATTGCACCAACTCGAGGTGTCGTTGAACCGAACCCAAAGATCAAGTGGGACGATTGGAAAGTCAGAGTCGTAAACAACCCTATCCCTTTTCCTGCACACCTACCAGTGAAGCGTGTGTCTATCAACAGGTAAGGTCCTACCACCTGATCTTTTGAAGAGCCAACTAACATCTAGATTAGTTTTGGTTACGGCGGCACCAATGCTCATGTCATTGTCGAGGCAGCTGATTCCCTGCTAAAGAGGGAGCAAACTTACAAGTATGTCGATGTAAACACAGAGAAGCGGCGCAAGAAAGGCCCTAGGCGTGCAGCACACAAAAAGCGACCATTTCTGCTGCCTTTTTCTGCTCATGACAGACCAACGCTGCAGCGCAATATTGCCGCTCATGCTAAGGTCGCCGCTAACTACGATCTCCTCGACTTGTCTCATACCCTTAGCAGCCGTCGCAGTGTCCTGGCAAGCAAAGGTTTCACTGTAGCCAGCCACAAGAACCTAGAAGAAATCTTCAGTGACGTGAGCACGAGTTTCACATTTGCGGACAAGAAAAAGACCCCAACTCTGGGTTTCGTATTTACTGGTCAAGGAGCACAGTGGGCGCGCATGGGATCGGACTTGATGGCGAATAGTCCTCGATTCTTGAGATCCATCCGCAACCTGGACTTGGCCCTGGAGGAACTTCATGACGGCCCATCATGGTCGATCGAGGATGTTCTTCTTGAGCCTGCAGAGACCTCCCGTGTCAGCGAAGCTGAGTTCTCTCAGCCTCTATGTACTGCCGTGCAGATCGCTCTGGTGCAGCTGCTCGAGTATTGGGGTATTCGCCCTGTCGTGACTGTTGGTCACTCTTCGGGGGAGATGGCCGCAGCTTATGCTGCAGGCTTGATATCGGCTACAGAGGCCATTACGCTTGCTTACTATCGTGGCGTAGTTACGCGTGACGTTGATACTAAGGGCGCCATGATGGCTGTCGGCCTCGGCGCCGAAGCAGTTACTCCATACCTTCAAGGCTTTGATGGCAAGATAGTGATCGCATGTCACAACTCTCCGGCAGGTGTGACATTGAGCGGAGATGCAGATGCTCTGGAAGAAGTCAAGGCTAAGCTAGTCAACGACGGCGTCTTCGCGCGCATCGTCTTGACAAACGGCAAGGCATACCATTCTCACCATATGGCTCCGGTCTCGTCCAATTACGAGAAGCTTGTCCGTGCCGCTCGGGAATACACCCCTTTTGATCTTGCTGTCCCAACAACAGCGAGAATGGTTTCGTCGGTCACCAACAGTATTATCCCGGAGATGACCCATCTGGATGAGACATACTGGAGCAAGAATCTTCGAAGCCCAGTTCTCTTCAATCAAGCGGTCCAAACCATCTTGACGAGTAAGGAGTTTTCGAATGTTGACCTACTTGTCGAGATCGGACCACACTCCGCAATGAAAGGCCCAATCCAGCAGATTAAGGCGGAGCTCAAAGCCTCGAAGATTGACTACCTCCCAACACTCTTGAGGGGCCATGACTGTGCAGTGCAGCTGCTGAACCTCGCCGGTGAAATGTTTCTGCGCAGCTATCCCATGGACATGGAACGTGTGACGACCGCATATGTTGAGGAGACCACGAGCAGCGGCAAGCTGTCTACCACCAAGGGCTCCATCATTGTCGACCTTCCCCCATACCAGTGGAATTATACCCGTCCGTTCTGGGCAGAAAACCGTGCCAGCCGTGAGCAGCGTGTGCCCAAGTTCCCTAGACACGACGTGCTTGGACAGATTGTCATTGGATCCTCTTTGGCTGAGCCAACATGGAGAAACGTTCTCCGTGCGCGCGATCTGCCCTGGCTGAAGGATCACAACTTGGGTGGGGCAAATATATTCCCGGCGGCTGGTTACTTTGCTATGGCCATGGAGGCCGTCACTCAGCTGAACGAGTTGAGTGAATCCCCAGTGACCATCCAGAGTTATGTATTACGAGATGTCTCAATTCAGAAGGCTCTTGTGACGCCTGACACTGATGATGGCATTGAAGTCATGCTCAACCTCCGCCCCTCCATCTACAGTGGTGAATCCACGACGACCTGGTGGGATTTTGGTGTTTCATCGATTGATACCGATGGCGTTCTGAAAGAGCACATGGTCGGCAGCATCGCCATCAATGCACGTCAGCGAGGTGTTGAACCGCGCAAGGTGCCGGACGCGCCGCAGCGTGCAAGTGGTAAAGCTTGGAATGAAGCTCTGCGTGATGTTGGATTCGACTACGGTCCCACGTTCCAAGACATGGACGACATCCGCTTTGATGGCAAGAACTACTGGTCCAGCTGCACCACCAACATCAAGACCCAGGTAGACGAGTCGCTGGGAGAATCACGCTATCCTCTCCACCCTGCTTCTATAGACTCTGTCCTGCAGCTATGTATCGCAGCTATCCATGCCGGTCGGACTAATGCAATGGAGTACGGTGCAATTCCCATCCAAGTCGACGAGGTCACAATCTGGCCCCCTACTAAGGAGCAAATCGACACTGCCAAGGCAAGTGCTTATGCTTGGTGTGACCAACGCGGTATCCGCAACTTCGAGACTGGTGCTCAGATGACTGCAGACGATGGCGAGGTTGTTGTGGAAATCACCAGCCTTCGCTGCGTCAGCTACGAGGCTGGAGTTCCACAAAAGGCAGAGTCAGCGTTGAGTGAAGCACCTTATGGCAAGATGGCTTGGGAGGTGGACTTTGACAGCCTTCAGTCCGTATCTGACGTGAATGGTCTGACGAGCGCAGACCTGACAAATTTGGCGTTGTTCAAGAACCCGGGGTGGAAAGTCCTCCATTTGGGCACATCCCACGTGCACGAGGTCCTCAAGAAGAACCCGCGAGCCGACTACACAATCGCCGTGATGTTAGATTCGGAGGTCGAAGCCGTCAGGGCGGCCCTGGTGAACTATCAGAGCGCCAAAGTTGCAAAGCTCGAGGACATATACGCCCTTTCTGCAGAGTCGTATGATGTCGTGGTCGTAGACCAAGACAAATACGCGACGAAGTATGTGCTTCCAAGGGCTTGGCACACATTGAAGTCCCATGGCCATGCTTTCATCGATTTTGTTGACAATATCCTTGATCTCGAATTAGGTGGACTTGAGCGCACCTTGAAGAGCAATACTGGCACTACTATCACCCAGAAAGCCAAAGAAAGCGTGAATGGACACGCGAATTGCATACGAAGCCAGAAGCTTACCACTCAGCTGGTGTACCGCAAGCAGCAGGCTGACATTATTCCAATCGTTCGCGCCGCTCTTCAAAGCCTAGATTGGGGTGTTGAAGTCATTCCCTTGGCCAAGGCTGTCCAGTCAGGTGTCAAGGGGCATGTCATTATCCTTGCCGACTTTGAGGGCCCACTTCTGCACACGGTGAACAAGAGCGAATTTGAGTCGATCCAGGAGATTATAAACACTGCATCATCTCTTCTATGGGTAACCTCTGGTGGCCTGCTGGAGGGCAAGCATCCAGAATTCGCCATGGTCTCAGGTCTTCTCAGAACCGTGACCTCGGAGCAGGCTTCCCTTGATTTCCGTACAATTGATGTTGACGTCGGCAGCGTTACGTCGGATCAAATAGCTGCTGCTATCATCGAAGTCGCTAAGAAACAAGCGTCCACTGACGAGGAAGATCCGGATCGCGAGCTTTGTCTTTCCAACGGGAAGACTTACATCAGCCGACTGGTCAGAAATCATTACCTGAACACAATCTTTGCAGCAGAACATCCCGAGCCGAAGGAGTTCTCTACTGGAGACCATATCGTAGCCAGTATTTCTGGCGGTAAGGTACTTTTCCATCAAATTGCCGCAGAAGAAGAGATCCAGCCGGGCTTTGTTCAGATTGAGGTCCAAGCGAGTGGCCTCACAAAGGAAGGCGTTCTCGTCATTACCGGACAAGACTATCCCATCACGTTCAGTCACGAAATCGGTGGTATTGTACACAAGATTGGATCAGACGTCTCAGGTTTCCAGCCGGGTGATAGGGTGGTTGGCTTCAATGCAGATAAGCTCGGCAGCTTTCAGCAGGTACCAGCCTCTATGCTTTACAAGCTCGATGACAGGGACAACCTCAATGAAGCTGTTAGCGTGCTGGTAGCTTATGCATCAGCGCTCTATGGCTTAGAAACTCTTGCTAGGGTAGAACCGGAAGAGAAAGTTCTCATCCTGCCTAACACCGGAGCGAGCGGAATTGCAGCGATCAAGGTGGCTCAGGCGGCCGGTGCTTTCCCCCTTGTCATTGCTGAGACCACTGACGAGGTCAATTTTCTCCAGACGCATCTTGGCCTAGATGAAAACCAGGTCATTCAGCTTTCGAATGATGGTTCAGTTCTTGAGCAACTCAAGCGACTCACAGGCGGCCACGGTGCAGATGTTGTGTTTAGTGGTGGAAGCACAGATGTCAACATCGCTCGCGAGGCATGGCGGTCAATCACTCGATTCGGTCGCTTCCTTGACGGAGGCCGCAAAGACGTGTTACGGCGCAATGCCTTAGACATAGTCCCGGTCCAGCGCGGCGCTCTTTATCTCCCATTCGACATCCTAGACCTCTATGAACATCGTCCAAAGACTCTTGCGAAGTTTATCCCGAGAATTATCTCTATGCTTCGAGATGGGTCCATCACGAGTCCAGGAACAGAACAGATCGTCGGTCTGGCTGATCTCAACAAGGCTGTTGGTGTCTTCTCCGATGCCTTGGGTGCACCCAAGGTAGTTATTCGATACGAAGCATGCGAAACACCGCTCATGGTGCTTCCCGCAAGACCCAAGCTCGAATTCAGCCCTGACTCCACCTATCTACTTGTCGGCTGCTTGGGAGGTTTGGGTCGCAGCTTGACATCCTGGATGATGGAGTCTGGTGCGCGAAGATTCGTTTTTCTTTCCCGCTCTGGTGCGGATTCACCATCGGCAGCCACGCTGATCAAGGATATCGAAGCTGCCGGAGCCATCACTCAAGTCATTAGAGGCGATGCCACCTCGCATGCTGATGTCGTCCGAGCCGTGCAAAGTGTTTCCAAGGAGAACCCGATCAAAGGTGTCGTCCATGCGGCAATGGTACTTAGGGTAAGTGCGGGTTCCTCGAACTTATTGAGCTATTATGTTAATCTTAGTTGTGCAGGATGGCCTATTTCATAACATGTCCTACGAGAACTGGATCACTGCTGTCCAGCCAAAGATACAGGGTGCCTCCAACCTGCACTCGGTTCTGGCCAACGAGCCGCTTGACTTCTTCCTCATGACTAGTTCTGTGTCCGGCGTCCTCGGCAACCCAGCCCAAGGCAACTACGCTGCAGCAAACAGCTATCTCGATTCACTTGCTCGACACCGTCTCTCTGCTAAGCAGACTGCCGTCTCCCTCGTGCTTCCTATGGTTCTCGAGGTGGGCGTGGTGGCCGAGAATACCGAGCTGGAGCAGGCGCTCAAGCGTAAAGGCATGTACGGCATCGACGAGGAACACCTACTTCAAGGTTTTGAGGCAGCCATCACATCTGGCAAGTCTGATCGACCAGTAGACCACGTCGTGGTCGGACTCGACCCGTCCAAGCTCCAAAAGGCAGTGAGCGATCCCACTGTGACTGACAGCTACTACCTCGAGGATAAGAGACTGAGCCAGGTTGTCCACGACATGAACTCGACTGCAGATGACTCTGCTGGTGGAGGTGCTGGAGGCCAAAGCATTCTTGCGACCATCAGTTCTGCCGCGTCTCCCGGAGAAGCCGTGGACGCCGTGACTGGTCATTTCGTCGAGAAGCTTGCGCGCATGCTGCTCCTCGATGACGACGCGTTCGAGCCAGAGGTCAAGTCCATTGCGTCTTACGGAATTGACAGTATGATCGGCGCTGAGCTGAGGAAGTGGATATTCAAGGAGTATAAGATGGATGTGCCGTTCCAGCAACTTCTCGCCCCAACGTTGACCATCAACAAGTTTGCGGTACAGGTCAGCGCTCACCATGGTGTGTCGGCCTCATAAACCATTCTATCACTCTCATGGGGCATATGTAGGGAATGACGAGCTTCAGCTTGCTGGGTTTTAGATACATTGAAAATTGTCGGAACATGCGATCGAGTAGAGAGAGGCCGATTCATTCAGCAGATGGCAATATTAGTCTGACGCTACCCCTGGAGCGTGACTTTTCTAAGTGTATTTAGCGTATAGATTCCTAGCTTAGATATTTTTTTATTCTTTTCGTTCATTTCATTGTTCTTCGTACAATCTAATGTGAACGTGGCCTCCGATGACGGATTGATCCACTTGTTCGCATGTCATGGCCATGCTAAGGCTTTTACAGAGTCCCACTCATGTCATCTGGTACAAAGCTGGAGAACTATACGCAAATTACTTATATTTGACATCCCCCAGGTGAGAGAAGTTGTCATCCAGAGATAGTCAGCTTCTCAGTCGCAAGCTATTCAAACAAAACCGTGGCTATCATATCGACTGCCATTAGCTGAAACGAGACTATGGTCAGCCGACGTTTGAATATGCAAAGACCATAGTACTACCCTTGCAGTTTTGTTGGCTCGTTGCTAGCCGTCAGATCATACCAGATTCGGGTTCGCGGATATTATTCTTGCCGACGACGGGCTTCATGTCAACCCGATATTGTGCTTCAGCTTCCTCTGTTAAGTGAAAATGGATATGTAGGGTCTATCAACTTCACTACCTTTACCGAGACCCTTGTTCAGACAACAGGCCATGTTTGAACTGTAGTCGTCTGCGCATTCCTCGCTATTCAATATAGTTAAACCGGAATTTGCAGAATTGGGTGTTGCGGCTGCAATTACTGGGCCTCAAATGAAGCGGGCTAACAGTTGATCCTATTGCGGCGGAATGATGCGCCGTTGGCTAACGATATGCACCAGCACCCTCTTGATCGTCGAGAGTAGCTATAAGCCTTCTAGGCAAGGGGGCAAATAGGGCCGTTGTCATCATTGCTCGCTTTTCAACGATTGAATGTTCCCTTGCATCTATCCGAGCGTCTTCAAAATGTACATCAAGTTCCGCCTGAAGAACCTTTTGAAGAGCAGCTTCGGCCGCGCTCTATGAACCGATCTATTGTAAGGTCGCCCAAGTATTTGGCTCACTGGATATGTGATGAGCAAGTAAGCATCCAACCCCGATACGTTCGTAAGAGTTTGAGCCTGAGGAAGAGGGCTTGACCACAAGTACGTAGTGTATCCGACGGTCTTCAGCTTCATCACTTGTTCTTCCTATCCCAATGACGACACAACGCAGCGATGCCTCATGTGTACTCTCGTCCTCGTTATCACGAATAACCTTTGTTCTCAAGTCAACCTGTGATGCATTCAATCTTTTAACGGCAACTGTGAGCTGTGCACCACCATGCGCTTCAGCTTCGCGTAGAGACCCGCTGTTGATTGAGGTTCTTATGTTCTCTCTGCACCAATCCGTATCATCGAATGGGATGGACAAGTGCTCGATCGCTCCCGTGTGCGCCATCCAGGACCAAGATGGAACACGACGGTCATGCGGGTACCGAATTCGGGTGAGCATCTCTCCGTTTCTTTCCCTGTGCCAGAGTAAGTCCCTCTCCATGTATTCCTGTACGATTCCATATTCTGCCCTAGTCTGGAACGTCCGGCTGAGGCGTTTCTCGAGACCGAGCAGGGCCACCGAACGGTCTGTTGGGTTGGTAAAGGACAGCTTGGAGTACATCTGGTAGAGGCGGTGAAGCAAGACGATACGGCCACCCTTGAAGTATGAAAACGCGAGGTCGGGGAAATTGGAGTCGCCCATAAGAGCGGCGACAGGGCTAGTGCCATGTTGTCAGTAACTTAGTGTGTCGCTGATGGGGTTCCAACTCACTTTCGTAACGTCCCGAGGGTCTCGCATCGAATTCCTTGGCCACATTCCCAATACAATTGGTTTGAAGTGAAATATATAGTCCTTCGCGATAGGGCTCTTTCCTGGAAAACCCACCCTCGAGTACTGAGGACGCCCTCCTCTACGTCCTTCTGGAAGTTATCGATCGCATTGCAAAGGTACATGGTACCGCTATTTGCAGAAACATGAGTGACACAAGTTCTGGGGGCTCTCTCCGTTTTTAGGAATCCATCGATCGAGGACTTCGCAGAGCTTGCGGCAAGTGTACAGTATGCCGAGCTGAAAACAGACTCCATATTCTGTGACTCAGATTCCCAGTCTTCCTTGTTGTCCTGTATGATACACATTGAGTCGATCCAGAGATATTGAATACCTAGTTCTCGAGTACATCTCACTGCATCTCGGAAAGTCAGGGGAAGTCGATTATAGTCGATATGTTGTTTGAGGTGTGCCATGTCTTCTTTCTTGGCACAGAACTTTTCACTTTCCTTGAGGTTGCCCCAGCAATGACTGAGCGCCACATATCTCCCCTTGACGCCGTTGCATGTCTCCACTAGGCGAATGGTGCCGCCCCCTACGTCAAGCACCCGCGTAGGCATTTCAGGAAGTCTCTCGGCCAGCTTCTGTCGGCAACAGTCATGGGTATCGTCGCAAAGACGCAACCATTGCCGCAAGAGTTCGAATTGCTGCGAGCTTGCCGCTTGAGGCAGCGCCGGAAAACCAAGTTGGAGAGACTCTACTGTTTGAGGGTTTGCTGCAGAGGGACGCTTATTAGGTCTCCAGTGACGATCATTGAATAAGCAGGCGGTCATGGAGTTGGGGTTCACAAACCTGAATCTCCATAAATAGATATGATAGGGGGGCCGTTGTGGCCTGCCCTAAGAGTTGACTTGACTCGAACCAACTTGCCAGAGCTGCTACTTGGCGTTACAGCCGAAAGACATTGGTAACACAGTCTGCAAAGATCGCAGAAGCTTGACCGCCTTTCGAGCTGTTGTTGGTCGTAGAGCAGCTCCAACGACAACGAGCTGAAGTCGATCAGTTCACATTCAGAGCAGAAGTTTGACTGGACTGTAGATGGTTTCAGAGCGGAGCAGTCTATTCGTTGAAAGAATTCGATGGCAAACGTGTTATCTGGGATGTAATCCCATTGATTGTTGAGATCAGCAATTTGCTGTGTTGGTCAGCGCCACACACCTACCTCACTGACAGCTTTCGAAGGGATTGCTTACCGGCTTAGATGGTTAGCCTTGTGCAGCAATAAGCCTGGAGTAACTTACCATCTATAATATGTTAATGCACTTGCCTTTTTGCAGCTGTGAGATTAATAAAAGGGCAAACTTACGTTCTGGATTCCAGAAATGAACCGTAGTTAGCACAATGTTCTTTTGTTTAGTACCAGGGGACGAGGTGCGACTTACATACTAAGAATGTAAGTATACTATTGTGTCGTATCTATATAAAGGTGGCTTACTGTTTGAGGATGGACATCTGGCTTTTTGATAGACTGACTAACGTCTAGATCTCCGGTGGCAGCTCGCACTAGTATTCTGGGGCCACTTTCGTTGCTGGGAGGTACCGATCTGTCCTGAGATCTCATAGGAACAATGGTCTTCTCTCGGACAGTCAAACTGTCGCCCATGTTTGTGCGCTGTGAAACCACTGGGCCCTTTAGGTACTCTTCCTCAATGAAAGCACGCTGAGAAAGGGCCCTGATTCCTTCCAAAAGCTCATGGGCTGTCGCTCGGTGGACACTTGGGGAATCGCTTGACCTAAGTGGCCGAATCACTAGCAGCCTATCTCGAATCAGCGTGACGATATCTTTTACGGCCGCATCTGCCTTCAAATGCTCCAGGATACTGCAAATTTCTTCCTGGACACGATGGTGCACATGTGGAACTCCGGCTTTGAGCTCCCAGAACTTTTCATTGAGGCTGCCTCTTATGAAGAGTTCCAAGTAGTCCCATCCATACACGAGCCAGATGCAAAACTCTAACAAGATGCAACCCATTGACCAAACATCATAGCTGCGTGATCGAGGAGTTTCTCTTTCGTCATCGTTCTCCAACTCCATCTCGGGGGGCTCGTATCGAAGCGTGCGGTCAAAAATTGACGATTTGTCACGCCGCCTTGTCGTGTCGAGGAGATGGAACTTTGCAAGACCAAAATCTGCAATCACAAGCCTCCCGTTCTCCCCTCCATCTTTGAAGTGCAGGATATTTCCAGGTTTTAAGTCACCATGGCGACAATTGTGCTCATACAGGGTAACCAGACAATCCGCGAGCCCGCACATCTGCTGCAACGACCACGACACCAAAGCTGCTGGAAACGGCCGCGGTCCATGCCTACTGTCGGTCACTCTCCAGAATTCGAGAAGGTTACCGCCATCTGCCCATGGGAACATGAAACAACGCTTGTTTCCCTTTTCAAAGGCTGCAATGGGGGTGATCAGATGTTGGTGTTTTATAGCTCGGATTTTCCGCAGTGTATCCATCTCTCTGAGGAAGTATTTCTTCAGGTCTTCGCGGAACACCTTCAATGCAATGGGAGATTGGGCCTAGACGATCTCGTTAATATCGTGTTCTCAATCCGATGATGTGGCATGCTACTGTACCTTTTCAGTACAGATGCCAAGCCTATAAACAGTGCTGTAATTTCCAGACCCTGTGGGAAGGTCTCCCTCATTATCGTCCGCCTTCAGCACAGATACCAGGGGGAGCGGGCATTTCTTGTGAAGGGCGTAGAAGAATCTGTCGTCCGTGAAGGTTGGCGCGAGGAACTGCCACTGATTCTGCTCGAATGCCCTGATTTGTCGTGTGGGCCAGGTATCAAAGATAGACCAGACTGTCTCTAGTTTGTGAGTTGTTTTATTCATTGAAGCGACCGTGAAACGTGGCACGCGACTTTCCAAGCCTGCACCAACTGGTCCCTGCTCCATGCCAATGGGCAGCGCATCATCGTCGAAACCAGCGGAATGCAGTCCGGTCAAACAATCAACGTTTCCAGCAAATACTAAAGTTAAGAACACTTTGCTAGCCTTGTGAATCACAAAATCGACTAATGAACTTGCAGATAATCCGGCTTGGCTCAGGGTAGCTTTAACATTAGCCGTTGTCAAGACGCTGGCTTGCCATTGAACCGGCACAAACTCCTGCCCTCCAACCACATCTGCACTCTCCTTAGTATGTCTGAAGTTTAGTTCGTCGTAAATGTCAGTGGTCGTTATGGAAATCATGGTGTGGCTCCTACAAAAAGAAGTAATGCCAAGCGTTCCGTGGATATTGGTTTCCAATAGCTTTACAATCGTACGAAATCTTTGAAAGAAACCGAACATTGAAAAATCACCCAGTTATTTAAATCGGAATACCAAGCTCGCTTGCTTAGCTGAAGGTAACACAGGATCTTGAGTTCTCGACCATCGGGAGTCGCGGCGCTCAGCCTCATCACGCGGGTTCAAGCGAGGCAAGTTTGCTCGAATACGTACTACAAGTGGAAGAACCATGTACCTGAAACTTGATTGGTTCCGAGTGCATTCACGGCATCAAGCGCCCGAGATCACGAGGCTATGGGGCAGTGTCAGTGTAAGCGGGTGGCGCATGCCGTGCATGCAGGCACAAGGGTTGCCTAACGCACACTCTTGGGACCCGCGCACGCGGTCATTGGGGGCCACACTCTGCTTTAAGGAAAGCAGATGCTCTGGGGGCCAAAACCGCTGTCCTTCTGTAGCTGTGACCGATCATCACGTACAATCGCCAAGTAAGCCGGCTCAGAATAGTTGAGTGTGATAAATTTTCCTGCTTGTTCGTGCGTTTGATGGGTATTAATCATTTTTCTGCTACATATACTCATAAGACGTGGTCTGCTTCTCCATCCGACGCTTCTGACAGCACGTCTTCTCTATCTGTATCTCGACTTTGGCCGGAAATATACCCCTTCTCGTGTAATCTACGTGTTTTCGAGTCCTGTTCCTAGTCAAACCACGTTAGCCTGCCTCGATAATCGATGACATTCTCTCCTTAGTCCGGGCTCAGACTTGCGAAGTTGATAGGCGAGCTGGACGTACTGCTTCGAATCCGGCTCCTGTCCGCCGAGGTATTTGTATGTGAATGACATATACGTCGTTGCGCATTTCTATCCTGAAGCTCTCTCTGGCGCAATGCCGTTGTAATGATTTGGATAGCTCTTGTGGACTTCGTACGAGATTGGAATGCACCCGTATTGTCTTGGTGCCAGGAGGCAGGCTAACGGCACTTGACATAATAAGATGATCAGTTGTCGGGATCGTGGAATGCGTGTCCACAATGCTGTATCGGATCAAATGTTGGTGCTGCGCTAGTACTGAGGCAGGCTTGTGTCGAATGACGATCAGTCTTTATAGCAACGTATTCGCTGCAATGCTGAATGCTCAATGTTGACCGACTCGGACTATATAGGTCGCAGAGGCAACCGCTTATGTTGCTCGTGGTGCCAGGCTGAGAATATGGTCAGACTGGTGAAGTGTCATTTCGGTGAGTGCAAACCAATGAAACGGGGGCTGAAATAGCATTGCGGATGCGGATTCATTATCAGGGCTGAGCGGTAAAGCCTCTGGTGACCCTTCGTCACACGTCTCACACCCGAAGCTTTTTGGGCCCATTTTGGACCTTGGGTCCATTCCTGGGGGTTTTTCCACTTGGGCAGCCAGCCCACGGGCGCGTCCGCCACGCTTGACTTAGCGCGTGACGCTAACGCTGTCTTACCTTCTCCGTAAATCCAAGGCACTGTCACTGGACACGGGTCAGGATCCAAAAAAAAAAAAAAAAATGCTCCGACAATGACCGAACCCTCGTGTCTGTGCTTCAAGTCAATGTATCTACCCTAGGCAAAGCAGATCATTTCCCCGTGGTCTTGGTCCTAAGGAAGAGGTTGTTGGTTGGCTCTGGTCCAGGTCGATTTGACCCGTTGGTCGGCCCGCTGTGGGGCAAGTAACTTATACCCCTAGAGCTAGAGAGACAAGCCCTAGAGTCTTCAGAGGTAAACAGGAGACCGTTTTAGTAGGTAAGTTGGTTGGCCACTGCCGTTTGTGGTAAACCCACCAAGGCCTTGGCCTCGGGGGGCTGCTAATGAAATGGAAATAGAGCTGACCCGCTCGGTTCGGTCAGTTTTTCGAATCACAGGGACCGCATTCAATGCCATTCAGATGCAACATCTTCAAACCATTGTACTGTAGCGCCTGGTTATTGATGATTTGGTGGAATGACGTATCGGGAGGGCTCCAGGTTAGTTGTCTACCGTCGCTCTTTTCCAGAAGGACTCGGTGAGATCCATTGGATCCTTCGCTTACAGTCTGCCTCATTTCCTTCTGCGCGAGTGTTGGTCACCATGCTCTTTGCAAGAAACTCGGGTGCGAATAACAGACAGCCTATATGCACAGCCTCCTGAGTATTTACAGTGGTATTCCAACGACGATGTGCAGGTCATGGGGAGACACCGCATTTCGCAAGGCTCTCTCATCGCATGCATCGTTTGGTGGTATCGAGCCTGCTTCATGAGGTTGACCATCAGTGGCGCAGCCGCTGCTTCGAACTGGAAATGGAGAATAGCCCCCAGAGGGCTGCGAGGAGGAGGGGTAGTGGCTCTCATACACCCCTGGCAGTGAGACTTTGCTGACCACTGAGTGCAGGAGATACAAGCCCACAATGAGGCTTTCGCTGCAGATGGACATTTATGTCGCACAGCTGCGGGAGCCCGCCGCGAGCCGGGCTTGAGGGCGCGAACCTCTCGAGTTGTCATCGCAAATTACAACTCATTGCCTTTAATTGTGGCCTGAGCTGCCATGAGCGAAGCAACTGTATCCTTGGTGTGTTCGAGCCTCACGACCCAACGCTCTGGTGAGCGCCCAACTGCATTGGAACCACCATAAGGCCACCAACTCCCAACGAAACACTGGCTGAGAATCGTTGGCCGTGACTTGCTAGCCCAATGGAGCACTCTCTCAGCAAACAGACACGATTCATGTCACGAGAACGGTCTCCGAACCCTGGCATTCGAGTATCCGTAGCTTCATCGGTTGAGCACGACCTGGATCGATACGACCACGCCGACGGGCTGGCTCGGGAGTTACAAGCATATGGGCTCCCCGACAAAAGTCAGCTGTCACCAGATGATGAAGATTACTCGTCGTCATCAGACTTCGTGTCAATTAAAAACGTCGAAGATTTCGGGTTTGGGGCTTCATGGTCTCGCCAGTTACAGAAGTATGCTTCCAGCGACCACACACCGAACGTCATCGGGCTGGACATAGAGCAGTCGGCACCAGAAAAAGAGCAAGAGAACGATTCAGGGCCAAACATATCGCACCCTTCCGATGCAGATTTGTTACGAATTGGCGAATTTCTCGCATCTCCACCCCCGGCGAAACGCGCAAGCGCCCAGGATTTCCGAGCGCACCTCGAAAAAGATTTGAGTGAAGAGGTGACAGTTTCATATCTGGAACGTCAATTACACTTAGCACAGTTGGACTCGAAGCATGACTCCAATAGCGCCTATGAGTACTTCATCCCCCAGGATAAGCTGTTCACGATCCTGAGCAAAAACAATGTTATGTACCTCTTCCAGCATATATTTCCGGACGATTCGCCCCGTCAGATACGAGATAGAGTAGCCATCGTGTGTAGTGAGAACCATTCTGTCAGCCGCCGCTTGATACTGGCAGTCCTTATAATAATCGGCAAAGCCCACTACATCGATGACTTCCTTCGTCACAGCATATGCGATATCAATCTCCCCCTTAGGCCTCATCGCACGCAAGATGAGGCACTCTCGAGGAAAAATCCATTTCATCGAAGGCAGGACGACGACAGCTTGACTCCACTTACAGTATTCCATAACTGGGAACAGAGGGCTCTGAGGTTCTTCCTTCATACACAATACGAGGTCCTTGCCCCATTCTTGGAAGTTGGGGGCCCGCGAGTTTGCTTCTACAAGTTTGACCCCAAAACTCCCCTCCCGTTTCTCGAGTGTACGTGGGTCCAGAACGGTGGCCATGGAACAGTTTGGAGAGTGAAAATCCATCCCGCCCACCACGGCTTTCGACACTCTCTGGTAAGTTTAGCAACGTTCTGCACCTCCTGTGGGTCGGGGACTTACCTAGTCGTAGGGAAGCGAGAACCCTTTTTTTGCAGTAAAGGCTGTTCATTCCAAAAAGTACGAGCGATATCGTGACGAAGTCAAAGTTCTGGAACGATTTAGCGGCAGTGCAACTGGCCACCCTCATCTCATCCGGCTTTTTATGGCATTCAAACATGGCGAGAACTATTACCTTCTTTTCCCGTGGGCTACAGGCAACCTCACAGACCTCTGGAGGACCGATCCGCTGCCAACTAGAAGTGCCGAAAAGACGCGATGGCTCTTTGACCAATGCCTTGGGATAGCCGACGGGTTGAAGAAAATCCATCGTCACGGATCTTGGCCCAAGCAGCAAAGATCAGGCGGCCATTCACAGCAGGAGGAGAACGGAAAGGATCTCGGAAGGCATGGGGATATCAAACCAGAGAACATACTTTGCTTCGACATGGATCACAGCGTGGAGCAACGTTTGGTCATTGCAGACTTCGGCCTGACTAAGTTTCACTCGTCACAAGCTACATCAGAGATCACTACCCCTAGCAACCTTCGTGGCTTGACTCGAACCTATCGACCTCCGGAATTCAGTCTGGAAGCACCTGTGTCACAAAAATGTGATGTTTGGAGCCTAGGATGTCTTTATCTTGAGTTTATCACGTGGTACCTTGTCGGATTCGACAAAACACGTGCCCAAAGCCCTGGAACCTTCAACAGTCTACGCCTTCAAGATGACGATAAAAGTGATCCCGGCCTCTTCGCCGAGGATATTGCCGAAGACAAGTTCTTCAATCTTTATCCACAGTGCAACGACGGAAGAGGGACTTTCCAATATGCTGCAGATGTAAAGACTTCTGTTAGAAAGGTAAGCATAGATTTGTGGATTCTCTAGAGTTCATCGTTTAATTCTGGATTCAGAAATTCTAACATGGTGTAATATAGTGGATTATATATCTGCGTGGGCTAGAACAATGTTCAGAAGCTATTCAAGACTTCTTGAACTTGATCGAAATTCACATGCTCGTTCCAGTTATCCATATGCGGGCGGACATGCGTAACGTCCAGCGCAGGCTGAAAATCATGGCAGATCGCTGTAACGGGAGTGATAACTATTGCACGGTCCGTCCATTGACTACGCCCGATCATAGCAGGCCTAAAGCAGCTCCAGCTATTGGAGGTCTCAGAGTACGCACTATTTCACTCCCACCTTCTTCACCATTGAGATACTTACTATGATGAAAACAGCCTGCAATTCATCAGCGCATGCTGAGACCAGAGCACTCCACCGGGGCCGATAGTGGCCGGCTACTTCTTGACACAGAAATCGACAGTGAGCTATTCCGGGAAGGTCTCATCGACGATGGTCAAAATGCGGAGCGTGGGCTAGGTGTTTCAACATCACGGCCTATGCTTCCCAACGGCCCTCATGACCAGCCAACTAGTCGAAGGCCATACCTTGGCGACAAAAGAGCCCCCGCCTTTGTTCCTCAAGAGTCGACCATGACGGTCCCAGATTCTCAATCATCAAGAACGCACGCACCGTCCACCAGCGCCACAACTCCGCCAGGCAGTGCCCACAATAGCCATGAAGACTTCAGGATGATTAGTGACGTTCCTCGTTCTTTGACTTCAACGTTCTCGACCACTGCCACGGAGAACTCAAGAGAGAGAGTTCTTAAGGGGAATGCGAAAAGAGCACCTCGATCGACCGAGGTCAGAGATGGCGCCCCAGCTCCGCGATATCAAGGATCCTTACGTGCCACTTCACCTGCTGATGGCCGACTTCCGAGCACGGCAACGTCGTACACTGCAGCAAGCGATAATCCAGTCGCATATGATGACACACATAGAGAGACAGAGCACAAGGCGCATGTACTTCCTGTGGGAGTCCTGCATAGGGATGCGCCCATGGCAGATGAACGACGGCGTATTTTATCGCAGCACAGAGAGCAGAGATCTTTGCAACGCTTCAGGCGACGACTTCGCCGCATTTGCAAAGACTTGCGGGAGATTTTCACAATACTTGACCCACACAAGAGGCGAAGATCTGCTCACTTGGCCTTATGAAACGCGCCAGGGTTGAGGGAGCGCCTGCTACCATATTGATACCGCATCAACTACACACAACTCTGCAACAAACATTGTATATAAGCAACCTGCAAGCGACGAGCGTGACATAAAGATACCCCTCAATTGAAATACCCTCAATCATTGCATTTCAATCTTATTCCTTGTCTGTCAAGTCTTGTGTGGCCTTCACCTGGCTCTCTGGTAACCGAACGATGTGCCTACTACACATGCAGCAGAGTTAGGGGTTAATGCTTTCATATTTAGACGACCTCATAAAGGCTTACTTTCAGCCTCAGACATTTCCAATACCTCAAGAGTCACGATTTATCAGATCTGAATGGCGTTTCTAGAGGGAGCTGTGAGTGATTGATTGGCAGGCTGTAAAGTACTGCCATTGGCCCCGCCAGAGGTATGCGCGATGTGTGGCACTGCACTAGATGACATAGACGTTGATCCTTAACTTGTTTACATACCGATGCAATGGGAGACCAATAAGAGAGCAATGAGAGGGCAGGCTGTCACTTCCTTGTCAAATGATACCCTCTCTGAACTCCTCTCCCTAGAACTGGGCAGTCGGAGCTCAAAAGCAGAAATCGCAAGCACCGAGAGTAGGGAGAATTGTACCACATTTCTTGAATCATTTATATTGAACAATGTGAGGTTAAACCAGCCCGCCATCTGGAGGCAGATCTAGGAGTCGTTCCTAAGCACAGGCGGCGACCATGCGCGCGCGGTATACCTATCCTAGTTGGGTTTCAAATGGGGGTTAATAGAAGGACAGTCACGAACAATGTGGGGCAAGAATGATGGGATTGATTCATTTTAACCAAGTGAATCATAGCTGGTTTTGTGAAAGCATTGCAGCAAGGCGTTTGTTTCTTGTTGAAAGCCAGGGCCCTATAGGCTGACCAGTCGCGAACCGCGCGAGACTCCTGCTCACCAACCCGTGCGCTGGTGCTGCAACATACCAGAATGGACTTGCCGCACGTTTGTAATTAACTAGGGGCACTTCTTAAGGGCAATGTCTGTCTGCTGAGCAATTGCAGTAACTACTTGCCCTGATTGAATCCGCGCTAGCAGACCATGGCCCTTTCTTCGATACCGACGAGAAACAGTTGACACCACGCCCAGCTGGCAAGGCACACCATCTCCCTGACGTTGCAAGGCTTTTCACTCTATTCCATTCCGCTCGAGGCTGTTCTTGAATATTCTTCTCACGTTGGCATCGGGAAATCCATCACGCAGCTCGAGTTTTGGCATCGTTGTATTTTCAGTCTTTGTCGCGTTCAGTATACGATCTGCAAGTATCCTACCGACGTTAGCACAACAAAAGCTGAAGGCTTCGATGGAAACTACTGGGCTCAAGTCTGTTCCATCACTCACCCTCCGCGCAACATCGCGGCCTGATGATCGCACGAACCAGGTTTCCCAATCGCCACAGGACCTCGCCTCTTGCGGCGCCGCGCTCCACCTTGAAGACTCATCTGCGTCAACCCACAAGGACGTAGGTGAACCTCAATTTTCTCACCGCACTTCTACGTCTCCCATCTCACACTCTGCACCACCTCGAGCACCGCGACTGGGCTCTGTTCCTTATGACAGGATGGCGAGCCTACTTGAAGTCGACCACTTTCGACTGCCCTCTCCGGAGACAGATACATCACGTCGTTCAACGGGAGACACTAGCATCACAGAACCGTTTGATTCCTCCCCGGTCTTGAGCATCAAACCATTCAGACCCCAGAGCCCTGTTCAGAGTCGTAAAAGAAAAATTCCCTACTCAGCCCGAGCTGCCCGGGCTGCGCACAAAGCCGCGAGAGTCGGAAGCAAGGAGAATTCAGTACGAGTTCCAAGGCGAATGAGTCCTGCCAATACGACCCAACTTCAATCTCCCATCTCGGTGGATGGGGACATGAGTCGAGTTTGGCAAGACTTGGACGGCAACAAGACCATCGGCGACGTCGAGAGTGATACAGACGCGCAGCCCAGAAAGATCGCCCATATCAAGAACGGGGTCGTGGACATCGAGTTCAGTAACGATGAATCCATGGATTGCGAAGGTAAGGAGAGCCCGTCCGACTCTTCGCCGCAGACACGAGAGATACGAGAGACGCGGGAATTGCGTATACCTTCAGGCTGGACGCCAATCAACCGCGATCGCAACGTCGCTTGGGAGAGCAGCACCGCAAGTTCTGGCGCCATCAACCCCTTCAAGGAGAAGGTATCCAGAAAGAAGCCCGACAGAGTGGGGGGCGGCATCGTCTGGTCGACCCTCATCGACCCCCTCTGGCGGCACGATGCCAGCCTCAACATGCTGGCTGGACGTAGGAAGAAGGCGCAGGCGCGTGCGGAAGAGCGCCAGAGGATGTTGGATCTGGCTCGAGTTCAGGGACTGCCGGTGGCGAAGAAGCGCCGAGTCGAGCCAAGCCCTGCCTCCAAGAGGAAGAGGGATGCTGTTGGCGGGTCCGAAGCAACGACAGAGAGTGATGAGGGCCACATCATGCCAATGGAATGCGACTACTGAAGGAAAGGCACAGCGAAGGATAATGTACACCGCCAGACGGGATTGTAAGAGTGCTGCATGCACGTGGTGTAGAAACTGTCATTAGGAGCACCAGGGACACGGAGCTGGGATGTCTTTTGCACACACACTCGTGTATTGGGTATCATAGTTCCCAAAACGTCATAGAATACAGTAACCCTAGAGCCTTCGATAGACAAACAGAACCATATAAAAAATCCCACCGAAGAGTGGAGAGTTTCTCAAACTCGATCAAATACACAGACGCAGCAACCAGCCGCCCAACGCCGCACACATAAGTCCTGCTCTTGGCCGCTACGTGGTAGCTGCTTATTCGGAGCCCTCAGCCTCGTGGTTCCGGCGCAGGAGCTCAAAGTTGGCTGTTCGCGGCCGTTAGCTCAGCTTGACTCTAGAGTGCCTTGGTGGCAGATTGTGGAACTCACTCTGGTAGATGTTCAGGAACGACCGCGACTTGCCCTCGGCGTTGGCGTCGGGAACGGTGCTCATGACGGCGTTGCCCTCGACGTAGACGGTAGATCTGGATTGCGGAACAGAACCGATTAGCCTCTGCCCCCCGTGTGCCCTGGTTATCTCCGGGCGGAGAGGAACTACTCACCCCTTGGGCAGGTTGGTCAGGTAGTCGCGGCGCGGGCCCTCAGGCTCGAAGCTGGCGACCTTGAACCAGCTGGTGACGCGGTTGTCGCGGGGGCCCGAGTTGCTGGCGACGGCGTACTCGACGACCTCGCGGCCGCTGGCGGTGGCCTTGACCTCGGGGGTGGCGGCCAGGTTGCCGACGATGGTGATCTTGGCCAGCTCGCGGGGCGAGGTCGAGCTGAAGGCGCGCATGAAGCGCGGGGCGGCGGTGGCGCGGCGGGCGAGGAAGGCAGACATCTTGGTGTGTTGCTGAGGCGGAGAAGACGGCTTGGATGAGAGAAATGGACAGCGTCGAAGTGAACGAATATCAGCTCTGGACGGTTGGGGGGGGAGGGGGGTGCTTATCAGGACTGGCGATGCGATGAGGGCGAAGTGGACCTCGAGCTTTGAATGCGCGGCGGCAGCTTCGAAAATCTGGGGGCGGTGCGCGTTTGCGACGCGGTCGGCTCGAACCAAGGCGACCCCTAATTTCCAATTTCCGTGCTGCTGCCTGCATAGAGCATAGAGCACAAAGCATTAAAGCATAAAGCATTGAGTGGCTGCATGGTCCGAGCTCCCTCACGCCAGCCCGACCGACTTGGCCTTTAGCACTAGAGCTAGTTGTGTGCCTCGCATAATCGCATGTTGAGACGACACGGCAATTTTATGGGGGCCGACGTGCCTTGAAATGTTTCTCAAGACTATCCTAGGCAAGGAATACAAGGCTTCTGGGAAGTATCCATTATGGGTGGCTCTAATCGGAGAGTACATCTTGGTACTTCCTCCTCCTTCATCGCGTCGGCATGTCCCCGATGCCCAGGTCTTATACTTCCACGGGGCTAGTATACCCATATCGTTCCTTCTTTTGATAACCCAAGTCTGAGCTGAGCACCCTTCAAGTCTTAGGGGCTGCAATATCCTAGGCCATCAGATTCGTGTGTCTGGATTCTCGGTCATCGTGGCTCCTGCTTTGCCCGTTCGTAGGAGGCAGTGGTGGCTGTTTGACGCCTGGTTGACAAAATGCCTTGATGAATGCCGCACTCAGCCCTCGTCCCCTTTCGCTTCCTTCATCGAAGCAGAGAGGCGCTCATCTCGAGGATGAAAGCATAGATGCGTCCTACACAGTCTCTTTAGACTGCTTGATTCATGATATGGGGCAAGCAGCGATCATGGCCGGGAAACCCGCGGCAGTCTGCTGACCAACTATCTTGCTGACTCTTGTCGAACAGCAACCCACGTGGATTTGTGTGTCTGAGGATACCTTCTAGGCCTGAAACTTGGGCGAACAGATTACGGGCTACACACCCAGTGAGATCTAGACACAACGGGGTTTCGTCTGAGGCACATCTGTACAGGAGCCCATAGGCAGGCTAGGCATTCTTCTGGTGGCCCTCGACGTCGGTCTTTCGAAACACTTAATTGCGTCTTCTCGGCACTGAGCTGACACGTAATGTAAACTGCCGCGCCTTGAGATAATTGGTGCAGCACACGCATATGGCACCTAGTCGCCATCGAGGTACTAGGACAGTTGACTATCCTGCGCGAACAGAATTACCAGGCGTTCATTAACGTTTGTGATTGTTTACATCGTCGTCCGTTGGCAGTTGCCCGCTTTTCGACCTTCGTCTTAAAAGTGAACTTGGTAATATGGCTGGCTCCAGCATCGCTGCGGTGACTGAACTCTTCCTCAACCAGGCAACGAGGGGGAGATCTTCACCATCTGCTTTCCTCAACCACCTTTTGGATCGTAGAAGGAGCAAAAATCCAACGAAATCCAAGCTTCATGATCGCTTGACGCATCCTCATTCCTTCGTTCGCACACAGAGCCTTCAGCTCTCTCTCTTTCTGTGTTTGTGACTTCGTGCCGGCGAGGCTAGGGCACCAAACTGCTCTGCTGCCGCCGGCGGAATTCGCACCCATCCCGCTTCTGGCACTGTTCTCTCCAATGCTTTCAAGAAACAATTCGCCTCGATCAGACTTCGATGATGACGGCCGTTACATACGCGCCGCTGGCGGGTCCTGCGCCTAATGGATACGCCGCGGGCATGCGCGCCAACCAGATCTGCCGCGTTTCCCTTGCCATCATCGGCACTGCGTTGTTGTGGGTGCCCTTCCGCCTTCTCGTTCAGAATAGGGAGTTTGTCGCCACGGTCCTTGTGGTCGACGTTGCCATCATCAACCTCTTCACCATCATCAACGCCTCCGTCTGGCCAAATGACCACTGGGACGACTGGTGGGACGGACAGGGCCTCTGCGACCTCGAGGTATACGTGACCGTCCCACTGCACACCCTCTATGCTGCCTGTATCTTCGCTATCATGCGAAACCTCGCACACCGGCTCCGATTGCGAAGAATGGGCGAACTCACCAAGCGCGAGAAGAGGCGCGAGACCGTCCTTCAAGCCGTCATACTCTTCACCGTCCCTGTCATCCAGCTCGTATGTATGTGGTTTGTCCAGACGCAGCGCTACCTCATCGGCGGTGTTTTGGGCTGTTTCGCAAGCTATGATGACGATGTGTTGAAGATCATCGTTTTCAATTCACCCCCTGCTCTCTTTGCCGTCTTCACGGTGCCGTTCGCATGTGAGTAACGAACATCGCAGGATCCCAGGTCTCAGAGATACTGACCATCATATAGATCTCACATGGAAGCGTTTCCGACAGGCCTCAAAATCTACCAGGGCTGCGCTGCAAGCAAACACTGAGGCCTCATCGCGCTCCCACCGTGCCCGCAAACGACTGTACTTGATGGCCTTGTCCATCATCACACCATATGTGCCTCTGCAGATTGCGTTCCTTGTGTACAATGCTAAGACCACACAGCTGCATGACTACAGCTTGCAGCAGGTCCACTCCGGCTCGAGCGCATACCCCTGGAATGCTGTCACCTTTGTCCCGTACTGGATGATCAACTTCGTGGCCATGAACCAGCCGTACGTTGCCATCGTCACGGCCATCCCCATAGTCTGGTTCTTCGGCATGACGAAGGAGGCAATCGAAACGTACCGCAAGTTTCTGTGTCGCCTCGGACTTTCCAAGTGTTTCCCCAGACTCAAGGATCCTTATGAGCCCGATCGTCCCCGCAGCGTCATTGAGCCAGGCAGAATCAGCCGGCTGAGCACGTCCAGGTATGCCATTACTAGCATTGGCAGGTGAGTTGAACCTTGCGCCCACGAACGGCGAAGCCTGCTGACGGCAACATAGCTCCCACACCGGGGCCGGCGTCCGCCATAGCGGCCTTCCGAACGTCCACCATCAAGCCATCATCACATCCGATGGTCCGTATATCCCGCCGCGTCACTCGTCCGCTTCTGGTCCCTCCATCCCTCCCCGTGGCTCATCACTGGAAGGCGGCATTTTGAAGCGCGTTCAATTTGCCGTGAAGATGCCTTCTATCCAGTCCCTCCGGAGCTTAGGCAAGAAGAAGCCGAAACATGAAAGCGCTTCGGGTGCTATCGGCGACGTGGAACAGATGATCCCGCTCCAGGACCTGGGCACGGGGGCCCTGCCGCGAACGCCCGGCTCCGCGCCCTCGCCGCAAGTGCCGCTGACGCCGTTCGGGCCGCTGACGGGCGAGCACGGCGGCGGCTCGGTCTCGACGCACGACATGTGCTCGTCTCCGTTCGGCGAGCTCGGCACGCGCAGCCAGAGCGCCAACTCGCTCTGGCCCGGCCTCCTCGGCCACCTCCGCGGATCGTCGTCCTCGCAGCGGCCCGTGAGCGAGCACTTCGCCGGCGACGCCGAAGCTTAGCAGGACTTCTTGCGTCACCAGCGCGCCAACAGCCGCCCGGAGAACCACCCGGACCACCCAGACTACCGCGGCCCGAGACGGAACTTTGGACACCGCTCGTGGGGTGCGCTGGACACGTGAGAAGGTGATGTTGCGTGGCTAGAGATCATGGCCGAAATTGTGGAGGCGACGCCGGAGGCGGACCCGGAGGTGAGAGCTGAATCGTCGAACGGCATCCGTTCGCGCTTTTTGCGTGCTTTTCCTCTTTGGTTTTGTCTCACGTCGAGACAGTGGGTGAGAGACCTGGGGAACGTGTGATTTGAAGCACGTTCACCGGTTTTGGTCGTTTGGTTGATGATTTCTGGATCCAAATCCTGGAAAGCTGAGATAAGACAAAAGGGATGAAAGAGAATTTGGGCTTTTGTGAATGTTTGGGCTGCGTCGATCACCCAATTTACGGTGGACAAGGACAGATTCTCCGCGAACGAAGGGCTTGAACGCTTTGTAAGAAGCTCCCGAGATTCAAGACAGTCGTGGCATGCTGCCCACGCATAGAGTATTGGATCGTGAGCTGATTTCAAGCATGAGAACGTGTTCTGATTGCGAACGGGCCTAGTAAGCCCGGCCCACGGGAATAAGTATCGAGAACCCCTTTTCGGCAGTTCCGCCGTGGAGCCCCGGAAGGATTGTTGTCTGTGATGCCATCGTCAGCGTTCGTTTTCGTTCCTTAGGTCATCTAATGGAAAGAGTCGCTTGTTTTGGACTTTCACACCACATAAACATGTGTGGGAGAAAGGAGGAGCGGGTAGCGTGGCAGCACCCGCCAGTCCAGGGGCGGCTGGTTCGTTAGTAAACTTCGATGTCAATCTCAGGTCCTAAGCAGCCTCCACTATACGCATCGAGACCTCTCAAGGCATCTCCCATTTGCATGAAGCAAAGTAGTGATATTTCTCCTTCTTAAAATATGCATAGCAGAGCATCGTTACGTTACCCCCTGGCCTTAGTCACAACTTTATTTGGTGGAAAGGAGATCTCATCAGTCTCTCACTGGCAAACAAATCAGCCTCGTCTTCCACACGTCATATACGTAGCTATTTTATCGAGATCGAGATCGGTAGTTGAGCACACCCACGATATGTGTACTCTCGTAGCCTTCTAACTTCTACGAATGTGTCCTCTCTATGACTGCCCTTTGCAGCCACATAGCATCGAGCCGCGGCTTATGCATGACCAACTGTTGAGCATGTAGCGTGAATCGAGCCTTGCACATCCCACTGGCGCTACAGACCCAAGAATCCGCCCAACCAATCTTCCTTACCAAGCGGGACACCCTTCGCCCTCAAGATGGAGTATGCTGTTGAAATATGGAAGAAGAAATTTGGCAGTACATGAGTCAACATGAAGTCCATCAGATAAATCGTGTGGTCCTGGCCCTTGAAATGCCTTTTGAAACAATATCAGCAGCTAGAGTCTATCCGCTGTTCTCTTCACGCAATGATACTTACATCTCAAATTTCTCTCCCTCCTTTCCTTGCGTCTTTGCCAAGTCAAACGACTTCACTAGCTCTTGCGTTCGCTCGACCCGCTTCTTCAGGTCCTCGAATGTCTTCTCATTCTCGTCCCATGGTGGCAGGACTTCGCCGCTCAGGCGGCCGAGGTTCGTCCGCACGACACGGCTTGTGAATTGGACCTGGAAAGAGAGCGGGAGTTGGTCCTCGACCACACGAGCATCTACGAGGGAGTTGACGTCAATGTCATTCTCTTTGGCGTGTTGCTCGGCTTTCGATAAAATATGTGCGAATGTGTCTAGGCCCCTGTTGAAGGTCGAGACGACGATCTCGGGGACTTGTTGGATCGACATCTTACTCTGAAGTAGCTACAAAACACACGATTCTGGAGGATTTGCAGCACTGACTCAAATAAGGGAACTTGAACTATATACGCCACTGATTATGATACGGGATAGTGCAAGGCTGGGGTCCAAAGCCTTGGTGGCACTAAGCGAAAAGGCTACGACCGTACAAGCCCACCAATGGTATCGTTCACATGACTGAGTAGTATCCATGTGGGACCGTAAGCTGCATATGCCAAAAGTCTCGAGCATATGCATTTGCATCACAACCATGCCAAAAATCCACTGCATAAGCGTCGACTTGAGTCTGAGCGGCCCAACACTATCCAATGGGAGGCTATGGACAAGGTGTAGGGGTCCTTCTCCTTCAGCAAGCCGCCAGCATCAGTACATGTTGCAGAGCTGTGCTACCCGGACCACCTATGTTCATCCCTGGCTTCCATCAAGCGTGGAGTTTTGCAGCCCGCTGTATTGGATAAAATTTCAAATGGACTCATTTTAGTTTTACAGTGTGCATAGGACAACCTGTTAGCCTGGTGGGCATATCAGCCTTCCGCAACAGAAGGGCGGTACAGCAGGCTAATATATCAACCCTGCCACAGTAGGAGTAGGGACTGATCAGTAACTTCTTCCAGCTAGGTGGTACGTTGGATAGTAATTCATGCCTGGCCACTTGTCTCTTTTCAAGTACCGCAACACAGCTCACACCTCTCAATTAAAAGTTTATCCGTGGTCATTTGTGTTGTTGTTTCTTCAATACTTCAAATGTTTGACTTAAGCTTCACTTAATCAGTCTCTTCAGATCACACGACGTGACTACACCATCATTATAGTGAGAGATCTTCGATCGGTAAGGTGACAATGCGTATCTCTATCTTTAAACCAACGAAATTAAGCCCTACAACTGGAAAATCCCACCATCATCAAAAGACTGAGGAAGAATACCCACGTTCCAGTCTTGAGGAGTCGGGATAGATTTAAATGTTCAAAACTTTCATCATGACCCGATTTGTGCAACTCCTCATCTGCACTGGGCAGTTGACACCGCCGCGATAACAAAATTTAGGTTCACGCTCAGCGGAATTCTATACGTCGCTTGAACGAAAATACGAAACCTCTGATTTGACATCAGGCGTCTCGCTGCTTTCTCCATCATGGGCTCTGGCCTGCAGCGAATCCACAGGCGTAGATGAATTCGACTGGTGTCAAATAGTCGAGTAAATTTTCATAAAAATGCCATGATCATGAACACAAACGTCAACGCAGAATTGGGTTCATGCGTTGAACTGACGGTGCCCGAAGGGTCCAGAAGCACTTTGATGGGATGTGCACGACCGACTTGACACACCGGCAGGGAGGACCGTTTGGTTTCTTGACGTTACGATATAATCACTGCCCCAGTCACAAAGGTATCATAACATCAAGTCCAGCAAGATTCTGTAGAAACTTCACTTCAATTGAGTCCTGGGACTGTTCTTGCCTCCTGTGGCCGATCTACCCTATTTCCGCCACTCTGTCCAGAGGTAGGTGCTTGTGTCTCAGCAGGATGCAGAAGAAACAAACCTGAGCCTACTATCGACACTGTCCTCCACCTTATTATGTCATAATGACTCTCTGCTCTCGAGCTGGTTCAAGCACGCCTCAGACGCCTCACCATGCGTGGTACAAGCTGAAAATGAAAGAGAAGCCAGAGTCTCGACCACCAATTATTCTACATGGGCCTAATAATACCATGGGGTTGGATAGTGTTGGGGTATCTTCGTAAGTCGTACAATGCGCTTTGGGCGATTAAACATGTTTTAGTAGGAAAATGAAAGGGGGGAAAGAGAGAAATTGGTAGCCGTTACGGGGATTGGCTCATGTGCTCTGTGGTATGGGCCAGCTCGGGTTCGGCTGGAACGCCGGAACGCGACGATGGTTGACTGGCTGCCGGAGCTATCTCTGGATCTGGTATTTGAATATCGAGCTGTGGCAGTGTTAGCAAATACCACTGAAACGGCGATGGAACAGAACAACTCACATTCATATAGCCCGTTCTCCGCAGTGGAATGATCTTGGGCGCTATGATCCCCTCTTCTGACCCAACGGTCTTCTCCATCTCCGTGTTCCACTTGTCGATCCAGGACTCCAAGGCTCGCAGGCGGCTCTTGGTATTGGTGAGTCCCATGTCGTCCCAAATCCAGCCAGTAAGCAGGCCCAGCACCCCATCAACGATATTCCTCCAGTTGTAGGGGCTGAAGATGGGAACTAATTCGCCGTTGAGCTTCTCAATCAGCCGACGGAACTCCTGCTCGGACACGCCGGCCGGATCCAGAATCTCGGGATAGAGGTTAGAGAAGGTGGGAGCCAGGTCGCCTTCTACCAGCCAGTCTCTCTTGACTCGTATTATGCGGGTGGTGGCGTATTCTGGCGAGTTTATGGGCACATGGGGGTTGAGGTGAGGAAAGCAGGGATGCTGGGGGCCCCATTCCTCGGCGATACCCGGCTGGTCAGGATCGCCCATTATAGAAGAGTTGCTCGACGAGATGGCAGACCCAATACCGTCCGGTATGGACATGTTGGACTGGCTGAGGCGGGGAAGGACATCGGGCCCTCTCTCCAGGTCCCTCGAGGCGGACCTCTTCGGATTGTCAGTTTCCGAGTGGGCCATGGTTGCTTTGCCTTTGCCCTTATCAAGCCTCTTGGGAGAGTCACTGCTCTTCTCGGGGCGAACCAAGCCAAAACTCAGTGCTCGCGCTCTCTCCCGGAAGCTGCTGGTCCTGGAACGAGTATGGAGCTTGGGCCGTGAGGGGGTGGCTTTGGGCTCTTCAAGCGGGACAACGACAGAGCCGGCTTTCTCGTCGTAAGAGTGGCGGAGTGATTTCGGAAGACTGATCCGGCGGTCACCGCTGGCGCGTCCCTCGATCTGGAGGCTTGCACGGGTCGAGGCGGAATGACGGTTCTGTCGCAACTCGGGGAGCGTCAACAGGGGATAGTCGCCGGCTGCTGCAGTGGCAGGATCGGTGGGGTCGGAGGTGATATCGATGACGGGATGGTCGATGGGAACGGGGGGCGGCGGAGGGGTGGAGGGACGTCGTCTCCGGGAGGGTCGTCGCGACGGCAGGCCTCTCGGGGTGGAGTTTGTGGGATTCCAGAGGCGGGCAGCGGCAGGGCGCAGCTGAGCAGATGCGGCGGCGGCTCGGGCGGGAGATTGCAGCAGGGCTGGATTGGCGTAGGGGTTGCTTCTGGCGAGCAGATTCCTGCCGGCCGAGGGGCGCTGGTGGTGATGTTGGCGCTCTTGCTTTGGGGTTTGTTGCTGCGGATGAGAGGGCGGATGATGGTCGTCTACTGGCGGAGCAGCTGGAGGCTCCTGGGGATGGTCTGGGTGGTCGTGGTCGTGGTCGAGCGAGTGGGCGCGGAGGCTCTCCTGGAGTGCATCTAGGGCGGCCGATGACAAGTTCGTGGAGCGACTGTGTGCGTGGGAAGCCGTTGGGAAGGGGCCGTGGCGGCCGGGCAGATTGGGGAGTCGAGGACGGGCTGTCGCGAATGTCGCTGGCGGTTGCGGCGGTTTGGGCCCGGGGTTGCCTGTGTCGCGGCGTTTTTCTGTGTCTCTGAGACGGCCGGGTTGACCCTGCGTCGCACGTGCAGCGACCCCGAACGGAGTCTGGAGGTTCTGGAGGAGTGGCGTCGCTGGGCCGCAGAGGCAGACGGTGAGGGGACGGGGACGGGGACGGGGACGGCGGTCGGATGCTGCTGCAGGGCGCGACGCACGGCAATAGCTTCGTCGTGGTGGTGGTTATCGTCGTCCTGCTCCTGCTCCTGCTGCTGTGAATCCTGCTGCTGTTCCTGCTCCTGTTCCTGTTCCTCTGGGCGTCGCGTGGTGCCGCTTCTCGTCACCGTCGTCTTTTTCTGTGAACGTGGTTGGCCGCTGTGGTGTCCCTGCGCACCGGCACAGTCGACTTTCAGGGGAGCCTCCGGGATTGCACTAGCCAGATTGAGCGCCAGCGGCCCCAACCCCAGCATAATGGTAGCAATTCGTTAAATTAGCTGCATCCACGGCTGCAACCCGCAAGCACCGTCGTTGTCGTTGGGCAGATTGACGAGCCGATCTCAGCACTCTCGCATCGAGCCCGCGTCGTATTCTGCAATGCGGTTGTGCGGTGCTCGGTCGGCGGCCGGAGTGCTGGTGGTTGCAGCCAAAGGTTGGAGGACGGGTCGTCCCTTGCAGAGCGATCGCACCGACGGCGAGAATGACGGCGCCCCGAGACAACCAAGCCTCAACTTGCTTGCCAGTGACGTGGATCCGGGCGTGTTTGATTACCTTGTGCTTCAATGACGTCTCTTCCTAGTTTCTGTCTCTCCTCTGAACTTCCAGCAGCAGCCGTCAGAGCGTCCGAATGGAAGCGCCTGGCGATTTTTTCTTTCTTTCTGTCTCTTCTTCTTTTTAAACAGTTCAAGACAGGTGAGCAGCTGTTGGCAAAACGCGCGTCGGTTCAACGGTCAAAGCACACGTTGGCTGCGTCAAAGTCGATTCCCAGGCAGATCACGGAACACGGAGACGTCAAAACTCCCAACTGCACAACGCTGACGAGCCTCATCCTATGTATATGTATTTCTGGCCCTCAGGCTTCAGCCCCCATGGACACGGTTGGCATTGGAATGGCCGGACCTCGAGTGGGCCTGCCTTTCGTCATCCCAGCCTCGGACTGCCGGGAGCGATTGCTTACCAGAGCAGCACCAACCAGGCTGTTTTTGATTAACTTATACGTGCCGCGGCCGAAGAAATTTTTTCCTTCCATGCCTAGAGTGCCATCATGCTTTCACCAATATAAACGCACTGCTCAGCTGAGGTGCCGGGTGCCCACCGTACATAGTACTACCGTGCCCAAGTTAGAAACTTGGTCCAAGGCCCCTGTTCCCTAGGCCCGTCTGGCGCCGCTTGCCAGGGTCCAAAAGTCAGGCACAGAGACCCGAACGGCCGGTTCGCAGGACCACATCACTGCCACAAGCGAGATCGTGTCCACTCGCAGAGCCCTGCAAATTAATCCAAGTTGCCAGGGCTGCCCAGGTTCCAGGTTGACAACCCAGCAAGGTTGATCGGCTGGCAAACGATGCTGCAGAGAGGCACCAGGCATGTGTGATGGAATTTGCTTTGAAGCAGTTCGTCCGCCGCTTGAGACATCGCTGTATCATCCCGCTGGAATCGGCTGGTGATCATGCGATGACCTGTCTCGTGGGTGACCCACCGAGTCTCGGGACGTCTTGTCTCTGGGGAATCAAGGGCGTCTGTGCCTCCTGTGGCATGAAGACGAGCGCCTGGAGCATGGCACAATCACCAGGAAATATCTGTGTGGCAATCTTCATACGAGCTCTCCGCCTCTGCGCCGGTCATGCCGTCTATGCAAGCAAGCGTTTGCCTTTGGCACCCTGGCGGTGACCGGTGCTCGACGGCACTGCCAAATGTCGATCTCTTACTAATAGTCTGACGCGAAGCGGTCTCTACAGAGCCGGGCCATATAGTCCCGTGCCATACTATTTTGTTTGTATTGCGAGGTGGGAAACGCGCTTAATGATAGCCCTGGGCTCAAATGGTGTTCTATTCTAGTAGGCCCCAAATAAGCAGCATCCATATCAGTGTCGCGGAGAGGACCTGTCATTCCTTCGCGTGATGCCACTGGCCATCTACGAGCTGGTCAGGCAGAGTCAGCGAACATGCTAAAAGCGGCTGCGGCGTTGTACTCGAGGACAAATGACATCACGTCGAACCCCCGAGCCCCCCGACAACTTCGACTGTTCGCTTTGATTGGGCGTTGAAACTGGCATTTTAGCTACCGTGTTCAGGGCCGCTGACGAGGCGCTGATACACTCTCGGAACGGGGCGCACTCTCCTTGGATTTGGGAGATTTACATACAGCCCCCAAATGCAAATCAGGGCTGGACCGGCGGCACAGTCTGTTGAATGTCTGTCACCTTGTCGACGACTAGCAGTCTGCTGCGTCTCGTTGCGACAACTATATCTAAGGTATAGAGATATATATATATATATATATGTGTGTGTGTGTGTGTGTGTTCTTCCAAAAAGAGATGTCAGCTGAAGAAGGCTCCCAATTGACGTGGCATCAACGTGGACCGGGTGTCTGTTTGTCTGACATTTTTCCTGGTTGTGGAGGTCGCAATTGCACATCCCCCGCAAAAGAATGCCCTGGCTGAACTGGAGGCATGCTGCGGCTGGAGACACATCCCTGCAACAGATCTCCCCCAGGTCTCCATACATTCATAGCTCCGTCAAGCATCGTCATCACTTGCTCATCTCATGAGACGACCTCAATGAGCTGCGCGCTTCATTCGCGCATCGTCTGCGGTTGAATTCCTGCTCTCCACGCGCCTCATCGTATCAGTCACAACGCGGGACCTTGAGCGCGTGCTGATGAGGGTTTTCTAATTGCGCCCGCCATGGCTGACGACAGCTTTTCGACGCAGTCTACTGCTCACACGACAGGCCGCGTCCCCTTCCTCGCCGGCAATGCTGGTGCTCCGAGCAACGCACCGCCAGGATATGGAATGCGCCGCGCTGCCACGATGGACGAAGCTGCAAACTTCCGTCGGCGGCCATCCTACCCATCTTCGGCGGGCAACTCTTTCACGCGTCGCAACTCCAACCTGTCTGACATCAGCTTCGAGGAGCCCGAGGATGACAATGCCGGCATCTGGAATCTTGGAAGGGTGAAGACCAACCCTCCCGACAAGGACTCATATGCCAGCATCCCTCTGGTGTTGGCATTGCTGCCTGCCGTCGGTGGTCTGTTCTTCGAAGGTGGCAGCGCTTTCTTCACGGATATCATCCTACTGGGGCTCGCGGCCATATTTCTTCGGTGGTCTGTCACGCAACCATGGAATTGGCTTCACGCAGCTCAGGAGATCCGCGTTGTCAAGGAAATGGCTATGGCCACCTCCGTTTTTGAGACCGACAGTGATGGTGAGCCCTCGATAGCAGCGTCTGCCACCACAGCTCTCGAGAACGTGCCCGAAGAGGATGAGAAAGAGCCCGAAGCATCCTCATCGGAACCGCCGAGATCCCCCACACGGCAGAAGTGGGAAGCAGAACGTGACGCCGCTGCCAAAGAGCTCCGCTTCACTGAGAGGATTGCCCTATTTTGGTGCTTCGCATTTCCATTACTCGGTGCCTATCTACTACACACCATCCGCGGCCAACTCAGTCAGCGCTCTGAGGGCCTCGTGTGTGATTATAATCTTTGCATATTTGTAATCGCTGCCGAAATAAGACCTGTTGCCCATCTTATTAGAGCCATCCAAGGCCGCACTCTTCGAAAACAACGGATCGTGGCAGCTAATCCTTACGAGCACAACGCGGTGCGAGACCAGCAGTTCCAGGAACTCCATTCAAAAATGGAGGAGCTGGAAGCACGTCTGGCAGCCAGCGAAACCCTGTCGGTCGCAACCGCCGAGACAGAGCAAACGACTACCAGGACATTGGAGAACTTGGTCATGCGCAACTATCGGGACAAGGTGCAGCCCGAGGTGGACTCGGTCACGAGAGCTATGCGGCGCTACGAGAAGAAGCTCAGCAACATCGTGAACCAGATCGACATACGGTTGGAGTATCTGGATCAAAGAAACAGCGACGCGATAGCACTGGCCGCCGTGGCCGCGCGGCAGAAAAATTCCGAAAGGGGCATCTTTGCCTGGTTAGTTGACAATACTGCTTCAATCTTCATGTTCCCGGTCAGAACGACAATCGCCGTACTGATGTTTCCCTTTCGCACAATTTCGTCTTTGTTAGGACGGACGAGTAGACCACTTCCGGAGAAGTCGTACAAGAGGGACCGAAGGACGATGAAGCACAACTCAGATCGTGTCACTTCAAGGGTGTCTAGAAGATGAAACCTGGCGACCAAGTTGACAACCATGTTACCTTTCGCCAGGGGCTCCATGACCACCAGGTCTTTGATTTACTTGTTTTACGGATTGATAAGTTGGGTGTCGGTATTCATCAAGTTCACGGCGTATGGGATGTGTAGATACCCTTGAGATCATGAGAAAAAGACGGACGATGCAAGCACGCAGATATGGGCGTAGCGCTCAGATCGTTTCAAACAAGAAGATATAGCTTGCTAATACAACCGGATGATGACACAAGCAGAACCAAGCACAACCAGTAGCTTGGAGGCCGGCACGGGATTTCCATGAGCGGAACACTTCACGTCCAACTCGTTTGGAGGAGTTCTCCTATGCTAATGAGTTTAGGTTACCGCTGCAGAGGGGTAACGCGAGGTTGGGGAATCGGCAGTATCGACGTGAGTGCGTGCCTTAGTCGTGAGTCGGACTGAACTCTGTCTAAGCGTTCCATAGTCTCCGTCTCCATGCCTCAGTTGCCTTTCCATGGCCAGACACAGCCGAACCCATGGCACAACACATCAGCATATTGAAATGGAATCAATTTAATAGAATATCGACCAGCCAAGCAGACATTGCTTCTATTGATCATTCGAATCCACGTGGGGTCACGGGACGTGAAGCTTAGACCAAGTTCATCATACTGTGGTGTCAGGACTTTGAGCCAGCAGGGATTTGGCCCTCAGGGGGGAGTGCCCGCTAAGCTTTTGCCCTAGCTTCCAGCTGATGGGCAAAGGGCCAACTTGCTGGAAATTACCCATGCGAATTTCAGCCCGCCCGCGCAAAACTCACAATCGGAGCATCCGATCATCATAGGGCCAATTGACATTAGAGTCGTCGCGGGGTTGGAAGAAAAGATAGTTTTCCAGCTTCTAGCCTCCCAGCACGGCCTTTGCTTTTTTCCTGTGTTGCCGGTGCATTCCTGCTGCACGCAATATGATCCCGAGCCAGCACGCCGGGAAGCAGACATTGGTCAGTTTTCACGAACGAACATTGATCTCCTGCACTCCTGCAGGTTCCCGAGAGCCCGTCCCGAATGCGGTGCAACAGTCGACACACGGTTCTCGTGTTGCACGACGAAGCGATGCCCTCTCCAAATGCTGGACCCGCAGGCCACACTCGGTGCAAGGGAGAGATCACGATCACTGCGTGCGCTCAACGTCATGATCCGCCGTACAAGGTGCTCTACATAGTATAATTCCGCACAGGTAGGTCTTTCTTAGCCTCTGTAGCCTCAGCTCTTCCTTTGGCGAGCTGCGCGATCTTAAAGCAGCTTAAAGTAGTCGGGCTGCGCTACTGCACGTTACAGGTAACTCTGCAGTCGCGTTGTGGGGACCCTTAATCTCCAACACGTCCAATATTTCTTCGGTGCCAAGAAGGGAGCCAGCCAACAACGCCGGCCACCCGTCGGTGCCGTCGTCGATTTGTCTGCTCATCTTGGTTCGTGAGCAATCACCCGGGGGTTCCGGTGACCAAATATCTCCGTATGCGCAGGATGCTGCTGCACGTCGTTGACGATCAATTGGCTTTCTGCTCACCACGACGAAACGGGCGGTCTGTCTCTTTGTGCAAGCCGCCTGCACGGCTGCGTGTGCTGGACATGCATACCGACGGTATACCCCTCGGGACGAACGAGGCGCTACGATTCAGAAGCTGGCGCTTTCAGCTTGGACCTTTTGGCGCCTCATTTTCTTTGCTTTCCCCTCTTCGGCGCGTTCCTGGCTGGACGCGTCGTCCGAATTTTTCGATCTCGGGCTTGACGGGTTGTGAAATGGAACCGTACATGCAAGTGATTACATAGTAGACGCGCTGCCTTGTGGATTTTGGAACCCAGTTTTCAGAGTTGCATAGATTGCAACCCGAGGGGGCAGGGTTGATGTCGTGGAGCGCCTGCCCCGGGATTGCTTTTTCGAAGCCTTTTCGAGTTGCAGGAAAGCCCTTACAGAATTTCTGCCTGTGGACGTGTCTCGCGTCCGGCAGTTTGAGGACATTGTCTCTCTTTCCCCAGATAGAGATCTCAAGCCGTCATTGACAACTGGGTACAAAAGTGCGCGCTGACATGTGTATTCCCGACAAGGCTGCATTTAGCCTTTATAAAACGACAGTGTCTCTTTTCACTTTTCTATTCCCGCTGTCAGACGGATCGTCTGATAATGAGAAGCTCGCAGAGAGTATGGGGTTTAGCGTGGTCGAGAGGGCCCCCCACCCGAGAACAAGCCGCGTCCGGTACATGGTGCCCAGGGGGGGTTACATGTACCTTGCTGCCAATCAATCACAGTTGTGGATCGCAATGTGGTCTGAGGTTTAAGATCAGGAACGAGCTGCCGGACTGGTGGCATCCTTGTCCGCGCAAAGGCAGTTTTCGTCGATTCGCTGCGGGACCCTCTTGTTCAAGGCGATAGTTTCCTATGTACCGTGCCTAGTCCGGCGACCGCACATCCAGATGATGTTTGTCTAATCTCCCATGGGCGTTAGCTGCGCCCATTCGGGTCGCTTCTCTTCGTCATCCGCCATCGCACGGCATGGCCAGCCTGCGAAAAAGAGCTGCAGAGGCTAGCGAGTAGGTCCAGTCCAGCTCGAGGTAGATCTTTGACCCAACGCGTCTGCTGTGGGTGACGATGCTTGCATGTGGTGTCCTCCTCTCTTTTCTCTAACCCTCGAGCGTTGTTGTGTTGTCCGTCTTGCGAACTTGCCGCCTTCTCCCGCATAAACGGGTTCCATATTGAAAGTCCTCGAGGTCCTTGCGTGATATCTCGGTCCCATTATAGCTTGTTTGATCTCCCTTCCCACCCGCTCGACTATTCCCAGACAGTAACGGGGCTGTATCCTACCCCCCGGGCTTTCGTCATCCAACCTGTACTGCCCGCGAGCACCGCCGCCTTGCATTTGCTGTGATATATCGCTGCTCCCGGACGGACGACACTCTGCGAGCTAGCTCGGCCGGTCCTTCCAGCAAAGTTCTGTTAGCCTCTGGTTATAGTGAACTTCATACCGAGCCCAGGACTTCCATCTACACGATAGAGTTTCGACGGTCGTTTACCCGCCACCCAATTATGCCTTCCATTCAAGTGTAAAGCTTCACCAACCACCATTCGGAGAGTGTATATAGCTGCCGCCTGCGTTGCGTGCGGTGCCGAGTTGAATTTGAGCTGGCGGACCGACTTGCCCTGCTCGTCAGGCACAAGGAAGATTTGCGGGGGAGAAAAAGTCAAGATGTTTCCAAAGAGGTCTTGGGTCTGGAGGCTGCTGTGCCTGTTGCTGTGTTGGAATGTGATGGCAGCTGGGATCTTGGGGCCGATTCGCAGAGATGACGCTTCTCCCACAACGACCATTGCTCCCACTACGACAGAGAACACCAGCCAAGACAAGTCGACTGCAACTGCTCAGACCAGCACGGAGAGCACTCAGGGCTCCTCTGTTGCTTCCACAGGAGCAACAGTCACTTCAAGTGCTTCAAGCACGGCGACAGCAACTCTTATACCCTCGGCGCTCAATGGAAACTCCCCCAGCAATGTCTCCAGCATTTATAACTGTAAGGGAATCATTTTACTGCCTGCTTCTATCGTGGCCTTTTGCTGACCCTCGTATGTAGCCACAATTGCGGAAGGCGAGCTGCCGCTTCAACCGCGGCTGACCCCCGGATGGGCAGTGGCTGGTGTGATACTCCTCCTGACAGGAGCCGTTCACACACTCATTGGGATCAAGAACAACTGGTTGCACACATTCTTTTCGTCGGCCTACTTAGCCGGCCTATCAACAACCGTCTTGATTGTCTATGTTATGGTGACACCTATCTCGGATGGCATCCAGGGTGCCTACGTCGTGGCTGTAGTAGTCACTGGGCTCATTCTCGGCGGAGGAGCAACCATCTTCAGGGAGCTCACGGAGAGCCTTGGGTGCTTGCTAGGGGGGTTCTGTGTGTCGATGTGGCTCCTCACGTTGCAGGAGGGTGGTCTTTTGAAGAACACCACTGCCAGAGTAATCTTCATCACCGCGTTCACGCTAGCAGGTTTTGCGTTCTACTTCAGCCGACACACCCGAGTATACGCTCTCATTGGTCTCATTGCGTTCTCCGGTGCCACAGCTACTGTCTTGGGGATCGATTGCTTTAGTCGAGCGGGCCTGAAGGAGTTCTGGGCGTACATCTGGGCACTGAACGAGAACTTATTTCCTTTCGGTGTCGATACTTACCCCCTGACCAAGGGCATCCGCGTCGAACTGGCCCTGAACGTCATCCTGTGCATCATCGGCATCATCTCTCAGCTCAAGCTCTGGAGGATCATCCAGGCGCACCGGGCGAAGCGGGCCGAGGCACGCGAGGAAGCACAGAAACAACGCGACCTCGAAGAGGCCAACTTGGGGCAGCAGATCGAAGAACAAACAGCGCCAGACAGGCAGGAATGGGAGGCCACCTATGGTGGTAGACCACCGGCCAGTCCCCATGGCTCAGGCGACTCTGGCATCGGTGATATGAGCGAGAAGAAGGCCCGCTCAAGTCTAACAACCGTACAACGGGTCGATGACGAGGAAGAGATAGAGCTTGCTGAATTGCCTGCTCCAAACTCACCATCACCATCCAGGCAGGAGCCGGGCAATAAGGCCATCGACGCGGCAGACACCACGGGAGAGACACACGACACAGTCCGGGTTATTGGAACTGATGGCGAAGCCAGACCGGTATCATGGGCATCGGCCCGCGATTCACAGAGATTATCCAGGCCAGCCGGACCTGAAGTGATTCCACTGCCCTTCCAGATCCCCGTCCAGAGCGACGAAAGAGACGATGACGATCGCTCTTCGTTCGCAACGTTTGCTGATGACGACGACCGCTCAATTGCCATGAACAAGCGGGCATCGAGAGCTTCTCTGGGCAATCGTCTATCAGTAGGGTCTGGCCATCTGCTTCACAGGCTATCCCGAGGTTCCATAAGGTCTACAGACTCGAGAAAGAGAAATGGTGAATTCTCGCCGACCCAGCTTTCACACGCATGGGGTGGCAGCGAGGAAGATCTTGTTTCGGAGAAACCAAGAAGAGACAGCGATGCTGGATCCGTGGCCGCAACCATCGATGGTCTGAGTTTGGACGGAAAGCCCAAAGACAACGAGTCGGAGTTTGCCATGGAAATCATGGCCGAGTTGGCAGACAAGAAGTCCCAAGGCAGTGCAAGCGTTGTCAAAGAGCCCGCAGATCAGGCCAAGTTGTCCCCTGTTGACAAGTATCCAGAAGGTAGACCCATGTCGACGGCAGAGACTATCGCGACGGATATCCTCAACATGTCATTGTTTGGCGAATCTGCAGACGCCGCGTCGAAACGAAACAGTTCAGTGGCGAATCTGGGAAAGACAGAGGCAACTTCAGACATGGGCCAAACGTCTGGGGCTTCGGGATCAGAGCATAAAGCAGACAACCCGAAAAAGTCTGCTTCCGCAGTGACCTCGACGCCTTCGACGCCTGCTAGCCTTACCAAAGACCGACTCCCAGGCGGCCTCTCACGCGTGGCATCTGCTTATCGGACGAACGAATGGGCAAAGCATCTGAGCCAAGCTGAGGTGCCAGAGCCGCAGAAGCTTCAAGAGGATGTAAGCCCGGCGGAAGAGACGCCCAGGGATAATGAGACTGCAGCGCCTGTGAATGTGGAAAGTTTGCAGCAGACTGCTGAGAATGGGGCGCCGCCGCCAGCATTGACACGATCGTCTTCATCGCCTTCCAGCTCGCCCCCTGGATCTAGACCTGTGTCTCAGTCAAACTCGAGGATGTCGAGTGCCAAGTCGCCAGGGCTGATCATCTCAACTTCATCTCCTCAGGACTCCAGCGCAAAGACCAGCCCTGTGAGTGCTGTGCCGCCTCATGCCCTACACACAAGCCACAGCTTCCGTATGAAGTCAGGTGTCATGAGTCGACGAGTTTCGGATATAATCGGCCAGCCTATTGCAGAAGAACACGCCGGGGATTCTTCGTTGGCGGCAGTCCAGGCCGACGGCTTGCTGGGATCAGCCCAAGTATCAACTGCAACTCTCGATCAACTGCAGGCCAATGCACGTGGGCCTGTGCCGGGGATTGTATCACGCTCGACTCCCCAGACTCTGCTGGGCAGACGCGAGATGCTCTTACGCAACAAGTCATCCATCCTGAGCCCTCCCATCCCCGAGGCTACGACCTATTCACCGCAGCCAGCCGCGAGCGAGGCCGGGTCGATGCATAACTACCCCATGTACTCCACCTTTGCCGGCCAAGACGCAGACGACCTACCGCTCAGCCAGCGCAAGCAGCTGATGCGCCAAAGCAGCCTTCTCTCCGTGGCCGGCGGCAACACGAGGCCGGGCAGCAATTTGAGCATGGCTTCCTACGGGGCGGACGCGACCAACTTCGACTCCCACCAGCCGCAGAGACACTCGACGTTGCCCTCGCAGCTAGCCCGGGAATCTCAGCTCGCCAGCTTCCGGCAGTCCGTAGTCCAGGACCTCCGCGCCGTGACGCCGATCAACAGCAGCCGGGAGATCACGCCCTCGGCGTCCACGCTCTCGCTGAACAGGGGCGTGAGCGCCGCCCACCGCGAGGCGGAACTCCAGCGCAGCATGGAGCAGAGCCGGAGCATGCTGCTGAGCCAGCGGGAGCAGGAGGCCCAGCGCAAGGAGATGGACAGGCTCGAGAAGGAACGCAACGAGCGCATGTTCGAGGAGCACATGCGCAGCGGATACCTCATGGACGCCCATCGCGACGCCATCCGCAAGATGCAGAGCGCGGCCCGGTGAGGTTAACACGGGAAGGGCTACGCATTTGGCGTCTCCGCAGGAACATGGGCGGCTTTTCGGTGACGCTTGACGATACCCTTCAGCTTTCTTTTCTGTTATTTATTGTCATTCCTTTGGATTCATGGAGGGATCATCGGGGATCTGGACATGACATACACTCCTTCTGGTCGACATCGGCCGACAGCATGATCTTCTTCTAATTGTAATGTTAAAAACGTTGCTAGGGACTCTGGGTTTGGGATGTGGGCGTTTGCAGGATATATGGGAAGGTCAACACCAAGGGAAGGGTGGCAAAGCATACTTTGGGGAGGCATGGGACGGGTATACTGCAAGCTCCGAGACACAGGCTTGTGGTTGAGGACAAGATTTAGCATTTGGACAGGGTCATGTTACGGCACAGGGGAAATCATATTCTACACGACAGTGATAGGACACTGTTAGATTGAGGGGGTCTTGACACCAAAAAGGCTGGGAGTTTTTGAAATGGGAATCCAAGATGATTTGCACCTTTCACTTGAGCCAGGTTCCATGGATGAGAGTGACCGAACCTACTGAATCGATAATAAATCTAGCGGCGCGAGTCACTTCACGCCACGCATCCACGGATGGAGGTAGAATCGAACCTTTTCCGATGACGTCGATCCATTGATGCTCTCGAATCCAGGCGCCTTCCTTTGTTCCCTCGTGCAATGTCTCGTCAAGTCGCCGCCTTGGCAGAGACGGTGTTGGAAGGCCCATGCTGATAGAGCGGGCTGGTTGTTCTGTCTGCACTGCCTTTTGGACCACACAAGCAACTGCATTGTGGTAGTGTGCGGGAGTGCGGCGGAGATCCTTGCATGCCTCCAATGATGGGTGTTGCGGGGGGCTGATTGGAGAAGAATCTATGATGATACATCCATACAGGGGGGCATTTCCAGCTTTCTCTAAGAGTTCTGGACTACTCTGCAGCACAGTAATAGACATCCAATCCGAACCTCAGAAGTCTCGTTACCCTGCTGCAGGCTGCCTAGGGTCCTTCAGTATGTAGATATTCGTTCTCTGCGTTTCCAGGGTCTCAGGACTCGAGGTCGGGGCTGACTAGGCACCAACTCCGTTTAAGGTGCTGGGCCAGGCCGAAATAGGGAACTGCAGTGGGCCCGCGGCTGGCCGGCGTGCTGAGTCGCCCGCCGCAAACGAACTGAAGCCTGTGTGACTGCCTGATCCATCTGAACCCCAGGAACCAGACAAAAAGGCCATTGAGCTCTTCTGTTCTGCCGTTTGTCGGCCCTCACCTCACCCTCTTCGTCGCATCTTCATTGAGCGCCCCCCGTTATTCAGAGTCTTGCCACGCCACAAAGGTTCTTGTGCAGCAAGCAACAGCTATTGTGAGTAGAGAAAGGCACGGCATCTCCGTTGCTGTCCCCAAAGCCAAGTTTGCTAGCGAGTCCCCCAAGGTAGTTAGTTACCTACAGCAGGTACCTACCTACCTACCTACCTACCTACCTACCTACCTACCTACCTACCTACCTGCTTGAACGCCGTGCCGCAATCCGCAAGCCAAGCTGCCTTCCTACCTACATACCATACCCTACTTAAAAGAAACCCCACCACCGCCTCACCTCAACCTCCGTTTCTCCAAACCACAAACAACCAACCAACCAACCAACCAGCCAGCCAACCAACAACTGACAATCGGCGACCAGGACATCCAGTCTCTTCGTCGCCCATACCAAATATCGCAGCGTCGATCCGCACACACGCGCCCGCACACGACAAATTGCGGCAGCTTGACGTCCGCTTTTCCCCTCCCGCATCCGACATCACACATCACCTCTCTCCCGAGTCTCTCGACCCACGTCATTCACCATGGCTGCCGATCCCGTCAAGGTGCGCCTTCAGTCCAACGATAACGCTGTTATCGAGGTCGGTGCGTAGAAGGATCTCGTCTACACATGTGCGTTCCGCACTAACAGCTAGCAGAGAAGAAGGTCGCCGAGCGCTCGCTCTTGATCAAGAACATGCTGGAGGATCTCGGCGAGACCGCCATCTCGCAGACCATCCCCATCCCCAACGTAAGTCAGTTCACGGTGCTCTCCCGCACCTAATCGCATTAGCCTGACAGATGCTCACATGATCACCAGGTCACCGAGCCCGTTCTGCGCAAGGTCATTGAGTGGTGTGAGCACCACAAGGAGGATCCCCCGCCGACTAACGATGACGAATCCGACAACCGCAAGAAGACCACCGAGATCGAGGAGTGGGACCAGAAGTTCATGCAGGTCGACCAGGAGATGCTGTTCGAGATCATTCTGGTACGTCACCCCGCACCCGCACTCCTGTTGTCTCCCCAGGGATTTTATTTCGCTGACCGCTAGCTCACAGGCCTCGAACTACCTTGACATCAAGGCCCTCCTCGACGTTGGCTGCAAGACTGTCGCCAATATGATCAAGGGCAAGTCTCCCGAGGAGATCCGCAAGACGTTCAACATCACCAACGACTTCACCCCCGAGGAGGAGGAGCAGATCCGCCGCGAGAACGAGTGGGCCGAGGATCGATAGGTGGTAGTGGCGGCCTTGGAGGAGTTTGCGAGCATTGTCTATCACCCAGCATGGATGTTTGGGCATGACTACAGGCATCGCTAGATGGGTAGGGGATGGATATTACGAAATGGCATGTCCCGGCGTTTTTGCATTTTACATTTTCCCTCTCGTGACAAACACATCTGGCATCGGAGGGGTGACCAAGTCCAGTCGACGTACAGGCGATTTGTCACCTGGCTGGGGGAGCAACGGGTTGCCATTATGATGGCAAAGCATCCTGGCTATGCCCGCCACTTTGAGTAGTTTCTGCGCTCCCCTTTGTGTATTGACCTCGTCGCAATCATGATGATTGCCATTGCCACATCCCGAGCGGTTGACAATAGACAGTCCTTTTAGATGAATACTGGTACTTCCTGTCTGCGAGAGTGAACGCTGTGAATTTGCCTTTCGTCTATGGGCCGAACGTTCGCAGTGCCTCGAACTATTCCCATTCTGTTGATTGAGGGCGTTGTCTCTCATCCCACGCCCAAGCTGCGATACAGTGCCGTCATATCCGAGAAGCTCCGTTCAACTACCAAACGTGCATATGGGGACGCGTGGAACTGACCGCCACGCAGTGAACTCCGCGACTCACAGCTGGGCCCATCAGTTTCAGTGAATGCTAAAGTATTTCTGCATTCTGATTTCGAGGCACTACACAGTTTGCTGTCCTGCAGGATAGTGCTACCCCCAAGACCTCTGGTCTCTGGTTGCGTGACTTCCTATCTACATATGCCTCACAGTCGTCTTCTCACATCAACACTAATTCATCATCGAGCCGCGAAGGGCAATCCCCGAAAAATAGCGCTCTTGCAGATTCCGGTGTCTCAAAACAAATGCATGTTTTTACAGGGAGCCGTTTTCCGGCCTATACCGGCTGCACATATCCTCCAAGTCATGCATCGCGGTTCCGTGGTTGTACTGCGTCGAGGGTCGGATTTTCGGTTATGGGTAAGCAAGCCAATTCCAAGGAGATGCTATCAAGCCTACGAAGGTATTACCCCGAGGCAATGAGACGGTGACTATGTGGATTCACCACAAGAGTCTGTGGGCACGCCGGGGTTAGATAAGAGATGGATGCATGACTACAGTCAAAGCTCAAGCAGCTCCAGGTTGCCGCCTATCTGGCGTATCGACCGTTGCATCTTGCTGTGAACCGTATTAGGATCTTCGTGTCGCGGCGCGTTGAGGAAGTTTGGTCTGTCACCAGTCGTCCAGCTGTCTGGCTGCCAAATCAGTACCGACATTGGTTCGTTGCTGGGTCGCGCCTCCGGGCACGGCTTGTCGCGAGCCTTCTATCACAGCGTTCAGTAGTCTCAGATGCGTGACGAGATAGGACAAAACGCAAAGTTAGCCATCATGAGAATATCACGGCGGCAAAGACATCACATCATCCACATATGCGTCGTGCCCCCATACGTCTACACATGTCCTGACAGAAAAGATTGCTTCCGCAAACATGTTCATTTCCCTATGACCGGTACCATGCAAATCTCGAAAAGAGCCCTGTAGAGAAACCCCGAACGAATCAACAGCAGTAAGCATTCCCCTGCCTGACAGACGATCCCTTGTTGCAGCTGAGAGTTGCCCAAAGATTCTCCATGATCCACTGCATCGTTCCCTCTACCATTTCCATATCAACGCCATAGTGACAAGCCGGGACTCGGTGGTATCGCCGGGGAAAACAAGGTGCCGAGTTGCTGAAGGAGCGAACAGTGGGCAGGAGGGGAAGGCTCGCGCGCCCGACATTTAGATGCCGAGACGGGTCTTGCGCCAGTGCCTACGCTTGGCGTTGTATCTAAGGAGGAGATTCATGTTAGCCTTGGGGCCCAGTCGGTCGCGTGCTGTCCTCCGTGGGTGTTGGGCTGGGGATGGGACGTCGTTCCAATCGATATTGATCGTGGATATGCGTGTCTGTGTGTAGTGCCTCGTTGCTCTCGGGTCAATCGTACCTGATGGTGTTACCAGTTCGCAGACGGATCCATTGGGGGATGGGGCGGTTCTGCTTCTGCGCCTTGGCGAGCTTCTGCTTGGTGCGGAAAGACTTGTGGCTCTGTGTGATGGGAAAGGCTTGCGTTAGCTCTCGGGTGCCCTCCTCAAACGAACGCGACTCTCTCTCCATCTCGCTCCGTGGTGTCTTGTCTCGATCATGGCCATCCACCGGCCCGGCGCGCCATAAATCTCAGCATCGCCGAATCTGGTGGAAGACGCAGCGCTGCCGTGGCCGCGGGGACGATGGATGCAATCGGGGGTTCGGAATCGAGGGTAGGGAACATACCGGCATTTTGACGGCTTTTGCTGATGCAAATGTCGAGATGGGTTGGTGATGTCTTCTTGACAGATGAGAGGGGTCTCGCGGCCGAATTGTATTGTCGAAATAATTTTGCTGTGGGCGGAGCTGCGAGGGCGGTGGAAAGGGCCGGGGTTAAACCGAAAAAAGCTGGCGGCGGTCCCACTGCTGGTGGGCAGCTGGCGGCTCCATCGTCAGGCCCACCAGCTGGCCACCTCCGCATGAATCCCGATAAAAGATTCCCGACGATAAGGGGGGGCCAAGGCCAAGGGCAGTCAGTGCATTCCATGGATGCTTGCTGCTTGCATGCAGTCAGCGCAGTATTCCGCCCTAGCTTAAGTTAGCAACTTTTGGAAACAGTAAGCAAATCAGGGTCAGCGGAGCCCCCGGCGCAACCCAAGTCACCTAGCAGGCAAGCCCACCTGGCCCTGCGGCGGCTCTCTCCTTAAGCGTCCACCCCCTGGGCGGCCCTGGGCCCTGGCGCCTGGCTGGGGGGGAACGGGCTGCGGAAAGGCTTTTGGGAGGCGCTCTGGCTGGTTTGCCTCTAGTCAGGAAGACAGCCACCCTTGTCCGTCGTTCATTCATTCATGCGACCATTGTCTACCAGGGATTGTTCAAGATTTCCTGCCTGCATGCAAATTTGATTCCGCGGGCAGAACACGCTCAGTAGACTTTCTGCAAATACCCAGCACGTCTCGCGCCTCGATTTGAGTCCCGTCGTTGGCCTGCTGCTCGCCCTCTGACGTCCGTCCTGCTTGACTAAACCTCGGCGACTTATTACTTTCCCCCTAGCTTACCTGAGCATCTGGACAGCTTGCCTGGTGACCGGGGAACGAGACAGGTCAAAGCAGCCGGGACACACGATACCATTCGCGCGCAGGCCTCCTTTGCCGTCGGGGAAACGAACGAACATCCAAGATGGGTCAGAGCATGTCATGGCTTTCGGGCCTCTTGTGGGCAAAGAAGGAGATCAGGATACTCATCCTAGGTCTTGTAAGTACCGTACCCCGTAGCCCCCTTACATCCGGCGCTTGCCCATGCTATGCCATGCCTCAGAGGCTAACCTACCCGTCCAACAGGATAACGCGGGAAAGACGACACTATTATACAGACTCAAGGTACGCCTCTCTGTCCCGACCGCGTCCCAGATCCGCAACGTCCTTGATCGCCGGCGACCTCGGCCGTCGAAACGACCCCGTGCCACACGCAGCCGCATCTTCATCATCGGCAGACGAGACGTGTCGCTAACAATACATGACAGATTGGCGAAGTAGTCACGACCATCCCCACAATCGGCTTCAATGTCGAGTCTGTCACATACAAGAACCTGAACTTCAACGTCTGGGATCTGGGCGGCCAAACCAGCATCCGGCCCTACTGGCGGTGTTACTACGCGAACACGGCCGCCGTCATCTTCGTCGTCGACAGCACAGATATCGAGCGTCTGCAGACGGCCGCCGAGGAGCTGGCCGCCATGCTGAACGAGGACGAGCTCAAGGACGCCGCGCTGCTGGTCTTCGCCAACAAGCAGGATCAACCAGGCGCAAAGGGCGCAGGCGAGATCTCCGAGGCCCTTAGGTTGGGCGAGCTGAGGGACCGCAACTGGAGCATCATGGCCTGCTCCGCTGTTGACGGCAGCGGTGTCAGCGAGGGTATGGACTGGTTGGTGGTAAGTGGCATTTCTTGCACAAAACCGGGGTCGCATGTGTTCCGGCAGGCTGCTGTTCTCTTCCTGATCCTCGAAATCGCTCTCGGATGCTACCGCCCTTCAGAAACACAAAGGAGGCATGCTAACCAGGACTTAGCAAACGGTGTCGCAGGATTAAGTCTCTTCGCTGCGCAGCACACTGGAGGGGTTGCGGAGCGTTGCGCCTCTTCTGGCAAAACCCCGCCACACTCGCCGAATAAGGGACGAGGCCGCACATGAAAGTCTTGGGTAAAGACGAAATGTTCTCTGGAGTACAGGACTGGGGGCTGAGGTGGCACCTGTGTGCCTGGGGCGTTCCAGGGGGGCTGTCTTGGGAAGCCACCACGTCACGGAGTAGGGGATGAACTGAAATGAACAACAACTACATAACTGCATCGTGAAAGGAGTCGGAAATGGCCAGACCCAAACGAGTGGTTCGGGAACGGGGCTCATCAATTGGGGGTCTTGCATATATATACAACAGATAAAAACCCTTGCCTTTTTGACGCAAAGGTTCGTAATCAGAGATCGTACGACAGGAAGCGGGCGACACATGGCTTCTTTTTCATCTTCCTCTGCTTCGTCTATGTAGCTACGTGGGTGCAGGCCACCCGGGACCTCGTCCTCGTCCTGGACGACCCGGCTGTTCAATCGCTAAACTTGTAATTAAAGTCTTGTCTAGCTTGAGTTCCAAAAGGAGAAGCTGCTGCGCGTTATGGCTCGGTATTTTGATGTGACCGACCATGATTGGGCCATTAAATCTCAGCAATGGACTGGTAGTGCTTCAAATAGTCAACAGCACGTAAGGGGAACAGGATCAGCAAAGGGGTTGGCAGTTAGAAGACCAATCAACGCTAATGGCACTTCCTGACACTTCGCATAGCCTCACAAGACTAGCAATATATCAAGTGAGATCCTCTTAGTTTGAGTCCCAGGAAGTTTAGTCCAAGATGCTGGTTTCCAACCCGCCCTTTCGTGTCAACAGTTAGTTGGCCGTGGTGCTTGATATTTAGGCGACATGAATCTCTTCGACGTTTTATCCAAGGCTTAGGAAGTGTATTGATGGTCACGACCGTAATTCCAATAGCAGAGCCGGGGTGTCGTGCGATTATTGATAAGCAGTACCATCCCATACATCGATGACGTCCGCATCGGCTATCGGATCCGTAGCTATGACCGCATGCTAACCGTTCTGACGAACACTGCCGTCTGAGCGGGTTGACGGAGCAGAGTACTGTGAATTCCCGTATGTCGTCGTTCGAGACCGATTACATGTACAATCGCCGCACGGAAGTGCGGACAACGTCCGCATGTTAGCGCGGTGGTCTTCGGGATTCGACATAATGGTCATTAACGCAGGCAAACACCTGGAGTCACGAAGTTGGTTGCGATGTTTCCCAGCACTTTTAAACCCCCACTTCATACCGTTTAAAGTCCGTATTGATGTAAAGTCATAGTTTTGAATATTAGTGCCAGTTATGATAAAGGGCAGTGACAGTAAGTACGGAGATTGATCGCGCCTTAGTTCACCAATCAGCCTGATAATTCAGTGAAAAGATTCTACTGCTGTAGGGGACGGTGTTCATCACAGGCGACAAAAGCTGAGCTCTTTCTCGCGCAGTCAGCGGTTGCGGTTTGTTCACCAAGCTCGCCTTTGCCACGCGCAGTCCCATGGCCGTGGCAGGCTTCCACTTCGTCACTTCGTGCCTGGCCGGATTCATACTTGGGAATATCAGCTCAGGGTGTAGGGTGGGCTGAGGCACGTGACTGACATTTAACCTTGCGGCAAATCACTTAGCACCCCTGGCCCCAATTCGTTCCTGGTTAGGCGGGCGCCGAGCAGCCCTGTCTCAACAACGCCGCATGTCGATCCACCGCGCCCAGAACTGACGTCAACGACTTTCGAGACCGGGGTTTGACCATCGAAATCTGATATTCGAACATCATACCATCCACTGGCGCTGGTTTTCATTGTGTTGTCATAAGAGCCAGATCCCAGCCGTCCAAGTAGCAATTGTACAGCAGTGACGGCAACTCCCAATCCTCACATTTACGAATATCTTGAACAATGGCGTGTCTACGTGGGTCTCCGGGTGAGTGAATGGAGCATATCTGTCCGCATTTTGACCGCATAATTCTACGGCGTGTCAGGGTAGCATTAGTGCTCGTAATTCGACGGGCGTTTGTAAGCATTAGTGCCCACCCGAATTTGGATATCTGGATTCCATATCTGCGCGTTGAGTGACAAGTTCTATCTGTCCTTCATTGGGCAAAAGCAATGCGGCATCGCGCCCGGAGCACTGCAAGTAAGCCAGCCACTGGGGAGTAAGCGCTAGGGGTGCGCTGTTGGAATTATATGTACGTAACCTGGAAGGTACAATGATTCCCCGGGCCTGTAGCACGACACTGGTCATTTATCACGCCAGTTCTCCGAGCCTCCGTCAGTGAATCAGTCCGCCGCTGGGTAGTTCGCGCTGTCAGTTGCGGGCAAGCTTGCCAGACACGCCTCGCATAGCTTTTCCATAACCCTGCAATATCCCCGGCTCTAGCAAGCCGTGCCCATCGGGCCCCTCCTTTGGAGTAAATCAGACAGGGTGGATGCAGAAAATGCCCGTTGGCAAGTTGGGATCTTGACGGATCGTTGCGAATACCGATGTAGGCCGTAGACGCGCAGGGGAGCTCACCATTAGCCTCCGCCTCATTGGTCGATGCGGTCACTCCACCGCCGCACTAGTCCACCTGCGGCCTCGTGGGCGTTGCTCAACCGTCTTCTGACGCAGCGTCGAGAAGTACGTAGTTATGGCGACCCATCCACTAATCCGCTTGATGCGTGAGAGGCGAGAGGGCTATTTATTAGAGCAGCCGGGCGCCCGCATCGTCGTACTGACCCTGATATCCCGAAGTGCCGTTCTTAGACCTCCCATCGATTCTTTGATAGACCACAGCCCATACATTTGACGGTTGTGAGATCCACGACGAGACATCTCGCTATACCCCCCACATTAGATCTCTTCGCTTTACCCACGTCAGTCATCATGGTCGCCGACGACAAGCCCGCATCCACCTTCAAGTATAATGAGAAGCCAGTCTATACGACCTCCAATGGCGCTCCTGTTGACAACCCGTCCAAGTGGCAGCGAATCGGCACACACGGCCCGCTGCTGCTGCAGGACTTTCATTTGATCGACTTGCTGGCTCACTTCGACCGTGAACGTATCCCTGAGCGTGTCGTTCACGCCAAGGGCGCTGGCGCCTACGGAGAGTTTGAGGTCACTGACGACATCAGTGACATTACCACCATTGACATGCTGTCGGGTGTTGGTAAGAAGACGCCTTGTGTTGCTCGTTTCTCGACAGTTGGTGGTGAGAAGGGCTCGCCAGATACCGCACGTGATCCCAGAGGTATGAGCCCCCAAGATCGACTGACTGTTTTTCAGTATCAGCGTATTGATTCCTGCACAGGCTTTTCCATCAAGTTTTACACCCAAGAGGGTAACTGGGACTGGGTGTACAACAACACACCGGTCTTCTTCCTGCGTGACCCCACCAACTTCCCGTTGTTCATCCACACCCAGAAACGCAACCCCCAGACCAACTTGAAGGATGCCACCATGTTCTGGGACTACCTCGCAACCCATCAGGAGGCTATCCACCAGGTCATGCACTTGTTCTCTGACCGAGGTACTCCTCACGGATATCGCCACATGAACGGCTACTCTGGCCACACGCACAAGTGGATCAAGGCTGATGGCTCGTTCGTGTACGTCCAGGTCCACTTGAAGACCGACCAAGGTAGCAAGACCTTCACCAACGAGGAGGCTGGTAAACTTGCTGGGGAGAACCCCGATTTTGCTACCCAGGACCTCTTCGAGGCTATCCAGAAGGGTGACTACCCAAGCTGGACAGTCTACGTCCAGGTTCTGACCCCCGAGCAGGCCGAGAAGTTCAAGTGGAACATCTTTGATTTGACCAAGGTCTGGCCTCAGGGCGAGGTCCCTCTGCGGAGATTCGGCAAGTTCACTCTCAACAAGAATGTTGAGAACTACTTCGCCGAGATTGAGCAGGTTGCATTTTCCCCGTCTCACCTGGTCCCCGGAGTCGAACCGTCGGCAGACCCTGTCCTCCAGTCTCGTCTGTTCTCATACCCCGACACCCACAGACACAGACTTGGCGTCAACTACCAGCAAATCCCGGTTAATGCCCCTCTCAAGGCTTTCAACCCTTACCAGCGTGACGGTGCCATGGCGGTGAACGGCAACTACGGTGCCAACCCCAACTACCCCAGCAGCTACCGACCTTTGACCTACAACCCGGTCCAGGCCACCAACCCTCACGAGAAGTGGGCTGGAGCTGCTGTGACCGACTTGTTCGACGAGGTCAAGCCTCACGACTACGTAAGTGTGACCCTTTCTGCCATTCTCAGGACGAATCGGAACTCAGACTAACTGAGAAAATAGGAACAAGCAAATGGCCTGTGGAAGGTCCTTGGCCGCCAGGAAGGTCAACAAGAGAACTTTATCAACAACGTCGCTGGCCACTTAGCTGCTGCCCATGTTGACACCCGAAACCGAACATATGAGATGTTCTCGAGGGTCGCTCCTGAACTTGGGTCCGCCATCAAGTCGGCTACCGAGAAGAACGCTGCCAGTCTGTAGACCTAGAACAGGGTTGTTATAATTTGAGTGACCAGGAGGACTACCCATAAGAGAAACAGAAGTTATGATAGTAATGAAATGATACCAGCTTTTTCAAACCAGTTTTCACTGCGTCGCAGGCCTCTGGGGAATGAAACAATCTAGAAATAACAATTTGGCGCGCCTGTGCCTTTTGAAACGTTCAAATAAGCTTGGAGTGGACGGGAGGGCACACCCTTATGTATCGATGCCCTGACTAGAACCTAGCTTCGAACTCAATTGGTTGTCAGATCACAGGTGGCTTTCAGCTCGCATATGCAGTACACACAGGGTTCTTTGAACTTACTAGCTTACACCATACGTGTGATGCTCCTTGTGGTGAGGTCATGATTCGGCAACTATGATATTTCGGTTGGAGCTTAGCTCCGGCGACGCCTCAAGCACGCCGCGAATGGAACATGAAATTGTTACCCTGTTTCTGCCTAATATTGAACTTGTATACTCTAGTACGACATGTATTGATATTCTCATCCTCTCAAAAGCATATAGAAGCTGGGTGATGAGAGCTAAGTACAGAGTCTTCAGGCCATCAGCGCAAAGTATCTCACGCTATCAACCTATTCACCGCTAAGATCAGAGAGCTCGCTTCTGAACATACACCGGCCAATCACCAGGTACCACCGTGAAATAAGCATAGTACTTCCATTCCTGATCTGGCCGAGCCAGCTCGATGTCATAATCCCGAATGATGGTAGCCAGAATTTTGAATATCTCAATCCTGGCCAAATGCTGCCCAACACACGCTCCGATACCCCCTGAGAACTAGGCATACGGAAGTCAGTACCAGGGACTGGAACCAGCCTGTGAGGACTCAACTAACCGGCAGGAAATTCTTGTCGAGTGCACTTGTGTCCTCAACCATCCACCGCTCAGGCTTGTATTCCCGGGCATCAGGCCCCCAGACGTCCTTCGACAGGTTCATACTAAAGGTGTTGAGCGACAGCGTAGTCCCAGCTGGGAAGGATCGGTCGGCGATGGTGATCCCGCCCTTGGGAACGACCCTGGGTGTCCCCATAGAGACGGGGTGGAAGATCCGCAGAGCCTCCTTAAAGCAGGCTTGTAGGTAAGGCAGTCTCTGTGCATCGGCGTAGGAAACTACGCGGTCGCGGCAGATCCCATCCTTTTCTCTAGCTTGGTCTATTTCCTCCCGGGCACGCTGCCAAGCATCGGGGTGTCGTATCATGTGATAGACGGTGGACTGCAGAGTGCATGAGACCGTATCCGAACCGGCACTTTTCGCATAGTCAGTGGAATGGGGAACTCATCACGACTGTGGTTGGTCAGGGAGGAAGTACGAACCCAACATTAGCCATGACGGCAGACTGGAGATCACGGTAAGAAAGCTTGTCAGGGTTCTGCTCGTGAGACTTGAGCCAGTGCGCCACGAAATCGAAGCGTGCGTCCTGGTTCTTCTTGCGCTCATGTAGGGCCGCGTCCGATGTCTTAGCAAGATAGTTCGTAGGCATGATATCGAGCCACGTGATGAAAGGGTTGGCCACCAGCAGATTATGCAGCCACTGGGCAAACCCGGCGATGGAGATATAGCTCTCGAACTTCAGCGTCTGGGATATGCAATCGTCGATGTCGATTCCCTGTTCGATGAAACCGAAGGGTTTGGAAAACACCACTTCCCCGACGACATCGAATGCAGTGAAGGTGAAGAACTGCGACAGGTCCATCGGCTTGCCACTCTCTGCGAACTTGTCCAGCCACTCCAGAAGGCGTCCGATGAGGGCTGTAATGTGGCCCTCAGATTTGATTACGTTACTCATTGCGTATGCCGATGCCAACTGCTTCGATATTTCGACTTTGCCTTTTGGATCCAGGACGGACATAGCTGTACGAAATCTACGCTGCTTTAGCCACAGACCAATACCATATGGTAGGTGTCGGTAAGGATAGCTAGAAGCGAATGAGAACAACGAAATGCAAGCCTACCTCCAGTCGGGAAATCTCTACGTTGAGGTTCAGCGAAGTGGTTTACATTTACAACTGAATAGAAACGTCGTCGTACTCACCATCATTTTGTACCAGTGGCCCTGCAGTAATCGTTAGTATTTCGACTGCAGTGCGATATTGTCAAATAAGACTACTACCTTTAGTTGAGGGGTGAGTATCATTTTCTTTATAACCTCAGGGTGCGTCACGCTGACTTCGTTCGGCGCTATGCGGACGAAATGGCCTGTGGTTGCATTGTATGAGCTCATTTCCTCCCCAAGCATCCAGCAATGCATACCATGCTCCTTGTGAAGCTCCAGTATAGTGAGGTTCTGATGGCCTGTCCATATCTGATACATGTGCCATAATCGCGTGAGAGATGCCCACTTGGGGCCCGGAACATTGGAGATAGGGCTCAGAAAAAAGCGCCAGAACAGAATCGAGACGAGAGCTAGTAGGATGCAGACCGCGATTGATGGGAAGCTCACCAGCTCCGATGCAGACGCGACCTTGGGTGTATCGGCCATTATTCCAAATGAAAATGAAAATGGAAATGTCGCTGGCACCAGTACCTGCCTCGGTTGAGAGAAGACCTGAACCGCGACGCAAGTAAGAGGAGAATTGGAGGATTTCAAAAAGACAAAGCTGCAGTAAGCTTCCACAGTCGATTCATTGCCGGTTCCGATAATGTGCATGAAGAATTAGTGGGGCCATGGGTGCTATTTGGGGACTATAACCAATTCTATCACTTCACCCATGCGCAACCAAGGAGGTACACCCTGCACAAGCTGTACGGACGCTACTCGCGAAAGCGCTGTGGACTGAGTTGTGGAGACGCCAATCAATGCTATTCCGTTGATGCATAGACCCCTGGTCAAAGACGGAATCGAATTACGCCGTAGTGCTTTAGTTGGCCAAGCACGAATCAGAGCCGACCTGCATTGTCAACTGACCGGCCCGAAATATACAATGACATCGAGGCATAGCAACCTTTACTGCTTAAGATTGTTATACTTATATTCGTTGAAATCGCGAACCAGTTGGTTGGGTCTAAGGCTGCAGTACTCCAGAACTACTGACAATCGTATAGTCCTACGCACCGGCGGCTGCAGCCCTTAGGTTCTGAATTCGAATGTTTTGGTCAACTCATTGCTCCTGTGCGGGGACGAGGATCGTGACGGATACTACTGACGACAAGAGTAGCCATACTAGGTGATGGCCCCAAACCAAACAGAGTAGTACTAGCGATAGTACAGTAGTTCCCTGACACTTAACTATTGGTAAAGCGATATGGCCAACAACGAAAAGACCGCATACCCAGCATGCTTTTAAACACAGCCAGTTTTGACTTGCCTGAAGCGCTATCGCCGTGAATGCGATAGTTCTGTTCCGGCGGAGATGGTTGTAGGCAGTGACGGCTAAGTCCCACCGTGGGCACGTTCAACATACCACCTAATAAGAGCAGCATAAAAAAGACACGGAGGTTCCTCAGAAACAAAAAAAGTAATCATGATCCGAGGCGGGCTCGATCCGCCGACCTTGAGTGTGTTAGACTCACGTGATAACCAACTACACCATCGGACCGTACAGACTAGGAAATTGGGTCGTCGCCAACCCAACTACTCCCTGGATGAAAACAATTCTGTTCTATCACATACTATACCAGTACCATAGTGCACCGTCTCTTTACACTGTTATAAAACCATCTGCCGTCGAATACTGTGTTGTGGATCCAAAACCTCCAGTGTCCTCATCGGACTTTTCAGTGCAATAATGATAGTAGCGGCTGAACCACGACGAGTGTGGTGAGAAACGTGACTCGCATAATCCCCAGACCATAAGACAATGGTCCTGGTCTGTAGTACGCGGAATACACTGACGCGAAAAGAGCGCATAGCCACCTCACAACATACAAAGCTGCTGAGTGCAGCTGAACGTGAGCGCCCCACTCAGACCCTTGCGATATTGCCCAGGTTCTGCCCACGAGGAGCAGAACCAGATAAACCTCTGACAAGACGGATCTTAAAGCTTCCCAATGCTTGTATGCGCCTATGCCGCGGATAAATAGGCCAAGGGACAGGGCGGTATCAGCTAGCAATGCGCAGGTCTCCAACACTGTGGCTCGATAAGTTGGCTGACCCTTCATGGTTATATAGACGAGAAACCTACCAGGGATATATTGGTTTTCTTGTCTGAAGAAGCCCGAATATGGCTGATCGAAGCTTTGGAAGCCATGGAATATGAGTAGCCCGAGTGAGAGGTAGCAGGAAGAAGGCAGAATAATGCCAATGAGATCAATCAAAGCCATGATAAAGTTTGTTAATAAAGATATTCTGGGTCAACGCTTTGATCGTAGAATCTGTACGGACAAGGAGGCTGATTTCTTAATATATTGAGTGCGAAATTGGATGCCTAAGGAGGCAACTGGGTCATGAGTCTAAGGAACCTCGTTTTTATCCTGACCAGACTCTTTATGCTGTTGCCTCTCCGAACCGGCCATGGACCACATCCCATGTTACAGCTAGTTGAAGGCTTGTACGGCTCTCGGTCGTACAAAGAACATCATATTACGGAGCGTAGAGAAGCGTACGTTGCCGCTTTGGCTGTGCTTGGCTGCCTGACCCCGAGTTCTTATGGCAATTTGAGCGCCTGGTGACATTTAGGTGGTCACGTCAGCTACATCAACGGCTATGTATGTTGTCAATCGGGCCATTTGACCCCACTAGCAGAATTATGGTACTCATTTGATGCAAGTAAGTTGCTGCCTGAAGTTCTCACTTCGTAACTAATGACAATTTGTCTAGCGCCATGCATTGGTCAGACGTCTTATTTAGGCACCCAGATAACGGGTGTGGGCGAGGAGGCTGCCACATTATGTATCACGTGCCTTGACTGTTGCTGTAGAAGTGTCGCTGCTCTACAAGATGCCGTTGATGAAAGGTTACGCGCCACAGATCAGCGAAGATCAAAATCCACCACCATTTTTTTCATCTAGCGTTTTCCTTCATTAGCCATTACATTTCCCCATCGGTGCTACTAGTCGCACCCTGAATATCTGTGTTTGAGCTACGGGGAAGTTATCGTAGTCATTTATCCCTTGTAAGGAGACATTCTGAAGTACTGATTATTTGAGAAACCTTGAATCACAATTGAGTCAACGGTTCAAGTATCAATCACACGCTCGAATCTCAAAGCCGTACATTCCCTTTCCATGGCGCCAATCTCGGCCACCAAGACGATGAAGCTTGGGGCGGTGACCTCTGCCTTGGCAGTCATAGGCATCTGTGAGTGGACCCATTGTCCTCTCGCTAATCTCGAAGCCTGCAAAAATGTTCAAGTCGGTTGCGATGCTGAGTCTGCTCCCCACAGATATGATCGTCACAGGCAATGGCGAAGCGTTCAACGTATGTCTGCTACTCTCGCCGTCGTGGAGAACCTCAGTCTAATGACAAAGAATATAGTTCGGGGACTTCCTTGAGTCTATCCCGCCTACCACCTGGGCGAGCATCGGCCTAGGACTATGTATAGGGCTTTCCGTCGCTGGGGCGGCTTGGTATGTCTATTTTTCCCCTACCTTGTCATGATATTCCCTATCTTCTCCCTTCTTGCATTCCTTGGACGTGTACTAAAGGCGATTTCAGGGGTATATTCATTACAGGCACGTCGATCCTCAGTGCTGGGGTCAGGGCACCTCGCATTGCTACCAAAAATATGATGTCCATCATCTTCTGTGAGATTGTCGCCGTCTACGGTCTTATTGTAGCCATCATCTTCTTGGCCAAGCTGGATGCCCTCCAGGGCGAGGCGCTGTCCTCGACTGAATCATACCGTACTGGCTTCGCCATCTTCTGGGGTGGCATCATCGTCGGCATGTGCAGCCTCATCTGTGGCGTGTCTGTCGGCATGGTCGGGAGCAGTGCTGCACTTGCGGATGCGGCAGACCCTACCCTGTAAGCATTTATCATCCATCATCCTCTATCTCTCAGAGGTTGGTAGGTGATGCTGACGTTTGGATAGGTTCATCAGAATGCTCATCATTGAGATTTTCTGTTCTATTATCGGACTCTTTGGCCTAATTGCAGGTCTCCTAATATCTAGCTAACCTTCAATCACGAGATACGAATAAACAGACGGCAACGAAGCGCGTTATACAAGTCATTGGGAGAGCGACTAGGTGGACAGTTGGTTCCAAGCGAGCAAAGGCGCCGACCCCATTCACGCAGGAATAAACATGCTACCCTTAGTGCTCCCAAAGACTGTAGCGTCCATCACAGGCGGTATGGGCGTCGCAGCGCTTGGCTCCATTTGGCCATTCATGACAGCAGCTTCTTGCTTGACGGCCATAGGGGTAGGTGTTGCCCAGGCGCTGGCGGGAGGATTGAGGGAGATTTCGAATGGACTGACGGGCCAACTACGCGCCCGGGTGCTTAATGTCGTCAACGGCTCACTGACACACGCTTGGCTCGTGCCCGTGGTGCTTACGTCTCTTGGTCTCCTCGGCGCCCTAGCGGTGGAGCACCGCAAGATCAGGGGTAAGGATACCAAGGAGCTCAAAGGTGATGAGGATACGGCGGAGGAGGCAAAGGACATGCACTGAGTTCTTTAGAGATGCATTGATACATGTGGGGCTAATTACGGACTACCGCTACCGGCACTTCGCTGGCGTGACGCAGTGCATGTATATACGAAATGATGGGATGCGCTTGTTGTTTCTTGTTGGGTCAGCCATAGTGCTGTCGTCTTGGTCGAGGTTACCTTTGTCTTCGTTGTAAGTGGAGTATGTTCTCCATCAGTGTTCACCAAGACTCTTCTCGATTGTCTCTACCAATTCGACTGTCGTCATCGCCCTAAACGGTGACTTTACTATGGAACTTCATCTGTAAGAACAACCAGGGAAAATTTCAAAAACCATGACAATGTCTCAGGCTCTCAATGCTAAGTTCTGGGCGAGTGACCGTACATCTGGCCTCGTTCATTCAACAAGGACCGGAGTTTGAGGAAAATCAAGTCATAGCAGAGTACCCGCCCTGAAGCCGTATACCCCAGATGCGTGATGAAATAAGATCACTATCATGTGGCAATGTAGCGAGATACACCTCCTGACCTATGTTTCCTGACCTATGCTCCCGGACGGGTGGGCAGAAATAAGCTACTTTACCCTCTACTTCTGCTGCATACCTCCAAGGCTCCTTAACAGGGATGTCGCAGCCCCGCCACTGAATATCTCGAAGATCACCCTTGCGGAAGTTTCCTTTCCTGGGGGCAATTCCTTATTCGCCTGGAAGTTTCCCAATTCGGATGTCTAACTGAGCACGGACCGGCTGGTTTAAGCAGTCATGCAAGGAACGAAGGGATGCATAAGCCAAACCGACCTAGGTCCAACGTGTTGCTATTAGATCGTACGGATTACAAGCCACATGCGGCGCATCGCAGCAGACGAGGATTATATGACGTTGCTAGCTTAGCATAGAGATTGCCAGCAATATAAATGCACTGTTTACGCCGTAAGAATTGTAGCGAAGTTGTAATCTTCTTTTTGAGCCATCGAAAGCCACTCCTTGAGACATAACTAGATTACTGTTACTACGACTACCGATACGGATTGTCGTCATCGAACGCCGGCTCCCACAGCCCCTTGGCAACCTTGGTCTGCAGCTGCAGGCCCTTCAGTATGCCATACACAGTCCGGAGCGTCGGCATGGGCACGCCGCGCGCCTCGCCCTCGCGCAGCGGCTCGCCGACGATGGTCTCGACCTCCATCAGGTTGCCCTTGTCGGCGTCCTGGCACATGCTGGGGCGGAACGCAGCCTCGACGGGGTCGACGCGGATGAGGGCGTCGGGCAGGTCCGGGGGCAGCACGTGGCCGGCGGCGCGGGCGGCTGCCACGACCTCGAGCATGATGGGGCGCACCAGGTCGTCGATGACGTGGCGGCTCATGCGCATGCGCGTGGTGTCCATGCGCAGCGCCGCGGCCACGGGGTTGAAGCTGGCGTTGTAGACGAGCTTGTGCCAGCGGGCGCGCGGCACGTCGGCGTCGTAGACCACGTCGGCGAGCCGCCCGCTGCCGTTGTAGACGGCGACGTAGCGGCGGGCGGCGGCCTCGGCCGCAGGCTGCGGCACGAACGGGCCGATCTTCTGCGTGTCCGCGAAGTCGTGCACGACGACGGCCGGCGAGGTCTCGGTCGTGCTGATCATGGAGACGCTGCTCAGGATGGGGTTCTGCGGAAAGCGCGCGAGGAGCGGCCTCTCGATGTTGAGCCCGTTCTGCGAGAGCACGATGGCCGTGTGGCCGGGGGACACCGCCGGCGCGACGAGGTCCGCCACTGTGGGAGGGACATCGGGGATATTCTTGGTGGTCACAAGAATAAAGTCAAAGGGAGGGATGCCCTCCTGAGAAACATCCGGGATGGTGTTGCGGACTAGGACAAGGGGGTCAGTGTCAGAAGACTAGACCACCCACGTGTATATAACACAAGGGCACAGTTCATTGAATTCGAGAACTCACTCTCGGTTGGTCGCCACTCTCTAATGCCCTTGCCATGGTCGACTGAGTCTATTGAGATTCCTGCGTCCTGGGCTCGCCTATAGTTGGACCGCATCACAAGTGTGACCGCCGCCTTGCCGCCGACCTCAAGGGCGTACGCCGCCTTTGCCGTGATCGGAGGTCAGCGTTACTCGTGAAAGACGTGACTATTGAGGCATTATAGGATATAATGCAGGGATAAATGTGCTCTGGGAGTCACCTACCATGATCCCGACTCCACCAGCGCCCACAATCAGCACTCTTGCCTTTTCTACCTCCATGATGGTTCCTGCAATGATGTGGAAGAGTTGGAAAAGGTCAAGAGGGTTCTGTATGTAAACTGATAGATAAGCTGCACTGGCGGGCCGACGCCAGGACTAAGAGTGGGGAACTAATGGGGTCTTGGTATACGGAGTATAGGTTTTTCGCTTTGACAATGTTTACGTGGACGGATCATAACCAAGTTCAAGTAGATGCGGTCTCTAGGAGTTGGCGTGCTATATTGAACTTCATAGGATAAGGACCCCATGGTTTCTGGCGAAGAGGGGTGAGCTTTGAAGTAGAATTTAGTGCGTTTTGAAATGGTTCAAGAGAGGCCGATATGCATCATCCAAGTCGACACAATGGTAGCCTGCGTGCGATAAAGGAGTTGGTCAAATGTTCTATTTTGCTATGCCCTGACATCTCTGAAGCACCAAAAAGTGAGCATACCGCTGTTGGTATTCCCACTATAACGCCACCGACGCCATCCCTATGCAGCTGAATGTACAATTTTTTGGATCACGACTCGTCTTCGGTATCCGTATTGGTATCACTTGTGTCATTATCTTCCTCGTCAGTCCCGCTCTCCTCCTCGTCCGAGGAATCTGCTGACTGCTTCTTGGGCTTTGTAGGCGCTCCGTTTCCGCGCAGCGCGTTCATTTGGCCGGCAAGGGAGTCTGGATCAAAGTTAGTTTTCAAGGATATCTGTATTTCGGAGTGCGAATACTGACCTTCTTCCGGCTCGCTGATGTCATCCTCCGCCTCTACCTGTACTGCCTTCTCTGCATCGTCCACCACAAGTGTGACCTCCATCTTGGTGTCGAAGCCAACGTAGCTGTCGCAGATGACGTGCATGACGAAAGTGTAGTGCCCAGGTCCTGGCGGGGCAGCAAACTGCGCCTTGAGGGTCTGCATGTTGAAAGTTGGCTTGCCGTCCGCGCCGAAGATGGGCTTGTCGAATGTGGTGAAGGTGAAAGGAGGAACGGCCATCTTGCCTTGCTTGCTGTCCGTGAGGAAGATGTGCCACCTCGGAGAGTGGTTGCGAGTGTAGCGAGGGGCAAAAGCTAGCGGGGGGAGCACGCGATCTCCAGAGTCCTCCTTCAGTGCCTTCAAGTCGCCCTCAACGGGATCGGGATCCTCAAGATCAGCCTCTTTGACAGCAGGTACATTGGTGCTTCCGGGGGGAACAATTCGTCCCTTGACCACCAAGTTGACCAGAGACGAGGGAACGATGAACTTTTCGCCGGTGACCTTGAAGAATGCCTTGGCGACACGCAGCTGCGGCAGTTGGGTTGCAACATGGACAGCTTCCTTGTACTGCTCCTCAGAGAGGAGGCCCTTGCCGACGGCCAGACTGCGTCTTTGCGCGTCTGACTGATCCATGAACTGCTGAACTGTCAAGTGGGCTTTTGATTCGCCTTCGACAGCCTTGACGATATCGGGGGTGAAGTGAGGTAGTTGTAACAGAGGGGAGGCCTTGGGCGGAACGGCCTGGATGAGTCGTTGCGTGGTTGTGTACGAGGCGAGGATCGCTTTGGTGTTGCCGTAAGCCAGCGAGATGGCGTTGTAGGATTGGGCCAAAGCCACGGCAATGGGCGCAACCTTGTACTTTGCATTTTCTAGAGCCTGGTCGTCCAAGGAGACGCGACCAAGATAAGCCCAGAGGAGGGCGAGCACCTTCCTCCTGACGCCGTCGACGCTCTCCAGCTTCTCCTGATCTTTGGGGGAGAGGACGGCGGCGGAAATGACTCTGGACTCAATCTTGGACAGGCCAGAGTCAGCTTGGTTGCCCTTGAGCTGCTCCTCAAACTCCTTGCCGGTGCTCAGGGCACTGATCAGGCGGCCCTCCTCGTCGCTGTCCTGGTACTCGCGGAAGAGGCGGCCGGCGCTCTCGATCAGGACGCCCTCCTTGGACATGCGCTGGGTGCCGTACCACCACGAACCGACGAGGTATGGCAGCAGGACACCGAGCAGCAGAGCGTAGACCAGCACGACGTACTTGCCGTTGCCGTCGGACACGATGAACTTGGGCAGGGCAATGCCGATGCTGAAGCCCTGCTTGCCATCGGGGTTGCCGTACTGTATCCAGTTGCTGCGGACCTCCTCGTCGGTCAGGGCCTGGTAGGCCTTGGTCAGCTCGACGTACTTGTCGTTGAGGGACTCGATGGTCTCGTTCTTGGCGGGGTCGGGGCGGATCTTGTCGGGGTGGAACTTGAGGGACAGGCGCTTGAAATGCGACTTGATCTGCTTCTCCGAGGCCGAGTCGGAGATGCCGAGGATGTCGTAGGGGTTCCAGATCTTGGCCGTGGTGTGCTGGGCGGTCAGGGCGAGCCAGAAGTTGGCGGCCATGAAGAGCCAGCCGAGGACGGCGACGAGGCCGCGCTTGAGCTTGCGCTGCTTGCGGCGCTGGGTGGCGCGCTGGGCATCGACAATGGCCTGGTTCTCGGCCTTGAAGGGGCTCTGGACCCGGGGGGCGATGGCGCTCGCATCGGTGCTGGGGCGGAGGAGGCTGTAGGTGAGCGGCAGGGTGACGACGGAGGTGATGGTGAAGAAGAAGAAGGGGTAGAAGGTGCCCTGCTCGTCGTAGCTGTAGTCGGACGACATGGTGGGCGAGGACGCTGTAGGCCGGGCCTGTCCTGTGGGAAGATGTGTGAGGGAGGAAATTGGCCCAGTCTCACATTCACGGCCTGGGTCGCAACGTCGAGAAATATGATGGCGGCCGGATCACGCAAACGAGCTACGTAGCAACTCCCATGTGCCCAAAGAGGACCCCGGCCCACGCAGGGAGCTCACTTGTGAATCGTGGCCCTTCGCGAAAAAGACGAAGGCGAAACAATAATCCGGATAGGCTTCTGGGTCCATCCACGGCCCTGGGCAGGCTGGGGTCTGCGCCTTGGCCCCTAAGACAGCGCCCGAGCCCGCTAAAGACTGCTGCCGAACGCCCCCCCCCCCCCCCCCCCCCCCCCCCCCCCTCGCCCCCTGCGCGTTTCTGTCGTTTCCCGGGTTTATTCTTAGCTCAACCGCCCCACAGGGCTATCATATACGTAGTTACCAGACTACCTAACCAGACTACCTAACCCGACTACCTAGCCAGACTACCTATGCAAAGTGAGCATAAGCTGAGACTAGAGTATGCTGACTACGGCTGTATTCTTGTGGTAACCCGCAGTCCGGTTAGAATCAAACTCCCTGGTCAAACATATAGAATCAAGTCCCTCACCACCGAATGTCTTTTTGGCGTCTCGCCTTGGTGCCACATATACATACACAACTCTGCGAAGGTGCTACAAGCCCTACCACGGGAAAGACTCGGGGGTACAGTTCTTCAGCAGATGTTACCGTAAAATAAAAGAGTTGAAGAATATGCCATTATAGGATACACAAATAATACACCAACGCCATCCCGTTCCTGCACCCTGAGACTCTATAGAAACTTACAGCGCAATTCGAAAGAGCCGTCGCAGGTGCTAGCAGACTCGGACTCCGCAGACCTCGACCGCCTGGCCCTCGATGTACGCCGCCCGGCCAAAGTACGCGTCTACCACCTCCTTCACGAACTCCGCATCGCTCGGGCTCCACCGATCCAGACCCATCAGCCTGAGATCCTCCCTCGTGATCCGGACACCACGTGCATCGTATTCGCCCTCGTCCTCGTCCTCCTCCTCGCCCCCTCCCAGCAAGGGGTCGTCGTCCGCATTGCTCCCCGCGTCATCTGAATCGCCGTTGCTCTCCACAATGTCCGATACCCTGGTGAGGAGTTGCGAGGTAAGGCGGTGGAAGTAGGTGATGATGGCCAACTCGGCCCTGGCCTCGTCAGGCGGGAGCAGCGCGTTCTGGCCGCCTGCCGATGACGTCCTACGCCCGCCAAGGGAGCCAAGAGATGCCGACAGATCACCTGAACGAGGCATCGGCATAGTCATGTTCGGGTACGCCGCGTCCGCGAGCAGCGACGCATCGTGCGAGGCCTCTTCAGCCTCGTCGGACCGCGCCTGCTCGCCGGCCGACGCCCACCACATGAAGCCGCTGTAGGCCAACGCCGTCCACGAGAGGGGCTCCACGATCTTCTCGGCCTCGTCCAGCAGCGGGTCGTCCTGTGTCTGCTTCTGTGGGCTGCTGAGCACGCGCGGCGTCGTTGGTGGAGACTCGGGGCTCTCGGCCGCAATGTTGCTGTGGCCCTGCATTCGGAACAGGCCGGCTCGGAGAGCTTTGTACCGCCGCAGGTCACGCTGTGTGGCTTTGATAGCCGTCCCCCCGGGATATTCCACCGTAGGCCAGACGTGTTCTTTAGCAGCCGAGGCGTGCGGTGGCGGCATAGTGATCAGCACGTCCCAGAGCGTGTCCTTCATTGCCAAGATGCTATCGGTAGTGCATGCTATCCAACCAGAGCTCGCTGTGGAATCTTGCTCTGGTGATGGCCCTGGCCGCTTGGACTTGGCATCTTCCATGAGAGAAGGGATGTCATGCACTCCGATGGTAAATAATGGTCGCAACCGGTGTGGTGGTCCCTCGGCAGGGAGATTTTCAAAGGTCGGCAGCGGTATATTGGACAGAATTGAGATATCATAAACTAGAGCAACATTAGATATGCTTTCACAGCATTTAAAACCTAGATCAAGAAACTTACCAAAGTCACAGACCTGTTGGACAGGTACGTGACAGGATATAAGTATACGCTTTCGTAACAACGCGGCTCGTTGGATAGGGAATATGAGGGGCCCAAAGGTGTCTAACAATGCTAGCAGGCTCCATGCCGGGTGAAAAGACGAGAGCTTGTGTCCCGGAGCTAGCAATCCTCCCCCATCAGAGCCAGATCGGTTCCTAGTATGCCCCTGCTTCCGTGGTGGCTTTGGCTGCTCCTGGAAGGTGACGGTCGAAGACTCGAGCGACTCTTTGGACGCCATGGCATCCTGCTGTGTGGCCTCCTCGTGCGCCTGGTTCTTAGCCCAGTACTGTTCGAGAAGGCTCGTATCTTTGCCGTCCACTGCAACCTTGGAGGCGATCTCCTTCAGTCCCTCGGCATGTCTCCACGCGCGGCCGAGTCGTCCGTAGCTGAGGGGCACGAGCACGCCAACCGCGATCATGCGCGCATTCCGCACCTCGCTGTCCTGGACCGGCGCATTGACGAAAGCGCTCAGCCCCGCGAAGCCCTCGTGCACGAAGTATATGAGGTCGTCCTTCACCGTGTGCAGCCCCGACGGCAGGGACTTGTACTCGACAACGCCCTCGAGCTCGATGTCGGGCAGTGCGGCCTTCCAGGACAGGGTGTAGCCGGCTTTGACGTCGAACTCGATGAGGAACAGCGCAGATATCGGCGGCAGGTCGGACTGCGGCGCGGCTAGCGAGGTGCCCGTCGTCAGGCCCGTACCCGACCCCGGGGATCGGGGAGGGAGCCGGACGTGAAGCTCCGGTTGGCCTCGGCGGGAGGCGGCCATCGTGTGCGGCTCGTGTGTCGTCAATTAGGCGAGCGCATCATCCGCCGTGGGATCAGGCAGTCGAGAAACAACTGCGATACGGCAGCAACCAAACGCGCGAAGACTGCTGGCTGCAGGAGAAGGGTGCGTCGTGAGGTCAGGTCGAGGGTGGTAGGTCGGGAGGCATCCACCTTGGTGGGACCGTTTCATCCCGGCCTGCCCAGGTGGTGGATAATGTCGGCGCCATCCATGGATCCCTCAGGGTCGTTACCGAGGGGCAGCAACACGTGACGCATGCCAGATTCGCGTTCATGTTGTAAGCGTCGGCGCAATAAAGCGTGAGGTGTCTGAAATCCAGTATACATGGGATCCTTTGCAGGATTTTTTCCTTACCTGTCCAGAGAGTTAAATGTCGAGGTCTGCAGGAGGGTTGCACGCATCGGGCTGCTTCGAGGAACCAACCAACTGCAACAGGCCGCATCTATACACGCACCCGCGAGTCATCACTAAGAAAGCTCTTGGCATAACAGCACGCAACACCGTTATCTACATTGCTATTCAAAGGTGGACAAGCTCGCATGTCCACAGACCATCAATTCGGAAAAACGCCGCTGGCCCTCCGATGTAAAGAGTGAGATAAATTGAAGTTTCAATCCAGGATGGAGCTCCCTCTCCGCGCTGCGGGGCTGATGTCGCGATGACATCAGGAGCCTTCTGGCGACACAGTTACGCATCAAACGCCTACCGATTCCATAGGCCCAATAAGTTTATGGTTTCGGTGAGGCCAAAAGATCGCTTCACTGTCTGCCCAGCACAAGCCTGGAAGCCTGATAGCTAGGCCGTTCATCGCAAACACCAGCACATCATTCTATGCCCAGAGCCCTGCAGAGGATACCACATCTACAGCGCTCTTACAATGAATGTTCCCGGTGGCGAGATCTCGACCAAAGATTCGGTCCTAGAGACCGGAGCTGGCTTCATACAAGTAATATTCTCACTGCGCCCTGGTTGAACCTCTTCTTCTAACCTCTCCACCAGGACTTTACGCCCGTCAAACAGATCTGCGCCCACCTCAACGCCTTTCACACTTATGCTGACGAGCCTGGCCGTCATGTAGAGACTAACCACTACTGCTCGCATCTTACCTCGGATGTACGCCAATGTATTCTCTACGATGGGCCTGGCCCGAAGGCCAAGCTCATCGGCATCGAGTATATGATCACCCCCAAGCTCTACGCCGACCTGCCGGAAGACGAGCGTAAGCTGTGGCACTCGCATGTCTTCGAGGTCAAGTCAGGCATGCTCATCATGCCCGGCCCCACGGCGCCTGGTCTCCGACAGGCGTGGGAGGCCGCTGAGACCGAGGAGATGAAGGAGGTGGTCCACCTGTACGGTAAAGTGTACCATCTCTGGCAGACGGATCGAGGAGATACCTTGCCATTGGGCCATCCAAAACTCATGACGAGCTTCACGGAAGACGGCCAGTTTGACTTCGAGAAGCACGTCGGAGACCGGGATGTCCGGTTCGGTGCGGAATGGAAACGCAAGAAGGAACTCAGAGAGGGAATCGAAGTACCCAAGATACATGTGGATGCTGATCAGGCCTGGACAACTAGGCGGAACTCGATGTAAAGGGTTTGTAAGGGGCCAAGCGATCAAGCTGTCGGTGTTGAAGCAGACAATGCGGACCTCGTTAAAGGTATAAAACTCTGCATGCTTATCCAGCATTACCAGGCACAAGACTGAAGCTGAAAGTCTCTATATCCTCAAACTCCTGATACCCAAGGAACTCAGATAGATCAGCAGAAGGGAAGACTGCAGTCAGTGGTGAGTGGTATATATGTGATGTTGTGCCACATAGGGCGCCCTCGAATAATGGCATCCCTGGCCTCTGCATAGGAAAACCGGCCGCGGTTTATTGAAACTACTAAACCCCATTGATAGTAGCACATTTCAAGGAATTGGAGATGCGATGGTCGTGTGCCCCTTTGGGGGACACCTAGCCAAGCTGCACCAGTGGTCAGGGGTCTATTCTCCGCACGACGTCGAATACATCTGCCGAATCACGCTCGACGCGCATAGCCGATCCAAGCATATATACTGCCTCGGGCCACCTGGGGGAAATCCAGGACTCTACAGTTTACATTTTACATTTCAGTGGGCTTAAGTGGCTTTCTTATCTCTTTCCAGCTTCGACTATCTCTAGAATATACATCATGGGATCAGAGCTTGCAGAACTAAAGGCGGAAGTCGCGCTGTTGCGAAAGGAGCTGTCTCGTGTGTCGGATGAGGCAGAAGTGAGAAAGGTTCATTTCAAGTATGGTTATTACCTAGACAAGTGTCTCTATAATGAGGTCAGTATCTATCGCATTCACCACATTTGCGTTGTTAATCACAATAGCTGTAGGTTGTCGACATGTATTCGGACCACCCAGACGCCTATGTAGAATTTCTGGGCTCCCGATACCGTGGTAAGGAAGGAATCAAGAGGCTCTACAACGGCCGATTCCAGAACACCTTCGTGAAGGGGCGAAACGGCCCCGTCCGCGGGTTTCTACTCGACCACATCATGATGCAGGACATCATCGACGTCGACCCCACGGGAACCCACGCCTGGTGCCGCATGCGCGCCCTGATGCAGGCGGGCACGCACAAGTCGATCCGAGAGACGCACCCTCGCGGGCATGTGCAGTGGTGGGAGGGCGGCTTGTACGAGAACGAGTACATCAAGGAGGACGGCGTGTGGAAGCTGTTCCGCTACCGGTACTTCCCGTTCTGGCACGCCGAGTTCGAGACGGGCTGGTCCGAGACCAAGGAGAACTACATCCCGTGGCCGACCAAGACGTACCCGGAGGACCCCTGGGGCCCCGACGAGCTGATCGAGCAGAAGATGCTCTGGCCCGACACGCGCGTCGTGCCCTTCCACTACCCGCACCCGGTGACGGGCAAGCGCGTCGACGACGACGACCTGCGCGCGCCCCTGTTTGGCGACGAGGCCAGCTCCGCCCCCGCGCCCCTTTCGCTGGCTCTGCCGGAGGGCCAGTCGCGACCCGGCGCGGGGTCGCGCGAGGACCCCAAGGTTCTGCCTGATCTGCTCCAGAACAAGGTGTAACGTCGGCATCTACAGGCTAAATATGGCCGAGGAGCGTGGGGAGTAGGTAGCGAGGAAATTGGAGAAATCACGCCGTAGGGAGGCCATCCAGACCTGAGCCTCGCTGCTTTAAGCCTGAGATTGACAGGGGTCTGCCCCCAAGCTCGGCCTGAGCTCACTCAAGCTACACCTGAGAATAGAAGCTATGCACCATAATCCCTGCACAATGAATTGGCTATACAGTAAGACATCTCTTTACGGAGTTGGTCCCTTATTCATAGCTGAGTCACTCAGACCCATATAAGTTAAATGTAACTAAACCCAGGCCCTTACACAGTAGGGAGGTGATCCACAAAGAGAGGGGTTCCACCGATGTGGGGCAGTTCCTCCTATTCTGACCGAAAGATGGTGGGGAACCCACCCGGCGTATACCATTATAGACTCAAGCCAAGCCCCCTTGGGCACCGTATCACAAAGCCAATGAATGGTCGTCCTGATGGTTACCTAGTAGGCTTTTTGCTTAAGACGAACTCGCCGGGACTGTCTTGGCGAGTTGCTGTCCATCTTTGCAGTCTGAGTCGTCTTTAACTGGTCCAGGTAACCACGCAATAGAGTTTGTTAATCAGCTAAGCGCTATACTAGTGCTCAATTAAATGACTTCTATGACTCTTTTTCATCTCAACTCATTTCTAAATAGGCTCTAAGGATCAATATGAGCACCGTACTCAAGAAGTAGAGCAGTCAAGGTTTCTGAGTTCGCCTTAACGGCAAGATGAAGAGCGGTGTCTCCCCAAATATCCTTTACGTTTGGGTCAGAAGCAGAATCTAACAGAAGTTTTGCGACTGCATGATCCCCCGCTTCTATTGCCCTGAATAACGCCGTCCGTCCAGAGTAGTCTGACGCATTCCGATCCACAGGTTTCGTCAGAATATTACTCACAATATCCTCCTGTCCTGACTCTACCGCAAGATGTAGGGCTGTTGAGCCATCATGATCCTGCCTAGCTACATCAGCCCCCTCTCGTAGAAGTAATTGGACCAATGCCGCATTCTTGTTCTGGATCGCGATGTGGAGAGGCGTTCTAATGTGCGGAAGGCTCCCTGGCTCTGGCACATCCGGGACCTCGATTGATGTGTGGCATTCATCAAGACCAGGTATCACTGACTGACCTGTTGCCACTGGCCACGGCTTGGGTTGAGCGAAGGCCTCGCCTAGTATGTCAGACGTGGGGGCAGAATTTGAAATGTCGCTCGAGTTCGCATTCAGCATCAAATCCGATTGACGATAGAGTGGGGTAACGAGACCTTCCATCCTTGAATCTTCGGAAGCCGATGGCTTTGATGGACTGGTGGCATATGAGGATTGCTTAATAGCCACCTCCAATGCCTGCAAACGTCTCTTTTGGTTGAGACCTGAGAAGTCATGAATATTTGTAGTTCTTTCACACAGGCGAGTAACCCGACTCACGATAGGTTCTTTGTGCAATACGGTTCTGTTCTCTCTTTCTTTCCCTCTTTTCTAATTCGTGGCTTAATGTACGGGTAGTGTTTGGGACGTTCGCCTCCGCAGGCCTCATTGAATATATTATTAATGCACGGGTAGCACTACACAAATAAAAGCTGATAAAAGTGGAGAAGAGATAACACACGTCTAGGCACTCACGAGAAGAAAGTGGTAATTCAGGTGAACTTTGTGTTTCTGACAGAGTACATTAGTACAGAGTCTTTCGTCTCGGAGTAGGGACCAACGCAGTCACATGACAATCCTTCAAGCGGCACAGTCACGAAAAGCTCTACATTAGGGATGGTCACCGGCGCGACGAGCCAACTGCATAATCGTATCATGGGCTGATTGGTATCCATCAGTACTAGGGTACGGTTAATGCATGTCAGTCAGGTGCAAGATAGCTCTCTGTTCATCAATCTCCATTGCATGGATCGTACATGGTATGACGTCCAAGTTGAGTCAAATAACGCCGTTCACCAAATTCTTGCATCTCTCCCGTACATATCTGCCTATCCGAGTTCACGGATCGCCATGAATTCAATCCTTCTTTTCTGGAATAGAGAATCCCCTCTCAGGGATTGTGGGCAAGTTCGGCGCTACAACTCAAATTAGTCTCAATTTATTGATCTTTCTTGAATATTTTGTACTCACAGGCTCCGAAACCGCCATCGTCGGGGCTCTGGAGGTCGGCTCTCTTAATAACAGGTGGTGGGACTGTGGCTCCGAGACCGACGCCAGCCATGATAGCGATCAGAGCAATTGACCTGAACAGCTGCATTTTGTTGAGAGGTATTGTAGTAAGCACGGAATATAAGGAGATTCACTGAAACGTTAAGGGTCTCTGCAAAGGTCACAACAACAGGTATTTTTCAAGATATAAGTACTTTTTATGTTCCGCGATCCTTCAGCTTAGACATTGCGTGCAGCCGTGCTGGGACATGGCAAGAGCGGCATTCTTTGCCACAAGTATTACCTCACGTCAGCTACACGTAATGGATGAGTGTGCCGGTAAACGGACATGTGCTATGATGGTTTGTATGTGGCACACGTACAGTACCGTCTCGCGCCAGGAAATACTCAGGCACGCGCTATGTGTCTGTGGATGACATTACGAGAGGTAATTATTCAGGACCTATTAGGGTCACTTTTTACACACAGCGCTACCATATGAAAGCTCTGCAATGATGCCATGGCCACTATTAGCCAGCAGTCGTAGGTACACACACTAATCGTTTTGCACACTGTTCCCCTGCTCAAGTAGAAGACCCGTTCGTATATTTTTATGAGCAGAACGTCAATCATTAGGCAAAGAGATAAACGAGGTTTCCTGTTCGTAACTTTTCGAAAAAGGTCCACTGTTTTGTGCTTGGAGATGCATAGCTCAAAAATTCTCAGTATAGCCTCCAAAATCGGTCCATTGAATAGAAATCGAGGACGATAGTGATTTTATCAACTAGGTCATTGAGACATTCTTAATTCCCATTATAAAATGTCAAATACCCTCAGCCTATCAAAGGACTGTCCAGAAAATATGTCGTGAAAATATTAATCCCCAGCTTAACCCCTGATTGGAGAGGCAACCCGGCATGGAAAAGTCGGGTATCTCCAGTTCCATTGGCATGCATGTTGTTCCAGAAGACAGCATTCCCCCTTTTAGGATTCACCAATAAACCTTTGCCAGTATCAGTGCGAGAAAACTTCTCACCATCAGCCTGTTCTGAAACCCCTGGAAGGCAAGGAAAATAGGTCTGACCGCCAACACAGTCGTCGTTCAAATACACGAAAATTGTCCCGAGACGTTGGAAATCACGATCCGGGGCAGTTTCAGATACGTTGCGCTTGTTTGCCACGAAGGGGAACCAGTCGTAGTGAAGACGAAATTGTCCACCTGCGTCGTATCGAAGTAGCTGTAACGCCTCGACCTCCTCGTGTTGAACATTGCCAAGCAGAAGCTTCGTACGCTCAATCACGCACTTCGATACAGGATCCTCAAGTGGAATCTCTGCTGACTCGGACTTTCGCTCATCTGCGTCAATACTACTCTCCAGATTGGTTTTCAACACCCGTGACGGGCGGAATGAATTCGAGCTAAGGATTCTATAAGCAACTATCAGAACATGGTCGCGAATGGGGGAAAACATACTAAGTATCGACAAGATGGTCAATTTCGATGTCCCGGATGAAGCCATTTATATAGATCATTGCAGGATCGATGGAGAGCAACTCAACAGAGTAGCTATGCACGCATTCATAATTTGCTAACGAATGGTTGTTGTTTCCCTTCCAGGTTCGACTAATATACTGCATTCGATCTGTTGTTCCGAAAGCCGACAATGCGATGCTCAGCACCACGATAGACAGCAGATGGATAAGCCATTTCGACTCCTTTGAGACTCGTAAATACCAAGTCGTCGGAACTGACTGAGGCCGTAATTAGTTACAAGACGGTATTGCGCCGAATAAGCGTATACGATACCTCTTCACCTGCCATAGTCGATACTTTCTGCTTATACTCGACCATTTCACCCAATTGAAGACCGAACTGGGGAAGGAAAAGCAAAATCTTCTAGTAGAAATACGGCTATATAGTTTACTGTCGCGACTTAGGACCTATTTCTACTAAAGTTGTCAGTCACTTCAATCTACATACTTGCATTACTTCTCGTCATGCCATGCATTTAACGTACTGACATAACATTCTCACATAAGGATCTCGCCACCGTAAGGTCCTAGGACCCCCTGCAGTTACAAGCAGGCATTACGCTGCACCAGTCACATTCGGCTGCCCGGTAAGCCACCTATGCATGGCCTGCTTTCTGTTAGCGAGCTCGCCAACAACCAACAGCGAATGGCTCTCGTCCTCCATGTTGCTCACTGCGGCACAGGCGTCGCGCTGGGGCGGAGTTTTCCATGAACCTGAACCAACGGCATAAACCTGTTACCATTTGCATATTAAGTCCGCAAGCCACTTCATCATATTCGCCGTGACCCTGCCGCGATGTCTGGGGATTGCGGGGCTATCGCTCTACCTCAGAGCCATGTCGGCCCGCGTCTCCAATTCGGCTCCTACCTATCTAGGTTGCCGATCTTCGTGATCCGAGTCGCCCCCCAGACCTGTATTTTGGCTTGTCCTACGGTGCAGCTTGAGACCAGATTTCATTCCGCCCTGTTGGTGGTGGGAAGATCACGTGTTGATAACCTACCAAGATGGTGAGGTTACTCCCGTACTCGCAGGCCTTCGTAGCTGTGTAATAACACTATGCGACCCCATTGATGCCTCGCGATCCTTTTGTTCACATCGTAGACTTCACAATTGGAGCCTGCTCTTATCCTAGACGATGGAGTCCCTGCATTCGCGCGCTGCGAATGCGACCCACTGGGATGGGGATGATGCCTTCGGCCCCCAAGTCGGCACGCGATTCGATTTCACGTTATTCTTCGAGCATACGATCTTGACGAGCCTACCAGCCTCTTTGCTTCTTTTTGTGTGTCCGCTATACTTAACTCGTTTTCTACGCAAGCCAGTTTGCTTTAGGCTCGGGTTGCTACTTTGGACGAAGCTTGTATGACTGCGAGCGGTTCCCTACGATGGTTCTACTCGGTCAGCTAACCTCAATGTCGCAGGTCGTCGCAACACTCCTACTTGGGATTGAATTAGCGAATACAGTCCTCACTACCCGCGATGGCTCCTCGTTACGAAATGGCACTTCAATTGCCGCCGCAGTGCTCTCCTGCGCGTCAATACTCTCAGTGATCGCAATAACTTACGCTGAACATCGACGGTCACTTCGATCATCCTCCTTCCTAAGCACATTTCTGTCCATCACCATGTTATTCAACGTGGCGCGGGCGCGATCCTATATCAATCGCGGGGGACTTGACAGCTTTGGGGCTTTGCAAGTCGTTATTGCCGTCCTCAAGCTGGCTTTAGTCTCGCTGGAGGAAGTTCCCAAGCAGTCGCTCTTCCAGCCTGGATATGGTCGGTCGTCAATTGGTCCGGAGACACGGGGTGGCTTTTGGAATAGGTCACTTTTCGTGTGGGTGAACAGTACGCTATTGATTGGATTTAGAAACGCCATTAGTGTCGACGAGTTGCCTGAGATCGGACTCGAATTTTCCACCGAACGACTTTCCAACCGATTCCAGAGAAGGTGGGAAGAAGGTTAGCTTTCTAGCCTGCATAGTTTTATCTTTTCTTTTTTTATTAACTTGACTTTGTATAGCCGACAAGTCGTTGCGTTATTGCCTACCAATCACTAGCATGAAGGCTCTTGCGTGGCCACTTGTCGCCATTGTAGTACCAAGACTCTGTTTCACGGCTTTTACCTTTGCTCAGCCTTTCTTACTTCACACTATTGTCAGAGCAGTCGGCCAAAAGGAGCTATCTAGAGAAGTTATCGGCGGCCTCATAGGAGCTACCGGCCTTGTCTACTTCGGTCTGGCGGTGTGCTTGAGTAGAAGCTCCTTTCACGCTCTACATTGAAGCTGATTCTTGAATAGGTGACTGGGGCGTGTTATAAGCATGCGGTCTACCGATGCCTTACGATGAATCGCGGAATGCTTGTGTCTGCAATTTTCAAGCAAACCTTGGAGCTAGACTTGGCCACAGCTAAGAAATCGGCCGCTGTCACGCTCATGAGCACTGATGTAGACAGTATCGAGGCTGGATTCGTCATGATGCATGACCTTTGGGCAGGCGTTCTTGAGCTTGGTATTGGTGTGTTCCTCTTAGCCAGATATGTCGGAGCTGCGGCTTTTCTCGTTGTAGTACCAGCAGTGCGTAAGTGGCAAAGAATATAGAAGAGTAATTCTCAGCCAAAGCCTACTAACGATATGCAGTATCTACAGCATCGTCCCATTTTCTGGCGAAGAAAAATGGACCAGCTCGGCAGGCTTGGAACCAGGCGGTGCAGTCCCGTGTGTCTGCCACTAACCACATATTAGGGCAAATCAAGAGCATCAAGATGACTGGACTTGCTCCCTTCGTCGTGGAGCGCCTTCAGGATCTTCGCGTAAGTGAAATCGATAAGTCCAAGGACCTCAGGAAGATCATAATCTACATGCATGCACTGGGTAAGATGCTTTGGCAACTGTTCCTAGCGAGTTGACTATTGACAGCTGAACAGCACAATTCTTCACGACGAACACACCCGTTCTTGTCATTGCAGGCAGCTTGTTCTGGACAAATGCCTCCAAAGGCCTTGATGCGGCTGATACCTTTGCCACCCTCTCGTTGACCAGCCTCGTTTCAGCACCCATGACCAACCTCCTCGTTGGCTTTCCGCAGGCAGCCAGCCTGCTGGCATGTTTTTCTCGGATCCAAGACTTTCTCCTATTAACACCACGGCCAGGTGCAAAAAGTGTTGCTATCCCTGAGAGTGCGCCAATGCCAGTCGCAACACAGAAGAATGTGCACCCAGCGGAGTCGAAATCTGGCATAAAACTACGGAACGGTGGCCCATCGCTACTAAATAAACGCACTGGTACAACACAACCGTTAATTGAATTCTCTGATGCATCCATCGCTCCATCCATCGATACTGAGCCGGTTTTGCAAGGAGTAAACCTACAAATTCTACCTTCCACATTGACAGTGATTGTCGGTCCCGTTGGATCTGGAAAGACAACACTTGTTAGGGCCCTGGTGGGTGAAGCTTCAATCTGTGGAGCTGTAAATGGCATAGATCAGACGAGCATCGGGTACTGTGATCAGGTCTCGTGGTTACGAAACATCTCCATCCGAGACAATATTGTCGGGCCAACTGAGTTCGACGAGACATGGTACGACACTGTTTTGAAATGCTGCTTGCTCCATGAGGATCTGCAGGAGATATCAGGTGGCGATAAAGCGCTTGCTGGAAGTGGCGGCGCGATTCTAAGTGGTGGACAGAGGCAGCGAGTGGTGCGTTCATCAAACCTCGAGCGAAATTGCAACAGCTGATTGACGTAAAGGCACTCGCTCGAGCCGTATATTCTCGAAAGTCTATCCTGATCATGGACGATGTCTTCAGTGCACTGGACTACAGGACTTCTAAAGCAATCGTATATCAACTCCTAGGATCCAATGGCGTTCTTCGGGCTTTGGGCACGACTGTCGTCATGGCAACTCATTCTGGTGAGTAATCGATTCCAAGTATATACCGACGAATTAACTCTTGCAGTCGATCATATTGCCTTGGCAAACAACGTGGTTGTGCTTGACGGCAAAGGAAATCTCGATGTGCGATCCAATGCACAAGACATGACTGATAACGATGCCCTTATCGATCATTTACGAAAGACTGAGGCTCTCGTGACAGATGAGGAGTCCCACCATGAGAGATCAGTCTCCAGTGAAGCGCTGGCACCGAAGCCACAGGAGACACCCAAAGCTACCACAAAAGTGGACGACGCGAAGAACGTTGAACGGCAGAGAGGCGATCTAGGACTCTACCGGTTCTACTTCTTCTCAAGTGGAATCTGGCAGTACCTTACCTGGATGCTCATGGCTGCTATCAATATGCTTTGGTCCCAGATGCCCTGTAATTAAACATTCCAGCTTTTCTCATACAGTTTCTGACAGACCTACTCGTGCAGACATCTTCCTCCGCATTTGGCTTGCTAAAGACCCTGAGGACAAGACATATTTTGCCGGATACACCACACTTGGAGTGACTTCATGCCTCTCCTCGGCTATAATGCTTGCGTGAGAATCATGCTGCTCTTGTTTCGAAACCTCAAAATTAACTATGGCGGATAGCTTCTACATGCTCAAGGTTGCACCCACATCAGCAGAGAAGCTCCACCGAATGTTGCTGGAGACGGCGATGCGGCAAGTATCTATTAGAAGCAATCAGGACTGTGCTAACCGGTCACAGTGCAACCGTGGGATTCCTGTCCTCTACTGACTCAGGCTCTCTTCTAAACAGGTTAGTCGAAACGTTGAAAGTATCGATTCTGTCTGCTTACAATCCATCTCATTACTGATAGATTCAGCCAAGACATGTCTATAATCAACCAGTCCTTGCCAATGGTTATGTTGAATTTCTCCATCGGTAAAACTCTACTTCGCTCTCCATTCCTGTGTGCGCCAGAAAAACTTACTCTGATAGTGTTCTTCGATAATCTGGTTAGTCTCGGGATCATCGTGTCTGGAGCTGACTATGCGGCGGTCGTCATCCCGTTCTTGTTTGTAGCAGTTTATCTTGTACAGCACTTCTACCTTCGTACCTCACGCCAGATGCGCCATCTCGACCTGGAGGCTAAGTCCCCACTATACACCCAGTTCTCGGAGACTGCAGCTGGCGTGCAACATATCCGCGCCTTTTCATGGCAGTCTGAAACTCTATCCGAGAGCTTTGGGCTTCTCGATTTCTCCCAGAAACCCTACTATCTTATGTTCTGTATACAAAGATGGCTTACTTTAGTCTTGGAACTCATTGTTATGGTTGTTGCGGTTGTTCTGGTTACTTTAGCACTAAACTTACTTCACACCAGCTCAGCAAGTGCAATCGGCTTGGCGATGCTGAACGTGATCAACTTTGGGACAGGAATGGCCAACGTCATTGGCACATGGACTCGAATGGAGACGTCTCTGGGTGCTATTGCAAGGCTGAGATCATTCTTGGAGGAGACACCAACAGAAGAGGACCCAAGTGACGAACCTGAGCTGCCCAAGGGCTGGCCGCTCTATGGTGGAGTCGAGCTCAAGGGCGTTTGTGCGCGATACAAGTAAGTCTCATTTCATCGATTTCCTACTATCTATGGAATCATATGGTGCTTATTATTGTAACTAGCCCTGGAGACACGCGAAAAGTGCTGAATAATATATCTCTTGTTATTGAGCCAGGGCAGAAGGTTGGGGTGGTTGGCCGTACAGGCAGGTTAGGTTCACCCGTCCTCAGAGTAATTCCAGTAATACTAATAAATGAGCGCTTAGTGGGAAGAGTTCGTTGGTTTTGACTCTGCTCCACTTTCTTGATCAATCCGGGGCTGTGACAATTGACGGCATCAATACTTCAGGTGTTGGACGCCAACACCTTCGCTCGCGAATCACGGTGATCGCCCAAGACCCTGTCGAGCTTCAGGCCACAGTCAGAGGCAATCTCTTTCCCTTCAACCTAGAAGGTGCACCCTCGCAAATTGCTGTTGTCGGAGATGCCTTCATGGAAGAGGCACTCTCACAGGTTGGGTTGCTGAATCAGATCTCCGCGAAAGGTGGTCTGGAGGCAGATTTTTCAACCCTTGGTCTCTCGCAGGGACAGAGACAATTGTTCTGCCTAGCGCGTGCTGTCTTGCATCATAAAGTGATGGGAACCAAGATCGTGCTTGTTGATGAGGCGACAAGCAACGTCGACATCCACACAGACAGGGAGATGCAGACGGTCATGGCTGAAGCGTTCTCAGAGTGCACTGTGATTACGGTTGCGCATCGCCTTGAGACGATTCAAGATGTAGACATTGTGCTAGAGCTGGAAAATGGCAGGCTTGTTAGGCGAGAGGAGCGCAAAGGACGTGAAATATAGACTCATGAGGCTGCGGTCAGAGATGTTGCATCCACGTTCAAACTAAAGGTACGAGGTCTCGTACGGCATAGTTAAGCACGTGCTGAACACTGCTTTCATACATGCTCGATAATTCATATCTGCCAAACACATCCGCCACTGTACTTCGATATCGGTTCCTCGCTGCTCGTTTGCGAAATCAGATAATATTCAGAGGAGTGCTTCGTATGAAGTAGGAGTACTAGAGCCACATATGGTGGGGCACATCGTAGGACTTCACTGCATGTGGGGGCTGGCATGTTTCCAAATGTGCCCCACATCACCCGACGATGTTCTCGTTCCGTTTCTTTCGTCCTTTTCTGTATAGTTGACACTGTTGCTGGGGTCGGGGTTGGTGACTGAGCAATTACTAAAGCAAGAATGAGCTAAAGCGGCAATGGCACTAAGCTCAATTCGCGAACAAGTGCTGTAGTTGACCTGCTACATGCTGGAAGTCTCCGTCTTCTGACCAGAGAATGTCTACCGAAATATGCATACCCCACTTCCTGAAGGTAGATCCTTGCATATAAGTTACTGTATAGGGACGAACTACTCCAACAATACAGAGTGTCTGTGGGGAAAAAAGAACTGCCGACCTTGTAGAGAGACAGCCGAGCTAGTTTCCACGTTCTAGATTCACCCGTAAACCTCGACTTCCTGATGGGCGTAGTTAAAGGAATGTCTTGTACTTGTCGATCGGTGTCAGGAGTAGGCTAAGCAGAGCATCTACGATCAAGTGCTTCCTCAAGGACCAGGAACATTCTCAAACACAATGGCACACATTCACGCCCTCGAACCCCAAGTGACCAACTCCAACTATGCCAAGGGCCGCAACACCGGCACGGGTCACAAATTCCCGGACACGCCAGTGTTCCAAGGAATGAACAAACCCTCGCGTTTTGAAGGAGATATATACGATCTCGAAGTTACGGGGAATATCCCGAAAGACATCAATGGCACCTTCTACAGGGTCCAGCCAGACCACCGGTTCCCCCCAATTTTCGAGGACGACATCCATTTCAACGGCGATGGCAGCGTGACGGCCATTAGGATCGTGGATGGACATGCCGACTTCAAGCAGCGCTACGTACGCACCGATCGCTATGTAGCCGAGAACGCTGCGCGCCGTAACCTTTTTGGTAAATATCGCAACCCGTTTACGGACAACGAGAGCGTCAAGGGCGTCATTCGGACAGCATCTAACACCAACATCACCTTCTGGCGGGGTATGCTACTCGCCAGCAAGGAAGATGGCCCGCCGTTCGCCATGGACCCTGTGACGCTGGAGACTATTGGCCGGTACGACTTTGAAGGACAGATCTTGGCACCCACGTTCACTGCACACCCCAAATTCGACCCCGATACGGGTGAGATGCTGTGTTTTGCCTACGAGGCTGGGACTGATGGCTCCGACTGCGCCGCTGACGTTGTCACTTGGACGTTCGACGCCGACGGCAAAAAGACTGAGGAGCTATGGTTCGAAGCCCCTTACGCGGGCATGATCCACGATTGTGGTATCTCCAAGAACTATATGGTCCTCCCCTTGACCCCGCTCAAGATGTCCCTGGACCGGCTTAAGCAAGGGGGTAACAAGTTTGCTTGGGACCCAAAAGAGGACCAGTGGTACGGTTTAGTCCCGAGACGTGGTGGTAAGAAAGAGGATGTCATCTGGTTTAAGGCGGATAATGGTAAGTCCATGCTAGCGAAGTCTGCTGCCCATACTCATCCGTCTAGTCCTTGCTGATTTAGTACCACAGGCTTTCAGGGACATGTAGCCGGATGCTACGAGAACGAGGAGGGGAAGGTCGTCCTTGATCTTACCGTGGCTGACGGGAACGTGTTCTTCTGGTTCCCAACAGAAGAGGAAGTGGCAGCAGGGGCGCCGCTGAAGCCAAACCGCCTCAGCAGCCCGACACACCGCTGGGTATTCGACCCAAAGGCCAAGACAGGCACCAAGGTCAGCCCAGCATTTACTTGGCCGACCAGTGGAGAGTTCTCCCGCATCGATGACCGCTGGGTTACCAAGAAGTATCGTCACTTCTGGCAATTAGGGATTGATCCCAGCAGGCCTTACGACTTTGAGAAATGTGGGCCACCGGCTGGTGGCTTATTCAACTGCATTGCACGTTACTCCTGGGATCCTGAAAACGATATGCAGACCGGCGAGGAGGATGTATATTTCGCAGGGCCGACCATGACGTTCCAAGAGCCGAGTTTCATCCCGAGGAATGGAGGGGCAGAGGGTGAAGGGTACATCATCGTGCTTCTCAACCATCTCGATGTGCTCCGGAACGATGTCGTCATCTTTGACGCTCAGAAGATTGCTGCAGGCCCCGTGGCCACGCTCCATCTGCCTCTGAAATTGAAGCTCGGGTTCCATGGGAATTTTGTTGATCACAGAGACATAGAAGAGTGGCAGAAGCGTCGGGAGGGTGCGCTGGGGCCCGTAAAGCCTGCGAGAGAGCCTTTGCCGTGGCAGAAAGCGCTGGCCAATGGCCAAATCCATACGAATGGGGTGGCATCTGAGGTGAACGGAAGCCACTGATACCACTAGTTACGCTGACGATTAGCATATATCATATTACGCGGTATTTAAATTGCCTTCCAGTCGAGTGTCATTAACAGCCTGCACACCCCTAGTCCAACGTGATACATCGCTTCCGGAGGTATAACGTGGCGCGGTATCGATCTTGCTTAGAAAACATGATAGGGGTGTAGGCATCAATTGCTGAAGTTAGATCTACTTGCACAACAGTCCCGGGTGCTAAAGCTTGGCGATGGAAAAGCAGCAGTCCATCCAGGCATCAAAGACTTAAAGGATAATGAGGTAAAGCTATAACAGCTCAAATCTGCGTTGAAGTTGGCCTCACAGCTCCTGCGAATTTCCACTCCACTTATAGCCCATGAGTATGCCCTTCAGTATCCGAGATACCTTGCCTTAAGAGGCATGATTTACGGCGCTTTCAAGGAGTACCAGGGCCACCACGGTATCTCCAAAGACAAGAAGCATCGAAAACACTACAATATGCTCTGCGAATTGCGAAATTGCGTTGCCGCTCCGCACTGGTGTCTTCAAAACGAATGCACTTGAGCCGGCCAAACCAAAATCGAAGGCCTGACGGAAATACAGATGGGATTCTCCTTATGGCGAGGAATAATACAAGACGGGCCGTGGAAAAAAAGTCTCAGGACATCCGGTCACACGGCGGACAGGCAACGCACTGAAGTCACAGGGTACGTTCACTCTTCCCGGTATGCGCAATACCCGGTCCTGAAGGGGGTTGTCTGGTCATTGTAACTTTAGCAGTGGGCAAGAGCGGCTAGATAGACCGGAAAGGCTGATGAACTATGTTATTGCAGCTCAATAGTTGCTGAGTTTTGCCTGGTTCAATTGATGACGTTGGCGTTTGCAAAGAGGGGTATACTGGAGACAAGGAGCGTATAGTTCTCGGTAAGGCTGAACAACAGAACAGGCCACCGGTGTTACCCATAAGCTTATTACGCACGTCGGTGATGACGGACTCACCTTCGTAGATCAATATCCAGTTGGGTGTACGGCTTTCGTGTCACCATCAATCGAACGATACAGGTGGCTGGCTTGTCAGCGCGGGGAAAGGCTGCGGCTCGACGTAAACTTGTGGCGGGGTTTGCAGGCAGGCTGGCAGCGCAGGGATTGTAGAATAGCACAACATACTCTTGCAAGTGTTCATGGCATTTGGACGCGAGCGGGCGAACTAGATAGGGATTTGCCTGCCTAATGTCATGGGACCACGGAGTCGAGATCCACATCCGGAGATGCATAGTGCCCGGCCAAAGTACATTCTGAGGTTCTAGCATCAGACTCCGGCAAGTGACGTGTCAATGAAATGTGTTCGAGAGAGTCCCAGAAACTATTGTTGCCGTCATGTGTTCTCGCAGCCTCACTGTTTCCCGGCAAACATTCTACTGCGACGCGCGGTACATACCTAGGTACAATGCACGCGTTCATCGTAACGCACGGCTATGACTCGAAATGACCGCTTACGCAGGGCAGATGTGGAACAAGAAAAATAAGAAAGGTCTCCGATTCCAATAGACGGTCGCAGAAGCTCAAAGTCTGAGAAAGCAACTACCACATTCCCCACGGTATGCGGCTGGCTGTCAACAATCAAGAATCGGGCCGCAAAGCAAGAAAGCGAATGAAAAGAAAGAATGGAATGGCCAAGAGCGCCGCCTTCTGCAGGTCGCCCTATGCAATTCTGCCTGGAGGGTCGCGGGCTGATGCCAGACATGCAGCGTGTGGTGATTATTGTTACCAAAAGATCTGCGGGTCTTCCCCCCCTCTTCTAAGCTCCCTTTGAGCGCTGGCCAGTCAGCGGGCCTCGGGGATCCAGCTCGTTGGTAAGCGAAGCCCCAAAAGCTTCTTTCATGGTTCCCTTGCTTGTGGATAGATCTGGGTGCCGGGGGTGTGGTGTGTTGTCAGCGGCCTCGTATTGCGACCGATCGACAGCGGGGTTGAGGGTCGTAGTGTGCGCTGTCGACATGCGATTCGAAGACCACCCCGGAACTTGTGCCGTCGATTGCCGGATTTTGGTTTACGAACGTGCGTATGGTGAAGTCATTGCCGGGTAACGATCCTCTGTTGGGAAAGAGAGATTTGAATCAATCTGAGGAGAACAACACGGAAGAGGGTCGACAGCGTCAGCAGCATGGACTGGTTTGCAGTGTAAGGATTACTGAATTAGCTAGCTATTCGCCTCATTGGAAGGCTTCGGGGTAAATCTATATACAAGAATAGAAGCATCTAAACTAAGAATGCCTGAATAAGATGGTGTCGTCCCCTTTTGTTTAGCATTAGATGGAATTGCCCGTTTTGGAATTTCCGATAGAATCATAGAAAAGTCATCAAACCTCGCTTGACCCAGACCCGTCTTCATGATGCCTTGATCCTTTCCCGACCGAAATGCTTCATCTCATGAGTGTGTGTATGTCGTAGCGCCTTGCCGTCGTAGCCGTGATCGTGTTGTCATTAGATGTCCTTGAGATGAAGTTCCTCCGCCTCCTGTCGTGAAAAAAATGCAAGAAATCGTGATGTGAAGCAGCCCAGCGCCAATATCCAGAAAACCCCCGACCCAGTAGTTCGATTATAGCATGGCGACAACGCCAGCAACACCAGCCAGAACGGCACCAATGGCCTGAGTAACCTGAGGCGCAAGGCCACTCGAGACCTGGACCGGAGCAGTGCTCGAGGCAGAAGGAGTTGGGGTGTGGTAGGCAGTAGTCGGGACGTTGACGGTGGTAGGAGCCTTTGTCTTTGTGATAATGGTCGAACCACTGTAAGTCACCCAGACAGTAGGGTAAGCCGTAACGGTCTCGCCCTCAGTGGCTTCAGTCGTATAGGTGACTTCAATATCCTTGGTCTGTGTGACTGGAATAGTCTCGGTCAGAGTGTATTCCTTCGTCTTAGTTACAGTCTCAGTGCCAGTCTTTGTGACGTAAATTGTGCTTCCCTTCGAGACAGTTGTGTATGTTGTCTCGGGGCACTCCTCAGTCACGTAGACCTCAGTAGAAACGTGCTCAGTTACGGTGTACGAAGTATAAGCAATAGCAGTTGTGGGCACAACTTCCTTGATCGTCGAGGTCGAAGTCCAAGTTACGACAACAGTTGAACCGCCGACTGTCTTAGTCTCAGTCACAGGGCACAGGCTCGTAAGTGTGGTGTACACTTCAGTCTCTGCTGTTTTCGTAACAGCGGGGCCAGTGACCGTCTGGTAAATGACGGTGGCTACCTTAGTGACTGCGACACTGGTAGTGGTGTAGACATGGGTGTAGGTGGATCCAGGAGCAGTGACAGTCTCAGTGACAGGGCAGGTGGTTGTATAAGTAACGTCCACTTCTGTAGTCGTTCCAACAGTGGTGTCAGGAGCGGTAACAGTGACTTCGCCGCCACACTCTCCTCCAGCACAGCTAGTTACAGTGATGGTGGAGGTAGTGTAAGCAGTCTGAACATATGTTCTTTTGCCTGGTTAGGAACTATTCACATGATAGGCGAGTAGAAGATAACTCACGATCCGCCCTTGGTGATGGTGCTGGTAATAGGGCACACAGTCGTTGTCTCATAGGTAGTCAACGTAGTCTCATGGCCTTCGCCATGTCCATATCCTGCGAGGGCCGAGCCGGCCAGGGCAAGCAGAGAGAAGACCGCCTTCATCGTGTCGAAAGGTAGTAGAGGTTGGGAGAGCGATGGAGCGAGAGGCACAGAAAAGCAACCTTAGCGAATGAGTTACTTCGAGGGACGAAGGTGCCTAGGACGGCGAAGGCTGGATAAGAGTATATGTAGATGAGTTTGGCAAGCTTAGGCAGTCGGAAGAAAAGAGGATGGCAGGCAGCCTTATATCCTCGTCCCATATCCTATACAGCAGCTGCACGACGAGAGGGCGGATACTATGACATATCGTCATGGTCCAACAGTGTGCCGTCTTTCCTGACGCTGCAGAAGCGTGCATGGGTCGAATCATGGTGGAGGGGCCCGGGTCTCGGACTCGGCCTAGTACTGGGATACGAGAACGGCGTTGATAGAGCGAGGTCAAAAAAGAGGCCTGATCTGCCGCACAGCACCAGTAGCATGGGTCGTTAGCCAGGGTTGGTGTGGCTGGTGAAAAGAAAGGGCCAATGGCGACCCAGGCACTTACAATGCGCGATCAAAGTGTACTTCGTGGGTACCAGTGGGTCGTCGCTTGGGCGACCTATCTTGTCGATCTGCCTATCCGTCATCAGTATGTTTACTCTGGAGTAGCACCATTAGTTTGGAGGCTGATCTAGGAAAAGTAGCAAGGTTGGGACGCAGACTTATCCCGGTCTTCGGTTATGCAGGCCAAGACGAATCAGATGCAGGGAACGGGCTGGTTGTCAGGCCAAAAAGGCATCCAAAGGGTTGCATTCAACTCCCAGAATTCAAGGCTGAAAGCATGGTGCGGTCGCGAGCACCGACACGATGACGGCACACACCTCGCTCATCGGATTGGAACACGGGCTGGTCATCCAAGGCGTCCACCATCCGAAATGTGGGAGAGGAAGCCCGCGAGGCGTTACAAGGTCTTAGACAAGCCGAAGCTGTCAGACTCTACAACGAGATGGATGGACGTTTCCTTAATGAGGCCCAAGCCGAGCTGAGCCGATCAACATTGCGATGTCTCTCGGCAGCAACCCCGAAGGCCGACTTAGTTAACGATACTGCTAGTCACAACGGTTCAGGCCGGGCTATGGAGGCTCTTCCAATGGCCCTCGTTGGCGTGTCAAGGCGACAACCACGCAAAAGTATCGCGGGCACCTTAGACAAACCAAGGAAGTAGGCCAGCTCGTGTTCATGCAGCTAGTAATGCAATGCATTGTCTCCGAAGGCTCGTTGTCGCGACTCGTAGGGACCTAGAGCGTTGGCGGACAGGAACGCGGCCAGTAAGACGTTAGCGCCGAAGCGCGATGGACCACCAAAAACTTGCTTAGGCACATTCTCCACACAACCCAACCGTAGTGACGTCGAGAGTTTGGCTATAGCATGAGCTTCGCGTGACTCCCATACGAGTTGGGACGAGTATCTGCCCGGTTGCGCACGGAAAGAATTCCCGCTCGGCGCTCTAGGGACCTAGCTAGCCACAACCTCTTCAGTTCGTAAAGCCGCCTTCTCGCACGGCAACTCGTAAGAACTAGGGCAGTAGGGAGCAACCCCAGGCAAAATTGTCTGAGCAGTCATAGCAGCAGCACCACCAGCCTGAGAATTCGAGAGGTCGGGCAGATTGCGCCCAAAAGCGTGAGATTTGGATTGTGCCCCCTCACTGCATATGCACGTTTTGGTACAGTCATCGTCGACGGCTTGACATTAACTGCTGTGTGCAATATAGTGGGCGACCGCAGAATGCAGGATACTACCGGAACGGAGCATGTGTGCGACCTGATCGCCTTGGTTTCGTACGTGCAACCTTGGAATCTCAGTGGTTGGTTGATGCGAGAGCACTGCACACCGTTCTCTAGGACTGTCGAGGTGAGGTCAGCTAGATGCCGTTCCGGGCACATCTTCCCATGGGTGTAGCATGAGGCCTGTAAGGCGAAGAGAGGGCTGACGCCAGAGTCTCTAGCACCGCGCTTCGTCAGTCGTGATGTTGCAATCGTCGAGATGCCCAAGCAGCAGGGGAGTCTAGGATCGTGATGTCGGTGCTGATAGTGAAATAGAGTTGGAGCGGTGACTTCTCAGCGGGGACTTTCAAGCCACAGCGGCCAGCCAAGTGCTAACGCGGCCCAGGGACTAGGGAGTTACAGAGCCCCACGGAGCTCGGCCAGGTGGGTCATGGGAGATCCAGATCCTGGAGTCTCGCCTTACAGTTGCCCCGCCTGCTGGGATACGGCATCCCAGTTCGCCAAGCGTTCCCACGACACAAGCAAGCTTCCAGGTTGCTCTTCGAGCAACAAACCAAGGAAGACGCCGCTGAGTTCCGTTGCGAGCTATCATGACTTCCGCACCAGGTGACCCGACCGCTTCTGAGCCCCCGGTTCTATTCGATTCCCTGCGTGCTTATTCTGACCTCATCGCCCCTTCGCGTGCGATTGAAAATCGCGCAGTCGCTCGGGCTGCCTTGTAGTTCGGATGAAGGGCAGGAAACGAGAGTTAACCTTCCCGTCCGAACTGACAAGCTCTCGCCTTTGCATCTTTCCAAAGCCATGTCTCGGGAGCACCCATTGGGATCAACAGCCGCCAGCCTCGTTCTTTTGGGGGGTTTGAGCCCAACGGGAATTTGCGTTGACCTGGCAATCAGTGATCAGTTTTCCTAGATTGATCCATCGGGTTTCTTTTTGCACAGCGGAATAATATTCTTATCGTGATTAGGACATATTGGCGTATTTCAATGCAGCAAGATTTCCAGTCTGTTATCGTTGCCGGTCGACCCGGCGTATCAGACTGACGACGTTTCGATTGTTTATACCGAAGCAATCGCTATGGCGCCCGTACTAATCTGTCGCGACACGCGTCTACCTGCCCACTAAGATCAGCAAAAGATTCACGGATCAATTGCTCAGATTTCCCACATTGCAGGACTGCTTGGTGGCGCGAAAGCTTAACCGAAAAAGCCGGTGTTTTGTTCTCGAGTCCTGGCCCCAAGTATACCTAGATAAGCTGCTCTTGCGTTCGTGCCAATCTGCAGGTGCGGGATCAGAAAAAATCGTGTCTCAGATCAATGGCTTGCGTCTGAACACGAGACATCACGGTACATGCATGTGAGTTCCTGGTGCACGGTTTCTCGGGCCGTTCTGAGCTTCCTAGAGACGGAAAGTATTCGCATTGATATCTGGCGATTCTTACTGCCGGCTTAAGAGCATAGTTTAGTTATTCCCGTAGCTAGACCACTGGAAGTCGGATGATCGACTGTCATCCTGTATCAGTAAAATAACATTCAGGTATTGCCCTGACAAGCAACAACTTCAGGCTCCGTCGAAAGCTATGCCTTTGGTTGACCATCGAAGCCTTGGCTCTGGCCTCGCTTGGACGCTCTGGCTCAGACGTTGTGAGTGCTCACGTCCAAAAGGCCAGTTTGGAATGGCTTTCGATATGCAATCTGTCGCCGTGACAGGTTTTCGAAACAGCGCTGTCAAAGGCTCTGCGGGAGTCAATCTGAAGTCACTACCTCCTACTGCCCTTGCTAAACACGCGATTGTACACACGAGTAGACGCTGACTGCACTCTCCCAAGAAGCCTCCTGCGACCAAGTGGCCCACGAGGGTGAAACAAGAAAGCGTCAAGTCGTTGGATTTCACCATCATCCATGCCTTCTTCGACAACACGATCAAGTCGCCCGTCATCAAAAGCGATGCCATGCCACAGCAAGATTCCAAAGATCTGGGCAGCTTTTACCGTCTTTAGGAGGTCGACGTTCCCACCAAGCTCAGGTATGAGAGAAAGGAGTTCACTCCAGAATAGAGCTCGCAGTTTTCTTGCTTCGGGGTAGTATGTGAAGCCCTCCGTGTTGTCCTCACCCAGAAGCTCCTCTAAGCCATATATGCCGACGCCAAATGGGAGGAACTCTGCCTCTGCCCAGTCAAGCAATCCTACGATCCTTCCGGTTTTCGGGCAGACCAGAACGTTCGATGGAGTGAGATCCCCATGACTGAGCGTCCAAGGGAGGTCCTCAATATATTCGAACCTCCGACTGAGCGATATCACTACCTTATGGAAACGACTGGGGATGCTTGACAGCATCAGATTCAAGCGCCAACGTATGGAAGCCCCAACTTTCCTCTTCATCACCACCTCCGCTCGCGACTTCGAGCACTGCCAGCTGGCCGCCTGCAGTGCGGCGAAGTCTCGTACGGTCTGGCGGCGAAGCCAGCTTTTCCGAGTGCTACTATTCGAAGAGTGAAGCTCTGACAGTGATACGCCAGGTAACCGCCTCATCAGGTACACTTGTAAGTCATTGTGTTCCAGCTTTCCTAAAAACTCGGTCTGCGGCGCGACGGAACCAAAGATATCACACGCTGTCGAAGATATATCCACATCAAGCCGATACTCTGGTGGGCGAAACTGAGCTATCCTATCGTTTCCAACAATTACTGTGTATGAGCAATAGCCTTGGAAGGGAGTAGGCTCGATGTTTTCCGAAAAACGCACTCTCAAGTAGGCATCACACTGATCTCGAGTGCTGGGTGCGAGTTTGCATCGAGCAAAGAAGTCACTTAGGGACACGCCTGAGTCATTCGAACTGTCCGTCATCGTTACTGTATGGGTATCCGCTCAGTGATAACTATATAGAGCTAGGAGGAGTCTGCGGCAGAAAATTCTTCGATTGCCAGGAGCAGAACCTGTCTGTACGTGCTGGAACGGGGACCGTAACGCCTCCTCGGAGCATGCGGAGAGAGCTCCTTGGTGATTGATGTGGGGTACTGACCCCGAAGCCACTCACAGATCTAGAATGGTCACGAGCTGTCAATTCGCGCAACTACTTGCTCCTCTGTCTTCTTCTTTGGGCGGCTGGCAGATTGGCATCTATCTAGGTATGTTGTGTAAAAACAGTTTGTCCGAAGATAAAACTCCATAGCGACAGTGCAGGGTGCCCGTCCTACTTGGTTCCTAGATTCCTGGTCTGTCATGTTAGAACCACAACTTCGTGAACGTTGCATCGGTACGTGTCCAAGAGCGCGCAGAAATTCGTTGTCACACTGCAATCATTGGTTACCAAGTACAGCATGGGCCTGGTAAGAGGAGCCGATCGCCAAACCTCTGTTGACCTACGACGTATAGTAGAAGCTTGGGGATTCAATAACCTGGAAACAGACGAAAGTGATAGCATCTGCGCATCCAGATGCGGTTGAAAATGGAGTTTAGGAGGTGTTGATACAGAGGGCAGGCGTAGACAACGGTCCTCGTGCAACAACATAGCCGATCCCGAGATTGCCGCCTGTGTGCTACGTTTTGCGCAGTTCTGGCAGCGCAACAGATGACCTGTATATGGTTGATACTGAGGCGCTGTACTGCCATCTAGATAAAGGCTAAAAGGTCAAGTCAGGCGCAGCATCCATGGATCTGACTGCACACTTTGTTGTTGGACACTGCGCTGTCATTGGCCAACTTCACAGGTAACTTTCGGTTTTGAAGCCCCCAAAATCCTGCAGCGCGTCGACTCATAAGACACATCCATGGATGGAAGTTACTTCCTTCGTGCAAGAGGAAGCGCGGCAGGCTGCTGTCGTAGTGCACCATCCACTCAACTCGTGTACTGGCATAGTTCGACCGACCAGCCTCGCAGCCAGCACCGAGCCTTCCTGGGTAGGTCGTCGTTCATTGGCGCCTTGCCAATGGTAGCCAGCGTCTTACATCAGCTAAAGCCTCGAAACCTTCAGGACTTTCCAACGCCAGATGCGGCTGCGTACTTAAAGATGGCACACTGGACGCCTTGCAATTTCCGCCCGCTTGGCAACAGTCCAATCAGTCAAGATGATGGACGGTGTTTCCGTAGCACTCAGTAACATCATACGGTGACGCATGAGCTTTCACTGCCTCGGCTTTGTACCAGATAATGGCGAGCGAATCCGCACATGGCCCAACGAGCCGGCCGGAATTCACGGTAGGCTTCTTCGGCTTGCACCTCGAGTATTACCTTTATCGCGTTATCTCACGTTGTACCTCAAGCTCTTGCAGCCCAGCTAGCCTAGCACACAGGAGTGTTTCTATTCTTGCGCATGCCAGACATACCTGCCGCTCGAAGCGCTCTAGGTCCACGCAAAAGCTAGAAAGCACGATAATATAAAGCAGACCATATGTCTAATGGCCTCGGTCTGTGGAAATCTTGTTCATTCTGACACCTCGCTCTTCCCGCAACTTTAGCACTACCTAGTATCATCCAATGGCTAAGAAAAGGATTATTGTCTGCTGTGACGGTACCTGGCAGAACTCGTAAGTCACATACCGCACGTTCGTTGGGAATCAGTCCCTTACATGGCCAGTGACAATGGATACGTCAAGCCGAGCTCGTCGGACCCAATCCCAAGACTTCAGATCCCTTCGAACGTAACCCGGATCTCCCGCGCGTTCGCGAGAACATGCAGCGATGGCACGTTCCAGATCATATACTACCAGTCCGGCGTTGGCTCTAGGACAGGATTCGTCGACATGATTGCTGGCGGCGCCTTCGGAATTGGCATCGCAGAGAACATTCGGGAGGCGTATTCTTACATATGTGCGAACTACGTCGACGGAGATGAGATTATTCTTGTAGGGTTCAGCCGTGGCGCTTTCACTGCACGATCCATTGCCGGAATCATATCAGACCTCGGTCTACTGACTCGCGAGGGTATGGAATACTTTTATCCTGTCTTCAAGGACATGCAGAACTGGATGGACTACAACTACAGAGATCCGTTTCCGGAGCTCCCTTTCCCTAACAAACCCAAAGGCAGTAATGCTTCGAGCATATACAGAGAGAGGCTCGTGGAAAACAAGCTCAGTAGGGTGCTCCAAGATGGAGGTGCTGGTGAGTTGATCAAAGTCAAAGCCATTGGAGTATGGGATACTGTTGGCAGCCTTGGCATTCCCGATATCAAGTTCCTGTCCCGTCTCGGCATCCATCGCTCTACAGAGGAGTTCACTTGGTTCAACACCAGCCTGTCACCCAAGATCGACCACGCTTTTCATGCCTTGGCCATTGACGAAAAACGCGGTCCGTTCAGTCCAGCACTCTGGGAACGGCTTCCCGGCCAGACTACCGACCTCCGGCAGGTCTGGTTTCCTGGGAGCCATACCAACATCGGGGGTGGCTGTTCAGATCAAGGTGTTGCTAACATCACCCTGGCTTGTGAGTTATACCACTCTTCGTCGTGGCTACCCCTACAATTTCGGTCCCTTAGAATCCTCAGCTCACTGGTGCGATAGGGATGATGGACCAACTGTCTTCTGTTGGTGTTGAGTTTATTCCGGGCACAATGAATACGCTATTTGCGCGCAATGTTGATTACTATAAGAGTCTAAACCCAGCAGGAGAAAAGAGCAGCGGCACGGTTCGTCCATGCTGCGGCGCCATCAGGCTCAAACCGAAATACTGGGCTACCAAGGAAATCTATGCATCCAACAATCCCATTCGGCCATGGGCCCTGCACAAAATTGAAACCGTTGAGAGCGCTCTTTATGATCTTATTGGAACGCATCGCCGCTCGCCAGGCATGTACAAACGAGTCAACCCTAATACGGGACGACCCACGGCAGCATTTCTCGAGCATACGAATGAGAGAGTCCACAGCAGCGTTCGTGCGCGGCTAGCTTGCCACGGGCTGGCGGCGAATGATGGTGCCATATGGAAATGCAAGCCAGTCACCAAATTGTGGCGTCCGCGCCGAGTTGCTGTGAATTATTACAACCCTATTTCTGATCACGCTGAGTGGGGACCACAAAATGGGGGAAAGGAGGCCACTGATAGTTCCAATTGCACTGGCAATGGGGTGTCGAATTCAGAAACCACGGACCTTCGTTGGGTGTGGGAGTACATTGGGCCAGAAACAGACGCCCCGGAAGTGCGAACAATGGTCGAAGAGAATCTTGGCCCCTTCGAGAAGCACCTGCTACAGCTATCTGGTGGGCACGGCGAACAGGTCTGCAAGGTGGCTGAACAGGAAGATTTCTCAAAATTCAAGTTTCCGGGCACAAAGAAGGCATAGATGAGACAAGTAGTATGATATGGTAAGGAGGGACTGTGCAGACTGGAGACAGCCCGTGTTCATTGGTATAATAACAGGCTTAACGTGTATCATTCCAATGTAATCATTTCCTCCTCGAAAAGCCGCCCTCTGTTCGATCCATGAGGGTTTAAGGGATGCTTCGTGGATATCGACGTACAGATCCTCCCGAAGTCGTCAAGCTTCTAACCGTCGGTTGGTCGTTCAGTATCAACAAAACCACCAGTACCGGCTGAGAGGCGTCCATGGTACGGACGGACCAAAGACTTTCGTGGCAAGAAACACAAGAAGATTCCCATACTTAGTTACATTGAGCCTTGACCTAACTTTGTCATTTTGAACCGTTCGCGTTTCCTTCACCACGCATTCATTCTGCCCATCGGCCTACCTGGTCGGGTGGCGATCCACCCTTCACGGGTAGCCTTGTAAGTTCAACGCAATGGAGTTGGACTTGGTGAGTGAAACCTTGACATGTTGCGGTCGCGCCGCAGAAAGCAATCTGCTTGCCTGTTGGACTGCACGAAGACCTTCAATACCTCCGCGCGCTAATACGCCATAGAGATCACCGGCAATTATCATCGGTACTTGTACCGAATGCTTACAGTGGTTTTTACCTAGCAGCGCCCGTCAGCGCTGAAGTTGAGGAATACGTCCATCTTAGGCAAGGGACTGGCTTACTCGCACGGCTCTCACCGCCCCAGCAGAGAATCAGCTCTAGACCCTTGCAGTCACATAAAGCTTGGCTGACTTTGCAGTATACTCCAGGTTCTTGCGTCAGCTTACACCAGATGCCTTGTTTACTGCATACAGGCGGCAAGGTAGGGAGCAGGGAAGCCGTTCTCGCGAGCGGCATAACACAACATGCCACATTACTGCCTGGGTGCTGCGGAACTGCAGTGGGATGGTGATTCACGAGCATGCAACTTCTTGAGTGGGCAGCTTGAATGCTGCCACCACGCAGAAGAAAGCGTAGGCAAGTTTCTTCTCTTCCCCTATGTAACCACGAATATGTACAGTAGAACACGTATCGGGCGCCGCAGCCGCCCATGATAGAGACACATGAAGATCTCCATAACGCCGCGGTCTCATGCCTCATGGTCCGTGAAATGCTGCTGTGCCTCCCTCTTTAATAGTACAAACGCCGACATATACACTCTTTAACATCCCCCCAAACCACGATCAGCTGAGTAGCTGGCCAACTGCATGCTGTGGCGCACACATCACAACACATTAACCATAATTTGCCGCAGAGGATCCATGCACCCAGTGATCTCTTCGGCGTGTCATCTCTCCAAACGATGATGAAAGTACCGCAATACCGCCATCAATGGCGATAACGGGAAAGCTTAGGTTTTGTTCACCACCGTCCCCGTCCACGGTTCCGGCTTTGAGGTAAACGCTAATCCCTCAAAGCTTGCAGTGCCGTATTGAGCGGCACGATTCTGAGACTTCGCCCTCTCCTGAGGCCTGTACCCGCTCCCGGAGCGTTCATGATGGTTGGGCTGTCAGCGTCACGCCACTTGCGGAACACGCTCTTCATGTCTCGCGGAATTCCTTCTAGGATAACCGTCGACACAGGGATAAAAGGGCGATCCTCCATGCTCGACGCGAGGATGGCGTATTCTTGTGCGAACTCGAGCGCGTTGTGAAACGACGCGTACTGTGGCTGCGCTCGAGCGCCAACGATAATGTACAGCTCAAAGAAGGCATCTAAGACGTAGATGCTGGAGGGCTGGAGATCACGCTGCGAAAATGGAGACAGTTCGACAATCTATAAGTCCAGGAGTTAGGTAAATTCCTAATGGATAGCTCATTCGTTGAAGCGAAATCAAAATTATGGGTTAACTCACCTGCTGCTTTGATTCTGCATCGGAGCAGAACAGTCTGCTGCAGTACTTATCGTAGTTGGGCTTCAGACGCCAGTGATCCGCGGAACCAACTTTCGAGCCGCCACCAAACAGGCCCCAGAAATCTGACGGCTCTCGGCCATCCTCAACCTCGTCCAGCTCACCTGACAGCGCGTAGTCCATACCTATTAGACGAGCACAGCTGAGCTCGTCAACGCCACTGCCTTTGCCCTTCCACAGGTAGCATTTGCCAGAGCTGGTGATGAGGAAGGGGAAGCCAGAACACAAGGCTAGCGGGGTCAAGTCGACCTCATCAAATACGATTTGACCAAGGTAACGGCGGCCACAGAGCATGTGTGGTGCAAGCGAATCGTACTTGTTGCTCGACCCGCGCCGCGTGATGACAATGCCACCAAGTGCTGCCATGAACTCGGGAGTCTCCTTGCTCTGTTGCAGCTTCACAAGCTTTCCACCCAAAGCCTTTGCTTCCCGTGTCGCGAAGATCGAGGCATCCTCAACCTCACTCGACGGGACTTCATCTCCAGCCCAGAAGTAAACTTCCGACGTTTTCTTTCCCGCCTCATTATTGAATGTGTGAGAACAGAGATACATCTCACGTTCGAAAAGAACTCTTTCATGATGCGCAGGCACCGGTACCTTCTTCCCGTCAGCGGAGAATTGGAAGAGCTGTGCACTCAGAGTCTGAATCTTGGGCGCAGAGACGCTTGGTCTTTGCATCAGCAGCTCAGCTGCATCCACATGATAGTTGCGCTGAGGCCGTTCAGAGCCAAAGAACTCGACCAGAACGGAACTGGCCTCCATGGCCTGTTTTGTGGGTGATCGCATGGGGGAGGCAAGCGACGGAGGGGAGAGAGGACCAGGGCTGGGAAGTGGTCTCGATGATGACAGCGGCTCGGGAAGTGGCCGAGGCTTCACAGGGGTGGATCTTGCAGACGAGGGTTTCGGAGGCAGTGCTCTGCTGGAAAGAGCAGCTAATCCATCACCCGCGGATGCCATAGGCTCAGCAGATTCTCGAGGTGGCGGGACATTTGACTGGGAGAGATGTGGTTCCGGCAGCGGCCTCCCAGAAATGTGTGGCTGTGGTGAGCCTGATTCAGGCTTGCTCACAGTTGAGACGGCTGGTTTGCTAAATAATGCCCTTGGGGTTGGGTCGGCTTCCACTGTCCTTGTCTCTTGCGGGCGTTGCCGTTCGGGAGACTTCTCTGGGCTCGAATCAGCTCCAAATTTTGACACGCGGTTCAAGTCCAGTTTCCTTGGTGAGGGTGGCTGTGAGCCAGTCAGACTTGACTCTTGTTGCTTCGTCGGAGAAGGTGAGTTTCTCTGAGCTGCGAATGCAGCGACTTGCTCAAACACGCGGCTCTTGGTCCGCACATGAGACCTGCCGGGCCTAGGTGGGTTGGCAGTTTGCCCCCGGGCAGGGTCTGCTGCCGACTTATCAGAGTCAACTAGCGAGATGGTCTGTGGCTTGGGGCGCGGCGAGTAGTCGTAGACCTTTTTCGAAGAGTCGACCAGGGAGATGACTTGGGGTTCAGGTGCTGCCGCAGGAATACTGGGTTCTTTTAAGTCACGGTTGATGTCAGTCGTCTCAGTCTGAGCCGGCTTGACTTCAGCTTTGGGCTCAATGGCTGGTGGGGTCTCGGCTGGACTATTGGCAGAGCCAGCCGCGGTCGTCGAGGTGGGTGCTTTTCTCTTTGGTCCTCGGGCACGACCCTTAGTCATATGCGTAAGTTTTGGCCCTTGTCCAGGTTCATCGTTGCCTCCGCCGCTGGACGGTGAGCTGGCCTGGGCCTCTGACGGCCCAGATGCCATGGGAGGTGGCCCTCGTGCGAGCAGCCCGGCTAGAGCTGGGTTGAATCTGTTGGCCAGCGCGCTACCCCCTACCTTGCCTTGAAGACGGCCAGGTGCGCTCGTTTCTTTCTGGAGACCAGGCAGCGCATCGGCGGGTTTGGGCTCGGCGGGCGACTTCACTGGGTCTCGGTTCGAAGCAAGACTCGGTCGACGCTCCTCGAAAGGGGGAATACTTGACTTGGAGTCCCGCTTCTCGTGTATGCTCATTCGCTCAGCGACAGGAGTCGCCGGTCCTGTTCTCGAAACTGTACTCCTCCTCTTCAGCTGCTCTAGTGTGGGGGCCGCATCGCTTGAAGCCGTATCCCTCCTAATCGTATTCGAGCGTCGCATCTCGAGACTCTTGATTAGCCCTTCTGGGACGGGCTGTTCGCTTGCTGTACTAGAGTTGCGCGTAATTCCTCTACCCTCAGTTTGGCTCTGCTGAAACTCCTTCTTCTTCGCTAAAATCGCCTCCTTGAATTCATCCTTTCGTTCGGTCTTCTTTGGGCCGCCCGTAAAGTTGAGCGCAGCCTTGCCCCTCGTGATGTTGTCTTTCAGTTCATCAGGAGCGACGTAGTTCTGGGTAGTTGTTTTCCGCAGGTTACCAAATACATTCTTGAACTCAGGGTTATTGGAGGAGCCAGAGCTAGATGGAGGTGGTCTAGCCTTCAAACTTGCCCTGAAGTCTTTCTTGGGCGGTGTCTCTGGCTTAGCTTTGCTGGTAACATCGTCAACGCCCTTGGAGCTCGAATTTGTCGCGCTCTCAACCGCCCGGGTTCCTTCCCCGGGCTTCGTAGAGTCCACGGAGTCATTTCTGGCGCCTTTGTGGCCTGTGTGGTGTGTAGTGACTGTTGGTGTGGATGGGCCGCTAGCACCGCCGAAGGGAACTGCTTTAGTACCAACTCCCGGGGCCGCAGACCGCATAAGTCCACCGATACTAACTTGGTGCTTGTGAGAGCCAGTCGGTGTTCGTGAGAGTTCCCCAATGGGATTTGCCGCCTTCTGCGCCTTTGCCCTGGCTATCTCAGCCATCCACGCAGGCTGGTTGGCCGGTGGCGGGGTTGGCTTGGGTTTGGGGGAATCGGGCTTGTTGAGAGCAGACTCAAGCCAGCTGGCTTTGGTAGGACTCCAGCGTTTCGGATCCATCGTCTTTGACGGACTGGTCGGTAGTGCGGCGTCATCGCTGTCCTGTGCTTCAGGTTCCCGTGTCGGCTGCGTATCCACTCTCAAGGAGTCACTTATCTTCCTAGAAATAGATTCTTCCGCTTGCTCCTGTTGATTCCCTAGGCTAGATCCCGGGCGCGAGGTTGACTCAGTGGAGGTTTCCCGTCCCAGGCTGGTAGGTCTGACGGAAGACCCTACCACGCTACGACTCGGGTTGAAGCTGTTGCGATTCGATGCAACGGAATCAGCGCGTTGTAATCCCTTTGGTGATTGCACACTCCATCGCTTGCTGACGCTGTCGGAGCGTTTCATCATGGCGCTCTGGACGAAGCCGCCCATTCCCTTCGTTGGCGAGGCGGGTCTATCAGTCCTCGTAGGCGATGACCTTCCCAGCGGAGGAGGAGACATCATTGGTTGCTGTTCCGATGTTGAATCAAGCTCAAGTTGACCGTCGTTCTGGGGAGGGTCCAATCGTTGCAAGCTGCTCAATGACAAGGGAGAACCTAGGGTGCGGTGGGCACCAGGAGATTCCAGTGGAGCGCTGGACTCGTCCTTCGTGGGCTCTTCCGAAGGCCTGCGTGCGAGGCCAGGCAGTTGCGCTCGCATGGACGACATGTCCATTCTCTCTTCGTCTTCGACCTGGTTCTTCCTGTAAGCTCCGGAGCTGGCACCCCTGTCTGCCGTCTGACGGAACCACGACGGGTCCTTTGAAGACAAGGCGTTGGCAATTTGGTCCCTCGGTATTGCCTCGGTCACCGAGCTGGGCTCAGATGGGGTGGTCGAGGAGCGGGCCGCATTCTCGGCTGCGACCATGGAGAGCGGCCTGCTTCTCGACCCATTGGAGGCTTGCGAGTTGGGCCTTCTCTGCCAATTCAAGCCTCTAACGGTGGCAGACCTTGTGGGAGAGGTAGCGTTGCTTGCCCGCTTGCTGTCGGCATCGAATGGCGACTCGTTCTCCTTGGAAGCCGAGGAGGCGTAGAAGTCTCGGGAGCCCATGGCCTCGGCTTGCGGTGCGTCGGCCGAGGACTTGGGGCTCGTGGGAGGGTCGAGGATGGGCGAGGAGTCTAGCTGCAGGCGTTGAGAGGCGCCTGGGGTGGTCGCACGATGCGTCGAGGGCGGCGGGGTGTTTGCAGGTGATGACTTCTGGGGCGAGATGGACCTGGCGCGTTCTGAATAATAACAAGTAAGTCAGTGAGTGAGTGACTGCGCGGGGTGGCCCACACCGCAGGCATAGACATAGGCATGGGCATAGGAATAAGCAAATTGACGAGGCGCGGGCAACACCTTTTCTGTCTGCCCTTCCCAAGTCCCACCCCCCAAGGCATCGAGGGTGCTCAATGCCCAAATGCCCGATTCCCCCAAGCGCTCCACCAACCCAGACAATTCGAGATGCTGGAATCTGCAGCAGGACATGGCATCATCTGCGCGCAGGCACCCGGGGGGGGGGAGCAACAGTGGGCTGGCTACAGGTACTGGGCAGAAACACCCGACGAGGACAACAAAAACAACAGCACCAGCACAGCAGGGATGAAAACATGCATTGCGTACCTGCTCGGCGGGCTTGTCGCTCCTTTCTGTCTTGCAGTATCTTCTCTTCCAGCTCTCGCGAGCGTGCCTCGTCTTCGTCGAGGCGGCGATCCCCCAATTCTTTGACCTGCTCCAGAAACTTCGAGACGTCTTCCGACATGGCTTAGGGTCGGGATATATCGTGACACATGGGGGGGAGCACGGGAGACCAAAATAAGCGCGTCTGGGTCTGTTTGTTTCCACCTTGACCCTTGGTGAAAAGCTTGCTCTCGTGGCACAGTGGCAGATCGCGAGTTCTGGCAGTCGGCGCAAACCTTAGCTGCCAGTCGGCGTTGTCTTGTCAATGTTGTTTTGAGTGGGTTTAATAAGCGCTTTACTCGTTGGGTACAGTAGTTCTGTCTGTCTAGGCACTGCGAACCCACGACGGGGAGCACCGAACCTGGCGACAGGGGCCACTCGCTTTGCGCTTTGCGCCTTGCGCCTCTCGCCTTTCGTCGGCTATCACTAACATGGATCCTTGGATTCCGGGGGCTCAAGGCTTCAAGGCTCAAGCGCTCACATACGAACCCCGGTCTAGCTACACGGATCGGAACCAATCTGGCACCATGTTTTCCCAGATGCCCGACATGTAAACAATTGATCGGCCTAGTCTTGGTTCTCACGTCACAACCCGCTCGCGTTGACGATAGCGTGCCAAAGTCTCGCTAGCTCCCTCCGTCATAGGGTCCGGTAAAGTCCAAGGGCGCTCAGGTCCTTCTTCAACCTGCCCGTCTTTTAGTGAGAGAAGCACGGCCGATCCGTTGTGTCTGTCTCGGAGGATGCAGAATCCAATGTTTCAACAAGTCCCCGTCCTAATCTGGGGTTCCGTACGAGGGTGCCCCTGCATCCGCCAAATGAATGTTTCCTGCAACATGGTCACAGCTTTGGGACGAATCATCTCTAATTCATTGGGATCTGGGGACATGAGTACGAGTTACGGTTTCGTTCATTCTTTAGAAAGCAGTCTTGTGGCCTGATCAGCTCCGGCCAATACACGCAACTGTATTCAGACAGAAATCCTCGATCTGGTCTTCGGCTGACTTCAGCTCACTTGGCCAAAATCACTCTATCTCGTAGTTCTCATCCGGACGAGAAAGGTCTTGTTCAAAGCGGTTGGTACCCTGACAAACCTTCCGCATAACAATACCGAAACGCAGGGCTCGGCTGAAGGCCCGGGATTGGCGAACCCCACGCACTTCGTGACCCTGTTCCTGCATTAAAGCCGCCGCCGTGCAAATGTCGCGTTTTGCTCGCCAGTTCTTCAGTAGAGGAAGAGCCTTGCTTTCGCGTCCTCAACGACCCATGCGAGTCCCTCTTTAAGGTTCTCCCCCGTCATAGCACTGCATCGCAGCACCTGCCAACGGTGTGTCCGGATGGACTTCAATCGCAGCCCCTGCAGGATTTCGTCCTCGTCCATGCAGCCCTGTACATCGGTCTTGTTTGCGAACACCAGCAAACTCGCGCCTGAAAGTCGCTGTTTATAATGAGTACCATCGTCATCACCACAGGCTGGGTAGCCAACATACCTCCTCTTGGAGGAGACCGTGGAGCTCCTCCCTGCAGTCCTCGATTCTGAGGCGGTCTGTCGCATCGACAACCCAGATCAAGGCGTCGGTCTTCTCGAAGTAATTTCTCCAGTAGGATCGCAGGGTCTTTTGCCCCCCAACGTCCCCTTTCCCCGTTGTTCAGTCGCAGTCTCCATTGAATACGGACGGCAACAGCAGTGACTCACATATGTTTAGTTTATACCTGAGCTCTGGTCAGTCAAGGCCTCGATATGGGAGACTAGCGCATGATCACCTACCCCTCGTAGTCTATGGTCTTGATGATGAAACCTAGTGTCGGACTGACCGTGTTGACATCCTCGTTCATGATCTTCTTGACAATCGTCGTTTTCCCAGCGTTATCGAGCCCCCTATCTCGATATCAGTAGTCGCCCCGATCAGATAGCAACGGGCGCCGCTCACAGCATCAGAATCCTCATCTCCTTATCCTTGAGGCGCGCTTTTCGGAGAATCGAAAGCATCTTGAGAGGCCTTGGTGCCGGCAACGACCCGACCCGCAGATGATGAATACCACTCTACTGCGATTCTTTCGACAGCATAGCTGGCCCGAACGTAGTTTGCGTCAAAGTGCAAGTGGTTTGGGCCGGAATTACAAGTGCCTAGAATAATTGAGCCAACGACTCAACGCTCTGCAGATTGCCTGGTTCACGTGACACTACCAACGACGCAGCATCCACCAAACACTCAAGGCCGAACATGGCCTTTTCCCAACGCAATGCTGGTCCCTCATGAACCTCAACTTGATATTCTTACTAGACATAATGTCAACCTATCAAACGTATCATCATGGTAATCAATCGAGACAGTTCGGCCATGCAACGCCCCGTGCGTCAATACTCGTGTATTGAATGAACATGTTGATTCAATCATGGAGTGGTTAGTTCGATAGTAGTAGATTTGACATAGGTGTCAGTGCACCAACGGCTGTAGCAAGGCTAGGTGTGGTGGGCCGAAATGACTACTGCCGAATCGGCCTACAGGTCCCAGTTTGCTTGACAATATAGGCTTGAACTCACTCGATGTCAGTCGCAGCCGTCGTGATTTCAGTCGACTTTCAGCAACAGCGGCTTAAGTGTCGATCCAATAATGACAGCAAAGTAGCCTCTGCGGTATGCGCTGGTCTGCACATCCATGAGAAGAAGTGATCCTTGCTGCTATCGGCCAAGGACCAATATTCCATTCACCATTGTCCTTCTTGCGAGAGCGCTTTGTCTAAGCTCACGCCCATGCTATATCTACATTGGATGAGCATGTGAAAGAGCTGTCTATGGCCGCCGATGAACGAGCGGATCATCACCCTTCGGGGTACCACTTGGTCAATCTGGTCGAGTGGTTAGACTGTTGCCATTGCAATTGCTCTTGTTATTGCTGTTACTACTGCTTGCGCTTGCGCTTCTGCTTCTACAGCTTCTAGCTTGATGAGCTGTTCACGGTTCAAATGTTGGTGTTGTGTACGATAGGTAATTTTTTTTTTTTTTAAAAAAAAAAAAAAAAAAAAAAAAAAAAAAAAAAAAAGATTATGATTTAAGGGTCATTCATTGCGTAATTGTGTGGTACACTCCCCTCGCTTAGCAGAAACCACCATTTAAAACATGGCACTGTAGCACTTTTGACCCCTTGGTGAATTCGGTAAGAATCTTTGCAATTCATGTAAGCGTTAGAAAACGCAACGGAACCGAGAGAGGCCCCCTCCAGGTAATTCTGAGAACGAGGCCGTGTGCGACCGGATTTCCTGGCTACGAAAGCAGCAAGCAGAACCAGGCATCTCTACAGACCGTAAGTACACAATCAAACCCATGTCCTGAAATGTGTGCCCCTTTATACATCTGTCTGAGGCTCCTTGCGGACTGGACTGGTTTGACAACGCGATGTTCAGCGACAGCGACAGCTACAGCGACAGCGACAGCGACCCGCCCGCTCTTGCCGCGTTCCAGAAAGGCGGAAGCAGTCTAGCCTCCGAGGTCAACTCGAATAACTAGGTACAGTTGAATCATCATCATCAGGCACTTCATCATCATGTTCTACCCCCTCCAGGTGGTCCGACACTGTTAGGTTAGCTAGTGTATCGCCTCCTGGCTTCGGTCCAAAAATTCACATGCGAGCCACGTATTCACACGCGGCCAAAGAATTCACATTTGGCCCAGGAATAAACACTGCGACCTCAAAGACTTGCGAGCAGTTCTCGCACTCCGTCGACCGCAGCAAGGTTTTCAGGCCAAAGCAACAATGCATCGAGGACATTGAAACACACCCTTAATTTTCATGGATGACTTGATGCCGCGCATCTTGTCCCATCTTTTGAGCGTTTGTTCAAACCCGCGCTGCCAATTTCGTGTCCCTCTGACTTCATCTTCACCTCCCAAAAACGATCGACCAAACGATCGACCGATTGGCCTGCATTCCCTCAACAAACAAGCATCCACGGCACCCGTCTCCTCGAGGTAAGCAAACACGGCGACGTTTCTTCTTCCTTCGGCTCTTCCCGAGTTGCTCCCGATCCGAACTCCATTCACGTATGGGTCAGATCGCAGTTGCGCTCGTGCTGTTCTTCAACTACCTCCGACATCACGCGGTTCGAAACGATATCAAGTAACGTCACAGCAACCAACACTTTCTAGTCACGCCCATGACCTGGGCCTATGTGGACACTAATTTACCTAGTAACAGGCTCGCCATTCACTCCTAGACAGGCATCGCCTCCTTCGCCGTTCGAAGCTTGTGTAGAAGGCCACTGGATCATAGTTGAAGTAAGTCTTCGTTGGTTTCTATACGGTTTTGTCGCAAACGAACCATGTTGTATGTGGTTGGGCCAATTCACATGAGTGCTCTATACCATGATCTTTGATCTCAAACGGCCGTTTGTTTGATCAATTGCTACTACCACTAGTATATCACAACTCATGAACGCAATTTTCAGCGCTGACCAACCTTGAACCATGCAGGCCATGCAACCCCGCCGTCAGGCGTGGCTTGACAAACCTGAGCGATGGCTCAATCCTGAGGCCCCAAGGGACGCCGTCGAAGACACCGCCGGAGCCAGGTCTGTGAAACCCCCTTCCACATCTCGACGATCCCAGGTCGCCTTCGTTGCTAGCCAAGAAGTCTGGCACTCCGTAATGCAAACGGGTAATGGCGAGGTGAGCACAGCGGCCCCGATGCACAATGGCCAGCACAGCGACCAGATTACGCCGGCCATGCAGTGGGCCCGGCATGACGGCGACGCCTTAAGCTCAGTTCGAGGGCAAATCCCCACGGTAGCTGATGAAATTGCGAGCCGAACCCAACATATTGAGAGATCTGCCAATGGCAATTCTGCATCACGGGTCTTCGTCGATGACATACCTGACGCTCCAAAACCCCTTCATAGCCAGCTAAAGGAGAGCAGATGGGCTCAAGCTGTCCCTTCGAAGGATGCGACTTTCAAAGCCCATGGCGTGGGGATCAATGGGCATCAGAAAAAGGCAGAACCACCTGCTGGTGCACTATCCATTTCAACTCCAACACAAAATGAGAGACTCAATGGCACCAAGGGATTGACTCACCTACCTGAACAGTCTGCCCACAAGGGCCGTCAAGAGAATGTTCATCCAAGATATTGGACTAACGGAACCAAAGCCCTACCCCCACATATTCAGCTTCAAAAAACCACGGCAAATGATGATCTGAAAGAGAAGTCGACCCAAGTCGAGGACTTGCAACGTGCCCCTAATGAGTCGGCGATGGATTCCTTGCCTCCTCATCGCAAGCAGTTACCGAGGCACGTTGTTAACATAATGGCCAAGATTCAACAACGCCACAAGTCATATCCGAAAGAATCCCCTTTCGCTTCAGACTCCAATAGTCAAGGTCCTGCTCAAGCAAGAACCAATCCACAGGGCGCGGCTTTAGAGCCCAAACCACAGCAATCAGTGTCACGGATCTCGGACTCAGTAGCGCCAGCTAATTCACCGCCCTTGTATATCATGCAGAGCACCGGCAACGACGTCTCCCCGGGTTCACCACCTCCCAGGTTCCCATATGTCGCATCTCCTACAGATATAGCTGTTGACAGAGACCCTCGTGGTGAAGAATCAGATGGTATTTATGACGACCAGGACTGGGATGCCCCACGTCCAGCTCGACCGAGAAAGAAACAATGGGACAGCGAGAGCAGCGTTGTTGACGGCACAGTGTCATCGAGTAATGGGCCAGCCTTTGCTTCCAAGGGCGCATGTTCCTTACAGTTCATGACTTGGTGGCTCGATGCTATCCCTAGCCAGAGAGCTAGCTTCCTGGACCAGCCTACAAACAGTGCACTCGGCGACGTGAATGAGCACCAGGGCGTCGATCCCGTCACAGGCCAACTAATGGACGAGATTGGACAGCCAAACTGTCGAAGAGGTAAGTCTTCACAAAGGCGGTGCATATCGCCTGTTGCTAATCGACCTGTCCAACAGACTATGGAAGACACAACCCGGACAGAATTCTCAAACTCAACAGTCAAACGTCACAGTGGTCTATTGGAAGATACCTGTCCGGGATCCAGGCATCAAATTCAAGGAAAGAAAACGAGGAGTTGGAGGCTGAGGCTGAAAGACAGGCCCGGGTGCTTGAGGAACGCAATGCAAACAAGAAAAACCCGTACCTGTGCCGAGTACCTGCTCACCTTCGACCAGCTGCACTCGGTGACATGGATGAAGTTACAAGGATCTACAACCAGGAGGTTCGGGAGGGTTGGCGCGCTGTCGACCAGGAGCCATTGCCAGCAACAGCGTGGCAAAACATCTTCAAGGCCTGCCGAAGAGAGAAATTGCCTTTTATTGTGGCACTCAGCAAGTACAGAAACCCGAACACTGCCATCGAGGAAGCCGGTCACAAGGTCATTGGCTTTGCATACCTTGATGTTGCCAGCCGTGGCGTCAGCGGCTCCGTTCAGAGCAGTGCTAGGGTCTCAGCGCGACTCTACGTTTTCGTTGATCCGCAGCATCGTCGCAACAGGGTTGGCACTGCTCTCCTGGATAGGATCTGCATCATGACTTCCAGATCATACATCTGCAAAGAGCAATCGTACCAGTGGGAAAACCCTTCTCTGGATGCCGCTTACTTCGATGAGTGGCGTAATGCTCGCAAGTACCGCACCATGACCCTGGAGGTTTACATTGAGAACCTAGGAACTGGGAAGAAGACGGAGGAAGGTGAGGAGTACCAGTGGATATACAATTTTCTCGAAGAGGAGTTTGCCTTTTACAAGAAGTTGCGAACCCATCACTTTGCGGTGAAGAGTGATCCAGAAGGTTTCGATATTCACCTCGATCGTCTCATATTCGAGCATCGATGCATCGAGTTTGGAGCACCGGGTGAGGGCTAAGCAGATGCAGCTGTACTCGCGCGCTTCTTTATCTGGTCGATCCACTTTTGATTTCTGCGTCATCGACACCTATTCGTTGATTCACAAGAGAATGAAGAACGCAGAGTGTAGGTGTCCTAGATGCATCAGGTATAAGCTATCCTGAGCAGGTGGAAAGGTCATTTGCTCCGTTAATTTTCTCTCGTCTTATATGAGAAAGAAGTTCTGGAACTGTCAATTTTACAGCTTGCATCGTAGTTAAGAAGAAAATGGACACGCGTAACTTAAGTCATACATCCGCCTTTGAAGCCGAGTAGATTTGTATCAAGGCCTTCTTCCAATATACTAACTGATCTATTCTGGCAAATTACACATGCTAGGCGTAGGAAGATTAAAGGTGTCATAGTTCGATTTTGCTTAGGTGGTGTTTTGAGCATTTAAAATCTGGCCTCTGCCACAGACCACGGAACCTATATTTACGAGGCAGGCAGGCAGCCAGCCAGCTAATCACGCTGTAATATTTTTGACTTTGATCCTCGAAGTTCAGATGGTATACCTGTCGCATTTGAAATGAAGACTAACTTCCCAAATTTGATCATACTCATTGCCCAAACTCTTGGTATGATCTTATCGAAGGCTCAGTTCGTTGGAAACTCATCTGCCGCTCGAACATCCGGGACCTCGCAGACAAGTCCAAGGATCAAATCATATTTTGCACTGGCACCTATAGGCCAGGCCACCGGTACTGGATGGATAGCCTACAGAACCAGCGCTTGGCATCGGCCAGCGAAGCGAAGAAAGTCTTGGCCAAGTATCTGTCAACGGGAGACGATGGCGTCTTGAATGAGAATAAACACCACGTTGTCGATCAACAAGTCGATGTCGGCTACGAACACATTGGCGAGGGCCTTTGTGCTGCTGTATTCAACTTCGGCGGCAACGGAAATGTCATAAAACACGGCTGGGCAGGCAAGGAATCACAGCTCCGGACGGACTTTGAATTTCATCAACCCATGTATCAAAATGTCAACAGCAAACACAGCATCGTTGCCGTCCCTAAGCCGCAGGAGTTTGTGGGCCAATCCAAAGCACCCGAGTGATCGGTGGTCCACGGCCATGGTCTTCCAAGCAAGTATCGCGAGCCAGTCCCGCTGCTGATCTCGGAGCATATATGACCCCTCCGTAAGAGCGCACTGGAGGCCTTGATCGAGGAGACGGAAAGAGAGGCAACTAGGAAGGACTCTAGGAACAATCCATGTCTCTTGCGCCTCTATCTCGGCGTGCGGCGTCCCAACTTCAAGTACGAGGGCGAGTTCTCATTGCGCGATTTCGAGCTCACGCTTGACAAGGTGGAGCATCTTGACATTGATGCTAAGCCTTTGGCGCGTAAGATGGCGCGGGCGCTCGCTGCGTGTGACAGGGAATCTCGCTGCGATGCCTTCGACGTCGAGTTCGTCTATGGAGCACCCAGAGGAGACCAACAAGGGCTGGAGGAGAGAGCCGAGGTCTGGCTGTTAGACTTCAATCAGTGCGGTAAAATCACATTGGACGGGGCAGGCGTCGAGGGGGCTGTCCGCAGGTTCTGGGATGATCCGTATTACCCTCGCCCAGGTGCGACCGCGAGGACCGCTGAGCACGAGTTGTGGCAAAGCTTCCGGGATGCTTACCTTGCGGAGAGTGAAGAGATCCTGGAAGAGATTGATGTGCACTTGGCGAAAGCCTTCATCAGCAAGGTCATCGAAGAAGGTCGTACACGGCAGGCGACTCTTGGTAGTGGACCCTCAAAAGGAGGAAGAACGGAAACTTCGGCAAGCTTATCCTTGCAAGTGAGTAGTAAGAGAAAGGGGCGCAAGTATGCAGCCGCATAGGTTTGTAACATTAAAAACAGTTCAGGGGTTGGGAGAGGTAGCTACTGGCTCCAGTGAGCCTCTCATTAGTCACATTATGAAAACTTCAAGACATGCTTCACGCAGTCAAATCATCATTGTAACGGGGACGTTTCTTCAATCCTCCATGAGGCCATGTCATAAATACTAGTATCCGCCCTCTGATATCACATTTCGCTAATTGATCCTCGCACGCTTTCTACAAATCATGAATACCCAACAATTAAGCCGCCTTGGTGTTCAGCACGAGTGGGTTACCATTCTGAAATAGGGAGCGAAAGGCACCATGAAGCGCATATACCCTGCCTTCTCGCTGTACTTTTCAAATCTTCGCAGCTCCATCACAAGTGTATGAAGCAGTACCCTCCACACGTTTAGACCTCTTCGTCTGTTCGACATTCGCGCCAGGTGTTCTTTGTTGTCGAAGTAATAGCCGGTGGCAAGGTCTAGACAGAGGGACAGTGCATCTACCCAGTTGAGGCCATCCGATGTCTTCAAGGCCGTGTGTAGTTTGTAAAGCTCGTCAAAGAGCAACAGCAAATGCTTTCTCTCGTTTTGACCGTTCTCGGGACACACAATTAGAGTGCGCGCCCTTAGGGCCCGTCTCTCGTCGTGAAAGCGGTCGTCGCCGCCCTCGAACACGTTTAGCAGCCACCAAGCCCACTGTGAGTCGTGTCGATTCATCTGATACGGGCGAGGCGGGTCCTCGACCAAGCCCTGGTATTCTGGCGTAGGAGCGCAGGGGGCACAGGCTCCGTCGAACTCATCGGGGTCCATGACTGTGTTGGGGTGGACATAGGGGAAGTAGACATGGTGGCCGCAGCGGCGATAATGCAGAGTCTGCTGGCATGTAGGGCACCGAGAGTACCAGGAGGTTAGGGACCAGTCGCTTATACACTGCATGTGAAACTTGTGGCCACACGGCAGAGTGACGTGCGGGATATCTGCCGGCTCAGAGCCGCAATATGCTTGTCGTCCTGGTGTGCACGTAAACCTCTCTTCCGATCTTGAAGTAGCCTCCATGAGCATGAGACTCCGAACACGGGGGTGGATCGACCCCTTGTAGCCATCGATCATTCGCGTTAATTCGTAGCTTGGTGGCTCGTCTTCAGGGTTGGTAGCCTTGCGTTTCTTTGATGAAGAGGCCGAGCAAAGAGAAGGTTTGATATGCTTCTTGATTCTTTGAAGCGTTCGATCGACGAAGTCTGTCCATGGACGTCTTTCTCTGTGATGTATGACAGACATCTGGAATTAAGTGTTATGTTGTTAGGTCGGTGTAGTTTGACGAGAATGGTTTCTAAGAAGAGGAGTTTGAACGGGTGAGTTACAAGGTTGAAAGAAGAAGAGGCTCAGCTGCCATAATAAATCTCCCATTCTGAGAACTGGGCACCTTTCTCCGTAACGAGTTCCAAAAGCTTAATAGTTGCTCAATGACAACCCAAAGGACACCACTCGGGCTTCCAAAGCGTGCTTCTTGAAGTTAGCTTTAGAGTCTCCCAACTTAATATTGTCCAAACCATAAAACCGACAGTTATTGAGCAAATTCAACGGAGTGTACGATAATCTGTATCTATGCAAGTATCACAGTTTTGCGCCGGTACGTCTTGAAAAGTGTCGATACTAAAATACGTCCAGTGGGATTTCAAGACGGTAGAAGTACTTGACGTTAAATATTTCTAGGCTTGTCCTGGATATGTGACTCGAAATACTCGTCGGGACATCATAACAGTTTATGAAAGAAGCAAGAGGCGCTGCTCCAGTTGTAGCTGAAGCCCACTGTCCAAAATTTCTCCTATTGATAGGCTCATTTCTCTTGGAGAGCAGCTGAGCAGATACCATAAGTGCAAAATGCTCTGTTACGGAGGTATGACAGAACCAGTGGTAACTTAGTGCGATTTTCAAATGTATCGCATATCATGAAGTGTTAGTCTGGTAGTGTGCTCCAGACTGCAAGGTGCACGAGTTTCATGATTTATGGGAGCTTGTCACCTATCGTGACTGGACTCTTTGCCCCGCAAACCATTGCCTCATTCAAGTTGCCGTGAGATAGACATATAATACTCCATTATACGGCTGATTTCTCAAATACGGGATCTGAGTGCAAGCTAATGGCCTATGACTTGATCATACCTTTCTCCGTATGGGTTGCTATGGCTAGCCCCACTTGTGTTCTACCAAGAGGGCTTATCGTGGCCCTGCGGCAACATCTCAATAGGCTATAAAGTGCATAGGCGTTGAAACGGGACCAAAGATGTCATTTAGAGTCATTCAGTACCAATTGAATATCATTCTTGTATGGAGTACATCTTTTGAGAAGTTGAAGAGTCTTGCGTGTCTGTGACTGTGCCTCTATAACTTTTGAGACATAGCGACGCAAACCCTCAGCCTGTTGCCATGATGACAGTTTCTTGTGCCAACACATATTGCACGTTCGGCATAAGCAGACCTCTCCTTTTACCCGATGAGATGTCGTACGTCAAGCATGTAATTCCGTACCACATGGGTATGGGTTGCAATTTGCCAAACCGAGTGGAGTTGTGCAAGGGGCAATACTGCCAAGGCCTACTAACATAGACGTGCATAAGCGCCATATCTTCAACAACAAATCACATTAGACCGGCTGGCCTAATGGTAAGGCGTCAGATTTCGGTGGAATATCTGAAGTCTCTGAAGATTGTGGGTTCGAATCCTACGTCGGTCGTTCTTTTTGCGTTTCTCGTGCTTCGCCTGGCCTTGATCGGTAAGACGTGTGTATTGTTGGTTCGCCTGCACTTGGGAGACAATGATGAGCTCAGCGGGTTCCGCCAACTAATTGCCTTTTTGCCTGGTGAAAGCCAGGCCTGGATTATACTTCAATTTTTGATTGCTAGTCGAGGCGTGCTTTGTGACAATCTGTGGATCGCCCACTACCAAGGTACTATATACTACTGTATATACCTCCGTTTGTTTTATGCTCATTGCAGATGGAAAGGTGGCAAGCAACATTGGCCAGGCCGTGTGCCTTCCTAGCCCTCGAGTCAGTAGAGTACAATACTTTTGGTCTTGTGACGCTTCTATGCGCTGGCTTAATGGGACAGGACAAGTTGGACGGCTTGCAACGGTCGAGCCGCAAGTCAGTGGTGGGGTTTAGTGTGTGTTAGTGAATACAAGAGCGAAGTCGGCCCCCGAATTTTTGCTAGGGCCCGTCTGGCTGTACACCGCTGCGCAGTAATCAGAGGGTCGCGATTCGAGAGCTGCCCGATAAGCATCTTCAGTCGGGTCCTCCAGCCAAGACGTGGTACTCCCCAGGCTGGTCTTCACTGGCCTTCCATTCTTTTTTGTCGTTGTGTTCGCAATTGAAGAACGGCTCAGCGCGAGAGAGCGAACCACAGCTCGAGGATAGCAGCAGGATGTCGGCCTCGCTGCCCGGTAATCGGGAGCTGCCCGAGTCGCAGCACGACCTCAGCACGTACTGGGGCCGCGTGAAGCAGACGGCTAGTATCACGGATCCTAGGTGAGCTTTTGCCCCCCAGAAGGCGTCTATTGGCTTGGGAGCCGCTTACAGACTTCAATGAAGCTAACGTATCGCTGTTGCGCATCACAGGACCCTGTTCGCCGGCAAGCATGGCCTCGAGAGCGCAAAGAGTATGCTCATCGCATACAAGAAGGGCGACATCAAGGAGATGACACCGGACCTATGGAATGCGAAGAAGATCGTGGACTCTACGTTACATCCTGGTACGCAAGACCACGTTCCTACAATAGGTGCTCGTGGCACAGGACAGAAGCTGACCAAGCTGGCGCAACTACAGATACGGGCGAACCGGTCCTCCTACCCTTCCGAATGTCGTGCTTCGTGCTGTCCAACTTGGTGGTTACGGCGGGTATGCTTACACCTGGCCTTGGGGTATGTCACGGGAACACGTCGCCATTCGAACACAGGATACGGGGCATGTGCTAACATATACTTCCTGTCCAGACGGCCGGAACTATTGGCTGGCAAGTGGCTAACCAGTCCCTCAACGTCGCCATCAACAACGCCAATGCCAACAAGTCCTCTCCGCTCTCCTGGGGCAAGATTGCGCAGTCCTACTTCATGGCCGTGGGTGCCTCGTGCTCCGTGGCCGTGGGCCTGAACTCGCTTGTACCGCGTCTGAAGCGCCTCTCGCCGGCGACCCGTACGGCCCTGGGCCGCCTCGTGCCGTTCGCGGCTGTCGCGTCGGCCGGCGCCCTGAACGTGTTCCTCATGCGCGGCGAGGAGATGCGCACCGGCATCGACGTGTTCCCCGTGCTGTCGGAGGCGGACAAGGCGCGGCTGGCGGCCGAGGGCAAGGCCGAGAACGACGTGCCGAGCCTGGGCAAGAGCAAGAAGGCGGCCGTCGTCGCCGTCAGCGAGACGGCCCTGAGCCGCGTGCTCAACAGCAGCCCCATCATGGCCGTCCCGCCGCTGATCCTCATGCGTCTGCAGCGCACCGACTGGCTCAAGAAGAACCCGCGCTACACGACGCCCGTCAACCTGGGTCTGATCCTGGGCATGAGCTACATTGCGCTGCCGCTGGCGCTGGCGGCCTTCCCGACCAGGCAGAAGATTAGCGCTGACAGCCTGGAGGAGGAGTTCCACGGCAAGGGCGGCGACGGCGGTTTGGTTGTCTTCAACAGAGGAATCTGAGGGGCCAGCAAGATACACTACACCTGTTGTCGGAGGGCGTGTGCTGGGAAGCGAAGTATAATCACCCTGAGCCCATTGTGGAGGTCGCAAATTATTTTGTTATTGCATGATCAGGCGTTCGGACTGGCGAAACTATTACTTAGTGGTTGAGCTTTCCACATAAGAGAGACACTGTGATTTTTTTTGCTTGGCTTTGCTTCAGACATGGCGTCTGGAGAGCTGCTAGAGTCTCAGATAGAATACACAGCGAAGGGCGGGCGCACAATGGCGGCTGTTGCACATATATGAGCCCATAGTCATGAAGTTGTTTCTACGTGTCTGAATTTGTTACAGTGCTGCCACCGCTGTACGCTCTCAGCAAATCAGGGCGAAGAAGTGTCCCATGGGCGATGGGCAGCGTTGCGAACATCAGACGGGGCACCGTGCTTTTCAGAAACTCATCTGATCCCCTTTTCGGATAACACCCTTGGTGACTTGTCTAGAGTTCAAAAGTGCCGCAGGAACAAAGGGATCATCATGACTTGAGTTCAACTGTCCGGTTTCATCACTTCGCGATCTGTGACTCGGTCCGGCACGGGGAAGTGCTTCAAATGGGGCGGCGCTCAAGGCGATGTCCTGGCAACCTTAGGGTGCCGTGCGTTTGGACAGTGCCAAATGGGTTGCGGCAGACGCTGGGCAGAGCACTGAGGCAGGACTGAGGTTGGATCGATGTGCTGCTATGCTACGGAATGACGACAGTCAGCCCTCCAGCGCAACTGAGGGGGGCTTGTCGACCACGCGACAGCTGGGACAGTCGTGCCAAGACAGCCCAAACAGCAGCGTGACAAGCGTCGTACAGTATGTAGAAGGCTTCCTCTGTAGTGGCAATACTTGAAATGCTGAGGAAGCCAATCTGGCTTTCTTCGGGGCTTTGGTTTCCGGGTGCGGAGATGCTACCTTTCGCTTTGGGAACGCTGTGAATGGGGAGCCCTGCTGACTTGGGCAGGTGATAGTGGGCGCTCTTGTCGTTAGTGGAGACAACACGGTATACGTAGAGATCAGTCAGCTATTCAATGCCCGCTGGCCATGTTAATTTCCACATCTCAATGCTGTAGACAGCCGGTTTGCTGCTGTCCAGTGAACAAATCACAGGGTAAACAGTTCACCTGGGGCAACTGCCCAGACAGTGAATCGACTAGCAAAAGACATGTTTTGGAGGCACCCTTGCCTCTCGAACGCAGTACTACTGGCAACGGAATACTGAAAGTCTTGCAAAGGCCAGGGCTTCCTCAAGCTGCTGGACACATCGAGGTTAACGTATGAACAGGTGTACAGTATCTTGTTTCGCGCATAAAGGCCGCTGGCATACAAATCAGCTTCACCGATATGGAGAGCCAGCGCTTACACGGAAAGGCACCGACTCGAGCCAGGTGTTTTCCGCCGAGGATGAGTGGGTGAGTGGGTGAGTGCACCGGCTGTGAAGAACTGCACAGTGCCGCCCGTTAGTAAGCCATCCTCCAGTTAGTGGGTACATGAACCGGGCTCGAAGACCACAACCCCCCATCAGCTGAGACTTGCCACCGCGATTGGGCCCATGGGGCCGTCGGCCATAACTTGAACCCTCAAGCGGGGGCGCTTTGCCTACTTCTGCGTAGCTAGTAGCAGAGGAGAAAACAAGGGCACCCAAAACTTGTGTCTTGGGTAAAATCGAGCGAACAAAGACCAAGAGGTCTAAATATGTCCTTAGGATCTGGCGATCAACACTCCAAGAGCCCCAAGGAAGAGTTGGCTGATGAGACTACGGATGAGGCGCATGACCCCTGCAACTCAAGTGCTAGGCTCTGGAGATGGGTCCAGTACAGATTCCCCGTGAAAGACATCATGGATCCCCGACCTATTCGCGTCATAAAGAAAATAAGTAATCTTTCGGAAGTGGGTTGGCGTGGAAATGAGGGAATGTTTCCTCTGGAGGTTTTGATTATTCTGGGCGGCCATCGGCCATGCCAGGCCCGTTGAACTCCAGGCGAGCACCACCACAGTGACAGTGTGAGGTATCTGGTTCACTACCGGGTATGATGGTTTAGGGTAAGCCGCTGCCGGGTGTCTTCTCCGCAAACGCAAGGGAGGGCTCGAGTCAGCCTATTCGATCAAGGGTAGGCCAGGCCAGTTTGAGAAGAAGGCCCAAGGTACATGGCAAATTCACGATGATGACGGGACCTGGAATGTACCCATTCGCAGAAAGCCGAGCCATGTGGTGAGGAGCACCGAACTACTGCAAGGCGTGCATACGCGAACGGCAGCGGGCGTGTGATTCGACGAGGGCCTGCCGTGACCCTGCGTGGCCCGACCTACAAAAGCCCTTGGTCTGAGGTTCGACGGTGGTGTGCCTTTCTAGAATTCTCAGGGTCCTGAATGGCCCTCTGGCACATCCGTGTCGCGTAGGGCCCATTCAGCGGGCCAACCAGCACATCAGGCACATTTCGTGGCGTGAGGGGCATGCCACCGAACTGTGAGGGTTGGCAGGATGTCATCAGTGCAGTGAGGTGAGATGCAGACAGGGGCCAAACATGCCCACGGTAAGAAGGACGGACGATCGAATATGGACGTTCATCAGTGCTTAGGCCAACGGTGCTTCAGAGAAACGGTCTTCATTCAGTCCGGATATAACTGTGAGCGGCACAGGTGGAGAGACAGGCTCCGTCCCTTGAAGGTGATCATTAACTTGACGGAGATTCCTGCTCTCAAGCCATGCTTCTGTCGAGCAAAACTTTGCACGGTCCCTTGAGAAACAAATCATGAACAAACTAGGGACGACAAGATGCTCATGTTAGAGGAAGCACTGGTGCTTAAGTCACATCTCTAACAGAACCCCTCTCGAAGGCAAAATCCCATGGCAGTTGTGAGATGACGGGTAGTAATATTGATGCGTTGCCATCGACGCAGAAGTTTATTGTCCTGTTAGGAATGGGTTAGTTTGGGGGTGCTGTGCAGGGTGACCTGGCCGGACATTCGTCCGTCTGGTGTTAGGCAGAGACCGTGTCTGAAATGGCGGCCGGTGCGCGTAAGCACTGTCCAAGTTAACCATGGCAACGCTTGAATTGAACATTGTGTGATCTGTGTTGTAACGGCACGTCTCCTCTGCGACTCAGCCTGTCAGCAAGGTATGTGATAGAATGCACAAGCAAAGTTGTCCTTCTTGTTGTTTTCCCTACTATGGCAGGCACATGATGGGTGCTTCAAGTCGAGAAGGGCTGTGCTTCCGACCCATAGACCCAAGAATATCCGGAGTGCTAATTCTTGGTCGGGCCAGTCGAGACCCCAGGGCCCCAGGCCAGACCACTGAGCAGCCCGGGGACGACCTCGACGCTGTCACCGATTTTGGAAACCGCGGGAGACAATCAATAGGGATTCCTTCTAGGAGATTGTCACAGCTTGAAACATAACAGCAGAACGATTCATTGTTCTTTTCTACCCTGCCTGCCGGCTCTTGGAGAATGGTGGCAGCAGGTACGGTAAACCTATCACAAGGGTCTGTCTGAATTTGGGACCACTGATACCTGCTGGCTCGATGCTCCGGGTGCGCCTGGGCCACCAGCAGCTAACTTCCTTAGGCACTTGTTAGACGACGGAAGACAGGGCCCAGATAGCCATGGAAGCCGTGCTTGTTACGATGATCGGATAGCTTTTATTCCAGTGAATTCTCTTCACGAACATGCGCCTTTGGTCTGCATCGTCCTAGCTGTTGCGTATGGAGGCAGGCAGGCAGGCCGTGCAGCCTTCATACGTCGCCCAAGATGCAAAATGCACGGTTTAGTTGATGATTTAAGGTGGGTTGCCGCAGTGAGGTGAGGCTGTCGACAGGCCGGGTGGCAGGTGGGTAGATGGCGCACTGTGCGCCCGTCCACCAGAACCATTCGTGACATGCCGTCCATTGCAGACTGGACTGGGGCGCTAGGGCACTCCACCTCTGGATCCTGCGGCAGCGTGTGCGGGCGTGTGTGCGTGTGCGTGTGTGTTGTGGCCATCGATCTTCGCCGTGCCGTGAACTGACGACGAAGCATGCAACTTGGAAGAGTAAACCCCTCCCTCCCCTTCCACCGTATGGGTTGACTCGGGAGTTGCATACTGCCTCAAGTCTCCTCGTTCCCTGTGAGACGACGATTATACTTTTGGACTTTTGCGTCTAGCCACCGCGGAATGCACATGCCGTGAGCGCCGCTGCTTTTCGCAGGTACTGGACTACTTCTACTGCACCAAGCCCTCCAGCGGCATCCACGCACGCCGGCCGGACGAGACGTCGAAAAACCGCAGACCCAGCTCACCTCGACTTGCTTGCAAGCAGACGGTCTCTGACCCTACGAACACGGAGCGACTTCGACCTTGTTGGCAGACCGAATCGACTGTGGCAGGAAACAAACAACGGCGGCGGCGTGATCTGAAAAGTGCTCCCATTATCCAGGTCACCCTCGCCCTTGCCCACTCCATTTCCATACCACACCACACCGCACCGCCCGCCGTCACGACTTCTTTGCCCACGCCTCCGAGCCAAAATTGAGTTTGCCTACCCGGAAACAGACGACGACAATTCCCACGAGATTTCTACGAGTGCCATAAACATATTCAGCACATCTCGGGGGAGGAAAAACATCTTGTCACTCGGCGACAATTTCATCCAGCTCCTCGCGCCAACACATCTGTGGTCTCTGTGGACCTCGCTCTGAACCCAGGAATTCGGCACCGACTTGCACATTTTAGCGAGTGTGTTTTAGCGGAGTTGATCCCTAGCAACAGCCCCCCAGGACCCCCTCGGCGCCCTGGAACCTGGAAAGAGGCAGTGAACCCCCACTGCAGACGCCCCCCGGGAGCCCATCCCATCTGGATTCTGCCCTGCTCAACTCGTCCCATCCTGTCCCATCCTGTTCCCATCCACGCCGCGCGCCAACGGTTAGTTGGGTGTCCAGTGAAGTCATTGGCATCCACCCGCGGCCTGCAACTCGCCTATCAGCCTCGCTGCTGGGCAAGCACCAAGCACCCAGCGCCGAAAAGGACCCTCGCCGGCAGAACCGCGACAAAAAGCGGTAGGGTAGGCTCAAGTGGGAAGGCCAGCCAGCCAGTCGAGCCAGAGCCAGTCGAGCCAGCGGACCCTCGAGACGCCCCCCGGGTTTCTCAGAATAATTGCAGGCGCTCCTCCCAGACGATACAGTCTACCCGCTCCCGCGTGGACTAGGGCCTCGCTCGCAACCCCGTCTACGTCTGCGTCTGCGTCTACGTCTTCGTTCTCGTTCCCCGGAACACTGGCGTTGTCCCTTCTCAACGACAATGTCAACTCCGACCACCGCGACGGCCACACTCCCTCCCCATTACCGCCATCCTCACCAGCACTCCCACTACCCCCCGTATTCCCACCTGCAGGGTAACGGCCACGCCGGCTCTTATCGAGCCGCCGCCGCTGCTGTACCGTCAGCGGCCCCGGCAAACCCTATCCTCCCCACCCCCAGCATCTCGGCGTCGAACTCGAACTCGAACTCGACATCGACATCGACATCGACTGCCACTGCCGCTGCCACTGCAACTGTGACTGCAACTGCGACCCAGGGCGCCTCGACAGCGACAGCCTCTGGTCGACACGCTCCCGTCTCGACCCACGCCAGCAACGCCCACCTCTCGACCCCGGCCAATGCTGGCAGCCAGCAATCGTACAGGACTTCGACCACAAATGGAGCGCACGCTTCTTCTGTGACCTCGACTGCTCGATCCACTCAGGACTACGCCCGAACGGACTCGGCCTCAACTCCTCGCTCTGACGCAAATCAATACAACATGCCCGCCTCAGCCGCGACGGCCCAGAACTACCAGGACAATGGGCCGGCCAGGAAGCGCAGAAGGTCCAAGGGCCCCGATTGGGACACGTTCTACAAGAACGGTTTGCCCAAGGAGATCATCGTCATCGATGATACCCCCGAACCTGACGGCGATGCGCACGAGCCGTCGTCGAATTACTCGACAAGGACTTACACCAACGGGACGGTGAACGGCTCCGACACCAGCAGGCATGTCGCCAAGAAGAGGAGAAAGGACGATGTCCACCAGAATGGCAGACCTGCCACCAACGGCTCTCACATTGCCACGCCCACAAGTACCTCAACATCGACAGATCGCACGACCTCTGCCCACAACACCACGGCTGCGACGTCTCTCGGTTCACTGTCGTCGAATGGCCACTACGACTACGAAGTGCAGTCGACTGGCCAGAAACGGAAGAGGACTCGGCAACAAATAGCCCAAGAGGCAAAGCGTCGCGAAGTCGAAGTTCTCGGCGAGAGCTACGTGACTTACAGACCACCATCCAAGCCTGTCAAGAAGTCTGGTGAAGTAGCCGTGAGGATTGTTACCGACGTGAGTACTCCCACGAATTGACCAAAACGACATGTGCTGACTTTGCATCTAGCGCTTCCAGAACGTCAAGGTCGATGACGACGATGGCCACTACATTGTTGTTCCTGATGCCGAACTGACCCCCCAATGTACGTTTCCACTGGCCTCACCCGCCTACCTATTTCGAATGACGTGAAACTGACCCAACACCTCAGATCAAATGCACAAGCTGCTAGGCCAAGGTACCTTCGGCAAGGTAGTGCAGGCACGGGATCGGAAACGCAACAAGCTGGTTGCCATCAAGATCATTCGCTCAGTCCAGAAGTACCGAGATGCATCACGGATAGAGCTGAGAGTACTTCAGACCCTGAAGGCCAACGACCCTGAGAATCGCAATCGGTGTATTCATTTGCGCGACTGCTTTGACTATCGCGGTCACATCTGCATCGTTATGGATCTCTTGGGCTCCAGCGTCTTCGATTTCCTGAAGATGAACACGTTTGTGCCATTTCCCAACAGCCAGATCCAGAGCTTTGCTCGTCAACTGTTTACTAGTGTTGCGTGTAAGTCGGAGACCCTTGGCTTGACCGATCTCTGTCACTGACGAAACCCAGTCCTCCACGATCTCAACCTCATCCACACGGATCTCAAACCCGAAAACATTCTCCTTTGTGACAACGCGTATCAGACATTCACTTACAACCGCCGGATACCTTCTTCGTCCGCCGCCACCGCCAGACAGTCTAACCAGCGCAAGGTCCTTCTGGACACTGATATCCGACTCATCGACTTTGGATCCGCCACCTTCGAGGATGAATACCACTCGTCGGTTGTCTCGACACGCCACTACCGTGCTCCCGAGATCATTCTTGGCCTTGGGTGGTCCTTCCCTTGTGACATCTGGAGTATCGGCTGCATTCTCGTCGAATTCTTTACTGGAGATGCTCTGTTCCAGACACATGATAATCTCGAGCATCTGGCCATGATGGAGAATGTCTGCGACAGCAGAATTGACACGCACTTGGTGCAGCAGGTCACCAAGATGGCATCGCGAAGCGGCGGCTCTGGGGGAAACCCGGCGTCGAAGTAAGTTGGCATTACTCGTCTCCCATCGTAACCAGCGATGCTAACCTCCACAGGTACTTCAAGCGGTTCAAGCTTGACTATCCTACACCGGATACGACGCGGGCTTCGAGGCGCTTCGTTAAGAACATGAAGCGCTTGTCGGTTAGTTGAGATCCCCTCTTCGTCAGCGTTGCGCAACTGACCAATCATCAGGATATTATCCCAACTTCGAGCAATTTCTTGAAGCAGTTCCTGGATCTTCTTGAGAAGATCTTCGTCTATGACCCCAGCAAGCGCATCACAGCTCGACAAGCTCTCGAACACCCTTGGTTTAGGGAGATTGCCATACCCGATGATGGCACCGAGGCGGCCAAGATCAGATTGGAGAGGATGAGAGCAGAACCAGAGTACACTGGCCATCGGCTTCCTCCTCTGCATGTATGAGGCGGCGGCTCGACGAAATCACCATCATTTTGCATTGATACCATGGAGTACCTGTATATTGTATTGACCAGAGGCGAGGCGAGACTATAACCCAACTTCGTGAAGCTTTCACAGATGGCTCGGGGATTGCAAGGGCATAAGGCGTTAGACGGTCTTCCTGGTGGTATTTGACGTGGTCATGGCAATGGAGTCCCTTCTACATAGGAAAAGCGTGCTCCCGCAATGGTTGTCCGTATTGAACCTCATTCACGTTTCTAGTATATAGGATTCGCTTGGGGCACACCAACGATTTGAATCGAGTCGTGGATGATCTCGACTGTCTCCCTCTGATTCGCTTCGCTATGCTGACCAATACTTTGAACGCCTGCCCACCTGAGAAGTACGACGGTTATGTCGATCAGTTCTGTTCGATTGTGTGAGTTTCTCTTTCTCCCAACTTGGGCCTGAAGAAAGCCGGACTGCTGCGCTGATTCCACAGGATTCGTGTTATGATACAACTCGTCTTTGAGGATGATACAAGAGCTCACATACTACCGATGGGCCCCTGCTAGGACAATACCCTTGTGTGAACATAACTGACCAGTCCCGCTGTCAAGAGTGAGCAAAACAAAGAAAGAGCTTGTCCCGGTTGCAGTGTATCCGACGTCAGGATTACCGTCCCTTTGAAGGCACGCCATCTTGTTTCCCTGGGCCTAATCATGAAGGCGATACCTGAGGTATACATAGAGATGCATCCCCTACCGGCACCCGCTGAAAGGCCTTGGCCCGATTTCGGATTCCTTGTCCCATACATATACTACTACGCTGGCGCAGTAGTGAGAAACATTCTTGAGCTCGAGACACAACGCAACTCAACCAGGATCTCACACACCCGCTTGCCTTAAAACGTCTATCAGGGCATGCGGAACCCGATTGTATATCTCCATACCCTAAGCAAGGAAGATTTGGGAGCACTCACCCATGTACTCTCTCGTCGACCCGACTATGGCATCGCTCGTCCCTCACCGAAATGGTTGAACCGACAGGAGCAGAAAATTGAGAAATTACCCAAATCTCTCCTGAGAACCAAGAATGTGTTGCAACGCTTGACAATAAGTTTTGCTGAACGCATTGACGAGCGGCAGAAGCAGAAGAACGAACAGCAAGGCCAGGACCAAGACGACAGAGACTTCCTGTTGCCACCCAGCGCTATCCTTTGCGAATCTCACAAGGGCTTCAACCCGTTCCTGATCCGGGATATTTTCCTATACCTGTTGAATGAATGTGCCGGTGATTTCAGCAATGCACTACGGCTCTGGGCTGGTAAGAGCCCGGCACTCGCTGCGATGCTAACTCGAATTGACTCCATCAACGCTCTGTGGATGAGCAGGGAGGTCTTCGAGGCGACCTTCGGAGCAGCACCGCACGATGACCGCTTTGTGAGAGTTCACAGCAACTGCGAGGCCTGCATCCTCGCTGCCATTGGCGCGAACGGTCGCATTCTGGCCGACCTCCACGCCTGGCTTACAGTTCGTAGGGAAGCCAATAAGCGATTCAACCAAGAGTCGAAGAAGCGAGGATCAAGGAGACGCAGGCACTCGCCTCGTCTATATCGCGTGGTATCTGCATGGATCGGGCATCTGAAGTATGACGACGCAGACGAAGTCCTTCGATGGAGCAACCAGCTGACCGTCGACCTCCGAAAAGTGTGGGAAGCTATCGAGTTGGTCAGGGACCGACAGAAGAAACAATGGCACAAGTCACATAAAGAAGTTCGCATCGATAGAGACGGCTCAAAGCAGACAGTCAATGAAGTGCAGGGACGCCATCTCACTCGTGATGGCATACCCCTGCCACACGCTGATCCCGAAGCAACCGTACTGCAGCGCAACATGGCCAGCATGCACAAGAACTTCGATGCCATGAGTGTCTACCATCCGGATATTTTAATCAACGGAGGTGAATCATTTTCTTATCAAGTTGTTAAGAATTTCCGTCAACTGGGCTCGGAGTCCAAGGCGAAAGCAAACGCTAACTCTCACGCAGGCGATCAACCACGCCCAGGAGCCCCTGAGCCTGGGAGACAGAGCGGTGTCCCCAGCGTTGAACGGCCTCGCGAATCTTTCCTCAACCGTTTCGAGCGCGAGATGCCCCTTCCAACGGGTAACGATGAAGAATATGATGAGACCAACGAGCAAGAGGCAAACGAGAGAGACCCTGCAGCCGAGGCGCGCAGCATTGAGCATGTGATGGACTGGTATGGGAAGATGGCTATGAACCAGACGAGAACCAATCTGGATGACATAGACCCCAGGGAAATCCATCCTGCCTTTCAGCGCCAGGCGACAGCCGCCTCCGCGATGCCCTCGCCACTGCGCTTGGGCAACAATCGTGCATCGTACACGCCTCCACGTGCCGGGTGGACCGGACGGCAAAGCGTCCAGTCGGTGTGGACGGATGTCAGCATCTACACAACAAACGATGCTGATGATGTCGACAGCGCCCCGCCTATGCCTTCGATTCCCGCCCAATACCGGCATGAGGCCTCCGGCTCGGGCGACAGGACGCCCACCGGGACAACAGCCGCGAACTCGTCGGGACCTCGCGAAGCAAATACCTATGCGATGCCTGGCGGTACCCATCATAGAGTCTCGTCCAGCGGCCATGGTGTGGACGTCGACCGTGACGATACTTTCTCCTCGCACGACCCGACCCGCGCTCCTCGCCTCGATGCGTACAGGCGGGATCCCCCACCCCCGCCGCAGACGAAAGACGGTCGCCGCAAGTACCTTTTCAAGGACGATGACTCGGAGGTCGCCTCGCGGCTCACCGCCACGAACCGGAAGTATCTCAAAGCCCACCGGGGCTTCAAGGATGTCCCTCCTGAGAATAACCCCTTTGTTCGCAAGGAGAGCGTGCGGCGCCGGCATCAGGAGCAGAGCCCCACAAGCCCCAGGTCAGGCACGCCGAGGAACGAAGGCTACGCGGCGCTCAATCGCGAGGCCGAGGGGCGGCAACACCGTGCGTATGTCCGGGATGAGTACGACGACGGGCCTCCGACGCCCAGAGCCGCGGCAGCGCCTGGCAACGGAAATCATCCCCAGGCCGCCCCGGGGAACGCGGGGACGCCGATCAACCGGAGGGACCTCGACGCCGAGGAGGCCGAGTGGAGGCATCGGTTTAAGGGGGCTGATGATGTGCGGCCCGATGACTCGGCATCGAACGTCATGTGGAGGAAGCGCGGCAGCGACGATATTACCACGCTTGGTCATTTCTTGGAGCAGGGCGGTGATGGTGGAAGACGGCGCTGAAATGCCCATTGGATCCGGTGAGTGAGTTGCAATTCTCTACATTCCCGCTTCTTCGCCCCCTTAGCCCCCTTGTGTGTGATACATAGACTTGTAATGACTGAATTGAAGCATTGAGTGCTGACTTTGACTTTTTCTGTTGCAGTGAAACGAAAAGCTACCTTTCCCGGGCTGCGCAGTGTGGATAATTGCCTCCGAGTTGAAGCGGATATTGCGTTTGATTTTCCCTGAGTCAATGATACCCCTTCGCGATGTTTGACATATGAGGTCTGCGTTCCACATCCGGTGTGTTGCAACGTTGTTCTGCCGTTGACAAGATAATATGACGTTGTACGTGGTCTGATTTCATGCTGTAAATGCCACCCGCGGCGCCAGACTTCGATGACTGCTGACCACTCATAACCCCGCTGCCGGATTTGAGACATTCACTGCCTCGCTGTTAGAACTGGCCACTTGTCCACTACAGTCCTTTGTGTCAACTCACGGGCTCGCGCCGCTCTCTACGGTGGCGTGTCTAATAAGCATAACTCGTATTTTGCACTCGGCAGTGTGACATGCTTGGCGTTTACAAGACTTGTCTAGTCACTGGGAACAATACTACTGTTGTGTAGCTCCGAGTAGCACTCTTGCATAACAATGCAGATACTCCGAGGTATTGAACAAAGACGCAAGCAAAGAAGACGCTCATACAGCTTCTTTGACATCTCTCAGCATAATACATGCCTATAGTCATGTTCATACCCGTACAATGGTCTTGTCTTGAACGACCAGCCCCTAGGACTCTTACCACTTTTCATATAAGTCGCTCACTTCACACGGTGGGGCCGGTCATTCAAGGGCTTTTCTCCTTTCCAAACAATCCGTAACAGAGGGCAGAGGCCTTGATTTCCTGAAGATCTATCACAGCCAATCTACAGGAAACAGGAAGAAGGTAGGCAGTGGTTGACAATGGCTCCCCCACCAAACCTCCCAAACCTGATTCGGCCATCCATCATACCGAAGAAGGCCGCCGGGCCCCTGCCGAAAGACCTCCACACTGTTCCGTCAGTGGACCACGAAGAGCTCGACCTCCGCTGGTCTGTAGAAAGCCTGCGGCTTGAGCTCCGACACAGGGGCCTCTCCGAAGAGGGCAACAAGGTGGACCTATGGCGTCGCCTTCAGCTTCGCCTGGATCAAGAAAGAGCTCGAGAAGCAAGGGACGAGGCTGCAATAGACGCTTTTATTGCTGCAGCAGATGCTTCTGCTGCTCCTGCTGCTGCTGCTTTTGCTGCTCCTGCTGCTGCTCCTGCTGCTGCTACTGCTACCGCACCTGCACCTGTTCCAACTAGCGACGACGATCACCGGGCGCATGAGCTGGCTGACCGACCAGCACCTCACGCCGACTTGCCTCGCCAGGACTTGAATCTTGCCGACTCGGTCCTGATGGCTCAATTCGTCGCAGCCGCGTCCACTCTCAAGGGCATGGACATGAAGACCGACCCGGACGGCGTGGACAAAGCCTTGCAAGACGCCCTGGCGCTCGCTGATCGTGTAACGGCCAGTCAGATTGTCCATATTGATGCCCAAAGGGCCCTGGATGCCGTCAATGACGTACATCAGCAGCGGGCCCTGGCTCGTCGGCCTGCCTCAGGCCTGGGACTTCCACAAAGCGAGGTCGATAGGATGGTATCAAGGATGGTCAAAGATACCAGGGCCATTGACGCCATGATCAGGCGGTTCTTGCCAGGCTCGACTCCGCCTCGCGTCCCTCAACCTGGCAACGCTCGGTCTGGGAGCCCTCAGCCTAGCATCCCTCAGTTGCTTCCTCCCGTGGTTCCAGCCGCTTGTTCACGATGCCACGGAGCCATGATACACTTGGGAGACCGAGCCGCAGGCATGGCTCTGCTTCGGCGTATAGTCAAAGATGGCCCTCTTATGATTGTCCTCCAGCAGCGCCACGATAGGACCTGGACGATTCCCGGTGGCATTTCCGACGTTGGCGAGGCGACTCTTGGAACCGCGATGCGAGAGGCGAGGGAGGAGTGCGGGATCACTGACCACCAGTACCGGATGTGCCACAACGTAAGCCCGTACATGGATGTGCACCCGCTGGCCGACGGCAGAGCCTGGTCTTTCACGACCTACTTCGCGCACGTGATTGACCCCGAGTTCCATCCGGCGGTCACTGACGGAGAGAGCGTGGCAATGGAATGGAGAGATGTCGAGGAGGTCGCCGCGCTGCCTCTGCATCCTGGGATGGCGCTGAGCTGGCCTGACGTCAAGGCACGTATCTACGCTTGTAGGATCCGTTGAGAATTGCCATCAGTTGGGCGGACCTGCTCAGGTAAGTTTCTTGCCGAGGTATGTAAGTTGGATCAAAGGTAAGTATATCGAATGTAGGTATATCAAAGGTAGGTATATCAAAGGTAAGTTTGCTTTCCACCCCCTTCAGCAGTTCTTAAAAATAAGTAAACTTCCTATTCGATAAGAGGGATGAATCAGGTTAGACTTCTCGTGAACAGGCTATTCAAAGCATGTCCAGCGCTTGGGGATAACCTCATTTATTCCCCGTGTCTCGTCTGACTTTCTTCGTCCTGGGTGTACCAATCTCGTGTACTGCATGGTATGAAAAGCATACGCGTTAATGCCACGCGCCGAAGTTAGTGCTACAAATCAGTGATTCCAGTGTTGCATCTGTGATCGACTCAGACAATCCACAAGAAACTAGGTAATAGTCGCCCATGGCCAGAGGAAGAAGCTATTTTATGTGGAAGTCGACAAACACACAAGACAAGCAGGCCGTGCTTGCTGAGCTGTAAGACTTTATCAGAACAAGTCCGCTGTTTTCCAGAGTCTTTCCAGGTATAGATAGCGGTCGTCTCCTAATACAACCAACCATATCTGACATTTCGAATATCAAGACCCGCGTGGCGTGTTGGCCAATATAAGAGAATCCATAGCTTGCATTCATCTGAGGCCGGGTGGCGTCAGGTGTTGGTTTCTCATAGAACCATCGATCCGAAAGCGGTCCGGCGGACAAAGGCTATCACACGAATCCACGGCACCTCAAACTCCCGCGTCGTGATACATTTTGAGATAATACTTACCGGAAAATGTAGGTCTGGTCTTTCGAGTTCACGCCAAGTATCTTGCCGTATGCCTTGCGTCGAACATATAGTCGGGGCCCGTTTGTGAATGAGTAGGAGCATTCACGACTTTGCGCTTGTTCGCTGCAGCTGTTCGCCTCAGGGCGCCATAGTCGTAGTGACATGACCTGCGCTGGTGCGAGCCGGAGTGCCATTTACATACTGATAATGACTTTAGTTAATTGGAGTCGTGAAGATGAGCCTCTCGTTCAAGAATCATACACTTCACGATTTCGGCACGAGCCGAGGCGACGCCCCACTAGACCCCCAATAGGCTTGCAAGTAGGGTCGAAAAGGGACTATCGCCGAGCCCAGGTCATTTACTGCCAGTGCTCTCGGCGTCTCATGATCCTTGCAGACAACGGAGAAAGAGCCACAAAGTTCAACTGATTGCCGGCCATTGCCACGTCGTCTGGTGAGCACGGGGGCCTTGACGGAAGAAATGTAACCCTGGCCCCCCTGTCTGGACCCGGGCATTGATATTAACGCAAAACGCAGTCGACCGAACTCTACCGGATCGTTCAATCAATCTGGGGAGCGATGGAGGCTCTGCACCCCCGTTTCGGCTCCGCAAACGCTGAAAACGGCAACGACTCTGCCCACTGGAACCCCTGTCTCCGGGCCCATAACGACTTAAAGCCATCCTGCGTGGGGTCCAAATCTCTTTCTAACTGGCCTAGCATCGCATGGAGAACCCGGATTGATGGATCTAATAATCCCTCCCAGGATGCGCATGCCATGACAGCCCGGTTTTCTGTATGAAGGGAGGCGCATCTACCGGATTTCGCAGAGGTACGATGACCTCCATGGCGTGGCTTGCGCAATCCGGACTGGCGGATCCATGGGTTCGCGGTCCTGGGAAGAATAAGAAAAGGAGGCATGGGGAGGATGTATATAACCTAGCAATGGTATCGCACTTGGTGTGCTGGTGCTGTCGCCAACTACCTATCTAATCTATACCTGTGTCACTCATTACCATTACTGTAGCTCTGCGATTCTCCCAAAATGGTCTCGTTCACTTCTATCCTCCTCGCGGCGTCCAGCGCCATCACCAGCGTGCTGGCGGCACCGACTGACCTCGCCGCACGAGGACCTTCTGCACTGGCTGCCCGCACCACCAGCTCCACCGGTACCAGCGGCGGCTATTACTACTCTTTCTGGACCGACCACGACAACTCTGTCACTTACACAAACGGCAACGCTGGACAGTTCTCGGTGTCCTGGAACGGCGATGGCAACTTTGTTGGTGGCAAAGGTTGGAGCACTGGCAGCGCACGGTGAGTCTACATCAAAGTAAAACACATAATGAACATGATCCTAATAGATCGGTGTGGCAGTGCGATCAAATACTCGGGCACGTACAGCCCCAACGGCAACAGTTACCTGGCTGTCTACGGATGGACCAAGGACCCCTTGATCGAATACTACATCGTCGAGTCGTTCGGCACCTACAACCCCTCGACCGGCGCCACCAAGAAGGGCACGGTGACCAGCGACGGCGCCACTTATGATATCTACACCAACACCCGGACGAACGCTCCGTCCATCATTGGCACCGCGACTTTCACACAGTTCTGGTCCGTGCGCCAGTCGAAGCGCAGCTCCGGCACCGTCACCACGGCGAACCACTTCAACGCCTGGGCCAAGCTGGGCATGAAGCTCGGCAACCACAACTACCAGATCATGGCCGTCGAGGGCTACTACAGCAGCGGCTCGGCCTCCATCACTGTCTCTTAGAGGAACCCTGGGTCGTAGACTTTCATATCCTCCTGGAGGAAACGCCTTGGATGGCTTTAGAACATTTTAGCTTGTACATATTTTTTGAAACTTGAATATACAAATTCGCGACTGGGAAACCCCAATGTTGCTTTCTATACTACTACCCCTGACTTCGTCGTGCTTTGGACCGAGGCTGGCTTAGATACGGGCTTTAGGTGTGTCTTCGTTTAGTAGTTTCCAGACATGAAGACCTTCTTTCCAGCTGTTGGCATCGTCCTTGACCACGTCAGTCTTGCCATCGCTCCGGAGGCGCCGTATGTCAATGGCTTCCTTCGTTCCCCATTCGACGTCCTCGCACATAGCGAACTGGGCGAAGGCCTTGTTCCAGGGCTCGAGGATCCTCTTGTCGTCCGCCGTCAAGGCCGGGTACCAGAACCAGATTGCCTGGTCAGTCGCGTGGGTTACGCCCCATTCTGGCGGGTAGCCACAGCACTCGGCTCGCCATTCAATCCTGTATCGCAGCAAGTCCTTTCCGGGCTGCAGGTGGTTCGCGAGTTTGCTCTGAAAGCCGCGCTCCAAGAAGTGGACTTGCATGCCAGCGTAGGCGTGCCCAAAGAGGTCCTTCCAACTGGAGTACCCACGTGGGAGGTCCCTGGACCTTCCGCAATAATGTCGCATGAGCTTCTGGACCACGGCCTCTGGGTAATCGGCACACAATCTGGTATAGACGCCTTCGTATGAATCATCTGACGTTCGCCACTCTCTATAGAGGAAATGCTCGTCGCGGCATTCGCCGTTCATCAGCTGGATGCCCCGGCTCTTCATCCGCCGGGCAAACTCCCCCGAGTTGATCTGTGCCATGCTGTCTGGCGGGATGAAGGAGCCGTCCGTGGTGGCGCGAAACTCCGAGATCTTCATCTTGGCCTGGGCGTCGATGATGTCCCGGGCCGGGGCTTCTCGCAGGCGTCGCAGGCGTCCCTTGGGAGGGAGCGAGAGTGGAATCCCGAGCACGGAGAGCAGCTCGTCGAACTGCTTCTGTTGCTCAGGCAGGCCCTTCGGCTGGATACCCGGGCTGTTGCTCCACATGATGGCACGCTTGATGATGCCCTTCTCCGCGGGAACGTGATACAGCTCATATGCCAGCTGCTGGAACGTGCTATGCGCACCAGCCGAATACCCGCCGACGGTGATCTTGTTAGGATTGCCGCCAAAGTCCTTGATGTGTGCGTGCGTCCACTCCAGTGCCAACCTCTGGTCCCAGAACCCCATGTTTCCAGATGCCTGGCCGAGCTCATTAGCATCGGCTTCGAGCTCGTGGCTTGCGAGGAATCCGAAGGCATTGAGGCGGTATGCTGGTTGGACCATGATGGCACGGAATGCGGTCTCTGTCATCAGGGGGTTGACGGCCTCCGGAGTCATGTTTGGGCCACCGAACTGCAACCAACCGCCGTGAATGAAGAAGTATACCGGCCAGCCACCGGGCGGTGGCTGGCCGGCAGGGACATAGATGCTCAGCTGGAGGCAGTCCTCGTTCCAGAGCTGTTCATTGCGAGTGCCCCGCCACTGCGGCTGTGGACACGCTGCGTTCCGGCCGGTGTAACTGCCATGATAGCGATGGCTGGCGGGCAACGGCCTCGGCCTCCGAAAACGCCACGGGCCAGTCGGGGGTAGCGCATATGGGATACCTCCGTAGTAATGAATGCCTGGTTTGGAGTCTTTTGTCCTGGTGGTCAGGCCAGTCAAGGACCCCAGCTTATCGGATTTGACTGTACACGTGTTTGGACTCATCACGCTGCGGACCTGCAAGACTTTAACGAATACCGAGAGCAATCTATAGCGCGTCTGTCCACTCAATGTTGCAATGTGTAGAATGCAGGTGGTTTTGGGGCCGACTTATAAGGGGCAGAGCTCGGGATTCGGAGGCGATCCGCGGCAGCTAGGACATGCAACCCCGCTCTATTCTAATGCCTATCCGATATCCTGGGGATAGATAGGCAGTTTAAGTTTAACCGTAATGTCCATGCGATGCATCCGACCCCGAAACCGACTATGTCGATACGTAATTGGAAATCCGCGTCTCAGGCCGGACACTCGCAGGTCAGACGCTACGACATTTATCCTCGGCCGTGATGCCTGGTTGCCTGGCAGATGGAGTGGGTTTGGCTTTTTGTCTACCACTGCTTCATCGTGGTCGTGGGCATACCCTCAAAGTGCACACCGAAGACGAGTTCTCTCGGCCATGGTACTATGTAAATCGTCTTCTTTGTTGGAGGTAGGAGTAGTAGCAACGCTCTCAGCTACCTTTTCGAACTGTCCAATAGCAGGTGCATGCGTACCTAGGTAGCTCTAGGTATGTAGAATTGGTACCCTCGGCGCATATGGATCGATCCAGTCGTCGCCCAGGTGGGTAGCTGGGTGACCAGGGCACAGGGCACAGGGGCAGCAGTCCGAGTCGCCCCCAGCCAGGCCAGCGGGTGCTTATCGATAAGAAATTATTTACTGGGAGACGAACGAAAGCGACCGGCGAAAGAGTCAACATTTCTTGAAGGCAGCTTCCACTCACACACACAAGACGACGACGGTATAATACGGGCTGTCCGGTGCTCTCATGACCACGCTCCCATGAAAGCGCGCCATGCGACCGCGAAACTCCTGACCCGGCTTCCATCCATGCATGCGCCCCTGCCTCGAGCAACGGCGACCCAGCGGACGGCAGTGTCTTCCCTCCATCCTCAAGCTCGACTCACCGAGACCCTTCCCCGGCCCCGGCCCGGTGACCCGCCCAAGTCCTGTTTCGAGGACACAAAACTTTCTGCCGACCTCTTCACCGCGCCTCAGGGTTATACCGTGCGCGTCTTGCCGGCACCTGCCTCGCTGCGCATTACTCCGGCATCACTACGGGGCGCCGGGCCCAGCGCGGTCTGGCAGAAGCCCTGGTTCTTCATCCAGACGGTCGGGCGCGAGACCAAACCCGAGTTCACAGCTTCCGAGCTCCAGGCTCGCGCGTTTGGCGTCAAGATGCTGAACTGGATACAGCTCATCACGACGCCCACGGCCGATACGCAGGGGACATGTCTGCTTCTCCACTTTGACAAGCAGCGCTATGTCTTCGGAAACATATCTGAGGGCACACAGCGCGCCATGGTCCAGCGGAAGGTCGGCTTGCATAAGACGGAGGATATCTTCCTCAGCGGCCCCGTGGACTGGCACAACGCCGGGGGGTTGATCGGCATGATTTTAACCCTTGCCGATGTGATTGGCACTACGAAAGAGGCCCTCAACGCCGAGAACGCTGCCCGGAAGAAGAAGGGCCGGAAATTGGTTGAGGATACGGTCCTTTCCAGGTTGAATATCCACGGTGGCAAGAACCTGTCTCAGCTGCTGGCTACCTCAAGACGATTCGTATTTCGGAAGGGCTTGCCCCTGAACCCCGTTGAGGTCAGGGATGACCCTCGGGCCTCGAAACAGGGAGCCGAGCCGGATTGGCAAGACAGCAATATCAAGGTCTGGTACATGCCAGTTGATGCAAAAGTCGATCAAGAAAGCCAGCCTTCGAGGAAACGGAGTCATGACGAGATATCGGATTCCGACTCCACGACGCCTAAATCTTCAAAAGAAGATGACCAGAGACAGGTGCTTGAGATCGTCACTCAGATGTTTAACTCTAAATGGAAGATGGATGCTTTGGTGGAGACAACATTGTATGAAGCAAACCTGCCCGCAAAGTTGTTCGTTCGTGACGACAAAGGCCACATCCAGGTATACAAGGGGCCTATGCCCGGCGACGAGGGAGAAGTGCCAGACATCCCTGTTCTCGTGCGCCAACCATGGCCAGCTGCCCTGTACTTGACGCTCCCATGGACTGAACCGTCGAAACAGTCAATGTGCTACGTTGTCAAAGGCCACGACAGACGGGGCAAATTCAACCCCAAACTGGCTGAAAAGTACGGTGTCGCGAAGCAAGACTACAAGAAGCTGACGGCTGGCCAAAACGTTACCGTCAACGACATCGTTGTCACTCCGGAGATGGTGCTTGGGGAGACTATCCCCGGGCTGGGCTTCGCAGTTCTCGACGTTCCCAACACCTCGTACATTGAAGCTCTAATCAACCGACCGGAGTTTTCAAGTGAAGAACTCATGGACGGCATCGTGGTCGCGTTCTGGTTACTGGGTCCAGGTGTGATCAATGACCCACAGCTCCAGGCTTTCATGGAGAAGACCCCGTCTTTACGACACGTCATCTGCTCTGGAGACAGCTCTCCCAACATGATCTCACTCGAGTCTGCTGCAACACAGAATTATAAGCTGCACTGTATTGACCCGGACAGATTCCCTCTGCTGGATTTCAACAACGGCGCGCCGGTTTCCCAAGTGCCAATGGGCCCGCTACCCGAGTCATTGGAGATCGGCAGAACTGGGAAGATGATTCAATTCTCACCCCAATTTATGCACAAAGACGACCAGATTGTACCGTTCCCCAACGTCAAGAAGCTTGCCGAGACTGACAAGGTGCCTGGCGTCAAGGAGCTTGCCAACATCGCACGCCAGAAATGTGGTGATCCCACCTTCCTGGCCAAGATCCAGCAGGTCGAGTCAGATATCCCCAGTCGCGACGCTGAAGTCATTACCCTTGGCACCGGTTCCGCCCTCCCCTCGAAATACCGCAATGTCTCGGCCACCTTGGTCAGAGTCCCAGGCTTTGGGAATTACCTGTTCGACGCTGGTGAGAACACGATGGGACAGCTGCGCCGAACATTTGGCAGTGAGCTCCCATCAGTCTTGAGAGATTTGAAAGTCATCTGGATAAGTCATCTCCATGCCGACCATCACCTTGGTACTGCCGGTGTTATCAAAGCATGGAACGAAGAGACGCTACAATCCAACCCTTCGGCGAAGTTGCACGTGGCCTCGCACATGCACATGATTGACTGGCTCCGAGAGTATGCCAGCATCGAAACATACGGATTCAGCCGTCTCACTTTCACCCAATTCAGTCAATATGATGCCAACACTAGGATTTGCAAATCACGGCCCTTTGATGCGGAACAAGTGGAAGCATATGGCCTGGAAAAGATTGAGGCTTGCTATGTGGAACATTGCCACGGAGCTCTTGCCACTGTCTTCACGTGGCCCAGCGGCCTGAAGGTTGCATACTCTGGGGACTGCCGTCCAAGTGACAGCTTTGTACAGATTGGACAGGGCACTACGTTACTTATCCATGAGAGCACCTTCGACGACGAGCTTAAGGGCGACGCTATCGCCAAGAAGCATTCCACCATGTCCGAGGCAATCGACGTCGGGCGACGAATGGGTGCACGCAGAATAATGCTCACACATTTCTCACAGCGATACCAGAAGATCCCTTCTCTAGAGGAGAATTTGGAGATCAAGGCTGATGTCGGCAGCGAAGAGAAAGCCAAGCTGGATGAAGTGATACTGGTCGCGTTTGATTACATGCGAGTCAAGCTTGGAGAGTTTAGAAAAGCTCAGGCCTTCCTCCCAGCCATACAAAAGCTGTTTGAAAACGTTGGGGAACAATAGACATAGACCATACTGAGACTTCGCAGCTCTGAATAGAAAGTTAACAAAAACACGGTGGAGCATACATTCACTGGTGGAAGATACGATCATTGGTCAAGTGAACAACGCGTTGTCACCTGGGTAGGTGCAATGTCTTGTTTCGGCCAGGGAGTGCAACCTCCGCATAATTTTACTTTACCCGGCTCCAAGTGCCGATTGCTATGTGCCAGCAATCCTACCTACCTTATTTCACATGCCCCTTTTGTCATAATCCACTTAAAGTCATTGGCGCAAGTTTCTCTTGAGTGCAATTGGACAGCAGGGGTAGTTTTGAATATATTACTGAAGATGTCTCCCCCGACTCACTCGATTTCAAGCCGTGTTTTTGCATCTTTGGGATCGCGAGCCCAGACCAAGCAAGATGCACATCTTCGCAAGCCTCAGCGTCGCTCTCGCCCTAGCGGCATCGGCCGCCGAGGCCGTCCGTACAATGATCCCCAAGACCTCCTTTAACTCCCAGGCCGACTTTGACGCTGACTGGAATTACCTGTACCCGTGGGGAACTGACCACAATGGCGGCGCACGGATGGACAAAGCCCAGGTCGCCTTTTCTAACGGCCAGTTGACCCTCACCGCCAAGAAGGTAACAGGCCAGAAGGATGCGTCACACGGCGGCAAGGCCATCAAGATCAACTATCTGAGCGGAGCCATCCACGCCAAGGAGCACTTCAACGTATCACGGGGCGGGGGCTACGACTTCACAGGCGAGTTCAAGGCGACGACGACCAAGGGCACGTGGCCGGCGTTTTGGCTGACGGCCGTGGACGGGTGGCCGCCCGAGATCGACATGGCCGAGTGGAAGGGCAGCGGCAAGATCAGCTTCAACACGTTCAACACCAGCTCGGTGCTGAGCTGGAAGGACGTCGACTACAAGAACCCCGGCGACTGGCACTCGATCAAGTGCGAGCTCCGCGACGTCAACCAGAGGGACGTCCAGGTCAAGTTCTACATGGATGGCGCGTTGGTCACCACGCAGGTCGGCGGCAACTTCTTCGGCAAGCCTATGTATCTGTGAGTAAATGGGCCTCGAGACGTTTTCCCTGGAGAGAGAAAGAGGTGTTGACTTTGAATCTTGCAGTATTATCAACCTTCAGATGGAGGGCTCTTCTGGCTCGCCTGGACCGAGTAGCAGTGAGTTATAGTTGATCCTGCTCTCTTAAATTTCAATACTGACCCTATATCCAGATACGCTCTACCAAGCACGGAATTTGGAGGTCCTTAGTTACAATCCTTAGCTATTCTAGACGATTAAGGTTCAGCACGTGCCATATAGTAACTAAAGTAGTCTTCGTACGAGATTTATAACACGTTGGTTGTGAATCCACTAGCTAGGAGTGCCGTCTCAATTATGACCTTCAAACCGCCCCCAAACTACTGCTGAATGCAAACAGCACAACGTTGCCCGGTCGAATAAGGCCTAGTACATGCAGGAGGCTGCACGCTCAACCGGGCGGTCCTCCAACGGCGCAGCACACATGTCAGCTGGGCTGGGGGGATCTGCAGGACTTTAAGTTTAAGGTCAACCTGGCCAGCATCTCCACTTTCTAGCAGGTTGTGTTGTATTTTCTCTCTCGAACTGGCCTGATCTGGCTTGGAAGTATGGATCCCCTGTCTGTGGTAGCTTCTGTTGCCGGGCTCCTGGGAGTGGGCGCCAAGATCACCTCAGTTCTGTTTTCGATGATTACAGGCTGCCGGGAAGCACCCAGCCTCGCGCGACATCTGCTTTGGGAGCTGGCGGACATTTCGACCGCGCTAGGCCACCTCCAAAGGTATATCATCGAACCATCGAAGGTTGCTGCCGACAGGACCTCTATGATCCAACTGGACCATGTCTTGACGTCTTTGACCGGATGTGTAACGACCTACTCTGACCTTCAACAAATACTCGATGGCCTCAACACAAGTCCGGATATGAGAGCATATGATCGATTACGGTGGGCACGTAAAGAGTCGACTTTGAACACCATTGTAAGTAGGCTGCAGAACCACAGGGCGTCGTTAAGTCTGATTCTGGCGATCATTCAATGGTAAATAACTGTCTCAATTACCCGAAGATACGGTGATCATCCCCTCGCATTCATGTCTGACCTGTTTCAGTGAATCCGCTAAAGAAGCGGAAGCCGCAAACGAAAAATTGGTGGCACTGGTTCAAGAAACATTGCGGAACCAGCATGAACTTGCAGAGAGAATACAGGGTCTCGAAAGGGAGGGCTCCATCTTCTCTGTCATGCCTAAGCAAGAGGATGAAGTGAGAGATAATGCGTCAACCCGAACAGCACGAGCTCGGAAAATATTCCCATTCATTGACAGCGCCACTGAAGCTCTCCGCTCTGCCTTCCAGCAAGACCTCGAAAGATCGAGGGTCTACATGAGGACTGTGAAGAAGGCTGTGAATCGTAATTCGCAGTTCTCACTTAGAAGCTCCCAAGAAACGACAGCAGAATCCTGGTCGCGCCTCAGCCTGTCTCAGGTGTCGAGCTTATCTGTCTGTGCGCTGCCCATCTATGCCGGCGATATCGTGAACAGCGACAGCTACGACTTTGGAGACCAGGGGCCACGCGCCACAAAATCCATGGCAAAGAAAGCCAGTGGGAGTCGTGGGAGAACTTCCAAGTCCAGTCGGTACAAGGACGGCCCTTCACATTATAAATCACCGACTGATCAACTCCATGGTGCCAGTACGATCTACCTCGTGCAGTATGGACTCTAGCGTTGGGACGAAGCTTACTGTACAATCGGGTATCATTATTTCACTCTTTTCTGTGGTCTGGGGTTTCCAAAGTGTGATTGTTTCCCGGTGTTTAGTTCATTAGTAATTTGTATATACGCCGAGAGAGTACGGGTTTCGCGCCTTTTGTGAATGTGACGTCTTGGCAGCTTTTTCTTGGGCGACAGACCGTAAGAATACCCAAGGCGTTGGGTTGAAATGGCGTGCTAGAGTTGAAAGAAATCAACGCTGTGTAATTTGACATGTTCAAGTCTGTGAATTGATCGTATCCCTGATGGGCATAAGATTGCAGATGGACTGCGTGCACACCTTCGCAACAAAATCACCAGGTAGGGTAGGTCCAGGTTTGCAACACTTCTCCAAGCTCTCCAAGCCACGTGGGCTAGTGAAGATTCTGGATATCGATCTTGAGCCTGCCGTTTAGTCCTTGACATGCCACCACAACTTTGTACTAATGTTGCGAAAATGACACTCAGTTCTGCTTGAACTTCCTTCCGTTGTCCGGAGAATTTTGTCTACGCCAACCTGATGTTTCGCTGTTTGATCTCGGTGTCTACATGTGGAAAAACCAGCTGTCGATAGAATGCTGGTAGCCCTATAATAAGCTCTTGCAGTCGCTGTAATCATAAAGTAGTAGCGTTCGCCCTTATCAGCTGTCTGCGTATTGCTCAACCCACAAATGCATGCACATCAATGTACGACAAGCCGCATAATCTAAGTGGAGTACTTGGCACCGACATAGCTGCGTAGCCTACTGTGCTTTCACAAAGTCCGGCCAGAAGTAATTGTTGCTTTCGGCCAAAAGATGAGGAAAGGGAACTAGAACCAGATTCTGCAAGAAATTATACCCAGAGAGACTATAGCACACTTCGGTAGACACGCTATACGGCGTAGGCCGTGAAAGATTTCATTCAGTAAAAAATCCTCTTGTTTTTTGGGGGCTATCCCCTGCCTGCAACCCCGCCTGCAACCCCCCCGACACACGCTTTTGGATTTGATCGATGGTGCGGGGCTGCCTTGGCATACAGAAATACTTTATGAAGAATTAACAGTTGTCTAGAAACAAGATAGGAAATTCACTCAATTATATTGTGTTCTGTTCGTGCATTTACATGCCGTGCCGACTCGTTACCACGCGCTGCTCATTTTAACCTATCCCGAAGCCGCTATAGCTGCATGAATTTACAAAGCTGTACACCGGTAGATGATGGTATCTATGGCATGGAATATACGTTGTTGGCTTCGGTCTCAATGGCTCATGCCATTCCTCCTTTGCGTTACGATAGTGTATGCTGATGCAGAGGTTACCGTCCTTAATGGAACTTACGCAGGTCTTTACTTGCCTGCATTTCAGCAAGATGTATTTCTAGGGATGCCGTATGCCCAGGATACTGGCGGGAAAGGCCGTTTCCGCGTTCCACAGACGTTGACAGAGTCTTGGGAGGGGATCCGTGAGGCAAAGCAATATGGTCATGCTTGCCCAGACGAGAATATGGAGGTAGACGGAGCTTATGGCATGAGCGAAAACTGCTTGAGTCTGAATATTGTGCGACCTACTGGTATCAATGCAACCAGCCGTCTACCCGTCATGCTCTGGATTCACGGTGGTAGGTAAGTGTTTGTTTCCACATTGTCAATAACTTATTCCCTCAGCCATACCATATCAGTTAACTCAGTATCTGTAATAGCTACCAAGTTGGCACTAGTGCATTGCCATATTACAACTTGACCTATCTCGTCCAGAAATCAGTTGAAATAGGAAAACCAGTATTAGGAGTCAGTATCAATTATCGAAAGGGAGCTTGGGGAATGCTGTACTCAGTCGAAATTCAAGTGAGTCCTCAGCAATCAATGGACCGTGGATCTCATGGAATTCGAACAACCAAGCAGGGATCAGGAAATACAAATTTGTCTTTGAGAGACATGCGTAAAGCCCTCACATGGGTACAAGAAAATATCAGGGCATTCGGAGGAGATTCATCCCGAGTCACGATTTGGGGGCAGTCTGCAGGCTCTTTCGCTGTCGTGAGCATCTACTCCCTGAAAAATGAAGATAAAGCAACTGATCTGAATGCAGGGCCAATTGCTTCTGAGTTATGGGGGGCGCTCTGATGGCTTATTTCACCGCTCAATCCAGGAAAGTGGATCAGCAACCACGGTCAGTGGTAACATTGGCACTCCACTTGCCCAGATTTGAGTACTAAGGCTTAGAACATAATAGGCTTGGTATAATGGCTCGGACTGGTATCAGCCCTTTTACAACAAGATCGTCGATCAGGTCAACTGCACCAATGAGCCTGACACTTTGGCTTGTCTACGGACCATCGATTATGATGTGCTGTATCCGGTCATGGGGTCTTCGAACTTCGATGGCCCTGGTTTCTATCCAACCATCGTATGTGGAACCATGACTATGATACTCTTCAATATCCAACCGGCACCCTAATCTGCACTTTTGGCGAGATACCCATACCTTATAATCACATTTTGACCATCATTACCTATTATGGGTATGCGACAGACTTCTAACACCTTCGATAGGATGGAGATATAATTCCAAACTACCCCAGCGAGCTTATGGACACTGGGCGTTTTTCGACCGTTCCTCACCTGTACGGTACGGTCTCCGATGAAGGCACTGACAATGCACCAAAAGGCCTAATCAACACGGATGAAGATCTTCGTGATTACTTGCGCCATGGAACCGGATTCGACTTCCCAGATCCAACCATCTCCCGCATAATGGAGCTATATCCTGATGATCCTACACAGGGCATCCCTCTAAATACTGGTAGTGAGCGATTTGCGGATAACGGCTGGCAATACAAGCGCATATCAGCTATATTAGGCGACGTATTCTATCACGCCCCACGACGATACGATGCCAGGCGATATGCAACACTTGGGCCTACCTATGTGTATCGATTTAACACGCGGGGATTTGTGAATTCAACAAACACCACTTATACTGATCTCACAGGCGAGCTTGGGCCTGCATCCGAAGGAGTTTCCCACTTCACTGATGTAGCATTCGTTTTTGCGAACCCGTACTACGTGGGCCCGTGGCCAGAGTATCGCGCTTTGAGCCATCAGATGAGCTCACAGTGGATACATTTTGCTTACTACGGCGATCCAAATGTTAAGGGGTTGCCCAATTGGCCAAAGTATAACGAAAGTGAGGAAGGGCTCAACCTAGTTTTACAAACTGAGTCACAGGGTGGGTTGTACGTTGAGATGGATACATATAGGTTAGCTGGTAGGGAGTATCTAACGGATTGGGCGAGAAGGCGTCATGTTTGAAAGCAGAAAGGTAGACTGCGCACCAACATGGAACAAATCGGTACACGTTCCTGTCACATTTTCAATTCGTCGTACGAATGCTCTTTAACCGTACTTTCACACCTCTAGAGTATTATAAGCCGCTCGAGCTGTTCACTTGATTCCATCAGGGAGTGCGCACGAGGTTCTCATCAGATCGGGTCGACTTCTTCTTCAAGCCAAATCGTTAGGAAATACGATGTGCAGAACCTTCACAAAGAACAAATATATTGCAATCGATAAATTTTATCTAACAGATAAGTTCACAATACGTATCGACAATACATTAGGTTGATTCAAAAAGCATACGTGAGCATACCTGATTGCGCAGCGATTCGTCGTTCACAAGGCCTGCATGCGAAATTGCACGGACGCAGAAGTGATCCTCTTGTTCTCATAACTCGTTTACACTTTCACTTAAGGGGAAAACATTCGCATAGGGAAAATTCTTCAAGCTTGCGTAAGAAATGCAAGACTCTAAGTCAGCCCTGGCCGGCAACTAAAGATGAGTTATGGGGACGCTAAAGTTCACCTTACGTACTAAGACGCAAACTGATTTTTCTTTCGGCCCTCGCCTCGTACCAAAAGACGCATGCACCCACTATAGCGTCGCTCTTTGGACCCACAAACGAACGTAGCTTGAGTGTCATTCGTAAAAAGTCCACATTAATCGTGGACCCTGAGTACGACAGGAGCGCTCGGTATGGGCCGCGCGACTAGACCCATCGGCCTGGGAACGAGGCGGCGCTTTTCTAGACTTCCATAATGTAATGCAGTCGCATCCTGTGGGATTATTTCTGTCCTTCCCACCTCTCTTCTTGGATTCCATTACCCTTCTATTACATCACAGACACCCCTGTTTGTATACGACCACTGCCCGGTCACCGAGGCCATCTCTGTGCGCAAGACCAAGGACGAGATAATGAGCCCTTCACCCGCCCTCCCAGAGCCTGTCAAGGCACCGGCTCAGGGGACTCCAGATGCGGCAGGCGGTGTCACGGACAGTGACTCGGGCAACGTCCAAGAGATCAACGACAGAGACCGTGCCGACATTGAGAAGCAGAAGTCAGCGCAAGGCAATGCACATTTCCATCGCCTGGGATGGAAACGCCTTACTGTTGTCCTCTTGGTTGAGGCCATCGCCCTGGGTACACTAAGCATCCCTTCGGCCTTTGCGACTCTGGGTATGGTCGCCGGCGTTATACTATCCGTTGGGCTGGGCCTGATTGCCGTCTATACTTCGTATATTGTTGGCCAGGTAAAGCTGCGCTTCCCACACGTCTCCCACTATGCCGATGCTGGGCGCTTATTGATGGGGAACTTCGGCTACGAGCTCGTGGGAACCATGTTTGCACTCGAACTGATATTTACCGTCGGTTCGCATTGCTTAACTGGAGCTATTGCCCTGAACAACATTACCGACCATGGTACCTGCTCCGTCGTCTTCGGCCTCGTTTCGGCTATCATTCTCGTCTTCCTTGCCATCCCGCCATCCTTTGCCGAAGTTGCTATTCTGGGTTACATCGACTTTGCCTCTATCTTCATCGCTGTCGGTATCACCATCATCGCTACTGGCATCCAGTACACTCATCCCACGACCTCAGCAGCAATAAATGCAACCCCATGGCAGCTATGGCCTAAGGAGGGACTTCAGCTCGCTGAAGCCTTCGTAGCCCTCGGAAACATCATCTTCGCCTACAGTTTCGCCCTATGCCAGTTTTCATTCATGGACGAGATGCATACTCCTGAAGATTTCCCGAAGTCGATTGTGACACTCGGTGTTATTGAGATCGTCATCTATACCTTAACCGGAGCCCTTATCTACGTATTCGTTGGGCAGGACGTGCAATCCCCGGCGCTGTTATCAGCCGGTACGACCGTTTCCAAGGTCGCATTTGGCATCGCGTTACCCGTGATTTTTATTTCGGGCTCGATCAATACCACGGTCGTCGCTCGATATATCCACGGCAGGGTTTTCAAGCACTCTATTATCCGATACATTAACACCAAGGCTGGCTGGATCACCTGGCTAATACTGATCACGGTTATTACGATAATCGCGTGGGTAATTGCTGAGGCTATCCCCTTTTTCTCGGACTTGCTCTCGATTGCCTCCTGCCTTTTCGTGTCTGGGTTTACCTTTTATTTTCCCGCGGCGTTCTGGTTCAAACTGCTTAAAGATGGCCACTGGTACGAGATGAAGAACATTGTCAAGAGTATAGTCAACGCCATCATCTTTATAATCGGCATGGTCATCTTGGGCGTTGGAACCTATGCAAGTGTGCAAGATATCGTAAGTTGGCACAGCATACTGAAGAGCAACATTTGCTGACTTAGATGATAGATTGATAGGTACAGAGCAGGTACCGTCAGGGGGGCGTTCGCATGCTCCATCTAATCTGCGTCTACCATGTCTCGAATTGGCCACTGCTTAGAAGACAGTCCGTCAGGAGGCCGCCGACCACGGAGTCGATGGCGATACCGACAGCACAGTCAATGAAGAGTACTCCCATAATCCTGGCTCTCCTGCATAGAGGTGTAAGATCGCAGACGATGATTTGCATCGTGGCCGTACTGTCTCCACGCTCTATGTCTTGAATAGACCTCCCCGCAATCTGAGTCATTGTCGACTGTGCGGAACCAGCAACCGCCTAGCATACGGCGAATAGGACCACAGCAAGATGCGTCAGAACGCGTCGTTCTCACAACACTGGCCGCCGGTCCATAGAGCGGATGGAGCTGTATATTAGATGTGAAATACTGGAGGTGATACTATGCATGAGGCAGCGAAGCAATTAATAATACCTTTATGGCTTATAGTTGTAGCAGCGATTTGGTGTTAGAATATACCTGCACTTTCGGGCTCTGCTATTCTGCGCTATTCGAAATGAAGACATATCTCGAATTGAATTATTCATTTCGCGAGACCGGAGCCTTTTTTTCACGCCACTTCAAACAAATATTCGGATAATTATACAATTGCACGTTGATTATTAAAGTATAAGGCAGTCAAACCGGTGTAAGTGCAGGGATGATCAAGTGTGTTACTGTGTGTATGACATCACCCCAGTCGCAAATAGCGCGCCAATTGCCGGCGGGGCTCTTCGGCATATCCCATCAGTATGGCCTCGCATTCCACGTCTCGTCCCGGTGTTAGTCCTGCAGCTGGTAGATTTGTAATTGCTCTGTAATAAGACCTCGGTTCCTGTACTAGTTTGGTCTGCCTTCTCGCCGTCGTATTAGTAGAGAAAGGACAGCCCACAGATGCCACTGTTTAAACCGCCCGCCGTCCTCCTCAGAACCTCCGCCACCAGAGCCCCCCCACCCAACGCCATCACCACCCCCGCCACCAGCCTCATCACGCACCGCGCCGCCCAGAAGCTGCAAGCCGCCACCATGTCTGTGTCGACGGCCTCCGAGGCCGAGATCAAGCGCAACCCGCACCCGGACTTCAAGAAGGTCGAGGCGTCCCGGCCGGACTGGGACCGCGATGCGTCGTTCCGCTTCACCAAGACGGCCGCGCCGGGGTGGAAGTTCGGCGACGGCGCCAACGGGCTCTACCCGGCGCCCGCGGGCGCCAAGCACGTCGAGATCGACCCGTACGAGCCCGGCCGGCCCGCGCCCTTCAACTACAAGCTGCTGATCTCGTCGATCGTGCCGCGGCCGATCGGGTTCGTGTCGACGCGGTCGCCCGACGGCGGCGCCGTCAACCTGGCGCCCTTCAGTTACTTCAACATGGTCAACCATGACCCCCCGCTGTTCGTGCTGGGGTTCGCCAGCGGGCTGGAGGCGCCGAAGGACACGCTCAAGAACCTGGTTGAGAGCAAGGAGTGCACCGTCAACATCATCAGCGAGGGCTTCGTCGAGGCCGCCAACGCCGCCAGCGTCGACGCCCCCTACGGCGCCAGCGAGTGGGACGTCAGCGGCCTGACCCCCGTCCACGACTGTCGGGACGTCAAGGCGGCGCGTGTCGGCGAGGCCGTCTTCAGCGTCGAGTGCAAGCTGGAGAGCGCGCGCGAGTTCCAGAGCCGCGCGACCCCCGGCAAGACGACGGGCTGCATGGTCGTGCTCGAGGGCACGCGGTTCTGGGTCCGCGAGGACGCGCTCAACGAGGAGAAGAACCTGGTCGACCCGGCGGTTCTGCGGCCGATCAGCAGGCTGGGCGGCATCACGTACGGGAGGTTGACGGAAGCCATGGAGATAACTCGGCCGGTGTTCGCTAAGGATGTCGGTGGGATGGAGGGCTATGACAAGCTGAAGAAGGCGCAAGGACCCAACGGGGCAGATAAGAATTAAGAGCAACTACCCGGAAGATAAAAGAGCCATAGAAATAGATGAGGCAAAGATCACAATCACGTGCGAGGATCTGACTGACGTGGGTGGTGTTGGGATTATATTCTCAGGTTCAACCCAATATTCACTTGTGACGTCAAAGACAACTCCATTGACCTATAGCCAGCCGACAAAGCGCAATACAATCCCTTCCGGCAGACTGATCTGTTGCCAAACGCCATACTATACATCAAAGCCGAGCTCCCGCATCTATACCAATTCGAAATCCAAGATGCACATCCGCTGCACTCCACTCGCGTAAAAGATCCTCTCGTCCATATCATGCCATCATCAAGAACTCCTAAGCTCCCAAAGCACGCCTATAACAAGAAGCTCTCCCCTTTGCTCGAAATCACAAATTCACAGCCCAGCTGGGCGTCTTTCTCATAATCCTGCAGCTCACTCAGGATGATCTCACCAGTTGTCTCCACATCGCTAAAGTTGTCCTTGACGTGGATGATCACCACTTTCAGCCCCGCCAGAGGGTTTACCGATGATGGCTTGACCGGGAATGCAGCCTGAACTGTCGGGTCGAGATCTTTCAGCGTCAGCTCCGCAGTCGGCGTGGCGAGATGAGGCGTTGGAATCGGGGTCGGGATGGGCGAAGTGACGCCGTCCGATCCTGATATCGACCCTCGCGGCCTGGTCGACTTTGGCGACACCGGGTGATCATCGCCGGAAGACCTGGCTGCTATCCGATTTGCTCTACGGATCGCTGCGTCCGATTCTCGTTTCCGTTTCTTAGTCGTTTCGAGCTTGATGGGGTTCTGGCGGACCGTCTCCACCTCGCTGGCCAGCGCCCGCATCTCCTCCATGATGAATCGCGGTGCCAGGTGGCCGAAGAGCCGATCATTAGTCTGGCTATCGTCGTAGCTGCACTCTATGAAGATGGCACGAAGTCGGCCGCTGGCGATCTTTGGAGCTGCCTCTTGCCAGATACCAAGGTTTCGTGGAGATAAGGATATGCTATCGGGTTCGACATCCCCAAAAATCAGCACCTCGCGCCCTGTGGCATGGTCGCGAATGAAGTAGGCGCTGGAGTCATAGACGCATATCGACTCCTGTTCCTGACCGCCCCCGGAAGAGCGCGCCAGGCTGGTAGTCCTGAAAGCGCTGCTGGGGCCTGAGGCAGCATTACTCCCAGGGGCTCCTCTCGGCGACATCATCGAGACATCGGTGCTTCCAATCCGTGACGATGACGTTGATCCTCTGTGGCTATGCCGTTCTATGCAATGGCCATGGCTAACACCGAACATCTTCACGGCAAGCCCGTCGGAAATCTCAAGGTAGCCCTTTCCATCCCCCTCGCCTAAGGCAGGACTGCCGCCTTCCACAAGACGCATGTAAGTAACCAGTCCAGCACCGTTGTTCTCATCGGACAAGTTGGGCCATATCACATTGTTGAAAATGTGAGTTTTGAAGGCTGATATCGTGGAAGGCAGGCCGGCTAACCGTTTGGGCCTGGTGCCTGGAAGACCCGCAGTGTTGATGACAAAACCACTGATGTGATCCAGATGGGGATGCGTGATCAGGTATGTATCAACTAATTGTCTGGTGATGTGGGCTGCATTTGCCGACGGGGATTTCGTCCTGACTTCAAGGCCCGCAAACGGGCCAGACTCCAGCACATGAGGCAGAGCAACTTCGTCGCCAAGCGCTGGCGGCTGGGTTTCCTCGAGGATCCTAGCGATAGCTGACAGGTGGACGCCAGCGTCAACCGCAACTATCGAGCCTCGAGACCAACCAGCATCGAGAGATCTCACGAGCATAGCCGTGACATTATTCTCCAGCGGACCACCACTTGAGCCCTAACACAGGAAATGGCATTAGTTTCAATCTGCTGTAACGCCGAAGTACGAGATAAGATCACGGCCAGAGTATGTCTACCGGGAGCAGTCTAGGTCCAGGCAACTAGCCATAGACACATCGGTGTCCAAGCCACACGCGTGGCATCAATCCAGTAATCCAGCAGTTGTTGGCAACAAGAAAAGTCATCCTTTCAAGAACTTTTGCACGGTATTCATGTCACAGACTCCGTATGAGGTCCTGTTGTTTGGCTTGACGGCGGGTCGGTCCGTTGGGGCTGATTATGTGGCAATGTCCTGGTAGCCTTCCATGAGAGCCGCGCTGCGAAGTGAGCATGGGACGCTGCGCGACGCTGCGGAGAACAATGGGACACGCATCTCAGCGCAAGAAGCAAAGAGTCCGTTCGATGCCCTCGCCGGTTGCTTGGTTGCTTGTTTGCTTGGTGGCGCTTTCCTTTGTCCGAGACGGGAGAGGCGGCGCATACGGCAAACCAGAGGTTGTCGTTGGCTGGTCCCACAGTTGCAAGGAAAGCGTGGAGCTTCGTCGCTGGTCGCGCGCGCAAAATAGTGGGATGTGCCAAAAGGGTCGCGGAAGCGAATAGTAAATCCACATGGCCTGGTGACATGGAACCAGGGATCCCCGGGACGAATGGTGCACTTCGACGGTGCAGCATCGTGGTGAGGGTTCGAAGATAACTGGCTGCCGGCCGATGTGCGACAGGGACCTTTGCCAACTGCTGGCCGCGATACGATTTGACAATGCGGAAAAGCAACTTACCAGCACAATGACTTGCAGCGCCGGACGGATGCCGTCGTCAGCCTCCGCTCCGCCCATTGTCGTCGTCGACGTTCCCGGTGTGGCGATACCCGAGTCCTGAGCCATGGGCAGAATTGTTTTTGTTATTTCCCCAGGGTCTCCCAGATGTCGCGAGGCATGCATGTAATGGGCCGCGCAAAGTCTTGGGTGGCTCTTGTCGCAAAGAGATGCGATGGGCTGGGCTGGACACACGTGACGTGATGGCCGTCCTGTCTCAGCTGAAGTCCCGGTTCGGGGAGTCTGGCGTGGTCTCCCTTGCCGCAGTGCCTTGGGGAGAGTCAGAGAGTGAGTGACAGGCGCGCGCGCGGTCGCCGGTACTCTCTGGAATGCAGTAGATGAACAGTGATTCTTAACGATGCTGCTGCGGCTGCGGGACCTGCCTCTCCAGAGGCGACATTGAAAATGACATCAAATCCGCGGTGCTACACCTGGACGTGGCATAGGGCGACTTTTTAAGGTTTCAACAGCCAGATCGACGACTTGCTTTGCCCGTCGGCCGTCCACCCTCGCGGCGCCGCGCTAGAGCGTCCAGAGCGTCCAGAGCATCCATAGCATCCTACGCTTGGCGAGGCTGCACACATGCTGGCCCTGCCTAGTGTCTCCCTATCGGACACGCCGCTGCGAGCCTCAGCCATGCAGCCAACGGGTGTTGCGCGCTGCGTGACGCTGTGGAGTTCCTGGCTGCTACCACATGTTCACTATCGCCTCGTGCATCAGGCCTTGCTTGCAGCGTGCAGCATGCAGCCTGCAGGCATGCGGTATACCTTCTGCAGCTGACTTGCCGTCTCCTCGCCATGCCAAGGGCTGCCAACCCTGGAAGGACATCGCGACAACGGCGGGTAAGGCCTACATCGGTAATTGACATCTGCAGCCACTAGGCTCTGGATCAGTAAACAAGAACGATCCGCACTGAAGATTGCTCGTTCTATTGTGGTTCTCTCAATCTGCTCTGTTCGTGCTGCCTGGTTGGTTGTGCCGATCGATCAGCTATGGCCGTATTGTTGCGTGCGTTGAACTACCAACTAGGTAAGTCAGAGCAGAAGGAAATTTCCCCGAGCTCTGCAACATTACAAATTATATAGAGTCACACAAAGTTACGAGAAATCACGTACTATAGTCATGAGCAACTGCGATTGATATTTTAAATTGAAACATCATGTTTATCGCTAAAGAAACATAGACTTCGTCAACATAGTAAGCCACCAGCGCCACCGCTATGCCAAGAATTGAGAAGAAACCGTTTCCTACCTTTGCGCACTCTGCAGTCATCTTGAAGCATTGTTCCTCTAAGGGTCTCACCCTGAAGGGAGCTCCGCATGAAGAAGAAGTGCTGCCCCTGCTCACCGTTTCTCACACAGACCTCGCGCGCCGGGGCGGCGCGATCGCTGCACTGTCCTGGTCTTCATCACCATCGCGCCCCTGGTTGATAGCGGAAGTGAAGGGCTCAACCATCGCAATGCCATTCTGGTCTTGATCATCGCGAGGCTCCTGCTTTATAGCGGGAGTAGCAGGCTCGACCGCTGCGGCGGCAGGGGGAGGAACAGGAGAGGAAGGAGGAGGAGGGAGAGGAGAAGGGGGCCGCTGCTCACCTTGGCCTTGGTCGTGCTGTAGCGCTTGGGCAAGATACTCGTCAATATTTTGGTGATCTGCCGGGTCAAGTACTGTTTGTCCATCCGCGGTAGAGACGTCCCACGTCCCCTGGCCGTACGTGCTGAAATCGTCGGTGTAACTGTCCGATGGCATCTGGTCAAGCACATCGAGACCGACGACCGATGCAATTGGGGGAAGAGAATTGGAAGCGTCCAGCGCCGGGACAGCAGATGCGCCTGAGTAAGGACAATGCTGCCCCCACTGGTCGCCGTTGGAGTACTCATTCGGAAGGCCGTTCGGGATCACGAGCCCTGGGTCAAAGCACTCGCCCAGGAAAGGGGTGATCTCTGGCAAGAGCTCGTTAATCCCCTCAAATCGCACCCTCTTCGGTCCAGGCGGGTCCACTTGATAAGCCTGTGTATCATAGGCAAGCTCGTCGTACTGTAGATTCAGCATATCATCGTGACTTCGCTTTGGAGGCAGCCCCAAGGGCGTCACTTGCGGCATCGCTACAGCGAAATCGCTTGGTACGTGTTCAGACTGGGATTGGTTGATGAGCAACGGGTTGATCGTGCCTGCGGCTTCGTCTGAGTAAGGAGGCACGACTAATTGCGATGACAGCTGTGTAGCTGTATATGGGTCCTGGTTCCTGATACATTGCCTTTTAGAACCCCTTCGTTCGGGTTCGTAGATGGTTGCCACATCGTGGCCTGCGTCAACGCTCTTTCGTTTCGACGTGTGAAACGTCTCGGGGGCCGGGCTGCGTAGAAGCAATTCGTCCTGAAAAACCGGATGCGACTGCTCGTTCAGCACTGGCGGATACTGCTCAGCGTACGGGGCTGTGTAATACTCAGCATGGTGCAGTGCTGGGAGAGGCCGCGCAGACTGCTGGGGCCCTAGCCGCTCTTGTAGTCCTGGGACGAATCCTGATGTGAACATATCGTACACGTAAAAGTCTGGGATTTGCAAGGGGTCTACATGCCAAGCATACGGGTGCGTACCACTGTACGCAAGCTCAGACGCGGAAGCACACTCTTGGTTATTTCTCAAGTGGCGCTTGTTGATCATACAAGCATCGTAATATTCCAGGTTTCCCATGTGCATTTCGGCGTCGCATGGCTCCCTCCCCTCCTGCGCTGTCTCGCGGCGCTTCTCGCGCGCTTTCTTCCCGGGTGTGCTGTAATTACGCGTCCATCGAATCGTGAGACGCTTGGTCAGAGAATCGTCGAAATGGCGAGGGCGCTCTCGTTCCTTCCTACCTAGAGCGCCCCCTGCAACCCTGGCCCTTTTGTTGGCAACTCTATCCTCGTGCTGTTGCAAGTAAGGCCATTGCTCGTTCAGCCATTGTAGAGCGACGGCTTGTTGTCCCGAATCTCTGTAGATCAGACTGCCTGGATTGGCCGCCTCTTTCACAAATTCTCTGACATCTAGACGCACGTCAAGGTCCCTCATGAGCTTCAGGATATCAAAGTGTTTCTCAAGGCAGTAAAGGTGAACGTACCCAGCGCAGTGGTAGGGATTGTATTTCGACCCGTCTTCGTTCATCCGTTCATCAAAGATGACGCGAAGCTGGCCGGCCTTGATCGACTTTTTCTCACAGGCACAATCTTCGAAGCGGCAGGCTCTGCGATTGTCGTTGGGGAAACGAGACGTTGACTGTGCTGGCATCCAGCCAATCCACAGGGTGAGGCCCGACCGACGCTTACCTTCCACCATGCGTTCTCCGTCGAGTGGTACTCTCTTTTTCCATTCACGGGTTGACTTGCTTGGTATGTCATAGAGGTACTCCCGAATTCTATCTCTGGATAGAGGTTCCCAATCAAGCTCACCTTCATCGGTGTACTTGAACATGGGCTGGCCGCTTTTCTGGTCTATGGGACCCCAAGCCTTTGGCTTGGGCGGTGGCAATCCATAGTAGTAATCTGGATTGATAGGTTCTGCCTCCTGGAGCTTCTTCCTATGTTGCGTGGGGATAAGCGTTTTCTTGAGCTCCTCACCTGTAGGAGACCGAGGGCTGAAGGAGTCTGGTACCGTCCCAGGAACTGGCCGTGTCATAAGGGGTTGCAAGATATTGGGAGGCCTCGAACGCGGGTTTGGAATAACATGCTCCGAAGAGACAGTGGTATGGGTGCCAGGACCTGCATATTGTACAGGGAGCGTCTCTGGAGGGTAAGCAAGTCCCGGATCTGGTGGAAGTGCCATAGTACACGGGATTTCGAAACCAACCAGCGGAACGAAGGATAGAGTAAAAAATGCTGCCGGTTGAATCTGTGGGCTTGACTGTGACAGTAAAGCAAGCCCCTTGAGCCAGAGCGAACTTCAGGTAGCTCCCAGCGCTGCCGAATTGCAGAAGCTCTTGTGAATACACAAGAGCACTGTTGAAGAGAAGTATGAAAGCAGCTGCCTCATTAGCTCGGCGAGGTGGGTCTCGGAGTATAAGTATCTTCGGGTTGACCTCTTTTACACCATCTCAGCTCAAGGAATATTGTTCTCCAGACAACGCCTTTGTGCAGCATACTAAGTGGGAGCACAAGCACCTTGTGCTGAAAGATTATGCGAATTGACAAGCAACAGAGTGAAGACAAGGCACGGCAACACGTTCTATTGGCTAAATTGGTATTGTCTTTGTTCAGAGCTAATTCTGGCAACAAGAAGCCTATCGCGAGCGCGTAGGCATGCCATATACCCACCTGTCGGAGGCAGCAGCAATGAGCTGGTAAGCACCTGTACCCTGGTTAGCGACGCTCGAGAGCAAGAAAGGCGACACTGAGGCAAGGGAGGGTATTGGGATCAGTAGAGCTCATGTAATTTTCTCAACAAAGTATGTTCAGAACAGGTCTGTGAATTTACATAGCTTTCATCATGTAAATGGGAAGAGGATGGTGGAGATGGCATCGGCATTAGGGAATAAACGTACCATGCTGAGTATTAGAGGTTGGTTCATCGAAGTTCAGCCTGGCATCAGCGACTCGGTGGACGTGATCACTTCTCCAAACCAGCAGGTGCTTCATCTGAGCAGACGGAGGCTCCCATCAAGAGGCATGTCTGTCGCCTTCACACTTACCAAGTCGTGACCAAAGGGCTCCTTGGTGAACCACAAAGCCGGAAGCGGCTTGTACAATGCAGCGCCAGGCAAGAAGTGACATCTTTGTTCTCAAGGCGAGCTCATCGAGACCTTCCACCAACAACGCGCGCCCAGAGGGGCTTTGAGGATATCCATTGATAGAGCTCAAAGTAGTGAGGAGGGTAAGAGACCGGAGTTGTCAAAGCGAGAATTTTCATGGTGGAATAAGAATTGCGGGCGACGGGTTGGCTCGTGCGCGCGGATATCCACCAGGGTGTTCGTGATCAATGATTAGCCGATCCATTGCCGCGGACTGTCGTTTTGGGTGGATTGGCGCGGCAAGCCTTAGGGGTGATTGTGATTACAGTACGGCGCGGACGCGAATGCCATATGCACGCATTTGTGGCCTTCCCTGTGGGCTGACCGGACACGGAGTTTCCCACGAGCTGCGAGTAACAGGAAAGTGTTTGTCTGTGCCACGGCTCGTGTGAAGAGAAGCCAACCCCTAGATCGCTGACATCCGGTTTTGTCCCCGTTGCTAGACACGAGGGGCACCTCGTATTCCTCCAATCAAGGAATAGCGCCCCGACGGGCCTTGCAGGACGGCAGGCAAAGGCAAGGCAAGGCAAGGCAGGGCAAGGCAGGAGGATAAGGAGCAAGGAGCAAGGAGCAAGGAGGGGTGCCGGGTGTCTTGGTGTCATTGCCATCCTGAAGTCAATTGAGGCGGCTCTTCCAACTGTGACGGCGGCCTGTCTGGCAGCGCCTAACAGGGCCCCTGGAACGCCTAACACGCCCGTGGATTCGGGGAGGGGCCGCTAGAACCGAAGCGAGCTAGCCCACCCCCATTGCCCCAAGTGCACCCTGACCCTTTGGGCGATTGGCGGCGGGCAGCTCTGGCATCTGGTCAGTGAACCCGATCTGAATCTGGCCATCCCGTCGTCGCCAGTCCTTCTCTTGTTTCTTGCCGGAATAGCTTCTCGACCAAAGGCCTTGGTTGCATTCTTTGTAGGGCAGTCGCTAGATGTTATGACTTTGCGTGCCCCCACGACGCCGCGCATGCCCCTCTGAGCCCACGAGAGCAGAGCGCCGACGCCTCATCTGCCACCACGCCGCCCGCTGCCAACCCAGGCCAAACTACGTCACACGGGCCAAGGGGACCTCGCCTATGTGGTGAGGCTCGAGAATCAACGTCGATACCGCGGCGCGCTCCAATCCTCCAGGACCCCATCGCACCGGTGCCATGGCGCAGCTCAGTATTGACCTCCAGGAGAAGCTGGACGAGCTCCAGAGAGAGTTGGAGGTTGGTGCCGACTTCGATTCCCCCATCCGCTGCACTGCGCTCCGCTCCCACGCCAACCGCCCACGTGTGCCTCCTCGTGATCGACGTCTTCAAGCGAAGCCGGCGGGGTAGGCTGGCAGCGGCCGGTCGCGTGGAAACCATGGTCGCAATATCTCATGCTAACGTCTGTTCCAAACACAGGAAGGCGATATTACTCAGAAAGGGTACGTGACACCACTACTCGCCGCGCCCTAGGCCCCGAGACCTGTCGCGGCCGAACCCCCTATCGCGGCTCGTCCGCCTTGCTGACAGCTAGACACACAGGTTCCAGAAGCGGAGGACGCAGCTGCTGTCGCAGTATTTCCCCCAGGAGCAGAGCGCACCGAATGCGACGGGCGGCTTGAGGATACATACACCCGACAGCCCCGGCTATCCCAGTAGTGATGGCCATCGCGGTGCTGCCCTGGCCGCCCTGAGCGCCAGCACGTCCGACCCCGATGTCAATTCAACCTTGTCTCCTGTCGACTGGCGCCCCCAGTCGCCAGAAACTCATTCGCGCCCCGATGACCACCCGGCCGGCATTCTCAGGCCCGGCGGCCCTCTTGCTGAGCACCGGCCTACCATGACCGCCCGCGATTCCCTCTTCCTCAACCCTGCTCCGAGCTATAGTCAGACTATGGGTTCCGACCCTCCTACGAGATCCGGAACCATGGTGTCTGGCGACTATGCCTTCAAGCCGGAGCACCAGGCCGGCTACGGACAACCGCCTCCGAACGCGTACGACAGCCGCACCGGGACCATGATGGATTCTCAGGGGTACTTCTCAGATTTTGCAGGCCAGCAAGCCTACGATCACGGACCGAGCGGCGAGTATGGCGGCGGTGCGCACAGGTACTCCTCTAGTGACGCCTTCTCTCCAACCGCTGCTATGGCCCCACCGATGCTCACGGCGAATGACTTACCACCACCTGAGATACTACAATACCAGTTGCCATTGGAACCCAGAGAGGTTCCCTTCGCCATCACTGACCCTCATGATGACAACATCGCCATGTCAAGCTTTGACAATGTGGCAGCCGTCTTGAGGCATCGTGGCAAGACCACCGCCAAGATGCCTGCCTACTGGGTCCTGGATGCCAAGGGCAAAGAGATAGCCTCCATCACTTGGGACAAACTTGCGTCGCGTGCCGAGAAGGTTGCTCAGGTCATCAGAGATAAGAGCTCGCTCTATAGAGGAGACCGAGTCGCACTAATTTACCGCGACACCGAGATTATCGACTTTGCCATCGCCCTGCTGGGCTGTTTTATTGCCGGAGTTGTTGCCGTTCCCATCAACGACCTTCAAGATTACCAAAAGCTGAACCTGATTCTTACTTCGACGCAAGCGCATCTGGCTCTGACTACGGACAATAACTTGAAGAGCTTCCAGCGCGACATCACCACGCAGAAGCTTACGTGGCCTAAGGGGGTAGAGTGGTGGAAGACCAACGAGTTCGGTGGCTACCATCCAAAAAAGAAGGATGACATTCCGCCCCTCTCAGTTCCAGATCTCGCCTACATTGAATTCTCGAGGGCGCCGACGGGAGATCTCCGAGGTGTGGTACTCAGTCATCGGACTATCATGCACCAAATGGCATGTCTGAGTGCCGTTGTATCGGCAGTGCCCAACCATGGTCCGGGTGACACCTTTAATCGAGCGCTGCGGGACAAGAACGGTCGATTGATTGGAGGTGGGGCTAGCAGCGAGATCCTCCTATCGTATCTGGATCCTCGACAAGGCATCGGCATGATCCTTGGTGTTCTTCTCAATGTCTACAGTGGCCACACCACCGTATGGCTGGAAAACAAGGCAGTCAGTGTGCCTGGACTCTATGCTCACCTCATTACGAAATACAAGGCGACATTGATGATTGCCGACTATCCTGGTCTAAGGGCGGCAGCCTTCAACTACCAGCAAGACCCAATGACGACCCGAAACTTCAAGAAAGGCATGGAGCCCAACTTCCAGACTGTTAAACTCTGCCTCATCGATACCCTGACAGTGGATAGTGAGTTCCATGAGGTCTTGGCAGATCGTTGGTTGCGACCTCTGAGAAATCCAAGGGCAAGAGAGGTTGTTGCCCCAATGCTTTGCCTTCCTGAACACGGTGGTATGGTTATCAGCGTGCGTGACTGGCTAGGCGGCGAGGAACGCATGGGCTGCCCGCTGAAACTATACGTGGATGAAGAATCCGAGTCCGAAGAGGAAAAAGAAGACCCCGAAAAGGAGGAGGAGAAACCTGCACCCTCGAACGGCTTTGGCAGTTTATTGAAGGGAGGCACCACGACTGCCAAAGAGCAAGAGGCTAAGAACGAATTGGGCGAGGTCCTTCTTGACAGAGAAGCATTGAAGTCCAATGAGGTGGTTGTAGTAGCCATTGGCGAAGAGGCAAAGAAAAAGGCTGCTACCGAGCCCGGCACTGTTCGTGTCGGTGCCTTTGGCTATCCTATCCCCGACGCAACCGTCTCCGTTGTGGACCCAGAAACCGGCCTGCTCACATCACCCCATGCTGTAGGAGAGATTTGGGTCGACTCGCCTTCTTTGTCGGGTGGTTTCTGGGCCCTTCCGAAGCATACAGAGCAGATCTTCCACGCACGGCCGTACAAGTTCGAGCCCGGTGATCCAACACCGACGCCAGTGGAGCCGGAATTCTTGAGGACTGGCTTGCTTGGCACTATCATTGAGGGCAAGGTCTTTATCCTCGGATTGTACGAGGATCGCATCAGGCAAAAGGTAGAATGGGTTGAGCACGGCCATGAGATTGCTGAGCATCGATACTTCTTCGTACAGCACATCGTCGTCAGCATTTTGCGGAATCTATCGAAGCAAGTCTATGACTGCTCCGCGTTTGACGTTTTCGTCAACGACGAGCATCTGCCCATAGTCGTACTGGAGTCGGCAGCCGCGTCAACAGCACCAACTACATCGGGTGGCCCACCGAAACAACTTGACACCGCCTTGTTGGACTCTCTGTCCGAGCGATGCATGGATGTTCTGATGCAGGAACACCACCTCAGGGTTTACTGTGTGATGATTACCGCTCCCAACACACTTCCCCGGGTGGTGAAGAACGGCAGAAAGGAGATAGGAAACATGCTCTGTCGACGAGAGTTCGATCTCGGCAACCTCCCTTGCGTCCATGTCAAGTTCGGCGTTGAGCATGCTGTTCTTAACCTGCCTATCGGTGTAGATCCAATGGGCGGCATATGGTCACATATCGCATCAGAGTCTAGAGTTGACATCCTAGGACCTGCAGACAAGCAATACTCGGGCATTGATCGACGTGAAGTGGTGATCGACGATCGGACATCAACTCCACTCAACAACTTCTCTTCTATCACCGATCTCATCCAGTGGCGTGTAGCGCGCCAGCCGGAGGAGTTGGCCTACTGCACCATTGATGGCAGGGGTAAGGAGGGCAAGGGTATTACATGGAAGAAGTTTGACACCAGGGTAGCCGCTGTTGCGATGTACTTGCGCAACAAGGCCAAGATACGACCCCGAGACCACGTTATCTTGATGTACACGCATTCGGAGGACTACGTCTTCGCTGTGCACGCTTGTCTCAACCTGGGAGCAGTAGTGATCCCCGCCGCTCCCATGGACGAACGACGTCTTAACGAGGATGTTCCTGCGTTCTTGCATCTCATTGCGGATTTCCAAGTGAAGACAGTGCTAGTCAACCAGGAGGTGGACCATTTGCTCAAGACGAAGCCTGTGGCGCAACACATCAAGCAGTCTGCCCAGGTTCTCAAGATTGGCATCCCAAGCGTGTACAGCACTTCCAAACCCCCGAAGCAGAGCAGCGGCCTTCGAGATCTTGGCATAACGATGGATCCTAGTTGGATCCAGTCGGGTTATCCTGCCATTATCTGGACGTATTGGACCCCCGATCAACGCAGAATTGCAGTTCAACTCAGTCACGACACGGTTCTCGGCATGTGCAAAGTCCAGAAGGAGACTTGCCAGATGACCAGCTCGAGGCCAGTACTGGGCTGTGTACGAAGCACTACCGGCCTTGGTTTCATCCACTCTTGCGTTATGGGTATCTACATTGGAACGCCGACATACCTACTCTCTCCGGTGGAGTTTGCGCAAAACCCCATGTCCCTCTTCCTGACGCTTAGTCGGTACAAGATCAAAGACACCTACGCAACGCCACAAATGCTGGACCACGCCATGAATGTGATGCCTGGCAAGGGCTTTGCCATGCACGAGCTGAAGAACATGATGATAACGGCCGAAGGTAGGCCGCGGGTAGATGTGTTCCAGAGAGTTCGCCTTCACTTTGCGGCTACAGGCCTTGACAGGACGGCTATCAACACCGTCTATTCTCACGTTCTCAACCCAATGGTGGCCTCGAGGTCATATATGTGTATCGAGCCCATCGAACTGTGGCTTGACCAGCGCGCTCTTCGAAGGGGTCTCGTTATTCCCGTTGACCCCGAGACAGATCCGAAGGCCTTGCTCCTGCAAGATTCCGGTATGGTACCCGTGTCAACGCAGATCGCAATCGTCAACCCAGAAAGCCGCCTGCTCTGTCATGACGGAGAATTTGGTGAGATCTGGGTGGACTCGGAAGCCTGCGTCAAGTCATTCTACTGTTCCAGAGATGCCTTCGATGCGGAACGCTTCGACGGCAGGACGATCGACGGCGACCCCAACATCAGTTACGTCCGCACTGGTGATCTTGGATTCTTGCATAACGTCAGCAGACCAATCGGGCCGGGTGGTGCTCAGGTCGACATGCAAGTGCTCTTTGTTCTCGGAAGCATCGGTGAGACATTCGAGATCAATGGGCTGAGTCACTTCCCGATGGATATCGAGTCCTCGGTCGAGCGGTGCCACCGTAATATCGTGACTAGTGGCTGGTAAGTTTACCTCTCCCATAGGAGAGTATGGAGCTCTTTACTAATGTTGGTACAGCGCGGTATTCCAAGCGGGTGGCCTGGTGGTTGTGATCGTTGAAGTGTCACGGAAGTCATATCTCGCGTCGATCGTTCCTGTCATTGTTAATGCCATCTTGGGCGAACACCAGATCATTGTCGACATCGTAGCGTTTGTCAATAAGGGAGATTTCCCCCGCAGTCGACTGGGCGAGAAACAGCGCGGTAAGATTCTTGCCGGGTGGGTAACACGCAAGATGCGGACCCTTGCCCAATTCGCCATCCGAGACATGGATGCAATGGAAGGCGACGGCCCTATCGAGGCCCATCGCGCTAGTGTCAGCAGCATGAAGAGCCTGGTCCCCGGCGCCAGCTCTCTGAGGAACATGGAGCACGCGCCGCAGATCCTGGAACAGGAGGAACTCGACCATCAAATAGAGAAGCTGGCGGAGTTACCGCCGGTGGAGCTCTCTGCTAAAGGCACAAAGCCCGGCGGCGCCCCGCCGCGCCTCGACACCGCAGGAGCCGCGGCATCGACCGGTCACGGCTACGACCTCCCTAGCTATGACCGGTTCGGCGGCGACACCCCGGCGTCAGCGGTGCCGCAGTCTGCCACGACGCCGCAAATCCGCCTGCCCAGTGTAGACGGCCGCGAGCCCGAGATGCTGAGCCCCGCTGACGGCCAAGGGGCTGACGAGGATGATTGGACTAGGGACGCAATGATGCACATGAACCTGGCCAGCCAGATGGGGAAGCAAGGGTAGAGAGCGAAGTGGGAATCGGATCGAGGAGGCACTGAAGTGGCCGCAATCATGTGACTTGCTGCTTTTGTGGATAAAATAAGGGGTTTGGGAGTTGGATCGAGAGGCATTCCATTTCCATCACAGAGTCCCTGTGTGCGTCGTGCGTTGTGGTTGTTGGTGCTATCGAAGATGGGGTTTCGCTTATCTTGGATGGGAGTGTGATTACAGAATAGCATTGCCTGCATGCATTTGAAGTTCATCGTTATACAATTCCTGCCTAGTTCTGTAGTGCCTGACTTGTGACTCGTAGCAGCGCTCAGCATGGACGAGACCAAACATTTGGAAGGTCGGCTCAAGTTGGTACTAGCTACATAGGTATCCTCAACTATAGCACGTACGTCCCTGTGCAGCCAGCTAACCTGGAACTTAATCCAAGCCCACCTTTGGCTGCACGTTTCTGGCAGTTCCACAAGCGCCGGCACTGCCCACGAGTTAGTGGGGTGCAAATGGCCCCCCGGACCCGGGCTGGCTAGGGCATGGGGCAGAGACAGGGGGTGTCTTGGATGCAGCGTCATCGTGCTTCTCCATCTGCACTGAGCCAGCCGACGAGGCGTACAAGAGACAGACCTTTTGGACATGTCGCCAGTGTTGCCATGTAGCAAGGCTCGGAAGCTCTAATCTCATCTTGAGGAGATTGTGTCGACGACAGACTGATTGACCTCGCGCAGCTCTATCTCACTGCACATGCAGCTATTCCAATTGGCAGACGGCCAGATCCACAAAAGTGATCACCTCGAAACCTTGGTCTGCCAACGTTCGGTTCGATGGGGAAAGCCCCCGTCGATCGACTAAAGTTGCATGCATCTCCAGGTACATGGACGGCTTTCTCCTGAATGTGAAACAAGTTACCTGTTCGTAACTTAAATAAATCAGACCGACCTCGCCCACGCTCCTCCTATCTCTGGGTCGAGAGCGCAGATTGCAACTCCTCGAGCTTCCTCTGGTCGCTTTCGATGCCCCTACGCCTGCTCTCTTCTGCCTCGTGCACATCCGCATTCGCTCCCCATCTGCCGCCCGACTGAAAACCCGCCGCGAACCAGCCCAGCCTGCCAAACCAACTTTTCCCCGTCGAGATGCCGTCCCCCATGATCAAGGCCACCCTCGCGGCCGCCGCCCTGTCGAGCGCCTCCAACATCATGGCCCAGATCCTCGAGGCCTACCGCGCCGGGCAGGCCCTCTCGTTCGACGGCCCGCACTTCCTCCGCTTCGTCGTGCTCTCGTTCCTGACGGCCCCGCCCAACTACAAGTGGCAGCAGTTCCTCGAGGCGAGCTTCCCGGCCTACGAGCACAAGCACGGCGGCGGCGGCGGCGGCGGCGGGGCGTCGGACCTCGAGAGCCAGCGCAAGGAGAAGCGGGAGGACGACGAGGTCATGGGCCTCGACTACGAGGACGCGGCGCACGAGCGCAAGCCCAAGCTCAACCTGCGCAACACGTTTGCCAAGTGGTTCATCGACTGCATCACCCTGGGCGCCATCATGAACACGGTCGCCTTCTTCGTGCTCATGGGCCTGCTCAAGCACCAGAGCATGGCGCAGATCGGCCACAACGTCCGCCACGAGACCATCCCGCTCATCGTCGCCGGCTACAAGATCTGGCCCTTCGCCTCCATCATCAGCTTCAGCTGCGTCCCCGTCGAGCGGCGCATCGTGTTCCTCAGCTTCGTCGGGCTCCTGTGGGGCATATACATGAGCTTGGTTGCTGCGAGAGTGTGAACGGTGATCCAATTCTTGAGTGTCGGTGAATTTATGAGTTGTATACCGCTCAGAATAGTCTGAAGGATGAGAACGCTGGCGGCACTTATCCGTAGGCTTTTCATGTACGAATGAAGAAGATATTACAGATATTATATCCAATACTTTAGCTAACCTAGCCTGTAATGCTGATTTCATAATCTTGACTAACCTTCTGGGACACGTGGTTTATTTGTTGATCGAGAACATTAAGCATTCATGAGATAGTTGGGATGAACTCTCCATGGAATGACTGTAGACCACAAAGAAGGTCCCATGAATTGACTTTCTTGACAAGTAGCTGCTTCATTCACTACATCCAACACAACTTCGTAGGTGAATGCATGATGTAGGTGTCCACTGTATAAGTAGTATGGTGCTTATGATTCTTACTCCTCTCCCCTTCTCACTTGTCAAATTAGTACCCGACCTTTCGCGCCGATATTTGCGGAACTGAAACCGTGACAGTCCCGAGTTGAGACTGCCCCCGCACGCCTGAGTTTCACTCTCGCTCTCAGTTGCCATGAACTTCGTATGGATTCTGCTCCTAGCCTCCTCGGCCGCGGCCCTGGACTTCAGCTTCCTGGGCCTTACTCCGCAGGCATTGTGGTCAAGGAGTGCGTCTATTCCCGAGAACGGCACTCAAGATCTCTCGGCCCAGTCGGACACCATGCAACTCGATAACAACGACTACTATGTAAGCTAGGAGATGTGGCGAGAAGCGGTTTGGGCGGATACTCATCTTGCTGGCTTAAAACAGAAATTTCCCATTGAATGCGTTAGGGACCCGAACATGGGCCGGGTCGAGAACTTTAAGAACTTCACTAGGGAACTCGCTTCCGTCCTGGGCAGAACTGGTAGGACCAATTCGCAACGTAATTCGACGGAAACCTTGCGTCATGCTGCTAACCGCATTGCCATAGTCAGAGTCGAAAATGGAAAATGCGGAAGGGCTTTCTGCTGGGACAACACCACCATCTGGTAAGACACACATTCCGTCAACTGCTTTTCCCGTGAACTCTCTACCCGTTCCCTTGTTTATCACCTGCGGGTCGGATCAATAACCGATATTGATGCATCAATTTCAGGGCCTGCAACAACGCCAAGCACCCCAGGACGATTTCGCTGAGCGCGCTGTACAGCGCCAACAACGCTATCCTGAATAACTGCAAGAAGCAGCGGAACAATATCTGGAGCACGGGGGGCAGCACGTGGAATGACCAGAGCTACGGTCACGAAAACTCCAAGGCCGACCTGCGCATCTATTTCGGCAGCTGTGGCTGCTCGGAGAGCCGCTGTGCCAACCCGACGCTGTGTCCCGGGTACAAGGGTGACAACTGCTCTATTGATGATTAAAAGTGTGGACCTGGGAGGGTATTGGTCGACATCAAAGGAAACTGTTATGCTCTCTGGGGCGCGCTTTCATCGTGGGATATCAGCTAGTAGCGAGGGAGGATATCGACACTCACTAGACTTACTACACTTCGCGTGCCTCTTGGGGATTTTGTGCGATCATATCTGCTAATAATAGATGCCAGTGGTCACGCCATGTGCTTTCATGGAACGGACTTCTTAGCACCATTTACTTGCTGGTATGATGCTAACCCCTCTACTCATAACAGATTTGCGAGGCAACATGCAATTTGAAGATAATGTATCTATCGCAAGACCCTTTTCAAGACATGGAAGCGGGCGACTTTTCTCTATATAGTTTATAGCCCCGTAGTGTTAAATCAAAATCACCCTAGTGTTAGTACCAAAGTACCCCATGCTAGTAGATACCATAAACCCACGACCTAGTCAGAATCTCCATTCTTAACCTCGATCTTGCGTCCAAGTTCCCGTAGGATATATCCAACGCTCTCTGCAGGGGCCTGTGCCGAATCTACCACTATGACAAAGCCCTTATCTGGACGACGCGGTTCGCTCCACTTCTTGAAGAGCGCGATGTGGTCCTGCTCGGCCGCAACGGGGCCCGCGTCCGGTGGCGGACTGTCCAAGCCGGTCCGCTGGCTCCTCAGCGGCGTCCTGTCCCTCAGCCTTTGGTCCAGGAGGCTGAAATCACCGATCTGACACCAGACGTATCTGTACTCATAGCCGTAACGGCGGGCTAGCGCCATACCGTTGTCCAAGACCGGTTGGTGGTTGCACACGCTGTCGATGATGACGCTACGCCTTTGATTGATGATATCCTCGGCAACCACCCAGTCCAGGTCATACGCCAGCTCGGCCGAGCGAACGAACGAGAAGCCGTGGCCCAGGAAGAACGACTTCAGCAGGTCATGATTGACTACCACGCCGTCGATCGATTGACTCAGCAGGTTCGCCACGGTGCTCTTTCCGGCACCTGGGGCCCCGGACATCTGGATGAAAAACTTGCGTGGTGACTGCATTGTTGACAATTTAACGGCTGACTGGTTGTAAACTTGCACGTTCTGAGCAGAGGTGATGTCTTGCCTAGAGTTTCAACGCGATGCTAGCTGCCACAACCAGGCAGTTCAGCTGAAGGCATCAGCCCTTATCGCGACTTTTATTGCGATTTCAAGCCAGGCAGGCTAACCTCTTATCTTATGAAAGACATGGGCAGTGTCTGACTTGGTGAGTCCAAGATGCAGTATTCGCGTCGAGTATCCGCCCTAAAGTTTATCCGAGTGAGCTAAGCCGGCGCAGTGTTTTGGTTGGTCCGCAGAGTCGCACAGCCCCCTTTTTCCACTCCGCTTGTAAGTAGAATCGCAGCATAAGCTGAAGGCTGTGTAGGAGATAGAGACTTGGTTGCCTAAAGATGTTGATACTAGTGTACTGAGCCACAAACATCATCTCACAATTTCAATCATTGTGTCTTTGACGGTCTTTCCAGGGCGATTAAAGGCGTACGGCCATATATATATATATATTTTTGAGAAAGTAGGTCGCCAGCTTGAACTGTGGTGGGACCTTACGATTGACTTGTCTTGGTGCGCATAAAGATGAATGAGAGAAATTTAACACATTTACCAGTGACTTGATTGTCTGGATTCACCATGATCAGCTGCTTACCTACTCCTTCGCCTAATGAAGGGGTTGTCAGCCCTGAATAATAGTGGGACAACTTAAAGATGGAGAGTAGGAGGTCGAGGCTGATACAGAATTGACGTATGTCCTGTACATGCCTTGTAATACTGCCCCATTGAGATCATGCCTCGAGACATTAAAGAGTAAATAACAAAGGAGTGGAGATAAGTCTAAATGGATTTCGACCTAACACGGTTCTGGGTTGTAGCTGTGTAAATCTATCGTCATAATGGTAGTCAGTTTAGGTCACCCATTTGGCTGCACTTTGGCACCACAGAGTCTAGCTCCAGCAAATCCTCAGACTCATCCTCGACCACTTTAAGCACTTTACCGTCTACTACTCTATCAACCACTGGGTCAAATAACTTATCCGCTCCTACCACCATTTCCCACACAGTAACCTCCTCAAACCCCAACTCCAGCTCCAAAAGTCGCCCATGCCGGTCCCTCACACGGATATAGCGGAACTAATACATTGATTACAGAGTTAGGAAACACATTTTGCTGAGCATCGAATAAGAATTACACCCCCGTTTTGTCTACCAGTCAGAAGTATAACCGGTGACAACTCAGGGTTAAGGGACTGGCTAAACCGATAGTGCCACTGTTTATACCAACACGGTGTATCAGATTTGGCTACTACTGTATTGAGCTCGGGCTTGTGAGACGTGGTATAGAATTGTGGCTAAGAAATTGTGGTTGTGCTTTTTCGCGCTTTACTTATTTAATTTCCCTCTTTTCCGTAAAATTTAATACACCATCGCATTTTTTGTTTTAAATTCACGACTATTCGGTTTGGCGACTATCGATTTATACGTCTATTTTAACCATACGAACAATGTACGTTCGATTCGTCGATACTGACGAGGAGAACTGCGTTGGTTGAGGTTGTGTTATTTGGGGAATATGGCCCAGGAGCACCACTCCAGTTCAGTATACCATACTAGTATCAACTTGGATTCCAGCTCAACAATTTCTCAAATGGATTTCTCGGACGATGGCCCGAAAATTACAGCATCAATGGTCGTACGTGACAGCTACAGTACCTGTTTAGCCCTACATACCAGACCGTTCGTGGTAGCGAAGCGTATACTTGCGGTGAGAATAAAAGATCTGAACAATTCAAATGGCCAAGCCAAAATATGATGCAATGACTGGGTCACATCAGAAGAGGCGACATCGAAGGACAAAGCGGAGAGGGGATAAGAAACATGTGGAATTGCCGGTTTGGGTAGTTCGATAAATTCCACCAACAGTATCCTAAATTGCTCCTGGCCAATCACGAATAACTCGAGCCTAGTGACTTACAGCTGCCGTCGGCATGGGACACCTGCTTCACGAACTGACTTCGGCTATGAACTTGATAGCCGTATACGATCCGGTGAGACCGTTTGAACTCACCTATGGGCTTGTGGCCGCCGATGGTAGGGTTCCAAGTTCAATGGGCGGCTGCCCAATGCCCGATGCTACCGTGAATCACGGAGAAAGCGGGTCCCTAGCGCATGCCGGACCGAGCTTCCCCGCCATCCTCCACCACATGTCCCTCACTATCTGCAAGCATCCTGACCCCTCGTCGATCGCTGCACTCTTCCGCCCGAAAGTCGTTGCGCTAGTCTCCCGATTTGGAGTTACTTCAACCCCTCAGACGCAACGTGATGTCGAGAATAACGGGTGGTACGAGTGGAGCCTCTCGAGCCTGGATATGGTTGCCGACAGGTGCGCTTCCATGCTGCCAAGCCACCGCCAGGGATCTTCTCCTGGCTGTTCCCCGTTGTTCGATGTCACCTTGCCGGGTCACCGCAACTGCATCATGACGGCTTCTAAGCAAACTCGGTGTAGAGTAGCCCGCTTTGTCCGGATAAATAGTGGAGGGGACCCCATGAGCCGTCGGTTTGGGTTCTAGTAACTGGATTTGTGGTTCAGAGGTCAACTCTTGAAGATGGCGAGTCTAATCCGATTAACGCAGGAGCTCTATAGGCTTGTCGCTCTGAGCCTCCTGTTGCGTTTAGTACACGCTCATCCCACCGGAGCGTATGTTATTTCTGGCAGGTCATCAGCAGTGCGAGAACGCATCAGCGTCAACGAAGGATGGAAATTCTCACGCTTCACCTCCAATCCGGACGGGCTCTCGTATAACGAAACTCTGAAGCCATGGATTCTCCCAGTAGCCAATGAGTTCATCATCGATGGGACTCAACATGAGCGTCCTAACGAAACTGCTCCTGGTCAAGATGTCGAGTACACCCAAGCTTCATTCGACGATGGTGCGTGGGAAGCAGTCAATCTACCCCACGACTGGGCCATCAAGGGGCCTTTCAATGCCCCTGGTATCAGTGGCGGCATGGGTCGCCTCCCATCGGATGGCGTTGGCTGGTATCGCCGTACGCTGACGTTTTCGTCAAGCGATGTTGGCAAGTCTATCTTCTTAGACATTGACGGAGCCATGTCCTACTCGGCTGTCTGGCTCAATGGCGATCTCGTCGGCGGATGGCCCTACGGATACGCCTCATTCCGGCTTGACCTGACACCCTACATTAAAACAGAAGGGGAAAACCAGCTTGCTATTCGCTTGGACAATGCAGTTGATTCGTCACGTTGGTATCCGGGAGCTGGATTATACCGTAATGTTTGGCTAGTCAAGGCCGATCCCGTACACGTGGGCAAGTTTGGAACGCGAATCACTACTCCGTCTGTGTCAGCAGAAGAAGCGACAGTGAAACTTATCGTAGACGTCGAGAACAAGGCCGCGTCTGATCAGGAGATCTTTGTCGAGACTGAAATAAAGTCTCCAGAAGGCATAGTGGTCGGCAATTTCGAGAGAACGTCGGTGAACGTTGCGTCGGGTGAAAAGCAGCAGGCAACCGGCACACTGACAATCGAGAATCCATCACTCTGGGGGCCACCTCCAACCCAGACGCCAAACCTCTATGTAGCTGTGACCACTCTACTCACGAGCGACGGCACAGTTATCGACCAATATGAGTCAACTTTCGGTATCCGGTCGATCACTTATGATGGTGAACGGGGTGTCCTTGTCAATGGCGAGAAAGTGTACGTCCGAGGAACAGATAATCATCACGACCTTGGCAGTCTCGGCGCAGCGTTCAACAACCGAGCCGCTGAGAGACAGCTCGAGATGCTACTCGAAATGGGTGGAAATGCCCTTCGAATGTCCCATAACCCACCAGCGCCCGAGCTACTCGATCTCGCTGACCGCATGGGCTTCTTGGTTATCGACGAGGCTTTTGACATGTGGAACGAAGAGAAGGTCACAAATGACTACCACTTGCTATTCCCCGATTGGCACGAGCCGGACCTGCGGTCTTTCCTTCGAAGGGACTTCAATCACCCTTCTGTGATCTCATGGAGTATTGGGAATGAGATCCCTGAACAGAGGACGGCTGCTGGCGCAGCGACAGGCAAGATTTTATACGATATAGTGCATGAAGAGGATGGGACGCGGCCTGTCACATCGGCCTTGAACAATGGGCAACCTGGTGATGGACTGGTGGGCCTTATGGATATCCAGAGTCTTAATTATCAGGGCGAGGGTCGCGGAAACTCGTGGGACAGTTCATTCCCCGAGTTTCACAGCGCTTACCCAGACAAGCTTATCTGGACGAGTGAGAGTGCATCGACTCTCAGCACCCGAGGCACCTATATCTTCCCAGTCGTGGGGAACATGAGCCAGGTCGTGAGCGATGCACCAGGCGCCGGTGGCAATTCTACTTCGCTAGAAGTCAGTGCATACGAGTTGTACGCACCGTCCTGGGCTTCATCTCCTGACAAGGTGTTCAAACAGCAAGATCTGCACCCCTATGTTGCCGGCGAATTCGTTTGGACTGGATGGGATTACCTTGGAGAGCCCACGCCATACGACGACTTCGAGGCGGCGCGCAGCTCCTACTTCGGCATCATCGATCTGGCTGGATTCAAGAAGGATAGATTCTACTTGTATCAGTCGCGCTGGCGATCCGACCTGCAGTTCGCCCACATCCTCCCTCATTGGAGCTGGCCGTCTGATCGCGTAGGCGAGGTCACCCCTGTCCATGTGTTCACATCCGCCGACGAGGCAGAACTGTTCGTGAATGGCGAATCGGCTGGCAGGCTCGTTAAGGAGGAGCTTACTTATCGCTTCCGCTGGGACAACGTCACATACTCTCCAGGCGACCTTCGCGTCGTCACGTATAAGAACGGAGCTGTTTGGGCCGAGGCTACAAAGAAGACTGTTGGGGATGCTGCAGCCTTGAACATGACAGCGGACCGGGACACCATCTCGGCCGACGGGTATGACTTGTCTTTTATCACTGTTGCGGTCGTCGACGCCACTGGGGATACTGTACCATATGCAAGCAACAGCATTACCTTCTCGATCTCGGGACCAGGTGAGATAGTATCGACAGACAACGGCAGTCCGATTGACCAAACACCATTTCCGTCCCTCACGCGCAACGCATTCAGCGGCCTAGCTCTTGCTATCGTTCGTACTCGTGCTGGGGAGCAAGGCGTAATTACCGTGTCGGCTACGGCGGACGGACTAGCGGGTGGTGAGGTGGTCATTGAGGCAGTTTGAACTTGCAGGAGGCTATGCAGTAATCTCTGATAAGGTGTAATGATCCATCCTAAGGAATATTCTGCAATCAAAATCTGAGATACCTATCTGTCTTTCTGACATGCTTGTATTGCCTTGCGAGTGCTCGTGAGGAGGCCTTGGTTTCGTGAAGTGTGACAATGAACTCTTGGCAAAGGATTCATTCCTTGAAATTGGTTCGACATGATAGGTTGTACATAGATGTATCTGATAATTAAGCGAACATGGATCGAATGAGTTAGAACGTGAGGCTATGTTACAAGTAGATGGCGAACAGGGCTGAATCGTATATCTCGACATGTTCCGAGCCGAGGCACAACCCCATGCTACTACTCCATTTTAGTCCATAGGATTAGAGGGCTTAAGACTCTTGCACATAGCCCATTTCTCCTATATTTGGTGATCATGAGAACTAACTTTGCTGGTACCGAGCCAGATTGACGCTATAATTGAGATGTGACGTCGTATTACTTACAATGGTTTCACGAGGTATATGTGTGTTCTGAATCACTCTCAAACCCGATGACGGAGCTCTGTCGTATAAAATTCAATAAACTCACTGAGGCCTGGTGTTTCCGAGATAGCCGACCTGGCTGCATGAAATGTAGGCTATGTGATGCACTTGCGAGATAGTCCCTTGGCATATGAGGAGTTTCGTTGCTGAGCCGAGGCTCACATATATCAAGCCTAGACTTCGTCTGCATCATGACCATTCAGGAGACGAATCAAAAGAGTATTGATAGCGACAAATAATGATGATTGTGTAGTCTTATTGGGATTGAGTGGTGATTGGCCTGGAGTTGAGGCTGTCGCAAGAGAATCTGGAATAGGTATAGAAGGACTCGTGGCTTTCCGTGCATATTGCAGTGAACGAACCAATGACTGGCCCCAGAAGGCACAGTTTTCTGCATAGCTGACGGTGGAAGAGTGCGCCACAGAGATCAAGGTCAGGATCGGCTCGGCGCTAGTAAATCTCCCGTGCGGCTTCAGGTCATGCTGGCATAAGGTTGAGCCCTGCAGCACGCAGCTTGTGCCTTGAAGTGGTATCGCCCATGATTGTTCCACGGCGTCGGAGCCATTAGTTTGGTCAGCTAGGATTGCCTAGACGAGTCTGGACCTTGAGTTAATCCCATCCCAGCCGCATGTGGTGTGTTGCGATACGTGCATGGACTCTGCAACGCTTCCAATGGGTGAATCGCCAGCAGCTAAGGTAGCATCCATAGGTATATTGAAGTAGATTGCACCCATAGATAGGACGGCAAAGCAGATAATCACCTACCTACTCAAGTCATCTAGCAATTGCGATCAAGCTCGGCCCTCCTTCTTGAATCTCACATGAGGGAAAAGGCTGGTCGGTCCACGTCAGCGAGAGGTTGAGAGTCATTCCAGGCTGTAGATCCAGCAACGCCCAGCCAGCCATGGCATGCTGCTTTGATTTGAGGATGCAAAGTGTGATTTATTTAGCAGCATGTTAGATCCGGAGACCAGTCACCGTGGCACGGCATGGCTGAACGCAAGTGATCAGACCAGGTCCCCCTTTTCCCACAGCGCATCCCTACCGACTCCCGGATGCGACCGGCCGGCGGAGTCCACAGGGGGGCATCTTGGTCAATAATTGAGTCCTCTGCCCATCGCTGCAAAGACAACATGACTTCACGCCTCCCGAGGCAGCACGGCGCTGCATACTACTTGTGGTAAGACCACCCCGCATTGCGGGTTTGCCCAGCCATTCCCCGCATCACCGGTCGTTTTACCCCAGGTTCTACTGACTCTGGGGCTCTCCACCAGGTGGAACCATGACGGCGGCTTTGCAACAGAGTTGGCCCAAGATGGATCCGCTGCCTGCTGGTGATGCCTCCCTCCCTCCCCGATATCGAGTAAACCGCCCGGAGAGCTAGGCCAAACCAATATGGATACAGGCCCGGCAGATGGTGCGGATGCTGCCACGCCTCGTATGTGGATCATTGACTTGGAGAAATTGGATCCGTTCAGCGGATGGTACGCCGAGACTTGGGGGAAAGCTTGCCAATGAGTGCGCCCCAGGTTCCAAGACATCTGGAGGGCCCCCTCTAGTTAGATCGCCCGCGCTCGTGAGGGGTCGGTCAGCTGGCGAATGATCGACCTGGACATCACCATCATGCACGAGAGACAGGGGACACACGTTTCCCTATCCCAGAATCGATATTCTGTGCGATAGACCCTGGTCAAGTAGACGATGGTTCGATGGCGATTGGTCAAGGACCCGGAGCACCAGGCTTGGCTGGGCCCAGCACTCGTGCTCTTCTTACCATAGTACATATACTCCATCCGCCGCATTTACATTTCCGGCTGAATAGTGTTTCCCTGTTGTTCACATCTACTCCCACTCTTCCTTACCCTACAGCCTGCGCCCGACCTGACACACAGCCGCCAGTATGGATCGCGACTCTGAAAAAGCCGCGGTCGACTACGTGCCAGATGTCGAGTTGACAAAGACGGCTACGGAAGGCACCAACAGCTGGCAGAATGAGTACCCTCCAGATGTCCAGAGAAGCATCATCCGCAGGATTGATCGCCGACTTGTCCTCACCGTCGGCTTTATGTACTGCGTATCCCTGATGGATAGGTGAGTACTCCAAGTCTCCACTCCTTCAGACACGTCGTCTGCGGGTGCCACTTTTGGTCCGTGTGTCCAGCCGTGCTAATTTCAGCCAGGACCAACCTCTCGGCAGCCAGCATCGCTGGTATGCAAAAGGAGCTTGAGCTTGGTATTCACGACCGTTACTCGATCGTGACACTCGTGTTTTTCGTGACCTATATCGTATTCCAACCTCCGGCGACTGTTATCGCACGCAAGCTGGGACCCCGCAACTTCCTTTCCGCAATCACGCTTCTCTGGGGAGCTTTGATGATTGGCTTTGGCTTCGTGAAGAACTGGCAGTCCTTGGCCGCTCTGCGTGTCATTCTCGGTATACTGGAAGCTGGATTCTTCCCGAGCTCCGTCTACCTTCTGAGCACTTGGGTAAGTGGTTTCGTCATGCCGCAGTGGTTGTTACAATATACTGACTGTTTGACTATAGTATACGAGATGTAAGATACGATTTCCAACATGATCGAATTAGCAGAGAACTGACTTGTTACAGATGAGGTCGGCAAGCGATTTTCATTCTTCTACGTCATCGGCTGCGTTGCCTCAGCGTTTGCGGGTATTCTTGCGTATGGCTTGATGCAGATGAACGGCTTGCAGGGCTTAACTGGTTGGCGATGTACGTATAAATGAGCCTTACACCGAGCTTTGTCAACACCTGGCTAACAATGGGTATTCAGGGATTTTCATCATCGAAGGTATCCTTACGTGCTTGATCGGAATCGCTAGTTATTGGCTCTTGATCGACTTCCCTGACTCAAAGAGAAAGCTTTGGAACTTCCTCAGTGATAAGGAGAAGGATTGGGTTGTCAAGCGTATCAATGCAGACCGTGGCGATGCAAGCACACCAAAATTCAAGCTTGGGAAGTTTCTTCGGGCTGGAACTGATTGGAAGATTTGGTGAGTTAAAAAGAGAACGCCTTTTATACTCATGGCTAACATGTGCGTCAAGGTGCTATGCTATGATCTTCTTCAACACAACCACCATTACTTACGCTCTGGCCTATTTCCTCCCGATCATTCTCAACACGCAGATGGGCTTTGACGTCGGAGCAGCTCAGTGCTTGGTAGCACCGCCATACGCATTTGCAGGATTCGTCATGTTTGGCATGGGCTGGCTCGGCGACAAATATCACGTCAGAGGCCCAATCATTATGGGCAACATGCTCCTCTGCCTGATTGGTCTTCCAATCATGGGCTGGCACCCGAACAGTTCCGTTCGATACTTTGGTGTCTTCCTTGTGACAGCTGGAGCCAACTCCAATGTCCCTTCAGCTTTGGCATATCAAGCAAACAACATTCGTGGTCAATGGAAGCGTGCACTCTGCAGTGCTACATTTGTGGGATTCGGTGGTATCGGTGGTATTGCTGGTAGCTTGGTGTTCAGGTACGCAACCTTGGCAGAGTGATCGGACTGGAAGCCAGTGCTAACCCAAACCGTTTATAGAGCTCAGGATGCTGCAACGGGATACAAGCCCGGCCTTTACGCAGCTATCGCTTGCTCGCTGTTGAACCTAGTACTTGTTGCCATTGTCGACACTGCATTTTACTTTGAGAACCGCAAAGCCGACCGTGGAGAGAAGGAGCTGGAGCACGATGACGATGTAAGTTACAGCTCAGATCTCCATTCTGATGAACGTGAGCTAATACTCTGTATAGGAGGTACGAGAGCGTGGATTCCGATACACTTATTAAAACCCCTCGTTGAATAGATCTGGGTCTCATGACATTTATGAGGTTCATGACTTGGTGGAGTTCTTGCAGGATCATATCTCTCCCAAAACAGCCGGTGATACGAGATTATTGGATTCTGTCTGGTGTAGGAACAACAGCGTCTGACGGTTTCATTCATAGACCAGTAGACGAATCTATACAATATTTATGCCATTTGAAAAGTGACCACTACGATGCAGCTCCGCCCGTACTACTGATATGTAAGATGTACTTTCGAATCTGGTATGGAATAATGCCGGGTATTTATGCCAAAGAGACCACTGTTGCAATGTGGGCACTGTCTATACAGATTGCGGGAGTCAACTTCAACCTCTTAGTTTCGCAGATTTCCGGCCTGAAGCAAATGGAACTTTCCAACTTTGCCCTCATAATCTTGGTATCACTTTCAAGTTGTGCTGTTACAGTAGAAGTTGCGTTATGCGGACCTCAACATTTCATCAATGAGCACCCTGGACGGGTTGAAAAGAGAAGCGTAGGGCCTGCGAGGCCAGTGATGTACCGATATAAAAGACCCATAGAATCAATGTTGATTTATTCCGTGAATTAACTCTAATAGACCTGTTGTGTTAGTTGCCGGCTTATTTAATACTGCTGCCTACTTACATGTCAGCATCTTACGACTGCTGCGTGGAGAACCGCGTAAGCTATGAAGCAGGCACAACCACTCACGGATTAGCGCTAAGCCCAACATATCTCAGTGAAGTCGAAAGTGTCCTGACTACCGCCGAAGAAGTTTCTCGTCTTCGAAATTAAAGCCCGGGATGACGGATAGTGATCATCAGCTCTCCTTGGCTATGTCTTCGATTACGCTGCATGTATAGTCAGCCAGATATTTATATCGCTCTCTATGAGCTTTATCTAGATTGTTTTCTCCAAGTGAAAAGCTTGGACAGCCCATACGGTCAAATATAGTAAGATGGCTCTTCCCTTCGCACGGCCATTGTCTTTGGCACCAGATTTCGCACTTTCCTCCATAGGCCAGGATGATATCGATGGTGTAATTTCGTGTCACCACCAAGCATTCAACTCTCCGGGGGAGCGTTTCTGGTGGTCACCTGATCTCGACGCCATGCGCGCGTTTCAACGTGCATCTCTGGAGAAGAATCTGAAGAGCGGTGAAAAGCGGTACTTCAAGATCACACATACGCCGAGCGGGGAGTTAGCAGCCTTTGCAAGCTGGGTTCTGCCCAAACGTTTTGATGGTCTGGGCCTGAGGCCCGTGGTTGGCACGGACACCAACAACGAAGGAGCCCGGGCTGTTGCCGCTGTGGAGGAGATCGGACTATATGTGGATAGCTCAGCACACAGTACTCTGCAATCAAACAAAGTTTCTGGGGAAGCCGATATGGAGGAGTACATTAGGCAGATTGTGAGCCGTCTTCCTGATGGCGCGAGCAAGGAGGGCCTTGCGGAAGCAGTTCGGTTCGAGTTGCATATTCATAATCGCTATGGAGCTGAAGAAATGCTCAGTAAGTTAACTCTGAGTCCTCTTTTGCCTCTCTATGTGTGATGTTATGCACATAGCTTATAATGGTACAGATCTTGCCGTGCTCTGCACTTCCCCAAGGTACGAGCGCCGCGGACTTGCCAAGGCTCTCATTGAACCAGTGCTTGAAATAGCACAGGCTAATGGAATGCCAGTATGGGTTTACTCGTCGCCGGTCGGAAAAGGATTCTATGAGAAACTGGGGTTTGTAGTCATTGAGGCGTATGACCTAGACTTGAGCAACGCGAACAGGGGATTAGAGGGGGTGCATAGGGTCACAGCTATGCAGTGGAATCCAAAACCCTCAATTCGTCACCGGTGGACGTGAGATTACTATTGAAGTAGTATTAAACCTTTGAGAACAATGAGGCTTATAATAATCTCCAAGGGAGCACGGAAATAGGCGACTTGGTGATTCGCACAGGCGCACCGAACAAGGAATATCCTGTCGCTCATAGATGGCATGGTAGTTAGAAGAGCCGAGATTGCTGAAGGCTGAGGCGGAGAAGATCGAGAAGAAGCTGAAACCACTAAGTCTAGGCTACAAAATGCTAAGAGTAAAGGAAAATATATTGAATAATGATGTAGCCATTAGATTGCAGCCCAGACTTGAGGCCGTAATGCTTACGACCATGTAGTAAAACCTGACGTCCACTCATCATATATCTCTTCGCTGACATCCCACAATCTTTGTGATACTTTTGCGAGTACGCAGTCGGTTGTGTGAAAGGGGTAAATGTTCACGGCCATTGCAGTGCGGGTGAGTAGCTTAGATATACCAGTTGGCTTCACTAGATCGATAGTAACGAGCGGTTTTGAGTATAAACTATATGCCAAAAGAACATCCTAACTCTCTATGCGTTATATATTATACTACCAGAGTACAGGGCTATGGACTGATCGGAAAGCCCGTCACTGGTGCCGATAAACCAGCCGGCTTGTTGGTGTACTACGATATTAGCTTTGTCTCCTTTAAGGTCCAATTCGACCAAACCAAGGCATCCTAGGCTGACTAGCGCAGCCTTATTAGATACGAAGGAGCGCCCCTCATGTATTCTCTAAACGCAACGGCTTCCAATGGAACTACAAGCACTGGGATAGCAACGTAACGAGTGAATTGAACGTGATGCTTCTTCCAAGCGATACCGAAAACATCGGATACTTAACAGAATATGCTAGACGTCTGGCTTCCTACTCAAGATATTGGATGCGTTCAACCAGACTGTAAATGCGTCCCAAAACGTCCGTTCGGCTTGATCCTCAGCTCTACTTGACGGATTATCGTAAATAGACAGACGTCAGATAACTCCACGTAAGCAACCCCGGGTACTGGATATGACAAGTGAGGCTTGTGCCACACTATTCCGCCTAAGCAGACCTAAAGGCGCAAGGCACACGCGCTATGCCGTGAGCTACGGTACCGAATCGTAGCATCTACAGGCTCAGACAACTTAGAAACACTAAAGAAGGACACCTTAAGCAATAGAAGTGCTGGAAACCTTCCATAACCGCTTCATGTGGTCCCGTCTAAAGATGACATGGTCCGTGGGAGCCAGGGGTTAAACGAGCTGCACAGCCCACTAACAGATTTGCTAGTATGAGATAGTCAGATCTTGCAATTGCGCCAAAGCCAAAAGGACAGATTTATGCGCGATTGTTGATGTTCTATTCCTGGCTGCGCCGGACTTGACAAATACTATGCTTGATAACATCCGCTTTCTCAGGCACTGAAATCGTAACCGCCCTTCCCCGAGACATCCACCTCTACCCAGCTTAGTGCTAATATCACTTCCAGTGAATCAACATCGGACCGAAATGTCTGACTTGAAGTCAATGTGGTTCGCGGCACGTAATCCACCGGCCGATCCAATCTCCCTTTCCTTCAAGGGCAAAGCGGTCCTGGTGACAGGTGCTAGTTCGGGTCTTGGCCTCGCCGCCGCCATAAAATACACAAGGCAAGGCGCATCGCCATTGATATTGGGCGTACAGACTCGTGAGCAAGGGGAACAGGCCAGGAAGGCCATCATGGAGGCCACGAGCTGCGCCAAGGACAATCTCGTGATCCTGACCCTGGACTTCGCATCCTTCGATTCCGTATGCAGTTTTTCTCGAGAACTCGACGCTAAGGTGCCGTATCTTCACATTGCCCAGATCGCTGGTGGTGTCATAAAAAGCAAGTATGATCTCACAGGCGACGGCTATGAGGAGAGCCTCCAGATTGGTGCCCTGAGCACCGCGCTGCTCGGGCAGCTCCTGCTTCCAAAGCTTCGCCGAACGGCGGCTGGGCTGCCGGAGGGCGAGTTCTGCTATCTATCGTTTCTCAATAGCATCGCCCACATGAGGGTCACAGCATCGGACCTGCCTATGGGGCACTCACTAGTCCAAAGATGCAACGACGGCGAACAGTGGGACGCTCACAAGCAGTACGCCCTGGTGAAGCTAGTAGCGCGGCTCGCGGTGAAAGGCATCGCTGATAAGTGTGCCGAGGATGCCAAGATTATTGTCAATGCGAGCTGCCCCGGTGTCTGCAAGACGAACATGTATAAGGACATGTCTCTCTTATCTAGGGCTTCGGTGGAGGTGCAGTGGTTTTTCGTGGGTCGTACCGCCGAGCAAGGAGCTCGCACCTTGGTCAGCGCTACTGGCTTGGGGCCAGAAAGCCGCGGCAATTTTTGGAATAACGACGAACTACTACCGTAAGGCACTCTTCCTGATTTGAATAACAGTCAACATATGAGAGCATCATGTCCACTGACACGTCTCTTCGCTATAGCCCCAGCGAATTGCTAGCAAGCGACCGAGCTGTGTCCTTGTATCAAGAAACTTGGGGCGAGGTCCAGAAAATTCTGCATATTTATATCAGCTAAGATAAGCTCTAAAGTGTGCGTCGTTTGATGCCAGGCAGCATGGGCTGAATGTATAGGATACTGTCCAGGATTTTCGCGTTTACCGGGCTCGCTCGAACCTTGACAAAAGGCTTTTGATCTCTCCTATTGATTGGAAATAATGAAACAAAGGCAGATTGAACAATATAATTGCTCCTGGATGCCTCCATAATGAAAGAAGTGAGTCAAAATGATCATCTGCGCAGTCCTGTTGGTCGCTCGTTATATAGTAGGATAACGTCTAGACTTCACAAGCCAGCTGAACCACTACAATATATTAGTAGCTTACGACAAACTATGGATCGGGAAATGTAAAAGCATTAATTCTTCAAGAATTTCTTGTCTAATTGAGCAAAATTTTGTGCCTGGATGTTAGGGTCGCTTATCGGATGCTTAAGGCTTCCGGCGAGTAGGGCCCTAGAACCGTCAATGTATGCCGCCCTTTGGTTAAGTCGAGTTCAACTCTTTATTTTGGGTTGGTTGGTTTTGGGCACTGCTACATTGAACGGCCCCAATGATAAATATAGAATCTGCGTTCTGACTAAAGTTGCCGAGCTAACAATCAGAGCAATATATAAGCTTGAAAAATTCTTGAAGAATTAATGTTGATACATTTTCCGATCCATAATTCATTTTGAGCTCCTAACATATTATAATGGTTCAGCTGACTTGTAAAGCCCAGACGTTATCCTACTATATAGAAGTATATTGAACCCACGGAAAGAAAGAATCAAAGAGAGCTTGGCCATGCTTGGAGGATACCTCGTGACAGCTGATTTCAGGCGGACTGTGAAGATTCATGCTGACACGGCCAGTGCAGTGGGTTTTATAATTGAAGGTTTCTTGACGCTTGGTAGTACGGAGCCCGTACAAAGTGATTGAGCTTCTTTCCAGCATCCGCAGGGGTGCACACATGAGGATTCACACGTATGGACCGCGGTACACTCTATACTTTCCGAGTTCGTTTAATGACAGTGCATCAGATATGACCGACCGACTTGACCAATAAGTCCTGGGCCGTGGGAACAGATGGAAAAGACACGAATTGAGACACGCTGGGGCTCTACTAAGAAAAGTCCAACTCGCGAACATTTAGACAGTACAGAGTGATCTCGACATTATCACAACGGCTTCTGATTCTAGTCCGTCGGAAGGCTGAAGGAGGCGAAACACGCATGATGTATAGCCAATCGCCAGACAAATCAAGCACTGACGGACGGGATGCCTGGTCAAGCGAGTGACTTGCAATCCACTTTTTAATCTGGGCCGGCGCAGACTCCAGCAAGAGAGGTTGATTGCGGTATTGTTGGCAATGGTGATCTAATTCCTTTCGAATCTGCTCATGGCGATCGTTTCTGAGTCTAAATGTCAGCCCTGCCTCAGAGTTGGACGAATTACGATTTTTCAGACCTGGTTCCCGCTATACATGAGGCCGCGCTAGGGAGTGACAGCGGCTTCTACCACATTACCGTGCGACCGAGGCCGTTAAGGCCCGAATTGCACGCGGATTCTGTGGCGTATTACGCTGGTGTAGTAGCTTGATTCGATGGCCTGTCTGCTGTGTGCACGGAGGTTCGGAATACAAGAAAGGGCCCTGGTCCGGTTTTTGAGTTGATCGACAGCTACTTAATGAAGTACGATACAACCCAGGAGTATAGCGGTGTTACACCGAATAGAACCCTAGAGTTACAGCGTAACACTGCCGGGTCGAACGGGCGGGACCAGTGAAACCGGGAATCATCAGGCGAATTCTAGCGCTGGTGGTGTGGGCAGGATTCCCCACACCCCACTTTTGATAGAGTATGCAAGAGGGCGAGTCTCTATAGTACCTTCCCTTCTAAGCGATGTAGCAGCCAAGACTAATAGTGTAGAATAAATACCTTGGCAGCTTAACCCGTATTGGAATCTGTGAAGGCGTAGAGGTCTAGAACTCGCATTTTACATACAATTGTTCCTGGCAGCCGGAAGATTGCAGGGTTCTGCGCCAAGCCTAAAATATATATCACTGATAGCTGAGGTACACGTGAGATTGTGTCACTGCAGGTTGTTAAACCGGTCATTGTCCCGAATAGGACCCACCGGGCGCTTTTCGGAAATCTAAGGTTTTATGCTTATTTCTCTGTATTGACAGATTGCCTGCAAGCGTTACCTAATAGAGACCTGAATTCCGTGGGCTAACGGCATGGATTGCCCCATCCATCGACCAGAACCAACACACAGGCCGGGATAATAACGTCGACTTGCCGAGTCTGAGGTTTGTTGAAACTTGGGGTAACGTCGAGGCGAGCGTTGGGGCGAATTAGGAAGGAGGCATTTGGCAACGGCTCGTCTTGTGGAGGGCTCTGTTCTGGGCGGCGAGAATATGTATAGAAGTATGTTACAAATCAAGATATCAGCACGATGAATCAAGTCGATTTGGGAAGGAGGAATTGGCGAAGCCTAGTTTAATATAGGGCTCTGTCTTGGACAGCGGCAAATAGAATCATGATGAGAGTCACGATACTAGAGCCGGGACAAGTATAAATGAGTGTGTTTGTCCTCATCCAGTCTGGTAGTTTGAAGCAGCATCCTAGACTCACCTCGCTTACTATCTAGCTTCCACAATACCAACGCCTCTTTATCTCTCCCACGTGTTGTCTCAGAACGCTAGACATGGAGCTCACTAGGTTCCTCGCCTTTTTGGCAGCCGTCCTGCCCGTTGCCTACGGTGCCCCCTCGCAGGCCTCGACCAGCCTCCACCCGGAGATCCTGGCCGCCATGAAGCGCGACTTGGGCCTGGACGCCAAGCAGGCCACTGCTCGTGTTGCCCGGGAGCTTGCGGCCACCGATGTCATTGAGCAGCTACGCAGCTCGGCTGGTGACTCGTTCGCTGGTGCTTGGGTCGCCGAGGACGGCACTACGATCAACGTTGGTGTCACTGACCCGGCTTTGGCCGCCGAGGTTACCTCTGCTGGCGCCACACCGGCAATCATGGCCAACAGCCTCTCCAAGCTTGAACAGGCCAAGGCGGCACTTGATAACCTGGACATCGAGCAGCCCAAGACCCTCGCCACGGACTCGGCCGACTCGGGCGTTGCTGCCTATTACGTCGACGTCGCTGCCAACAAGCTCGTCCTAGAGGCACTCGCCGGCAGTATCGCCCACGCTGAGTCGCTGGCCGAGCAGGTCGGGCTCACCGCATCTGAGTTCGAGGTGCGCACAGTTGAGGAGATGCCGACCACCTTCGCCACGGTCCAGGGCGGTGATGCCTACCTCATCAACCGAAGCGCCCGGTGCTCCATCGGTTTCGCGGTCACAACTGGCTTCGTTTCAGCTGGTCACTGTGGCAGCTCTGGTAACTCTGCCACCACCAGCGCCGGTGCGGCCCTGGGAACCTTCTCCGGTTCGGTTTTCCCAGGCAGCGCTGACATGAGCTACGTCCGCACTGTCAGCGGAACCACTCTCAGGGGCTACATCAACAGCTACGGCTCCGGTACCCTGCCAGTGTCGGGCAGCACCGCGTCCGCCGTCGGAGCCAGTATCTGCCGCTCTGGCTCTACCACCGGTGTCCACTGCGGCACCGTCGGCGCTCTGGGCGCCACGGTTAACTACGCCGAAGGACGTGTCACTGGTCTGACCCGAACCAGTGTGTGCGCCGAGCCCGGTGACTCTGGCGGCTCCTTCTACTCTGGCGCCCAGGCCCAGGGTGTCACTTCGGGAGGCTCTGGCAGCTGCACTAGCGGCGGCACAACCTACTTCCAGCCCGTCAACGAGATCCTGTCGACCTACAGCCTCACTTTGGTCAGGGCTTAAATAGCCATTTGTGTCAGACAGTCGCACGGAGGGTCATTCACAGCGAACCAGTACGGAAGCAGTCAATTAAGTGGATTCTGTGCCGCGTGAATTGCTTATTTTATTGTCTATATGTTTGTCTGTCTCCTGTCTATACTCTTACTTCTAAATATATATACTATATGGAGGTTGATTTGTCAAATGTTCTTCACCGTGGTCTGTGCGTACCGTGCATTGCCTCCTTTGGGTATAGTCACTATAATCTCAATGGCTTTTCACTGTAAGCGAAAGCCTCTTTTGCACCGTCAATACCCTACGAGCATTAGAATTTATAGGGGCTTGGACGTAATACGCATTGCATAGAAAGTGAGCCTTATTCGCACGATGGCGATGACTTTTAAAATGAACCTCCTTATTTTCCAGTGCACTAATACGCCTTATAGAATAGCGCTTTTTAGTGCCAGTAAAGTGTCGCAATATCACGCCACACGGATCGGCGGTCAATCGGAGATACCCACTATTCCCGGCTCCCCTTCAACCCCCTCCGGACATTGAAGCTCGCGCCGAACTGCAAGGTGGCGATAGGTAAAGAGTGAAATCTCAGGCAGATAACTTCGAACCATCAGTCAAATTTGCAACTGTGAAGATTCAAAATGGCCCAACCAACGTCAGCCCAGAAAATCGTCTTCGGCTCGATGACGCTTGGCAAGGAGGGTAGGTACTCCATCCGTCCTGTCGTTTTCTTAACGCGCCGGCTGATGATCTCAGGCGCCGACCAAGCACGCGTCCATAGCCTTGAAGAGTCGGGTGCGATATTGGATGTTTTCCAGAAGTTCGGGCATATTGAAGTTGACAGCGCCCGTAGCTATGCCGGGGGCAGCACCGAGGAATATCTGGGGGCTCTGAAATGGCAAGAGCGCGGTCTGGTTCTCGATACCAAGCTCTCACCACTCGGCAGACTGGGCGCAACCAAGTATACTCATTCTCCAGCTGACCTGCGCCGGGGCCTGCGGGATTCATTGACGGCTTTGAGAACAGACAAGGTGGACTTGTGGTATCTCCATGCACCGGACCACAACGTCCCCTACGAAGAGACACTTCGCGAGGTCAATGAGCTACATAAACAAGGGTACTTCAAGCGCTTCGGGCTCAGCAACTATGCCGCGTGGGAGGTTGCTCAGATCTCCGAGATCTGCATCAGAAACGGATGGAAGCGGCCCGACGTCTATCAGGGCGTCTACAATGGTCTTCATCGCTCCGTGGAAGCAGAACTCTTCCCCGCGCTTCGACACTACGGCATCGCATTCTACGCGTATAACCCGCTTGCTGGCGGATTTCTGACAGACCGATATGAGCGGTCCACCCAAGATCATGAAGAAGGTAGTAGATTTGACCCCAACAGGAGCCAGGGAAAGAGTTACCGCGGCCGTTACTGGAATGAGACGTACTTTGATGCCTTGGACAAAGTGAGACCGGTAGCGAAGGACCTGGGCATCAACACGGCGGAGGCTGCGCTACGGTGGATAAGTCATCATGGAGTCTTGAACAAGGAAAAGGGGGATGCCATCATCATCGGAGCTAGCAGTGCGAAGCAATTGGACGAAAACCTGCAGAACCTAGGAAAGGGGCCTCTACCAGAGGAGTTGGTAAAAGCTTTCGACGAAGCTTGGAGAGTTGCCAAAGGTAGGGTTGAGAACTACTTTCGATAAGCGGTCGGGAGTTATGTAGACGCCGGTCGTACAGTACCCTTGTGATACGAGCTTCCAACTCCCAATGGCCTTTAACTTACCAATTGCTTCACAAGTATCAGCGACCCTGCGCCAGCATTGAAAGCCGTGTCAGCAACCCTGCCATTGCGTCAAATGTGAATTGCCGAAAGAACCGACACCTCTTCGAGTATCGGCCCCGGTACTTGATCCTTTTTACGCTGTCCGTCGGATGGTGGACGCAGCTTATGTCGCGACGGGCTTTCGATTGTCTATCAACCAAGTTCCCAAGCCTAGCTTGTGGTACTGCATCCTAAGGGCGTAGACCCACCCAACCAACTACTATCGATAAGAAGCGTACCGGGAAATTTTGGCGGGGAGAAAGGTCAAACGCCCTAGAAATTACCATTGAGCACTTCCGTACGCGACAGCCTTGCTTCAACAAACCACTTCTCTTGAGGTGGAGGATGCGCATGCGCCTATACGTTTCAGCATGGGTGCCGAGGATAATTCGCACGAGCGCGCAGCGCCAGCCACTGCGCCCGTTGACAAGCCCGTTCCGGCTACCGAGTCCGCGAAGCGCAAGGATGCTCCAGACGCAGTCTCATCGAATGCAGATGGCGAGCCCAGGAAGCGCCAATTCAACTCGAATCGCGGCCGCGGTCGGGGCTCAGGGGGCCGAGGTAGTGGCCGAGGAGGGCGTGGTGGGCGAGGCGGTCGAGGCGGCAGAGGAGGCAACCATGGCGGCGGCGACGACAAGCGCGACGACTCGAGGTGAGTCCCCCATCCCCTCAGTCTTGCCGTGTAACAGCGAAGCCAATACGAGCTAACCAGCCCCCCGTAGCCAACAAGACGAGCCCAAGAAGGACGACTGGAGGCAGGACTGGCGCGACCGCAAACGCCGCAAAGTAGACGAGAATGGCAAGCGCGCCGGCGTGCCCGAGGGCCAATCGAGCTACATGAGCATCGCCTTCTCCAAGGACGAGATCGCCGCCGAAGAACGTCGACCGAAGCGCAAGGTGGCTGTCATGATTGGCTACTCCGGCACCGGATACCATGGCCTACAGATTAACCACAAGGAGAAGACGATAGAGGGTGACCTGTTCGCCGCCTTCGTCGCTGCGAACGCAATCTCCAAGGCCAATGCTGACGATCCGAGGAAGTCGAGCTTGGTCCGGACGGCGCGAACGGACAAGGGTGTTCACGCGGCGGGCAACGTCATCTCGCTCAAGCTGATCATCGAGGATCCCGATGTTGTCAAGAAGATCAATGATGCTCTGCCGCCCCAGATCAGGGTATGGGGCATTCAGAGAACCAATAATGCCTTCAACTGCTACCAAACCTGTGATTCACGTTGGTACGAGTATCTCATGCCAAGCTACTGCCTCTTGCCGCCACACCCAGATACCTTTTTGGGCAAGCAGGTGCTCGAGGCCGTCAAGGAGAAGGGCGTCGAGGAGGAATACAACAAGCGCATGGAAGACGTCAAGAACTTCTGGGAGGACGTAGAGAAGAACGACATCCAACCCATCATTGATGCCCTGGAACCAGAGGTTCGCGAGGAAGTCTTGCGCAGAAGACACGCGGCCGAGTCGGAAAGCAAGGGAAATAAGATAATCAAGACAGATGGCGAAGAGGGTGTCCCGAACGAGACAAAGGAATCGCCTGCCGCCAAGGATGTGGAGATGGAGAATGCCGCGCCAGAAGAAGCACAGCCTTCCCTCGCGCCTACAGATGCAGATGTTCAGACAACAGAGTCGGCGCCCAAGCTGGATGGGTCAGGAGAGGGAACAGAGGAGGCCCTAAATGCCTCTGAACAGTCGCAACCGAAGCCTCCGAGGCCTGCAGATGTGGCGCTGAAGCAGATCAAGACGGCTTACGTTGCTGCGAAGCGACGTTACCGTGTTACCCCCGAGCGTCTCTCCCAACTGCAGCAGGCTCTGGATCTGTACGTTGGCACCAAGAACTACCACAACTATACCATCGTGAAGTCACCTACCGACCCTTCTGCCAAGCGCAATATCAAGTCGTTTGTAGCCAACCCAGAGCCAATCCAGATCAATGACACCCAATGGCTGTCCTTGAAGGTTCACGGTCAATCGTTCATGATGCACCAGATCCGCAAGATGGTTGGAATGGCTGTCCTCGTTACGCGATGTGCTACAGACCTAAACCGTATCACCGAGAGCTACCAGCATGGCCGGATCAGTATTCCCAAGGCTCCCAGCTTGGGCCTGCTGTTGGAACGTCCAGTCTTCGATAACTACAACGCCCGCGTTGGCGACAACGTGGAGAAGCCTAAGATTGATTTCGGCAACTACGAGAAGGAGTTGCAAGAGTTCAAAGATTCACACATCTACCAGCGGATCTTTGACTTGGAGGAGAAGGAAAACTCGTAAGTTGACTATTCATCCATGGAAGTTGGATCATCGCAGCTGACCAAGACCAGGTTCCACACATTCTTCCACCAGATCGACCATTTCAAGTCCGATTACTTCCTGTGGACCACGGCTCGCGGTATTGGCGCAGCACACCAGAGGGTAGGACAGGCAGAGGATCTGCCCGAAGGTCTCAAGGAAGAGCTAGGTGATGATGAGGGCGAAGATCCCGAGGGTGGTGAGGGTTAGACACCCACGCTTGTCTTGCTGAATTGAGCACATCGTATATCTCTGCTGCAAGGGGTTTGAGAGAACCTATGCCTAAGCGACGTACCTTAGCGTACTGAGAGCATCTGCCAGTGCCGTGAAGGGGATCTGAATAGATGGTCAATCGTATGATGAAAAAGTCTTGTGCGGTATGGCCTCTTCCGACCTATCGTATTGGGGTATCAACGTAGCAATAGCCATTTCCCATGCACTCCTTAGACGCCAGTATCCTCAAACGTAACCCAAATGCAGTTGTCTCTCGCCGTATACGCCACAGCGGGCGAGCCCCTTTCACTTTCTCTGACTCGAGGTCGGGCATCGACCATTGCGTTCCACTTTCCTCTGGTAGTCAGGTCAGCTCTCCGCAGCGGTACTGTCTGCGCGAGCCTGTGCCTCGGCATCAGCCTTCTGCCGCTCCAAGCGCGATGCCATCAGCTCATTGTACAGACCCTGCACAACGCGCGCCTTGCTGTCCAGTTCGGCCTGCTGCGCGGCGTCCTCACCCGGCTTGCGCAGCGGGCCCTTGATCCAGAGCGCCTTGATCTCGCGTGTGATCTGCAGCAGGTTCTGGATCTCCGTGATCTGTTTTGTTTCGTCTTGTTAGCCTAGCCACGCGGGTTCAGAGCCAGATGGACAGCGATTCCCGTCCAGGCCTTCCGGTAGTCCGGATCACGTGTCTAGCACGGCTGGCCAGAGCAGAGCTAGGTCTGGCTGGTGGCGGAGCATGAACGGGATCTAAACAAGATAACACGAGGGGCAAATGCTCTCGGAGAAAGACGTACCAGCGCTGCCGTCTCGTTCTCCATGCGCATCTGGTTCAGCGCCTCGTGATCCAGCGCGCCCTCCTTGGGGATCGGCGCCGTGGCGGCCTTGGTCATGTTGAGGAAGCGGCGCAGGATTGCGGCCATGGCCTTGTTGTGCCGGTCCAGCAGCGTGTCTGCATCTTTCTTGCGGTCCATTTCTTGTCAGTGAGCTTGCGATGGCCCTCACAGATGCCGAGTGGTCGACGGATGGAGATGAAGCATGGGCGTGGTAGACTGTGGGCCAATTGGAAGGCGGCGTGGTTGAGCGCGTCACGTGATGGCGGCATGTGAAAGGAGATCTTGTCGTGGCAGTATCTCACAGCCACCGTTGTCGCGTTTGACTACAGATATTTCGAAATTGTTTTTTGTTCTGATTTTCAATTCAATACGTATATTTCCTGTTTACTATATCGGATGTGCTCACCGATGCTGTTCGCCTGCTATCCCACGAGTGAAAGTGAAAGCCCATAGTCTGAAGCGACAAAAATGCGCTGACAGGAAAGGGTAAAGAATGTTCCACCGGAACCTACCCGACGCTCAACTCGCACTAGCATATAATTACGGTTTCTCGTGTACATGCATACCCGCTGGTGGCATGCTAGGCGGGAACCTTATCTCAGAAGCCGGGCGGGCTGGCGGGTCACCATCTTCGACTTGACGTTACACTAGCTGGCGGATGAAAGAATAAACGACTTTAGTTATCTGTGCTTGCCGAGCAGTTGCTTTCGAATTCAATGCGGTAAGATAGAGGGAGATCAGGAGGTCGGACACATAGTGGAGCTGCAATGCAGACTTGTACATATCTGCTTTTTCGACAGTGGCGACTGTGAAGAGGTACTGAAAGCTGCTGGCCGTGAGCCCTGGTCACCATATCACTTATAACTGGTCATAAAGCCAAGAACGGATTTTCTTCCAGAAACATACTCTAAACGGCATCTCAGGGCCCACATGCCGCTAGCCGCGACACGGTTGCAGGCTCGCAGCCCTCGGTGCCCACCAATAGCATTCAGATTAGTCCTAAAGCATGCGAGGGCCACGCAGTGTCAAAGCATTCAAACGGATTTCGATACAAAATCTGAGTCCATATCAGTAAGATCCCAGCTGCATCTACGGCTAGAGTTGAAGAGATCTACGTGACTCGCCCACTCCGGCTAGGGCCGGACAGGGAAGAGGTATGGGCGACACGGTACTGCTATTGGACATGGTTCAACACTAATGTACACAGCAACGCCATGAAAGAAATACTGGTGCGTGGCTTGCATGCATCACTCAGCCCTTTCGGATTTTCATTCGTAGGGTTTCCCCATCATCTGCAGTCTGATGCTACCATGCAGCGAGCGAAAACAGGGGAACGATTCACATTGCCTTATCTCGAGCTGCAGAATTTTCTCGCTCCAATCACGGAGAAAAGCGATGTCTGAAAGACGAAATATGATCCAGGTTATACTGCGATTCCATGCACGATATCAAGAGGATGCAGATCGTTGTGGTTGATGAAGCACCCGATCATCTGCCTCAATATATCGGATGTCGCTGACAGTATCTAGTAACGTGCAATGAAATGGCACGACTGTATACCACATTGTATCTATTGTCGCGAGACAACTGTGGCCAGCAAGAAACAACGGGGGTAGCCAACGAGGCTTCGTGAATGAGTCTTGGCATACAAGTCGGCAGTGGTCCGATGGGTCACGGGCGCGGACCGGCCGAATGATGGTGTCGATCTGGAGACACCACGAAGCTCCCACAGTATAGCGATTATCAGTTGAGCGCTGCACGAAGACACATGGCTCCCCTGCGAGCTCGTACCAGCTCCAGGCAGGCAACGGGCGGTGATTGGATCGTCGAGCGTCGCAAAAGCAAACCACAGCACGCTTGGGAATGACTCGGGTGTTAGGCGGGGTTCAGCTCCGTGGCCCAGATGTTCGATGTCATTTCTACCTTTTGCTTAGCGCGAACCCTAAAGCCGGTGGGCACCACGAATTCGCGGCAGGCGCACACCAGGCGAAGCTTGCCGCGTGTATTGGTGTGTACGAAGCATACTTATGTATATAACCGACGTGGACGCCATGAGCATCAGACGGTGCGGCAACCCACGTGGTCGAACGTGGTCGATGGGCACCACCAGATGTAGCAGAATCCTGAGATTCGGCGTTCTTTCCGATGATATCGGTCGGGGCATTTGTTTTCAACCCACGCCGACCGTTGACTTCTGAGGAGCAGGCTATCACCATTCCGCCAATATGCCTGAAATCCAGTCCTTCGTCACGGAGACGTTCACCTTTCTCTCCATCGGGATACTGGTCATCGGCCTGCGAACATTTTCCAGGCTCAAGATGTTTAGAGTCCACAGACTCTGGGCCGACGACTATCTGATGCTGCTGGTGATCGTGCCGTACACGGTAGAAAGCGTCCTCGCTTATCAGGTCGCCACCAAATATCACGGACTGGCCAACAGTGGGATGACAGACGAGGCGCGCGCGACGCTCTCGCCAGATGATGTTGAGTACATGTTAAGGTGAGTTTTCCGAGGATGACACTCTCAAATGGAGATATGGATGTGAACTTATATGGAAATGTAGAGTTGGAGGCTCCAGGACCCAGATCGCCGGTTGGTGCATGTATACGACGGTCCTGTGGACCATCAAGGCGAGTCTGTGCACTTTCTATTTACGACTCACTGTAAGTTGCATCTGCTACTTCTGACTATGGGGGGAATATGCAACCGGCCATGAGCAGCACCAGTTAACTCTTGCCGTCTCAAGTTCGGTCTCAACACTCTTCGAAACGCGATATATGTAGGCTTTGGACTGATACTTGCCACCTACATTTGCCTCATTGCCATATTTCTGGGCACTTGCCACCCGTTCCATCGTATGTGGCAGATATACCCGGATCCGGGAAGTAAGCGACCCCCTTTCTGTTTACACACCTGCCCAACCTGCAACGATTATAAGGAATCTAACTTTGCATCAGATGTATGCCAGCCTGGAATATCAAGAATATACATCTTGTCCACCGTCACATTGAACATCATCACAGATCTTTACATACTCTTGATAACGATCATGATGTTACGGGGCACAAACATCCCGATTATCAAGAAAATAGGCGTTTTCGTCCTATTTTCGGGTGGCCTATTCGTTATGGCGGCAGGGCTTCTGCGCTGTTTCATTATCCTCAAAGTCAGCAATCCCGACTGCCCGTGATATACCGCGACTATTCAAGCCCACAGTTGAAGTTTGGAGTGTGCAAAAGCTAATTGTAATGTGAAACTCAGGATCCCCTCAATGGCCCATCTCAAGCTGCATTGTGGGCGATGCGCGAAACATTCGCCGCCGTTGTGACCTCTAATCTCCCCATCATATGGGGTTGGGCACGCCAAAAGCTGAAGCCATACTTGGGCTCTCTTCTTTCATCTGTTAACAGCAATACAAAGGTACATGGCACTCTAGTGATCGCCGACCAGGCTGGTAAAGACTCAATAGTCTCGAGCAAATGCCAACACGGAAACGCATATTCTCAGACGAATGGCCGGCTCAAACACGAGACAGATGTCGAGAATATGGATGGCTTCAGCTCGGACAGTATATCACCCTCTTCTAACCCTGATTGGTTGCAAATCCGGCCGGCTAGATTATCCACGACAAAAACGTTCTATGCTGAGGTTCTGGAAGGCGTGGAGGTTGCAGTTGGACCAAGTACTTTGTCTACACCACTGGAGCCTATACCTCCAGCGAAAATGAAATCATCCCTGGTGTAGTTCAAAGCAAAACTTCATGATGACCACACCTCGCAAGCTTATGTTGATTGACTGTGGCGTAAAAATGAGTTCTGGTTACGGAACAGTCCAGCCCGACCGATGCTACGCCACCAACTTAGCAGCTGATACTGATAAGATGTATGCGGGGTCGTTTAATAGGTGGTCCCTACACGAACAGGCCATCTACCGCCTTCCGGTATATTGTTTGCTTGCTCTATATCAAACGACGTTGCTGCCTTCAAGAATACATGGGGGAAGACTTTGATGTCCGACATACGCTTGGATCACGTGTCTCAACACATGCGATTGAGCAGAGTCAGTTTCCAAGCGTGGGGTAAAGTTTGACCAGACGTACATTGGGCAAAGCCAGCGCTGAAGTCTCCCATAGAACATATCAACAGGGTCAATGCGGAGGGGTTAGTGTCTAGACTAAGTGCCGGTCTCCAATTACGCGTTGCGCTCGCCGCATCATACGAATCCAGCCCCCACTTGCCGGCCAACAACTTTTATTGGTTATTGTATAAAAGAAATCTGATCATCTTGCCAGTACAAGAAGCTGAAGGAGTCGGTGAGTTTCGACATAAGGTCTGAAGTATTTTGAGTTATCTTCGTTGACCGTGCAAGTCTTGTATTCAACAAACAAAAGAACAGACCAACAAACAGACCAGCAGAGCAGTCGAGACTAGACATCAGCTCCATCGCCATGTCCACACAAATCACGCGTAAAGAGTTCCTCGAATATGTCCGGGCCTTCAACGCTCACGATTTCGACAAGCAGTACAGCTACTACGACGATGACGTGATACTCGACTTACCAGACCCCCAGACTGGCAAGTTACGGGGCAAAAAGGGTATAATGGCTCACTACGCACCCCTATTTGAAGTTGCGGAAGAGGTCCTTGTACCCATGCACCTGGCCGTCGACGGCGACAACATCTTCTATGTAATGGAGTCCTATTTCTGTTACAATAAGAAACTCGACCATGGCGTGTTCGGTTATCCGGTAGAACCGGGGGATATCATTAAGATTCGAGTATGGGCGCACTACCAAATCAAGAATAAGAAAATGTACTACATTACCTGTAACCTATTCCAAAAGTGGTTTTTGGGAAAGGTTTCACTGAAGGAAGCTGTTGCGGAAAGCAGGACGAGGGCGGATGACGAGTTTAAAAGTTTCACGTAATGAGGGGGCCACTGCATAAATCAGCAGTATCTCTCTACGATTGGCAAAGCTTCAGACTATACAGCAGAGAACATCAAAAGTATGAACTTCTGAGTTGTACATGGGAAATACGCCATTCTAGACAGCAGTCCAAGTATAAGACTTTAATGATTATGCGCAGAAGACCTGTCTACTTCTACCTAACACTCTACAGGCTGTTTTCTATCTACGAAGACTGATGTGACATACTTAGTTGAACTGGGCTAAGGAATAACAGAAAATATTCCTCGGATCGTAACGGTTCTTGAGCTCCACCAGACGCTGCCACTGAGACCCATAGATAGTAGAGCAGCGAGCTTCCGCCGGTGGTGTCAAGGAGATATAACTTGTTTCTAGCAGGTTTTCTGGGTCCGTCTTCCGAAGTGCATCGCGAAACCCGGTAACCCACAGCCATGACTCCTGGGCTCGGTCCGGGGAACTCGTCGTACCGATGAACTCAAATACATAGTGAGGCGTGCGTGCACTAAAGACGGATCCTGCCCGGGGCGCTGCTGAGGGACCACGTAGCTGATGCGCTGAAAACAAGGTGGCAGGGTCGTCAGGCATCTTGGCAAATTCCTGGGCCATAACGGCGACGACTTCATCAGTCATCTCCTTGACGCTGATTGTACAATTGCCGCCATATGCAGATTTTGGGGGCAGTTCCGTTGAGATTGCCATCCATTCAGGTGTCGTTGTGGCCTTGACCGTGTTGAGAGCAACTTCTCCTCCGAGTGGAGTGACCTGATCTAGCCATTGCCGACCGGTTTCGATATCATCCGAGCTCCAAAGGAAACCAACCGCAAGCGCCTTGCCAAATGGAGTGTTGACCACACTTTGTTGAATGCCAAGCGATTTTGGGAGTCCGTTCTTCGCCAGAGCTTTGTACCCGCTGGAGAACATGTGCAGTGTGGCAGACAGCTCTTGAGACTTATAGACTATGACACCGCCCAAAACTTCTTTCAGCGGGTAAGTCTTGACAGTCAAATCCACAATGACGCCCAGGCAGCCTCCACCTCCGCGAATAGCTTCCAGCATCTCCGTGTCCGCTGTAACTAATTCGCCTTGAGGATTTACCAACGTCGCACCGATGATTTGATCGACACCTAGGCCGTAATTAGCCTCGAGGGCACCATATCCTCCATGTGTAGCCCAGCCAACGTAACCGACAGTCGCAAACGACCCAAACGCGGTAGCCAGGTGATGCTTTGAGAGCTCCTCGGCCAGCTTGAACGCAAGAATGCCACCCCCAATAGTAGCAGAGCTCCCAGAAGAATCCACCGTTATGAAGTCGATATCGCGCATGTCAATGGCGAGCGCATCTTGCGCGAAGCACCGTCCGAAGAGGTCATGACCTCCCGACCGGACGGTGATGCCCACGCCTTCCGACGTAGCCCAGGAGACAAGCGTTGCAACATCTTCCGCGTCCCGTGGCCGGACAATGGCGAATGGCACAGCGGGAGAGTCAAGAATATAAGCTTCGCGCAAGATTGCATACTCGGGAGCATCTGGTGTTACATATCTGATATGAGAGTGCTGCTGCATGAATGTCTCAAAGCTGCTGCGCTGAGACATGGTGGAGACTTGATCTTCGGCAATCGTCCAGGGCTCGATCTCTAGGTATGCCGTAATGTCAAAGTCCGGGGTTCGAGCAAGGGTCAATCTTCGACGATAGGAAAGGCTCAGGACGTTGCAGTACCTTCTCAACGATTGATCGACGAGAAGGGCTGCCGGTTCGCAGCCCGTTTGCGTCTACAACCCCAACTTCTCCAAATGTAGCCCACTCCGGCCGGTGGGCTTTGTGGGGCCGACGCGATACCCGGGTTGGGGTACAGCGGACGCTTTACTGAGACTATAGGAGCGGTGCAGCATGGTCCAGGTCGACATGGAATCGGAGAATTCCTATATGCAGGGAGCGAAATGTTATCATGCACTTCACTGTGGCGCAGTCACCGCCCCGCCCATTACCCTCACCATTATGACAGCCCCATCACCAGCGAGACTTACTTGTCGGACTTGAAAAAAAAAATAATGAAAATAGGGAAACGACGCGACTAGCTTCTGGTCAGCTCTATTCTTGGTCTTATTTCCCTTATATTGAATACTCTGGTTAAGCATGGCTTCGGGAAGACTTTTTGAAGACATTCCGCCATTCCCCGCCGGCCTCCAAACTGCACCACTATATACGATTCCACTAGCCGGCCTGCGTTCGGGGGATGAGGTCACTGCGAAGAATACTCTGAAAGCATGCCAGGATCTGGGCTTCTTCCTGCTCGACCTCCGTGGTGACAGGCTAGGAGACACGGTAATAGAGGAAGTTGATCAGCTTTTCAACGTCGGTAAGGACTTAATGAATCTTCCTTATGACGAGAAAGAGAAGTATCTACATGATGCTCCAAAGAGTTTTCTTGGGTGAGTTCGAGCTTCGAGCTTAAATAACGTGTCATGCAATTCCCATTTACTCATGTTTCCAAGATTCAAGCCCCGCGGTCATGCCAAAATCGAGACAAGCGAGCCAGATCGATTCGAATGGTTCAATATTGGCCAAGATGGGCTGCTAGGGAATACTGCACCTCAAAGACTTCCACCACTTATACATGATCGCCATTCACTACTAACCTCGTTTGTTGAACACGGTCAGAGTATCGTCAGAACCATTAATTCAACCTTAGCGACGCAACTCGGCCTCCCTGCGGATGCATTCGCATCCTTGCAGGAGCCCACCAAGCCATCTGGCACCGTGGTGCGGATCATCAAGGCATTTGCAAGCCCAGAGGCAGAAGACCTCCGCACCAGCATGATTCACCATACAGACTTTGGCACTATCACGCTGCTTGCCAACGTGCTTGGCGGGCTACAGATCCTAGCTCCACACCGACCCCCTGAAGACAAAAGCGCGTGGCTGTGGGTACGTCCGCAGCCCGGCTGCCTTATTGTAAACCTCGGCGATGCCATGGTACAATGGACCGGCGGTTTGCTACGAAGCAATGTGCATCGAATCAATTTTGCACCCGGAGACCAGCGCTTCTCCGATCGGTACAGCTTAGCTCTCTTGGTCCGACCAGAACGCGAGGCAAGCATGAAAAGGCTCACCGGACCAGGCGAGGATGGCGAGGACGGTGACTTGACTGCTTGGGAGTGGGAGGTCAAAAAAGCAATGGCTTTGACTCGCGAGCCGGCTATGATGCAGAGTAAGGGCGGTAAACAAGCAGCGACGAAGACCTGAATTGTTTTCAACAGATGTCATAGGATAAATGTGTTGCCCTCCTCTTAGCCCGGTGAGTAAGAAACATTCAGATGCTCCTTTCTCCAGGGACTGTGATAGAGGCACCGAAGCGTGGCGAATAGACTTGTATCGGCATGCACATTATGATGGATTTAATGCAAGCGATACTGTGCTATTTGTATCACATTGCCAAATACCAATCATAAACTGACTTTGAACTGGTGAAACCTATTATTTATTCGATGGGAAATCTGTGGTCTCATGCTGCAGGCGCCAGCTGATCTCTTGCCTTTTCCGCCGGGATAGCCCTCAATACACTCTGGTGTAACTACTCTCGCGCCAGTACCCCCACAGGTAACTATTCTAGGTATGTACCAATGCATGTCAAGGTAAAATCCACAGTCTTGTTCAAAAGATAGGCGCAGCCGGAAGGCGTTTATTGGATGCAACTTTAACGGAGAAGGGCTGCAGTCAGACGCATGAGTGTCCTCCCTGCATACATGCATACTGTCGTACACATCATCACACCCATCAGATTCAGACCCGATCAGCTGGGATCTGTCCATTCAGGCAATTCTTTCAACGGCGGGCGTAGTAAGGGGTGAAAGAGTTCATTAGTGGTTGGCTCAAATTTGAATTTCGTGTGAACGCAGGGAGGACATGTTTATTGCTAGCATTTGATGTTGCACAGAAGACCGGTCTCACCTCCCTCGCACCCTCGTCAGGAGTTCATATTTAGTTACATGGAATGCGGTGAAAACTTGAAATTTTCGAAGTCCAGCATCGCAGAGAAAATAAGTAGGTATGCAAGGTGCATTATGCGCTCAAATCAAAGACTTGCATAGATTCGTACCAGGCAAAACCAAGCACCTCCTACTTGTACCCCAACCCTTCAAGCCTAGCAGCGTCCCTACATCACACCCCACCGCACTGGTACTTTTGCTGCGTGAATACTCTTCTAGAGTAGCTCATCTACTGCAGGATATATACGAGCATCATGTTTCAAGAATTTAACTTATGCCACATTCCTCCGCAATACTTTGCTTTTGCGAACTGTGTAGGGGCCATAATGACCCCTCCCCGCGGCACCAGCAGTGTTATCCAGCTCTACGATTTGCCAGCTCGAATCGCCGACATCCCTGAGACCTGGCCCGTCTGGGAGGCCAACTAGGGGCGCGGAATCCTTCTTGGGGTTCTGGTGCACGTTTTCTATTGGCGTCGCCAGTACGCTGTATGTGACACAATTGTCATGGGGACGGCATTACTTGCCATCAATGATTTTTTTAGTTGTCTGCATCCATGGTAACAAGAATTGGGTTCTTTTTCGCCTTTTTCGGCACTTTTGCCTACGTCTCCACAGGTTACTTTGGTTGGACTCAAAGTGGCAATGCAGGCCGAGCGGCGCGTTGAAGGGCCAATTTCGGAATTATGACCACATCAGAAGGATTGGGGGAGGGAGGGTCGGATCATTGCTAATCGCGCTTGGACATTGCGAGGGCGGCCCTGCAGTACATGCATCTGAAAAGTGTCATCATGGTGCTGGAACTCAAACAACGGAATACTTGAATTAGCTAGTTCTGTATGCTCGTTCATTGTTGGCGCCGCCATTTCTCTATGGCTAGAAGTCACTCACTAGGGAGATCGATGAATCCATAATTCCTTTTTCAATTTTTTTGGGGGTTTTTTTTTTTCCTTTTTGACTGGTTCTGGGAAGGGGAGAGGAGGGGGTGGGGGTTGCAGCGGAGATTCATAATGACAACTCAGCGCAACAAAAGCAAATATTCTCCCTGCAACATGGGTTTCTCAATATAGTACGCAAACCGTTTGATACTGAGCACATACGACCATAGACGCTAGAGAACTCGGGATCCCGTCCGCTCTCCCATAGATAAACTGGCGATCGCTGGATTAGTAGTTGGGTGGGTGACCACCAGCGAATACCCGGTGTTGTATGTCTGCTTTTTGTTATTTTTTGACTACCCGTACTGGTCCTAGAAACCGAATCATTCCATGACGGGCCGTCGTCGACCAGATCTGCGGTATCGGTTGCCAATGGTAGTTATGAAACTTACCAACAATCTGCCCCTGAGACTCAGACTGGCTCCGGGAAGAAGCCAAAACTTAATATCGTAGAGGTCGAAGAATGTCACGGCTACGCGACTCACATTTTGATATGTGGTCTGTGCGCTAGCTCTAGCCTAGAGTAGAATAGCTTCCCAGTGCTGTGGAGAAACCTTTCATTCCCTAGCGCAACTACATCGTATGTTTGCACTTTTACAAAGAAACTGTCTTTTGATACCAAACTAACCATATATAATCTAGAATTTACTTCTTTACCGCTATATCAGTAGAAGCAAACTGATTGCACTATCAATTGAAATTATCACATGTTCTTCGAAATTCCCGGTTCAATCGTTTCCAAAATCCGGATCAACTCTCTGTATATCTTCTTCTGAATCCTAGAACCCTCGTCTGATTCCACGAACTCATGCGGCGTGCTTAGCTGGCAGTCTTCTAAGTATTTACCATGGCTATTCCACCCAGCCACAGCAGCCGAGATGTATGTCCGGGCTCCCATTTCGGGGGTGCGCCCTATTAGTCCGAAGCCGACTCTTGTGAGGACTTCGTAATACCACGCCCAAGACTTCTCCCGCAAAAGCTGAGTCTGGCAAGACCCGGGCTCAACAATATTCAGCACGACCTGCGGCTTCCCTGCTTCTTTGCTCTTCAACATCTCAGCGGCGATTTCCCGGCCGGCGAATAAGCTCATAAGTTTCGTGTTAGCATAGCGGTTGAAGTGCTCAAAGATGGATGGTGCATCGCGACCCTCGAATCTGGTATAGAAATGTGCGTCGGAGCTCACGATAACCAAGTGCGGGACGCTTTCACCGTGAGTCATGGATCCGGTCTGAGTATCGTCACGGTAAAAGGCTTCTTTGGTGGCTCATAAGGCTGGAAGCAGCTGCAAGGCCATCAACCATGTCGAGATGACGTTGACCGTAAGCAGGCGCTCATAACCCTCCGCGAGGTTATATAACGTGCTAAAGAGGCCAGCGTTCTCAATGACAACGTCGAGACGGCGCAGTGACGCTGTACGGCGGCAGAAGGCCCTGGCGCTATGAAATGATTCAAAGTCGACTTGTAGGACAGTAAGACAAGTCATATATACTAGGGAAGGTAACGCACATGATTACAGGCAAGCTACGACGCCAGGATGGTTCTGCAGATGTACAGAAAAACGAGGCAGTGAAATATATATTTCTTGTGCGAATTGGCGGGAAAGCAAGAATGTGGGAACTCAGTTTCCTCATCTGTGCGGGCACATCCTACTATGCATACGGCTCATCTTCAACCCAGTCTGGACACCTGGTTAGGCTTAGGCTGTATCAGCTCCTACCCCAAACCCCTCTACCAGCGCGAGCTCTGTCTATTACCAGAAACATGATACGTTACACAAATGCACATGACTGATATTTGAAGATTGGTGCCCAGCCTCCCAGGCGTTCAACATGCCGCAATTACATCCTTGCATTGTCATGCCAAGATCGAGATCATGGCTAGATCATCAACGCACGTCCTGCATCACTGGCACCCCTACACCTATGGGCTGTCGTCGGTCTTCTATGTAGACTTGTCGATGACTGCCCGGTACCTAACCATCGTAGCTTGGTGTGCCTCGTGTCTGCACGCCTTCCTTTATCCAACACTAACTGCATGTACATCTACATCTCATGACGCCACAATTAAGTGGTGACAGTTCATGTTAACCTACACTGGATCCTTCGCCCAGGGTGTCTTCGGCCTCGCCGTTCCTATGAGCTTTGGAACGCGAGCTATGCGCTGTCGACGCCCACAAAGTGTTCTCGGGCAACTTTACAGTGTCCTGATCATCTCCATACTTTTTTTTACCTTGACTGTAGTCGCGACCTTCTCGCCTTCCGCCTTGATTCTCCTCCAAGGCCAGACCCTTCACCATACTCTTTGAGATATTGTACTCCATTCGTTACTTTCATCCCCGCAAGGTTCAGTCCTCAACCGTATTGGAATTTTGTCGAACTCGAAGACACAAGCATCGTAGAGTATCTAGGTATCGACCATCTACGTCATGGCTTGGTCTTTCGAGTGCGTGGGCAGACGCGGTCAGAGAAGTAACTTAGCATGATGAATTACTATCATAGTGACTATTCTGAGGCTTCATTCTTTCCAAATGTGTTGCTTTGTCTTGTGCAGAGCTTTTGAGTGAGTAACCTGCGATGTGTCTGGTGTAGACAATCAGCAACGAAGGGAGCTTCTCAGATCCGGATAAGGGTATGTGCTGATTTCTCTATACACAATCGATTAGCGACATCGAGCATGACGTAATGATGGAGTGGTGTTGCAAATAATGAGCCAGAGGACATGGAGGTCAAGGCACATGGCTGACGGGGAGACGATGGCATATCCTCTAGAAGAAATTGCTGTGGGGTGGATAAAGTCAGGAAAGGATATATAGCTTTCTGAAATAGGTGGAACTTGGAGGATACTTCAAACATGACATCAAGTATACGCTGTCCCACTGGGATGGTCTCCAAGATCGGCTTGACAGAGGCGAGAACAGGAGTCAGAACCTAATCGGCCAGCACGAAGCCCCCAAATGTTGCAACAGACACCCGCGCGACCACTAATTCTTGCAATGGTATTGCACCTCTTGTTAGGTACTTGATTCAACACAGCGCGATCGTATACTCGTCTTCACATACACCATTTGTTAGAGATAACTTACGAAAACATGACCAAAACATTGTGAAACCGCTGCTACTCACGGTCTGCCCTTTGAGAGGCAAGCTACATCAGGGAAGCGACACGGCGCAACCTCAGACGTCGAGGTTCTGTCTTGGAGCCCCCAGTGCCTACGCTTCTGACTTATTACCACATCATTGATCCAGACAAATGTATGTGTGACAGATGAGTTTACAACCAGTAAGAACGGTGATCAGCTATGACATTGAGGCTACGTCATGTGCTCTGCGGAAGCACCAACGAAACTTTCGAAGCCTTTCATATTCCACTTTTTTCTATTTCTAGGCAGAAACAACACAATTTTTTTTAATTCACCTGTTCGTTAGTTACCGTTTCGGTAGTTGGTTGATCGTTAATCATTACCAGCCACTAAATACTTCCTCAACTCATTCTTCATATACAACTCTTGCACAATATGGTTTCCGAGGCAGCTCATCACCATGACTGTACAGATGCAGAATAGTCCGAGCAAGCATATCAGAAAGAAACTGAACACTGATATCTTGCTTCAGCTACCTGCTTCAGCTACCTGCGCATTTGAAGTATTAATATCTATGCAGTAGAGAGTTCCCGGCCATGTAGATCCATTGTTTCTCGTCAAATGGAAGTCGCCAACATTTCTAAAACCGAGACCTTCGTAGTACCTGTTGTTTGTTAGTTTAGCCATGCCAATCACGACCGCTGGTATACAGATGGACACTTGCCTGTTCAACTTCCTTCCATTGCCCGCCCATGCATCTAGGTACACAACATCTTTGCCTTTTTCCAGTGCACGGCGCTTGATGGCCTCCACCAGAGCAGCTCCCGTACCTCTATACCGAGGCTGAGATCGGTGGTCCGAGATGATGACCTCGATGAACAGAAGCGATCTCTTCTTCTCTATCTCACTCTTGAGCTCCTGACGTTCTGTAAGATAATACGGCAAGGTGTCGCGGATCAGCGCCGCTCCAACTGGGACAATGTTTGAGGTGCCATCCACCGGGGTCTCAACTTCCGCCATCAGAAGACGCCGACTATCGTTCCAGTCGTCCTCTTCCGACTTGAGAACAACATCCTTGATTTCCTCCTCGAAGCCTTCTCTCTGGGAAAAAGGCTGGCCTCCCCACATCTCGCCGGCGCCAATGGAAGCGAGATACGGCAGTGTGGAATCCCACGCTGCAACTACAAACTGGGCGTCATGGCCTGTTGACCTTGCGCTGCGGATTCGGAGGTGTTGGGCATCGGAAGACATAATGTGGATAGTTGCAGCCTGCAGAGACCGCGGCGGGTAAGGCGCAGACCAGTATATGTTTCACGGCCGTGCCAAGGCAGAAGGATGACATAATCCCTGTCTAATCCCTGTCTGTGACCTTGGTATGCCTTTGTACGCCTCATTGGCTTTAGCCGCGCTGTCACCTTCCCAAATGGCGGAGCTACCTCGTCATAACTTGTCTCTGCGTAGTGAGTGTGGACGTCTTATAATCATGATATGATGTGCATGCTTGATGTGACGTTGTGTATGTGAGTGCGTGATCCAAAGTGCATGAATGAGTGTGCCTTGTCGGTAGTTTTGCATCTGCACGTTAGGAGGGTCAAGTAGAACAACCCTCGACTCTGCCTATTCTTTATCAGAAGCAATGGGGGTCTCACACAAACAATGGCACGACTCATTGCATTCGGACTCTCCATCTTCGTTGCTTTGGTAGCCTTGTTAGGCACGAGCTTCTTGCCCTCAGTCAGACATGTCTGGTCGTATTACCACGATACGCCGCATGAATCCGGGAACCACGAACTCCCTGAGCCTGCGAAGCCAGTTGCAAGAATATTTTTATACGACCCTCTCATTATCCACATCGCGGACCTGATCACGCCTGACGAGCGTAAATATCTCCGGGAGTTGGCGTATGACTTTGTTCCCATGGCATATTCCAAGTTCAATGCCCTAACACTTCACTTTCAAACTAGTCTGCCGCGCCTGAAACGATCGTCCGTTGACCTGGACGGCGCGATAGCCGAGCAGAGTAGACGCACAAACTCGACAGCCTTCCTGCCCTTCGATGATGTAGCTATTCGACGCATAATGGCGCGAGTCAACGAGTTTCAAGGCTACATGGAACACTACCGAATCAACGTGCAAATTACCAGTTACCAGGAAGGCCAGGAATATCGCCCTCACTTTGACTGGTACGAAGACGACGAGTATCATATCAATCACTTCTCCACGATTTTCGCCATTCTGGAAGCCAGCTGTGAACACTGTGGCACTCAATTTCCGAGGATCAAGGTCGACTGGACTAAGCGTGATAAGAAGTGGTGCGAATATCTTGACTGCTCGCAGAATGTCTTGACCACCAAGAACATAAACAGTTCTGCCCTGTTCTGGCGCAATCTGGATGACAACCTGCGCGGCCGCCCGGACACATTGCATGCAGGGCTTCCAGCTAAAGACGGATCCAAGATGGGCCTCAACATATGGACAGAGATTGCGACCTCATAGTGTTTGAGCTAGAGATTACACCAATATCTTCAACACCCTTATTTGTATCTGTTCACAGGTCAGGTGTGCAAAATCCCGTCTATCCTCATCATTGAGAGCCCGCGCCAAATCACGTGTATGTGCTTTCAGAAAGTGCTCTGCTTCATAGACTACGAAATGGCCATGTAATGATAGAAGGGCCGTGTGCAATACAACTTGCCATGTCGTATGCTGGCCATTTGACCTGCACAACTCATTTTCACATTGTACTGATTTGTTTTATGTAACATGTATTTTCGTCACGAGAAGGCTTTAAGCTTTAGAACTCATAAGGTAGCACCTGGACCACAGCGATACTAGAGCAATTTGCCCCTTTGCGTAACTAAAATATCATCTGCGTGCCAAACTGGATTCCCAAGCAGCTCACAGTCTTAACGCTTGGAATGCAAGGAACAAGACCGTACTGAACCACTTTCTTGTCAAACTATGGGCAACCATTGGGTATTAGATCGGTGCTACTTGCTATCCTCCTCAGTTCTAACCGGCTTGGCATACAACAAGTCACCGTCGAGGTTGTTAGAGCGTGTGTCAACAACTAGCAAAAGAGTCAGATAGGCAATCAAGGTCACCCAGGCGTACCAGAAAACATAATTATCTGCACAGTTGCCGACCATGACTACGGCAGTCATGGTCAAAATGAGCTGGAATGCCTTCATAATTGGCGTTGGGATTTCGAATGTAATTTCAAGTGCTGCGAACTATTCTGCAATAATTCTATTAGAGAAGTTAATATAAGGCTTCTCCCCGGCGTAAACAGGTCTCCTACGGTCACTAATTATTTACGGCGTGGAGGCGTAAAGTAACGTTAGATTTAGGCCAGCACAGGTACAGTCTAACTACTAAGCTCAGGCTAGAAGGACGTAGTATAAAGTTGTAGCTAAATTTGTGGCTAAATTTATAGCTATATAATTTGCGTTCCATTTATTTAGTCTTCCCCTTTTTCGTGGATTTTAATGTATCATCATATTTAATTCGCGACTATTAGGTTTGGCGACTGTCGATTTACACGTCTATTTGGCCACACGTACGATGTACGTTCAAATCGTCGATACTGACGAGGAGGACTGCATCGGCCGAGGTAGTGTTACTTGGTGAATATGGCCCAGAAGCACTATTCCAGTTCACTGCCGAGACAATATCTCACATATTGTTCTAACTGGTATATATGTAGGTTTGTAGGCGTTGTACAGCCGTTTCTCGTGGACGCTTGCGATGGAGTTCGTATAACACCTGCATCAATGGCCACTGCACATGATCCGCTCAGCATCTAGGAGCGACTTCCAAACTCCTTCATCATTATTTCCTTGATCAGGACCCTCGGCCGGCTGATGATTAATAGTTATCGGCCTGATACTTCCAGAATGTATGTCAGTACGACACCGCGGGCGGCAGATTTAATGCAGTCCCATGGACCCTGACCGGAACCCCTCGACGATTCTTGGCAGCCAACTTGAAGTCACTCTTGAAATGTCCTGCGCTCGTCCAGTTTGACATGGTTGTCGTGTAGAAGCTCTGATAACCGTACAGTGGCATGGCTCCGTGTGCTCGACCGATTCCTTCATGCGCCTGTGCAGCACCACCTCAGCCGGCGTTGTTTGGTCTATAATGCTCCATCTCACCGCATCTGCCAGGAGGTCGGGGCGATTTCTGTCTACTGACAAGCTCACTGGTGATATACGGGTGTGCAGCGCCAGGATAAAATTCTGCAGATACACCTTGGACGCGTGCAGATGGGCGGTAGCCGCCCACGGATCTCGAATATGCTAAGCAAGGTGGTGGTTCCGGCGAGGTGCACTGCGTACGCCACCCGCGCCCAGTTGGACTGTCCACGCCGTCAGAGTACCACAGTCACTCAGGAAGCTGCCTGTGGTGTACATATTAATCTTGATTTTGTCCGTGCATCAGTCGATGAGGTGTCACGGAACCTTCGAAATCGCGCGTCCGTATTTACCAGTGTGGCACGGCTTGGCTACCAATTGGGTCGACAGCTGATACCCAGACCTTGGTCAGAAATGATGCTGGGAATGAGAAACCGCTTGAGAGAGGGCAAAATCTTTCCTAGCGAGCAGTGTACATTGATGTCGGAGTCGAATAGCTCGCTATGCCAGCCGCGGCCCAAAACGCATCTCACCGACCTCTCTGTGGGCTTTTGGCAAATATGATGATATACACTATACTCTGAAGTATTTAACGCCTTGAAACCTTGTTTTTATGTACAACTCCTTCAAACGCCTGTAGCCGTGGTATTCCTTTCTGCAAAACCCTGATCCAAATGTATTGCCATAGAAAGTCCCACCTAAGCGACCTGCAGTGGAGCGATTTCCCGCGCCATGTGGTATATAGTTGAAAGTGAGCCAAACGGCCCAAAGTGCGGCACCAAAGCTCTGTAATAGACCAGCTCAGGGACGCCCCTTATAGAAAGTGATATCGAATCGCGCATTTGCCGACATAATTACCGGCTCTCCCATATTCCGCTCAGCATAGTGATCATCGAGGTATGCTTTGTTGTAGCCAATCTTGCTGGCAAGGTAGTCTCTGGGAGCCGCTAGGATGTTGATATTCGTTAGCTCCTCGGTGTGTTTGATTACTTTGGCTCCACCACTCTTTAGCATGTAGGCACTTGCGGGAGCATCATCCAAGAGCCATTCTGAAAACCCTGTCTTCACTTCGCTGCCATCCAAAGACTTGACGCTCACGGCGCCGTCGCACCCCTTTATTAGAGACACGTCGGCCCAGCCTTGGCCGGTTGCGGCCACATTCGTCAATTCCATCCATGTCCCCAAGATGTGAGAAGCGCCGTCGAGGTTGTTGGCCTCGGTGCCTCGCATCACTCGACCTTGAAAGTCGTCGGCAAGGGCAACGAAAGCCTTGTCCTTAGCAGGAATCGTAATGTGCTTAAGTGGCACGCATTCGCAACTATTCCTGTAGAAAAAGAAGCTGCGAGCCTCACTGTCGTCGTTGCGCAAAATTATCCCCTTGGTTTTGCCATCGTCTACGTCTCCTTTGATCTTCTGTGACTGCTTTGGGCAGTTGAGAGTTGAATCGGTAACGCATGGAAGTACATGGCTTTCAACTTCCAACACCACATTCGTATCTCTAGTATGAGCCGACGAGGAACCGGAGTTTTCGGTAAGTGGCAGGGCGACCGCAGCTGCTAATAAAGCGGCAACAGTGATGACTTGCCTGAACATTTTGGTCGGTGTTGGAGCGAACTACTGAGGCAAATGAACCGATGCGAGGCACGGTGGTGTCTTCAGCGGACCAGCGCACAGTGCGCTATATAGTAGGCCGTAGTGCTCAGAGTGAGATGGTGATCTAACGATGCTTCAATTCTTCCATTGACTTATATACTTCACCATACGCGACCGGCGCTTCGCCACCGCACCATCTCCAGTCCTTCCCGGGACCGCCTATGCAAGCATCGTCTCATTGAACATGATCGCTCCTCTAGGAGCCTCCAGATTCCGTAGTAAATATCTTGTCAGATCACTTCCAAGGCAGGCTGACCGGGGTCTGGCAGATCCGCTACCTTCCGAGGATACGTCCCGGGTGGCACAGCTGAAAGCTCACGAGCATGGGGACTTGTCAAGAACAGTTTATTGTCAGTTGGGATTTAGCTCAGGCACAAGCCGCAGTCGGCCCCTGCGTCACTACACAGACTAATGCAGATTGGTGGGATCTGCAGGATTTGGATTGAGGCGTAGTGTGGTTTGGGCGAATCAGAGAGCGGAGAGGCCAGGGGGCAAAGCAGGGGCCCAGAGGTTATTTTGGGCATTTGCTTATCACCAGCACAATTGTTGATGTAGCGAAGTTGTCAGCTGATGAACGTGGCTTCATTTCTCAAAATAAGGCATCTTGCAAAATCCGCCACGTGAACTTTCGCCTTCTCAGGATTCTTCTGATGCCTTAAATAACTTCTGAAACCTAAATTGCTCCTGGCCAGAACGTCTAGTCGACAACCTGAATTGGTAACCCGAGATCTGGCTGCTTTGCGCCAAGAATCGTACCGCGAAACAATGAGTGAGCCGCTCTTCAGTTCATCGGGTCCGATGCATGCAACCGAGTGATGAATGAAACGGCCACATTTCTGCTAGGATATATGATCCACAGCAGGTTTTTCTGAATCAGTTTTGTTCTGCAATTCTCTCAGCGCCTCGTCCGCGATGGTTGTCTTGAATGTCTTGAAGTCGCGGACAGAAACTCTATTTGCAAAAAGCTGGTCGATCTCCTCCAAAGTGCGCCCTTTAGTCTCCGGGACAAACAGATAGAAGAAAACAAAACAGGCAAGGTTCGACCCGGCCCATATGTAGCCATATTTGGCCCCCTGTAAGTTGATTAGTACTCATCGATCATCTTCACATACCCACACGGGGTGATAACTTAAACCATACCCAGTTAAGATTTTCCGGGTTGATGAAGTACGGGGAACAGAATCCCGTCAACCAAGCTAAAATATAACCCAAACTGATAGCAGAACCAACTGCCCAGGATCGAAGCCGTGTGCTCACCATCTCCGTAGAGGTCGGATAGGTGGCATCTCCCACAAAAGCGTTGTAGGCAAACATAAATAGCGCAGTGAACGCAATCAGGCAAGTTCTTGCGGTGACGGTTCCTGGAGCTACAGTCGCTGGAATGGCCATGCCGAGCATGCATAGCCCTTGAAAGACGGCGCCAGTCATCAGTACCGTTCGCCGCCCTGCAAGATGCCGCATAATGTATATGCCGATGTTGACGCCAATGAATCCAAGGCATGTATTCATAACAGAATATTTGAAAGCCTCTTCAACGGTCAGGCCCGAAACAATCATGAAATATGTCGCGTAGCTTATCACAAACCAGGACCCGGCCCCTGTTTGGGTAGCGATAACTCCATAACACAGTAACGTGCGCCTCAAGTCAGTGCCTAGTAAGTCCAAAGTGTTAGTGACGGAAACTCTGCATGTTAGCATCTCTCTCACCTCTAAACATGTCTAATGGGCCAATGGTCTGCGCAGTCCGCTTTTCCTCCTCGATTCCTTGGACCATTTCCATCCATTCAAGCTCGAAATCATCCTGACTCAGTGAATCGCCGCAAAGGGTCTCCAGGGCGTTACGAGCAGCCACGGTTTGGCCCCTATATAGCAGGTGTCTAGGCGATTCGGGAACAAAAAAGAGACCGATCGCTAGGAAAACAGGGACGATAAACAACGTTCCCAGGGGAATCTGATACGAAGCTTTGTCGAGTCGATTCTTCGTAGCATTCGTAACAGCTGACCCAACAATGCTGCCGATATTGACCCATTCAGAGAACAAGGCGACCATAACTGCCCTTAGATGCGCCGGAGCTGCCTCTGCGGTGTATATATTCGAAAAGGTGACCAAGAAGCCATTTGCAAGGCCTAGTATCAACCGGCCGACGTATATAGCGCCCTTGTTCTCTGTGACCATTTGAATGACACACGCAATTGCGTTGAGCACGCATGCGAGCCACAGCGCAACCTTGCGGCCAAAGAAGTGGGCGAAGAGTCCAGCGACGAGGGAAGACAGAAACGCGCCTAGTGTCAAGAGAGAGCCGATCAAGCGTTGAAATGTCCCTTCTATTCCGTATCCGCCGGCGACATTTGCATCGGGGTAACCGAAGACTGCAAGGAATCCAGGCATGGCTTGCAAGCTGCCGACGACCGCGGAATCAAGACCATATTGCATATTTGCAATCGCAACAACAATGCAGATCAATAGGCATTTTCTATTGGCCCACAGGGATGTCTCTGGTAATTTCGTTGAAGTAGCCATGTCTTCTTGTTTCGGCATCTGGGGAGTGGGAAGCGTTATTCAGTCGTGGAAGTACCAGAACGTGGGGGAGCGTAATGGAATTCGAACAGGAACCACGAGATCTCATATTATGCAAATAGCTCCCATGTCTAGTGCAACAATCATGTTCAGCTGATTCGACGTACCAATCGCACACTTGCAGCTCGCAGGTCTTTGCCGCTTTGGCGATACGACGAGCGCCTATTCCCCGCATTTCGGGACTTGATTTCCTACCCCCAGCACCAGCACGCGAGAGAGCACGCACCATGGAAAGAGACCATCGAGCATCTTCTTTCAATGCGGGCATTCCTCATGGGTGCGAAGCTGAGAGTATAAGCTTGCATGCAACACCACCCGGAAACATAGACACCGTTTCTAGACGCGTTACAACTTTGTGCAGAGTCATTCGGGCCCCATAAGCGAACGAACATGAGCAGGTTCTGTTGCTTCGAAATTCTTGAGCGGGGCTGTCAGCGGCAGAAGAAACTACCGCCGTTAAGGCACTCGGGCGGCAATATATTTAATATCTCAAGCTCGCCGCATAGATCATCGTCGGACCTAACGATTTGCTTATTTCAGTCTACTCCGTGGCCATTCCAGCAGACCATCCCACTCTGGATCCAGTTCTGCCATCGCCAGGCAGCCATTGCGCCGAGCCCAGCCATTCATGAACCAACGTTTGGGTGTAAGATGCATGATGGTGTTCCAATACGTGAATATAATAAGTGCGGGCGGATGCTTGGCAGTAAGCAACTCCACGAACCTGTCGGACACATGACCTGGCCAGGCCATGAAATGCTGCCATGACCGCGGATAACCCTCAGTATCCTTCACCCAATTCTTTAGGGTTTCGACTGCATGATGATAAACATGAGCAACATCGCTGGAAGTGTTGGCAAGGTGTTCGACGTTGTCAAGGTTCGAAACAGCCTGCCATATCTGTTCATCCAACGACGCTGCAATCAGGCTAGACCGATGATCGATGAACAATTTGATCTCACTTTGGTGGAAGTGTGGAGAGACTGCCCAGCCTATCCTTGCCGTTCGACGCAAAATGCGGAATATGTCAAGGAAGTCGTGCTCGTCGGGCGATGCTAACTGCGCGACCGTGAAGTGGAAAATGATGACAGTGACACCGAACGCGAGCACCGCAAGCCAGTTCTTGTCGGTAATAATACAACCCGATTCCCGGAACAGGTTGGACGCTTTGATGTTATGACGATAGGCATCGGCCTGCAATTTCTTAGATACGTGTTGAGGTTGAACTGAGTGATATAATGCCCACAAAGAAGAGGCGCTCGGTTCTAGATAGTGAAACCTGGAGGCTTCCTTGTGAAGTGTGACTCTCCATATTGATTCCTCGCGAGGAGTGAAACTAGGTTGAAGCCATATCTTCTCCAGGGCCCAAGATATTAAGTCAGGCTTGGAGCCTGGTGGACCCTCGAAATACTGTAGGAAATGCGAGCGGGGGTTCACGATAAAGCAGTCGATATTATGTGGTGGAAGATTCTCCGTTGGCCCCCGGGCGGAGATGGGAGCCAGAGGATTTCCGCAAGAAGTGACCTGGTAAGCTTTCACTTGTGGTACTAAACCACTACTGGTAAGGTAGTCGCAATGTTCGCCCCGTCTACGACAATTGGAACAGACTGGAGGCTCCAAGTTACACTGATCATGTTGTTAGCTTCTTAGAAGCACCCAACCCTGAATTGTCAGCGAGATACATACTCGTACATGTCGTTTTTTGCATTGGCCGCACCCCTTCAATGCTGTTAGTGAAGCCTACAAGGATGGTTTCGTCGAACGATAAAGTTGGGACTAACGTTGCGGCTTTTGGCGTGATATTGCCTGAGGCCTTGACGCATTGCAGGATCTCACGAGTTGATTCTTGATGATCCAAGTACCAGATCCTGGGATTCCGTTTGAAAGTGCAATCTCTGTCATCACCCGTACGGGAAGCAAGTATCGGAGACGGCTGCGTGATTTCGAGTCGGGTGCTGGATGGAATATTGATGCTGATGAAATGGGAATTGGTATTTGTTTGGCTGACAACTTCAACAGATGGCCACCGATGTGGATTCGTGGCTGTGTGGCGTGGTACTATACCAGAATAGGCTTGGTGTACGAGGTCACAGATGTGACCAATAAGAGGGATTGCTACTAGCTGAGCCATTCGCTGGTGGTCGACCCAGTGGGGCAACAATCTGTCGCCATTTCAGCAAATGGTTGTGTGTTCCTAGAATCTCCAATTTCTCCTCTTCCCCTCAACTTTGAGTAATTACCTGAGAGACTAATGCAAATATGCTGCATCTCATTCTCTGTTATCCCATGTAGCTTTCTTCTACGACCGTTAGCTACATACCACGAGAAGTGTCAAGCCCATTAGGAAACCTCCATGCAACTACGTATACCAGTAGGACAGACTTTAGTGAACCTTAAAAATCAATTGCACCTAGATTGTTCTCGAAACTAAGAGGGCTATTGCATAGGCAACATTTCATAAACTCTATCGCCAATAATGCACTACTTGTACTCCGTCGCAATAGTGCGGTGTATCAGTAACACGTGGTGTGCCTTCCATAGCAATTTTAGGGAAGACGTGCCCAACTAGACCCGATGGACTAGGATCTCAGAGTCTTATACAGCTGTTAGCACGTTATATTCAAAGTCTCAATCATAACCTGGAGAAACATCTCTATACAGGCTAACTACCAGATGGTGCCTTTTTATCGAGGACAGGTCTAAGAGATAAGATAGTCAGAATACATGCGAGCTTGGCTGACTCAATCGTCTTCACTCTAGCGGAAAGTCAATGCCAATTGGCGGTATCCGTTCCTGCACAGTACACAATGACCTTACGCTATTAACACAATAGCTGTACCCGTGAACAATCTTTAGTGACTGACCAGCGACATATTGAGTGGACTTAATTGACTATACAGTGTTACTGCGCTCGTTCCTTCTACTCGACAAATCCAGCTTCGTCTTTCAATTCAATATTGTGGCAAATATTACTATCGGAACTGCGCGTGGTATGCATCAGATGCCGAAAGAATGGCGCAAATACTACACAGACTGCCTATCGAGTTGCGGGAAAGTATCTGCTGGCCCGTAAAAAGTCGGGATTTCCCGACGGGGGACCCAATAGATCCGCCGACGTGATGACCATGAATACGGTTTCTGAATATGTCTAGTGCCATTGGTTGGACTCCTTGTTAGTGCCGATAGAAACGGGGACCTGCAAGGGTGGTTTACTCCACCTATATGGAGCCGAGGTGTCAGCACCGACGGCGCCATGCCCAATACGTGGCACGCAGTACCCCCTTTGAATCCTGGTGCCTTGCAACAAATGATTATGGCACGTTGAAATTTTTACGCTATCAATTTGCAAGTAGTACCTTATCTTACAGGTACCGACTCCCCACGTTCCTGTTGATACAAGATCCTTTGCCGTATGAACTGCGCAAAAACTCGTCTCATCTCAGGCCATATCAAATCACATAAGGTCCACGGCGAAAACGCCGAAGCGGCAAACCCGACATGGCTATGCACCTCACAGATCTTGGCGCTGTGCCGCTGTTGTGCATCTTGTTCGTGACATACTATATCGCCAGCTCCTTTGTGGCATGGCATCGCTTCAGACACATCCCCGGGCCATTCTCTGCAAAGTTCTCGTACTTCTGGCTGGTGAAAACCTCAGCTTCTGGCCAGAGCAATGTGCGATACACTGCTCTGAACCAAAAGTATGGGTCTCTGGTCCAGATGGCACCCAAGACTCTACTCACAGATGACCCAGATGTTATCCGTCGAATGTCTGGCGCACGCTCGAAATATGGACGGTCGAACTGGTACAGAGCTATGAAACTTGGTAAGGGACGATCGATACCTTTGGAGAAGACAAGGCTGATCTTACGGTGCAGACCCCACTGGTGACTCTATGTTCTCTCTATTGAACACAGATGCACACGACAGATTGAAGGCAAAATGTGCGACAGCATATGGCGGTAGAGACAACCCTGCACTGGAAGGAGATGTCAACTCGGAGATTGCTGTCTGGATTGATTTAATCCGTGGCAAATATATCTCAACGGATAACGAGCTTAAGCCGTTCGATTTTGCTGAATCAGCGCAGTTCTTCACGTTGGATTCTATTACCAAGATCAGCTACGGGAAGGCGTTTGGATACCTGCAAGAAGTGGATGTTTACGATTACATTCGATCCACAACAGAGGCGGTACCATTCCTCAAGGTCTGCGGCGAGGTGCCGTTTTTACAAAACATTGTCTTTTCTAACCTTGGTCTTCGCCTGATGGGACCAAAGACTACCGATAAGAAGGGCCTCGGACGGCTCATGGGGTATGTGCTCATTCTAGCAGCTGATGACAAACAATGACTAATTCGAGCAGCGCTGCTAAGGAAGTCGTGGCGGAAAGATTCGCACCAGATGTGAAGCCTAAAGAGGACATGCTTGTAGGCGAATGTGGTAAACTTTACTTGCCTTGCCAACTGACATATGATCAGGGCACTTTCGTTCGTCGTGGGCTTACCCAATACGAGTGTGAGATGGAGGTTCCCTTCCAAATCTTCGCCGGCTCCGACACGACAGCAACGGCGATCCGGAGTACCATGCTGCATATTGTCACCTCCCCTCGTGTGTACTCAACATTGGTCAATGAGATCATGGGCGGCATCAAGTCGGGCGCGATATCAAGTCCGATTGCAAATGACGAAGCAAAGAGATTACCTTATCTACAGGCCGTCATATACGAAGGTCTCAGGATGAATGCGCCATTCACCGGGCTTCTCGCCAAGGAGGTACCAGCTGGGGGAGATACTATCAACGGGTTGTTCGTGCCTGCTGGCACGAGAATTGCGCATAGCATTTGGTCTGTTCTGCGTAGTCGAGATGTCTTCGGAGACGACGCTGAGCTTTTCCGACCGGAAAGATTCCTAACCACGGATGATTCCAAGCGACTGGAGCTCAAGAGCACTGTAGAACTAGCATTCGGATTTGGAAGATGGAAGTGTTCAGGGCAATCGGTTGCCTTCCTCGAGCTGAACAAGGTTTTCGTCGAGGTAAGCGCTATACCGCGCGATCAGCTATCAATAGCTCTACTAACAAGAAAATAGCTTCTACGAAACTTCGACTTTGACCTGATCAATCCAAGTAACCCTTGGAAGAGCCGGAACTTCAACCTGTTCATGCAGAGTGAAATGTGGCTCAAGGTTACTGAACGGGAGTTTACTGAACGGGATGCAGCAGAGCCATGAGATTGGCGGGATAAAACGCGCGCACAATATGTCAATGGATGGTGTTGAGAGCTGCGATGGCTCCACGATTAATCGCCCATCATAGATCCAGGCCATACAATCTTTCCCCACTCGGCCGTTCTGAGAGTTACCAGCCCCAAACCAGACACGCGGAAGAATTAATACACAATGTAACCGTGCGCGCGACCAGATTTTACCCACCATTATGATAATATTATACATGTAGTGAGGCTGACTAGTTGGCAACCCTTTTCTTTTGAATCGGTTGGTAGAAGCTCAACGTGAAACCGACCGGGCGACTTCGGTGTTTAAGCAGGGGGCCCACTCATTACTTTATGTGTTGCGCGCCATCAGTACGAAGCCAGGCGGGCGCCAGCTCAACATGGTACTCATGTTTCGTCATTCTTAGGTTTAGAAAGGCAGCATTATATGCATCTCTCAATCACACTCGAACATTTCTAACTTTTATATACTTTACTTCGCTTGTCAATTGCGAAGTTTTCTTCATTTCACGCCTGTAGTGTTGTACTAGTGCAACACCCGCCAAAATGAAGACATTCGTCTCTCTCACCTCACTAGCGTTGATGGAGGCCCTTGCCCTGGCGCAGATTACCATTGGTTTTGGCCCTTATTTCTCTCTTGGACCAACTAAATCATGGATCAGGGAGGCGAACACAACCTTGGTTCTCCCCACGGTGCCTAACCCAGCTGTCGACCGCCTGGCGTTATGGCCTGGGATGGGAACAAGTGACGGCGATCTCATCCAAGCTATTGCCGTCGCCACTGCCAATCCTGCTACGTAAGTAGCCTGACCATATTACAGGCACTTGGCGGCTTACGAAACATGACAGAGAGTGTCGTGGCACCACGGGACAATGGTGTGTGTTCGCAAGCACATTGGAGTGTGAGTGCATGGTTAGCCAGACTATCATTACTCTACCACTGACTAATATCATTGCTCAGCCCAACAGGAGGCCGGAACGCAGTCGCCCCAGAATGCTGGCGCTCATCTTATTATCCACTGTGAGTCAATTCATAATAATAATGCTCTTCATCACAGTGGATTGCTAACGATATCGTCAGACGTATATAACGATAGCACGCAAAAGTATGACCAAGCAGTCTCTATTAACGGCAAAGTACTTTCAACCCTCTCAACATGTAAGTTCCAATGGTCATTTGAGTTGGTACATTGCATTTGCTGACTGAATCAAAGCATCGGGAAATGCTCAAGGCTGGGGTACTGCAGTCGAATGTCAAGAGAGCGCATGCCACGGGACCGTTGCTACTCACCGTAAGCATCTCGCCTTAAGCCCCTTGTCGTGGATATCTGACTTCTCCACAGAATACCTCGACACCACCATTGTACTCAATGCTGCAGATCCAACTTTTGGTAATACTTTGGCACTCAATGAAGTTAGCTCATCGGGTCTTTCAACCACGGATGGCGGAAAAACCTGGGTCGTGAAAACCATCAAGGTGCAGCAACACACTTTCAATCTTTAAATCATTGACTGCGCATGCGTTGTTGTAATGCAGCAATGCCTTCTTATCCAGATTATTGCACATTCTCAAATCCAGTATCTATGAGAGCCTTGCGAAGCTTGTTATATAATGTCAGCAATAGATAGTGGCACCACTGAACACCAACTACGCATTAGTCAAACATGACCATTGATCAATACGTCAAAAGCATTTTCGTACCTAATCGCTTACTCAAAGGTAGCACATAAGATGCGAAAGTTGCCGTTGGACGAACTAGGCGAGAACAATTCACTCAAAATGCTAGCTCGGCATTGAGGACATATTTGAAAGATCACATAACCCATTACAGAAGCATTTGGCATCCTGTCCCACACGTCGCGTATCTCCGATTGGTGGGTTGCACCAGCCTGCCGAACCGCCAAGTCCGCCAAAAGTTAATGTGCATGCAACTCTGACTCCGCTTATACATCCTCTCGCCCTTGTAGCCCGCTGGGAGCTTAGTCACTCCCACCTTCGCTAAACGGCGATTGCAACTTTCCGAAATGACAGCATTTCAGAGTATGTGCAGCACCACAAAAAGTCTGGGATCAAGTATCTGAGGTCTGGCTTTTATGGATAACTTGGCGTTACTCTGTGCAGTATGACTTGTACCATAGGGGATAAAATGGCCGCTCAGCGGGCCATCGGATCTGCATGCTTTCACATCTTAGACTAATATCCGCAAGTGTGCTGACACACCATCACATATAGTCGATTATCGTGGGTCCCGACTGATGACTAGTTCACGATGTCTCTGGTGGCGCCTGCAGGACTCTGCTTCATGGCGGTGAGGAGAAGGGATGCCTCTTACCCCAGGGGTCAGGTAGATGGCTATAAGTACGCGTGAAAATCACCTGTCCTAGCCACAAGAAAGGATGTATCTCTCCATCTACTCATCCATCCAGCACAGCGGATCAAGCCTCCAGTTATATTGGCAACCTTCTGACCATGAAGCTACCCTCGGTGTCATGTCTGCTTCTTGCGAACACCACCCTCGCCTTCACCAACGAGAGGTTGAATAAAAATGATTCCGTATGTAAACAGTTCACTGTATACTAACATTAAAAGCTGACAACTACAAGCTGCTCCTCATCCTCGACCTCCAAGAGGGCTTGTACCAAGTGGCACGAGACTGGGACCACGCAACCTACCGTCAGAACATGTTTGCACATGCAGAGCTTGGTCGAGTCTTTGACCTTCCCGTCGTCATGACCACGTCGGCCGAGACGGGGCCGAACGGACCTTTGCCTGGTGAATTCCGGCAGTGGTATCCCGATGCGCCTCTGATCAAGCGACAGGGCGAGGTCAACGCGTGGGACAACGCCGAGTTCCGCGAGGCAGTCATCGCAGCCAACAAGTCGCAAATCATTGTTGGTGGCATCACTACAGACGTTTGTGAGTCTTGTCCAAGCCTGACGAACTGATCTTCGGTGCCCATTGAATTTGCTTGACCGCGTATCTCTAACACCGCACACAGGTGTGGCCTTCCTAGCCCTGTCACTTCGCGAAGCCGGATACAGCGTCTGGGCGAACGTCGAAGCCTCCGGCACCACCACAGAGCTCATCCGCGACACGTCCAATGACCGCATGAGGCATGCGGGAGTTAATGTCATCTCTTTGTTCCATATTGTGTGTGAACTCATGCGCGATTGGCGCAACACACCAGGAGCAAAGGAAATCTTCCCGTACCTCGACCAGTACTACCCGGTCTATGGCTCACTTGCTCGAGCCCACCGCGGTGCTGTCAACAACGGCACCGTGGTACCAGGTGAGGCTGACTTGCCTTAAAACGCAAAAACATAGGTCGCGTTGCGTGCTTGGCGTGGGTTAAAGATTGGAGATGCATTCGTTGGAAAGCCTGCGGGTCTATGATCTGGCGGCGGCGGCGACGGGTAAAATTCTTGGGTTGCACTCTGCAGCTCTCCGGGTGGAAACACCATTGACACATTGATACTATAGAAGGACAATCGCTCGTTTGGTTATGGGTATCATAGATCTAGCAGTACATATCCAGGATATTTATCCAAGGATGACACTTATTTGCTGCATATAGCGTTCAGTGCCCCGAAATTCTCTCGCAAAAACCTCTGTACCTCTCTGTTGCCGCCGAGGCCCCCAGTGAGCGCGTCAGAATCGCCCTCAATTTTGAGACCTTCCAAGCTGGTGGCACGGGATAAGGCAACGTACACCTGTCCCTCTTCAAAGGCTCTTGAGAGATTGACGATAACGCGATCCAATGTCAAGCTTTGGCTCTTGTGAATTGTCATCGCCCAAGCCGGAGCTAGCGGAATCTGTGTCCGGATGAGAAGGCTGTAAGGCTTCTCATCTCCCAGTTCAGCTATGGAGCAGTCGGCGTAGATGACTCGAGTGGTGCCGTTGTGGAATCGCACAACGGGCCATCTCTTTATTCTAGTTCCCTTACTCTCGGAAAAGGCTTTGATCTGTTGCTCCTTCAGTACCGCACGGTCGCCCATTATCAGGTTCTCTGGTTCCTCTTTCTTGCCCGTCCTTGCCCTGGGCATCTTTGCAGGGTCATAGGGCTCAAAGCCGCATATCAGCCCTTGACTCCCGTTGCACAGGCCCGCTGCGAGATCCAAGTTGACCAATAAGACCACGAGCATACCCTGCTTGAGCTGGACCTGTTCATCAAACCGGTGGTCCTCAAGAGCCTTCAATGGCTTGAGCTCTTCTTCACCCGGCGGCCCTTCGGCTTTGCGCAACCCTTTCCATTGCAGGTGTGGGTGATATTCTCTTTGCCACTTAAAGACGTCGCGAGACCAATACCAGTGATTGACACCTGTCAGCCTTTTGAACTGCTTTTGGTTGACTTCTTTGACTTGATCTCGCGTGGCAAACAACCTAGTCGCGTTGTTCACCCGGCAAGGATGCTCCATGAGCCTCGAGATCTCGAACGATGTGAGTGCTTCTCCGACACGAGTCTTTTGGAGCATGCGGATGAACTCCTCATCATTCTGGCGATGGATTTGCCTGAGGTGAACATGCTCGAAGTTGCATTCCTGCCAAGCTTTGCTCCTAAAGGCCCATTTATCTTGGTCATGCCACTCGTTGCGACAGCTGGTACAAGAATACTTTTTGCTTCCGAGATAGAAACTCTCGCTGAGACCCCTCCCGCAATCAATACAGTGTTGGAATGGTTTCACGGGAGGGAGCTGGCAAAAGTCCCCGGTAACGATGACCTGCACTCCACCGAATGCAGGCTGAACTTCGCGGGACGGCTTGTAGCGTGCTTCCTTCATGAGCTCGTTCAGCCGCTCAAAATGGAGGTTCTCAACCATGCTGATCTCGTCTATGACGATGACATCCGTTTCTTTGGCGAGGCGTTTGTAGACGAACTTCCCATGGGCACCTTTCTTCAGCTCCTCTAAAGGCTGCTTATGGTGATCTGGAGTCCACCCGGCATATGTCCAGGTGGTCGAGCCATTCACCTGCAACGCGGCTCGGCCAGTCGGGGCCAGAATGCGCACCTGCTTCCCCATTGCACGTAATCGTTTCGTAAAGGCCTTGAGGACTGTCGATTTGCCACACCCGGCACTTCCAGTATAAAACACGTTGCGCCCGCTGCAGATGACATCAACAAGGGCTGCTTGTTCGGCGCATAAAATGGGCTCATCAGGCATTGGTGCAGCACGTGCACTTGGTTGAGCTCTTGATGGAGAGGATAGGGGTTCTGGAGCAGTCTGCGACGGCGGAGGTGATATTGGCTTTTGGCTGCTGGGGGCCGGGTAGGACATCATAGCCAGATTCATCTTCCTGTTTTCTGCTTCCACTTTCACACGAGAGCAAGAGGCAGTGCTGCCGCTGTTGACATGTTCCACGGATGGCACCAATGAAACTGGTTGCAACGCAGCGCCTGGAAACGATCGAACAGCATCTGTCGCGTGTATCAGGGACTCTTGAAATGCAGCCTGTGGTGCAGCACTGCAATATCTCTTGCTCACTTGGCTGTCGGGAATGGGAGCTAGTGATTTGCTTGGAGAACCCCGATGCATGTCGTGGTTGGGGCCCACTACGTTGATGAGTCCTGGTGAACTGTCATGATCCATTTCCCGTCGCTTGCGCTTATTGTTCGAATCCTTCCCACCGGCAGCTTGCGGTGTGTACGTCGGCACTGGTAGTCCCGCTGCCGCAGTCGGGAAGTATGGGCTGGCTTGCCATTGCGGCTGCTGAGGCAACTGAGGGTAGAAAACTGGAGCAGAGTCGTAATCATTCACTGCAGCATGTGAGGGCGCGGCAGAGGTATCTGAGTTATTCTGGTGTTCATATGCGCTTGGTGGCAAGGGTGGAGGGCTGTGATACTCGTTAGGGTTTGTCGTGGCTGGTTGCCATTGCTGCTGTGGTGGTTGCTGACCGGCGTACAAACTCGCGTAGACACCATTAGACACTGCTGTCGAGACAAGTCAGCCAAGTTTTATCGCCAGCTGCTTTGTGTGAAGTTCATACCAGGTTCATAATAGTAAGGATACGACATGACGAGCATGTGCAAACGTTCGCTTGAAGTGCCCAGGTCCTAACATGAGTGCGATGTGTAGCCAGAGTCATTCGTTTCATCCAATGGGCGTCGCGACGCGACTGGAATCCATGGAGACGCGTTTGCTGTGTAAGGGGTCCAACATCTACTGGCTCGGCGGACTGCTGCAGCTGTCCTTAGCGGTGGATTGGTGGGCCGAACTCGCTGGGGTCCCGCCAAAGCTCTCACTAAATTAAACCTTGCGTTATGCTCCTGCAGAGACCAGAATCGCTACACCCAACGTGGTACGCATGACCACAGGCGATGCTGCAATCAAGTTTCCCTTGACCGTACATAACAATATTCACATCGATGTCTAATATCAGAGAGTTGCGCCACTGCCTTTCGGATTGCAGCAAAGGTTGCAAAGTGCAATACTGGTTCGTGGGTGATGATGGAAAGTCCAGAAAATGGCTTGAACTGAATTGCTTTTTCGAATGCATGAAGCCTTGAGCCGTAGTAGTGCCTTTCGAGCTCGGCAGTTGAGGCCGGTCTTCTGCGTATGAAGCAAATCCGTGTTTGCTGCCTTCGCAGACTCACTCGGGGTATGTCATTCTCCTGGTGACACCGCCGTCGACTTTGAGTTCTTCGCCTGTGATGAAACTGTCGCTGTCGGAGAAGTATTCCACAGCCTTCAGAATATCTTCCACTTTGCCCACGCGGCCCGAGAAATGCCATCGCTGGTCATCCTCGCTGAGCCCATCCTCCCACTTCATGCCCTGCTCATCCCCTTCCTTGCTCTCGTGAACCACATTGATCCAGCCCGGGAGAATCGCGTTGACCTTGATGCCATCGTCGGCCAGTGAGCAAGCCATGGCGTGACTCAGTCCCAGCAAGCCCGCCTTCGTGCTTGCGTATGCTTCGCTATTGGGCTCTGACTGGTATGCACGTGTAGACGATACCATCACTATGTTACCGCCATGGGGTCTCCTCGGGGGCTGCCTCTTCAGCATCGGTAGGCAGGCCCTTGACAGCAGCGCGCTGCCCGTGAGATTGACCTGCACACTGTTCTCCCATACGGCTAAAAAGTCTTCAGACTCAAGCCCCGGACCATGTGCACCTGACGTGTTTGCCGCGTTATTGACCAGCACGTCTAAACTTCCGTCAAAGAATGCCGAGGCCGAGCGTGCTGCCATTTCGATGTCTTCTTTCCGGGACATGTCCGCTCTCAAGATCTCGTAACGAGACTGTGCATCCGACGAAAATGTCAAATTGGAGAGCCATTTTGGGATCTGATGCTTCATTTGCTCGATTTCGACATCATTGTTGTCGAGCAGGAAGACGCGGTGGCCTTTCTGCAGCAGCAGTCGAGACAGGCCTCTGCCAATGCCACGACAGGCACCTGTGATTAGATAGTTCTTCGACATGCTTGAATCCCAGAAGAGCCTCTTTACAAGCCGAGCATATGTCCTGGCGGTGTATGAGATACCTAGGTAACCAAAGGATTGACGGTTTCCCTGGTTCCGCTCCAAAGTCGTCGACGCTCCTGTCGCACTTGATGGCACTGGGCGGGCACCTGACGTCATCAGCATCCACTACACTACAGTACACAACCAAGTCACTGGAACAAAATCCCTACCAAGTAAGCGACAGACAGGACCTGAGTTAAAAACGTTGCATGATTGAGCAACATCGGGAATACTACATTGCTTTCCTAGTCTTCTCTCTAATACTTGCTTGTTTCGTCGTCTTGCCTAAAATCCTTGGCACAACCTATTCGCGCGCATCCCCTTAGGTTTGATGTTCGTTCGTACTAGTGTTAATCCAAGGATATCGTGAACCACATAGGTAGGGTCAATTATTCTATTCCAAAACAGCAACTTATATACAAGATCACAGAAGGGAGCTTTGATTAAGATAGAGCTACCAAATGAAGAGTTAGCCAAACTACACGTGATGTAAAGTCTTAGCTGCCTTCTTTTACCGAACAGACAGACAACGATATATGTACGGTGCGCAACAGAGTTGACTACAATAGATGGTATGTCCAGTAACACAAACAGCAACGTGATAATATTGCTGAGGAAGAGATCTTGTCCGATCACACCGTATATTGCAGCGTAAGACCGGTCTCCTCTTGACCAGAATCTAGCACCGAGAGTTGTTCAACGAGTCAAACCTGCAGCCCAGATGTACCCGCCTGTCATTAAGGCTGGTCAAGATCCTGTTGATTCACAGGCTCTGGAACGTTTGAAGCAAGTAGACGTTTCACTCCCTTTAATACCGTATAATATAGTTCGATGTTGGAAGGAACAACGCACAGCCCGTAATTCCCAGGTTGGCGTGACTGATGTACCATCTGAGCCTTTTCACACCAAAGTGGGGGTCATCGAACCCTTTTTTCTGACTACTAAACGGTTAACCAAATATCGATAATTCTAATTACTTCCCTAGCCGTCATGCCCGTAGATCTATGGTGGCAAAGAGCTCAGTGCGGTTGATTGATCCTATGGTCCTTGAACTCTGCATAAAAGCCGCAACTTCATAACAGAGTGTAAAGCCACTTCCATCATCCTGCCAGCTACTAGAGGTACGAACGTGTAGTGTCTCCATTGCTGCCGAGACCGACTTTGTCCGCCCATTTTTGGCTTAAAGCTGCCCAGGTACCCAACGCCACCGACAACCCGCCACGACCATAGCTATCTGTCCGTTGATACACCTGCATGCAGGTCTCGTCGCACTCAATAACCTTCCCCGCTAATGTCAAGAAATGCTTCAAATCTAGCATTGATATGCGTTTGATGGGCCGTAGTCAATCCACCTCGAGTTCAGCTAGGAAAATGGTCTGTTGTCTGAGACAATACGCAGCATGTGGTGACCCTGCATAAAGCCAATCATGGATGCTGTAAATTATACGAAACTTGAATTCTTAACACATTGTGAAGTCGGGTGTTATATGCATCGAGCCATCTATAAATCATCGGAATTCCTTTACGGATTCACTCAGAATCTAACTTGTCTCCTCACCTTTCGCCTCTCTTCGCTCAACAGACAACTCTGCCGCTTATAGCAATGGTGACTACAGCCAAGACCGAAAAGGTTGATGCCGAAGACAGTATCACAGTTGTTACATCACTTCTAGCGGCTGTTGAGGTTCAGGAAGATACCCAATACAGTTTTATTGACACTCCTGGAAAACTTTCTTCTGTTATAGATGCCATTCAGGACCTGCCTACTAGTCCTCCGTCTCTCTTCGTTGACCTTGAAGGGGAAAACCTTTGCCGGGATGGCACCATCTCCATTCTTCAACTTCATGTTTCTTCCACAGGGCGAACCTATTTGATCGACGTCCATACTCTTACGGACACAACGTTTACTACTCCAAGCAAGAACGGCACAACGTTCAAGCACATTCTTGAGTCGAGCTCAATTCCGAAGGTCTTTTTCGACATTCGTAACGATTCGGATGCTTTGTACAGTCACTACAAGATCGAACTTCACGGCGTTCAAGATCTACAACTGATGGAGTTGGCGACACGACGTTTTCCCGGGAGATTCATCAATGGCCTCGCGAAATGCATCGAGAGAGACTTGATCCTTTCATGGAGGGAAAGGGAAGCCTGGAAGGCCACGAAGGAGCAGGGCGTCAGGTTGTTCGCCCCAGAGCGCGGCGGGAGCTACAAGGTATTCTGCGAGCGTCCACTCTCAGAAGCCATCAAGCTCTACTGCGTCCAAGATGTTAAGTTCCTGCCACGGCTATGGTCCTATTACAATACAAGCCTGACAGCGCAGAAAAGAGAGAAGGTGCGCCTGGCTTCTGTTGAGAGGGTTAGGGAATCTCACTCTGTTGGCTACCAACCCCATGGTCGTCAGAAGGCTTTGATTCCCAAAGGATGGTAGTCTTGCAAAACATGTACCAGTCCTAGTGGGGACCAACCTTCTCAGCCCCTTTCCAAACCAGGATTGGGCTAAGCAGTCAGCGCGTTCTCGCCGCTGGCCAGCCGCCACGGTATCATGTGATTTAATGTAGGGCCAGCGGCATAAGTGCTTCTGATCGAGCCCAATCTAGAGTAGTGTTAGACTTTTAATTTTGAAAAACGAGTATTGAATTGTGACTCTTGCTTCTGCACAAGACTAAGACCGGTGAATGAACGCATATAGTGAAAGCACCTGAAAGTCCAATACCCCATACTTCATCTCTACCCACCAGGGAAACTACTTGACGGATCAATGCCGCGTAACTATGAGGGTGAAATTTCGGTGCTGAAAGTGTAGTTGAACGTGAGCACGGCCTCGAAAGCCCTGCAATCCCTGGCTATCACTTGAACCCTAATCTCCACCGTGGTGGGCCTCCCGCAGTGCGGGCGTAGTGAGCTGTAGATAACTGCAAATTCTAGTGGCGATGTATCAGCCCGGGCAGACGAAGAAAGTATTAAATTCGGTTTATGTGAGACGCCTTACGATGACTATGTCCGGATTGAAAAGTTTTCTTGTCCGAAATTTGCCACGTCGACGACCGTCGCGTATGAGACACTATGCACATGATGATGTCCGTGGACAACGCGAAGTAGGTCGGTCGCCTTGGGGATGACCGTACGTTCATATTCCGGAGAAATGATACTTAAACCTAAAGGAAAATTGAAGGTCTTATCCTATTTGAGAATTCCATGTAGAAACGTTGACCACTTCACTGCTCATGAAATACTGGAGGCGGTAATATATAGTTGGAGATGGTTTCATGGCGATGAGTTTGGATTGCGGAGAGTGGAATCATGCATACCACAACCGTGGAGGCAACGGCCCGTAAAGGTCTACACTGTGCAAGTCTTATCAGCTCGACTCTTACAGACTGCCAGTTTGGACGGATCCCACGGTCATCCCACGTACGATAAATCAAGTTCACTATTTCGGTAGGCGTAGCCATAGTGCAAATAGGGATGGCCGATTTGCATGACAAAATACTGCGCGCTGGAGAAGTACGACAAAAACATTGAGATATATTGCTTCTTCTAACAAGGTGGTGGTAATGTTTCAAATGGAGCGGGCTTGGTGGGAAACGGGAACAAGGTACGCCGGCGGTCATAATAATCATGGTGCAAGCCTCTGACAGTTACATGACATTGATTACCGCTTCGTGGAGCCCAGATGCGCTAAGGGTCGATTATAGGGCTGATTCGAGTGGGTTGTACTACATGGAAAGATGTGGCCAAATAATGATACCAGTTTATGCAACGTCCGGGTTCACCTTGAATAGAACAATAACTTATGCATAAGAAGGTACATTTGTTGAAGGCCGCCTGAGGCGCTTATTGGGCAAGACTACATAGCTGTGGCACAGCGACGTCCCCTGCCAATCAGACCCTGGTCGGATGACACTGTATCCTGCTGTTGGTACAAACTTGCCTGATTGCTGTGTCGTGTAACGATCAGCTGCATTTCCCAGCAAACTTCCGCTCCTGTGTCTTTTCTTGCTTGAACCATGACGGTGCTTGTATTTGTGTCAGTTAGCGACTCTAATTTGGCTTGGCTTTAAATTCTTCATATAGATCACTGTTAAAGATTCACGGATTCAGCTAAAAGCACATAATTCCATCGTCGCCATGTGGACGTCAAGCACGAGTAGTTCTTCCGCTTGGGACGCCAGCGCCTCTTTATCGTCTCTGCTTATTTTCCTGGCGTCATGCGCTGCATTGGCCCTGCTTCTGTCTTATTTTGGGGCTAAGGCATCGCCGCAAACACTGAGAGACCCTATACCAGGACTGTTCAACACACTTCAATTTATGTCCAACAACGAAAAGTTCATGGCCCGCGTCCAGAATGCCGTCAAAGGAGGCCAAAACATCATCCGCTTCTACCTTGGCCCAAAGACAGTGTATTTGGTTGCTGGGCCGCAAAACATCAGGGCCGTATTCGGTCGCGAGCTAGTGCATGAGGTTACTAACCAGGAGCAGATGACACGCTACGCGTTACCGACATTGTACAAGATGACACCCGATGAAGTGCGGCGCTGGGAGACTGACCACTCAGGTGTCACAAAAACGCCCATTCCTGGAACTGAAAGTGTGCCATTCCGTCAACGGCTCTGGTATAACTACGAACACATTTACGCCGAGTATATCGGCAAGCCGCAGTACATAAAGCCTCTGATAAAGATATTCAATGGCAACTTAGACCAGTCTTTGGACCAATTTCCCACGAGAGAATGGACCACCATAAGTATTCAAAATTTGTGCCGCCAAGACGTCGCTCGGGCGTTGGTTAGTGCATTGTTTGGACCCCGCCTGGTGCAGTTGAACCCTGACTTTATCAAACGACTTTGGGATTTCGACGAACAAGTTTTCCAACTAGTTCTTGGGCTACCTAGCTGGCTCAACCCGAAGCCTTCCAAAACACATGATCGCTACGTCGCCGCCATAGAGCGGTGGTTGGAAATCGTATCGAGAGATTTCAACTGGGAGAGTACAGATGCTGAAGCAGACTGCGAGCCCCGTTTCGGTGGGCGTGCGGTCCGGGAGCTCTATATATGGATGAAAGAGACAAAGTGGAGGACTAAGGTGATTGCTGCTACATTAGGAGCACTATGTTTTGCGTGAGACACATTACCCGCTTAACTCGTTTTGTATGCTTGGCTGACAAGAGTAGGCTTACCTCGAATAGTATACCGACCACGATATGGATGCTGATGGAGATCATTCAAGACCCTACTCTCCTTGAAGCTGTGCGAGAAGAAATACGAACAGTTGCGACCAACGATCCCAAGACGGGGAAGATCACGCTCGACAGCCAAAATCTAGTGGCGCTGCCGTTGCTGCAGTCCATTTGGACTGAAACACTGCGGCTGCGTATTAACTTCAACATCGTGCGAGACGTCAAGCATCCCATCACGCTAAGCGGCAACACCATCGCCAAGGGAGCCTTGCTGCAGGTCTCAATGATGGTGGCATATTATGATGAGGTCACATGGGGTGCGACTGGTCATCCTGCATCCGAATTCTGGGCGGAGCGCCACATCAAATACACAGAGGACCTGGACGAAGCAGGCAAGACCCACCGCAAGCCCAAATACGCCATGGCTGGTCACCCGACATCCCACTTCCCCTTCGGCGGCGGTGCAAACATCTGCCCTGGTCGCCAATTGGCCAAGTTTGAGGTCTTTACCACGATTGCTCTTATTCTTCTGCGCTTCGATATTGAGCTTGTTGAATGGACCAACCCAGATGGGTCGGCCTCTAAGAGGGCTGCAAAGGGTGATAAGCGCTACTGTGGAGCGGGCGCCATGCCGCCGGATCGAGACATGAAGATCAGGTTAAGACGTATGTACTAAGATACTTCGCTGACGATGATGGTTTATGCACACCGAAATGTTGACTAATTACACAATAACAAGGCCTTGCCATCTGGACTGTATTAAAAAAAAATGGTTTAATTATGCCTTCCACAACTGTCCACCGTTGCCTGTGGTGAACTTGTCACGGCCAATGCTGAAATGCCCGAGGAGCAAATCACTCGGGTCACATACAAGCTTGATTTGACGAGACCGGTTGTAGTTACACTTGTGCCTAGTCTTTTCCAATCCTACTGGTATAGAGAACCCAACTCGTTTAGGTAGATCCAAGCTCCGGGAGTGGTCGCCTATGATGGGGACGTAGGCATTGTCTGGCTCATCTTTAAGTGTTGAGTTTTGGGACGCTGGGGCCACATAGTCCATAAAATATTCACGGACCATCAGGTATCAAAGACTTGTCCCTACTTTATCCACCGCCTTGGTCGAGTACATCACTTTGTATACCCGGTTCTCATGACATACCTTCAAGGAGGCACCTAGAAAAGACATATCAATGCTCCGCGATATCCAATGCTCATCACGCAGATCCAGTTGCAGAAGTTAGACTAGGTCTACCGTGTCATGGGCTTGAAAATACTCTGGTTCTGTCCAAGCTCCGGCGTCAAACGCCGCTGTTGCAGTTGACTCGCGAGCGACATCGTCGCCCCCTTGGCGCATGAGTCGCATGACACCAAAGTAGGAAATGAATACTCACCCGCCCCCTTTCTGAGTAGAAGTTGAAGTCAGTAGTAGGTTGGGTACCAGACTGGCTATGGACATCGCCATACGCGCTATTTTGCAACTTTGTCCGGCTGGACCTTCATCGCGACATTCCAGTCCGACGGGCAATCTGCCAAGCTTACAGTACTTCTTCGCGGTGTCTCGACTCAAGTAGCCTCACTTCAAGCAGCCTCGCTACAACCTCACAATCCGACACGATGAACTGAACCTTGTAGCGATGTAAAAATTTATTTCTCGCTTCAATCTCCTACCATCGATGCAGATTATCAGCGCTCTGCGTACAGAGTGTATCTTTACCCGAATGACTCACACATTGCATCGTTCCGAGAGTCTGCTCCATCATTGCCGGTCGCTGGGTGCTTGGTGCGAGAGCAGACCCGCGGCCGCGGGAGGGGGATTTTATCTTGGTTTTGAAGCCGAGGACGACAACCGCCGCCCACGTGGGCCAACATGAACGTGATGGCTGGCATTAGGCCTATGAATATTAGGAGGCGGCAGCTGGATACTGTCCGATTGAAGCACTGCAAGATGATGAAACGGGAGAGGACTTCGCGATAAGAATTGGCGCATGCTATTCTTGCCATTTTTGATCACTGTCTGTCTCCTTGTCCCATGACTAGCATGTAAGCGACTTTGTTCTGAGTTCATGAAACGTGGTCGAGCATTCGGGTGATCAGTCGTCGCATATCCAAAACAGCTTGGGAGGACTCTTGGAACTTTCTGCCAGGTTCGACGGCAGCCACCAATGACCAGAAACACCGTTCGCCGCTCTCTGGGACTTCTTGGATAAGCGAGACTGTGCCATGGTTTCAAGTATAAAAATGGTCCATAACATCCAAGTTGACTTCCATGCAAGAACATTAGGTGCCGTTGCTTCAGCTGGATACTTGGTGGAACCAAAGGATTACTTTGGACCGTTTTTAAATGGTTGACTAAGCGCTCTCAGCCGAGCTCTCGCAATTTGACCACTTTGGATGCAAGTCGGCAAAATATATACCAAAGAGCTCCCTCACAAGATGAAAGAATAAATATACTGGGGGCCTTCAAAATAAACCCCGGTATACCTTTTACCATGTTCACCTGTTGTAAAGGGCGGAGCAGCGCGTAGCGCTGCGTGGCTATCGCACTGATTAAATCGCCTTGAACTATAATCGCTTCCCCTTTGTGGTCTGTTTGAAATCATGCTTAACCAAAGAAAGCGGATTAAGATGGCTCATTGGAGCATCAAGCAGCCAGCATCAAATGTATGACTGGACTGCCTGTATAATCTTTCCAGTTGCTTAATATATATGAAACGAATGCGTTGTTATGCCGAACCGTTCTGTACCGCGTGATACCCAGCCTGCTCAGCGCTCAATGAACATATAGGCGCACCCCCCCCCCCCCCCTTTTCTGTCTTTGAATGCTTCCCATGCATCTTGGAATTCTTCCTCTGCATCGCAGTACTTTCCTGAATCAAATAATATTAATGCCAACTGAGATGAGTGATGTGCCTCATCTATATTCACAAGACTTTTGTAGTTAACCTTCTCTTCCACATCTCTCGTTGGCAATTCCCAGTCCCAAATAAGCAGGAATTCTCGTGGCAAGATTAGAAACACCCATGAGTCGTTTATGAGGCGTTTGTAATCCACTTCGCCCTTCATAATGTTGATTGAAATCCGGACAATGACCAGTCGTCCCCGCCACAGCCTGATTATCATTGGCTTCGACGCTCCCTCTATAAGACAGACGATATCGCCCTCGAGGATCGCTCCTGCTGTCGACTCCACAGTAAGGGCTTCCACAGTAAAATCATATGCCCCTTTCTTCGTTCCGGACTTAGAATTCCATGGGGCTCGCACTCTAACGACTCGGCAACTATTGCCTATGTAAGTTTGGTCATCTATGGAGTTGACGTGGCCAAGGACATAGCCCCTGCTCACGATCACAGCAATCTCCCGATCTTTCCTTGTGGTGATGTTGCTATGTCTGGTCAACAAAGACTTAGACAATTGCGAGAAAAGGTCTTCCCATGAGACGTTGTAATCAGGCATCATGGCACCTTCCCCAGGATTATCTAATCTCATGCCAAATAGGGCGAACGCCTTATCCCGGCGAACTGTAGCCTTGCGGGTATGGAACTTGTCGATTAATTCCGCTAAAGGACGGACCGCCAAGGTACACCCTTTTAGGTGGCCAGTAGCTTGCTTGGACCGAAATACTGCACCCTGCATGAGGTAAGTGAGAGTTGTAATGAGACTAAGCCCGTCTGCATATGAGTCCTTCAACTCGTTCAGGCCGGAGCAGAATGCGTGTCCTGCGATGTACGCCGAGCCACACTTTCCAGCACGTGCCGAGCTGCGGCAACTTCTTGAAGGATCTGGATTCATTCTGTTGTCAGTAATATTTTCGTGTCCCGCTGAGCGGCTGATATCCTACCCAGATCCGCTCGAATCATGGTCGCCGAAGCAGCGCGCTAATGGCTTGCATTCTTGACTTCGGTATAGTCAATCTGTTCATATGTAGCATATTGCTGTCAGAAACAACCCGTACGTCATCGAGCGCCACCGTTACATCTCCCAACCAAATGATTACTCGAGCCGCTTTTGGCATAGATCATGGCCATTATTTCGACCTGTTTGTTGAGCTCTTCTGCGTTGATTTGGTCGATGCAGATAGCATCTGCCCACAGGATGCGCTCCAAGTAGCGATCCCGCATATGGCGTAGCGCCGAGTGGAGGCTTGCCGTGACAGGCACCTTGTAGTTGCCTATCCAGATGCATTGAGGCTTGTTTGATGATCCCCACGCATAAGACAAAGCCTCATATAGATGAGAACCCTCGTCTCGCTCGAGCAAAGGGTAGTCGAAGAGCTTGCATTGAATTGGGGCATCCTTGTCCTGATCAGCCGAAGCAAGCGAATGTTGCCCTCCAACAAAGAAGAGGGCCTATAGTCGGAAGTCATTGTAGGGTTAGACACAATTTGTGGCCTCTGGCGTGACGTCCGTGAATAGCTAGGATGTAGATATGCTGGGTTATAGCAGCTTTGTGTTCTGTGTAACGAGGAAGTGATGGATGCCTATCCATCCTACCCATGTAACTATTGGTGTCCCGCTTTCATATACTCTATTTTTAGACCACAAAGTGGGTAATGGCGCTTCCATTTCTAGGTGACTCGATGCCAAGCATCGAACTTCAGTATGCAGGCGATAGATATAATTGTACAACTTGTGCGACAACAGTCCCATACAGTCATGGCACATAAGGTAAGGCATGAATCAAATTGCACCCTAAATCCCAAGTTGACATCCTAGTTGAACTGTAACGCGTTTGCCACTAAAGAACATATACTCGATTGGATATAATTAAACTACAATGTCACTTTTAAATAACTCCTAGAACTCCCACTCCTTCCGCAAACCGAAGGGGAAAAACTCTTGCAACAAAAAGATGATTCCTGGGGCCATAGAATGTAGCCTCGAACGCCAGCTTAATGGCTTGATCGTCCAAGCTTCAAGCACCACCAACATTGGCAAGCGCCTCGTCCGAGACCTTCTTGGCATCTTCAAACATCTTCTTGAAGTCGAAGCTGCAGGCATCGCCCGCGGCCACGTGCTTCTTGACGTACTCCTCGAAGTTGCTGGCGCTCTTGCCCTGGCTCGCCAGCATCTTGGCGACCTTGATCAGGGCCTGGATGCCCGTCTTGGCCGCGCCGACGCCGCCCACGCCCGTCAGGAGCGAGGCGGCGTCCTTGGCCGCCTCCTTCCACACGGCGCACGTCACCTGGCCGATGGCGGGCAGCGAGGCCACGAAGTTCTCGCCGACCCAGTTCACGATGGGCAGGTTGCAGAAGCACTGGCCCAGCTTGTACCTCTTGCCCTCGGGATCGGGGAAGGTTGGCTGTGTGGTGGTGCCCGTGACCGCGCAGGTGACGCTGTAGGTCTTGTGGGTCTCGTCCACGATCTTCTTGGCGTCGCCGCACTTTGGCTCGCACAAGTCGGTGAACTTGGAGTAGCTCGGCTCGTCTCTTCCTTCGTATTTGCGGCAGAGGCCGCGGTTCTTCAGATCTTGAGTTTCCTTGTCATAGTCGCGCTGGAGGTCGATCTTTTCATCCCGAACTGACACGGCGGCGGCAGACACGTAACCGAGGGTCGCAAAGACAATGGCGGCGGCTGATAGCTTCATTTTAGGTGTTGATGGCCTGGCAAGGTGCTAGGTCTTTGTCAGGGTACGTAGGTTCAAAGGTGCCGATGCAGGTAAAGTAAGAAGGAATAACGGGTGTTAATGGTGTCAATAGCATTTAGTCTGCGTGATGGCACTCTTCTTCTCATTATATAATCGACGCCACTTCTATTGTCGTTTCTAATTCGGGGATGTTTTGATAAACAAGGCTTGAACCATAGGAAGACCGTGGATCAACGCCAGCGACCCACACCGCGACCAGTATACGCAAGAGGATAGCTCTATACACAGCCTATACAGCTACTGGCGCAGTCGCAGACTCAATGCGCTGGGCTGATCACATCCTATATGGTCCCCCAGTGATGGAGCGACTAGAATGCACTCATCCTCCAGGTTGCCTAAGGAATGGTTGAGCCTCACTGCGACCCAGTCAAACGTCATCATTGTGCTTGACTGGCGACGAAGCTGGGCAATGTTAGCAATTGGCGATGTACGAGTTACTAGGCAGGAAATCCGGGACCGAGAAGGAAGAACGGATTCCACAACGATCGACAAGCTCGCCCAGTTAAGTACTCTATGCAATGTGCAATTGTAGCCCTATGATGGCCAACTGGGGTGGATCAGATCGGGCTCCACAGCTCTTAGGTGCTGTGGGCCTCGATTGCTTCTAATTTTGGCGAACCCACCCCAAGTAGTGCTAGGATCAACTCCCTGGTCAAGCATCGCATCACAACCTCACCGTATCAAGTGATGTCACCAAGCGGGCGGACGAGTGAACCTGGCGATGCTTCCTAACCATTGCGTTAGAAGAAGCTTGAGCAGCGACACGCCGTAACCAGCCAGCCAAGCAAGTGTTACCAAATCTAACTCTGCCCTAGCCGTGTAAGTGGGTGAAGCGAGCTTTGCCTGGAAGGTCAGGGACATAACCCCTCGCAAGTATATAATCTGCTGGCATGATAATACTGATGCCATACCAGTCAGATTTAAGCCTGTATCCTCCAAAGATCGAGGCATGGTTCCAGAGGACAGGAATGGAAAGTGTTATGTAATAATTCTGGGCACCTCACCCTGTAGTCTCAAAGAATGAGGTTGATACAAACATCAACACATCTTTCTAGATGGGGTTGCAGCAAGCAAGTTGGGCTTGCTACATACCAAAACATTTCGAGAGAGCGTGCTTACATGAACGTGGCGGAATGGCGGAATGAAAATGTAGGGCATTATGGCTAAACTTTTTTCAATCTCTACCGCGAATATTATCTATCGTACTGCGTCGCGCTGTTATATCATATCATACCCAACCGAAGCGTCTGCGCCACGGTACACCCTCAAACCTCAGACCTTAGGCCGTAGACTCTAGACCCTCACGGCCTCCCGGGCAACGGGCGCGGGCCGACGATCTGCCTCCGGCCGGCGCCGATGCCGGCGCTGCCCTTGTTCTGGCTGTCGCCGCCCGTGTAGCCGCTCCACTGGCCGACGTCCCAGCGGCCGCCCACGCCGCCACCGATGCCGTCGACGCCGTCGCCCGCGCGCACGGCCTGGGCCGTCTCCTTCTGGGCCTCCTCCCACTCCTGCTGGCGCTGGCGCTCCATCTCCATCTCGCGCTCCAGGAGGGACTTGCCGGCCCAGCCGCCGGCCTTGGTCTTGGTCTGGGACTGCATCCGCCGCCGGTCCTCAGCGTCTTGCTCCGCCGTGGCACCCAGCTCGCGCGAATACGTCGGTTTGTTGGCAGGGGGAGCGGGAGCCGGGTTAGAAGCCAGGAAGCGGTCGGTCCTACTTGCCGGAGACGGGGTTGGCAACGGCCGTGAGTTAGACGCACCAAAAGGCCCAGGCGACTTGGCAGGTTTTGCACCGTAACCGCCTGTAGGTAGGTTCCTAGGCTTCTCAGGCACGGGAAGGGGTCTAGCCTCGCCCGTTCGCTGCGGTTTCAGAGGCAGTGGCGGTGCGTCGCCCGTTCGTTGGGGTTTCACGGGCAACGCTGGGAGTTCACCAGTACGCTGGGGCCTCAGGGGCAGTGCGGGTGATTCGCCGGTACGCTGAGGTTTTAACGGTGAGCTAGCTCTGGGATCCGGAAGTGGCCGCGCTGGGAAGTTGGCAGCGGGAGCCGAAGTACCGATCTGCTCCTGGTGACGATCCCACTGGGTTTTGAGGACCTCACGTTCATCGCGGGACCAAGAGTCCTGTCTGCTCGGTGGCCGGCTGGGCAGCTTCGGCCTGCTTCGAGAGCGGGCTCGGCTCTTCGCATCGCCACGGCCCCGGCGATCCCGCTCCTCTTCGTACTCGCGCTCTCGCTGGCGTGCAAGCTCTAGCTCATGCTCCAGCTCCTGCACACGGCTCGTATATCCACCTCCAGACTTCTGAGGCGCGATCCCTTGTTCCGCCTGGTACTGACTCAAGAACTGGCCCTGGAGCTGGGAATTGCTCCTCGCGCGCGCCTTCTTTCGCTCCTCTGCCAGCCGTGCCTCCGCTTCCTCCTCCTCTTGGCGCCGCTTCTCGTTCGTCAGCCTCCACTGGCGCTCTTCCTCCTCCCAGCGGCGTTTCTCTTCGTCGGCTTTGCGCTGTTCCTCCTCGCGCTGTCGTCGGGTTTCTTCCTCCCAACGTCTCTCCTCCTCGAGTCGCATGCGTTCCTCCTCAGCCTCGAGCTCTGCCTTGCGGATGCGCTCTTCCTCTTCCATCTGGAGACGCTGGCGCTCGGCTTCGGCCTCCTGCTCTTTCCGGCGGCGCTCCTTCTCGGCCATGTTGGGCACGTGCGGACCGGCGCTAGTGATCTGTCGACGCCCGCCAAAGGCGATACCGAGGTTGCCCTGCGACGCACCGCCCATGTAGCCATACTGGGCAATGTTCCACGCCGGGCTCGTAACCCCCTCGTCGTTCCGCCTGCTCCAGCTGCTCACGCCCGGTGACCCCACACGTTCTCCGGTCGGGCTTTTAGTGGGGCTCTTCGTAGGGCTCCATCGTCCCGAGCCCGAGTCGCCGGTCTTGGTAGATGCGAGGGTTGGGCGGTTGCCGTAGATGGACGAGGTGTTGGAGACATTGGACATGCCTCGGGTACGGTTGGGCGAGGGGCCGGTGCTTTGCGGCGACAGGACAGCGCCGCGCGATTTGGGCCCTATCGACGATGGGAAGTGTGAAGGGTTGACTTTCTGGGCAGCGCGGGAGAATGCGCCGAGACACTGGAGGACTTGCGTAGGGTCCTTCTGCTCGTAGAGGTCCACGGTCAGAAACATGTCGTGCTCCTGTAGGTTCAGAGGCGGCGATTGGCAGGCGCGCAGGAAATGTGAGATGTTCTCCATCTGTACAAAGGGCATGGCCGACTGCTTGAATTTGACACCCGGGGGTCCGACGGCCAGGTTGATGAGTCTGCAGCGCGGCTCTTGTTAGCATGCGCGGATCAGATATGCGCGGGCGCACCAGGGTCAGACATACTTGCACAGAGCGACTCCGTCCTTGAGCCCCTCGAGGAGATCGCTGCCCGAGAGGCGCTCGCCCAGTATGCCTTCAATCCACGAGCGTGCCTCGTTGGCGGCGGCGGGCGTATACTTGTCGTGGCGCATCTTGCGCAAGTCCTTATCCAAGGACGATACCGAAGCCATGTTGGGCGGCAACGACGGCGCAAACGACTAGAACAATGCGATATAACAGTACCGCGGGGTATTATGCTCTGATATATGCAAGTACAGACAAGTCGGCAACAGAGCGCTGGACAAGTTGGCTGTAGGTTCGCGGCTCCGAGGCCGTCCAGTCCGTGTCGGTTTCGGCGCAGTCGAGTCGGGGGGAGAGAGTGCAGCGTTGGAAGGAATGGCGGGATGAGGTCAGAGGGTGAGGCTGGTGCGCTTATTCGGGCCGCGGACGCCAATGACACAGCAGCCGGGTCGCTGAAGCCTGACGCGCTGTGGGGATTTTCCTGGCTCTGGCAGGCCAAAACAGTCTGCAGTCGGGCGTGTAGAGCAGGTCGAAAGTAAGTGTGCGAAATTAAGAAAGCCTCATCCAACATGACGGGCGCATAAACAAGGTCCAGATCGAGAGCGTTCCAGGTTGGATTGCGCCGAAGGGCCTTGATTGACACCCTGCTCTGCCCTGCTGCCCTGCTGCCCTGCTGCCCTGCTGGAGATTTGACAGGCAGGGGGGGCCAGCCCAAGTTGCCAGGAGGCCCAAGGGCGGCCCCCATGGCCCCCGCCTCTCCCTCCCAGTCCCAGTCGCTGTTGTCCCTCCTCCCCCTCCGGGTAGACCCCACTAACTTAGCCTTGCCCAATGCCATTTGGATCACTTTTTGACCCCCAAATCTGCGGTGGCTGGCCGGGTCCGCTAAACACAGTAGACTATGAAGAACCGCTGTGGCGCACTTGACTCGGGTCCACAATGACGACCAGGGCCCAAGTTTAGCGACAGCTTCCTGTGGCGGTGCTAAAATAATTATTTACTATACTCCCGGTATACGCCAGGCGAAAAGCTCCGTACGTCGGCATTGCTGGAAAGGTTCCCTCCACATTGCCCCGGGGACAAAACCACACACAATGTCCAGCCTAGGCCCCCAGATCGGCCCCGTCAAGCGGGCATGGTACCGCTGGAAGATGCTGCGGCTGCCGTGGCGGAAGCGCTTTCTCGTCGGTACGTTTTCCCAGACAGCCATACATCACCACCAACTCGCGACCGAAGCCTACAACCGACTATTGCTAACATTCCCCCCTTCCCTCCCCGCAGGCCTCGACCTCCGCGGCAACACGTACTGGACCTTCCTGGACCAGCGGCCCGACCCCTCGACGCCCGACGCCGCCCTGCGCTGGCGCCGCATCGTGCAGTACCCGCGCAGCACGCATCTGAGCGAGGTCAAGGTGCCGCCGCAGTGGCACCAGTGGCTGCGGCACCAGCGCGAGGACGCGCCGTCGCTGGGCGAGCAGGCCGCCGACCTGGCCCGCCGCGAGCGCACCCGCCTGCTGGCCGCCGAGGCCGACGCCCGCTGGGAGGCCAAGCCGCGCGTCATGGACATCCCCGCCGCCGAGCGCGAGCAGCTCCAGCGGCAACAGCAGCAGCCCGCCCCGGCGCTGGATACCGGCGACATGCGCGGGAAGGTCATGGCGGAGGAAGGTCAGAGAGACACGCCGAGGGCGGCGACGGGGACACCGGCAGACACAGCGCCGGGGGCGAAGGAGGGCAAGACCACCGAGGTGAAGGATGATCCGTGGAAGAGAGCCAGTGGGCCGAGCGAGACCTGGCAGCCCGAGGCCTGGACGCCGAGCAGTGCGCGGAGGCGGTGATGATATGAGAACAATTCTACAAAGCTACGACGAGGACAACAAACGACGAAAAACCGAGCTTCGACTGCAGGGAGGCGCATTTCACGAGCCAGAATGCGGCCACGTTCAGTCATGTATCATTATTAATCACTTGTACCACCACTCTTGTACAGTACTTAGAGATTACAGAGGCCCAGATGCCGCTCCTAAAGCACAAAGGTGGACTCCAAGGCTGCTTCCCCTTGTGCTGTAATCACCTATAAAACGCCAGCCCGCCGTCCTGTCGTAAGGGGTATCATACACGTAGTCTACTGGACTGGACAAAGTCTCCCACTGTGTCGCCTCTTCTGCCGCTTCGGGGGAGGGATGTCGGCATCGCAGTAATGCTGCTCCACTTCAGGCTGCTCGTCTGCTCCCAAGTGTTCGCCCTACGAACTTCTAGCCGACAAAAACGATGCTTCTTCCGTGTCTGCATGTAATTAGTACGGCATGATCACTTCACGGGAACAGCGGTTCGATTGATGACAACGTACCTTCATCCATCCTGTCCACCTGGTCTTCCGCCTCGTCTTCTCCCACCGTGTCATCCTCGTCCCCAACTCCATCCGTGATGAGTTCGACCAACAGCAGCAACCTCTTGGAGCTCTCTTCGAGGGCTGCTTTGGCCTCGGCGTCCGAGTCATCCACTTTCGGCTGCGCTCCTCGTCGGCCTCTACCACCGGTGAGCTTCTTCTTGACTTTATCCTCTCGGGCGGCGACGCCCTTCGTCGCTGCGTTATACAAGCGATCACTGAATGGGACTGTTCCTATCACCCAGACCAGCTTCACGAGCTCTTCCAGCAGCACGCTGACCTTGGCGTTGTCCTCCGCTGCGATGGTGTTAGCGGCAAACGGAAGGAAACAACGCTCCAGGATGGCCGGGCTCGTGCCGTTAGCGTCGTAGACCTCGGCGTCCACCTTCCCGGGGTCGACGGCGTTGGAGGGCATGAAATTCGACAGCACGCTCTGTAGCACGCTGATCTGACTCTCTCGGAGCAGACACGAAGTGGTGGAGTCGACAAAGGCTGTGAAGATGGACAAGGGGAGCGTCCGCACCGTCGTCTCGTAGGATTCATAAAGATCGGGAAGGTCGATGGGCGGGTCCGGCAGGTAGTTGCAGAGGTACGACAGCAGAGCGAAGAGCCGCTGTCGGAGAGGAACAGACTCGACGTAGGCAGGCTCCAGAGCCTGAAATTCTTGCTTGTTGGAATACGTGTTGCGTTTCTGCGGCGTTGGCGGTTCAGAGTTCTGGGACGAGTAGACTGAATCGTCGTCAAGCAGGCCGCCGTAGTCTCCTTTCTCAAGATTCACCTCTCGTTTCCGCTTCTTCAAGGAGGTCTTCTTGGACTTGCCCTTGTGCTCCATATGCCACACCTCGTGGAACAGAGAATTGGAGGATGAGTTGCCGTCGGCAAAGATGGCCTTCATGATGTGCTTCAGCCTGCCGGCCCTGCTATTGCGCTGCTTGATGTACCCCGCCAGTATGGAGTCTTGTAGCAACGCATAAACACACTCGCCCTCCCTGCCGCCTGTGCTTACGTGCTCCTCTTCGTCCAAGCGGAGACGCTCGTGCAAGTCGTCCTCAATAACGTCGAGCATGAATTCAAGCCATTGGCGCCAGTACTCCCAGCGGTTGGGGTACAGGACACTGCAGTTGAAGGCCCAGCCGACGACGCTGAAGAAGTCTTGCCCGCACCGCCAGATACTGTGCTTGGAGTACCGCCCAAGCAGTTGCGCTTCGCCCATGGGGTCGTATATGGTATCGCCACCATCGGGCGTCGCGCTGCCGGACCGTCTGGTTGTGTGGCCGAAGCGGAATGCTTCATTGAACTTGGCGTTGACGGGGCCCACAGTGCGGAGCATGTTGCGCAAGCAGTTGAGCGACGATGAAGCGATGTCAACCCACGAGTCCTCACGCGGTCGTGTTGTGAAGTCTGGGTGGATGAGAAGAGTGTTGAGAAAGGCGAGCTGGTTCGGCGGCGGGCAGTACAGGCCGCCATCGTCATGTTGGCTGTCGAGCAAGAGGCCCGGCTTGGATGGCAATGATGTTGCGCCTCCCGCCGCGTGTAGTCGGTCGATCAGTCTGAGCGATATCAACTGCAGCGCTTCCTCCAGATAGATCTTGCAGTGTTCTCTGAGCTCCGGAGGCAATTGCCGGGCCTTCCGATACCCGGACCATTGTCCATCCTCGTCGTCGGGTCCGATGACGTCGGCGGTACTCGTATGTACCGGGTTCGTGGGTGAAGCCGTCGCTGTCTTGAACGAGTCCGCAGACGATAGAGGCGACGAGGAGACCTTCGCACGCCGGGACGCTGGCATGGCTGCGTGTCTGCGTGGTGCTTCTTCGTAGGGTACCTACATACGAGCACTTCCACTTCCAATGGCGCTTGACGCGTCTGGCAGCCTGAGAAGACGCGACGCCGTTAATTGAAGGTTTTAGGCCCGCGGCCAGGGGTTCGCTAGTGCTGGTTGGGGATGCGGGGCCATTCTAACGTAGCCCAGCGCTTGGCTTCAAGAAGTGTTAAGTTCGAGTGAAGCAGTTCCCAACCAGGAATCAGTGCTCAAAAAGTGCCTTGTGAGCTTCGCAATCTGCGTTCAGTCCTACAGAGTAACTAGTATATAGTTAAGTGAGATAATCATCTACTATGTATTTCATCAGCTTTGGCTTTTGTTCGTTCACAATAGACTGCTAGGTACCCAAATACCCTCGGGCGCTGGGAAGGTTGCGCGAGAGATCGCGGCCTAGGCAATAAGTACACGACTGCCAGTCGGTGTCACACATCTTTTCAGTCATAATCAACTATGAAATCGAATTCCCCGAAGCACAATCGCTAGGTCTATTCTCATGCCTATAGCCGTTTTCTGGGTGCGTTCTGTTATGGTCATGGCGGTGGTATTAAGCTTTGACAGACAACCGCTATGGGGGATTTAAGGTTTTGCCAATTTGAGTTGGCGGCCGCTATCTTCTGGGATCGCCGTGGCATTGACCGCAAGATGACCCTCAGGGGAGAGGTCCGGGTTGCTGACGAAATTTGTAAGAGTCGGCAAAGGCGACAGGACTCCACCGCATCATCGAATACTCCGGCCTGTCCATTGGTCAGATGGGCATTCTGTGATGGCGTCAGCACAATCTTCAGCACTATGCAGCGGGTGAGCCTGGGGTCGTAGCGACAAGAAAACGGAGTCGCCTAGCTATCAGCCGGTCATCTACAGGGTAGGTACGAGTTAGAGCGCCCCCAAATGTGCTAGGCGTCTTCGTTAGCATTGCCGTCGTTCTCCAAGTCGTCGCGCAGGGTAGGCCCCATGTCACTCACAATGCGACTAAGCGAGCGTGCAGTCAGCCCCAGGCATGTCTCTGGCCAGCCCTAAGATGAAAGGGGTATGGTGAAGGATTCGAGGGACAGGAGACAACAGTTCATGTCTTTGACAGTTCCCTGACCTGACATGATCTTCTACCTATCCACCATCTTCATGCCGTGAGGCTGTCTGAGCATCGGCCAGCAGACAGTATTGTCGGTCAATGGTTGAGAATCGAGCTAGGCGCGATGGCTTACCAACAGCACTATCAGCAGCCTCAATATCCACAGGAGCAGTATCCGCAGGGACCGGCGGCCGGCTATGCTGCCAATTGGAACGCAAACAACAACTGGGACAGCTCCGCCCCTGAAGTGGTTCCGCAATGGCACCAACCACCGACTGGCCATGCGGCAGAAGGTATCGCGCGCGCGAATCACTGGGTAGCAGCCCAGCAGCAGTCCTCCATGTCGCCGCCGCCGACGGCCAAGACGCCATTCAGTGACTACGGCAGCGCGACGACGGGATCGTACCCTTTGCACCCAGGGACAGTAGTCCCGCCACCGCCGAAGCCGCGGGATAGAATCTGCGGCGTGAAGAAGAATGTGTTTTTCATCGTGCTGGCGATTGCGGCTTTCGTATTCGTGGTGGGCATTGCCACGGGCTTGGGCGTCGGGCTCGGATCAGGAAAGAACTCTTCGAATGCTGCAGCATCTGGTCAAAGGTAAACCTTCCATTTCATTTCATGGCTGAAGAACCCAAGGTTGCAGCCCCAGTAATTGCGAGATCCGCTGTTTGTGGATACCTTATAGTAAACCGCCTGAGGTGCGGTCTGTATTTACAAAGTCTTGGTCCACTATCCCTTAGGACTGTTGGCTAACCGTCTATCAAAAGCACATCTTCTTCGTCCACGTCCACAACATCAACGCCCACCACATCTTCAGAAACGCCAACCAAAGTGTCGCCCACGCCAAGCTTTACCGGCACCGTGACAAAGGGCTCTGTGCTCTGCCCGCGGGACAATGGGACGGTATATATCTCGTCGATAACGTCCAAGCCGTTCAACGTCGAGTGCGGGCACGACTACAACAGCCAGGACGGCGCCAAGGACCTGTCACACCAGCCCGCCGCCACCATGGCCGAGTGCATCGACGCCTGCGGCGAAAACGATTCGTGTGTTGGCGTGGGCTGGGGCAACTATCAGGGCACGTATACCTGTTGGCTCAAGAAACAGTTGGGAACACCAAACGACAGCTCCAAGTGGTATTTTGCAAAGTTACAGGATCTGGATGCCAGTAGTGGGCCGGAATCAAGGCGCTGGGTGGATGGATGACCGGATGAGAGGACAGTGCGTACTATGCGAGTCGTAATATAGGATTGGGAATTTTGGATTAGAGTGAAGCCACTCGGGAAATTGTATTAGCGAGGCGTCTGGTGTTTGGGAATGGAGGCATACCCGAGGGCATGTTATGAGTTGGAATCCAGCAGCAGGGCTGTGGGTTGATGCGAGATTTCTGACTGCGAGTGGTTGTTTGGTCTTTGCTAACGGAACTCGTTCTGCGGTTATTATTCGAAAACATCTCTCCGTTCATAATACTTATGGATTTCTAACATGTCCTTCGGGAGAACGAGTGGTGTGGGACTAAGGTCAGAGAACGACATGGTTAGTATAATACAATTCGAAGGAGCAATATATACAACTTCCTCTACAGGCGCGGGGAGTATTTATGCTAGACTGTGAAACTGCCTTGGTATGGAGTCAAACGTAAATAAAAATGTCTTGTTGAGTTGCATGGAGATTTCTTCTAGTATAGCTTAAACTTCGCCTCGTTCACTTCGTCCGTGGACGACGAACATACGACACCTTGCTTGGTTCCAATAGTTAAAATGATTTCAAAATCTAACATGTTGGCCTTCTCATCATTTCTTCGAGTCTAACAACTTTCCTCGTACATACAATCACCAAATTGCCCAGGCTTCAAACCGCCTTTCCTGCACTGCGGCCACTGAGGCCAGCTTCATCAAGCATATCTATGCCATTGACAAAATTATACTGAGTTTTATTGTGCTATTACTTCTTAATATTAATCAGCTGTGCCAGGAGTTGCTCACTTGGCTTGCCATACATTAATTAGCTAACTGAATGCCATTGCGGTGGTTAAGTGGGAGCTCGGCTATCAAATCCCAGCTTAAGCGCAGATGTCCGCCTCCAAGTTTACAGGCTGCGGGCAGCCGTATACCTTCTTGTGGGCGGGTGTGCTGTAGCAGTCGGTCTGGCCGGGGCCGCAGTCGAAGATCTCGCATCCAGGGCCTGGAGTCAGGATGTTATGCGAGCTGGCAAAGGGGTTGCCCCACTCCCTATTGGATATTAGCAAAAGACCGGAATCGCCCAGTCTACAGGACCGAAAACGTACGTGCTAAGCTCATCTGGAGGAGATACGTATTAGCTCAGATCATTTGATGTAAATAGAGGTCAAGGTGGCAGTAGACTTACAGTAAGCATAGTCTGGGTTAGAGGAAAATGAGTAGCCAAAGAAGAGCGGGCTGTTAAGGGTTTTGGTGGTAGCAATTTTCACAGTCTGCACCTGCAATTAGCTACGGATCTCTCGATCATCTGCGGCCTTAGGTCAAACTAACCGAACCAGACGGGCGGAAATCCTCGGCAAAGGACTGGCCGGGAGCCACGGTGGTCAATGTGCCCGCCGCGCTGCCGTCGTACGGGAATGACTGAACGTAGATTGCGGATTGGCAGTTGTTCTTCACGACAGCCTGCTGGGCAGAGACGCCAGTAGCGACAAGGGCCGCGCCCACGATGGTAGCGAAAAACTTCATATCTGCTGGATGGATCGGGAGATCTGGAACGTGGGTGTCAATGTGAGCTCGAAGATGGTTGTGGAAGGAGATGCCGGGGGAAACAACTTTCAGAGAGCAGTCAATGCAACAGTTATATGTTCATCACTCAAGCCAGGGCCCTTCCGGGAAGAGTAACATGCCATCTCATGGTCATGTGTTTGCGCCGTTTTGGTAGCATTGAGGCATACGAGCTGACGGGGCAATTATGGGGATTCTACGGACCAAGACGTCACGTTTGCTACCATGTTTAGTAAAAAGAAGTTCCGTGCCGCCAATACGAGCATAGAGGCTCGTATCACCCCAACACGAGGGTAGCAGCGTCGGCATGGCCCAATCACACCGCCGTTTGTTTGCAGGAACCGTGCAGCCCCCGCATTTCTGTGCGGGGACCCAAGACCGGTTCGGGGCGAGCTGCCGGATTGGATATTCCACCACGGCGATCTAGTTTTACTGGTGCTAAAGTTAATTTAGACTACCGAAGTCTTTAAACTGAAGCAGTCTGATCACCCTGTTACTTCATGAACATCAGTATGACAGTCCATCAACCCGTGGAACGGGCCAGTATACGTCGCTCGGGTGAGCGATGGGCCTCTTCATGAAGATTGCCTCTCCTTTCCGCTTATGGTGCGGGTGACGGCATTTTCTGTCGCGCATAGCTGGAAAATTCGGTCATGACAAACGATGGCAATTCGCCGTTGGTGAAACCTTACGAAATTACTCCCAAGTATAGTCCCCCTCTGAAGAAATGGAAATGTTTTCTATCCGAGAATAACTACCTTAGTAGTGTCCAAGTATTGGGTATCACGTCCCCATGGAGTGCATTACACTGGAGTTGCGCTCAGGGGCAATATAATCCCAGAGCGTTCACAACAGCCAAAGCAGTATAATATATCAGCAACGAAAGATTCAACGTGCTTTGTTCAAGGGGGAGGGACATAACTGACGAGAGAACTAATACCTCACGTACGATGCATAAGGAGGGTTCTCGGTTTCCAGAATGCAAGCGCTAATTTTATGGGCAAAAGGAGCGTTGTCTTTTTGAAATCCACGCACAGCAAAACCAACTACACTGGAGCGCGAAAACAAAAGGCAACCAACCAACCAACGTCTCGAAAGCACGAGCTAAGCTTTTCTTTCTTACATGCATTGTTCTTGCAACTCTAGGTATTTCTTCAAATCTCCTGCAGATAGACTCGTCTATTTGAAAATTCAATACGGCTTCTAGAGGGTAAATTTTAGGCTGTTCTGAATTGAGCTCCTCTAATTGGTATGTTACGATATGAACTACTGCTTTCGTAGCAATTCGCATTGACAACTCGTCTCACACTACGTGATAGATGGCCGTAATGACTTTTACATTGGGGTTCGAGTGTTTTAGCGCGACCATATTTATACGGAGAATTATATAGGCGATGGCTCGCGGTCGAGATTTAACCAAAAACAGGAGGGAGATGCCACTTCTCCTGAAGCTTAGCAGCAACTCCGGCGGCAGCCTGTGCTCCACTTGCGAACGCATTGGGCCACACCTTGAACAAGTGCATTGCGTCATGTGACTATTTCAAGTGTCCATAGACTGCAGCATTTCTTTTTCTCTCTACTTAATTGTTGTTCCTCAGCTGTAAGTACTGCGCAATGAGCTCGCGCATAGTATCTTCAAAGCTGCGAAATCTCCACCCGAAAACATTTTCGGTCGTTTGACCATCGAGCCGCCATTTGATGGATTGCAGCGAGCCCTTCAATGGTAACGTCTCGTCGTCCACCTCTTTAGAAAAGAACTTCTTAGCAATCTCTGTGATATCCCTATCCCATACAACGCCTTCCGGTGTATCTGAACTCAGGATATACTCTGAGTTCCCTGGAATACGAAGGGTGTCCACAGCATCTACGTGAGCTCGTGCGACGTCGGCCACGTGGACAGGAACGCCCACATAGGGGAATGCTGAGTTAGTTGAACCATCTTGTACGGGAGCAATAACAGCCGCTCGTGTGCCTTCAAGAAGCGAGTCCACTTTGCCATTGGACGGGATCCGCTCGTCGGGGCCAATCACAACACCTGGTAGGAGGTTGACAAAGTCAAAGTGCGGCTTCTTTTCTTCCACAAATTTTCGGGTAGCGAATCTTGCTAAACCCTTGGATGCCCAGTATGCCTCCATCGCGCTCTTGAAAGGGCGTGTGGGGTTCCAATTTCCGTCCGACGCTTTCGTGTGTCAGCTCATCGGTTGCACTTCACTACGGCATAAAGACTGACTTGTGTAGAGTCTTTCGCTGTCGGGATTGAAGTTCCACTCGTAAGGGATCAGCGTGACACCTATGTCTCTTTTAGTCCCAAGGAGGCAAAGAGGTTGTCACCAAGAGGCACCTACAGGAAGAAGTGATGACTACTCTCTTGATCGCAGGCTTTTGAGCTGCGGCCTCAAGTACTGTTTTAACCATGGAAATCGCTGGGTCTATAACTCCCACATCATAATCATCACACTGAGCCACAACGTCAGCCAGGAGGCCACATGAAACAAGAGTTACCTGGATTGGTACTTACAGCCTTAGCTAGTGGGGATGCAAGATGGATAATGGCAGTAATTCCGTCGAGCGCCTTGTCCCATGCGGCGCCATCATAAAAGTCTGGAATTACTGCAAAGTCGAGTTGACCTTGCTTGTGTGAGCCAGCAATTTCAGGACGCTTGCTTTTCAGCTCCTCAATGTTGCGATCTTGGCGTACAACACTGCGCACACGATATCCCCTCCCTAGGGCATCCAGTAGAGTCCTAAAGCCAATGTAACCTGTGACCCCAGTGATCTGAGAGCCGTGGTTAGCCTTGAATTCCCTCTGGTGAGGGAGAGGGTATGCAAACCAGGAGGCGATTGGAATCGGTGGGGTGTGCTGCTGGTTCCATGATGACTGATGCAAATTCGCCCACGAGGCCTCGGGATGAATACTGAAGTCTGACAAAGTATGAGATGAGTTCTCGGTATATTAATATGCCTGAGAATGACCCAGCTGAAAATAATAGCCTAACTAGCAGCATAGTGGAGCCCAAGCCCCACGTAGAATAGGCAGCACCCGCTCCACTCTTTACAGAATGAGGCCGTTGCTATACCTGGATTATAGGTAACCCACGCCTCAACCGTGTAAGCAGCAGCTTGGCGCTTACTCCGTGCGTAATCTCCGTTCCAATCTCCGCTAAGTGCGACACGAACTCGGTGTTCCGGGCTTTCCTTTTACGTTCACTGCAATCACTATTTGTAAAACGCGATGCTCGATGACACAAAACAGATCGTCACGTCCTTCGCAGATATAGTACCTTGATTACTCCTAATAGCTGATGAGCTTGAGATTGATTAATTTATCGAGAGTAGTGTGGTCAGCGTGTCTATAAATAAGTTTATGATCAGAGCGTCCGCAGTGTACAGGACTACGTAAGAATGCACATGAAGGAGCTCTGGGACTCAGAGTAGCTCATTTATAATGTTCTTCGTTCATTCTGTTCAACCTCACTTCGTAGCTAGGTACCCGTAAATTACACACTCAATTTATGCAAACCATTCCCTTTCACACGAGGGCTTGGAAGCTCGGAGGCCTGTCCTTGCACCTTCATGTGTATGAAATAGGACAGAGGGGGAACGGCACTGGCCAATGTGATTGCATAGGACCAACTATATTGCAATGAGCTGACCCCAGTTCTTACACGGTTTATTGATGTGGTAGTGGCCTTGGTCATGATGACTTTTCGTCTCCCCTCAACACATCTGGGACTTGCAATTGAAATCTATTGAGATTGGTGCAAGCAGACGGGCTTTGAGTAAGCCTCAAAGTCAATGCAGCTGGGCGTAGCGAGAGAAAGATGTATATTCTTTTATGAGAAAGCTCACTCCTATATACTTCTCTACGTATACTTTGTCAATCCGCGCGGGTAAAGACCCAGAAACAGCTCGTAAAATAAAGCGCCAACTGCAAATATGCCAGTCCAAGTGAAAGCTTCAAATTTATACACTTTATATAATCAATATTAAACTCAAGCTATACATATACCCTCTCTCTTTAGGAGGCCTCCTAGACACTGTTCCTCTGCCTCTTTGTTCATAAATCCATATAGCAGAACCGGCCCTACAAGTTGATAACTATCGCCTGTTTTCCTTAGCAGCAGTGGGTATACCGACCCCAACACTACTGCACATACATCATTCTTCTTCATTATCCGCGGTCCTAGACCAAAATACCCCCTTGTGGTCCGAAAGACCTTTCTACACATAGATGTCCATGTCATGTCCTGTATAAACTGAGCTGGTGACCCTTTCATAGCAAGGTGCTCCAGCGCATCCCTCTCATCAGCTTGGAGACTGGACCAAAACCCTGTCGCATTGTTGCTTTGTTGAATCTGCTTAGCCTTGAGCATGAACGCAGCACAGTCTCCTCTTTGGCTAGTCATATTATCTCCTTGGTCCGCGGGATTCTCAGCACGGGTCCCACCTGTTAAGATGGAACTAAGAGAATGCACGAATCGCTCCCATGACTCTAACGGGATGCATGTGTCCACGACGAGTCTGTTGTAGATGTGATCAACTAGAAAAGGAATACTCTTCTTCATTTCGGCGTCGTAAGTGGTAATCGGAAGCTCCTTTGGAACGATCATGTCTGAATACGCGACCAGGGTGTCGACGACGAAGCCCTGGCAACGGAGTAATCTCCTATCAGGATCAATTGATATGCATTCGACTGATTTGGGTGCTGCACATGTCGGGAATCTAAGTGGCGCAACGACATTAGGAGCGTGCCAGTCAGGCACCCATGTGGCCAGCTCTGATGAGTCCAGTTCTCCGCCATGATCAACGAACGCCAAAATATGGACGCTGTTGGTCCGCTCGATGATATTGCTCGCCAGGTTCGTATAGACTTGAGCCGTTGATATCATATAACTAGGTTCAATGATCAGCTCCCCCTCTATCGTTGCACTTGGATGGCCAAGTAAGGCGTAGACATAATCCCGAGGATCAGTGGACAGGTGTATACGAGCCCAGTGGAGGACCTCGGAGAAGTCGAATACGGGTTGGCCGTCGGGCCTCTTCGACCATACGAGGCTAATATGATTGCAGACCCAAGACTTCAAGTCAAAGCGATTAACGATAGAAGCCCCATTAGCATCCATGAAACTGGAGAACAGGGCTATTTCGACCCAGTCTAAGCAGACGTCGCTTCTACCCCAGGATAGAATGGCGCGATGAGCCAACCCTACCTCCTGGATGATCCAAGCCCGATGGAAATACTCGATATCGAATAAGATTTTGATCCCTAGCCAGGACATATGAATCAAATCGTCGGCCTGACTTTTGACATCATGGTGTAGATACTCCTGAACTTTTCGCAGTTCGCCGGCAGGATCTGTGTTGAATTGACGTAGGAACCCGATGGCGATTAAGGCTGCTGGCTCTTCAAGCTCGGGATTCTTGAACCCGCCTAGCCAGCAGAGCACTTGTTGAGCACCATGAAAAATAGCACCCATCATCCTCACTTGCGCTTGACGCTCTGCAAGATCATCCTGATTAATACATATCGCATCGACCCATATGCGCCGGGGCCTATCCGTCAAGCGATAAGCGATAAGGGCTCTGGTTAGGTTGCCACCTATGCGAATCTCCCCTTCATCGTCCTCATCGGTGCCGTCTTGGCAGTATATAGCCGAGTGGTACACCGTTGGTTTGCCCCATACATACGATAATGCCTCATACGGGATATTATCGATCTTCTGGACAACGAGTCGACACCTGAGTCCTGCGTCGGCTGAAGTTTCAGGCTGGAGCTCCAGGACTCGGATACATTGGTTTGGCAGATGTGGATACTTGTATTTCCTTGGCATCTGTATAGTCGCCATCGTTGATCGAAATTGGCTTGTGTGGAGCGGGACCGCACCGATGATGGCTGGTTTTAAAGGCGTTGCGGCTGATCCGCCCCCTCCGACAAACCATATCAGCGGAAGTCGTTCCGGATAACACCACCAAGATGAAATGTGTCTAACCCGTTCAAGTCGCCATACACCATTCCACAGCAAGGGTGCTTTCAGCTCGCACTTACGTGCTTCTGCTCAACTTGTGTGTGTGAACATGGAAGTGACAGCGGAATCAGTCAAATCGTTGACCATTGAGTCGGAAGACATCTTGTCCATCAAGGCTGCTAGTTCACTTACCGACATGCGCCTACAAAAAAGCAAAAATTGGGTTTGGAAACAAGTGCACGCAGTCAGCCTGGGCGTCTGTATCCCTTCGGCTCTGTCCACAGATGCGTAGTACTGGAACAGCTGGCGAGAACAATGAAAGCGGATCGTGCCGCGCTACCTAAAGGGTACCTTGTTACTGCAGATCGACCCAGTGAAATGTGGTATCAAGGCCGATACTTCTCAGCGTTCACAAGCAGCGAAGGACGTCTCCAAGTGGTGCCAAGGAATGTCACGCATGAAGTCCCTGCCAAGGATTCTCGAAGTATTGGCACCAGGCTTGCGTGGCGCACCCTGGAGCGGATCCCGCTAGCGCGGCTCAGGCTCACGAAGCTTGGCAGCTTGGCCAACCGCATCTATGCATCTACAGATCGCCCGGCCCACGTGCCTGTGCTTTTGGCCCAATCTCTGGTTCTTTCGTCCTGGATGCAGCTCCAGTCTCACACAACTGCCGTGACACAGGGACATGGGCTGAGCAGATGGGTGAGCGGATCTGACATGATGTCACCCCCAGTGAGACCTGTGCGACGTAGCGGTGTCTCTCTGCTGAGGGTGCCGGCAACGGGCCTTATATATATATCACGACCTGAACCCTCCTAACATAGCCGTCTCTGTATTGAGGCCAGGTCTTCATGAAATTCAATTAGTGGGAAGAACATACCCCATTCAATCAACCAGCACCAACATGACGATCCCACGATACGGAGTCTGGCGCGGGACGGCTACTAAGTGGGAGCCGACGCAGCGCGATAATGACCACGGGCACATCACCTTTACGGACGGCGAGTCGGACGACCTTGACTGTGCCGTCGACGTCAAGTCCAAGGACTCAGACTCGCGCATCGTGTTTTGGGATGTAGTGTCGTTCGACAGCACGCACCCATTGACCCAGAAGCTGGACCAGCTGGCTCAAGGCTACCATGCGATCACCGATCACACATCCAACGGGCTTGGCTTGGACTATTTGAAGGGCAAACTAGTAAATGTAAACCAGGGGCGTATTCTCGATTACCAGGAGAACGGACCTGACAATGATATCCTCGACTTCTTGAACCCTATCCTCAATGCGGCTGTGTCGCAAGGGGCTGACATGTACTTGTTTGGAAGCAAGTACAGCTCGGACGATGGAATCCAGTACGTATATGAGTTCGAATTTGACCGCACACCGTCCCTGTTTCTCATACTTTCATAAGCACGAAGGTCTGCCCCTGCATTTCGTGCTGCTAACTCCATGGTTTCTTATAGCGACATCCACATGAACCAAGGCGACGCGGGCAGATTTGCCAAGGAGAACGGTGTATACCAAGACGGCGGCATGATCTTCAACTTTGGGTCAGATGGCGAGATGACGGGCTGGCAGGGCGTTTTTCTGGCATTTGCTACGCAGGCCGAGCAGACTGATTCAAAGGGCAATGCCATGGGCCCCACGTTCGCGCAGACTCTGGGTTGAGGAGATTAAGGGATTGCAGCCTTTTTCTTTGTCAACATGATGTTGTGGCGGCTGGCGAACCTCATGGACTGACAGAAGTGTGAACCCCGCGTCTCCTTAGGAATCGGTACCGCATGTTTGTTATCGGCCTGGAGGTTGTTGCCCCTTAGACCACTAAACCGGCCAGGCAAGGCCAGGCCATACTTGGATATTGGAATCTACTAGCTCCTAAACTCATAAAGGGTGACCCATTGCCAGTGACTTCACGTCTTTGACGAAAGACTTGAGATGCAGTGCAGTGATTCACATGGGCTCTCATACATTCACTGGGTTGTGCCTTCCTCCTTCCATCCACTGATATTTTTCCACACGCTTCTTGCAGTCTCTCTTCCGTCGACCTACCTCCCAGGACAAGATAAATTTTGCTCGATAAAATCCTCGACCTAGACGATCGACCACCACATGAGGTAGGACGAGCCCAGCACAGTCTCCAGAGAAGATGGCTTCCACGGAGCTTGACAGTACCACCACGCCCGGAGGGGAGGCGGATGCCGGATTCACGCCGCCGCAGACCACCGCGAGCGAAGAGACCAATCTGAAACTCGTGTACAACCTGTCTGTCATTGACCAATCGGTCAGCCGAAAATACGTTCGTCGAATGTTCATCTTCGATTTCCCGGACACATCCGAAGACAAGGTCGAGGCGGCTTCGGGCGCGATTCGCCAAGGACTTGAGGTCGCACTCAAGCACTACCCATTCCTGACAGGCAAGGTTGGCCCAGCCCGTGACCCCAAGCGCAACCTCGTCCAGCTCCGCTACGGCGACACCGATGAGCTCCGCTCTGTCACGCCCGATATATTCAAGATCCGTGTCCACCCAGAGGACCTTACCTTCGGCGGATACGAAGAGCTATGCCGAAGGGGAATGCCAGTGTCGCACTGGGCCATGGAAAATTTCTGCGCATCCCCCCAGGGCCCGGGACTGCTGCCGGAGTGGAAGCCTGCGTTCACGTTGCAAGCCAACTTCTTGGAGGAAGGGGCCTTGGTGCTATGTGTGGCATTCCAGCATTCTGTCGCCGATGGGACGTCCATTGGGCTCTTTGTAGACAAGTTCGCTGCTGGTATCCGAGGAGATATAACCGTGGACAGTGAGTGACTCTCGCCTGTGCTGTTTGGCGAACATTCACATGGAAGCTGGTTGCTGATCTCGCTCATTTCAGATGTTGGAGAATATTCAGGAGCCAACCTCGAGTCAATCACTGAGAATGCCCCCAAACGTAAAGTGGTGGACTGCTTTCCCGAGGTAAGCGATTTAAGCCTGTTGGATCGAAGAAACAAGTGGTAACAATATATAACTCGCAACGACTGACAACTGTTCTCCGTAGTGGAACTTCGACGAGAGACAGAAGCTGCCACATCGACACCAATGGGATAGCTACGTGATCACCATGTCGGCGCAGATGATTTCTGAGCTCAAACATCGAGTGAACTATTGTGTCCGCAGAAGGACTCTGTCTTCAGCATGGGTCTCGACCATCGACTGCATCAGCGCGCTTATGTGGGTATATATCTCTCGCGCCAGATTGGTGAGCTTCAAAAAGAAGACAGACGCGACCGTTTTTACTACCGCAGTCAGCATCCGCGATCGACTAGGGAACACGGTCGAACCCACTCAGTTCGGCAACCTGTTCAGCACCGTCGCCGTTGAGAAGTTCATCCAGGAAGTGGTTCCCAGAGCGCAATCTGCATCAGCGAAGGCGGAGAAGCCGCTCCTGTGCAATGCATCGCTCCTTGAAATTGCGAGTTGCGCGATGGACATTCGTGAAGGGATTTCAGACGTCACCAAAGCCTATACTGTGCCGCGTTTGAGAAAGCTTGCGCAGCTCGAAGATCCCACGAAAGCATCGACTGCGGCTGCCCGCGCCTGCCTGCCAACCAAAACCGGGGTGAAGCTGGGTTCTCTCGTCGATTTCGGCGCAGATACCAACTTCGGCATCCCGGGAACCGCTGGGGATGGTCGACCTCGCTTCTGCCGAAAGCCGTGGATGATGGACGGTGGAATGGTGAACATCCTCCCTCGCCGCGGTGGCACCCATGGCGATGCTCCCTGGGAGATCTTGGTCTGCTTGCCAGCGCATACGATTGAAAAGCTTGTCCACAACGACGCATTGGGTCCTTTCATCGACTCGTACGTACAGGACAAGGACCCGAGAATCTCCTATCGTCGCCCGGCCGAGATCCCAGGGCGACCACGTCTACCAAACATTGATGGCTGGTAAAAACTGGGGGGAGTGGGTTCTGATTTCTCTCAATGTACTCTTACCTCGTGGCAGAATCCTGGCCCAGCCTCAACATCGGATGGTCAGAGCAGATGGGGCACACGTTGGCCATGTGCATGGTACCTCTATACCACTATACTAATTCGGACAAACGTCATTAGACTCAAGAAGGACGGCACAAGCATAGACGCTGTAGTCGAACTAGATCAGACTTGATAGACCAATCAAGAGTGCGACTCCTGACAATATTCCTCAAACTACCACTAAAGTGATTGGTGTAGCTACTTGGTACAGGGTAAAAGGAATACACATTCGTGAGCTACACTGTCCATCCCTTGGTTTCGGCAGTTCGCCAGCAACTCAACTATCTGCGATGAGAATGAATGCAAGGGACTCTCGGGCACATGACCTTCCGCAGCATGTCATACAGTAAGCTTGGTGGCTTGCGGTAAGCGTCAGCTCGCGTCTTGCAAGCGGAGGGCTAACAGCAAGCACGGATTACTAGGGCGTGCGATCTGCGCTATTGGCATTTAATGGTGTGTCCTCCTCGAACGGCACCGGGGCACCATGGATAGGATTTGCGCACATCAGCCGCCGCGGATGGAGCGGAAAGGCAGGGCAACGAGCTCAACTGCGGGGCCGAGGGCCGAAACCGAGGCTGCGTGTTTGGTTTCGAGAAATGGCCGAGCCGTGGGGCCGATGGGTTGATTCTCGAATGAGATGTGGCCCTCCGAGACTCCACGCAGCAACAGCGAACATGCGGTGCGGTGTTTGGAATGTGGGTGCTGTGAGCTGATGGCCTAGGAGCCTAGGACTCTGATTGCCCGCCCAGAAATAAGTGCGGCCGGAATAGTACGATGGTCTAGGATGTCGGTATGCAGGGTCGCGCGCCTGGCCAATCAGACGGGGTGTAATTACCCCAAGGGCGAGGGAAACCTGACGAGCATATTGGTAGACTCCGGTCAGCATTTGCCGGACCGGTGATTGACTGCAGAATCTAGGGGACCTGGGCCTGGCACCAAGCCCTTTTGCACCAGGGCAGGCCAGACTAAGACGGCGGGAGCCCGAGTTCCCGAGAGCGCAATGTTGTTGATGGTTGTGTGTTGTGGCCGAAAATGGGACAACCTTCACAGACGGTTGCTAGTCGTGACATGACGGGTCACAAGGTATCCAGGTTAGGTAGACTTTGTACGAGCTGCTTGTCTGACCGCCGTGGACAACAGGAAGTACCTTGGATGTATCCGTGTGTGTTGAGACAGACAGGAGAAGAGAGGAGAGAGGCGTCCTGAGTCCTGACCTCAGTCCTTACCCCTCCACTCCGTAAAGGCATCCCTTTCCACCGTCCTCTCCGCTTCTCTTGCTTTGCGCTCAATTAGCCTGTGCAAAGTGTAGCTAGTCTACATTGTCAAGCTAGGTCGTTTTCCCTCCCTCGGATCGACCCTGGGGCCTACCTCATACAAACGTGGGCGATCGTTCCAGATCGAAAAAACGGGGGACTAAAGTCGAGGCGACTCGGCTACCCCACAGGCTCCTCGCTTCCGCCGCCTCAAAAAGTACACCACCCGGTCGTAATTTTTGACAAGTGTTTCCGACCTTCCACAACCTTCCTCACCTCTCCCCAAATCGTCCGGCCCAAACTGCCAACCAATTCTTGTATCGACGGATTCCACGGCCTGCCGACACCGCCATGGACACTGTTCTTCGCCAGTCGAAGGCCATGTGCCCTTTCCTGAAGAAGGCCTCCCCCGCCACCCTCCGCGCCCTGTCGACCTCGACCCGCCCCCAGGCCTCGCAATGCGGCGGTACCATCTCCAAGCTTCAGCTGCTCGGCCAGCGCTGCCCCATCATGGGCAAGGCTCTGGCCGTCCAGTCTGCCCGCACTGGCGTCTGCGGGGCCGCCACGGCCGTCTCTGGTCTCCGCGCCTTCTCCGGCCACCACAAGGCCGGCAAGGCCAAGATCCACACCAGCCGCCCCAACGAGGCCAGGGCTGTTGACGGAGTCCTCAACCACCGCGAGGGTAGGTACCACAGTTGTCCGAGTCTGCGCTGAACGTTGGCTAACGTCCGCTACCAGTCCAATTCCCACCTAGGTTACCCGTCAACCAGCAGGCCAGCGCCGCGGATCGTCCCGCCAGGCCGGCTTCGTCGAGCCCCAAGTTCGACTACGATGGCTTCTACGAGGTCGAACTCGACAAGAAGCACAAGGACAAGTCCTACCGCTACTTCAACAACATCAACCGTCTGGCCAAGGAGTTCCCCACGGCCCACATGGCTAACAAGGATGAGCGCGTGACGGTCTGGTGCGCCAACGACTACCTGGGAATGGGCACGAACAAGAAGGTCATCAGCAAGATGCAACAGACCCTGGAGGAGTACGGCTGCGGCGCCGGCGGAACGAGGAACATTTCCGGCCACAACAAGCACGCCGTCGAGCTTGAGGGCACCCTCGCAAAGCTGCACGCCAAGGAGGCTGCCCTGGTCTTCACCTCCTGCTACGTGGCAAACGATGCCACTCTCGCGACGCTGGGAAGCAAGATGCCTGACTGTGTCATCCTTTCCGACAGTCTCAACCACGCCTCCATGATCCAAGGAATCCGCCACTCCGGAACCAAGAAGATTGTCTTTAAGCACAACGATCTGGAGGATCTTGAGTCCAAGCTTGCTTCCCTACCCCTGCACGTCCCCAAGATCATCGCTTTCGAGTCTGTATACAGCATGTGTGGCTCAATCGGACCCATTGAGGGCATCTGTGACTTGGCGGAGAAGTACGGTGCCATTACCTTTCTCGATGAAGTCCATGCCGTAGGCATGTACGGGCCGAGCGGTGCCGGTGTGGCCGAGCATCTCGATTGGGAAGCCCACCAACAAGGACGACCCGAAGGCACCATCATGGATCGCGTCGACATCATTACTGGAACTCTGGGCAAGGCATACGGCTGCGTCGGCGGATACATCGCTGGCAAGGCCAAGTTGGTCGACATGATTCGATCTCTTGCCCCTGGCTTCATCTTCACAACTTCCTTGCCACCGGCGGTGATGGCCGGTGCCAAGACTTCCATTGAATATCAGATGGAGTACAAGGGTGACCGCTTCCTCCAGCAGATGCACACTCGTGCCGTCAAGGAGGAGATGGAAGCCCGCAATATCCCGGTCATGCCCAACCCATCGCACATCATCCCCATCCTGGTGGGCAGCGCCGAGGTCGCCAAGCAGGCCTCGGATATGCTGCTTCAAGATTACCAGATCTACGTCCAGGCTATCAACTACCCCACTGTTCCCCGGGGCCAGGAGCGTCTGCGCATCACGCCCACTCCTGGTCACACCAAGCAGTACCGGGACCACTTAGTCAACGCCGTCGACGAGATCTGGACTAAACTGGGTATCAAGCGTACCTCCGACTGGGCTGCTGAGGGCGGATTTGTCGGTGTTGGTGTGAACGATGGACATGTCGAGCAGCCGCTCTGGACTGACGAGCAGTTGGGAATCGATAAGATCGCCGACGAAATCAAGGCCTCCAAGCCCGCCGACAAGAGCTTCACCGAGCACCTCCTCGAGCGTCAAGCCTCCGGACAGGTCGTGAGCGCTGCTGCATAAAACTGTTTCCTTTCCGTTTCCTTCGTGAAAATGGGATGTCGCATGGGGTTTACAGCGCTCAGCCGACCCGGAGGACCACGTTCGTTGGAGCGATGCTCGGAGGATTTCTTTATGCAACAGGTGGCCGCCAAAATATCATTTTTACGAGGTTCCTGATCTTATGATGGCTATATCAATGTTCACTTCTAACACCAGACCACCAGCTACCCCCCGGGTTTGCTGATTACTTGATATCAGAGCTCGGAGCACACTTGCTGCCCAGCTATATTCTTACAGAGCAAATACAAAACGGCACCCGCTCGCAGGGCGGGTGCAAATGATTGTTTCTCTGCTCAACTTGACTCTTCAGACGCCAGACATATTACGTGACATGATGCGAACTGTGAAACCTAGTGCTGTGTTGCAAGGGTACCGTACTACCTGTTGATGGGTGGCATAGTTCTACCCGCCAATCCAAGTAATACATGATGAATCATGTACTTTTAAGTATATCGCTTTACGCTGGTTTTTCGCTAAGGGCTAACGCAATGCCTGAACCATCATCTGTGTCATAGGGAAATAAGATTGCCTCCTTTCTAAGAAGCTCAGCATGACGCTGTTGATTTGATTCACAAAACGTTCTTTCCATTCTACAAATTTTCCCTAGTTCAACTACATGCAAATCGAAATCAAACGGCGCCCGAAATGCACGCCCCCTGGGAGACCTACATGAATAGGCCGACCTCCACACTTGTAAAAGCATTTTCCACACCCCTCCCCTTGCCAGCTCGACGCCGTGCGCGTACCCCATCGACCGTCCGCTCCCACTCTTCCGCTTCCCGTTCCCTGGGGAATAACTGCTTGTCTACTGCAGCATGGCGTCGAGGTTCTCGCCGAGGATGCCCTCGATGCCGACGATCCAGCGCTGGGTCTCGCGCTCGACGTCCTCGTCGTCGTCCTCCTGCAGCTCGCTGATGTAGGGCAGCATCTCGGGCAGCATGGCGAGCCAGTCCTCGCCGAGGCGGTCCGTGAGGCGCTGCTCGGCGCGCACGGCGGCGAGGCGCACGCCGGCGTGCTCGGAGCGCAGGTGCCGCAGCAGCGCCCCGTTGAGCTCCTTGTGGTGGTCCTGCGAGTCGGCCGCCGCCGCCAGCTCGACCAGCGCCGGCGTCAGGTCGTGCGCCAGGTCGACGGTGCCCGCCGCCGCGTGCAGCAGCTGCGCCGTCAGCACGGGCGCCACGGCCGAGAAGTGCGCGGGCGCCTGCCAGAAGTCGTCCTGGTCGTGCTCGAAGCACTTGGCGAGCGTGCTCAGGATCTTGCGCCATAGCTCGCGCTCGTCGGCGTTCTTGGGGCTCGTGGCCTTGAGGGTCGCTGCGGCCGGGTCGATGACGTACGAGGCATAGCTCGTGACGATGGACTTCAGGCTGTCGAAGAAAGTCTGCAGGAATCCAAAGACGCCGAGGAGGCGGAGGTTGCGTCCGGTGGTGTCAGACTTGGGCAGCGACACAGCCCAGTCCATGAGCTGCGAGAACACGGGCCGGAATGCGGCATCGTTGAGCTTGTAGACCATGCGCAGAGCCACGGCGTTGACGGTATCCTCAATGCGGGAGATGTTGCGAGCGCTGAGGCTTTCGTCGCCCTGGCTGTGCTTCACACGGCGAAGGTCAAAGGCAGAGAAGAAGATGTTCGACAAGGAGCTGACGTTCTTTGCAATATCTGACTTCGAGTGCTTATCAATAGCGAGACCGAGGATATCGACAAATTCCAGCATAGCCTGATACTACGTTAGCATATTCTTCATTCACATACAAATTTTAGATGTACTTACGCTGAATCCATGATCCGTCGCCACAGTCCAGTTGCCTTCCAGTGCGGTAAAGATGGCTTTGGCATCGACCGTCTTTGCCAGGAACTGAAGACATCGGAGCCTGGAGTCATTCGATTCGGTGTCGAGGCTCGCCTCGGCGGATGCGCTAGACACTGCAAGCAATTGCTGTAGATAAGAGCCCGACAGCATGTAGGGCAAGTGTTGGGCGAGTGCATGCATCAGTGTATAGGCTGCATTGTGCAGCGACGAGCTCTTGGTGCCTTCGGCGATGCTCTCCTGCATGTACGCAAGGCACTTGGGAATCGCTGATGGCAGGACAGGAACCATACCATCTTGCAGTACATCAACCAGAGACGCCAGGCACACCAAAGCGAGACTCCGGAGACGAATGTCAGTTTGGCCAAGACATTGGTCGCCCGCAATGGTCATAGCAGCAGCCGCCACCGCCTCGGGATCCTTCTTGCCATACTTCTCGGCAATGCTATCCACGCACTCGACAGCAGTGTACTTGTAGAGCATGTCGTCGGATGTACGGATTATTGCGGTCAGCTGCGGCAAGAATGCCAGGAGAGCGGCTCGCGAGGTAGGGTCAGCCTGGCCTTCCCGATCAATTCGTACCTGAAGAGCACGGAGGACCTTCCTGCGAATGATAATGTCAGGTCGGTCAAGCAGATTTTCAACGGCCTTGATGAACTCTCCAATCGAGAGGAGGTTGAGAAGCCTGGGAAGAGCATCGCCACATCTCTCGTGCAATGCCTTGTGGCCTTTGAGGCTTTCTGCGAGAGACAGAAGATCCTCAAGCAGCGTCGAATACAGTTCCCGGACCTTAGCGGCATCCATGTCGTCTCTCTCGGTGAGCTTGCTGATTTGACTACTCAGTCTCTTGCTTGACAGGAGTTGTGGTGGCAGATCAAGCTGCGCAAGGGCGATCTTTTTGGGGTCCCTATCTCGATCTTCGTTGATACCAAGAAGGGCTGCTGAGAGGCCAGGTCTCGGCTGGAAGAGATCGCTTATCAGGTTGAGCAGTTTGATCAATGACTGCAGCTGCACCTCTACGGAGAAGTGATTGAAGACTTCGTTAGAAAATGACAGAACGTCAGCCGTCGAGCCATACTTGTCCACCAACATCGACAAGAGAGCAAACAGGAACTCTTCCGAGCCCAGAGTCTCCAGAAGCGAGACGAACAGACCAAATCTCCGATGCGAGGGTATATGCTCGAAAGCAGTGGCAAAACTGAGAAGAAGCTCAGACGCTCCAGCGACGGGGCTCTTCTTTCCTTTACGCAACGACTGGATCAATGGAGGCACGACCTCCTTGACGGTCTGATTGATAACATGTGCCGAGTAGTCGTCGCTCTGGCGCAATACCGAGCTTCCCATAAAGGTGAAAATTGGCATCACACTATGAAGTACCAAGTCGGGAGCGACGTTGGCGAGACTCGCGACAAGCAGAAGAGCAGTGTTTTGGACCGCAGGGCTGGAAGACTTCTGGATGCAATTCACCAAGAGATCACCATGACCGCCTGAGCCGTCAATCTTGAGCGTCTTATCATCCTTGTATGCCGGCACCATAGCAAGCAAGCTTCGGAGAACAAGATTTTGCAGGTAACCGAGATCTGAGCCGAGTAAAGTTCGGAAGTGTTGCAACTCAGACAGAGTATTGAACAAGGCATTGAGCAGATGTGGATGTTGAACTGGATCGGAACCCTCGACTAGCTGGAGCACGAAGGTCACTTGCCTCAGTGCGTGCGTCAGGCCATGGTCCGACTCGGACCTGATGCCACGGCTGGACTCCGATGCGCTTGTACGCCGCCTCTTGTTTGGAGGTGTCTCAGTGGCCATTTTGGCAGTGTTTTGTAGGGAATCCAAGAAGGCGAGGAGTATCTCGGTGGTGAGTTCGACATGTCTGAGCAGATCGGCCGCTTCAGAAGCAATCAAAGAACGTTCTCCATTCAAGTCTTCCCTGGCCATGTGTAGCAACTTCTCTGCTACTACGTTTCTTGCTTCGGCCTTCATCGACGGCCACATCTTTCCGATGCGGGAGAACATGTTGTGAAGTAGGTTTTCCCTTGCCGAGATACTAGGTTGCTCAACCGACTCAAGGAGAAATTCAAGGCCTTGGCTGTCACTTGGCACAACCGTCTCAACGGCGGCAGTGTCAAATACGCTTTCGTCGACATTCTGCTCTGAGCAAAGGTTTTGTGCAGATTTGGCGGGCAACGATACCCACCATTGTAGCAAAGGCAGTAACAAGGTGGTGCGTGTTGTCCCTGATACACCCTTGATTTGGTTCAGTGGTCGCAGAAGTCTGAGCTTGACGGCCAACAACGACGTCTGTACAGCGTGCCCAGAGAGGAACGTAAGAATAGCGAGACGTGTGCTGTGCGAGACGTGGCTCTTCTTGTCCTTCTCGGATCCATCAAGCGAAGATCTTGAGCCGCTGCTTCCCAATGACGTCTGAATGACAGCGTGTACGTGGTCTGCATTTAGTACACACTCCTCGAGAGAGGGCATGAGGATGTTGTGCACAAGTTTACGGTTAGAGCTTTCCTCCAATGATGGTGTAGGCTCGGTGCCTTCGTAGAGATCCTGTGACCCCCAGCGCATAGATGCCTTGGAGGTACCAACTGCAAGGCTGTCCAGGACGGTAAGCAAATCTGCAGCAGAGCGGCGAACCTTCTTAGCGGGGTCGCTGAGAGCAGCAATGCAGTAGGGAATGAGAGACTGGAAGTCAACCGATTCGCAGTCGTTGTTCTTTAGGCGTTCCTTGGCCATGTCAATCGCACTCAGTCTTGCCAATGTCGGGTACGGCCCACACCAGATGCGGATGAGGAAGGTGAAGAAGAAGACGTTCTTGGGAGCGTCACCTCTTTGCACCGCTGCAGCTCTCTGGAAGGTGGCCAGGTTGCCACGGTCAGGTACTGCCGAGAGATAGAGGGAGCAAAGATCCGTAAAGACATCCGGCGGAGATGGCAGCAGACAGGACGTAGGTGTCGCTGTTGCATGTTGGTTGATACGCTCGAATGCGGTTTCGAAGTCTTCCTCGGCCATGGGCACGTCTCCGTCGACATCATCCTGTCCGGTTCCTTCCTGAGCCTCATTCGCAATGGCTTTCGGTCGGATCTTGGCATCAAGTCTCATCTCTAGAGCTTCGATGTCGATTTCCGTGTCGCTGATGGCCTTGGCAAAGACTTGGCCAGCATCTCCGGTCGTCTGTGACAGTCGGATAATCGTGGCCGCCAACGCCTGTCTGCCGTGACCGTTCTCGTCCACGCTGTCGTCCAGCTTGTGGGCTGCCAACATGAGCGACTTGAACACGACGGAGAGCTGCTGGTCGCTCAGGGTCTTCTTGGGTACAATGGACTCGATGAACTGTAGACCGGCCGTATCGCCCTTCTTGACCAGCCTGTCGATCAGTGCCAAGCAGAAACCATTGGACAGCTTCTCGATCCTGTGTTCCTTGCTAATGTCATCGAGCATCTCTGGCAACCCGGACACGTTCAACAAGGCCTTTGTGATCTTTCTCGACATCTGCTTCGGCGATCGGTATTGGGCCAGGATAGACAGGCACACCAGACCCGGGCGCAGAGTTTCGGTAGTCCAACCAGCAACCAACTGTTCCATCAGGGCGGTGATGGTGCCATCGTCCAGGTTGCCCTTTGACACGAACGCAACAATGACCATGTAGGACGCGATCTGCAGACTCGGGACCTTCTTCATGACCAAGGCCTCGCTAAGGACAGGGCCGATCTGGTGCAGCAGGGTCTGGTCGTTGCTCCTCTGGATGCTGCGGCGGCCGGATCGCATCTTGTCCAACATGCCATTGACAGCCTCAATCATGATGCCGCCCCAGAAGGATATGAGAGCGGGGTACTGCTGCTGGTTCCGGCATGTCTCCAGAGTGTAGGCGGAGATGGTCGAGAGAAATTCGGGGTGGTGGGTGGCTTGGTGGACCAAGACAGCACGTGGCGGCGAGGTCAGGGATTTGACGTAGGGGCTCAAGAAGCGGTACTCGTTCGGGATCGTAGGCGGGAGTATGGAGAGGAGGGTCACGAAGGCCGGTATCGTGTGGTACGGCAGGAAGGTCGAGAGGAGAATGGCCGTGTTGTACTCGTGTATCCTAGATGCGACTTAGCGGGGCGGTGACCCAAGGGGGACTCTTGCAGAGTGGCGGCCTACCTGAATCTCCGGATGAGCCATTCCACGGCTTTTACGGCAGGCATGAGCCTCAATCGGCCTCCGACCAGACGCAGGAAGGAGTCTATCCGCTTGTCGAGCTCGGCGTTCTCGGCCGCGGACATCTGGCTGCGGTCCTCATCCTGGCTCTGCTCGCTGAAGAGGGTGCTGGCAAAGGAGGCGAAGCGGGCGTCGAGGTGGCAGAGCTCGTCGTAGCCCTCGCGGCAGATGCTGTAGAGGGTCTGGTAGTTCTGGGAGGCGGCGACGCGGGCCTCGAAGATCAGAGACTTGGAGTGGGCGGCCTTCTGCGCCTTGAGGTCGAGGGTGTTCTTGGAGCCGGCAGCGATCTGCGCGAGCTGCGCAGCCAAAGAGGTGGCCATCTTTGGGGGGTGTCTACTGCTGATTCATCGGCAGTGCTGTTGCGGCCGGGGGTCCTCGTGCGTGCGTGCGTACGAACGATCGAACGAACGAACGATCTATGTCGTGGTGGCTGGCCTTTGGGAGTTAGTTGTAAGTGGGCAGGCGGGTAGCATATAGAATTGTTTTCCCAAAAATTTCGTCGGCGTTAGCATTGGCCGGCGAAGAAATTCTCGATAAGAGATCCGGCCACTCAGGCACGGCGGATAGCAGACCCCTGCCCGCCGTTCCCCACGCTGCCCCTCCCGTGGGTCTGGGTCGTCAACCCGCTACTGTGTAGGTGGTGTAGAGCTCAGCTGCCGCCAAGTAGGCTGCCAAGGTACCCGAGTACCTGAGAGTTTCCCTGTAAGTTGGTCTGTCTCCGTCACGGCGTCACCACACCATACCACACCACGTTGCACAGCGCATCTCTGCCCGCTTGTAGTTTCCCATCGTGGGTTTTTCTTTGACGTGTATCTTCCACTGTTTTAAATGGCCGCCTGCATCGGCGCTGCCTTCTGGCTCGCTGCGAATGAGGCTGTTTTGCTGCGTGACTGGTACGATAGCCGGCTACACGATGGGTGCGTCAGTGGCGCGACTCACTGACTACTCTATAAACCAGACATTATAAGAGACAAGAAAAGAAATACTTTGGAGGAGGCACGCAGCATGAACCTGCGGATACTAACGGGCGTGTGACTGACTCCTATTTGATGTCTATACTTTACGTATACACTTCCCTGACTGTCTGTTTTAGCCCGGCAATGACATGGGCGGAATGTTTGATAGGGCTGTCTCAGCTTGCTGTCATACACCATACTGACTTTACTTGCCTGACAACCTAACCATATGGACTTTGCCAGGCGTTCGTAGACAGCCGCGGGCTGCGCGCGAGGAAGTCCATCTAGCTGTTGTTTTCGGCTGTACGGAAAGTCTGGGCTCACTTTTCTGGGTTCATCCTCATGAGACCAGATGGATGTAGGCAAACTTCATCCATCCATACCGCACGGCTTCAGCGCGTGCCTTTCTTGAATTTTGGAATTACCTAGGCCGAGAGTGCGTACCACGATACAGTTCCAAACCCTGTCTATTATTAGATGCATTGTCTCCTGGCCAGATCAATCGCAACGGTCAGATATCCAAACTTTCCTAGAAGGCCACTAACTACCTCCACTGAGATGACGGGTAGCATGAGGGCGAGTGAAGGCCCGCTGGACGCACCCGCAGTCGTCGACGTCGAATCGGAACCGGGCCGGCCTGCAAAGGAGCCGCCAAACTGACGCACCGACGTGCATTAGCAGCCACGCGGAGGAGCAGCGCAGACCGGGGCGTGAGGTAGGTACAGTACTGAGTACCTAAAGGTTATTAGTGGCCATCCTCCAGTGGTCGCTGAGCCCGCCAGACTGGTTGGATGCTACAGTGAGTTCGTTCCCTTCTGCGGTGTGTCTAGCCTAGCCTTTCCCGCCCGGCCGCCCTGCCGCCCTGCCTGTCAGTGCAAGCCAGTGCAGGCCAGTGCACTACCTTCCACCACGTCGAGGTAGGATAGCGCCAGGCGTGCGCTGTGCCGGGGCATGCTAGGTGTACCTAGGTGATCACTCAGCACTCGGTCCTTGGGCAGTACGCTGTACTCAGTACTCGGTACTGGGTACTCACAGCTCGCTGCTGCCTCCCGGGCTGGGCGTCGTCGGTCTGTTTGAGAAAGGCCGGGCTGAAGTCATCCCTCGATCCCTGATCTCCCTCGACAACAACCGATGACCTACCGACCAGCCCGTCGTCCGACCCTTCCTTTCCCATAAGCCTAACGTCCGTCCCTTCTATCAACATCACACCACGAACCCATATCGCGCACGCAGGACCTATCTCACTCCACCCCATCCCGATTCTGGGTATTCCCATCTGCCGGAGCTCCCAGTCGAAACCACCGAGAGCGTCTAGATTCCGCATCCGGATCAGCATCATCGATCCACCCCCCAACCCGGCAACTGTCGCCCCTCGGACCCGTGTTTACCGGGCCTTGCATTCACAAGATTACCGCCAGGGACGCCGACGACACGCGTTTCATTGGCAATCAGCTCCTACTACCACCTGACCAAATCACGACCAAATCCAACATCCCGGCCGACACAGTAACTGCAGGACACCCCTCCTGACCGATACGTATATCTGGCCACCGCGCTCGTCAAGGCTGCCGCCTGCTTCAACCGGTGACAGCTTGCCAACAGCATCCCAACGAATCCGCCACATCACGATAGCGCATCATCCGACGGCACAACATTCAGCGGCGAGGAACACCGCTCAAGACCGCCTGGTCTTCTGCGGTGAGGCGGGGGTGGTGGACCTCAAACGTCTGAATCCGAGTGATCGAGGTCGGCACCACATCATCAAGGTGGAAAACAACAACGAGGAACACGCGGTCGCATCCAGGTTTCGACGTCGAATGGGACACAAACTCTCATTCTTACCGGTTCACATCTTGGAGCGGGCGCGTCAAGCTCCTTGACCTTGGCTCTTTGGACAATCCCACGCAAGATTCAGACTGTCTGGGTTATTATTCTGGCCCCCTCCATCCAACGACCCGAGCAAGCGAGCAAACAAGCGCTCGACCTTCTTTTCTGCATCCCGCCCATCGCCACCTCCGCTACCCACCCACCCAGTCTAGTCTTGTTTCAGCACGGGACCGGGGATGGATTCTCGGTTCCCCGTCTTTCGTGAAGAACTATACAATGTCCAGATGGATGTGAAACAGCTCCACCAGATACAGGGCAGCCATGCCGAGAGACTTGCGCGCCTCGAGAAGCTCCAGGCAAACGAGTCGGCCATCAAGTCCGCCTGGAACTCGCCCTTTCCCAGTGCTATTGGGGGCACACCACAACACGGTACGTATTATAACATTGGTGACTCCCGACACTCGTAGTGGACTGTTGCCTAACTCTTGCACTTGCAGGTCCCATCCAGCTGCCCCCCAGTGACTTGTTCGATGACTTTGATGAGCAAGGCCAGAATCTGCTTGGGAGTCTCCACCTCGACACGGAGGACGAGCCTGTGCGAAGGGGTGCTGCCTCGCGTGCCAATAGCGTTCGATTTGACGAAAGTGCCCTCCAAGGCTCGAGCTGGGCGCAGAATGGGAGGCAGTCAGGCGAATTTGTTCCCATCAGGCCCGGCAGTGGTATGGGAAATATGATGGAGCGCAGTCTCTCGCACAAGTCCGACGGCCGACATAGTTCTGCGGGCTACTCCGTACATTCGGCACATTCGCATCACTCTGTAGCGTCTGGCCGTGGCAGCAGTCTGGGTCTGGACACGAACTACGCGACAACCGGCTCCGAGGACGACTCTCCTGTCGAGATCGCCGGGCCGCCCCCAGGATTCTTCGTCCTCGGTTCAGTGCCGGCCATCGTTCGATGTTGGCTGACTGAGAACTTTGCTCACGACACGCTTCTCTATGCCGACATATGCACTGGCTCGCAACAATCCATTCTTGACTTTTCACTGGTCAGAGAGCTAGGCTTGGAAGACGAAATCCATAAGGACCTTGACGGTGTTCATCGCCTCCGACTGCCAGTCTATCTGACCGAGGCTACCGTTACGCACCCCAGCGCTCGGAATTCTGGTTCCGACCCGCCGATGCCGAACATAGTGACCAGCTTTGAGGTAGTCAATCTTGAAGGAACGGACACTACGGAATCGACGACAAGCTTACGGGTCTTCATTGGAAGTGAGACGTTGCGGGAGCACTCTGCGGATGTCCTCTTCTCCCAAAATCGCATGACTCTGTATGGTAATGAGCGGGAGAAACTGTCTGTCCCCTTTATACGCCCGGAGGACCACGGAGTATACAAGCACATCCGTACCTCGGCCATCTTGCCAGAAAAGATTAAGTTGAATGCTAATGCCCGGCCATTTGTTGTTGGCGAGCCGACGCAGCAGCCGGTCGACCCTCCCAATGGCATAGGTGAGAAGTTAGACCAAGATACACAGATCCCATGTCCGCACTCACCGGAGTCCGAGGCACCAAGCAGACCAGTTGAACAGGATCCAGGCCTCGTTACAGAAGTTGATGCCGACCGTGACAGCCAGAACAAGGTATCCAATACATCCGAAGGCGTCTCGGACCAAACGTCTACCAATGACCATCGTGGCGAGGGCGCCGATGATAGCCATCAGCATGAGTCCCCGGCGGGTGGCATTTGGTCCTCATGGAGGCAAGGTCCGTCAGCAAATGGGGAGACTGCACCACTGAGCGGTTACCAACCCGCAGGCCGAGCCCGGAACATGAAAGTGTTGAAACCTAGCAAGTCCAATTCTTCTACTTCCGCTCGAACCGGTGCGTCTTACGAGCCGCCTCCACCCCATAGAGCGAGCGCCGAAAGTCGTAGGAAGAGCCAGCCACCTACCGAGGTCGCTGCAACGCCAACTGGAGTACTCAGATGGAAGTCGGACAAACCTTCGACATCAAGTGTGTCAGAGATCAAGCCGGCGGTTGCCCCTGCGGTCCGCGACACTCGCAGTGTGTCTGCCGCAAGCACGCCTCGCACTTCGGCAAACCCCGTCGGAGGCGCCTCGGCTTTTTCCTGGATGACTCCGGCCAGCAAGCCGAAGGGACCTGCGGCGGCGGCCGATTAGCTACGGCTGTGTTTAAGCCTGTGTGTGCGATGTATGTGTGTTATAAGGAGACTGCCTAGGCAGTTGAGCTCTTTTCTTGGGACTTGATTGCATGAAATGTTCCAACAGCTAGTATAACAGAAAAAGTACCAAAACTCAAAAAAAATAAATCAAAATATTCATCTGCCTGACTGAAGCTATAATAGCTGGTAATTACTTTGGGGCATTTCAATGCTTAATGTTGATAGATCTGTAAATGACGTAAAAGGAGCGTTAGCTTCGCACACCATTGACGACCAGCGCTTTAATGCGGTTATCCGCGATTCGCGTGGGCTTCTGTGCAACTGATTGGAGGAAGCGGGACAGCAAAAGACGCAATACCAACTTCGTACCCAATCATCACTATAGTTGACCCCTTTCACATCTGGTTGCGTGTCTCGCCTCGTAGACGCCTGTCGCCCACATGATGGACAAAGGCAGCGTCGACTACTCGCTCTACCTGGTGACGGACTCGACGCCCGCCATCCTCGGCGACAAGGACCTGTGCCAGGTCGTCGAGGCGGCCCTCAAGGGCGGCGTCACCTGTGTGCAGTTCAGGGACAAGAAGAGCGACACGGGTGACCTGGTCGCAACGGCCCGGAGGCTGCACGCCATCACACAGAAGTACGGCGTCCCGCTGCTCATCAACGACCGGGTCGATGTGGCCCAGGCCGTCGGCTGTGAGGGTGTGCATATCGGGCAGGACGATATCGGTGAGTAAAGGCAAGCTGCTGCTGGTTCTTCTCCATGGTTTTGGGATATGGAGGACCGGGCCGCCATGTCACGGCATTGGGTCGATGAGCGAATTTCTCGCAATATGGAGAGATGCGGCCGGTTAGGCGGAAACAGAGCACCTGCTAACTAAACTGCGCAACAAGACCTAGCCACTGCGAGGAAGATTCTGGGGGACAGGGCCATCATCGGCGTCACGGCAAGCAACATCAACGAGGTCCATGAGGCGGCCACGGGAGGCGCGGACTACCTGGGGATCGGGACCGTCTTCGCCACGCCTACGTGAGCTTCTCCTCCTTGACTCGAGGACTCTACAGGGATGGCTATCTAACGTGCGCAACAGGAAGGAGAACACAAAGTCCATCATCGGCGTGGACGGCCTCCAGCAGCTGCTCGGGTACCTGCGCACGTCGGGGTCTCCGGTTAAGACGGTGTGCATCGGCGGCATCAACGCGACCAACGCTGCGCGCGTCGTGTGGCAGAGCGCCTCGCTTTCGCGGGGACTCGACGGCATCGCCGTCGTCAGCGCCATCGTGGCGGCCGCGGACCCGGAGGCCGCGGCGCGGGAGCTGCGCCGCCTGGTCCGCACGCCGCCGCCCTTCGCCGCGTCCGTGCCCACCCCGGCGCAGGCGGGCCGGTCCGCCGCCGATGTGCTGGCCCTGGTCCCGGACGTCGTGCGCCGCGTCGCCGAACGCCGGCCCCTGAGCCACAATATGACCAACCTCGTCGTTCAGAACATTGCCGCCAACGTCGCGCTCGCCGTCGGCGCCAGCCCCATCATGGCCAACTACGGCGAGGAGGCGCGGGACCTGGCCGCGCTCGGTGGCGCCCTCGTCGTCAATATGGGCACGGTCACGCCCGAGGGCCTGCAGAACTATTTGAAGGCGCTTCGGGCGTACAATGATGCCGGAGGGCCGGTGGTCTTCGATCCCGTTGGGTGAGCTTCTTTCTATATCCTGTCCCATTCTTGGTTTCCAGTCAAACACCCCTTTTTTCGAGGAGGACCACGTCCTGACATGTCTCATAACAGCGCCGGCGCTACCGCGGTCCGCCGCTCCGCGACCAAGACGATCCTCAACGGGGGCTACATCGACGTGCTCAAGGGCAACCAGTCCGAGATCCTGACGTGCACGCCGGCGGGGTCGCGGACGCAGCAGCGCGGCGTCGACTCGGCGGCCGACGGGTCGCGGAGCCAGGCCCAGCTCGCCGCCGCCGTCCGCGACCTGGCGCAGCTGCGCCGCAACGTCGTCGTCATGACCGGCAAGACAGACCTCGTCACCGCGGGTGGCGCTGTCCTCGCCGTCGACAACGGCCACGAGTACCTCGGCATGGTCACCGGCACCGGCTGCTGCCTCGGCACCACCGTCTCGGCCATGGTCGCCGCCTGGCCCGAGGACAAGCTGGCCGCCACGGTTGCCGGCCTGCTGCTGTATGAGATTGCCGCTGAGATTGCCGCTGAGCGGAGCGATGTCAAGGGCCCTGGGACGTTCGTACCCGCTTTCTTAGATGAGCTGTACAATATGAGACAGGCAACTGTGAACGGGGATCTGTCCTGGTTAAAACGGGCTCGTGTCAGTGTCGTAGAGCAGTAAGAGTCCTAAGCCAAAATTACTCGGCTGTCCTGACGCCTCGGTTTAAGTTGACTACTTCGTTCCCGATAATGAAACCCGAATAGAAGTCCATGAGTTCAGTTGACCGAAGACCAATTTTGGTAGATTCATTAGCGACATGGCACAATCTCAGAGTTGACATCGACCCATCACGAAATAGTCTTGAAATAATCTCAACATACAAAAGGTATACAATTGGAACAAATCATCATAAATAGATCCTGGAACAGATGGAGTAGCTGGAGGGACAAGTAGACATGGCACTGTAAATTCTCGTTTGGCGTATTAAAACCTTCCTGGTGGTTGTTACCACTGTTACTACTGAAAACTTACTGGTTGGATCCTACATAGATAAAGTTTAGAGCATCAACTTGCAGGTGTCGTATCATGATCACGGTCTATACCAGACATTAGGCTGTCTGAGTCTCCAAAAAGTCACAATTCATCCCACATTCTAATTCAAAGAGAGTAGTTACTCGCCTCCCTTGATTCGGCGTGAATCAGGCATTTTAATACTTTGTAAACTCAAGGTCTTACCTGTCTACCACGAGAATACAACGCACCCAGATATTTAAAAGAGATTCTTCCTTCGTTGAAGTCGGGCAAAGGCCCTTATATGGCTGGAATAATGTGATGCATGCAAATTCATACAATGGTTCCACGGCGGTCTGGCTCTTAGTCAACGAGGCTAAGCCTCGTAGCCTCGGTTGTGGCCAGCCCGCCTTCTGCAGCATTTCTGTTCTAGCTGCCTTGGCCATGGCAACCCTCGAGTGGCTAAGTCGAGGGTCTGTTGCGGGGGTATTGATCTGCAAGAAAAGTCCTACAGTCTCTGCAGCAGTTACCACATTCGTCGCATTCTCCCCTGGGTCTAGCCTGATCTATACAGCGTCAGCTCTTGTACCGCGGCTCCCAGGATCTCTTCGTCGCAGGAGAACTGCATACAGCAGCAACCTTGGTTCAATCCTCAAATCCTATAGGCCAGCAAGAGTAAATCCAGGACAAGTGATTGATATGCTCCTATGTCACGCCGCCAGAGCCGATCGTGTTCCAGGCTCTTGTCGAAATGAATTGTCGGTCCAGGCGCAGCTCAGCCTGAGGTTATGACCCCTGCTGTAGAAACTACCGCCTCAGGCGTAGCCATAATGGATCAGAATGGGTTCTGCCTTGCCAGTGTTGGGGGACTTATGCATCACCATCCCACGGGGGCAGTGCTCCGAGTATCTGCATCCGCCATTCGCTAGGTTTCGTCTGACCGGTCTACACTCAAACGTTGCATTGCATTGCGGCGTGGCGTCTGCTTGCTTCTTCTCGTTTTATTAATTTGTGATGGCCGGATCACACCTCGCTGTGATTCGTCGCCTTGTGGCTAGAGAAAATTTGGCGCCTAGCACCTGGGACCAAACGACAATGCGGCTCAACTTTGGTCGGCCCATTGTGTCTGTGGCACAAAAGCCAAGTTCAGTCGCCCACATTGCTTGGATGCCGATGTTAAAAGACAAACCTTGGTAACCTTTCCGGTCAGTCACGACCCCGCAAAGCCATTAGTAGAGATATTCCTGCTTACGCTGCAACGCCCGCTCGATTTACTCTCAAGTGTTGATTCTCTGTGACCAACCCGTGCTCCCTCAAGTGTGTTACGCCTAGGATAATGGCACTCAAGAACTTGCAGAAGCACTTGATCCCACATCGTGATGGAAATAATGTGGCTTTCCTTACGCCGCGTTACGTTAAAGAGTCCATGTCCAGAGACAGGGTTCGACAAGAGCTGCGTTCACTTGTTAAGAAAGCTGAAGGCAAAAGCAAGTCCCACTTAATGCCCCGTAGGCCCATTGATGACTATGTTAAACTCATCTGCGATGGTTCACCGGGATCAGGGCCAGCCATGCTGTTATTCGCCATTCTTCTGTTGTCTGAAAAAGGTTACTGCGTGTTTCAGTTCATCGACCAGGGTCTCAATGATCGCGAACTCCCATTTCAAATGAGATCAAACAACGGGCTTTACGAGTTCTTGGACTCTTCTTCGCGAGAACTCAGATGTTTCGAACATTGGAAGCAAGCATTTCGCAACCAATTTGACACATACCAATGGCGAGTGTGCACTCCATACTTTGAGCAAGGAGATGGTGGCAAGATTACGGTACAGCATTTCAGCAGCAGGACGGTTTTGCCCTTCTTAGAATCTGAGAGAAATGATCACGAAATTGAGTATCTCCAGGAATTAGGCGGGTATGGCGAGATATCCTATGTCAAGATACATGAGTCAAGTCATGACTTCAGCAAATTGCAACATGTAGGCAAATATCCTACAGAATCTCGCAATGATTGTCCGCTGACAACTATAGATCTCGGGACCTGAAGGGCCATTTGCCCTCAAGAGGATGTTATGTTCTGGCAGGGAAAGACAGAACTTTGAGAAGGAACTTAAAATGCTGGAGACATTCAGTGGCCGTACACATGCCCATATGGTAACCTTGCTGGCTGCCTACCAGCTGTCAAACGACTATTACCTATTATTTCCCTGGGCAAAGGAAGACCTATCCAGGTGGTGGCAGAGGAACAACCATGAAAAAAGAAACTGGGCTTTCCACAAATGGATTTCAGAGCAGTGCCTCCGATTAACCGAAGCTCTCGGATTGATCCATTTCCCACCGGCACAGAACTCATTGACGCCAACAGAAAGGCGATATGGACGACACGGCGATATCAAAGCTGAGAACATACTCGTTTTCGAAACCAAGGAAGGAGAGGAAATGTTTGTGATTGCCGACTTTGGCTTGGCTGAACTCCACCGCAAGACTAGCCGATCAAACCAATCCCCAGCATACCTTGCCAAGACCGAGGAATGTCGGCCACCAGAATGTGACCTCCAGAACGCAAACACCATCTCAGCCGCGTTTGATATCTGGACTCTTGGGGTGGTCTTCCTGAACATGATTACTTGGCTAATTGGAGGTGAGGAGTACATAGGAAAATTCGAACAAGCGCGGTATAGTCTTGAAGGTCCGTTTGGGGTTCAAAAGTCAACGTACTTCACAAAAGTCCTCTCGGGCCCAAAATATGGTGCTTTCATGGTCAAAGAGTCTGTTACAAAGGTGGTATAAAGTCTATATTGTAAATTCCATGGCGTTTGGCTACCTGCTAACATAATTACAGTGGATTAGGCTAATGCACCAAAACGAGCGCTGTACCACATATTTGCACGAGTTCTTAGACTTAATCGAGACAAGGATGTTGGTAGTTGAGTCAAAAGACAAGAAGAGAGCTAGAACTGACGAACTGATTCTTGCACTGAGAAAGATGCATGAAAAGTGCAGAAAAAGCAAGAACTATTGTCAGCGCCAGGCGCCTGATGTGACAACGGAGGTCACTCCCAAATTTTCATTGCAAGCACACATGGAGAGCAATATGAGAAACTTGGCCATTGGGAAAAAGAAGTAGTTGATCAGTAATTATGGGATTCAAGTGGCACTGGTGGTAGTCGGTTGTTCCGCATTTGGATCTAATCTGTGTTTTGTGCAATCTGACTATGTATCTCTGCAGCGAACTTGGACATTGCGGGAGGATTTTTCAACTGAAACTTCATTTTAATCTATATTTTGGACTTGATATAACACAAGTAGTTACCACTCAGGTCCCAAATTCCGATGTTCGACAATTGATGATCCATCTTGACTTGAATTTATGAATAATGTGCGTTCTGGATTGCCGTGGTCATGTAGCTGCGTTCATGCTGCCGGTCTTGAGCAAAGTAACCTTTCATCTTATGATCCGAGCCTTACCTGGGTCAACTCTCGCGGGATTGTACAGTGGAAACGACCTCTGGCATACTACTTTGATGTCAGCCACGAGTCTTCTGTTTCACTGTCGGAGCATAGTCAACACACCTTGATGCGGATGGTGCCAACTGGAAACAAGTCTCGGAGGAGTGTAACAAGAGATGTCTCGTCAGTATATCGGGCTCGGAACTGAACCAGAGCCATGTCGAGTAGGAACACAAAAGCGCGCCGTGGCGTCCACAATATGTTAGGTAAGATGAAGCTAACGAAACAATGTTGTTTTACATTAGGCATTTCGGTGAGAAGATTAGGTGGCTGATCAGGCTGGGCTGTGTACGAAGGGGCGCGTGGCATCCTTTACTCCAATCAATCAATGCAACTAGCCAATAGGCTTTGCATTGAGATAATAGGTGCGTCGGGGTCCAGTTAATTTTCAGTTGCCCCGCCTCACTGAACCACCTAACCAATTCCAAGGTCTCTTACCGTCCAGCCGGCCGACTTCCGATGCGCTCACTTACGGGTAGAAACCTCTTTGAAAAGTAGAAGACGGAAAAAATTCGAGCCTACATTCTCCTCCCACCGCCAAGGCTACTTCCCCCCTAAAGAGATCGTCGGCGCCGTTCGCATCTCTGGAAGTGCATATAATATCTGGACAATCGTGTCCTTGTAAAACCTATATCTCTGAGATGGATTGGGCTGGAACGAATACTGGAATCAATCCGGATGATTATGCCAAAGTCTGGAAGTACTATCCGAAAGCTACGCCGGTGGTTCGTTACTTGGCTGGGGCTAGAGTAAGCAGTCATATCTCTCCCCCAATGAGTTAGCACTAAGTGAGGCACCAGGAACCGGTGATTACTACCGTTACTACCGACAAGCAATGGGAGAGTTATCAGGAGACGGTACTAGACACCATCAGCGGCTGCGTCACAGTCAAGCTAAGCCGGGTCATGTAGGAACTCCCGTCACTCGGAAACGAAGTTTCGGGATTGTTTTTGATGTAAGAATCTTCATGCACCTTGAAGTAGCTCAGTTTGACAATGTTCAGCCTTGCCCGTAGGATAAATGTTTCCAAACAAGGTTTACCGAACAAAGAATCCAGCCAGATCAACCACGACAAGCTCGCTCGTGGCGAATCGTTATCCGAGATGTCAGAATCTATCAGCCTTTCCAACACATCACATTTAAGGGAATCTTGTCATGCAAAAAGCGATAGCTGTGACCGTTCCGGGCAACGCGACGCTAGAATCTTGCCGTTTTCTTGCGAGACCTTCAGATCAATTTCTAGAAGCTTCTGCATCCACGGCTCCATAGCGAGGGTTATAAACCGAGCCGACGTGTCAACTTTCTCTCGTGCTTTCGTTGAAATGCGAAATCCTTACGGAGACCTTGACATCGCTTGTGGTAGGTGTGTTATCTCACACATGTCAAGCAGTTGCTAACCAATATTAGTGTATAATTGCCGCACGACCAACGCCTGGGAAGACGATATTGCCTTGACAGTAACGGTTTTTCCCCGCCTTGGGCTTACTTTTGGATTATTATTTGGTTGCACAGATGCCGCCGAACGTGACATCATACAGCGCTTACCACGATGCAAAGCTACTGAGATCCACCCCATGCTATTGCCTGGAATCTTTGCAGAGCTCGAGCGATGTAGACAGATTATGCTTGTAGAAGACGTGATGGATGATATTGAAGCTACCACTTTCCAGGTCAACCATCAGGGCCAGGCTCCCGATGCCAGAGCCTTCAACAACAGCAAAAGAGCTCGATGGCTTGACACTGCCTTCGTGAGAAACAGCCTAGTCAACTGGATCACTCACTTGAGGAGAATGATCGAACATATTCAAGAATTAGAGAATTCTACCATGCTCCAACCAGTAACATGCACACAGTGGAGCCACCTCCCTGCATACTCAGCATCGAAAGCAGCTGGCAGTCAGGACATCCCTGCCGATACTCAGACCGAACCAAAGAGGTTAAACGCCAATGACTCGTGGGAAAGGCCAGTGGGGATACGTATGTTTCAAGTCGATTTTAAGATAAAGGATCGCCTACAAGCAATTGTTGATGAATATGAAGAAAAGATACGAGAGTGTACTATGCGCCTAGATGGAATGACTATGGCAACACAATCCGTGCGTTAACTTGTTTCTTTGATATTCACAAAGCACGGAATTAACGGATACCAGTTACAAGGCGAGACAAGCGTTGAGACAGCCATTGCCGCTGGGAATGATTCGCGACAAATGCGATCAATAGCTATTGTCACTATGATCTTCCTCCCAGGGACGTTTTTTGCAGTAAGTCTTTGATATGGACTTATTTCATGTGCTAACGCAAATACCAGAGCATGTTTTCAATGTCATTTTTTAGCTGGGAAGATACACCGTTTGTGTCCGACTCGTTCTGGATCTATATCTTACTGACAGTCACTACGACTGCCATCACGCTGGGATGCTGGTATTACATATCTGTGAAACGACGAGGGTACCACCAAGGGTATGTGGACGAGGAGGCCTGCGCCATTGACGGACAAAACCTTTAAGTGTGCTATGTCAACCTCTCACCCACCCTCGGCATTGTTCATTATGTCAAATAAAATTTCAGGAGGACGGTCATGCCTTACAAAAAAAATCGATTTAGTGAGCCAGAGCTAGTTGAAGCAAATCAAGCACTTACATGTGCTCCCAATGCTGACCCAAAGTATTGCAATGGACGAGACTATGCACGGTTCCGGTTCCGAAGAGGAACTAACCGTTTCAAAAAACTCGTCAACCTATGTCTGAGTCTGTGGCCATTTCTTTCAGTCAATCTCTTTTGCAGTATTGTGGCACCTGTGTTCGACTCAGCACGCTGCACCTCCACTCCATCACGGTCGTCCGAATGTGGATCATTTGATATGAACCCTCTACTCTGCCCTTCATTAATACCCACTGTGGGGACTGATAGACGATTATCGGCTACCGATATGATGTTGTGCTGCTGGGGCATGGTCGTGTTTTGGAATTCTGATTCTCTTGACTTCTGCATATCAGAATCGGGTATTTTGTCATACAGCAAGCCAGATTTTCCAGTTAATTCGTTTGGAAAAGAATCGGAGTTATTCTGGCGATCTGAGTCCGTACTTCTTCGCGTTCGCACTTGACTCCGAGTCAACGGTACTATACAGTAGTCCCTGTCGTTGGCACACTTGTCTTTCATGCCTTCTAGCGCTTGCACAATCTCTGTACACTCAGCTCGTGACTCTATTCTTATGCGCATCATCCGATCGGAGATGAGCTCGAGGAAATCGGCAATAAATTGAGTACATCGCAGATCGTGGTGCAGCTCATCGAACCACTAGCAGTACTTGTAAGTCACACTCCCACCCCGCTTTGAGAAGCTTTACCTTAACAACGCATTCTTTCAGTATGACTCCAAGTTTGGATTCACCGTTAGCCTGCTTGTTATTGAAGTAATTGTCTTCCTTAACAAAAAGAGCATTGCTTTCATCCACCCTTGCGTCTGTTTGCTTCTCGACACCCTCCCATCCTCGCAAGTACCAAGTCAAAAATTCAAAGAACAGGCAGGCCAGCGGCCAGATATCAGCGGGCTGAGAGATTGACTTGGTAAGATCATGCTCAGGCGCTCGGTAAGTCGCATCTCGTTGTGTGCCATTCTCATAGATAGGCTGGTTCGATTTTTCGGTATGCCAGCGGGCAAGCCCAAAATCAGAAATCTTTAGTTGAATTTGCGTGAGGTCGTGGTCAGTCGCTGCGGAATCCACAAAGTAGAGAATGTTCTCTGGTTTGATATCCCCGTGCCGCCCTCTTGTTGCTGATTGGCCGGAGTTGGCCCCTTCGTCGAAGAGATTATCATGAATTCTTCTCAATGCTTCTGCAACCCCCCAGCACTGCGTAGCGAGCCATCTTATGCTATTGTAAGAGTGCTCTGGGTTTGGATTTCTCTGCCAAAGCTCTTGTAGATTTCCGTCTGCCCAAGGGAATACCAAATGGTAGTAACCGCCGTGCTCGTAAGTTGCGAGTAGTTTGATCAAAAATTTGCACTCCCCAGAACTGAATCGCTTCAAAGCCTCAACTTCACGTTTGAAGGTACTCTTTGAGTTCGAACTCGAGAAAAGACGCTTGATTGCAAAAGATGGATTCTTGGCTGTTTCAAATTCCATGTTAATGGTGGATGTAGTCAATCTTTGGTCTCTCGCTGATGACGATGACAAATTGTGATGAGCAGGGTGGATTTTTACTCGTCTTACTTCTCCAAATCCGCCATTCTGAAAATCGTACTCGTTTTCTTCTTCCTGGATGAACGGCAGCACAATCTGGTTATGGAGAGGGTAAAAGAGCACCTTTCCATTCGACCCGTCAAAGATTGGAGAGAGCATCCACCACTGATAGGTATCAAACCATCTCTGCTCAGGGAGGCGCCACTTTTTCATGAAGTCAAGGTATATCAAGTCTCCTTTGTCGTTGCCGTCCTGGTGGCACACCCATTGCCCGCCATATTTGTTCTGTTGAACCGGTAAATCTTTGTCCCAAATAGCACATTTGATGAATGACTTGATCTTCTGAGCTTTGCCAAGGGCGATTAGGATGGCAAATAGCTTCCTGCGAGAGGTCGATAGTCGTTGGCCATGGATGTTATTGTAAGAGTGTGGATCCCATATGTCGGCAACCAACGTTTCGAGCGAACCTTCGACCGTTAGAGATTTGCACGACTCTCTTACGTTCTCCCGCGTCATCAATCTGTCAAAATCGTCGATTGGGATAAACCTCGTGCCGTTATTGCTAGGGTGGTCCAAGGTCGCGGCATGCAAGGCATCTTGGATGCCTTGCAATGAATTGGTTGAACTGTCATCTTCACTATCGGCCAGGTCCTGTCTGGAATCACTGTTGCGCATCCCAGAACCGACTTCCGCAAGTAAGTCAGGACGAGGCTGTATTGTGGTCTCTGTCGCGAGGAGTTGTATCGTGTTTTCCAGATGTCCACTGTCACCTCGATCCTGACAAGTACTGCTTTGTTCCGCCTCAGATAGAGCGAGAGCTGGAAGTGGCCACGGTGTGGCAGACGGGATGTTTCTCACGTGCGTAGGCTGATCTCGCCATGAGGTGGGTGTGTCCAACAAGGGACGTCTAAAATCCTACAATAGCTTTTATTCAGTTAAAGGTTTCTTGAAGGTGTTATAGATTCAATTTGGGGTCGCTTGTCAAGGCTCATAAACGTACTGGCGATACTTGAAACTCGTTTTCCTAAATCGGCGTCAGTGGTGATCTCAAGAAGACATGGATGCCATCAACCCTTACTTGTTGCTCATAGAGATCGCCCGATGTATCCATTCTCGATATCTTTAGCTGTTAGGCCAAGCAGGATTTTGGTGTGCAATGATGCATCTCCTTGATTGTTTTCCAAGAAAGAAATACCATTCAACGTACATGAAAGGCTCGACACTACTTTTGTTCCTGATCTTGCACATTAGTGTAAGATCAAGGCTATGTTTTAAATGGAACTAAAACTTATGCAGCATGGCATACGAGAATGGGCTGTCAAAGGGCTCCGCATCCTTGCCGTGAAGCAGCCAGATAAGGCACGCTGTGAGGTTGTAGCTTTGTCCGGTAGGGCTGAATGGTATATCTAAGCCCTTTACTTTAAGCCTGGAGCACTCGTCCCCTTTGCCATAAACAATATCTCAGATTATTAAAGCCCAGGCTACATTATTTGACTCTCTGGGGTACCTCTTTGCACGGTTTCGCCTGCAAGCTTTTCATTGTGTGCCCTTCAAGGAGCTTGTCATATTGTGAAAGTCCGCAATGCAAGTGTACAAAGACTCCCTCAGCAGGCGCGTAACTCCTGGCTTGGAGTTGGGGGGCTCAAAAAGACGATGCGTCAAATACGCCATCATTCAAAAAGACGATGCGTCAAGTACGCCATCGGGATCAGCCCTAAAGAGAGGAAAACTAGCCCGCAAAAATAGATCGTGACGGAAGAGATATCTCAAACGTCATTGGAGGGTGTGGATACACAAGCCGGGCTGATGTGCATATCATGCATGGTATTTTTGCTACTAAGCATGATCCCATGTCATACCCACTGTCAGTTCATTCCTGCCTCGCGTCTCCTGAACGTGCGATTTTATTGTCAATTATCCCCACCGTCCGCGTTGCTCGCTTTTGTATTCTTGATTGGCTAGATTGACATCCAACTATAAAAGCCCGAACCGGACTTTCTGCCCTCTCTCATGACTTCTCTCATGTCTGCCCTCCCTTCATGACTTCTCTCATGTCAAATTCAAGTGACCATCTTACGGATCCTACTAAATGGGTGACGATGACTCGCATTAAGTCGAAATACATCTCGAGCCCACAACACCTCAAGTACCTCCTTGAAAGGCAATTAGGTCCCGGGCAATACAAAGTAGAAGTGGGTCACCTGCAACACTTGGAAGTGAATGACTTGCTGAACAACTCGTGAGATGCGACATAATACATACAATATCGAATCTCAGAATCCCCTGGATACCGTAAGCATTAGACATGTACTTACGGTACAAAAGAGACAATATGCAAGTAACTAATTTCGCTTTCGGACTAGTCAATTATTCGAAGGCAGAGCCTTCGCAGATAGCACCTTCGCAGATAGCAAGATTATAGATAGCCAACTTAGAGGTTTCCGACCAGTATGCCTGTACAGTAGTCTCGCATATAGTATGAGATCTGAATCAATCTTGGTATTCTTTCTGGCCCAAGGTCTCCCGATCGAGTAAATGGATGCCGGGCTCTTGTCCATGCTTGCAGTTTCTCTCCATTCTGGCAAGTTAGCTACATCTTTAAGCGCTACAACCACGCAAAGAAGTGGGTCTTTCATCAGTGATCTTTGTAACACGTGCTGAGTTCATTTGCTAGCCAAGGATTATTTTTCATAGGACCTATTCTACGGCGTCTTGACCTGAAGTACCGAATCTTCGTCCGACTCGAAAGCTTTTGGGATGGCCGAGATACTAGCAATTTCTGTATCGAGGGACTTGCATGCCAACCTCTTCAAGACCTGCTTCGCTATCTCCTGTGAGATAAAATACTAGCTCTCAAGATGTTCTTTGGAACTATCAAGATATGAGGAGGACAAGGGTGGAGTGGATTAATTGATTCAGCAGAAGGAGGGTTACAGAGCACTACACTTGTGAGTATACATATATACGTCGCAAATTGAGTGGCTGGTGAGGTTGTAATGTAGGTGGCTGGTCCACCATTCCAACGAAAACTGTCGCGGATTTTGGCGCTCAGGCAACAGATTTTTTGAATATTGAAATGCCATTGGAATAATTCATTTTGAATGGCCATTGACTCATATATATTTTCCATAGGTAAGTCTGGATTGTGGAGTCTCTGATCATCTCCATCTTGACGGCTGAGGCTGCCGTTTGGCTTGGGATCTAATCGAAAGGATCGAAGAACGAGGGTAGAAATGGCATCTCGGATAGGCGAGGTTGATAATTGCCGTTACGATTGCGATTCAGTCTGCAGTGAGTTTGAATTGTAGATACAGAACACGTAAGAGGGTAGAAAAGGAATGATAGACTGACAGATCCAATATGAAAGTCTACTTCATTGTCTGTATGGGGTTGCGGGCTGACGAGGCCAGGCCAATGGAATATCGCACTGAAATGAAACAAGACAGGATGTACTGAACTGGAGTGGTGCTCCTGGGCCATATTCCCCAAGTAACACAACCTCAGCCAACGCAGTCCTCCTCGTCAGTGTCGACGAATCGAACGTACATTGTTCGTGTGGCTAAAATAGACGTATAACTCGACGGTCGCCAAACCGAAAGTCGTAAAATAAAGGTAAAAAGTGCGATAATGTATTAAAATCTATAAAAAGAGGGAAATTAAATAAATAAAACGCGAAAAACATAGCCACATTTTATTAAACCACAACTCTATACCACGTCTCACCAACCCGAGCTTAGTACCTAGCTTTCAATGTCTATATAATACACATCGCCAGTCTCTAAGCGTAGTATACTGGCGAATAGTAAGAAATCTGGAAGGGGTCGTTCGGCGGTAGCAAGATCCCCGCTACGTTATCTTCCGTTCTTCGTGTCACAGAGATACAACAACTTTCAACGAATTCACCTTGACTTGAACAAGAAACTTGAAACTACTGGGCGCATCTAAGAACAATTAACAGGGGATACTCTCTCTGGATGACAGTTACATGTGTTGAACATAGGAGAAGTGGGTTCAAAGGGTGCCCAATGGACCAACATAGGGGCTGGTGATGACAGCCATATACTCACGTCAAAATACAGTTACATTTCTATGCTACGCAACCACCGCTCTGAGCTGTTTCTCACGAGTACTTTTGTTGGACTGGTCAATTGCCTTCCAGCCTGAATGAGAATATCTGGAAACAGTGAGGCAATGCTTTGTCGCAGTGCTTGGAAAAAGTCGTTCCGCAAACAGACTCATCAAAGAGCATTCATAGGCACAATAGGATTATTGATCAAAAGTATTCCAAGTTCCATCGCCGCGACGTTCACATGTGTAGATTAGTATGAGAAATAGTACCTGCAACTTTGCGAACATGGCAGAATATCAAAAATACCATGAAGCTCTGCGAAATTATTTCACAAAAGATTCAATATTTACTCTCGAAGGCATTATTGGCCATGGTGAGTATGGATTGGCATCCAAAGTATCATATAAAAACCCGGTCTCTGGAGAATATAGGAAGTTTATCGTCAAGCAAACGTATCGCAACGAAGATCTCGATACGCTGGCAGCGGAGAGGCACTGGCTTCAGGTGAGCTTAGGTGCCGTCTTCTTTCTGAGCTTTTCTTATCAGGCCACAAGCAACTCGCCCATGCGCCGCACATTGTCAGCATGGTGAGCATACCCAACAATCCGCTGATAACGCCGCCTGAGAGGGGAACTCCCCCCAATGAAGGAGCGTCCTCCGGCAATAGACGTCAAAATCGCGACCCACCAATCGAACAGAGAACCATTTTGCTGGAATGGATAGCCCACGGCGAACTAGGAGACTTTCTGAAACGCGCAGCGCGCCACCCCAAACCGATCCCCAATCGCCTCCTATGGAGGTTCTTCGGCTGCTGTAAGTAAGCCCAAGAGCTTGATGCAATGGACACCGCTGGCATAGATTCTGACAATGTCGTCCCAGTTCTCAGAATGGTCGTGGCAATGGCATATCCTCCTAGTCCCCCACCCGCAGGCCAAGCTACCCAGAGCGAAGAAATTACATACGACGCAAACGGCCAGGTAGCAACGCCGTCAATGTTGCGACACACAGATATGCACGACGGCAATAGTACGTTACCGACAGTAGATATGTACTGTCTTTTGACCGCAGCTAATCAAACAAAGTCTTACTGAGCGACCCTCCGAGTGACGTCGAACATGACTTTGCCCCTATGCTTAAGCTCATAGATTTCGGCCTAGCTGAAGATACATTGCCTAACATCCTGGAGTCGTACGTCACATTCTTTTCTAATCTCGTCTTATTGAGTTACCACTTAGCCACTAACACGAGACAGGCCTGACCCGAATCCCCAATTTGGTGTCCACTGTAATATGTTTGACGCTGGCATCGTGAGTTGTCCCAGACTGCGATGGGCATCACAGACTACCTTACTAAGGCCAACCAGCTTATGTGTTGCCTTATATTGAAATATGAGTGGAGTAGGTACCCTGGGCACGGTGATCTTCTATCCACCATCGAAATTCCCGGGAGTGGTCCTCCGCCAGTCAAGACATACGCCCAGCCTCTCTATGCTCTTCAATTCCAGTCAGACCCCTGCCCGAATGTAGATCCGGATATCAAGAGACTTGTGAGTATTTGCATGGCAGTTAAGCCGACCGACCGACCGAAGATCGAGGTAGTACTCGGCCAGGTCATGGACTATATCCAAAAGAGAGATGCCGCCTACTATAACAACGCGGCGGAAGAAAAGGATGACTATATTCGAAACCTGTGGACCACAGCACTCTTTAACCCACCCTCGCCTGCTTCCTCCGAGGATTCAAATCAAACTTGGGGCTAGGCAGTATGGAAGGTAATTGTTTTGTCTCCAGTTTTGAAAGGAGGCCGTCCTAGACGGCACATTGTTTCTGTCGTGGAGCAACCCTTCGGTCGGTGACGAAAAATCAGTGGAGTGGCTTCCGTAGTGGAGATACAAATGTACAGCGCAATAACTTACTGGTATCTAGGTTGGTGATCAGTACAACGTTTGGGGTTTAGTAACTACTCAAAATGAAAGACTGAATTCTCATAGTATCATACGTGCCTCTAGGAAACGGTTTATAGAAGCCGTGGGAATGGCTTCTATGAATACTATAACCTACAAAACGACGCCTGATTCCATGTTTACCGGTCCTAACACCGTAAAAACCAGTGCCACAACGTAGATATCGATAGGTCTCCTGCGCTTCCGACGATAGAAAATTTCTTACTATCTTGCTAGTCAAGCAGATGATCCACTCGTGTGAAACAGAACCAGATGCGCGCATCTTTGCAGCAGAGAGCGAGGTACAGGATTGAAACAATCGCTTCGCTGCCGTCTCAAGGCATCAGTACGCCATAAGAGGTACCCTTCTGCCACCGCTTGCCAGTCTTGCCGACCCAGCCCTCCCTGACGCCCTTGAGCTCATTCTCGCAGAAGACATTGTCCCCTGAGCCGTTGACCAGCGCGAACCCAAAGCCTTCAGTCTTGCCCTCCTCCCCCATAAGATACTCAGGGTCGATGCAGCCGATAGTCATGTAGACTTCTTCCTGTGATTCGTCTCTCCAGTAGACGAAGCTTCCACATTCCACGCAGAACCCGCGCTGGATGCCTGGGCTGGCGTTGAAATTCTTGAGAGTAGTTGTCGGGGTCAGGTAGGTCACGGCTGTGGACAGAACGGCATGAGAAAACAGGACCAGAGTTCCTGTGTTACGACGGCACTGCGTGCATTGACAGCTTGTGCTCTAGGGCAACATCAGTAATTGGGACAATTAATCAGGCATGCGCTTTCGCAAAATTTCCAACATGGCCGGTGACAACTCGGGCGCCAGAAACAGATATCATGCAAGACACTTATCCAGTGATCTCTAAACAGTGTAGAAGAGGCGAATAGAAAGCAACAGGGTGCATACCGCTTTCAAAAAGTCGTGTTCGGCAGGAAAATCGACCTTATACCGGATTGCGCCGCAGAGGCAGCCGCCGGTGATAGACGTTGGCTTGGGGAAGTCGTTCAGACTTGGTGTCGCCATGGCTGGATTTCAGCACTATGGATTCTGTCCTACTTATTATCCCTTCGAAGTCGAGAGCAGCCAGTTATTGGAAGTTTCCAGCCCGGGAGGTGCGAGATGCGATGCTAGTTCGAGGGCGTTGTGCATCGGGCTGTTCTTAGGAGACTTCACGTCATAGGACCCCGCTTCGTGCCAATTGCTTGCGGCGAACGCTCGCCAAACGCTATCTATCGATAATTATATCACCTAGATGCACCTTTCAGAGCTCCATGGTGCGCATTTCTGGATTCAAGCTAGCTACTGCTCGGAAGTTGCCCGGCATTATACTGCCCCCAAATTGCTTACCCCTCGGATCCGAACATAGGTGAATACCTGTCCATTGACGTTGCTACTGTACATTCACTAGACTCGTTTCTCAACCTGCCTGAAATGCCAATTATCTATTGCCAACATCATCCTCCGGTGATTTTTGGGCCCTTGGTAACGTTGCATCGCGTGTGCTGCGTAGTTTAAAGCTATTCGCCGGTTTCCACATTTTAGTCCAGGTGGGGAGGGGGGGGCGCATTCAAGCTCCGTAGTTATATCCCGTTTCGATGTCGTTTTGAGACTACAACTGACCAAACGAATTTCCAGGGCGCCCTTGCTCGAGGGCTTCAAGATGGAAACATTATGCATAATGGATTCGCACCATCCAAGAAGAGAGGTTTCATGCCTCGATTCGTGATGCCGGCTCCTCAAGAGCCGGTTGATGCTCCCTTGACTTATGCAGCAATGGTCTACGATTAAAACCTAAGACTACAGCCGCAGCTTTTACAGGGAATTATTGTTATGGACACGAAATACACTTTTGTTACAAACTACCGAGAAGCGGCCTTCTGTTTCGGCTTTACTATAGCTGCGGGATAGATCAGGTCAACAATTAGGTGTCACGCATTTTATACTGATGTCAACACAGTCTAGATCGGCTTCGAAGTGTAGCCAGCATGTGCAATCAGTACTATAGCATGACCATTTCCAAGAGAGAAAGTGAATTTCATATTGTTGGGGATTGATCTGGCATACGCCGGCCTTATGCCTAGTAGATGACTTGCTCACGCAGTAAGTTCATCTCGTTTTTTATGCCAATGAATCGACCTCTTTCATAGCGATCACGCACGTGAGACCATTCTCCATTTCAAGATGGATGTATTATTGCCCTAAGCGAGTGACGTTCCTATTTGCATCGAGATCTCCGTAAATACAGATATAGCTTCCATGATTTTTTACAATTTTCGTACACAATATTCTAGCCAGACATTACTAGGCTGTAGCTTGTATGTATCGTGAAGTTGTTGTTTTTTTGGCCTTTTGGCCTTTGTCTTTAATGGTCGTGCTCATCATGGAGACACCCTCGGGATATCATAGTTAAAGAGATAGTAATGCTAGAGGGGGGTATTGTCTCACGACCCATCTTGCGTTTAGCCCCGAGCCTCAATGACTCTTACCACGGGGCCGCCCTGGTTTCCCTTTTCTGGAAGTAACTCAAGCCCTGTACGCTCTGAAGCTGGCCGAATCGCCCGACAGCTCGTTGGGGCGCGTGGCGCTGTGGAACTGCTCCAGCCCCTTGTTCCAGCGGCCCGTGTCCTTCTCCTCGAACGTCGGCTTGCCCTGCTCATACAGCTCGTCGAGCTTCTGGAGCGCCTCGTCGTTGGCATTGCGGCGCTTACGCCAGTGCCGCCGGCAGGCCAGGATGGTGGTCACGATCAGTGCCAGGGCACCCACACCACCGGCCGTGGCGACGCCGATGGTCACACCCATGGACATGCCGCCAGAGCTCTCCGTCTGCGCCTGGCTGATCCCGTTGTCCGGCAGACCGAGACTCGTAGACGCAGGGTCCGGACTGACGACGGCGGCCGGGGTGGAGGTGGCAAGTGCAAGACTGGTTGTGTCCGGGAGCAGGCTTGTGGGTAGAATGCTAGTCAAAGGGGCTGTATCTAGGATTGAGGTGGCATCCAGAGGAGGGAGGACACTGGTCAAAAGTGTGGTGGGTAAACCCGTGGGGATTGACAACGGGAGGGAGGTTTGTGCACTGGTTGCTTGACTGGTTGAGATCGCAGTGCTTGCAGTCGTTGGCAGAACTGCTGGGGCATTAGCAGTAGAGGTTGCAGCCGTTGGCTGAGTTGCCTGCTTTGCTGTTGAAGTGGCGGAGGTGGCCGCGGCTCTGGTAGACGTGGTTGACTCTGGTGCGGCTGTCTTATTGTCGTCCCCGTTTCCATTCCTTCCACCCCGTGTCGTCGTAGCGTCATCGTTGGTGTCGTTATCATCCGGTTGACCAGGGTTCAATACTGCCCCGGCATCATTTGTGGCCGCCGGCAGGGCCGTGTTCTGAGTTGTTGTCGCCTTCGACTGCGGCGGAGGAGGAGGAGGAGCGTTTGTGGTCTTCTCATCCGGGGCCGCCGTAGCAGTCGCTGAAGCGGCATCCGTGGCAGTGGTGCCTGCACCACCGCCCAACCCCAGACCCAGACTGACGTCGGGTAAAATTCCTCCCAAAAGCCCAGACATTGCGAATGATTAGATCACGATATGTTGTAAGGCAAGAACGCCAGGTTCCACGAAGAGAAGAGAAGATATGTAAGGAAAGGGAAGTGGGAACGACGGTCAGCCGGCTTTCATCTGATGTCCCGAATCTCGTAGCTGAGAAACGAATTGTTTGGTGTTGCAGCGTTTGGGGAGAAGAAAAGATGCCAATGCCCGGCTGGCGCCTGTGCAGAAAGGCTTGGTTTTGCTTCGTTGGGTCGGCCAGTCGTCCCAATTCGATCGACCGACGTGAGACAGAAGCGTGGTGGTCCATGTCTGCGCCAAGCCCCAACGATCTCTGAGGGCTCCTATTTTGGGTGATCGCCGTCGCTGCCAGGAGGCTCCCAGTCTCAGCAGCTGTGAAGGCATCATGTCCCCCGTGACGTACTGATCCCGTGTGTTCGGCACAGTCGACGTTTCGGAACCCCTGTCGCTGTCCTTCCGCTTTGGGAATGCGCCTGAAGGAGGATGCCGAGTCTGGTCGGATCGTCGGTGGATCCTCGACATCTCAAACCTCCCAGGCCGTGCAGAACCTCATGCCGTCCCTGATGATCCCCAGGACCCTGGAAATGCGGCCAAATGGGCAGGCCAGGGCAGCTGCTGTCGCTGGTGCAGAGCCCGTCGGCTGCCCCAGAGACTTTCCTGCGCTTGGTGCCCTCCAGGCCTCCCAGCCTCTAGCTGCGTTTCAAAACATTCCCAGATTCCCTTTATGAACAAGATATGCTGGCCGCAAGGCATAACCAGCCGCTCGCCATGGCTGAGCCTCGCGCATCACAATTTAATGAACCGCTGCACTTGTCGAAATGTATGGATGGGCACGCATTCACACGGGCCAGAGTAGGTCCTGCGTCGTTACAGCGAGGGGATAGCGTTATAATCGGAAACAGTCTGAGGTCATACCGGAGACCATCCCCACGCGATCCGATCAACACACGACAATTACAGAAAGCTAAAATTTTGGCGTACAGATTAAACTCCTGTCAATCGCAGACCAGAGGCATCCGACCTCTCCATTCTCGTGCGACAGGCAGGCAGACCCAAGCTGAAATGTTTGGACAGGCCCTGCTCTCTGTCTCAAGTCCACCCTAAACCGGGTAGTGCTCCACCAGGGGTTCGTCAGCAGCGCGGAACCTCTGCGAAGCCGACGAGCTGTCAGGCAAGCGAGCCCTGCAGTTTTGCAAGCAGTCTCGACATCAGATGAAAGAAGAATCAGCTATGCTCACCCTAGTTGTTTGTTTGCTTTTGTGTTGCATGAGTTGACGTGTTTGAAAGCCCATGAGCATGTCCCCATACGTTAGACCAGCTCGTTGCTGATGCATTCCTCGAGTCCTTTCCCTCGAGTTCTTTGTCTCGCGAGAGGCACCAAAGTAGGAAATGACCCTTACCGTCTTTTCCAAGAGAAGAACTCCACTGTCAATACGATGGCAAGCCCCCGCGCCGGGTTCTCTTCTTAGATGAGACGGCCCTTGGAGCAGATCGTGGTGGACCTTGTCAGCTACCCGTGGGCAAGATCCGGGACAGGATCTGGGGGAGGCTTAGCGACCATGGAAGGTCCACGGGAACAACCGGGCAGACCGACAGAGACCGTCTTCCGTGCTTTATTTGAATGGTTCGATTTGTCGCTATCAAGTTTCCAAACAAACAAGGTGCATACGCAAGCTTCATGCTGCGCACGCGGCTCAAACCCGCAAAAGCAGTCCTCGCAGCCCACTGGTATTCCAATAATAGGGCCCTTAAACGCCTCCCATGATGAGTGAAGTGTGCCAGATACGCAGAAACCAAACGCCAGATCCAAGCAAGATATCAACGATCATCCATAGTACGCCCGCCAAGGCGCATCGCAGCCGCCTGCACGACGCTCTTGTCCAGAGCTGGGGTGCTGCCGGATCCCTCTTCAAGTTCGGGGTTGGCGCGCAGCGGCACAACGTCCCACGCCCTCATTCCATCATCCATCCCTGGCCACAGATCGGTAGGTATGTACTCCGCAATCTCGTGGCGAAACGCCTCTCGCTGTTTTCTGTCTGATTCAATGATCTTCTCGACGTTATCTTTCGCCTTCTTCCATATACTCAGCACCCTTTGCTCCTGGGTCCTTCGCCGGTCGACCTCGAGGAGGAGGCTATCGTATGAACTGGCATAATTCTCGTAGAACAGCCGCAGCTCCTCCATTTCGTCCATCTTTTCGCCGATGGTGTCGTGCTCCGCAATCCAGCGCTCGCGGAACTCCGTCTCGGCGGCGATGTAGCTGCGCAAGCGAGTTCCAATATCTTCCAGCACATGAAAAGCGTCGTTCGTAGTCGTGTATGTCAGCTTGACCTGCTCCGTCTGCTCGATCAAGTGACTGTATTCCTCCTCCATATTCTGGAGGTGCTCATTGATCTCTTGGACCACCTCCATGACCTCTGATGCATCTTGCACGACTACTTGTAGCATCTGAATGCGGTCTTCTAGAGTTATGGGATCCTCAGCCATGTGCAACTCTTGTTCGGCAATGACCCCGGATATTGAGACGTTATTGTCCCCCTGTGTTTGCGAGGCTTCGGCAGCCTTCCTCCTCGCGAGCGCAGCACCTCCTTCGGTGGTTCGTACGGCTGTCACGCAGAGGTCGAAATGCTTCGTCAGGGAAGCCAGGAGCTCTGCCATATCATGCGAGTTTTCTACCATGGAAGCCAGCAGGTCTGGGACGGGCCGTCGAGAATTGGATGCAGAGGGAGACGGCGGAGAGGGGGCGGAAGTGATGGTCTTGTTGAGCGCTCTTAGATCGGTGTCGAACCGCAGTAAATCGCCATCGAAGGAAGTCTGCGTGCTCTAACAAAATCGTGTTAGTGGGTAAGATGATCCATGTTTGAAAAAACACTCTCAGTAGTGGCCGGCTTACTTGAAGAGCGGCAATGTTCTCCTTCAATATGTTGCGCATCGTCTCGACCTGTTCGACGTCGACAAAGTCTAGTAAACTCTTTCTCTCCTCGCCCTTCGGTCTGAAGACACTTTCGACTGTTCGGTCACGCAGCACATTCATGGTGCTCTCGAGCTGGCTGTTCGCAGAGTCGAGGTCCTTGATGACCTGCTTGAACTCACGTTTGCCGCTCTCGTAGGTCTTGTTCATGCCACGGCGTACCTTGAGCAGCAAGCGGACCTGGTCGTTGATGCCGCGGCGGAGGAACTGGGCCTGAGCTCCGAGAATCACGGACTCTTCGTGAGCCAGGCGAGCAGCGGTCACGAGCTCGTTGGCTCGAAGCACAGAGGTCATGGATGAAAGCGAGCGCTTGGCCTCCAGAAGATGCTGCACGAGGGTCTCGACGGGGATCGAGTCGGCAGCCTCGACGTCGTCATGTCGCGAAGACGGCCGTGAGTGCCGCGCGGGCGAGGCTGTGGACGATGATGGGGACGCCATCCTGATAAGCGACAGGGCGGCGCTTTGGGAAACCTCGGGGTAGCAAGAGACCGACGATAACGTCGGCAATGCTACATTGTCACGCCCGGCGGACCTGCTTGCGGTTTGATGGGGAGGGGGATGAGAGTTGCAGCTGTAAAGTTAGTCCGTGAGTCCTACGGCGTACAGGACCAGGGCGTCTGGAAGCTTGCCGTGAAGCTCGGAGCTTGTCCAGGCGAGCAGCTGTGAGTTGGTTACTTAGTGCCTATGCAGCCTGGGATCGGCAAGTGACGGCAGCAAACGGCGCTAAACCCACCGATTGGCGTGCCTTATCGAGGGCCGCGCCAGGGGTCTTGCACGCTAAAGGTGCAGCCCGGCCGCCGCCAGGTCTCAGGAGTCGGTAGACAGCTGCTTCTCTCCTAACTGAACTCGACTCAACCACCGACGGCAGGGAACCATGTCCGTGTCTCAGTACTGATTTGTCCGATATTCGATATGCCGCGGGCTTGGTGAACTTGCGTTTCTTTGCTCTTATATCCAATTCACAGTCCTGCGTCATGTCTGCTTGAGAACAAAGAGCTGCAGCCGCGGAATTCCATTGACAGGCACCAAAGCACCACGCATATGACACACCGTTCTTTCACCCACGAGCCTCAAGATGGCAACGATATGACTGCCCCAAGCTCACAGTCATTCAAACGCAAACCTGTTGCCTCGGACTCTGGGCCGTCCCCATCATTCGATGTCTCGGACATTCTCGATGACTACTTCTATGACCAAGATGAGGAGGATAGCCTGGCCGAGAAGGCTAGAGCGCTGACCTTGGAGACTCGGCCATCCATGCCACCAAGGCCCAACACTATCCCCCTCATCCCAAGTGTCTCTGAGCCGGCTCCTATCACGCACACGAGTACTACGATTCCCGAGGTGCCAAGTGCCTCCAAGTCGTTCTGGCAGACTGCATTCGATGAGACAATACACTTTGCCGGTGGGCTCGTGTCTCATCCTTTTGAAGCGACCAAACACTACAGCATCCTCCGACACTCATCTGGACTTGTCTACTACAAAGGGCCGTCCACAAGAGTCACCATCACAGTCTTTTCGGATGTCCCAATGCCATCGGATCGCTCATTTTGGCTCCAGAGAAAGGGTTTCTCCGGAGACATGGGCATGAGCGTCAGTGTCTTGTTGGGGACTTCAAGCAATTGGATCGACGTAACCCCGACATCTGAAGCACTCCCATCCGAGATGCCAGAATCGGATGAACGAGCATGGCAGAGGGATATGAAGAAATTCCTCAAAAAGGCATCAAAGCACAAGAGTCTCTCCAAGCATGTTGCCCGTGAGACCTGCGTCGTGCGGATTCCCGCAGTCGCGTCAGATGGCTATCTCCGTGTCGTCATGTGTACCGGCGAAGGCCGCAAGAAAGTTCTCTGCCCCAGCCCCATCTTCCGCATCGCCAGCACATCCAGCGATGTCAGCATCTTTCGCGGGGCCAGCCTATCTACCATGCCACTGGAAGCTGGCCTTAAAGTGGCATCCATAGTGGGCACCACGGTCGTCAACAAGTACGTTGGACCAGCCAAGGCTATAGTGGATAATCGTGTCCAGAAATACACCAACAAGTACAAGCCCGGTTTCATCGCGGAACGTGCTGAACAAATTGCATTTGCCAAATCTGGTGTGCGCAGCAAATTCGAATCTTTAGAGGCCAACTTCGATGGCGCCCGTGACGTCTCTTACGACCCTCTCCATCCTCCTTGTCTGATTGATTCGCCTCCAGAGGTGGTCGGCTCTGATGTCGGGCCTGAAAAGCCATTTCCGCTGAAGGTCGTTGGAATGGTTGTACATGGTACTGGGCAAAGTAAAGCCCGCTTTGGACTGCCGACCGCAAACCTGGCTGGCGTTTCCAACGACCTGATGCTTCGCCTAAACGGCATATACATGGGCTGGGCTAGTGTATATCCCAAGAAAGGAGTCGAAAATATCTCCAACAACTGGTACGAAGCAATCATCACTATCGGGCCCTCCCCTTACGCCTCGCCTCAAGTGGTCATAAAGAAAGTCGCGACCGTACATGTCCTGCGTGACTTCGGCGACACTACTTTCTTCGATGCAAAAATGAAAGTAATCCTCATGGCCTACCTTCGACCAATCCCCGCATCAGATAGATCCCAACCAGCTCTAAAGGCACGTGATGTCGACGTGGCTCTTGCAAGCCTCAGTCGTGACGCCTGGAGCCCGGATGTGACGGTTGAGAAGATGAAGGATGAGAAGAGCGCTCGGTCGGTAGCGGATCGATATGTTGAAGTACGGACACAAGTGCAGAAACACGTTGATAGTCTTCCGGTACACCTAGCTGGCGTGAGGACCGCGAGTGCCGAGGTGATTGATAAGGCTCACGGCCGGGGTGGTCTATTCATTCGACGGTAGACGACTTGTGAAAGCCTTGAAGCTGGGACGGTTCAGCCAATCCTCAGATTCATGAACGATAATTATTAACTCCCTTCTCGAAATGGCAAGTGTGTTTATCATGGCGATATTGATATAGACAAAACTTAACTAAGGGAACACGAAACGGTATAGTTTATTTGGCTTTTGTCATACCTCATTATGAGATGACCAAAGTATCGCTGCTCATTTGACTACCGAAGAGACTATCATGGAAAGATGCTTGTTAGGACATTTCCATAGTCCGTGTAAGATAGCTTCATCTTCTCGATATCGTAATCGTTCCAGTAGCCACCGCCGGCAAGCGCTGCTCCTTGATTCCAACCAGAAAACTTGGTCCGCGCTTGCGCCACGGTCGTTCCCTGTGACGGCTTCGAATCGTTGGTCACCCACACGAGCGGCACAACCTTCATACCAAGCGTGCTCTGCCAACCTGCAGGGTTGTTTCCTGCGCCGCCGTCGTAGCACTGTAGGTACACTCTGTCCACCAGCAGATTTGGCTCCTTGAGACCGTTGTTGGCCTGTTTCACGACGGAGCTCCAAAAGCCTGAATTGGTGTATGGCGCAATCGTGTACTTATACCCCACCTGACCGAGCATCTTCGCGAAGGTTACCGTGCTCGAGACGTCGTAGATGGACTCGTCATCATTGTTGACCGCATCAAGGGTCCATGCCGTCTTCAGAGCCTGGAAGTTGCGATAGACACGCGTACTGGCTCCTGGCCCTGGGCTGGCCATCAATTCGCGGACGTGCTGGGAGTTCATAGAGATCTCCAGCCTGTTGATCCCCGTGGTGCCCGTCTTGAATGAGCGGACTTTGTTGGCAAGCGCGTCACCGCCGACGTAGGTGCCGTTGGATGCTACTAGCACGTCACTGCTCCCAGGCGTGTTCGAATAGTACATGATGTCCCCGTTGTCAAGGATGCCGACGCCGAACATGATGAGACTGTTGAACCCGGAGGTCTTCAATGCCGTTGTGTTCGAGACCATCACATCTTTGAATAGATAGATGCTCCTAATGCTTGCGGCGAAAGCATGCTGGATGAAGAGCTCAAAGAGCAGGACCTTTGCCAACGTGTGGAACCTCATCTTTACAACTATTCTCCAAGCCTTTCAGGTTCCAGAGTCACCAGTTCCGGAAGGGTTACAAAATATGACGCTCGAACTCCTGGTCTCCTTCTTGGGGCTCGCGTTGAAATAAGGTCAACGGAGCTCGCCAAGAGCTCGTATTCCCTGGCTCTGCGGGCTCCGCAGTAGCATCGTAGACATGGAGGGGTATCACCACCTATTCCTATAACGCCCGTGATAATGAAATCACTTCACATTTTGCCCCCGGCTAAAAGTCGTGTTTTTGCACATAGCTGGTCTGCGGTTTATGGCATTAATTTGCAACGAAGGTGCAACTGCATACTTTCCTTCGTAGCTGATCTACAACGCAGACAAATACAACATTATCATTTACGATTCCGTGCTTGATGGTTTCATGGCATTTTGATACATATCCTGCGCCCGAAGGTCTTTGGAATTGCCGGACAGCGTTCCTTGGCGACACTGGCTCACTACTACGCTACCTTGCAACAGCAAGGGTAATCTGTGGGCCCTGGAGTAACGTCGTACCACCGTGGTCATGTTACCAGTCTCCAAACTCGCCCTATCAGAGGGGCAAGGTCACTGGTAACTCCAAACAATCAGGTCAATACTTGGTGCGTCACAATGGTGGTGCAATGGGTCGTGAGACCTTCCTACTTTGTCAATACGCCAATCGATCCATTCGGACGAGCATGGGACGAAGATGGTTAAACTGTTGATAGGACATCTTGATTCGACTACTTCTCGTCGCCCATGATTGATGGGTCATTTTTTCTCCATAACGACAATACCTCCATCGGTATCATCATACCCCTGGTGGCCCTCTTAGCCTCGCCTGCGGTTTCTAAAGCTCGGCTTGGCGGTCTCGGAAAGGAATAGATCTCTGCTGTCACAGTACTCCTCAGCGGCGTATTGCCTGTCGCTAGTCTATATGTTATCCTATCAAGACGCGGTCGAAAGGACCCAACCCGACACTACTCCGCAGGAGTGAAGAAGAAGAGGCAGAGCTCTGAATGCACATGTGACCAGATGGTTTTGGAGGGCAAAGTCTCTGAAAGGCTGTAACTTTGATCTAAGTACTCTCTCAAAAGCAACTAGAGTACTACTTATTTATATGCCCGTAAGTCTCCTGACTCTCGGCCTTTAGCTAATACTGCTCAACGAACCATTAAGGAACCCTTGTACATTATATTTCCCAAAGCTACTGATTTCTGCATATGACCTGCAACAGGCTTCGTGTGAGAATGCATTACTATGAACCCAGTAACAATACAGCAAGAAAATTAAGCCGAAGATTGAATCCGGAAAGACAGATGATGTACACCTCGTGCATATCTTGGTTGTTTCTGAGATTGCGAACGTTTGATGAGTGAGTTTGCGAAATTTGACCTCGGACAATGGATTTCGGGACCATCATTCTCCGCATTTAATTGGTAAGCCTGATATCACACGGCAGGAAGCCTGGCGGATTGGTCCATTCGTGACCTGAGATTGCCTCTGCAGGTATAGACTGACTGTGATCTTGGAAAATCGCGAGGTTCTCTCCACGATGCTGGGTGAGAGTAGTTTACTGAATTGTTTTCCGAAAAGAGAATGTCAAGGCCGCAGTCTGCCTCCTTGGTTCAAAGGTAGCTGTGGAGCAGCAGCCTTGTAAGGCTATTCAGGTGGATTACAACGCTCCCCTAGGCGCTCTAGTACTCTTAAGTAGACCCGTCATCGGGCCGTTCGAATTTTGAGTATTGACAATCTGCCTCGCCGCCTCTGACGTTTAGCCCTGCCATCCACCATCAACAAGTCCTTCAAATCTGACAGTCGAGCCGTACGCCTCGCCACACCAAAATTCACAATCACAGCTGTACTATTCCCTCACTGTGTTGGATGTCTCTCAATATGCTACCCACTTTCATAATTGAACAAGAAGCAGCAAACGAAGAACAACTACTAGGTGACTTCGCTCAAGATGGAACGGATCTTGTGAGCTTATCATCGCCTAGCCATGCCGATAATCCTCAAATTAGGTAGATTAGCCTTTCAGTACAGGCTTGCAAAGCCTGAAATTCTTATTTCTTTTCACAAGTTTCTCTGAAAACGGTTCATTTCCTTTACTACACGTGAGCATCTCCCTGGTAGAGATGATACGCGAGGTTACATTAGGCTACCACAGCCCCGCGAGGTGTGAATATGCCTTGGATTCAGCCTTGGAAGGGAGCACTCACAGCCTTATATACCCTTCTCGAAGATTCAATCAGCTAATTCAAGCATTGCTGAATTCTGGAATGATCCTTTTCAAAGGCTTGTAAACCTTGCTATTAGCATATACGGATCCACTTCAAAAGAGGCGCCTTCATCAATAGCTTGATTTGAGAGCTCCTTCAGGTTCATCTCGCGAGAAAATAGTACCCCACGAAGATAATGGAGCCTGTTGGCTTGGCTGTTGGTGGCGTTGGGCTCGTGGGTCTGTTCTCCACATGTGTCAACTGCTTCGAGCTTGTGCAAAATGGCCGCTACTTAGGGAGAGACTATATTTTGCTTGAGACGAAGTTCGACAACTTAAGGCTAAGGTTTCGGTCGTGGGGTCGCGCCTGTGGGTTCATGGACAGCGGCAGATACGATGTGCGACTAGACAACCAAGAAATCAAATCAAGCATAGAGTCAACTATGGCCAATTTGATACACCTCTTCCAAAATGGGTCACAGCTCCAAGAGAAGTACGGGCTGAAGGATGAATGGAAAACATCAATGATTGTACCCCAAAACGACGCGCCCGGGCTCAACATCCTTTCGAGCTCGATTACCACAGGGTCTTGGCTGGGCACGACCCTCGATCGTCTTAAACACCGTATCGAGTCCACAAAGAAAAGAGCTAGCCTAGGCAGAACAGCACGTTGGGCAATCGAAGATAAGACAAAGTTCGAAGAGCTCATTACGCACCTCAGGGACCTGATAGAGGACCTCGAAAGAATGACACAGTGGGAAGAAATCATACGACAGCAGCACCGAGCCCTACAGAGAGAAATTGATTCAATTTGCGAGGTCGAACAGCTCGAGGCTTTTGAGGAAGCTCGGCTTGGACATCACGACATTGTTTCCCGAGCAGCCAGCCTGAGGTTGTCTCGGACTCAAACCAGAATAACAACCTTCGAGGACAAATCGGGGTCTGCTTCTATAGCGCCATATCGTTCTCCTCAGGCCATACCAAACACTGCTATAGAGTCAGATTGGCATGATTTCGCTCAGGACATGAGGGAGCCTATCAAACACGTCGGACCCACGACGCATCTTGAATTGAACAGCGTTGAATGTGAGGGTCAGCCAGAAACCTCCTGTTTCGATACTCCAGAGTATAAGTGTGGTATGAGGGCCATAGGCGACTGGGTTCTCTTGCCTAATAGCGAGTCTCCAGGCCAGCTGCATCTATCTGGACAAAAGGTGTTTACAATTTCTGACCCTTCTTTCCAAAAAGATCATATCCATTTCATTCTTTCTAAACATTTTCTCTGTGATCACAGCGACAGCCATTTTCTTGGCGAAACCCCAAAGTATTTCAAGGTGTCAGTGCAACTATTGTCAGAGGAGCTATGTCTGTCACTGAACTCATTGCCGGACTGGTGCCGTCCGCACCTCGACGCTGGTTTGAAGTCGGGCGTCACGCTTCATAGTCCATTTCTATGGCACTACCATGGGAGACGCAAGATCGCACGGTATCTTGATCATGAGCCGTTATCATGCCTGATTAGCCTTCTTGATTCTGTTATGGCAGAGGAGTACGCTGCTGTCGACCGGCTACTGCGGAAGAACGCTATCAATTGGCACTATATCTCATACATATTCGTAGGTACACCATATTGAATAATGTCGAGCCTCACTGAAACAGGACTGCAGATTCCCGGCGAAGTTGTAGTTCGGCATGCAGGTGCCGATACCCGAAATGCAGAGGGTTATGAACTAACAAGTTGGGCCCGGCCGGAACCTGCTGTTCTCACATTATCCGTTTCCTGTTTGGCATTGGATGACAAGCCTAAGCGCCACGACTTCAGTATTACTCTGCCACTGTTTGAATTCCACGGCATCGAAGAGAAAATGTCTATCAGAGACCTACCCATCTCGCCGCTTAAGTATTTGCGTGTTGGTATTCGCCATAGCCTCTGCCGTCGGGCGACTATCCTCGCCAACTTCAAGGACAGAAGACTATTCCAGTATAAAGAGTCCAAATCTGTAAGATTACAAGCTCAATAAGCGCAGATAATTGTTCTGATAGGGCTATACTTTCTAGAACCGGAACTACTGTATGCTAGATCCAGCAACGTATGCTCTAGTTCACCGCTCGACAGCAAAGACCAGCGAAATAAGGGTCAGTCCCGGAGAAAACCCACCATTCCAAACCAAAAAATGGAGATGTTATACCCTTCACAGGTAACCATCTTCAATTTTAAAACGCGACTGTGGGAAACTGTGAATGTGTCACAGTTACAACCGGCGACCTGGGATGACGGTGCTCTCGAGCTCTGCTGGTTAAAACAGAGCACCAAGGACAGTTTGCTGGCAATATGCGGAGCACAAATGAAAAAGGAAACTCCCGGAAAACGCGGAGAAGCCACTATGCTTGTGTTTTATGGTGCTTCAGGCACGGGCAAGAGCTTCGTAGTTGAGGGATTAGCACAGCACCTAAGGAAACCGTTGATGCACCTCCCAGCTACAGGCTCGTCAGTCGAGCAGTTAGAGCAATATCTCACAATGGGCCAGATCTGGGATGTCATCTACACTATCGATTGCCCAGTGTATTCTGGAATGAAAACGGCTACGAAAACCGGTATAGAACGAAGCTCTTTGAAGACGCTGCTGAGGAGAATGACTCAAATTCAGGGGACTCTTATAGTAGAGTCCTCTACAGCTGACCTTGGAAGTGATGTGCTTTCCAGAGCCAACCTCTTAGTCTATTTTCCTGTCATAGGGAACGGGCGTCGGTTAGACTTATGGGTGAGGGCGCTTAAACAGAATGATCTTTACTCTGAGCAAGATTTCAATGCGGCTGACGGTTCAATTGGGGTTGGGTTCAAGCGGTCTGTGATAGCCAAGTTGGTGGATATTGATCTCAACCCCATAGAGATCGAAAAGGTCATTTCGAACAGCAAAAGAGTAGCAGCAGGACTTGAACTGTAGCCTTATACTTGAAATGGCTCAACAGCAAGCAAGGTCCAGGATCGATTTCTCCTCTCATCATGATGCCTCTTAAGGCCATTGAAAGGCCCGTACCAACCACAGCACGATTAGAGAGAAGAGACAGAAGGAATCTACACATAAACTTAGCATTGGGTGGTCCACCGAAGTGAGCACAAACAGTCTCCGTAAACGACCTCAGTACTCCCTCCTAATAGACTGAGGCCTAGATTACCCGGGCTATATATCGTTGCAACTGCCATAAAACCTACTAGATTAGGGGATGCCGCGTCACATGACCACGTTTGCTAGGCCGGTCAACTCTCTGTTTATTGACGACTTTTAGTATTTCTTGTCATTTACAATTTCTCGGTTCTTGAGTGACCATGAATTGAACCTAGATTGGCAAAGGGTCTACGGTTGGTATTCTTGTTGATAATTAGGAAATACAATTCTCGACCGGCAGCTAGCCATTGCACCAGGTAATCGGTTCACTTTCAGCAAAGGCGATGTGGGAATCTCTCGTTTAATCGTAAATACATAGCATTATCAACCGCAGCAGCCAGCCTATCCCGGCGTTCCGTCCTTAATCCTCCGAATCATTACCATGCCTCATTAACCTTCAATCCGGCACTCCTAAGTACCTTTCCTTACGTATTACCACACCGCCCTTGTGCCCTTTTCACTACTTATTAACCCCCCTTCACTCCGGCTTGTAGTACAACGGCTCGTCGAACACATGGTACCTGTGGTCACGGACGCCCTTACCCCGGAACATAGCAGGGAACCTCCAGCCTTCGGGGACTTCATGTTCCTTGACCTTGCGATTCCGCAGCTGCTGATCCGACTCCAAGGCCGCTACAGTGGCCTTCTCCGCGTCGCCCTTGGGCACGACGAACTTGGCGACCTGCAGCTCCGTGTCGGTGATGGTGCTCCGGCTGACGCGCGCGTACCCAACGCGGTTCAGGCGCTTGTAGAGAATGTACTCGCACCAGCGATCCCAGTCGCTGGGGTCGACATCGTGCATACCCGACGTTGGCGAGACATAGGTGTTGTAGTTGCCGCGCAGCGGCTCCGTGACCAAGTAGCTGAGCAGAATGCTGGGGCGCGGGGACGAGCCCATCAGCTTGGATAGGTATTCACTCTGCAGCCTTCTGTCCTCCGGGTCTTCCTCCTGGCCCGAGTGGAAGACGAAAACATCGACCAGCTCGCCGTAGCAGTCGAGAGTGGCGTGGATTGCAGGTGCGAGCTCGCCGACGGGAGAGGGCAGCAGGTGGTGTGTTGAGTTAAGTATGGGGAACTTGGACAGAAGTGCAGCACCCCATGTGTGCTTGTTAGGACCCGGGCCGTAGTCGACATACATGCCGAGATCTTCCGCGAGGAATTGAGTTGTGTCTCGGTTGCCCATAATGATGCGCTGAAGATCGGATTCCAAGAGACCAACGACATCAATCTCGAGTTCCTTGATCAGGTCACGCATTCGGTACTCTGATGAATACATGTCGTTGTCGAGGGAGAAATGAATGGTCCAAATACCAGCGGTCAGAACACGTGAGTCCTCGTGATAGGGCTTGTAGTCGTTTGTCGGGAAGCGGAAGTAGGCCGAGATAAGGAAGAAGACGTTGATCAAGACGAGTGCTGAAGAATGGTACTTACGGTGCTGCGTCTGCGAAGGGACCGGTTTGCGTGATTCGCGGCGGCGCGCGTTGGTCGATGTCAAGTTCCAAACCCCACCACCTATGAGGACCATCATAGTAATCATGACCCAATCGGTATGCTCTCGGACGAGAGGACCGCCGGGTACGAAGGCGTAGGCTACCACCCAAACGTGGAACAGGACGACAAAGTTGTATATGAGAAACCCGAGGCCGAACGTCGTGGCCGGACGTTTCTGGGCGGCTTGAGCCAAGAGAGGACTAGCGATAGCCGTCAGGTAGAAGGCTGTCAAGAGCGCACCTGAGTAGCCGAGCCAGTTGTGATAAGAGGTGAGCACAGCGGCGCCAACGCATCCTATACCATACCCTGACCAGGTGCTGACAAGCCTGGGATGTGAAATGCCGGTTAACAAGCCTGCGGTCATAGTTGCCACCGTCAACCAGCCATGTGTTGTGGAAAGAGGACCCCTAATGGGATAACCTTCCCATACCCACAAGATCATGGTACTGGTGTCAGACAGGAGAGAATGTAGGCCAAAGAATAGGCCGCCGATTCCGAGAGCCGACAAAAAGGCCGATCCTGCCACCGTGTTGTCTGGAGCGACTCCAGTATTCAGTGGAGCTCTGCGGGTGAATCTCCAGGCGGCCATAACTGCCAATGCCAGGCCGATCTCGTTTTTGCCCCCATTGGCAGCGTGCATAATTGGCCATATAGGATTGTTCGTCCACCAAGCAAACTTCACCGTTGACGATAGGATCAGGCCAACAGTCCAAGCTAGGATCTTGGACTCTAAACGAGCTTCGTGAACGTTGTCAGAGAACAGGGTGGCAGCCCACGACAGACATGACATCCAGACACCAAAACCCACGGTGAAGAGTCTATAAGCAGGGTCCTTGATCATCCAGGCGAGAAGGCCTGCCAGTGACAAGAAATGACAGACTCGAAGATTGTTGATCACCAGAGATCGAATGGATTTGACTCCCAGGAACAAAGGGGAGATGGTCGACATGACGAGTGCCTCATATCCGGAAATGCCCATGTGCCAGAGGGGGAAGTACCAGATGACGACGCCGAGACTGGTCAGCATAGACCAGAAGACGAAGCCATGATAGACTTCGGCACCGGTATCAAAGAGCTCTTTCCAGGAGAACTTTGCATCAAAGACCCCGCCCGTAGCGTTCGACTTCTCCTTTTCCAGGACTTTGGTTGGGACACGCGACTTGTTCTCTCTGAGAGACCATCAGCATACGATTCAGCACGACTGAAAGCAAATAACCGTCTATCTCTATACTCGCTCGGACTGGATATAAGCGCCCCGCTTCGAATGGCAACGTGGCGGACGTGCCCCTAAGCTCGATCGGCCCCACGCTAAACGAGCTAACACCCCTGCAGTAAATAGTATACAGGATCGACTAACACGGCCCGAGGCTCCGGCGCTGACGATCTTCCACTCTGGTAACTGTGGCCAGGTTTTGGGCGAGAGTTGGGACGTGGTATTCCTTGGCCCTACTCTGCCTCACCAGTCTGGGTTGTTGGACAGCATCTGTCGGCGGGGGTATTGAATCCTCCCCAAAAAAGCACAAACGACCCCGGCAGTTTCGACGCAAGATGCCGTAATCAACAACTAGTGCCTCTGAATCGCGAATACGTGGCGGTTGGAAAAAGCCGCTTGTGGATTTCCCAGTGGGGACCATGATTGGTCAATCCCGCAGTATACAGCCCGAGCGAGTATAGTAAAGCATCATTGGACCCAACGCGGCAGTGTTTGAACGTACCCCTGACTGAGACCCCCCACGTCCCTGACCACAATCTCGAAGGTGGCGAAGTCAAGCGCGGTCACGGCATCAAAGGCGACATCGAAAAGGATAAGCGACCACTCGAAGAACGCATAGGTTGTGTAGGCTATGTTCCGTCAGTATGCGACAACCCGAGCGTGCCTGATCTAAGAACGACATACCGCCAGCGACATGATAGACCTTGTGCTGGATGAAGAAGTAGATCAAGGGCACAATAGTGCCGAAGAAAGCAGTGGCAAGATACTTCCGGTACTTGATGGCCTTGGCGTTGGGCGGGCTCAAGGCAAGGCACCCGAAGGTCCAAGGGATGGTCAGAACGAGATAAGAAATCATGAAGATGTCGTGCCAGTCATGGTCGTCGGTCGAGGTGATGTAAGTCCAACCGCCGCAGGTAATCGTGCGGAGCAGCCCCATGGAGCCCACGAACTTGGGCAGCATCTTGCCGGGCTTTGCTGTAAGCAGGTACCAGAGTCCCACCAAAGCGAATCGCGGGCCTGCGAAGAGGGTTACATCAGTCTCTCGGTGCAAAAATGCGTGCCGTAAGCTTCCAATGCCTTTCTCATCTGAGGCACAGCCTACGTCGTGTCATGCAAAAACCTACCCGAAGTTATCGCAATAAAGAACTGGAAAAAGGATCGCTCAGGGTACCGATCGCCGATGGTGGCCGACACCGAGGGGAACCACTCGTCGGGGTAGCCATAGAACTCATTCTTGACGATCTTGTGGTAGTGCAGCGAACAACCGACAAGGAGCGCGCTGATGAAGGCAGCTGTAGGGAGTCGGGCATGTCAGTATAGGCATGGCTCAAGTGACAAGTGACAAACGACTTTTCGATGCGACGCTTGCCATATCGTGCACGGTGCCGTGGGCGGTATGTACTGACTGTAAGCGACGGTGGTGTGCACCCAAGATATCCATTTGGCGTTGACGGTGAGGAGCGCCCCGCTCGGCTTGTCCTTGTAGGTCGAGCCTGGGGGCGCTATGTTTCCGTTTCCGTTGGATCGCATTGGGCTGGGTGTGAGGGTCGAATCAGTGATTCCCTCCTCCTCAACGGCGGTAAAGAACGAACGGGACCATGGGCGGGAACGCAGTCGACGGGGCCGGAAATCTCTCTGCGTCTCTCGCAAAGGAGCGGACAATGCGATGGATGAGAAGGAGAGAGGAGAGGCGTAAACAAAAAAAGCAGAGCTGGCACCATTATTTGCTTTCCGCTCACATTAGCTTCGGCTTCTTCGGTGTCGCGTGTAACCCACCGGCCGGTCATGCCATGCCATCATAGCAGGGCAGTTGGCTGCTGGGCGTGCTAGGCGTGCTAGGCGTGCTAGGCGTGCGAGCAGGGGCTGCAGTCGATTGGAGAGCTACCACTAGCGAGGGGGGCCCCCTGTTGGGGAACCCTGCTCGAGCTTCTGGGCGCTATGGCCCGGGCAACCGGGCACCTTGCGTCTGCCGATTGGCAGCGCGGCGGTGGGTGGGGACTTTTGATAGCAGTGAGGACCCCCGCAGCGAGCCGCCTAATCCTGCTAATCCTTTTGGTTCATCAGCGCTGCTCCCGCAAGGCTCAACGCTGACCCCACTAAAAAAAAATAATTGTTCACTTCAGCCTCGTGAACTTTTTCGTCGCTTTTTCTGAGGGTCCGCACAGCCAGCACCGTCCGACGCACCCATTCCCAGACCGCCGCCAAACATTCCCAACCGAACCACGAAGCCTCGGAATCCGCACCTGCATAACCAGCTGTCTCTCTGCTACCTGGCATCGGCGCTCCCATACGCCCCGAACACCCGCCACCATGGCCGGCGTCCCTGAGAAGGCCCGCTACTACCTCGAGCAGTCGGTGCCCCAGCTGCGCGAGTTCGAGGCCCTGTCCATCTTCAGCGCCGCCGAGATCTCGTCCCTGGTCAAGAAGCGCTCCGACTATGAGCACCTGGTGCTGTCGCCGGGCTCGCAGCCGCGCGACTACCTGGCCTACATCCGCTGGGAGCGGTCGCTCGAGGGCCTGCGGGCCAAGCGCTGCAAGCGCCTGCAGATCCGCCGCAGCAGCTCCCACGCCGGCGAGGGCCGCGTCTTCGGCATCCTCGAGCGCGCCGTCCAGCGCCACCCGGGCTCCCTCGACGTCTGGACCGAGTACCTCCGCTTCGCCGACGCCGTCAAGGCCACCAAACGCTGGCGCAAGGTCATGAGCCGCGCCCTGCGCATGCACCCGGCCAAGCCCGAGCTCTGGGTCGTGGCCGGCCGCCGCTCCGCCCACCACGGCGACATGCAGGCCGCCCGCGGCTTCTTCATGCGCGGCGCGCGCTTCTGCACCCGCGACGCCGTCGTCTGGGTCGAGTATGCGCGCTGCGAGATGGAGTGGCTGGAGAAGATGGAGGAGCGGAAGGGCAAGAAGGGCGGCGCGCAGCGGGCGATCCAGGAGCAGGCCGAGCACGACGACGATGCCATCATGTTCGCCGAAGAGGACAGCGACGAGGACGCCGACGAGAACGGACGCCTAGTGATGCCAGACCCCGACGCCAAGGGGGCGAAGAAGGTGTTCGACGACAAGGCGGTCCAGAAAATGGTACAGAAGAACCCGGCGCTCGATGGTGCCATCCCCCTGGCCATTTTCGAGATTGCACAGAAGCAGCAATTCTTCAACGCTGCCGCGGCAGAGAAGTTCTTCGACGTCTTTGCTGGTTTCCCCAGTGTCCCGTCCCAATCAAAGCTCGTCCAGCGAGTCTTGGATACGCTGGCAGAATCGTATGCCAACTCGCCGGAAGCTTGCAATTGCTTCGTCAGACAGCCACTCATTGGTCTCGAGCCCAACTCTGCTGCCTATCCCAAGGCATTGCGCGACGCCTTATCACAACTCAAGAAGTCGTTGGAGAGCACGACAGACAAGACGCGGCTGGCACAAAAGACGAATGCTTGGATCGAGCCAGTGCTTGCATCAGAGGATCTCGATACTGGCATCCGTGCAGTATTGGAGCATACAGTCCGTACACTACCGAAGCCGTGATATTCTTGCATCCGCATATAAATTACTGCTACACTATCAATACACCACGCCCAACATCCAGGGATCCAAGGCTACGCCTCCTTGCTTATGCCACCATTCTCCCGAGCGACGCCCATGAGATGCTCCCACTCTGCGGGGCTGACCCGACTTACGCTCAAGCGGCTCTGCTTCAACAACTGCATATTCTCCAGGGGTGCACCCATCTTGCCCATCTCCCGCAGGTCCTTCAGACCTATCTTCTCCGCAAATTTGCTGCGGAACTCAACGTGCACCACACTCCACTTGGGATCTGCAGGCTTCGAAGACGCATCATAGTACGGGGCTTTGGGATCATGTGCCGAGACTGTGTACGTGTTAATAGACCAAAAGTGGTCGAAAATTAGAGATATTGGAGTGGGGGAAATGGTTGGTTTGTTATGAAGGGTCCGAATTGAGGACCGGAGGAAAACAAAGGTTGGAGACTTACGATCAGGCGAGTGTTCCTGTACTATCTCCATCGTGCCCACGATTCCGGGTTCCTTGCAGTTGGAGTGGTAGAAGAAGGCGAGATCCCCCTTCTTCATGGCGCGGAGGTTGTTGCGGGCTACATAGTTCCGGATACCTAGTCTGGGTTTAGAACAAACACCAACATAACTATAACATTTGTTCCACTCACCGTCCCATGGCTCTGGCTGTGTCTTTGCCGCCAAGTCGTCAATGGAGAACCTCACGTCGACGCCGTTCTCAAGCCGCGTTTCCGGTTCGGCCTTCAGCAGCCAGTATGACTTTCCAGAGCTGGCATCACCCCCGTTGGTGTCCGGCTTCGCGGAGGCGCTGGGCTTTTCGGCAGGCTTATCTGTGGATGTTGTCTCCTTCTTTGCCTTTGCCGTTGCCTTTGCCTTGGGTGCTGTCACCTTTGCCAGGGTCAGCCGCTGTGTTTGACTGACTAAGCTGCAGGATGAGGCCGGTGATGAGCTCTATCGCGGGGCAGGGGTGAGAATCCGCGTGACACGCGTGCCAAAACAGTCATAGAAAGACTTCGTGCGCCAATGCATAAGAGCACTCGAGAATGAAGAAAACCTGGCTTACCTTGCTCTTCGACCCATCGGCCGTAGCTACCTTCCGCGACTTCGCGGGCTTCTTCTCCTCTGGTTCCGCCGCGGCGCGCTTGGTCGCGGTCGGCTCGGGGACAACGGCCGACCTGCGACGTGTTGAGCGTCGCAAGTCCTGCTCGGGGACCTCGGCGGCCTTTCTTTTCGGCATATTGGATAGTAGTGAGAAAAGTCTCGTGCAAGGTGCTCAGCAAGGTGAGGCGTTGTACAGTATCAATGGCCGAGTGATGCCCCGTGTTGGGTGTGCGATGCGAAGCTAATTTGGCGTGGGCCCATCGTCCCCAAGGTCCCCCCTCTGCCGCGTCGAGACGTGGTGACGGGGATCTGCTTAAGTTAGCTTACTAGCTTGCGCACCCGGACTCTCGGGACACGCAGGGTCAAACATCCAGGGCGAAGAGCAGCAAGGCGTTATAGACGTCTTCTCTTTGCGATAACGACGCGAGCACTTGACAATCGGTAAATGTTTTATTGTGCGAAGGGGTCAACATAGTCAATGTGTACCAAGAGCTTCATTCCGTCGCCAACCTGTCCAGGCATTGTAACAGTCTTCGGGCTTCCTTCAGTGGTTGTCAAGTGCTGTGCAGGGGTGCCCTGCCAGTCATTCCGACGCCGTTTCTTACTTAGTTAAACCCCTCGGCTGCATGGATCATGCCCAAAAACTGGGAGTCGGTGTGATGATGCAGCAGCTATGGCACCCGGCCCTGCTCAGCTGCTCATTGCAGGCAGGTCGTTGAAGTCGGGGCGTGCATTCGGAGGCCAAAATTGCTTCTGCTACGTAGCAAACAAGCCTCCCAGAAGAGGCCCGTTCTCCTGCAGCTGCGAAGGATCGTCAGATCATCAGATCGTACCTCGATATGTGACGACAATGGCTGGGTGGGGATACGACTTTGCTTTCTGGACGACGACGACGACGACGACGACGTCGAAATGTGGTTGAGTTATAGTACGTCAAACTCAGTTCGTAACATGGCCAAGGCTTCTTTTACTATATATACTTCGCACCTGTGTGCTCGATGGCACTTGGGATATGTGGTTCGAGGCTGTATCGTCTCACCTGTCACGCATATGATTATGTGATCGCGAGACGGGCCCAACATCTTCACTCTGAACTGGCCTGGTCGGTCGATCTATAGGTCTCTGGCGCAAGGTTGCGACTCGGTCAGATTAATTAATTTGACAGCGATGACCATGGATGAAACCCGAGTGAGGAAGCGGAATCTCTATTAGTTACGTATCGCACACAAGGTAGGTATATGTCACTTGCTGCTCATCGTAGCGCACGATCTGCAGCCCATGGAAACATGGATTATTAGGTGGCTGTTTGGGGTTTGTTTGGTGATTCAGACTTCATTTTAGCCACGGGATCATACGGGGTGGGATTGCACTTGGTCTGGCTGCCTCATAGGGCCATGCTGTGAATCGAGAGTGCCGAGACTTTCGTCCGTTACGATCAGTCTGCATCGCTGGGTGAAAGTAGCTCGGGGGGTCCACTTCGTGTAGGCCCAGTACATGACACGCGTGGGAAGCAGCCCGCCTCGGGGATCGAGGGAAACTTGCTGGATTGGAGGGAAGCCCAAGACCGTGGTGGCGATCGGATCCTCTCGCTTCGTCGAGATGAGCAGTCGGAAGTTCAGGCCATTTGCCAGACCAGGTCGGGGGGAACACAAAGATGAATGGAGACACGAGGAAACACACGAGCAGGGATTGAGTGACAATGAAAATGCGGCGCCCTGCCGGGGCCTATCAATAGCCAGCCGTCCTCGACAGAATGAGTCAAAATCAAACGGGAATTCCAGAGCCGTCTGGCAGCCCAGATGACGGCGTCAATTCCAGCGGTCCACGGTGGGAAAAGGAAGACGGCTGAAGAAGCAATCTGGACGAGATGCGACATGGGGAAATGGGTTCGGCGGCCACGCAGAGGCACCATTGGGGAGCGACGGGGGTCCTATTTTGACGAACGTTTGCTGCAGCTTGACACACGTACACGCACCAGGAAGGTGCCTCAACTTTCCCCCAGGAGGTCTCGCGTGCTGCTGATCGCATGGACAACCAAGACGTAATGACCATACGTCCTCATTCAAGTAATTCGATCCAAGCACGACCGGCGGGGGAAAAAAGCATTTTGGCCGATCCAGCTGGTCTTCATTATTCTGGAAATGGGCCACGGGCTCGGGGACCCTGTTCCAGAGCCTGTGTGTCTGCGGAGAATTTGTTGCTAGTGCCACTCAATCAAATTCATCGGTGCAGCCGTCTTTTGCTGGCTTGCCGATACCTCGATCGAGGTACCACTTCCACTCTCTGTTAAAGCTTCCACCCCTTCCCCGTTCCCTGTGGCCTCCTCTCCTTTCCATCTTCTTTTCTCTCCATTCCTGTGTTTTTCGCCCTTCCATTGTCTCTGATCGGTGCGTCAATGACACCGTCTGGTGTTCTGTTGCGTATCTAGTCGTCTTCTGCTGCTGCGACTCGACTTATATCCAGCAGGACCCCCAACCGTATTAGCGCAAACGTACAAATCTACGTTTGAAATGGACCTCCAGAGTGTATGGATCTGACAACCCCAAGCGGCTATGGGGCAGGCAGTACGACGAGGGGCAGAGGAAGGATGCTGAAGGTTGAAAACGGCTATCCATCGTTTTCTTGCCTCAATTCCTCGCAGAAGGCGGTCGAAACACGATCGCCTGGGCACCAACGTTGCGCAAGACGGCACTTACTGGCCGCCAAAGCGGATTCCAGGACGGAGTGGCCCCGCAACGCAGAATGCCGTGCACCTGGCCACCTGCAACCCAGACAACCAGACAGCCAGATTGAGTTCCGTTAGTCTGGGCGCGAAATGCAGCTGCACGCATGGAAGGCCACTTTCACTTTTTCGCCCATTTTCCCACGATGGATGGCAGAAAGATTGATCGGGTTCCGAGGGTGTGGAGGACAGGCAACAGTCTCCGATCCCAAAAGATGACCCAGCGGTCACAGGCCTGGCCGATAAGACGGGACCACTTCTGCAGGCGACGTTATGGCCTTGGAAGGGAAGGCAAGGGACTATTCCGGCGTTAGCACCATTTGTGCCACGCCGCGCCTCACAGTCCCATTGGCCACAGCCAAAAGCGACCAAAGATGGATCGCCCGTCTGCTGGGTATGCAGGCCGGCGATGCTTCCAGGTTGTCAGCACAATTCAGCCCTGCAGCTCCCACTCGTTAGACCACCTGTCAAATCAGCTGTCAGTTCCTCGATGCAGGATTATCTGAAGCCGGATTGACTATGGGCAGCCCCCGGCTCCTGTCATCTGACACCATAATATCCCATGTTGGCGGTGGCCTATAGGGACCCCATTCATGAGATTTTCAGCCCGGAGGCACGGCCAACCCTCCGAAGGACCGACTGGATGCCACACAAGATCACTAGCATGTTGATCTTCCTCCAGAGTTCAGGATCAATTCTGCAATCCGTCTCCGACTTCCTCGTGACAACAACGACTAGGTGCGTGGCTCTCGAAGATCGACAATGAAGAACCAATCTCTGGCCTTACCGAGCACGGCGAGCACAGAAACATTGCCTTTTGCTCCGGGAAACCTCTGCTACCCTCTGGCAGCCTTCTACCTACAGAACATCGAGAAAACTGGCTCCTACGGCCCAGTGGCTGGACGTATGGTCTGCTTCACCATTCCAACTTTGGGTTTCCGATTTCGTGGAGCCAGGCCGCATGTCTCGACACCGATTCCATACCGATGTGCTGAATGGATCCATCATCGTTTCTGAAAAGGTTCCTTCCTTGGTGGGACGTTCGACTTGGCTCACTGCGTCCAGTATATACAGGCATACAGGGGATGGCTCCTAGATCGCTCCAGGAGATACCTGAAGATTGCCGCTGGTCCGTCACCTCGGAAGCAATCGGCCTGATACCTACTCTCACTGATTACATGCAACGCCGGCGTCTCGAATACCCACGAGCCATTGGAACTGTGCATTCAGCAATTGCTAGAGGGCACCGGTAAGACCACTGAGACTACCACCAACGGCAGCCAGCGAGCCGAGCAGACATTGGGACACCTTTCCCTGAGCGCACGGCAGGTTGTTGGTGTTATCTCTTATTTCATTTTTCTTTCCTTTTCTGCAGTTCTTGCTGGCGAGATGGCCATTTTATCTCCATCCGCTGGACCAGCGTCCTGGCGTTGGCCGATGGGCTCGCCGTACCGGTAGGTAGACTTGCAAGTGGAAGTCAGCTGGCCCAAACGCGACTGTGCACGGTCCAAGTCCCAGGACCGCTTCGGCTGTTTGCCTGCCTCGACCCACTCCCACTCCCACTGGTCGCAAGGCCGGGTTGTGGCAGCGTGTTATTTTCCCCAACCCTCTCCGCGCCGACTGCACCAAGTTGCGTGACCAGAGCTACCTCCGTGCCTAACAATTTCCCATCGGCGGCCTGTCTCGCAAATCTCGCTTGCCGTGCTGCATCTCCTGGGGGCTAGGCCGCGTCGGGCGCTAGCGTGTTTGGCAGAGCATTGAAATCGCATCCGCCCCAAACTGTGTCGAGATCACCCAAGCAAAACTCTCAGCGCGCCCGTAAGGTAAGACCTGCTACTCTCATCAGTTGTCGCTCCATTTTCCTGCCACCCCATCCCCTGGCCCGCCCGATATCCTCGAATATATCGAGGAGAGGCTTGTCTCGTGACACTGCTGCACAATACCAGTGGCCGAGACCGTCGCGCAGTGCCGTGGCCGCCGCCGTCCTGTCGTTCCCGCCTAACAGCCTTTGCTGCGGAGAGCGCGAGCCCGCTCCTCTCTCAGTCACACACGCACACACACACACACTCAAGCACACGCGCGCAACCCACCCGGGCACTGTCAGAAAATTCTCCGCCCAGAAGGGAGAGCGACTGCGCAGTCCCCCCCCCTAGAGTCCCAGACCCGGCGCAGCGCAGTGTTGCAGGAGGCAGGCAGACGGCAAGTAACTACAGCGGACGCACTCGCACGCGCACCGCACCGACCAGACCCAGCCCAGCAGCCGCGGCCAGTGCCAGTGCCAGTGCCCTCCACTCTCCAGCTCGCTCGCTCTCTCTCTCTCTTCCTCCCTACCCCCCCAGCGCCCATTGCGTTTGGCCGACCCAGCCCCAACACCCGAACCCGACACTGCTCCTCCTTCTCTCGCATCGGTCAGTCACCCCCATAGACCCGCGACAGACGCGACGCTTGCATCGCGACGTGTCACTGCCCATCAATTATTATATCGTTTCCCATCTCAATGCATGTGTCGCTGTCTGCTCCGCCCGCTGACGTCGCCTGATTAGCAGTCTGATGGGCTCTGTTTCCCATTCACCCGACCTGCATCAGTCATGAGCTCTTGGATGAATGAGGCAGCCGCTGTCCAGAACCACAATGGCAACAACCCATTTCCGCACATGAACGATCCGAACAACCTTGGAACTCCCGCCATGATGGATCCCGCCGCCTTCATGGCCAACCCCGGCCAGTTTAACCCTGCCGCCGCCGGCCAGTTTGCCAATCCCCAGCAGATGGCAGCCGCGATGCAGAACGGCCAGATGCGCAATGCGTCGCCCTCCTTCCAGAACCCCGTATATCAGACCAACAGCGTCGTCCCATCGAAACGACCCCGTCCCCGGGAGGACAGCATCGGCGCGTCCCCCAGACAGAACCCGGGCATGCTTCCGACGTCGCGCGCCGACACGCCTCAGCAGTCGCAGTTCCCCGGCTTCCAGCAGAACCCCATGGCGCAACAGCATCCGGGACAGCCCCAGCAGTATCCCCATCTGCAACCCAACGGCTCCGGCAACGCGTCGCCATCACCCGTCATGGCCGGAAACCAGTTGCGACCCGGAAGCGTGCCTCAACGCGTCAATACCGCATCTCCGCATCCTTTCTCGCCCGCCTCGCAACAGTTTGGACCTCAAGCATCCCCGGTGCCGTCCGAGCACGGCGGCACGCCCCAGCCCAACCCCTACATGCAGAACCAGAACTTCCCTCAGGGTTTCAATCCGAACTACACGCCGTCGCCATCTCCCGCTCGCCCTCCCTCGGCCCAAAATCCGATGGCGCCCCAGATGATGCCGCAGCAGATGGGCCAGATGCCCCAACAAATGCAGCAGATGCATCCGAATCAGATGGCTCAGATGCAGCAAATGCAACAACTACAGCAGATGCAGCAGGCTGGTCGTGGGATGGACCCTGCGCAGCAGCAGAAGATGTTGTATCAAATGCGCCTCCAACAACAATTCCAGCAGGGCAATATGCACATGGCAGCGCAAATGCAAGCGGCACAAGCGCAAGGCATGGGGGCAGGGCGCGGTATGATGCCTAACAAGCCGGGCATGCCTATGCCTAATGGGCAAGTGCCTCCCGGAGGGATGAACCCCCAACAATCACAAATGTCTCGTGGGACCAACCCCGAGAGCTTCATGAAGAATCTCACGAGCTTCATGACCCTTCAGAACCTACCACTTGACCCTAATCCAGTCATCGAAGGCCGGCCCTTGCATCTGATGCAGCTGTTCATGATGACCAGCAAGTTTGGTTACTACCGTAATGTTACGCAACGGAACTTGTGGGTTCAGGTTGCATCAGCTGTTGGCTTCAGTCCAGCGCAAATTCCTTCGGCCCCGGCACAGATCAAAGCCATATACGAGGCGAATCTCCTCAAATTCGAAGATGCTTGGAGGAAGCAGAAGAGCGGCGGACAACAGCCAGGAAGTGCCGGCGGTATGCCTGGGCAGCCCGCCCAAGGCACACCTCAACGTATGGGATTGCAAGGGCAGATGCCTCAAGGCCAGCAACCCATGCACCAAGGGCAGCAGCCTCAGGTGCAACAGCCGCAGGTCCAGACTCCCATCAAGCAAATGACTCCCGGCATCCAGCAAGTCAACGGGTTCTCGACCCCCCAGCAAGCTCAAATGTCGCAACAACCGATGCCCGGGCAGGGACACATGAGAAACAGCCTCTCACGAAGCGTAGATGCGACTCCAGTAACGGGAGAATTCCCCATGCAGTCGCCGTCTTCAGCCAAGCCTGGCAGTATGTCCATGCAGCTTCCTCCCGCGCAACCTGACACTGTACAACCCAACGGTGCCGCAGCCCACCATGTCCCTGCAGAGCCGACCGATCCTGATGAGTACAAAGTGTGCTCGAGGGAGACAAATCCCAATGTATTCGGCGGGCATGACGTTACCACGATCCCCAAGCTTGGTATCGAGCTCGAACAGTGGCGTCCGGACATCCCTCCGCCTCTAGAGCTTGGCATGATCGATATCCATGCTCTCATCAAGAGCCTTCAATGCGGCATTCATGGCGAAATTCGACTAGCTCTAGACACTCTAGGGACAGTCACGTTTGAATCGATACGCAATCCAAGTCTTACGATCGATCTTAGAGGTTGCGATGATCTAGTCGAGTCTCTCATTGACTGTGCCGAGGAACAGGTCGACATCCTTGCGGAAGGAACCAAGCCGAACTCGGATGAAATCGACCTGAGCTCCTACGAAGACGTGCTCAGGCAATGTCGCTATGAGCATCAAGTCTTCAAAAAGGTGGCGGCTTTCGGCGACGAGGATTACGAGCTGGATCACGCAGCAGACCGACTCATAGCGATCACGACAATATTGCGCAACCTTTCGTTCCACGATCCGAACCACGACCTACTAGCCGACGAAGTTATCGTCAAGTTCCTCTGCAGCACAATTAGATCATTAGGCACCTTGGAGAGTCTCCTTAGATCGCCAACGAACACCTTAGACTTCATGAAGGATGTCATCATCATACTTTCCAACATTGCTGGATCTATAGAACTGCCCGGCAAGGAACAGGCCTATTGTCTCCTGCAATTCCTTCTGTCATTTGCACCTTCTCCGTCTCCAATTACGTCTAGTGGCAAGGTCCTGTTCGCGCCCTTTGAGCCGGCAGTCCATATATATCTACCACACGCAGTAGATGCCTTGGCGAAGCTGTTCGCGAGAGACGAGCCGAATCGGACACATTACAAAGCTATCTTCGCCACCGACGCCTCGGCAACTCCAGGTAGCGAGCTTCTGACGCGCACGTTTGGTTTGGCCATATGTCCCTTGCCAGATCAAAATAAGGAAAGTCGGCCCGCCAACCTCCCGTCGTTCATTGAGGCCCGCAAGCCAATGATAATGCAAGGCTTACTGGCCGCTGATGTTCTTGCTTCGTTGGCGCCAAGCTACGAAAGCGGTGTTGCGCGGGCTTGGCTCTCGTCAAGTGATGGTTTCGCCCAAAACTTGTACAAGCTTGTCCGCTCGCTTTGCAATCAGGCAGAGCCGACACCGCCTCCCGGCCGCGGTGGCAATACCAGGACACAGCCTAGGGAGGATACGGACCTACTTCACATCATCACGTGGGGAGTTTCACTGCTACGCAAGCTTTGCGAGAAAGCCCGTGACCCGAACGACCCATCTAGCATACCTCCTCAAGCACTTCCAACCAAGGAGAGCCTATTTTTGGCTTTCCAGTCGTTGAAGAGCCCGAAGTGGACCGTGCTTCTAAACCAATTAAGCCTGTATGCTGGTATGGAGGATTGACGATCCGGCAGGCTTTTCAGAGACAACAGGCGTTCGTGGGACCGGAAGCGAGCGGTGGTCTAGAATTATCGTAGATATCTTTGGAACTTTTTGTATCATTGCCACAAGTTGTAGAAATATGCGCTCACTGGCTTTGCCAGCAGAGCAACACAGCCATTGCAGTGTACTTTATCGTAACTGCCAAGCAGGCATTCACGAGACTCAAATGGAAATTTTGTTGTGAGCCACTCGGTGCAAACATGCCATCATGAGAGAATCGGCCGTAGAGTGGGCATTCACGGTTTCTCGGTGCCGCTGCCTCCATAGCCCCGGACTACGCTCAGAAAGTCGTAGATGAATTTGGCAGATGGACAGCTTTGGTTGCAAAAGATTCGAACCTTCCACCGCCCACGCTTGTATCAAACCCTCGGAATGACAGGACCTACTTTAGTTACACACCCAAACGCGCCCACTGGGCTATGATGTCTCTGCCAGCTGCCCGCCAGCCGATCCCTCCACCAAGCGCCGGCGCAGCTGGTTCCGCACTCTCAAATTAGGTTTTCTTCCTTCAAATCTGCAAGAGCTGGCTGCAACACGTAGTTATACAAAAGGGGAAAAGGATGACAGCTCTTGGGAAGCATGTGCTGAATTATGCACCATCAAAAATGCTCTCGATCGGGGAATTGAACCCCGGTCTCCAGCGTGACAAGCTGGCATACTGACCACTATACTAATCGAGATGATATTTGTGTGATTGGTTGAAGGAAGGGCAGCTTATCGCAAACTAGTACAGTAGCTCACAGCCACTCCACTACCACAATTCCACCCAAGAGGCATCGACTGAGATCCTTGTGGACCTACCCCTGTTGCTGGACTGGTGAAGACACTTACGATCGTCTTGGCCATCAAATCAACGGGCGGTTTTTATATCATGCTGCAATTAACCAGCCCAGCGCATTCGGTCTGAGGTAACTACGTTGTTTGCGACGTGAAAGCTGACTGGAAGTACTCGCCGCTGTAGGATGGACTGCAAGGCTTATCCACTTATATCCAGAAACCCAACACATAGTCCATCTGGCGACATAATCTTCTGCATCAAACTACTACGCATATGTGTCCCCAGCTTCAAGAAGTTGGAAATTTTGACTTAAATCTTGACTGAGAAACAGTTGTGTCAATTCGACGTTACTCCTTGAGCTATAGAATCGCAGAATGGCGATCATCTGATAGACTGTGGAAAGCCCCCCCATGCTGTCATTTCAAGCATGGAGCCTGTTTTCTATGCTTGACGTACGCCGACCCATTGACCACACCGAGTTCCCTTAGGCCCAAGGGCACGGCACCCCGTCGCAGTATGGCACATTTCCTACGCAGTCGCCGCTGGTCTCGTCGTTGCACCAGCTCCCAGCACAGCAGTGACCAGTGCAGTGGCAGCGCGCCTCGAGGTGGTTCTGAGAGAGAAGGTTAGGCCGTTCGCTTGGTATAAGACCAATTATGAACTGAGTATAGTTGAAAGGGGGCTTACAGGAAGCGAGCCCGGCACAGCAACAGCTGCGACGCTGCTCACGGCGAGAAGGAGTGACAGGACGGAGAATGACTTCATGGTGAGGTTTGTTTAGATGAATTTGTTACCCTTGACGTCTTGGTTTTCTAGAGTCGAGCTTTGTAGCGCCGCTAGTGGTTCGTATGTTGGTCAAGTGGCAGGCGGGTTTATATACGGTGGCGGAAGGCTGTGACAACGAGCCGTTGGCCTTAACGGGCGAAACCCCATCAGTGGAGGTAAGCAGCCGCATTACTGAGAACATAGATGGACAAGGACTCCCAACCAACGAGGCCGCTGACATTAGCCCCGGTTGGTTGTCTGACTACGCCCCTAAATCTCTGGGCGGATCCTGTGAGCTTCCTTTATCCTTGGCGTCCCTCCCGACGGACTGGAATTGAACGTATTCCCGCCATAAGAAATTAGGCTTCTACTTGGCAGCTAGGATGTTGAAAAAGATGCACGGACGTAATAGTTACACGAAGAAGTGTCCATGATTTTGGCCACAAGGTATACAGCAGGGGCAAGTGGAATAATAAGTGGTTGTGCAACGATGTTGTGGTTTGGTTGGCTGTATTTTGCTACATCTAGGAAACCTTTCGCATCAAATACGTGGTATAAGATGGGCTTCTCGTGCGAGCTACCTCCTATAACTAAAGCAAGTCTCGGGCCTCCGTCCGGACCTCATAGCCCTGCTGGCAGAAACCGCTACTTATCCCCACGTGTTCTTAATGTTCTCTCAAATCCCAATTTCTTTCGTGCGTTCTTCTGCCCCTGGTAATTCTTTCTCTCTTCCGTGTTCATTCTCGGTCTCCAGAGTCCGAGATATGAGAAGTGGATCTGCACAACCAAGGTCGGTCTCTGCTGCTAAGGGTCTACCCCGGCCTCCCGCCGGGTCATGGCTGTCATCTCCGTCATCTCCTTCCACTCGCTGTGCCCCCTAACAGTCTTGAAACTCTGCTGAATATCGAAATGATGCTGGAGCTGACCCGCTATGTGAAGTTCGACACTGCCCAAGCGGGCGTACAGAGGCAGGTTGCATTGTCGAGCCTAGCCATTGCTTGCCGGTGAGAGCACCCGCGCGATACAGGCTCTGATGTAGTCGCAGGGTATCTCGGCTGCACCAAGTCTTGGTTCCAGCTGCTTGAGTGCCCAATTCAGCCCCATGCGTGATACGAGGTAGTCCGTGATCTTCTTAGGGCCTATAAGTATATAAAGAATAAGTGATCGGAAAAAAGAATGCTCGCTAGGGATAGTATCGAAGACGAGTCTTTTCACCGTGATACCACGGTACCTGGTGCTGTACTGACTGTTCCAAAAATCCGCAACTCACGCCGCATCCCACGCGATGCAGTCATTCATCGTGATATCTTTGCCAACACAATCCTTGATCTGCAGACCACTTGCTCCTTGTGAGCTTTACTAAAGACACTTGTTCGAGGGCAATTTGGCTCCCCCGCATGGTGAGGCACCTGATCGAAAACTTGGTCGGTGTAAAAGCTGGTCGGTGTCGCATTTCTGCTCTGCGAAGGAATTGGAGGTCGCATCCGAGACCCTGAACTTCGTGTTAAGGGTGTCAACGTGCTTAACCTCAAAGGAACTGACAACCTCGTCGGGAAGATTGCGACGCTTCTTCGATAGACAAGGTCTAGCACGTATATTGTCGGCTTAATCTCAGCGTGTCACGAGTTCCGCCTTGACCTCATCATACATCTGACGATTGGTGCACATTAGTGACCTCAAGACCCAGTTGCCGCGAGGTTTCGTTTTGTGGGATATCCTGCAGTTCGCAGCATGCTCTGAATGAAGACCGTCGCATATTGGAATGCGGTTTGGATGCCACCCAGACTATCTGGTCCTCATATTACTGAATTCATGCCTCAGAGGTGGATCTTGATGGTGATACATCACGCAGATGATGATTTGAGCGCGTAGCTCTGTAGGTAGGTCCAATAGGAGAGAAGTCATGATGCCCGCTGATCTGTCTGAACTTTGCGTTGCACGTCTTGAGCAAGTGACGATTTTGCCTTGGGAGAGTGGCGAGAAGCAAAGGAGTGTATTGTGGACAATTTATCACAATTTGCTCGAAGATTTGACGTGTACAAGTTGATTTTGCAATATCGTCACTAACATTGACAAGGTTCACTTCTGCTGCTCGAGCACAATCAGTCAACAAACACCTCACATAGTAAGAGAAGAGACAACAGTACAATCATCGCCATACAACGCACTTACGGAGTTAATTTTATTCCACGAAAGAGATCACCTACTCGGCATTCATCCCTTGGATAGATTCCCAATTTATTATCTTCTCGTCTTGGTGATGGGTTCATAAACCGTTTTTACAACGGTCTCCGCGAAGGGCGTCATTCCTGGTTTCTAGATACTTTCCTATGAGACTCACGAAACTAGATAATCCGAACGGTTATTAGCTATGCTGTATGATTCGATCATCATATCTGCGTTGGTTGCCGATGAAACCGAGGCCACTTTCCCCAAATCTTTATTGGCCGATAAATTTGTGATTTATGTGCTTGTCATGAAGCAGCACGAGTACGCAGTCGATCATGCTGTTCCGCAGAATCGGTGAGGGCTATAACAAGCGCATCATTGTGGGACCTTTCCCCTGCTCTTGTCGGTACAGTCGATAATAGTCAAGTTAGCTCTTTACGAGATGAAGACAGAATAGTTACTGCTTGCAACAAAGCAGTGTGGTAGGGCTTTTCGGTTCCTCATGTGCTTGTGCAGCTGGATTTCAGATACCACCTGGGGCGCATGCTGGTTAGGACACAATCAGGTAACGATCTAGTCGTTCAGGCGCCACTAGATGACGGCGTTGAGCCATTAGATCAACATCATCAAGACATTGAAACCACCACGACTTGGTCCAGTAACAGCTGAATAGGATAACTGGAACGATAACAACCTCAAGACTCATCTCAATCACCAACATGTTGCCGATGACCCTACTATTGCTCCCGCCGCATCAACGCGGACACAGCTACGCACGCAGCGGCTGATTAATGTGCTGTTTTGGCGAAGCAGAACGTGATCCTAGACTCCAAAGAATCGCCACCCAAGTCTCACATCGCACCAGACCCTGTTGAGGACGGCGGTGGTTTGACCGTCTCTGTGCTGTTCCTCGAGCAAACTTGCCCTACTAATCATTCGATGGCCGTGGGACTTCACCAAAATTGACCAACATAAGTGCGAGGGGAAATTCTACACCAATCTTTGGTCGATATGCTCGCAAGGTTCCGCCTGGGCCGACTGCAAACCTGATAACAGGTTTGACGATGGCCTTTTCGTGAACGATTGTTGATTCTCAAGCATGTCCGTCTAATATCATGTCTGAGCTAGCAGAGTTTATTGATGAGCGAATACGTGAATTTTGTTTTCGTTCTCATATGATTAGTATGATTTTGGTGCTGATGCTAGCAAGTGATGGAAATCAACGTAACTGGGACTTCTGCCATAGATGATTGATATATGCTTAGCGCGCAGTAACACGAGCTCCATTGGAATAAAACATTTGTATGGTCCAAGTCCAAAAACTTCTTCAATCACTAGGGACGCTGTTGCCTATGCTTATGCCCCATGTTGATCTATAAGGAATCGCAGAGCCCACTTGGTCGTTTCACTGTTTTGCCGCCCAACCGTAACATTCATTCCCATTGCAAATTACTGAGAGCTCTGATCCGCCATTCTCGAAAATCGTCGACAGTTTGTTGCGAAAACTCTGGAATGTTCCAAAGAGCAATGAACGGCCGTCTTCTATTCTAAACGATTCCTGCAGTTGCGAAATGGCTTTGATGGAGACTTTGACTCATAAATTGGCTAGTGGTGGCTCCTCAGCCAATGCCAAGCCTGGCGGACCCCAGCACCGCCACGCTTCCTACGATCAAACATCAGGCTCTCCACAGTGCTATGTATATTAGACTTGCGCATCACTCGCATCGATCTTTCTTTTCCATCATGTCGCCTCTGTTCATGTTTTTCTAACTCCGTTCTGCTTTTCAAAGATATAAATTGCACTATGGAGACCCAACAGGCCGCATCCCTTCTGCGGGCGGCTCATGAGTCCAACTACGTGGATCTCTCGGCTGACCTTCTCGACTTCCCCCGGCGGCGCTCACATCTCCGTCGCGATGAAGCACAGCAGATCGCCTGCGCCTTGTTTCCCGAGTTTACAGAGGAAAAAGCAATTATACGCTATGAAGAATGGCTCAAACTTGCAAGGTCTGCATACATATCTCGACAGGCTGCAGAACAGCTACGGAAAGCGAAAGAAATGGAGAGTAGACGACCGGATCGGCTCCACGAGCCTTGGGACCCAATCAATGATCCCCTGGATCTCGGTGGCCCTAAAGCCCTGCCAATGCCAGTCCGGATTGGTAAGCAGGAGGATTTTGAAGACTGTTTCGCGTTCCTGAAAAGCAATGCGGATGATCAGGTTGGAGGCTTATTTGACATGCCAGACACTTCGTCTGCACATCCAGATCTTGGATTCATTCGTGGTGAGGAGCCAGTTTACAAAACTAGGATGATCGAATTCAGAAGGGGTGTGGTGTATGAAGACGGAAGGCTCGATCTCTGCAAAAAAGTGGTTGGTCCGGATCATATCGATGATCTGATGGATTCATTAGAGAACAACACTCATATCAGACACTTTCTCCTGGGCAACAACGTCATCACCAACCATGGAGCACGAAGAATTGCCAAATTCATCGAAGACCATCCTGATAGAATGGAGACTTGGTACCTCGCCGGAAATCACATCAAACCAGCTGGATTACATGCCATGGCAAAGTCGCTACAGCGCAGCCAAGTGCTCACCAACCTGTGGCTGAAAAGGAATCCGCTTGGCCCTGGCAGTGTCGATGATCTGGTAACGATATTCAAGGGCGCAGCAAACTTGAGGGTCTTGGACATTGAAGCCTGCGAACTCGGCGACGAAGGCATCAGTGGCTTGTTTGAAAGACTCCAGGACACCCAAAACCGCCTTGAGACTATATTCATGAATGGAGATGGTATTGGTGTCGCAGCTGCCACGCAGATTGGTCAATTTCTACGCTCACCTAATTGTCATCTAAGATACCTCATGATGTCGGGCAACCCTTTAGGTGACTCGGGTGCTTCGGCCCTTTCAGCCGGTCTCTCCGCGAACACAACCTTGGAAGTGCTCACAGTTGCATCCTGCGGTCTTTCCAGCCTGGGAATTTCTCACATATGCGATGCGCTAATTCAGCATCCTTCAATCAGATCGGTGGATATCAGCTCCAGATTCACCACGGCTGATCTGGGGCAACGCTTCAATCACATTAGCGACGAGGCTGTTGAAGCCATCAAACATCTCGTAGCCAACCAATCTCTGCGATTCCTCGAACTAGGCTATGCGGCTCTCTCCCACCAGGGCCTGGAAGAGATCCGTGATGAAGTTGCCGCAGGCTCGTCGCTCGTAGGGTTCTCTGCCCAGCGGATTATCCCCCCTGAAGAGACATCAGCTGCAGGTAACACATGTTCCTTGAGAGTGCGGCAAGCACTAGAGGCAAACTACCTCAAGTTCTATGGCGGCGTAGGTCAAGTTGCTGGCGGAGTTCCATATGACGACTTCATCGACAAAAATGGTGGCTCGAGACTGCTGAGAAATTGCCCGGATGTCAGGCTTATTGACTCGGTATACAGGGTTAGGGACAAAGGTGCCACATCCAGCGGAAGGGCCAGAAAATTCTGGGACCTCGATGTTGACGGCGAGGATAAAAGAATCTGGGAAAGACTGGATGCTATACAATGAGGTCGTGTGAGCCTGCGGTTGCACGTATGAGCCATATTGGTCAATAAATAGTTGTGGAGCTCATGAAGAAGTGATTCTAGCGCTGCATCCTTCTGTCTAAGTGTGTTCTTGAGCTCGAAGTCATCGTCGCGAATCACCGTGTGCAACTTCGTAATCTACAACATCGCAACAGCCCCCAGGAAACCGGCAGCCATAACAACACCAGCGACAAATCCAGTTTCCCTCGGCGCGCCGCCGGCCGAGGAACCCGCAGTAGCCGAACCTGTGCCGCTGCTTCCACTTGAGCTGGCGCCAGTGGAAGAGCCTCCCGAGGTGGTTGTGGCATTACATCCACTCGCATAAGCCGCAAGGCCCGATGTCATGGACGCGAGACTCTGCACACCGGTGTCATTGGAGCAAGAAGAAACCAATGAGTCGATCCGGGAGCTCTCGGAGCTGAACCATGTGGCCACTGCGTTGTCGTAGGACGAGAACTCAGACTCGAGGGAGGACGGGAGCGCAGAAATGACTTGGCAGACTCGTGTAGGACTTATGACGCCACCTGTTCCCAAGAGCGAATTGACAACGCTGGCGAACCCGCCATTTCCGGTTGGGACTGAGCTGAGGATTGATGAGGCTGCTGTAGCGCAGGCTGACTGTTGTCGAGCAGCGAGGCCTGGTTGGGCATCCTGGGCGTCATTGAGAGCGCGAGCTTGGTTTGCTACTGCCTGACTTGCTCCGAGAAAACCAGTGATCGCGACGAATATCTTTGAGGGGTACATCTTAAGAATTCTTTTTCAACGGTTGTATATACTGTAAGATTGAATGTGAATATATGGATTTTATTTGGTGCAAGAAATCTGGTTTCAAGGCCCGAAGAATCTATGAGACATGGTGTAGGGTCATTTTGTACCGGCATGGAAGTATGGACGAGGCCAATGTCTGCCAAGTTGAGCGAGTCCTTCTGTCATAGTGGACAACATGATGACGAAGTGCATAGCGATCTTTCTGCCAAGAAATACTGTCTGAATGTTATGCACATGCGGACGGGGACTGCCGACTGCTTCAGCTGGAGACCAACTACCAAAGGCGGCATGGTTTGCTGTCACACTCAAAACTTGACTGCTAGTGCGCATGTAGCAAAGCTTGATCTTGGTCAAAATTCACCGAGAGTCAGGATACGGCTCTTGATCCAGAGACCATCCTTGTCAAATGCCAACCTTATACACTAGTCAAAACGGTGACGTTTCCTGGACTAAAGGCCGTTGAGCCAACTCATGGTTCACGGGGAGTTTACCCGGCGAGTTAACACTGTTTGAAGTCACATTTAATGACAAGACCTTTACGGTAGTGAAGGCTGAGCCCGTCACGTTCTCCTAAGCGTAAGCCTCAGGTTGAGTTTAAATAACTTGGAATGGGTTGTAATGGCTGCGATAAGTTGGAATATCTTTTGTCAACAACGTGATTCGTGCCATCGGGTTTAGCAAAGCTCGTCTTCGTAGAATAGTACCATTTTTGGTCCAACAATACGTGTACCTAGTCTATTTATCACTAGATCCTGACAATCGAGGCTATATCGTGCGAAGCGAAATGTAAAAACTCCGATAGGGCGGGATGAATTTGTGGCTGCAGGTTGGGGGCGGGAGCCTTTCCAGTTGTGTCAACTGGCGAACCATCCATCCTCAGCCTGCTCCCTGAGTCAACCTTGCCGTTAAGGCAACCGCTTGCCGTCCGAAAGGACATATCCAGTGGTCATCCGGCATATGGATTGGGGCAGTGCTTCGCGATGGTGGGGGATATCATGATCGGGCGGGATGCAAGGAGGAGGACTTCCCGTGGCCCCATGCGAACACCCGGCCCCAAATCATTCGGTGAATGGCCAACGCGTTGATTCATGTCGCTACATCAATGGTCTCAAGCCATGCGCTGAAGGTGTTGGGGCTGCAAGCCTCTTATAGAAGCTGCCAACACTGCCTAAGAGACCCGAAGTGCGCCTCGTCTGTCTGATCACCGGACTTTGGCGCATGGATGCAGTCAACGCAACACAGCGCTACCTGTTACATCCTTCAGCCACAAGGCTCAAGGGCTCCCTCTGATAGCGTAGAAGATGTTAAATGTGGGGTCTGTACCTATAAAGAATGGATTCATCTAGTCAACCCCGTAAAGCGCATCTCTGTAGCTGAACCCAAACGCCGCCCCATCAGGAGCATGCTCACGGAAAGCATCGTGCAGACTATGAGAGGCAAAATGAAGAAATGGAATGCAAAGAAGAAAGAGTTTACCAACAGGCTGGATGGACAGTGGAGGTACGTTGAATTCAGTCCGTGCTTTGACAGTTCTATGAACTTCACTCCCTGCATACGGGGACACGGCTAACCAGCATTGCAAACTAGGGAGAAGGCCTCCAGTATCAAACGCTGGAGTTTCGACATCGTAAAGCCTGACCGCAGGCGTACCTATCAACAGAGAAATAACAGCGCGAACGTTCCTCCTAAATCGCCGAAGTTCCAAAAGTCACCTCGCCCCCGGATTTCGTCCACCGAAGCTGATACGGAAAGGCGTCACGATGAACAGAAGGAGCAACGATATGGTAAATTAGTGTTGAAAGAATTGAACCAGAGCACACAGGCCTTGATCCCTCCCGGGCAAAAGGGAACTTGGCCAATCGTATCGAGAAAAGACAATCCCGGGAAAGATCGAGTTTTCATTCCCATTGCGACACCAGGCCGAGAACATCTCGAGTCCAACAAGTCTGGCGGGAATGCCATGTCTGGTGTAAGGCCGTCGAGAAGCATTGACTCAGACAATCATGAGGGCGATCTCAAGGCTTTGGCTACAAGCGGTACCAGCAAACAGTCCAATGGGAACTGGCCCGAGGTGACTCAAAACTTGGCCAGGAGGAACATGGCGCGTTTGGACAGATTTCGTCAGACATCCAAGCTCTCTGAAGAGTCCATTAAAATCCTCGACATATATGAAGACAAGCTGCGACTTGATATCAAAGGGATCCTTGACCAGGAAAAAGTTCAAGGAGGTTTCTCCTTGACTATCCGCAGAGGCAAGATGGCAGGTTATTGGATCATCGACATCATGACGGAGAGTACCTTGAACAGTACTATCGTGGACAAGCTGGACTCGGCCAAAAATGCCTGCCTCCCTCCAACGACCAGAGACAAAGTGGAGTTCGACCTTCGTGGTGGAGAGGTTGAGCTCTCATGCGATAGCAGCATTGACACATCATCTCAAGTCGATGATCAGTTTGATAACCCCATAAACATTTTTAAGTATAACGACATGCACTTCGGAGACTCTGTAGGCCCGCCTTGGAGGAATGCTAGTGCCACACTGGGCCCCATGGTTGAGATCAACGCGACTCCATATTGGCTCCTCAATTGGCACACGTTCGACGACGAGCAAGCACGTGGCACCAGTTCTTGGGACCAAAGCCGTCCTCCTTCAATCATTGCTGTGCACCCTTCCCCTGATGATATGGCGGCCGGCTCAGCCAATGAAGAAGAAGGGATTGAAGTTGGCCACGCAGTTGCTTACTCCGGACAAATGTACACAACCACCCGGCTGTCCGAGTGCCCTGCTTCTGATGGAAGGGTTAAGCGTGTGCGTGTAGTAACAGACTGGGTCTTGATCAAAGCAAAGACCCTAGCCAAGGTCAACAAAGTGAGGGACATAACTCTTCCTGAGAGGTGCGATTCGTTCGCCCGCACCATCAAGGAAACCGGAGACCCAGAGCGACAAGGAGACAATTTTGTTTACTCAGTCGGACGGAGTAGTGGTTTGACATACGGCCGGCTGGGACCCGTCCTTGCCGATGTCAGACACAAGAATGGATGCGAGACTCGGGAGTGGTATGTTGAGAACATAACCGACTTGGAGGGATGGCGCAAAGGCGGTATGGGCATCCCTGGCGATTCAGGTGCTGGTATCATCGATGCTCAATCACACAAGCTCCTGGGTCAGCTATGGGGCCGTAACAAGTACGCGGGCAATCCTAGTGAACCACGCGTAGCGTATTTCACCAAAATCTCGACCGTCTTCGATGATATCCAGGAACGATTCCACGAAGCACGCGATTTCAGGCCCAGATTGCCGCAGGAAACACCAGCGTCTCCCACTGATGCGGACGGGCTTGGAAGCATTCACGAGTCGGCGGAAGCGGGTCTTGGTACGTCGTCAATGGAGACGAACGAACCCAACACCAGTCACCCCTTCAACTGGGAAAGGAGATCCAATGCGCGTGGGATACTTCTCAGCCAAAGATGTGGTGCTTTGGTGGTCGTAGCTCGACACGCAAAGACATGGCCGATGGCCGTCTCAGCTGGCGTAGTCGTTCATTGATGGTGTTCAGGTGTCATCACATTCGGTGGGCGTCCTTTTGGTCTTGGAGCGACGGTATTTGGAGTCAATGGCCGCGTTGATTGCCAATCTGGTGTTAGGAGTTGACCTTGCGAGGAGGTGTTTAGTCCTTAAGGCACTGTCTCGTCTGTTATACCGATTAGTGCGGCTGCGGCGATGACAGTTGAATCATGAGCCATGTAGTCTCCTTGAATTGATACGAACGACGTTCTCACCATCGAAAGTCACGATGCCAGAAACGAGGCAACCGCTGGTTCCCAATACGGCAATCCAACGACCAAGCTGGTGGTGGTATGGTTCGCCAACAGCGGGTCCGCGGCGCAGCAGGTCAGCTGGCTTCTGCCTGGAGGCCTCGGGGCCTGGCGCCCATCCTCTCTGACGAACAATGCCATTCAAGCTCGACAAGTGCCACTTTGACCCGTAAGTTCCAATAAAAGTTTCAAGATCCTACGTAAATAGTTTCAATTGCCCCTATAGTCGATTTGCCGCGCATTGTTGCTATCGCTCGGCCCGGCTCCGTAAACCTTGAACGATGGGTCCCTCCCCGGCGCCGACCTCCCGGGCCCGTAGGGTCTACGGACAGAGCCAGGCTCAACGCCGCTTGCAGCACAACTTGGATATATCCGCATACTCTCTGCCAAGCGCGCAGTTCGTGTCGGGATCGCCCGAGGTGACCTATTCGCAGGCGCACTTCCAGGACTTGGACGCGGTATCTACATCCTTCAATCCCTTCGCGCAGCCCGTGGATGTTTCTTATGCGGCCAATTTCATGCCCGACCTCGTAGCTTTCGGCAAGGACGACGGGGTGATGAAATTCCCAGTATTAGACGCACCAGAGTTTCCGCCGTTTCGGTACAATGCGGCCTCTGTGGCGTCGCCCAGTGTAGTGTCGTCCCACTCGTCAACCACATCTCGGAGATCGTCTTCGCGTTCGACGCTGTCATCTATCCAGACGGACTTCGTACAACAACAGCAGCAACTGCATATGACCGATGCTCTTGCTGGTCCACTGATGCGGCCACGTGGTCCTACTCCGTTGAGGAATAATGTCAGCACGTTGCCCTCCCCTTCAGAGGCATCGTCAGTTGGCACAATCCGGGCAGCCGACGATGTGCCGATAGGTCCCGTGGCGTTGAATGCCGACCTTTATTTGGGCAGAGTGCCAGTGTTTGCTCAGATGTGGATCTTCCCCATGTTTGTCTCTGGGGCAACAATGGTCCTTGCGACAGTGGTGGGTTTGCAACGAAGGAAGAATTGAACTGGCATGTAAAAGCAGAGCATCTACTGGTTTGTCCTGTCCTTGGCTGTACCGAAGGAGAATCCTTTGCAAGCAAAGACCTACTCGACTGCCACGTGCGGTGGGTTCATAAGGATGTCAGGCCATCAAGTGGTGCAGATGCTTGCCAATCAAGCAATCTATTGGGCACAGCCGTCATGCAACCAACGCCTTCTGTCGAAAAGTCGCTCCAAGCGCAAGCTACACCTGCACATCAGGATAGTGTTAAAGAGAGGAGGTTGAAGATGGAGATGACCATCGCCACATCGAAAAAGAAGTGTCGGGAGCAATTGAGGAACGTTGTTGAGAGGAAGTTTAAGAGGTCCAACTGTAAGTTCGAGAAACGGTTATGTCCATATGAAGGCTCTACTGACAACCAAGCAGCGGTCGTTACGCCAAGGTCGATTGAGAGTCCTGGAGCTCTGAGAAGCCGAACGCCAAGAATGTTTGACTCCGTTGGCTTTCCTATCATATGGGAGCATGGTGTCCTGCCATTCTTGATAGAAATGATGCCAAAATGGTGTGGTCCAGGCCACGTCATTAGTGTGACTCGAGGAAAAAAACGTGATTCCAGGCGCGTTTGCTTCATGACCTCAAAGCCAATCTCCACAGCTCGGAAGATCATGATCGCGGGGCATGTCCGAGACTTGCTCCCGGAAAGCCACAAAGGCAATGTCTCTTTCGTGTTTTCGGTCGGTGAAGTCGAACGTCTTACTTGGGCTAGGGGCTTGAGTAAAGATATGCCAGACGAAGTGTGTAGCCCACGCAATCCGTTTTGTTACATCAGCCCGCAAATGGGCGATAGTATCGGCATGGTACTGCCTGATGGGGATGATATAACCGCGACCCTGGGCCCATGTGTTAACATCGGAGACGCTGGCTTTTGGATTGCTAACTTGCATCCATTCATTGACGCCAAGCTGTCAGGAGAACCTCCAGTGGTGGAGCACCCCTCACCAGCAGATCGAGACAGATGTCTCAAGGAATGCCACGACGCCTTGGAGACCGTGGGACTGGATTTCCGGCTCGGCAGGCTAACAGCAACATCTGGTTACGATTTGAAAACGACAAGGGTCACTCACGATCCCTACTGGGAAGACTGTGATAAGGAGCCGCCTTTGGTTGTAACGGATTGGGCCCTGATCTCATCAAGCAGCCGGCAGGCGAATATGCTGCGCAAGTTCCCGAATACCGCCACTCCTAGCCGAGAAGTCCCAATTACCAAGATGAGTAGTGTTGTGCCTGGTGTCGAGGTTCATGCTTCAGGCCGCACCTCAGGCTATCAATGTGGGCAAGTCTGTGAAATACCAGCATATATTGATGGCAAAAAGAACGGGACCGGCAAGGCAACTAGGGAATGGTTTATCGAGGAGCCTTATCCGTGTGACGACGAGGAGGCTTGGATCCGCGGCGGAATTGGCGTCTCGGGTGACAGCGGAGCTGCCATCGTAGACAGCGAGACCAACGCCCTCATTGGGCAGCTTTGGGGTCGCAATCGATATTTTGGACCTGGTCCACGGTTTACGTACTTTACTCCCGTATTCGACGTCTTCGACGACATCCAGGAGCGCTGCGGTCAACAGACACGCCCGCGACTACCCCAGTATCGCGACGAAGCAGACAGGTGGCCGCAGTACCCGATCTGCAGGCCATGTTTCGACCTGCAGGAGTACATGGCCAGTCGGCGGAGCTCACGCGAGTCGCTCATGTCCATGATACCAGGCGCTGGCGTGGCGGGCGACAACGAACACGACTTGTTTTCTGTGTCAGAACTCGCGACACCAAAGGAGGGCGGCGACCAGTCCTTCTGGGTGCGCCATACAGGATTGGAAGATGCCGGATCATCTTTCAACAGCGTCGTATCTCCACGTCCGATGCCAACTATGAGCACATTCTTCCACAACCCGCATGTCGCTTCTCCTAGAGCTGGCATCCTGGAGATGCGAAGTCCGTATGCCATGGAGCTAAACGACGAGGACCTCCACGATCACGTTTCAGATTCGCCTTATGGCGGGCTTGGAAAGCGCGCCGCAACTTCGGTTGCGCTTGTACGTAGTGGCAGCCAGCAATCGGCTAAGAGAAGAAGAATCATGTAGGAATTCCCAGGGTTGGAGATTGGCTTATTGAATGACGATAATGAAAGACAATGAAGGACTATGATGGCCTGACCTGATGCAGTTTAGGAGAGCCCACAGAGAAAGGTTGGCAACGACAAGTCCGGGTTCTACGTTGCCGGTAGCATTTGGATAATGGAGTTTTGGGATACGATTAAGAGACGGCGATTCTGTGTATGCATTGATGGTGGCGTAACGATATCTTGTTACATGTTGATAGATCAATGTCAACCAGGAAGGCCGACTTGCGCCATTTTCTTTGCGCGCCCAGCACGGCGGTTGTGATTTGCTCGCGAGGACTTATTGGCCTCCTTGTTTCGCCGGGCGGACTCAGTCCCCTTCTCGCCCGTTGGACCAGCGACATTGCCTCCACGGCCGCCTCCGCGTCCTCTTCCTCTGCCTCGTCCACGGAAGCCACCTCTGGCATTGGAGCCACTGGCTTCTGCGCCGGAATCCTCAGTCCCTGATCCAGCCGGGCTTGCCCTCCATGCAGTCGGTGCAAGTGTCGGTTGGTTGCCTCTGAAGGAGTTCGCCGCGCTGTACTTCATCTCCAAAGACTTCAGCTGCTGCGGATTGCGGCTCAGCATCACGGCCCAGCCTTCAATAGCTTCATCGGTCATGCCCGTATCCTGCTTCAGCTTCGTCCGGTAATTGCTTCTTCGAGTGTCGGAATCTCTGTTGAACAGCTTTGAGTCCGTTTGATAAGCCTTGAACAGGGTTTCTTCGTTGACGTCCTTGCGCTTCTGATCGTCGGCATCATCAGCCAGCGCATCATTGACCGTGAAACCAGCGTCAGCCGCGTCGTACGTGTCGTCTCTCTCATCGTCGTCAGCGTCAAACAGAGAGAGTGCAGATAGAATCGCGGCCTTATTTGGTGCAGTTGATCGATCTTTCAAGACATCATCCGCCGTCCTATCCTGGTGCCTCTTGCCAAAGTGCAAGTTGGAGACATCAACTGCGAGTTGATCAAACTCATCATCGTCAAAAACGTTGTGACGTACTGGCACCTGAGGTGGCGTCGACCGCGGTGCCAAGCTACTTCTCCGTCGTCTAGTCCTTTCAGGCGACCTGAGATTGGTTTAGTATGACCATAATGTTTGGGAGGAAGGGTTACCCACAGTTCTTTGGTACGATCTGCCTGTGCCAGTTGCGGCGGCAGATCATCCTCAAGTAGATGTGCAATTACTTGTTCAGAACTGTCCTGGTACTCATCTAGGAGTTTAGAGATGAAGCCAGATCCAAGATCGGGAAAGAGATCCTGAATCTGAGAAATTTGGCTCATCCTGTGAACACGGAGCTGGCCAATTTCGTCATCATCTTCCTCCGTCATGACCCCCTTTCCTTTATCAATCTTGCGCTTAATGGGCTTCTTTGGCCGAACGTTGCCTCCGGGTTTCTTGAAAACCTCGAGTGCGGAAATGACGGACTTTATTCTCGTGTTGGTGGAGCCGGACTGTTCTAGCCGATGCTGTACTTGCTTCAAGATCGGAGTCACGGTGACCAACTCGGCGACCATGGAGTCGTTACCACTGGTTGGGCCGGCCTTGTGGGCGTCGGCGGCGGCTTTTAACGAATAGAGTTGGTCTGAGAGAATGGTATACTTGGGCGGTTCTCCCTCAGTGATACCTATGAGACACAAATATGCGGTAGTGATGATAGCCTTTCGTAACGGTGGATTCATGATCTTATAACAGCTTATTAGACCGTCGAGAAAGTCGCTCCCTGCTAAGAATAAAGCTGCCGTGTCAGGTGAGGCGTGGATCAGGTGATTAAGACGCTTCAGATGAGCTTCTGGTATCCTGAGATCGCCTTTGATTCCTGAATCTAGGGCCAGAATAAGAGACTTCTTCAGCCCATGAAGCGATGTCTCCAAAACCAGAGTGTGACTTTTGAAAACGTCAGATAACACGACGGATACCCTTTTCTTGCCATAAGCTTTGCTGAAGTCGGATAAGAATGGCCACTGCAATAGATTAGGCAGCACATTACTAGACCTCAGAAGACGAGTTGCCAAGGCGTAGCTCTGCCGAAGTAAAGATGATGCTGTTGGTGAAGAACCTAAGATAGTAATCCCCGAGGCAGCAATTTCCTTCACGAATGGCGACAGGAATGCTGAAATGGACTCGTCCTTGGCTGACAGCCTTTCAAAGTCAGACGTCGGTAGAGCCAAGTGGGCTTCGGCCAGAGCGAGCCAGAGCGAAAGACAGGCCTCCCACTCCTCGGGGACGATGTGATCTCTCCATGGGGCTTCTGGGAACGGCGCAAACGGGGGCAGTGTGGGTGCCATGGCAAAGAGATGTGAGCCAGAATCAAAGCCTCGAGATCTCGTCAAAAATCGGTCCTTATGGGTTGAACCAGGAGTATCAATAAACGGTGAAAACCAATGGTCCTATATGAAGCACCAGGATCACTTGCAACGTCCCACCCAGCGCAGGCCGGATGACTCTCACCCACGATGTCATTGAGATCTGACGGCCCAGCTCCCTCAAGTGGCCCTCTGAGTGGATCCCCATACTCAGCCTGAGCGGGCAGGCGGCCGGCACCTGCACTAGGCCGCTCCAGGCTTAGCGCGCGGCCCCCAGCTCAAGCCCTGTCTGCGACTTTGCCCACGAAAAAAGTTCCCCCACCAAAAAAGAGCCCCATACTGGCGAAAAGTTCGCGAACTTCTTCCTCTCTTCTTCTGCTCCCCAACTTCATCACTTTGCCGAAACGCACGCCCAAGTTTGACGTCGTTCGAGTCGTGAAGTCGCAATCCGAGATCCCTCGATCAACTACATCTCGATCCCCATCACCCAACCCCCCAAACCCCAGCAAAGATGTCTTCTTACCAGAAGGGCGACAAGGATGTCGGCGAGGCCCCCAAGACCCGTGAGTTCCCACCGCCGCTACCCCCGACACTGTCTCCCGCCGGCGCCATCCAAAGACTCCCTGGATTCGTTCAAGCCGAGCCCCTGCGCATAGTTTGCGGCGACGGCGACGCTGGGATCGGGCTGGGACATGTGCGATGAGCCGGGCGGAGGAGCACGAGAGACCAGCGCAGCCACGGAAGCTAACGCAAACCCACCACAGACCGCATCCGTATCACCCTGACCTCGCGCAAGGTCCAGGCCCTCGAGAAGGTCTGCACCGAGCTCATTGAGCGCGCCAAGGGCAAGGACCTCCGCGTCAAGGGCCCCGTCCGCCTGCCCACCAAGACCCTCAAGATCACCACCCGTAAGACCCCTTGCGGTGAGGGTTCCAAGACCTGGGACATGTACGAGATGCGCATCCACAAGCGTAAGTCTATCCTTCTTTCCCTCCATGGCCCCTCCCTTTGCTGCGGCGAAGGGGCTTGCTTGCAAACCCGGACCACGGGGCTAATATCGGTCAATCACAGGTCTCATCGATCTCCAAGCCCCCACCGAGATCGTCAAGCAGATCATTGTCAACATCGAGGCCGGTGTCGAGGTCGAGGTCACCATTGCTGCATAAATGTAGCATGCTCGGGATCGTTGGATGGGATCTGGCTGGGATATTTGACTAGGCATTATGATACCTACGAGGATAGATCTCGGCTACGGCCCTTAGATAAGGACCAAATGACAATCTGTAAACACATTTATGTCTAATTTTGCTACCCAAGTGACCAGTCCCGATGTAATGTGTGGTCTCTGATGATACTTCAGAATATTGCACCCATTCATGACGTACATCATCTATTTTAATGTCACAGCATGAAGTATTCTCCTCGTATGTTGAGCCACTGCTCGTTCACCATGTAATGGGTATAAATAAGTACGGGCCCTTGATGTAGAAAGCCAATCAATACCCATGAACCATGAAACGCCATCGCTCATGCAGATACAGTATAGTTTAGCCAGCTCCCCTTTGCCCCCTTTCCAAGCCCGATCAGAAATCCCATACACAGTCCTCGCGCAGGGGCGGAACCTCGGGCATATCGCCCGTGAACCGCGCACTCCTCCCGCTCTCCGCGTACGCCTGCCGTATCGCATCTGTGTACACGCTCTTGTCCTCGATTTCCGTAGCCGCGTAGTAGCTTGGCGGCCCGTTGGGAAACCAGATCTTGGACCACTGCCCGCCAGACCCCTGTACGCCAGGCTTGCCGTCCTGGTACGCCACGGGCTGGTTCTTGAACCGTATGATCCGATTTCCCATCCTAGCCACGTAAGAGTTCACGTCCGGGTGTTGCTTGCCGCTGTCAGGTGGGTAAGGGTTTTTGGCGCCGTCCGCTTGCGCTGGTTGGTTTGCAGCGGCCTGGGTGAAGGCGTTGTTCGAGGGGTTGGCGAACCCATTGCTCATTGGCTGCCCGAAGGGGTTCGACGGCGCGGCCGGCGTCGATGTGTCCATGGCTTGTGTTGCCGGAGTCGCTGTGGCATTGCTCGCTGCAGCAAATGGGTTGGGCACCGCCGGGCTTGTAGCAAAACCACTCGGCTGCGCTGGTTGTCCGAATGGGTTGGCCGGCGCAGCGCTGGGTTGAGACGGCGCACCGAACCCTCCGCCGCTGGGCTGTGATGGCGCACCGAAGCCGCCAGAGCTCGCCTGAGATGGGGCACCAAACCCGCCGGAGGCTGGCTGGGATGGAGCACCAAAAGCGCTGTTGCCCTGTGGTTGTGAAGGTGCGCCGAACGGTGAGGCATTCTGATTTTGAGCTGCTCCCCCAAACGGAGAAGCGCTCTGCGGCTGAGATGGTGCACCAAAAGGGGATGCATTCTGGGGCTGGGACTGCGCTCCGAAAGGCGATGCCTGAGACGCCGCTCCAAAGGGAGAAGGGGTAGCATTGCCGGAAGCGGCAGCGAACGGGTTGGGCTTTGCTCCCAGTGCCGAGGGCTGGCCGAAGGCACTGCCTTGAGAGGCAGCGGCAGCGAATCCGGACGGGCCAGAGGCAGCAGCTGCGAAGGGATTCGGCTTTGCGCCGAGCGCAGAAGTCTGTCCAAAGGCAGCACCACCTGTCTGGGCAGGCTGGCCGAAGGGGTTCGGCTTGGCGCCGAGTGCTGAAGTCTGCCCAAAAGCTGAGCCACCCGTTTGTGCTGGCTGGCCAAAGGGGTTGGGTTTTGCTCCAAGCTGCGAAGGTTGGCCGAAAGCGCCAGTCGTAGGTGCCGCGGATGCCGGCGCCCCAAAGGGACTTGGCTGGGAGGCGGCAGCGAAGGGGTTCGCGGTGGCAGACGGTGCCGACTGAAATGGGCTCGCCGAGAAGCCACTGGACGTGTTTCCCACGGCAAAGGCACCGGTTGATCCTCCTTGGCGCGAGCTCTCTCTACATACGTCTATCCGGTTCGGGTGTTTGTTTTCGGCGGCGAGGACGAATTGTACAGCTCCGTCAAGATTGTTGAGTGAAGTCTGGATCTGGTGCTCGGCTTGCTGGTAGAGTCCTTGGACTTCTTGCAGCTGCAGTGACGGTTAGACACACTTGATGCTTACATACGGAAGAAGCAGTTCTGAGAGGAAAGGAGACACGTACAGTCTGTTGTGGGTTCGCACTTGTGAGAAAGGAAAGCCTAATCTCCTCGAAACTCTGCTCTCTCGGGAAGCCACCGAACAGCTGCTCCGGCGCGTCCCTACCGGGGCCGTAGGAAGACAGAATCCACTGCGGTCTCTCGTCGAGCAGGTCGATCTTGATGGCGTCCTTGGTGATCTTGTAGGGATACGTGCCGTCGGCGCGTCCTCCCCCGCCGGAGCCTCCCCCACCAGAGCTCAGCGCATTGAATCGGTTGCCGCCTCCTTGGCTGAAGGGGTTGGGTGCGGCGCCTGGGTGTTCGAATCGGCAATTTGCTGTAGAGAAAGCCATGTTAGCCAGCCTACTGGGACCGCCTCGAGGCGAGGTAGAGAAGAAGGGTGGGAAGCTGTTGAGGTGGCGCGCGTACCTCCATTGCGACAATTGCCTTGCTGATAAAATTTACACAGGGGTGCCATAACGGCAGCCTGATTGTCCCTCACCTGGGAAGCATAGGTTTCGACAATGCAATAGCACAGGTACTCGAGAAGGCAGTCTGGACGTCGTGTTCAAGACAAAAATCGCAGCCTCAAGGTCAGCCTTGCAGCCGAACCGAAAATCCAAGAGGTCGCGAGCTCAAAGGGCGTTAGCCGCATCAGGCTAGACTCGGGCGGCAGGGGTTACGATGCATACATAGTACACACTCCCATGCATCAGTTTCCCGGCCTTTGCCGTCTGAATGCGTATCGTCATCGACGTCAAGTGAGACATCCTTTTCTTGTTATGTTTCTTGCTATGCACTGATGTGATAGGAGCAGGAATATTCACGATGCTATAGCCGCGTTCAGAGCCAATTGCAGACGTCATTCAGTTGTTGACCATAAACTTTTGTCATTTCATTACACTCTACGGTGAGACGGTGTTCTTAATCAATGGCTTCAGACCGCCATCGACATACTGCGGGCTCCTCCATGTCGACCAGTCGTGGCTCAGCAGACCCCAAGTCTCCTCGTAGTCCTGCGTCCCCGACCTGATGTAGTAGCTGCCAGAGACGACCCAGATCATCCAGCCCGCCTTCTGCGCCGACAGGTAGCTGGCGATGCACGTCGCGTACACGCCCTTCCAGGTGCTCGCGTCCTGCTGGAACCCAAACTCGGTCAACACCACGGGGAAGACATTGACCGCCTTCGTGTCCTCGGCGTGCAGCGCCTGGAACCCATTGTTGTACAGACTGTTCTGCAGTCCGGTGCAGTCCGACGCGTCGTTGGCGTAGTTGTGGAGCTCAAGCACGAGCTTATCTGTGTATCCGGCAAAGTCGGCCGGGTTATACCTCCCGGAGCCGGGGGTCAATACCGTGCCCTGGACAACGGGGGTCAAGTAGGTATCGAAGTCCAGCCCCGAAAGGAAGATGAGCAGGCCCTTGTTCTTGGAGTTGATGGCTGCGGTGCCCTGCTTGATATACTTGTACCAGTCTTGCCAGTTGTACGAGTTCTTCGACAGGGTCGCATCGTTCTCTGGGTTTCGGAGCTCGTTGCGGAGCGACATGGACACGAGACTCGGCCACGACTTGCCGTGCTCTGCCATATAGCCGAGACCTCGGGTCCAGTTCGCCACGGAGAAGTACGTGTCGCCAAACCACGAGTTTCCGTCCTCGGTGTTGCAACACCATGCGCCCTTCGACATGTGGTTGTCCAAGTGAACGTAAATCTGCTGCGCGGCACACTCGGCGGCAATCGCGTCAAAGACCTGCAGACGGGTCGTGTTGGCTGTGAACGAAGGGTTGTTGGCAAGCACCTTCTTCAGCACTGCGCTTCCGTTGGTCGAACCCAGCGCCTTGGTGAACGCCGTGTTGATCGTAATGTCTTTGCCGCCATTGCCATAGATCTGGTCGATCATCTCGATTGCATACGTGAGACGAATGGAATTCATGCCTAGACTCTTGAGCTTCGACACAATGCTTTTGACCGATTGGTATTGCAGCCCTTCCGGAAGCATTGTGTCGCCAGCGCCCGGCCAGTTTGCACCAGCGTACACGACATTCTGTCCCCGCGTGTCCTTGATATCTCGGCCTTTGGTCACAAACGGACCATATGGCCAGCTTGCTTGTCGCTCTGTCGGCTGCGAGGGTGCTGCTAGAGCGAAGCTTGAGAAGCTACTGCTCAGTGCGAGCAAGGAGAGAAAGACGCTTTGTATCATTGATCCCGCCATGGTTATGCGCTCTCACGTGTAAGTTAGGGCGTTGGCCGTACATCGGAAGCATTGGGGACTGTGGGGGACGATCTCTCTAATATAGTTCCCCTTCTTCTACGCATCTCCAACCTCCCCCAAGTGAACTGACATCTGCCATGGATGTTCAGCATTGGTAGCACTCGGAGCGGTACTACCGAGCACGGCCGAACACAGGTGACTGGTCAGATGTGTGTTATTACGCGCTGCGCCTGCAACGATTTGGAGACCATGCCAGCTTCTCCATAGCTCGGACCGAGTCTTTCCAGCATACTCCAACGTCTCCGCAAGGCACACGCGTACGGTGCCAATCTTTGGCCTTCTTGGGTAGCAGTTGTGGTCGAATGCAGAAAGGCTAGTCGCTCTCGCGCTCGTGTTAGCTGGTGGACTTATCTTGGAAGATATCCTTCCCCGCGTTTCCACTTTGCCGGCAATGTTACAATCGAGTCCCCACTATGACAGAGTCAAAGTCGGAGATTGCAGGCTATTCTGGCTCAATACCAGTTCTAAGCGGCCGACAATCAAGGAATTTTGGTACAGACGGAGTTTCTTCTCATTGGTTCATATTCTTCACTAGCTCAAGTCATAGCCTACACGCCGAGGTGCAAGCTTGACATGTATGTATAGCATGCTTCGGTCCGTCGCGGGCCGCATGTGTCACGCGCAACTTTTGGGGAAACCAAGCGCCCAAATGTCCGTCAAACATTTTTGATGTCATCGAGCTATTCATTTTGGATTTTGTTACTGTCGCTTTCGAAACTCCACCATGGGGCCATCTTTCAAGCTGGTGAACTGGTCGATCAGCTGAAATTCCCCCACGCGCTGCCTTCCCCACTCCAGATTCGGGTTACCCTCGCCCGGGTCGGGGCCGGATGACTTGCGAAGATCGTACAAGTAGAACAGCCTCGCCAGAGTGGTCGACATTTCTATGTAGGCCAGGCCCTTTCCAATGCAGCCCCGAGGGCCGACGGAGAATGCGCAGAATGCGCTGTGCGCGACCTCAACCTCCGAGGTGCTCACGGACCCGGCACCCTTGTGCGATCCGGCAACCCAGCGCTCAGGGTTGTACGTGAACGGCTCCGGGTAGTACGCGGCGTTGTGGTGGATGGTGTAATGTGGCACGCCGACGACGGTTCCCTCAGGAATGAATTCACCGTCGATTTCTATGCCACCGGGCAACACTTCACGAGGCACGATCCCGCCTACAGATGGGGACATCCGCATCGCCTCGTCTATACAAGCGCGCAGGTATGTGCAGGATGCCAGGACGGGGCCCTGGTGAATCTCTTCGACGTCGCTGAACTTGCTGCGAATCTCCTCTGTGACTTTTTGGAGAGATGCCGGACTTCGGACCAGATAAAAGAGGGTTGCAGCCATGGCTGTTGACGTGGTGTCTGATCCAGCAATGATGCTGCGATGATAGTCAGTCGGTGCTCGAGTACATGGTTATCAGAGGTCTTACAGAAGGTTCGATTCTCCCCACAACTCAGGCGTGGTGAATCCAAGGCCGGTTTCAGGATCTTTCGCCTTCAGCAGGTAGTAGAAGAAGTCTCGGCGATCCGTCTCGTCGCCCAGCTTGGTACGCTCCGTGAGCTGCGACTTGCTGTACGCCATATACTTGGCTCGACCAGCCGCGATTTTATGAAAGAGGACCTTGTCCAAACCGAGCTTGCCAACCAAGGGCATAGTTCCACACTTGTCATCCTGTCAGCAGTTGTTGCATCATCATCGCGGCTATTCGAAACCTACAATCGAGTGTCGAGTAGTAGCTAACGACACCAGTTCAAGCGCATATCGGTTGTCGGGTTTCTCCAGCATATGGAATGCCTTACCAAAGCAGAGATCACCGAGGATGTCCATGGCAAGGTAATTACACCAATCCGCCATGTTCTTCGCGGCGGTCCAGCCTTTGCGTGCGTCACTCGCGCCGGCGCCAACCTGCTCGCAGAACGTCCTGACGTTGGCAAGGATGTAGCGTTCCATCTCCTTCATGGCACCATCACTGAATCCATGGCTCAGCACACGCCTCTTGCGCGCATGGAGCGCCTTGTCCCGGCTGTTGTGCGTGTTCGGCGCTGGGTGGACAAAGGCGTCGTAGAACTCGGCCTTGCGCACGTTCGACTTGAATCCGTAGACATCCTTCAGGGCAGTGTTGGAGTTGAACGAGACGCTATTGGGTCCGAACCGGACGACCCGCCCATAGATCTCGTGCTGCCGCCAGAACTCCAGGTGCCGGTCGCCCTTCCACGCGTGGTAGAGTTGATAGGCGTCTGTGACCTTCGCGAGGAAAGGTCCCGGGTACTTGGATAGCGGGTGGAAGTATAAACGGTATATCACAAGGCCAATGATCTAGGAAGGGTCAGTTTACTGCGTCTTTCGGCGGGTGTTGGGCCACCCAATACTCACATATGTGGTACTGGCTGCCACAGCTCCCAATAGAGCCGTAGTAGCATTGATGTAGGCCATTGTCGCTGCTGTATGCTCCTGTTCCCTTGTTCGAGCTATGCTTCGTAGACTTCACGTGAGGGTATCACTCGGATATCTTTGCAACTCAGGTGTCCCAGGAAATGTAAGCCGCGATTCCCTACCACTCCCGGTCATCTCTCATTCCTCCTCTATCCCTCCTCTCCGCCAGCTCGGCTCGCCGCGCTTCTTTATTACATGTCTTTCGGCTGGCTACGGCATTGAGTTGGACCTCATCACACATCCTCCCGCCAACGGCCACTTGCCTGTTTCGGGTCGACAAAGAAGTCTTGTTCGGCTAGTCGCGGGGCCCGGGGATCTCAAACTCGGGCCATCCCCTGTGGAAAGAGAGTTCGGTGGGGAATTTGGGGAACTTTTTGGAGTAAGCCGCGCGCGGAATTGCGGGCGGAGGGGCGGGGCAGGTCCGCCATGACGTTAAGCGCGGGATCCCTTCGATGGAGACTTTACGGGGACGAATCCAGTAATACGGATTACGATAGACGGTGCACTAAAACCAGCCTGCCTCGAGTTCTTATCCATCGAAGGACAAAAATATGCACGTACGGGTCGTAGCAATCTCGTTGAACTCGGTGCTCAAACAGGATTTGGGAAGATTTGGGGAAGTCGGTTCGGCGGGTGCTAACTTAGCGCAGCCCTGCATTCTCTGAGCACTGTCAGGTACAGTACGGCATGCTTAACACCAGATTGGGCATGCGGGACAATTTTTTTCGTCGTATATAAGAAGCGGCAAGGCTGCGTTGTTTCTTGGTTATTGAAGCAACTCATATTTCGTTCATTCGGACTTCTTCGACATCGTTCTCAGCATCAGCTAGTTGCTTCCTGCTAGATCCAAATTCGGGACTTGCCACCTATGGAGTCTCGGGCAAATGAATGAATTGCAAGAACATTTCGTCCAATGCTTCAACAATAAATAAAATTGAGGAGTACTCAAAGCCCTCTGCCCGCCATTGAATGTGTGGTGCCGGATGTCAGCCAGATTTTCGGGTTTACGATCAGCAAAGTCCACTGAGCCCATCCATCGGCGATACGCTTCTGGGCAATGATCATTGTTGGAATGTCTGACAATCTCCGTGAAATATATTGACTTCAGCACGTGACTTTCTGGCAGACATCAGTCGTGGATATTACCTCCCTTGATGTCGCAGGAGATTTATCGAGACTCGTTAAGCAAGGTTTAATCGTAGAAGAAGAATAGGGCTGGCTCATTGGCTTTAAGACGACATAGGTACATATTGTCGAATGACGCGTGACACCTGGATGGTACTATTTCGATCACTTGCTTTTCTCCATCATTGAGCCTCGAAAGATCGAAGTGGCAATTCGATGCCTACTCAATTGACTGGGTCTAAAGTGATTCGTAAAGCATTTGGGGTCGTTTCCATACTCTCTATTCTTCTCAGGTGGGTTTGTAACAAGCAGCTGCCACGGCCTTACTTCCGCTGGTGGCAGAAATTGAGTATCTTTTCCAGATCCAGTCAACGTATAGATGCTTTATCGTCTCTGACATGGTCAATCTTATGAGAAGCACGGTTTTTGGGCAACTCGTGCGTTTAGTCTCCGGCAACAGGCTATTCCGTTACCCGGATGAGGTTGACCCGTTACTGGTGAGTAACTTCAAGAGTTATTTACACCCGCCCCTTCAGCAACCACTCTATCCACCGACCTCAACCATTCGTCGACTTGCTAACTCTTATCTTTCCGGTGGGAGAGGTCGGGTTCACACTAGTTTACGGTCTTGGTCCTATGCTATGGTCTCAAATGTCTGAGATGCCCAAGTTTGGGCGCAGTCGGATATACTTCTGGACGCTGCTGGGGTTTATACTATTTCAGCTACCGACAGGCTTCGCTACAGACATGGCTATGTTCTTGGCGGCTACTTGCGGGCTTCTGCGGCAGTCCCTGTCTGGCGACTGGAGGTGGAACCATCGCCGATATCTTTGATCCCGCAACAGCCGCGTATTTCCTGTGTCTGTGGGTTGCAGCTGGCGTCTGTGGTCCAAGTTTTGGCCTTATAGTTGGCGGATATTTAGCTCCGGCGAAAGGCTAGCGGTGGACGATATAGGTGTTTACGTGGCTTTGCACACTGGTCCTGGCTCTTTTCCTCTCCCTACATCCAGAAACTAGTGCAGACACCATTTTATACAAGAGGGCAAAGGGATTAAAAGTGCTGACTGGAAACAATCGGCTTCGAAATCAGTCTGAGATTGATGCCGCGCATCACACTTTCAGAGACCATCTGGTCATCTTGTCCAAGGCTTTTACGCTAACCTTTTCTGATCCAGTCGTCTTGCTCATGAACATATATACCGCTCTGGTCTACAGAGTACTGTTCATCTGGTTTGAGCCATTCCCCATTGTATTTTGAGAAATATATGACTTCGATACGGGTCAACAAGGCTTGGTCTTTCTCGGCATCTTTGTCGGTACTTTTTATCAGCGTTCCATTTTTCTTCGTCTGGATTAGATACGGCATTATCCCTCGCTTTACGAAACCAGATTTCAAGCCCGATTCCATACTACCCCCAGCATTCTTCGGGTGTTTCGCCCTTCCTATTTGTCTATTTTAGTACGGGTGGTCAGTGAGAGAGGGCATTGACTGGTATTTCGCGTCTTGGACTCTGTTCTGGCCTCTTGAGGCTTTCTTGGGCAGTATCCTGCTGTGTTTCAATTAGAGTATGACTAACGCTGGACTTTGGAAGGATTATGCCAGTCGTCAGTTCTGGATTCTTCGGCATTGCAGTTGTTACACTCTTCAACTCAGTGCTCAACTTCCTAGGAATTTCTTGCACATCCTATGCTGCCTCAATATTTGCCGGCAATGCGCTCTGCAGAGCTTCGTTTGGCGCAATATTTCCCTTGTTCGCACGCTCACTCTTTCGAAGCCTCGGTGTTGGGTGGCATTGCTGTACTTTTCATCCCTATACCATCTGTTTTCTATCGCTATAGCAGCATCATTCACAGCATTAGCAAAAATACTCGCCAAGATACGTAAAGGCTGAACTGCGTAGCCCAGATTTGGCGGCGACCATATTCAAGGATTCAAGTAATCCATTATTTCAGAGATTCACACATCAGGGATTGTTCAGTGTCAAAGGAAGTAGTATGAGGTCAGGTATAGTCAGGATTAGGGGTGTAATTCCATTCATTCAGAGACGGAATCTTGTCCCTTCTGCGTATGAGGGGACAAGAGGGGGAATATATAACGGATCCTGTACGAAGTCTCACCGGACTTCCTGTAAATATAATGCATCGCAGTGACAGCCAGCTCATTAAATTTTGCTCGGATAGAAATTATGAAATTAGTCTAGCATCTACTGCGAAGGCCCACGAAGCAGGCAATGGAAAACTCAGAGCACTGATTCAAGACCCGTAGCCAATTGGATAACAGCGCACTTGTCAGCTGATACGTTTACCATCCCATCGGTTACGAAACTAGTATGAAGACGCAATTTTGGTTCAGTCACCATCCCCTCATGTTGCCATAAGGTAGTACGATGATCTAATCCTCACGTTCGGCTGTACAGCCAACTGCAATTCGTAAATTTTCGTAGTCCGGGCTGCTGGAGACGCAGCGAATCATTAATATGGTTCTTGCTTGTAAAACTTGGGCTGAACGGTGCTGGGTAATCGAATCTTACAGTGGGGCGCGCAAGGGACTGTACTTGGATCACGACATCCTGTAATCTATTGCATAAGTCGCTTCGGACAGAAGTCGACCCTGCGAACTGATAACCATACAGCGTATAGCCGTGCGATGAAATCATGATCTCTTCGAGCTCGGATGCCTAAAGGTGGCCTCCGGAAGCTCAATGATTTGACAGCAGCTGATCACACGCCCCCGATTGTCACCTTTGCGCACGTCTGCCGCCGCACGGCCTACATGTCATCAACCTAGGGGTGGCGGTCAAGGTATCACACGGCAAGGCTGGAGCGCTCTCCAATGGATGGAAACCGGGCTGCCGGGAAGTGCGGGGCCACACCGGAATCCGAGATCGCCAAGACTATTGGTCACCAAAGAGGAAGGTGCCTACGGCACTTGGGCCAAGCATCACGTCAAGTAGTATGCAGCCCTCATCACTGTTGAGTTGCTGATGTGTATATCGCGTGTAAGTTGGATACACCAGGTGATTGGCGCCAGCTATAACGTATGCAAGATCAAGACTTCAATATTAAAGTCAAAGGCAGAGGCTGTGTATATGACAAGTTACTCAGATCAACTACATTCTTAGAACGAAATCAAGTGCTACTATCAAATCTGGCCAGGCTGCAAATACTCACCTCAATTTGTATCAGAGAATCTTGACCGGCGCTGACATGACGCTATTCAAGTTGACATTGTGGGCCCTGTTGCTGGAGCTTGTGAAAGCCCATGGGTCTCAAGACGGTCTTACTGTTCAAACGTCAACCGGGATATACACTGGACTGATCGACCCTGATAACAACAACGTCAAGACTTTCCAAGGCATTCCCTTCGCAGAAGCTCCGGTGGGAAAACTCAGATGGAAGCCACCCGTCAAGCTCCGCGCGTCGCGGCAACACCACTACGTACATAGGCTCCCAGCAAACTGTCCTCAGTATCTTCTCAAGACACGTTCGCTATGGAATACCAATCTCTCGGAATATGGCATTGAAACTTATGGTCAGCCTAGGTATGCTGGAACTGTTGCTCAAACGAGCGACGAAGATTGCTTAGGTCTGGCGATATGGGCCCCTATCGGCGTGGCTCCTGATGCCAAGCTGCCAGTCGCTTTTTTCATTCATGGGGGAGCTTTCGTCCAGGGTGGAGTTGATTCAGCATACCTGAATCCGTCTAACTGGGTCAGCCGCAGCCAGAAGCACATAGTTGTCTCTGTGAACTACAGAGTCAACATCTTCGGGTTCCCGAATGCGGCAGGCTTAGACGACCAGAACGTCGGCTTTCTTGACACTCGTATGGCGTTGGAATGGGCTTATGAGAACATCGAAGCATTTGGGGGAGACCGCAACCGTATCATGCTTTGGGGCCAATCGGCAGGAGCAGTGGCCTCTGATATCATAGGCTTTGCCTTTTGGGATGACCCCCTGGCCTCCAGCCTATTTCTTCAGTCGGGCAATGCGGTTAGAGATTTTAGTCGAGGCGACAATGCACTGCAAACGAACTTCACGTTCGTGGCGAAGAATCTGGGGTGCGACTTTCCAACGGATCCCGTAGCCGAGGTGGAGTGCATGCAGGGTGTTCCGGCGAACCTGATCACGAACTTCGTTGGCCAGTACGGTGACAATGACACGGAGCCTGGACTGTTCTTCCGGCCGACAGTGGATGAAAAGGTGATTTTCGCCAACTATACGGAAAGGGCAAAATCAGGTTTCATACCAAAGATCCCAGCCCTGATAAGCACCACTGCGAATGAGCAGGCCAGCTTTGCATATCCAGTCAACAACCTCATTGCAGGCCCGGCAAACAGGACAGCACTGGATGCCCTGACCTTGAGTTCGTTTGTCTGTCCAGCTTTTGCCTCCAGGAATGTGCGGGCCCTCAATCACTTGACGACGTACCGGTACCAGTATGCCGGCAACTTCACCAACATCTCGCCATACAGGTGGCTAGGGGCCTACCATGCTGCCGACCTTCCTCCAATCATGGGCACATACGATCGACATGGAGGTTCGACGGAGTTGGAGGTCCAGTTATCGGAGAGGATGCAGGACTATGTGCTGGCTTTTATCACCGACCCTCAGAATGGACTGAGCAACCTTGGTTGGGCTCCAGACGATGGCCTGAGCGACGGAACTCTGAAGCGATTCGGGGCTGACAACCTCGTGGAACAGACTGTCAGGTCTGCCGAAGTCGATGACCCATGCCTCGGGGTCGGCGTATATCAGTCAGTTTTTGCCTAGGCCTCCCATTGTGATTGGTACCTTTGAGTAATAAACTGGTTGAAGGGCCTGGTTTGGATCAACTGAAGACTGGTGCAAGGTCACTAGGATAATAATTACCATTAGCAGTAGCTACTTTAGTAAGGATATAACGAAGAACCGCATTCTGCCCCAGCCGCAAATGATGAGGCTCGTGTTGCATGGGCATGGTGACGAGGGCGTGGATTGTCAAGGCGCTCAAGTACATGTTCGTCAAAGAATGTCAATCGAAATTGACAGCCCAGATCATCGGGGGCATTTCACGAACAAATAGCCAAACGACTGCATACGCGAAAAGGGCAGCTCCGGAGACTCAATTAATTCATCGTTACGTCTAGAATGATTTAGGAAGGCGTCAAGAACATGCGATTGTGTAGGTAGTAGTCCGTACATAGTGGCAATGGCAGCACAACCGCTCAGCGTCCTGGCGACAGCCAATCGGAATCTGTATTACATTCTCGAACCCCTGAGCTTCGACAGGGGGGAGTTTTGACGAAGGTGCCCCGCAACCGTGGAGCCTCAGCATATAGCGGCTGAAGTCGGTTACCGCTTATTTTGGGGCATCAATCATCACCATCACGCAACCAGTCGTGCATTTTGATCCCCGTTGTAGTCGCATCACGAACGCTCAGACCACTGCGTGTGCTCTCTCTCGCATGAAAGATGCATCGGCCCCTTTGTTCGCGCACGCTTCCAGTCCCAGTTGTTTGCCTTCTATCATTCTGGTTCAATGGCGCGGTGGCATCGTTGGATGGGCTTTGCCCACCGTTGGGCCCCGTGCTTCCGGCACCAAAAGAGCCGAGTTCCAACTTGAACGTGCAAGCTGCACTGAAGCTATTCAAAGAGTCAGTTCACAATGTAACTGGTTCATTCAACAAGTCGGCCGTCTCCATCGGGGTACAATCCATCCACGAGTCTGCGCCAATGTTCGAATACCATTTTACGCCGCCTGAGCTCGACCCTCGGGGCGTCAACAAGGTGGACTCCAACACAGTATATAGACTGGCGAGCACCTCGAAACTATTTCCAGTCCTTTCCGTTTTGAAGACCGAAGGGATGGATCTGAACGACCCCATCACCAAGTACATTCCAGACCTTCGGTCTCTGAATGAACACGCTCGGGAAGAAAGCCCGCTGTGGACCGTGGATTGGGATGACATGACCTTGGGCTCGCTTGCATCACACCTAGGCGCCCCTGCAGATCGTATGTCCCTGATATTTCCTGCTGAGTCATTATGTCTAACGTCACTAGTACCTATGGACCTTACAACCGACCAGGAAATCGATTGGACCGAGATTGGCTTCCCCAGTATCGAGGATTCTCTCCATTTGAACTGCTCGCTCCTTGGAGACCCGCCTTGTGACAGGACAGGTTAGTCAAGTCTCTTGTGGAAGAGACCCTTCTGACATGATAGCTCTAGTATTTTGGAAGTTGTTTGGTTATCGGCCCCCAGTGTTTCCGCCTTTCACGACTTCAGTATATTCAAATGTGGGATTTGCTCTGCTCGGCTGGGCTGTTGAGTCTGTGACCAAGACGCGATTCAGTGACCATGTCCGGAACACCATTTGGGAGCCGACTGGTATGGATCATACATTCGATAGCAAGCCAGATGACAGCCTTGGTTTCATCCCAGTTAATTCTAAATGGTGGGATGCAACTATTGGCTATGAGAAAGCGTAGGTTCCACCATTTTCCCGTCCTCAAACCCAGCACTCACCTTCTTAGGGCTGGCGACTACTATTCGTGCTTATCTGACATGATCGCCTTTGGCATCTCTATCCTCAAGAACCAGCAACTCTCGCCTGTCAAGACGCGTCGTTGGCTAAAGCCTGTTGTGTCAACATCCGCATCGAACCTTCTGCTTGGAACACCATGGGAAATCTATCGATTCACCAACGACACAGTCGATGGGCGCCTGATTGAAATTTACACGAAAATGGGTAACCTATTTCACTATAACTCTATCTTGGTTTTGATACCGGATTATGGCATAGTTATCGATGTTTTGGCAGCCGGTCCTGAGACATCTGGAGGAACATTGCTCGAGATCATAACTTCAGCCATCAAGCTTTTGATTCCCGCTTTCGAAGATGCTGCGAAGGACGAGGCCCGAATTGCTTACGCTGGTACCTATACTGACACGGACTCCGAATCTTCAATCACGCTTTCTCTCGACGACGATGGGCCTGGTATCAAAGTCTCGAACTGGAAGGTCCGCGGCTCGGATGTCTTCAAGTCGTTTGCCAAAGTCCAGACTGCGTTCACACACGGAAAGCCACCTGAGGATGAGACGGTCAGATTTAGGATGTACCCAACTGGATTGGAGACGGAGACGCAGAGCTCATGGCGTGGCGTGTGGACCATTGGAACGCCTGAGGAGTTGGCGGAAGCGGAATCTCAGTTCATCTGGCCCATGGCGACATGCAACACCTGGGCGCAGCTTGACAGGACTCAGTATGGCTTACAGTCTCAGGACCATTTCATATTCACAGTGAAGGAGGTCGAGGCGGGGAAGAAGGCTGTATCAGTGGAATTCCCGGCGTATCGAGTCACTCTCGAAAGACAGTCATCTTCGATGTACACGACGCATGGTGAAGACTCACAAAAGCCATTATCTCACGCATAAGCTAGGAAGGCTGTAGGAACACCTCGTCAACGTATTTTCCTTCATCCAAAACCGGCTCTGGCTCTTTGCGAGTCCTCTGAATGTACTCAATTGCCTCCACCAGATATGGCACAAAGAGTGACGGGTTCTCGGTGGCGGGGAAATGACCAAGATTCTCCATCTTTTTGAAGCCCGCGCCTTTGATCTTGTCTGCAGTTGCCTTGCTCATTTCGGGGGTCGTACTCCAGTCGTACTCGCCAGTCAGAAAGTAAATCGGGCATTTCTTGACGTCGATTCTCGCAACGCGATCTCGAGCATCGAAACCGCCGAAGTAGAAATCCAAGTCTCCGTGAAAGATTCCATAAGCCTGACCACTGTACATATGCCAGATAAGCTGCTTGTTTGCTTGTGGCGAATGTGGCGCCATCATTCCATAGATCCAGTCTGGATTGTAGAGAGACTGGTTGACAACGGGCGACTTGTCGTTGAACTGACGGTCCATGGTCAGATAGTCGCAACCCTGCAGAGATATAGTCCCTCCGGCACCAACTTCGTCACTGCGAATGGCGACAGCAACGCAAACCTGCCCTGCCATCGAAGCACCGCATATAATGGGCTTATTTAAGTTGAGTCCCTTGACTACTGCAGCGATGGTACCAACGTATGCCTCTTCAGTGTTGGTGTGATTTCCTGGAATATGGTTGCTGCCCGGAAACGAACGTCCATGGGCCGGCAAATCAAATGCAATCATGGTGCAACGCCTCTGCATCTCCGGGTGGTTCATAACACCATGATACTGGCGTGAGTCTGCACCAGCGGTATGGCAGAAGACAATCTGTTGTGGCCCATCGCCAGCGGTCTCGTAGAATATCTTTGTCCGGCCCCATACGGGGCAGTCAAGATAGATGTACCTCCCTACAATGTGATCATCGATTGGGTGGTCATGTGATAAGTCCTGCATCGGCCCATGCAATCCATCGCGGAGCAGTTCCAGTAGACGGGTGGTGAGATGGCTGTATTGTGCGAATTTGACTTGGTTTCCGTGCACACCCACTCCTTCTTGCTTGATATTCATTCCTTGGAGGCCAACAAAGCTAGTGTATGGTGCCATTGGGTTGGCCCGGAAGAACTTCTCCCATTGATCTGGCTTCGCCCGCAGAGTGAAGTCGGCATCATCGGCGGAGCCGGTCCAAACCGACGTTTTTGCCTTGGGTTCTACCCTGACCAGAACGGCGTCATTTCCGTCAAGAGACTGCACTCCCATAGTTACAGGCTCGATGATTGCATTCGTACGAATGAAGGCCTGCCATTGGCGGTCTTGATCCAGAGCTTTGCCTAGCGTTGAAATGGACTTATTCATCGCCTTAGGCAGCGATGACCAGTTTTGTGAAGCCATTGTTGAAGTCCAATGATGAATCTTTCTTGGGTGATGTGAGATCAACTTTTCATGAGGCCGAAGCTGTTTTATTATGTTTTGGCCACTTCCAATTCCCAGTATTTGTGTTTTGCGGGGTACATATGTAGTGCAAGCATGATTGCGTACATGAACTTAGTGATTGGATATGGACACCGAACTCAAACCGGCTTGAACGAGTCATCGGCCACCATCGGCTTCAGAGTTTGGCCTCAAGTGGTTCTCGACCTCTCCAAGTCTCCTGGTGTGCAAGTATGTTCCTAGTTTCCATGCCCTCCACATCAAGATGTAAGCTGAGTCTTGTTGCGCAACTCCAGCATGTACTGATTCCAAGACGTCACGGTCATCTGAATAGGACGACCATGGTTGCCTTGAGGTCTTAATTTATGCTCAATACTCAGAGGTCGTGATTCCGTGCTAGTGACATGCTTTACCGTATTTCTTGAGTCGTAGATAATTATAGGGAAGAGGCGCAAGGAAGCCGGCAGACATAGAGATAACGGCGGCAGCCCAGAATGCAGGAGAATCGAAGGCAACTGTGCCACCAGTGAGGTGGTAATCGACCGCATTCTGTGCCGCCTCCATGGTGAGCATGGATATGAAGCTCATTCCCGCTGCAGTCTTGGCTGCAGCAGACCATGAAAGGCCATCCCGACCCAGCCGAAGTAGAGCTGTCTCGAGTAGCATTGAGGTAGAGAGGCCGCTAGCCACTATACATGGTCAGTATAAGACTAAACTCACGGCTTTGCAGCGGGCAAAATCGCCAGGATTCTTGACTCACTCGCCACGCCCATAATAGTCCCTATACCGAGCTCTGGGTAATAAGCTTGCAGCAGCCACATTGCAGAAAAGTCACCGCTGGTACAGCCCACCAGGCACCTGAAGGTATTGACCGCTGCACGTCGCCATATTGGGGCCGAGGCCCAGAATCGTGCCGAGGCTGGCGAGAGAGGCTGGGGTTTGCTTGCGCAATTCTTGCCTCCGCTACATTTTGCCTCAGAGCTTTTGGCTTCACAAGAATACCATCTCAGTTGTTCCACTACAGCTGTGGGGGATAGCCCGCTGGGACACGGCACCAGGCTGGTTGGGCGCCGTGGTGTCTCAAAGCCACGACGTGGACAAGTCACACATCTTGAGGATTGATGAGTCCATAGCACCGATCTTGCTATGCTTCTCTGAACCAATCGGCGGGCTTGCATTGTGCTGTCGTCTCTCAGGCGATACAACAGGGCTGGATACCTCGTCACGTCGAGTGAGGTTAGTTTATCATTAGGCAGTTTGGAAGCCAAGTACTCTCAATACAGCCTGAATTACCAGGGGCCAGCGCCGGAGAGACTGACGGCGGTTTGAGTGGCTGCCGGATGAGCCAAAATTGAAGTCAGTTGTAGCCAAGAGCGTCGTGGTGGACGCGGCGCGGTAGTTCCAAGTGCACCGTGTCCCAAGCGCCGACGCGAAAAGTGGATCATGTCAATACAACCGTCAGCTCAAGGGTCCGGGCCATCCGGCTGAGCAACGCCGCACATATTGTGTCTGCAACTGTCCACACCTGCCGCATCTTGCTGAGGTCAACCATCGTTGTGTACAATCTCCGTAGATATCTACTGCAATTGAATGGTACTTCTAAGATACGTTCTGAATTCTCTAGCATATAGTGGCCATTATTATCTCAAGCACTTCCCATATCATACGAGCTCTGCCTCAATAACGCCTTCGAGAGCTCTAGGATGGCTTGAAATACTCACGACCTTGAGTCCAACACTACTCAGAAGTTTCTTCCAATGATCTTCTGTCCTCTCAAAACCAGAAGTGCAGTTCATTAATTGTAAGTCCATGGTTGTCATGAGACTCGTCGCCCCTTGGGGAGGCAACACAATCTCATAAATGAGCACCTTTGAGAAGCCTCGTTTCATTACCGCCTTGACCTGCTCAAAGATCCTCACGCAATCGGCGTCTGGCCAGTCATGGGGAACAGCATGAAAGAAGTATGCTCTGGCACCCTCAACCGGCTGAGGGGTGAAGAAGTCGTACGACATCTGTTTGATGCGGCTATCAAGCTTCTCCTTCGCGTGCAATGCGATAACGTCTGGCAGGTCTTGGACGACAAGGGAGTCCGCAGGCATTTCAGGATGCTTCGCCAGTATTCTAGCCGTGTCGAGACCGTGTGCGCCGCCTACATCAACAAAGAAAGGGACCCCTTCCTGAGCCTTTGCCTCCTGAAACAGCTTGTTTGTATCGTAGACCTCTGTCCAGTCCATTTTGTGGTTCCTAAGGGCGGTCATCAGTCCGATGAAACTTCCACCTGCGCCTGGGTTCTTTTGGCAGTAAGCAAAGAAGTCATTCCCAAACAAATCGCAGTAATTGTCGAATTTTGACTTGTCAACAGGTTCTTGGTACTCATGCTTCGCGAGGAATTTAGGTAGGTTGACACCCGTCGGTATGGTATGGTCAAGTCTGGATAGCATGTTAAACCAAAGACATATAATGAAGTCGCCAGATGAACTTACCCACACTGAACAGTCTGGTCAATGTAAGAAACCCTATCTCCCATCGCCAACGAAAATGGCGTAGGTTTCCACATGTCGGCTCCTGTTTCCTCAAGAATATGGAGAGCGGCCATGTGCCTTAACAAACGACCTATTCTATTGTTAGCATCACAAACTGGATTTATTCTGCCGACTGCAAGGGTCATATAACGACTCACGGAGAAGGTTTGGATCAACCTTGGAGTTGGACATCGTCAAAATGCTGTCCAGGCTTTGCGGCGCTCCTTCATCTACCTTGTCGATTTCTGACCATGTGGCCCAGATACCAAGATCTTGGCAGGTTTGCAGGCCAGCTACCAATACTGGTGTTTCGAATGACAATGCCCATGACCGCTCGAAGGGTGTCTGTAGTCTTGAGAGAAGCCTAAAGGCAGCCTGCTTTGCTGCGTAGCGATCAGCGTCAGTGCTGAAAGACTCTGGTTTGATTGCATCAAGAGTAGACACCACGTCCATGTTGGCGAATGACTGTCTGTCTGACTTAGTCAAAGTGAGGAGACAGCTGGAATCGGGTGGCTAAATCACGCAGCTCTCGGGAAAACGAGAGGGCATGAAATTCTGATTCCTGGCGCGCTCCAGCACACGGCTTGGCTTGCGTTACACCTCCATGACAAGTGGGGCAGGGTATTGATGTATTAGTGATGAATTGCCGGCAGGCCGCCATGGGTCTCATTGTCGACTTTCATGCGATCGCAGTCAACAAGCGACACACTGAAACGCTTTCTGCTAATTTCCATCATTACGTACTGCTATGAGAAACGAAGTTTGCATAGATAGAGCCTTCTTCATCGCGACACAGTAGATGCCAGACAGCTCGGATGCGGATTTTTAGACGTGTGAAGTACTGGTGGTACCGTCGTACCATGCAGGGATCATAGCAATGACGGCGATTTTCCCTCTTTAAGCATATTAGAATCGTATGGTCTCATGCAATGATTATTCCCGGTGGTTCTTGGGCCATCTTTACCGGATGAGGCGTGGCGCACCAGGCATCTTGAACTTGACCCTTGCAGATATACCGGCGACACGTTGTGGTACGGCCCGACATTCTGGTAAGCCTATTAGGAACATCTCCTGGCAGCCTCAAATTGGCCAATGGCGGATGTTCCAGTTCAGTGCTGGGCTCCACCATGTTCAGCGCGTTTGCAGGAATGCTCCACTATAGCCTTGTAGCTTGGAAGTACTTTGCATGTGTGGACAGTCTTGCATAACTACATTAGACTCGGAGATCAATCAGAAGCTGGTGGATAGGTTTGCCAGTGGGGGGATCCTTCTCCGCCTTGTGCTCCGTAAGTGTCTCACTCGCTGACCTTTGTCAAGCAAAGGTTCAAGTTGCAGTTCTATAAAATAAATATGCTGGGCCCAAAAGTCGCTACCATATTGGTGACATAATTAGTTGTTGCAAGGCCGTGCGGTTGGAGAACAACCGGCGAGTGGCAAGACGAAGCTAACAGTAACATATGCAAGGGCCAGTATCCATGCCAACAACTCAACAGGGAAGCGTCAAAAGCTCTACCGTTGTCTCTGAGTTTGAGGTGACGTGCCAAGTTCTAACGGCCGAATTAATCCTGTGGATTCACGCTCTCTCGACTTCCAGGTCTCTGTCACTCTGGACGTCACGATGGGCATTGCCACAGATCTGGAACCAAGTTTGATGTAAGAAAGATCGTCGGGTCACACATGCCTGTGTTGAATTGAAATGATCAGAACATCACTCGACGGCTACGAAACGAGAATTCTTCTCCACCCTATAACCCAACCAATGATCTGATAGCATTTGCGATAGGTGGTATTGATGTAAACAAGACAGTTATCGTTCCAAACAAGCCCATAGAGAGACTCGAAAGTGCAGCCGCTCGCGGATCGGTTCGCAATAACATAGCAGTGGCAATTGCCGATGAGTTGGCTCCAAGGGTAACCCCTCTGGTGACGTAGTCGTCTTGTAAGTATTAGGTCAGTTCCAGTATCCAATGTAAAGAACTTTGAGCACACTTACCTTCGGGGATCTTGAGCCATGCCAAGATCTTCTGGCCTATCAGTGCCCCGGTTATCCCGCTTGCTATAGCGATTGCGGCGATCGTGTATGTATCACCCCCAATGTTCACGACCGCGGGAGTAGCCAGAGCTAGGGTTAGACTTCGAGCAGAGAATGCGAGACTCCTCTCAGCTGTTATGCCTATCTCGAAGCAGATGTAAGGATAGGCAAACAGCGAGGCAATGGAAACCAAGATATTTGGTGTAACAATAGCAAAGAAATGCTCCCGAAGCTCTCGGCGATATTGATACATCGGTAGTGCAAGAGCTACGATGCTCGCATCAAGTACGCTGCCAAGAATGTCTCCAGCACCAGGCAACTTGTGTGACCCGTCCCAGAGCTTCGAATATTTTGCTCCAGTGCGGTATTCTGTGAGTGTGGTATAGAGATTCCGGCCCTCTGCGAGACCAAGAACCCATATCCCCAAGACGGTAATCAGAGAAGAGACAAGAACCGGATGCAGGAACTGCTTCCACGATGGAGGCAGTGCAAGTGCGGTATAGTATGTCAAAATACTAAAGGCGAGATGCATTGGCATACCGTACCCAGTTGAATAATAAAGTGGCATACCGATGAAAAGGAAAATAGCAACAAAGGTCAAAGAGTCAACATGGCTTACGACCACTGCAGCCCAAAGTTTTGCTCTTTCAGCAGGCTCTGGCTCCTGTGGAGATATCTGATCTCTGTCCGGAGACCCATTTTCATTGGCTTCGGAGGGGGTAGTCGGTGGCTCTGGCTCATGCAGGCGAATCTGAGAGGTAGCCTGTGAAGCCATAGCAGGCGACAGAGTGGCTAGATCGATAGAAGATCTAGCTGTCATTGCTGTAGCTGACTCATCTGTCTGATTCCCAGGAAGGTCACCATCTGCTATGTCGGTCATAGGAATCTCGTCGCCTTCGGGGCCAAGTTCTTCGGCACGCTCTATCATTGCGCGTTTGGATGTTCCGAGTATTGCTTGAAGCCCACGAGTCATGTACGCGGTGAACACCATCATCACAATGAATCCGATCACTGGAAAAAATCAGCCTCCTAATGATGTCCTGTAGCATTGTTGGGGCTCACCAAACACTGCAATGATCTTGAGCACCTCGATCACGCCTATCGGCGGACTCAAGGGCAATAACACGAAAGAAGGTGTAAAGCACATGCTGATCCAGCGCAAAGACCAGCCTGCCTAGAGAGCCATATTAGCTACGTCACTTGTACATGATTGGTAGATGTTTGATCTCACTGGGATGTCAATATATGCAACCAACCTGCGCGTACGATGCTCGCCAAGGACTCGCTCTGATAAAAGCAGGGCCAGGAATAGAATGATCAAGCAGGCAACCGATGCCGGAAATGATATGTTACCCAGATCAAAGATCTTCTCTATGCCAAAGCATACTGCCAATATCATCATGATTCCCGTAGGGACTACCAGCCACGACTGAATGCTCTGGCGCCATGAGTTCCTGGCCACCTACTGAGAGTCAGTTATTTGCGCTTACAGGTTCAAGCTTATCGATTCCATGGCGTACAAGTCTTAGAGCTGTAGAAAAGTCATCCGCGTAGATTCTCAAAGCAGCCGGATCAGGCATTATTTACAGATTTGTGTTGTATCATATGGTTGATGGAAGCACGTCTGGTGGTGACTCGAGAGACTAAATGGACCGAGGTGCCGCTAAAATCGCGCCGACTTCGGGCCCGTTGGGACGCCTGGGGAGAACGTCTAGTGCCCGCCAGCCCGGATAGACCACGGAATGCATAACCACAATAGCTGACGACGATGCGTTCGGTATGTGGGATTGGGTTAAAATGAGCTCAATGCCTATTGCCATCTGGGTGCGACTCGATAGAACAACCTCGAGGCAATCGCATCTATGATGTCTTGGTGTACGCATCGACCCTCCGGCACGATCTGCCGCAAGGACCCTCCATTCCAGCCAATAACTAGCCTCCCGACCGCTCAAAACTGCCAAACGCAATCCGCGGAGAAGGATGTGAATCAGAATGCATCGTCAGTGATATCGATGGCTTGCGCATGCCATTAGCGGCCATCAACAATCACCCGTCGAACTCCCAAAGAATGAAATCGCCGGCTTGCCCCCAACCACATGTCCTTCGAGCCGATGCACCTCTGCGGTTGACGCTTAGAGCCTCACTCGGCCTTTTTCTTTCTGTCCATGAGGTCGCGGCAAATGAGGACCTTGAACTTGGTCTTCGCATAGCATTTGCGCTCATGCTCAGTTATGTTGGGGTTGCCCTCGGCCCTCCAATGTGTTTGAAGCTCTTTCATCTCGACCCACAACTTGTGGTGGACGTTCAATTTACCAGTGATCTGCTCGTCAACCTCGTAGTACATTCGCTCCGAGTCTCTCCAGATGACTCGCTTGCGTTTCTCGGCCTTGGCTAATGACTGCATCAGAAGCGGTTGCGTGGGAAGAGTCCATGCTTGAAACGTACCTCGAAACTCAGCAAGAGCCTCCTCGATGGTCTGTGTAGCAGGCTTCTTCTTAGCAACCTCTGCACCAGGTACTTTGCCTGTGCCAGCTTCCTCACCAGCTTCCTCGTCAGCTTTTCGCTTGGTACCCCTACCGCTGGGTGACTTTCCCTTGTAGGCGATCTTCTTCTCGTCGATATCTTTGCCACATAGCCGGAAAATGAAACTGAAGGTTCGGATGTTTGGGAACATGCGGAGGAACCGGACCAAAGATACGGGGCAGTGCTCAAGCTTTTCGTGCTTCTTCCGAGAGTAGCGACAGCGACATTTGAAGGCCTTGCCAAAGTCCCATTTGCCGGTCTGAGTTTTCTTGTAGTTTAATGCGATATTCTGCAGCCCTCGGAACATCTCTTGATTTTCCCCCATGTCGAGCAAGACAGGGTTGAAGGTGCCACCTGTAAGGGTGAATATGACGAGATCCTCCTTCTTGTGGACCTTTCCTCTGCTTTCCGTCGTGTCAGTGTCATTCCTCGTCTTGCGGAACGGGACGGTCCACAGCGAGTCCTTATCCTTTGCTCCCTCTTCCCAGAGAAAATACATTGCGCGGGCAACCCGATCGGTCTGGTAGATACTCCAGCGATGGGCCCACATAGAAGGGTCTTTTCCAAGCCTATTCTTCTGCTCAACTTGCAAGACCTGGTACATAGCTGCCGGGTCCTGGGACTTGAGCTTGAAGTGGTGAACTCCCTTCTGCGAGAGCACGTGCTCCCAGATATTGAGCTTCAGCTCGGCGGGGAGGGCATTGTAGGTCACTGGATTCTCCATGCTGAAATTTCGCTGGGATCAGATCCTTGGATTGACGTGACTCTTGAGTGTAGATTGGGCTGAAGTGCGGTGGTTGACTCTTGGTGCAGCCCACGAGCTTGGTGGTGAAGTATGATGTGAGAGCAGATTGAGACAATGAGAAGTTTGGGGTGACAGGTGTGAGTCCCAGCAGAATTGGTAAGTGGCCGTTCTTCGTGAAGGGTTGCATTCGGTAAGAGCGTCGATGTGAGGTGAATTAAGGATCATTAGAACGTTCTTAAGTGAGTGCGGGAAGGTTTTCACAGTGACTGCCTTGGATGGTAGAGGGCCTGGGTACGAAGTCCATAACCTCAGTCAATAATAGGTAATTAGGAAGGAGCCCAGAAGGCTCTCGTGCCCATCGTCTGAATTATTCACGAGAACTGACTTCCTCAGGCAGAAAAGAATTCGCCGTCACAGAGGACTCTTTTAAGGGCACTGTTGGAGGTCTAGGTTTACCTCAGGCTTCCTCTGGTAGCTTGGGCGCAACACCATGCTGTGTCGCATGTTAGCGGCTATTGGTATTGAATCGGCAGCCTGCAACTTGCAGTGCGAGGAGGGGAATCAAATCATGAAGTGCTTGCATTTCGAAACTTCAAGGTCATGACAGGAAAGGATAAAGGTTGTCACGCAGGAAAGCACATATGAAGACATTCACACTCACCAGAGATATAGTGGATGAAAGCCATGGTACATTATCAGCAGATGGTTTGCTGCATCACATTAAAGAAGCACCATCAATGTTCGACAGTGCAAAGTTTTAGCTGGCGCAAGTTGCAAGCCGCAGATTTCAATGGGCCATGAAAATCTCGTTCATCTCCTCATCTTCGCTACTTTCACTCCCAATCAAATCACCGGTCTCATCATAGTACGGATGGGCAAGAATGCCCGAATCGTACCGTACCACCCATTTTGGCCTTTTCTCTGTGTGCAGATATGGAGGCATGTATCTAATGCGCTTTGCAGTCAACAGCCTAAGGCGCAAGGGAGAAGTTCGACGAGGCGAGGGTGCAGAAATCGACGTTTGGGGGGCGTCAGGAGAAATTGTCCCATAGCTACTGAGGTGTCGATTTTGCCGCATCTCGACGCGCTTCCCAATCTCTTGGACAAAGTTGTCAACAAACGCTCGCAGCGGCCGACTCGCATCTGGCCCATGTCCTCCAATCAACATGACGATGGCGACATCTTGTAGCCGCAAATCCAATTTCAATGTTTCTTGGCGGTTTGCGCAGTTCGCCACACAGTCCACGATGTTGACTTCGGATAAAAGGCTATCTAGTCTGCTCGTAGTCATTGCTGTGGCAGCGAAGTCTTCAATGCGTAATGTGGTAAGAGATGGTGGTGGCTGTTCAAGCCTGTATCTGTAGGTGTTGCGCAATCCCAGGTGCGTAAGGCAGGCAAAGGTTGACAAATCAAGATGAGCAATCTGAAGATCGTTGACACTTGGGCCGAAAATATTAAGCACTCGTAGGTTGTCAGATTGCTGGGAGATAGCGCGGAGCATTCCGTCCAGGTTATCCAAAGGATGTCTGTAGTCGCCTGTTCCCACATTGAATCTGTGACGGTAGACTTCATGGAGAGTCAAGCTACGAAGAGACTTGGGCAACGACAGAATGCGTTCCAGTGCTTCCGTTGTTACGAGGCTCTCAGTAAATGTCAATTCTTCAAGGTTTGTCCGATATGCGAAGGGTTGCAAGGCCTGGTCATTTTCCGAGGCCTTTATCTTTACGCAAGAGATCTCCAATTTCTTCAAGCTTGGGAGTAAAAAGATAGGACACGACGGCGTGGTGGTCCAGAAGCGGGCATTCAAGCCTCCTGTCCAGTGTAGTGTTACTTGGATTGTGTCAGCCAAAAAGGAAGAAAAAGTATACAGTGCCAGATCCAGGGGGTCTTACATGACTTCAAGTTGTTCAAAGGTTTGGACAAGGTTCCGTCCTCAGGGCCAGGAGTGAGTATTGACGCCCGCTCAAAAGCATGCAGGTAATGCTTCATATCGGCAATCCATATGCCTTCATCCTTTCTGCCCACATATGAGTGAGCGTTGCAGAAGGGGCTCTCAGAGACAAATGATCGCAAGTTGGGGAATTCGCAGAGATCCATAGGTTCTGTGCTGAGGAAATCATAGGCCTGCGTCGAATAGCGGAGCTCCACATCACGGACATGATTGTATCGCTGTGAGTCCTTGTTGAGAGAGTCCACGAGCTTCTTGAAAGATTCGCGTCTGGTGAAAAGGAAGCGAGAATACAAGCAGACCTCGGCAATCTGCTGAAAGTTGCTACAAGTGCATGCAAGAGACTGCAATGTTTGAGCATCGGGGATTTGCTCGAAGATCTGCAGGATCAGCTCACTTGGTAGGGCGGTGAGTAACATCTCCGCAGTCTATAATGAGAACAATCGTGCTAAACTGGGGTTCAGGGTGGTTCGTTGCGACCTTGTATGTAGCCTTGTGGTGGTGGCACGACAGGACGTGGCTTGCGCTAACGGCATGAGGCGGAATGACGTTGAAATCGCGGGGCCGAAAGTTAGATGACGGCCAGCTGCAAGCCAGCTGCGCGCTATACAGACATAGTCAGCCAGTGGCTACATAGCACCGTCCATCCGATGCGGATTGCTTTGACTGTCGAACATTTGCCTTTATAGACTCTGTCTTCAGAATTTACACCCTCTTGGGAAGCTAGACGCAATATTGGGTCTCCGAGCAGTGCTGTGCTTTACCAGACTGTTCAGGCACCGAGTCCAACTCAGAACCAGCCGTTTGAGCACCTGGTCACTTTGATGACGACAGGTACGAAGCTCTCTCGCTCAAAGACGAGCATCAGAGAGTTTGCTAAGGATTAATGGTAGCCACGAACACATGATCAATTCAGAGCGAGAGTTCGTCAAAGGCATGTCCACACGAACGAGGGAATATTATGAATTGGAAGTTGGATCGGAATGTAATGGCCCAAGAGAAAATACTACTCTGTTCAATTGCAGGCGACAGGTTCCCTGAGAGAATCCTTGAATTGCGGAACGTGCGGAACATGCCACGCTGATATCGGCTTAGATTTCCATCGGTTACGTTTTTGTTGTCGCAAGATGAAAATAATCACGGCTTCAGTTAATTCACTTGATTCATTCACCCCAGAAGACATCGAGGGGTGGTAAGGCGAAAAATCAGAGAAGCCATGGTGCTCTGACATACAATCCATATGTGGGCTCTGAGGGGGCAGGATGAGTTAGTCACCTAGGGTCACAACCACGATTTTAGAAAGGTGATGGCGCTTCATGATGCGTATATCACCACGCATGGTTTCAAGCTAGGACTTCTCTGTCGTATTCAAAACCGATTCTCTGGGTGGGACTGGAAACTGTTCGAACTGCGCTCTTCTATCTTGAGAGCGGCCCTCTTAGTCAATGGAAGCTGGTGACAAATCTTTGGTGAAAGGATTTGGAAAGGATTTGATGCGGTAGTCGTCGGAATGCAAACCTGGTTGCGACTGTCTAAACCTGACTCCATAAAGTTTTGTAACAGTCCCATGGGTACGGCGGATGATCCTTCCGCGGAGGACGAACAGCCATAGGGTCGGATCGCTTGGCAAAACCACACCCACTGCGGCACAGGCGTAGTTTAGTGCGAATCCCGGACCTCGCTACATCCTCACCACTGGATTCGTAGGCTGTGCCTTGAAGCTGCACAGAGCTGATCCCAGGAACCAGGGAAGAGGATCCTTTGCTACCGGAGTGTGCTGCACTTATCATGGAAGCGTTGTGCACTCTCACGATTGCTTCATGGTGATTGGTAGAGAGTATAACCCCGGTCTTAAGCGCGCGAACCGACGGTTGATGTGATTCGCACCCGGCAAGTTGGTAACCCCGGACCTGAATTATGTCAGCGATATCCCTAAACAACAATTCGCTCCCAAGTGACTGCTCGGGTGGGGTTACCAACGATAGGCGCGGAGGGCATGCATCATCCAAGCCTACCCCTGAGTGATGAGGTGGGTCCACTACGTCTGCGCCCCATCTCAGCCCCCCAATGTTCACGATGGCCATAGCAAACAACCAGCTTTACCGCACGATAATAGTTCACTTCTCAAGAACTGTCCAGACTACAAGCGTTGGATAACACTCGCAGATACGAGCAATATATCCCACCAATTAGGGTCTTTCCGACACCCAGTGGAAATGTTGCCCTTTGTTTAACATTTCTTGTGGAAAATGTCAAGCTTCTATGAGTTTGCACGAATCAAGTACGCACTATAACTATTGTAAGAAGATGGAGAACCGGTATTCAATTAACCTTGCTCTAAACTGTATCTCGACGTTGAATGAAGCATGGGTTCACTTGCTCGCTTGAAAGACTTTTCTTGGAGGATTTCTTGTCTTAGCTTGCGGCCCAGCAGCTGTCATGTCGGGCATGCTTTCGTGGGAGCATGAAAACCAGGAACATTGAGGATTACAGACAGTGCACCCTAGAGCCTTCCCAGTGGAACCAAACCCCTGTGGCCTCATTGCATCGACGTGAATATGATTGGCTCTTAACCGCTCTCGTCCTCCTCCCAGATGTGTTTGATAGTACCTGGTTCATCAAGTTGTTTGCTTAGAAATGTCATTTTCACAAGCATTAATCTGACATTTTCATCAAAGCTGGAGGTTTGCTTCGCCACCCCCATTGGTTACCTATTGTAACATCCAGTTGCCGCAGCACCACCCGCACCATGCGTCTAGTATTACTAGCTGCCCCCGCCTAAGAGAGAACCTCTGCCGAGTGCGAGGGCGCAAGCGAGCCTGCCATGGGGGATCTGATCATTCCGAGATTTGGCTAGCGCTTTACAGTATCATGTGTACCCATTTTCTACACGTGACGCACTCAAGACCATGTTGTAGCTACTCGAGTGTGGCCAAGAAACTAATACGCGTGGTGTGTTCATACAAATCGGTCGTATTAGGTATATATGAGGCAAGCCTCTCAAGCCATCAACCACTCACACCGATGTCAGATACTCCACAGCCCCTAGTAGCAGCCACTGCAGGCACATTTCATGCAAGGCGCTATCACGGCACATCATTATAAGCCATTGTGCCGCTAGTGCGAAGTTCCAGAGGTTCTTGGCTTCAGCGGAATATAATCCCAGCTTATTGTGCCGCGAGAATACACCTGAATTATGGGACGACACTGGACCTTCACCGAACTATCTCCTCTCTATCTCCTCGGTACCAGAATGGAAGTACTTGCGCTGTGCCCGTTGCCTGGGCTGCTCCATCGTATTGGCAAATTCAAGTATAAAAGCAGCATCTGTCAAGCTATATTTTCCACACGAACAAGTCACCAGCACTCAGATTCACACACCTACAGTCCTACATCCAGCGCTTTCAAGACCTTTCAGGGCACGATTCTCTACAACGTTGCCATTTCAAGTTTGCAAGTAACGCCATCGACCTAGCAAATATGCAGTCTTCACTTTTTGCCGCCGTTCTCGCCACTCTTGTCATGAGCTACCATGGTCTCTTCGCTACAGCCCTTCCGACAACACCATCCCCTGAACAAATCAGGCGTGGCCTCTCGACCACCGACGGCGGATGCAAATTAGCCGCTGACGCCCCAACTGAGGATGCATGCTGGGGGTAAATAGACGATCGAAAGCCGTTGTGGCAATCTAGAATGGCGGATCTGGTTCACACTAGTTTCTCGGCAAGGGAGCCAGAGTCTTGATCGTGGCTTGAGGGTCAGGTGTTGAATGCATGATGCAGGGTTGTACGAGTCTGGCAGAAGATAATGGCAAATGCCGCGTTCGGCTGTAGGACTGGTAGGGCTGAAGGCTTGGGTCAGGGGTAGTGGGATGCGTCTATGTGCCGCCAATAAAGCGCCTCTTTGTGTTACACGCGCGACAGGATAGTTATGGCACATAATAATCTTCAGTGGCGCGAGCGGCCCCCAATACAATCTCACCATCTTCCTTCCACTCCGCAATTCGAGGCCGTGTTGACTCCGACTGCCGCTGTGCCGCACAAGGATAGCGATCCGTCCGGTCCCTTATACAAGGGCGAATGACTCGTCCGCTCATCCTCTGGATAGAATGGTGGCGCAAGGCACGAGTTTCATTCGTCATCTTTGACGCCATAACTACGCCGCATGCAGCTGTGAATGATTTCCCACAAGCGTTGATAAGTTTCACGACATCAGCCGAAGCGACTTAAGGCACAGTCATTGATTGATATGAGTAAGGCAGACAGGTCACAAGGCATACAGGCGTTCCGCAATTCATGCATCGAAGTGACCTCTCATAGAGCAGGAGAGGAAGCTCCTCGGTGACTGCAGCCATTAGAGCAAATACCAGTATTAAGTCTACCAATCACACTAGAAGTTGCGCCGTTGTTGATACGAACCATGACCTAGACCGGCTGATCTTAATCGATGACCTGGTAGAGCGAATAGGACAGGGAAGGTGAGAAGCCACAGTGTAAAGTGATAACTTGCAAGCGGCTTAACAGGCTCACAATTCTGGATCTTTAGTGGGATCTAACATGCATCAACGTTCACCCAGGCTCTGCTTTTATCGATTACGTATCTCTACGTAGCGTCTCTAATGCAGAGTGCTGCTCCCCACCCCTATTCTTCGGGCGGGTACACCACAATGCGGTCCAGATCGGCGCCCTTGAAGTCGAAGCCGTTCGACAGACCGCCGACGGTGATGGTGTTGTTGGCGCCCTCCTTCAGGGTCAGCTGCAGCGGCGTGGACAGGAGGATGCCCTTGTGGGTGTCGCGCTGGAATAGCGTCTCGACGTGCTCCGCGTCGCCGTTGACGATAACGCTGCTGATGCGCCGCAGCTGCCATGAACCCCCGATGCGGTCCGGGCTGCCGCCCGGCTGATCGCCGAAGCCCATGTCGTCCGTGTCTGGGGGAGAGAGAGAGCGGATGTGAGTTTTCACGAGGAACACAGCATGGGGATCAGGACACTGAGACTTACTCTGGTAGTAGAACGAGACCCACTGCGGCTTTCCAGTGCCTTCGATCCCGGAGAACGTCACGGTGCTGTCATTGCCGTAGATACCGGTAAGGATCACGCCGTCACTTGCGAAGTTCTGATGACAAAGTGTGAGGCCCTTTTCCTCTCATCTCCACTAGGAACGGAAAGGGGGAGGACTCACTGCTTCCTGCTTATACGCATCCCCGGCAGTTTCCGCATCCTTGCCGTAGTACGTCTGACCCTCGACCGCCGTGTACTCGCCGGTCTTGACGTCGAGATCGTACACATCGTGCCACTCCAGGCGCAGGTCGCCCCGCTCGTCGTCGATGGCCATGGGCAGCCAGATGTAGCGGCTCTCCCAGAGCGAGTTGGAGTCCCACTGGTCGCCGATGTACAGGTGCGTGGTGGCGCTCGACCCGCGGACGGTGAGCGTGTTGCCGCTCTGGCTGCTGAAGGTGCGCGTGTTGAGCGGGGCCACGATCCACGGCTGGCTCCAGGGCCCCGCGAGGCTGTCGGCGCGGAAGGCCACGACGTTGTTGGGCCGGTAGCCCGTCTTGTGGCTCATGAGGGCGTAGTAGCTGCGCTCCGTCTGCACGATAGCCGGCGCCTCCAGGTCGTACTTGGGGAACCGGTGCACCACGGCCTCGAGCTGCGCCGCGTCCTCGTCGTACCGGCTGAGGTAGACGTCGCGGCCCTGCGCGCTGTCGCCGTTGCTGTACAGCGCGTACGACCGCCCGTCCTTGTAGTCGGTGAACAGCCCGAAGTCCTGGCTCCAGTTGCCCAGCGGCGACGTCGCGTTGGCGAACGTGTACGGCCCCTGGATCGTCGGCGATGTCGCGTAGCCCTGCAGCAGCAGGCCGTACGACGAGTTATCCGCGTGCCAGTGCATGTGGTACTCATTGGAGATACTGCTGTAGACCACCTTGGGTCTCTGGATGATGTGGGATGGGGCGATGTATGGGTGACCCTCTATAGGTGCTATCATCGAGTATTAGTCCAACTCCTTAGAAAGCTTCCTGTGATCTCCGTTCTTTCCCTCCCTCCCCATACTATTGCCCAGCACGCTCAACTCTAGGCCTAGCATGTGCACCCTACAACGCGACTGAGTCCTCCAAGTCCATCACTACACCCAGATTCAAGTCAAAGACTCACCAAGCGCCAGCCCATGGCTCTCCCACGTCGCCAGGTCCTCCGAGCTGTAGACCGAGACACCGCCGCCTTCGGTCTGGCCCTCGACCTTGTACTCGCCAAAGAGCCAGTACTTCCCGGAGGCCTCGTCGAAGCCCACGCTGCCGGCGTGCGCATTCACCAGCTCGCCGTCCGTGTCGCGCCACCGGCCGCCGGGCACGATGTACTTGCCGGCGGCAGCCGAGGCCGCCAGGAGGAGGCCCCAAGCGTGTTGACCGCGCATGTTGGGCTAAGGTGCGAGCGAGGGAGGGGACGCTCGGTGGGCTATTGGATTACGATTAGGTCCAAAGACTGGTAGTATATCCGCCGCACACGATGACTTGTCGTCAGTCGCGTCTCCTTGTTCCGCGCGAGAGGAGCCTTAGGCGTGTGCGCTTGCGACATTGGAAACCCGGCCATATTAATACCATGCCGCCACCGCCAAAACGCACGGAATATGAGGTCATCCTGTGTATATTGGGCCTGTCCAACGGGACGCGATGCCGCCAAGGCCCTCGCTCCCGGATTGGCAATGGCATTCGTGAGAAGTTTACCCCGAACCCAGCATGCTCCGCATGGGTGTCACGGAGTTTCTCCGCATTGGCGACCCTTGGGCCCTCCGGGGTGTACCATCAACACCAGCCATCTGAAGGACCGTGTATTGCCCGTCACCTGCCTGTCTGCCAGTAATGCGGGGTACTTCCTCTTGGGAGCTTGGAGACGAGTCTCTATCCGGCCCATCGGGTACGGAGATGGCCTGCATGTGGTTCGCATTCTTCCGGAATACCCTGCCATGGAGGCGTTGTCCTGCTGCTTGCAGCGCTGGTGCATTAGCGCAGGTTGGAGATCGAGGTAGCAATCATGCAGCACTTATTGCCTTCGTTTGGCGCGTAGCAACGGCTAACAACGCTCAACTCTGAGTTGCACGTGCCAAATGATTGAAATAGATTCGACTGGATTCTGATCAATGGATGGGTGCGGTCCTCTAGTCAAACAGTTGATCATTCAACGGTCGGTAAATAGGTGTAGTTACTACAAGGAGGCGCGCGGGACAGCCGCTGGATGTGATGCGATAAAACACTGTGGCATGGCATGAGGAATATCAGGTTTATATTTCTCGTTCATGATGTTCGTTTCTTTTCAGTCATCTTGCCCCAGAGTCCAACCGGTCGTGATGTGTTATCACGAGATCATGTCGCACGATGAGCCGCCAGATACACCCCCTCACCAATACGATGGTCTCAGCCCACTGAAATTGCCTAGAGAGCTTGCTAGGTTTTCTTCGCCTTCCTTCTTACGTTGACCAGCGAGCTGTTGATTCCGCAATTATATGTCAGCGTTTGCTATTGAGCTAGTGCGTGGCAGGTCCGTTATCAAGAGCTTGGGTCTAATCAAGGCAGCTTGAAGGAAATGGGGTATCACAGGGTTGGGGTTGGGGTTGGGAGTCTTGGCCACTCGTAACGTGGAGCGCTGCTCCCCTTGGGTTTCACTGGAAACTTCAAGGTAGCGTGCAAAACCAGTGTGGATCAAATACCCCTACGAGAGAAGTTAGAATGACGGCATATTAACTCACCTCGAGCTGGACACCTTTGTGCAGGTGGACAAGCCAGTCCACATAGCTTTGCGCCTCGTTGTTTCGATCCTCGACCAGCATCCTCGCGAACTCATATTCGGCACCATCAATGCCTTGTCGCGCCAACTGGATGGTGAAGGCCTTGGAACCACGTAACGTCTTCAGGAACTCGACTATGTTACGGACTTGGGCGTTAAGGTGGGTCTCGAGGACCGGGAGGCTCGAGCTGTAGGGGTCCAGGGCTTTCAGACTATCTTTGCCATCGCCGAAGAGGTCCACGAGGAGGTTGGGAGAGGTCTGGCTGTGGAACCAGAGCAGACACTGTTGGCCGTTATCCACCAGATATACGCCGCCGGCTTCAACTCGTGAGAATGATGCTCGGATGGCGGGAGGCACCTTGAGATGGCCATTCTCGTCAGGGAACCCGTCTTCAGGGGCTAGGTTGTGGACGGGGATCATGCGTGGGTAGAGGTAGAGACTGAGCTCGCCGGGTCCGAGAGAGCGCAACATACGCATCTCGTGTACCCTGCGGTCGGAACTCTCATTGCCGCCCTTGAAGGCACGACACTTCAACAGACCAAGCATATACATGGAGAATTCCTTCAGCTTCTCCGGCATGACCAGCTGACCAGGCGGGTGCGATTGCGACGTGAAGTTCTTCCTATAGCTTGCCAACACGTCGATCGTTTTCTCCGTCAGCTGTTGCCGCGTTTCCTTCAAGGTGACAGATGTCGATCCTAGGCTCGTGGCTGCCTCTTTGGCCAAGATGGAGACCACAGCATCCTGATCGACGAATTTCACGCACTCTCTCGCTACGTCGCTGACGCTTGCTATAACGTTGCAGCACCTGACGCGGCGTTGGCCGGATGCCGTCGTGTACAGAAGGGCGGACTGGAAGTGAGCATCCAGCTTGGCGTCAAGTTTGCCATCGTAGCCAAAAGTAACGCCAATCGCCTTGTCTGCATCAATGACGCCGATCTCGAGGTCGGCGCCAAATGTGTGCTGCTGGAAGAACCCGTGATAATTGGAGATCTGCAGGCCGTTGGAGCAACGTACTTTCATCAGAGCCTGGTATCCGGTCTCTCTCGTGACGGTGTGCTTGATCTCCAAGGAAAGCTTGGCGTTATCACGGCCGGCCACGAAGTTCGGGTAGTAGAATGTCTCGCCGCCCGTGAACGAGGAGACATGTCCAATGGTGGCAACGTCAAGATAGCCGCCAGACGGGGCCGCCAGGAAGAAGTCGACACCCACACCGGCGGCGACCATCTTCTCTGCGACCTTCTTCCAGCCGGGGTGCTCAGTGTTGTAGAGCTTCTTGTCAAGCTCGCCGCCGGGGTGCTTGCCATCATCTCTCATAAAGAGACGACCCGGGCCCCAGGTTGGCAGAGAGGACAATGAGCAGACAACCTTGCCACCGGTCTTTTCTAGAGCCGCGAGGGCCGAGTTGAGGGTCGGCAGCAATGCAGGCTCTGGGTTCTTGATGCTGGAGAAAAGGGTGGGAAGTCTCGTCAGGAGCGAGGTGATGACAGCCCGGGATTCGTGGGGATCCACAAACAGACCCGTGCTCAGGGGTACGAAGGGATCTTCCACATCGGGCATGACCAGCATCTGAGGCTGCTCAAGCGAGGGCTGGGAAGAGGTCAGCATGTTTCTGACATGGCAAAAGCACGGATTGAGAGACCTACATGGCAGGAGTAGAAGTGGATGTCCTTGTCGTAGGTCACAAACCCAACCTTGGCACCAGGCGGCAACCTCCGTTTCGACTCTCCGTTCTCGTCCTTCTCGTCGTCGTCGCCATCGGGTGCATACAATGCAGCCAGGATACCCTCGCAGAAGGCTTCGAGGAAACCCTTGTTGAAAGCCTCCTGGGTAACGTCGATAAGGAACAGCCAGTTCAAGCCGACAGGCTCCTTGGTGTAGTACTCCTTGGGCACAGTGAACTCAACAGTGCCGCGGCACAGCTCTGGCCGTTGATCTCGGTCGACTCTGACGCCTTGGGGGGTGGTGGCGCAGAAGTATTCGGATGGGGTATCATTAGGGTAAGTACAGAGGTTGCAGACAAACTTGCTGCCACCGGATCGGAACATCATGAATGGATTGATGTATGCCCTGCATCTCCTGCACCTCGGAGGGCCTTGGTCGCCGAAGTCGAGCAGTGGAATCTCCAGCTCACCGGGCTGGAGCTTGGCGAGGGGCTGGACAAGGAGTCCCAGCGGTAGCCCCATGCTGTTGAGGCCCTCCTTGCTTGCCGGGATGTTGTTCATGGTCAGGCGGGTGAACTTGGGGGCCGAGTTGCCCTGGTCGAAGGCAACATAGGAGATGGAGGCCGGGGGAGGAACATGGCGTTCAAATGTCGGGTAGACATTGTTGAGGAAATGCTGCTGCGGCACGTCTCTCGAGATGGGCACACTGGGGATGTCGTCGGGCGAGACCTGGCCACCTCCCGAAGCCGGCACATATGCAGCCTGCGGCCCTTGGTCGGCGCTCCCGTTCCGAGCGGCGAACTCGGCCGGCGAGGCGGCAGCAGGATTGAAAGGCGGGTTGACCGGTGCCGGGAACTGGCTGTTTCCGAACTGGTTCGGGGTGACGGGCTGGCCGAGGAACTGGCCACCGGCGGCGACGGACGGATCGGCGTTCAGGAAGGCGGTCTGGGGAGTTCCAGCGGGCGGCATGCCATTGAAGGCCTGGGACGAGCCGGCGGGGGCCTCGACGGTGTGGAAAGCATGTCGGTCCTTCTTCTTCCTCCGGGCCGTGTGTTGCGCCGCATCCTGGATGCCCAAGCCAGCCATCTGCGAGGTTAGGTCCTGCGGCGCGCCGTACTGCTCTTGCCCCTGGCCGTGGGGTTGAGGCGGTCCGTAGCCAGGAGCGGCAGCCGGGGATGGGACGCCGCCCATGTACTGTTGCTGCTGCCCCTGGAGCTGGGGCGACGCGCCGTACGGGTGGCCGCCATATTGTTGCTGCTGCTGCTGGGCGATGGGAGGCGCGAACTGGGGAGCGGCCGGCTGGGTCCGGCTGTTGGGGTCGTTGGGGTCAAGCTGTTCGCCCTGACCGAGGGCGTGGTACATGGAGTAGTCGGCCATGTCGATTGGGTTTCTCGTCTCGGGTATCACGTTCGCTGCATGCACGGGGGTCTATCGTGTACTTGGTGGAGGCGTGAGGCGTGAGGCGTCGGACGGGGGGGAGAGCACTTGGACATAGGAGATGCTCAGCAATCAAGTCATAAGAAGGAGGGACGGCCCATGATCAGAGCAGAGGGGAGCAGAGGGGCGGCGGCGGCAGGGCGTCGAGCGGTGGTGGTGATGGTTTCGCTTTTGGCGATCGGATCGGTCTTCAGCAGACTCCAGAGAAATAAGCCAGATCTGTCGTCTCTGGCCGGAATCCCACCTTCAATGGCGCTGGCCGGGATGTTCCCTTGGGGGGTGGCCCCTGTCGTCGGCCCAGACTAAATACTGTGTGTGGGCTTGGTGGGATGGTCCCCGTCTGGCCACATTTGCATTTGGCATTTGCTTGCAGACGGGACCTCGGGACCCTCGACCACCACGCTGCACTGAACTGGACAGCTGTGAGCCATGCTCCGGCCGGGTTTTTCCCGCCCCGAACAGGCGCCGGCGGCTGCTCGGGCCCCAGAGCGAGCCCCCAGAGCTCCAGGTCGCGCGGCTGGGCCAACCACCGAACAGCAGCACCCAGTCCCGGTGCTCCAGGGAGCTTAGAGCCTGCCTAGGTAACTACCATAGCACAGGCGAGCCTGCAGGGGAGCCTACAGGTGCCTGTCTGCAGGGGGTCGGCGGCCGTGATCTCATGCGCTAAACTGCCCTGGAGTACCTGGCCTAGAGGCTAGAGCCCACCTTTGCCCACCAGCTGCACTGGACCGCAGGTAAGGCAAGGTCAGGCGAGGTGAGGTGAGGTACCTACCTAGATACCTACCTACACCAAACCACAGTGGATCGTATGTGGTCCATGTCGTCGCGCAGGATTCGAGCTTCACTTCCCACCCTCCCAAGCAGCGCCGCCAGTCGCGTGGATCCAGGCGCATCAGCACTCTACGAACCCTCCGAGCTGAGCTGAGTGGACGCCTCACAGCCCAGTGCATGCATTTCTGAACTAGAGCCAGTGGCACGCGCCGCTGCTGTGTGTCACTGCTCTTGGCTACCTACCGAGCCTCGCGCATTCCAGCTTCCCTCGTCGTGGGTATATCTCTGTTCGCGTCGCCTCACCGTCTGCGGCTGTTCCCATCGTTGCTGCCTCGACCCGGGTAGAGCGGCGCTTGGCCGCACCAGCACACCAGCAGCCACTGCACCATGTTCACCTTCACCCCGTTGCAGGGCGCCAAGTCCGACTCGACTGCGGTCCAGTCCATCCTCGAGCTGGACGGCGGCATCAAGGTGCTCGTCGACGTCGGCTGGGACGAGACCTTCGACCCCCAGACGCTGAAGGAGCTCGAGAAGTTAGTAACAAGTCACGCCCCAGGCGGGTATACCGAGATCGCCGTCACGGTGCTGACCATGTCGCAGACAAGTCCCTACCTTGTCCCTCGTCCTCCTCACCCACGCCACGCTCTCACACCTCGGCGCATTCGCCCACTGCTGCAAGCACATCCCGCTCTTCACGCGCATCCCCGTATACGCCACCACTCCCGTCATCTCGCTCGGCCGCACCTTGCTACAGGAACTCTATGCTTCCACCCCGCTCGCCGCCACCACCATCCCCAAGGCCTCGCTTGACGAGGTCTCGTACTCCTACAACGCCCAGGCCAAGGCATCCGAGTCCAACATCCTCCTACAGCCGCCCAACCACGAGGAGATCACCAAGTACTTCTCCCTCGTGAACTCCCTCAAGTACCTCCAGCCACACCAGCCTCTCGGCTCGCCCTTCTCGCCGCCCCTGAACGGTCTGACCATCACGGCATACAACTCGGGCAGCACGCTCGGTGGAACGATATGGCAGATCCAACACGGGCTAGAGTCCATCGTCTACGCGGTCGACTGGAATCAGGGCCGCGAAAATGTCTACGCAGGTGCGGCTTGGCTGGGAGGCGCTGCCGGCGGAGGGACAGAGGTCATCGAGTCGTTGCGCAAGCCCACGGCTCTTGTCTGCAGTAGCAAAGGCTCGACGAAGCCGTCTTTACCGAGAGCCAAGAGAGACGACCCGCTCCTGGAGACGATAGAGGGCTGCGTAGCCAATGGAGGCACTGTCCTGATACCGGTCGACTCCAGCGCCCGAGTCTTGGAGCTGGCCTACCTGATGGAGCACGCCTGGCGGCGCAATGCGGCCAAGGAGGACGGAAAGCTTCACTCGGCCCAGCTTTACCTCGCCGGCCGCAGTATTCACAGCACCATGCGTTATGCCAGGAGTATGCTGGAATGGATGGACGAGCGGATCGTGCAGGAATTCGAGGAAACGGCCGACGGCTCCAAGAAGACCAATGGCGCAACCGAAAACGCCACTCCAGGGAAGCAGGGAGGCCCGTTCGACTTCAAGTATTTGAAGCTTTTGGATAGGCGAGGACAAGTTGACAAGGTCATCTCCTCTCAACGGGATGCTGCTTTTGGCAAAGTGATACTAGCCAGCGATTCTAGCCTGGACTGGGGCTTTTCCAAAGATGTCTTCAAGGCCCTGGTGCAAGATCCCAAAAACTTGCTGATCCTGACCGGGCTCCCTTCGCCACCAGCAGAGGGCAGCACCGCCCCGGCTGCTACGTTTTACAGATGGTGGAAAGATGCAGTGACAGAAAACGCGAAGCACGGCCCCGACACGGTTGGGTCTGGCATTGGGACTAACGGGGCCCTCATCCAAGTACCTGGCTCGGGGAGGGAAACAGAGCTAAGAAATGCACAGAGGGTGCCCTTGGAAGGGGATGACCTTGCGGTCTACCGATTCTGGCTTGCCCAACAGCGGCAATTACAAGATACCCAAACCGGCGGCGCTACGGCCTTGGACACAACGTTGGACATTGACGACGCCTCCTCAGAATCTTCATCCGAGTCTGGAGACTCAGAGACGCACCAGCAAGGCAAAGTCCTCAACGTGGCCGCCACTTTGGGCCGTGCCACCAGGAAGAAGGCCGCTCTGGCCGATGAGGACTTGGGTCCGAATATCTTGCTTAAAAAGAAGGGCACATACGATTATGACCTTCGAGGAAAGTCCGGCCGAGATGCGTTGTTTCCCTACCCAGTGTCGAAGAAGCGTGGTGACGATTACGGTGATCTGATCCGTGTGGAGGACTTCCTCAAGACCGAGGATCAACAAGACGAAGGTCACTCAGGAGACCATGAAGGCAAAGCTGACTCCGATGCCAATCTGGGCAAGAAGCGCAAGTGGACCGACTCGGCTCCAGGCAAGGGGCAAGCCGCAGGCTCCGATAAGAAGCAGAAGCTTGAGCGCGTCTCGGATGAGTTCGAAACAGCCCTTACCGACGGCCCAGTAGACAACGAGCTGGATGATATTCCCGAGGAGGAAGAGGACACGTCAACCGGTCCATACAAGCTCACGATCACCACCGAAAAGATCACTGTGAATCTGAACATTGCTTTCATCGACTTTAGCGGTATTCACGACCAGCGCAGTCTCCAAATGCTGATCCCCCTGATCCAGCCGCGTAAGCTCGTCCTCACGGGTGGAACCTCATCAGAAACTGATGCGCTGTCGACGGACCTGCCGAAACTCATCCAGGCTCCGCTCGATATTTTCACGCCCGACATAGGGTCGTCCGTGGATGCGTCCGCCGACACGAATTCCTACACCGTGAGCCTGGCCCCTTCGCTCGTGAAGGGCCTGAAATGGCAGGATGTCGGAGGCGTCAGGATCGCCACCCTCGTCGGCCGCCTCAGCGTCACGGACGAGACCAAAGACCCGGTCCTCGAGATCCCGCCCGCGCTGGCGACCGCAGGCCTGGTCGCCACGCAGGCCGTGGCCCCCTTCCACGTGGGCGACCTCCGCCTCGCCAACCTGCGCAAGGACCTCCGCGACAGCGGCTACTCGACCGAGTTCATGGGCGAGGGCACGCTGCTGGTCCAGAACGCCGTCATCGTGCGCAAGGCCGCCACCGCCGGCCGCATCAGCGTCGAGGCCGCCGGCTGGGAGACCGACACGGTCCAGATGGTCCGCAGGCTGGTGTACGAGAAGCTGGCCGTCGTCGGACATTAGTCAGGCGGGCCCCATCCCCATGTACCACCACGACTAGAGTGTTTCTATTAGTTATAGCACCATCCCATTCAATGGGACTGGCCGCGAGGGCGAGCTCGTGGCCAATATACCCGTTCGTCTGAGCTGATGGGGGGTTTTCTTCCTGGTGTAGAAAAGATGATTGAGTGATTAGTCCGCCGCCTTATACCGTGCTCGCTATCCCCGGCTGGCTCCTGTTGTCGGAGCCAACCCCTCGAAGAAGCTCCTCGAGCGAATTAGTCAGCTGGTAGACGCTCTCAAGCAGGCCATGATGCTGTTAGAAAACATTATGTGCCAAAAAGTATTTACATCCAATTGAAGATGGAGTACATCCAAATGCAGTAGCAGACTCTGTTCATCACAGGGGTCTATCTATAGACCGACGGTTGAGTTGAATGCTCAGTGCGTGGGCGTTATATCTTGAACCGGCCTCGGACTATTCTGCCCGATGCCCAAGGGGTGTCGTGTCACATTATAGAAACCATCCACATCGTGCAGACATTTCCCCAGGTTCTTGCATCATCCCATAGAGACATACCAGAAAACGAGCGGCACGCTTTCAGAACACTTGTCAGCCGTATAGCCCGTGTTATTTATCTGCCTCTGGGTTCGAGGGAGTACGAGGGGATGAACAGAGCACGCAGACGTTCTAGAAAACCGGACGCAGGGAAATGTAGGTTGCAGTACGGGGATGTGGTAGCCGTTTCGATTGATTCCGCTCTGTCTAGTTTTCTAATACGTCTCGTCTGTGTGTGAAAGTCAGGAGATCGTATTCTTGCAACTTTTATTGAACCTATTTTTAATTTAATTTATTTTTCTTTTTGTCCTTCTTTCTCTTCAGAGGCTATCTAACGAGTAGCCACGTTGAATTATCTGGCTTGAACACGTAAGGCGTATATAGTATGTGAGAATGACCGGTTTTCCAGTACGTCTGCGTGAACTCTTAGCTACTCCATTTGAGCTGGGTCGAAGTTAGGTCAGCAGTGTAACGTCTCTCCGGCATTGTAGTTCATGGGTCATTGTCAAGTTGTGTCCATAGAGAAATCACGCGAGCCGATGAGACACACAGAGAGAGTACGCCACGCAAGCCACTGCATCCCCACAGCTGTGCCCGATGTGTGTTGATCCTCATGTTCCAAGCGGTGTCATAATCTGGGCATGCGTCCCCGGGGCGTTCCGTAGTCGAACATGTCGCAGGTTCCAGTCGAGATAAGGTACATAAGCTGCAAGTACATATGTACGTTCGTGCTCTTTGCTTGGGCCCACGTCTCTTTGCCCGGGACCACCTCTCTTAGCTTTGGGTGGGTTCCCTTTCTTCGCTTGGGGTCACTTCCCTTTGCCTGGGACCACTTCTCTTTGGCGGAGCATGTACGTACTGTGTAGTACTCGCCCAAACTTGCGTGACAGGACCCTCTTAGAAGTGGGCCTGGTTTGGGATGATATGTCTTGGCATTACCCGTTGTTCCTATAGACTCGACCGTCACTCAGCTGCATGTTACACAGATTTGCGAGGCTCGTTTCGTTGCTGCTTATAGGCTGACTCGGCGCACAAAGTCCTAGGTCTTTGCTAATGTGTGAAACCTGCGAAGTACGCAGACTGGCACTACTGTGCTGTATGGCAGTGTGTAAAAGTAGCTAGCTTCTTCTATGTCGTCACCGAAGACCCTTGCGGATTTGTGCATGGTACATGCTTGCTCGACGAATTGCTTGGGCCGCCCATCCCATTCTTCTGGGTAGAAACCTCCGAGCCTTGCTGCAAATATTATTTGCATCTTCAGCGAGATTATGCAGGGCCCGGTACACTAGTCTTCCGCGAGTGGTGACATAACAGGGGCCGAGGCTTACAGAGGTCCCCCTCCATCATGGGGTAATAACGGCCTTGCATGGCTCGGCGTTGCTTTTGTTTGTCTGATCCCATCCGTACGTCTTCCCTGGGCCTGTCCGCGCCGCGGGGTGGAAAGGCTGGCATTGTCAACCGCCGCGGCTCCTCCCCGGCCAGTAAGAGCTACCGTAGACACACACCGTAGGCGGGATAGCTTTCAGATTCGATTCTTCGGTCCAGCTGCATATTGGTCAGCTTACGCAATGATTTCGATTGCTTCTCACATGAGACTGCGGACCAAAGCATCCCGGCTGAAGTGAGTTCGTGCGTTAGATGTGTTTGCCTCAGCGTTGGTGCTATCCCCGGCGCGTGCTTTGTGTAACGGTGTACTTACGAGACTGTAGACAATTCTTTCCTGTCTTCCTTTCCCAAAAGTCCATCTGGTAGGCAATATCTTGATATATTCTTTTTCAAAACAAAGTATCAAAATCTAAACTTTCAGTTTAGGCAGCCCTGTTGAAACTGTTGGCGGTTTGGGATGGCTGATGGCATATGTCTGAGTCTTTGGAAGGGCTCTTCCTTTCCTGCAGCGAGGTGGAAACTCTACATGGGCAGGTCATTCCGCTCACATCGCTTCTGCAATTCCGCATGTTTAATATTCTCGACAAAAACATTTTGTTTCTGAGCTGTAATGCATCATTGTGTGACAAACATGCTGGTAACAATATAGAGTCAAGCGGCAAGATGGCTTGATATGTACGGTGTAGGTCAATGTGCACCATAATTCAAGCTTAGTGAATTAATGTTGCTTCTGTTTAGTTTGCTGGCCTGCACTTGTTGTATGGTACTGTGTCGGCGCGTAACGTCTCGTGGAGCCTCGGACACGACATCTTGTTTCTCTCTGCTAACCATGTTTCTCCTATACCTAGGCTGGTATGCCATGCTAATATAACTATTTCTACGTATAAAGCATTTCAGGACCAAACAAAGGGAGATGAGGCTTGAACAGCTAGTTCTGCATCGCTCCAGTGACCGAGAGCCGCGCAAAAGGATGCTCCACCAATGCGAAGGCTACATTGTAGCTCCATCCCCGACATGCAAATCTTGGCCAGTGAAACTGCCATATCCTCATACATGATTAGACATCTGTCAAGCTCTTTCCTGCATGAGGCCCAATGAACCGTCATGCACGGCCTTCCATAGTGCCGTAGGCAGCCAAATCTACAGAGCGCTGGCCTCTAGCCAGATTTCGTTGCCCGCCAGCCCCCAGTCATATTGATCAGATTCAGATCGTAGCAGGGCCATCCTGGTAACTTATGCACGGGTTTTTTGACGGAATGCATGCAATGACCCACCATGTTGCTACTGCTCGGTCGTATTTTCGAATCCGTATCGCTTGCCAAGTCAAGAACGGCTGCACAGATTTCAGTCTGTAGGCTGCGAGCGTAGATGAGTCTCTGGGTTGCTTGGATGGATCTCAGCGCACACGTACTCATCTGTTAGAGTTACCAGAGTCTTAAGTGATTCGCTTACATCGCTGTAGCTCAAGCTTCTGATCCACCGGCCACCCGTCCCGGGCGCCCCGGGTGCCCCAGGCAAGCATAAGGGTAGCTGACACGCGCTCTGCAGCTTCAATTAATTTTTTAAGGTTGCTGCCATGGTAGCATGTTTCAGCACTGACGCGGCAGGCGGGCATGGCGGATGAGTGGGATGACATCCGGGGTGTCTTACTACAGCAATAGAGACAGAGGCTACTGTACTCGGTCTTCTTCAAAAGCTTCTGCCAGCGCTAGACGGTTCTTCTTCCAGATATGGAACGCATTGTTGATCTAACTCTTATCGCGATACAAGCTCAAGTACTCAACGTAGTGCCATACGTGAAAGGGGAGAATTCCACGAGGGCCATCAATAGGCAATGAAATCCAACTGAGTCGCCAAGTTGGCTCACAGGTATTGATTGCCTTCTCATTACGAAATAGTTATGGACCACTTTTGCAATCGTATGAAAAACTGCAGCTTCATGCTTGATTGATCAAAGGACAGGTTCCGCCAACCGAGGCCACACCGGTTACGAATTGGTTTCTTAATCTGTCTTGGCACAGACGGCATGATGTCTTAGTACATCCTATTCTGGCAGTCAATCAACCATTTGTCTGTTCCTTGCTCTTCGAGATAAGTGATCGTAGCTGAGTGATGATTCCATGGCTTGCAGGAGTGGGAAGACAATTCCGCCATGGGGGAAAGATTATGGGAGCAAAGCCTTGCGCGGGTTGCAACCAACATTGTGGTTTGTACAGAACCTGTCATATTCATTCTTCTTGATCAACTGGTTATTAATGTACTGTTACACTGCATGGCACAAGATCATGAGACGACATCATATCCAGGCCACGTGTTTAAATGGCATACGATTACGAGGCTGAGGTCCATCGCGATTGGAAACACTCTACAACTAGGCCTTTGCAGTACAAATCCTGGTAAGGTCGCATGATTGGCAACTGTACCAAAAGTCGCAAGCGGAACTGATCAATGCGTCCCCCAACGGTATACTCTTGTTGTGGTACACGAGGTCCGAAGCTGGGTCTGTAGCTTGCCCGGTTTGCGGAGGCTACAGTTTGCGAGCCTTGTCGTTAGGTGCGTGTTCCATGACTCAGGAAGGCTGCCGGGTTATGGCTTCATGATTTGAAGATGCCATCAAGGGATCTTGCCTTAACTAATTACCTACTTTGGTCGCCTTGTCACCCTGCAGTAGGAGCTGGAAATCCACGCGTTCAGAGGCATGCCTTGGCGAACAAAGACCAGACAGGATATGCTCAGGGGCTTCTTTCGTCGTCTCGTTGAAGTCACTGGCTTCGTTTAATGACACACAGCCGTGCCGTCAGGATTACTTGTGAATTCGACGAAATTGTGTGAATTGTATATACATTTTGCAACATATTAGGTGAGGCGAATGGTGCAGCAAATAATATATCTCTAAATGTCATTTCATGGTCTGGGCCGCCGGTAGTTACTGTATAAATCAAGGATGATGCGAGTACTGCGAGCTATATGATCATTTCTTGGAAAGAAACATATGTTAACGAGTAGCATTCCTCCAAAACGACAAATATTGAAAGCAAAATTACATATGCTCATTACGACTACAGTAGGCCTAGGGTGCCGAGCGGATGTAATGTGATGCCAATGGACTTAGGAGCTTGCATGATACAAATTTCAATGTTTGAAACCTTCTCGCTTGTTGTACTGGATGACCATGGCCGCACAGGGCAGGATAGATGGACCCACCAATGAAAACCAATACCAGGTTAGAAATGCAATAGCTTGTAACAGCTTTACTTACATGCCTCACCCGGGACTGGGCTTCTCCCAAGAATTACTGAGGCCGACACCAGATCAGCCGGGAAAACACTATGTTCGTGGAAAGCATCCGCAAACGGGTCAGCATGAAGTCGACGTGGACACCGCCGCAAATAGACAGCCGAGTTGTCAATCTCACCGCTATTGGCTTTGTGCCCAGCGATATGATAGTGACGGTTCCTTCTGTCAATGTTGCTGCGGGCCGCGCCTTTGTTGGCGGTGTGGCCCTGGGGCTTGTAATCATGCGCGGGTTTCGACCAGACCAACACAGTGTACTTCTTTCATCTTCCATATGACGAATGACAGGCTGGCAGCGACATATCGGAATCAGAATGTGTTTCTCGTCTGGCAAACGTATCTAATACAACACAGCCCGGAACTGTTATGGATGGCAGCTGGCCATGCAGCTTCCTAGATTCAAGGCTCGTTTCGATCGGGGTGTCATTTTGGCAATCGTCATCGGTGTCGGCAGTGTGCGGATGGTCCTTTAGCTGGAAATTGCTATTGAAGAGGGTCAGTCGATACCAGTCCAGCATATCATACTCCCCGGCGACTCGGGGTAGACCCAGATGCTTCAGTTAGGGGTTGCGGCATGTCGACAAGCCTGTGGCTAGGTATGTGTGGGCCTGTCTGCTTTCAAGCCCTGCGAGCAACTTGTTCGCCAGCCTGTCTGCCTCGTAGATACGACCCGCGTATTCATTCGTCAAGACGGGGCGTCCATTAGTGTGCTCGATAGATGTGCATCGCCCAGAAGCAGAGAAACATAATTAAGACATCAGTCTCGGGTCTTTTTATCCTTCCGTTCCGCACCAAATGTGTACGACCTTGGCTCCCTGGCCGTTCTGTAGCGCATTGTTTCGTTCGTTCGTTCGTTCGTGTGTAACGAGGACCTCGGTCGCCGAAAATGACCCAAAGACCTGGGACTGTTATGTTGTAGAAAGGCATGGACAACGTCGGAGCCTGCAACTCAGAGGTATTGCACAGCTCGTCTTGCCATTTGTGTATTCTCGCGCAAGCATCCTTTTGTTCTTTACCGGGCAAGAGGATAGTGACCAATCGATGGCTAGCGAATCCTGTCTGCGTCGGCATTGTAGAGTGTTTGCCCCGGACCGTCCCGCGGCTCTTCGCCATCCATGATAGATCACTTCTTGCTTTCTTATGGCGCGAAGTCTTTGATGACTTGGTTGGGGGCGGCGGGACGCGCTGAGCGGAAGGGTAGGACTCGCCCGCCTTCGGCCACATCAGGCATTGGGCATAGTTCGGCTAAGAGGGTGCAGGATCTCGACGATCCTATCGGACCTTCTGGGGTATCGGGGGTTCGTTGAGATCTGATTTGTCGCATCTGCGAAAGGCAGCCACTGTTGTTTCGAGTGACGGTAAGGTGCAGGATCGTTTGCCAAGTGTCGAGTTGCATGGCGGTGCCTCGAGTCCTACGGCTCGCGCTGCTGTTGGAGGGAACGGGGGTCCTAAGGCGGTCAAGACTGCATAGTAAGGCGGTGGTCGCGCTCGTGAAGTTGAACAGATATAGTAAGCCTGTCATCGACCTCGACCGAAAGCATTCAGGCTCAATGTTCGCAGGCTGGGTTGGTTGGTCCACTACAGTCGGCCAGGGGCTGGAGGGTGGGAAGGGTTTTCATAGTAGCTCGACGTTTAGTAGATGTCGTAACGCCACCAGTCACCGAGGTAGGCGATACATGAGACGATGTCCCAGGGGTCAATGTCTCAATTCGCTTGAGGCTTGACAGTGTAGGAAGTTTAGTCAATACCAGTCTTGTGTGATCTGTATTCGAAGAAGTGCTTTACTACCCTGCACGTAGGGTGATATGCCTTAGGTAACTAGTGCCAACATTGCATAGCAAGGGGGTCTGAACCACTCGACTCGGTGTGCAAAACATGACAAGCGAGTGACAAAATACCCCGTCAACGCCAAACGATTAATTGATGTCCACAGATCCACGAGGAACTTTGGGGTAACGAAGGCAGTATTGGCACCGTAATAATCACAGTTCTTGCCAGAGATATTGTTCAGTCTATTCGTCGTTTTTCTTTTGTGCAACTTTCCAAGGGTTGAATCTAGCCTCTTTGTTAGAGAGCCCCGTTCTTCTGTTAACCTGCCTGCATGATGTCTCGAAACAACCTGGCAATTCACGTCATTTCTTTCCCATGATTCTCAGAAGTACAGTACAAGCTATATCGCGGGTGTCAACCTAATCGCACGCGCACATTAGGACGATTATGCAGGCAACCCTGCGGACCTACTCCGCGTGCGTCAAATCTGCTGGTTCGTTATCCTTAACGGTGACGACGACCCTTGTTCGCTGGCCTGAGCAATCCCGCTCCCTGGTTCCTTACAACCCATACATTTTCATTTCATGATCCTGTCAAGCACAGTGGCATACTTCCAGAAAACGTGACTGATCATTCACGATAGACTTGCGAGTAATGACTTGACATTAAGTATATTTGTGAGAGCATTTTGCTTATCTGATCTGAACCAGTGAAGCCAATCAACCTATCATCTCGCCCAACACCCGTTCGAATGGTTATGTGCATAACCCCTCCAGAATCCACTTCTTGCGAACTACACTACCACTAACCAACCAACCACCCAAGCCAAGCCTGACAACCTGACAATCTGTCAGCAAGATCAAGTGTAAGTACAACGAGTATACCCAAGGACTTTGTGATGATTTATCAGCAATATTATCAATAAACCATAACTCTAGATCCACACAGTAAACGTCAACCATCACTTCGGCCTTTTGCTTACCGCCAGGAACCAAGAAACCTGACAAGACCTTCCTTCTCAAAGAATTGTCGTTATAGAAAAATGAGGTTATGGGCCCAACCATATGTGACTTCGTGAGTAGATATCTAATAACGGCAATGAGATGTATCCAATTTCCGCTGTGAGACGAACACCTGTCCACAAGACGATCCAAAGCAGCTATCGACCATTTGATGAAAGTCCCAGTTGGGCACTCAATTATGATAGGAGGCAAAAATGGAGCTCATGATGTGAGCATAGAAAGCGCGAGTCGGGGATCCGGCCTACTGAGGACACGTTGGATCTCGCTCGGATGGAATACATTTTGGAAAATTTGATAGTCACTTGGGGCAGAGTAACTCCTTGAACTTGAACTCGAGCTCGAGCTCTGGGACTTTGACTTGCTCTTCGAGCTACTCCCGCTCTTGCTCTTTTTCGCAATGTCATCGAGGATGAGGCCAGCCGTGCTCTGGAACGGATCTTCGAAGACAAAGGCAACGTCATCGAAACGTCCCCTAAGCTCCGGATCGTAGAGGAAGACTTCGCGCCAAATCTCAGCCAGCTCCTGCGGCGGGTTGCGGTAACCGTTCCCTATAAACAGTTATAAGCTATGGCAGTGCCAAATCCATGTGAAAACGAAGAACATACCTAGGCCAAAATCCATCAGCACTACTTGACGATACTTCCATGCTGCACATAGGAACAGAGCAGAGCGTATCTTATTCTTGACCAGCTCACGCTCGATCGGGAACGAAAACTTCGTACCGCCGTGGCTGAGTTTGGGCCACCGGCAAGCCGGAATGGACACCACGGGCAGAGCCTCAGGGTGGCTGAGTCTCTTATAAGTATCGTGTGGGCCCCTGAATACCACAACGAACTCCGAGAATATTGACCCTTCGGAAGGAATCGGGTAGTTGTTATTCACATAGGAGTCGGGCGCAGGTGTCGCAAGGGTTGCAGAAAGATTGGAGCGGCGGCAGAGTCTTTCCTCGTATCCTTGATGCAATTTGTCAGAGTATAGACACCACAGTATAAGCTCTCGAGCATTCTGGCTTGACGTACCGACGACTCCGGTCTCCCAGTCTCCCCCAGCTCTTCGATCATTGGCAGTGCAAATGAACGGAATCCTGCTTTGGTACTCTCCCTGCCACGCGATCGTGAAATCCACCGGGTCACCAATGTGAACAGCTGGAGCGAGTAAGTAATTATACCTGTTGGAGACTGTTTGGGACCCACAGAAAGAAGGCGGGGCGAGATTCCAACCTCGTGGTTCCAACTGGAATTGCTGGGTTGGCTGTTCGTAGAGATAGGAATGACACGGCCATTGTTCAGAATATCTCGCTCTGATTTTGGGTATGTCATGTTTCTTCGTTTCTTGTGCTACTTCCGAAGGTCTGGGCTTAGAAGACGATGATGGCATTGTAGAATGTACCGAATGGAATGGAACAATATGCGGTTCAGCAAGGAGAAAGGTGGCGAAATAAAAAGGATGGTATGGGTCTAAGCAGGCTAAGTGTTTGAGTCGAATGGCTTATACCCAGCGATGGCCAGTACAGCAAATTAGGAAAGGGTGGGCTGGGTTACTTATAGATGTCCTCACATCTGGAGTTGCTGGGCAGTAGTGACGATTGGTTGCTGGCCACCCTGACCGTGCAGGCAAGCAGCCCATGTCATGGACCGCCATCCTCAGCGAGAAGCGAGACATATCGTAGGCTCAAGATGCTGTCTAAAACACTTGGACAAAATATGCTATCAAGTGAGTTCGGGAAAGCGACGTCTGTAAATAGGTATCAATAAACCCGGCTGATTCTGTCAAAATGGTGTTGACTCATGAGAATATCCGCCCGTCTTGTGCGACAGCTTTTGCTCCCAAGAACCTGGAAGTTGCGCTGAATAAGTAAATGTTGGGTAGGACAGAGATCTTGTGCAACAAGGAGATCTCATTGTCTCATCGTCGTCACGTCTAGCTGCAGCCTTGACGAGACAGTCAGTCCTTTGGGGACTTTCGAAATAGCGAGGCTCTCGTTTGGTGGCCCGATGACGGGGACAAGAAGGCAAGCGCCAGTCCCGTTCAGCCTTCATACGCGCGAAGACAGGTTGCGGAGTTGCAGCAGCATCCTGCAAGGAACTGTGCAAGTGCTTGGGGATTCCGAAGGGAAGACGTATCAACTATGGATACAAAGCCGACTAGTGACTCTGGGGCAGTGGCCCGACAGTTCATAGTTGGGCTTTTTTGCCCACGAGACGTGATGAGAGAACGAGGTCCTCCGCACAGCGACCGGGACCTGCCAAGTACACCTCAACGGAGAACACTGGTTCTCTAAGAAGGGAATACTTGGGTAGAGAGCCCTCATGCAGGGTTGTGCAAGGCTGTCCCCTGTGGGCTTCAACAGAGCCAACATATTCCCACCTGCGATCCAATCGTGTATGGCTGGGTGTTGGCGGCTAACCGATTCACACTGTAGTCGGTGCATTGCATGGGGGCATGGTGGAATTGCGCAGCTCCGCTCCGGGCTGCCGCGGATGTATCCAATGCATTGTTGGACGGTGTGGAGTTGGTGTTGACATCAAATACCTGGTCAACCTGCCCTGGAACCCTGCCTGGAAGCAGCCGCCGCCACAGTCAAGCCACTGAGACGCCCGCTGAGGCCCGCTGAGGCCCGCTGAGGCCCGCTGAGGCCCGTTGGGCATGCGGCTCAAGCATCGCGCTAACTTGCCCGGCCAAACGTTGTTCCCAATTGAGCTTCAAACTGGTCCCCAGTACAGCACCCGGGTATGTATCAAGCAGCAGCGGACAAGCATGGAGATGTCGCCGCTGTGAGATTAGTTCTTGAGAGAGTAGTCTGACTTGCGACGGTTGAATTGGCTTATCAAAACCGGCCGCACGCACCCTTTCCGCGGGCGATGCGCAGCTTCTCGCCCTGCTACAATGCTGCTCCCGCTCTCGATATCAAAACGGCCCCTGGCGCATCGATTGTTCCAAACCACTTGGAGAACAGCCAAAGCCTTCAAGTCCACCACCCCGGAGAATGTAGCTGGAATCCTCCGCTGGGAGCCTTCAGAACCAGTCTCCGGAGTGGAAATCAACGGCTACGTGCGATCAGTGAGGGCTCAGAAAAAGCACCACTTCGTGTCGTTGGGTGATGGCACGACAATCAACTCTCTACAGGCCGTAGTGCCTGCTGACCAGGCTGAAGGGTGGGACAAATAAGATTCAATGTGTCTTTGGTTATGGGAACTCCTGGGCTAATTCGGCTTGACGCAGTCTGACCATTGGATCTGCCGTCCGACTACATGGATCTTGGGTTCCTTCCCGTGGCCAAGGGCAGAGTCATGAGTTGCAGGTGCAACGCGCAGAAGTCCTCGGAGCATCGGATGCCAAGGTATGTACATATTTCTGAGGCTGTGTCGCTATAGATTGTGAACAGTCTTGAGTCTAATATCACTCCAGACGTTCCCTCTTCAGAAGAAGTACCAGACTCCGGAATACCTGCGTACCATTCCTCACATGCGACCTCGGATTCCTTTTAACACATCTCTCTTGCGGTTTCGCTCCGAGGTCATTTCATCTCTCACTCGCTTTTTCAATAGCCGCGAATTCGTTCAAACGCACACTCCAATCCTTACTGCGTCTGACTGCGAAGGCGCTGGTGAGGTGTTCAACGTCTCAAGTGGCGATGAAAAACCTCGATCAGTAGATGAGACATCAAAGTCCTTCTTTCGTCGCCCAGTCTACATGACAGTCTCGGCGCAGTTGCACCTAGAAGCTCTAGCCCAGGCTCTTGGTAATGTCTGGACGCTTTCCCCGACATTTCGGGCAGAGCAGAGCGACACACCACGTCATCTCAGCGAATTCTATATGCTGGAGGCAGAGATGAGCTTCACCAGTGATATGGATTCCATTATGGATCTGGTCGAAGACATGCTAAGGCATGTTGCGACCGACTTGTCCGAGACCCGGATAGTTCAGGAGTTATCTGCGAGGAGCACTGAGGGGCTATCTGACATGGCTTCTGTGGACCAAGTTCAGAGGCGTTGGAAAGGCATTATGCGGGAGAAGTGGCCCCGTATCACTTATACAGAGGCGATCGACATTTTAACTGCCTCGAAGGAACGCTTCGAACAGCAGCCTGTTTGGGGTCAAGACCTTCGCACAGAGCATGAGCGATTCCTAGCGATGCATGTCGGCAAGGGCGAAACACCCGTATTCGTGACGAACTATCCCCGAGCCATCAAAGCATTTTATATGAAGACGGTTAATGATGATCTCGGGACGGCTGTCCCAGGTGAAACCGTCGAATGCTTCGATCTACTAGTACCGGATTTCTGCGAAATTGCGGGAGGGTCTATGCGTGAGCATCGCCTGGAAACTCTGATGGATTCTATGCGACTTCATGGCATAGACGCAAGCGCAGAAAAGATCACGAGTAGTGGGCAACCAACCGTCTCGAACAACAATCTCGACTGGTATCTAGATCTCCGGCGTTGGGGTTGCCCACCTCACGGCGGCTTTGGGCTTGGATTTGACAGGTTGATCTGCTATCTGTCCGGTATTCAGACTATTCGAGACACTACAGCATTTCCCCGTTGGTATGGCCGGTGTGATTGCTAGTCTTATTACCATCTGCTAAGTCATACCATTTTCGTTAATGCTTTCTGCTCTGGGCTGTGGGGTGGTGTCTTGTGATACCCTTACACGGCCTTGACTCACTTCTACCCGTCTCAGACAGCCTCCACCAAGGACTCGGGCGACGTGATTATGCAATCTACGACGAAGCTAGAGACGAAAGGTCTTTGAGGCTTGCTTTGACAGGTTTCGGTACCAACGCTTGTGTCCATGTCCCTTAACCAGGGAACGGGTTGACTTGAAGCAAGGGCACGCGTGACACGCACTGAGGTTATCTGTTGGCATTCTCGTTGGCTTTGGGAGGTATATGATGTTTCAAGAGAGCCCCGAAGTGAATTGGGGGGTTATTGCATGATGGCGGCATTGTATTATTTAGGTCTCGTTGGTGTGTGAAATTGGGGTTCAGCGAGCTTGTACAATATCCCTCCCTGTAACGCTGTAAGATGGTGTCTGACCCTAGACTAGAATTACATAGATCCGTAATGATGAGTTGAGCCTCATTAGCAATATACCTCTCTGATCATCGTACTTGGTGAGAGTGATAGCGTGAGTGACGCAGTATGTTTGACATCGGTATTGCAACCCGCCTGGCCACGTCCGGTGCCAAATATGGACAAGGCGGTACAGGACCCTTTCAAACGGCATTTGCACTTGTGAATGGCGCACAACAGTTGAAGCTCGCTCATGAACAGTATATGCGATTCAGTACTCGGGTCAAATGTAGTTCTTGTGCTGAGGCACGATGTAGCGGCTACGCACCTCACGTTCCCTACCTGGCCCACGGTTTGCCTACTACTGTGTGTGCATCACGGAAAGCTGCCTCTCGCAATCGCCCTACGTGATACTACATCTATCTAGATGGTAATATGGCCGATAGGGAATGCTTATCCATCCTGTGCCAGCCGCTCCAGGCAGTGACCTGCCCGCAAGTTACTGTTATAGGCTTTAACAACGATCGCAACGTGAGCTCAAGAACGTACACGAAGCCTAGTCTACACGACACGCATCAATGCTATTTCCCCTGGGCACACTAAACTGGGCGTTGCGCGATGGGAGAGACGGCTCAGAAGTCTGCATTTGGGCCGCCCGCACTTGCTTGAGGAAACCAAGTACTCGGCATGAACTCTGAGGAATCTTGGCAAACATCACTGATGAGCTCGTTTCCGTTCACTCGCAGCCAAGAGAATGCCAACCCTTGGAGAATGGTCTTGGCCAGCCGCCAAGGCCGAGCCTACCGGAGGGACAGGCGATGAAGGGATTTCTTTCTTCCACGTCCAGGCGCCGCCGAGGCCGCGTAGATATGCGATCTGCAAGTGCCGCTTGCTTTTGTCCAACGCTTCTTCAGTGGAGCCGCTGCTTATTACTTCCTGCTATTATGATGTTGCTTGTTACGTTCTCCTTTGGGATTTGGGCTTCCCACTTGGGACGATGAGCAGGTTTTTTCTGGGCATCTGCTCTTTCATGTGATTCGGGATGTGGGCGTTCTTGATAGCAGAGTGCAACATTGAGGCGCCCGGCGGGCCGGTGAATGCAACAAACAACTACAGTACTACAGCGCCGAGAAGCAGACTCAGCTCCTTGTCGAGTGCCGAGGCTTGGGCTGACCAGCTCGTCATCCGACGATCTGTCACTCTGCAAAGGACGATGTACCAACAAGGACCACAATGTGATTACTCGTCATTCTTGGCGCCGCCAACTCTCAGTCATCATCACTCAGCAGTTGCTATCGGCACATTGGACGATGCTGGGCAAAGTCGAATACGCACGAGCGCCGCATAGTCGCAGGCCATGTGAGAAGATTCCGGCGTCTCTCATGGGCTGGTTTTTCGGAGCATCATCCCAATTGATGTCAATAGCCGAGCTTGCCGATCCTCGAAGCTTATCACAACTGCTAAATCTCAAGCCGATGTCGTCTGAGGAGGTGTGACGCGTCAGCGCACTCCTCTTGGTGGATGGGTGGGTGGGTAGCTGTGGGGTCGCCGGATCCGCTAGCCATACCGCTTGTGGCCATCGCTGCCACGCTCAAAAGCTTGGCTTTCGAGCGTTTTCCCCTGCGTTGCAATGCATAGGTACGTACATCTTGTGGGGTTGTTCGGCTTGGTGGACGGGGTGGACGGGGTGGACCAGACAGTCGAATCATCTCCATGGGGTTTTGCCAGCACGAGTGCCGAGCGATCCGTTCCTGATCGTATTCACCAGTCTTCAACGCCACATCACCAAAGGTTTCTTACACGAGGCTGGGCCCGAAATCAGCCAACGGGCCTTGGTTACATGCCAATGGGCGGAGTCTGGCCTTAGAAAAATTGACAGGCGTGGACCCTTGCCGGGCAGGAGTAATGCCAAGAAACTGCCAAGCTCACCAAATCGACCGGGGGTCCAGCCCACCCACCGATTGCAAAGATCCTGGGAGCGGAAAGTTGCGTGGCGTTAACTGAACAAGGGTCTCTGATTTGATTACAGTTGCGCCCACGAATTAAGCTTATAGCCAGAGTGTCGCATACGGTAGCTCGGGAATCTTTGGGGGCACAAAAGGCCCGAGAAGCGAGATGAACATGCCATACAGATGCACGCCCGCCAGCCAGCCGTACATACCCGGTGCTTGTCCTGCAGTCCACTCCCGGTTCGAGGTGGTGTTGAATCACCATTCGGCCATTGCGGCAAGCTATTCGCGAACGAACTCACAAAATTGTACGATGGGGTTTCAGTCATCAGCTGCTAGATTGTGTTTTCAGACCCTGAATGGTCTGATAACCTCAGCTTAGTCGGACGATGGTATGCATCAGGCTTGCCAAGCATCCTGGGCAAGGGCTGGGATGGAGCCAATCTGTCACCAATAGTCACCAGCGGAAGACCTGTCCCCATGGCCAGGTTCGCCAGAGTCATATGCATAGTACTTGTCCCCAACTCAGATCAGCAATGATCATTTTCCAGGTGGGTCGGGACCGACTGGGTTTCGAGGATAGGGATCCTTCTTAGGCTGCAGCAAGATTGCGGCACGTATCTTTTTTTTTAGCCAGGCTCCTTTGTGATCATGAGGACGGGTCCGTCGTCAGAGTCGTGTCCAGACAACGGGAACCTGGCAGCGTGAAAAAGCCACGTTGCTGACTGGCAGGGAGTTCTGCGTACCCGAGCTGAGGTTCGAATAACGTTTAAGTTACCCAGCGATTTGGCGCAACAATAGAAAGACCCACTATCACAGCTAGGTTAAATCGGGCTACATGGCGTTGGAGCAATTGCCTCGCTCGCCTCACCGACGAGCTTTCCTGCGATCCAGTAAACTGCAGAAGCTAAAGGCGAATATGGTCTGTATATGGCGTGCCATCAGGATACAACGAGCGCAGTGCGAATAATGCCGCAGGTTGCGTTTCCTCGTAGGCAATCGCCTGGTTTACTCTAGCCAAGCCTCTAGCAAGTCCAGGGCTGTCTCACTAGCCATGTGGTTTTCAGCACACTATCGGACGCCTATTCACGCCTGAGCGGAGTGTTTGCCCACAAAACAGGCACACTAGCAAAACTATAGTTTTGGCATCATCGTCTCGGAACATTTGCTTGGTCCTGTTGAGCGGGCCCGAGCTCGACAAGAAGTGCAGGAAATAGCGAGCACATCGCAATATGTCGACTTTCAGCCGGCCAAGCGGACGCCACGATCTGTGCAACCTATCATCCCGAACTGATTTGACGTTAACCACAGGGCTATGTTGTCCATGGCTGGGCCGTGGGTATAGTCTTTTCCGTGGTGAATGAGCGGTAAGCGAGACGGGGCAACTATTCCTTTGCAAGCTGGACTGTGATCATATCACATCGGCTGGTCCAATGATTAGAAAGCCAGTAGAAAGCTCGCCCCCTGGGGAGAGCCTCAGTGTGATACGAAGGCATCTCAACCTTTCTCCTATCCTGGCCGCGGACCCGATGGAAGAGCTCTGGGGCGTTGGGACTGCACTCGGCGGCATCGCAATCTAAGGCTTCATGCATAGTAAAGATCGGGCCGTTGTTGAGTTGCAAACCAAGCAGGATATCTACTCCAGACAATACCATCATTGGATACAACTACAAGTTCAGGAAAACCACGTGTTTCAAGGGTTTCCTTGACATTAGCTCACCCACTAGTACTGTGAGCTTAATGACGAGTTTAATCTAAGGAGAAAAGATGCAAAGAAATCAAGCTCAATCAAACGTTCTGGCGTCTGTGTTGTAAATCAAACGTAACCATAGAAATAGCTGCAGTCAACGCGGGGATTGCTTTATTTCATGTACCAGAAATCAAGGGTTGGTTTGTGGCTAGGTGGCGCAATTAAGCTTCTCGCCACACATCACTTACTGCCGGTTCATGAGACCGAGACACGACATGCGGTATGTGCAACTGAGTGGTAAGGGAAAGATGGGATGGCCGCGAGTCTCGTCATCACACAGCCCTGTCGCGTATTCTACTTGTACGGGAGATCGGTGACGTTGGGGATACAATGTCAGCGTCCTGGCGGATGGAGGTTGGGGCTCGGCACTGACTCGGCGTTGCAAGGCCAGCCCGCGCCGGCCGTGTTGGTACGCTCACGAGTACCCCGCGGCGCCCGCTTCCATGCAACGCAATGCGGTGGGCTGGCCTTGGCGCCAGGTTGCACACCACTTTCGTTTTCGTAAATTGGCACCAGGAGCTTTCTCGGTCGGCGTGAAGGATTTGACGAAGTCCAGCCGTGGCCCAGCTTGGCTACTTGGCTATAGGTACCTCCGCTTAGCCGGTCCCGACACAGAGGGCCAGCCCAAATTGGCGCCGTGCAAGGGCGTTGGATGGATGGGAAATTCGGGGGCCTGGAACATCTCGCATGTAATGCGCGTTTTCACCCCTCTAGCCCGCGCTGCGAGTCCCTGAAGAGGATAAGCTGGCGGGCTTTTTATCACTAAAGCCCGCAATGGCGTTTTCAGCTCCGCCGAGAGGGTGGTGTCATTTGGCCCTGCGGGCAAGCGTCAAGATACCATTGGGTTCCGCCAGG